GGGTTCATGCGCTTGAAGCTGGCCTGTGGTGGGATGAAGTTGTCGCGCATCATCATGAGTAATTTCACCAGTGCGATCACCCCGGATGCGCCCTCTGTGTGGCCGACATGGCCTTTCACTGAGCCAATGGCCACGGCGGTTTCACGTAGCGGGCTGGCCACCGCCAGCTTAACGCTCTCGTACTCGGCTGGGTCACCGACTGGCGTGCCGGTGCCGTGGGCCTCGACCACGGAGATCTCAGCCGGGTCGATGCCGGCCTTCTTGATCACGTCCTTGAACAGCTGCGACAGCGACGGCACGTTGGGCACGAACAGCGGCGTGATGTTGAGGTTCTGGTAAACTGCCGTTGCCCGGATCGTTCCCAGCACCGTGTTACCGGCTGCCTGGGCATCTGATAGCTTCTTGAGAAAGACGAAAGCGACGCCCTCCGCCCGACAGTAGCCGTCGGCGTCGCCGTCAAATGGCTTACACTGCCCCGTCGGGCTTAAAAAAGCTGCCGGCGCTTAGGTTCTGTATCCATTGCAGGTTGGTCATGACGTTGACACCGCCGACTAGCGCAGCACTTGCCTCGCCAGACAGGATGTTACGGCAGGCAGTGTGCATCGCTACCGTCGACGACGAGCAAGCCGTATCGAACGTCATCGCCGGGCCTGTCCACCCGAAAAAGTGCGCGATACGACCGGTAATAAAACTGCGTAGTCCGCCTGTCGCCGTGAATGCGTTCGGCGCATGTGAGGCTATATTTTGCTCGTAGTCGACGCCGCATACGCCTAGGTAGCAGCCAATGTGGTCTTCTTTGTCTGTTTTGGGTTCCGTGAAGTATCCCGACTGCTCGACTGCCTGGTATGCCGCCTGCAGCGACAGCCGGCACTGAGGGTCCATGGCCTGTGACTCGCGTGGGCTGCGCTTGAAGAATTTGTGGTCGAAGGCATCCGCGTCACGCACGAAGTTGCCATAGTACTTCTTCCCATCCGCGTCTGCTGCATCCCGGAACAGCATGTCGTGCATCATCCGCTCCCGCGTGATCACTTCATGCTGCGATTTGCCCGTTTTCAGCATCGCCGCGAACTCCTCCAGATCCTCGGCACCGGACACGTTGATAGACATGCCCACAATGGCAATGGCCTCCTCAGTGTCTTTTTCTCGTTCTGACATAGGCGAAGCTGCTGATATGGTTGTTGAAACCCCGGTGCTGGTGCCGTTGACCGTTGGGGTAGCCGTGGCTGCAGTCATCGACGCCCTTCGAACCCTCCGGCTTTCAATATGGGGTTCCAGCTCCTCGAAGGATGTTTCCTTTGGCTCATACCGCCGCGTAATTGTCGGTGGAATGCACTGGTCTAGTCCAAAGGCCACTAGTGACACCTCCTTCTGAGTTGACGCTGACACTGATAGCAGCTTCGACACCGTCCCGGCCCAGTTGAACTGCTGCGTCAAGATCGCCCGCAGCAACATTGCGGTGAGATCTGTCTCATCGGCCGAGACATGGGCTCCATCCGCCGAGTTGCTGTATGTCGGCAGGGCCAACTGGGCCGCTGTAGCCGGAAACTGTAGCTGGCCACCATACGATGTCGAGTGGCATAGTTCGATCAGCGCATCCGCGTCCCGCTTCCGCTCCGCCCCTGGCGCGTGTAGATAGCCCTTAAACGCTAACGGGACGGCCTTCACGCCCGCGGCTCGCAGTTTCCGTACTAGCGTCGGCGCTAGGCGCTCTGATGTCGTCACTGTCGCTCGCGCCTCGTCAAACAGAACCGATATATAAGCGTCCGGCGTTAGCGAAGACACAATTCTTGTCATGTCGTCGCCTTGCTTGCTGCCACTGCGCCACGCCGTCGCAAACGACACCGACCCGCCCTTGCCCTTGGCCGTGTCCCGGGCCTCCCGCGCATCCACCACCGCTGCCATCAACAAGCCGAGGCGCACCGCCACCGCGCCGTATTTTTGAAACTCGTCCACGTCGTGCGAGCTCGCCACCGCTACCGCGGCAATCAGGCCGGCGCAGAAGCCCAGCGTTTCCACCGGGGTGGTGTTCTGTTGTTGCTGTTGTCGAACGAGTTCTGCTTGAGGGTCTTCGACAGTAACATCACCCAACCGAAACTCCAGATACCGCCAGTACTGGTCCAGTTGGATGGCTACCATCAGCGGCCCAATAGCGACGCTGGGTAGCTCTGCCTCGGGCGCGATCAGGTCGCCCTCTGAGATGCCGTTTCGCAGCCATGAGTCGAAGTCGCTCAACTGCTCCGCACCCGCTACTGTGCCGGCCTCGGGGATCTTTTCCATCACGGCTGCCCAGTATTGCGGCAGCCCAGCCACGGCCTCCAATATCCATTTGGCGTTGGGTCCGCTGAGGAGTTGCTTTACTGGCTTTTCCAGTGACCTTTTGCTCTGTGTGCCGATGTGACCCCCAAACACGAAGGTCGTCGCCTTCTGTGCATCCCCCACAGAAGAGGGAATAGAAGATGTACTCATTGTAGTGTAGGTAATGTGTGTAGCTGACTAGGTACTCAACCACTAAGTGAAAAAGAATCAGGTCAACCCGAGTTGTTGCGAATCACTTGTATCATTTGATTCTATACTCGAGATATTACATGTGGATTCATACAGCCTTACAGGTCCCTAAAATTGGCTACTAACATCGGAGATTGGCCTTGCCTGCGGACTTGCCTTCCACATAGAGATAGGCGTGATTCACTTCCGGGGGTTTCATATCTGAATAGCAGTCCGTTTCTATATTTTATCCGAAAGTCCGCACGGAATTTTTCGTTCTAAAACAATCTATTGGGACTGTCAGCACTAGGAATAGTACCTCCTGGGCCCAGGTACTTGGTAGATCCACGAATAAGCCCTAGAGGACAATAGTAACTCCGCCTTGGATGAAAGTCTACACAACACAGACATAAGCTGGATATTGCTCATTGTCATTTGATTATCGACATGCAATACTTTCGGGGGCCGTGTTTCGAGAAAAGGTGTTACTTTCAATAGACACTATGCATGTGAATGAAAATAAGTAGTAACTATACGCTAATCATCCTACCTATCAAGGTGGTAGTATCCTTTCTAGTATTGGATACATATTTTATATTCTATCATACCCAATTGGCTTAACTTCGGTTCTTGGAAGCAAATAGACTGCCCTTCAACCCCTTCAACATCATGGCAAGCAACAGCAGCACTACAACCCCCTCTCTCGAGGTGGCCATTGTAGGTGGTGGCATCATCGGAGTCATGACAGCTCTCGGCCTGATAAATCGAGGGATCAAAGTGACCATTTACGAGCGCACCTCCAGCTGGCACGAGATCGGCGCTGGATTTTCGTTCACTGGCGTGGCCCAGGAGTGTATGCGGCGCCTGGATCCTGGCATCTTTGACGTGCTGGGCCGCATCAGCCAGAAGTCGGATCCTAACAATGCAAGCACGAGCTATTGGAATGCCTACCATCCACAGACAAAGCAGGAGGCGGAGGATGAATCGACCTCACTGCTCTTCCAAATGCCGGGCAACAAGCTCTCATTCTGGGGCTGCGTGCGCTCACACTTCCTGTTAGGCATGGCTGCACTGCTGCCAGATGGTGCAGCCAAGTTTGGGAAGCAGCTTGTGAGCTACGACGACAACGATTCGAACGATAAAGTGGTCCTCCATTTTGCCGACGGCAGCACGGCCGAGGCACATGCTGTGCTTGGGTGCGATGGCATCCACTCGACCGCCCGAAAGGTGCTTCTCGGCGCTAATCACCCGGCCACCCGTCCCAGCTATACTCACACGGTTGCTTACCGAACGATGCTGCCCATTGACGCCGGCATCGCCGCCCTCGGTGAGGCGAAGGCAATGAGCGGTTGTATGCACTGTGGTCCGAACGCTAACATGATGTCGTATCCTGTCAGTCTAAGCGCCGCACCGTTCACCAATTGACTTACATCTGTAAAGCGGCGCAAGCTAACATCCTCAACAGGTCATGAACGGAACCCTCCTAAACGTTGCCTTCTTCGCCCATGAGTCCTCAGAGTTCCCTGACCCAGAGAGAATGACGGCTCCGGCCACACGCGATGAGCTCGAGCGGATCGTGGTCGGCTGGGGCCCGCACCTGGTCGACATTGCGAAGTGCTTCCCAGAGAACATGGTCAAATGGGGGATCTTTGACATGGACGAACACCCGGCGCCAACATATGCTCGCGGTCGCGTCTGCCTTGCCGGTGATGCTGCTCATGCCAGTAGCCCGTTCCAGGGTGTCGGTGCCTGTATCGGTGTCGAAGACGCTCTTGTGCTTTGTGAAGCCTTGGATATGGTGCAGGCCAGCAGCAATAGTGGCGATCATCGTGACCAGAGAGCGGCGATTGTACACGCACTGCAGGCCTATAGCCAAGCAAGGATGGAGCGTGGCAAATGGGTTGTGCGTAGCTCGCGCGAGATGGGCCAAATGTACCAGTGGCGATATGGTCCCACGGGGCGGGATGCTGAGAGGTGCAAACTGAAGCTTGAGAGAGCCTCCCGAACCATATGGGACTACGATGTTGAAAAGATGGTAACAGACATCAAAGCTGCAGCTACTTAATGTACATTCTGTTGTTTTAGATAAGAATATTGAACTGAATTACAACATCCAGGTACACAAACAACCTCATGTAGGACTGTTGGTTTATCACGTCCCTGCTGCCGGTCAGTTTAATTTTAGACCGAGATCTTTACATGTATTATTTTATCTGCTATATTTACAGGGTATAAATAAATAGCCTGCTATCCTATAGATTTTTCAATATCTCCCCGTTCTTCATATCTCCCTCTCTGTATATCCTCAACAAGGACTACAGCGTGTATCCGGAATCAGGTATAAGAGTAAATCTTAAGATCGCAGTAGAATTTTTAAAGTAGAATCCAAAGGTTGTCTACGTTCAAAATAATTTCAATGACAGATAGTTTCACTTCTAGACAAGGCATTAATCTAAACAGCTAGATGACTTTCTATCATAGTAAACCCCTTATGATAATGCTGTATGAATCCCTGTTTAGTAAATAGACGCCCCATTTCCAAATATACAAGAGGGATCCCATATGGATTTAAGTTCTCGAAGCTTGGGCAAGTTGGCTGCAGAATACCATGCGGCCGCTCCTTCGTCCCCATAGGCATAGTTCAAATAAACGTGAGGCGTAGAGAAACCGCTGGTTGCCTGTAGATTCGTGCGTTGTCCGCTCATAAACTGATCAACCTGAGGCCTGATTGAGGCGTCCGTGTATTCGTTTTGTGTGAGCCTGCAGAAATAGAAAGAAATCGTGAAATTAGTGCAAGGAAAAATAAACAACAGAGACACTCCACAGAGCCAGAAGAACTTACCACCACACTTGAATATCACGCCACGGGAAAGCAGTTTCAGACACTGGTGTCTGGATAGTCACCTCGTTGCTGTAATACTGGAGCACAGATTCTCCCTTAAACGCAGGATTTGCCTTGTAAAAGGCCGTCATATCCGCAAAGTGAGCCTCATAGCTTGCGACGTCAGTTTGCTTAAAGCCCAAGGTGTGTGCACTGATGATGTTTCCCCTGTCGCACACTCCAGCCGTCTGGGACTGGTAGAACACGTCGGTCTGGGGCAGATATGTCACAGATTTAACAACCGGACCGATAGCGGCAAACTGGTCAACGTATGGCTGTGCCTCCGCCACAGGGCCAAAGTACCAGAGCTGCAAAACAATACTCGACGAGTCGGTAGTCCGGTCAAACCTGATGACCGCTTGGAAGGATAGCTTGGCTGGCTGGTTGCCATCAAACGTTTTCATGGTCTCCCAGAGCGAACGATTAGACGGTGCCGCGTAGACAAAAGTAACTGCGGTCAGATTGCCGTGGTTGGTTTGTTCATGGATTTTGTAGGTTGCTTCTGTTACAATGCCAAAGTTGATACCGGCTCCGCGAATTGCCCAGAAGAGATCCTTGTTGTCCGTTGCCGAAGCCTTCACCAATTGGCCCTTTGCGGTCACAATACGGACAGACTTAAGCGTGTCGATCATTAGACCGTACATGCCCGTCATCATGCCAATGCCGGCGCCGATGGTAACCCCAATGGCACCCGGGCAGATGGAATTGCCGGTTTCTGGACAATCCCAGGTCAGTCAATATGCCGCTTTTCTCACACAGTAGACTTTGACAGATATTGGATGGAGATCAAATAGAAGGCACATACGGATTTCTTTGCCGACATCATACAACCCTTTTTGGACATCCCACAACTTGACGCCAGCTCCAATGGTCACCAAATTGTTGGCGGTATCAATATTGACAGTATTAAAACTGGCAAGGTTCACGTTGATGCCGGTAAACTGGTCTTGACCGACTTTCGGACCATGGCCACCATTGGTTGCAATGAATGGGATCTTGTTTGCAACTGATATTTGGACCTGTTGTTCCCATAAGTCTTTCTGATATACCAATAAGCGAAATACAAGGAAACAATACTCACCACTTTCTGGAGATCTTTTTCCGTTGCGGGCTTGATTGCCCCAGACCAATGCGGCGTTTCCCAAGCCGACCACCGCGGTCCAACAACGGAAGAAAAGTTGGCATCTGTTGAAGAGGCGATTTCCGTGGCGGGTGAAACCCATGGTTCATACAGCTCTTCGAGCGTATAAGCATCATGTCTAATGAAGTGGCCGTGGACTACCATGCTAGGAGCCACACCCGCCAAGGCCAAGAGACGTGTCAACATGATTGGTTGAGGATGGGGAGGGGTATAGCTCTGTGCAGATAAGGATGCAACCGAGACTGAGCAGCATAAAAGCTTGGTATGGCCCTTATATTAGTTAATGGCCACCCCGGCACCAAAGTCCGGAAATTTAACTAGCCACGCTCCGATACCATGACTGACACCCTGCCGATTCTGCTCAGCCCATTCTCTCATCACATAATCCCCCCGGCTCAAGACCTTACTCCGGGGGGCTCAACGTCTGAAGACCAATAGTACTCAGACAGGATGTTATCCACAAATGGGGCAGGGCACAAGTGAGTCGTGGATATGGAGCTAGTCCGTTACTAGCTCTGTAATGCTCTTCCGTAAGCAACATCTCATTGAACAGCGCATCAATAAAACACCGCCGGAGTGTAACCTACCCGCTGACCCGGATAGCCGAGGTGCTTATCGTCCCACAGTTGCAGGAAATGGGAAAACGGGAACTGGAGACGGAATTAGGGACTGGGCTGTGACATGTCGGTCATAAATTCACATGGATAGCTGCATAACTGCATTACTCAACAGGTGGGTCCACCATATGTTGTGCCCCCATATAGCCCCACCTGCAAAGCTTGACGCTGCAGTACCATGGGTCGAGTTATCTAATTCTATCACAATTTTATCAGACAATACCTCTTTCTTAGTAAATTTTGAGCGTATACTCGTATTTTACCCCAATCAAACTCATCAAAAATAGATTATTTAAGCACTTTCAAACAGTTTGTTGACTTATAGTTTCTGTTGAGCTAGCCAACTGGCCAGATACTTTGTCTTGTTTTTTGCAGAAAGGTTGCCTCTGGCTGCTTATAGTCAAAACCCTTCTATCGAATACTGTGAGGTAAAGCTGCTTTATAGGAAAGACAAACAACATCAAAGACAAGGCGATGTTGTAACCGTCCCAGTTCATTCGTGATAAATTTGAGTCTGTACACTGAAGTATATTGGATAGAAAGATGTTACCACACTATGCACACAGTTCAATTTTGCAGTTTTTGCCACCTCAAGGATGTGGATAGGCCATCTAAGCCACCATGACAGATGGGTCACCATCACCCCAGACATGGTTCGCCTTCCACGACTTGAACCTCCAAAGGTCACCCACTTTCACAGCGTCGCAGTTGTAGATGGCGCCAGTGGTGAACTTGTTGGGGCCTGGCTCAAACCCTTTGCCATGTCGGCAGTGCTGAGCGAGAGATGTAAAGGTCACTCGGGCCGTTGTTGGCGTGTCAACGCTGATGCGCATGTTGGTGAGGTAGTGGATGGTGTCGACCCTGATGACATTGTCCCAAACTTTGGTCTTTAGATCTTGTGCATTGGTGACAGTCGTGCCAGCAACTTCGGCATATATGTCATCAGTCACGGCGGACCAGAAGAGCTCTTCGTCGCCGTGGTCAATAGAGGCTGTGGTGCGGTAGCAGGCATCGGCGATGGCCTCACGGTCACTTAATGGTGGACCGGCAAGGATGACAGGCAAAGGAGTAGCGGGCATGATGGCTGGCTGTGGAGTCTAGAGAGTGGGTAGACAGGAGAATGGTATGAATGAACTTGTGGGCATAAGTAGGCATATCGGCGTGCTACTTATGTATTCCAGTGTCCTATTTCAGCCTGAATAATTCCCCGGGGATAGGTCTCTTGGCAAGCAGGCGGAGCGAGCGAGCCAAGCAAGCCAAGAAATTGTTACTTTACAAGGCGGACATAAATGTCATGTTTACGGTGCACAATGTCCGCGGAATATTTACAGTCCGCCTCATCACACGAGCATATTCCAGATCAGTGTAAGTCTAACCCTGTTAGTATTTGCCATGTGAAATATGTCAGCTTGATCATGGCCGAAAATTTACCGCGGACCTAGGTCGAGTTCCTTAATCTGGTATTATTTATATGGTCAAAGGAAATCGGTGTGATTCAAATATCTATCTGATTAGAGCAACTATTAGCAAAATTATGTAATTATGATTCCTATATACTAGATGGTACGGATGGTCCTACTTGGATAAAAGGACTAAGGACTTCATGTGACGATCAAGCCAAGCATGACGATCCCTAACTTCATTGTATATATAGCTATGGATAACTCGAAACGAAGGGATCAAACATGAGAGGAGAGACCAAAGAAGAAAGATAGATACAAGGTATGGCAAAGACTTCACTATGTATAATGTCATGTCTAAATGGTAAAAACGACGAAGATCATCACAAAGACAGTACCCGCCGTGAAAAACGGAACCAGGAAAATATCATATGCGCCTTGTTATTGCTCCTGTCACCGGCCGGCACACCATGTGCTATATTCAGCCTCGACAGTGCAGAGATAGTCTTGTGCTAAAACATTCAAGTGGCCTAAATGTCGAAGCAAGCAAAGAAGCTTCTCCACCTCTCCATCATTGTTGCTCATACTGCTGTTGCTGCTGTTTCTGCTGTTGATGCTGCTACTGCTGCTGCTATTGCTCCTTGCACTTCCTGGCCCCCTGGCATTGGTAGACTGTGCACTTCGGATAAAGAAATTGGCAGCACAGGCAAGCGGATCTACTATAAACGGGTGCATGCTAAAGCAGCCAAGAGACCTGGCTAAATCGGCAAGGCCCACTATTTCGACCGCTGCCCGCTCAGCCCGCCACTTGTATGAGCTGGCGAAAAGCTGGCGGTCGCCAACTTGTTGTTGTTGTCGCTGCAAGAACGCCATCTCGAGGGTGCCGCTAAGATATATGACCGACTTCTGCGCCAGCATGTAAGTGAAGAGCACCATGGGGTCGCGGTTGACCAGCTTTAGCGATGGGCTTTGAGCGAGAATCTGAGCCCTTTTCTCTACGGCCAATGTTAATTGGTCGTGCCTCGTCCAGAATTCTTGAGCCTCGTCTGTCCCAGTGTTCAGCATCGACATGCGGCGATGTGTCATGCAGCGACCATGTAGCGCTGCCAGCACAATACATTCTGCAAATGGAGAAAGAGGGATCATTGTAGACGAATAACACTGGGGACTGGTACTCATGGCTATCGCTTCGGATAAAAAGCACACTCGGGTCGGCTGGTTATTCTGAAAGCTTGCCTCCGATGCGGGCAGACGTGTGCGGACTGCTTCTTCCTGCAGCGTCAAGGGCCACTCGTTGCGTGAGCAGAGAAAGCGATCAAAGCTAAAGGCGAGCCAGAAAGTTCGCCTCTTCTCCTCAGCTATTATATATGGGATATTTTGGTCGGAGTGGTCGCCGTCAGAGCCAGCAGGATTACTCGGCATATCCTCAACACCGCTGCTCTCATCGACATCGTAGAGACGTGCTAGCTGAACGAGCCGGAAAGCACGCCCCGCCGTAACCATGGCCTGGTGTTCACCGCTGCGCACAACGTCGTAATATGCTAGGAGAAGCCAGGATTGAATCAGCTCGATGGGGATCTTGTCGCCCGCAATAGAGGGTCTAGGACCGGGGTTGTTGTTGGTTGATGCGAACAACGACATGTCAGAACTACCACATCCACTTAATGTTCGCATGCACTGGGATTCTAGTAATTGGCATGTTTCTTGGTAAAGGGCGTCGCCAAGGCTGTGATATTGTGCCGACATGGCTGCTGCCACAGTATGCATGGCTGACCGGAGACAGGTTCGAGCAGGAGAGGGCTTCTCCTGATCTGCCCAGCTAAAGTACCGTCGACGGTGTATCATAGGAAGGACATCATGAAGGCGGTCAAAATATAGTTGATCTCTGAAGGAAAGCCAAAGTGGTCAGTCACAAATCTTTCCTTTATTCTCACACAAAAACACAAAGACACACAGACACGGGAGTGCACAACAGAAAGGTTTAAAGGAAGAATGAAAGGCATGCAAAGATTTACGCACAAGTCAGCTAAGACGAGATTCGTCACCTTAAAACCACCCAGGAACCGGACAGGACTACCCGCCTCCAGATCAAACTGTAACATATTTCCCATGTCTGCCAGCATCCCGCTGTCCATTTCAATATCTTGCCAATCCATCAAGGCAGGGAGGCTGGTATCATGCTCCGCGCCCAGGAACGTGGGCATTGTTGTAGTTACAGTTGCGCTCGCAGTCGTCGCTGCATGGTTTGACGTCGTGGGGAAAATAATCGATGATGCCCTTGACCTGGCAGGTGTTATGGTTTGAAGTGTCGGTACATTCAAAGGATGGGAGGTATGGGCGTGGTCTTCGAGTGGGACAGGGATGATGCTTGGAGTAGTACTACCAGTGGTATTACCACTCCTCTGATGTTCTGGATTTGGTGGAGACTTGGACATAGCACTGGGGTCCTGGTTCCCCAATTGCTTGCCTAATTGCCATTCGAGCTCCGCTAAAACCAACCAGCATTAATAATGTCTTGCGATATAACCAGTGAGATGGTAGGTATGGCATTGTGCTTCTCCCACAATCAGGAAGTGCAAAAAAGGCAAAAGCAACTCACCAATTCGGACTCGCATTTCATCGAGCTGGCCCTTTTTGGGACCCCTTTGTGGTCTCTGGTCAATTACCACACACGCAACGCCTATCTCTGCACAGAGACCACATTGTGGGCGGACGCGGTTACATCTCGCTTTTCTTTTCCGACAGGTTTCGCACGCGAATCCGGCTTGTTGCCGGAAGCCTCTTGAATTCATGGCAGATTATCGATTTAAAACGGCTATAACAGAGTGGATATGATCGGCAGGTATAAGGTTCTGGCCGTTGGCTGCCAATCACAACAGTACCACCTGAAAGGCCGAACGACCGAAGCGGAATCCGAATTTGATTATTGAAGATGTAGATAAGACGTTTGCTTTGAACTTCTGTACTCACCTGGTTATATAAACTAGATTGCCTGGGGTATATGTTGCCTTTTCTACCTAGTATGCATCGTTACCGCAACTTATTAGTGCTTATGCCTGTAAGCCATTTCATATCCAATCAATCACGAAGAAGGCCATAACATGCAACTATCGACAGGGGGTGGTGAAGTATTACTGACTGCTCCTCGGGGGGGGCCAAAACCTACCTTGGTAAGAAACAAAAATGAGTAAGTACGCAATCTGTCCACGAGTCGAGTTCACGAGTACGGGATCAAGAGACAGGACCTGTTAAATCCAAGAGTTTTCACCACATAAGTAAGTCGATAAGATAAGTACATACCGTATTCCAAGCTGAATCTAGGCCCGGAGCCAATAGTTAACTCTCCAGCCAACCTCGGAACTACCAGAGTATGTGCTCTATAGCCGCTGAGAATATGTCTCAACCTAACGGCACAAAGCTAGAAATCCTTTATCTTCATAGTAGAGATGTTCTAACCCAACAACACAAGGCTAGAAATCCTTTAACTGCACGGTATAGTAGTCGCGTCCTCCGAAAACGGAACCAGGCATCCGTGGCGCCCCAGGTGTATGTCGCTCTGTCTCAATTTCTCCGATGGGCTGTTTGTGGTCGTTTATGCAGGCTACGGCCACTTCCGGAGCTGAAGGATCGTATCAATGCTGCGGCTGAAAGCGACAGGCTTCAGTTTCCATCTCCGAGAAAATAGCGAATGTAACGCGAGGTAGCCAGTTTGTGTGGAGTCAGCCAAAGCGCACGGATCACATTCTATCTGCTGTATCAAAGTCAGAGGAAAATCAGCAGCCACCAAAGGGTCTTCGGCCACATCCGCCGCCGTAACCGCTTCCAACATCCATCTTTGTCACCTCATTGGGTGGGCCGTTCGTATTCTTTTGACCCCGTCTTTGGGGGCTGCAAATTATCTGAAGACATTAGACTTGAAAGCCACACGGATTTGTTGATTGAATGGCAGTGTTAATCTTCCTGGGACGGTGATAGTTGCCTATATACTCCTGAAGACGTGACTGTTACGGTCAAGCGTATAACCGTGTCGAAGAGTATAGAAATATCACAGATGAAATTCATATGAGTTTAAAATCGAGTTCTCCACGACATCTTGCCTAGATAGCCCCCGCGGAAGGGAAATACAACCGAAATCTCAGAATCCGGTCCGACCCTTGTCCGAATATTTCGACTAAGGAATCAACCGGTGTTCATATTCCTATGCCGACAGTTAACACGGCGTTATCTCAAACAAAAGCCATTAATTCCGTGATCTCGCCATCGTGATGCAGCCAATGATTCCAGAATGATTGATTGTCCTAACTCCGTACGCATGGCGCAACTCCGTACGCACGGCGCCCCGGTGTCTAGGCATTTATCAGTTGCCGCATAAACATATAACCAATACCACGTGGGAAAGGTACAACGAGCATCTGCATTCTTAAATATGTTGAAGTCAACCTGCACGACTTCCCCCCAGTTTGTGTTATCTTAAACAGCAGCCGATACCCCTTTTTGCCACACCAAACGCAGTCATCGTGTATACCAGAAACTTCAGCAATGGCACAGACTCCAGAGAACAAGGCCGCCTGGCTATCCGGCTCCAAAGTTACGCCGCTTGAGATCGGCCCCGCGCCATACACACAACCCGGACCTCACCAGATCGTGGTGAAGAATAGTGCACTGGGCATCAATTCGGTTGACTGGGCTAAGCAGCTGCTCGGTGAAGGTTTGCTAGGTCATATCAGCTATCCCTTCATTCTTGGAGAGGATGTGGCCGGCACCGTCGTCGAGGTGGGCGAAGGCGTGGAGCGCTTCCGCGTCGGCGACCGTGTTGTGGCTGCGGCTGCTGCCATCTCCCTCAACACCTCCCTCGAGGGCGGTTTTCAGCTGTACACAGTCATTCGCGAGTGGCTAGCCGCACCACTGCCGGAAAGCATTACCTTTGAGCAGGCCAGCGTGATACCATTGGCCGTGTTCACAGCCTCTCATGGTCTGTTTGACGCCGGCTACCTGGGCCTTGATTTACCCACCGTGCCCGCCCCTCCGTCTAGCGCAGACAAGCATGCTGTCATTATCACTGGCGGCTCATCCGCTGTTGGCAGCACCGCAATCCAGCTGGCCGTGTCCGCCGGCTACGAGGTTGTGTCGACGGCGTCGCCCAAGAACTTTGCCTACGTCAAGAAGCTCGGTGCTACCCATGTGTTTGACTACAAGAGTGGTACCGTGATCGGCGATATCAGTGCTGCTGTCAAGGGGCTCCACCTTGCCGGTGGATACTCCATTGGCGATGGCTCCATCGACCTGCTGGCTGCCGTCTTGGCCAAGCACGAGGGCCCCTCCACCCATAAAGTCATTGCTCTTGCTGGCGGTCAGCCCGGTGGTGGCAGCATTGACCCGAGTGTCCAGGTCAAGTTCATCCTGCTGGGCCCGGATGCCGCCGGCCCGGACTCAGTTGTGAGCAAAATCTACAAGAATTACCTCCCGGAGGCACTAGCCAATGCGCAATTTGTGCCAGCTCCCGAGGCGATCGTCGTGGGTAAGGGACTGGAAAAGATCCAGGAGGCATTTGGAATTCACATGCAGGGTGTTTCAGCGAAGAAGATTGTTGTGTCACTATAGACTAGAGATTTATGTATTGGTTTCTGCTCAGCCTAGCGGTTATGTAGCTATCTACCACTCATTTTACTCTTTTCTATGTACACTCTGTCGGGTTCTGGTATTAGTTTACTACAGTCCCTACACCTTAAATGCATAGAGTGCGAAAACCTGCGGTGTTATTTACATATCCCCATGTCCGCTATTAATAATTGCTAACACAAATATCGCAGCATAACCTCTGATTTCTCATCAAAACTTCATCACCGTTCTCCCATGGCATACTCAGATGAATCCCCCGAGCTTCGACAAATTTAAGAGTCCATGGAAAAAATGATAACAAAGATATGTTGTATTCATTACATCTTAGTTCTGTGAATATATTAATATTAAGGAAATACCAAGAAAAGAGTGCCGTAAAATCGCGATTCATTAGCGATTTAGGATGTGTTGACAGACTTTTGGCACCCCATCGATAACAACAACAGCGGCAGCGGCAGCACTTTTCTAGGTAACAGTCTCCTGCCAGTGTCCGCAAAAAGCATCATCTAAAGATCTAGCGATCATCACAAGATTGAGGGTAAAATAAACAAAACAATCAAACAAATGCAACAAAAAACGAAAACGCCGAACCGTCCACCAACTGGCCGATGTCCCAAGAGAGCCATGTGACCCACTTACACAATTAATGGGACATCAATTCAATTTCCATCTTAAGCTGTGGTCTTTTCAGTCGAGTCCACATCCTCGGTGTTCGACGCAGCCGGAGCATCTCCCTTAATGGCCTGCAGTTTCTTCGCCTTACGGATATCAACCCATCCCAACCCCCAGCCAAAGGCAAATGTGGCTACGCTGACTCCTATGCCGAGATACATAACATGGCTAATTGCCGTGGTATAGCACTCGAGCGCAGCGGTGAGCTTATCGCCCGAAACAAGACTTCGGATTGAGTTCAGTCCAGTACTGATGAGGATATCAGGGTTGACGCCAATCTCGGCGAAGCGTTTCTGGAGCTCCGCGCGGAGGCCGTTGGTGAAAATCGAATTAGCGACAATCAGAAACACGGCACCGCCCATGTTTTGGCAAAAGATAATGATAGCCATGGCAATAGGGATCTGCGGAGGGGGAACAAGATTTTGGATAGCGATGTAGGGCTTCATATGAAAGTAAAGTTAGCAAAGTCCGATTTGGGATGTGGAGGAGATGGGATATTGCGAAGTAAACTCACCGCTGAGGTCATTGCACCACTGCCAACACCATAGAGCACCTGGTACCCAAGCCATTTGTGCGATATAGTCGTGGGTTTAATCAAAGACATGAGTCCATACCCAATGGCAGTCATGGCGCTTCCTCCCAGGTTCCAGGGCAAGTAATAACCTAAGATCTCGGCTGCGAAACGTTAGTTTGATTAGTTTTGAAGTGACGAAAGAGGCGGGGGACGGACTCATCATTCCAGAGAGCATAGTGAAGAATACTAAGCACAAGGTTGCTGGGAGCATGTGCACGCCGCTCATGATAGGACTGTTGTGAAGCACGGTTTGGAAGAAAATGGCGAGGTAGTACTCGGCCGCCAAAATGGCACCGAGAAGGAAGAACAAGTTACCCGCAGCAGACCACACAATGCGCTTTTTGATCATCGCGAACGGTACCATGGCACCGTCGCCCTGGCGATATTCCCAGATAAGGAAGATGATAAAGGTCACAGCCGCGCCAACCAAAAGGCCGATTACAACGGAGCTATTCCACGGGTGCACGGTACCGCCGTATTGCAATGCAAGCAAAAACATGACGGCAGCGGGGCTAATGAGCATAAAGCCTGGAAGATCCAGAGACTTAATGGCCGTGCCGAGGACTTGTCTGGCGGGTAGCTTGTCGGTCGGCTCGGGGATCTTGAACAGGAACAGCAAAATGGCCAGAGCACCGCCAATGGGTAGGTTGATGTAGAAACCTGCAAGAAGAAGAAGGTGGTTAGCAAGATTATAGCAGTAGAGAGACTTCCAAGCAACTTACACCAACGCCATGAAACATTTTGGGTGAATGCACCGCCAAGGATAGGGCCCAAAGCGATACCGAGCTGGCCGATACCCATGTTTATGCCCAGAAACTGGGCCTGCTTCCTGCGCGGTAATATAACTGAGATGATTGTCATGGCGCCGTTTCCAATACCCGACGATCCAGCTCCGGCAATGGCTCTTCCAACAATGAACATGGGCGACGAGACGGCGGCTCCACAGATGACAGACCCGAGCTCGAAGAGAAAGAAGAAGACGAGGAAGGACCACTGTTTCCATCGTTAACAATGATCAATTGTGTCTTTTCTCAAGCTATCATAGAATGACCAACCTTGATATTAAAGTGGCTGTAGATCTTGCCAGTGAGCGGCTGCAGAGCAGAGCTGCCGAGCTGGTACGCGCCACCATACCAGCCAACATCAACTAGAGAGTTGAATCGTTGTGTGATGGCAGGGGTTGCGGTAGACACGACACACATGTCGAGGAAGACGAGGAAGTAGGCGATTGTAACAGGACCAAGGATAGACCATAAGGCCACGCCGCTGGGAAAGTTGCTGTCATCTTCTGCGGCCTCGTCCTTGGAGTCGACGCTGTCGGAGCCGTACTTCTCAACATCACCACTCTCATCCGACAGAACCATATTTGTGCCAATTGATTTGTTGGAGTCGGTAGTGGTCATGGTTATGGCACTGGAGCTGACTCTTGCTCTCGCTGGTGCCAAGAACTGTATTAGTAGTTATTGAAGAAAAGTAGCTTGCAGTCGTAAGTTATATAACACAATTGTATGACAACATTAAGTTAAAAAAAGAGATCATGAGCTTAGAATAGGGACCGGAATGTTTCTGCGCGAGTATGTAAATCCATTTAGGGCTAGTAGCTGCATGTCGGAACCGGAATCTGAAATCCGGTCGGTCTCCTGTTGACGGACTATAGTAGTATGTCCGGCCTGTCAAGCTGGAACGTGCCATAAATATTTATAACCATACGAATTGGAATATTACAAGATTACAAGAGATTATACAAAATTTGGTTGGCTGTAGTTTTAAAATAATTCGGGCTTTTTACAGGCCATTTTAGCCCAAAACGGTAATCGCCCGTTCATAGTAGAAATACTTCTCTAGTACTAACGTTATATCTCAAATGTGAGTTATGCATATACAATTGTCCATTGATAATATATTCAATCTTTTCAAGAACGGCTATAGCAGTGTGTCCAGGGCAGACTGTCGCCTAGTAGAACAATATTTGGACCGTGAGGTATAGCTACCTCATCATATACCTCCGAGGCAGGCAGTAGTAGAAGACAGTGAAGATATAATCTCAGTAAAACTAAATATTGTTTAGACGCAAGAGTGCGTACCCATATATCATAATACCGTGGAAGCTATGAAAGCGTAATGTAGTTCATTTCACATGTGCAGTAGTGGTTTGCGATCAGTATGTACCTTTATTAGCAGTACAAAAATGTCAAGCCTCTACATGGTAGGTATCGACTGATCTTTATAATCAACAAAAATCTCCTCTAACCATAACGTCGGACTCATCAAGTATCCTGCGTGTTGACTATATGCCAACGCATCTGTATCTCCTTCCGTAGTCGTAACTGGAGCCATAGTCATATCCGCTCTGTTTCCTACTCCATCACCCGTTTCCTTTGCTCTATATGCCTCTTCCTGTTGACTCAACAGTTCTCTATCGTGATATGACGATTGGTACATGCGTAGGCCGCGGGCCAATTGCATGAATACGCCGTCGGCTGACGCCGGTTGTTCACCAGCTTCAGCAGCAGCGAGCTCCAGCTTGTCTGCCGTGCATGATAACAAGACGGGCAGATCGACGAGCCTTCGCACAGTGGCTGGATCCCAGCCAGGCTCCCGGAGCGTGCTTAGTTGGTGCAGGGTGGCCACGCACCGTACTAGCTGAGCCCATTGGATGAAGGAAATACCAAGGAGTCCAGACGGCGAGAGAGTCAGGAAGGTTGATGTGCACGACTTAACCGCGAGTGCTGACTGCCAAAAGCAGGAGATGCGCGTAGGCCCACATGTTGGCGGTGGCGGGCGCGCGGATTGCTGGATGTGGATGGTCTCGATAATGCACATCTCTGTGTAGTACGTCTGAGCGAGAAGGACTATATATCGATTAGCAATCAGTGGCTGATATTCTTCCAAATAAACCCTCTGAGCTGGACACCTACGAAAGTGTTGTTGGAATGCAGGGGGGACAGACGCCCTGAGCTCCTGTATCTGCCCCATCAGCGCCTTGATGTACAGGAGAGATTGAGGCGAAAGAGTCTCCGGTGGAGGGTGGTCGGGGAGTTGGGCTCGCTCCCTGACCTCGGCGGCCTTCGTGGCGAGGAGCTGTAGGCGGACCTGAATAGCCAGGGCAGCATCTGATGGACATTCTGCGCCGGCACTATTGCCGCTGGCGACAATGGCAGCAAGGGCCTCGTCCATCTGAGGTATCCACCGGGGCGCCTCAACCTGGCAGAAATAGGCTGAGACGGCCGAGCCAAGGACAAAGCAGCCTAGGATGGCTCGCTGGCGCTCGAGATAGAGCTGGGTATCAGTCACCCCAGCGCCGGTTGCCGGTGTTGCCATTGCGGTAGTCGCCGGCGTGATGCCATACACGTTGTCGAACCCGCCGTTCGGTTCGAGGTGACTTATTGTGCGCGAGATTTCTGGTACAGCTTGATCCAGAAAACGCAACTCGCCGACCAATGATATAGCCATTGCCATGAGACGAGGCAAGCTGTGATTGCTACGCAGGTGCTCCCATCCCCACGAAATGTAGACAAGGAGGCCTAACAGCAGATCCACAGTTTGTTGTGGTTGCTGCTGTTTCTGCTGTGGCGACCGTTGAAGAAATGCCGTCTCATAGAGTACACGCTTCAGCTCGAGGGAGCTTGCCATCTTGTCCTTAGCCGATACCGATGTCACACAAATAATGGCGCGAAACAGGAACGGCCGGTCTAATCGTAGTTTCTCGGCCGTGAGGTAGGCAGGCAAATGAACAAACGGGAAATGATGCAGCATACGCGAGCAGAATGTGTCTATAGAGATCGATGCTGAGGATGGAGGTACCGAGGACGGAGATAGAGCGGGCGACATAAACGCGCCCGACATGGTCGAGGATGGGGGGTGTCGACGGGCATGCCGTTGGCGCTAAACGCGTTCGCATTGTCCATCCCCCACCAAGAAGCAGAGGCACGGACGGCGTCGCTGTCGGTATCCTCGTCGTCTTCGTCCATAAAACCGGACCGCGAGTCCTCCATAGTGCCGCTTCCTTCGGTCCCTTCTGCAGCCACGTCTGGGTATGGAATGATTGGAGGTGGTGGTGGTTGTTGCTGATGTTGCTGGTGTTGTTGCGGTGGTGATTGCTGCTGCTGCTGCGACCATTCATCAACTCTTTCGCCGTGGACATTGCCCGCCTGGAGCATCGAGACTAGTTGACCGAGTGTACCCTCGAGCTTCGCAATACGGGCTTCCGATGAGTTTTGCTTTTTGTCGCTGCGGCGACGTACTGCATCGGCTGGATGGCATGGGCGCTTGAGGCGGTGGCACCTATATAAGGCACCCTTTCGTGTCAACGAGTGTTCGCAGGTTAGGGTCTGCAAGCATGGAACAGCCAGCAAAGTGCAGCCCGGACAGACCTTTCGCATCCATTGCCATCAGAACGAGGAATGCATTTGCATTTTGTTTTGAAACAGTTCAAACACGCTTGCCCATATGGCGCTGATCGGCCAGCCATTCTGTAGAGGGCCGGTCGGGATTAGTTGTTGGGAGAGATATAGCTCTATACAGCGATAGAGGATACTAGTTTGAAAGTAGGATGGAATGTGGGTAGATGTAAAAAACGAAGAGTGCCAGTCAGACACAGATTGTCAGACGAAGGGTGTGTACTTTGTACATTATCAGCCCACTTTTATTCTCCACCTAACATTTCTCAAGCGGGCCCCATTGATTAATAATCACTTCATTAAGCCCTCTAGGACTGTTGTAAGAAAGAGTAAACTTCGAATATTAGAATACATCATCTTACAAAAATTACATATAATGCATGTGATCACGTACTAATTACTCCGTATCTGTTGGCTATTTCTTGCAAGATTACGGCCCCGGGGGCCCGGGCGGTCTTGGTGCTTTGTCATGTTTGTATAGTTTGCAGAGCAACATGAGCCTCAGATGTCGACCTTTCGAAGACAGATCGTTTGTTCGTACGTTGTCAAGAACCTATATTTCAGTTTTAACTCGAGCATGTACTGCGCAATTTGAACTACGTGTATGGGTCAATATTAATAGATTCCTGTCAATGGCTCACAATACGGGACCTAGTGCGTGCCTGAACGGTTCCCCGGTGTCCCTAGTCTCAAATTTACGAACCAGGCCTCCTAGATCGTGCTCCGGGATCCAAGGGACTTTAGCCTTCCCCAGCACTTGGCTATATGATCTTGGGTCAAAAGCACAAAGTCGGGGGTATTTTTATAGCCTGGGCATGGCGGCGAGGCGCTTTGAAGGACGCCAGCTCAAGATCGTCGTTCTGCGCCTCGAAGACGGCTCCTAGAGCGGTCCGCGCTCGTCCTTCTAGCCGGGCTTGTATACCCCTCTCATCACAGACGAAGCTTGGTCATGGTGTTTGTATAGTTTGCAGGAGTGGGGCTTGATCTACCATGGATCAACTCTCCCCACTTCTCTTCTTCTTTCCAAGGTTTCTCTTCCTATTTTTAAATTGACTGCACTTGGCCAAGAAATATATACCCAACGAGTAGCAAACAACACTAATACTGATAATAACAGTGCCTTACATTTGATTTTGCGGAAAGGTGTAAAGGACCATGTCCTTGTATGGCATGCACAGTTCTGAACAGTCGGTCGTCTTAGAATCCTAGTCTTTTGCCGATATCACAACAGGTTACCCTTTGGAACGCGCCCTATAAGCTGATGTTTAACGGAAGGGATATATATAAGCATTGATCTGACACTATCTGGCAGCTTTCAGCATGGACCCAAAGCCCCGAGCGTTGGCGATCCGAAATGCGGAAAAGTGAATTCCGAGAAAAGAAATTAGGGCTAGCAAGAAAGTCCGAAAGTCCGAAAGTGCAACCGTATCCACAGACACAAGCCAAGATGCATGCAGATTGTATAACATGCAGAACTAGAGACAACGGATAGAATGGCGACTTGTGGCTTTCTCATGCAGGTGAAGCCTTCCAGGCTCGTAGACAACTACAAACTAAGTTCTTCACCATGTCTGTCGCAATGGAAAATCACCTTACGAAAGGCGACACAGCCGAAACCGACTCGGAACTCCACCGTGATATTATCTCCCAGTTCCCAATCCTCAATGCTTATACGCAGTTGCTGTTTGGGTTCAAGCTGCCGGCCGACGTGGACCGCGATGTCATCGTCGCATCCCTCCAGGACGGCTTTGATAAACTCAAGGCGGAGATCCCCTGGCTGGGGTGGCAGGTGGCCCGGGAGTTAGGGCCTGGCGGCATCTTGAAGACGATGCCGTGGCCCGCGGACGTGCCCGAGGAGCGCATCCGCGTCAAAAACTGTGACGATCTCATCGCACCCATGGCCAAGCTCGTCTCAGCCGGCGTGCCTATCCACATGTTGGACGGATCGGTTCTGACGCCATGGCCGGCGCTGCCACAACCTCGCGGCCTCGAGGGCCCTGACCCTGTCGTTGCCATGCAGGCCAACTTTGTGCAGGGCGGCCTGATCCTCAACCTTAGCACTCACCACACCATTATCGACGGCACCGGTATCTACCAGTTTATGAATCTCCTGGCACTTGTCATGAGCGGCAAAGAGATTCCGGCCGCCGACTTGGAGCAGGCCAACCGCGACCGCAGCCGGGTGATCACGCTCATTCCGCGCACCGAGCCCGTCAAGAGCTATAGCCACCTGCGGCGCCCACCCGGCTATACCTGGGCGCCACCCCCAAGTCCACCGATGTGGTGCAACTTCAAGATTCCGGTCAATGCTCTGGCTCGGCTGGTTAAGTCGGTCAAAGACGATCCATCTAGCAACAAGCCAGGCTCGCTGATGGTCTCTGAGAACGATATCTTCTCCGCCTTTGCATGGCAGCGCCTCTGCGCCGTGCGCGTGGCTAACGGACAGCCGCCGGAGCGCTCATCCAAGCTCGGGCGCGCTATCGACGGGCGCATGGCGCTGGGCGTGCCGCTGACCTACATGGGTCACATGGTGTGCCACGCTCTGGTGCGGCTGCCATTGGGCCAGGTGGCGAAGCTGCCACTGCCACAGATTGCGCAAGTGCTGCGTCGTGAACTCAACCAGGCTAACACGCCATGGTCCATTCGCAGCTTTGCCACATTCATGGCTCGTGAGCCCGACACCTCGAGCCTACTGTACGGTGGCACCCACGACGCCCGGGCGGACCTTATGGTGACCGCGGCTGGCCAGGCGACGCCGCTGCCGGCATCCTGGGGCCCTCTCTTGGGCCGCTTGTGCTTCCTCCGCCGCCCAACAGCGGCGCCGATTCCCGGCTGTTTTATTATCAACGAAGCCGAGGGCGCATTCATCCCTCTGACGTTGTGCATGCCCGAGGAAGACATCAACGGGCTAAAGAAGGACCCTGTATGGAAGCAATACGTAAGATATGTCGGCTAAGCCAAAGATCTACAGAATTTAGACTACATAGGTTGGTAGCGCTGCGTAGTTAGATCAATCTATCTGACTAACTCTACTTTATATGAATTACGATGTGATGGAAATTTAAACCCTCCTAATTGAAGCTTGTATGATCATAGAATAAATCAGTTAAGAATCTGCGTACAGTGATTGTCTGCCTATCTCATTGCCTAACGTCGTCGATTAATTGTCCGCCCATGTAGAGATTATCCGTGCGCGATTGCAACCTAGTCAGACCAATAGCCTAGCTGTGACCTCTCACGGATCTATAATTTTAGAAAATGAAGGGTGCGAGCTCAGATCTACAGACCAAGCCAGTTGAGGATAGCCAGTTTGGTAATTCCCCGGCGGACTTTTTATACCCCGTATCACCGATTTCTCTGGAAGTAACCTCTTCCGACGCTGCTTCGGGGAATTGATCATTTGAGAATGGAGCTTCACCCATGATAGTTGAAGTCCGTATTGCTAGATCGTCTTCAAAGCTGAATAAATAATCCCCATTAGAATAAGGCACTGTGCGATACAATTGGTGTTCAAACAAAAGCGAATTGAGTATAGAACTTAGAGCCATCTTTCACAATCTTCACACATTACAGCTCTTCAACTTGACGGAACTGTTAGCTCTGTTCGAGAGTAACTGAGCATCTACATTATCAGTGAACAAGTCCAAATCATCTGACTGCTTTAGACAAAAATGGAGGACGACAGCGAGTGGGCCAGTGAGCCGATTGCCATCATCGGTATGAGCTGCAAGTTCTCTGGTGGTGCCAATGACCCAGACAAGCTCTGGGATCTGCTGGTTTCAGGAAAGACTGGCTGGAGTGAGATACCAGAGGACCGTTTCAATCTAAAAGGAATCTATCACCCTAACAATGAGAGGGTTAGCACGGCAAGTCAACCTAGGATATACCAACAGCAAGTCCGAGTGCTAACAACAGAACAGACACACGTCAAGGGGGCCCACTTCCTTGACGGTGATATAGGATGTTTCGATGCTGCATTCTTCAACTACTCCGGGGAGACAGCACAGGCGCTCGATCCACAGTTCCGGATGCAACTCGAGTCGACATTCGAGGCCTTAGAAAATGGTGAGTATATACTACTTACCCTGCTACAATTCTTTCGGGCCCTCCTCTCTAACTTGAGTTCGATCAAGCCGGCCTTACACTGCAGCAAGTGGCTGGATCACAGACGTCCGTTTTTGCTGGCGTCTTCACGCACGAATACAACGAGGGTCTGGCGCGAGACGAAGACAAGCCACCGCGATTCATGCCAATAAGCACGTGGAAACCGATGGCGGCAAACCGCATCTCGCACGTTTTCGATTTCCGCGGTGCCAGCATGACGCTCGAGACTGGCTGCTCGACCACGCTAGTGGCGCTGCACCAAGCCGTACAAAGCCTGCGTTGCCGTGAGGCCGACATGTCCGTGGTGACTGGCGTCAACTTGATGGTAGGCCCAGAACCGTTTAAGACCATCGGCTCACTTGGCATGCTATCGCCGGACGGCAGGTCATACGCGTTCGACAGTCGCGCCAACGGCTACGGCCGTGGCGAGGGCGTCGCCACAGTTGTGATCAAACGGTTGTCGGACGCTCTGGCCGCCAACGACCCCATCCGCGCTGTCATTCGTGAGACGGCGCTTAACCAGGACGGAAAAACAGAGACCATCACGACACCATCTGGCCCCGCCCAGGAAGCGCTTATACGCGAGTGCTACCGGCGCGCCGGCCTTGATCCGTGCGGCACACAGTACTTTGAGGCGCACGGCACTGGAACACAGGCTGGCGATCCTATCGAGGCACGGGTCATGGCCAACGTGTTTAGCGGCGTCGACGACAACGGTGATGGAGGCCGTGATGAGGCGCACTACCTGCGCATCGGCTCGGTTAAGACCAACGTGGGCCACACCGAGGCTGCTTCGGGTTTGGCCGCCATAGTCAAGGGAGTTTTGTGCCTAGAAAAGGGCCTGATCCCCGCCAGTGTTAACTATGAGACGCCCAATCCGAAGGTCAAGCTGGACGAGTGGCGCCTCAAGCTGGTAACAGCACTAGAGCCGTGGCCCGAGAGCCTCGTCGACGGACCGAACCGCCTGTCAGTCAACAACTTTGGCTACGGCGGCACCAACGCCCATGTCATCATGGAGAGCGCCGAACCGTGGACTTCAACGCCCACTGTGTCTTTCCCGCTCAACAATGGCACCAGTAATGGAAATGGCACTAGCAACGGCCATTCGAACGGTAATGGCCATAAAAACGGAAACAGCAGCACTAACAAAACGGCTGATACCAAAGTGTTGATTCTCAGCGCTCGCGACGAGCGCGGCTGTCAGCGTATGGTGGGGGACATGAAGAGTTATCTAGAAAAGTACAAGTCACTCAATTTTGAGGCTGCAAATGCGCTGCTGCGCGATCTCAGCTACACATTGACAGAGCGCCGCACGCGCTTTCCGTGGGTGGCAGCACACCAGGTGCATCTGGAAGCAGGCGCAGACCAGCCCCTCGACGCCGTCATCGAGGCGTTTGACTCGCCACGGTTTAAACCCAGCCGGGTTCCCACTACCCAACCGCGAATCGGCATGGTCTTCACAGGCCAGGGTGCGCAGTGGAACGCCATGGGCCGTGAGCTGCTAGCAGAATATCCGGTATTCCGGCAGTCTATCGACGAGGCTGATACGCACCTACGCGATATCGGCGCCACCTGGTCGCTGTTGGAGGAGCTACAACGCGACCCCAAGACCACGAGGGTGCACTCGACATCGATCAGCATCCCTGTGTGCGTGGGAGTGCAAATCGCGCTAGTGCGCCTGCTAAAATCATGGGGCATCACGCCGGCGGCTGTAACCAGTCACTCGTCGGGCGAGATCGCGGCGGCCTACGCAGTCGGCGCGCTGGCCTTCCGCCAGGCCATGGCAACAGCCTACTACCGTGCCGTGCTAGCGGCAGACGAGTCACTGCGGGTGCCCGGAGCACCTAAGGGTGGCATGGCGGCCGTGGGTCTTGGTGCGGAGGAGGCGCAGGAGTACCTTGACAGAGTGGCCGACGTAGGTAAAGTCGTGATCGCTTGTGTTAACAGCCCGGAGAGCGTCACCGTCTCGGGAGATGCCGATGCCGTTATAGCCGTCGAGGCAATGTGCAAGGAGGATGGCGTGTTTGCGCGCAAACTCAAGATCGAGCAGGCATACCACTCGCACCACATGGACCCGCTGGCAGACGCCTACCGCGAGCTCCTGCGGAAAGAGATGGCGGGGACAGTCACAAAAGAGTTGAACGGGGAAGGAGAGGAGCTCAATGTAATCTTTTCATCAGCTGTCACAGGCGGTCGGATTACCGATGCCAAGGAGATCGCCGATCCTGACCACTGGGTGGGTAGTCTAGTGCAGCCGGTGCAGTTCGTGGATGCCTTCACGGAGATGGTGCTTGGCGAGACAGATGATGCCAGCGGTCGCAGCATCGACGTGGTGCTCGAGGTTGGCCCCCACACGGCACTGGGAGGACCTATCCGCGAGATCATGTCGCTCGTCGAGTTCGATGGCATCGAGCTGTCCTACTGGGGATGTCTAGTGCGCAACGAGCATGCTGGCAACACTATGCGCGCTGCAGCTATCAATCTGCTACGCGAGGGTGTGCCGCTCGTTGTGAGTGAGATCAACTTCCCGAAATCATTATCCGAGCACTCGTATATTTACGACGATGACCTGCCCCGCGTGCTGACTGACCTGCCTACCTACCCCTGGAACCATTCGATGCGGCACTGGCAGGAGGCACGCGTCAACCGCGCCATCCGTGAACGCAGCCAGCCGCCGCACGATCTACTGGGAATGCCGGTTGCCGGGAACGACCCGGCCACAGCCGTCTGGCGTCGCACGGTGCGCGTCTCCGAGGTGCCCTGGGTCCGCGATCATATGGTGCAGGGCAGCATAGTGTACCCGGGCTCCGGCTATGTGTGCCTGGCCATCGAGGCCGCTAACCAGCTGGCCAAGGGAGAAGACGATCAGAAGAAGATCTCGGGCTTCCGCCTGCGCGACGTCGACTTTATGGCGGCCATTATGATCCCCGATAGCAGTGATGGGGTCGAGATCCGAACCACACTTCGCCCCGTTCCTGAGCGGGAACTGGGTCTGCGCGGCTGGCGGAGATTCGAGGTTTCGACGGTCACTCCCGAGAACAGGTGGACGCTACACGCCCAGGGTTTGGTTAAAGCCGACGTGGAGGAGGAATGGGATGAAGAGAAAGTCCCAGCGCAGACGAAGCCGGAGAACGACCAGACCGGCCTACGTCCTCTGTCGGCTTACACGCGCCACAAGGACCCGCGCGACATGTTTGCCAACCTACGGGCCCTCGGCGTGTATCACGGCCCACTATTCCAGAACACGACTAAGATCGTACAGGATGGCCGGGAGCCGCGGTCAGTATCCGACATTACGATCCGGTACGAGTCGGCAGCCGACACAGACCCGGTGGCCGCCGCGCAGAACAGTGTACTGCACCCTATCACGCTAGATGCCGTGGTTGTGTCGTTCTTCTCGGCATTGCCTGGCGTTGGCGCCGTGGTGGAGGATCCCAAGCTACCGCGGTCGATCGACGCGATGTGGGTCTCGAGCGACATCAGCCGCGAAATCGGCCACACTTTGCGCTGTGACACGTCGCTTTCGCACGACGACCCCCAGAGCGGCAGGGCTAATGTCACCGTTGTCGATAGCCAGACCGGGGCGATTGTTCTCGAGATCCAGGGCCTTGCTAGCGTTTTCCTGGGGCGCGGCAGCGGCGCCACAGCGCGCCAGGACGCGGCTAACAAGGGGGGTGAAGAGGTTTGCAGCAAGGTCGAGTGGGGACCCGACTTGTCACTACAGCAGCCGCTAGCACTGGCACATGTCAAGAAGGAGCTGGAGCCGACTGTTGGAATTCCCGAGGCCATCATCACGGATCTTTCCCGTGCGGTGTTCTACTTCGCTCAGGAGGTGCTCAAATCGCTCACCTCCGAGGACGTGGACCGGCTGAAAGATGAGCAGCTGCACCTCGTCAAATACCATACCTGGCTCACGCAACTAGTCGCCCAGGGCGAGAACCTGAAATGGGCGCTAGACGGCCCGGAAGAGCGCCAAAAGAACCTAACTGCCGTGGCCTCGCAGAGCGTCGACGGTGAGCTAATCTGCCGTCTTGGCCCCCTCATCGGCTCCATCCTTCTCGGCGAGAGCAACCCGTTAGTGGCTATGGTTGAGAATGGGCTGCTGCACAAGTACTATGCCCACTCTGTGCGTTTAGCGCCGTCGCTTACACAGTTGTCAACGCTGGTGCGTAAAGTGGCCCACAAGAATCCGGCTGCGCGCGTTCTGCAAGTCGGTGCCGGCACTGGTGGTGCTGCCACTCGACGTATCCTTGAGGCGCTCGGCACGCCCAAAGTTTCTCTGGTGGCCAGCTGGCACATCACTGAGCCCTCGGCAGACGTCTTGGAAGATGCCCAGGCGGATCTAGTCGATTGGGCCGATCTGCTTGAATTCAGCCAGCTCGACATTGACAGCGACCCGTCTAAGCAGAAATTTGCACCCGAGAGCTACGATATCGTCGTTTTCTACCAGTCTCTGCGCACGGCCAAGGATGTACCTGCCACCTTGGCCCATGTGCGCAGCCTTCTGAAGCCCGCCGGCACGCTACTGCTAGCAGAGACGACTCAGAATGAGGACCAGGCTGACATCTCGTTTATCTTTGGATTACTACCTACCGAAACATCGTCCCTTTTGACGTCTTCTTGGGACAGCCTGCTTCGCGAAGCCGGTTTCAGCGGTGCTGACCTTACTATCGGCGACGCCACAACCACCGTCTTGTCCACCCTGCCACTCGCTGAGCACCAGAAGCCAGATCTAAGCCGTGCCAGCAACCCCGGCGGCTTTGCTGTGGTGACTAGTAACAAGACACCTTCGCCGGCTAGTCTGGTTGATCTCCTCTCCCAGCGTATCCAAGATTTGACCAAAACTACCGTGGAACATCTCGTGCTAGAAGAGAGCAGCCTCGACGCGTACGGAGCCAAAGTCTGCATTTTTGTCAGCGAAATCGACGAGCCAATAATACTAACCGATCTTGACGCCGAACGTATTGAGGGCCTTCGCGCCATGATCACGCAGTGTGGGGGCTTGCTCTGGATTACGACCGGCGGTGCCGTCGACAGCGAGCAGCCCGAGCATGCGCTTGCCCAGGGATTCCTGCGCGTCCTCCGAAACGAATATGTCGGTCGGCGCTACCTCTACCTGGACCTGGACCCGTGCGTCAAGCAAACCACTGAGGATACCGTCTCGACCATCGCGCAAGTTCTCCAACAGGGCTTCGGTCACGTCGATGACGTCCTGGCGACCGAGATCGGCCCCGCGGAGTTCGAGTATGCGGAGCGCAACGGCGTACTGCTAGTCCCGCGCATCTACAAGGACGAGGAGCACAACGATATAGTCACTGGTCCGCTCACAGCAACCTGGGGTGATCTCGATGCCGCAGCCAGCATCCCCCTGGAACCCCTATTCCAAAAGAACCGACCACTACGGCTGGAGGTCGGTATCCCGGGGCACCTGGATACGTTGGCGTTTGTGGATGACGACGAGGATATCACAGATGAGAGTCTGGCACCTGAAAGCGTCGAGATCACGCCGCGGGCCTTTGGCCTCAGTTCGCGCGATATCATGGCGTCCTTAGGCCAGCTCAAAGACCGTGCCATGGGTCTTGAGTGCGCCGGCATTGTCTCCCGTCTTGGTACCGAAGCTCAGGCAAAGGGTGACTATAATGTTGGCGACCGTGTTATGGCCCTCCTATCTGGAGATGGCAGCGCTTGTCTCCGTAACAGTGTCACCGTCGCCTGGAACGGTAGCATCGTCAAAATACCCAACAACATCACTAGCTTTGAAGATGCCGCATCCCTTCCATTAGCTTTCACCATTGCATATGCCGGCCTCGTTGATGCTGCCCGTCTTGCACCCGGACAATCTATCCTCATTCACGCGGCAGCTGGAGCTATAGGACAGGCCGCCATTATGTTAGCAAAGCATCTTGGGGTGACAGAGATCTTCGTCACCGCTGGGTCTGCGGAGAAGCGCGACGTCATCAGTAGCAAGTACGGCATCCCCACTCAGCGTATTTTTAGCAGTCGTGATATCTCGTTTGGCCCCGCCGTCCTAGCCGCCACAGGCGGACGCGGTGTCGATGTCGTGCTTAACTCGCTGCCCGGCCCGCTTCTACAGGCCAGCCTCGACGCCCTTGCACCTCTCGGCCACTTGGTTGAGGTCGGCAAGCGCGATATCGAAGCCAACGGCCTGCTTGCGCTGGCATCTTTCTCTCGCGGCATTTCGATGACGGCGCTAGACATTCCAATGCTGGTACAACGCCGTGGTGCCGATGTCCACCGTGTTCTCGGTGAGGTCGCCAAACTCATCGAGCAGCAGGTCTTGAGACCGGTCCAGCCCGTCACAGTCCACCCCATACAAAACGTCCAGGCCGCCTTCAAGCTTATACAGACCGGCTCCCACACCGGTAAGGTTGTTCTCTCGGCTGGGCCCGATGAACAAGCTCCAGTGGTCCCACGACTAAATCACGTCGCCGCCGCCTCCCGAGTCCGACTCCGGTCTGATGCCTCGTACATCATCGTCGGTGGTGTCGGCGGTATCGGCCGCTCCGTCGCACACTGGCTGGTTGCCCATGGCGCTAAGAATTTGATTCTGCTATCGCGTAGCGCCGGCCAGATCGATTTGCCAGAAAACCAAAACACCGACGGCGCCCTGTTTGTGCGCGAGCTACGCGACTCTGCTGGCTGCCGCGTTAAACCTATCAGCTGTGACATCTCGCTGGCTAGCGAGCTAGCGAAAGCTCTACGCGCCTGTGCCGACGACGGATTCCCGCCTGTACGCGGCATCATTCAGGGTGCCATGCTTCTGCGCGACGCTATCTTCGAGCAGATGACGCTAGACGACTGGCATAGCGGCCTACGGCCCAAGGTCGCCGGTACCTGGAACTTACATACCGAGTTCGCGACACCCGGCTCGCTGGACTTCTTCGTCATGCTGTCGTCCGTCTCGGGCATTCTAGGCATTGCCTCACAGACCAACTACGCGGCTGGCGGTTCCTACGAGGATGCCATGGCGTACTGGCGCCAGTCGAAGGGACTTCCGGGCGTCTCTATCGACCTAGGTCCTATTTCCGACGTTGGCTACGTCGCCGAGACCGCCAAGGTGGCCGAGCGCCTACGCAGGTCTGGTGACTACGTCATGCTAGACGAGGCCACTGTTCTGCGCGCCCTCGGCGCCGCTGTGGCCCGTCCGCTCGGCGGCCGCCGCCAGATTATTATCGGCCTCAACACAGCGCCGGGACAGCAGTGGGATGCTCATGGCGGCTCACCGCTCGGACGAGATGCTCGCTACGTCCACCTGAAGCGCCAATCCAAGGTGTCGCGTGCGGCACTGGCAGCTGAAGATTCCGGTGCTGGTGTTTCGCTCTCTACGCAGCTGGCTGAGGTTGGCTCGCGTGAGGACGCTGCCCGTCTCATTAGCACTGCCATCGCCGCTAAGTTGGCTGACATTTTCATGATCGACGTTGCTGAGATTGATATTAGCAAGACGCCAGCCAGCTACGGTGTTGACTCACTTATCGCTGTCGAGCTGCGCAACATGCTGGTGCTGCTGGCCGCTGCCGATGTCTCCATCTTCAATATCCTACAGAGCGCTTCCCTCGCTGCTCTTGCTGCTGATGTGGCAGCAAAGAGCCGCCACGTCGAAGCCGCTGCTTAGGCTTGGTCGTTTGCTTCATTGTATTTTGTTTCAACTTAGGAGTATAAAGGTTACGGCGTCGGGTTTTGAATCATCAAAGGTTATACTTAGAATAGTCCATTTCACAAATCAAGCCTTTTTCCGTCTTTTTTTGCCGTGCACCTATAAAACTGACGAGGCATCTAAAGAATTATATCTGAGAAGACTACTGAAAAGTCATCACAAGACCGCTTATGCAGCCAATTATTCATGCCATAATAGATAGAATCATAGATACTGATGTGAAGAGTCGGGTTATAGAACTGACGAACACCAACGTCTAGCTTGAGGGAAAAATCTCTCCGGAACGAGGGCGGATGGATGATTATAACAAAGTATTCTGATATGTCAAGAGAGTCATCAAATGGTTCAGACTAGAGATGGAGAGAGGTAGATCCGGGGGCGATAGAATGAGATGTGGTAAGTTCAGGCTTTGAAGCAACACGTATATTGGTTTACTCGAAAGACATGCGTCGGCACCCCTTCGCCTTGGCCATTTGTCGAGCAAAGTAAACCAGGATGTTCCAGCAAACGACGGTCTCCTTGGCATCGAAATGAAAGGGAGTCTTTGAAACCCGGGCCCCGAAACACCATTCCTTAGTGTAGTCTGCCTTGAGTGGCAATGTTCCCCACTGCTGTCAGCATATGGCCCCGCTACCCATGGGATGCCATAGACCCAAGCTATAACTGGCTTCCCGTGGTTCAATCTGTCGCGACGAACGTCCCCTTTTTGGGGAAAATCGGCTCTCCAAACGGCAGCCCGGAGCTTGGTAGGGAATAACTTGGTAACTAGATAGACCCATTCATCTAACAATTCGACGAAGAAACGGGGTGCATCAGGCATATTGCCAGTTTAGGAGACCTTCGACCAGATCGGGAACTTTTGGAGTGCCTCGCCGTCGATTTCGTAGGCGTCAAGCTGTGGCATAGGGACACGGGTATTCGGCAGGACACGCGGGACAGCGGCTCTGTCGACCAAGGTCATGCGAGCGAGATAGGAGAAGCCGACAAATGTACCACAATGTCGAAGATCAAAGACATTCCCAGGTTCCATATGAGCGGAAGAGAGGTCAGGTGGAGACTCTGCGAGGATGGCAGAGTACTTGACGGAATGGTTAACAGCGAGGGTAACCGCAGAGTTGCGGATGTAGTGAAGGCTAGTTGGGACTTTAGCAGACTTCGCAAAGCCAAACTTGTTATTGCGGTTAAGAAAGAAGTCGATGATGATCTGACGGGTATTAGGGCAATCCTGCGGAGAGATTGATTGTCCCGAAATTCTTAAGGGATGTATGTGCATCCTTGCCTTTCGACTGAGGAGCCATGCTAAGTTTAGGGTATGCCGACTTGATAAATCATTGCGTAGTGAGTGTAAGGAAGGCGAAATGATGAGTGATAATGAGGTATGGCCGGCTGTATCACAATGTCAGCGAGAACAAACCAAGATTGGCAGTCACAGAAAGCAAGCGTACAAGAGCAACCTCACTGTCTAGGGGCTCTTCGAAAGCCGAAGCAGACCTCTTGAAGGGGAGGGGAAAGCTTGATTGAGATCTAGGTAGAGGGGGAGCGTACGATACTTAACCATTGCGAGCCAAAAATGATAATAATCAGTTCGCAGTAAAAGTCTAAATTTGGCAGTCAACATCGCCCACGATAAAGCCGCCGGGCTTATAATAGATATGCAGCAAGATCGGGACAATCATGCGCTAAACCTAGTTTGACATATGGCACTAGTCCTAATTAGATCTATGAAAACGCCTATACGGAATCACCACGATTATCTCCCACAACACCACGCACAACCGTGGTCTTTTCGCTGTCCCCCTGGATTACACCATATCGGATATGGATTATATGTAATGCCACGGAATTATGTCACTTGAGCCAAAAGAGCGGTGTGGAACTCTTAGATAGATCCAACCACAATTATTACTACATAGGGTTATAGTCACCACAAAGTTGACATTTAGTAATTCTCTAGGGTTCCTTAGAAAAACTAAGATCTATATTCTGGTTCGGGTCCGCTAAATTAACGTCGATTGATTTTATTCCGTCACTATTACAGCTATTTTTCTTAGAGATCTATAAGAGAAACGTGGAAAGATGAAACTTCAATGTCCCGCAGTATTATATAAAGTGCTTAAACTGCGCTAAGAAGAGAATCAAAGGCAAATTTCTGGGATTTATCTTGACACATTCTCTGGGAATCAAGATATCATGTAAAATGTCCCATATTTATCAAAATGAGCAAGACCATGATTCGGAGGGTCTGCCTCTATCTGTTAGACGGTACGGCTATGAAGACAAAGATCAATTTGCTCAAATACTTACCCTCGAACGTGAACGTCTGCTTGATTCAATGCGCTATTCTCGTGAAATTTCCGACATCGATACTGGATCTGGCAGGAGCGAACAAGAGCCAACTACTGAGATCACAGAATACATCATCTTCTCCATTGATCCCACTACCTTCAACCAGGATTTCCTCAGCTCGGATACTATCCTAATTCCTTCACTCCGAACATTTTTCAACCCGAGTACCAAAACACTCACTGTCAAGATGGTTCCTCGCTAGCATACCCAAATTGCCTTCGCGGTGCACAGAGCCATCGATAAGGCCCTGGCACGAATGGGACTTGACGAAGCCATACACGACTACCAAGGAGTCGATATCGATGTAAATGGCCTCCAAAAACAGGCAGATATGGGCTGGGGGCCAAGGCGACCTCCTCGCGGCTGTCCAAAGCGGCCCTCGGTTGTGTTGGAAGTTGCGGCATCCGAAACGCGAAAGAAACTTCGACGAGATGTTGACCTTTGGCTTGACCCAGGAGGGAATGCAAATGTGGTGATTGCAATCAAACTCAGTCGCCAGCGAGCAATGATCGCTATTGACTTATGGATATGGGATACCGTTAACGGCAAATCTATCAATTCCCAACACATTGAGGTGTCTGAAAACGAAAATGACGAAGTAAAACTTTCTGGAGGTCCCCTCGTCATCCCTTTTCGTCTCCTCTTCCTACGAGATCCCCAAACACCACGAGAAACCGACGTGATCATTGACAATGAATGGCTACAGAAGATTGCCGTGTGGGGGTGGGACATGCAATTTTCGAACAGCCGTTGAAGAGTTGGTGGTGTGGCCTGGTCTCTACGTTCTTATCTTGAGTTCTTGTCTTACGTTCTAATTCTATATAGTAATTATTTTAAAGAGATTCGGGTAATTTCATCAGAATTATCAATTTCTTGTGATTACTGTCTCAGTGAGTGGTTCACGGATCAGGTTTCTTTCCCCTTTCCACTTGTACTATTCTTGTGTTTTTTATGTTGTTATGGCTGTTTCTCAGTTGATTGGTTAGCACCTGAGAAGGCCATCATGCTGACGGTCAATGATCTCGTTTGTGGCTTCTTCACGGACACAAATACCCATAGAATCAAGTACACGTGCTTGGATCCAGGATCAAAACATAAAAGTCCCTCGCCATCAATCGGAATGGATTCTCTCTCTCTCAAGATCTGAGTACTGGTAACTAGTACTATTGAGAATCAGATAAGTCTGCGGCGCTAAACATGATCTGTGCCCCTCAGGGCACGCTATGCCGGAAGGGGCAGCGGAGGACCGCAGCCGGTCATGCGGTCGGCGCGCAGAATGGGGGACAAATGGGCGTGGCGCCGTGGCCGCGTGGTTACCGATGCCCCGCTTGCCGTCGTGTTACGGAGACTAACACCCAAAAGGTGCTAGTCTCGGGAGCACGATTCGAGTACTTTCCTGAATTGGAAGCCGCTGCTTTCTCCCCATCCATAACATAGCTTGAACAGCCATCAGAAGTTATCGCCCTCAGGCCTCAATCCTCTGTTCATCATTCTGTGTGAGCCACGTCTTTTTCGTCCTACAGTGCTCGCATTTGGACGGTCCACCAGTCTCAAGTCTCAACAGCATGTCTTCGCGACGGGAGCTCAACAGCAGCGATGAATCAGGTTAATCTGGAGCCTCGTCCATATCACGAGACGCTAGAATTGCTCGGCTCTACCTAGAGGCCACAGAGCTCGGACTTATGCCGCAATCAGAGATTCTCAAACGAGCGCTCAGTGTAGAATCCGTCATTTCGACAACCTCTTCCTTCAGCCGTCGGTCTCAAAGCGCGCGTTTTCGTTCCGAACTGCAAAAAATCAATCAAATCGGGAGTGGCCTACAAGGAGCCATTTTTGAAGTTGTTGGACAGGCGCTCGTTCTCAAGAAAGAATATCCAGGCAATGAAACACAATCCTCAAATCTCCGGCACGAGTTTTTAGTCCACCGCGCTGTCTCGGCTGCATTTGATCAATACAAGCATGCGACACACAGCCTGGTCCACGTCCCCAAACCTCACGAGTTCATCTCCAGAACAGAAAATCACACATTCTGGGATGAAGTCCTTCCGAAAATGCCCCCGGCCTACCGCACACGCGGGGACGTCGTCAAAATGGACCGGATTCTTCCATTGCCGAAGGTTGTACGAAAAGCCCTTATTACTCATATCTATAGTCGCGATCGAAATCCTGACACCGCTGATATTGAGACCCTTCTCAACGAGCCGGAAAACAAGCACTGCCTCGCCCGGATCTATTTGGGCCAGATTATCGGTCCGATGAATCTTGACAACGCAGCCCCGCTTAGGAATTTCCCTCTCTACCTCGGGTTTATGGAGGAACTTGGCGTCAATGCCGTCGCGCTTGCGAATGAAATGGGAAAGGCATATGCAATCTTACACTGGGGTGCCGGCATAAACGGTGATGATGTAGAATTCGTGCTTGGGACATCGGCCATAGACGCGCCGACGGCTCTTGTTGAGCCGCCGGACTTGCAGCGCCGCGCCGTTGGCCTCTATCTCTTGGATTTTGGGCAATGCGAGGTGCTCGACTTGGCCCAGGATTGTGATGTCGTTTACCAGGCCTTTAAAGGGGCTATGGTAACGGGTGATAACCAGCGGTTCATCCCGCTTTACTCAAATTGTTCGCGGCCTTCAAGAATGGATACATTGATGCAGGTAATGTCGTTCTATGGCAAAAGCAGCTCAACGACAAGTTCTGCATGGTAGACTTCATGCAGGAGTACGAGGAGTATGCGGAGGACTTTTTGTATTAGTCTAACAACCACAATATCGCTCCTGCTGGCCTCCTGGTTGGTGGCCGCTCGCACATGTATTATACTATTGCAGCTGTTAGGAAACCCACATCAGAAAAATGGCTAATTCGCTGACCTCGAACTCAAATCTGTCCTGATATTGATTACAAGCAGCTCTTCTACAACCGACTGAAGAATAAGCGTTTATGCAACAGCAGTGCCGACCTGACATTCCAACTTTGGTGATGATAACATCTGCCAGGTCCTCATATGGTTGTTTATATAGGCTTCAGCAACCGTCAACATCGCAACAGACAAGGGCGTGCGCCTATCAAAGCTCCAAGTTGCACTGCATAGCATATCCTCGTCAAGGACTCAAGGTAAATACGATGGAACGGTCAAACAACTTGTGTGGATAAGTCAAAATCGTTTGCCATGTAGCCAAACTTCCCTTATAGGGAACTTATAGCTAGACCCTTCAAGGACAGCGGGCACGTGGTCCGGCGGTTAAGTCTCTCCACTCTTCTCATATTCTTACCACCTATTCTTATCCTCCTGCCGTTAGACCAACCCGCTGTCCTTCCGTATCGCCCAAAGAGGAAATCGGAGTGCCGCTTGATCTCCGGTCGATCCAGGGCGATGACTTTTTTTTCTTTTTTGCCGACCTATTATCACATATGCCTTCTATTTTATTATTCTATTTCTATCTTATGTCTTAGGTACTTTCCTATTCTTCCCTGAATCCAATTCTTTGTTGTCTTGGCATGGACTCGTGCTATCATACGGCTACCATGTTAGTCGTCTGTTGTTAGGTTCGCCTGACTTTCCTAAAATGGTCCTTAGTTAAGGCTATACCTTCCACTATCATCTATGTTCCCATCCTCCTGTTTCGAATAATTGGAATGATATCTTTTTTATAACGTGAATTCTGAATAACACCAAGAGAATGAGGGTATTGCTAACCTAGTATTCGTGAACAGGTACTGTCCGCTATGGATTCCATTGAAATCACGGTTACAACGTAGATTCACCACTGCGTAGTGCGTAACCCTACGTATCATTCTTCTTCACAGCTGCGACTGCGACTTGCGAGCTGGAACATGGAACCACGACTCGGCAAAGCCCACATGGCGAGGCCAACGAGCTGTGACCTTTTGAATTTCGACTGACATGACCCGAGGGTATTCGAGTTTATCGTTGACCATCTCTGTCTCTCTGGCAACGGACTCCCGATTGAACTGCTCACCGGAATCGACCACTGTGCGATCAATCAGTCCCTGGTATGATAGTATGATAACTAGTGTTCACAAAAGCTTACCCATATGAGCGAGAGTCAAGAATTGCTGGTCAGTCGTGAGCTTGAACCTTGAATTTTTGGCAAACGGCTTCGTCAGTTGCGCAGCAGTGGCCAACGCACGAATGAATTTGGCTAGGTGACCATCGTCTGCGTAGTCACGGGCACGTACGAAGACGTCTTCCCAGCCAGAGGGCCGGACGGGCTTATACCTGACCATCTCCTCCGGGATAGGGCGAGGCGCGCCACACTGGCAGTACAGCATTAAGTCTGAACGGCCCTTCCATTCCAACAAGCGGCACTTGGCGGAGAGTGGAATCCACGGAACACTGTTCAACACGGGCCAGAAGGATCCTGCAGTAATGGAGTGCATAAGGAAGAAATCGAATCGAATCTGTTTATCGGGCCTCTGGGCTAGTGTCGTCCAATATACTTCCATGGCGGTTAACTGATGTGCACCTCTTCACAGGTTAGATGTGGAGGCTTACTAGCGGCGTTGAGACACTCGGCGGTCTTCTCCTCAAGCTCATGTGGCTTTGCTTTCCAAGAAGCTATTGCGTGCAAGAACTCTGTTCTGGCATTTTCTAATAGCCCGTCTCTGATCTGGAAGGTCCCATGCTCATAGTCCATTGCCTTTCGTAGCTTGTCGTTATTATAGATCTCTTCTTGGATTTCGACTAATCCTTTGGACTCGGATACTATGTGGGAATTCTGCTCAACGAGCTTCAGAATCTCCCCAAATGACGATTCATGAACGGCAGTCATAGCGAGGGCCTCGGCTGCCAACACAGGCTGGTCGAACTCGATGGCATACCCTAGATGGATAGGACAGTGTAGGAACCCTTCTCACTCCCGTCTGTTAGTGGTGAGATGACCTTAGGTTTCCCAGAATCGGAGTCTTACCGCTGAAGAACCGGTACAACATATCCTCAGCCCTGTCGTCTCCTTTGAATAGAAATTCAGTGACGGTATCAGCCACGCCGTTGGCAGAGATCTCTTTCTGAAAGAAGGCAAAGTACTCATCATAGTACTTTCCCCTCCCAAGGCATAGCTTGAATTTGGCCGGATCGGCGAAATCCGAAACTCGGCGCGCATCGGGCTCTCGAGTTGGCTTTTGCGAGTCTGTGGCCAGATTGTAGGCATTGGCAAGCTGGGTTGTAGTCGCCCCGAGAGCATACAGTGCTAGAATGTGGTGTGCGATATGGTCTAAGGACATTTGTTAACGCATGCTTACCCAGCTAGGTGAGGGCATGCTTACTATGAAGCCCAAGGTTGTGGATGTATATATGATAATTATCATGATTCTGTTGCAGAAGTTGCGATACTTTTGCGGTCGTCTCAGTCGGCAGTGGATGCGTTTGGTATATCCCCGTGGATGGAAGACTCTCGGGTTTGATTTGGATACGCTTGGGAGTCGCCATGATGAATTGCACGTTATAGATATGGTGTAGTACAGTAGTGCTGTCAAGGCTGACTTTGACAAGTCAAATGACCCAATCCTGCCTTTGGAATGTCCATCGTTTTGACTTGAAAAGCATCTGCAGGCACATGCTCATTCATTGTAGGGCTTCAATGGCCCCCGCTTTCTGTGCCGAGCTGCCGGCACTTTCGCTTTCCGTTCCCCGCATCTCAAGCTGGGGTGTCCCGAGCCAACCAGAGAGTGCACCCTGAAAGAAACTGGATACGCTGCACTAGGGACGGCAGTTTACCGTACTAGACCCCTGTAAAAGTGAGTCGTTCATCCTTCCCCCTGTTATTTTCTTTTTTTGCGGCTCGAGTCGGAGATCGCTCGAGAAAGCACATCAACAGACGGGCTTCCAGAGAACTGGTAAGCCTCCCGCCAACTGGCAAGGCTATAGGTATCCCTACGAATTGCCCCAATGACCCCACTGCCACACGTGCCACGTCTGATCTGGTGTTTGCCTTGCCCCACGCAATATCCGTTGTGAATTTTACTATAGGTCTGTTCAACGACGCAGCGATGTCAAACTAGGAGTGTAGGTTTTGGGTATGGGTGGAATGTCGATGAAGTGACATGATCGTGGACGATACGAAAAATGGTTCTACTTAGGTAGTGACAAGCCTGGAAATCAAGATATGCAGTTATTAAAGCGGAATTCAGTGGTCTAAAGCCAATACACTGTAGTAGCAAATGAAATAAATTCACGAGGGCCACGCTACACCGCTGGCTTGCGATACGCTCCTCCCATGGGACTTCGACTGGTATCACCGACGCTTCAAGCACGAGGACGCCACACTCACCTGCTCCTGCGGGCGCAATAAGAGCCCTGAGCACATTGCCCTGTGCTGAGTGTGGCTTTCTCATGCTTGAAGCGTCGGTGATACCAGTCGAAGTCCCCATGGGAGGAGCGTATCGCAAGCCAGCGGTGTAGCGTGGCCCTCGTGAGGCTGAGCTCAGGCAGTGCCTTAACTTCGTAGCTGTCCGAGTCCGCCCAGAGACGGTACCAGGAGGACAGCCCTGTGGAGGCCTCGTCCCACCAGCTCTGCCGGGCCTGCCTGCAGAGTTGTCTAAACGTGGAGCGTATCCCACTGACTGTGGGTTGTGCCTCCGGGCCCTCAGTCGGAGCTTCGGAGCGCGCCCCTTCGTCCGCGAGGCGGTCGGCCTCCTCGTTGCCTACTATCCCCATGTGCCCAGGGGCCCATTTGGGGGTGACGTCGTGGGACTCCATGGCCTGGTGGCATCGCAGGAAGGCCCATTGGGACGAGTCTGAGGCATTGCCCCTAGTGCACCATATGACGGAGGTGCTGTCGATGCATAGCCAGATCTTCGCTGTTGGGCCGGATGGCGATGGCCTGCTCGAGTCCTTTCCACGCACCGATTGCCTCTGCGTCGAAGACATGCGATACCCCCGTGCCCCGACGCGATAAGGTGCCTGGCCTGGTATACAGCGAAGCCGTAACCTACCCTGCGCCCTCCCGCGTTTTGCTCAGAGCCGTCCGAGAAAACCGTCACCTGGTCATCAGGTAGGCCCCTCCACCATTGCATGAAGGCCGCCGCGGCGTCCTCCTTCGACAGGCCTCCTGTGGGGTCGTCCCTACACCCCGGGGTGTAGTGTGGTCGGGTCAGGACTGGTCTCGGGATTTGCGGGAGTAATGCTCCTAGAACCTGGACCTTGGTTCTGGCCCGGTGTGTCGTGCCCGCAGTTGTCCCCCGTGCTATTCTGGGGAGGGTGGTGCGTTTAGTCAGGGGGTGTCCTTCGTCGACGACCCTGAGCCGTAGGGCGAACCTCAGTTTGGCCTCCTCGAGCGCAGCGTGTGCCGACGGCAGACCCGCGTGCACACCTAGACGGAGGAAAGATCTCGAGTCGCCTCGTCGTGGATCAGCTCGCTTGTCGAGATCTTTCCGTCTAAGAAAGATGGACGCGGAACCGCACACCCCGGCGCGTCCGACCGCGGACAACGAAACGGCCGATTTCACTCGGCCACAGGATCCCCAGCCCCCAACTAAACTCCACGCCGCCAAAAAGAGGAGCATCTACGGCATCGTCCCTCCCCCCGTAAACAAAGGTCGCAGCGTGCATGAGACTACCGTGGCTGCAGAGATGCGCAGCTACGCGGATGAACTGGACAGGCAGGCAAGGAACAGGAGGGAAGTCTACGAAACCGTTGCTGCGAAGATGGACAACCTCTACACCTGCGACCCACTGGGCGTTAAATATAACAACAACAACAACAACAACACCAACTACGGAGTCAGGAGCCCGCGAGCTATATTCTTCATCAGCTGGCGCTGTTCTGGGTTCTTGAAATGTTCGACGAGGTTGTCCATCTTCGCAGCAACGGTTTCATAGACTTCCCTCCTGGTCCTGGCCTGCCTGTCCAGTTCATCCGTGTAGCTGCGCATCTCTGCAGCCACGGTAGTAGGTAGTGAAATACGTTACTACGGAGTTACAGTTTACACTGTGGGCTTAGTCATCTCCAAGCGAACCAATCAGTATGGAGGTGGAAGCGAGGGTTAACAAGCAGCTTCGATTCACGCGATATTTCAATCTGACCTGCGATACGAATCCTCAACATCTCGTTTAACGCACGCGACCATTCACTCTACCATTGTGGGCTCGACATGCAAGATCTGCGTCTCAACTCCAATACAATTGCGCATGCAGTTTCGGACAAGGCTCGAGAGTATCTTTCCTCGGAGGGCTCGATAGATTGGACGCGTCTCAACTCCATATCCACTGACAGTCCGAATTTAATGTGTAAGGTCTGCCTCTGATACAGTCTTATCTATCCAGTACCAAGTGCCTAAAGGTTCACGACCTACTCTCACAGCGCCAGGAGACCGAGCATATGTTTTTTATACCTGGCGATCCCCACCGCCCCCAGCTACTCATCAAGGATACCCTTACCAAGCAGCCTATTTCTACCAGCTTCACTACCACCGCGTCCATGGTCTCGTACTTCGCCCACGCCAGCCCACCATACAATGCACTTTGGACCATTCAACAACAGCACTACGGCCAGACCCCGGGCCCTTCTCGCGGCGGTGATGACAAGGCTGGCGTGGGAGAAGTACGAGACTATCGACGTGGTGGTGGTGAAGCTGGTGGAAAAGGGCTGCCTCGTAAGGATATCCTTGATAAGGAGCTGGAGGCCGTGGGAGTTGCAAGGCATGAAAAACATGTGCTGAGTCTCCTGGCGCTGTGAGAGCAGGTCGTGGACCTTTAGGCACTTGGAGATGGATGGATACTAGTACCTAGCTCAGTTCCATGTGATGAGTTATTGGGGTAATTTGTGGGGATACTTAGATAGTCTGGCCCCAAATTTAGCAGCAGACGAGTTCCGGGGCCTCCCTCATAATGACGGACATTCGGACGCTGATTAATATCGGCCTTCAGGCTGCCGCTCTTACGTCAAACATGTTCAAACACGTTAGAAAGTGAAGCCGATGTGACGGATCTCAACCACCTCATGGTCCCATGGGAAAGCTTTTTCTGGCGCTTCTGCACTTACTAGTCCGGGTCTCGACTCAGCCGTTTGCCCGATGCTCCCCTCTTACGGGTAGAACAGCTCTTGCGGCATACATTAGGCGTACATTGGTACAATCAACGACAGTGCCTGCCTGATTCCCATCCCCGCCCTTCTTTGACCAATCTTCTTTAACCTTCTCCTCGCAGTTTGCCCTGAACACCATGAATAACATGCTTCAAATAGGGAAATCTCCGGTATCGCTCCATCTATGCTTATAATCTAGATGATTTGTCTAAGCTCGTACAGGTCTTTCATTTTGGCGGAAAATGTATCACCGTGACAAAAGATACGCTTTTGAATGAGCATCATCCGACCGTATACCGCTTGGAACTCGAGGAGCCCCGTTTTGGACTCCCAGGGACAGTCATCGTCAAGCAACAGAAATACAAACAGGAAGCTGAGCGTTACTTTCGCGCAGAGATAACTGCCTACAAGAAGCTACAAAGTTTCAAGGGACCGTGATTCCGACTCTATTTGGTGAAGGCTCTTTCAATGGGCGCCCTGCCTTAATCCTTTCAGAGATCAAAGGGATTACTCTGCGTGATTTGGCAAATCTAGTCGAAACGAGCGTCGAAGAGAATACTTTGATGGCGATGATGGGAACGGCTCAGAAAAGCCCGGTTCCTTCTGTTCTATCCATGGGCCGAGGCACAACATGGAAGCTCACGCTCCGAGGGGGAAACAGTAGCCCATAATGGTTCTCAAGGATAAAAACACATTTACAGTCATTCTCGAAATCTGCTTCGCCGATAAACACTGAGTAACTCTTTCCAAGCTCCACTGCAAAGCCATTAGCGCAGATCAACCATTTTGAGCTGGCCGCACTTAATTGAGGGACACCGTGACATGTGCCGTGGTAGGGTGGAATGCTGTGGAAGCTAGAAGCGGGAACAAGTCCGCAGAAAAACCCACGAGGGGCCTGTGTACATCCCCTAGGTTGCCAGACATCGCTACCCGAAATTAAGGAATATCGTAGCTGATGATGGCGGGAAATTTACCAGTTGGCGGGACACTGACAACTGGTCAGAAGATCTTGTTGATTATATTTAGAAAACTAAATATCGAAGTTGATATATAAGCGGAAATGTTGCCGGACGACCCTGCAATCAAGGCTCGTGTACATCAGGATTCACCAATGCCTCTTGAACATGCGGAGGGAGCACGAATGTATTCCCCAGACCAGCCCAATGAAGCGCATCTAATCTCGCAAGCCCAAGTTTCACAAGTGGGAAGCTCTGACTTTGGCAGCGCAGAACGTGTAGCCATGAGTCCACCAAATGCTTTCCCCGAGCCGCATGTGCCGTATTTGGAGCCTGTACTAGCAGCAACATAAGATAGTTTGATATTGCAGCGAAGCCAATGCGGGACCCTGTGAGTATCAGCATACGATCGCAAGTAAGTCTTGAGGAAATTGCGGCACTTTTTACTTACATGAATACCAAAACCCCGTAAAATCACTAGACGTCAGTCGTCGCGTGAAGTTTACCAGTACCGAGGCGCATTTCTCCGCTGCTTGTAGAGTTGCCTCACCGGTACCGAACTCGTCGGAAATGGCGATCTCGGGCAATGATTCAATTTCCGGGAAATCCATAAAGTCTAGCATGGACTCATCTATGTTGAGTGGTGATGTGGCCGACATATCCTCCAAATCGAATATCAGTGGTGGTTCAGATGACCTTGCCATGGGTCTTAGCATCGCGCGGTAAACATAGACCACGAGCAAGAGGTAGGCGAAGTGTATTGATGTCGGATATGGAGCTAGCCCGTTGACTGATTTGCTCCAGTTGGGTAGCCGGAAGGTCCGTGGAAGAGAGGAATACCAGCCGTTCAACTTTTCCAATAGTTCTCGGCCAACCTCGGCGGAGGCGACAAAGTTTGCGTTGAGAAGCTGGGACGCTCGGAGCGTGCTAGTAATCAAAATTAGCAAAGATCCTCTCCTCCTGTGCAGGAAACGAAGAGAGATCAGTTGTGAGCTGGGAACTTACTAGAATGTATCATGGATCTCTTCGCCGATTCGTGTGAGATTGACCAGATACCGAAATGGAATCTCCGTATCACAGGAACTGGTTGAGAATCCCTGTCGCGGGCCTACTAGAAAGTCACCTTCGTCCAAGTCACTTACATCCCACTCGGCGGGGTGGATGTATGGTGGCCGACCCATCAATAAACTGCGCCATTTGTCTTCGGCATATACGGCCCACCACAACCGCCGCCGAAGACGTTTCTCCCATGCCGGAATTCCCCACATGCGGCATTCGATATGGAGGCCGAGGGAGCAGGCTAGCCCTACGATTTGCCCGACGAAGGACCACAAGAAGGGGGTATCGGAGGTCTTATGGCGGGCCTCCTCTCCCGGCTGTTGATGTATGTACAGCAATGCTGCCTGCAGCACGGCTAACCGTGGACTGTGAATTTCTTCGGTGATGAGTTCGTAGACCATTCGCCATAGTGTCTCGATGGGCGGCTCATGATAGGTACTTAGAACACACAAATAGTCATCATGGGCGACAAATGGGAATGCGGATGCATAGATAGCTGCTAGAAGATGCACGGGGACTTTTTCTAATACCGACAGCTCCGGTAGCTGGTATGAGGTGGCAGTCAAGCCTAGCTGGGAGCGGGAAATGACTGGCAGAGCAGGGAAGACATACTTGACGAACCTGATTTCTTCTTAGCATCATCATATCTGTACTTCAAATCAAGGGGAGAACCACTTACAGTGCCACTAATCTCCTTCCATATTCAGGAGGCACGAGATAGTTCAGCCGTTCCCGTGTCGCTTCCCCGACTCCAGCCCTAGTTTCATGCTTGATGCTGGCGGTGAGGTCCTCACTCGTGATCATGAAGTGTACTGGAATTCTTTGCGCCGTAGGGACCCCTCCAGCATTGCGAAAGTGTACTTTGTAAAAATATTTCATGCCGGAGTCATCAAAGCAGCAGTGTCGCAACAACCACGGGTCTGATTCAGCCGAGGCGCCAAAAAGCTGGGCATAACCGCTTTCCAGTTGATCAATGCTCTGCACAAACTGGGTAGGAGGCGGTCTCCCTGGTACTAAAATACCAGAGGATGGAGATAAACCGGTGTTGTTTGGATCAAGGCTAAGAGACGGGAATTGCGGTTCGATATTCTGCGAGACGCTCCTTGCCAGACTAGACTCGCGGGTAACTTGGGTGTCGCATAGTTGTGAGACAACTGCATGTGCATTTTCTCCAGCTCCCTGTGCAGCGAAGGACGAAAAGCTGCCCGAACTTCGCTGTCGTTTTGGTGGAGGTCTATCAAAGGTACAGTCAAACTTGGCCGATCGGCATCGTTGACAGGCACCTCCGCCGTCGGTCTGGCATCCCAGCTTGCGTGCACGGCATTGATCACACGGGCGCTGACGTTTTGACCGATATGGCCGAGAGGAGAGAGGAGAGGACATTATTGCTATGTCGCTTTGTCGGCGAACGCAAATAATGTGGGCTTAGGCGCATCTTATCCGATCATCCCAGTGGAGATATCATCGGCGAACGGAAGATGATTGACGGCCGAGATCAGAGGCCGAAAATCTCTCAAATTAGGTGAAACCCCAGTCACCAGTGTCTGCAATAGCCAATAGACTTATTGGGCTGCGTATGATTCTGGTATGAATAATTAATTGCCCGAGACTTGTCGGCCGATGCCCAGCTAAGGTGGATATTGCCGTCGCTCGCCGGCCACTGTACTAGCTGGGGTTGGATACGTATGATGTCATCCGCCGATCGGCGAACTGGCAAACCACGTGTAGTGTCAAGGCCACAGGGCATCGGCCAACGGCACCTATCTCCATCTCCATGTATCGATATGAGAAATTTCAACGTAGTTAATGAGTCAACAAATATAAGATCATTCGGACACAATGTCCTATTCAGGAAGGACCTCGGGACCTCGGCGGCGGGAGTGAATACCTAGAAGTATATATACTGTCAAACAAGCCCTATTTGTATGCTTCCACTTAATACTTCCATCCGATATCATTCACTTCCCTGCATCCGCGAACATGCCAGCCAGCCGAGAAATGAGCCGATATGATCATCTCAAGGCTGTCTTTGCCAGGCGCCTTGGCCAAGATCCCGAGATCAAGGATGATTCAAGGTCTGAAATTACATTGGTCCCAAAGTAAGACATTCCTAAGCATCTATAGTATCAAGGTACTGACTGGACATAGACAACCAAGCGTAGAAAGCCACAAGAGACCCAAGTCTCTTCCTAACTTCAATGGTAAGCATCCAAAGTAGGACTTTTGAAACAGAGATCCCAAAGCTAACAATCTGCAACGATAGCCGCCGATATGTGCTTCGGTTCTTGCTGCAGGAACAACTAGATGCATACCTAATATAACGTGACTGAAATCAACGACCATAATTTCGCGGGCTCGCAACAATCGGGACATCCTTATTAGTTGATGCACGCACCTTATAAAGTAATGGATGCCTCGAAATCCTGTCCACGAATCTCGAAGTTGGTCAACATCCGGCAACTCAAAGGGGTTAGAGTGGGCGAACTCCTTGAAGTATTCGAAGGGGATGGATAAAGAGAAACTCGTAAGGAGTCTGTTTAGCCTCTTATCAATGGCTGCAGAGCTAGTTACTTGGTGGTTAGGTTTATTGGTTCGAAGGGCTTCGGGAGGTTAACGACGTTTGATCAAGATCCTCAACGTCGTACACAATCAACAAAGTAATCAACAAGGTCTACAAGGCCCTCCATAGTTAACCGGTGATACCTGCAGGCCCCACACAAGCTACCCAACAGGCTAGAAAGCGGGGAACTCGGCCACGCGGGGAAATTTGCATAAAAATGAGATAGCTTCTTCACTCCTTACAGGGAGGGTGCATAATTATCTCTTTGTGATCAGCCAATGAAATTACTTCATTCTCATATAGGCGTTTGCTTCCACATTAGACGGCCGAGTTCCGAGCTAAACACATGAGGGGTCAGCCGAAGCCGCGGAGATTGACATAGGCAACAACAACAGTCAATACTGCCCGCCTTCCTAGAACTGCAAGATTCCATATCACCACGCATTTGGTAATATCCAATTCATTCCTTCATCTTACCACAATCTCGAGCTTCTCCAACCTAGCACAAGATGATCTTCGAACCGGCAGTGCGGACTCAGCTCCCCACAAAGGACCTATTGTCTTGGATCTTTGATGAGCCGGACTATGATCAAGACCAGCCAGTGAGTAATTCCACTGTCCCAACTACGTTTCTCCTAGCCGCTGAGTTAACGTTACTAGATTTATGTAGATGTGCACAACCCCTCGCGGTCAATCTCCTGCAATCAGGCGCGGAAGATAGTTCGTCAGCTCATTGCCGGCTTACGAGCATCTGGTTTGCAAAAAGGCGATTGCGTCCTTATTCATTCATTCAATGATGTATGATCTCCTGTGATGGGGTCCAATTAAGAATCATGGTATGCTAACTGATTTTAGATCAACTACAGCATGCTCGTGTTGGCCATCATCGGAGCCGGGGGAATCTTCACCGGATCCAATCCGTCGTATACTCCGCACGAGCTCGCGCACCACATCAAGGCCTCCGAAGCCAAGTTTCTTTTCTCGGAGCCTGAGATCGTAGATTCGCTCCTGCGTGCGGCGGGGGAGAGGGGCGTGTCTGAGAAGAATGTCTGGATTTTTGACAATCTAAACCAACCCATTCCAAAGGGAATGCGATCGTGGAAACAGCTTCTGACAGTTGGTGAGGAAGATTGGGTCCGATTCGACGATTTGAAGACAGCCTCAACAACTACTGCGGCAAGGCTGTTCAGCAGTGGCACCACTGGGTTGCCTAAGGCCGTGACAATTACGCACTACAATCTTGCTGCGCAGCATGAGCTTGTTATCGGAGTGAATCCGCGTCCTTTCCCAGTGAGTTTATCCCCGCTATCAGCGTGATTGAAGTTGCAGGAAACAGATGTGGAGAGTATCACTGACCCTTGTGCATCCTTGAATAGACCACGCGAGTCATTGCTGTGCCTCTTTTCCATGCATCTGCAGCTCCAGTGTCGCATATCTCAACACTGAAAGCAGGCCAGATGGCATACATGCTGCGTCGTTTCGACCTCCAGACGTACCTCGACACAGTTGATAAGTACAATGTCACTGATCTTGCGATGGTTCCACCTATTGTGATTGCGATTCTTATGTCTCCTCTTTCCCAAAAGAAACCTTACCTCAAAAAGACCAAAGCGGCCGCCTGCGGTGCTGCACCTTTGGATAAGAATGTGCAAGCCCGATTCCGCTCACTGATGGGCGATGATAGCCCTTTCACTCAAGTCTGGGGCATGACTGAAACATCATGTGTTGCGACCATGTTCCCTTACCCCGAGCATGACGATACAGGTTCTGTGGGCCGACTTATCCCAAACCTGGAAGCTAAGTACGTTCAATCCATCCGTACTGGAGATAATCTCCTGCTAACATTGGTATCCAGACTCATCGACGAAGAAGGCAACAACATCTCCGCCTGGGGTGTCCGCGGCGAGCTGTGCGTCCGAGGCCCTACAATTACACCTGGATATTACAACAACCCCGAGGCCAACGCCGACTCCTTCGACTCCGAAGGCTGGTTCAAGACAGGCGACATCGCCTACTGTGACGAAAGTACTCGGAAATGGTACATCGTGGATCGCCGAAAGGAGCTGATCAAAGTGCGTGGCTTCCAGGTTGCGCCGCCTGAGATCGAGGCTGTGCTCTTGTCGCACCCGAAGATCGTTGATGCGGCGGTCATTGGAATCACCTTCCCTGGCTCTGATATTGAGTACCCGCGTGCCTATGTGGTTCGTCGCCCGGGCGAGTCGGGGCCCGATATCACGGAGGCTGAGGTTCAGGAGTTCGTGTTGAGTCGGCTTTCGAAATATAAAGCGCTCACGGGGGGTGTGAAGTTTGTTGACTCGATCGCACGGAATCCCAGTGGGAAGATCTTGAAGAGGCTTTTGCGCGAAGAAGCGAAAAAGGAAATTGCGGATGGGGTTCTGAAGGCTAGACTCTGAGCGAGACATAGAGGTAGAATAGATCGACCGGCGGTATTGGTGATGGTTTATTGTTTGAACGCCACCTACTATGGGCCAGGAGTTTCTAACTAGTCGACGGTTCTTCTATTTCTAGATGCAACATAATCGGACTTCTAACATTGAGCAGTTATGCAAGACAAAATCAAACTTCATATCATAACATGAGGCTATCACCCTTTCTTCGCCCCAAAAGGAAACCCAAAGAACGATTTTCTCCTCCCTCCTCTCTCACTAGAACCGTCCACCGTCCCCAATTTGAGCCTTTCCCTAAACCGCCCCAATATAGCATCCCTATGATACCGACGAAACTGTTTCGTCGCATCCTTCCCAGCAACCGGTAAAAGAACTATTTTATATCAATTAGAAGAGTGTAACCAGTACCAAACCCCAGAGCCTGGGAGATCAGGAACTGAAGACTCACTCTTTGCTCCACCAGGATGCTCATCAACAAATTCAGACAAATTATACACCTCCCGACCAACGACAATCCACAAATCACAGGCGGTATTGTGTTTCGACACTTCCTCCAGCGAATAAGTCCTAGTACCAGGCATCGCACCCGATTCAAGAGTGTCACTCATACTTGGTGGTGGGGTCTCGTCGGGAAAAGAGGGCACAAGGGGCTAGAATGCGGGTGGCCCAATAGAGTGAGATATAGATAATAGGATGCGAGCTGACGCGGGGAACCTGGAGGGGGGGGACCAACCGGAGGATACTCAACGAGCGGTAGCATGTGGGATCGCCGGGGCATACTACGGTCCCTTAAAAGATGATCCTGCATATGGGCTTATGCATGCCCTGACATGTGAATGGAGGGATGTCTTTCTAACTAGTATTCATTGCGTGCATTCACTACATCAATGTAATTTGGAGCGGCAGAAGATATAGTCGCATATAGTCATTGCTAAATAGATTCTCATCCATTGATACGATCCCTTAGCGATCTCACCGCAAGCTCCGTTTTGTTGTTATCGGTCAAGTCACCTAGAATGCCCGCAATATCAAGTCCCTTCCCTCCTTCTTTCGTATCCATTAGGCCACCCAGAGTATTTGCAAGCAACATGACAATCGGCACTCGTGTAGTAATTGTCAAACCGTTCAGAATTTCCTCGAAGTATCTAATGTGTTCCCCGTTGTAGACGGTAGAGTTTCCAGAAGCGGAAAGCTCAATCTGACCGTCTCGTAGAGCGGATTTCTGAGTAGCGAGAATCGTCCCCAGATTATCAATCAAGAAGTCGAAGTCCAGCTTGCCGTGGAGATCTACGGTATTGTTTCCTGGCTTCAGAACCACGTTATCGATCGAGGCTTGGCCAAGTACTATCTCCTGACTTTTCAGGTTGAGTGTCACGTTGCCCTAGGAACGGAGTGGTTAGCCAGGGGTGTGGTGCGGACCTTGATATGGGTGTATGGACATGAACATACCAACGCAAAAGTAAATACAGAATGGTTGGGCACGACTGCCTTGCCTCGCAAGTTTGTCCCGTCTGCTTCTTTGGGGAGGAGTAGTCGTGCCGATTCGATGGAGAAGCCACGGAGTTTGTCGAGGCCTAAACAGAACCAAATCTTCACTTCATTTCTGATCAGAAGTATAGATGCCAGCATACCACGTACCATTAAGCTCAATGTCCTTATCCAGGGTCAGGGGGGTCTTCAGGGCGCCAAGATGACCAATAGTCGAGCCCTTTGCAGACATGATGAACCGCTCGTTGTAGACAGCATTCTCCAAAGTCTTCATGAATTCGTCGACATCGAAAATCTTAGTGTCATTCTTGGTCACGTCTAGCTTCGTGTTCCCTTTGAGGCTGTAGGCAGGCAGGTCAACGCGCAGGTAGGTCTTCCTTGGCTTGGTGTCGCGGTTGAACAGATTCAGGCTCAATGGCTCGGTTCGGATACGGATGGCCAGTGGGACATTCAAGGAGGTATGGAGGACGAAGTCGACTTGGTCTGGCCTGGGATTTAGAATCTCGGCTGAGTGAACGGGGAGACTCATGTCGTTCACGAGTTTCTGGGCAATCGCGGGTATGATGACGAGGAAACTATGGTCAAAACCAATAGCGTTAGCAAGCGGAAGTGATCAGATTGGGCCTTGAACGAGGTATACTCACAACACTGGAAGGAAGATTGCAAGGAATATGATGGCCCCCAAGAGATAGCAGCACCAGAATCTCCTCCAATGCTTCTGGAACTTTGCCCGAGCTGATTTTACCCGTCCAAGGGGCGGTAACTCCTGAGCCTCGATGCCCTCAACATGCTCCGCATCATATTCTTTTTGTTTGGATTGTTTTTCTCCCTTTGCCCGATCAAAGAAAGAGAGGTTCCTGTCGGCGCCGATGATGTAGCTTTTGGTTCTCCACAGCATTGTGAACTCTAGGAAGGTTGTATTTGGGATAGCAAGACTCCGAACAGAGCGAGGGACCGTCAGTAGTCTAATCCTCCTGTTCCTGACTATTTATACATGTGAGCATAGTATCTCCCCTGCATACTGCACGACGCCCGGTCCTCCAGTCGTTCATGGCCCTCAGGATGTATAGACTTTTGGCGCCGCTTTTCGTCCCAAAGCAGGCTGATCATCGGACTTACCCATTAAGCAACTATGCCCTTACCATATCATACTTCCTGTGAATGTACAGAAGCAGCGCGACAACTACATCAGGTTAACTAGAGGTAACCCCAACTGACCAGTTGGCAGTATAACCTCTGGTCTTGAAAAGAACCTCTGAAAGCTACACAGGAATCTCAGGAGCTGTAGGACTATGGAGTGTTTCACCTACCATGAGCACTGGAATACGACATACGATGCTCGTCACTCCTACTAGTGTAGAAAATAAGCTCAGATACCCCACAGACGGAAGATTTAGCGCTACCCCGGTAACCCCGCCATCATGGCAGCGTAGATCCCCCAGGATTAGTTTATGAAAGCTCGTGATAGCTCCGCGGTACAGCGGATCTCGGTACTAAGTATGAGCCCGCCAAACGCGCAAGGCCAAACCTTGAGGGGGACATTTTAGTCCGATTTGGACCGTGCCGCCCGGTCCGCGGTCTGGGCACAATATCATATGAATATTAGATATCAGACTCGATGCAGATGGGAGTGTGATGACTCCAGTTGGCTTGTTGGTTCAAAATAATTGAAATACATAAAATGATCTCAAGTCCCATCCTGCAGCAATGCTTGAAACAAGTTGTTGAGATCTTCAATTTCAGGCGGGATCCTACATATACAGACGTCCACTGCTATTCTTTCCGTTGCCAACATGAGCGAAGTCAAGTCAGAACCTGTCGCGGTCGCCGAAGAGACCAATAATCCAGTTACACCAAATGAGAAGCTCTCGCACAACAGCACGGCCATCGGCACCACCGTCGACCCTAACCTCCTAGACTCACTCGAGACACCACATCACATCCAGCAAGTTGTCCGCGAAGCAATCCTGCTAGCTGGCGGCGCAGCCGCAATCCTACTACAAATTGCCAATCCCGGCGTTGCCAAAGGCGTTGACGAGCACAGTAACTTCGCCTATCGCCCTCTTGACCGACTCCGCACCACCATGACATTTATCTACTGCATGGCCTTCGGCTCGCGAGACGAGAAGAAAACCGTCATAGAAATGGTGCATCGCGCCCACGCCCCAGTCAACGGCCCAGGCTACAACGCCAACGACCCAACACTCCAGCTCTGGGTAGCCGCCACGCTCTACGCCGTGGGCACAGACCTCTATCAACAAGTCTTTGGCCCCATGAACGAGGAAACAGCTGAACAGCTGTACCGCGAGTACGCCATCCTAGCAGTCTCCCTACGAGTATTGCCTGAGATGTGGCCTCCCAGCCGAAAGGCATTTTGGGAATACTGGGACTACCAGATCGCCAACTTGGAGATCAGTCAACATGCTAAAAATGTTGCCAGTGATTTGCTCTATAGCAAGCATGCTCCATTTAGGGTCCGGGTTGTGCTGCCGCTGGTGCGCGTGACGACTACAGAAATGCTGCCGGTTCGACTGCGGGAGGCATATGGGCTTCGGTCTACGGCGATTCGGCGAGGGGTGAATCGTGTCACGGTCGAGGTGACCAAGGCTACATACCCGTTCCTTCCGAAATTCATTCGGACGTATCCGATGCAGTATTATCTTAAGGATATGCGGCGGCGGATAAAGAAGAGGCAGAAGTTGGAAATTGATATGTCGGAGAAGTAATGTTTGAGTGAGAGGAGCTCAGGGGCATTGGGGCGCGACGTGTTGGGTAACGGGTTAGAGGAATCGTTCAAATGTTGGTTTTACTTTTGAGAATGTCTCCATTCCTGGTGTTGATTTGTGACTACTTTGTTATGGTTGGGGCTTATATACACAGTGAGCAGGATATGAAAACTAAGCAGTCTACCGTTCGCTAGGTAGGCGAAGTCAGTCGAGGCCCAAGGGTGATGGCCCATGGGAGGATCTCGTAAAGTGGGGACTGCGGAGAAGCCGAGTTCCGCGGGTAGGCAAATGTTAGGGTTGGTTAATGTTCTGGGGTACTTGGGTGAATCACAATAAAGATCCAACAGGATACGCAGCATATTCTTAGTGACAGTGAATCCCTAGAGCGAGTGGACTTGACTTCATAATATCCTCGCCATGTTTTGGCTTTCCAGGAGAATACTTCTGTGCTCAACATGGGCCATGGATTGTACGCTAAAGTCACGTGACTGATCTCCGGGCGTCGCACCCCTAGCGGGCCCCCGCCCGGGCACTGCCCTAGGGGCAATCTTCCCCCCACCCGGTGGGCAGGAGATGCATCTCAATCAAACCACCGACACCGACTCGACTTGAATTGCGTTTTACTAAATGCGCAACCATGAAGACATTCGTAGTTAGGCCCCAGTTATACATCGTCCAGTCTTCCAAGATTGGAAATGAGTATATCAAGATAATAATCTAGCCACCTTCACATGGCCAGTTCAATGTCATTATGTGCATAGGGGACGGGCCAAGCCCATCCCGAGTCGGCTGTATCCACGTGGGTGGTGTGACCGCTGATCATCCCCCCGGCTCACATCCCCCAGATCCCCAGACCTGACATTCCTCTAAACCCCGCTTCAGCTTATCCCCACTCCGTCATCACCTATCCAATTTTAATATCATATAGCAACATGTTGCGGCGAACAAGGAGAGCTCCAACAGCGTGTTCTTGGTGCCACCAACGCAAAGTGCGCTGTGATGCATCCATCCTAGGCTCTCCGTGTACCAGATGTCGACAAGACGGTCGCAGAGAATGTGTCCTTCGCGCTAAGACTAAACAGTGAGAAATCAAAACTTGCTCATAGCGTCTACTTACTAACTCGTATTAGACCTCTGAGCTCGGAAGATCCAGCTCCTCCCGCACATCAAAATGCAGGCCCAAACGGAATTAAAAGGGCCCGACACAATATGGGCCAGCCAACTGGTCAACGACCTAGCTCGCACATCCGCTCACCAGATAACTTCTCAGACAGCCATGGTACAAGCCCACCTTCACGCTGTCCCAATGTGCTACATACAGAATACAGCTTTGTGGACTCTCAGCAATTGCGCTCTCTCCCTTCAGAGGATTTGTTGTTCCTCGCATCCAAAGATTGCTTGACGTTGCCAGGCCCCGACGCCATCGATGAGTTTGTGGAACAATATTTCAAGCGCATTCACCCATCAGTGCCTGTGCTAGATGAGGCAAGTTTTTGGAACGTCTATTCAAGCAATCAGCCGTCGGGATCTAAAATATCTCTCTTCGTGTTGCAATCACTGCTTTTCGCAAGCTGTCCAGTAAGACCCAAGTCGCCCTTCCGCTGACTGTCATTCATCGGACTAAATCATCATAGCTTGTGTCATTGGACACATTACGCCAGTGCGGGTTTAAAGATAGGAGGGACGCACGAAAACAGCTTTACAACAGAGCCAAGGTAAGCACCTCCTGGTCCAGTTTCCTTTTCCATACGCTGGTATTGATAACGCGGGGTGCAGCTGCTATTCGAGCTCAGAACCGAAAAGCGATCACATGCAAATGCGCAAGGCGCTGTCCTCCTTACTCACTATACCTCCGCGGCCGATCCACAGGCTGGAAGCCTTTGGGTCACACGGGCGATTGAACATGCCATGCTCATCGACGCCCAACCATCTCTGTTGATGGAGGATGTGTCATTATCACTTAAGAAGCGGCTTTGGTGGTCGATTCTGCTCCGTGACCGGAGTCTCTGTATCGGCCTGCGCCGCCGACCTCAAGTGACCTCGATCAACTTTCAGGGATGGAGTGACTGGCTAAGCGCGGATGATTTCACCGAAGAGATGCATCAGTCTCGAGTCTATGATTATGATACGAAGAGGCGTCTTTTCGCGGCCCTTCAGAAGCAATGCGAGTTAGCAGTGCTGCTTACAGACCTTGTGTCGTTGGCCTTTATACCGAAAAGGACACCTCGACGGTTTTTGTCGATGGCTGAATTCCAAGGTCTCCTTTCGAGGATAAAAACGATCAAAAAGTCACTGGACGAGTGGAAGAAGCCTGCTCAGCCGCTGATGTCACCGCACAAGTTGTCAACATCGGAAGGCAGTGACGCTGTTGCGACATTGACATACTTGACATATATGTACTACTAGTTCGTGCTACCCATGTTCCTTGCTCCCGTCCATAACTGACACCCGAACCTTGGTTAGCGCTGCACGAGTCGATCTAGCACAATATTCAGCATTTATACTCGAGGAGAACCTGTTCTACGCCGGAGACAAATACAGTACTATGATTCTAGACATCGGCAACGATTTAAGGAACGGCATTGACGGGCTAAGTCTTGTGATGGAACATTTTAGTGTTAATGGACACGCCGGTGACCTTCCTCTGAGTGTGTTAGTACTACCTTTGCTTTGATGGATCTACCTCACCATACGATGTACCCTTCGCTAATTCTAGAACGCAGGCTTGGGTATGTCAGCATGCCCCTCGTGCTGGCGGCTATCAACCTCAAACTCTCACCTTCGCGAGAAGAGATGGAGAAAAGGCAAAAACGTTTGAGCTCCCTGAGCCAAATAATCCGACACTCGGAGGCACTTTACGATGTCACTGATTTTGTCGCCATTGGCACCAACCACATCTTACAACTCGCCTATGCAACGACACAGAATCTCTTCTTAGAGGAGAAGAAACCACAACTATTCCTCCCTCAAACCGAAACAAATAACTCCCTATCGAGCCCTGGAGTTCAGTCCAACACCAGCGTCTCTATGTCCTTTAAGCCCGCCAAGCCGAGTAGCTGGCAAGAGGCATTTATTCGGTGCCCAAGGGCATACCTGTTAATATCAACATGTGTGGACTACAGCTTGGCAATTGGTCGGCTACCATCCGCCAGTAGCCTCCCCGAAATCGTTCGCGACCTCCCAGCCATGGGCGTGATCGCCCGACTCCCCTGGACATCCGAAATTCCCACGTTGAACAGCGGAAGCCCATTCTCAAGCCAAGTCCATCGCCAACACCACCCCGCATACGCACGTTCCTTCTCCGCCGATCGGAGGGATTCACCGGGCGCCGTAACGATAGACACCGAGTCGGAGCAAAGTCCTCCCCAACACGCGGTCCAGATGAACTACGTCCCATCACCAGAGCGGTACTCGCATTACCCCGCAACGCCCCCGATGATGACCGAGCAGCAGCTGCAATACATCAGCGGAGTATCCGGTCAAGCATCCTATGAGGACAGCGCACCGAACCTGGACTTTATGGCTTTACCAGAGTGCCAAGATATACCTGAGAACATGACCGAGACTTGTGTTTTCAAGATACCACTGGAGCTCATGGGCGAGACAGAGAGCCATCCCCTGGACCAATCGATGCTTGATGGCTACGGAGCGAATACAGCGTTGCCTCCGGCGATCAAGGCGATTGAGTCGACGCTCTTTGACTCCTTTTTCCACGAAGCATTTGAGCAGAATTGGGCTGTTTCATAGGACATACTTCTACAATAATGATTAATCAGAAGGAGATTCAGGAATAAAAAGCAAAACCTCCTAAATCCGCAGTATGTTCAGCGGCTGTTCATTTAGACGAAAACTAAGTTGGGGCTAGGCCACGCCCATGCACGGGGTTCCAACACGCGACCGACCAGGGTTTCAAAGTACTGCGTATATGCAATGCAACCCAGATCTTCCCCGAGGATGACCCCGAGGCCAGTTAAGAAGATAGTAAATGACTGATGCCCGCTGGGTGATCATCTGACGCAATGCCTTGGCGGAAAGTTACAGAGTACGTATTCCTTGTTTTTCCTCTCGGAGGCAAGGGGTATACTATTGTTCTAGGAAGGGCGGAATCCGAGCGACTCCAAGACCTCCGCCGCAGGGATGATCGACGTCCACCCCCACGCCGAGAGCTCCTTACAAGGTGGCGCAGCTTGAATGGAGATCGGGTTGATCGCCGGATGGCGAGTAGAGTGTTGGAGAGCCTGGGGTACCCCGGTATGGTTATCTTGGATGCTTAAAGTTAGGATCATCCGTGCTGATAAGAGACTGACACACAGTTGTGACATTCCCAAACACATGGTTATCCACGTTGAGATGGTCCGATGGACTCATGAAGATAGAGTTGGCGAAGGTGAAGATCCATATACTAGCTGACTTTGCACCCAGTACTGACTGCTGCTGTTTACATTGTTTACATTTATCGGCCGGTCCATGTCTACGTGATGGTGTCAGCTATTCGAGTCAATGGCGACGACCTATGGTGAGCACAGTGAAGAGAATCCAGACGGGCCTATTGTTTGATCCACTTAGAGTTATCGAGGCTGTGATACAATCCATATCAGATCTGTGCCTGCTCATCAATAATCAGGTGATGATGTCACATGGCACGCATGGTTGTTTCCATGAAGATAACCAAGCATGCAGTTGATTGGCTAGATGCTTACTCGGCATGGCTCAAAGTTAAATCTCCCTTGGCACGCTCCGCCGTGTTCGGCTTCCAGGTGGTAAGTTGACGATGCCGAGCCTGAAGCCCCAAGAGCCTGACAAGAAACACGACTCTCCGACCTTGGCATATATTGCTTTTTCGAGCACGACGTCGACAGGTATTCCATTCTTGGGTACTGCGTACTCCTGTCCTTTTTTCCCACATGTCTCTTCCTTTTTCAACGGGAATCTGAGGCCGGAACAAGCGCTCACCATTCTCAGGAAAAACTAGTAGAGTTGGGCATACAACGATCGTGCCGAGGATCGATAAAGAAAACACGCCAAGACCGAGCCGTCAACGCACCTAGACCCCTGGAGGCCTGAACTGCACTCATGTCAACATAATGACCGCCAAGATCGGGTCTTCGAGGCTGTGCGGAAGTTAGCCGTTGAAATGCATAGATAGCACTTCCGAGTGATGAACCATTTGACGCCGCCGGAGATCCTTCTTGGCGACTAGTCGCGCCTGGGGACCCCAGAGAAGCCTAGTTTCGGTAGGGCCGTCGATCCCTTGGCAAGATGAAACCAACCTTCGACGTTTTCAGGGGCCAGAACAGGCGTCCTCAGTCAATACGCCTATCTCAGTCCAGGCTACGTGCATACCCTGTTAGACAGGCATCACAAATACAATTGTGGGCTTTTCAAACGGCAACGAACACGAGGACGGGATCCAACCGGATTGCTTACAAGGTTAAAATTAGAGTCCAAATTTGAATCTGGTCCGTAGCCGCTTACTGTCGACGTACTGATTCTGCAAGAAAAGGGGCCAATCAACTAGCTCGAAAATAAGTCCATGCCGCCAAGGAACAATGTGAGTTCATGCTGCGGATTCCACTCCGTACTACTTGGGAAACTGAGATGCCTAGCAAGTCGGGCTCTTGGTCCACTTCGCCGAGACGTCGTGTTTTGTTGAGGTGGTATTTCCAGGGCCTTCAGGGCCTTGTTTGAGTTTATTTGCAATGCTCTTTGGGTGATTAATTACGCATGTAGCGAGGACTATCGTAGTGCCAAGATCTTCCAGTTTCTACTAGTGTGGGATCTGTGAGATCTATCCATTCTTGGATGGGATATACAGATTGGGCAGCTATCTTTCGTAGACAGGGACTCTTTCAGAACGCTGGTTGTGCCAGTGATTTAAGTGATAGCAGTTGCATAGGTCGTTATCTGGTGTGAAATGGCGTAGATATCCCATAGCTCGATAGATGCAGTTCTACCTACCAACCTTGGAAGTAATCCACAGCGGTGTGACACGCACCCTCGATGTGTGGGGATATGGCCAGTATCATTGTTTCATAGACAAGGGTATGTATTCTGCTATCTCTTGGCGGTGATCGAATTTACTCCATTTTATTTCCTCCCTGCAAAAGATCGGAGGAATGCGAAAACCGGGTCAGTATTAAAGAAAAACTGAGTCCAATATACCTATTCAGAAACCTACTTTTCTTCTCCATCTGAACAAGCCCTGAAGTGGAACCAAAAGATCCTCTTTTACGAACAACTAATCGGGACATTTATATCGTTACAGCTATCCCGATCATGCATCAACAGCCTCCTTCCCCGTCGGGAGATATCAAGCCACTCACACCGACACCGACACTACCCCGTGGCACTACCGAAAACCCGCCTGTCCTCCAGAATGACTTGACTGCTATCAACTTTCGTCTGGAGCACGCAAACTCAGAAACAAGATACACACCGGGTGTTTGGTCCTCTGGAGGCAGTACAGCTGTGTCTCTATCCGGCAACCAGACAGAAGACAATACAGTTCTCTCAACCCTATCACGCCACTTCCGAGCAAATATACGTACCGCTCATGCCGATATCATTCTCATAATATGCAGCTTCGTTGGCGGCCTAGTAGACGGGCTGTCATTCAATGCATGGGGCAGTTTCTCAAGTATGCAAACAGGTATGTAATCATCACTATCACCCGGATATCCATTCCCACACTGGATACTAATAACTACCGCACCAAATAGGAAACACCGTCTTCCTAGCCCTAGGCGCCTCCGGCCAACCCGCCTATCCGGCCTACCTATGGGCCAAATCCCTAATCGCCCTAACGGTCTTCCTCCTCAGCAACATCTTCTTCATAAACTTCCACCGCTACCTAGGACCCCGCCGCCGCTCAACACTAATCCTCTCATTCTCCATCCAAACCTCCGCCCTCTTAGCAACAGCAATCCTCATCCAACTTCGCGTTATCACCCCCAAACCGGAGGACCCACGCGCCCCAATTGAATGGACGCAAATCCTGCCTATCTCGCTACTGGCCTTCCAGGCCGGAGGCCAGATCTGTGCCTCTAGAATTCTGGCACTGGATGAGATCCCGACTGTTGTTGTGACGACGCTGCTGTGCGATCTACTGGTTGATCCGAGACTCACTGCGAAGTCTAATCCTCGGCGGAACCGTCGAGCTGGGGCTTTCCTTGCTTTGTTTCTGGGTGCTATGACTGCCGGTGGGCTTTCGAAGACTACTGGTATGGCGTCTAGTATTTGGCTTGCTATGGGGTTGAAGCTGGGGATTACGTTGGCGTGGGTTATTTGGCGGAGGGAGGGGAGGAATAAGAGTGATTCGGAGGTTTGAGGGGGGATGTTGGTAGTTTTCATGTGTTATGATTGATAATTGCTTGTATTGGTACGAGCTTCTTTGGTTTTATAGAGTTCAGGCTGTTTGTTCCCATTGCTGGTGTTTGAATCTGTGCTTTGGGGATAATTAGCATTGATAGAGTAGCTGGTCACAAATCAAGTCATTGCAGGATTCATTCTCTTCTAGTCTTCTTGACTGTTGTTCGATCCTTGACTGTATCCTGTTTTACAAAGACATTTTCACGTCCATGTATGTAGGTGCGAAGTAGCCATCGAGGCAATAAGTTACTAATCAGGGCTACGGCACTGGTTCCGGACCATCGTCGCCACTGATTGTTTTGCAGATAGGTAATCGCTGTCGAAAACTAGGTAGAGTGTCATTATCTAAGAATTTACTGAACATGGGTTGTTCCTTACTCTATATTGTGAAATGCTACCTTATGGGCATGTTAACGAGGTAAAACATATTCATTCAAAAAAAGACAAGAAAGGTACAGAATTGACGACCAGCGTCAAACAACTTCTTCAATCGTCTGGAAGGAGCAAGCTCGAGACCTCCAGGGTGCAGGAGCCAAGGGCCCTAGATCTAGGGACTCGGAGACGGAGCGGCTTCCCGCCAGCCCGAACGGAAGAAGGTGGTGGGGTGGACGGCGCAGGGGCAGGAGCCGCAGTGGAAGTGGCAGTAGGGGGGTTCACGGGGGAAGACGCGGCAGTGGAAGTGATGGCAGCAACGGGGGTCGCGGGCGCAGGAGCTGCAGCGGATGTGAGGGCAGCAGGGGTCAGGGGGGCGGAAGCAGCAGAGGGCACACCCGGCTCCTCACAGATATCCATTCCGGGAGAGTACTCCCGGACACTGGTGTGAACCATCGGGGGGGCAGGAGCTGCCGCGGCGGGGGCGGGAGCGACAGAGGACACACCCCTCTCCGAACAGATATCCATATCGGGAGAGTACTCCCGGACACTGTTCCCGACCGTCGGGACCGAAACACCCGCAGAGGCTTCAATGCCCTCCATGGGCATGATGTCCTCCATTGCAGGAACGGTAGCTTGCTTGGCCGAGGCCGCAGGGGAGAGGTAGAGCCCCAGGTGGTGATTAAGCTCCCACCACCGGTTGCTGACCCCCATGTTGTAATGGAGGGCCATTGAGGCAACCAGGTGGTGGGAGTGGAGGATGGGGAGGAGGTGGGTAGAGTAGTCGGTGAGCTGGGCTGAGAGATGGTTAGCATGCGCTGTTGCTTCGATGCCGACAGTTGATACTCACCAGGGTATGGCAACCCTGCCCAGTGGAGCCCCAACCACAGAAACTCCGGCGTTAGGACCACGCGGAGTATCCAGGAATTTTCTGTTCCTGGGGCCACAACCACCACCAGGTTGGTGTGGAGCATAGAGATCTCCCAGGCCAGGACAAACATTTCCGGTGTCGCGGGCCCCAAAAGCAGCTCGTCAAGCAGGCGGAGCGGATCCCACTCCAGGACCGTACCAGCCCGGTACTCGCCAGCGAGTACCAGGAGGTCGTTCTTGTTGAAGGTGGGGAAGAAATCGACGGGACCAGCCATGACGTTCAGCAACGTTGTAAAGATTGGAGGAAACTAGAACAGAAACAAGATGAAGATGAGATAAAGCGAAGGTAGGTGAGTTTTTACAGAGAAGAAATAGGACGGATGAAGGAGTCTTACTATGCTTTATATCCGTTCAGTCAAGCTGAGTTCATTGAGAGCTCATTCAATGAGCCTCGATGTATTATCACTTCATAGTGAATGTCAAATTAGAGTGAAACGAAGCTTCAATGGCTCTGAGTGGTGCTTCCATTGAGAGATGATGTTATTTAGAATGAATAGCAATCTAGTTAGTCGAACAAGGCAATTGAGAAGTATTTGCTAATTCAATATCGAAGTCTCTGCCATCTCAATTTCAATGCAGATATGGTTGCTATTGAGGTATGTCCGAACTACTTCAATTGTTCAATGTTAGGCAACCTTGATTCCCACTGGAGGTTGCCTAGACCGGAATTGCGAGGACTACGCCGACAGTATTCAGACAATCTAATTGAATATGAGACCTTTCAAACTGAAGATAATGTCGCTCTTAGTGAGGTCCGAGTAATGGATCGCCTGGGCAAGCACAATCAGCGAAGGGTGAATGACATTTGAAGTCAAGTCGAGGCTAAATGGGGATTGATTGATTGAAATGACTGGAGAAGAGCAGCCACCACTTAATCATGGGTTTTGGCACAGGGCGCGATCCTATTTCTCATGTCAAAGCCGACTGAGGAGGATCATTAGCCACACATAATCACCCCTCTCCACAAGGTCAGTGCCGGTCAAATCGCGCGCTATTCGTCGAAACGAAGAAGCCTGACTTCGTTACAGCGGCAGACTTCATCCAAGCAATTCAACAGCGTTTCTTTACAGCAAATGAACTCGGCATCGGCTGCGCACCGTGCATCGTAATTCGTAGTAGCAACTCTCTTCGAGCAGCTCGAGGAAGAACATTTTCGCCATTTCCTTACTCCCTATTACAAAGAGCTTGAATGGCAAGGCAACCCATTGCCACAATCAAGGCAAAAGGCTTCTACAAATGCTGCTCTGATATTCTTCAATACACAGAGTGGAACGCAGAGAGCGGATTCACGTACGGTTCCGTCGACAAAGCCCATAACCTAATAATCCCAATTTCAACAGAAACTAGTTACAGAACGCACCCGTCCAACGGCTATGCATCTAGGTTTGTGAGACTGGCTGGTTCTGGCTGTTGTGCACGAAGCTGATCGTGTGGCTGATCTTGTGGCTCATCTTGTGGCTCATTGGGGCAAAGATTTCTGGGGGAAAGATTGATCGGATATCCTTGTTCAATCGCATCTGAACACTTCTTTATGTCGGAAGTTAGCCAGGGTAAGCTATTGTCTAGTAATTGAGACTTACCTCCAGCTGTTTTGAGTCTGGGAGTTCCTTCTGTCGGTCCATGATAGTCTGATAGGCTGAATTTATCCCCAGGCCAGCCAGGAAGGTAATAACGCGTCGCTTGACTCCCATTGCAAGTAAATACAGACCGATCAGCGTTGGGATGTTGTTGCTTTTCCGCGGTGCAAAGGCTGATGCGAGAATTGAAAGGATAGTGAAAATACTGCCCTGATATACAGTAGATGTATCACGAGAGCTTTTAGGTGGAGTCATGATGCTGACAAGGAGACCCCATAGCTCTGGAGCTTTAGCCTGAGCTCGTGTAGCGAGGTTAGGAATATCCATATGTGCAGGATCAGCATCCGGTTCAAACTCGCCCAGTATGTTTCTGCGGCCAAGCTCTTTAAGCTCAGATTGTAGCCGAGAAACTTGATCAGACGCGCCAATGGTATAGATGTCCTTTGAAACACTAGCTAGTTGCTTCACCACTTCCGGTTGCCCGTATATGGCTTGCGACACCAGTTTTGCGCGCCTTGTTTCTGAATGGGCGTTCATTTTCGAAGAGGGAGCCAGCACCATGTGATAAATAAGGTCTTTGATAGACCACCGGTGATGTTCCCGCATGTATGCTAAAATCATATCAACTCTCTCGCGCGGAGTAAGCTTCTTCATGTAACAATAGCCAGAGCTTGTTGCGGATTGTTCATTTTGTTCATTTTGCTCATGTAGTGGAGTGGGAGGACGTGTCTTGTCCGGCGAAGGCGACGTTCGGGCACGTTTTCGCGGCATGGTCAGGGATTTTCCACTATAAGGAAATTTTAGTTAATGTCAAGAAAGTCTCGACAGACTGTATGTAAAGAGGGGGTTCACAGTTCCCGAGGTTCAGCCGGCAGACCACAGGCCGGCAAAGCAACCTAGTCGGCCCGGGGTTAGCGTGGCAGAATTCGGTCTCATCATTGGCTGCGGCCTGAGGCACCGAGGCAAAGTTTCATAGCAGTGCTTTTGACCCCGACTACAGGCAACCTTTCTCCACTAAACTTCGATAAAGTATGTGACTTATGAATGTCGGTACCGCAACAAACAGGATGATTACCGTTCATCTGACTGTGCATGGTATATACATGATGACCATCAAACAGCGTGGAAATACAGGATTGCCAACAAAATATGTCCTGCAAGACAAAACCAAAATCTATAATCGATATCTAGTCTATGCTTCTATAATGTGGTTGTTTTAGACATCTGCGATCTTCTCATTTCCTGTCATCAGAGATAACGAAGTGCAGAACACCAGACTGTCCAGCGGCCAGTGCCTTGTTCTCCGAGACATAGATGCACTTGCGGAACGTCATCATCAACGAGTACAGGAAGCTCTCGTCCTTCTGCTCGTGGTAGTTTTCACCGAGCATGGGCTGGATGGCCTTGGTCGCCTCCTCGGCCTTGTAGAAGGGAATGCGGCTGAACAGGTGGTGGACAACGTGATAGTCGATGATCTCGTGGAAGAAGTGGCGGCCGATGAAGCCGGTAGTGCGGTCAATGGTGGCCAATGCGCCCTTGGTGTAAGTCCAGGCTTCGGCGGTGTAGTGGGGGACAGCGGGGTGGGTGTGTTGGAGGTATGTGATGGCGACTGGTTGAATTGTCAGTGAATGTTCAATAATCATACTAATCATATGTAAAAGGTAGGAATGGAAGACGTACTCAACCAGTGGTGAACCCAGAGATAAGGAACGACGTAGAGCAAGAAAACATTCCATGCGCCAATGATAGTTCCAGTGTAGTAGACAATCGAGCCCATGATCAACAGTCCGAGATCAGAGTAAGCGATCAGCTTCCACTGGGAGGCCGTGAAGATTTCAGCGGATGGGTTGTAGTGGCTGGCAAATGCGGTGTTACCCTTGCCATCGGGACCACTCTGTTTACCGGCAGTCACGTTCAGGAAAAGATACAGCTGCCATCCGAGCAATTGGTGTCCAATGAGCTGGAAGAAGGAGACAATGGGAGTTTCCTCGGCAAGGTGCTTCAGCTGCTCAATGGAGACATTGCGCTTCGTCGCCAACTCATCCTCGGTCCAGGGGACAAAGACAGTGTCCTTCTCCATGTGGCCGGTATAGCGATGGTGGCGGGCGTGTGTGATCTTCCATGAGAAGTAAGGCACCATGAGGAACGAGTGCGTAGCCCAGCCGATGAAATCATTGATGGTCTGGTGGCGCGAGAAGGCGCCGTGGCCGCATTCGTGGGCGAGAATCCATAGGCCTGTTCCGACGCAACCTTGGAAGAATCCGTAGGTGGCCCAGGCGATGATGCGCAAAGGCAGCGAAGGGAGGAGGTGGATGTGGAGGGCCGCGTAGATCAGAGCTGAACAGTAGATGGCATCCCGAACCAGGTATAGACAGGAAGTGAAGAGAGACGAGTCAAAGCATTCTTTTGGGATTGCATCTTTGAGCTCCTTCAAGCTAGGAACGTCGGTTTGCTGTTGAAGTCAACTGTTAGCTTTGAAACTGTTGTTGATATTTGGGATACGCCCATACCTGTTCCGTCTGCTTGACCTGCTCAACATGCTGCCTTTGTGTCACGGCCATTTTGCTGTATGAAAGATAGCAATTGGGATAAGAGATGGTCAAGACGGAGAGACTGAGAATATTTCTATTTTGTCCTTCTATTATTATTTTTTTTTTCTCTTCCGGCCCCTCTCTCTCTTCCCTTCGCCCCCCGTGAAAATATCCCTAGGCTCGAAAGGAAAGGAGCTCAGATTTTCGGCATTCGAAACGGTCGACCAATCTCCTTTTTCCAATTCTTTTTCCAGAAAACTGTCAAATTGGGAGCACAGACAGGGGACACGCATCCCGATTGGGCAATCGTTTCTCGGGTAGAGGAAGTTGATCCATGGATTCGGCTTGCGCTAGCAGTTTCTTTTTTCCTTATCGTGTTCTTTTTTTCCTTCACCGTTATGGGCCCCTACGGATTTCATTCAGTCCTTTCGCCATTTAATTGAACGGTCATGGGATTTTAGTTACCTATCGAGTTGTCTAAATGAGATAATACTCGGTCTATGGGTGATCACCACCTTTATAGAGACTTAGACTTGTCTATTTCTGTGCGGCGTTGACCTTATCCACATCACGGGCTGTGTCCCCTTTTCGAGATCAATGGGATCCGCCAATTAGCAACGGTTGGGATGAAAAGTTAATCTTTAGCTTGGCGATTATTATCGTGTTCCTGGTGCACTATCAGGGGTAGTGTAGGAGCATTCCGGGGCCGCGTACGGAGTAGTTATGGCCCATGGGAGGCCTCGAGATGGCGACCCGTCCTCGCCTATGTTGTACTAGTACACCGGCCGACAATGATTTTCTGTTTAGCGTGATTGTGTATACGATGTGATAAGAACCAGGTATTTGAGGCCTAACGGTCGTCCGATCACTATGCTGTATGGACACAACAACATCTAGTTGTCAATTGATCAGATTATCTCCTTCAGTCACATTCTGGACGGCAGAGAACAGAGATTGCTCGCCATCCCCGAAGAACGGTTCCTGCTTCGCAATCTTACAGTGTCTTAGAAAGGGGTAAATAAAGTCTCGGAACATGTACATCGATCCACACGAGCCCGTCTGCAAGGGGCTTCAACTGCTTATTATTATTACGGTTGATATGGATTCTCCAGGCAAGGTATTATTGGGTCAACACTTTCGGAAGATCACATCGTTTTACCTTATCCACCTCGGTATGTGCATCAATGCACGTGATGGCATTATTATTACCGCTCTGGACCCTTCGGACAACGATCGGGACGGTAACTGGCCGAAAAATCCGTCGGGATCCAACCTCTGGTCGGAGCCTACCACAACTCCATCAATCACCCGAATCCGAGTAAATTCTGTGCATTTTCCCATCATTCATCTGTCAAAGCCGCTCTATCCTTTCGACGGTTCGCTTGGGGTCCCTTGCCCGAAACGGTTGGTTTGGTGCAGATACCCCAGGATGCGGCGACCGCCGTGGAGGCTGCGGCGATAATTACTCAGCTCATCCGGCCTACTCAGCCCAATAAGAGGCCCTGGATGCCCAAAGGGCTCAAAAACAATCAATGAACCCCAAACTAACATGATACCACTAGCATGCCGAGGGTCAACAAGGGTTCAGTCAGCCTCGAAGAGGCGCCGCACAGGCGAACCGGAGGGCATCATGGATGTACAACCACGCGACGATGAATTGGTCAACATTATTCGGGGCTCTCTGGGTCAAGCTCCTCGTCGTCGGGCTCGGATAGACTTATTGCCGGTCTCATTGGTAGGGGTGATCTCGTTTGTGGATTGGATAGATTGGCTTTCCATGCTATCCTGCTGAATATCAGGATGAAAGGGTTCGACCGGAGTGGGCCGAATGTTAAAAAATTCATTATCGTCTGGTTGTTTATCCATTGTGTCCTCTGACTCGCCTATGCTGGCTGACTGGAGCCTTGTTGTCCTTTGGCATGCCAGTGGTATCAGTGTTCGTTTGTCGGTTTTTTGTTTGTTTTTGGATCCCTTTTGGCGTCAGGGCCCCTTTCAGGCTGGGTTGGTTGACTGTGCTCTGTGGTTATCGCTGCAGCCTCCACGGCAGTTGCTCGCATCCTAGGGCATCCGCGGGGCCTCTTCCCCCCTTGTCCCTCAGGAGCGTGTAACGGTCGAGTCCAGTCGAGATCAGGGTGTCTGCCCTGGTCGAGGTTATTTCTTTGCCGGTGTCTGCCACCACTCGGAAGTGCATAGGAACGCGGTGATACGCAGGGAAGTTGTCCAAAGCTTGCATCGCTCGTTCATCGCCGCAATCTTCACCGGATATTCCTGACTTGTGTAAGTATGAAATCATACCAAACTCAGGCAGGGAGGGGGTGAACAACTACATCAATCCCGTAAGGATATCTTCCAAATGAATTCAAACTTTCACTTAGTTAACTATATTAGAGCTCCAGCTAGTTACCCTTATTCCACTAGTAAAGCCAAGCGCTCTAGTTACTATATTTAACGATTATGCTCCAGATTGCTCCCTACATTGTTACCATCCCCACCTAATGCCATTTGGCAATGGCACCCGTACTTCGTACTTGACTGGGTGTAGGAAGTGGACACCGCCATCGTGGGCCGTGAGAACGAGGGCCATGAGACACACGTGACCTAGGACGGGAATAGGACGGGAATAAGACGGGAATAAGATGAGAAAAATCAGTATCCCACCTGTATTCTTCATAAGAAGACAGACTAGGTTTTTACCAATTTGTTGAATCAAACTCCTGGAACTCCAACAGCGTGAAAAATGGGCGCAAATACCGAAATTCCCGCCGACCAGTTCGTCGTCCTCACGCCTCGCCTGATCCTGGTTCCCACAACGACGGCGATATCGTTCAGCTCATACCGGGCACTTTACTCCGACCTCCATGCAAATGTGGACTTCTGTGCAATGGGATTCGGGCCTCATTTCCCAGCCCGCAAATGGAGCGACGAAGAAACACGTGAATCGATCCAAACGCGTGATATTGAACGTTGCTGGGGACAGCGCGGGCTGGGCGATTTTGCTGTGGGGCTACGCCCGCCATCGACATTCCAGTCCGACAATGACTCGACGCAACATGATGCCGTCTCCACCACAGTCAGAGGCGATGAATATGTCCGCATTGCAGGCCAGGACAATGCCCTGCTATCTGCCTGCAAGTGGGTAGGCTATGTGGGTCTCCGCGATGCTACAACGACCTCAATGCCGCCGCGAGAGCCTGATGATCCCGCGCTGCCACATTGGCTTGAAATGATCGAGCTGCGCTATGGTGTGGCGCCTGAGTTTTGGGGGAAAGGAATCGCACAGGAAGCTGCCAAGGGGCTTATGCGGTGGGGTGCGGTTGAGAAGGGGGTGAAGAGGTTCATTGCCGAGACCGAGAGAGATAATACCCGAAGTGCGAAGGCGTTGCAGAAGCTTGGGTTCACACTCAGTGACACGGACTATTGGAAAGAACCGAGCGAATTGGAATGGGAGTGTGTCGCGAAATGAAGAGTTGTGGCCTTTGTCTATCACCGTGATTCATATGGGTTGCAATTGGACCATTCAAGATGCTGGTCGAGGTGAATTCGATGTTTATTACCTTCCTCGGCTCCGAGCTTTGAGCTTGTTCCTATGGACGAATCTATACATGGATCATTGAAGGAGCGACATGTAACCTCACTTTGGCACCAGTCCTTTGACATACAGATGCTCATGATCTTCGACTTCTTGTCATCCATTTGACCTAGCACATGTTCTTATGAGTGGGCACACAGCAACCTCGATCGGAAAGTCTGCTGTTTCTTCTACGATGTATCCATCTCCCCGTTTTCCAAATAGAGCCAAACCCAACAACTCACCATCCAATCAGATCCTCGGAACCGATCATCTTCTAAATGTTTGGCCTTCATGGATCACTGGAAATAAGCTTAAAGTTCGAGTAACCCAGCGTAAGACACCCTTCACGTGCCTAGTACTTACCCTATAAAGACCTAAGCCCACCCATCAAGACTTCTGATAGACCTCTATCTCAAGAATCTCCACCATCACGCACTATGCCCATCCACATCATAATGCACTTACTTCTCTACGCCATGCTGAGCATCACAGCTCTCACAAGAGCATACACCCCCATAACCGACCCAACAATCTACATGATCCGCCACGGAGAGAAACCCGGCAACGGCATCAACGGCCTAAACTTCCAGGGTCTCCAACGCGCCCAGTGTCTGAGATCCGTATTCGGCAGGAACTCTGAGTACAACATCGGGTACATCATGGCGAACATGCCGGGAATCAGTATGACACACACTACGCAAATTGTTTTTTAACAAGGCTATCTCTCTAACAAGCCCAACTCAGATGGCAACAGAAATCGTCCCCTCGAGACCGTTAAGCCTCTCGCCGCGGACCTCGGTTTGACCGTTGACACATCCTGTGATCGAAATGACTACGACTGTGTCAAGAAAGCGGTTAAGGCGTACACGGGTCCGGGCAATATCCTCATTTGCTGGGAACATATTGCATTGACGCCTATTCTGGAGACGCTTGGTGTGGAGCATGCGCCGGAGTATCCTCATGGCAGGTTAGTACTTGACGTTGCTTTTTGTTGTTTGGGCATTGTGGTAACTGATCTAGGTTCGATCTTATCTGGACTGTTCCTCCGCCATACTTGAGTGTCACCAATGAGAGAAGTGAGAACTGTCCCGCACTGGATCTTTGAGAGTGTTCCAATGTGTGTGCTACAATTCGCCTACAAGTGGTCAATATGACGGTATGGTTATGAGTCATGGATCTTATGGTGGGTGATCGTGGTCATTATTCATATCACTGGGTTTCACGATCTGGCGGGCGTCGGGGTATTACGCTTTTAGCGGGGTTCAGGTACTCAGGGAAAGGTTCAATTAACAGGCGATAATTCGCATTTTACGTTTCAAACCTGCTTTACGCATTTAACAAGGACAAGAACTATCATCGTCGTGTAATCAGTGCCTGCTCGTTGTGAGCGACTAACAGTGACATGGCTATACAGCTGACGTATTACTTCGTCCAATGACTACCATGAGAACACCCGGACCTATGAACAGAGTTACAAGAGGTCCTAGCTGTCTAAAAGACTTGTGGACATTTTCACGGGGTTACAATCTCTATGGTATCAGTATCAAAATTCTCAACGTAAACGGAAAGCAGATAGACTACAGAAGTCTTGAAACTCGGGTACCTAATGAGCCAATAAGACACTGGAAGCGTAGTGACCCAAGTATCTACGATCACGATATAGAAGACCAACGGAAGGTTCAAAAAATAGCATCGTGTCAAATTTGCATTATAAGCTAGAACAGACACGGACAGGGTATTTCTCAAGTACGATCAATATCTTCGACATGAGTTGAAGAGCTGTAATTACATCGTGTCGCGTGATAACGCCGAAACAACGCACTGGAAGGGGTGTTGGCCCAAGTGCTTCTCGAACAAAAAAGAACATCCCAATCAATCCGGTTGGGACGCCCAAAGTAAGCTACCAAAGCAAAAGCTAGTGTGAGGATACCAGCTCTGTCAGCAAGGAAAACACGGAGACGTGAATTCAGGTTCTGGGAGCTTGAGACTACTCAGGTAGAGCAGAGGCATTCTTCTCAATGTGAGTGCCTTCCTCGGCACGAATATCGGCCGCCTTATCTGTCTGGATTGCTCCCTGCTCGAGCATGCGTACGTGCTGGTACTGGACCTTGGTCTTCCAGGGCCTGAGACCAGGAGTGGTGAACATGGTCTCCACTTCCTCGAGGGTCTTGCCAGCAGTCTCAGGGAAAGCGAAGAAGACATGGATCGTCATGGCCAAGCAGAAGACACCGAAAACAATGTACACCTTCCATTGGATGTTCTCAAAGGCGGGAGGGACGAAGTAGGACAGGGCAAAGTTGAAAATCCAGTTGGAAGAGGTCGAAAGCGCGACAGCCTTACCACGGAGGCGGAGGGGGTACAGCTCAGGGGGGTAGATCCAGCTGACAGGGCCCCAGGTTGGCGCATAACTGGCGACGAACAGATATGTGCAAGCGATGACACCTTTTGCGGCGGACTGCGCGTCGGAGAGATCCCATGACTGCTCAGGGACATTATCGAGACCACCAGGAGGTGCTGGCCTGCCGTAGGTTGCCATGATACCAGCGTTGGCGAACATGAATGTCATCATGAGAGTGGAGCCAACGAGAAGGGGAGTGCGACGGCCCCAGCGATCGATGAAAACCAGTGCCAGAATAGTCATGACCACGTTGATGACATACTGGATAGAGGAAGCGACAAGATTGCTGTTTCCGGTAAGACCAGCCATGCCAAACACATAGGTAATATAAAGCATCATGACATTCATGCCGGTGAGCTGAGACCAAATCTGGGTGAAAACACCGATATGAGTGCGGTAGATCATGTTCCCCTTGAAAAGATCCAGATAAGAGGCGTCCTTATTGCTTCGCTCAAACTCGACCATCTCACGAATTTCATGCATCTCAGTCTGCACAAAGGGTGCATTGTAATCGCCCTTTGCGTGGACAGTGGCCAGAACCTCATGAGCCTCCTCCCAGCGCTCTTTCTTGGCCAACCAACGGGGACTCTCCGGCAGAACGAAGACCAGTCCGAAGAGCAAGGCCGCAGGAACCATCTGCACACCCCACGGGGTACGCCAGGCAGCGTTGCCTTCGATAAAGCTACAGCCGTATGAGATGTAGAACATGATCAAGATACCCCATGTGATAGCCCACTGCTGAGCTCCAACGACCTGGCCACGCTTACTGGGCTGGGCTAGCTCGGCGACGTAGACGGGGACCTGGGCGCTGAGAATACCGACGGAAAGTCCGTTGATGAAGCGACCAACGACGAGCTGGGGGATACCGAAGGATGAACACACGATAGCGCTGCCGATGCACCAGATAACCGCGCCAACTTGGATAGCGCCGCGACGACCCAGGTAATCAGTCACGAATCCAGAAGCCAGAGCGCCTACCCAGGAGCCACCAGGCATAGCAGCGGAGATACCACCCTGGGTGGAAGATGTAGGACCACCACACTTTCCATCCTTCATGCCAGTTTGGTTGAAGGCACACTTGTACTGCTGGGTACCGAGACTAAAATAAGAGTTGGTCAACCCTCAATACACCCCACATATAGCAAGTCATAGGTGGGTCAACTTACATGGCAGACATGGAGGCAATGTCGAAACCGAACAGTGCACCGCCAATGACGGCCACCGTCGTGATGACATAGATGTTGGTGATTTTATAACCCATGATGATAGACCACCTATGGAGGCAGATCAGGGGATGACGGAGGATGCGGAAAAAAGAAAGAGACGAGGAGTAAGGGGGCCAGAGGTTTTAAAGGTTTGAAAATACACGAAACAATAAAATCAATCAAAGCGCCCAAAACGGTCAGGGAGCAAACGCCAAAAGTTTAATAGAGCCAAAGTGGAGACCCGTAAAATGCGGGGGGACAAAGAGCACTAAATGCTTCCAAAGTTGGATGTTTGCTCCATCATTCACAGGGATTTCCTCTCTATTCACACTAAATACTATATCGTATACAGATACATGGAAGAGCGAAGACCCTATTATCTCCATATACCACTTGAATATGTTGGATATAGTCGAAGTCATCTAAGGCCATCAAGCATCGATAGAGCCCTGACCCCGTGATCGAGTGTCGATCAGTTCTCTAGCGCATGCAACTTCAAGTGTTCTCTACAGCCACATGGTATCATCGTCTCTCGGACATTAGCCTGTTTCGTCCTGGTTCTTTCGTTTAGAGGAAACACTGGCCTACCGCATCCCGAGGCCCCTCCTTCTGACTCATCTCTTGCGGAAGACGCATGGCTTTTTATCGGACAAGGTCAATAATTAACAAATGAGTGTCTATATGTGCTATGTGATGGCTTCGAAGCTAAGATGACTAGGGAGAAGTAACGTGTGACTTTGTTAGGGCGCCATAGCCAAACGGGTGGCTTTAAAGGCTTTTTGCCAACATGCCCCTCCCGCCTTGATTCGACGACGGTGCATGCTTGGGACAGAGGCCCAGAGGGTCCAAGCCAGTTAACCCGGCAAAACGACAACCTTGATCGTGGTACGACCCGACTTTCGGTCATGATTCGCCCGACTCCCGGCGGAAAATACCAACCCCGACGTGCCTACGGCAGCAGCCCCTGAACCTCGAACTTTCAGGGCTGGGTGCCCTCGATCACTGGAGCCATGTGAGCATTTTCTGAGCTCCAGTACTATGTTATTGTTGCGCCGTCCCTTGTGCCATGGCAGATGTGTGAAACGATGATTACGGTTGGGGCTGAACTTTGGAGGGTCGAGTGTGCACCCCGTGAAGGCGTAGATTAAGGCGCCAAGGAAGCGGTCAAGGCCACGCTTACCACGCTTACCACGTCCACGTCAAAGAAGGAAATACCGGTCCGAGACACGCCGGGAGAGTTTCCATGGGAAGAATGGTTGCATTCTTTCCGTATGTTCACTACGGAGTATTGACAAATGAGAAGCCGTCATTCGATACGCATTTTTCTGACCCTGCCAGAATGGAAATAGTACCATATCGCGTATGCTAAGCTCCATTGACAGAAATTCTGTGTGCCGTTTCCCGACTGCCATAATAATACCGAATGACTCGGAATGAGAACGATGTAACGAAGCGCGAACTGTCATCACCCAGCCTAATGTTTTAGTTCGCTTTTAATACAGCCGGGACTAAGATGTGATCCCCATCGCTGCGTTCCATGTGTGTAACCGAAATTACTCCTAGGATGAGAAACCCATGCAGCCCAGATCTGATCCCCGGCCCCAGGAACTTCGGACATGATGTGAAGCAAACGCCTTCCAGGTGGGACATGCGCAACCAGCCGTTCGATGCATGGAACTATTAAACCACTACCCAGGGAAGTCAGCAGATTCTAGCAGCTGTCATGATGATAGATAATGTCACATGGGGCACAAGCGACGTGGGGATGGAAAGTTCTCGAAGCCTATGAACTGGGCGAAGACCAATTTCAGCTCCCTCCCTTCTCTTGAATGCGCCGGAAGACACCCTGCTGTAAATTTAGAAAATACTCGCCTGAAATTGGTGTTGAGGGATTTTTTTTCCTTGCCTGTCTGGTATATTCCATCTCAAGATCCTCTGGCTCTCGAGGATCTGGGTGGGCCAATCCACATGGCAGGGAATCTCCGGAGTTTCAACAACTCCTTTTGAACCGATTGGGTCTTCGCAGCTCGATATCCATACTTGGCTCCTTATTTCTGATATCTATCACCAGACCGGCCCCTCACTTGCGAGTGAAGAGTTTTTAGGGCACCGAAGAAGAGAGCGTTGAGGTCCATGATATGCTTTCGTCTCGTATTGAATGCTCCACATGCTGGGGTGGGTAACATCCATTCACGACTAAGTATCTTGTGTCAGAAGCTTCGGATTGAGTGGGCAGACCATGGACGGTAAAGGCACTTGCTCCCAGCGGGCCACAAGACCCGATATTGAGGCATGATCTGAGCCTTGGAATCAAGCTCACATGGTAGCTGCAGAAGACTCAGAATGGCATTGCAACCCGTGGCGTGGGTGAAGGACGGCGATGTTTCAGATTGAATCTGTTACAACACGGGGGCGGCGATTTTGCTTTTATTAGAGGTTGATGTCCTACGTGGTTGTGAAAAGCTTAGTATTGTTCCCTTACAGACTCGAGGTGCCGTACAGCGGATGTCTAATTGATAGTCTATCGTTAGCTCGACAAGTGAATGCTTGACTGTAAGCTACTGTAAGCCACAAACAAGGGTTATCCACTGCTTGATCTAACGTGGTTATAAAAACCGAGACATGGAACCTACTCGATCACACCACCTGATTGCTACGAGTTCGAGCCCTTGGATGCTTTCAGTTCGTACCTAGACCTAGGTATACCTAAACTGCAAGTAATTGGAAGTACAACCTACCTATCCAAGTACCTCCTACCTATACTTCCATATCTTGCTCGCCGTGTCAATGATATATAGCCAGAACCTATGGCTGAGTCTTCTATGTAGGCAAAGTGAATTATGTCGACAAATAATTCAAGTATATGTCGACAACAATGTATTCTTCCATTCTGCTAAGATTATCTAGGATTGGTCCACATAAATGGGTTTTATTTCCACCTGAGAGATCTTGGACCTCCCAAGCCGATTGAGTTCCCGAACTCCGTCCGCTCCACCTTCACTCCCGAGAGTCCACTCCGACCACCCCACCTGCGTCATCACCGTTTTTATGTACTCACGCCACACTTGATGGAAATAGTGCTGGTGTTTTACATCTTATTTTCATGTTTCGCGTGGGCTGTAGGATTATACAGGGTTTGACCAAGATTAGCCGCGTGTCGCGATCCCATACTGTCACGTGTCGCCAAGTCTTGGCGACCATCTCAAGCATTCTCGCGATCATCGCGTACCAGCGCACGCCAGTGGCTCTTTGCCCGTCAATCCAATGCCCCTCAGACCTAGATACCCACTTATCCCACGCGACGGCGGGGAAATCTCGCAGAGTATGCAATGCACACACTCACTTGCAGTTTGCGATCGTGACTCTATTCATAACACCTCCCGGTCATCGGGGCCCGGCAGTGGAGCCGAAGATGAGATGCCCAGCCCGAAGACCAACGGGCTTGTCAAGCGACTTTAAGGTTTTCAGTTTGATTTTTTCCGTGAAAAGGGACAACTCGCGGTCTGCGGTCATTGATCCACCGGCCTCAGGGTGCCCCAACATTGGCCGAACGGCCGGTGGATCGTCCCGAGAATCAGATTTTGAACTTCCAGAATTTCCACAGTGGCCAATTCTGTGAGGATGGGGATCGCGCTTAAATTGTGGGCTTGGTCTCTTTTCTTTAATTGCCCCTCTAATCCCCGCCATTCCAATCTGTTGCATCTATCGCTTCTGTCTTCATCTGTTCGAAGTCATGCTGTCGGCGCTCCCCAATGACATACTCCTCTTGATAGGAGAGGAATCGGAACAGAAAGCGGACCGCTGGAACCTCGTCCTTGTCTCTCACCACTTCCATGATCTTTTCCTCCCGCTAGTTTATCGAAAGGTTCTTATCCACCACTGGCATGATGCCAACTCATTTCTACATGCCATCCTCAAGCGACCCGCGTTGGCGCGGGCTGTTCGAGAGTTTGACATAACCAACTGGGTCCAACGAAACATCTCCGACGTCGACAGCAATCTAATCGCCAACTCGGCACAATTGACGGAATTGCTACATACTGCATCACATTCCAAGCTTGAGAGTGATCAATGGTCACAAGATCTCAGACGAGGCCTGGCTGACGCCTGGGCCGCACTCATTACACCGCTGTTGAGTCGCCTTAGCAAGCTCCAGTTGGCTCATGGGGCAAGGTCACCCTATTTAGACCGAACTATGCACAGGGCCCTGAACTCCGAAAGACCATTCTGCGGTGAACCAGCCTTTCAGCAACTCCGCGAGGTCTCCTTGCACCATCGGGAGGATCTTGATCAAAGTGACGACTCAGAAACTACGGCAGACGGTCAACCATCACCGTCACTTCTGCTTCCATTCTTCCAATTACCCTCCGTTCGTTCAATCACAGCCAACTCTGTGGTTGATCCCAGCTCCATGATTACCCCATCAGAGCAATCAGCGGAGGATGAAGAGCTACGCCTTGGCTTCTCCTCCATCACCGATATTGACTTGCGATCAAGCAGCGGGAACCACGGCATGAAGGCGTTTGTGAGCTCCTGTGCTGGTCTGAAGTCATTTAAATACCAGCATTCAGATTCACACGTTCTTTCACACGGTTACCAACCATCCGCATTCTATCGCTCTCTATCCCACAGCAAGTCGAGCCTCGAAATCCTGTGGCTGGACCACTACGGACGCCACCACCCGTTCACGGCGGCTGGGCTAAATCAATCTCACGATGAGTGGTTCGGCCCTTTAGTCGATTTCACTGCCTTGCGGGAGTTCCGCGTCCGACTACCAAATCTGCTGGACATCCGATACCAGAATGAACCAACTACGCCACTCATCGATTGCCTTCCGTCATCGCTTGAAACCATTTACATCGAAGGGTGCGAAGAGCGATATTTGGGCATGTTGGTTGCCCAGCTACAAACTGTCATAAAGAGTCGCCGGACTCGCTTCCCTTGCCTCAAGCACATCAACATCGAAGGCGCATTCACAAATTTCCCATCAGATGGCGATGACGATGGCGTCATTACTAGCTTCGGGCCCGGTGTGCCTGAAGTTGCGATCAAAGATAAAGTATACCAGGCAGCTGAGCCTTTGCATATAGATTGTGTCCAGGCGGGATTAGAGCTGCATCTTCACGACCGTGCCCTTTCACACATTTGATTTTCTGATGTACGTTGCAGCGTTCGGGCTTGCGTTTTGAGACCATGATTTGACGATACCATCCATTTCAAGGATTTGCATATAGATTTAGATGAATGAATGTTAGACGAGAATTGGTCTACCATATGCATTGCAACTGATTTGCGTACATTTCGTTTAATGGGTATTCTAATAGCTTGCGTCTACAGGGAAGCAAGGACCGCATCGGCGCCAGATTTCTATTAAGAGACCAGATCAGTAATCACCCACAAGATAGTCCGAACAGAAAGATGAAATCACACCTTAAGAGAACCGCGCTCAGTCTCAAGCCCAGCATAAGTTACCTTGCCATGGTCGATAACAATGGCATAACGACTAGTACGGCCAGACGCCTCATCAGCCCAGCCAATGCTCTTAGAGAACTTGGCATCGGGATCAGTGAGGAAAAGCTACGCGAAATCAGCACAGTGCAGCCAGCCAAGGGTAATGGATTCAAACTCACGATATCATCACCACGGACCTGGTTGGCCTTACCCCAGGCACTCATGACAAAGGGATCATTGAACGCAACTACAGCGACAACATCCACACCCTTCTCACGGAGGTTGGGCAGATTCTTGATATAGCCGGGAACGTGGCTGACGGAGCAGGTCGGGGTGAAGGCACCTTGGTTTCGAAATGGCGTTAGTTATTGATGCACCCTCAAGGACTGGGAGAAGCATTGAACTTACCGGGAACTGCGAATAGGACCACCTTCTTGTTGGCCCACTCCTTGGAGGCATTGTAGGGGATGGGGATGCCGCAGGAGGTGATTTCACCGCTCTCCTCGGTCCATGGAATGTATCTGGCGGGATCAGCGGTGTTGATTGCGGGGTTGAGGGGTGTGTTCTCACTGGAAGACGACGTCGCTAGGGAACGAGTCACCGGCTTTGAGGGCGGGCATTTTGGATATGTTTTGGGATTGATTGATGTTATTGAGGGGGATGAAGAGGTGTTGGGAGTGGCTTCGGGGAATGGCGGGGTGAAGATGTCTTGTTGATTTACTCCAAGCTGATTAATGCGTTGCGGTGGGCGGAACCCGCCGACCTCGGCGTTTACCTCTTCGCTTTCTACACCGTTTCTTTGGCTGATTCTTTGGCTGGTGTGTTGAAAAATGGCCAACACTACATCTCAGATGTCAGAATGATATTCTTCATACCAAGTCCGTGGAAACTCTGGTGTTTGCCAAAACCCGACCGTGCGGGGTCCCCGCGTGCTTGTACACAAGGTATATGGGGATGGGGCAGACCTGTCAAGGTCCTCACTCTCAGGATGGTAGAAAACATTACCCTTGATACTAGCAATTGCAATTTTCTTTCTATTGCTATTCTCCGGAACCCTGGGCCATCACAAATATTCGTCACAAAACCACCAATATCTCCTCTCCAGTTGGATCCTTGGCAGCTCCTCTGCGCCTACTGTCACTCCTTACTTCCACATTAAGATGATTTATTGTGCCACCAAAACGCCACGATAACGCATTTTGCCGTCTTCCAATGTCTTGAGGCTTTCTTTGACTCCATCCAGCGTTAGAGGGTATGTCATCTTGACAGGCTTGATGTTATGGAATGCGGCAAATTCGAGCATCTCCCGGTGGATCTGTCGTGAAGACACAATATCTCCCTGAATTCGAAGCCCGTTCAACAGAAGCGGCATATAGGGAATCTTGAGATCGTTGTCATCGACGGAGAGAGGGGAGATAACAGCACCAGGACTTAACACACTCAGGTAAAGATTCCAATCCGGCTGACTGCTGGTCGTGACGATCAGGTTGTCGACGGGCGCTTTGATCTTGAGTTCTTTAACACCCTTGGTCGCATAGAATTCACTGGCTCCCAGCTTTTTCGCCTCCTCCTTCTTGCTATCCGTACCGGAGAACACAACGACTTGACAGCCCATCTTGGCCGCGAATTGGATAGCCAGGTGTCCGAGACCACCAACTCCGACGATACCAACGCGAGCGGTTGGACGAATCTCCGCAGCGTGAATAGCATTGAAAACAGTCGATCCGCCGCACATCAAGGGCGCGGCATCCTCGTTGGACATGTTGTCAGGGACCTTGAACAAGAAGGCTTCGCGCCACACGGCGTGGCTGGCGAAGGACCCCTGGTCGAGGTCGGCACTGCCGTACATCTTTCGCTCTCTGCATAGTGTTTCCCAACCCGTCAAGCATTGGGGACAGTGACCGCAACAATCATGCTCGTATCCCCAACCAACGCGGTCGCCTTTCTTCATGAGTTTCACGTCTGGGCCCGTTTCCTCGACTATGCCGGTTCCTTCGTGGCCAAGAGCCATGTCGACGGATTGGTAGTGTACGTCAGTGCCGCACACTCCGGAATGGGTGACTCTGACAAGCACATCGTCGCGTTCGAGGTCACCCCGCTCAGTCTGCGCCTGCTTGATTCCATCTTTGGAACCTTTATACACGGTAAATTTGATAGGCATTGTGAATGAGAATTTCGGTTGAGTGAAGTTCGGAATTGACAGGGAATCATAAGGTTACTACCTGTGAGCCCCGGCACCTGCTTTATAGGATATGGTGACCTCACTCCCGCTGATACGTCATTTCCTCCTACCGTGGGAGCTGAATGCAACGAGCTCGACATACTTGATCTGAACGATCGCCATGAATCGAGCTGATAAGCATTGTGGGACTATGATCGGTGGCATGATCGATGATAGGCGCATCTTCCACGACATTTACGTGCATTGTATCACAAAGAATACATCCGACTATATGAGCAGGTTTTGCATGCTTGTTCCTCACAGGATTTTAGCCATTGGACATTGTAGAACCGGCTTTCATGAGCATGCACGAGGATGATCAATACGACTGGCCGTCTAAAGTTGATGACATCATGTACCCACGCTATCAGGAATCTGTCTCCGCTGGAGGGCCGCATTCGTCTTGAGAATATCTGCGTACTGTATGATTTAGATCTTTCAAAGCCGGAGGGGGTGGTGGTTGGGTTATCGAACACTTCTACTGTAGGTTGCACAGGAACATGTTCTCTGCTATGAATTCCACGTGAAAGCTGTGGAATGCCACACCTGCCGACAAATATCACATGCGATTTTGGCTACGTCGCTGGAGATGCCCTTCTTAACACCTCCCACAGGTCGGGAGATAGAAGCCCTCCGAATACTTGAAGTCAAAATGGGTTCTCACCTTTGTATTTCCTCGCTTCAAAGCAAGGAACAAGGCATTTCAATATGCTTGGAAGCTATCAACGGGAATAACTTCATCCGAACAGGCTCAGTCTCGCCCTAAGAACTCATCAAATGACAAGCAGTGAGCACAATCGGCAATCGCAACTTCGGAGACTCGAAAACGATGGCTGGAATAGCAATAACATTATCACAGCTGCTGGAAGTTCCCCTGGCTGTCACTTATTCTGCCATTTGAAGGCGGTATGCCACGCGACCCCGGGTCAACCGATTAGGAAAGGTCGAAGTTTAAAAAATAAAGTTGCTTTAAAGTTTCTTTTGTCGCAATTTTGAATTTTCTCTTAGAAAAAAAAGAAACAAAACTGTCTGTTTCTTTCTGACAGCGATCTGCCTCAATTCCCGGGTGCTTCGAGTAACCACTCGAGAGTATGATTGACCATAGTATCAGCGCCAGTGGGCTTCCCCATGGCCATACCTCCGATGACAAAGATGCAGCCTTGGCAGTCGTCAGCGAAGTGGCCCAGGAAATCGATCCCGTGGTAGCAAGGAGGGTTCTATGGAAGATTGATCTATATCTGATGCCTGCTATGCTTATCGGTCAGCTATGGCCCAGCTATCTAACCTGGGAATTGTTAATTGTTCTAACCTGAACGCAGGCTATGGCATTGTATACTACGACAAAGTGAGACAAGTCCGTTATTCGGCCCTAGATCATACTAATCCCCATACAGGCCATTCTAGGTAGTGCCGCGCTCTTTGGAATGACAACCGACTTGGACTTGATCGTAAATGACTACTCCACTACTCCTCCATCCGCTGATTCATCCCGGCTCAGCTGGGCAACTTCAATCTTTTACTTCGGAATGCTTGCCGGTCTCTACCTGATGACCTTCATCTTGCAAAGATTCAAGACGCGCACCGTTCTCGGCCCGGTCGTCATGATTTGGGCTATTGTCTGTGCCGCTACTGCGGGAGTGTCGACCTGGCAAGGACTGTTTGTGCAGCGATTCTTCCTTGGTATGTAAAATATCAGTAGTTTCTGTTCCTAATCTCGTCTAACAAATGGCAGGTTTCATTGAAAGTGTTATCCCTACAAGCTTCATGACTATAGTCAGTGGATATTACACGCAAGAAGAGCAAGCTCTACGACAGGCGTGGTGGTTCTCTGGTACCGGCTGGTTCACCATCATCGGCGGTGCCTTGAACTATGGGTTTGGCCAGATCGAATCTGGATCGTTGACAAGATGGCAGTACATCTATATTCTGGCCGGTGCCTTGACATTTTTGTTTGGTCTCTGGTGTTGCACTATGCCCAATTCCCCGGTCTCTGCCTGGTTCCTGACTCCGGAAGAAAGAATGGTTGCAGTGGAGAGACTGCGCAAGGGTCAAACCGGTGTCAGATGCCAGAAGATCAAATTCGACCAGATCAGAGAGTGTCTGACGGATGTCAAGATCTATCTGGTAGCTATTATGATGGCGGCAGCGTAATTTTTCTCCCTTCCTTGTGGTGGAATATACACCATTCGCTCCCTCATGCTAATACCTCTGCAGATACACCATCAACGGAGCGATCTCAGGCTTCGGGCCCCTGATTGTGTCCACCTTTGGCTATGACACCCTTTACTCGATTCTATTCCAGTTTCCCGTCGGTGCCGTCTGTGTGATATTCATCCCTCTTTGTGGCTATATCCCTACTATCGTTCCCAATACTCGTATCCCCTTACTCATCATCTGCTGCCTACCCGTTATCGCCGGCTGTGTGATGATCTGGAAATCTGAGTGGGGATATCGTCCAGCTACGCCAGTTATCGGATATGCGTTGACTGGCTTCTTCGGGCCCGTGGTCAGCCTGATCATCACTGTTGGAGCCAGCAATGTCGCCGGCGCAACGAAGAAATCCGTCATGGCGGCAACCGTGTTCGTGGCTTACACTGTCGGTAACATCATTGGCCCGCAGCTTGTGAAGAGCGACCAGAAAGCACAGCATTACCCCGAGCTGTGGACGGGCATGGTTATCTGGTAAGTTTTTATCTGATGGGGCTTCTCTGGCTGAGCTAACAAAGTTCAGCTACTGCATCACTATTGCCGCTGCTGTTGTGTTGTATCTGATCCTTCGCCGAGAGAACAGAATTAGGGATTCGATGGAACTGGATGAGGCACAGCGCGACAAGATTGCGTTCGATGACCTCACCGACAAGCAGAATCCCTTCTTCCGATATGCCTTATAGCAGCACTTCTTCCACGGAGGACCAACAAGCGTACGACTTCGGGTTCAGCATACGCCATGCGACTGTTGAATATGGACTGGTACTACCAAATGTATATACAAAATCTAATTATTTTCTGATAATACTGCAAATATCATCACCTCACTTCCACCTATTCTTGTTCAACTCGCTCATTCCATGTTTTGACTTTCAGCCTCTATAACCTCATTCAGCAACCAAGACCAGGCTAGATCAACCAACTCCAACTACAAATAATACAGATGCTCTCTCTCTCTCCATAACTGACCTCCAAACCCCTGCGAATCTCACAGGGGAAATATCTATCCCGGTAACAAAGGAAACCAGTGCCCACCCGCGTTGTAACAGACATCATCGGGGAGGGACAGGAGTAAACATCGACCATTTCCCCAGATCAGACACGTTCAAAGCGCAACTACCTAGTGGCGTCTTATTTCTCCGGCAGACAGCCGATCAAGAACCCAGAACCCAGCCTACCGGACCTCCTTGCAGAATCATCCGGCCGGTTTCATATCCTCCCCACCTGCGATCTCTCCGATGTATGTATGAAATTCTGTCTCCGCTGGGTGGAAATAGATCTCGTGTCTTGCCATGAATTGGATCTGTCCCTACCGGACTCTGTGTTACGGTCTATTAGTCTAGGGTATGTTTTGGAGTTCGTTCTGTCGGAGATGGGAATTGGTTTGCATGGAAGTGCCACGACTCTTCACAGTAGGTGCGATTTCCAACGGGCAGTACTCTATTGTGTATGACTGCGCAAAGGGAAACACATGGCAAGCCAAAAATCTCATTTCAGTACCCGTAAGCGGTCAATTGAAACGTCCAGATAATATACACAGTTGAATGTCATAGGGTATAGATTAATAGAGGAATTAGGGTATATGCTCACTTCTACCCAGCAAAACTCGACAGCTGAGCACCAGAGAAAAGAAGTTCCCCGAGACATTATCCGACGTATAACCACCCAAAGCGCGCGTTGCTCAAAAAGACAAAAGGCCAATCCGATACGACCGTAAAGATATACGTGACAGAAGAAAAACCAGCCGCCAGCGCGCCAGCGCTAAACCCACATGCGTAACGTCACAATTACCTGGTAGAATTATCCACGAGCGACTCATCGTCTCGGCGACTTCTCAGCACTGTGAACTATCGTTTCATGAACGACCTTTATGCCATTCTGACTGTTGTGGCTGTGTGTCTCCCAGTCAGCTTCGCCGGCAGCGCAAGTTGCCGGTTGCTGGCGTGAGGTAGGTAGGATCATTTGCTCGTCGCTGGTTGTGTTCCACTGTGTATCGGGAATGGAAAGTGGATGACGGAACTTTCTGCGTCTGCTCGAGTACCCGGCTCCGCCGCCGGTGTCGCCTTCTGATAGAGGGTAGCCGGGGTAGCTGTCTTCGCGGCTTCGTGTGGTAAGGTAGAGACCGGCGCGTCGGGTGGCGCGGCGGATCAGGGGGTAGATCATGGGGATGTTGCCGATGACGACTGCTACGAAGGTTTCGCGGCAGGCCCAGCTGCCGGCTTGTTGGGCGCCGTTTGCACCAGCCTGGAAGTCGTCAGATGTGTTTTGATCTCATGGGTGAGGTCGGGACTTACTGTTACGATGAGTACGCAGCGTAGAATGCCGGCCATCATGACGAATAGTCCGCCGCTGAAGAGAATCAAAAGCTCGAGCTTCTCTCGCCACTTTAGGCGGGCCTTGTAGAGCAGCTTGTCATGATCGTCAGTTATAGGTACTTCATGACACTGACTTGGAAGAAACTTACCGGAGCTGGGATACTAATTAGATAGATGTCCGTCGCGACATTCAGGACCACCGTCACATAGATGTCAATCTTGGACACTGCGGGCTGGCAGTAATCTATCAAACAATCAGACGCACGTTCTCTCTCACGGCCAACCATTGGTCACTTACTTCCAGGATCCGGATCTATCTGCCAGTTCTTGTGCAGAGGGTGGCATCCGAAGAGAATTGAACAGATCGTAGCGATGTAAGTAACGGCGATCAAAACATAAGCGATATGGATTCGGATTCGCATGTTCAACAAGCCCGCGCTATATCGCAGAACAGACATCAGTACCAATAACCAGCTTAGAGGCAATGAGGGTAGCAACTCACGTCAACCGGGAGTAGAAGATAGCCATGCATGTTTTCAGCAACCATAGTAAAAGAGTGTATAAAGACCAGCCGGCGACTTGGACCTTAGAGCCGCCCACACGCAGACGATACTCTTCTGAATCCGGGGAAAGATCCTTCCGCTGCTGATCCGTCATAGCGTTATTCGCAAGGCCCATGAACCAGGCGCCGACCATGTATGCGGCACCAGTTTCGAGTCCATACACCACCTGTGTCGATTTGAATCAGCAAAGACAAGACAATAATTCACCGCAGAATAGGGTCAAACTCACGCAGGCCACCAGCATGAGATAGTCATCAGCTTGAAACCCTTTCGGGCCAACCATAACCCATCTTGCCGTCGTACGTAGGGCAATGATGAGAATTGCGATTCCCAACAAAGTGAATGCTTCGGTATTGAATTGGGTATTGCCTGCCATGACGGTGGTTCCTCTCTATTCTCTACCGGTCCAGGATAGAGGGAAAGGGTGTTTGACCCAGGATGCCCATTCAAATAAAGTAAAAGAGAGAGAGGGTCAATTGCACCCAGGGGGCAAGAGATGCGGAAGACAGAAGCGGCAAATGACAAAATCTCGATGCTTCTCCCTTGAGTTCGTTCGTTCGCCCGATTGGAATCTGGCCGAACAAAGAGACAAGCCCGAGCCCTGGTCGATTTAGAAACTCTAAGAGTTCAAAGAAAGAAAAAAGCAACAAGCCAAAAGCCAAAAGCCGCCAAATCTCCACCTGGGCACCCCAGCGGACCTTACTTCCTTCATAAGTTAAACATAAGCCACGTCCGTTATTAATAACTATACACGTGAAGTGGGTTTATGAAAGGTCTGGAGCCGAGAGTGGGATGACAGCTTCGGTGCAGAACAAGTGTCTTACCGGGTAGTTACGGGCCACTGTTTAGTGGTGGACTGACGATGGGGCGGCCCCCAAGTTCCCGGGGAGGACTTTAAGCTCCAGATAGCTTGTTTCGAACTCCCAACTAACCGGGTGCTGGGAAATAGAGCGGTCCTGAGCAGTCCTGAGGAGGACCCGCTCTTCGTCTGAGTCGATATCAACTTCCACATTGAGGTCGACGATCGACATTTGATATGCAAATATCTTTTAGTCTAAAGCGCAGCGACAAGACTTCCAGTCTGTCCCACTTGAAATGGCACTGGTTACACACTGGGAGTACTGCGCTCAGGCACAATATCAACTGGACCAAATTTCGAGAAGCAGCCATGGACCCATGGTCCGGCAAGGAGGTCGGGGGTTTTCTTTGTTCTCTGATCGTCGCAGGATCATAGGATGTGCAAACGGATTAATCCAAATACCGGACACCGGACAATCACTGGGCAATCGCTAGAAGCCTGAGATACAGCCAATGGTGTACTATTCCCCACGGCGGACCGGCAGACCGGGAGACCAAGAGCCATCAGAACTTACAAGCCAAGACGTATTTCCCATTCCGGTATATTTGGCGCTGATCAGCCCGGAGCATGCCCATAGCGCGGAAGCCTTGGAATTTTCGAACGGTGTGTGTCAATTATCTTAAGCCAGTTACTGAGCACCGATGGACTGGGTGCCACTTTTCTGTAACGCGCCATCTGAGTCCAGGAGACAACAAAAGTACTAGAATGGAGGCGAAGGTTTCCGGTTCGCCCGGGTCAGGGGTTGGAATGTTCCCAGGGCTCACTCACACCATACATAATAAATTATGCATAATTTCTTAACAGGAAATACACCAAACGGCGATGAGATGCAGAGAACAGATTTTCGGTTGACAGCGGGCAGTTCCAACCGCCTGGTGGATCCGAACAGCGGGTCCAAATCTTGGACTGTGGATGCATACGGATACTTCGTATACGCAATGCCTCGTGGGTTGGTTCTTCTGTCGGTTTGCTCCGCGGTAACTGCGTGTGTTTGAATCTCAAATACTTTGTCTGATTGCAATGTGATTGATTGGCTGTGGACGAGGGCGCTCAATAGTCCAATTTCGTGACGAACCGCAGTATGTGAGGCTGCATACTGCATCTTGCTGATCCGGTCAGATTTTTGTTTTTGATCCAATTTTGTGGTCGAAGATTAGTGAATGTAAACGCCAACACCAAAGAATCAGTCGAACTATCCATCAGGCGTTCGGTAGAACCGCAGGAGATCTTCATTTCCTCTCGTCTTCTGGTCCGTTTACCTCGGATAGTCCCCGAAGGAAAAAACCTGAAAGTGGACGATCACTTCGAACGGCCTGGCCACGCGTTGACAACAAGGCTAAACTGGTTCAAAGATGAAGCGGAGCTAGTCAAACAAATTCCACTTAGAATGAACGCCGTCACACTCGGTCTTGTTAGGGTTGTACCCAGTGCATGCCGAGTACCCAGATGGGCCAAGAAGGGGAGTCTGTAGCCATAGTACCATATGTTATGCCATACATGTCAGCATAAACAACCCACCTGGGCAGACTCTTGATCTGGTCCCTTAATTTTCCTTTTCTCCATATTATTCCATTGTCTGTTTGTTCCACAGAAGGCAGGCGACGTCCGAGCCGGGGACTTGTCTCAACGGCGTGGATCTGCCTGGGTAATTTCAGATTAGACAGGTCCACTATTCCCGTCCGTATTTCTGGGGGTCCTACCTGCAACAGCAAGGGCTAAATTAGAGAAAATCAATGAAATTAAAGGAAATATCCCGTCCCCTCATAAGGTCGGCTCGGTGCTAATTCTATTAGTTGTCGCTCATTCCTTCACTTCCCGATATTCTGGTCATCGCTGGTGTTCGTTCGCTCGTACATACATTAATCTGGGTTGCAACGGGCCATTTCATACCCTTCGAAAGACAACCCCCCAAAAGTAAGGGAAGTTCAAACGATGGAGTCTGTGGATCTTGTCGTGGTAGGCGCAGGTAAGTTTGAGTCTTCATTCCTCACTGCCGCAATGGCGCTGACAAGCGTTGGGGCCCCACAGGTTGGAGCGGACTGTCCGCTGTCAAGACCTATCGTGAGGTCAACCCTGATCATGATGTGCTCTTGCTGGAGGCTGCAAGCTCCGTTGGTGGAGTTTGGGCTAAGCACCGGTTGTACAAAGGCCTCAAGTCAAACAATATGCTAGGGACGTATGAGTATAGCGACTTTCCGATGGACGAAGCGAGGTTCGGGGTCAAGCCTGGGCAGCATATTCCGGGCCATGTGATCCAACAATACATGGAGGCCTATGCCGAGCATTTCGGTTTCACAAATCTCATTCGGCTGAATCACCATGTGGAGAGCGCGACACACAATCTGGATGGAACATGGGAACTCAGCGTGTCGCACGGAGATAATTCGACAATTATTGCGACCAAGAAAATGATTGTGGCCACTGGAATCACGTCACAGGCATACCTACCTACTTTCGAAGGCCAAGAGTCTTTTGGTGCGCCATTTTTCCATTGTCGCGACCTGCTGCAATATCAAGGTGCGGTATTGCAGCCGGGACAGCGTGCGACCGTTTTTGGCGGGACTAAGTCGGCTTGGGATGCAGCTTATGCATGCGCAACGTCGGGTATGAAAGTCGACTGGGTCATTCGGGAGTCCGGCCATGGCCCCATTTGGATGGCGCCACCCTACGTGACGCCCCTTAAGAAGTGGCTCGAAAAGCTGGTAACCACCCGCTTGCTGACCTGGTTTAGCCCATGTATCTGGGGCGATGCCGATGGCTTCAGCGGCGTTCGAAGCTTTTTACATGGTACCTGGCTTGGTCGCAAGATTGTGGACGCGTTCTGGGGCATCCTGGGCGACGATGTTGTCCAGCTAAACGGCTATAACAAGCACCCGGAGATGAAGAAACTGAAGCCGTGGGTGAGCCCATTCTGGATTGCTTCCTCACTCAGCATCCTTAACTATCCAACCAATTTCTTCGATCTGATCAAGGATGGTACTATTAAAGTACACATCGCTGATCTAGATCGTCTCTCGGACCACACTGTCCATCTGTCAACTGGGGAGGCACTGCCAACATCAGCGCTAATCTGCTCCACGGGCTGGCGTTGCACTCCCAACCTCAAATTCCTGCCTGAAGGCATTGACCGCGAGTTGGGATTCCCTTGGAGTACGGATCCTCTGAGTAAGGAGATGGTCGAGGCGGCGGACAAAGAGATCCTGCACCGGTTCCCCCGACTGCGTGATCAACCACGCCCAAACCCTCGCTTCAAGCCACTGAACGCTGAATCCGAGGCCGCTGCGCCCCATCCTTTCCGCCTGGCGAAGTTCATGGTGCCGCTTTCCCTGGTGAAGGAGCGCTCCCTGGCATTCATGGGTGTCACTATGACCATCAACACAACCCTGATTGCTCAGACACAGGCGCTGTGGATCTCAGCTTATTTCCGTGGTGATCTGACGCCTAGTACACATGAGCGCTGCCCACCTGCTGTGCGTGCTGCATCGGACCTCAAGAGCGAAGACACCTCAGAGGACGACCTTGCCTGGGAGACAGCCCTCCATACAGAGTTCGGCCGATACCGTTACCCAGCAGGATTCGGGCGACGGAACCCGGACTTTGTGTTCGATGCAATTCCCTATATTGACTTTATGCTCCGGGAGTTGGGTCTCTCACCGAAGCGCAAGCAGGGCTTGCTGACACGGTGCCTCCAGCCATATGGTACTGAGGATTATCGGGGTCTGGTCGATGAATGGAAGGCCAAGCAACTCACTTTATAAGACTCTTGCTATTAGCTTTTTCTTCGACAAGGGCGGTGGGAAGAGCAGTGGGAGTGGATGAGGTGGAAGAGTACTGAAGAGGGGGAGGAAGCAGCCATGGAGGAAGGAACCTTTTCTATAAACCCTGACACACTAGCACTTGACATTTCTTTACATTGTTTTTTCTACTTCATTTCTCATTTCTCACTTATTTCTTAGCTTTCCTTTCCTTTTTTTTACTTTCGCGAGCTAGGCGAGATACCCCAGCAAATGTTACTTTCTTTGACATACACCGAGCCTATAGAACGACCTTCTTTTCATGTACTGACCTGGGTATGTAAATCTTCTCATTGCTCAATATTATAACTTCTATCTTTCTTTGATCCCCTTCTTTGTCTTCAGCATCTATTCCACCAAAAGAAATTGCTCCAAAACCGCCACACCAATGAGACCTGAAGTGATCTTTGCTGTTTTCTGACCAGCGCATGTACCTGGTGGTCGTTCATCCCCAGATTTGACAACCTCCCCAGTCAAATCACCAGTCCAACGCATATAATATTCCTCATCCCCTGTAACCAACCTTCTGATCGTGACATTGACGTTCAATTGGCCATTCCCCTCTCCCAGGTCATACTCCAATCTGAACCCATCCGGTACATCACCCACTCGCGGTGGATACCGACCACCAGTGGTTCCTGGACTACCAATCGGTCTCACAGAGAGAAAAGACGAATTACAAGCCGATACGAGCAACTCCCCATCTTTGGCCACATAGCTGCTCACATAGGTGGTGTTCGTCGGATCTTCAAGAGAAAAATAACTGAACCATACAATCGAGTATGGACCCAGACGGCCGTGGCCCCAATACCAGCTCGCGACAGAATCCATGAACGGTCGATCGGACCAATTCTACCACAACCTTAGACGGGATCATTCATTGCCGTGTTTCGGAATCACTGACCTTGTCGTGATACCCAGGTCCCCGGAACTTCAGCTTCGACCCAAGTATACTGACGTCCACCTCGCCCACGGCATCAGGCACCAGACTAACCCAGCCAATATGAGGCGCAACCTCCAGCGTCGTCCGCTCCTCTTGGATCCCACAGGGGAGATGATGCGGTACATGCTATTGGATAAAGTCAGCAAACCGCATGTATCCATGTAAGTTTCAGCCATTACTTACCGAAGACAGTGTAAACCGCCCTTCTACCCCCATTTTCTCAGAAGCAATGGTAATCTCATACCGCGACAGATCCTCTGATTTTGCCTCCCAGCTGACCCCGGTGGAAGCCCACTCCCCAGAGCTGTTCGTCCCCGCGACATCGGCACCTCTCACGGTAGCCACAGTGGCGGGCACAAAATCCGCAAAGACGGTCCCGTTAGCGAACGAAGCCCACACCCAAGCCGTCAGCACAGAGGGTTCGCTCTCGTTCAGGAAAGGAAATGCCTCCCACGACGATGCGAAGAAAGTAATAACGAACGAGTCGTCTGGGTTTGTTTCTGAGACGGCATCGAAATACCACCAGTCGAATACAGACCCGTTGATTGTATCGATCTGCGGTGCATCCAGGCTGAACAGCGTCTTGCTGTCGAGAGTCAATTCCGGTGTGGGGATGTCGAAGCGAGCTTTGCTGGTGCCATTCTCGACTTCGCCGGAGATCTGGTAGCCCTCGCTGCTGATATACTCATCCCTTTTTATCCTTGCGTTGAGTGATGGCGATGGTCTTAGATGACCAGGTAACGCCGAAATTCCTTGTGCTACCAGGGCACTTAGCAAGAGCAATTGGAACATCTGATGCAATCCGATCTTTGCTATATGTTGCATATATGTATACTATACCGACCAGCCTCTAGAAGGAAAAAGCAAATGGACCTCATGAGTGCACTGCGCGGGCTTACATACCAATTGCAATGAAACTATCATGGAATTACACTTTTCCATCCCCGCCCGCTCAAAGAAAAAATAGGACGATCCTTAACTTCGTAAGAGGACTGGTTTCTTGGCTCCGTGGTGAGCCGACATAATGGTGCCTAATGCGGAATACAATGGTTCGGAGTTCCAAATATTGGAACACCCCTTTCTCGATGTACAGCGTACAGCAGGATTGCAATGCTTCATATCTTATGGTTTCAAGTCAAGAGATGCGAATGTGTCTGAATACATGTAGGGCGGTTGTTCAAATTAGCATGAAACAACCATGTGGCTACCCACCTGGGGTAAACAGTGGCTTGAGATGGCTGTGGATGGCGGATCCAAGGTTTATCCACCACCCGCCGTAACGCTGGGGAGAGACGCCTCATTCCAAGACTTAACGTTGCAACAGGGCTGGGCCAGATAACCAATAACCGTAAAGCATGGCCATGTGCCCCGGGCGGGGGGCTTGGAAATGAGTTTTCCACCATTTATGCACATGCATACCCGTTGGAGTTGGAGATATTGGAGAATTCATCTATTATCTACTGTCTACTCCTTTCGGATTCCAGTTTCTTTGGAAATTAGGTATATCTTCCATATTGATGTATATGGTTATATACTTCGTATAGTTATACCGACGTAGCCCATCCCATTAACAGTTCGCTTAATCGCTTTAAATCACAGAGAAGCAGGATAGGTAAGACACGTCACACATGAGTCCAGAAAGCACATATAACATGAAAAAAACAGCAGTATCAGACCCTTCCCAGATGCCCAAACCACACACGCACCCTTCGCCAAAGCTGGAAAATATAGCAGAAATAATGAGGAAAAAGACCCGGCAGGAACCACGACTCCAAATGTCTTTGTAGATACATATGTCTTCGAACTTCACCCCGGTGGATATGCAGGTGGTGGATCGTTCGGGAGAGGTGTTATGTCGTGGCAAGACGAAGGTTTCAGGAGATTGAAGTCTGCTCAGACACGCCCGTTGAGGATAGGGCTGCCGTCTTCGCTTCGCCCGTCGCTCTTCATGTCGGCTCCATGGCCGCCGTTTGCGTCCGACTCGCCGTCCTTTCCGCAACCTTTCACGAGGATGTGTCGCTATCGAAGACGTTAGTATTTTGGTAATTGTTATGGAGAAAAGCATATACACACCTTAAGAGCATCCTTGCGCGAGAAGCTTTTGTCACAGTGTGAGCAGGGGAAAGGTTTCACGGCTAGATGGATGCGCTTGTGGCGCTTGAGATCGTGGTTCCGATTGAAACTCTGGGGACACTGGTCGCATTTGAACGGACGATCAGCGGTCGGGGCAGACATGCCGTGTGGTGGTGGATGTCCTCCGTATAGATGTTGGGAGCTCGCGACATGTCCACTGCTAAATCCGGGCAGCAGCCCCGGTTGCATACCACCCATCATCGACATGGGTCCACCGGGACTGTGCACGTTACTCATAACAGGGCCGTTCATGGCGGGGAGAGAATAGGAGGGCCACGGCTGACGGGGGTATCCCAGCGGCGACTGTCCGGCCGATGGGTTGTGGACCGACATTCGTCCTGGAGGATGGACCATCCCGGCGGGGTTCCCATACATTGGGGAGAAGCCGGTCTGGTGGGGACTGTGCATGGAGGGAGAAGCGGCATACATATGCTGGTGTTTGGGTGCATAGGGGTCGTTGGAGGGAAGTGAGCCGGGAGATGTAGCGTGTCCCCCGTGGTACATAGCCATGCCAGGCTGTGAGCCAGAGGGGGCCATGGTTGATGGGGCGGGTAAGGCATGAGAGAGAGATTGGTAGGGTAGTGTCGATGCTTCGTATGGATGCGGTAACCCGTCCGTCGTCGGCGGTGATGTGACGGATGAGCGCACTTGCATACCAGATGATGGTGAGAACGAACTGCGAGCTGAATATGGATGAACTCCCGATCCCCAGGACTGTCCGTACGAATTGGCCCCGGGCCAATACGTGGGCGGTAGCTCGGAGGACGCGCCTGAAGACGGCGCCAATGGCTGAGGTGTGGCGTGCTCCCCCGGTTGAACCGTAGCGGGTGGCGTTAACAGGTTCCCCACGCTCACGTTGCCTGGTGCATGCGAGATCGGAGGATGACTCGGCTGTCCGCCGGACTTGGAAGCTCCTGCATTCGCACCCAGGAACGGTGGTGGTGGAAGCTCAAAGCTGGGTAACGTTGGCGCCGCTGGGCGGCGCACGTTCAGCGGCGGGGCAGACAGCGCTTCCAGCGATGACCCCATTCCTGCTGGCACTGCTAGAGTCGCCATGTTGGCGGATGGATCTCTGTCTCCTACGTAGTATTCCGGGTCGTTGAGCTGACCGAAGGAGGAACCGCTCAGTGTCCAATCTCGGTCACCAGGTAAGCCCCCGGAAGGGCTGGTAGAATCCAGGAGGGGCGATCGTCGATCGCTGGGGCTCGCGATCGGGATATAGAGAGTCGAGGGACTCAAGTTCTTCCGACAAATAGGGGAATCTTTGGAAGAACCAGAACTCGATCACACAACGTATACACACACACACACAGGAAAAGTCAAAGGCGTGAAACAGAGTTTATCCACAAAAGGATACGGGAGGTGAGATTGTCACGGTCGACGAAGGCGCGAGAAGTACATGGTCTCGGGGGTGGGGGAATGAGAGTTGAAACCCAGCAGCGAAGATGAGAAGAAGAAAGAGAGATGTGGGGGGGCGAAAAGATCGTGGCGTTGGAGGCGACACCAAGCGCGGGGGGAGTTGTTATAATAAGAGAGAGAGAGACAGAGAGAACGAGAGAGAGTCAGGAGTATATTACCCTTGAACAGAAAGAGATCCAGAGAGCGAAAAGTAAATAAGATTGGGCTTCCTTTGCCTTTTGGGGAATGGAGTCTACTCGGGTCTGGGCCAAGTTGGCCACCGTGGGGAAAAAATAGAATGATACAAAATAGAAGTTGATACTGTGTATATTAAAGAACCGAATCGAAAGGGAAAAGTAGGGCGAAAATGGGCGAAATAGACGAGAAAAAAAAATAAAAAAGATAGGAGGGGTGTCAGCAGAACGTGGTTGACAGCTAAAAAGATTTGGTTCTCCGCTTAGCCGTTCCAGATTACTGGTTTTATTAGGTTTTAGATTTGCTAATATCCATGGGATCTTTGGTTCTTTTGGTTCGCTTCTATTTCATTATAAAGCATCTTATAGTAGGTCTTCACGAAAATAACTATAAAGTAGGTCAAGGACAGACCCGTTGCCTTGAGGGGAATCCCTTGCGTCCGGGCTGATCGAGATGAAAAAATGGAAAAAGGGAAAAAAAGGACGCTAGTGTAGGGACTCCGGAGAGAATCTGTGCTAGTTGGAATGGATCCGATTATTGACAATAAAAAAGGGAAAAAAAAAAAAAGAAATCTCAGTTGGGATCCATACCTTTTCGTCTTCCTTCTATCGCGGTGAGATTTCTATCCAATAGGGGAGGCAACCATAACGCACGGACAAGACCGGAATGGCCAGAATACGAGAGTCCTTTGACAAGGCAGAGGCAAGCGAGCTTGTCTCGCCGGTCATTCGTTAGCGAGAGCGTGATCGCGCGATTCAGTTAGTCTCGTTTTCGCTTTTGCCTATGAGCTTCTAAAGTCTGGAGATTTCGGCATTTGGGATCTGATGATTCGCCTCGGGCCATGTAGACCATGGGTCATAAAGAGAGTGATCTATACTACTACTCCGTATTCCGTATAGTTATGTAGATAATCGGTAATGGTTAATAGTAATAATATCCATCTTCTGGTCATGCTCTCTATTCTTCCCCCTCTTTGGCTCTCAATAGCCAAAATAGAAGATCAATGTGATTGGTCCCCAGTTAACCGACCATGGTTCCTTTCTCTAAACGAAGGTCAACCAAATCCCGTTGAATTTCCTTCGCCACACCCCGGAAGCCAATCGCCTCCACCCAAGCCCTCGGGTTTCGCTCGCTCCAACGGTTTCTGGGAATGTTAATGAGTCGAGAGCAGAATAGACTCGCTTTAGGGTCTGGATGTTAGAGATCTTATGATTCTTATCCTCGAACCACTAGGTACATTCCTGGTCTGCACGGACATATCTTTAACGTAAACGGGGAAAAGGACATGCCCCGTCGATCGTCCATCGCTGTCAAAAGAAAGGTTAACAGCGCTAGAGAGTTCATCTACCGCAAACTCAATCATATAACATTGGTTTTCAGATATCTCCCGGATAGGCCTGGACAAGAGTCCGGTGCACATGGTAGAAGACACAGGCGTATGATACTCCGATAGCTGAAGCTCCCGAGGTCCATGGCACAACTTAAGAGTCAAGACATGTCCACAGACGCATGGAATTTAATATTACGATCCGGACTGCATGACTTACTCCCCCGTATTTGGTAGCAGTCCAGCTTTAAACCTGCAGTACTCTTGAAGGAAAAAAAGAAAGGGGTCAAGTGCTGGACATGCGAGAGAGGCATCCGAGTCACATTCTTGACAACTGCATACCTCTGCCCTAGCTGTGTCTACCGAACTACGGACACGGCTTTTCTCCAACATAGTACATCCTATACATTCTATGCAGCTTACTGACATTCACTAGGGATTGGACTACATCTCAAACCCTCGTGACAAACTCCGGCAATCGATTGTGCTGTCCCTTCCACGACGCGTCTGGACATGGGTACATCGTATCCGCACGTCGCACACCCGGAAAGGCTCACTTTCGCGACGATCAATTGATCGTCAATAATCCATCGCCCCTCCTATGCTGGTTCCCGGTCGATCGCCCGTGTACAGCCTCATGCCGGTTACAGTCACAACCCTCCTACTACACCACTCGATGCGATGATTCGAAGCCGATTAGTATATGGATGGTCTTATGCAAGGCGGCTCTCACCCAGATGTGACAGCGTGCAAGGATCCACCTGGCTGATCTTGAACGCCTTGGTGTCGCCTGCGTCGGCTCTTGCCGACGTGGCTTCGGAGAAGCTCACGGTTGGCGTCCACGATCGTCCTCGGGAATGGCGTTTAGTGGAAGGTTCACTGTCTGTTCACCCGGGTGATCTGCGGCCATGAGTTTTCTGCAGGGCTGATGCCGATGGGTATGATCAGCCGTGGTGGGGTTTAAAGCCCACATTTCGTCTGCGATCTTTCTAGCGTGTCTGGTCTACCGTCTATCCTGTCGATCGGTTCTTGACTATGATCCGATAGCCTTAACACGCGGGTCCGAACTTTCAAGGCAACAAAGGGATGGAGCACGGATCTTTTGATTCTGTTGGTCTAGTCTCCGCTTCTCAAACATGATTCATGGAGCAGAGTAATCTGTCTTGGCTGTGAGTCTCACTTTTTTTTCTCCTCAGGTTTTCCTTTCATCGCCATCCTTACACAGTGTTGCAAATTGGAGCGAAGCAGAACTACAACATATTGTTCGATTCGTTTTTATTTATTTTTTACTTTTTCACTTTTTGCCTCCCGATCACTAGCCCCACGAGCATGTCTCGGTCGCTGTCGGATCCTCCCTTGCGGGAAGATTCCGACAGTGGATCTAGCTTGCATGGCAGATTGCCTTCATGAGGTATAAGAAAAGATGACAATCCCCTAAGGCTGTTTCCCTGACACTTTTTTCATGATCACATTAACATATTCGGTCACGCCAGCCTTCTAGTATGCGGTCTCTGCGGTGAAACCTTTCGATGCATAATGAGGTGGTGGTCCCATCAACACTCGTGTTCAATGCAGGAAGAGGTATTCTCTTACCCAGTACGAGGCTTACAAGTGTTAAGGTACATTAAATAACTCAAGTAGACCATCGCACACCTCCGTTATGGTTTCTTTGTGTTACTCTCTGCGTGTCTTGATATAGACCGACTTACGATATATAAATCTCGATTGTGGCCCGGCCTCGGCAACTTTATGTTCTCCCAACATAGGCCGATATTGCACAGCCTTTGAAGCCGACTTCCAAATAGAAACCAATGCCGATATCAGATTCACCTCAGAAAGCCAAAGAGGTCAAAAAATGTAGGTTCATATCGGCTACTTCAGATTCACAGGGCAGAGTCGCACCAGGTTGCATCACCTGAATTGCCGAGTGTTGTCCCGATGACGTCGGACCGCGGGGTACAAAGCTTCTCCTCTTCCCTCTTCCTTCCTTCAATTCTAGTCACCTTCAGTTTTGCTTCACCAACTCAATTGTATCTTGTATGTCCCCATCTAGTCCAAACTACTCCATATGCAATTCAGGCCATTTCTGACTTCCTTCCGGAACCCATTGCTTGCAACTAAACCATACTACGTTCACACGCGTTACCTCCACTGCTCCTCTACCACAATGTCCGGAATTAGTAAAGCCTGCTGCACGTTCGTGAACCCCCTTGACTTGGTCTGTCTTCAATCGGATTTTACTGACCATCGCCGTGAATAGGATCCCTCCCGTTGTTTCCAAGGGCTATCAGGCCAAGGGAGAATACAAGACCATCAATGGCTTGAAGACCTGTATGTATCCCGTCTCTCCAACACAAGCCTTTGTCTAATGCGAATATCAGACGTCACCGGCCCAGAATCGGCTTCCAAGGCTATTCTGGTGATATACGGTCAGTAACTCTCCTCCTGGTGCAATTCACTCGACCATCGGCTGATATACTCTTGATACACAGACATCTTCGGCTTCTTCGACCAAACCATCCAAGGTGCCGATATTCTCGCAACCTCAAACGACCAGAAATATCGCGTCTTCATCCCCGACTTCTTCGAGGGCAAGCCTGCCAACATCTCCGATTACCCGCCTACCACCGACGAGCAAAAGAAGAGGCTGGGCGACTTCTTCTCAACCAAGGCTGCGCCGCCCAATACCCTCTCCAAGATCCCGAATGTCGTGGCCGAAGCCAACAAGCTGGCCCCCGGTGGCCAGTTCGGGTCCTGGTCGATTCTTGGCTTCTGCTGGGGCGGAAAGATCGCTTCTTTGTCCTCTGGCGCTGATAACAAGATCTTCAAGGCCGCTGTGCAGTGCCACCCGGCTATGGTCGATGCCAATGATGCCAAGACGGTGAACATTCCCATGGCCATGCTTGCTTCGAAAGATGAGCCTGTTCAAGACGTCAAGGATTATGAGGCAAGTCTGAATGTCCCGAAGTATTTTGAAATCTTCCCGACTCAGATTCATGGCTGGATGGCTGCGCGGTCGGACCTTGAGAACCCTGAGGTTCGTAAGGAGTATGAGCGTGGTTACAAGACCGTTCTTGAGTTCTTGCATCAGCATGCGTAAACAAATCTTAATGGTCGTGAGGTGGTTCCTAGGAGGTTTAATGATATGGCGGGAACTAGCTACCCTGATCCCTGAGGCGATGCTTTTGGTGAATGGATGAACAACCTTCGAGGAAATCATACCTATGCCTTATTACACACGTAGGTAGAAGGTCACATCTGAGGCAAATTTGCACGAAAGAGAGGAAGATAGGTGAATCATAGGCGATAACCATATATCTTCTAAACATGATCCCGTCCTCCTCTAAATACGTCATCACTTTCACAAATTCGCTAATCGCTCGAATTTGCAATCTGATTGTGAGATGTCCAACCAACCAACCTCAAGATCCACCATCTTCCGTCACAAAATTCCCCGGTCGGGACTCGGGAAAAGCTCGGTGTCACTCCCGCCGCGCATTGCCGTTTCCAGGGCACGTGACTCACATCACACGTCACGAGCCGAGGAGCCGAAAATAGCGCTCCACATACGGAGTAGATAGAGCTTATCTCTCATTTCCCTTACCATCAATTGCTCAGTCCATCAATAGCTCCTTTTTGGCCACGGCAGCTCAGGCTGTTTGATACCTTTTGGAACATGCAGTGATTGCATCCACAAGTCATCTGAATGTCTTTCTTATTCGGCCGACGTCGTTCAGAGGCAGCTTCAGCTGTTGCCCACGATGAACCCAGGGCACTCAAACGTTCACAGTCACTGCGTCATGACCCCTCTGGCCGTCCCCAAGACGATCGTCCGGATCAAAGGGGATTTCGAAGTCTGTTTCGAAGACACAGTGGCGGTAGTCTAGATATACCATCTTCGAGCGAAAATCAAGTAAGGCTTCTTATCCCGTCTTCAGAACAGCTGGCTCATGACGTACAGAGCACCAATAGGACCGATGGGCTATTGCTTACAAGGGCAAATACCACGCCCATTCCGACACGACGGAGTAATGGCAGACACTTGAACAGCAACGGTTCTCCCGGGGGCTCTGGCTTCCCTCGCCGCGACTCACTCATAGCAGCAGACCATGCTGAGCCGACGCAACCCGCGAACATCCAGGATCTTTTAGAATACAGGCTGAATGTAGCGAGCCAATCGAAGGGAACGTCATCTGGAGCCGAGTCCAGCTCACCAGACGAATCACATCTCACAGCGAAAGAGATCAAGGCAATGTTATCTGGCGCACCTCACTTTCTCCTGGAAAAGGGCAAGTATGGCCGATACTATCCACAGGTGATATTTCCCTGGGACGAACAGAACCCTGTCATCCAACATATGTGGGATCGCAAGCCATTGCCCCATGCCTCTTTTACCCTAAGCACACTCCACGCTCATCTACCACTCCCGGAGGACTGGGCTGTCAAGGGCGGGGTGCCGATGCAAACGCTCGACTGGCGCCGCTGCAGTGCGGCTGCTATAAACAGGGCGACGTTTGACATTGGTGTATTTGAAGTACCGAATATGTTATCGAACAACGGGAAAGAACCCGGCACCATCGGATTTCGAAATTTCCTCGAGTTACCTGTGGCGGACGCGGTCAAATACACCGGCCCCGAAAAGCCAAGGAACGCTCCGTATATCCAGCAAATATCGACTATGGGGGCATCGGGGGCGTTCGATTTGATGGAGGGCTATAGCAAGCCGTATTCCCAATGTCAAAGTGGTGCCGTTTACGATCGACACAGGCTCATCTGTGAAGGGCCCGAGGCTTGGAAGCGCATTGGAGTACGAGATGTCAGTCTTCAATCGCTTGTGGAACGGCTGGAACACTTGCGCAAATACCGCCACGAAATGCTCACAGAGAGCTCGGGAAAGACTCTCCTGGATCTCGAAAGCCCGCGAAAATTGTATGACGACTTATACACAAAATTCCTTTACCCTCGTCCGCCATCTAGCGATTCTGAAGGTCATCCAGAAGGTGTCAAGGCTCAGATCAAAACCCTGGCACTTGTTTTGGCCACGCCGGGCGCGTGGATCAATTTCAGTCTACCCGAATGGCGCTTGCGAGCCGGACAGGTTCTGTGGGAGGCATCACTACATGGCGATGGAGACTGCATGGACCCGGGACCAGGCAATGAGAAAGTACCGGAGGATATCTTGACCAAGTCCGGGATGGAGCGAAAGTGGTTGCTGATCCAGCTGCTCCTCTCTGCTGAGCTTCTTCTTCGCCTGGACGCATTTGTTCGGGTCGATATGTTGCATAAGCCGCATGGGGGCCATATCACGATACAGGAGATTCGCAAATTCGATAAAATGCGAGAGGGAAAGCTGAATTGGGATCTGATCGTTGTGCGTCGGTTCCTCAACAGTCTTACTATCACCTGTGCGCCGCCGCAGCCAGCACCATCTCCCAACGGCTCGCGGTCAAGGGCCTCATCTAGCAAATCGCCAGAGAAACCCCATCGCTTCGGATTGCTCGATAGCATCACCCGGCGTCACACTGCTCCTGTTGCGAATTCACACTCCGCCTGGGACTGTCAACTGAGCTCGTCGCATGTTCGACTGCAGCTAGAGGGGCTTTATGTGTTTGCGGAGAACGTTGGATGGCCAAGGTTGGCCGCACTGAAAGCTACATTGGAACACAAACTCGGCGAACCGAACAATCCCCTGCTGCCCGACTTGGTCGTCGATGACAAGTGGGGACAGGAAAAGATCACCAAGGAAATTTTACTGGCCAAGGATGATATGTACACGCGAAACCCCTGCCGGCGTCGCGTCAAGCTTTGGGGCTCCGTTGATCCACGGTCTAAATACCTAGGCTGGATCTCGCGTTCCTGGCTCTCCGGATTCGTGATTCCCGGAGAGGCGATCAGTCACCTTCTCATGGCGACGATCCTGGAAAACGATGCAGACGCGCTAAACCAACTGGGCTCAATTGCCAACCTCTACGGAGGATTTGTCTACTGCGGACGGAGTTGGTGGAGCAAGGCATGCGTCGTTGGACGCGTCTTGTCTAGTTCCACGGGAGCCAAGACCTGCATGGGGTGGATCAGCAGCAATGTGATGCCCCGGGATGCGATCACAGGGGAGAAGGTTGAGCGTGGTTGGCTTGAACTTCCTGTTGAAGAAGTTCCGCGGGTCTCGAGCAGGCCTCGGATCAGACAGGGAGCTAAGCTTGCGTACGAATCGACTCCGCTAGGCGTTGGTAAAATCACAGCCGAGTCCTTTACGCTTCCGATGGACGACCCGGAGCCGGATGCGAAGCCCGGAGTGACAATCGAAGAGTTGACTCTGACTGCCGATGATAACGGCCGACCGGAAGGGAGGGGTATTACATCTGCCCAGGCGTCCATCTCGTTCCTGATCGACGACGCAGGAAATGGCGCGGGTTCGGCTACGGTTCGTTTCCCTCTCAAGTATAACGTGCGCTTCGTCTCCGCCCATGAGTGCTGTCCGCCGTTGGGGGTCGCGTCTCGCAAGGGTTCCACTCGCGAAAATGACGAATCGCAACAGCCTAAAAGACCCCTGAACAAGTACAAACGACTACCTGGCCATCCTCTGCACACCTCTTATCGATACAAGTATGTTCCCTTGAGCGCCCTTCCCACTACCGCCGCGCCGCAAGCCAAATCGCAAGACCCAGAGGCATCTCAGTCACCGGAGATTATCGTCGTCGACGCGCGGGGCAGCCGAGAGAGAGAGACGTTCGTCCGGGCGTGGTGTGCAGCTGTCGGATGCCATGCGATCATAAGTCGGTCCGGCGGAACTCGCGTCTCTTGCTGTATCGCGTGTTCAATTAGACAAGCGAGAGCCATCAGTGCGATGGTCGTGATCCGAGTTGGCGATTGAGATCACTTGCAAACTGATAGACCAATATCGCGTATTACTGCTCTTTCTGGAAGCCAAGCTCGGGGACTAAAAGCCCGAAGCACAAACAACCATAAGCGCGCAAACCGAAGCATTCGTCCCCCCACGTTCAAAATCGAATAGAGCCCCGGGACATTGTTCCCCCTTTTTATTTCCGGACTGGACTGGCAGGGTGGCTGGCAGTTTCAACGGCTTCCTGGCCGGACAAGACCGATAGAGAGCGCAACCCAAGCGCAAGCCACCCCGGAAAAAGGAATAGCCCTCCCCTCAGTCCCAGCCCTGCGCCATTGGAGAAAAGCCAGTATGAAAGAAAACCAAAAGGCCACATACAATACCACCTTCCTTTTCTTCAACCAAAACCGAGATTAAAATTATAAAAACGCCGCAAATGATGATAGGGGCAAAATGGAGAGAAGGATGATGCTTTTTTTCTTTCTTGGGAGGACGCGTAAGGCAGGTTGCAGGTTGAAAAGGACTGTTCTCCTTGCCCAGGAGACCAGCACCGAATGGAGTCAAGGGCCCGAAGATGGTGAAACAGCCGGTCCAACCCTGGGAGTCCAGTGAGGGTCCCTGCATTGCGTTTGGCCCACATGGAGAGATCTGAGATCTAGAGAATAAATCGTCTTGGGTACGGAGTAACTTATTTTGCATGCATTTTACATTCTGTCGTTGTATATCTTGTCGGAGAAGGAAATACTTCCGGAATAGATGCAAAACCCTACTTGTACTCCGTACATACTGCAGAATATGCATATATCACATTATCAGCACGATTGCTGCTTTACATATAGATCACAGATCATATTCATCAGGCACGTTGTACAGTAGTTATTCTGTAGTCTGTACAGTATATTAGGTCCACATACATGCGTGCTAATGCATGTACAGGACACGCTAAGCCCTTTTACCTTTTACCGAGCCCAGGGATGTAAGGCGGAGGGTGTACGGAGTACTCCGTCCGTACCCATTCCAAAATAGCATCAACCTCCGAATATGTGACATGCGACACACCAGCTACTTTGGATGAAGCATCCGGGGGTGTTGACGCTATCAGCGGACAGCAGAGTTCAAACTCGGCAGTTGGGTTCCAATTGACAGGGAGGAGATTAGTCGTCGGATAATCCCTGAAGCAGACGGGTATCCGATGCTGTTCGACGTTAGGCCATAGACATCGTGAAATGCATGCTATTAGGGTTTAACTACTGTTCTAGGTGTAGATGAATCCTGCGGATGAGTTAATGCAGGCTATGCGCTAGTAAACTCATCTGTTCGATAACCGAGTACCTAGGCACACCGTAGGGCGATGAAGGTTAAACTTCATGTCGGTGATAGTTAGGGCCTTACCTACGCTCTCTTGACTTTGTGGCCTCACCGTCTCACCTGGGTGGTACTGTATTCAGAGAAGTTAATTGAATGTACACAGTACCTCAACTTTATTGGTTATCCCATAGTAATGCAGTCAATTTAACTTCGGCTTGGCAGGATCACACTAACGTGCAGAAAAACCAAGTCCTTACTGTCCTGTAGTGTACTACTGTGTGTAGTATGTTGTAGAGGTGTTGAGAAAACCCTACTTCGTTATGCACGAAGTACAGAGTCTACAGACGTCATCAAGCGAATGTAGACGAGGCTTTTAAACTCTCCACCTGAACTTCTTCGCTTCGATCTTTGATCTCAGCCCTGGACCCTGTTTCCATTTCAAGATTCCAGTCGATCGACACAAAGCCCGTTGAAGCGTTACATATTACCGAATCTGAGCTTTAACTATGCTGCTTTTGTACATTGGTCCTGTAGTAGGAAGTACAGGGTGGGGAGGAGGAGGAGGGGTACTTACTTCGCGCTAGTTACTGCGAGATCTATCGCCAGTTGACATTCGCCGCGTCACGACTCAGGATACATGTGCTGCTTGGGTAGCTGCAGGCGCGTCCGCAATTCCGCGAAGTCTCTGTTGAGAGAGATCCAATAGAATCAGCCCATGTGAATTTCCGTAGACCCGTGCTTGTCGATCCTCGACCAGAGTGTGTTAAGTTGCGGGGCTTGTTTTTTTCCTTTTTCCTTCTTCCTTTGCAAAAGGGCGGTCGACCCTTCCCCTCGGGTTCAAATCGAAGGAACAGCAGACAATGCATGTACAAAGTATGTACGAAGTATATTGAAGTGGAAGTGCCTTACAACAAGGAGAGCGCCTTGATCCGTGGCGTTTTTGGTCTTGAGGGATCTTGTTGACGTGATACTGTGACTTCACCGATATGAAGATCACTGTCCAGTTACCAGATTCGACGCGTTTTCCTCTTCAACTTGACCAGTAGAAATCGTTTGGTGGTTCAGCACCCCTTTTCCTTCCCTTTTCAAACTGTGGAGGTGCAGTATCAACACGATTCATGTTGATCTCTGAGAAGCAAAACCGAGAGCCCCACGTGAATGCCAAGACCAACCTGTAACACGCGACAGCACTGGAGACGATCCTTAATTAAACCTTGACGTTGAAGAGATCGCAATGATATTTATCTGTTCTTTTCGCTTTTCGGACGCACATCCTACTTGGGTGTAGTTCAAGGCTGTGTAGTTGTAGAATTTATGTCATCTTCTGGGGTTTTTTTCCTCTACTTCGACTCCCCCCAAACGTTTTCTCTCTTATCCGGTTTAATGATACCGAAGGGAAATGACACAAAAGTGTCCACGCTGCTCCACTCCTTCCACCGTTTTTGGTCGGGAAAACGTGGGTGTGGGCGAGATAAATGAGGCTAGATAGAAATAAGCTAGTTAGTTACCAGTGTAAAAATCAGTATTAACAAAAAAGAATAGCATGTTAGAGTCTATGTTGTTCGTACATACTGCGTAGTACTGTGTAGACCAAAGGAAGAAAAAATCGGTTGGAAACAATACGATGGAGAAGACAAAGAAACAAGATCGAATCTAAGTAAATACATATGCGACGTGGACCCTGAATCTGTTTTTAGAACCAATCAAACCAATGGTTCGTTTCGGTTGATTAGAATGGAAAAATTATGGAAGATATGGAATCGTGGAATCGTGGAATTCCCTTCCAGAACCTTGGAAGCAATATCTAACTCTCCTTCGAGAAGCCCTCAAAGTTTCTGGAGATCAACCTTCTAAATGTCCAGACACAGAAGGTTCTCCATGAATGGACCCCCAGAAATCAACCCTATTGGCTCTAGAGGCCGACCTAAACTCAGAAGTTGAAGGGAACCTCAATTGATCAATGATTGACAGGTAATTCCAGTTGGCCCTAAGCCTATTACACTTTCAAACATCCACATCTTCCCCACTGTTGTCAGTACTCCCAGACCATGGTTCTCGTTTGAAGAAACGGGTCTATAGTACGCAATCAGGGGTATTCCACTATGAAGAAAAGATTATGTTTCACATTTTCACTACAGTGTATGTCTACCAGCCTACTCCAACCAGGAACCAAAGCTCTATGAAGAGGTAGTTAGGGCATGAAGGGAACTTGTCCGGCCCCTGATCATCCATTGACAATGGTAGCTAGATTTAGGCCAAGTTCATCCGTCTTAGTCCTAGTTGGTAGGAGAGCCACCGCGTTCCACGTATGCGATATACATAAAGAGAAAATTCAATTATTAGAAATTCAAAAACAAAACCCTCAACTAAAAAAAAAACTAAAAAAAAACTCATTGGGGGGCGTTTCACCCCGCGATTAGCTTCTCTCTGTAGGACTATACCTACCATCTAGGATCGGCTCTTCTCTCCTGCACACTGTTCACTTCATATTCGCTCCTTTGAACTCCCTAATTTCTCCTTTTTCTTATCTTCCTCTCTTATTCATTTCGATTCATCTACCTAGGGTGTCTTCTCTCATCTCAAACTGGGCCACGATAAACTGCTAGACCCTATGCCCGTCTAATCAACAATTCCCCCACGGACACTCTAATATCTACAATAATCTTTGATTAATTCGAAAATACTCGACTCCGCATCTGAACACCTGACTCGGAACGCAATCTATCCTCGACTATTGAAACATCGCCACTTCACCTTGAGAGACGCGGGCCCAATCACACTCCCAACATCCTCTGAAACGCGCAATATCAGACCCGGACCAGCGTGGCGCATACGGATTAGAACGTGAGGATTGGAACGTCATCATCTATAGAACAATCCCGGGTCATCTTTACCAACTGCAGTATCTGTATGGCCTTGCGGGTTCGCGTCGCATCAGCCACTGATCAAGCTTCGGGTGTTCTCAGCTTGCAAAGCGTCCCTTCCACCTCTCCGAGAAATTTAATGCGACTTCGACCAAAACATCGACAAATTCATGCTCGTGTGAGCTATGCCCGCAGCTGTCGACGATATGGCCTCAATGAGTTCACAAAGCACCATGGACGCGAATGATAAGAAGCGCAATAAGTTAGGATATCATCGAACCTCCGTCGCATGTGGTCAGTCACGAATCCCACACATCCAATTTACTCTCGCGCTCCCTTTACGATCATCCCCGCTATGAGCAGGAAAACGTGATAGACGCAAAACCTAAAAATGACCCCTTTCGGGAGTGGGGTTTTGCATGTGATCATCTTACTTATACATTCACAGTACATTGTCGACGACGAAAGATTCGATGTCTGGTAGCGCCAGATGATACGGAAGGACGATGTGAGAATTGCATTCGATTGCGAAAGGATTGTCAGTTTTTCCCGGTGGACCAACAACCGCCGATTGAAAAGAAATCACGACCAAGCTCAAGACTCGAAACTCCTTCCACTGAGCGCTCTAATACCACGCCGATTACCTCCTCTCCGACTGGTTTGATGCCCGATACGTCCGAGGCTTTCTATACATACCAGGCCATGCCAATGAACACTTCTGCCGCCCCGGACATGCCGAATTACAACATCGGAATGGTGCAAAATGGCATGAGTTTACCGCCAGGTAGGTTTCACTTTACCTAAAGGACTTGACTTTCTCGCATTATAACCGAGGCGCATTCGCTGACTGGATAAAACCTAAACAGATCGACCTATGGGACCAGGAGACTTTGCCGGGCATCAACCAATGGACACAGGAGTTGCATGGGACGAATTTACGACAATAGCAGATCCACAACTTTTGAATACAATGGCAACCGCAAAGAGCCAGATGATGAACATGGCGCCCAACGTATGGAATCCCAACAATATGCCCTCAGCACTACCCTCCAGCCTACCACCCCCTTCACCGATATCCGCCGCATCCTCGATGGGAGGCCCGGCACAGCCCATGGGCCAAACACCGGCATACGCCATGCAGCCGGACGGAACGGTCTGGCAAGTCCCGCCACCACCGCCGCCACCGCGAACCATGAGCTACCCGGGACAAGACATGGGCTCTTCATATCCTAATCAGTTCCACCCTCAAATGGCGCCGGAGCTCAAGCGCAGAATGACAACTCCCGCACAACCGCTGTCTGCTACGAATACAATGGGCTCCCCAGATGCACCTGAGATGCAGACGGGATCGGTCTCATATCCGCCAGGCATGAACTACACGCAATGGCAGGATATGAGCGCTATGTCTGGGATGGGCGTTGTGCCTTACCCCATGTACGCTGCTGATGCACTTCCGCAACATCCTTACCCTACGAATCCTCCGCCGATGGGACATCCTGGGCCACCGTCACGGTCACCGAATTGATGAAGCTCCTTTTTTGAGCTCTTCATCTTGTACCCTTCGCTTGACCCATCTCCTGATCTTGGGATTTATTTTATTTTTTTATTTTCGGATTCACTCATCACGTTTGCACATTTCTAGACCGCTTGTTTTATTTCTAATACCCCGCGGGACATACATATTCTATGCCCCCTTCCCAATTGGCATTTCACTTTCGAACACTTTCACCTCATCCTCATATGCCGTGGCAGGTCTGCTTTACAGCTGATCATTAGCGGGCGCAAGGGCTTTCTGGTGGCATTTTCAATCATCATTCATCATTTATTGTGTTTTTCCCCTCTCTTCTCCGTGGCATATGACATATGTAGCCGCGCCTCTTGATTCTCCCTCCACCTGTCTCGCCGGGGACTTCCTCAAGTCTCCGATCTCCTGTCTGCCATATACCATAGACTCTCGTTACTTCTTTCCCGTTAACCTTCTACAGGATTGATTCATGCTTTTACACTAGATATCTGGTTCACTTCTCACGTCATTTTGTGCTGTTAGTCGATGAGGCTGTGCATGGGGATGTGTGCCATGTTACAAAGTCCAGACTAGATCGAATCAGAAAATCGGATGCCACAATTGGAGACTGTCAGTCTTGCAATCAGTCATCGCCCGGTATACTATTGAGCCTTGACCGCCTTACTTCATTCATCTGCAGTTAGAATAGACTCATCTGGGCAACGCACAGTCTGAGACTACGCAGCCCATCCTACAAACGACCGGATTTCACTGGAGGTACTGGCGAATATTGCACAATCCATGTCGTCATACATTCACTTCTTTACGAGGAATGTTTTCTATATAAACTCAGCCAATCAATACCATGGCTGAGCCAATAGGTTCCAAAGTTTATCCTAGCTATATGATGAGTCTCCCGCTTGCTGAAGTATGCATGCGGCGTGTGTGGGTAGCACACTCTTGATTTGTCACAGACTACATACATAAGGTTGTAAGTAGGTAGTTGTACAAAGCCGGTATAAAAGTAACTAATCCCTCGTACAAATTACTGCATTCCAACTTGCTTGCATTGAGCAGTTCGAGCAGAGGCTGCGTTAGATGTGGCTGTGCATGGCTAGCATGCAGAGAAGTGCAAATGTGGGGGGTTTTGAACTTTGGCCTGCACGAACAATCCGAGACTCGATTGGCCAGTAACTCTGTCTGTGTCGGGAGCTGGTTCTGTGTCCGTACTGTGTAACTCCTGTGTCCGGAACTCTAGACCTCAAGCCTCGACAGGGCTCGATTCTCTGTGGAGTGTCTGGAAAAGCCGATGTATGTAAGACTTGGGGGTTTGCGAGCGCTTTTATGGTTTGGAAGACGATGTATATCCCTCATGTGTTGCAGCCAGACTTCAGAGATAAGTAGTGGTCCTCGCATGAGGTTGTGACAACAGAAAACTCTGTACGGAGTACGGAGTACAGATAGGCAGATAGATAAAGACAGAACAGAAGACGCTGATCCCTGCAATCACTACCTGCCAATGCGACTTGATAGGTACTCGCACGGTATAATGTGTAAGAGATTGAAGAGATAAAGAAGTTCTTCTCTCGTGAGATTGACTTGCGAATCCTCCCTTACGGGATCTACAGATGGCGTCAACGATTTGATAACTGAGGATTGCGCCAATAGATGGATCATTCCCGTATCTGCTCAGGATGTATTCGGGCCTCTTGAGGGCCAGCCACCTCTCGAACAGGGTCTTTATCACGTAGATCCAACCCTGTCAAGAGCTAGCAGATAAGATTCAATCGACCACTCAAGGTTACGGGATCCGCATTGGAGGATCGCCCGGAGAACCGGTGGAAGAGAACTCTGGGGTTGAAATCTGGAGATAGGAGAGTCAAAATGCGATGGCTGTGTAGGTGATAGGTCCAATGATAGCCTTTGATCCTTCTGCAGGGGGCGTGCGTCAGCGATCTTATCTCTCTCTGTGCACCTCCAGCTTGGATGTCTTGGGCCGTGATATCGGCATTGGCATTTTCTTCTCAGATACCAGTCAGCGCATAATCTGGCCCCCGAAATAGCGTGTTATCGAGACGTCACGATAGATAACCACACGGCTGACGAGGTGTCATATTCTTGGGTATACAAATGTATATATAGGGCACATTGTCCCTGACCTTTCCCCTTGACTGCACCTTGACTTCGAGGTCAATTTGGTTCACCCCAAGAGAGCGGACCACTGATCTGGTTTTGTGAACTTACGCAGTATTTTCAGTGTCAGTTTCTTGCCTCCACGCTCTTCACACTGGGCAATGCCCGTTCATATGGACTCAGTCAAATGCATCGACCTGCTATATGATTTCCCATGTAACCGCAAGAACCGCACAGAAAAGGAAGAAAAAGACCTACCCGTTCCATCCTCCACACTCTCCTACCCATCGGATCAGACCATGACAAAAGTACCAGTCAGATTGCCATGGCTGAATGTACAGACGCCACGGCGTATTCTGTGCCTCGACGGCAGTTGTTTGCCCAGCGCTGTCCCCCACGACGTACTCGTGGTTTTCCGGGTGCCTGAGACTGAGAGACTAGGGGATCATCTTCCCCCCACTCTCCATCTACATGACTAGGAATAACCCATGTCAATTTGTGCTAACAAAAAAAGAAAGATAAGGTCATTTCCCAGTTCCCACCGATCTGCAGTCTATCAGCACAAATGACCACGGTTAATTATCACATGAACATCTTATCAGCTCCTTATCAGCTCTTATCTTTCCCCGTGTTGCGGTGCCGTGGGGCCAAGACTAAGGGAGATGTCCACTCAAGATGCATCGATGTACATCATCCAAAATATCACGGAGTATATCGGTGGTTCCAGGTCCCATATGCGATTTGAGGACAGAATCGCATCCAATTTGGGTCTTGCGTGCCTGGTTGCCATGCTCCTGTCCCCACATGGTTGGAATTGGCTAGATTTCACCGGGGTCAATGAATAATCGAGAATGACTTGGGATGTTTGAAATCGGCGACGATTATGACGAAGTGTCCGGAATTTTGCCTAAACCCCGCCTAAATGTTGCGGTGGCGAAGAGCAAAAAGAGAAAGAAAGATGTCCACCACAAGCTTCCCCCGCGAAGGAGAAATCAGCCAGGGCCAACGACGTGTGTTGATTTGTGCTGGGCGTTGCCTCTCGGGCTTGGTACTTTGGCTTGGTACTTTACTCGTCTTGGGTGCGATGATCGGGGAAATCTTGTGACGGGCTGTGTCGTATATCGTTTGAATACGCGGGTGGTACGGTTTTCGGGTAAGATAGGGTTCTCTGGATGAGCCTCTCGGTGAGTCTTCACTCCGCTGCTTAGCCTCGAGAATCGAGATGCATATTAATTGCTTTTTTTTGTCGGAAGACGGAGTCCTCCGTCCCTTTTATGAACATGATTAGGAAGAAGTATCCGTTCACTTTGGTACTTATGGACAGTGAGCTTCAATACCTTTTTTTTTGTTGTTTTGTCCTTTCGGGTGCTTTTCCCCCGCCTTCTGCAATAGCAGAGGAAATAAGAAAGGAAGCCCCGTAGAACTTTCCTTATCTCCGTGGGCCCATCCATTGCTCGGCTTAATATGATTTAGTTACTGCCCCCACTGTGCTAGGGAGCTGGTCATAGTTCGATATCCCGTGATTGTCTGTACCTTGATTCTTTCTTTCAAGATTCCTGATTCTTCACAAGGAGCACCCCCGCAATTGTCTGATCGCCCCATAGAACAACATGATTCAGAACCATGAGCAGGATGTATGGCTGTTCTGGCTTGCATCTTATGTGTACGAGAGATCCTTTCGAACCGGGAGTTTGGAACTCCACCAGTAACGAACAGTACCCCACTTGGCCTGCAAGCGGACATCTTCCGGGGACGCTAAGAAGCATGATATGTTTAGGATTTATCCACCAGATGTTTTGGGTCTCTGCACCAACATCTGGCCCGGGTTTTCTTCAAAAAGCAACGTGGGAATTGGATAGTACCTGCGCTTGGACCGGGTGTCCCGCTTCACAGGTGCCCGGAAGAGATATGTACATTAGTTTCATACTTTAGCACGGAGCTTACCTCTCTCGGGCCGATGAGCTTGAGATGCCGGGTCCAACGCCAAAACAATACCAATGTCAGCCAATTGATAAATAGACGGGGCCGTGCGAGTATGCAAAGAAAAGGCAACGGCTTCTAGACTCGGGAATCCTCAGGTTGTATCTACATGTACCTATCTCTTGGCTACAATCCAATTACCTCTTGGCTACAGTTCAATTGGGAAAGAGGAAGTTCCAAGCACATAATAGAACGGGAGGAAAAGAAATACTCCGTATAGCTACTAAAATAAGAGTAACTACTCGGCTTTTCAATAGACGGGAGTGGCTTTTGAAGGTCAGTCAAGCGAAGCGCCGTGAATCGGTCATTTCATACGGTAGTTCATGTATTACCGGTACTTTTAAATTACGGTCAATCGGCAGCCTTTAGACGCCATATTAGGTATGCCTCTCTCCCTCATTTTTTGCCTTTTCTTTAGCCTCGATCTCTGTTCTTTTGTTTAAACGTCTAAAAGTGTTTGACAAAGTACAATTATTTGCATTCTAACTTGAGTTAGACAAGAAGATCCTCGTTGTCATTGGGTCGGCAGTAAACTCAACTGTCCTCCGTTTCCGTCACATCCCACACAATTTCCCTCTCCCCTCCACTCTTCATCTTTCATCTCTCTCATCACGCTTGATCCGCGTCTTTCTCATTTCTTCACAGGAGGATTTTCCCTCTTCCATCGAAAGATTTATCCTTTCGGGGCATGAGCGTTTGGAGGGTCTAGCCCCCCCCTCCACGTCTCATCAGGAAATCCCAAGAGGCGTCGAGGCTGGGCGGTGGTCCGCCCCCTCCCCAGAACGTGTGTTCCTCTCATCCCAGTCGTCAGCTTAATTATCTTATTACCATATATTATTATTATAAGATCTATCCGGGCTAATAGGCGTTTTGCGCTGACAGAGCAAGCCCCGGTCGTTGGCTGAATCCCGCCAATCGTCTCTCACCTGGCTGCATTTGATCATCAACTTCCGGCAAGGGTCCTCTCGTTTACGGCGGGTACGGGGGAATTTCAATTCCAACCCACCCTTTTTTGCCGTTCGTCCCCCCGCGATCGCCTTTATCTGAATCACCTTTCCCCCTCTCATCGAGTCCCTCTCCATCGGAGAATATGGAGGGGATACATCATGGAGGGCACGGGAGAACCGGCCCATCCCACCCTGCGGCTTTCCTCGGGTTCGACGTCGACTCTCATATGATGTCCGACGACTTCTCGTTTGAGTCATCCTTCAGTCCCTCCGGTTCCTCGAACGCCAATGATGGTGTTCTCGGCAATTCTATATTTCCTGAGTGGACAAACGGTGCACCGCCTGGCGACAGCACCGACGAGATGCAGAAGAAGGATCCGCTGGCCGCTCAGATTTGGAAACTCTATACCAGAACGAAATCTCAATTGCCCAACCAGGAGCGCATGGAAAATCTGACATGGCGGATGATGGCCATGAACTTGAAGCGCAAGGAACGGGAGCAGCAGGCTCGGTAAGCGACGCTCCTGCCGACCTCGAGGTATTTTTTTTAAACTGATTATCTGGCGTCCGAACAGTGCTTCGGAAACTTTGAGCCCGAAACCGAGCGGCATCGCGCAGATGCGCCTTTCCGACCAAGTATCGTCCACTGGTGCCGACGCTTCGCATGAAATGAAGCCGGATGATACTCCGGATCCAATGAATTTGGACGACTTCATCATTCCCTTTGATTCGCCGCCCGAGCATCCCTCACATCCCCCCGCCGACCGGCGCTTCACAGCTACGCCCACAGGTATTCCCATCAAATCGCGCAAAGACCATGCGACGACAGATTCTGCTGTAGCCGCCTCCTTCCCTCATCCACCCCAGGAACAACGAACAAACTCCGAATTTGGATACGTCCCTCGCAGGGTTCGCAAAACGAGCATCGATGAGCGGCAGTTTTTTGCCAGCCTTAATGTTCCGACTCGCAAGCGGCCGGCGGAGGCTTCGCCCCAGGTTCCCCCGGTGTCCAACGCCATGATGGCACAGCATTCGGAGCTGTCTGCGGCACTCCCGGATTACTCCCTCGATCATCCGCCCTCTGCCTTTTCTCTGACCGGCAACGGCACAGTGGGACCACGCAGGCCTCAGCTCCAACACTCACACTCGCACTCGCATTCTTCTGGGATTCCCTACGGGTTGGATACCTTCGGCCTTGGCGAAGAAGACCACGGCATTCAATCGGCCGGGTCTTATCAGCAGCATTTCCATTTCTCGCCTTCCGAATCTCCAATGACCGCCGGAAACCCTTTCTCGAATCTTTACTCTCAGACGCCACTCGCTTCCTCCCTCAACTCCACGGAGTTCTTCTCGCCCCCGCCTTCTGGCTACCAGTCTGCTGTGTCGACCCCGCAACCGATTTTTGAAGGAGAGCAATCGATGTTCTTCACTGACGCACCCTCCGCTGAATCTCACAGCCAGCGCCGCATTCCCAACTATCTCCAGCAGCGCCAGTCGAATCTGTCTGCTTCGTTGCAGCCACGCTATATGTACAACTTGCCCAATGGCGACTCTCAAATGGGGAACGCAGTGAGCGGACCGCCGACAACTCATGTGTCTGGATTTTCCGTGCCGCAACCGCAGCATATCAACCCGTCACATGTGCTCGGCTCTGGCGAGTTTTCCACTACAGCGCCTGCCAGCAGCATGTTCACATTTGGTGGAGACTCAGACAACGAGGATGACGATGGCAACTATGAACGTGGTGGCATTGCCATGCCAAATGACTTTGCCACCATGGACGAGTCTGGAGATATGAGCGCTGGTCTTCAGTGGGACGGAGGCTTCCCCGGGTCGGTGCAGTCGCTACCAGGCTATTCTGGTCAGCACCGCAAGCACGTCACGATTGGGTCTACAGACATCATGGATAGTTCATCCGAGTGGAATCAGGGAGGCTCTCTTGGCCGTACGCACGGATCCGCCGCTTCGGTGAGCGAGGTTCGGAACCGAGACCAGGATCCTCGTCGCTACGGCAAAGTTCCTCGCACGGCTTCGACTCCCAACGCTGCTGCACTACTGCGTCAGAGCTTGAATGGCTCGTCTAGTGGACCTCCGACAAACCACCCCTCTCCCAGCACTCCTCCCGAGTCCGGTCTTAGCAGTGCGGTGCCTTCTCGGCCAGGCAGTCCTGGCGGTTCGAAGAACGGAGATCCGAATGCCGGACCGACGACCTGCACCAACTGTTTCACCCAAACCACCCCTCTGTGGAGACGCAACCCGGAGGGTCAGCCTCTGTGCAATGCTTGCGGCCTGTTCTTGAAACTACACGGTGTTGTCCGGCCCTTGTCACTCAAGACTGATGTTATCAAGAAGCGAAACCGTAGCAGCGCCAACACCCTTGCTGTTGGTACTTCTCGGTCGTCTAAGAAATCTTCCCGCAAAAATTCCATTCAGCATGGTCCATCCTCATCAATTTCCTCCCGCATCAACACCTCCGAATCCCCACCCGCGATCTCTGGATCCAGCACCATGGGGAAACCCGGTGTCGTGGCTATTGCCGCTGCTCCGCCTAAATTAGGCCCTCCTGCTGGTGTCGCTCAGGCACGTGCCGGTGTGCAAGTGGCCCCTAGGAGGCAGCGCCGACTTGAAAAAGCGCCAACTGGATCCGATCCAGATGGAGACGACAGCCCCAGGTCCGCCGCCCCGGCAAGCCGATCCAAGGTTGTTCCCTTGGCTCCTGCGATGGCACCGCCTGCTGCCGCCAACCCTGCCAACCACAGTATTGCTGGTGGGCAGGGTGCCAGCCAGGAATGGGAGTGGTTGACTATGAGTCTGTAGTTGGCTTCCACCACATGATCTTCTTTCGCTTCCTGAACTTGTCCATGCGCGATGATGGCCTGCCACTCTAATTTCACGCTTTACAACGTACACGACTAATGTCCCCGGAGGTCGTGACTCCTTTATTCCTCTCATGTTCTTACTGATTATTATACGTCACGTGTGCTTTTTGTTGATTTGATTGATACAACCGCGTCTGTCCGGAGCCCGAGCTGCTTCTTTTCGTTCATATTTGATTTTTCTTTTCTTTTTCTTGTTTTTGCGGTTTAGCAGCTTGGAACCGGGCAGAAGTGCGCATCTCTCTCCTGTTTTATGTCTGTATTTTTTTTGATCTTATCCTATTCATCTTTTTTGGGGTTTTCTTGCGCTGCTGAGCAGGCTTTCATTAATGAATCTTGTCATCCTTGCGTGATTACTTTTAGACCTGGACTCCAATATGATTATGAATTTCTCAAACTATCTTTCACTTCCAGCAATTGTAGCTGGTATATCGACTCAAGGAATCTAAAGTGCCACCTGTTCCCCATGCTGAGACCGCTTGCTGAGAGAAGAGTGACATCACAACCATCTAGATCCCCGGACTGTAATCCGGGGTAGGCAATTCACGTCATGTCGACGAACCACGCAGTCAGCTACTTTTGTGCGCCACTCCAGAAGACTACAGATCTCAAATTGCTCATGCTATATTTGCCAAACTCAAATCTTAGTATAACTCATATATTGAACCAAGATCAAACCCATATCAAAATGAACGGAATGGCAGTATGACCTCCCTCCTCTCAGACAACATCGACATCAAAGCTAACTCGTGGACAACAGGGCCACTACGCAATGACAGACGGTGTGTTAATACGACTTTCCATCATCCATACAGTAACTAACCTACTCAAACTATCGCAGAGGGCTCTGAACAGTTTGTGACAAAGACAAATACCACAGACACAGTCAAGGGCCGGGTCCATGAGTCTGCCAGTCAAGCACGCGAGAAGCTCGCCGAACAGTTCCAACCAGGTGCGAATTTGCAATGAAGTTGTGCTTTTAGCGTGCTGGGAATGTGTATGATATCGGCTAACTAGATTGCGATGTTGTATGCTGCAGGAGATACGAAGACCACGACTCGTCGGATGTCGGATACGCCCGGTAATGTGTGGGAATTCGGTCAGGATGGTACAAGGGAAGAGCCGGATTATGGGCTCCGGAGGGATAAATCTTTGGTGCAGTCTGCGCAGGAGACGGTGGCTAAGGCGCTTGGGGGTGGATCTCGTGGTGAGTTTCGGAACTTGTTCTTGGGGAATTGTGCTGAGGCTCTTTCGAGGGATTGCTAATTAGTTTGTTAAGGGTCGAGTTGAGTGGTGTTCTTGGGAAGTTGGATTGGGATGTGTATGATAGATTGTTGAATAGAGTGTTGTTGAGGTGGTTCTGTCTCTATTAGGGCTATTAGGGTGGTCACTGCCAACTGGTCAGTGACCAGTCATTGGTAGACAGCTCTATCATAGACTATAGTAGGTGTAAGAGAATCACAACGTAAGAATTGATGACGCGGTGGTAGGGATATAGGTACAGTTATACAGTACGTATTCTGAGTAGCTCTTTCCACTATTTGCCACTGCCACTGCCAGCCGTTTCGTCCTTGGGGATGTCATAACATACTTCCACATTCGGGTGTTACTGCCTCAGGCACCAACTAATAAATCACGTGTGATAATCCGAGCGAAAAAAGATTATCACCGACAGCCGTGCATGTGCATCTTCAACATTCAATTGACATTACAGCCATGGGTTCCAGCTCAAAAAGGAAGAAGGAGAAACAAAAGGATTTCCAGGTTAGATCTAGCGACCAGTCATCTCTTCTGGCCATCCCACTAACCTCTACAGAAACCCAAACTCAGGGTTGGAAAAGCCAAAGCAAAGCCCGACAACTACACTGACACCAGTTTCAAATCGAAGTGTATGTCAACAGTCCCAGCTGCTTAACCAGTACCATGCTCACAAAGACTAGCAATTGTCCTCACACAACAATCCCTCCACCTCTCCGCCCCAACAGCAAATGCCACATTCACACACAACCTATCACTCCTCTCCGCCAAATCCGACAGCCAACGGCGCGACTCACTCGCCTATCTCACAACGACAATAGCCTCCCGTCCCGTAAACTCGCCTCTTCCGCAGCCAGTCAGCGTGATTCTCCCTTCCCTCCTCCCCCTCATCCTCGATGGAGCCACCAGCGTCCGAACCCAACTCCTCAAGCTCTTACGGACCCTGCCACCCGGCGACGTGCAGGACCACGTCTCCCAGCTCCTCCCCTACGTCCGCGCAGGCATGACCCATCTCGCAGCAGACATCCGCGTCTCCGCCGTCGAGATCCTATCATGGATGGTCGAGGCAGCAGGTGAAGCAACAGTCTCCTGCGCAGGAGGCTGGATCAAAACACTCAACTGCTTCCTGTCCGTACTGGGCTGGCACACGGAAGAATCATCCAAGTGGTCCGCAACCCGCGCCTCATTCGGCAAGTCCGGCAGCCAGGGCAAGCCCATGGTCAAAACGCTCGCAGCCTTAGCCCTGTTCTTGGATGCGGGGATCGGAAAGCCGGCCACGGGTGGTGTCGATAGCGAGATGTCTGATGGCGAGGAGAGTCCTGATTGGTCTTTCCCGCTTTGTCAGACTGCGCAGCATATGATTGCAGACTCGTCTACTCCATTTGCGTATCTGAATCTGTTTGGAAAGCCGCGCGACGAGGAAGGGGAAATGTACGAAACGAGGGAGGATCGGTACCGTGTTTTCACTGATCGCTTTCACCCGGCTGTGGAGCGGGGACTCAAGAGCGCTAGGGAGGAAGGCGGGGAGCTGGGTCGTGCTTCGTCCGGTGTGACGAAGGTGTTGAAGGATGCCATTGCTTATGGACCAGGCCCATGAATGGATTCAGCTATGAGTTATGAGCCAAATCAAAATCCATCTAGAATGGTACGCTGGCCTGTGTTGCAACCTGGGACCTCGGGGCTTCTATGGCGGTTGCCATGGATGGCAGAGAACCTCGGGGTTCGAGCTAGCCCGGAATCAATCCCACGGTTGTCTCTTGTCATACTGTTGGTCTCGCCCTGCTATATTGCAGTCGGCGCTGGGATAGACCTGTCAGCACGCCCGTCCACTAGGATGGTCATGGGCGTTGCGCTCTTGCAAGAGGGAACAGCGAGATACCTATAACAGGGATGGTTTGTCGCTTGTGCGGCTTGTGGTTGAGGTGGACACCCTCCGCTTGGAATATAATGCGTGTCTAGGTCCTATGGAGCTTGGGACGAGCCAAATCTACAAAGGAGGTTATGAACCTCCTCTTCCAAAGCTCAAAGCCCTTGCCAATGGGGTAGTCGTCAGAATACCGTAGGAATACTTATAGAAATACCGTGGTTATAAGAATACCGTAGTGATACCGGGGTCAGATTTGTATACCGTAGTGCTACGATATTTGAGTGAATACGGTATTCGAGATTTTCCCCTTCAAAAATGCAGAGTAAGGCCGAATACCGTATTCTCTCAGGATACTGCATCACTGCGGTACCTCAAACATGGGCGGGGCGACATGGTTGGGTTGTCGTTTGCATTTCGTTTGCATTTCGTTTGCATTTCGTTTGCATTCGCTTGAATTGCTGTCGTATTCCGAGTACTTTTTGAGCACCTATAACCTATCAGTACGCGGGAATGCAGAATATAACTTACTAAGTCGTCCACCAGGCGGCTAACATGGGCGAGCTGCGTATATATACCAGCTGTCGAGGAACCAAGGAGTAATTGTACGAGCCATTGGCCCTGCAGCGTGTAGAATGGGGTTTGATGCATTCACCATCGATGAAACGACTCATTGTCCCCCCGGTCTGCGGCTGCCCTCAGTGCTCTGCAGAGCTATCTTTCAGCTTCTACTTCGGCTTTGAGATGGATGTCAGTGCGAAAGATGCATCCCATGACTCAACGGTAGACATTTCACTTTGTCATAACTGATTGGAACCATTCCATGGCTGCTGTAGTTGGTCTCAATCGATTAGTAGACCCACCAGTCAACGCAGGACACTACACAATCGGGAATTATGGGATTGTGTAGTGTTGTAACGCAACCTTACGAAAGCACAATGACAATGTCAATGTGACATGACCCTCCAATGCGCTCGCCATAAATGATCTGTTCATGTCCAAGATAGCAAGCGCTTATGGCGTTCCAAGGCTGTCATATGCTCGCGTGATTAGTCGTGCCCTCCCTCTCAATGTATCTTCCCCTACTTATCTCTTTCTTCCTCTCGTTTCTTTTCTCTTTTCTCTCTTCTCTCCAGTCTTGTTGTTCTACCATAAGGAATCGATTAATTTCTGATAAACCTTCACCGCAACAACTGACCCCTCATCTCTCTTGGTAAGTATCCCGCCATCTCCTTTCATATCCTTCCATCTATTCGCATCACCCCGAGTGTGCAGACAATCTCCATGACGAAACTTGAGACTGACGACGTCGCAGCCTCGAAGACAGGCATCTCAGACTCTCTCCAACGGAGGTCGAGTGCCTTTGAGGTCCAGCACCTTGCTGATGAGCACTGTCGATTCACGGTCGCATCGATGGCGTGGCCATCATGCCGCGCAGCCACACATTGCGCGCGAGTGAATCCAGTCGACATCCAAGTCCGCGATTTCTCACTTGAAGTCAACACCAATCCGCCAATATGGGAAGTCCCCTTGGCAGCGACTACTGGGCCACCAACCATCAAAAACGACCAAGACAGTCCTCCAATCGGGACTCGCAACAAACCACCAATTGGGGCTCGGTGGGAGAGAGAGATCAAGGACTGGAACAAGCTTCTATACAGTAAGTGAAAGACAATCGTCCAGCAAGAACCTACGTCCATCCGTGGGGTCTCCATAGTTACTTATAACTTACTCCTTCTTCCCGATAGCGTCGAACCTTGCTCATGAGCACCGTTGGTTCACGGTCGCCTCGATGGCCGTGCCGAGGGAGAGAGTCAACACCGCATTTGCGTCAGTTGAAGACGAACCTGATGAAGACGAACACGATGAATTTACGCCATTCTTCAAATGCTTAAAGGACTTGCCATGGGCCTCTCCGTCTCACGTTCAGCTTAACGAAAAGAGTCTCGGGTAGAGGCAGCTGACGAGGCAGCTTGAGTGACAGGTGGAAGTCTGTGCCTCGTTCGGAGGGCCAGCCTTGGTCAGGCATCACATTTTCTGGTCCTGCAGACTCAAAACAGGATCAGGGCTTTACCGGAGAAGAGAAAGATGAAGTATCTGCCGACACCGAACTGGATCTATATGAGCGTTTCTTGCAAGATATTGAAAACCGCGAGCGAGAGTTTTTCCGCGGTGCATCCGAAAGCCCTCTTCTGCGTCTGCTTCTAGGTAGATGAGCCCAAGCAGCAACAGGATGAACTCGAGAAATACAGAAGCAGTGTCCCGAAGATCGCGGATGACCATAGTCGCGACGAGAAGTTGCAGAGCTGCAAACCGACCGTCCTGTCCTTCACCTAACCCGGACAAGGACGCTGAGGTAAGAGGGAACTCCTCTCTTAGATTCCCATCACCGGTCTCGACTATGAAGACTGTCCTTGATATCGAAACGTGGGTGATTCTCAACAGAACCGGTCTGCTGTTTGCCGGTTTCTATGCTGTGATGACTGGTGCTTCGACCTCGTTCAGCAAGATTTATCATTTCAATGATATCCATGTCGCCTTGATGTATCTCCCCATCGGTGGAGGTGGGATTGTGTTAGCACTCACCAGTGGTCGGATACTCGACTGGAACTACCGCCGCCATGCGAAGCATGCCGGACTTGCTATCGTCAAGACAGAGAGACCGTGCAGCAAGTCTCGCGGTTGGGAGCTTTTACTGCCTGGTGTACGGATGAATGTACATAGACCTACTCCTCCATTCTTGCTCCAATAACAATTCTCGTTTGAATTCACTTCCATATTCCAATCCCCTTTCGCACATCAAACTAAGAGAAAAGACTCTCAAGTCCAATCTAGTCTATTATCTAGATTGTGACAAATGCCCCATAGTACTCATACATCGTCTGGCTCCGACAAATCCACCAGATTACTGGTCTGTGCCAGAGCAAGGGGCGAAGAAAAGAACGGCTTCTCATCCATGTCAGTGGCTTGATCGAACAGCAAAGGTGTAGAGATTCAATTATTGCTCCGACAAAAGTGAGACAGAACATCCGGTACTGTGCCTCGTTCACCTTTTGTATAGTTAACACCTCCAGGTACACACTTCACGGGAAGACTTAACCTAGAAGTGCCAACACCTTCCTTGTCAATGATCACTTCTTGAAACGCAATGCAAAGTGATAGGTATTCAATTCAGTCAACTGGATAATCACATAGAACTCCACATCCCTCCCAGTAAGACATAGGGAACCTAAACATCCTTCCCCGGTTTCTCCTTCGTACTAGAAAGTACATCCTTCCTATCCTCATCATCCGCCTCCACCCCATCCACAACCGTTCCCTCCTCATCATAAACCTCATCACAAAGCACAGCACGAGGGACCTGAGTCTCTACTGCAGGAACCAGCCACGACAACGCCATGTATACAGTGGCAGTAGCAAAAAACGCCAAAAGCCACCCAAACTGAAACGGATGAATCCCAACACCGACATCGACATTCGGGTTCACAGCATTAACCAGTCCGGGCACATTCGGCGCAACACCAACAAGGAAAGCCACCACGGCCCGCCAGTTCGTGCCATGGACAGTCTCTCCCAAACCCGGGACCGTGAACTCGAAGCGATAGGTCGGGTTATTCGGCTGGTAGAGAGCTAGACAGTCATATCTCCGACGATTAACGACCCAGAAGTCGCACATCATGATCGCAGCGATGGGACCGAGGAAGATGGCGTACGCCGACATGAAAGTCAGGAAACTACCTGCTGACTCGAGGATTTTCCACGGGACAAGACACCAGGATAGCACGGCGCAGAGGAGCTGGCCGCGTCGGAGGTTGATGTACTGTGGGAACAGGGCCGTGAAGTCGTTGGCGGCGGAGATGGAGTTTGCGGAGATGTTGACGCCCAGAGAGGCCAGGGCGAAGGATGCTGCGGCGAAGAAGCGACAGGCGCGATTGGGCCAGTAGCTGATCAGGACTAATGGGTCCCAGGGGATGGAGTCGAGATTGTAGTGGACTTGGCCTGCGGATGAGGCGGCGATGCCGATGAAGGAGAAGAAGGTGAAGATGAGTGGTAGCATGGGGATATAGAGTAACTGCCAGCGAGGATTGACACGTGAATAGCGGGAGATGTCGGACATGTTTACAGATAAAGTTGCATAATTGCCGATGACTGAAGTCATATTGGCGAGGAATAGCCAGCTGTATTTGGATCCGGAGACGGTTGGGGCTTGTTGGGCGAAGACGTGGCCGCCGCCTTTTACGGAGACAAAGGCCCATATTAGCATGGCAATCCAGGCGATTGGGACTAATACTGATTTGACCGTGAATAGCCATCGTAATCGGTTCGGATGCATGCAGAGGAATGGCACCTGGAGTAACCAGAAGAGGAAGAAGGCGACCATGCCGTTGGTCGTGATACCCTGCGACTCGGGTATATGATTTGGAAGATCCAGGTAACTTGGCCAGATTGCTGCAATCATGACTCGTACAGCGTTTCCGCCATTGACATTCTGGATGGCGAACCAGAACAAGGCGAGAATGACTCGCGAGATGATCGCGATATAGGAGCCCCAAAAGCCCCAGCTTGCGCGCGCGATAACAGGGAATGGTACATGGTATATTGCGCCTACAGCGCCATTCGCTGCGATGGGAAGCGATATAATGAAGAAAGACAGGGCGACGATGCCAATCGCTTCTCGATATGTAAGTCCGACGGCTATTATGCCGCTGGCGAATTGCCAGGTCGATGCGTGGAGGGCGTCGGAGATCCAGTATGCTGATAGAATTCTCTGTTAGTCTCCAAGCTGGTGAATGCCAGCAAGGTAAGCACAAGTACGTACCTACTAGACTCTTAGCGCCCCATTTGCGCCCATGTTTGGGCACAGGATCTAGATCGCGGTTTGTCCATCGTGCATTCCCTGTTGCAAAAGCAGATTCGCCCTGTGGAACCCGTATATGAGGCCTTGGGATCTTCAGCTGCATGGTCGGACAAGCAACTCTTCTATGTTTCACCTGAGCAAGGTCGCCAAGTGGAGTCAGATAAGGTCAGAGACGGGCTAAAGTTTAAGGTTCGGGACCCCAGGGTCCTTTCCAAGTTTCCAAGGGATAGGTTAATGCAATGCTGTACCACCACTACGCAATGGACAGACCAGCTCAATGATAAATATAACTTGAAGACAATCGAGAAAGCAACGCAGGTCCATGGAACGTCTTCTTATTCCCCAGACTCGCTCACAGACCTGCCCCATGCACAACAGGGATGATGATAAGATGATAAGCAGGGCTGCATAATCCAACTGATAAGCACAGGGGGGACGAATGAGAAAGAAGATGGGAAAGATTACTTCGTGAAAACTCGTATAGCGTGCAAAGATATGAAGATATGCTTATTTGCTATCCATGCTGCATGTGCAGGATTGAACGCAACTTGAAACGATCATCGGCTTTTCAACCAATGCCCGTGGAGATAGCGAGTACGGCTATATATGCCCATTACAGCTTCTCCCCAGGCAAGCGAATATCCTGCCATCCGCGGCCATCGCCGACGCCCTCTACACTGCCGTGCGGACGAATCCCCTGCCACTCTGTGAGATTAAGCCACCCAATCTGCTGCACATCGCCAAATCCACCAATCCAGTACGCATGGGTAACAACCAGCCGTGCCCAGAAACTAGCATGGGGAGAGTAAGAAGCACCTGGTAGCCAGACCTTTGCATCCGGGTGTGGTTCTAGGAAGCACTTCTCGAGGGCGGCGGCAGCGTCGTGGGGAAGTGGGGAAGGGAGATGCTCCAAATATCCAAATAGAGTGACGCGAGGTAGAGCAGCCGCGCTTAAAGGCAAACCAGGGTATACTGGGCCAGCTTCATTCAGATGATCCCACCAGTCCAGTTGGAGACTGAGGTTCGACCCGGCAGCAATGTTCTTGAATGTAGTACCAATGCGGAGGCCAAGGATTGTTGGGTCGCCGTTGTCATCGTGGGATAGATCTGAGGGCAGGGAGCTATCACAGTCGGCAATATATTCGCGAAGGCCGATAGAGAGACCGGCTATATCTTTGGGGTCGTGTGCAGAGAGTGACTCGGGGAAGGTGGTCGAGATGACGCCGGAAGGGGATAAAGCAAGGAGGCGGCGGGCCATCAAGGCCGACGTGAACCACGATGGGCGGGTGAAGGCTGCTTCATCTTCGGTAGGAATAGGGTTGGAGCTTGGGTTCACGTTCCCTGGTCGTTCGAGGAAGGCTTGGAGATTGTCTGGAGGTGGGACAACAAAGCCGTTGGCCGTGAGTGGTAAGGCTAGGGCGAGAACACCGGCGATGAAGGTTGCTGAGCGAGATACCATCATAACAGCTGAGCAGATGAACAAACTGGCCTCAAAATATAGATGTTTGCGGGGTTGAAGAGAGAGGGAACAGACGAAGACAGACAGACCGAAACCAGAAATGCGGGGACGCTTGACTAGAATCAGCTGATCGCCATCTTATCTGATCGTATCACATGATCTCTGACTTGGATGAAATGAAAGTCTGAGAAGGGAGGACTCAGGAATATCCACAAGCACATTCATCAGCAAGGAAAAAATTATATGCTGCTTCCCTTTTTACGCGGAAAAAGCGAGTTGCGATTTGCCGATCGATATTTTCTACCCAGTCGCGAGCTCTGCCACTAACTTTCCAGGCATTGATACCTTTGGACGAGTATGGTAAAAATTCTCTCGAACTGCATGCCAGCGCGTTTGCATTAGACTTGCATACAGCTCCCATAAAAGCCCAATCAAAGCAAGTTGGAATGCGCATAAACTTGTTTCTATAGATAGAAAGGGCTGATGCGAGTCATGTCTCCACAGCCACACCCTGAGCCACAGCCACATCTTAAGTATGTGGCACAGCAACCAGCCACGGTTGATGCCTGAAATGAGTCACCGCAGAACCACGGACCAAGGTGGATTCGAATGTCACACGAGGGTGATCAGGTGCACAACTGCCTGGCCTGGCGCTTAGGAATACGAGGGAGGGGCCGATATCGCTGTTAAGCTGTATTTTGGATTGTCTATCCCTATCCAGGAAGTTCGAGAACGCCCGAGGACGGTGTATAACTAGACCATTCCTAGATGGGAGAGGTGATACAGGTATAATGAGGGCAAGACGCCCGCTGTCCTCCCATAAGAACCAGAGACCAGAGTAAATAAAAGACCATAACCATCCCATGCCGACCACACTCCGTTCGCAACCACAAAAGTAGATAAAGAAAGGGGAAAAGAGGGAGAAACATATGCACGATACAAGTAGAAGACACGCCCGTCATCACCGCATCGTACATTTCGTGGGAATCAAACGCCCGAATCCCAGTGCGACGACCCGAGTGCCCGAGGAAGGTAAGGGGGTATGTACAATAACACCTCGGGGTCGAGACGCCGTAGGGAGCAAAGAAACAATAAAGACGGACTTTTTCTTTTTGTGTTGCACCCTCGCGCAAAGGGAACGAAGAAAATAGGAAGATCCGCTAATAAATCACAAGTCAATTCAAGTACTCCGCCACGCGCATGCCGGGGTTCAAGGCAATCTTGCGTGCTTCGCTGCCACAACAGGCACGTTTCATGCCTGCGGGTCCGGAGACTGGGCCAGTCCGCGTAGCGGAAATGAAGTGCTCGTGCTGCGGCATGAACGAGCGTGGGAGCTGTCCATCAGGCAACACGGATTGCGCTCCAGAAGCCCCGAGGTTGATCAGGTGGCGCACATGGTTTTGGAGCAAAAGATCGTCCGAGCCAGTACGTCCGCGTTTCCGGCACTGGCGCAGCTCGGGCGTCGCACCGGAAAGTTGGCAGAGACTCTGAGCAGCCTCGCTCAGGCTAGTGTCCAGCGAGAACTTGGACAGATCGGGGACCGAAGAGCCCATGGAACTGGGGTATTCAGGAGAACTGTAGACACCGACCGTTGAACTCTCATCAATCGGAGAGGCAATAGCCAGGGTCTTCCGAGACTCCTTGAGTGAGTTGCTCGTGCAGCGCAAGGTGGCCTTCACGGCCAGACTTGGCGGAGCTGACCCACCAGTGCCCGAGGCGATGGACGAGACTGATGACGACCGCGAAGAGCGGGACGACAGAGTAGACACGTCCGACACCATCGAGTCGGGCGATGAAGCCGAGGAGGTTGAGCGAGCCAAAGATGACCGACGAGCCGCAGCCGGGTACACATCGAACGACTGGGACCGAGGGCAGAATGACAGAGGCGGGCGCTGATCGAGAGTCGATCGCGCCATGCACGCATTCTGCGCCTGAGACATAGCCGTACAGATGGAGGGTCGTCTGGGATTGTAAGCCGCCATACTCGCAGCAGGAGTGGAGGCGACCTGGGACTGGGGAGTCATCTGAGGCGTCGGAAGCATCGTAGGCCGTGGAAGACCAGGCATAGCCAAAGTAGAGAAGTCCATACGCGGAGTCGGCTCCATAGTTCGCGGAAGACTCCGAGCAGAAGCTGGAGATTGTTCGCACGACAAAGAACGCATTGACCCAGTGCTGGGTACGCTCCGAGGCGACGGGGATTCTGGCAGACCAATATCCATCCCACCCATCGCCGAGACGGGGGTCATGGGCTCTGACTCTACAGAGTCAAGTTCAGGAGTAAGTCTGGGCAAAACAGTCTGCCAGCACTGACCTTCAGCAGCCGGGGGTCCACCGGCACCAGGGGTCAACTTCAAGACCAAATCAGTCCAACGCTGAAACGTCGCTTCATCAACGTGCAGGCGCCATCCGACGGCCTTGAGGAACATAAGCTCATTCTGGTTGATCTCAAGAGTGTTGAGGCCAGAGATCTTGCTCCAGGCACGAGCGGAGTAGTTGCGATCCTGTAAATATTTTGAAGCTAGAATCAGCGCTGCCAGAAACATCCGGCGCCCACACTGCATCGCCCGCAAAACCGACTGTTCCCGAGGTTGCTCCTTGGTGAAGTCATGCGTGGGCACATGGGGCTTGATCTTAATCAAATAAAATAAGGCCACCTGCAGAGTGCTGTAGCTAGTACGCGAGCGGCGGAGTGTTTCCTGGATGAATGTGCGGAGAGGAAGAACACCCTTGGAACCGGTCGCGGCATCACTGCGGGATGCCACGGCGGAAAGGGGCCAGATGGTTTCAACGATCTGCGATGCGGTGTCTTAAAGTGAAGGAAGGATGATTTAGCCAGGGGTTCAAGATGGATCTTGAGGATGTCTTTGAAATTCTTTTCAAGACTTACCGACGAGGTTGTCGACGAAGTTGACCTTCCGTTCCGACTGCCGAAGCAGACATGGCGGAGGGCGAGCACTGGGAGCGCTAGAAGAATAACCGTTAGTGCGCCGAGGATGCGTTCGCAACTCGGGTGGCACTACACCGTCCACCTTGGGAGCACGTCCCTTGGCATAAGCCCGGGCACAAGCTCCGTTCGGATTTCTTCCCACCAGCTGGTTATTACCCTCATTCTCCCAGGTCGCATCCACCGGGTTAGTCGATGTCGAAGATATCGAACTCTGCGATGAGACGCAATCGAGAGAGAAGACGGATGAAGAGGAGGAGGAGGCGGAGGAGGAGATAGAGGAGGCGTATGGGTGAGCGTATTGAGACGCTGTCAAGTGAGAACTTGGGTTTGAGAGGTTCATCCCCAAGACGTCCATCCCTGACATATCCGGAGGTTGTGCGGAGTTCATATAGACTCGTTTGTGTGAACAAGGTTCAGATGTAAACCGCGCCGGAATAGATCGAAATGGTCCGATTTTGGAACCGTAGTGTCAAGATACCGTTAAGCGAGGAACCGGGAACGAGAGCCGAGGAGACAGGAGCCGTCTTTTGCGACGTAGGCGACGGCAGACCTTAAGTATAAAGTGCCAGGTTGATAACCAGGTGTATGAAAAAAAGCGGAACCGCCGGATTTAGCGGGTCAAAGAGGTAAAGAGGCCAAAGGGGAAAGCAAGCAAATTATAGAGACAAGAATAGGAAAACGTATCCGATCCGATCAACCAAGTGCTTCTGATATATAATGATCAAAGCAGGGGCACGTGGTAAGGTGACTCTTTTCCGATGACTGTATTTAGATGGAGTAAGAGACGGTGACGATGCGGAGGTCGGTAACAGCAGCACGGGCGATCGGAACGAAGGAGACAATAGGGTACATTTTGAAACAAGTTGTATGATGGGAAAAGGATTAGATCAAGGCACTCAACGGACCATAGACAGGCAGAACCACGCTTGTGGCTGCTTGTACAAGGCAGTCGTCGAAGTGGCTAGGCAGAGAGGGAGGATATGGCGGAGAGGAGAGAAGTTGGGGTGGGAGGGTGAGGCTGAGATGGGAGGCGAGAAGTTAGAAGAGTCAGAGGATATCAGGGACACTTTATCAAGAACTCACTTATGACTCTTCTCAAAATCTGTTTCTTGACTAAGAGAGGGGCAAAAAAAGGAAGGGGAAGAAGAAAGTCACACTGTGGCGAGAAATGGGTGGCGGGTTAGGGAGGCCGGGCGCAGGGACCACACGAAGTATAGAAAATAGAATATAGTCAAATATTCTATTTCTGATGCTTTCGATATTCCTCTATCAAGAGATAAGTTGGCCTTTCTCTCTTTGATCGTGAGAGATGGTGAGAGGGGGAAAAGGGCCCGGATACGGCGAAGCAGATCCGAGATAGGAGACGAATGGGGGTGGTACGACGGTGACTCACGCTCGATCACTTTCTATCGTCTGATCTTCTATATACTAGCGACATATTTCATTGCCTTATGGTATTGTCTGTCTATCTGATATCTAACATTTTATATCCCATCTCTTGTCATATTAATAGCAATATTGTTTTCTATCATGCACTACAAGTCTACAACTTCTTACTGTGTAGACAGAACCCCCCAAGAATGCCCACCATATGTAGTGGCACAATAGTTTTCACTGTGTAGCCACTCAGGTCTAAATGCCATGATTTCCTCTCAAATAACCATCTACGGAGTACATAAAGTCACTAATCACCATCAGTATCTCATACGGAGTAGAAGCTAAATTCAGTCAATCTGAAGACTCGGTTGAAAGTCCCACTTGAGTCATAAAAGCCGCTTGCCACGCTGTCTTTGGTGTGGTGACCAATCACCGCGCGTATGTCAGGCTACGCCCCACCCTCGTTTCCATTACATATTCCATGATTATATCTATGCTGATTGGGCAGCATACTGATCGGCAGTGCTGGGGTTGGGGAACTGCCTGCAGCCTCTTCCAAATGGGCTAGGGCTACCTCGGGGTTCTCAGATGACCTCACCGGGAGGTTTAGGCTGAAAACAAAGACTCAGGCTTCAAAGGTGGAGTAATCATGGGTTTCGAGAAACTTCAAGTAGTATCGTTGCAGAGACACGAGACATCGCTTCTGTCTGCAGTACAGTGGGAGTACTGAAACACAGAATCGAAGAAAGGAAAAGTCTTCATAACTTATCTCCACAGCGTGTACTATTAATATCATCCAAATGACAAATGCAAATGTACATACTGCGTAGGTAGGTACACCCCAAGCTATCTACGAAGATGCAAGCACCTCTCGCAAGACCTCTACCAGCCCCTGCACCTCGGCCACTGTCTTTATTAGCATCGGACCAATACAACCGAAAAGATCTCCCCACTCACCGGTGTTATAATGCAGGAAGCTGACCCGCACAACCCCATCCTCCACATCCTCCAATCCACACACCTCGGCCAGTAGCCGATGGCTGTACATATGGCCACTGCGGAAGCCATAAGCCGATCGGCGCTCAACCTCCTCTACAAGACGCTGGCTGCCCAGTCCTCGTACAACAAAGCTAATAACCGGCACGCGGAGCTCATTGCTGGCCGACGGCTCACCGATCACGGTGACACGACCGTCCGAGGCCAGGAACTCAAGTAGAATTCGTTGCAGCTGCTGCTCATGCTCGGCCATCTGGGCCCAGGTCACGCTTGGGTTGGGCCCAAAGTACTCCACAACCTGGGGAATGCTCTGTGTTAGCTCATAATTAGCCGATGCCAGGTTGAGCTTCTTGTCTAGTGTGTTTGTCGGGTTGAAGAAATGGCCCAGTGACTGGATCTGCTCGTGCACGCGTGATGAGGCATAAAGTTGCGCCAGATGTGGTCCGTACACCTTGTACCATGAAAATGCCTAAATGGTAATGGAGAGGTTAGCGACGATTCAGTGACGTAGAGGTTAGGGTTGCGGATTACGTAGAAGTCAACGTCTAACGCCTTCACGTCGACCTGACGATGGGGTGCCAGAGCTACACCGTCTACACACAGCAGCGCCTATAAGTCGTGTGAGCAGGTTGTATTTTTCCTTTTTTTTTCATAAGGTAGGGGCCACATACACGGGGATAGACATGGACGGCGTCCGCAATCTCTCGGATGGAACTGATACTGCCAGTGATATTGGAGACATGAGGGCATGTCACGAGTCGGGTCTTCTCCGAGAGTAGGGTCTTCAACTCGGCTGGATCACAGATCGGGTTCTTTGGATCGGCAGCAGCCCACCACTTTACGGTCAAGCCCAACCTGTCTGCTAATTGGACCCACGGAGCGGTATTGGACTCGTGGTTGAGCTTGGACAGAACCAGTTCGTCGCCCGGTTGAACTTTAAGCGCGATGGAGAGATTGTGCAGTAGCTGAGTGGTTGAGACACCGATGCTAATCTGAACCCGATTCGTGTGTCAGCATACACTCTGGTATCTTTATCTTACTTCTTGGCATCATGTATCATTGTGCCATACCTCCTCGGGCGCCGCATTGATGAAGCCAGCAGCCACATTGTATGCATTATCGTACGCATTTGTCGAGGTTTTGGAGGTCTTATAGGTTGCTCCGAGCTGGACATTCGTCTTCAGCAGGTATGAACGGATGCTATGGCCGTGTTAGTACGATGCATTGATTTATACTGAGATTAGGCAGACTAACGAGTCGGCCACAGTATCGAGAACCTGACTGCCACCTGTAGTATAGCCATTAGCATGAAACACGAAGCCATCACCGATCAGAGATCTCGAAACTGGAAGTGGGCAAGCTAATTTCATCAGTTACTCACCAGCGTTGTCCATATACACTTGCTCCTGTTGCAGGGCAGGGAAGCGAGAGCGAGCGGCCGATACATCGAGAGCAGGAACCATATTGTATGAATTGCTGGTGTTGATAGCTATGTAGCAGTAGAGGTATTCTTTGGTATCTAAATCGCAATCTACGAAGATTTTATCCACTGGCGGCTTATGCCGCTGAGAGGGGTAGACCGTAGGCAGTGGAGCTCCTACCTACTGGCGAATACGCAGTGCGCATTACGCACCGTTCTGCTTCTGAAATGCCATGGTGCCCCAAAGTACTAGTTGCTGATGCGCTTTCTAGGCACTTCCAAGGCACTTCCAAGGCTGCATCTGTATGGAAGCTGAGTAAGTAGGCTGTGGGCACTCGACGATGGAAGGCCCGCAACCACATTGCCTACGAGATACCTTCACCCACGAGGCAATACTGTGGACCTGAAAGAAAGCAAGGCGTTGCAAGTGCTTAGATATACAAAGTACACTGTTAGCTTCCGGTATTGTTCATATGTAATCTTATAAACCCCCATAACAAGGAAAAAGAAGAATCAGATGCGAAGATTTTGCTGCCATCGGGTATATGCATAGAATCCAAAGCCAACAAAACAAGCTCCGTAAAGACATTACAAGAAAAGAAGAACAACCCCGAGAGAACCAATTGACAGCGGCCATATCCTCAAACGGAATTGAACCAAGTATCTCCCTACCGGGAGCGCGAGCTCGCCGCACCAGCCCCTCCACCAGGGACGGCATCATGCACTACGCACAGCAGATACTTCCGATCCGGTACGACGACAATTTCATGTTTCTTAGTCCGCATACGAAGCAGCTTCACCTCTCCGTCCTCATCGCGGTCGACACCATCGTCGCGGTCTTCCTCGCGCGCCGTGCCCTCATTCCCGTAGTCGTAATCGCCATCCCAGTGGCCGTCACCGGGTTTCCGCACGGCGGAAGTGGGTCGCGACAGCGAAACACCTAGTGCCTCTGCGCTCGAGACAAAGGCGAAGATGTGCGCGGCGAGTGTCTCGGCTTGGGAGGGTTGGTATGGCTGTGGCGCGGCGGGCGAGGTAGGGGATGAATCGGTAGGTTGGGCGGAGGGGAGGGGGGTCGAGTCGGTTGTGGGGGGTGTATGTGCCGTGCGAAGAGTGGTGTTTTCTTCGGGTTGGGCTAGAAGTCCTGTACTTTGAATGATGGAGCCGTCCTTGTGGGAGAGGATCATGGTTGATTGCACGCCCGGGCGCGAGGTGAGGTGTGATAGCAGTGTGGTGACATGCTGGGGGACTTGCTGTGTGCGCTGTGAGGTTGTTAGTCTAGTTCGGCGTTTTTGAGGAGAATATTGTACTCACTAGTGTTGAGTTCGTCATGGTTGGGGGGTCCCGCGGGGAATGTGAAAGTGATATGTGGTTCGAGGGGCGAAAGATGGGTAGAGTTGTATTATACGAACAGCTATAATCTCATGGCTCTGCAATTGCGGTTTCTGCTATCTCTTCTTCACTCCAATTGATTGCAGTTTATTGAAGTTCAAGAAGTCGACCTCACTTTGTTTATCTCAGGGCCCTCAGACCTTATCACATGATCCAAAATTCTGCCGGATTTTTGGACCGCTCTTGTCACAACACGACGCCCAAGGCGGAGTTAGGGGGCAGTACCGGCATCCATACCGGGGGCAGACATATGGATCCGAAGGACCCACGAGGTAACGAGAGATCGTCGCACTACCTCAGGGCTCGCTCAAGATGCTTAGTTAACGCACACGCGCATAAATAGAAACTCGGAGCCTCACTCAAGAGACCAGAGTTCAATCTACTTTAGGAACAATACTACACATTGTATCCTTACCCATTCTATATGTATCCGCTTCAGTATCTCCTCGAGATCCTCATACACCACGAAGGACCACCAGGCCTTCACATTCTGAACTCTCGAGTGGGATGATGGGATCGGGCCGAACTGGAAGGAACAATGGTGCAGAGTGCAGACTAGGGGTCTAGGGCGCACGCTGAACCAGAGCCATCGAGGGAGGAACCTGACCTCACCTCTTTTGAGTCTCGCAGACGGCGACCCGCAAGCACCTGTGGAACAAAACACACCCCTTGGAGGAATCGAACAGGGGCCAGAAGACCCATGCCAAGCATAGAGGTTGCCCCTGATGACCCCCAAGGAGGTGCAAATACCAGCCTCAGCGAGGCGCTCCATGCGAAGCCAAGGTAGAATTAGGGAAAGAAGAGATCCCAGTAGGCATCCTCATAGACTGTGGAGCTGAAAAACCATTCATAAGTCAAATATGGGTAGAACAAAACCTGGAAGACTTAGACAACCCCCAAAGGACGGTCAGGGCGGTAAACGGACACAAGATCCGATCGTATGGCAGCCGGGGAGGTGACCCTGAATCCGCGAGATAGTCTCGGAAAAGGCGCCCAGAGCCAAGTGCCAGAGGCTAGAGTCAGATGCCAACCTAGACCCTAGTGCCATATCACAGAGTCGCAATGGAGGTAGTAGACGGCCGAAAATCCAAATGTCAAGTTGTCGAACCTCAGAGAGCACCTCAAGCACGTACGCATAGTCCTAGAGAGGCCCAGGCAATACAAACTATATGCCAAGAGATCCAAATGCGTGTTCCATACATAAAAGGTTGAATTCTTGGGGTTCATAGTAACCCGGGATGGAGTGACAATGGACAAGAAAGTCCAAACAGTCCTCGATAAGCCCGGACTAGAGTGCATCAAAGATGGCCAAGCATTCTTGGGATACACTGGGTTCTATCGAAGGTTCATCGAGGCATACTCGAGGATTTGCGCACCACTCTCGGGGCTCACGAAGCATCCATCTGCAAGCAAGAAGGGAGCAAACAAGAAGACTGAGGGCTTGTCTTTACGGCGGAAGCAATGAAAGCCTTTGACACCCTCAAACAGGGCTTCACAAAAGCACCCCTCTTGACGCACTATGTCGATGTATCGATTTCTGGTCTGAATTCTGCTTCCTACTGGCAGTAAGACGCACATTGTCTGCCGCATACCACCATCAAACAGACGGGCAGATAGAAAGACAGAATCAGACGATAGAGTATTATCTCAGGAATTACGTGGGATGCACCAAGATGACTGAGCCAGATGGCTCCCCCTGGGCCCTAGCAATGTTCGTCTTACTGCCAGTAGGAAGCAGAATTCAGACCAGAAATCGATACATCGACATAGTGCGTCAAGAGGGGTGCTTTTGTGAAGCCCTGTTTGAGGGTGTCAAAGGCTTTCATTGCTTCCGCCGTAAAGACAAGCCCTCAGTCTTCTTGTTTGCTCCCTTCTTGCTTGCAGATGGATGCTTCGTGAGCCCCGAGAGTGGTGCGCAAATCCTCGAGTATGCCTCGATGAACCTTCGATAGAACCCAGTGTATCCCAAGAATGCTTGGCCATCTTTGATGCACTCTAGTCCGGGCTTATCGAGGACTGTTTGGACTTTCTTGTCCATTGTCACTCCATCCCGGGTTACTATGAACCCCAAGAATTCAACCTTTTATGTATGGAACACGCATTTGGATCTCTTTAGCCAGTCCATGGCTGAGGTAACTGGGGTCAAGCTCAGCGTCTCCAAAACAAATGACTGATCTACAAGGCTCTTGAGAATTCTGCTGATCACATCTATGAATTTGTCCTGATAACCATGCAGATTCTTCAAAAACTCGAGCAACAAAGCCCAGACAAGCCGGTTAAGACATCAGCCCACTCAACCGTATCTAACGTTTCCGGAGCCATCTCCAAACCAGTCATCGGCTGCCAGAGACTCATCAGGAGTAGCAAAGTTAATGATCGTGCTTTTTGATGTTGTGTAAGCATGGTAGGCCTCGATTCCGTTCTCGCTCCCAACTCCACTGGCAGACTTTGCCCCTCCCCAGGGGCTGCTAGGATCATTGCGATGATGAGTATTCACCCAAGTGATTCCAGCCTCGATTCGTTCGCACACCCGGAAAGCCTGTGGCAGGTCCAGCGTCCATACACCAGCTCCAAGTCCGAACTCGGTGTCATTTGCCAGCGCAATTGCTTCTTCCTCGGTGTCGAAACCGGCAACGACAATGACAGGGCCGAATGCCTCTTCACGCCAGATAGATGTCTTGACAATACTGTTGCTTTCTTTATCTGGAGATACAAGTAAAGTTGGTTCGTAGAAGTATCCCCCACCGAGGTTGAATCCATCGAGTGGGCTCTGATAACTCATCCGCTTTGCACCGACAAGAGCGACAGCATTTCCTCCTTCTATTGCGCTGTTTACCAGACGTTCGACATTTTGCAACTGCTTTTCGGAGATCAGTGGACCCATGGTTGATTCCGGGTTGCTTGGAGCGCCGATTCGTCGCGTAATGCTCTCGATCTTGGCCTGCAGCTTGGGCAATAGCTCGTCCTTTATGGAGTTCTGCACTATAATCCTGGTACTAGCCACGCAAGTCTGTCCACTGGCGATGAAACTACCAAAGACAATTCCGTTGACTGCCATATCGATATTGACCTTCTCGAACACGATCAGCGGTGCCTTTCCTCCGAGTTCCGCCGTATATTTCGCCAAATTCCCACCGACAATCTTTCCAATTGCTCTGCCAGCCTCGGTACCTCCTGTCACGTCTACCTTTCTCACTAGCGGATGCTCGACGAGTGCTTTACCGGTGATGGCTCCGTAACCAGGTAGGACGCTTAGAACACCATCGGGGATACCCGCCCGACGAAGAATATCACCCAACATCAGGGTTGTCAACGGGGTCAGCTCGCTGGGCTTGATGATGACACTGTTTCCGGCAGCAAGCGCAGGGGCGAGTTTCTTCACGGCGATCAAAAGTGGGTGATTGAACGGAGTGATTTGTACCACCACTCCGAGAGGTACTCGATCGACGAAGTTGTGCAACTTTCCCATCGTTGGAAGGACAGAACGCTCCTCTATTCTCAGTAATGCAGCATAGTATTTGAACCATCTTGTCAAGGAGGGGATCTGGGCGTTCATCTCGCGAATCACGCGGCCTGTCTGCCTCGATTCTGTTGCGATGAACTGTGGGAGGGCTTCGGCAAGGTGTACGGCGCATTTGTCAAGGACGTCTGCTCGATGATGCCGACTTGCACGCGACCACACGCCGGACTTGTATGCCGTGTTGGCTGCGGATATGGCCGTCTCTACATCTTCGGCTGAGGCTGCGTGACATCTGGGACTAATTTAGAATGGAATGGACTGAATGATTCTCTCAAGGGGCCCCTACTGCGCGAATATGGATCCAGTTGCTGGATCTTCAATTGGGATGCTGATCACTAGATTAGTGTTGGTACGAGTGTTGACATGTCCATACTGTACACTCACAGATCTGCATTCCCATCTTGTTCTTTGCCAGCCAGCCACAAACGATAATGAACTTTAGAATCCATTCTTTTCGAGTCAAATAGTAAGAGGATTGAGATACCAAAAAGAGTTTCTTATGAGCTGGCTAATCTATTTGCTTATCTTGCAGTAAATGAGGGGTCGATTTACTTCCCCCGCTCTGCTCTTGTTTCCCCTCATCTGATGATCTCGATATCAACTGTCACTGTCATAGTAAACACGGATGTCATACTCAGCTCGGAAAGAACTTATCATCGAGTCACATGCGTCGCCGTCATGTCTGACCTGCCTGATCTGCAGCCCTCCTTACGGTCAATCATCTCCAAGCTCTCGCCAAAATGATGTTGACCAGATTCGGCTGCTTAACATTAGTCAGCGGTAACCGATTAGTGAGGCAACTACCGTACTGGTGCGGGAAACGTAGATGAATATCAGCCGATGCAAGTGTACTCGATTGTTCCAATTGACTCCATTTCTCATTGAGTAAGAACGTACGGTCACTACGGTGCGTAAACATCAGCCGTCACCATTGAAACCGTCTTGAGCGACGGCACAGCCGCGGTATCCACTTATGATGAGCGACCTCCATAAATCCTTCGCCAAATCAAAACTGGCCCAGCTTCCATCCGAACCACCAATGGCCGAATCAATGAATCAATCCGAAGATGCATCGGACGCTGGCTCATCAGCTTCCTCAGTCTCATCAAGCGGAACGATGGTCCCGTCACCGACACGACATCTGTTTGCCCGAACGGACCGCCGGTTTGTCTACTTGCACAGCTGAGTTAATTGGCTGGTATCCGCTGGGAACAAACTAACATGATACAGCAGACAATCGTCTCAGTCCTCCTTGACATGGACAGACTTCTTTGAACAAGAGTTATTCCTCGCGGAGGAAGTGGACGATTTCCATATTGTCCACCACGCCTATTTAACATCACCAAAAGACTCAGGTCCGCTGTTTGTCATGCACCATGGAGCTGGTTCGTCTGGACTTTCATTCGCGACATGCGCAGAAGAGATCCGGAAGATTCTACCTAAGGCGGGGATCTTATCTCTAGATGCTCGGAGCCATGGCCGCACTGTCATGACCACTTTAATCAATAAGACGGAGGAACAGGCACCCTCTACGGCGACGGCGGCTCATGTTGACTCGTCCGAGCAGGTTGAGCTGGACCTCAGTCTCGAAGTTTTAAGCCGGGATCTGGTCCATGTCATCCACCAGACACAGGCCAGAATGGGCTGGGAGAACCTCCCTGATATCGTTTTAGTTGGACACAGTCTCGGCGGTGCAGTAATTACAGATGTCGCCAAGGGCGGAGAGCTAGGCAACAAGTTGCTAGCATACGCAGTGTTTGACGTGGTCGAAGGTATGGTCGTCTTGTTTCCCATTCTGTTATGTCTATCACATACTAATAATCCCGATTTACCAGGCTCAGCGATGGACGCTCTGCAGAGCATGGAGAAATACCTTTCTACCCGTCCTACTCGATTCCCATCTCTTCAATCCGGCATTGAATGGCAGTATGTACCCAAATCTCCGATTCGCTCATTGCTTTTCCTATCAAAGCTAAAAATGACACCAGTACACGTTCCCGCACCATCCGCAACACGATCTCTGCCCGCGCCTCCGTTCCCTCACTCTTATACGAAGAGAGCGAGCCCGTCGATCCATCCCGTCCCTGGGTATGGCGCACAAATCTCTCTGCGACGAAACCATTTTGGGAAAACTGGTTCGTTGGATTGAGCAGCAAGTTCCTCGCTGCACGGGGCGGCAAATTACTCCTACTTGCTGGAACGGACCGACTAGATAAAGAGTTGATGATTGGGCAGATGCAAGGTATGTGTATACTACTCATGTCGTTGGTCTATAGTAGTTTTGGGTTCGCATCATGCTCACACGGTATTACAGGCAAATATCAACTCCAGGTCTTTCCTGAAGCAGGCCACTTCGTTCACGAGGACCAGCCGGCCAAGACCGCGCAGATACTGGCGGATTTCTATCGACGGAATGACCGGAGTGCATTGGTACTTCCGCCTAAGGTTGCGGATATGCAGGCATCGGCTGCGATGAATAATGGAGGATCTGGTCCTGATAGCTCGACAGGGCATCTGAGATAGTGGAATGTTACCTAATTAATTGTCTCGATGTCGCAATTACACCCAGTAAAGGTCCACCCATAGTCACAAAGATGTATCGCCGCAGATTCGGGTCTGCTACCGTATTTCCCCTGCTAATGCTTCGCTACTGTAATAAGGGCCGGGGAAAGCAAGCAAATACTGTATCAGGCCCTTGATACCTCCAAGCGTGTTTCTACGGTTGAATTACGATATCTCAGTTACATAGATTTTCTAAATGGAAACGGCACAGGCACAAGAAGACTACCTAAGAACTTCATTGTTCATTGAGCAACCGGGTGTAACGCACCTCCATTGTTCTTCGGGAGGACGCCTCCAGCTTCATAAGCACCGGTAGGTCCAACCCACCTCGAACGGAGCACCACTACACCACGGTGGCGAAAATATTAGAAAAAGCAAAGAGTACATGTAGGCACCACAGGAGCTATAAGGCACGCGAGGAGTTCGTGCTACCTCAGATTCCAGAACGCCACCAGGTTTCCGTAACAGGGTATTTTGAGTAAAACAGAAGAGACCACTTGTGGTCAGAGAAAACGATGAGGAGTGCCACCGCCTAAGGCAAGTAGGCACTGCCAGCAACCACCAAGTTCATGTTCGTGAATTTGACCTTGTAGACAGGAGACTTTTTGGTTGGGAAGGCACTGATTTGGTCCGCAGTGACCACGTCATCCTTGCCCTTTTTCTTCTTGTTCTGGCTAGCAGATGGCTGTGGGCCACCGTCAATTCGAGTTCCGCTGCCTCCGTCGGCAATGACACGCCCCTGTGTGGCCTCCTGGGGCGCAGCGACGTCCCAGACACGCACGGTACAATCAGCTCCGCCAGACACGAGTACCGTGGACTCCATGCTCCAGCTGAGGGACCAGATGCCGCCCTGGCCGTGACCACGCATGCGCTTGAGCAGTCGACCAGGAGCCAGATCCCAGAGGATGATGCAGCCCTGGTCGTCAGCGGAGGCTAGGATTTTGCCGTTGCGGCTGCATTCCATCGCAGTGACGTTGCCAGTGTGGCCGGTGAACATGCGAACAGCGTTACCGGTCGTAACAGCCCACATGCGGACAGTGCGATCAGAACTTGCAGTGAAAACATATGCAGAGTTAGGATGGAAACACACAACATCCACATCCTGATCATGGCCAGCGAAAATACGCTGCTGACGAATATGGTCGGTCACCCACAAGCGGGCAGTTTTGTCGTTCCCGCCAGAAGCAAAGTAGTGACCAAAGGGTCCGAAGCGGACATCCCACACGGGGCGGTCGTGGCCCCTGTAGACGACCATACACTGCCATGAATCCAGAGACCAAAGGCGGACTGTCTTGTCGGCCGATGATGAAAGCAACCAGCGTGCATTGGTAGGGTGTCTGTCCTCGGCCGGAACGTTCTCGCGAGCAGTTGCGCACGGCTGGAATTCAACAGCATACACAGGGCCGGAGTGGCCAATCAATCGGCGCGAATTGGTAGGCGGCAGATCATCCAAATCCGGGTAAGCGGCTTGAATGGGCGAGCCATCCAGAGACCAAATTCGAATGTATGAATGCGCGAATCCGGCGGCGACAAGCTTGCTGTCATCCGAAAAATCGATGCAGTTAATGCTGTGCATTTGTTAGCAAAGGTCTCCGTTCGAAGAATAGCTGGAATGAACATACCTATCATAAGTATTATGGAAGGTGAACATGCAAACGCTGACACCAGGACCAACACCGCCGGTGCGAGCTTTGATCTCGAACCTATCGCGATGCTCCATCACCTTCATAACCTGAACCTGGACGTCACGATCAATAGAGGGGGGGTAAGGAATGTCGGCGCGAGTGGGTGCCTCATCATCATCTTCGTTCTTGATCATCTGGTCAAATTCTTGAACAAAGGTATTACGACCAGGTGGCGCAGGCTTCTTCGCGTCTTCTTCGGCCAGTTCAGCCCGCACGTCCTCCATCAAAACCGGTTCCATAGGAAGTTTCCCGAGCTTCAGTCGGGGCAAGGTGCCAGCCATGGCCGGGTTGTCGCCAGTATAAGCCGAGCCAGGATGATGTCCCGGGATTCCCTCGTCTTCGGCGGGGAAGGTCTGATCGGCGCCGATCTGGCCCAGCATAGCAGCAAAACTGAATCTGTTATCCGCTGCTCGATCCATAGTCTTCACCGAGCAGTAGCTGCTAAGGATCGCATTCATGACGGAACCACCCTCTTTGTCCTTACTCTCGAGGAACTGGAGGAGATTGGTGTAAGCCGGGTTGCTTAACACGAGGCGGTATTTGTTCGTGCGGTACAGATTAACGATGGAGTTATCCTGCAGGTGCTCCGGCAAACTGATTGGTTCAAAGTGACGGATATCGTCAGTGTGCTCAGGAAGAAACATGTTTTTGTTTGCCTCAAAGAATGCTTTTGCATCCTGAGGATAGAAAGACGTCACCATGTTGAAAAATGAGTAAACGAATAACGGCCAGAGGACGCGACGAAGTTCGGGCTGTGAAGCAATTAGGATGAAGTTCTGGGCTCCTGCTTTGTTTCTCTTACCTTGTAAAGATCGAGGTTTTCCTCAACCCAGTTCTTGAGCAAATCTGAAGATCGCGTTAGTTGCTATGTTGGGCTATGCAAGTGCGACACTTGGCTTACCGAATCCTTGGCGGGTCTTGGGGCGAGAATCCTCCCCCAACTGAGGGAGAGGACGCCCATCAATCTCCTGGTTGGCAGATTCCATCCGAAGCATTGCCTCAGTTCGATTGTAGCCTTTCTTGGCTAGATAGTCGATAACCTGTACACAATGAAAGGTTAGCATTCCACTGTAACAGAAAGTGATTCGACCAAAACAAACTGTAAAAGCAAAAGATATAGAGAACCAAACACAATGTGAAAGCAAAAGGTATAGAGAACCAAACAAAATGTGAAAGCAAAGGGTATGGAGAACAGACCCGTCGGGTCAAAGCTTCAGGTGTATCCTTTACAAAGGGAGTCTCTTGACTTTCTCGGGAGCCGATGGCGGTGGAGGATTCGAGCTGAGCACCTTGGGTCGCCCCGTGCTGAGCAGCTTGTGCCTCCTGGCGATGTAGAGCCAGCATCTCCTCGTGCTTGCGCTGAGCAGCTAAGAGGACTTCCGGCTGAGTAGGAGGTATAGCAGGGCGCTGAGCTTCCTCCTGCTGGGCAGTTCGACTCTCCTCGCGCTTTCGATCCTCGAGTTTCCTTCTAGCCGCCTTTCTCTCCTCCTTAGACTGCGGCATTGTGGCAGTCTCCGGATTAATAGCGAAACGTACCTGATGAAACAGGGATGGCAAATCAAATGTAGAATGAGACGTCAAGGCCAGATAGAAGATGGTAGTGGTGGTGTGTAGAAGTGATAGGGAGGATCGAATAATGCGGTCGCGTCTAGCAGGATGTCGACATGCGGGGATAGTGGCGTGAACAAGTCTGAGTGACAGCTGATCGCCCTCCCTTCCCATTTTGTAGTTTGGTACAGCAAACACATCCTCCGCGCCGTTTCTCCCGTTTCTCTTCTTAGCAGTGCCCTTTCACCTGCTATCATCGACCCGCAATCTTATTCCTCTGGTTATTGGGATACCTCAGGCGGTCTTCCAGAGACATTGAAAGTCGCCCAGAAGACATCTCTGTTTCATCGGCTACTCTTCGCTATTAACCCGGAGACTGCCACAATGCCGCAGTCTAAGGAGGAGAGAAAAGCGGCTAGAAGGAAACTCGAGGATCGAAAGCGCGAGGAGAGGCGAACTGCCCAGCAGGAGGAAGCTCAGCGCCCTGCTATACCTCCTACTCAGCCGGAAGTGCTCTTAGCTGCTCAGCGCGAGCACGAGGAGATGCTGGCTCTACATCGCCAGGAGGCACAAGCTGCTCAGCGCGAGGCGACGCAAGGTGCTCAGCTCGAATCGTCCACCGCCATCGGCTGAGGAGAATGTGAAGAGACTCCCTTTATAAAAATTCACCCAAAGCTTTGACCCAACGGGTCTGTTTCAGGGGAAACAGGGTATTGTTGTATCGATTACACTGTCGGCAATGTATCATACTGCTCGCATATGTTGGACTCATCTGGTTCCTCGGCGCGATCTCATTCGACATCCTCGTGCTGTAATAGAGAAGGCACAGGAGACTGCAAGGCTTGCTCATTGCAACATTCGAGTTTGTGTTGGACGGTGGGTTCAATGGACCACTCCGGATGAACATCGCCTGGATGCACAACGCCAGGATTGGAAACGCCAATGCTTATGAGACTCGGTCATATCGTCTTCGATGTTGTGAAACACGACGGATTCCCCGTCAAACATCCTCCGTCGTGAACATCTACCACACTCTTCATGGCTGAACGGGTCTCGGGTCGAAGGTGGAAAGGCCGTCATGTATCAAGCCTCTGTGACTTGTCTGCCTCGGCTTGGACAGGGTGGGCACATCGAGGAAAACAATCATCGCAACGAGACAAAAGAGACAAAATGGACGCAGGGGAAACCAGACTTGCGCGGGAAACGGCAAAGAGACCATGAACACACGTACTATTTGGTTCAGATTTTGTTGTGACATAGCACCACTCGGAGGGGCACTCTGTCCTGACTGCGGAGCGGCCTGGATTGGTGTCTGTGACACAGACTGCTGAGGCATCCCTATGCCAGTGCCGCTTGCGCTAGGTCCCATGCTATTGCTGCGTGGGACCGGGCTAGGAGCACCACCCGGCGCCGACATTATCAATGATCAGTTGCGACTTCCGCGCTGGCTTGAGGCTGCGTCGTCGACCCAGCAGGCACTGCTAAGGAAGCTTTGGATAACGAGCAGGCTAGACAACGGTCGCTGGGATGAGTCTTAGTTGCGAAGGTAAGATGACGATGATGGAGGAAAAGCGAAGATGATGGAGGGGAGATGGATGGAGGAAGAGTGATGGAGGAAAAGCAATGGGGGAAAAGCAATGGGGGAAAAGCAATGGGGGATCGTTATCGATAACTATCTCGAGTTTGCTCGATACCTACTGAACGTATCTTGAGGCGGTGGATCGAAGCTACAGACCGCCTACCTCTTCGAGACACTCCCCGCACCCCGTCGATCCGCACGTGATACCTATTCACCCGATTGCCTTCCAATTGTTGTCTCAGTCACGTTCTGTCCTAGCAGAGTTGCTAGTGTTGAGGTTACACACACGCACTGGCTTCTGTCTCCATCGTGCTTTCTACGGCTGGCCAGCATGGGCGATGATACATCCCCGAAGGAGCCGCAGAGCTTCAGCCCTGCCGATCGCATCGAGCAGCTGAACGCAGTGGATAAGGTATTACAACGAGCGCCATTGATGCACGGAGACTCGCTGACTCTTATTGCCCAGGACTTGAACAAACTGGTATGGTCCGCTGCCAGTGCAATTGAGGTTTTAACCTCTGCAAAACTGGCCTCTTCATCCCCCGCGATCGACGGCTCGGTCGGCTCGCGCAAAGCCCTGTTCTCACAAGCCTGCATGGTCTACTTTAAACTCCTCTCCTCGGTGGATGTTCAGCTACGCCGCCAGGTACACGCCCTTGAAGAATATTTCTATACACACGAGCTCGGCCCACCCGCAGTCGACCCAATGGCTGGAGCCAAAATCGAGGGAGGCGCGGATAATAAGTTCTCCACTTCGGGCTCGCTGGATATCGGCCAGCTCAAAGTACGGAAGGATGCAGCCTGGAAGGAGTTGGAAGCTGAACGGTGGGCTGCTACTGAGGGTTTCGTTGTGGAGGAGATTCTGCAGACGACCCAGGACGAAAAGCCTGCGAATGAACCGCAGGATATGCAGGTGGATTGAAATGATGACCTCTATAGGGCTCGGTACGGCCGACGGTGGCTACTTTATGCGTTTATATGATACCCTGGGCTCTCACTTTGAGATTCTACAATTACAATGAGCCTGGTTGCAATGCTATCTGCATCTGCAGAGTACCGGGCATTGAAAAAAGTGACAAACGAATATTACACTACATATACTAGTTCGATAATCAAATATCACAGGCCTAATGCAAATTGGACTGGCAACGAATGGTTCGATATTCAAGCTCGTTCACAGAACTAAGCTATGGCAAAAGAAATGGTAACGACAATTCTAGTTCATCGGCCTAGCCGAACGTAATGGTCAGAAGGATAAAGCAAACTACTTCTGCATGGACGTGATCATCTCCCGCTGGATTTCCCGGTCTCTGTTCGCATCCGACAATGGCCCGATGCCTAAGCGCATGTTAGTACATTCCAGCAACGCAGATATGAGGCCCATAGACTTACTTCGGAGCTCTCCAACAACGTCCTTAGCCTTACCGAAGTAAACCTCCTCTATCAGACGAGACTCAAATTAGCATTAACTCTTCACTTGGGAGGTTAACCAGAACCTCGGGGTGTAACTTACGCAGTAAATTCCGCATCTTCAACTCCATATCCTCAACCAACCTGCCTACATTGGCGACATGGCTAGCGTCCGACTCAACTGGCAGGTCAACTTCCACCTGGCGCGTCATGTTTCCGCTGAGGTCCATATCACCAAGAGCCTCGGTCTTGTTGGCCAGGTGAAGAATAACGGTACTGGTGAGTTTGTAGTGGGACATGCGAGCACGGTCGGTGGCCTCAAAAACGTGAATGCTGTCCCATTCGCCGGAGCTCTGGGAACCGGGGGTGACACCTAATCAAGAGCAAGAGTCAATCACAGTCTCGAGCAACGGCGCCATTCCACACCAAGAACAACACGCACCCTTTTTCAACAGAATCACACCGGCGAATCCATCGTCCAAATCCCAGAAGTACACGCTACCCACACCCCCCCTCATAGTACAATTCGCGGTAAACATCGAAAGACTCGTTGGCTGCAAGTTCGAGCTTGCGCACGCGCTCACTGGGTACGGTACCATCCTCAAGTGGGGGATCAAACTCATTGCTCCATGGTGACCGATAGCTATCGCCGTCACGGTTGTAGTCGCAGAGCAAGTAGTCGCGGTTGCTCTGCGGGCAGCGGCGAATCTCCAGGGGCTGATCAACGGAGGCGAGGAGGTCTTCTGTAAGTTCGGGGACAATTGAGGTGATCGCTTGTAGGTTCTTCTTGGTATCGCGGGGGTTCAGGCGCCGAAGGAGGTCGCTGGGTAAAGGTGGTCAGCTCAGTGATCTCCGAGTGCATGGGGGCGGGGTTGCGTCGAGATCGGGGGGTATCGCCATGGTTGGGGGAAATAAGGCGGTATTAGAGCCTGTAGATCATGTTACTCACAGCGCGCTATCGAATTGTGCATCAGCCATGGTTGCGAGGGTTGGTTGTGTATACTCTGTTGCTCGGCGGATGGCGGTGTTGATCTTAGGCGGATGAGGTGCGTGCATTCACCGGGCGTCTAGCGTGGCAGTACATGATCTATATCAACCGCATCGCAACATAGATGGTACACTTGGGCAACATAAGTCCAAGGAACGCCCATAGAGGAGAGATTGTAGGGACTTGATATGTACTAGTCTAAGCTCGCTCTGTTTCTGCCCCTTTTGGTCTACTTCTTAATATAGCGCACGACGAACGGCCACTCTGCGTGGTCAAAATAGAGCTGGCCATCGTCATGTTTTGAATTCTTCTGGAGCTTTGTTTTTGCAAAAGGATGGTTTAAAGACAACCAAGAATCAGTAAAGGGACTCTATCAGCTAGACATTGAAAGTCTCGCAGTCACTAAGTGATGACCATAACTTGCGGATCATCGACACGACGAGGACGTTCTGACGGACATGCCCAGACCACCTCGAAACCTCGACGCTGTGCAGTAAGCCACCTCTACATGCACTTCACCAAAATCTCTTTTCAAGGTGTAGCAGAGACAAGACTCATTTCCTCCTCCCACCATCCCGCAAAGACCTTCAATCTCTCCGTCCGCACCCTAGCCATCTCCTTCCCGGTAACAGTCTTCATCATCCCCTCCAATTTGACCAACTTATCCCCAAAATGCTCAATGGAATTGCTCATCTCCCACTTCCCATCAACACAATACTTTTTCCCAACAGCTCCAAGGAAGGTAAAACATCTCCCAATTCCAACGGCACCAATGGCATCAAGTCGGTCCGCATCCTGTACAACTCCGAGCTCGACAAGTCCATCATCAATCAGCTGCCGAGCTAAGGCCGGATCCTTGCATTCGGATGTATACGAAACATTGGACACGATCTTTTGCACCTGGGATGCGAGTTCCGGCGTCGCACCCCGTGCAAGAAGAGCGTGCTGCACCATAGTTGTCGGGTCGAGCTCTTCGCTTCCAGGATCTACCTTGGACAGGTATTTTCTATCGCCAATGTCGTGTAACAATGCGGCTAGTTTGACAAGCGCGCCGTTGTATTGCGTTGTGGGGTGCAGTGCCCGCTCTGCTTCGAGGATCTTGTTGGCGAGCGCTACCACTCGGTGCACATGTGCCGGGTTATGCGACGGGTCGTGGCCAGACATGCAGTCTGTCACGAAAGCTGACATCTTGCTAAACAGCGTTTGGAATTCCTGACTCGTGTCGTCCATAGTGGAGTCTGATTCGGTTATCACTGTTGGAGATTTGATTTGTATCTCTTTTCGGCGATTCACTGATATACTGAGAAGGTGCGATTTTTTGAGCGAGCAGATGTTGATCGGTTTCTGTATTCCACCAATTGGGCTCGACAGTACTCCGTATATTTTGGAGAATTGTCGTTTCCCCACAGTAAACAACCTTTGGCTTTGGCGGTGAATGCCTGCTGCCTGCGACATGTTGTCTGTGTAGGGATCTTCCCGGCGGTAAGAGATTAGTCCGTACATGGACCCAGCGCATACTAGGTAGTATTGTTGGAATGTACTACATGGATCCATACGTGAATTGTACGTTTGTATGTTTTAAGCCAATGGGGAAAGGGAAGAAGATAATACGCCAGTGCCAGAATCTAAGCCATTCCATTCACAAATGCTCCAAATTTGATATCCAAGATAAATAGAAAGAAAAATTATACTAGGCCAACAAGGTCACCCCCATAGATCCAGATCAAGGACATTCCCGTGCGGCCATGCTGAAATTACAAGGTTGTAGACCCAATAGAACAAAGACTCTATCCGCCGATGTGCTCACAGAGCAAAGGCGGCAACAACCAGGCCGAAGAGACCAGCAGCGGAGGCACCAAGTTTCACGTTGGCCGCGGCATTGTCAGTCTGCTGCGCGAAGCCCGAGGTGGTAGCAGATCCCGAGGAAGAGAAAGAATCATCGTTGTCGTCGTCATTGTTATCAGAAGCTGGAAGGCAGACGTTAGCAAAGCCATGTTTTCCTTTTGTAATGCGCTATAAACATTTAAACCTGTACATACAGTTCTTGTTGTTGTCTGACGACCCGGTGGTTTGCGCACCGGTGTTGCCAGTACCAGTTGAGCTGGTAGAAGAGCGGGTGGCAGTGGGACCGTTGCCGCCCCAGAAGTGCGATCTGTAGCAGGACTGCTCACAGTCGGTGTACCTCAGGGTATCGGCGGGAGAGCCAGTACCCTGGGGGCAGGCAGCGACACACTCATTGGTGTCATTGGCCTGGTCATCGCTGGGGCAGGGCACCTTGTAGCACTTGGCTGTGCAGCAGATATCCTTCACGTCACCTGGAATTGAAAGTTAGAATTGCTGTTTCCGCATATATTGGAAGCTGTGGGGGAATTACGGACATCTCTTTGCGCACTCAGCCTCGGCGGTAAGAGTAGGGATTGGAGTGTCAGCGGTGGTGATGTCGGCGGCAGCAGCGACAGCCAAGACGGCCGAGAGGGCGAAGATGCTGAACTTCATGTTGTATTAGAAGATCCTGAAAACGAGAGACAGAAGAAGTGTTGGTAGATAGCGACAGTAGTAGAGAATGACGGATAGCGGGAAAGGAGGAGGCGAGCGAAGTATTAAATATTGAATGAATCCAAGCCATCAAAAAAGCAAACGGCCGGCCTTTGCCCAGACATGGAATTTGCCTCAAACCTTGGAACCAAAATCAACGCCAAAAGACAAAAACAGACATTGTGCAGACTCCCATTCGTGATGTCTCAGATTTAATCCGCTGATATCGGACCTATTCGACCCTGTTCTCTTGCTTTCCATGGACTTAGAGCCGATGCACGACAATCACCTTGCTTCCCCAGACTAGGGCATTGTGCAGGATAATCTCCCCCTAGGAAGGGGGGTTTCTGCTGTGTCGCAAATTGAGACCCTGGGGAAGAGTGGACCTGTCAAATTGCAAAATATTGATTGACACCAAGCATTAGCGTATGAGCAAGGGGACCAAGCTACGTACTATCTTGGCTTGATCATACGGCATATTGGACTTCAGGCCTCGGCAGGGGAGACTTTGAAGCCAAGAACAGACACAGACGATAACCTGAGGCCCATGAGTAGGACACTGTACACAAACAGGGGCGATTGTTCGGCAGGCGAGCAATGATTTAATGTTTTAGGAGAATATCCAAGTGATGGGACCGGATAGAAGATTATTGTGTAAACAACTGGGTATGAACCCTTCATTTCATGATATGCTAGACCAATCTCGGTAGTTGGTGAACTCGGCTCGGCCTTTCGATGAAGTTCGAAGACGTGCCAGTGGCAGAACTAGCCGCCAGTGCAAACTAAACAAACACCATCACCTGATTACGCGACGCGACGCGAGCGGCGAGACTAATTGCACGTTCAACGACCATGCCTTCCAACTATCGCGATGTCGACAGATTCCGAGTCGGATTACTTCGATGATGACGACTTCGTAGTCCCCGACACCCCCGAAGGGCCATCCCGCCCCGCGAAACGCCGTCGTGTTCAACAGAAGCGCGGGGAAGACCGCGTAGACCACGATGACGGTACTTCAATCAACTCTTCCTCTGATATGGAGGATGAAGAATTACCCTCCAGGCGCCGGGCACCATCTTTTGGCTTTGAGGATCGCTCTAAAACCAAGAGCTGCGTGCTGAAACACGCAACTGTCCAGAATGACATGTTTGTCACGCAGCTCACGCAACCTTCATCGAGTCCGGAACGGATACGGGGTCCACGATGGCAGAAGCCCGTTGCAAAGGCCCCTTCACCAATGTTCAGAACCGAAGTACAAAATGATGGACAGGAGAGGGGGATTCCTGAGGAAGAGGAGCTAAGAGCCGCTATCGCAGCATCTTTGGATTCGTTTGAGGAGGAACAAAGAGGAGGGTTTCGTCCGCCGAGCTTAGCAAACAATACTGCTCCACAAAGGACTCTCCCCTCACCACCACAGACAAGCACACATGGCACAATGGAAGTCCCATTTGAGCTAGAGGACATACCTGAAGGCGCATTCGATTCTTCGCCGTCATTGTCACCGGTAGCACGACCAGCTCGACCTGTACCTCCGCAATTTAGCCAATCTCGGGGTCCGATTCGACAACCCCATTTACGACAGAGCACATTGTTCGGCATGGTTTCCTCAGGACCCGCGGCCTCGGAAACGCGCGAGCAAGACCCGGGCCCTCCACAGAAGACCGAACCACCGACTCAACACAAACTTGTCAAAGAAGCTTTGGACACATGGGTTTACCCAACAAATCTGGGCAAAATAAGAGACTACCAGTTCAACATAACCCAGGCAGGTCTATTCCACAACCTACTTGTGGCCTTGCCGACAGGTTTAGGAAAGACCTTCATAGCAGCCACGATTATGCTTAATTGGTTTCGCTGGACGAAAGATTCGCAAATCATTTTTGTAGCACCCACAAAACCACTGGTCTCGCAGCAGGTATCGGCCTGCTTGGATATTGCCGGAATACCACGCTCTCAGTCGACCATGCTCACGGGAGGAGCAATACCAGGGATCCGCGCCGAAGAGTGGAAATCGAAGCGCGTGTTCTTCATGACCCCTCAAACATTGATCAACGACTTGAAGGGCGGAATCGCCGACCCCAAGCGAATCGTGCTGCTGGTCGTCGACGAAGCTCATCGCGCGACAGGCGCGTATGCCTATGTGGAGGTAGTCAAGTTCCTTCGACGGTTCAACAACAGCTTCCGCGTTCTCGCGCTCACGGCTACCCCGGGCTCGACGGTGGAATCAGTACAAGAGGTCATTGACGGCCTGGACATTGCTCGTGTCGAGATCCGTACGGAGAACTCGATCGACATCCGCGACTACGTCCATGCTCGCAATATCGAGATCGAGACATTTGAGAATTCAGATGAAATGATATTCTGTATGGATCTCATGTCTGCGGCTTTGCAGCCCTTGCTTGACCAACTCAATACACTCAATGCCTATTGGGGTCGTGATCCAATGGGGTTGACTGCGTACGGTCTCACGAAGGCGAAACAGCAATGGAAGCAGTCTGCCGCTGGTCGCAATGCCAACTTTGGGCTGAAGGGCAAAGTGAACGCCATCTTTGCCGTCCTTGCTAGCTTGGCTCACGCCATCGATCTACTCAAGTACCATGGTATCGTGCCATTCTATCGTCATGTCGTTCATTTCAAATCAGGGGCCGAGGGCTCAAAAGGTGGAGGCGGCAAATACCAAAAGCAAGTCGTGCAGGATGAGAACTTCAAGAAACTGATCAGCCATATTGAACCTTGGAGTAAGAACCCGGAGTTTATTGGCCATCCAAAATTGGAATATCTGAAGTCAGTGATTCTGAATCACTTTCTGGACCGGGGCGAGGGCCAGGAGCTCCCTGATGGCGGCGCTAGTCAGCCAGCGACTCGAGTCATGATCTTTGTGCATTTCCGCGACAGCGCAGAAGAGGTCACGAGAGTATTGAAGAGATACGGGCCCATGATCCGGCCTCATGTTTTCGTGGGCCAATCGAGCGCCAAAGGCTCTGAAGGAATGGACCAGAAAACACAACTCAAGATCATTCAAGATTTCAAGAAAGGCACATACAACACAATTGTGGCTACCTCGATCGGAGAGGAAGGATTGGATATCGGAGAAGTCGACCTCATCGTCTGCTACGATTCATCGGCATCACCCATTCGCATGCTGCAGCGCATGGGTCGAACAGGCCGCAAGCGAGCCGGCAACATCACATTACTCTTAATGAAAGGCAAAGAAGAAGACTCCTACACCAAAGCCAAAGACAACTACGAAAAGATGCAACAAATGATAGCCAACCGCGCCCGATTTACATTCCACGACGATCGTTCCCCTCGCATTCTGCCCGCAGGCATTCGTCCAGTACCGGACCGACGAAACATCGATATACCCCTAGAGAACTCGCAGCAAGAAAGTCTCGAACCCAAAGGCAAAGGACGAGCACCAAAGCGACCCCCAAAGGTGTTCCACATGCCAGACGACGTGGAGACTGGCTTTACTCGAGCTTCGGCGATGGGTGGCGACAAACCTGCGAAAAAGACCTCCAAGAAAGCAGCCACTCCGAAAAAGAGACCCCGAACGCCAACACCCGAGCCTGTAGCCATCCCGTCGCTGGAGGACGTTGTACTCAGCACCAGCGAGCAACAGGAGCTCGAGAACCATTACCAGAATATCGGTGCCACATCGCCGCAGTTCATCCGGTTCCCCCGTAACGACGCCTTCCCGCGTTTGCAGCTTGTCGAAAGACCAACAAAAAAAGTCAAGCATGGCTCTCTCACTCGCCGCATGATCAAAGCTCTGCAGAAAATGGACGAGGCTGGTCCTGACTGTGATCGTCGGTTCAAGGAAATTCTAGCGCGCCAACCTCTGTCGTCCGATGAATCTAGTCAATCTTCGACAAAGGTTCCACGCAAGACGCCTCGACGGAGCGAAAAGCCTTTGAAAACGCCCTCTAAACCCGCTGCTCGGTCGGGGTCTAAAAAGACCACTGCAATCCCCGCTGGCGGGGAGGTTCTTTCTTTGTTGTCTCCCGAGAAGACGAATGACCCCGACCCGTTCGCCTCCGTGGATGATGACTTCGATGATGACTCGGATGCTTCGTTGCCGGATGTTAGCCTTTTATTTAGTAGTGGGTCGAAGGCCAATGCTAGGAAACAGAACCGGGTCATCATCGACGATAGTGATGAGTGACGAACATAGATACAGGTCTTGGATAAGCTCCCATTTTGGACATGGAATTCGATTGCCAAATATCTAGACTTCAGGATGCCGTTGGATCAACGCTATACGCTCATTTCCTCCATCGTTCCTCGGTGTGGCTGCAAATCACCCAGGTGCCTTCATGCTTCATGCACTGACGGAATATATCCAGCGCCGGTTACGTTCCGGATGTTGCCTCAGAGGCTAGGTATAAGGTAAAAAGGTACAGGTTGTATTTTTTTTGGTGCCTTGTAGCTATTTCGTTGGGAAGTGTATACCATTCTAGCCTAGGGCAAGGTTGTTGAAAGGGTGTATGCCCAGACCACTGCTGGGAAAAACATTGAATGAAGAGACCAACCTTGCTGTAAAAGAACTGCGAACCACCGATCTATCAGAAAACAACTCCCAGACCATGTAGGCCTGGAACAGGGTATTTGGGTATTTGGGTTTGCGAGAGACAATAGACACGAAACGTCGATCCGAGGAAGCCGAAAAATTCGCCCAAACTTGACGCAAGAAGAGTATGGGTTTATGCAAGAGTTTAATATGTTCCACGTGAGCGTTTAAATATCGGGAAGCAAAAGTGGAAAAGGAAGCGCGAATATGAATCGGAAAGGACAGTGGACGGAGATCCAAACTCCAACTGAGGTCAGCGACGCCGCGTGAGCAGAGTTTCTAAATCAATACAAAGTGCGTAGGGGGAAAGTGAAGGAAGTGGAGGGTGTAGAGTATGTCACACACGGTCCCGAGCGAAGTCAAGAACCTCACAATCATCCTCAAAGAAGCCGTCATCGGCCTTTAACGGAGTAGAGTGTCTCTTCTTCCGGCGAGTAGTTATGACAACTTCCTCAACATTGCCGGTGCTGTTCCCGAGTGTGATGAGGTTTTCAATCTCTCCACCAGCGCCAAGGGAACTTCCATGGATAGCAGCATTCTCATCCTCGTCCTCGCCATGATCATCGCTGTGGCTGTTTAATGACCTCAAGTGCACCTTGGTCAGGGGGATGTCGTTGCCAAAAATCCAGGGTCCAGTCGGGTCGCTTGCATCGCTGCCAGAAGAGAAGACATTCAGACTAACCCGCTGGTCAGTGTGGAAAGGCTGGTATGGGGTGTTTGTCTCAATCTCGGCCTGCGAGAGAGGTTGGCAAAACGCGCGTGAGGCACTGGACGGCTGGGAAGTGGCTGAGGGAAGAGCAAGAGAAGCGTGAACTGCCAGTTCTGGATCAAAAGTGGAGACAGGAGCTGGCCCAGAAGGCCTTTGGAGATTGGCAGGTAGCTTGACCTGTGACTCTTTACCCCCAACGACAGAGTGGGGCTGTCGACTTCTATGGCCAGATACAGCACGTTTGAGGCGGTACATTTTGAAGTACCCACCATCCACAACACCGAGGAAGATGAGGCCCTTGTTGCAAATCCAAGTCACCCGAGAAGGTGCGGGGTCCTGAGCAAGACCTGGTAAGTGTAGACGGTTCTCTCCAGCATGGCGCAGAGTATTGACAGTACCTGTTGCAGCGCCCACGGACTTGCTTAGACCTGCTGCGACAACCTTTCCGCTCTTAACGCTAGCAGCGGAAGGCAGCGCAAAACCACTCATATTTGGGAATGCAGCACCCGTCGACGGAACACGACCCCTGACAGCGGAGAAGAAAGGCTGCGTTTTACCACCAACCAACTTCATGGCTGCTGACAACGGGTTGCCTCCAGCGGCCTGGCTTGGCACTTCATCTACTTGGTGGTCGGTAGGCAACGGCTTCCTTTTAGTCTTCGCGCGGCGGAATGGGGGCCATTGGAAAGCGCTCCGGGGTAGATCGAAAACGTGAATGGTCCCTTTACGTGTGATTACGGCCAGTCGATCTCCTGTGGGCGCAGTCCAGATCACATCAACAATTCGTGATGTGGTCAGTCTTGCATATCTGGCAACCTGCCGTACGTTGGGATTCTGGCCTATCTGGTCATCGGCCATGAAAGCCATGGACCGGCAGTGCTTTAGTTGCATGAGATCCCACACATATTGCACATCACCCTTCTTGCTTGCTGTGAACAACATCAAGCCGTTCGGGGAAAGTGACAAGAAGCTGCAACCATTCGGGACCTGGAAAGTTGAAAGTGGGTGGATAAACACGTTTCGTATATCCGTGCCGTCCTCAAATCGATTTAGGTCGATAATAGATACAGTATCAGGTTCGGTGGTTGATGTTTGTGTATCTTGAGCATGGGTGGGAGGGAATAGTCCATATCCCTGTGCCGGCTGGTCGGGGCCCTGCATTGACCGACGTGGAGAAGTGCCAGATGTTTGCTGGGTATTCCAATAGTTGTTCCAGGCTTGCATTCCCTGGTCGCCCATCCAACGTGCGCCTCTGACGAGTTCTTGGGCAACACCCCTCGCCATTTTGTCGAAGAAGCTCTCGCCTTCTCCAACATCAGTCGCACATGATACCGACGGCACAGCCAGGGGACTACGAGTTTCAATGCCTGGGACCTTGCCGAGGATCAGGTTTGAAGGGACGGTGCCCTGGATTGACCCTCTGTAGGCTGATGATGGGGGAGCGAATGCCAACCACCTTCCTTGTACGGCCAAGATAGGCCGTTCAAGAGAAGACGAACCATGAGGAGAGTCGGCACGACTCCCCTCTTGGTCAGTTGTCGAACTTGACGAGGTCGAATAACGCCGGGTTTCCTTCGACTGAACTCCAGTCCAAGTCTTGCCTAAACACTGGTATCCAGATGTCTCCGTGGACAAAACATGTCTATAAATAAATACCTCCCCACTGACCCCGGATGCCAAGATAACGTACGCACCGGCCGTGAAGAGCTTCAAGCTGCCTACAGGCGCGGGCGCAAAAGACTGGAGGCCAGGAAGGTTTTCCATACACGGCACAGGCTTGCTTGCAAACAACGTAGAAACATGCTCACCGGTTCGGAATGAGTAAATCTCGACCCGCGTCTGGTAGAACTGAAGGTCTTCTCGTGCTGGACGCTGGTCGTTCGCATGACCTCGCACTACGGAAGGGGGAATATCGTTTGCATCCGATGTGGCAGACGACACCCGACCTTCGTCCTCTTGAGGTGCCAACGGCCCATGAACTATGACAGCCACATGTGGTCGGGACGACGCAAAGGGGTCGGCTGATGGGTGGCTCGACAAGAGCTTTGCTTCAATCACTCGACCATTCAGGCCACTTATCTGCCCTATGAGCCGAGTTCGACGATCTTCGACAGCGAGAATCTCCACGGCCCCGTCTGTGCCAACCAATAGGACGTTCATTCCCATCCGCGATGATTTCGGCGATAAGCTGGGTAGCATATCAAAGCTACAGAAGGAATAGCTTCCGTCAGATAGTGGACGATTCTGAGTTGGAAGCATATCGATGTTGGGTGCTCCAAAGAAATGTGCCTGTGGAAGATGAGGGAGCGGCGCCTGATTGCTCATTGGACTCCCATAAGAATGGCTCTTCCTTCTATCCACAGACTGTTGCCTCGAATGCAGACTGCTCCGGTAACCATTCCCGTAGCTAGACGGTAAGGTACGAGTCTGGGGGGATGCCGAGGAAGGATGGCTGAACACACCCCTTTCAGGAATGGTTGGGAAATTCAAGGGCGAGGCATTCGGCAGATCCTCATTCAAGAGATCTGTGGGAGGACTTTTCCCATAAGGCACCGATTGCGCCCAAGTATCGGTGCGACTAGTCAGGTCATCACCCGCCGGCTGTTCGAGGGAATCGAAAGCATCTAGAACGGGGGACGTGATAGACTGGTTCACATGATGTTCAACAGGAGGAGGGGAATCTGGGGAGATGGGAGGATCCGGGTAGTTGAGGGGCTCCTCTGGTGGCGGAGCAAAAGGTTGGATGCTATTCATGTAATCTGGTGTTAATTGGGCACATTCTTCGGGAATGAGGCCGTCACCAGAAGATACATACACATCATCCGGTGGTGTTTCAGCTGCTGTCTGGGCTGTCTTGGCTGCCTTGACCTTCTTAGCTTTCTTCTTTTTGCCCTTCGACACTGGTTCATGTTCTTGTATAATCGTGTTCTGCTCTGGCGTGATGACGGTGTCGTCTTCAAGTAAACGGTTATGCTGGCGGATGAGATCGTCAGGCGCTGCCGGGAGCATTCAAATAGATGATGCCTCAAGTGAGAGGCAAGTGCGAGATAGGCGACTAACACCGCTCTCAGAACCTTGTTTGTGGTCTAAGAACGGAGATGTAGGATCACTGTTAGAGATCCTGACCGGGGCACCGGAACTTTAGGAGGTGTCACTGGAGGGGTCTGGAGAGAAAGGGATAGCTTTTATGAGATTAGCCATGGTCATAAAACAACCCAATACTGTAAAGTCCACACCTAGGTTCACTGTAGCCCTAGAAATAACGGAGTTGTGGTGAACTGCAGGCACCACTCACAGCTTGGTTATCTAGAGCGGAGAAGACTCTAGACGCGCGGGGAAAGGCTTGATAGAAAGGCGCAACACCGCAACAGCTTGAGATATATTTCCAAGCTGGTGCAGAAGAATGTAATCTAATATGACTTCATCAACAAGTTGAAGTTCGAAGATGAGTCAAAGAGGAAGAAGGATGATGTTATGGTTCGCGATAAGAGAAGAGGGGGGAGGGGGGCTGACCCCAGGTCACCAGTCAGGTACGGGGCTATTAGGGTGAAATAGGAAGGGGGGTTTGGATTATCCTGAGTCAGAGCACGGAACAATCCTCTGACGCTGTCATTTTCCTACCGAGGATATGATCGGATTCTCTGTCTTTACACTATTTGACTATCTTTGTTCTCTTTCTTTTCTCCAATTTCGACTTCTACAATGAGACCTGACTCAACTTGACCCATGAGGGGAAATCTGTCAAACCATGCAAACACTGATAAGGCATGACTTAGTCATCTTCGTAGCCCACTCTGGGCCTGCTCTCATCCATGGATGTTCATTGTGACGTCCTCTTATATTTGTCTCCCTTACATGGCTTGGACGTGGTTCTGAGAAAGGCATCAGCTGGCTTTGGTCAGCCCGAGTCCAACCGTGCCATTCCTGACTTTTCCTTGTTTGATGATTAAAGTTGTTACTGAGTGGCTGAAGAGCGTCATCGGTGCAGCCGAGGTCACGGGGCATCATTGCGGTATGGGCAACATGACGACTGAAGGGGCTTCCCAAGGGCTGACGACAACTGACAATTTATTGTCTAGTTAGTTGGTGTAACCATTTTAGCCAGGAAGTTCAGGCTCTTCTTTTGATTGCAGGTGACTACTCATGTGACTATGTGGTGATCTGATATATTGAGCTCCAGATGGCTCTTTCACCCTCCCTTTCCACCATTCTCGAAGCACGAGCAGGCTATATCCACTGTTATGATTTCTCAAGCGCTCGGTATAACATAACAAGTTATCTGACATGTCTTTTGAGAGCTGCAAATCTTCAAAACGGTTGGTAATACAGAATATTGTCAGAGATTGCTTCTCTCCTGACAGGCACGCCAATAGTCGTTTAGGTCTTCTTCTTGGCTGCGGCCTTGGCCTTGGCTGCCTTCTTCTTGTTGCTGTTGATCATAACAATTCCAATGAAGGTGCCTACCACTGCAGAGCCCAACAGTGTGAGGATAACGGGGATGCGGATAGCCCAGACACGGGGCGGGAAGATGTCGTGAAGAGGGTGGCCAGGGTCAACGAAGGGCTGTGGAACAGATATGAGTAATGAGCAAAGAAAACCTCTAGGATCAATTTCCATACCATCAACAGTGTCCAAGCAGTGTAGTAGAGAAAGATCGCGGTTGCGACTAGGAGCATGACGGATCCGACGAGTTGGCCCAGCTAAAGCACAGTTAGCACAGTTTCTCCATTGAACTGAATTGACATCATCACCATTCTGATAAGTAACAGCAAGAACAAGAATAAACGAAAGTGAAGGAGTGTCGATGAATCCTGTGTTGTCAGAACTGCCAGGAATCTCAGGAGCTCCCGTCGCGCCCTCCTAGTTGGCCTCTGGTCACGTGCATCCCGCTAGAGCTTTCTCCTGGTGCATCCTTGAATCATCTTGCTATCTCAGTCCGGCTGGAATTCGCAACCACCGTCCCTCCGGTGTACACCAGCCCCTTTTATCGACCCCGGAGGAATATTGACTGACCAAAAATGTCCGATTCGGATGTTCTCCAGTCTGCGGTGCGCGTGCCCACGCCTCCCCGGGCGCGTCGTACTCACCAACCGCAGCTTCTCGAAAACGTTCGCCCCCATCTCGTTCCCCTTCTCCGAACCGTCGCCGATCGCCCCCCGGTGATACCCTTCGAGATGGTCCCGATGCTGTCGATCTCGACGACCGAGAGCGCCAGCTCGCTGAGCGTGTTCGCGAACATGAGAAGCGCGAAGCGGCGCGCAAGCCGATGACCGAGGAACAAAAACAGGCGTCGGCCAAGGCAGAATATGAGAAGCTTCTCACGATGAGATCCGGTGGCACCTATATCCCTCCGGCTCGACTCCGTGCGTTACAGGCCCAGATCACAGATAAGACGAGCAAGGAATACCAGCGCATGGCATGGGAAGCTTTGAAAAAATCCATCAATGGTCTTATCAACAAAGTCAACGTTTCAAACATCAAGTTTATCGTTCCAGAACTATTTGGAGAGAACTTGGTGAGAGGCCGAGGTTTATTCTGTCGGTCGATCATGAAGGCTCAGGCAGCCAGTTTGCCCTTCACTCCGATCTACGCAGCAATGGCGTCTATCGTCAACACCAAGCTTCCACAGGTCGGCGATTTGCTGCTGAGCCGATTGATCGTCCAATTCCGCAAGGCTTTCAAGCGAAATGACAAGGCAGTCTGCATTTCTTCTACAACCTTCATCGCGCACCTCTGCAACCAACAGGTTGCCCATGAGATGCTGGCGGCTCAAATGCTTTTGCTTCTTCTGCACAAGCCCACAGACGACAGCGTGGAAATTGCCGTGGGACTTACTCGAGAAGTCGGCCAACATCTGGAGGAAATGAACGCTCCCATTGCACTCGCCGTATTCGACCAGTTCCGGAACATTCTACATGAGGCCGATATTGATAAACGTGTGCAGTATATGATTGAGGTTCTCTTCCAAGTGCGCAAGGACCAGTACAAGGACAACCCTGCAATCAAGGAGGAGTTGGATCTAGTGGAAGAGGAAGACCAAATCACACACCGTTCTGGATTGGATGACGAGCTGGACACGCAAGACACTCTCAACATCTTCAAGTATGATGCGGAGTGGGAGGAGCATGAGGAGGCTTACAAGAAATTGAAGGCCGAAATCTTGGGCGAGGAGAGTGACGAGGACGAGGAAGACAGATCAGATGAGAGCGAGGAAGAAGAGTCTGATGCGGAAGAAGTACAGATGGATATCAAGGATCAGAGTAACACTGATCTTGTGAACCTACGACGAACGATTTACCTCACAATCATGTCCAGTATCGATTTCGAAGAATGCTGCCACAAGCTGATGAAGATCAACCTGCCGGCCGGGTTGGAGCATGAGCTTCCATCCATGATCATCGAATGTTGCTCTCAGGAACGGACATACTCCAAGTTCTACGGTTTGATCGGAGAGCGATTTGCGAAAATCAACCGACTGTGGTCCGACCTGTTTGAGGCCGCCTTCGCCAAGTACTATGACACTATTCACCGTTACGAGACCAACAAACTGCGCAATATTGCTCAATTCTTCGGGCACATGATCAGCAACGATGCCATCGGTTGGCATGTCTTGTCTGTGGTTCATCTCAACGAGGAGGAAACTACATCCAGCAGCCGTATCTTCATCAAAATTCTCTTCCAAAATCTCGCTGAAAACCTTGGTCTTCCTGGACTGCAGGCCCGCTTCAGGGATGAGATCCTGCGGCCCAGCTTCGAGGGCCTCTTCCCTACAGAGAACCCTCGTCACACCAGATTCTCCATCAATTACTTCACCAGCATCGGCATGGGTGTATTGACAGAGGATATGCGCGAGCACCTCAAAACCCTCCCGCGGCCCGCAGTTCCTGCTTTGCCTGCCCGAGCTGCATCTCGATCTCCCTCACGCACCCCATCCGACCGTTCCCCTTCCCGTTCCATGTGCTCAACCTGCACCGGATCTCCTCACTCACGCCGTTCGCGGTCCTATTCGTACTCTCGCTCTCCCTCCAGGGACCGTGGTCGTTCCTACTCCCGTTCCATCACCTCTTCCCGGAGCCGAAGCTACACACCCTCACGTTCTCGGTCTCCAGTCCGTCGCGGCCGTGGCGCGTCCGTTAGTCGGTCCCGAACCCCAGCAAGACGATCGCGCTCCCGATCTGGATCCCGATCCATCTCGCGGTCACCGGTCAGACGTAGCCGAGCACGTTCCCGTGCCGATTCGCGAAGCCTTAGTCGCAGTCCGTACCGGTCTCGTCGGTCATACACTCGATCGGTCACTCGGTCGGTTTCTCGGTCTGTCACGCCTCCGCGCCGAGGCCAAAGTCCGCCTCGCCGGAGATATCGCAGCTATTCAAGATCGGTCTCTCGTTCCGTCACACCTCCACGTCGTCGGCTGCCATCGCGCGGCGCGAGACGAGCCTCGTCCGTATCTGTGTCACCCCCTCCTCGTCGACGCAGTGACGTTTTAGTCTCTCGCTCTCGCTCGCCTCCCCCCAGACGTCGCGCAGAATCTCGAGGCCGAAGTCGCACTCGTACCCCGCCACGTCGTAGATGAACCGACACAACAGCCTCGTCATACGGACTTGCTGCGTCCTCTCACACTGTGTCGTTAATGAATTAGTCTGTATTTGGAGCGAAAATACGACACTGTACTTTACCTTGATCTGCTCTAGTGCCAGGAATTGAAACTTGGGGGTATTCATAGAAGCGAATCAATTCTGCATAGTACTTCCATACTTCTCGGGGTTTCATTTCTACACGATCACATATTCCTCGAATACAAAGTCTATACAGTGTGTCCACTTCCTAGGAGCCATTAAGGCAGCAGCAGACAATATCGATCCATGTAATCCAGGCAAAGGGGTATCTCATGATCTACATACATCAAGGCCATCTATCGACTCATGGCAAAGATCTACTCGATCTCCCCAGCCTCCCAAACACACCGATCACACAAACAAGTGCCACCCAAAGCCCCAGAAGCCCATTCCCTCCTCTTCTGAACCGGCAACGCAATATCACAATAATGATTCAAAATCTCCGAATCCTTAGCAATCCCCCCAGCCCGAAGCTCCTTCATCTCCAGCCCCCGCGACCAAACAGCCATTTCATCATCCCTGCGCGCACGGAAATTAATCTCACTACTCCACTCCCAGGTAACATTAGGGTCACACGAGTGGTTTGCAAGACACCACAACGGATGAACAGCACACAATTCCGGACCCCCATCCCAAGTCGACAATCTTCCCGACGCCGTCCCACGGAACTTAGCATAAAGCGTATTCAGAACCCAGGTATCGTAGCGGTAGAGCGCGACGTACGGATCCAAGCCCATTTCATCGAGGAAGCGTTCTGGCTGCAGGACGTTAAGCTGGAACGAGAATGGAAGTGTGGCCGTATCGTCCGTGGAAGGTATTGTCTCCGCAGAGACAGACTCGATGTCGAAATCGTGGAAATCGCCCCAGATGTATTTCACTTCCGGTAGGTCGAGCGCGTGCTTATCCTGTGTCGCGGACATGGCGAGTGCCCGGCCCAGTAGGAGCAGGTATAGGTAATCGGCCTTGTCCTTTGGATCGGGGATATCCTTCCCGATTGAGTCGAGGCCATCTTCTAGACCGCAGATGGCGCCGTGGTAGACTTCCTGTGCCTTGTCGTGGCATTCCTGGCTGCAGAAGATGATGTCTACGCAGCCGTTTTCGCAGGCTACGGGAGGGTTGTCGGATGAAAGGTCTGGAAGCGGCGCGTTGCATGCATCGCAGAGATCGTCGTGGAGACGGTTTGTTGCTGTGAGTAGGGAGGACTCGCGGAGGATGATCTCGTCGGGGGCGATGTCTTCTTTCGCGAAGAGGCCGAGCTGCACGGAGAGGTCCATGCTTGTTGGGTCGTCTGCTGAGGCGTGTAAGACTGGTAAGGCTACTGCGCGGACTTCGCACTTCGGTGCAACGACTGCTAGTCGGTCGTTGAGCAATTTGAGGGTTTCTGGGGAGCGGCGGTCTGGCTCGTGCTCGTTCCAGGGGTAGAGGACTCGGCGGGCAAATCCTTGGGCCGGGAGGAGACTTGGGTTGATAGAGTCCAGGTCGATGTTTGAGGTCTCGGAGTTGGTGCGAGACTTGTAGATCTGCTTGACGCGGTCCAATTGCTCGTTGAGAGAGGCTACTGACGTCGGTGAAGAGAGAAGTTTCAATCCGCGCACGCCGAACTCGAATGCGTCGCGATAGCAACCGCAGCGGACGAGACTGCGGACAAGTAATGCGTACACCTGGTCGATTATGGCATCGTATTCTTCTTTGGTGATGGGCTCAGTGTCGTCTTCTTCGACTTCAGAGCCGGACTCATTCGTCTCTTTCTCGGCCTTCGGCTGGGAAGGATTTACCTTCCGCCTTGCGTGGAACTCGCACTCATCTGGATCAACCACTGATTCTAGCAGAGACAGCGCACGGTATGCGTCTGCGGAGGCCAGATCGGGGAAGCCCAGCTTTTCATACTGGATGCCTCGTTCGAGGTGGAGGTGGGGGTTGTGAGGGTCTGCATAGAGCCTGCTGGAGGTCTCGTTTCGATCTTGTAGCAATTGTGATGCAGACATTGTGAGAAATGGCTTTTGTTCTTGAACAAGCAATAACCCTTGTACACAGGCTGATTTTCACCAGACAAAGTGCTGTATAGTTGATGTCAGAATGTGATTTCGGGGAATGTATGTGCAGACAGTGCAGTGGCGAGGATGTCAGGCTTTAAACTCCAATATATGTGTCTATAGCATTGACACAATATGAAGAATTCTGTCGTATCTATAGATGAAGTTTATATTCTGCCCCTCTGTAGATCGACGATGTTCAAGTTCTTTTTTTCTTATCGCAAATTTTGGACGATAAGGATGATCACGTGAACATTTCAAATATTTTCCTCTTGCTCTTCTTCCATGTCGCTTTCTAGCAGGAGGAAATATGCCATGCAGCCATGTCATTGTCTAGACTAATAAGTCTATCTTTTACGAAGTCCGCCCAGGTCGGGATTTGTTTACTCGAATCAAAAAATCACCATGCAAGGTCAAATGTATCAAGCATAACTAGGGGGCTATTCAGTCCGAGAGTGGATACGTACAAGTACAAACATACAAGCCTCCACGAATGGATTTTTGTATGGTATGAGTGGCGATGTAGTCAACAAGAAAAGAATCCAGGCGCTTCCTTCTTGCTCCTTCCGATGCATTTATACACCTCAGAGATGCCATGGAATACAAATGAATGATAGCCTAGCCCGGTGCAATGCACAACTCGAAGCCCCCAGCTGCCCAACCATCACATCACCTGCCAAATAGTCAGTGCTATGCTCATCGTGAAAGCCTAGAAATAGAATCAGACATACCGTGCAATTATCATCGATAACAATAGTCTGGTTTTCACCACCAGCGGCAATGCCCTCGATTCCAGTCCCAATTCCGCCCTCTCGGGCCCTCAGGTTGGCAGCTAGGCGCTCGAGCATGCCCCGCTGTGTAAAAGGTCAGCAAATAATTGTGAAGCTACTAGTAAAGCTGGAACATGTAACGCACAGTTATATGTGCCTCGTTCACACCCCCACGACGCTCAACGTCATTCTGGCTCATGATACGGTAGCTATCATGGATCCGCTTGCGGCTCTCAAGACCACCGACGCGAGATGCGTTTGGACCAAGGACGTTGGATGGATTGTCGGGATCGAGAATATTCACACCGTTGCGAGCATCCTCTTGGGCGTTCCGGTCCGAGGAGAAAATCTTGATGGTGTTGTCGATTCCAGAAGCTGCGATCATTGGCTCGTAGGGATGACCTAGGTCACAATGTCAGTCGGCGTCTTTATAGTCGGTGAAACAAAACTTACCTTGGACAACATTGACCACCTCACTGTCAGCCTCCAGGATATTAACCAGGTTTGATGTTTTGCGCTCCCATATGAAGATATGACCAGAATCACTGCCACTGACCACGTACTCGTCATCGAGTCCGAAGTAGTTGACATCCTTGACAGTTTTGACGTTACAATGGCCACGATAGCTTCGCATATGAGGTACGCAAGGTGCATCGCCCTCGACATTTGAATGTCGCGCCTTTCGGATGGCATATCTCCGGGGGAGAATCTCATCGGAATCAGACTCCTCAGTATCTTCGTCCTCGGACGAAGTCAAATCATTAAGCTGATCAAGGTGTTCGTCCTCATCATCGGTCGAGTCTTCTGCCTCGTTGTCATCGCTGCCGTCCTCGTGGGTATCAGGATCATTATTTTCCGAAGACGTTCCATCGACTTGGGAACTTCCAGGCTGAGAATCATCCTGCCTAGATGCCGAACTACCCGCCCTAGACATCCTGACATGTTCGATGCTTTCCTCCTCCACACTGGGATCAATATCAGCTTGTTCACTCTCTTCCTCATTGCCACTGTCGCCTTCGTCCATTATAGCCTGCAGTCCACCGAAAGCATTGTCAACGAAGCTGTAGTTGACTCCACGTCCTGCCTCCATCAATAATCCTCTGCCCACTCGTAGAATCCAAAACCTCTTTGTGGAGGCACGATCTAAAGAGCGGACTTGTGAGGACGCACTAGAAGCACGATGCCTGTCGAACCTGGCAGCTGCACCATCAAGATCTTCCAAAGGCAATCGCACGGCATTACCGAAAGCAGTTACGGCGGCCTGTTGGGTCTGGAACAATATCCTCGTACTATCATGCTCGAATCTGTTGGCATCCACATTCAAGATCGGAGTGTTACGGGCCATCTCCATAATATAGGGTACAAGGATAGTTTCGATGGCATCTTCGTCAGATTCATCGGGTATCGGGTACCGGCTGTGTAATCTCCGAGGAGCATTGTGACGTTGGAATCCCTCTAGAAGACGTTGCCTGCCGCCCTCAAGCCAGAGCAGAATTGCTCGTAGAAATTCATAGCCAAACAAAGCTTCTGGTTCAACCGGGTCTTCTTCGCCTGGTGCAGGCTTGATCATCAGGAAGCTTGTTTCTTCCGAATCTGGCGTTGGGTCGATCAAGGCACGAGAAAGGGTACCAGCAGCTTGGACAAACCTCCAGGATGATTGCCGATTACGGCGAAGCGACTGCTGGAACGCAACAGTCTCCTGGGACGGGTTCATGGGATAGCTCCACTGACGCATAACCTCGTCCATCTTCGGCAGATACGTGGAGCAGAGCTTCAGGGCAGCCTCGCGAACTGTTCTTTCTAAGGAGAACAGGGTCCTTCGAAGATTTACCAGAGCTTTTGCGATATCCATGCTCAACCTCTGGGCCTCAGTGAGCACAGAATACCTGGCCTGTTCCAGCATTCGATCGGTATCTGAGAGGGCGGGTACTTGAATCTCTTCTGACTCGCCATTCTCATACTCGATTCTGAATGTGTCTGGCTCCTCTGAACGACGGCGGGAATGGTGTCGAGCACCGCTTCCTTGCGATGAGGGTGTTGCGGGCTTCTGGCGCTTCCGCTTTCGGCTCCGTGAGCTGCGGCGAGCCTGTCCTTTTTTGCCCTTGAGTGTGGCTCGGTTTTCCGTCCGGGTCTCTCGGGAATCTGGGGTGCGAATCAAATCGAAACTGTAGATGTGATCACCAGACCAGCTGACAACGATTTCGTCGGGATTTGCATCGCTGATTTTACACGCGGTAATGTGTCCATCAACAATATGTTTCATGCGATTTCTGCCCCCCGGCGCAAATCGTCGCACGCATCGTGTCGCCTTGCTCATCTGCTCGTCATCGAGGCTTGACGCGCTTGGAGAAGCACTGCCACTCGCAGCGGAAGTGTCCCGGCCAAGCATCCGCCTATCATGCAAAAAGCAATGGAGGTGAGCTCCGCCCAAGGCAATGTAATGCGGCTGGCTCGGAGAACAGGAGATCGTGTTGAGGTCCAAGCTATACGGCTTGTAAGAGATGAGAGGTGGTGGCACATTGGAATCGTCATGCTGCAGGCCTGGACGGTGTGCCATGAAGCCCTGCCCACCCCGTGGCGAAGGGTATGCACTAGATGGTAGCCGCAAATCCCACTGACGTACCTCGCCATCCTCAGAGCAAGTGAGGAAGAGGAAAGGCGACGACTCGGTGACTATGCGCTTCACGCGGTCGGCATGGCTTTTGTATATCCTGGCATTGGTATTGCCATCACTCAGAAACCGTGCGCCAATGAAGAATTCGTTGAAGCGCCGATTCCGAGTGGACGCAGCAAATGCCGTAGTCGCATCATCGCTCCTGTTCCCACTTGAGTATTCAATATCGAAGACGCGCACTTGAGAATCGCCGGCGCAGGTGATCAAAGTGCCATCATTCGAGTGCGGCATGAACTTGACGGAGAAGATGTTGGCCCTATGGCCGGTGAGGACGGTGGTGCTGAGAGCGAATGGAGCATCGGAGGATTCGGGTTGGTAGGAGTAGATGTTGAGGTGCGTATCGTCGGAGCCGGAGGCCAAAAGATTCCCAGATTTCGACCAACTATAAGACAGTTAGCATGATGATGAATCAAGTGGCAGAAGTGTTGGCCAGTTTGGCAAGACTAAAGCTGTCGACCTAGCGGGTGCAGACGTACCTGAGAGCATTGACACATCCTGTATGACCGCCGAGTTCATTCACAATGTCGAGGTCATTAACCCATTCCTTGGATCCGTAAATGCCCCGAATGCCGGCGTACGGCGACAGTTCCCCGCATTCCCGGCGCCAAAGGCGATCGTAGACTGAGCCTGGCATGGTCGCTAGATCAATTGGTGAAAGAGCCAAGATACTTCGCTAGTAATGATCGGCGATCATCTCGAAGGGCAATGATCAGGTGCAGACCGTCTCTTTGCGGGTTGCTTTTGTCAAATGAAGCTGCTGTAGATGACGTCAGGAAGAGAGCTGATACTGTAGGTAGCTTTCGATTCACTGGCTGGTGGGTTTAATAATCAGATGATTTCTTGAGGATGTTTGGTGAAGGGGAGTAAATGAATAAGTAAAAGTCGAAGTGAGAGAAAGATAAAGAAAATGTTGAGGGAGAAACGTCCAAACTCGCGATATCTCCAAGTTCCAGACCACTCCGGATGGAGATAACGCGGTGACTCAGCTAGTTACCTCGGGCCAGGTACCATACAAGCTTTGCTTAAGCGCGAGTTACTTGAGTTGAAGTACTGCAGTTACTAATACAGGTTCAGTTCCAACGGAATAAATAGAAATGATCTCGAAAAGTACAATGTTGTTCGCATGGCCTCTACTTCCACATAATAGTTACAGCTAAGCATTAGCGATGCCGCCTTGTAGTTATCTGAATGAACCATAAGATACCAGATCAGTAAACTAGCTTCTCCATACTCCTACTCGGGGAGCCCGTATTTCCCTCGTAGGACCTGCCAGCCGCGTTGCAACAAGGCTGACAGAATCTCTTTCTGATCGGACTATTTCTGCCTCCAATGTTCGTATGGCCCGGATCTCCTGCAACATGAACTGGATCAGTTCGGCCAATTTCTTAGACGCCCTGGCAAGGGCGGACTGTTCCAGACCCTCGAAGGCTGGGATATCGAGGACTTGCAGCTGGCGCGCACATAGTTCTAGTTTAACGATTAAAGCATGCAATGACTCCTGCCAGCCCCGAGTCAGAGGGTCAATGAAGATGTCAATGTCTACATCCCCCGACACCCGGCCATGACGAACGAGCTCCGCCTGGTTAAGCCAGTTTTCGAATATCTCCACAGTCCGAGAATACTCTCCACCCCCGACTCCAGAGATCATATCTGAGACATCTTGCAGAATCCCTGATAGAATTTGGACCTGATCGGAGAAATCATGCTGACAGGGATGTCCATGACAACTAGAGAGCCAGAGCTCCAGGGCCTGTATATTCAGTTTATACTGCCGCTGGGTTTCATCTGCCAGCACTGAGCGGTATTGGCCGGCGATATCGTCGTACTTTTTGCGCAGGCATGACTCTGTATCAGACTTCCAATGAGTGTGTCTTTGCAACGAATTCGAGTGGAAAAGACTGAGCTGAAGGAGTTCTGTCTGTAATGCCGCAATGTCCGGCCAAGACGAAGGGATTAACAGATTGCTAGACTGAGCGTTGGTTCCAGGGGTAGGTGTTGGGGGCTTAGAGAATTTCTTGGGGGAGGAGGGCCGTTGGTATGTGGGTAGTAGTCGGGGACGTTGTCCCGTCGCCGGAGTCGGTTCAGCCTGTTTTGCGCTCTGCACAAGCTGACTCTTATGTCGTGTATGGGTCCTGGCCACCGCCGGCGGTCCCTTGCCGGCACTGACAGGTTGTCTCATGGAAGCGGACCGTGTAGGACGTGGTGGAGGTAGCATCTCGGATTTCTTAGGGGAAGGCGGTCGTCTGAGAGTAGCGGTCTGGGTGGGAGATTGTCTGCCCGCCTGCTTGCGTGGCGAGGGCGGGGTGAACGAGGACGCTGACCTCTGGGACAAAGGGACTGTCGTCTTCACTACAGGATTCAAGGTGCCAGATCGCATTAAGCTTTGACGGCGGCTGGGTGTCACCCCGGGCTTCGTGGATTTGGGCGCCGGTTGTACTTGTTTCTTGGTCGGCAATCGTTCCTGCTGTCTTGTCGGTGACGCGTCTCTGCGTGTGTTCGGCTTGCTGCCGGGTGGCTGAAACCGCACCTGACCCGTTCCACGCCCATTGTCTTGACCAGGGATACTGCGCTGGGGAAGTAAAGTTTTTCCTCGGGCAATGAGGCCATTGTCTTTCGAAGACACACCCTCGACCGGCGAGGAATCTGATGGCTGGCGGCTGTTGTCTTTCGTTTCTCGGGTGGATTCCCTGCTCGGGCCGGCCGTGGTGGTTGCTGTGGTGGAGGGCTTTGTGGTTGGTCGGGCTATGTTGGAAGTCTGGGTTAATTAGTATTGCGAGCTTCCGTGGCTTTATGGATGGACGGTGGCACACTGGGCTATGCGACAGTTGTGGAGAGCTTGACAGGGGTTAAACAAACGGGGTACTGACATGTTTACGGGGCTCGCGCAGCGAAGCCGAGCGTGTTGGAATGGGCATGATCATGCAGTGTCATGAAGTAGAATTCGGCATCATGCGTTGAGGTAGTTGAGGTTAGTAAACAGGGGTCCTTGTTGACACAACGTTTGGGGAGGTGTTGTCCAGTGATCTTCGGAAGCCTAAGCACCCACTCTGCTGTGCCTGATTCTGAGTATTGTAGCTACGCCATTTGGCAATTTCAGGTCCTTTCACGGCTTTGCAACAGGCACGTCGATAGACAAAAGATGAAGCAAGCTCGGCTCAATGCATTCGAAATGGTTTTGAAAAAAAAAAAAAGAGAGACAAAATAGAAAGGTCCTACCCGGGTTCGAACCGGGGTTTCTGGTATTTTTTAAACTGCCCGGACGGGTAGTTTCAAAAACCAGAGTGATAACCACTACACTATAGAACCGTTGCATGTCAACTGCCATCTGATGAATCTCTATATTCAACAAGATCGAGTAGCTCATGTAAGTCAATGAACAATCACAACCCTATGCCATAACTACGATTGAATGCAATTTCGTATCGGGACAGGAAGCTCGCTATGTATTCTGTAGCTGCAACGCGTATATCATAGTACTAATGCGTATTACTACTACCCAATATGAATCTAAACGACAGGTTGATATTCGATTGGGTTAGGTGCGCGGTAGGTACTGGATCATGAAATATATGTTGATTCTGATTCCACTGGATTTCTAGGTCGGACTCCCACAACTTAAACCTCACCACCTGGCAAGTACCGATCATTGGCTTACTGGGGGTATGACATCTAACCTGTCTGCCACCTATTCGGAGTTAGCGATGGGGTTGTTGGTGACCCTCGTAATGGTAAGGATGTTCTATTTGTGGCCAAGGAATTGACTGACTCATACAAATCAGGCATCACACTGGCAGGCACCATTAAGCTGCTCTTCGACCAAGGTGCCATCGCGATTGTGCCTATGCCCGGCATCATGCAAAGTCCAACTAAATGGAGGTGTGTTGTCTTGGACGAATCAAAGAACGAGAACGTCATCTGTGCCTCCAGCTCGGGTGGATTCTATATGAAACTGAAAGTTAGTACTACTGCAAAAGCTAGATTTGAGTATCATACTAATGATATAATAGGATATTGACGATATGCCACTGACGTTCCTTTCCGACAATCGTCCTCGACCGCGGTATTTGTACTTCTGTTTCATGCTTGCGTACCTGAATGCAAAGGGCCGAGGTGCTAGTGACGCTGTTGCGAAAAAGGTTGAAGCCACGCGTTTTTGGCCATGCACCGGCGAGTACCTTAATGGGTCAACCCTGGTTACATTAGCCCGTAGTGTGTTGGGGTCGGAACTCCCTGAATACCTTGTTCAAGGAAAGACTTTTGACTCCGGTGATACCTCCACTCGCGACGCTGATGCTGGAACTGTGCTTGGAGCTGATGTCCGTGACGCAATTCTTGCTATGAACAGTCTCTAAATCATTGTTATGCTGCTGCCCTGAAGGACAAGCCACGGATGAGTCCAGAATTGCTTTGTCCTTTTCTTTATTTTCACTTTCGCTTTTGCTTTTATTCAGTAGCGACTACCGGGGCGGCCCGAACACATCATAACATTTTGAGATATTCGCATTCGTAGGTCACAGCTCTTTACTAAATTTTTTTTCTCAGAATGTGCTATTCGGACTTTCACCGAAATTCTCTTCTATCTTTGGTAGAGTTCTATCTTTGGTAGAGAGAATAGAAAATATTGATTTTGGGGAGTGGTGAGATCATAGACTCTGATTGTGTCGTATGCGGCAATAAATATCAGTTTCGGAATAACATTCTTTTTTTACCTATAAAAGGTCTCTCAACCATATCGTTCAGTTTACCAAACTTACCCAATTATCATCTTACAAATTCACAATGGAAAGAAGCTACTTCGGCCATACTGTTGGACTCGCCAGTTGGTTTGCTCGCGCTATCCAAATCATCAGTGCGATCATTGTCCTTGGAATCACAGCTTGGGCCGTACGAGGGACAAAGACCCTCACGGTGATCTATTCACTTATTGTTGTATGTCATCTATCAAAGCTGCACCTGCCAATTACTCTCAAATACTAACAAAACCAGGCTACAATTACTGTAGTCGTTCTCGTGGTGGCTCCACTTATAAGCTGCATGACCCGTCATTATAGGTGGCATATAATTCCTCTGATACTCCTAGACGGAATCTTGTCATACTTGTAAGCACACAAGGATCAATTCATCCATTCTAACAATTCTTCTAACTTCCATCTCTAGGTGGCTTATATCGTTCGTTTTCTTGGCCCTCAATTTCAACCGGAGAAACTGCCACAGGCACCGATGGAACGGAGAGGTTACCTGCTCACGAAGCTATGCTGCAGAAGCATTCAGCTTTATTGTCTTGTGAGTGACGTGGAATTGCTTGTTTCTGTGCTGGACTGATTCAAGACAGCTTCACTTCTCTCATCGGCCTTGCTTTGGAAATCTTGTTTCTCTATCGTGCCAAACCCAAAACCGTACAACCCGTACAGCAAATGGAGGGGGAGAACGCATTGCCGGGAACTTGCGCGTGGATGATTTGGTGGTGAGGTAGCGTCAAACCCATGCGACTCGGAAATTTTGGTTTCTGGGGTACTTAGTTCCTGAGCTCGGGAGCTTAATACCTCAGTACCGAAAACGGAGGGCAGTACGAACTGTTTGAGTGGTAAAGACCATATAGACTCAGGTACAGTTGGGTAGGGAGAGGTTGTTGATCTACACAGTATTATAAGGGCGAGCAGTATTGACTCTTTGATATTTCTCGTACCGTGTATGTGAAGCAAGTCCATATTCTGTTAGACACATCTACATAATTGAGAGGACATAGCCAAATCCGCGTGATTATTCCGGGGTTACAGCTAAGGTTTGATACTACCATGGTAGCGAAGCATCTATCCATAGGTACACCATATCTGATATCATAAGGGGAAGAAGGGGCTTGTGGGTCACTTGATCTAAATCTCTGTACTTAAACTTTAAAGTTACGGGTCCCAAGAAAAAAATCCGAGACTCACGTGATTTAAGACGTCTTCGATGGCAGAAATAGTGCCCCGCTCCTCCACCAATCACATCCCGAGAATCTATATCTCTATTCTACTGTGTAGTTAGTAGTTATCCCTTCTTCTTCTACCTTCTACACATCAAACTCATATTTACATAGTATGATAGTGGCTTCCAAGATCTGCACTCAGTAAGCGCTCCCTTCCCCCCTTCCCAAGACCAGTTTTAATCGGAGACTGGGGAGCGAGAAATGAAACAGTGCAAGCGTAGTCTGCTACACTGAAACGTCGAGTGTGAGCAATAACTGACATATCCCTATAGTTACTAGATAGCAGCGTCAACATATTGCTGAGATACTCAACCATAACTAGGTGGTAACCTACGGACTGAGACTGGCGTTTAAGAAAAGTGGATGTAGCTAACGTCCAGCAACTGAGGCTGGAGGTCTGGGGGGTCGCTAAAGCCCCTGGTAATGATAGTGACATGTACTACTATAATTCCTGGATGTACAGTAGAAGGAAAAGAAAGAACGGAAAAGGAAGAAGTGAGGCACCGCTACCGCCTTCAACAGGGGCTCGCTGTGACGACCAGACGGCTGTGAAGAGGGTTGAGCGACGATATTGGACCAGTCCAAGCATACGCAATGGATTGGTAACCAATAGCCTGGTAGCACCTGCGTGCATATACCTGTCTGGAGATCACAGCACCGGACTACCTAATCTTCACCGCCGCTGATGAGGATGCCATCTTCACATTTGAGGCAGTGGGCAGCACCGTCGTGATCTCTCATCATCTTCGCCGGGTAGTCTGTATACTGGGCTTCGTCAAGGCCTCAGACACAGATCGTGGCACTCTAATCAGCGGCTGTCACGATGGAACGATCTGTGTCTGAGGCATTGACGAGGCGCAGTATACAGACTACCCGGCGAAGATGATGAGAGGTCACGACGGTGCTGTCCACTGCCCAAATTTGAACATGGCATTCTCATCAGCCGCGGTGAAGAGGTTGCCAGCAAAGACATCCCACTCCTGCACGCAGAGAATACGATATCCTTTCTGCCATTTCACAGGGATCTGTTCATATTTGATGTGACCACTGGCGAGCCCAAATGGCTGCCCATGAAATGGGGCGCCGTGAACGATTGACCCGTTCGCATCATGGCCAATGTGGTCCACGACCCGTGGACGAACAGCCGCCAAACCGCATAGTTATCAGTATCAAAAGATCCCAGAGCGTAGGCCACTAAATTCCAAGGTTCTAAATCTGCTGCTTACAGTCTGCTATGAGACCTGTGTAGGTATCAAGCCAGGACCCTTAGAGCAATAAAGTTATGGGAAACACATCCATGGATACTTTACTCAAGCGACTTCATGTACATTTTCACGATTCACACGAGGTATGATAATGGGCAAGAATGATGGGGAAAAGTATGAATCCTATAATTCACTTTGGTCTCCTGCATCAAGCCGCCAGCCTTCCTACAACAAAAATCAAACAAAGTCCCAACTTTTCTATCGCAACCGATAATTTAATGGCCCCGTAAGGCCAACATAAGGCTACCAGGTGGGGTGGAAAGCTCTATCGCCGCTATCAAAATCTCAAAGTGCATAGAAACCTCAGGTCTCAAAGACTTCCACGACGAGGGAACGAGACACCGTCCACTGCCTGGTGATCAGTGAACCAAGTAACCTTATCACCAGCACCTTGGTTGACCAGCGCAGAAGGCAGGCTAGCACCCTCCTCAAGATCAAAGATCTGCTTGAGAATCCCCTGCTTGCCCGAACCAGTTGCTACAAAGGCAATGCTGACAGCGTGGGTGACAACAGGCAGGGTCAGGGTAATGCGCTTAGGCGGAGGCTTGGGCGAGTTACTCTCAGCAGCGACCCAAGCGTCCTTCTCGCGGAGCAAAGCGTGGCCAGGGAAGAGCGAGCAGGTATGGCCGTCGGGTCCACAGCCCAGCAGGATGAGGTCGAAGACGGGCAACTTGACGCTGTCCTTGCCGGCAAATACGCGCATCAGCTCTTCTTGGTAGAGATCGGCCAGTTCCTGGGGATCCTCATCTCCGACGTGCTTCTCGTCGATCGGGTGGACGACCGGTGTGCCGAGTTCGGAGGGGATCTTGGAGATGAGCTCGTCGTTCAGCAGGCGGTAGTTGCTATCCTCGTGATTGAGTGGTACAGCGCGCTCGTCGGCAAAGAAGATGTCCCATTTAGAGAAGTGGGGGATATCTTCGGGGGTGCCGTCGTCAGAAGCGAGGAGGGCTTTGGCTAGGAGGCCGGGCAGGGAGCCGCCGGAGACCGCGACACGGAAGGTGTCATGGCGGGCGAGGGCGGCGTTCTGGCAGCGGAGGACGTAGGTTCGCAATTGTCCAGCCAGGGATTCGGCGTCGGGGAAGCTGTAGAGATTGGGGTGTGCGGACGCCATGATGTGTGTGGTGGGGAGAAAGTGTTAAGTGAGGGGCAGGAGATAAATGTTTTGGCGGGGCAGGGGTGGTGACAGAACGCTCGGCTGCAGCTCTTGAAAAGTATAAGGAATAGCTAATTGACAGACTAGATCGTAGAGATGTACGTAGTAGTATTTTGCCAAGCAAGTTCACAGTCTGAAAAAGAGAGACCGCCGGATTGGGAGGAAGATGACGTCGCTATCAATTCTTATCGACTTGGACTATGATCACGGGATTTCGGTGGATTCCCCGTTGACTGTGTTTAACCGGATAATCCTTTTCGCCACACCTTATTCGACCTTCTTATCTCCTGCTCTGTGCATCGGAGGCAGTCTACACAGTAGGTCGATGAAACTATCCTAATTGGGCCAGCTGCATCATTCAATCTCGCCATGACGGCATCCCGCCTGGATTCACGATAAGATCGAGTATTAGCACGCGACATCCATGTAGATACGAATGTGTTAGGAAACATCTTAGACCAAGAAGACCCATAATGATACTACATGTGATATGCTAAGTATACGGCTCGAAAGAATAAGTGTCAAGATGCTCCAAATCGGGTTTTGCGAACGGCACTGCATCCGCTTCATACATCAAGTATGCATGTGCTTCGTGATACGTTGTACCCGAGATTATCAGGACATCGTCGTTTCTATGTTGTACATGAATCTATTCTTGAAGTGCTCATTTTCTGAATATAATTTGTATCTTCCGGTGTGATTGGAGGTGAGAGTACCTACGGAGTACAGATACGGGTATGGACCGTATGGTTAATAGTATGTACCTATATGTACCGGATTTTCCCTGGCAGGTGGGGATTTCCTATTTGGGCTGCCGCCGCTTTAATGAAGGTGCTCACACTCAGGCTCCCAGAGTAGATATCAGCACAAGCTCAGAGTCAGTGATGAGCTCAGAACAGTCACGTGCATGATGACTGATATTATGTTGATGCTCATTGGATGCTCACTGATTACTCAGTGACACTCTGTGTCCAATCAGTGAGCAAATCTGATCACTCAGACCACCGCAGACTATACCTTTAATGGAACCGCCCCACAGGGTCGTTTATACTGTGATTCTTAGTTCGTAGATAGCATCGCACCAGCCCTCATTTTCTGAACCCTGCCCATCTCATCAAGAAGGAGATACGTCATGCTCATGGGGCACAGGAGAAAGTGGAGGGCTTCCTCTGTTTCATGATGCTGCGGTCAAGAGTTCTTTCTGAATTCTCATCGTGGCTCGAGCTCGAAATCTCAAATATAAAAGCAAACCATGTCCCAGCCCTAGCATGTTAATCATTCACATGCCTACGCTTTCGGCGCCTATTCTTAATACGTTGAACCAATACCGGGCTCATTTGCCCTGAATACCTGCCCCCTTGTGGCATCGCACTTGATTATGGGCAGAAAAGACTTTTTTGCTGAGCGCGATGAGATCGCAAAGGAGAGACGTCGTCTACAACGGGAAATAAACGGTTATGTTCCTGGAGCTCGCAGACAGGAGGATTCAATTCGGGAGAAAGACAAAAGACTTGCCGAGACCAACAACTTACATCGACAAAACTTGGATCTTTGGCTGAAGTAAGTTAAGGCGCATCTGAAGTGGCAATCCTTCTCATTCATGAGCAACGCTGACTCCTCCTTAGTTTTACTGCAGACCCAGAGAATGGATTTGAATACTACAAGACCTCGTTTGGTTGCCCAGCCCCAAGTCACGAGATGATCAAGGAATTTATCCGCTGGTACATTGGTTCTATTCAAGGCCGACTAAACGAGAATGGACGACCAACGGTAAGAACCGTAGAGGCGTGTGCCGAGCGGTTCTTTGGTGGATTTGAAGAAATTACAAAGACTAAAATCATCCCAGATGATCGAAAAGAAATAAAATCGGTGTGTCTATCGTCACTTCCCTCCTGAGACCTAATCCTTACAGCCATACTAATTTCAAGATAGTGGATAAAAAAAACCCTGACGGCGGAAGGCACAATAGTGAACCAAAAGAAAGAGAAGCTAAAATTCACAAAACATGATTTCCTGAGAACGGTCTCGTCTTTGTGGCAGACAGATCATCAAACTTTTATCCCTGGGTTGCTCAAAGTGGTCATCTTGTTTGCTCTTCAACTGTATCTCTTTACTGGAGCAAGAGTCGGATCTTTCATTCCTTCCAGCAAGGACAAACATGAAAGAGGTCTTCGATACAAAGTAGGGTTTCTTTACTCCAGCGACGTCGTCTACTACTAACCTCTATTCCAGCATATTGACTTGGTACTATTTCCTTCAACCACGGCCCCTTGGGCGGTGGGATGGCGGGTCAAACAGGTCTGGCTCAAGAATAACCGATGTCCACAATACACTGTGTGAGTGGAAAGAGCCCAGTGGCATGCTTTTTGGGTATACTGGGACATTTCCTTTGCTAATAAATATTCTAGATTCGGGATTGGTATCCGGGACAGCAACAGACCGCAATTTGCTTCAGGCTACCTTCTTCTCTCCCTCGTACTAGCACACGGTGCTCTCTTTCGGGTCAACACTGTGGACGATCTAGCACAATTCGATCTCTCAAATGGAGAAATTCCATTGCGATGGAAAGATGAGTACTTGGAAAAGCCAGTCCTCAGACATGCCACGGCAGATGGACCCCAAGAGACTCCTTTGACGAAGCAAAAGTTTTGTTCCTGCTTACGCCAAATCTTCGCCGCTGCGGGATACTTGGGTGAACTGGCAACCATCCACTGCATTCGACGAAATCTAGGGAAAAAAGTCGAAAGTCAGTCCCTGCAACCACGAAAGAAACCCCGAAAGAGGCCACAGTACTAAAGTTTGTTATAGGAAGGCATGGTTCTGCACCTGTGTCTCAAATCATGGCACACCAGGGACCAGACACTTTTCCAGAGCATTATCAAGCCCACTGCCCCTCTATAGATACAGTGTCAGCTGTTCTCGACGAGGCGGACCAATCTGATCACATTGAGTACTTCCAAGGCTACGTCCAATTTTATGAGCGCGGCTTGCCGAGCGAATTGCCAGCAGAAGTCAAGAAAAGTATTCTTGAAAAACCAGACATGGTAAGAATGAGAGATCGGATCGACTCGTTTGAGCGAAGTCACGATGCGAACTCCCTCAAGCACGAGCAGCTGGAATACAGGAAGGCGCTAGTTCGACATCGTCTTTCTGCGCTCAAGCAATATCAAAATCGGTGGGTACGGGAGAAAAGAGACCAGAAAATCATCAACCGGGGAAAGGAAGAGCCGGCGCACTTGGAAAATGACATTTGCACACGCGCTCAAATGTTGATTATGCCCGAGGTTGCGCGAATCGCAACAGCCATGTCCTGCACCAAAGAGCTTTCTTTTGACGAAAAACTTCTTTTTGTCCAAGATCTACAGACGCAGTGTGTCCGTGATTTTGATGTGGTATACCTCCCAAATGAAAGCCCAGCTCAGGGTCTCTGTCCTGTAAATGTTTGACAGAGGTTTTGAACCATTCGATGGGAGAATTTGTTAGAATTCCTGTTTGCATAATGCGCTAATGCACCTAGTACGTAAACGAGCTGGGCTAAGAGTTGGAGACAGGGATCTTAGGGAAACATTTCACCAAAAGTTTCCCTAAGATCCCTGTTCGCATAAGGCGTCAATGCACACCCAAACGAGCCGGGCTAAGATGCATTCTGCATGGTATCTTATGTACGAATCAGGGGCACGTACTAGCGCCGCGATTAGCCGCACGTTCCTCTGTGAGGCAAATCCGTGGCTCAAGGTGCGAGAAAGAAACCATTTCAAAGCCAAAACCACCTATCGGATACCTCTAAGCAGAAAATAGTTGTAGTTTTTCCATTGGGTAGGAAGTAAACGCTATTGGTTGGAAATTTCACTATCACTGCGGGATCTGCAAACATCAGTCAGCTAATTACTTCAGATCTAGGACCTAGACGTATGTTGGGGGGATGTCAAGCAGGTCTATTCAAGAAGCTGCTTCCACGCATCTTTGATAATTGACGGTGTGATGGGACCAAAGAAGTTACTACCTGGGTTGAATCTGCTGCTGTGATGGGTAGAATCCTTTTCGTTCAACATCACCAATTGGGAACTGATTATCTCTTGTCTCGTGGCATCCACCACAATTGCACAGTCATCGCGTCCATGCAGGTAGTGATTTTTTCCCCATTTGGCAAATAGGATGAAGGGTTTTAGAGGTATCTTAGTGTTCGTTCTGTACAGACAGGCCTTGCGAGTCCTACAATGCCCTTGGGGTGTTTGAATTCGTTGGATAAATCCTCCCAATGCCCTAAATTTGAGACTGACTACTGAGTGACGCTTTTTCTCATGCACCTTAAATTCCCATGAGCAATGTAGGCTAAAGCGCTTAGAGAAAGGGAACCGTGCATCATCAGCTATTCATTCCTAAGTACTCATTTTATTACTGGTCCCAGGAGATGACTCCGCATATGCCACCAAACATGGCGCAGTCTCGTGTTCGATCGCTTCACTGCTTCTCGGCGTCCCCGTCTATGTCAGCTTATGGATCCTCTCTGGCCTTTCTAGACTCGGGCGCTGCCATCAGTCGCTTGCATCAGTCGCAGCTCAGGCCCTTTGAAGATGTCCTGTCTTCCAATCAAACTGGTGACGCTCGTTCGTCCAATTTTAGTTGGTTTGGTGTTTAATGCCCCGCTTTATACTATCATCCAGTCCGTTACCCCTCAAGATCTTGCGCGAAATGAGATAACGAAGAGAGGCAAGGTTATAAAGTCGCTGAAAATTCTTTGCCAGATAACGTCTCTCTACTATTACTGTCATAACTCTTGCTACACATCCTCTTGCCACAAACCGCCAGGTCAGAAAGCCCATACTACTATTGAGGATCCTGATCTCGTACCGTCGTCGAATATGAATTGTCCAAATCAAAGTTGCAAGAAAGGCAACATGACTGGGAGAGATACCTGCGAGTTCTGCGGTACCGAACTCCCAGGAACGGAGTAGCAATCTATTGTTTTGGAAATGGTGCGTCTCGATAAGATCTCGGCAGAGCTTCAAATTCTAATCTCATAAATACTAGATGACTGCCATTGCTTGCGAGCAAGTTGGTATGAAAATACCATGAAAAGGAAGCTATCTTGAAGCCTGCGTTTTGCCCGAGACAGTGCCACTCATTACTTTTCCTGTGACAATTTGTGGAATCAAGCGATAGCTCTCTTCGATTCTCATGTTTCTTTCTGTGACAAACTCGAACCACATTCCTTTAGAAATGCCAGTCCTCTCTCATTCAACTTGGGATAGTTGCGTAATGCAAAGAAATCCAACCAAAAATTGCGGGCCTCAGTATGATCCGGCAGGTGTTTGCGAAGCAAGTCTTTCCATTCTTTATCGTCTTGCCCCAAACCAATTCCTGCACAAGTAAATTCCCACCAAACAGGGAAAAATGCCGAAGATTCCCAGTCCAGAATCCCTGCCAGGTTACCATTCTCGACAATGATATTGACGTTGGTCAGATCGCCGTGAGTAAAGGTATAGGGAGCCGCAGTTGGCATCCGCTGACGCAATTTCGAAAGAACTTGCTCCGGCACTTGATTCAAGGCCAACGACATCTCAGCCCATAGTTCATCGTCAGATGAAAACGGCCCGTGACCAATGCCGTATCCATTCGGAAAAAGAAAGGCTGAATAGATTGGTTGCCCACCGATGCTTTCCACTCGGTCCGAGCGAAGCTCATGAAGCTGCATCAAATACTCAGCGGTCTGTTTTGCGACGCGTTCTTTGTCGGCCGATGTCATCTTTGGCCAAATTTCGCTCAATGGTTGACCTCGAATCCGTTTGGTAAGGAGAAAATATGCCCCGTCGTCTTCCTGCCATTCTTCGATGATTCGAGGTATAGGAATTGAGGTTTTTGATGCCAAAAACCTGATATTGGGGACTTCGAAATTGGGTGGCTCAGTAGACCGTTCTTTCAAGATCAAGTTTGAGCCTAAAGACCACACCCCTCGATTACTGACACCGTAGAAAAGATTCACGTGACTCTGGTAACGACATGCCTCTTGGCGTGTTGGTGACCAGCTACACGCTGAACAGGTATTTTCGGTGGCCATTTGGTAAAGAAACGATTTTTTTTTCTTGAAGGGATGTCAGATTTTGGTGGAGTCAGGAGCATGAAAGGCTTTTATACTGATTATACTGAGGGAAGGAGGGGGTCCTGCTCCGTGCGCCGCACGGCAAGGGGAACCTTTTGCCACGTACTTTTTAGTGGGGCGAATATACCTTTATCGCTAATGAGATCAACCATCATTAATGCAGCTTTGGCACAGCGCACAAAAGTGAGATCATTTTCTCAGTCTGCATGAAGCTGTGGACCTCAAAACATGGCAGTTGCAAGGACCGGAGAATCCTGTGCTAGCTAGCTCGACCATAGCAACAACCAGATTGTGACCTTGTATTGCTTATACTGCGCATTTGAGACAGCTGCTGTAGAGTGATAATGTCAAAGCGCGCTCTTATATGGAAGTATCTGGCTGGTTATCACAGAAGGCTCGATTTGGGCTGTCCGCTAATCTGATTCCCTGTCCTAGCGCCGCAGAGTCACCTGATGTGAACCTGAGGGCCTTCTCCTTTGGTTGAGAGTCAGATAACGGCCCTTGTCGTAAACTAAACGGACGGTTATTTGATCATGGAATCGATATCATTCCATGGCAATAACCATGGGCTTCAGGTTGGAGATAACCGTGGCTCGATCAATGCAGAGTTTCATCTGCCTCAGGGTAAGTCAGAGGAACGGAACCCAACAGGTCATGGCCGACTGACTAATTGCCGCTTCCCTCTAGAGCGACCAGAACTCCGCCCAGCCCTTTGTCAACTGTGCCATTCACGCGCGACCCGGACTTTGTCCGTTGCGATACACTACTTGATCAGATATATCGTAAAAGCTCGGTCGCGGAGTCGAGGATAGCTAATGGTAAAAGCATCCATCTTCTGTCGGTGGTGGTGGAAGGATGGGGGGAAGGACCAACAACAAACAAGCAAGCAATATAGTCTACCAAAAGCTTGGAACTATAAATTAGGGAGACTCTTCATCCGTCTCAAGAATATCTATTAATCCATTTCGGAGAACATCCTCAGATATACTGAGCTATGTCTTCCTCAACCACTGGTGGAGTTTCAAGACGTAGTACGAGAAACAAGAGACCATTTAATCCAGAAAAGCTGCAAGAGCTGGCTGAAAGCGAGAGCGGTGTTAACAGCCTAGAAATGAGGCAATGAAAGCATGAAGGGGACAGCGATACGAAGCGCTGTATAGATACGGAGGACAGCGCTAGCTAAAGGCTGCCCTCATAGAGGAGAGAAAAGGAAGGGATGAGAAAACCATGATATGATTCCTGACTATCTATTCGAGGGATTCAGGGGGGTTTATATACCCCTGACCTCGGAGCAAAAGGGATCCGACAAAAGTGGAGCACAATGAAAACTCTTCGATACCAGGTGGAGGAGCCCTACGCTCCTGACAGGTGTCTTCCAACCCAAGGTTGCTGCTGCGGATGCGCAAGCCTCGTAAATCCAGCCAGGTTCCAGTAAAGGTAGCGGCGCACATACAACCAACCAAAGCCAGTGGGTCCAGTCACAGTCGAAGCCCCCCTACAGCGCTCAAGAGGAGCAGCCAAGTCCTTCTTGTACGGGAGAAACGATTCCAGGTGGACCCAACGACCAGCCTATGGGAGACGCCAATTCTGAATGGAATTCATCTGTGTCTCCTACGGCCAGCCCAAGGCCGGGTCATAGAGCTGAAGACGCAGCGGAATCCGGTAGTCCCGCTCCTGTCGGCGCCAATGACCCGCTGGACTCGTCGGATGAGGTCCTGACTGACCTGCAGAAGCTCTCAATCGGCCACGGGGTCCTTGGCCTCCGCCCTCATCCGTCTGGGGCTTTTCTACCATTTCAAAATATACTCGGTTCTTCTCCATAGGCCCCTGAGGGCCACGAAGATGATAGTGCTCTGTTCAGAATTTACCCAAACAACATGACACGCTTCAGGGATGGCTTGAAATGAGCACGACTCAGGGTGTATTATAGTACAAATAGTGAACTGATTCTCCGACGGCCAAATGATGCACAGGCAGAGCAGAAGAACTTGAAGAAAATCAATCCGCGCAGCAGAAAATGAAGGGCATCGAAAATGGGACACAACGGAATTCCTCTTCGATATCTCGCGAGAACACTGTATCCGTCAGGGAATTTCGGGTAGGAGTAAAATATTCAATAAGGTTACCTGCGCTTCTGGAACACCCACCAGCATTCACAGTGGTCGCCAAGCTGAGAGACATGGTTTCAGTAAAATTGTTGTCTGCTGCAGCATACAATGATCCAACGTTATACGCTTCGCATGCTTTAATTGCCCTTTGACCAACCGTATAATCTCCTTCCCGGGCTGCAATGGCAGCAGGTAGGAGAAAGTGTAGGGCCGCTGAATCATCCATGTTCTCTCTATATGCCGCAAAGTTTTGCTCCCAGTTCACGAGGTAACCAAACTCCTGTAACGTTTGTCTTGATCCTCCGCTTGCTCTTATTCCTTGGATAATGGCCGTCAATGAATAGTAGAAGGAAGACAACACATCACCGACGGAATCCTACGGTCGGAAACCTGCCGAACCCATCAGAGGGAACACAACAGAGCAGGAGAAACCGGATGAAGACGTTTGCAATAAGAGCCAGGGTCCTAACGGGAAGGAATATCCAAGTCCGAGAGATCTGCAAGATCCCAACGGCGAACGGCGCTACGGCCTTGAACAGAATCCTTTGATCGAAGCTCTATCTCAACAAGTCTTTTGGATTCAGGCTCAGTGTGCATCCAGAAATGACGGGAGAACAATATAAAAAGAGTGGTAGACATCGACACAAATTAAGCGGCCACTCAACCACTCGTCAGATTATTTTTTAAACATCAGCCAATCCCTGGGAAACCTAATGCAACCTATTTCTCTTGACGAGGAGGAGGGAGGTTCCAGCGGTGGAGACCGAGGAAAAGATAATCCTGGACTCAATTCTGTTAAGACATCCCAAAGACTTAATCAGATTGACTGTGTTCGAGCCAACGGGGTTGGCGATCATATCGCGTTGCCACAGTTGGCTGTATGTGGTGACCAGTCGGCGGGCAAGAGTTCTGTTCTGGAAGGTATCACGGGATACCCCTTTCCCCGAAAGGATGGACTCTGTACACAGTTTCCCACCGAGATAGTGCTGCGTCATGACACTGAAGTCAGCTCGATGACTGCGAGCCTTCTCCCGAGCGCATCCCGTTCCCCCGAGGAGAAGGAGAAGTTTGCAGCGTTTCATCGAGAATTTCGAGACTTCAACGAGCTGCCGACTATTATTCGCGAAGCCTCATTCATGATGGGGGTTCGAGGTTTCAATGAATTTGCCGACGCCCCTGGATTCGCTGCAGATGTTCTTCGACTTGAATTAGTTGGGAACACCGGACTTCATTTGACTCTTGTTGATCTACCGGGCCTGATATCGGTTGCCGAGGATGACGAAGATGTTGAAATCGTGCAAGGGCTGGTTGATTCGTATCTTGAGAGCTCCCGCACGATAATTCTTGCTGTTATTCCGGCCAGCAGTGACGCAGAGACACAACGTATCATCCAGCGTGCGAGGCATTTTGACAAGGAAGGCGTGAGGACAGTGGGTATCATCACTAAGCCCGACCTTATCAACAAGAACACCGAAGAGAGAGTTGCGCGACTGGCAAAAAATCTCGATCGCACCAAGTTAAACCTTGGCTTCTTCCTCGTCAAAAACCCCTCTCCGGATGAATTAGTGGCTGGGGTGAGTTTTCGGCAGCGTCATCGGGCGGAAATGGAGTTCTTCTCTAGTCAACGTTGGAAGGCCCAAGGAATCGTCCTACACGAATTGGTATCGCCAATCTACGTTCCTTTCTGGAGGATCTCTTGGATAGCCATATTGAGCGAGAATTACCCAAGGTTCAGCAGGAGGTTCGACGTTTATTACAACTGGTGGATGAGGAGATCGATAACCTTGGGATCGAGAGGTCAAATGCAGGGCAAGTTCGACTATTTCTCACACACATCAGCACTGAATTCCATGCCATTATCAAGAATGGCCTTGAGGGAAATTATGATGGTCGGGACGGGGACTTTTTTGCAGACAGTTCTCCAGGCACTTGCCGTCTGCGTGCTGTAATTCATCGAGAAAACGAGCGTTTCGCCGACTACATGAGGAACCACGGTCAACGGAGAAAAATCGTCACTGCTCATGGCGACGGTGAAGACATGGATGATTCAACAGAAGAAATTGTGAAAGACCAAAACGAGGAACTTTTGGTGACACAAGAAGAGATGTTTTCTTGGATTAGAGAGGTACGTCGAAAGTTGCAGGCTGACGGGCAATGGCTGACGATAATAGATGTACCACGAATCCAGAGGTCGGGAGCTACCAGGGAACTACAACCATTCTCTACTTCAGCGCTTGTTTCACATTCAATCGTGTCGCTGGAATGAAATTGCTCGACGTCACATTGAGTCTGTCGTGAAAATGGTGACTCAATTTGTGCACCGGGCCTTGAATTTCGTGGTCAAAGACGCCGGTGTCGGTGACAAATTGCGAAAGCACATTATGGTCAAATCGATGAGAATACAAGAGAGGCTCATGAAGAACTTGCCAAGCTTTTACAAGACGAAAAAGGCCACCCGATTACCTATAATCACTACTATACTGACAACATTCAAAAAGCGAGACACGACGAAGCGAAAGCAAGCATTCAAGCATCCGTCAAAAGAGCAGCTGAATCGGATTGGGGCGGCAGTGTCCACTTCAGCAACTCTCCTTATGAAATGGATCGAATGATTTCGTCTCTACAGAAACGTGTGGAGGTGAATATGGTTGAGAGAGCTTGCTCCGAGGTATTGACCGACCTAAATGCGTATTATAAGGTGAGTCATCCACCTGTCCTAGGTCAGTTCTAGTCATAACACGCGTTCTAGGTTGCGATGAAAACATTTGTGGACAATGTGTGCCGCCAAGTGATTGAAAGGCATATTCTGGCCAAGTTGGGCGGAGCATTTCATCCAACAGTTGTCAGCAGTTTCTCAGATGAGGAGCTAATACGTCTGGCTGGCGAATCGCTACAAACCACCCGCCGACGTACTGAGAAACTGCAATTGAAACGGAGTCTGGAGGCAAGTCTTCAAGAGCTATCCATTTAGTCATATTTCTGCAGTCGTATGAGTCCCTCCGGGTGGGGTTTTCTCCCACTGGGTTTCCCCCACCTCTACGCGAATGCGGGAGTAAACTTCTTATTCGAAAATGCTTGGATAGTTTCCTTAATCGAATTTTTTGAGTTATTCAAATAACGAACAATTGTCACCGAATTCACCTCTGCATAGGGGCCTCTTAGTACTCGACCAATTTATTCAGCGCTTCTGTGAACCCATTTCTACCAGCTCGATGCGGTAAACCATCTCTCTGTTCTACGACCACATTGAGCAAAATAGAGCCTTTTGTACATACAGGACATCGTCAAAAAGGTATCAGAAGTCGCCGTTTCGCATTACGATCTTTGCATTCTATAAAGCGTAATATCGTAACGTGGTTCTCATGTTCTCCATTGCCATCGAGTAATTATCATAATAAAAGAGCCAGGGGCGTTTTGGTTCTTTTGTGGTTGGTTGGAAAGGGACATGTGAGTGTGATTTGGGTAATTTAATGGATTGAGAGAAGTATGCTGCCTGTCAGCTATGATTTCTCGAGGTTGTTTCCTTTCCAAGGGTTTTGTCGTTAAATCCAGGCTCTTTTGTATTTTAAGGTCACACCGCCTTCAACTCTATCTTCCTGAAACGGATTAGCGCATACCGAGATAATGCCCGAGACAAGCCAAAGAACCTCTAGGGGCGCGACCGCGCTGCACTCACGTAACAGCGCTACTTACTTGGCAGTGTTAGCCCCTCATCCTTAGAATAATCCAGGAGCTTTGGTCCACATCACATCATTGCTTCTGAAGGTGATAATTACAAGCGCAGGGTCGCTCCCAGAAGCAGCGCATTGTCCCGGTGAAATTACTCAAATCTTATTGAGTTGATGATATCGGGAGATACTGAGCTCAGGAAATTATTGCTAGACAAACGGTCAAGAACAAACGGTCAAGGGGAATTAACCGGCGGATTGCCCAACAACACTTATCCAGCGAGCCTTCTATCTACTGTGTCGAGTTAAGTGCTTTCTGACGTCCGGGTAAGCGAGCGTAGTGGCCCCGGTGAGCGGCATTGGTGAACTAATTGGTGGTCAGGGATAGTTCCATCCTCCGATATTTTGCCCACAATGGTCAAGTCGATGCACGAAAGATATATGACCATCCGAGCCTTGCGGGGCTAAGATTTTGTTAAATGTCCACACGGCCTGTTTTACCCAGAGAGAAGTTCGTGAGGGGCGTCTAATATATAATTTAATCGGCGGATGACGAATGGGGATGTCAAGTGGATCCCCTCCAGAAATCGCTCCACCTATCTTTTACACATACTTCCCAGGGTAATAGTTGACCGGGCTGTGGGATCTGGGATCAAAACAAGAAGCGTCCGGTTAGACACTGCTATGTTGAGCAAAATTGCTTTTGTCTATCACCAATCAGGAAGTCAATATATCCCGTGCTGTGGTAGCCCTCACAGTGCAAAAAATCATGGCCACCCTGAGTTATCTTTAATCATTTCGTTGTTGGCTCATTCCTAGTTTTGCCACATGGAACCAAAACTATCACTTTCTTTCTCTCTTCGGTTGTCTTTCTTTGCGCTTGATGCGCCATTGGCACCTCGGCCGCCCATCTCTGCACCAACTTTGCGACACCGATCCAGGAACAACCACACATGGTCCCCCTTTCTCACTTTGACCGCGCCAGCCGGTATACTCGTGCCGTCATAGAAGACGAAGGGAATGAGAATTTCGGTATATTGCAGGTCTACTCGGCACTTGCTTGTATCTCGCACAATGGTGTACACGAACACACCCAAATGCAATATTGCATGATTATTGACTTGGCATTTCTTTTTCTCTCACTTGACAATAGAATGATTGCCAAAAGGCCAAACATCCAGAAGACAGATGGCAATTATCTTTGACAGAATGAAGGTCTATTGTTCCTTTAGCCTGTGGCCACCATGTTCCGTCATGCTTTTTTGCGGGCTTCCTTTTGACGCATGGTCAGGGTGTGTGTCAAGAATGCGATGGAAAAAACACCAGTCTTGTCTATTGCTCTACTACTTGCAAGATCACGTGCGTTCGTGGCCCCGAAGATGCAGCTTCGAGCCTATCGGTTTGTTGTTACAGTGAACAACATAGTATCAGACATTTTTATCCAGCTCTCCGGGGCACTGGTCAGTGGTTGTACAAATGCCATCGAGATATGCGAGGGAAGAAGGGCTGGGCTGGCCAACCACGCTGTTGACACCCAGACCATCACTGATGAAGCCGTATCGGCAAAACAAGCCGGCAGCCCTCGCACGCTGGATTAGAATTAAATCATCATCGGCGAAAACTTCAGCTTCCTCCCGAAATATTTTCCAGAAGAGGGATTCGAGCTCTCTGCGGTTGTCGTAGTAGTGCCATCCCTTTGAATTCATGAATCCAAGGACATTTTCGAAGCCCCACAAAGAAAAGCCAAAAGGAAGAATCCTTGCCTCGGCCCAGTCAACAATGCCCGTGAGCTTCCCACTTTCCGGGTCTATGAGGATATTCATCTCACAAAGGTCGCCATGAGTGAGAACAAAAGGTAATGCCCCCGAGAAGAGCGATAGGAGGTCTCTGCGGATGCTGACTAATCTCGATTTGAATCGAGGTGGTAAGATTTGGGCAAGGACATTGAACTTTTGGTCAAACTCCGCATGGAGTGCCTTGGTAACGTCTCCCTGTATTGGCTGGCGCTTGTTCCACGATTGTGCGAAGAATCTGTCCACGATACTGAACTGGCGGCAAACAAGAGAATAGCCTTCTAGACGTACCTTGCGAAGTCTCTGGTGGTGTTTTGCTGTCGAGATATCGATTCTGGTGGCTGTATGGGGGATACATCGCGTGCGAGAATATAAGGAATGCCAGGGAGTTTCTCCATCTCGTAGATATGTAGGGGTTGTTCGGTTCCAATAGTTTCATGATAATTGACAACAGCAACAAACTCAGGATGAGCTGCCTTAGCAAGGGTCATAATCTCTTGGTCGATCCTCGAGTCTTCGACCCGAAACTGGAACAGCTTTGACCCTGCGGTCACAGTATAGCTAAACGCTCCCTGTATTTGCACAGGGATGACTTGGTCACTTGGATCAGTGGCGTGGGAGCGCACAAAATCATCGCATTGCTGTCGGGTTACGGATGGGTTTGACGCGAAGAACGAGTCGATTGTGTCGTCGAGGTTGTAAAGCTTGATCATAGTGGTAAATTGGGAAATTATCAGTGAAAAGCGGTTCAGTTCTGCGGGGCTTGGAAATTTTGGAAAATGTAGGGGGGCACGAAGGGGTTTTAGCACTGGCTTAGGATTTATACCTTGAAGGGTCACCTCCCAATCAAGGCCCAATCCACGTGATATATAGCGGCACACCGCTAATTATACAACCTTTTATTTCCGTTTGGGTATTTTAGACCCGCTTCAGCCTTGAGCGAGATATGGTTACATTATTTACACGGCCAAATTTGCCCGGGCGCCAGTTCTTGAGGGGTGTTTAAATAAGATTCGGCGGGTGACAAGTGGGGATGTTAAGTGGATCCAGCCCGAACCACCTTCACGCATCTTTTACGCGGAATATTGACCGTAATGGGACCAAAAGAAAAGGCATCCGGTTAGTGCTGGGTTGGTTAATAGTGTGCTTTTCAATCATAACATCCGGGTATAATGGTATTGGATATTGTTACGGAGATGCTAGGCACGAATCAGTTGCGGGCCGCAACTAACGGATGGGCCAGCGAGAGACAACCAATCCATCTGTCATCAGTGAGCAAGAACATGGTACATGATCCACCCTGTTTAAATTGAAGCAAGCGACAATTTAGCATACAAGTCCTTGCTCTATTCTTGTTGGTAGGATGTGGTCACAACTTACAAGTCAAAGAAATAAATCTTATAAGTTGACTGAAGTAAGTATAAATTCTTGTCTGGGGATCTAAAACTAGCTACCAAAAGGTCCGTGTAGGTTTATAGCTTTGGGGCCAAGGCTTCATGAGATGCCTCAACCTACGAGTCTCCAGGTGAGTGATGCCCTTGACCCTGAGAATCCTCGGACCTCAGCCTTAAGACACCGAGATGTGACATTGGTGATAGGCTTGCATGTGGCACCCAAGGAGACAGGTCAGACGGAAGGATCCTTCAATTGACAGACTGGCGGCTGCCAGCTAACTAGTTCGCCTGCTCTCCCTCTCTCTCTCTTTCTGCTCTCCGTCGACCTGAATACATACAGAGTTTCCTCCATTGTTTCTACACCTGTATTGTACTCTAACTCACATGAAATTTGACCCGGCAACCAACCCTCCATTTCATTATTCCTCCTACACCTCCCCTGTTGCTCTGATTGCAATGGAAATTGATGCTATTCTCACATTCGCGGTCTAGGCGAGTACGCTAGCAGCGAAGCTCAGTCCAGACGTCCAGTGATACTGCTCGAGGAAAGAGATCTCCGTGTTTGGGTCGTCTGTTGATTCTCTTACCTGTGCGACCAGATGGATACGAGGATTTGAACGTCGCGAACTATGGGCCAAGAGTGAAGAGAAAAAGGCCGGGAGGAGTTGTCGGCAGGTCAATCTCGAACTTTAAAAATTCAGCCTGAAGGCCACGGGTTTCTCTCGATAGGCCTGAGACTTTGTGATTCTTGGTCGAGCGTACGATGGATCAGTGTGTCGATAAACACGTTCGCGGTCGGCCGAAGATGTTGTCTTGATTGCCTGAAGCAGGTTGACGAGGGCGTACTGAGTGCCCATCGCTGTTTCGACTGAGACGTGAACACATTCGAGAACGGCGCTATCGGGGCGCACAGTAAATAAATCGGCACCGATGACCCAAACACAAAGATCTCTTTCCTCGAACAGCATCAGCGGCCTGGTTTTAAGCTGGACTCTCGAGCTTGCCAATCTGTCTATTCACAAGCGCGCTGGCACCGTTTTTGGACCTCTAAATAGCTTAGTGCTGCGATACCCGGTCATCCGGCTCGGCCTACTATGCGGATTTTGAAAAAATTCTGACTTGGAAAACGGCGTTCAAAAAGGAATTTACCGATTAAGTCGTCTCTTGCAAAGAAACTACTGAGATTTGCGCGAGACTGGCGGCGTAAAAACTTCCAATCGTGATTCGTGGATATTTTAGGACGAGCGTCAGGCTATTAAGCGACATTTCTAGGATAGACACCTTCGTCATTATTGTGAGTAGCACAGGCACACATGTTTAGAAACCACACTGTTTCAGATTGCATGTCCAACAGACCCTTGAACTCCCCGGCAAGCTGATTCTCGGTAGTTGATATGAGCCTCTTGGGTCCCGCGGGCCGGGCCTACCCTGCCGCGCTCGGAACCATCAATGCGCATACCAAGGTCCAAGACTGAGGATTTGGCGACGGCTCTGCCAAGTTGCTTAGTATCATGATTAACTAGCCATAATTACCCCCCACTAGTAGAATAATATGTACCTACAAACAGAGATGGCTAATAACCTTCTAAGATGGAAGCACAGTTTATTCTTATCGTCTATACTCTGCCAGCCTGCATCCCGTCCCCGCTACCTCTGCATCCTGATCTCTCAGATGCCTCAACAGAAGACATCCTCGTCGAAGACTTGGATCCGCCTTGGTGACTGTTGCTCTCTGGACTGGAACTCTAGCTTGATCGCTGCCCGATGGAAGAATCATTGATCCTCGATGAGCCTCCAACGGAGCAATTCTTATGTGCTCTGGAACGAGTGACAAATGGAAAGGCGTTAGATTGCAAGTAACCCGACGGATCGTCTCTGGCCGGATACGCGATTCATGGAAGATTAGGCGATTCTAGTTCGCATAACTATGCGGCAAGAAAAAGCTTTGTGATCGACATCGGCTATTGGGCTGCATTGCATGAGCACGGGCTGGGTGTGGGGTTGCTTGACGACAAGACGTGTACGCAGTACAGAGATGAAGTCATCTCCGCGGAGAGGATGGAGCAGCTGAGTGCATATGATGAGGAGTGTACTTTTTTCTTCTTCAGTTGTAGCGGATATTTAGGATCCTATCTCGATCTGTCATCGAGGTCGTTTTGCTTTTAGGACCATCGAGATTCACCTTGTACGGGGATGGAGATATTTTCGGGTCAATGCACGTTATCTTCTCACCGTGCGCCGGCCAAGAAGACTCGCGACTCCGAGTCTAGAAGTCGACATGTAACTTTTCCGTTCCGATCGCCATTCAGGTCTTCCAGATCAGTTGCCGTTCGCGAAAGGGTCATAGCCATGAATTACACAGTACGGAGTATATAATTATCATTGGTTAATTTCCGGAAGCTCATGAGTCTTCGCCAAGTGGATCTCACGGAGCCTCGGGAGTCGGGACAGATAGGCCTCCAATAAACTACGCAGTAGCGCCGACGGGCGTTCGAGAGCCGTCCATTTTAGGCTGATTTAGCGTCAATCATGGGTGCCTCTGACGTTTTGCCAAGCCAAAAGATAGCTCCAAGGATGCAGAAACGAACGTCAGACGGCATGAGAAAGGGATTGTTGTGATTTGGTGGTCGATAAAGTATAGAAAGTAGCGAGGATGCGCATAATCATTTATGCATCTATGACTGGCGATGGGCGAATAAAACCGGGATACGTAAATTAATCTGGTGTAGGATGGAAAGAAAGAGAGGGTGGGGGTGAAAGAGCGGAATGAATTAAGGTAGAAATGGGGCTCGAGAACACAATTTCGAAAAGCCCATTGGATATTTCCCTGTTCCTGTCACGTTGGGGCAGTTGGGGGCGTTTGCTTTTACAATACCTTCTCTTGCAAATTGCCCAATTTCCCGGTTTTTACAAGTCGATTCATCATCAAGGGAGAAAATGAAATAATCCGGGGTCAACTGAGAGATCACGGGGCTCAACCGGGCAACTCAAAAACGAGCATCTCACCCCTTTCCTCTCTTCAATTCCTCACTCGGGTTTGACTCTCATCATGAGCTCCCCAATGCCAATTACCACTCAGCCCGAGACTGAAGGCGTTGCTCGACCGGCTACCACTTCTCCCCAGACCCTCGACAACGTCCGCTGTTCCCGCTGCCAGCGAACCCTCAACATAGGCCCATCAGGCGGTGCCGTTCAATTCGGCATGAACTCCTACTACTGCAGCCGTTGCGCTGCCAAGGTCGGCTTTGGGGGATGAAACGAGCACACAAAACACCTTTCACCAAAATATCAACTTGTCGACCAGACCACCAAATCAGCAAAGTGGGGGGATCTCCGCGGACTAGTGAGCGGCTGAGCGAATCACCATCGAACTTTTCACTCCCAACCACCGAAAAAACGTTCCCCTATTCGTCGCAAGGGCAGATGCGACTTGTTTCCCTGAACGAAATATTATTCTACTCTGTATTTTCGACACTTCTCTCTGCGATTTCGCCTCGGGCCCTGCATCCGAGAGTTTCTGTGATATTTTGCGGGCGGTGCCGGCACTGCCCCTCTGCATTGGTCCCGATAAAGAATACGACCACGGGTTTATGAAAAAATTATTCACAGTTCAGTCAGCTGGCTTCTCTGCCATGTGTGGCTGAGACAACGAGTTATTCGGGATTTGAGGGCAAGTCCGAGGGTCGGAGCTCCGCAGTGCAACTCAATCTCGGACCCTGGACCCTGAACGGAGTTACGGACTTGGTTCTCTCCGCTCAGTTGATCGTGAGAAATGTTATTATTATGCTGTTGCATTCTCTACTGTTGCTTCTTGATTTGCCGGACCAAATCAAGAACTTGACCTATTTGATTCGGATGTTAAACCGCTCATTTTCTAGCGGAATGCTTTCAGGCCTTGCTTTGGATGTACTTTGCATGGTGTTATTCAAGCTAGCCGCATGGAGTCAAGCTTCATCCTTTATTTTTCCGTTCCTGATCGATATTTAACCCACTGATTTCTGTCTTTCTACTTCCCACTGACGTTGATATCGCTAGTCCATATACTGTGATAAACCACTTACTTCACTTCATTCACCATTTCTAAAACAAAGCCATACAAATTATGAGTTGATCATTGCCTGAATTTTGAAAGAGAACACTACGTATCTGGTCCGCTGATCATTTTCCTTTGGAGCTGCAACGCCACTCACTAGACCCCTAGCCCTACCGGGATATCCGATCTCACTTTCTAACGTTATGATAGAACCAGATAATACACGCCCCTTGCTGTCCAATCCTCTGCACATAGCATATCGATCTAGATAGCGACGATAGCGGAGCTACTCTGCCCCAGGGGCGATATCCAACCCGATGACCGGCGGATCATGTCATGAACGATCCCTGCAATAATAATCCCTGCTGAAGAAATTTCCGGTATGAAACCTGCCTTTTGCCGGGAGAAAACTTAAGTTCATTACTTTAGAATCTAGGTAGCAGGAGAAACCAAGACCGATTACCAATAGCACATGCGCAAAGTCCAGAATAGGCATGTGACCTTCCCTGGATCCCACTTGCAATGCTTTGGTCGCGATTCGTCATAGCACAGACCTGGTGCATAGGGTATGCACTATCCTTTCTGGATGGTCATTCGTCTTGAAGTCATACGAGATCAAGTATTGCACATGCCATGTGCGAGGTTCATTGTACAATACACTCCATGGACACTTCATACTGGGGTTGTTCAATGGAAATAACGGAAAGAGATGAAAATGTGAGGCGCATGGTTCTATCGACTTTTGCGTCATGGCGGAAGTATATGGAAGTATGTGTTGGTTGTATTTCAAGAATTTGTCCTGCATAGCGAGGATATTCGTTCTCCAAGAGCTAACAGCGATGTCCCGTAGTTGGAACATTTCAGCCTTTGATACGTGCTTCAGGCCTCTGGGCAGTTCGCCGCAAACCCGGGATTTAGGCTCAGATACTACGTACATACCGTCTACGCAGTGAGAAAACTTATGGAAGGACTACTCATGGGCATGCTAACGAGGTAAAAGATATTAATTCTGAAAAAAAAGAAAAACAAGCAATGCACAGAATCGACGACCAGCGTCGAACAGCTTCTATTGCGGGAGCCCAGAGCTATGGGCTCGGAGATGGAGCGGCTTCCCGCCAGCTCAAACGCGAGGGAGGTAATGGGGTGGAGGCCGCGGGGCCGGGAGCGGCAGAAGAAGTTGCGGCAGCAGGAGGGGTCAGGGGGACAGGAGCGGCAACAGCGGGGCTCGCGGGGGAGGAGGGGGGCGGAGGACGCAGCGGAGTCCTCGCAGACATCCATGCCGGGAGAGTACTCCCGGACACTGGTGTCGGCCGTCGCCGGGGCGGGAGCGGCAGAGGACACGCCCAACTCCTCACAGACATCCATGCCGGGAGAGTACTCCCGGACACAGGTGCCGACGGTCGCGGCCGAAACACCCACAGACACCTCGATGCCTTCCATGGGCATCAAGTCCTCCATTGGAGGAACGGTGGCTGGCTCCGCGGCGGCCGCAGGGGAGAGGTAGAGCCCCAGATGGTTATTGAGCTCCCACCACCGGTTGCTGACCCCCATATTATAATGGAGGGTCATGGCGGCAACCAGGTGGTGGGAGTGGAGGATGGGGAGGAGGTTGGAGGAGTAGTCGGAAAGCTGGACTGAGAGATGGTTAGCATGCGCTGTTGCTTCGATGCCAACAGTTGATACTTACCAGGGTATGGCAACCCTGCCCAGTGGAGACCGAACCACAGGAACTCCGGCGTCAGCATCACCCGGAGTATCCACGCATTTTCGGTGCCCGGGGCCACGACCACGACCAGGTTGGTATGGAGCCCAGAGAGCTCCCAAGCCAGGACGAACATCTCTGGTGCCGCGGCCCCCCAAACCAGCTCGTCAAAAAGGCAGAGCTGGTCCCACATAAAAAGGGTACCAGGCCGGTACTCGCCAGCGAGTACCTGTAGGTCAACCTTCCTGAAGGAAGGAAAGGAATGATGGGACGGACGAGGTGAGATAGACACGGAAGAAGCAGCCATGGTCCTCATCAACGTTGTACAGATGGGATAAAACAGGAAAAGAACCAAGAAGAAGATGGGATGAAGCGAAGGTAGGTGGGTTTCTACAGAGAAGGAATGTGACCGATGAGGGAGTCTCACTATGCTTTATATCCGTTCAGTCAGGCTGAGTTCATTGAGAGCTCATTTGAATGAGCCTCGATGTATTATCACTTCATAGTGAATGTCAAATTAGAGTGAAACGAAGCTTCAATGGCTCTGAGTGGTGCTTCCATTAGATCTGCTGTTATTTAGAATGAATAGCAATCTAGTTGGTCGAACAAGGAAATTGAGAAGTATTTGCTGATTCAATATCGAAGTCTCTGCCATCTCAAATTCAATGCAGATGTGGTTACTATTGAGGTATGTTCGAACTACTTCAATTGTTCAATGTTAGGGCAACATTGATCCCAACTGTAGGTTGCCTAGCCTGGAATTGCGAGGACTACGCCGGCAGTATTCAGACAATCTAATTGAATGTGAGACCTGTCAAACTGAAGATAATGTCGGTCTTAGTAAGGTTCGAGTAATGGACCACCTGAGCAAGCACAATAAGCCAAAGGTGAATGACATTTGAAGTCACATCCTTGCTTAATGGGGATTGATTGATTGATTAAAATGACTGGTGAAGAGCGACGCTTGGCATTCCAAGCCAGCAGATGACAGCGTACCTAGTTTATTCTGTATGATGCCTGATCTACTACATACTGTAGTAGCGACTACACCATCCTTCACATAGAAGCACCTGATGCTCTTGAACCCTAATTCCGAACGCAGTAGTTAGGTGGCCCGGGGCCCCAAATATTGCGTATGTAATCAGCATTTCAGCACAGCGCCGGGCCCCATTGCTCGAAATGAGAGTCTACCTAGCTCATTGTGTATATTTACTCCGGTGCGGAGCTACAATGATGCCCAATTTGCATCTACCTATGACATTGGACCCTGGGGAGATAGACAGGTCATAGAGTGATATGCTTTACAGATACGAAGTCTACTGTCAAGGACGAAGTAAAGAACTCGAAGAACTTGCTGGGACATCAGTAATTCTTCCAACCACTAGAGGTAGAAGCGTACCTATTTAGCTTTTGATCATATCCTTATGGGATGGGGACTTTGCCCGGATTCCAATAGAACAGGGATCTCATGATTATATCTCACAGCTTCCACTTTGACATTGTGACCTATGGTTTGATTGGTTTCGGTGACTCGTGACTTCCTCTCTAGAAGGAAGTTCAAAGGCTAACAGACACTGGCCACTTGTGGCAACAGTGTCAGTCTATTATCTGGAGCTGATACGCCGTGAATCGGTGACACTACGTTCTAACAGATGCATATAAAAACCGACACAATGACGTCTGGTCGGAGTCTGGTCCTGCCCAAGTGGCGTGGAGAGGGCGCACGGGCCAAAATGTGGCTTAGTGCTTAGTCAAGTAGCGAATTTCGGACCTCCGGAGTCAGCGGGGAATCCCCAGATGTTGACGGCCCGAGGTCAAGCGTGCCTCAGGGAGCTAAACCCTTGTCTTCCTTTCACCTTTTATTCCCTCGTTGTCTTGTTCAATCTTGACAACAATTTGTTTTTCTTCCCAATTACTTCACCATGTATCGTTCAATGCGTCGATTGCCGCGACGCCTTCCGATTGCTCCTACTGTTTCCTTGCGGGCATTACGATCTTTCACATGCGGTTATCCTCGGATGACGCCTGTTAACCCTCCCGTATCCACCACCCTCCCCTCAGACGCGTACCAGCTGCTGTCCACCCAAGAAAAAGCTGGTGCCGCTGAAGATGCGCTCTACGAACAACAAATTCGCGATGTGGAAGCATGGTGGAGGTCGCCTCGCTACGAAGGCATCAAGCGTCCCTACACAGCGGCGGACGTCGTGAGCAAGCGTGGCTCTTTGCAACAAACATACCCTAGCTCGTTGATGGCGCGGAAGCTTTTCAATCTTCTCAATGAGCGAGCGGCTGCTGGTCAGCCCGTTCATACCAGTGAGTTCTCAGAAGGTTGAAGCCTCGAATAGGATAATTCTAACCTCGGTTCTGCACTCAGTGGGAGCTATTGACCCCGTACAAATGACACAGCAAGCGCCCAACCAAGAGATTCTCTACGTTTCTGGCTGGGCTTGCTCTTCACTCTTGACGAGTACCAATGAGGTATCCCCCGATTTCGGCGATTATCCCTACAACACTGTGCCGAACCAGGTGCAGCGCCTGTTCAAGGCGCAGTCGATGCACGACCGTAAGCAGTGGGATGCCAGGCGCAAAATGACTGCCGAGGAGCGCAAATCTACGCCTTACACTGATTATTTGCGACCAATTGTTGCGGATGGTGATACTGGGTATGTCTAAAATGGGGACGTAACGGAACGAACTCATCGCTAATTTTCTCTTGCAGCCACGGTGGTCTATCGGCCGTTCTCAAACTCGCCAAGCTCTTCGCAGAGAATGGTGCTGCCGCCGTTCACTTCGAGGATCAGTTGCATGGTGGCAAAAAGTGCGGGCATCTTGCAGGCAAAGTGCTCGTCCCAATGGGCGAACACATCAACCGACTGGTCGCTGCTCGCTTCCAGTGGGATATGATGGGCTGTGAGAACTTGGTTATTGCCCGAACCGACTCCGAGAGCGGTAAACTCATCAGCAGCGCTATCGATGTTCGTGATCACGAATTCATCCTTGGTGTCGCGGAAGATGTGGAGCCTTTGGCCGAGACTCTTCAGGCCATGGAGCGAGAGGGCGCATCGCCTAAGGAAATTGACGCATATGAGCTCGAGTGGGTCAAGAAGCACAAGCTTGTGACCCTCGACGAAGGTATGCTCACAAAATCCTGTTTTTAAAATTGCAATCGCTAATGATCTGTAGCTGTCGACGCCCACCTTGAATCAGAGGGAGCTCCCCAGTCTTCCCGGGATGCCTACAAGGCCTATGTCAAAAGCAATCCCGACCTCTCCTTCTCTCGCCGCCGTGCCCTAGCAAACGACTACGCCAAGACGCCCGTTGTCTGGTCGTGTGATAGCCCGCGTACTCGTGAGGGCTTCTACCACTACCGTGCAGGATTCCCTGCTGCCACCAAGCGCGCGAAGGAATTCGCTCCCTACGCGGATCTCCTCTGGGTCGAGACCGGTGATCCTAATGTCGAGAAGGCCGGAACACTAGCTGGCGACGTGCGCGCAGCATATCCCGGCAAGAAGCTTGTCTACAACCTCAGCCCTTCATTCAACTGGATGGCCCATGGATTTGATGAGGCCTCGCTCAAGTCTTTCGTTTGGGATATCGCCAAGCAAGGGTAAGTCTGGGCTTCGCTTTATCTCTTTTGCTGTGGCATTGACTAATAACTATCAGATTCGTTCTCCAACTCATTTCTCTGGCTGGTTTGCACAGCAACGCCACTATCACAACCGAACTGTCCCGCGCGTTCAAGGACGAGGGAATGTTGGCTTACGTCCGTCTTGTCCAGGCTCGCGAAAAGGAGCTCGGCGTCGACGTCCTCACCCACCAGAAGTGGAGTGGTGCCCCATACATGGATAGTATTATGGGTGCTATCCAGAGTGGAAGCAGCAGCAGCAAGAGCATGGGCGAGGGTAACACCGAGAAAGGTAAGATTCCATGCAGTGTCTTCAGGAAAGAAACGAATTGCTGACCCTGATCTCTAGATTTCTGAATTGAAGTCGAGACTATGTATTGATGTATTGGAAAATTCTCGGTGGTGAAGCATAGAAGTCGCTTGATGTGCAAATATAATGATTTTCGTTTCCCCTTCCATTATCTGGCGGCCTTGTCCACAACAATTTATCGAGTCAAGGAATCAAGCAGCGTCGGGATCTACTGTAACATTGCAGCTACGACTTTTGAGACCTACTGTCGGGAAGTAGGAAGGTAAAAGTGAGAGAGTTTTATTTGGGAAAAGAGGGGCGAACTCCCAAATTACAGCAATGCCTTGTCATCAATCAAAACACAGATAGAAGCCAACCTCTATCTGCACACACCCTCAACCTCAGGCGGAACTTGCTATACATCACGTCAGTCTCAAACGAGGTCTACCGGCCAAAACACAGAAAACTAACCAGACAAAAGTTACTCATACAGTTCCCCGTGCTGCCGTCGGTTCTACAGGGATGCCCATTCGGAATCTGAGAAACGGTTAGACACGACAAGGCAAAACACCTAAGATTATTTGATCTTACAAGAGGTTTCTCTGCAGCCATTACAGCGCCGACAAGGACCATGAAAGCAAGGAGGAACAAACGCATGTCGAAATGATGCAAGTATGTCCTTCAGGTTGGGATATAACTCGAAGTCTGGTCCTTAGAACTAGGCTTGCAGATGTCCCGGTATTTATAATAGTATCTTGGTTGTCTGGACCTTCATTCCCTTCGGCATCTCGCATGTCTTGCCCTGGACGTGTTACAGGGTCGAATTGTGATGCTGTCGTGGAGCAAACTGCCGTGAAGCCATTCGGAGAAGAGTAACTAGGCTAGAGGGTACTTTGTTCGTTCCCGGACTTGGCTGTGTCATAGGCTAGTCAATACAGATTCACGAGGCCTGCATCGATCTACACACTAACCTGAAAAGTCCGTTATGATATCGGCTATATCTCATTATTTCCCAATTTCGTTTGACTACGCCTTCCTTCTTACGCGGGTTTCCGATGCGGCACTTATTCTAGTACCCGAAAGAACAGGCTATATGATTGCATTCTATTGACCGAACTACTGGCCACCCCCTATGTTTTGCGCATCTCTATTTCGAATTGGACCATGCGATGCTACTCCTGAGGTCCCACGACATCCTGAGATACCTGAATATGCGGCTTCTCCTTATTTGGCCAGCAGCCATTGGTTCCAGATTCTTAGAGCTTCGGCCACTCTCTGGTTCCAGGACAATACGTGTCAATTTGATTGTGTGGATATAACTGTAGGTTATTCCATGCGCCCTCGAGCAAATCATTAACGCCCGGCGGCTAAGCTGAAAGGGCCACTATCACGAACTATCAATACATGTCTTATTGAATCCCGTGTACAGATTTGTCTATGAATAGCTCGATTTGCGAAGTAGTTAATAAATCTAAGACAACGTAGCACGGAATCGAGCAGGCTGTGCTTTCCGTGACCATGTGTGTTGAAATGCTGCCCGAGGTCCTCGGCACATACCTAAACATCACAAGGCGAGAACCTTGGAAGAGCTTCACACGGCCTTATCCCACGTTACATCTCCAGTCATACTATTGCATTCTCAGAGGCTGGATGGAAATTTCTGACTGCGCTTGAAGGCGCTGAAGAATAGCTTCGGGAAATTTTCTGATAAGGCTACATCCCAAGCCCGCTCATGAGGGTCTGTAGAGGGATGACGATAATGTCATCTTGCACTAGGCATGGATATTTCCCTGGCTCCATCTGTAACCTCCAAGATTCAATTTTGAGCTCTATGTCGTGAAAGGCGATCCCATGACAAGGACAGGAAATTCAAATTCGCGAATAATTATATGGGGCTGTAAAGGATTAGCTCTCGATTATGGCCAGGAGGTGGGCATTTTGGCGAAATACCTTGTAGTTTGCAACAACAAATTCCAGCCTTACATTAAGCCTGTGAGTCTTCCTGATATTGCAGGCTTCAAAACTCGAAGTAATCCAAGCGGGACAAGGACTGTTAGCCCATATAAATGGATCCAGATCGATGCTTGCGTCGCTAGGTGCATCTGACAGACCTATATCATAGTTCATATTGGCGGTGCTTTGTACAGTCCAGGTATTGGTGAATGATTCGGCTCTTCCTCGGGCTGTTACCTCCGTTGTCTCGACTAGCATGGTTTGGAACCCATTCAACAAAATGTTGTAGGAAGCGTCGCCGAGCTTTGTGAGGCTGATCCTAAATGGAATTGCGCGGTTTAGAAAAAGACAAGACCCGTCTAGAAGGTCGACCCTGACTTTCAAGGACAAGTGTAAGCCAGTATCCAGGTCTCGCGGGCTAATATCGATAACGCATTCTTGAAAATACACCGATTGGGGAGTCCTCGGACTTGGTAACGGATACACGGAGATATTTCGAGTCTTAAAATTGGTTAGACCGAATCTTCGTACCTCTCTTTGATGGCACACTGTTGCTGAGACATGGAATTCCTACCTTTTGAACGGTTTTTCTTCCTCTGACGACCACACTCAAAGTAAATCGAATCTCAGCTGGGGAACTCGATGTACCTGTTGAGGGTGGGCATGTCCTCAATAAATGGGTCTTCGGTCTGCGCCAGCATGGCCACTGGCCAGATTTATGGCATTCAATAACATCATCTGGAAACTGTGAATCAAGGAAATATGTATTAGAATTGGCTTCACATAAACAGGTCCAATATCAAAGGGTAATTACCGTGATAGAGAATTGGAGGACATGGATTCCACCCCCGATAGTTACACTGGAGCGTTTCAAATCCTTCATCAAAGGGTCTGAAGGGAAGATTCGACTGGACTTGATAAACAGCTAGAGCAAGTTGATGTCAGATACGCCTAACCTGGAGAAGCAATTGTCACCTTCGCACATACATTGTGGCTCTCCGTTCGTCTGCCGTTGTTCAATCTAGACGTCGCCGTTCCCGACAGAGTAAGAACAATCGAGGAGATATCGGCAGGCGACTCGCTGCATAAGATTATCTCGCCCGTCACAGTATCTAGATCTGTATAAACCGCTTCTTTTTGATCTAACCTCAACTCCACTGCGAGCGGTGATTGCGAGAGCCGGAGGAAGTTCATTTCGAAATGATTAACGCAAGTCAGTCACAGTCCGTTCGTGCTTTGACTGGGGAATATAAGCAACTCTCTCTTATAGTAGTGAGCAGGCTCAACCTTGCGGTTCAAGAACTATGACCTCAATTCGGTGCAGCGCAAATGGGGGGACCTTCATTGGGATGTCTCACTTGTAACTCCAGGTTCCGGCGCAATTGCAATTCTGTGCCTCGTGGGCTTTCGCGGAATGTTAGTTATTTTTAGGTAAACAAATGGTGCGTATGCTCGAGATATTTGCTAGGGTTATGAGCACCGTTCATAGATGAAGATGAGTGTCTAGAAGAGTCTTGGCTTTATTGGCCAGTTGGCCAGTGGACAAGGGGCTGAGCCTCACGCTAAGATGTGTGGCTTGCGGCCTAAGTTGCAAACGGGCTACTTATTATGCACCCTGACTTCTGCAATCTTTGCATGCTTCCACATCTTGATCCGTAGAGCATTATCGAGAATAGAAACCATCATCAATCATCATCCAGTCTACTCTTCTTCCCTCGCAGTCTTGCCTTTTCGCAAAGGAGTCCAGCCTCCAGGACAACATGTGCTTCTCAACGATGCAGGCTTGTACAGCCTGTCATACCTCGATCGCAACCAAACCGGCTTGGCATCAGGGATTGCGGCTCGGACTTTCAGCTCTCGCACCCTCACCACTCGTTTCACCTTGTGTGCAAGTCAAGATATGATGACTCCGTTGAATCGACCTTGGTCATTTCACCATGCACGACAAAGTGAGGGAAGCGACAACACGAATGATGGTCATTTGTCTCGGGTAAGTGTAGAGAGGAAATTGCTTGACCTCCGGACCTGCGGCAAGCCGAGGTGACAATCCCCGTCATCGCCAGAATATTAAGCCCCCAGTTGACCGCGCTCTCCCTCTGTCATAACGGGCCACTATTCCGCTTTATCCCTCAACCCCCCTGAAGAGCAGTAACTGGTCGATCATATACATACTTCTTTGTCAACTGGGGTCTAAAGCCCCATGTCGGATTCCATGGAGCCTAAGGATCTGTCTGATCATATTAGACTGCATGATATTTCCAACCGGGGCTCTGCTGTCGCCTCGTCTAGGGACTCAGGACATCAACACAAGAGCAGCCCCCTCCGTCGGTATCCAACACGCCGAATCAAGCTGATACAAGGTTCGGTCTTGAGTGCCAACTATCCGGTACCGAGTCCTATTCGTAATGCTATTCAGCCAGAGTACAGAGGCCCGGAGGGGGATCTCTCTGAAGAGTTTACGCAAATGAGATGTGAGTTACCCAACTGTCTCAGTAACGGTACAACCGATTCGAGTATGTCATAACATCCTGACCCTATCTGCTTTGAATTAGATACTGCTGCAACATGTGACCCAGATGAATTCACCCTCCGCAATGGTTATAATCTCCGTCCCTCGATGTATAATCGGCATACAGAGCTCCTCATCGCCATCACGTACTACAATGAAGATAAAGTACTTACAGCACGAACCCTGCATGGTGTAATGCAAAATGTTCGTGACATTGTCAGCTTGAAAAGGACCGAATTTTGGAAAAGAGGTGGCCCGGCGTGGCAGAAGATCGTCGTTTGCCTTGTGTTCGATGGGATGGATCACTGCGATAAAGGTACACTCGACGTTCTGGCAACCATCGGAGTTTTTCAAGACGGAGTGATGAAACAGGATGTGGATGGGAGAGAGACGGTTGCTCATATTGTTTGTTGTCCCTACTCCTGGTCTCCACGTCTGGTAAGCAGATCTAAAAGCTAATGATATCTAGTTTGAATATACCACACAGCTATCGATTACTCCAAAGCAAGAGCTGGTCCGTCCATACAAAAATGACCCAGCCAATCTGCCCCCAGTTCAGATGATGGTTTGCCTGAAGAAAAGGAATGCGAAAAAGATCAATTCACATCGGTGGCTCTTTAATGCATTCGGACGCATATTGAACCCAGAAATCTGCATCCTAATTGACTCGGGCACAAAGCCAGGACCTAAGTCTCTACTCGCTCTCTGGCAAGCATTCTACAATGACAAAAATCTAGGCGGAGCCTGCGGCGAAATCCACGCCCTTCTCGGCCACCGATGGAAAAAGCTTCTTAATCCCTTGGTTGCAGCACAGAACTTTGAATATAAGATTTCCAATATTCTGGATAAGCCCCTGGAGAGTGGGTTTGGCTATGTGAGCGTCCTCCCGGGTGCATTCTCCGCCTATCGATACCGAGCGATTATGGGCAGGCCTCTCGAGCAGTATTTCCATGGAGACCATACTCTTGCTCAAAAGCTGGGTAAAAAGGGTATCGACGGGATGAATATCTTTAAGAAGAACATGTTTCTGGCAGAAGATCGCATTCTCTGCTTTGAATTAGTTGCTAAGGCCGGCAGCCAGTGGCGGCTCACATATGTGAAGGCATCGAAAGGGGAAACTGACGTCCCAGAAAGACCGGCGGAGTTTCTGAGTCAACGGCGGCGATGGTTGAATGGCTCTTTTGCGGCTTCGCTCTATTCAATCATGCATTTCAATCGCATATATCAAAGTGGGCATGGGATATTTCGGTTGCTATTGCTTCATATCCAGTTGGTTTACAATATTTGCCAGTTGGTGATGACATGGCTTTCACTTGGTAAGTTGACTTTGGTCCGGTGGTACTTACCTTGTCGAGTACCAGGACCGAGGAATAGGCAAGACGATGAAGATGACGACTAATCTCTATTAGCATCCTACTGGCTCACAAGCTCTGTCATTCTGGACATTGTCGGAACACCAAGTTCATCTAACAAATTCCACAGCTGGCCCTTCGGAAACCAAGTGACCCCAATCGTCAACAACCTGCTGAAAATCGGCTACTTGACATTCCTCATGCTCCAATTTATCCTAGCTCTCGGGAACCGACCAAAAGGGTTCGTATCACAGCCCGAACTTCAAACTCATAGCCCTAAGCTCCCCTCAACATAACTAATATATCAACCACAGCTCCAAATTCCTCTACACCCTCTCTATCGTCTACTTCTCCGTCGTCCAATTCTACCTCCTAATCCTCTCCTTCTACCTCGTCGCCCAAGCCCTAACCCCCGAAAACCTGAACTTTGACTTCACCCACGGTTTCTCCACCCTCCTCTCCGGCTTCATCGGCTCAACCGGCGGCATCGTCCTCGTCGCTCTAGTCTCCACCTACGGAATCTACTTCGTAGCCAGCATTCTCTACGCAGACCCATGGCACATGATAACCTCCTCCTGGGCCTATTTCGTCGGCATGCCCTCCACAATCAACGTCCTCATGGTCTACGCCTTCTGCAACTGGCACGACGTCTCATGGGGGACAAAAGGCGCCGACTCACAAGACAAACTCCCATCTGCACAGACAAAAAAGGAAGACGAGATGCCCTTTGTCGAGGAGTTGGAGAAGCCGCAGGTTGATATTGACGAGCAGTTTGCGGAGACGGTGAAGAGGGCGTTGACGCCGTGGCAGGAGCCGAGTGAAGTAGAGACTGTTGCGCTGGATGATTCTTATAAGGCTTTCAGGACGAATTTGGTTCTCTTGTGGACTTTTAGTAATGGGTTGCTGGCATTGTGTATCAACAATTCCAGTATTCAGAGGCTTTGTTTGACGGTGGGGTTTTCTTCCCTTTCTTTGCTGTTGGTTGCTGTCGCTAATTACTTCTGAGTATAGTCGACATCGACGACTCGCACGGCGTGGTACTTCAGGGTCGTACTGTGGGCAACGTCTGGTCTCTCGATCTTCCGGTTTTTCGGGGCTTTGTATTTCCTATTGAAAACCGGGGTCTTATGCTGTGTTTCCAGGCGCTGATTCGACACTTGACTTGTAGACGGAATGGACTTCGGTTTTCTCTGTGTTTCTGGGGGATAGACGCTAATACCTATCTCGGCCTCGTTTTAAGACTAGATTGTCCGCAATATCATTCTCTGTTTCGATTCTTACTTTAGATGCTTTCCATCTGTACCGCGGAGTACACTACCTCAGACTACTAGTTGAATGACCTAGAGACCTCTTCTAGGTAAATAGCATGTGATACCAGTCTGCATGTCTGGTCTATGCGCTTGGTATGGTGTTGCGGTATTAGCGGTATAGATGAGCTTTTACGGACATACAGACTCCTGTAAGGAAGTTCAAGTCAAATCTATAAGCGCGCACTGAAAATCAAATGAGGAAATAGATGTATTCAGAGTTGTAGATAGTTCTGGTACATACGCGTATATACCGCTTTTGTTAAGTACCGTCTTGGTGTATATAACAGCGGGTTATGTATCTGTTCTTTATGATTCCAGCCACATATAATTCCAGCCACATTCTGACGAAGATCTACGGTACTCAAGTAAGAGCATTTTATTCTTCTTCACTATGACCAGAATTGGATTTGAACTACAGCACTAGAAAAGGAAACAGAGCAGTCAACAATCTTGTTTGCTGTCAGCATAAATGGAAAGCCATCCACAGATCGAGTCATATAAGAGAAAAGCCCACAGAACATGACTTGGAAACATCCCAAAGCAAGCAAAGCAATACCTTACAAGGCCGACTATCTGGACAGAAATAGCCATCAAAGAAATACATCGGAAGAGAAACCAGAAGGAAGAACGAAAGAGACCCAAGCACAGAGACAAAAGGGCAACACTGTAAGGGCTCAAGCAGAAATCGAGAACGCGTATCCCTGAGACCAAACGAGAAAGAGCCGTGAAGAATCGTCATGGAGGCGAGAAGGAACCAAATCATATAAAGTTACGCCGCGGGGAGATAAATTGGCAGAGTGAAAACACCATTTTACCATCAAAAACCGAAGAAGTTAGAAAGACACGAAGTCGCTGAAAAACGGAAAAGGTATCGGCGAGAGACGAGGGTATCAGCCTAGTTGACACGGAACGAGTCGAAAATAACTGTATGACTGGTCAGAATACATGTATACAAGAGACGAATATTGGCGAAACATACCTTCTTGACCTCGGCGGCAACCGCTACCGATCCACATCAAAGTGTTCAAGAATGTGTATCGCTCGTCACCGGTCTCCATGGACAGATTGACGCGGTACTTGTAGCTGCTGGGGTTGACTCCATCGGCCATGTTAGCATCGATGACCTTCTCCAGAACGTCTTTGGCGCCTGTCAACCATCCTTCTGTGCGGACAATGATAAACGCTGGTGGCTCATCAACGGTCTGGAGGATGTAGTTGGCACGAAGGTTGGTGGTAGAATCCTTGGTCACGATCTGTGTATCTTGACCGCCGGGCTGTTTCCAAAGGTTAGTCACCAGATAAGAGAAAGACTGAACTGAGTTGAAGCGGAAAAAGTGAGACTTACCAGAACGACACCCTTGCCCCATCGACCGGCCCATTGACCGCCGATGAACGAGACCCACTCTCGCTGGCCCCAGACACCGGGACCAACAGAAACCTTCGGGTTCATTTTGATGCTCATGCGGAAGTCCAGCTCGAGCGTCGGCGCGGGGATCTGAAGTGAACGGGCGACATCGCCTTCAGGGAATGTGTGAAGCAGGTTGTTGGCCGGGATCGAGTCCTTCATGACACTGAGGTAGGTCTGGCATTCGAGCAGATGTTGGCGCTGGCGACTGGTGTTCTTCGCGCGAACCTGCTGGCAGTAAATGCATTGGACGGAGAGACACTGTTTATACACCGTTAGCTTTTTGTATCGCAAACGTATAGCTGTCCAAGCTCCATATTCATACCTTGTCTTCTTCCTTTGCGCGGAACTCCACGAAAGCCGCGTGCACATCGTCCAGCGGAGGCGCGGGCAGGCCCGAGGTCGATGACTTGGTCTTGGGCTTGGGGGTCGGGCGCGAAGGTGTAGCATTTGGCGGCACGGAGGAAGCCCCAGTAGCTGGAACCGGGGTGGCCATCGCGGCGCGATTCTGCAGGGCCTGCAGTGGAGTCTGCAAAGGAGTGGCATGAGGGTTGACACCGTTGGTCATGAGAGTGCCATTGGGATTTGGAATGGTACCGGGGCCAGCTGCTGATGGGGTGGCAGTTGGGCCACTGGGAGTTCCCGGATAGCCATTGGGGGCACCGATTCCGTTAGGGGCGGCCTGGGCGGGCTGGGAAGGCTGCGGCGCGTTGGGGTGACCTCGCAGACCGGGACATTCAAGAAGATGTTGTTTCTGTCGCGAGGTGTTCTTTGCTCGAATTTGTTGACAGTAAATACACTGCACGGAGAGACACTAACACATGCACAAACCCCAAAACGGGTTTTCGTATGTTAGTGACGGACAGGTCGTGGGTGAAATATTACGAAATACGCAGTCACGCACCTTGTCATCTTCCTTGGCGCGGAACTCGACAAACGCCGCGTGTACCTCCTGGTCGACAGTACGACCCATGATGAGGGGAAGGAGTAAAGCAATATTTTCGGCTGCTCGTAATGTCAAGTTGGGAGGAGAATGGGAATGGGCGTATGGTCGCGTATTTGTAAAGTTGGAGGGGTTAGGGAGAGAGAAGAAAAGAAATTGGAAAACGAAGACGGGAGATTACGCGGGTTACGCGCCCTGCGTAATTTGGAGCACTGCTTACGGTACCCTCAGCGATACTGCGTATATTACTAGTATAAGAGATATTTCTATGTATAAGAACATTATTTTCATATCTTAAGGCTATTTTATATTCGATAGAATTATTTAGTGAACTATTACCTCTCCTCCGCAGTATTTGGAGCTTATTTGGTGCTTCTGAGGTAGCTGTTGTGGCTTGACGCGATGTATCGGCCTATGGAGACCAACAAGACGCGGTCGGGACATGGCTCACAACAGAGCAATAGGTGAGTAAAATTTATGAAAATAGCTGCCTAAGAAGACTGGAACATCGAGATGTGCCCTGAACAATGTCTATAAACAGTTAATATGACATTATCCCTACTGAGTCTCGCCAAATTACCCATGAACCCGGGCATAAGCCTATCTCCCCACTCGGATGATTCAGGGCACACGAGGGCACACTCGGATCAGAGAGATGCTATGATTGGATTTCGTGGCAGAAGAATAATATCCATTGAGCAAATTTCGCGCAATAAGCGTAAGCAAAACAGAATCAACAGTGTTTATAGCCATCGATATAGTATAGGAATCTGATATTCGTTATATACAAAGTTTACTTGAAACTTGTATAGTCGTTCTGTTCCAGGGTTCGCATCTTGAGGTATTATTACTGAACGTACATATCCGTATCCCATACGCGATACTGTCAACTACGACGGTTCCTGGTAAGATTGGGGTAGAAACGTGCATTGAAAATAACTTCATTCACTGCCTAGATTTCCGTATTAAACATTAAAAAAGAATTCGACCCTACGTTTCGTGTATGTCCGTATGGGTCTTTCCGCGACCCTGTCGTTTCCTCCGCAATAACAATATTATTACCAGCTGCTCATTAGGTATGGGGTAGGGGGGTCAGTGATGTAATGTGCTGGCACAGATCGCGTCAATAGGTTCGTTCGTGGATCAGCAAGTCGCGTGGCACTCGTCATTCGGTATTCGCGACGAGGCGAGTTGAGACGCGCACATCGCTGAGTAGAGCTAAATTTTCGTATTTTCCATCGTCACCATTACTCTGACGAATAGCGAGCTCTTCATAAGTGCATTGTCAATCGTGTGTTCGTATTCATCGTGAATATTCGGTCATCATCATTCATCTCGAGCTTGAGCGCACTGCTCACGTTTACATTCCGGAAAGTTTCAGGTGAATCTCGCCGTATCGATAACGGACTCCGTGCTCGAAGGTGCTCTCGTTGATGTATTCATCCTGGTGGACATGCAACACACCCTTGGTAGCCAGCGTGAGTACGTTCATCAGAGCCTGAGTCGCGATAGCGCGCGTAGTGTTCTCGGGCGGCAGAAGACTCGCGAAGGTGGTCTGCCTGACTCTACCCGCGAACGGGCTGGATAGGTTGCTGTGCGGACTTTGGCTCGCATCTCTCGCGTTGTCTTTAACGACATGCATCTTGGATTTCATGAAGTCAATGAAATTCCAGCTTTCCCGATCAAGTGTCGCCATGACGCGTTCAATGGCAGAGCGTTTGCTCGGCGACAGCGAGCTGATACGCTCGCGGTCTGTCGCAAGTTCACCTTCCAGATACTGGGTAAGATCCAGATCGTCGCCGAACTCGCCCAGCTCGGGTTCGAGTTGGTCTTGGCCTCCGAGATAGCTGCGACCGGCGAGAGGACTGGCGCTCGTGAGTCGGCTTCGGGCCTTATGTCCTTGGGAGGACATCTCGCTGACACTTCCAACTCGCTGTCTCTGTCGATAGCTTTGAATGGAGGCGGTGATGTTCCACGGCATCTGGGACGAGTGGTCATCAATCAGACTGGAAGGCGCATCACGGCCGACTTCGGCCTCCCTGTTCAGACGGGCGATGTTCTCGCGGCTGAGATGGTCGGCCTGTTCATCTCTGGCACGCACGCGGCGTCCCTCTGAGACCTCTTCGTCGTCTGATTTGCGCTTTCGCTCATTCTCCTTGGGGTATCCGCCGATGGCTTCGAACAGTTCCTCGCCTGAGTAAAAACCGAGCGGATGCGGCTCGCGGCCCGTTCCCAATCCGATTCCGACTGAGCCAAGCCCTTGACCTAAAACCCAGAAAGCAGCGTTCTTCTTTGCAACGGTGGGGATCTTGTTCTGCTCCTTCTGCTTCGCTGCTTGGATCATATTTGCGACATACTCATTGTTCCACTGGGCTAGTGTCATGTTTCGAAGTCCCGTGGCGTCATCGGATATGATTTCCTTCGGACGTCTCACACGGCGGGTTGTCACTGCTGGGACCTCAATCGGTTGCTCAATCCCATCGGAGCCTTCATTCGGTTGACGTGTGTCTGGTTCCTCGTTGTGAAGGTCTGCTTCTGCGAGTTGGTTATCGAGTTCCATCATATCGTTTCTCTGGACCGCTCCCCAGGTCTCGTCAACCTCCATCTATCAGGAAAGGTCAGTGAGAAATTCTTTGCCCTGGCATGGGTTCTTGATACTTACGGGGTCTTCCCAGAGCTGGCCTTGCTGGTTGTCAACGGCCTCCCGACTCTGTCTCAGTCTATCGCTGGACTTCCTGGCAAGAGGAGAGTTATCTTGAGCACCGAGCTCGATGATATTGCCATCCTCATCAAACTCGAAGTCAGGCTGAAGCAAAACCCCCTGCTCGTTGCCCATATCAATCCTTTCCATACCGCCGACAACGTCGTCCCTGTTCGCAGACGCATTGGCATCCTCCAGCCCAAAGACGGCGCCCTCGCCCAGCATATCATCAGACGGGAGCTCAAGCTGCAGGCTCGACAGCTGCGAAGTCCCAGATAAACTGTTATTGGGTGACTTGGTCCAGAGACCACTGAGCTGGCTCAAACTATCATCTGCAGTAGAGGTGAAGTAAGACAAGTCAATTTCCAGCCCTGGGAGAGCTGTCTCGGGTAGGAAAGATGGGTCATAAGGCAGGATCAGGTTGCTCGGCCTGGGAAGATGTAAGTATTTGATCAGAAAACCAGTCTCATACACCTCATTCGGTGGCACTCACTTGGTCTGTCCGGCGGCAGGATCAAGTCCACTCCCCGGCACGATCTTCAGCTTGGAGACCATTTTGTCATGCATTGCCTGTGTGTCAAGTAGAATGTACCCGCACTGCTGGTTGTACACTCGAGAGACTCCGTAGCTGATGCAATTCGTTAGTTCATTCGAGGAGACATCATAGAGTGGCAGATCTCACAGCAAGCTCCCCTGGAGCCGGAGGGCCATCGGCGCCTCCGGGTTGATGATCACCCGGCACGCATTGGGGACGTCGACGTCTTGTATGGCTTTTCTGTTGAGTCTTCTGGCGATGGACCGAGATCCCAGTGTTGCGACGAGCCTGTGTACAGGGAGCTGTTAGTACTGACTTGTGAGTCGAAGGGCGGTGCGTTCTTACCAGATGGTTGCGACACCATGCTCGGGCGAGGTGAGGACTAGAGTGAGCCAGCCAGTGAGCCTTTTGTCTGATTTGTTACCGAGCGTGGGAGCATTTCCACTTACTTTCATGGCTGTAGAACATGGTTGCGACACCAGTGTACTTGAGTGACCACTTCGCCCACAAGTCTCAGCACAGGTGAGATGCTCAGATGTGAGTCGAGGGTCGTGTGGCTAGGTTGAGGGAAGTGGTGTCCTTCGGTGGGATTTGTTGCTGAGGGGCGAGAATGGATTATCAGATGTAAGTTGGTTTCGACGTCGAGATGACTACCAGCCGCAGAGTGGACGGGGTGTGCGTGGATGGACAGCGTTGGATGAAAGCAATCCAGAAGTTTGATGAAGTAGCGAGAAAATTGGGGGGTAAAATGAGGGAGACAGAGATGCAAGCAGCAAGTCACAAGACGAAGATGGAAAGTTGGTGAGTGAACTGAGGTCCAAGGCTGAGCAGACAATCGACGAAAGAGGTGCTCTCTACACAGTACGCTTCTACGGCACTACCCAGCGCAAATCAAAGTTCCCGTTGACACATGTCGTTTCTAATTACATTTACCTGGACTCTTTCTCTGTTATTTCCAGCGGTTTGATAGACCAATCCAACTCACATAGAGGCAGTGGTAGGGGCCATAGGAAGACTTTGCAGGGACTGGGATCAACCACCATATTAAAAGAACTAAATCTTGCTTTTCCTAAGACTCTTTGGAAACCATCAGTCAGTTGACCAAAATGCGCGAGATCAACACGAGGACCATGCGAAAGGACGAAGCATAACTCTAGAAAGGCAATATGGAGACCAAACCAACGAAACCGAACTCTTTTGGCACAAAAGTATAGACGTAAAGACAATCAACTATGGAAGATCTGAAAGTAGATGGAAAGCACCCAGAAATCTCCCACCCAGAGCGATTTATAGGATGCACGGGGGTATGGGACAAAGGACATGCAAAGGCAACACGGAAACACCACCAGATGGCCACTGACTAAATTCGGGTAGAAGCTTAGTCGAGAGGAATTCCTTCGTACTCAGAGTAGCCCAGAGCCAAGTTCATGTTTTCTATACGAGTTGTTAGTATCATAGACCGTTGAGTAGAAGAGCTGTCAAAACTCACGTAGGCACTGGGTGGCGGCACCCTTCAGCAGGTTGTCAATGGTGGCGCAGACAACAACACGCTCACCGCTGGAGTGGACGGCAAATCCACCAATGTCGACACCGTGGCGGCCGGCAATGTCCTTGACAAGAGGGGCCTCGCCGACGATCTTGACGAGCTTCTCACCGGCGTAGCGGTCCTGGTAGAGGTTGCGGATATCACGAGATGTCATCTTCTGCTTGAGAGGAATGCTGATGGTGTGCTGCAAAGAAATGTTAATGACTATGGGGATAAACAAGGAGCGAGCGAACTCTAAAAGCACTTACGGAGATACCCTGGAACCAAACAGCGACGTGGGGGATGAAGGCAATGTTGGTGCCCAATTGCGAGCTGATCTCACGCTCGTGGATGTGGTCGGTCAAGCTGTAGGGGATGAGGTTGTTGGTAAGGAACTGCACGTCGTTCTTGGGGCTGGGCTTGGTTCCAGCACCGGAGTATCCAGAGACACCGAAGGTGGTGGGCTGGCCGCCAAGGAAGGGAACGAGAGGAGCAATTCCGAGCTGAGCGGCGGTGGCGTAGCATCCGGGGTTGGCAATACGAGTGGCCTGGGCGATCTTGGACCGCTCAACGAGCTCGGGAAGACCATAGGTCCACTTGGGGTCGAAGCGGTAGTCAGCGCTCAGGTCGACGATGACGTTGCCGGTCTTAGAACCCTCATCGACGGCATCGACGAAAGGCTTGCAGATACCGTTGGGCAAAGCCATCACCCAGCAGTCGATGTCGCCGTTGGCAGACATCTTGCGGACATCCTCCGGACTGAGGTTCTCGTAAGTAATCTCACGCTTTTCGTAGCCCTGGAGCTTCTTGCCAGCCAGCTCGCGGGACGAGACGTGACGGAGATCCATGTTGGGGTGAGCATTGAGCAGGTTGATGAGGGCCTGGCCGGTGTAGCCACGGGCACCGATGAGAGCAACCTTAGCGGGCTGGGTGTTGGAGATGTTCTTCTCTCCGAGAGGAGGGTTGGGGTTGGTAGTCGCATAGGTGCGGAAAGCGTTCACAGAAACGGCGGGACGCTTGGCACGGCTCATGCGCAGCGCGTTGCTGGTGGTGGAGAAGCCACGCTTCTGCTCAGCAGAAGCGCCGCTAGCACCAAAGCCCTTGCCGATGTTGGCGGCGGCCTCAGCGGCGCGGTGGAGGCGCGCCTCCAGGTTGATGTCACCGAACATCTGGCGGCCGTGCTCGTTGAACTCCTGAACCAGCTGCTTGACCTCCTCACCATTCTCAGCGCCATACCAGAACAGGACTTGTCCATCACGGCTCAGGCTGCCCTCGGCCTTGTCGAAGAACCAGGTCAGGTTCTCGTCGTCCTCCTTGACAGTCCATGCCAACTTGGGGAAGTCCTTCTTGATGCTGGCGAAGACGTTGTCAGCGACATTGGTCAACCAACCGGACTTGGTGATGGTGAAAGTGGCCAAGTGGGCCATCTGAGAGTTAGGTTGCGGAGGCAGCACAACACCCAAAGCCTCCATGGGCTCGTCGCAGTAAATTTTGAAGTCCTTCTCCTTCATGCCTTCGACGTAGCGTTCGACGACGGCGCGGGCATCAAGGCCTTCACGGTCACGGAGCAGCACCTCCTTCAGAGCATCCATGTTCTCAAACTCGGACAGCTTGGTCTTGACGTGAATCTTGTTACCGCGGCGAATCAGGGTACCGGCACCGGAGTCGGTGAAGAGCTCCTTCTGGAGATCGGCGGGGTGGATGATGGCGACGCTAGATGAGCGAGGAAGGTCGCTGAGAAGTTCCTTCATCTCCTTGATCTTGAGACGAGTGCCGTGGCGCACCCACCATTGAGTCATCAGGTGGTCGTACTCCTCATCGAGGTTAATAACGGAGATCTTCTCGCCGGTATCACCATTGAAAAGGCCACCCTTCTCGGCCAGGTAGACGATTTTGAGGGGCTGCAAAGAGCGGGCAAGCTCACCAGCAGCCACATCCGCATTGACATTCAGCACCTGGCCGTCGGGGGTCTCGGCCATAGAAGTCAAAATGGGTAGACAGCCAGCAGCGATTGCGGACTCAATGGGGGCCTTGTCAACACCATTGATCTTGCCAACCAGGTTGTACTTGGGCTTGTCGAGGTAATCGGCCGAAAAGACGCCCGCGGTGATGGGACGAGCACGGATACCGATGCGTTCGAGTTCCTCCACCAACTTCATATTCTCCTCCAGGAAGAGCTTGCGGGCCAAGGCCATGGTCTTACCATCAGTCACTCGAATTCCATCCTCGAATTGAGGCTCAACACCGGCAGCCTCCAGCATGCGGTTGAGCTGGGGCCCGGCACCGTGGACGACAATCGGGTACAGACCGACATGGTTGAGGAAAGCGAGAGCGGAGGACAGGGTCTCAAGGTGCTCGGTGATGATAGCACCGCCAACCTTGATCACGGCGAATTGCTGGGACGACACGGAGGTGAAGTGTGACAGGTACTGCTGAACCTCGCGCTTAGAGCCAATGTTGCTCAGCAGCTGCACGACAGTACTGCGGGTGGCGGTCAGGTGAGGGTCCGTCGAACGGGAGTAGGGGCGACACTGGCGGAGGGAGGTGGCAGTCTTAGCTGCAACTCGAGGAGCAGTTGATGCGGAGAGAGTACGGAGGGGCTTGCACGAAGCTCTCCGCACAGCGGAGCGGAGGGACATCATCTTGGCAACGCACATGCGGCAGCCTCAATGGTCTCACAGTCAGCTGTGGGTGGGAGAGGCCCCAAATATGTATAGGTGGGTGGGAGAGGTAGGTGAAGGTGAGAGAGTGAGTCAAGAGAGATTTTCCAGATCATCGGCCGGGCCTCGGAGCGATAACTTGGCCCAATGACTGGGGGAAGGCGGTGGGGCCCCTACGGCCCCCTTCTAGTGAGCGATTTCGCCCCATCTTTAAGTGCGTCTTTTCATTCTCATTTCTATTAGAAGAGTTGACTGTTGTTGAATTATGTTTTACGTTCTTTCATAGCCAAACTATACAATAAAGTCCCGTACTGTGTAGCACAAAATATTAACATTTGTGTGGCGCCATACCCGGGACCAAAAATCTTCATATTCCCTCAGATCAATTTCTGCTTAGACTTCCCCAAGCGAGCGCACTTCCTCCGAAAAAGCCCACTTTATCCAACTCGGAGATCGTAAAACGTCATCCTGCTTGGGTTTAGTCTCAGTTATCTGATCCTGCTCCCGCCTCTAACTCGTTGCTTTCGGCCACCACTATCCACTTCCCTCCACCCGGGCTGGATCTCTGGTTGGTTGTCTGCGCTTTTTTTTCCTCGACAGGGCATACCAAGCGCTGCTCCCACTGGTCTATCCGAGGACTTGATGGAGACTGCTATTCTAGCCAGACTCTGATTCCCCCCGGCTCAACAGGGGTTGACACACGCATCCAACGGAATCCGCCCGGAGTGGCAGGATATATATCCCAGACTTTGCTCGGCGGGCACTTCACGATAGGAAATTCCGAACGAGTACCTACCTTAGAAGGTCCACCGATGCTCAAGGGTTGCCGGGCCGGGACATCACTGGAGCCCGGGTGCCTTGCAGAATGAGCTCATTGACGGTTGCAGCTTCCATGACAATCCCTGTACATTGCACTCGCGGGTCGGATGGCTACCAGGTAGGTTGGAAGCCATCTACGTGGTTTCCAGCTTAGGTAGTGTCCGGTGTCGGGCCCTGGCCCTAGTACTAAGTGCATTCGGCTTCTAAATGAAGCTAACTGGTAAATTCATGGGGGTTTCTCCTATTCTTTCTTGCATATCGATCGTCCACAACCTGAGGTGGTCCAGACTGAATTGCCCGTTGCCACCTTGGAAGCTGCATACCTGGAAGGTATAGGTATCTTATGTTGCCTTGCCTTCAAGGCGTAGATCTTGAAAACGTGCTACATTATACTAAGTGCAACTTTCCTACCGTCTAGACAACCTAGGAAAGCCGAAAATTCGACAAATACTGTAGTATGAAAACAGGCTAAGGAGATTCATTGCAGCGAGAAAGCACCCGATGGCATCTGGTAAGCATACTTGAAACACGACATCATCGAAGTATCATTTACATATTCACCCGTCGACTGAGTCGCACAATGCGACTAAAACCAGAACCGGACGATCTCATATCGTTGCAGGGGGAAAAATCAAGAGGAGTTGGTCATTGAAAACACGCCAAGAAAAAAACAGGAGGAGGTATTAGCGGCTGTGAAGAAAACGAGGAAGGCCACATGGGCCCCAACAACAGTAAGCCCAGTAAAATTCAAGATCCCATGTCACAGAGAAGTCGTAAGTCGCGCGCAAGTGCGACTTTTAATGCTTGGTCGCAAGCACTGTATATGGGGTCAATGGTAAGTTCAGAGGATCGGGAGAGTTTGAAGGGCCGCTTACCGGAAGGCACAATAATGACAATGAGAAGAACAATCACGCAGATGACTAGACACACGCGCATCTTCATGTCTTTCCACCACATATCTTTGCGCACGCGGTTGGCGCCTCGGCGGAATCCCTGGGCTGAAACGGCGAGGTTGTCGGTCTTGTCTTGGAGAGAGTCCAAGTTCTCACCACGTTGTGAGACCTTGTTGATGTTTTCGCGCATCACACCGACGGTATCGTCGATTTGCTAGAGAGAAGAAACCGGGTTAGTCCTATTGTGGCAACAAAGCGTCCCAGCCTTCGCATTTCGACTATAAACCCAAAGCATGCGTGCATTGCGTCGCAGATGGCCGGAGTCGGTTGCTTATGGCCACGGACGCGATGCTCGCAAGCATCTTGGAGAATGAACTCACTGCTTGCAAGGCGGCAGTGCGCTGATTGCCATTCTGTCCTCCAGCAGGAGCTCCGTTGGAGCCCGAGGGGATATAGGGATCGTAGGGTTGTTCGGTGGCGGCCATTATGGAAGTTGCGATGAGTTTAAGAGGTTTTCAGCTATGAATGAACAGTATTCTGGTGGTTCCCAGATGACCTCGCGGGTGCACTAGGGGTTGCTCTGTTTTGACGAAAAAGCGCCGCAGACAGAGAGTACGGAGCACTGAAATCGACGTAGACGGCGGGAATGAAGCGGTAGCTATGGCAGGTTGATAAGAACCGGGATGTAGGGTAACGGCCTGTGACGGAGAGTGGAAGGAATTAACGGTTGTTGTCTGGATGAAGCTGACAAGTCGGGTTGCCGCTGAGGCGGCCCAGAGTCACGTGCGGTGGCGTTCTCAGTACAAAGGCTTCCGGCTTTGGGGTCAGTGCTACTATTTTCAGTCCACTAGGTACTCCGTAGGGAGTAGAACTATTGGTATCTATTGGACATAAATGATCATTCGTCTCATCTGTTGCGCACTATCGTCTATCCGTCGTTCTCAATTTTGTGGTAGACTCGAATGTTGACATGGGGCGGTCTGAATTCGCTCTACTGCGAGTCTGCGACCAGCCACTTGTGACTTGTCTGAAGTACATCATCAGTACAGAGACATACGGAAACTTTACGCACACAGTATGTTCTCAGGGTTCGGGATATAAGTTGTCTACATCAGCACATCTCTCGAAATCGGTTCAACTATATGGCTGCCTACTAGGTATTGAGAGTCGAAGTGTCCACGTTGCTCGAGGAACGGGGCCTATTTTTAGCAGCAACTCCTATTAGGTAACATTACTCGGGTCCGGCCCCGAGTGGATCCTCCAGCGCTCAAGTCTCTTGACATGATGCATCTTGACATTGAGGCAGAAGGACAAAAGGGAAGGTGTGTTGGACGCTTGGTACGATTACCATAGACAAACCTGGAGTGCTAGGTAGTAGGTTGTACATGGATACGTAAACGTTGCTCTACTTGGTACTTTCACCTCCATTCGTTCGCCAACTTGCTGAACTGTGTGGGTCAAATCGACAACATCAAGTTCTACTGCCTACGGCGGGGAGTACGAGTACTTCCGTCTTCCATATGATAGCCGACTAAGACTATATCAAGGATAGTACACGGCTTTGCGGACAACATGGTTGTACTTGTGTCGAAGAGTCTCGGTGTTCCGTACGGAGTACTAAGTTCATAGTAAGCATAAGTCTTTCCTGGTTGATCATGTTACCTGTCAGTTCTTTGGATGAAAGAGTGCATTCAGACTAGAACAACAACAATGAAGAGAAAAAGAAAAGAAGAAATGAATTAGCCAAGGAGCTTCTTAACTCCCCTCTCGTCACAGGACTCGGAATCAACAACCGGCACTGGCAGTCATAAGCCCAACCACATGACTAGTAGTCTAACCCCATCGCTCAACCCTCTCCATACACGTCTGATCCTCGCATTGGGATATCACATTCTACTTCCTGTATCTGGTGGAAAATGAGCAGCCCAGATGTACATATACCCCAGGTCTGTCCGACAGGGACCTCGGGAGTTCCATTAGGTATAACCTTTAACATCCGCGAACAGTGGGTGATGGGTGCTCTGTTGCGGGTAGAGGACACACAGATCTAGAGAGGGAACGCTACCTACAATGGGATTGTAGCCAGATCAAGGAAACCATGTAATATCAAATCCGCTTTAAGATTGTAATGTCACACTAAGCATAGTGCATAGTTCTGGACACCGTTATTGTACATTGATGCAGCCTCGAATATCGAAACCGTATAGTTGAGGGCGAAGTCGCAAATTCACGTACACCCAATCGAGATCATGAGATACACCCAGCGGCATGCAACGCGGCATATGGCACAGAAACTTCAAGGTTATGAAGCAACTGGATGGTAGAGGACGGGAAGGAGAGGAGAGGGCGAATAAGGGACACGGAGGGAACTCGGTAACTGAGGTATATCACCTCTTGCGCGGACCGAGCATGGTCACAGAGCAATGGCAGAGTGGCGATGTGGCTGTCGCGAGCATCATTTTTCACCCAACATCTCCTTGCGCATTTCTTCCCGTTGTGTCCGCGTTTGTTCCTTCTCTTGTGTGCGCTTTGCCTCCAATGCTGCTCGCTTAGCATCTAATTCCTCCTGGGCGGCGTACCAGACTAAAAGAAAGAGGTCATACGTATTAGCCACGGTCATACTCCAACGGCACCAGCCAGGGCAAGGAAATCGGAAATCACTGGAGGATCTCTAGAGAAATCACAAGGATACCACATACTGGACTTATCGGACTTTGACCACTCCTTCAACTTGGTGACATAGTCATCGAACTCCTGCGCCCTGCGCTCACCCTGCTCGGCACTGCGCTTCTGCAAATCTGGGTTATATCGCTTTCGGAGCTCTTCGTCGGATGGTCGGATGTACTCAACGAGTGCGGGGCCACCGATGACCATGAGAAGACCACTGTGGTAGGAACCGGACGTAAGCACGAGTCTTCCGTCATTGCGCATTTGAGATCACTTACCCGGCGATGGTCTTTGCCCATAATCCAGCGCGAGACATGGCGAATTATTCCGAAGTGTGGATATCGATTGGGGTTCTGGGATTTTCACGGTTTCACTGACGTTGGGATTTTCGGATAACTCGGTGAAACAGATATGCTAGGATTCTGTGTACATGGAGATCATCACCATGATGGCAGCTCTCATTTGCTCTTGAGGATGCTGAGGCGCAGCTGTGGCTAGTGTGGCGCAGCACCACGCTTGCCTTCATGAAGTGTCTCAGATCTACCCATGCCTCCCCACTTTTAATCGAATTACGTAGTGACTCTTTACTGATTGACGCCGTGACAGTTTCCGAAGGAGTGGGAAAGCAATGCCCCAAGACATGTGTGGGTTATTCCCTTCATACGCTATCTACTTGCTCATACCTCCGAGGTGCGGGCATGCCACGCCTTCTTGGGCACCACCCGATCGTGCCAAGTGCCCAGGTGCCCACCTGCGATATGCAGTTATGTACTATGGACTAGGTAACTAACTAGTTAGCCCTGTGGATCTACAAATTTAGTCATGTTGTTCCTGCCCAAGTGCCCGGGGCCACTTTGGGATTTCCATCCACTGGTACTGCTGCACCATGCTTGGAAATTCTCCAAGATTCTTGTCAAGACAGTTTCAGATGCTAGCATGGCTAGTGGAACGGCTGGTAGTGAAGTAACCAGTGCTAACCAAGTCTTGTCGGCATTATTTCAGTTGTGATGCCCAGAGGTGGGCTTGCAGGATCACAAAGTCCGCAGGGCCCCGGTTCGGAGATTCGAACGCTCCCCCTGATCGTCAGGCACCGAGTGGGATGTTCATTACATAGGCACGTTGTACAGTTTCATCGCTCTATGTTGAGAAACAAATCTTCATTGTATACTTACCCGACATTGTACCAATAGAAGCGTCAAAGAGAGAATGTTGAATATCGATAACTCCAAGTGGGAAACCAATCAAAAGCCAGGGATATAATAATAGGAACATGAGTCTATGACAGCACCGAGTTAGAAGTATCCATACAATCCAGAAATATGAACAAATGGAGTTACTCTCTAGCAGACAAAAAGAAATTAAGTACCGCGAAAAAGTAAAGTGCCAGTGGTAGCCAGTGGGTCAAGAGACTTTTTAATTTAAAGGTCACCTGCTTCGACAGTTCGACCGCCCCTAAATTCGTTCTGCCCCCCGCGTCTGATTTACACTTTGAACCTCATTGCGAAATCACTAGAGCGTGACTCTTGACTTACCCTAGCCTGATCAGCTTGCGAGAAGCTCAGCTGGTCTTTGGGTATTGTGGGTTTAAAACGCGCCACTGGAGGATAGGATCAGTGTGAGTTGCTACTATGGCTGGGCCAATTGCCTTGCTAAAGTTATTGTGAAGGACAGAGCTAACTTATCATTGTAGGGACCCCCTCCTTGCATGCGCTCACCCACCGACTAGGTTTGCGCGACTGCGAAAGACCCTCGGAGAGTACTGAAAGCATCATCACACGTTGTATAGCACACTTCGGCCAGCTTGCGCCATGTCATACCCTCAGCAACCGCCGGTGCAGAGGCCGCCGCCTTTGCGACAGTACAACAGCCCTGGTCCGCGCTCTGTGACATCACCTGGAGGATATTCGCAAGATGGCTCCCACGGAGGATACAGCGACGGCGGCATGGGTAATCAGGACTATCAGCAGACCGACCCCGGCTATGATGATGCGGCATACAGTTACCAGTCCAGCTCCACGGGCTCGCAACCATACGCTGCTCCTCAGTCTCAGCCACGCTCAATGCGCCCGCCAGGGCCACCAGGCCCCGGATACGGACGACCTCCGGGCCCTGGATACGATGATCGACGTGGCTATCCTCCTGGTGGAAGACCGCCCCCCCAAGCACGACCGAGAACACGTACGTATACCTGGAACATATGACTCGAACTGTCTGCTAACAGACTTCAAGCTGGTGGTCGCCCACCACCCGGTGGAGCCTTCGACAACCCTTTTCCCTCCTTCCCTAACCGTGACCCAAGAGATCCGAGACCGCCACGAGACCCACGAGACCCCAGAGGCCCAAGAGACCCGAGGGACCGACGTGGTCCACCCCCACGAGCACTAGAGAACAGCATGGCCGCAATGGATATCAATGGCAGGGGCCCTCCCAGACCGCACACCTCGAATGGGAGACGACCAGATATGCGGCCGCCACCTCCACGCGGTCCGCCACCCGGGAGGGGCCGAGGTGGCTATCCGATGGGTCCTGTGAGAGCTGCTAGTGCAGGCAGACCATACCGGCCTGATGGAGGGTATCCGGACTCCGGCTCTCCTATGCCTCCACCCCCGCGAAGTGCGACCATGCCGTTCACACCCGGCCCACCAATGTACCCAGGCCAGTCGGCCTACCCTGAACCGGACTACCCGGCGAGTTACATGGGCGAGCCTCCCCTGCGTCCCAACACTGCTGGTAGCATGCGACCCCCGCGGCCTCGTGCCCCTGATGCAGACCCGGGCCTATCGAACCTCGGTGGTGGACTGATGATACCTCCGGAGCCTTCCAATCGTGTTTCATATGCGCCGAAGGATTTCCTAGACAGTTACTATGACTCTGGTGGTGGCGCTGATACCGATGCGGATGAACCAGATATGCCCAACTTTGATGCAATGCCAGACCCCAAGAATCACACTCCGATCGATGAGATGGGACTTGACGCAACACCGGCCAAAAGACCAGGTCCTGGTCCCACCTCTGCTGCTGGAGATTACTCGTCATATTCCCCTGGTGGCGCCGAAGCTACGCGCTCCCAATCCCAACCAAACCTTCGACAAGCAAGCGGTGCGAACCAGTTTGAAAATGCGGGATTCAATTTCGGGATTCCTGGAGAACCTACTGCTAGCCCTACTTATGGTCAACCCGGCTCTGCTGGATACGCGTCAAATGGCTACGAGGATTATGTTGGTTATTCCCAAGGTCCCTCCCCGATCCGAGCAAACCAGCCAGGTTATCCGCACGATCAGGCCGAGATGGCAGATCAACAAAACCCCGATGCACTCCCTCATCACCCAGCTCCATTCCGCCCCGGTCACGATCAAGCATCGAAACCAGCGCCGCTTCGGCAGTACGGGGCCCCGGAAGCCGCCCCTGCTCCTGCTGCCCCCCAGCCAAGTATGGCGCCTGGTGCAAAGATCGTAGCGCCTGTCACCATTGAAGAAATTCAGATGCTACAACAGCAGGCGCGAGCCAATCCCTCTGATCAGAAGACCCAACTTCTACTCGCCAAGAAGCTTGTCGAGGCTTCCACAGTTCTAGTAGCGGACAACAGCCGACTCGATCCCAAATCCAAGGCCAAGGCCAAGGAGAAGTATGTGTTGGATGCACATAAAATTATTAAGAAGCTTGTCACAGCTGGTTACTCTGAAGCCCAGTTCTACCTGGCTGACTGCTACGGTGAGGGCCTACTGGGACTGGAGGCTGATCCCAAAGAAGCTTTCGCACTGTATCACTCTGCTGCGAAACAAGGCCACGCGCAGTCTGCGTATCGGGTGGCTGTCTGTTGCGAGATCGGCCAGGAGGAAGGTGGCGGTACCAAACGCGATCCATTCAAAGCAGTCCAGTGGTACAAGCGTGCCGCTGCCCTCGGTGACACCCCCGCTATGTACAAAATGGGAATGATCAACCTGAAGGGACTGCTGGGTCAAGCTAGAAATCCCCGGGAGGGTGTCTCATGGCTCAAGAGAGCCGCTGATCGTGCCGACGAGGAAAATCCACACGCTCTCCACGAGCTTGCGCTGATGTATCAGAATGCCAGCGGTAATGATATCGTTGTCCGCGACGAGGCGTATGCCTCGGAGCTGTTCCACCAAGCAGCCGAGTTGGGCTACAAGTTCTCCCAGTTCAGACTTGGCAATGCCTACGAGTACGGCCTGATGGGATGCCCAATCGATAATCGCGTCAGTATCATCTGGTACACTCGTGCGGCGGCTCAGGGTGAACACCAGAGCGAACTCGCCCTTAGTGGCTGGTATCTTACTGGATCCGAGGGGATTCTAGCGCAGAACGACACCGAGGCTTATCTGTGGGCGCGCAAGGCCGCCACTGCAGGTCTTGCCAAAGCGGAATATGCCATGGGATATTTCACCGAAGTTGGTATTGGCATTGCTGCTAACCTGGATGATGCGAAGCGATGGTACTGGCGGGCAGCTGGTAAGTCGACTCTTCCGACTGATTTTGGTCGTCACGTTAGCTCACATTCCCTCTCTTTTGCAGCGCAAGGATTCCCCAAAGCCCGTGAGCGTCTCGAGGACCTCAAGAAGGGCGGAAGCAGAATGCAGAAGACCCGTCTCTCTCGCTCCGCTGTCAACAAACAGAGTGATGGAGACTGTGTTCTGATGTAGTTGGGTGTCTTTGCTTTTTCTCCCTTGTTTTTGCCTGAGTACCATGCCTTCATTATGGCGTGCACGTATGCGTTTCCCTCATGATCACCGGCGCTTGAAATTCTCGAGGCCGGTCAAGAACGGTTTTCTTCTGTCTTTTGGACTAGATGGTTGTTTTTTGACCTTTATTCTTCTTCTTGTTGTCCACGCACGCCTCTGTCTGAGTGGACTTTCCCTTATTGTTACCCCTTCTGCCTCTTCTGTTATTTTTCTTAATTTCTCACGAACCCATTATATTATACATGACTGGAGTGGACATGGTGGAGCCAGTTCCCCAGAGGCCGGTTCCAGCACTTGCCTACGTTAATAGATTTTTGCACAATTCCAACTGATTGTACAATTGCCAAGCATGTCCTCAATCCTTTTCCGTAAATCCGACTGCATAGTACACAGTACTACCATTCGGATATAGCGGCTTGATTCCGCGCTGACACAACCGGGTGGATTTGTCCATTTCGATTTGGCCTATCATCGGCTTCCAAGGTTCCGACAGCATCTACTGAATCAGCTTTCCTTCTAGTAAATCCACGTCTGCGATTAGAAAGCAAATTGCTTAGATATCGAGCAAAGGTACATATATGTCTTTAAAACCAAGCCGACAAAACCACGCGGAGACACAGGGCACGCCTAATCCATTCAGCGGACGCAAACTAGCTCTCATTTCTCTCCTGATCGTTTTCGCGGCTGTATTTATTACCTTTGCTTTTGGAGATACCTTCAATCTATTCGGCCTCCGACGATCCTTTGCATCTTCTGCGAGCTCAGCGGCGGGTCCTATATCAGCTTCAGTCGCAGCATCTGTTGCAGCATCGGCGACATCCAAAGGACAATCAAATCCAATTGCGATTGGCAAAATACAGTCCAGCATGAAGACGCCTGTTTATTTCCTCAGCCATGGTGGCGTAAGTCGATTCAAATTGAGTGAATTGAGTCTTTACAATGTTCCGGTTGCTAATTTCATACCCCAGCCTAACGTCATGTACGAGGTTGACCACCCGGCTTACCGCAAGCTCGGAGAGATCGGCCGCGAGATTACAACCAAGGTCAAGCCGCGCGCTGTTGTAGTCTTCTCTGCGCATTGGCAGGCCGGCCGGGATACTATTCAGGTCAACACCGCCGAGAAGACCGATTTGATCTATGAGTATGTTTGACAAAGTCCACATGCAAGCCTGTGAGTTTTGGTCTGACTGGATCTAGTTTCTACGGTTTCCCCGGTCATTACTATAAAGAGAAGTACCCGAACGTGGGTAGCAAGGAGGTAGCGCAGAAAGTGCTGGACTCATTGAAGGACGCCGGGATCGCGGCCGAGGGCGTAAAGCGCGGACTCGACCACGGTGTCTGGGCTAGCTTCAAGTGCGGTATGTGATTGTTCTTATTGAACAACGAAAACCGACTGCTGACATTTACAACACAGCCTTCGAGCCAGAATCCAATCCTCTGAATGTCCCCATTGTGCAGGTCTCGCTCTTCGCCTCTGAAGACCCAGACCAGCACTACCGGCTCGGACAGGCCGTCACGCGTCTCCGCGAGGAGAACATCCTGATCATCGTATCCGGGATGGCAGTTCACAACCTGCGTGATCTGCGTTTCGCGTTCGGGAGTTCAGGCCCGATGCCGTACGCGGTTAGCTTCGACAAGGCGCTCAAGGAGGCTGTGGAGAGTGCCCCGGCTGAGCGGCAGAAGGTCATGGCTGAGTTGTTGAAGAGATCAGATGCACGACAGGCTCATCCTTCCTTTGAGCATTTGCTGCCTATTCACATTGGGGCTGGTGCTGCTGGTGAGGATATGGGGAAGAGGACTTGGGCGTATCCTGAGGGAAGTATGAGTTGGTCGCAGTTCCGGTTTGGCGAGCTTGCCGAGGCTAGTAGTTCGTTATAAGTGGTGATATGAACTTCTTGTTCGAAGCTATGTAATTGAGTTTTTGTTTTGGCATATGGATATGGGGTTCGATTCATCTATAGGTACAGAAGATGGGTGTAAAACGGTAGGAACGCGGAGGGGCATAATGGAGTTCGGGCGGAAACAAATAGAAGTTATAGCTTCTCCTTCACCAACTGCGTGATGCGCTCCTCGATCTGGGCGTCGGACATGCCTGGGAATGGTAAAGTCAGTATTACCATTCATTCGAAGAGTGTGTTGGCGGAGCCACTCACCAGCCAATGCTTCTTGCTTCTCCTTGCCGAAAGCTGTCAAGGAACAACGAATTAGTTTCATTCAAATGCCCGAAACCCTCATAATGGGCGTATTAGATGTCCTGTCATACCATATCGGGCAAACACTCGCGGCGGGGTGCCCGCGGCTTCGCGCATCATGATAGGAGTCTGGGGGTTGTGCTTCTTCATGGTCGGGTAGGCGCGGTTCAGGAAGGACCTATATATGAGAGTAGAGGGTCAATCAGGGGTCCAGAGAGCAAAGTATCTTAGTTCGTGGTTGTACACACCTTGTGGCAGCGCTGGCCTCAGAAGTTTGGCAGAAGAGGAAGCGCAGCTCCTTGAGGCCCTGAGAGAAGACGTACTTGCCAGACATGGTGGAAAAACAGTCAAGCAATTGTGAATATTATGGGTATAGAGGCCTCGGAGGAGCCACAGGAGGATGAGCGCGGGAGAAGTGGGATTGAATTGCTGGATAGTCTGCGATGCGGTGCATTATTCACGATGGCGGTGATTCGCTGCGCAGAGCCATAATCCCGCTAGTCCCAATCTAGACTAGTGCGGTAAGCTTACATCAGCTCCCAGCATGGGTTGGCAGCGTCATAGGTACATCGATGTAGGTAGCACCAGCGATAGAGAGAGTAATTAGTAGAATAAATGAGATCAATTGCTTGGAAATATGCCTTCCGACCTTCTAGAAACCAATTTCAGTGTATAACCGTTGTTGTGGTGGTCCATCTCCCTCTTTACGCTCACCACTCACCGGCGGAAAACTCCCCCTTCTACCGATCCCGGACGTCCTTCCATCTTCATTCTCCCCAAGACCAGCACTCCAGATATCACCATGTCGTCTCGCGTGGGGTTCCGCTTCGTTAACAACGCTCGGTTTGCATTCCGCAATGCCTCTGCGCCATTCCGCCGGCCGGGCGCCCAGGGTTTCCGCTGGCAAAGCACCGAAGCCGGTGCCGGGGGGCAACAGAGCACTTTCCAGCGCCTATGGAACAGCCCCATTGGTGTCAAGACTGTGCACTTCTGGTAAGCTCTCCGATTATATTGCGCCTTTTGTTCAAAACATTGATACTAATGTCTTCCTCGCAGGGCCCCCGTTATGAAGGTACGATGACTCGGTTTCCCGCGATAAGCCGCCCACACTTCTCAACTCATCCTGCGGACACATTGTCTATATCCGATGACATTTCCTCCGATATCTCTTTACATGGTTCCGGAGCTTCATGGCTAATTCATTATGCTACAATAGTGGTGCTTGGTCATCGCCGGTATCTCTGACTTCGCCCGTCCCGCGGAGAAGCTCTCTCTCACCCAGAACGCTGCTCTCATGGGCACCGGTGCCATCTGGACCCGCTGGTGTATGATTATCAAGCCCCGTAACATTCTGTACGTGCCCTCCGACAAGCAACCCCGCGATGAATCCATGCTAACCCGATATCGTTCGATAGGCTTGCCACCGTGAACTTCTTCCTCGGATGCGTCGGTGCCGTTCAAGTGACCCGTATCTTCATGTGGCAGCGCTCCCAGTCCAATAGCTCCCTCGAAGCCGCCAAGGAGATTGAGCACGAGGCCGTCGATTCCGTCAAGGCCGTGGCCCAGGAGACCGAGGGTATCGCGAAGAAGGCCGTTGGAAAGTCGACTTAAACCTGATTTACTTGGATAGGCTGCGCCTGAATTTGAAAGAGTGTTTGGCTTCACTTAGAATCGGCCTTTTGGAGACAGGACATATCTTGATTTCGCTGAGGTGCAGTTGGGAGCATCTCATGGAGGAAAACTTCGCCTGAGATGGTCGAGGCTCGTGTCCCCAGGGCCGACATTTGGTTTGTCTGTTGGAAAGCCGTTGTACATATAAAGCATGTTCAAGGTGATTGGTTCAGAGCCCCTCCGCGACGAGACGTAGTCGGATTCGTGAAGCATTTCCAGGTAGTAGCCCTGAGCACTTGTACCTTCAACAACCGCCCACTAGCTTCATTTGTACCGTTATTGAGTTGACCATGCGTATCATCGTGCTTAGCATGTCTCAGGCCTAACGTCTCAAGACTACTAGCTCCGACCCCGTATTCTCCACCCTACACAGTATTTATCCGGGTTTTCCTCCCAATCGGGGGAATTGCGTCCTGTATTCCTCCTATCGGACTTGCCTGCGCCCCACGCTCATACAATGCAGAGCCACTTCAATGGCCCGAATACACCCAAAACACGGCTTGCCCTTGGTTTGTTTCCCCGGACCTGATTTCGATGGGTCTACCCCACAGCATGGCGGCAAGTGTTGGCGTTGCTAGCCAAGTCCATATATGAACTGTCTGGGGAAAGCTCGGTAAATTCCCGTTGTTGAGCTGAACAGACTGTCAGCCGAACCGAAACCACCGTCTGGACGCTCTATATTGAGTCATTGACCATGAAAATCTCGAATGTTTTGACCCAGGCCTGGGGACTACTGGCTCTAGTCAACGCCCCAGTTGAAGCTAGAGGACACTCTCGAACTGAGGCGTGTCATCCACACCATCCATTCAAGCCCCTTCCATCCAGCCAACCTAGAACTCGCACTTGCCATGTAGCCAATCATGGCGATGGGCAGGACGATTCCGCCAATGTGCTTGCTGCATTGAAGAAATGCAACAACGGAGGAAAGGTCGTATTTGATACTGACAAGACATACACAATTGGCAAAGCACTTGACATGACTTTCTTGAAGCATGTGGATCTCGGTATGTGGTGATTCCCAATAGATGGGTTCGAGGTAAATGATCATTGACATAGCTTCGAACAGAGATCCATGGCCATGTCCAGTTTAGCAATGACACGGACTACTGGCAGGCAAATGCTTTCAAGCAGATTTACCAGAACGCTGCGACATTCTTCCAGCTCGGTGGCGAGGATGTCAATGTTTACGGTGACGGTGTTCTTGATGGCAATGGCCAGGCCTGGTATGACTTATATGCAAAGGATCCCTTAATCCTGCGACCGATTTTGATGGGTGTCATTGGTCTTAACGGAGGTACCATTGGACCTCTCAAACTTCGTTATTCACCTCAGTGGTATCACTTCGTGGCCAACTCATCCGATGTCCTGTTCGACGGAATCGATATCAGTGGGTTCAGCAGTAGTGCGAATACGGCGAAGAACACTGACGGATGGTACGTTCCTGTGTGATATAAGATTGAGTTTCATTTTACTAATGTCTTTGGTAGGGACCTCTATCGCTCGACTAACGTTGTCATCCAGAACTCGGTGATCAACAATGGAGATGGTGCGTTGATCCAGAAGATTAATGCCCGGTTATAGCTAAACGTGCCAAAGATTGTGTCTCCTTCAAGCCCAATGTCAGCGATATCCTGGTCCAGAATCTTCACTGCAATGGATCCCACGGAATATCTGTTGGCTCTTTGGGACAGTATCCAGGCGAGGTTGATATTGTTCAGAACGTGCTTGTATACAATATCTCCATGTTCAATGCATCTGTGAGCTAAACGCTGAGGACCCAACAAGTGAGAGAGGCTTGTCTGCTAACCTTATTTTGCAGGACGGTGCTCGTATCAAAGTCTGGCCTGGTGCTGCGTCAGCGCTCTCGACAGATCTCCAAGGCGGCGGCGGATCGGGGCTGGTGAAAAACATCACCTACGACGGAATGACCATTGACAATGTTGACTACGCCATTGAGGTTACCCAGTGCTACGGACAGAAGAACCTGACGCTTTGCAATGAGTTCCCTGTAAGTGCCTCTGGCCCCAGTCTATCTCCATGACCGAGATTTGAGCTGCCGGAAACTAACACGTCTGGACATCACAGAGTAAGCTAGTGATTGAAGATATTCTCTTCAAAAACTTCAAAGGTGTCACGTCAGGGAAATATGACCCCAATGTTGGTACAATTGTTTGTTCAAGTCCCGATGTAAGCATTCAGCACCCACCTGCCGAGATCGACGACATAATATCTGACTGCTCCCAGGTTTGCTCCAATATCAACGCCAAGGGCATCGAAGTTTCTAGCCCTGATGGGGATGATGGGTTTACATGTACAAACGTGAGTCAACATTGGAGATTGTCGTATGAAATAATGCATCGTCGCTGACTCTTTCCAACTAGGTTGATGTCTCGCTGCTGGATTTGAACTGTGATTCCAGCTGAGTCGGTTCATACAATGACGCAGACCAGCTATCACAATCACATCCTGCATCGGTATGGCCGTGCATATGCAGCTAATTGCGCAGCTGCCGCTTAAAGTATCAGACGTGTCTTTAGTATTTCCTTGCCTTGCTTTGTACTTTCCACTATGATACTTGTGCTTCTCATGTGGGTCTTGACACACCGCACCTTTCCAACCACACATGCTGCGTAGATAACTGTACAGTTTGAGGGCCCTGTATGGACATCATGCATATAGTGTCCTGATCGCACGCCGTGAGTGGCAAGATAACTTTTTTATTGCGAATTCCATCCTACTCTTTCGTCACAAAGTTGCCCGCACAAGACCTACAATGCATCCCGATTCTCAACTAGAGAGCGCCGTCAAAAATGGCTTCGATCCAAAGAGCCTCTACAGTACCGAATTGACCAAGGTCAATGAGCCCGCTAGAACAATTCTTGAGCAGTATAGCAAAATCCCGGCTGAGCAGATTCTGCAACACGTGAAAGACCTGGTTTGTGGCCCTCGCTCCAAGATTCAATCTCAGACAAGGAAGACAGTACCCGCTGACACATAGCAGAGAGATCGTGCTTTTGCGGTTGTAAGTTCTTGTGCAAAGGCCTATGCCCAGATACATATAGTCGTGTCCCGCTGACCATTGCGTACCTAGTTTCCTTATGCTTGTATTGGACAAGCGTCGTTCCTCGACTTGAGCATCGCGTCGTCACCATGCTACCCTGAAATGCTTGACCGTGTCAAGAATGGAGACAGACTACTTGACCTGGGATGTGCATTTGGTCAGGAACTTCGGCAACTGGTGAGTACTAGCAGCGAAGAAGACGGCACGATGATCGTTACTTCACATAGGGAGCTCATGCTAATCGCAAGCGCCGCGAAAAACCCAGATCTACGACAGTGCCCCATCCCAAAATCTGTACGGAGTAGACCTCCGTCCCGAGTTTCTCGAACTCGGCCTCGACCTCTTCCTCGATCGAGCGACCATCAAATCCCACTTCATCGACGCAGACATCCTGGACGATAAATCACGTCTGGTAACCCAGTTGGCAGGCGAGCTAAACATCGTCTACATCTCGCTCTTCCTTCACGTCTTTGACTTTGAGACACAAGTCACGGTCGCCAAGCGAGTGCTTGACTTGCTTGCTCCAAAGGCTGGGTCGCTAATCGTGTGCCGAGTTGTCGCGTGCCGGGATCAGGCGGTTGGAAATGCCACGAATGGGCGTTTGCCGTACTACTACCATGATCTGGCTAGTTGGAACAGGCTGTGGGAGCGTGTTCAGCAGGAGACGGGGCTGAAGCTGAAGGTTGATAGTTGGGAGCAGAATGATGCTTTGGCCAAGAAGCATCCTTTGGAGGGGATCTATATGCTTGGTTCGTCTATTCGTCGGGAGTAGTCGGGAGTAAGATAACCGCTCGGAGTTCTCGTTTTGAAGGGTCAAGCTGTTAGTTCCACTTCAAGGCATATGTTGTAATACTCAAATCATATAAACAACTGAATTCTCGAACGAAAAATGGCATTTGCGAGGTCCTACAATGTTTACTGAAGGTGAAAAACACAGCACGTTTGGAAGGTATCTTTGGTACTGTAAATATGAGCAGATACGTGTGCGTGACAGTAACGACACGTATGTTGTGTCCTTGCAGTAAGCGAAACTTACGCGTACTGTAATCTCCTTGCAATATTTGATACCAGGAGAATGTACCACTCGAGTTTCTGGTTTTCCACAGAGAACAACACCTTATTGAAGCTGGTAACACGAGACGATTCAATGGGCTTCTTCTCTAGCCCATCGCTGCCTCAGTTGGCCACCGTGCCGAGCGACGAGATCATCCCTCTCCATTTCTGGAACACAGCGTTATGTATGCGTGGCACAGTTTTGGACATTTCGTTGAAATTCGATGATGTGTTGGATATCACCAAATTGCGCAATGGGTTGGAAGAACTAATCAACATCGAGAGTTGGAGACAGCTGGGAGCTCGGTTACGGCTGAACGTATGTGGCTCCAAAATGCTCCTCATACTTGATACTGATACGACCAAATCGGACAGAGAGATGGAAAGTTGGAGTACCATGTACCAGCACAGTTTGATACCTCAAGACCGGGCTTCATCATGACCACCGTTGAGCATGGAACAAGCATTGTCGACCATTCACTTGCCGAGAAGATACCACAGGCCACCGACAAACCGACCATATTTCCATCGCCTGATGAACTAAGCCCTCATTTACGCAGCGCGGATACACCCAAAAAGATTGAGGATTGGCTTTGCTCGGACAGACCACAGCTATCGATACATGTTATCACTTTCACAGATGCCACGATCATTACCGTGACATGGCTACACACCCTAGCCGATGTGATGGGGATGACAACAATTCTGAATGCGTGGACTGCCCTTATGCGAGGCGATCGAGAGGCGGTTCCTCGACTTGAAGGTTTCCGATCTGAACCGCTCACAGAACTCGGACAACGCACGCCAGCGGAGAAGTACATGCATTACAATCGCGTTTTCGGTCGAAAAGAGTTCCTGTGGTTTATCGGGCTGAACATTCTTGACAGACTATGGTATCGCCAGGAGGAGCGCCGTACTATTTGTATTCCCGCCACAACATTGCAGGGTTTATGTCAGGAAGCATCGATTGAGCTTTCTACTCTTTCCCCGGAAGGAGAGGCGTCTCCTTTTGTGAGTGAGAGTGATGTGCTTTTAGGATGGTGGGTGCGCACACTTTATGGTGGACTGGGACTTCGGACCGACCAAACTATCCTCGTCAACAATGCGTTGAATCTGCGGACGTCTTTGCATGATTCCTTCAAGTCGGAACATACTGCATTCATGGGAAATGCCCTGTGTATGTCTCCCACCTTCTTACAGGGCCATCAAGTCGCCGATGAACCGTTGGGTCAAATTGCCTTGCGGATTCGACAATCGTTGGCCCAACAGCGAACTACCGAACAGGTGGAGGCAATGACAGCGCTGCAACTGCAAACGATGGAAAAAACAGGCTATTTAGCCTTGGTAGGTGATCCTCGGATGGTGCTACTTTCTTGTTCCAATTGGCACAAGGCACGCTTATATGAGATGGACTTTTCGTCGGCCGTACTGCAAAAGTCAGATCACCGGAGCTCGTGCAGCCCACAAACCTCGGGAAGGCCATCTTATGTGAACGGGGTTCAGCATTCAGCGAATTCTTTCAGAAATGTCCTTTCGGTGATAGGGAAGGATGCTGCCGGCAACTGGTGGCTGACTGGCGTTTTACGAACTGACGCGTGGGGGTATGTTGAAGAGCAGTTGATTGAACTCGGCTGAAATTAGGAGAATTAACGAAGTCTGTATTCTGAATTGCCATTGAACTCGAATCCCTATTCTGATCTAATTTGGATGAGGTTGTTGCTTCCAGTCTGGTTCTGACCAGTTGGCTACCTGTACACGTACGTGGGTTGGTTACTTTCGTACAGGGTACGCAAGGAAAAATCCATACCTAGTGACTTACTCCACTATTTTCTGCCCGTTTTAATGATCAATCAAGTGATCAACCACATAATCTCACATGACCTAGTCACTTCAACCAATCAGACTAGTATATTTATCTCCGCATCTATTCACGTGATGTCAGTTGAACTCAGATGAGGAAGGCGGCAAGTGAGTTGGCAAATATTGGCTCACCGCTCGATGTCACTAGGTATGGATTATTCCTTGGGTACCCTGTATGATAACTAATACAGACTGTAATTTACATACGTTGTCTTACCTGGATACCGATGATTCAAAGCACACATAAATACGCAGTACAAATACTGCCAAGGTGCATTATCGGCTTATTTGAGGCCGAGAATAAGATAGGTCACTACCACGGCTTGGGGGATAGGAGATCGGCAGCCGGCTAGGCAGGGGGGTTTGCGTTGCGGGTAAGATGCGCATCGTGTCTGCAGGTGTTCAGCCAGCCTCCGAAGCTTACAGCCAGCCCCCGAAACTTAGGTGGCCCCGGGCCCCGGGCCGCACGGGCCGGATCCAAGACCCACTTGATCCAAACCTAATGTACTGCGTACAGCTCCCGTACATGCACAATGTATTGAAGACCGTGTGAGGTATTTTCATTGACAGTGATGACGATCGTCAAGGTATGAGATGGGTACCCTTTTCTCGACCAGGCAGGTAGTTCAGTTGAGTGATTCATTGGATGTCATGAATACCAGCCTTACATCGCTGCTACGCAATTCCAATAGTCGCGAATTGGATGTAATAGCCAGTTGATGAAAATGAGGAATGTGCATTCCTTGCATCTACTAGGCCGGACTAGCCCACGCGGAATATTCTACTCCAGAGTTTACAGGTACCGCGGAGGTTGGGGTGTCGAGGTCGCTCTGCGAGCCCTGAAAGCAAAACCACAGTAATTCTGTTATCATGAGTCAGCTATTCAAAATACCTAGGCTAGGAGAATACCGGTGCTTATCTGAGGTCAAGGCAAATACACTTTCAAATTACTCAACACAGCCCACTCGACAAAGACTTTCATTCTCACAATCGTCTCAATACACCAGCCCTGTTGGCTATTCCAAGTTCTTCCCCGAGGCAATTGTTTGCGTCAACTCTCACTTACATGAGCGGTAATCAAGTCTGAGAGTTTTGCCCAGTCCTGTCTCCCCCTTTGACGACGGATAAGAGACTCGATTTTTTAGCATCCAGCTTCTCGCCACCAATCCTTCAGACTACAACCATGGCGCAGACAAGCCTTATATCAGCTATCCTGGAGCATCAAGATGCCCTGGCGTCTGTCGCAGAATTTCTCCGAATCCTGGCGGGAATTTGCTGGACTTTGAACTACTTCAGCATGTTATGGACGACGCGGAAGGATAAGATTCCAAGCACCGGTATCTTCCCCCTCTGCAATGACATTGCATGGGAGTTCATCTATGCGTTCGTCTATCCGACCGCCAGTGCTCATTGGCAAGGAGGTGTCCGCGTGTGGTTCATGGTCCATTGCATTGTTATCGTTACTATCATTAAGTACGCGCACAATGAATGGGATTACTTCCCGCTCATCCAACGGAATCTCTATCTTGTTTATGGACTCGTGACTGTTGGCTTTGCGTTTGGTCAGTACTCCTTCGCATGCGAGGTCGGACCTGCATTGGGATTCTTCTATGGAGGTGTGTTGTGTCAAACTTTGGCCAGCCTTGGGCCGGTTGCCCAAATCCTTTCCCGAAATAGCACCCGTGGTGCTTCCCTCTTGACTTGGTAAGTATAGACTCTGTTCAGGGACAAAGCTGTCTGTCGTTCGCAATGCTAATTTTCCAAAGGTTCTTGAGAGCTGTGGCTACTTTTGGTGGTTTCATCAAATTGACTATCTATTACCTCACTGGAAATGCCGCAGGCCCATGGATCGAAAGCCCCATGTGCAGGTTCTATATTGGACTCACTTTGGTCCTTGATCTCGTCTATCCAATTTGCTACTACATCATCAGGCGCCAGGAGCTGGCTGATCCTCAGGCGGAGCAGAGAAGGAAGGCTAAATTGGGAAAACGCGCATGAAATGCAGCCAGGCTCTTGATAGAGATCTTGTCCCGAGATAGCGCAACACTTGTTTCAGCAAAATAGTCAAAGGAGAACGCAAAATTTTGAATAGATGCTACATAGAATACACCGAATAAGAATTGGAAGAAAGCTTGGTCTGGATGGCCTTGAATCCACAATAGCAGCTTTAGGGGTTGCATAATCCCAGAACCTGCAAGGAGGGCGAGGAATGCAGCCTGTGAGTAGGCACGATAGTGGTGATAAGCAGGGAAAACGGAAAAGGTTATGGATAGACTAGGTACGTACGGCATAGCCAGAGGTCATTATTTATTGCATTATTATTTTGCAGGCCAATCTAGATGGTGCATAAAATGAATCACATCCAATGCCCTGACGACCAACGGATGCTTTATCACCTCCAATTATACACATTCTACCGCCCCCTCCCCCCGAAAAGCATCGTGTACGGCTCTGACGTTGTTTCTGTCAGACTGATACGCAAAAAATGGAAGATGTGGAGAAAAAAATCAACTTCAAAGTCATCATTGTTGGAGGGTCAATTGCTGGGTTGACATTGGCCCATTCGTTGGCACAAGCCAATATCGACCACATCGTCCTGGAGAAGAGAGCGGAAATAGCTCCACAGGAGGGCGCTTTCATCGGAGTCTGGCCCAATGGAGCACAGATCCTGGATCAGCTTGGTCTCTATTCCAGCCTCGAGAACTTGACTGCGCCGCTAAGTCGAATGCACCTCTCCTTTCCCGATGGCTATTCATTTAGCAGCCTCCTGCCCAAGGCAATTCACGAAAGGTTTGGATTTCTTCCAACCACACTCGCACGCGCTGCGTATATGGTACTCTTCTGACTATTCGACCAGATTCAAGTACCCGATCATATCCCTCGACCGACAAAAGGTCCTTGAAATCCTGTTCCAAACGTACCCCGACAAGTCCAAAATTATCACCAACAAGAGAGTATCGGAAGTGCGTCTAGGAGATGACTGTGCTAGTGTGGTCACAGATGATGGAAGTGTATTCAAAGGAGATCTCATCGTGGGCGCAGATGGCATCCACAGTCGCATACGTTCTGAGATGTGGCGATTGGCGGATGAAATAAAACCAGGACTGATAACAACGCGAGAAAGGCAAAGTAAGTCTACTCTGTCCCTTCCAATTTGACCTATTATTCTACTTGCCCCGACATTTTTCCTGACATCTCTCTCCTTAGCTCTCACGGTCGAGTACGCATGCGTTTTCGGAATATCGCACCCTATACCTGGGCTTCAAAAAGGAGAGCATATCAATAGATACGGCGATAAGTTCTGCGTGATCACCTTTCATGGGAAAGACGGCCGTGTGTTTTGGTTCATTATCCAGAAGCTCGATCGTATCTACAATTACCCCAACGCACCGCGGTATTCCCCGCAAGATGCCGTGGAGCTGTGTCGTGAGCTACAAGGCGTGACCATATGGCGCGATATCACCGTGAGTGATCTTTGGAAGACTAAGATCGTGGCGTCGATGACGGCACTCGAGGAGGGCTTGTTTGAGACCTGGAACTTCAATCGCATTGTTCTCCTTGGCGACAGTGTGCACAAGGTAAGTCGTTCTACTGAGCCGAGTGGAACGTGCTTAATAATATCTCTTTTCCCTAGATGACACCAAACATCGGGCAAGGTGCCAATACCGCCATTGAAGACGCCGCCGTTCTCGCATCCCTTATCAACCGGGTCGTTTGTTCCACTGGGTCACTCCAACCAACAAAAATTCGAATTGAAGCAATGCTCCGAGAGTATAAAGGTCTACGATATGAACGTGCTAAGAGTACATATGAACGCTCAAGGTTTGGAGCTCGGTTCCACACCCGAGACAACTGGCTCAAGGCCCTGGTCGGTCGATATGTGTTTCAACATGTTGGTGGTTTCATTGAGAAGCGTACAATAAAGACACTTGCCGGGGGCGACAGAATTGAATTCCTGCCACAACCAAAGCGCACTGAGTCACTGTGCGTAACGGAGATTTCTCAGGGGCACCGATCGACTCCGCGACACTGGATACTAGTTTGTATATCTTCGCTTGTTCTGTGCTTGGTCTTCCCTTGCATTGGGTCGTATCTTCACTCGATCTTTTCGTGACCCGTTAGCTATTGAGACAGAGAACCATATATGTGCAATATACAATAGAGCCAGCCAAGATATGAAAAAAGGGTCGGGACTTGGCAATTTGTTTGAGTCACGTGTCCTGTCTTCCGATATGGAAATAAGCTTCATCGTCCCTATCTCCTTTGCCTCCTCTCCAGAGTCCAGATCAAACATTTCTAACATCATCTTTCATCTCCTGCATAACTTTTTAATTTATTGGCAGAATTGGTTAGACTCTTAACTCTTTCAGTGTTTCGAGTCGATTATTGACTCGTCGATCCAAGGTGATGCGCGGAATATTGCAGATTCGGTGCACCTGACTCATACCAAGATCAGGAACTGATCGACCAAGACAAAGGAGCAAGGGCAAGCAACAGATATGAAAAATGGACCACATTAGGGAGCTGCGCATATTACTATGTGTACACTTTGTCGCATTCACTCCACAATTGGGCTAATGCAGGACAGTAATGCACCTTTGAGCCAGCCACCATGCGTTTGTGTTTTGCCGGAATGGGATCTCGCTGGCTGCACTATAATTACTGTGTGGAGCGAAGGAGTCGGAGGAATGACATCGATATGTCGATGGCGGAAGGGATCGAGTGTCTTGTTTCGAGTAATCCACCAGGAACACGACAGATACAACAGACAGCATTGACCTACCTATTATTCCAGAGTTTTTTACGGAGTACCTGGAGAAAATCTCTGTCTATCTCTCCCTCATTGCGCCGAGTCCTGCCTGAGTTGCCGTGATTTGTATCAGTTTCCAACCCGGGTCGAAAATCTGCTCGGGGTCTTGATCCCACCATCGATTACCTATATATCGAGCCTTCGAGATGGTGCGAGCAGGGGAGAAAGCAGATGCTCCATCGCACGGCAAGATCTTGGACTCCCTTCCCGCTGGTCTCGCACCATATGGCGAGCTGATGCGAATTCATCGACTGTTGGGGTTCTACCTTAACACCTCCCCTTATCTTGTTGGCGTTGCATTTAGTGCATCGATCGCATCCACAAAGGTACCAATCGGTGTCCTATTGAACCGCGCAATTCTTCTGTCAGTCTGGTCCATCTTCTTGCGCTGTGCCGGATGTGTCTGGGACGACCTCATCGACATGGACTTGGATAGCCAGATCTCCCGTACAAAAGATCGACCACTCCCGCGAGGAGCCGTGTCACCAATAACCGCCTTCCTTCTTACAGTTTCTCTCTTCGCCTGTGGAGGAAGCGTCCTGGTCTTTCTTCCTTCGCCTTGCGCTGCGGATTGTTTGATCATAACGTTCTTTGCACTGCTGTACCCTTTCGGCAAGCGGTTCACTGATTATCCCCAGATCACCTTGGTGAATATTGGATGGGCTGTTCCAATGGCAATGCACAGTATTGGCCTAGACCCTCTATCTCAAATCAAGCCTACTGTATGCATGTTTCTCTTTATTGGCCTGGTCATCATCATGATCGATGTCATTTACTCACGCCAAGACACGGCGGAGGACTTGAAGGTCGGGGTGAAAAGCATGGCGGTCCGGTTCCGGAACTCTATTCAAATTCTGTCATACTCTCTCCTCTACGCATCAACTGGATTTCTCGCAATTGCTGGATATTTGACTGGACTTGGCCTACCATTCTTTGTGTTGTCGGTTGGTGGACACTTCGTTGGTTTCTCGGTCCTCCTTCGTGTGACACAGGTAGGAAAATCGAGCGGTGTTGAGGCATACGCCAAATCTGCGTTTTTCCTGGCTACACTGTTCTGGTTATTCGGGTTTGCGATTGAATATTGCATGCGCGGATAGTTTGCCACATCTATGATCGCGGGGAAAGCTTGGAAGTCGAAATGAATCAAACCACGGAGCCTTTGGTCTTGTCTAATAGCATTATACATCAATTTACATGCGCAATGAATTTCTTGAGTTACTTCACCACTATTATCCCTCAAGTGCTTTCTAACAGCATGAGTTACAAATTAACTACCCCAATAGCGTCAGATCACTGACCAGGCATTGTCCACGGGAATGATTGCTCCGTTGATTCTCTTGCTGTGGCTCGAGACCAAGAAAAGAAGGCATTGAACTATGTCCTCGGTCTCAACGCCCAATCCTAGCCGTCTGTCAGCAGCATGAGCTTCGTGAACGAGGGACATTGTGCCCAATGCATCCTTGTCCCAAGTGCTTGGATCGGATGCTTGAACAATATTTGTTGGTACGCCTAATTTGAAGGCCGAGTTAGATGAGAATCTGCCCGCGAGGCCGCCAAAGGTGTGTGACGCATAACCTACCACCAGGACAAACAGCATTGCAGCGAATACCCTCTTGCTTGTACCGCCAAGCAACATTCTTAGTCGCACCCATGAGCCCATGTTTACCTGTAAAGAAGCAATGTCACTATATCAGTCCTAAGCCGACGGAGTCAGGGTGTACCCACTGGCCGTATATGCGACACCAGACGCAGCACCACTTGTAGCCGCCTTGCTGCCGACGTTGACAATACTACCACTCTTCTGCCCTCGCATGATTGGAATAACCTCACGCATAAGCTTCACCGGAGCGGTGAGATTGATCGCAATGCATCGATCCCACATATCATCAGAGAGACCGTCAACGCTAGCATTGCGATCCATGATACCAGCAATGTTCAACAAAGCGTCGATTCTTCCGCCAAATTCTTTGACACATCTCTCTACCACTTGCTTCGGTGTAGCTTCATGTGTGAGGTCTCCTTGCAGGAACTTGTAATTTGGGTTGTCAATGAGTGACGCAGGTCCCGATGAGACATCAACGCCTAGGACCCGGGCTCCCTGGTTTAGGGCCTCTGAGGCTGTTGCCAGACCTATGCCGGAGCCACTGCCTGTGATGATCAGGACCTGGGACATTAGTATCACGTGCTGAGCGTGAAAATCCGGAATTACCAGACATGGTATGGGTTAAGCTTACATGGCCTTCAAGTGACATGGTGCTGTGGTGTCCAGGGGAATTTCAGGGTGGTCGGAATTTCAACTCGATTGGAAGGACAGAGAACTGCCCCGGAAGTTGGAACAAATATTTGACTAAACCTACGGAATGGAAGGAACAACAATGATCTCTGGGAACCCTCGACGTCTCAGAATCATAAGAATGCAAGCCTGCAAGGTAAGGGACCGCAGATGCTGTATCCGGCTGGCGCACGGGATGTTGCATCTAGGTATGGTGCTTATGTATGTATCTTGATAGCCACCTTCCACAATATGCATGAAAGTGGAGCCGGCTGTGCCGTGCCGATCCCAAGATCCAGAAGGAAAAAGCAAACCTAATCTGCAGTATGTAGTACAAGCCAAAGTTACCGTATCACTCAGCTCAGCCATAAATTACCGCACGTTCCATGCAGGATTGTGGGGCCATTATGAATTACCGAGATCTGATTGATCATGTCTTCGTCCACCTGGAAGTCATCTACATCGTAGTGGATGGGGATGTATCTCACCGCTATGTGCCACTGAGATAGGTCATATCCTTGTTTAGGATAGAATACTCCCGCAACGACACCGGTATTATAGGAGAAAGTGTGATCTCCGCCAAAAAGCTCGAAGGATAGGACAGTTTCACCTCCAGAATGACGCAGGCTCAGAATTATATCATTCACCCTGGCTCCAAGGTCCTTGTCACCGGTGCGAACGGGTACATCGCCTCGCACATTATCAAAGTACTGCTGGACCTGGGGTATCTTGTTCGAGGCACGGTGCGGACGCCAATGCCATGGCTGACTGAGTATTTTCAGAAGGAGTACGGTGCAGGGAGATTCGAACTCGTTCTAGTTCCGGACTTCCAGCAGCCTGATGCCTTTAAGCAAAGCGTCAAGGGTGTATCGGGTGTCATTCATGTTGTATGTGCTGTTTATATCCATATTTGTTAGACAAAAAGTTGATATCTGAACCAGGCTCAAGGGTTACCCTCTAGCACTGCCTCCGAAACCGTGGAGAGTGCAACAGCCTACACCGTGAAAGGTGTTGTTAATCTTCTCACGGCTGCGTCCGAAGAGCATATGATCAAGCGAGTCGTTCTCACTTCTTCAATTGTAGCAGCGGGTTACCCTTCTGCAAAGGGTTTCAAGTTGGATGTTGGTAAGGCGTGTTCTCAGATGTAGTTTCTTGTGCGAATGGAAACAGACCATGCCTTGGCTGATACTTTGTTAGACTCTTGGGACAGGAGCCTGGAAGAAGCACAGAAAGATGGAAGTAGTGTGCCTATCTATCGAGCTTGCAAGATCGAAGGAGAACGACAAGCGTGGAAATGGGTTGAGAAGAACCAGCCACAGTTTGAGCTGAACACCGTTCTTCCTTGGCTAACAGTGAGAACCCCCAAAGACAGAACTGACCTGCTAGAGTTTGATTCGATGGTACTAATTCCTAAACACTCCATCAGTTGGGCAAGGTCCTCCATCCCAATATAGGCGGTTCGACCATGGGATACGTCTCTGGATTTCTCAAGGGAAATACCACACCATTCAAGTTTCTTCCTCTACGTGAGTAATTCTTGAGATACGAAAAGTAATCTGTCCATAAATTAACAGATTATGTTAGCTTGGTTTGTGGACGTTGAGGACACTGCCCGCTTACACGCGATAGCTCTGTTCAGTCCAAAGGTGCGGTCCGAACGCATCTTCGCCGCTGCTCGCCCCGTTACTTGGGGTGAAGTTATTGGGATCATCAGGCGGCTTCAGCCGGGTAACAGCCGGATTCCAGTTCCACCTTCTCAGGAGGAACCAACACTGGGAGATGTTGTTCCTGCAGAACGAGCAGAGCAACTTCTGCGTGAATATTTCGGACAAGGAGGCTGGACGTCCCTGGAGGACAGTCTGGAGGGTGGATAGCAGTGGAATAATCGAGGGCTAGGTATGTCCATGTCACCGGGCCAGTTCAGTTGGAACCTACCTAGACTTGTTGACACGGGACTGGTGCTCTAAGCTAGGTAACCTATGGTGAATATACTATTGGTAAATGGATGCTGGTGACTGAAGCCGGATCCATAGGTTCCATTGGCTCCGTCCATCCATCCAGATCTCGGGCAGGTCGTCAATATATATTTCGAACGAATATTAAGATCTGCACAGAATTCGAAGGTTTTGCATTGAGCTTCAAGGTGTAGTATATTGGAATTAGAAGGAAAAGTAGCCCGAAGAATTAGGTAGGTAAAGATTCCGAGATGTTCAATATTTATGAAAAACAGTATTATAAGTAAAAAGAAACAATGTGATGAACGCTGCAACCCCCCTTCAATAACGAACATGATTGCGCAGAAACTCGTAACCGCTCTCGACAGCTTGAGCAGCCGCTGGATTTCTTTTCCCAAAGCCAGGCTCAATGTCGAACAAATGCACTCCCCCATCCACAACGCAAAGTTGGATCTCAATGCCCTTGGATTTCAGTTCCCGTGACGTCCGTCGCGCCTGTTCGACTGGAATGAGATCATCAAGGGTTCCATGGATGATAAACGTCGGCGTTCTGTAACGACCATTGCGAATCTGAGCCAGAGGACTGACCGCCTGAATCTCTTTCAACGAAGGGATGGGCAACTTGTCTCCCATGTTGGTGTAATTCCGCTCCGACCAAAACTGGCCTCCGCGCAACAACATTGGTAGAGTTTGCCCTGTCCAGTTCATATGCAATGCAATGCGGCTGCGAGGATCTGCCAGAGACATCCAGCCTCCAAGTGCTTTGTGGTCGGCCGGCGGATTGTACCCAGTAATTGGGGTGGCGTGCATGCCTTCCCACAGATCGTAACACATCTCGGGCAAAGTGACATCCTTTCCATAGGGGAAGTTGGGCGTGGACCAGAAGGAGTCTTCGTAGTCTGTAGGCCCGTAGAACGCAAGAATGGCCTCCGGTGGAGCGACTCCCTTTTGCGGAGCAGTCCACGCCAATGTCATGGCCAGATGGGCGCCAGTAGACCAGCCAACAGCCACCACCTGACTGCCATCGACTTGGATGTCAGGGCGACCAAGCTTGGACTTGGGCAAGTCATCTCGAGCCCATCGCAGTGCGACAGAAACATCGTTCATGGGGCCTTCAGCGAGAGAGACTTCGGGGCAAAGCCGGTAGTCAACACTCACTGGGAGGAATCCCGCATCGAGAAGCATTTTAACTTGCTTTCTGCGAATGTCCCGACGTGATAACATGATGTGGCCTCCGCCGTGGATTAGGAGAGCTATTTTGGGTGTAAGCACGAGGTTTGTCATGGCTCAAGAAAACGATTGGAAAGCATACATGTCTACATACCAATTGGACGATGCTTTCCAATAGGTTGAAGATCATCGGGGTAGTAAATATCCGCGGAAAGCTCCACCCCACCTTCCATGCCATAAACGACCGTCTCCTCGTCGATCAGGGCCAGAGGGTCCGCAGGAGTGGGAGGTAGAATGACGGCAGACGTCGGTGAGGCGGTGATTACCCGGAGGATATTTGATTCTTCAGAATCGTTGTATGTCCAGTCGACCCACTGAAAGCCTGACTGGAAAAGGGTGCCTTTCCATACATGCTCACTCGCAAGAGCATGTTGTCGATCATCTTCGAAAAGCCACCAGCCCTCAAGCAGACCGAAGACGAGATCGAACCAGAAAAGATTGCGGGTCAGTTCAATCAGGCAAAGAAGCCCATCTGGCCTCAGGAGATTCTTGATGTTCGAGCACGACTGAACGAGGTTGCGGGTGGCGTGGACGCAGTTACTGGATATGATAATGTCGTACTGACCGAGCATATCTGGCGGAGGAGTCTGCTCAACATTGAGGACTTGGTACTTCATAAAATCGTAGTGCTTGAACTTCTTTCGAGCTAGAGTGAGAAGCCCCGAAGACAGGTCTGTGAACGTGTACTGGAAGGAAAGTCCAGGGATCGCGGTTAGCTGGCTCAATAAAGCTTTGGTGGTGCCTCCAGTCCCGCCGCCAATTTCGAGGATCTTGATTTGCCTTGTGGTGTCCAAGCGACCAAGAAGACCAACAAGATATTGTGCAAGATGGTTAGTGGCTGCCTTGAACATTGGCGCGTTTGTGTAGACGTCCTCCATGAGTCGTCGGGCCTCTGCATCTTGAAAAAGAAGCGAAAGTGGGTCAGCTTCTCCACTCAAGCAGTCTGCAAGCCGTGAGCCCGTTGTCTTGAGAAGATTATGCTCGGAATTGTGCTGGGGATAAAGGCGGAGAATCTCCTGGTGCAGTAGACTGGATGGAACTGTAGGGACGGGAATTTGTGTGCGCACGAAGCCATGATCTGTGGCCCGGATGACATTGGAAAACTCCAGAATGGCATACAGTTGGCTTCGGACCTGTGTATGCTGCGGTAGAACAGATACCTGTGGGATAGCTTGCTCGGGTGCAAGGCTGTCCAAGGCGACGCCGAGGGAATTGAACGCCTCTACAACATAGGCCGTAACCAATTCCATCTGCTTCGGATACACAGACTTGCAAAAGCCATCCCATTGAGTAGCCTGGCTATGAGCCATACTCTTCTGAATATCGGTGAAAAGGCCAGGTGCGATGTCAATGAGGCCCTGATGAGGTCCATCGCTACCCGGAGTTGATATGACATGACCATTGCTCTCATAAGGAGCTGGCTCTGTGGTGGTAATCTGTAATTCCGAAGAAACTCCGAGGGCCGAAGACGCCGTCACCACGCCAGGGAAGATCGATTGAACGAGAGTTTGTACATCGGGCATTTCGATCAGGGAGGATGTGGTAATATTGACATCAAATCTCTTCTTGATTTCAGCCAACACCTCGGTCCGCATCAACGAATCAACACCAACTTCCTCCAGATTCGAGGAAGGTTGTAACTCCTCAGGAGCAATTCCCAATAGGTCACAGAGCATCTCTTGGACAAGCGCAAATGCTCCACGTCCCGAGTCAGAGAGATGAGGGGGGTTAGAGACAGGTAGTGTCTCCTGAGTCGAAGGAGTGCGTGAGACATCATCAATCCTTTGGGGCGTAGTGCGTACAGCAGGAGGCTCCAACTCAGAGGGTCGGTTGTTCAGTTTCTGCAGTACGCGTGCGAGCCCAGCAATGGAAACACTAGTAAACGCGGCAGAAAGAATGGTGACAGCAAGAGTACCCGTCTCCCGGTCCAATACAAAGGTGTCGCAGATGATCTTGTTTTTCGCAGATCGGTCCAGATTAGAGTACACACCCCAAGAGCGTACCGACCTGGAACCACGATCGCGCGTCATGAAAGCCTCTCCGATCAAAATCTCACCGACACCGGTGCAGACAAAAACCTCGTCTTCCTTTGTCTCGGATAGACAGTTAACGTGAATCCCAGCGACTTGGATGAAGTTGTCGACAAGCATGGGGTCACATGCGCTGTCCATGGTGCGCGACGTGGAGAGCGTCACAATACCAGCGGCTTCATGCTCGGTGGCGAACACCCGTTCGACTCCACGGTAGTACTCGGCGTAGTTGACGACTCTGCGGAACGCTTGATAAACGGCGGATCCTTTCAAGCCGCTCGAATCACGCGAATCAGCAATGGAATCTACGCGGGATGCGTCGATTAGCCTGTTCATGGAATTGAGACGGGCGAAAAGAGGTGTTTCGTGGCCGAACGGATGCAAACTGATATCTCCAGTGGCATGAGTGGTCACTGAGTCATTGTTTGACTCTTTAGTGAAGAGAGTAAATGACCAGGGGGAATCACCCACCCGGGGGCGGGTAAGACTCAATAACAGCTTTCCGCTGGGGTTTAGCACGAGGGGGGCTGATATTGTCAGATTTTGAAGATGAGGCATGGCGGGCAATGAATCGCTCTCCGGCCGGAGTATGGTGGCCGCTCGCACGATCATCTCAAAGTAAAGGGACGCAGGGCAGAGGTTTTGGTCAAGTACTGCATGTCCTTTGGTACACTCCTGGTACAGAGGATCATCTGTGTTTATTTCAAAAACACACTCAGTCGACTGTTTTGTCAGGAGCTGCACGAAATCTTTCCTTCCTGTGGAGGTTGCGAGGTCTGTTGTATTTTGGAGCAATGGAGCAAATTGCGGGTTATAGTCAATCCAATGCCGTGTTTCAGCAAACTGATATGGTGGAAGGTTGATCCAATTGTAGATTCTGGCCTGTGAGTCATGGAAAGGCCAAAACTGGGCCTTTACGCCTCTATCCCACAGGTTGCAGGTGGCCTGAGAGAGATTTTTCTCCGCCTGCGGACCTCCCAAATCAAGTGCTTGATACATATGCTCTTTCGAAGAAGGCAAGGTCGCGTCTATGACCCGCCGTACCAAGGGAATGATGGGAGACGCAGACCCAGCTTCCAGCCAGACGGCAGGGCCACCAACCTTCTGGGCGACACGCATAACGGCTGTTTGGAAATCAACGCATCCCCGGCTATGCTCCACAATCTTCGCTGCAGTGACGAAGGACCAGTCTCCGTCTCGAGAACAAGCTTCGAGGGGAATGCATGGTGGGCTGTAATTGAGCTGCTCAGCCACTCCTTTCAACGCAGGAACAATACTATCCACCAGACGCGAATGGAAGGCGTGTGTGTTCTTCAGACGCGTTGTGCGTAGCACTGGATGGGTGCTTACGGACACATCTTGAATCGTCTCAATCGACCGCTCATCACCTGCCAGAATAATATTGCGGGGACCGTTGATGCATGCCACATCTACTGCGACGTTCGCACTGCGACGTGCCGCATGGCTCAAAAGGCTTTGCACCTCTGTCTCTGTGCCCTCGACGGATAGCATGACACCACGCTCAGATCCCCAGAGGTTGCGTATCATCTTGGCTCGCTCTGAGACTAGACGCACGGCGTCTGGAAGGTTTAACCCGCCACTGACACACAGACCTGTAAGTTGTCCAAAGCTGTGACCTATTATCTTGTCGACTTGAAGACCAGAGTCTAGCCATGACTTTGCTGATGCGTACTGGATGGCAAACAGGATACAGTGGAGCCTGACAATGTCTTCAATCGGCCCCGCTTGGAAAATAGTCGGAAACAGGCTGGGTAGTCCCAAGGACAGACAAACCTCCTCACATTGCATCTAGATTTGTAATGTTAGCCTGCGGCAAAACCAATGTAACAGATACTCTGAGCGAGATCTAAGAACTCACGAGATGGTATTGGAGTAAGTCCGACCGATCGAACAGGTCTTTCGAAAGCGTTGCCACCTTGCCATTCTGCCCTCCAAAGCATAGGACGACGGGCAAACGATGGTTTGGTTGCTTCTTTGCCTGAATCTGGGATTGCGACGATTCGAGCTTGGCAAGGAGTTCATCGGGCTGATCCGACGGTATACTAAATGTTAACACATGGCTCAGGTCTCTGTTCTGTTTGATGGCCAAGTTATAGGCGAGGTCCTGACAAGTGCCGGGTGATGAATTCCTTATATGTGAATGCAGCACCTTGCAGTAGGATTGCAGTGACTCAGGCGAGGTTGCGGCGATTATGATAGGGACTTCGCGAGGAATCGTGGAGGCTGCTTCTGGATGTCCAGAGGACAGGGTGTACTGCTTAACAACAAGAGCGGCGTTGCTTCCGGCAGCACCGTAATTGGTGACCATTGCCGCGGCATTGGACGATGAATCGGCGGCTGAGGACCAGGGAATGGTTCGGGTAGGGATATCAATAGTCTTGTCCAAAGCAGGAATCTTGGGGTTGAGTCGAACGAAGTTGGCCTGTTTGGGTATCCGTTTTTTCTGCATCATCAGAACAGTCTTGAGTAGTCCAGCTACCCCTGAGGCTGTCTCCGTGTGACCGATGTTATCTTTCACAGATCCGACATATAACACATCCTTCCGAGAACTTCCTTGAAAGGTTTTGCGAATGCTGTCGAACTCGATTGGATCACCCACTTGAGTTCCTGTTGGTTGGATATGTTAACATTCTGATTCTGGGTTCTCCCACGGAAATGGACCACAAACCTGTGCCATGTGCTTCGACATAAGTAACTTCCTCAGGAGGAATGCCTGATGCCGCGAGAGCTTTGCGGTAGAGTGATCTCTGAGAATCAGAGTCTGGAACGGTGATTGGAGAGCAGTTAGATCCTTGATTGACCGCCGAGCCGCCGATGACGGCAAGAATCGGATCGCCGTTACGGATTGCGTCTTTCAATGGCCGTAAAACAACAAGTCCAGCCCCCTCTCCGCGACAATATCCATTGGCACTTGCATCGAATGCTCTGGAGGCGCCGGTTGGAGACAGAAACGAGGCCGCAGCGAGATTTTGTGTCACCCTAGGGCTTGTCATCACATTCACACCACCCGCTACAGCAATGGAGCATTCGTTCGTTTGAAGAGCCTGCAATACATGTCAGAAATGGCATTGGAACACAATCTCAAATTCATTGCGGTCTCCCTCGGAGAAAAAGGAAGGGATTCAGTACCTTGCATGCAAGATGGATTGCCACCGCAGCTGAGGAGCAGGCGGTATCAACAACCAGTGATGGTCCAGTCCAGCCAAAATAATGACTGATGCGGCCGGTGCAGAAGGCCTGGAGTGTTCCCGTGGCAGAAAAGGCATTGGCGTTACTGGATCCAACATTGTCAGTGTAGTCATCTGAACCTACTCCGACGTAACAACCAATATCCTTTGGGACCTTCGAACTTCGAAGCCCACAGTATCCAGCCGATTCCATGGCCTCATAAGCTACTTCGAGTAGTAATCGCTGCTGAGGGTCCATAGCTTCTGCCTCCCGGGCTGAGATTGCAAAGAACCGATGATCGAAGACATCTGGATTAGCCAGATAATTACCCCAAAATGGTCCTTTGGGTTCGCGGTGCAGCTTGTCCATCTTGAAGCGGTCATTTGGAAGTTCGCTCACGCCGCAGCGCCCGAGTTCCAGCATCTCCCACAGTTGCTCGGGGGAGTTTGCCTGAGCATATCGGCATCCCATCCCGGTGATAGCAATTGGAGGTACTGTGGTGGACACATGGTTTGTATCATGATTGCTGAGAGGCTCAGACTCGGTACGACCAGATGTTGTGTTGATGCCGTTTGGGAGACTTTCGTGTTCGCTTGAGTCAGACCACCGATTGTTCACGTGATCCAACATGCGGTTCCTGACTAGCCGTGGAACAAACTGGCCAGTCCCAATAGCCGCGAACACCAAGTCTTCATCTGTCAGCCCTTTTGGCTTCCCTACTGTGGATGAAACAGTGCTGTTCCACTGAGAGGGCTTGGCGAGTATGGATTCCAGAGCAATGACGTGAATAGAGGAGCCTTTCACAATCAAGTTGCCGTCGATGTTCGATCTCAGGGGCAAAACGCAGGAACGCCCCTCCTTCACCCGAAACCTGCTATCTGCTTCACAGAGATCGGAAAACCTTCGAACAGCCATCGAATGGCTGGGATGGTGGAACCGGCCCCTCAAGGCGATCATCTTCACTGACAAGCCATGCTTTCCTAGCTCTCCGACCACGTCATTAACTTCATTCTCTGCGAGGGTAACCGTGGCGGAGTTTGAATCTGTGAAACATGAGATGTAGCCCTTTAGGCTAATGTTAGCCTTCTATCAGATATATCATGACATGTAAAAGTGTCGAAGAAACATGGAAGTTGGGTGGGATAGATATAGGTACGCACCACTGATGAGTTCGCCAACACCCGGTTGAGTTGTTCGTACTCAGAGGGGGACTTCCATCTCACTGCTACGGAACTTGTCTGTCCATGCAAAGCAGCATCCAAGTCGACTGCTGCACCGATGCAGACAGACAGACGAATCATGGCAGAACTGATGTCCTCAAAGTCACTCGGACTATCCGCCGAGCAAGCGACCGCGACTGCCGCTAAGAACCCGACACAAAACCCCTGAGTATCCACAACCGTGTACTGGTTACCTGAATTTTCTTTGAACTTCCAAAAGTCGATTATTTGTCGAACAACCGTGAGAGGAGTTAACAGCACGTTTGTCGCGTACTCGGGGGGTGCTGTCGACCCCTGACCACAATCGGCGAGAATCGAAAGCTGTATGTCGCCATAAAGCTGGGAAAGAGCAGGCCAAGCCTTCGTGATGGGGGACCATAAATCGGGGAGCTCTCGCAACAGATTCTGAAGAAAGGCTAACGATGGATGCTCTTCAATGTTGCGGCGGATATAAGACAAACTTTCGTCGATCTCGGAACTCTGGGGCCCGAAAAGAAGACAAACGGGCCGTCCCGGGGCCATCCTTGGTTCTATCATCTCAATTGAAACGACAGGATATCAGGAAAGAGCAAGAAGAACAATCAAAAAGCGGCAATAGGGCGAGATTGCTGGATGTGAAGAGGAATATCGGAAGAAACCTTTCTCGCAGCCCTGGCAAATCTAAATCACGAAATAGCTACCGGGATTGAGCGGACCGTAACAACAGTTAGATGACTGCTGTAGGATGGCTCTGATTCAAAAGCACCGCAACAGCTACCACAGACGATAGATGAATCGACATGTCATTGTCACCCTTGCTGTTTTGAGTACTAGATCTCGAGATTCACTGTTTCTGCGGACCATGCAATTATTGCCTGCGGTGGCTACCTGCCGGATCTGCAGCCGATCCACACCTTATCGTGAGAAGATCGCAATATGCTTCCCATTCGGAGAGACGCTGTGGCTGCGAGTGGCTGGCTGGTGACCTGCATGGAATATGTGCTGCAACAATCTACTCCGTCATTCAAGCGGCATCTGGATCTTTTCATATCGTGATATTACCCCCCTGTATTGCCTCCTTGTTGGCTTTATCTGGTCGTTGTTACATCGATTCCAATCGAGTTTGTCTGCGCGTAGATACACTCTCTTTCCTCTTTCGGGTCAGCCGCGATATCTGCCATAGAAACCGGACTGCTAATATCTAGTGGGTCTTGCACTAAGGACACACTGTACTGGAATGTGATACCGTACATAATTGCTTTTTATTTTTATGGGACCGGTTCCACTTTGAAAACTTGGTGTGATCCACTACGATCCACGGCAGTGGACGGAACAGGGCATTCCGAAAGGGGCCGCAATTCCCTTGCTTTGGTGTGCTATTCTGCACGACCTCCAAACTATATCACAGTACATCGTATACGAGCACGAAAAAGCTTGCTTTGTCGTCTCATTCTCGATCTAGGGCTCGAGATTATCGGTTGATCCGAGACAATATACTAACACTTAAGATGATTTGGAATATGCTGACCAGAATTCCGGCAATGATACACACTATATACCTTGATGTCGAGAAAATCATTCCTCACACCCTAGTTCGGGTATAGCGCTGCCCCAGTTCGGATCGTAAACCAAATATGTTGACTAGGTAAATGCCGAGTCACGCACTGGAGTGCAATGATTCGGAAGTTGTAAATAGGAAACTGATGTGAGTATATCTCCTCGAAAAGTGTTTCAAACACTGAGACGCAAGGTATGAGAAGAATAACATTGACCTAAGCGGGCAGTAAAAGGTTGCTCCAGTGGGAACCAATCCATCTAACAATCTTCCAACATTAGACACTCGCCAAAAACAGAATCCCGATGGCTCAACACGAAGGTGAATCCGCGTTGAGCATCTCTGCGGAGGGAGTTGGATCTCCATTCTCAAATACTGTGGATCAATCGGCCTCGATGTGTGAAACTTCAGCACGCAATAATGAGCGCTTCTGTGGTCTGCAGCGCAATATGAAAGACCTGCATCGCGCTTCTAAAGGTGATCTCCAAACATGGACCGAGAAAGCAGTTCACTCCCCCGATACGCATAGAACAGAAGCACGCAAACGCGATGTTTTATTCGAGAAGCTATCAGCTAGCGGCAAAGGCTCTTCCGTTCGGGTCCAACTTACTGTGCTTTCGGCACTCCTATATCCCGTGACGCGCCCCGTCAAACTACTTGCGAACAAGTGTGGTAGCCGAACACCTCGAGGAGACGGACGAACAATATTGCATGGGCTCGATGGACTGTTGCAAAGCGGGGAATTGTTGTTGGTTCTCGGTCGCCCAGGCAGTGGGTGTTCAACATTCTTGAAAGTACTGTGTGGCTACCTTGATGGGCTAAATGTAGATGCCGCAAGCGAGATACAGTACCGGGGAATACCATACGCTAGTATGATGAAGCATCATCGTGGGGAAGTTGTTTACAACCAAGAGGCGGACCATCACTTCCCAAATTTGACAGTGCGTCAAACTCTTGAGTTTGCGGCGCATGCTCGAGCACCACGAGACCGATTGGGGGGCGCCAGTCGGAAGCAGTATGTCGACACGGCTGTGCAAGATGTCATGGACACATTTGGACTTGCCCACACATCTGGCACAAACGTAGGCAACGATTATGTTTTGGGTGTTAGCGGAGGGGAGAGGAAGAGAGTGAGGTAAGGTCGTCTGATCAGGTCTTTGCGAGGCCAGGTGATACGGAAGACTGACCAGACCGTTATGTATAGCATAGCCGAGATGGCTCTTTCGCGCGCTTCGGTTTGTGCGTGGGACAATAGCACACGTGGTCTCGATGCATCCACTGCACTCGAATTTGTCCGGGCTCTCCGTACCTCAGCAGAGCTTACCGGATCTTGTCATGCAGTGGCTCTATACCAAGCGTCAGAGGCACTGTACAACACCTTCGATCAAGTCATTCTTCTCTACGAAGGTCGTGAAATATACTTTGGTAGCCGGGAAAATGCCGTCTCATATTTCGAAAAGATGGGATGGGAACGACCAGTCCGACAAGTAAGCGCGGATTTTCTCACGGCCATCACCAACCCTGGAGAGCGACAGCCCCAGCCCGGAATGGAACATATTGTCCCCCGTACACCAGTCGAGTTCGAGTCATACTGGAAGAAAAGCACGGAGTATGCAAAGCTGAAGACGTCTATGCTGGAGTACAAGGAGAATCACCCTCTCAATGGCTCAGCGGAACTGCAACTCAGTCGTTCCAAGCGCGCCGAGCAAGCTGCCCATACGCGGCCATCCAGCTCTTACCTTCTCTCCGTGTCCATGCAAGTGAGATTGTGTATGGCCAGAGCGTGGCAGCGTACCCGAAATGATATCCCTGCCCTGGTTGCCACAGCGGTAGTGCAAATCGTTGTCGCTATCATCATCGGGTCTCTGTTTTACAATATCCCGAACAATACCAGTGGGATGGGCCAAAGAGCATCGGTCCTTTTCCTTGCAGTTTTAACCAATGCATTAATCTCAATGCTGGATATCAACGTTCTGTATAGCCAAAGACCGATCGTTGAAAAACAAGCTGCATATGCATTTGTTCATCCCTTTAGCGAAGCCCTCGCCGGCGTCATTGTGGATTTCCCTGTGAAATTAATTCGGTGCGTGTTGGCCGCTGTTGTCGTCTACTTCTTTGCGAACCTCCGAAGGGAACCTTCTCACTTCTTTGTGTACCTTCTCTTTCAGCTCACTGCGGTGATGACCATGGCCGCAATGTTTCGCACTCTCGCCACTATCACAAGGACAATTGGCCAAGCGATGTCTCTCGCGGGGGTGACGATTATCTGCGTGGCGGTGTACACTGGCTTCACTGTTCCTCAATTTGATATGCGACCTTGGTTCGGCTGGATTCGATGGCTGAACCCAATATTCTATGCATTTGAAGGCATTATCTCCAATGAGTTTCATGGTCGTCGCTTTGATTGCATGGATCATATTCCGTCCTCGACATTTCAACAAGGGCTGTCCTTCACATGTGCCTATGTTGGTTCTGTCCCAGGTCAAAGTTATGTCTCTGGTGATGCATATATAGCAGCGAGCTACGATTACTCCTATACCCACATTTGGAGGAATTATGGCATTCTTGCTGCTTTTTTGGTCTTCTTTTACGTGCTTTACTTCTTGCTCACAGAGCTGATTTCTGGGACTATACCGGCTCACGAGGTTCTGATCTTCCGCGATGAAAAATCTTCCAGGCAGACAAGCAAGACAGATCTGGAGACAGGAAACACGGATTCACCTTTGCGAGAGCTAAGGTCGGAGAGCACAGCGGTTGATTCGTCAGCGTCAGAGGAAAAAGACACTCTCTCTTGGAAGGGCATTTGCTATGATATTCCAGTTGAAGGAGGCGAAAAACGGCTTTTGGATGATGTCAGTGGTTGGGTCAAACCAGGATCGCTGACAGCCCTGATGGTATGTGATAACCTCAGTCATAACTCGACGACAGTCAACTTACAAATTGCGGTATCAATATAGGGAGTCTCCGGCGCCGGAAAAACTACGCTCATGAACGTGCTAGCGCAACGCGTGACCTTTGGCGTCGTCACGGGAGATGTACGGGTCAACGGATGCGACCTTGACTCCAGTTTTTCCAGAAAGACCGGTTACGTCCCGCAGCAAGATCTTCATGTGGAGACTTGCACTGTCCGTGAAGCACTTCGCTTTAGTGCTGTGCTACGGCGACCTGCATCCATTTCACTAGATGAGAAACACTCATTCGTTGAAGATGTGATTCAGTTGCTCGGGATGCAGGAATATGCTGAAGCAGTCATTGGAAATCCTGGGGACGGTTTGAACATGGAACAAAGGAAACTTGTCAGCATCGGGGTTGAACTTGCTGCTAAACCTCAAATTCTTCTATTCCTAGATGAGCCCACTAGCGGATTAGATTCTCGAAGTTCTTGGGCCATCTGCAAGGTTATGAGAAGGCTTGCGGACCATGCCCTGCCCGTACTTGCGACAATCCATCAACCAAGTGCGGTTTTGTTTGAGCAGTTTGATCGTCTGCTCTTCCTTGGGCAGGGAGGAAAGACTGTTTATTTTGGGGAAATCGGGCAAAAGGCTCGAACACTCTTGGATTACTTCGAAACAAATGGAGCGCGTCCATGCGGCCCAACCGAAAATGTAAGCTGTGCCAATATAAACTCCTGCTAAACCATTCATGCGTCTCCGTGATGTTGCCACTCAGAATATACTAATTGGTGTCATGTTAGCCCGCGGAATACTTGCTCGAGGTCATCGGAGATGGCACCGCAGAGGATTTGACATCCACTGACTGGGTCCAGACGTGGAAGAACAGCTTGCAACATCAGAATGTTCTCGAGGAATTGAATAAGGTCCTCTCATCTACTTGCATATCCCCACTCACCAATGCGGAAAGTATCGCTGAGTTTGCGATGCCTTTTGGTAAGCAATTTTACCATGTCATGAAGCGCGACCTTCAACAATATTATCGCCAGCCCGAATATATCTTGGCCAAGCTTGGTACTGGCATATTCTGCGGGCTATTCATTGGGTTTTCCTTTTGGGCCTCTGATAGCTCGAACCAAGGCCTGGCGAATGTTCTGTTCAGTCTGTTCCTGCTCTGTACAATATTCACGGCATTGGTTAATCAGTATGTACCCTTTCAAGACCGGTCCTGCTGGCTCGATGTACTAATCAGAAAGCAGAATTATGCCAAAGTTCCTCTCCCGACGGACTTTGTACGAGTTGCGAGAGAGACCAGCGAAAACTTACTCGTGGAAAATCTTCATCTTATGCCAAGTCCTTGTTGAACTTCCATGGCAACTATTGCTGGGAACATGTGCATGGGCTTCCTTCTATTTCTCTGTCTATGGAAGTCAGCAGAGCTCCCCTCGGGTGGTACTTGTTCTTCTCTTCACCGTTCAATTCTTTCTGTTCGCATCGACCTTCGCACACCTTGTAGTAGCTGCAGTCCCCAATATAGCATTGGGCAGTATGCTAGCTACATTCGCATTTCTGTTGTGCCTCCTGTTCAATGGAATCATGCAACCACCAAGTGCACTCCCTCGATTCTGGACCTTCATGCATCGTGTTTCCCCTCTGACATACTACGTGGCCGGCATTAGTGCAACTGCACTGCACGATCGTCCAATACACTGTTCTACACGCGAGTTGAGAAGCTTCGATCCTCCGGATGGGCAGACTTGCGGTGAATATTTGGCCGAATATCTGAGAACAGCACCAGGGGACCTTTACAACCCGCTGTCTACCAAGGCATGCGAGTATTGCCCGCTTCGCTCTGCAGACCAGTACCTTGCTTCCCGCGAAATATCCTGGGATGATCGTTGGAGAAACTTTGGAATCTACTGGGGCTACATCGTCTTCAACGTCATTGGCGCCATTGGGTTGTATTATCTTTTCCGAGTTATGCCCTACACCAGGAAGAACCGGGCGCACAAGCCTTGCAAGTAGTATCGTGGTGCCTGAATATTCTTGCTATCTACTCTCGAGTCTGCTGTTTCACTGGGCTACGTGCTCTCTACGCCCCGGTCTCGGATGTTCCCTTTATTTGAGTTTGATTATAGCTCTCTACTTGCCATTTCGTATTCTTCCCAGAGTTTCTCGGGGTCGTTGTTTTCACTTCGACTGATTGGAGGTTTATAGTGGCGGTGAGCAACATAATTTGCCTAGTGTCTTCTTTCGGCTGCTTTCAGCCCGCCATGTTCAGTGATTTTTCTTTTTTTACATCCACTTTAACTAGTGCAATCTAATCTGCAATTATTAAACCGCTAAGAGCCTAAGACTGAATCGTATGTATTGAATTCTACCGGTGGCTCCACTTCATGGGCTCCACTTCATGGGCTCCACTTCGTGTATCCCCTTGTCCCGATATCTACCTCATGGCAAGTGTTAGACCCAAGGACGATCCCCTACGATCAGTTTCATGAGCTGAACAGAAACTCAAGTGGTAATACATATGATGTATTGCTGCATATCGATCCATGCCTACAAATCGATCAAGATCACTTCTGCCTGACCTGCATCCAAGGTACATGCCGGTGTACGTGTGAGGAGGACTCGAAGACAACCCGACTCCAAAGCCAGCTGACTACAACAATCCGCTTCCAATTTTACCCCTCAATGGCCACATGCATATGTCGAACCTACGTGGAGAACTGATAGCTGTCGCCATTGGGACTTCGTAGCATCAACTGGCTCATTATGACGGCCTAGATCGCCTTGTTCCTTTCTGATTGGTCCCCCATTGTAGGAAAGCACATCACCGACGATGTCACCGAGCAGATAAACACATCTTGATCTTCTATAATGTGTAACGCTGCGTGGTTCGAGGTTGTGTGCTGTCGTGTAATGTGATATGTCTTCCTCCGTTGCGCTTGCACGTCACTCCATCCTATACGGTTGGATATACAGTGCGATAACAGGCGAGGTTTCAGGCACTTCTGCATATTGTAACGTCAGTTGGGTGTGTATGGCGCATCAGACCTCTTAGCTATTCCCTATAAAGCATTGAGAATACCCCAGGCAAGCCCTTCCTCATTCACTCTTCTTCTCCTTCAGGCCCAGAGAACCAAAATTCGTCATAATGGCAGCACCCAACAAGAAGAATATCCAGGGAGATATTTGGTAAGCTAATATATACAAACCCCGCCCTCCTTCTCAAGAATAAGAATTAGACCTGCCCAGGATGTTCTTCATATAGAACTGACGGATCGGACCAGGCCTCGTCTTCCGAAGAAGTATGAGACGTTCGTCTTCTTTCGGATTACCAAGCCAGCCGAATTCAAAAAGCATTTGGCAGGACTGGTCCCTTTACTCACCACGGCCGAAGATGCTTTCAAAATGCGAGAAAATATATACAAAATGAAAGCGGAAGGTACCCTGAAGGGACTGATCAAGCTGTCGGCAATCAACGTTGCTTTCTCGGCTAAGGGTCTGGCAAAGGTATGTCAGTATTACTCTACAACTTGTGCATATGTACTGAATATTAGCAGCTTGGAGCAGAAGGCTTCAAAGATGACGTCTTCAACAATGGCATGTACCAAGACATGACGTACCCCTTGCCCGGAGAAGATCCGAAGCTTCATCAAGGCCTCGACGACCAGCATGATTGGTACCACCAATTCAAGCCCACCAATGGAGCGATTCACGGCGTTTTTACTGTCACCGGCGATAGCGATCAGACTATCGACAAAACCATCAGCACCTTGATTGATCCTATGTTCAAGGTCGGCAAAGGGGAGCAGAGCATGCAACGCATCTTTTCTCAGAGCGGTAAAGTTCTCGAGGATGACAGAGAACAGTGAGACAGCAAATCTGGCCAAAAAAAAACAGAAGACTTGTTAACGGGTATTATTTAGCTTCGGATGGGTGGACGGTATCTCCCAGCCCGTCGTCATGGGTCTTGATGACCTTGCCAAAAAGACGATGAAGAATGGCATGAAGCCGATCCCCAACGGGTAAGATCAAGCTCCAGGTACACGGGGATGTGGGACATTGTGCGGACTCTGACGAAATATTCTTCAGTGTCATCCTCGTCGGAGGTGATGAAGACGATGGCAGCCACCCGGCCTGGGCAAAAGACGGCAGCTTCATGGTCTTCCGTACCTACGAGCAAAAAGTTCCAGAATTCGTCATGTAAGTCAGCTACTATTAGCTCTCATTGACTTGTCACCTATGCACAATAACCTGACACTTTCACTCTCAGGTGGTGCGCAAGCAACATCAAGAAGCTTGCGCATAAGGATAAGCAGGCCGAGGCTCTGGTAGAACTGCGCAAGTTCTCATCTCGTGTAATGGGACGTTGGCCCGACGGTTAGTAATATGGAACTCTCTGGACCCATCATACCACCAAGCTAATATGGTAATTTCCAGGCGCTCCACTTGAACTCGACGGGGATAAAGACCCTAATGAGACCCTTGACCCCGACCCACTGAAGAACAATCAGCTCCTTCGGGAGAAATGGGGGGATGAGGCGGATAAGAAATTCAAGGAAAGAGAGGAGAAAAATCACACGGATGACTTCAACTACCACCCAGACGACCAGCTGCGATGCCCTTATGCGTCGCACATTCGCAAGTGTGGGCCTCGCAACGATCACCCGCCCCACCCCAAGCATCTCATGCTGCGTCGAGGTATTCCATACGGGCCTTTGACACACCCCGATGAGAAGGCTGGCGGTGTGTCACAGCACGAGCGTGGACTACTGTTTGTTTCGTACCAAAGCAGCATTACTAATGGCTTCCGCACTGTCCAGAAAGGTTTGCTAATTCAGCATGTTATGACGAACCGTTGCTAATCATTGCGGGCAGATTGGGCAAACACTGAGAATGGTCCGAACGACCGAACCAAGCAGTGCGGAGGTGCCCAGGGACAGGGTATTGACCCCATCATCGGGCAGTTACCTCCCGACTATCGCGACAAAGAGGATCCCACCATCTATGAGCACCCAGCACCAGTTGTCAACATGCCCGATATTGAGAAGCCCGTGCCTGACGTCAATAAGCACTTTATCCCCATCGGTCGATGGGTTATCCCACGAGGAGGTGAGTATTTCTTCACTCCGTCCATTTCGGGCCTACAGGATACACTCTGCAAAGCCTAGAGGTTAGATTGCCACTTCACCGGCAGTCCGGAGCCACCGGAACACTGCCGTCGTCCCATGAATCTTTGGGCTGCGTCCTCTTCTATGAATATGATTCTACTGTGTAGGGGTATCATTTATGGCCCCGGTCGCTCTGCACTAGTCTAACTCTGTGTTCGTCTTCTTGCTACATTTCTCGGCTTCTCGCATAAAATCAAGGTTGGAAGATCTCCAGAATTGAAATGATCCCAGACTCTGATGCGTACCTGTTCATATATCGTACGGTATGGCTGTTTATACTCATCTGGTCTTCGTCTTTGGCGATGGAAACCAAAGGTGACAATCATGTGACGAGCAAATGATAGCCAAGAGAAGAAGCAAACACAGCAGAAGAACATCAAAAGGAGTTATTCTGCGCAGCTGTTCTTTCCTGTTCCCTCTCCAGTTCAGTTACCTTAATGAGTGCCCGTATGTAGACGGTTGATGAGGAATCTAATGTGATTGGTCACTGATCTCCACAGGCCCATCCAATATTGAGCGCTCCTAATCCCCCAAGCCTATCTTCAGTTATGGCACTGATATCGAGGTCATTCTCTAGCGACAGCGCCACCTTGAGTATCCCGAATCTGGGATAGAGAAGAGCATTTCCACGCCTGGCCCAGGCCCACGGCACAGTGCTATTCAATAATACAAGGGTAATCTGTTACATGTCCTCGGTTGAATTAATCACAGTCGCCAAGACATTCAGTGCGGCCTGCTCTTATCAACCCTTATCGAGTACAGCCTGACCCACATGTGGATGTCGAGGCGACATGTGGACTCACTATCTTTTCGGCGCTCCCCTGATAAATGTACAGTACCCTACCAGATAATTGTTCAACTCCACATTCTGCACTAACCACATTGGGCCTAGCTGTTTGGTCACGATGAGTATTAAAACCAACCCTTTGGTGGTGAGCATTTGATTTTGGCGATATTTGACGCGTTTTATGATTGTATAAAATACGATCTTACACTAGCGCGACACGTGGAGTTGAACAATTATCTGGTAGGGTACTGTAGTATCAGTTTTCCTCATGTGTGAACTATGCGATACATATTCGCATGTACAGAATGTGGTTTGCGTAATAAGCCCAGGGCATTGGTAGAAGGTTAGTTACAACATGCACCTTGGAGGTTAGTTTGAACATAAAAACATGGATTGTATAAGGTTTACGGGACGAGGCGCTCCCGAGCGGGACGCGTCGATTAGGTTTTTGTGGATCCACTAGTTAATTTGTGTTTGAGGCGACTTTGGACATCCCTTGGTATTCTGCGACGCAATCGACGACACACATATTCAATACATACAGAATAACATGCTCCATAAGGGATTGCATGCAGAGGGCTCTGCCGAGCTGAAATTACTACGGAGTATTGCTTGGCAAAAAGACGCTGTGTGACGTGAGTGGATACCTCCATCAGCCCCACCATCTAAATTATCCCTGTATGCATGTATGGAATACTGTACGCAGTATGTAGATCGTAACTATTACTGACTTACCTATCACAAATCAAGCAATGCCACTCAGGCCGCCACCTTGCCAAGCATCTGGGGCTTGATCATCGTAGCTTATGCCTCGAACTGATAGCTTCTCATTCATTGAATCATTGTGCTCGTAGTGTTGATGCAGGCCCGACTGTGTGTTTCATTCGCAGTATGAATTCGCGATTGGCTGTGTTTTTCCCCCGTGTCCACATTCTGCAATAGTGGTAGAACTGAATATCACACGCAGTGACGACGGCGATCCCAAATCCGGACATACAACATACAGCATAGACTTGGAGCTCCATATAAATAGCTTGCGAGCTCAACCCGAGCCTGCCCACTAGTTCAATATCCAACAGCCAGCTCCGCAGTTCTTGAAACACTTGTTCTCTTCCTTCAACCATCTCCAGCCTTCCGAAACAAATCTTCAAGATGCGCATGTACTCACTCTTCCTTGCAACCATTGCACTGGCTATCGGTGCCCATGCCCTTCCTCAGACAACCGGTGAGACTACCGACGCGTCTACCTGCCTTCGTCTTTGCAGAGACGAGCCCGTCTCATGCCCCGATCAGTGGAAGTCTACTCAGATCACCTCTGATGGTGAGGTACGGATTCGTGATATACAACAGCATGTCCCGTGTGTGTTCATTAGCTAATATTTGTGGCAGGACTGCTGGACCTGCTGCGCCGTGGAACCCGCCAAGGAATCTTCTTGATGAGATGCATCCCGTACCGCAATCTCAGGGTGTGCCAGAATCGCGCGAGCGCTTCATGTGTCGTTCATTTATGACAGATGAGGGAAACCAAGGGACTGTGTATTATCATTTACGTCGGGTGGTTAGATAGCCTAGGTAGAGGACACAACAATTCTTCAATACATCTTGCTCACTACACCTCACCGCGAAGCCCCTAGATATAAGTCAGAAGAAGTCACCTACCTAGTAGGTTTGCGTACAGGTAGTATTCCCATCCATTTCACCCGCATGATACATTCGTTGGAGCTCATCTGTATCGAGCGAACAAACTCACAAGGAGAACATCCAAAGCCGCCACCTTGTAACGTCTGGCACTTCATCCAATGAAATTAGTATATTACCAGGCCAACACTAACATAGAATCGGTCTTAATTTGAACTTCAACCTATTCAGCAGTGTGGCTGACGCCTCACTCCTGGGGAGCCTAAGTCTGGGAGTGGGTGGCATGTGAGAATACGACACGCGACGATCTTTCCATAGGTGGATGCAAATCAAGAGCCTAATGTCGATGCAAGGAGAGATAAAACTACAGTACCATGCTTATTCCTGAATCAGATCCGAAATACCAACAATTTAGAGGCACACTTGAGCCTTATCCAGCAGGTTGCTGCAAAGTATGTAAGGCGCTAAATTTACGATGCTGTGCAGTCAGAGCTCAGGTCCACAAGCTACCATGATGCGACTAGCGCTTTCCATATGCAGGGTACGGCAGCCAGCCAGCCACTGACTGGATCATGCATGATCCGATATTGAGGGATAAAAACAAAACAGGAAAAGGAATGGCTAGTCACATATGATAGGCAAATAGTATACTGTGTACAACAGGGAAGCCCTCGTCAGAGCCCATTGAGTCGGTTGTGCACAACATACCAGCCTAGAATACGCATCACAATTCACCCTTACAGGGAGGCCGGGAGTCATTCAGTTATGTTTTGCAATGTATGTAGTGCACAACTTTGGCTTTTTCTAGCTCGGTTTGTGGCATAAGGTTATGCTGTGATAGATGGCTGGTGATTGAGGCCCGGTAAATTAGTAAAATCTTTCAAAGAGTGCCTTTCACCATATGGCTGAATCTATTTCCCTCTGAACAAATTCTCATTCCCAATACGCCCTGTCCACTAAATGGCGGTTGAAACATTGCCATTATTCGCCAAGCTGCAGCCAGTCAGCTTGGTTGGCTTGGTCTTGCTTTCCGGACTCTTCTTCCTGTTGACCTCAGCCCGAAAGTCAGACCTTCCTCTCGTGAACGGAAAGCGACCATTCGAGTTTGGGATCGCAAAGGCTCGGCAACGTTATCTGAAGAACGCGCACGACCTGATTACATCGGGTCTAGCAAAGGTATTCAATCGTGGCCAGAAATATGTATATTCAGTCTAACTTACCCTCGCGATCAGGCTGGAGCCTTCCGAATCGTCACCGAAAATGGCACACGAACTATATTGTCGCCCAAATATGCTGATGATATCCGAAGTCATAGGGACTTGAGCTTAAGCGCGGCTTTGGTGAAGGAACACCACGTCAATATCGCAGGATTCGATGCTGTCAAGGTCACTGTGACATCGGATATTATCCAGGATACTGTTCGGACTAAACTCACTCAGAATCTTTGTAAGAGAGGATCCAATCACCCATCGATAGGCTAATGAATAATCGCTAATGAGAATAGTGAATATCACGGAGCCGATGTCAGAGGAAGCCACTATCTTGTTGAAGGAGCAATGGACCGACAGTACCGGTAAGTTATCGTGCGATAATCAAGATCGCGCCGAACGGATACTAACCACTTTCTGTATCAGAATGGCACGACATCCCGCTGAGAGCGAAGGCTTTGGGGATAGTCGCCCAACTCTCATCCAGAGTGTTTTTGGGCGACAAAGTTTGCCGGAATCCAGACTGGCTCCGTATTACCGTCAACTACACTGTGGACTCCCTGATGGCAGCGGCCGAGCTCCGTCTCTGGCCAGAAATGTTGCGCCCATTTGCAGCTCGTTTCCTGCCAAAATGCCAGAAGATTCGTAAGCAGCTCCAGGAGGCTCGTGATATTATCGAACCGGTTATATCCGAGCGGAGGATTGCCCAAGCGGCTGCTGCCAAAGAAGGAAAGCCCCAGGAATACTACCACGATGCTATCCAGTGGCTCGCGGAGAATAGTAAAGATCGCTCTTTTGAGCCCGCTGCTATGCAACTGGCACTATCCACTGCGGCTATTCATACCACCACTGACCTTCTCACTCAAACTATTCTCGATATTTGCGGACGCGATGAGCTTATCCAGGAACTACGGGACGAGATTATTTCTGTGTTCAAGGATGGCAGTTGGAACAAGAGTACAATGTACAAGCTCAAGCTGATGGATAGTGTGATCAAGGAGTCTCAGCGTGTCAAGCCAATGGCTATCGGTAAGAGCTATTCTTCTGACCCGCTCAGTATTGCCACGAAGTATCCCAAACTAATGGTTCATGACTTTAGCGAAAATGGCACGGTACGCCGAGGAGGACGTCAAGCTCTCTGATGGGACCATCATTCCGAAAGGCGAAATAATCCTCGTATCCTGCAGCAAGATGTGGGATGCAAACGTGTACCCCGATCCTCACACGTTCGATCCTCATCGATTCCTCAAAATGCGCCAACAGGGTTCCGACCAGGAGAGCTTCGCTCAGCTCGTGTCTCCGTCGCCGGAGCACATGGGATTCGGCTTTGGCAAGCACGCTTGTCCCGGTCGCTTCTTCGCTGCTGCTGAGCTCAAGGTCGCTTTGTGTCATATCATCATGAAGTACGACTTCAAGGTGGCCGAAGGATGCAACCCACAGGTGCTGAAGTCTGGGATGAGACTAGCTGCAGACCCCTTCGCTCGTATTGCTATCAGAAGAAGACAGGAGGAAATCATATTTTGAGTCCTTTACAGTGACTGAGCTCGGTCTGTACTACAGATCTGTCTCGACCACCCAGCAGTGGCCTGGACGGCTTCAATGAGTATATGGATCTCACAGCTCGACTCGATCGAACTGTCTCATTCGATACTATCAAGCCAGCTCTCCGCATGCTTCCTTTCTAGATTCAAATGTATTTCCGCTGATTCATTATCATCAAGCTCATATTCCGTAGGTACTTTCTAAATCAGTCCCAAAGAATGCTGGTATCTATGTTTCTTTCACTGAGGGGTACCCATTCTATTGATCTAAGCCATTCAAATACGTATTCCCCTCGTGGCTACTTCAAGAAATAATTTGGAGAAGAAGACGGCCGATGTGTCCACCAAGGCAATTTGCTTCGACAGGGCCCTCGGTCGAAAACCACAATTCTCTTTCGAAGTCCCCGTCTTCATATCGAGTGTCCATTCACAACAAGACCGACAGTATCTAAGATAGATTAAGACACCTGACGAGAGGACTAAATTTGCGTAAGGGTATCATCAACTGAAAGAATTTGCAAATGGGAAGGTACATCAATTATCATTATGGATCATTTGGGCCAACTGGTGAGCGGGAGCCAACTGGTGAGCTTTGGTCAACTGGCGAACTAAAGCGAAGCAGTGCCTTCTTGCCTTCTGTAAATGACTGACATTGTCACTTTAATTGCCGAAAGGTATTAATGAACTGGATATACTCACTAAACATAGTGTACGATTATTATCCTCCCTCCATATGGAGGGAAACTGTAGGGTCTATGAGGATAGTGGGTCGACATATACACCGGATTTTAGGCCGCGCGACATGGCTTTCCATTTCCGCTTTAGTGCTCACCCCTAGCCGCTTTTTGCTCACTGAGTAACCCCGCACTGAGCTGGTCAAAGCCAATTGTTGACTTCGAGCACCGAACCCTGATTTCTTTCCTTCTTTCCCAAAAACAGTCACTTATCGCCCACAATGGCTGGACCGCACAGAACGTCACTTTATCCGCAGGAAGAATGCCTTGCGCGCGTCGTTTGGGCGGCTCATACCCTCTATTATCTCACGAAAAACCGAAGCCACGCAGAGCTGCTGGAAGCTGAAAACACCACGGAGATCGGCAGTCATACAGATGACTCGAGCGATCATGAGGCAGACTACGAGACAGAGAAGAACATGATTCTGTCAGGGCCTCGAGATTCTATTCGCCAGAAATTCCTGGACTGCATTGCACAGCTGCTGTCACCGTGGAAGGGATGGGACGGGGTTACTGCAACGGCGATACGGGAAGGAGAAGCCGGAGTTGAGGTTGACATCACAAGAAACGATAATTTTCTTTTTGATGAAGGTTGCTTTAATAGTGAAATTTTGGAATACTGCAAGATGTTGGAAGAATATCTGGAAGGTCGTACTGGAGGTATGTAACGTATTCCATTTCTCCGTGGTGGAGTTTTGAATATTTGATAACTGGAACGGCTGAAATAGTGATGAACACAACTGCAAATTCTCCAACAGATTTCGAGCTGAAGGTGATAGACTATATGTCCTGTCGGATTGATCATTGGGTTGAAGATTTCCGGAAAACCCTTGAAATTGACCAAAATTGGCCTGACTGGAATTCTGAGCGATTTTTTGGGCAGGAGGCTGCAGTGAAAGCTTGGAAAACCATGACAGATCTTACACTTAGATTTGATGCTGATAAGAAAGCCGTCACATCTAGGTCTTTAATAGTGCAACAAGCTTGCAGCTGTCTCAATTTGCCACAGGTCCGGCAGTTGCTGGTGGACACATTTGGGATTCAGCGTGGTTTGAAACTCTGGAGCAAGCTGAACTTTATCGCCAGGCCGCTGGTCGACTGCCGATCATTGGGATTAATAGCCATTCGCGAGCCACTGTTACGCAACTGCAAAATCTTCCTAGTCTCCCCTAAATGGAACACAACAGTGGAAGCCAAATACAGAGTTGGAATATTCAAAGCATGGGAACGACTAGGGCTGGGGCCCATTCCTGGACCCGTGATGGGGATACTCGACCCTTTTTGCCAGAGGTTCGAAGAAGCCTGTGCAGGGTCATTTTCCCTGCATGCTGAGATGCAACTAGTGATGCACTACGAGGAGAGATGCGCCCTCCAACCTACTTTAGACTACTTCGGATGCAGTAAGAAGACTTGCTTGCTCTGCGAAACTTTTCTTCGTGCGCTGCCAAGTCCAATTGCCACACGTGGAAGGCACGGTATTTGTTATCCTGCCTGGGCTGTACCAAACCCAAAATCAGGTGCTATAGAGGTCGCCGTCGAGCGGTTAGAGAAGAGCCTCGTTGCCCGCATTCGAGTTCTCCTCAACGATTTCAAGCACATCAGTCAGAGAGGTCTCGCTGCGAATATCATGCAATCTGGCATGGTATCGGATTTTTCACGCCTTACTCTTGAAGAATGGCAGCGAAGCGAACAGCACCTGCGGCTTTTCGAGAAAAAAGAAACGATCAGGCATAGGGACCGGCTGATTATGTGAGGTTACATATTGGCATTTTTGCGAGCGATCAATAACTGACTGATCATGACATTAAAAAAAGTGAAGGAATTGTTCCAACTACAAAATCGCGCTATCGCCCGCTCGAGAATTTCGAACCTCAAAATTGTTGTGTGATGTGTAATACGAGCCCAAGGGTTCAATGTGCACAGTGTCAAAGCACATACTATTGCTCCACAGAATGCGAGGAGAGTGACTTTCGCTCACATAGCCTTCTTTGCCAACAGTTCGCTACTCAACTCGATAGACCATCTCCAGAACACAAACGGGCCATATACTTCCCAGCTGAAAAAGACGAGCCATGTTTGATATGGGTCCCATGCCGACGCCAACACGCCGAGGATGGGATCAAGTGGACACAAATTGATCCGTTTCCCTACCTTGGAACTGATAAACCAACCAAAGGGACTATGCACATCGAACATAACCCAGTACGATGTCGAAATCTGGGCGCTGGATTTGCAGGCTATGCTCCATACAAGAACGGATACTGTGTTGCTTTGGTACATCGGGAAGCCTATTTGAAGGACGGATCAACCACAAATAGAAGCATATTAGCTTCTGTGAGGGCATCCTGCATGTCCACCATCTCACATGAATATCGCGGTCCTATGATTGCCATACGAGAAGTTCCCCACGAAGACTACACCGATATAACACTAGCCGACTTCCGACATCTAGTGGATTATTTAATAAGCTACCGAAACACGCACATTAGAGAAAGCGTCCCGGATCGGCTACACCGCGCGCCAACAACCGTCCGCGGCGTGAAGATTTGCTGCCACGGCGAAATAAACCTTCATGGGTCAGAGCCCTTCATTTCCGTTGATATCACCCGCTCAAACCAGATTTCCTTGGGCGACGGATCTATCTCACCGATATCAGTCTGCCTCGGCATGGCTATACGGCTCTGGAAGGACCCGGACCTTGAGTTCCTACATGATCCGCCAGGATGGGAAGGAGACATGACGGCAGACAGTAATCCAAATGTTGCTTTCTTGATGATGGAAACAGATTCTTCCAAAGACGAGTGGGGCTGGGCGCCGATGTATTGGAATAGCAAGTTAGGCAATGTCTGGGCTGTTCGTGAAGATGGACAAGATCTGGCTGTGAACGATATCGCAATGATGTGCCATTTTGCGAGGCACAAACTACAGCGTATGTTCGAAGACGTGATGGAATCGGGCTCGGGTTTAGTGAGTAGGCAGAGGGTTTTGGATTTCATTACTTGGGACAATATAGTTACTCATTGGGACGAGACTGGCGAGCATTAGTAACTTGGCTCGCAGCAGAAGCCTGGTCTTTAATGCAGGATATTCAAGATCTTGCCGATCATGAATTCAGATTCTGGTTCTATGCTATAATTGAAACCGAAATAGTGACGCCACTCTTGATGTAGTCTTGTGGATCCCGGCTACGAAAACAATTGAACAATATGGTGCTGAGACCATTTAGGATACATTAGGAGAAAAAGGTCCATTATTAGAAAAGAATCATACGCTCTGCCTTACAATAGATGAATGTGGTTTGAGTACGGCCCAAGGAATAAAGAACAAGTGTCTAGGGAGCATGTTTGAACATGCCACATACATGTGCTTTATTTTCCAGGCAGAGCGGAAGGGAAATCACTGATCAGTTCTGTGGGGTTTATGAGACGTAGTGCCTATAGGCGATGTATAACATCGTTGGCTATGAACGTATAATGAAGCGAGTAGTGGTGTTACTGGTGTATGGACCGTTCTCGTTGTACAGCAAGAGGAGGCAGAGGCAGACCGCGCAGCACGCGGTCGCAAAACCTTGTCAATTATCATTATCCGGAGAACCCCAGCAGCTACCTGACTATATAACCCCGGAGGACCCAGCACATTCGTAGTTTCACAGACATGGGCGCCTGGAAAATTACTGCTGGCCGAGAGCACGCTTCCATTCCCTATCGAGGTTGTCACCAATTGACGTCATAGCCTCTTCCTCAAGTTCGCGGTGGGAAAGTTCGGCACGCTTCGAGACCAATGCCTTGGATTCCTCACGAGAGAGTTCGACTATAATCAAATAATGTTAGTTATCGGTCAAATTTATGCGGAGGGAGTATGATCGTACCATGAAGATAGACAGCAGCTTTCTTGCCGGAGAACATTGCGTGGGGAACATTAGTACTACCGTCGCTGTTCGCATCGCCGACAGCGAAGACTCCAGGCTCACTGGCACGCATGGCGCTAGTGACGTTAATTTTGTTATTGACAATCTCGAGATTCATTTCTGCTGGGAGCGACGAGGTCTGGACAGTAGGGAAGTTGACCATCAAAGCATTGCGATCGACTGGCCTGCCGGTAGTAAAGTGGAGGCGGAACTTGTCAAATTTCGCATGAGCGCTCTCATCCCGGTTCTTGCCGCCATCACGGAGGCGCTCGATAGAAGTAATGGTGCGGTTGTCAATGGTAGTATTCCAAGCAGCGAGCTGCTCCTTCCAGTCCGCGACCTTGGCAGTGGCGCGGGCCTCACCGTCGGCCGTTTGCGAGCCGTTCACAAACGCAATGACATCGTCGTACAGTGTGTGGGTCTCCAACACGTTGCCCAGCATATCGGTAATGTCGCCAATCATGCCAAATGGCTGGTCTCTGTGCTCGTATCCATCGCACCACGGGCACCAGAAGATACCCTTGCCCCATCCCTCTTGAAGGCCGGGGGTGGCGGGAAGAACATCACGAACGCCTGTGCCGAGCACGATCTTGCGCGCAGTATAGGTTTCACCCTGACTGTCGGTGACAGTGAAGGCAGAGAAATCTCCCTCGCCAAGAGGAACGATGGATTCCACGGTCTCATTTTTAAAGTGAGCAGTAGGATACTTCGAGATCTGCTCTCGAGCAAGAGTTCTGAAAGCAGCAGGCGGGGTGCCTGATTAGATAAAGTCAGACAAATCTTCTTGTATACAACATCAATGATATTCAGCCCTACCATCGTTACCAATCACATCATGCATCTCCCGAGTCGGAGCATTGCGGTATTCCTGGCTATCAAGCAAGAGAGCAGTTCTGCGGACGCGAGACACACCGCTGAGCGCACTCAAACCCGCAGGGCCACCGCCGACCACAATAACATCATAATCAGTCTTTGGTACTTCCGCTGCAGAAGCACAAGCCAGCAGGGAGACGAAGACGGACGCGAAAGTTGCCTTGCTGAAGACCATCGTGGGCGGATGCAATTGATTAGGGATATCAAGTGATGATGATTTGTGCGCCGTCCAGACTCTTTATAGGCATTCACAAGTTACTCAGGCAGTGGTACAAATTCGTGGAGCATCATAACAAAAGCTCAACCAGATGAGGGCGCGTGGAGACACTAGTAGAGCTCATGCGTCTCGAGCTGAAATGGCTGGAGAGATCGTCAAGATCGTCAAGATCATCAGGGATCGGGTACCCCCTTACGCGAACCTTCATTTTGAATCTGTGCGGTGCAAGGTTGCGATTGCCGATGTCTGGTCACTTCCGGACCTCAAATGGCAACCCGTGTGAGGAAAGTACAATGTACATCGCACAGCATCTCGTTCCAAGGTTAGATGCCCGACGCCGCCTAGAGACCTGACCGCCTCGTGGACCTCTCGATCACCCTACGAAATTCACAACGCTAGTGATTCTTAGAGGAAGCCAATTGGCTGGGTTTGGGCGGTAGAGCATTTTACCCTGCAGAAACAGGTTCGGTAAGATCTCGGCAGGGCCCACCCGTAGATCCGTGGGCTTGGCTTCGAGCAGCTGAAAATGTCTCGCCCTGGCATGTTCCGAATTGTGCTCTTCACTGATGCACAAAGTACCTCGTTGATCTTCGACTCCAAATTTAAGATCCAGCAGCCTTCAATATCACATTCAAGCTGCGTCGCAGTGCAGACGATCCTGATTGGCCAGGATTGCTTGGCATGAGAGAAACTATGTATGTCCTACATTGATCACCCAATTTATGAAAATTGCCTACGATCACCACCTAGGTATGTCGAACTGTAACACTTGTCTCGGGAACTTCTAAAATATAAGCACTGCTTCGTTCAAAGGCGGATGGTAAGTTTTGCCTCAGTGTCCTCAGACGTACCGCAAAAAAGGCGGTGGCATTGGCCATTCCACCGCCTGCTCCATTCGAGGATGCTGAATCATCTTTTTTGCAATGATGCCTCCCAATCAGGTTAGCGTGGCAGAATTTCATAAATTCGGCAGAATCAAAGGCGGTAGTCTGAGGTCACTGGGGCAAGGTAAGTTACCCGCCTGTCAAAAAGCCTCTTCTATGGACGTAGAGAGAGAGACAATCCATTCGGCTTTTCGTAACTTAAGGTCACATGTAGCCTTCTATGGACGTATTGAGATAGACCCGGAACTGCGGCCCGGCGAGATAAATCATCCAACACGTGACGCGTGTACCTACCTGTACCTAAGTGTTGCGACGTCGCCTATATACAAAAAAATGAACATGATATGTGTACAGTGCCTTTCTAAAGAAAAGTCAGGCAAAGTATTCTTTCCAGTTGTCACCTCAATATCCACTAGGTTGTGGTTTGCGAGGTCTAGGGTCCAGACGCGTGTTTGGCTAGCTCCCCGCCAACTGGTAAGCCTCCTGCCAACTGGTAAGCCTCCTGCCAACTGGTAAGCCTCCTGCCAACTGGTAAGCCTCCTGCCAACTGGTAAGCCTCCTGCCAACTGGTAAGCCTCCTGCCAACTGGCAAGTGCCCCAATAATCCCACCGTGACAGCATCATCAGCATGTATGTAGAGCGCCGAGCGAAATCGAGTTTATGAAAACATCATTATCATTATGCCACAGCGCCATGTGCCGCGTCTGATCTGGTATTTAATTCTATGGCAAAAGGGATCAATTTCCCAAGGTTGGTTCACAAACTTAATCTCATCGACCACGAACTCAGCTGTACCCATGGAGGCGGCGCGATCGATAGCCCTCAAAACATATTCAATAACTTTGATCGAGCTACGGAGTACCTCAGTACACACCTCCAGCCTCCAGGTTGATGTGAGCCTTAACATCCACCAAACAATCCGATTAGGTCTAGCGCGCCAAGAATCCCGCAGCATCTTGGATCATGTGATAAGGTCTGAGGGTAAATGAACGAAAGTTTAGAACTTTGCCCTCCGGGAAACCCCCAAGCCCCACCCGTATGATGTCCCGGGGTCAAGAGGTGAGATACCAGGTCGTCATCTTTGTGAAGGGTAATAACACGGGCAAAGTGCTGTAATGCGCACTGGGAAGATAACATCATGACAATATAAATCTCTTGCGGATTCAGCACTGACTAGCAACGCCATTGATCTATGTTTCCATCAATCCCTTGTAAGGCTGTCAAGAGCTCAGCCGACTAGGTAACATCGTAACATAGGTCAGGACAGTGGGAAAGGCTCGAGGGCATCCAAAATAATACATTGTTTAGCTTTATACAAGACTCCAGCTCCAATACGACCCTATTCATGATACATCTTCTCGGTCGTCAAGCAACAGCACCTTCAGCTTCTCCAACTTGTCATCGCAAGGCACTTCCATCTGCATAACCACATCAACGGCATCTGGTTTGGTTATTAACAATTGTGACACCAGCCAAAAGTTATACCCGTTCTTGAAGAAGCCCATCGAGGCCCACTCATCACCTGATACTCGGCTGCGCAGCGCAGTCCAGTAATCGCGCCAGCGGGCTAAGGCAATCCGAATGGCAGCGAGAATAGAATCTTCAGGGATGCCAGCGGACTTGGACGTGTCATTCTCGGAGGGTTGGCTGGACTGTCTGATATGATGCTTGCGTATGAATGGTCCAAGGAGCGTCATATGGGTATTGATGAATGAGTAGAGAACTAAGCATGAAATCAGTGAACATGCGGAATGAGACGTGAGTAGGAGGGGACTTTGGGAGTAACGTACGGTGTATCAAAATAAACATATCCAGGGTGGTCAAGTCCATGGGAGGAGACTCAGGTGTATCTTTGAATAAATTATCAAAAGCCTCGGAGAGCTGGATGCCGCGTGAAAAGCGGAAGCCTGGCTCCGCGAATGGATGGTCCGAGCGGAAAAGCGACTCAGCACAAGGAAGGTCGCATTCCAGTTCTGTTAGTGTCAGGCGGCGGGGGTAGTTTTGATAGAAATAAAATGCGCAATCAAGCAGGGTGATGACAGAAATAGTCCTAATCCGACATTCCTTTTGAATCCACAGGTGCTCAAGGATCTGATCACTGGGAAGATGACGGGATTTTGCAAGATCCATTCGTCGGGCAACCTTCACGACCTGATTGAACCGACTTTCCATGGCGCGATTTCGGGATAAGGGAGGTCCTGACCAGTACTGGACGAGGAGAATGATGAACCCGGCCTGAAAGTTCTGGAATCTGACCCAATCAGTAGGGTCCTCGTCACAGTATCGACTCCCCGAGAAATTTGCGCATATCTCACTCTCTGCCGAGAAGACGTCGTTCGAAAAGATAAACAACTCTGCGAAATCTAGCACTCTCTTGGCAGCGTATGTTTCCCTTTGGTCGTTGCTGTACATCGCGCCCATGAAAGCCACCGCGGCAAGTAGTGGCAAAGGGACTGCCTCAGGATCGAAAGGGGTCGCAAGGATTGGACAGCTAGGCTGCCAATGTTTGAGATATAGGGTTATGTATTTCCGTATGCGTGCAGTCGTCAGCAGAAAGTTGATATTCACCGCGATATCCTCCTGGGATTTAGGCTCAAGTGGGGCCTGCCACACTCGTGCCAATAGTAATTGAATTAAGGCTATTCCGAAAGGCCGCTCTGGTTCAAAGATGGGTGGTTCACCGGATAATGCGAGACTAGGATCCTGTACTGGAGGGATGACAGCCTGATAGGCTAGTTCATTGGTCTGATAGTGACCCTCGATTGGTCTCTGTCCGTCGCCAAATGGGCCATTGAAAAAATCCAGGAAGTTGTCCTGAAAGCTTGGTGGGGTGACCTGTTCAGGATTGAGGAATCCTGCGCTGAATTCTGCCTGGGCGCTATCGATGTTGTATGGTAGTTCTGTACGCTGCACTGCCCCTAAGCCAGTGGAGTTGTGATAGTTCAGACTGAGCCCACGATCGCGTGGAGGAAGCCGAAAGGTCTCCGTAAAGCTGTCGGTACCGCCATTCAGTAGGAACTTGATTGAGCCTCGGTCAGATGACGGTTGCTGGTAGATCTCAGATTTGACCGGTGTATCTGTATCGCCTATATGAGCTTTCCGTTGACCTGCGATCAAAGCGAATTGTATTGTACCTTCTTCGGTCCCATATCGGCTTTGGCCTGCCGTTCGCTCATTGTTGCACAATATGTTTCTCTTCTGACAAGATCCACAAGGGCTTTGTCCATCGCATCGCAGTTTCATCGAGGTGCACTAACAGAAAACAGTAGTCAGTACAATGATGTTGGTAAAAGAACAGTTAGGAACTGACCGATTGACAAGCATGTCGCCGCCGACCTCTCTGACCGGTCTCGGGAATTTCGCGGTCTCCACGTCTGGCGCAATCGCTGTAATGGTCGCGAAGGTTGTCGCTGTAATCATATTAGGCATTGTGTTCAGGTCAAAAAATTTCCTGGTTAGACTAACCAGCGCGCGAAACAGTCGTTACAAAAAATGCACGAATAGGGTTTCTGGCCGGAGTCTGTCAAGGCTTAGTTTATGACCTGGGTAGCTGCAGGACGGACACATACGGCGCAAATGGTGGCGTTTCAAATGATCAATGCGCGTGAATCCCCGCTGACAGATATTGCAGCGAAAGTGCTTGTCTGCCGGTTTCATGGTGGGCCATCGGGGAGGAGGAGGGGAGATATCCGGGGTAACAGGGGAAGACATCGAGTCCTGGGGGAAAAAGGAGCCGTATCTGTATTACTTCCGGGTCCCCGGGTGAAAAGTATATTTAGGCCCCACGTGGCTGATATGTACTTGACCATGTTACCAATCAATGTATCGTATGGTCATTCGGTGATACTACTATCTCCGTTATCGGCGAGTCCGACAACCTTCAAATGTGCGAAGATTCGAAGACATCAAGTCTTTTATATCACCTGTTCAGTGACGCACACTACATTCAAAGTGCCCTGCACTTGCAGACAGAAATAACACTTATACCGATCTTCTCCAACCGCCATTTTCGAATAAACGTTGATTGTTCTCGCTACCTGGTATGAGCTCTGTTGCCTCAACCAGTCAACCTCCTAGGCAGTGTCCACTACCTGTGGAAAGTCGACCTTATCATCATCCAGGTAATCAACAGCTATCGTATTCAGCCTCTCATTCTCTGTCCAGCCATTTCCTAGCCAGCCAGATGCGTTGTCATTCACGTACTCATACTCGAAATCCTCCCATCGGGGATTAGCGAATGCGTTCATAGCATGCAGGGAGGAACCTGGGACTTGTAAGTCAGAGACTCTCAGTATAGGGATATATATAGGGCATTACACACCTGGCCAGAGGGCAGTGATCCGACCATTCTCCGTGCCACCTTTATACCAGCTGCGACACTTGCCGCTGAATACTGTGCGTGCGAAATATTGGTCGCAGTATTCTGTGAAGCGCCTGACTGCCTCCCGTTTGACGCTCATAGCGCGGATGTTGTCCCGTTGCATCTTGCGAACACATTTCGTGAAATAATCCAAAGCACTCTCAATGAGCACGAGGAGATTTCCATCGCCAAGCCCAGCATTGGGACCGAGAGACATGAAATAATTTGGGAAGCCATCTGTCGCAATGGAGATATACGTCTCTGGGGCTTTTTTCCACCGCTCTGAAAGGGTAACTCCTCCTCGGCCTTTGATCAGAAACCGGGGGGCACACGAGGTATCGAACCCAGTGGCACAAACAATACAGTCAACAGGCCGATGCTGGCCATCCGAGGTGATGATGCCGGTATCATCCACTTTGACGATACTAGAAGTGATAAGGTCAACCTTCTCGCTTGTCAATGCCTCTAGATATCCAGGACCTGGAGTGAGTCGGCGACATCCGGGAGGGAATGAAGGCAGTATCTTGTCAATGAGGCCAGGCTTATCGGCCAGTCGCTGCTTCATATTCTCTGCAAATGCATCATGTGCACCGAGCTGGATTGGATCGCCAGTAATGGTGACACCGTGCACAGACTGAAGCTCTAGTTCGACCTCTACCAATGATGTTAGTTCGTCCTTGTGATAGGCCAAGGTTTCGCATGGTGGCAAATACCTTTCCGGAATTTCTGATACGACGCATGGTTTGTCTTGAAATTTTGGATTTCTTCAGCCGAAAAGGCGACTTGGATTGAGTGTCAAAAACGAGGAAGTTGCAATAACCCAGGATGCATCTGAAACACTCACAGTTATCTCGACCCTGCCCGTGCTTCTCAACCTGCTCTCTGGCGAACGTTGGCGAAATCCAAGTTCGACTGCGTATGTAGTGGTCAATGTTAACCACGTCAGGCAGTAGAGCGGGCACGATCTGAATTCCACTTGAGCCATTACCAATGACTGCAACTCGTTTACCCTATAATACGGTTAGTCCAACTGCTGAACTATATTGAACTAGACTACCTACCTTGTAGTCATATTCTTTGTCCCACGAGGCACTGTGTATCAGCTTGCCCTTGAAATCATGAAGACCCGGGATTTTTGGCCATTTCCAGTTATTCAATGCTCCAGTCGCCTGAATAAGAACATCACATTCGTCTGTGTATGTGTGAGAGGTATCGAGATTCTCGATCTATCAATCTTGACGTCAGTCCCCGGATTTGCTTGATGAAACATTTGACTCACTTTCAGATGCCAACTCGACCTGTCCTCATCCCAGATGGCCGTAGTTACCCGCTGCCCGAGGTTGATGTATTTCATGCATCCGTACTTCTCAGCGACATGTTTCCAATACTGAAGGATTTCTGGAGCCTCGGCATAGAACGAGGACCACTCCTTGTTGGGCTCGAATGTCGCTTGGTACGTATGAGCTGGAATGTCTACGCAACAGATGTCTCTGTCAGCTTGCAGTCCTGCGAATACTTCCGGCAAGGGCATTGGACACAAGTTTGATCAGGTCCACATACCGCAGGCACATCCCGGGTACCGATTCTCAAACCAGGTACCTCCAATTTCCGCATTTTTATCATAAAGGCAGAGGTCAATGTTCGGGATTCGCTGCTTGAAACGGATGCACGCGAGAATCCCAGAGATGCCGGCCCCAATGATGACCACCCTCAGCCGGCGGCTCTCGTCGATAGACCGCTCTTCCATAACGGTTTTCACATTGATCTCTGGTGCTAGGTGCGCCTTATCGAGCGTTTCTGGAACAGGCTGAGGGACGACGGGGGAAACCCGAGAATGACGCCACATTGTTGTACGAGGTTAATCGTAGTCGGACTGGAGGAGGAGTAAATGAGGACGCAGCGAAATATCAATTCAATACCTGAAGCAAAACGAGAGAAGAAACCATTCTTCTCGTGTCCGACCAACCTTCAAATCCACACCCGGCAACATAACCTTGAGGGGTATGTCCTGGCCACTAGTCTGGTCCCGCAATTTCATGGCTGGCAACGAAACCTTCTTTTGGCCTAGATAGATGAGGAAAATTTCCTTCCTACCCCTGGTCTGACCCACTCCAAATTACTCCCGACGCAGGCCCTCGAAAGAGGAAACTCGACCGATGTCTCGGAATATTGAGCGTGCATTTTTGCGAGATCAAGGATCAAGATCAAATTTTGTCTCGTGAGTCCACCCCCGGCACTCCCTCAGTAGGGTTCAAGGTTATAGTTTAACATGGACGGACCGCCGGAAATCCCCCTGACCCCTGTGCCAATATCCCCACGGTACGATTGCGGGGGGCCAGTCGCGGTTCCATCTTCCACCTGAACATGAGCGTCCGGACAATGACATTTGGTACAAATACCAATCATTTGTACCGAGGCAGTGACTGGCCTTCGAATAGCGCAAGAGTACAGGGCTAGACCAGGGGTCAGGGATACAGATGGCCCCGGCTACTCTAACCGAGGAAGATGGATAGTACTAATGTCAGAAGACAACATACCTAGCTTTGAGGGGGTTTCCCGTTTCATATGTTGATGGAAGCTCCATCTTCACGACTCCACCTCCATAATTCGACGATAGAAGCTTGTCGCTGTGTCTAACAACAAGCATCAGATCTTCATGGATTATCTGGGATTGTACTGTGTAGACCACATCAGCACGGACCCATGACTTTGGGTGATGCAATAATGTTGGATGCTTGGTTCCTGAGGCAGAGCTTTCTCCGTTGTTTTCCATCTGGATTGTATTCTGAATTCACACGAAAAAAGCTACCAAAGTGCGCAAGGTGGGTGAACATGATTTCCCCGCATACATTAACGCCCGACCATATTTAACATAACTTGAACCACAGGAATTATAACTAGGTCATAAAATTGCCCTGCCCATGGTGTTAGAATCATCATATTGGAGAGCGAATCAACAGTCCTGCTGAGTTACCCGAACTGGCCCCCGCACAAAGTGCCAGGTGCGAGGAAGCGGCATTGAGCTGGGCGATGAACCCTCAAGTCGGATTAAGCTAATGTGCAAATCCTGAGATCAATGTCCCGCTCTTGGTATTTCCACGTGGTTAATAACTCAATATGGCCCCCATCCCAGCCTCATGGCGCATTATCCGCATCAAGGCTACGGTCTGACTGCCCCGAGAACAGAATTTAATCCGAGGACGTAACGATTACCAACTACAGCGACGTCCATGAAAGCAAGGGCCTCGTTTGGAGCTTGGAAAAGATATACAATCCCTGAGACTCGCATATCGACGTGAATGGATCTTCAAGGTTTCATTCCATTACAATTGTGCTGCAAATCATGGTTGGATCTTCGTTTCAAGTCTTGGAACAACGCTACAAAGAATCTATATAAAACCTTTCCATTCTTTCACTCCAGTTTGATCACTCCTACTTGATCATGAGGTTTAAAGTCTGTCTGTTATTAGAACAAACCCCTTTGGAGGCCTGACAAGGGTGGGGCGCTTAGCTCGGCTTAATTGGCTGCCCGTAGCGAATCCCGCGATCCTCGTGGGGCAGCCGACACATCCACTCCCGGGCCGGGGCAGCTAAAACAATCCTCCCTCAGAGGCTCAATCTGAGCCGAACGTAGCATGTCCTCTTCAAAATGATGCTCCGGGTAAGTCGAGGAAAAGGCCGTCGACGGACACAAAAATGATATCACAACCCAGCGGAAGCGGGGAAATGTTCCCAATGCCAGCAGTACCCCGGTATCTGCATAGAGCCACAGGAAAGAACAGCGAATAGGACACAGCTCAAAACCAACAAAGCAACCCCATAGAGACAAGACTCCTGACGCTCTACAGGAACAACCCCTGGACAGATTTAGTGTGTGGAGCCGTGGCCAGCCCAGGACCATGCGCCAATAACACTCGACCCTGCCCGAGACCTAGGTCCCGAATTTCTTTGTCTCCTTGCCCAATGCACTTTTCTCGGCGTCATCCCATTTTCCCATCTCATCCAGTGCAGAGTTTCGACTTCATCGGCGGTATCTCGCATAAGTTGACTGATAGTCAACCCTTGCGCATCATGTTTGCATCCCAACTGGTTCGACCTCTACTGGCATGGCTAGCTTTGGCAAGCATCACCGCGGCTGCATCCTCCATCCCGTCACCTCCTTCAAGAACATCGTCGGCAAGTGCGGCGACTCATACGGTCAAGGTTGGATACAAGTCGGACCCGCACCAATTCTCTCCAGCCGAAGTCAAGGCCAATGTCGGCGATATCATCCTCTTCGAATTCTATCCGACGAATCACTCTGTCGTGAAGGCGGATTATCTCGCGCCTTGTGTTCCGGCAAGTGACGGGCTCTTTGCGTCTGGTGCCTTCGAGGAGTTCTATCTAGACGATGACGGACAAGCTGTCGGACCGGTAAGTGGCATTATGCCTTCGATGTATGGCGAGCGATTCGGCTAGTCAACATGCTGATCGTAGCAACGCAGCCTCCAACTTGGTCCATCAAAATCAATGACACAGAGGTATGTACCCCATGCCGAAGGGCATCCGACACCGCGATAATGGCTAACAATCATCTGCTCAGCCCACTTTCTTCTATTGCACTGCGATAGATTCATGCTTAAAGAATGGAATGGTCGGAGCGATCAACCCAGTATGGCACTCAATTTATGTCCAATGCAAGTTTACATTGACTGATAAATCCACAGACCTCAAGCCAGACTTGGAGAGCGCAATACGCAAAGGCTCTCACATATCCCTACATGTTAGTTCCAGGACAATCTCCGCCCCCCGAAGGCGACGGCAATGGTTCCAGCGGGGGCGGGGGTGACGACTCATCTCATGAAAGCCAAGGCAAAAGTAGCGGGCTGAGCAAGGGCGCGATCGCCGGTATCGCTGTTGCCGGTGTGGTGTTCGTAGCCATACTTGTGGCACTGTTCTTCGTTCTCGGCCGCAACCGCGTCTATAGGCAGTGGATGTCATCAGAGGATGGTCGCACGGAGCGCACCGCACGGTGGGCATTTTTCAACCATGGTGAACCGAACAGCTACACCAAGAGTGAAGTTGGCAGTAACGCGCCGGCCCCGATGAAAGCAGCACACTCCGATATTACCGCTGTCTCCAGCCCCGATCCGACTGTGCGCACGTTTACACCAAGCATGGAAATCAACTCTGGGCTTAGTTCACCCTCTGCGCAGCAGGGCCACTGGAGCTGGAATGACAATCCTCATCAAACTCGTTCCTCTGCGCCTATTGTGCCGATGGAACTGGAAGGTCATCCTATCGGATGGGAAGTACCGGGCAGTACTCCACCACATCGGTACTGAGGTAGTCCCAAACATGAAATTGTCGGGGTGGGGGGCATCGAGTTGTGTCCTGATCGGTTGAGGGGGATCATTCTGCTGTGCTGCTTTGCTTTGCTGGGTTGTGGTGTTCGTGTTGGATTGGTTTCTTGTGATGCTCAAATCATTTTGATTCTTTTATACATATAGTGATGGATACCCGTAATTTATCTCCATTTTGACGTGCGCCCTATAAATCGATTGTCTCGGGCCTTAACCTAGCTGTTGATGGGGCGCTCCTCCAGCGAATATTTCCATATCGTGTGCCTTCAACCGTACATTTTCCGTTTCTTGTGTCGCGAAATTATAAAGAAGGACACACGGCATTTTTGAAAAGTAAACCATCGTTCATAGACGGTTACAACTTACAACCTAACGAGGATGTATAGGTACTCTCAATGTGTGATGAAGGCTACAAGACCCAACCCCGGGCCCCGCGAGAGATAAACCCGTTAAAACTTCAAGCGTGTGCGTGTAAGTGTTAACTCTATACGAAAGGTGAACAGAACATGTGTAAATTACCTTTCCAGTTAAAATATCAGCAAAAATTTTCTGTCCAGTTGTGAGTATTCACTTGTGGGTGCCAATTTCCAGACGCGTCCTTGGCGAGGCTTTCCGCCAACTGGCAAGCCTCCAGCCAACTGGCAAGCTATCCGCCTGCGGCCATAGGTTTCCGCAGCCCAGGGGCCGGGCCGGGCCGGGCCGCACTGTTCTCACGGCTCCGTTGAAGGATCTGTTGATTGGGAAACTTCCAGGTTGGGACAGATGGATGTTATAGTGTGAGCAGACAAGATGCCTTAGAGCCAAGGGGGCGAATGGCATCTCGGTGAAGATTGAAGATGGTCATATTGGGGTCCTTTATTTGGCTGTTGCGAAGAGTCTGGAGCAGCTGAATATTGGAGATCCTGAAATGCGTCAGGCGCTTTCTAGTTCCGTCACCCGAAGATCTTGAATACGGTCAATATTGAGACTGGCAAGTTCACGCCATGCTTCCGAGTGCGCGCCACATGATGCTCGTTTCGACCCTGATATTGCTCGGTTTGTATAGACAATAGACAAATTAGACAATTGGAGACGTATAGGGAGGTCCCATTTAGTTACAGCTGAGTCTCCCCTCCAAATGAGTCCTTGAATAGAATTCAATGCATAGGATTCATTGTGTCGAATAAATGCCGGCTATTGTATACGTAATTCATGCGGTATACCTACACTTAAATCATGAGTAAGATATTATTCTGTCAATAGCATCGATGGTTGCCTGATGGGTACAATGAGCACCATGGCTATTCACACAATCAGTGTTGGCTGCATCTCTCCTACTTGAAAAGCTAGTTAACATCTCCAAACTGTCCTCATTCCTTCTCAAATCTCGCATCCTCACTGTCACCTTTTCTATGTATCACCATACATCTCTACCAATCGTCACCATGGAGCCCACCAACCAAGTGTTCGAAGAAGACCGCAAGACCATCGACGAGGACCTCACTACCATCGACGACGACATTCTCATCTACACAGGCGAAAGACGGCATACGCAGATGGTAAGCACCGACTCAGATAGCCCCTACTCCCTACCTACTAGCTAATTGATATAGCAGGCATTGATGCCATCGCTGCCCTTGGTGCCACTGCAGCCTGTTAGGACGAAGAAAAGGAAACGTGACTCCGACGGTTCTCCTTCTCCGAGGGTATGTTATAGCTTGATCCTAATACGAACTACCTGACCCCCCATTCAAATACTGACCTCTATACAGCCAGAAAAGAAGCGCAGACCGGCTTTTGCAAACCTGCACGAGTTGCTGGTAACCTACCGCGGCCTGCAGGAATGGGAACGCAAGATCAGCGAAGATCTTGCATACTGCCAGAAGCTGATAGCCAAGCACCACAGCGGCAGTATATTCCAGCCCAAGTATCGTCCGGGGGCTGAACCGCCTCTCTTCGAATACGTGCGGTCTCCCTTGTGTGAGAAGATCGAGGTAGACGCGGAGGAGGATGCCTGTGTGGAGGACGCCCGTGTGGAGGCACTAAGACAGGCCAGGGAGCGGTGCCTAGAGGGCTACCTGAACGCGGAGGAGGAGCACCGGCAGGCCCTGTTTGAGGACTGCAGAGAAATGGAAACTGGAGGCAGGGGATCGGCTCGGAAGGAAGCAAGCGACGAGGGAGACCAGAACCAACCAGAGGGACATTCCTCGTTTTGGGGGCATGTGCAACGATTCTTCTGGATGATGTGGTGAGCGATTGAATGATATGCCGAGGGTGTGGAGAATTTGGGCTGGTTCCCGCTGGCAGTGGCGGGACCGCCCTATTCTTATTATTATGTCAATGAACCAATTTCAAAGACTCTATTTATGAAACTATGGCGCCTGTTGTTTGTACTATGGACACGTGATGTATCTTGGTCAGCAGTCAGGCGGAAGGCTGCTACCCAGCCTTCCACCTGAACCCCTTAGACAGACAAGAAGAAGAACAACCAAGAAACACCATAGCAAGCGGAATCCGATCCCTGTGCAAGCAATTGCAACAACCTGCCCTTCGTCTGAGACAAGCAGGCAGTAGACCTGCCAACAGCGCCGTCTCTTTTCAACAGTAACCCAATGTCTAGTTGAATTTGCTCCGATCATACACCTGCGATTGCGCATCACTCGAATCTGACTGGGCGGTGCGAGCTACATCGGGCAAATGGATTTCTCTCCCTCTTGCGCATCACTCATGGCCAACCTCCCTGATATACGGAAAGAAATCTTAGGAGACAACTATTCCAAACGAATTGTGATTAAAGTGAATACCAAACTCCTTGATCCCCAAGACTACCGTGCCTCGGCGAACAGTGTTGCCAGCGAAATCTTTCCAGAGTGGGAAAGTGACTCCCGAATTATCTTCCTCGCTATCGATGTGTGGAGTGAGCGAACATTTCTCGTTATTGACGTCAACCGCCATGATTACGACTTTCACACAGCGCACAGAAGCAAGATCATTCTTCCAGTCTATGTGCTGCGACAGCGTGGGAAAAACCGTGGCTGGGCTCTCGTAAGGTGGCCTCAAGAAGATGAGCCCCTTGCTGCGAAACTAGCCGATCTTCACAATGTCAATGGGTTTGACGTCCCGACACCATTCCTGGAAAACCACAATTCACGCATCGTCCATGCCAATCCCCGCGAGTTTCCTGTGTGAGCTCACATTGTGTTGTTGACCGAGCTTGCTCTTTGAAGGCTCGCTGGTTCGTGCCATCCAGTTGCCGGGGAAAGGCAACACTTGACTAAAAGGGGGACATTTGTTGCTACTGCCACAAGATTGGATCGAATCTACGGGTGCGGCGATAGGATTAAGGAAGATCTCAGGTTTAGACCTTGCGCCAAAGTCGGCACCACCGCCTGCCCAGGTCGCAAGGAAAAACCCCTTGGGATCAAGCCGGGTGAAAGGAAAATGTGGAGCCCACGGTTGCAGAAACCTATAAAATCCGAGTCAATTTTGGAGGGGTCCCGGGGCCGGGGGTTTTGACTATTCTGGTTTGTTAGCTGAGAACTGCGATTCTATAGTTATCATTCTTTGTAACTAGACTCATCACCTATGAGTGAGCGCTGTGAGGAAGGACTAATAAGTACACCGTGGCTGTCTAGCATATTGAATCTTCCAATACCATTCGGCAGTTAAAAAGACAATGTCAGTAATTTTCAGAATGCAATAGGGACTGCGGTGGGCCGGTGGTGTTAGTGGGCTCGCCAGTTGACCCCAAGGTCTTTGCCCCTAGACGCCATGAAATTCAGTGCGGCCTGGGTTTATCGGGCCTTATCCACTATGTACGGCTGGACCCACATCTGGATGTCGAGGGCCGAGGCGACATGTATTGCCAAGACCACCGCCTTCTGACGGGGGACGGGAGACTCTGACTCTGGTAACCAATCATGTTCAAAGTCCTCGTTTCCAACGTCCCCACATCGTCCGCCTCTTATTCTGTCAACCAGTTGGCAATGCCAAGCCCTCCGTCGCAGATGCTCCAGCAGTTGCGGCTGTCTGAACAACAGGAAGACCTGTCACAGCGACAGAAGTCGGATCACCATGGCCACAAATCAACCGTGGGGCGTCGTGCTGTACTAATGGGAGCCGCCGTAAAGCCCCCTACCAGTGAGCCTAAGGTTGGCCGAACAGTGGTACGCTAGGAAGAGAAGTAGCCCGGTCCTGAGCATCTGCTAATTCACGCGGTCTGTCCTCTCTTGCCCCCATCTACTAGTTATATATCCCTACCTTCAACTCTACATCTAGCATCTCCCAGGCCTATGATCCTGCTTCTTATGAGCGCGAATTTTCCGTCATGACCGCTGTCTCCAGGATCCCCGCCCTTGTCAACCATGCTCCACGGATTGTTAAAGCGGATCCTAGCTCTGGCATCATTGTTCTCAACAGCCCAAAGCTCTACTGGGACCCATTTTTGGACTGTTTGGAAGCTGAGTGATGTGGTCTCGACAACTTGCTCGAACTGAAACAGACGCCTCGCTCCTACGTCGAGTTATTGTACAGCCATGGCGTGGCATACCGCGTCAAACATAACTTCGTGTTTCCCGCGCGGACAACGTCAGGCCGCTGGGGGCTATATTTGGGTGGCTGGATGGATGCTGAATGTTGTCCTGATCCGAGTCATTTGGAGTCAACTGAGTGGAAGGCGCGGGAAGCAAGGCAGTTGGATGAGATCGAACGTCTGTTTGAGTCCTGGTCAAGCGCTGCGAGGATATACAGGATGAGCGGAAAGGCCTGCCGGGCCACAGGTCCGACCCATGGACACTAGAAGAGGAGCTGAAGCCCCAGACCTAGAACAATTGCAAGCTTTTCGGTGCTGCTTGGCGTTTGGGGGCGAAGGATGGGATCAGAAGGACTTGGGTATTGACTTGGAAAACTAACACAACGGTCTTTGATTTGGTTGGAATCAACCGTATCCTCTCATGTAAGAGGATGCGCGGCTTTCCATATGTGTTCCGGTTGGTTTTCCCAGCGAGGTTCATAGGTACTTAGACACCCGGAATGCGTCCGACTGGCAAGCCTCCCGTCAACTGGCAAGGCTATCCCGCCACCAAATGCACCAATAATCCCACTGCAACCTAGAAGGGGCTGTAGATGCCGCTCGGAGATTGAAGACTCCAGTCTAAATGTGACGATATGATATGAAAGCGTCGCCTTTAGGTTATCCGATAGGGCAAAGTGTAAAGCATGTAAAGCATGAATCCAAACAATAATGTAGTATTCCAAGCATTCTCAACTAAAAAGTCAGACTAACTACAAGCCTCCTGTTCCCTAGCACATCAGCTCAATCTCCATTCCAAACCAATCTACCACAACTCGTCTTCTTCCACGCTTCTGCTCTCAGCCTCTCTCAGCGCGACCAGACTCGAGAGTGAACTCTCCTTTATCCACCCAGTTCTGAATAAACCGCTGCAACAAATCTGAATTGAGAGCAACATATTCCATACACTGGGTGTCTCTCAGGGCGAGAGTTGTGTTTCGCGGGTCGTATAGAGGCGTGTTCTTGCTAGTCTGCAACCGAGACATGCCTTCGTAGACGTCTTCCTCAAGTAATGGCATCATCGCTTCGAGCGCATTCCCTGGTGACTCACGGACCTTGTCCACCCAGTCATTGTAGTCGATTTTCTGAACGGGATAACCGAGGTCTTGGAGCATTTGGTGGATTTGTTCGTAAGTGACCGACTCGCGGCGGTCGGGGGGCACAACGTGATATGCCCGGCCCAGATTGCTCAGATCAGATGCGATGTGCAAAATGGCCGAAGTGACATAGTCAACAGTGACATACTCCAGGTACTGACTAGCAAGATCAGGGAAGTACCCTATCTGAATACAACCCATGACCAGGCGGGAAAAATAGTCGTTCGCGTTGGCAATGGCGTTTTGGCTGTGACCGACGATGAATCCCGGCCGATAGATCGCTGTGGGCAATCCCTGGGCTCGCGCCCGCTGGAGCAGTTCCTCGGCGACGAACTGGCTGGCGGAATATCCGGTGTCATAAGGAGCGGCATTGATATGCGGCATGAGCGGCTCATCTTCATCCACACGATCCACATTGTTGATAAACCCACTGACGCTCCACACGTCGATTGATGAGACATAATGTAATGGCTTTCGGCGACCCAGGGTTGCAGCGCGGATCATGTGGCTCATACCAAGTATATTGGGCCCATAGTGCGTCTCGTAAGGTTCACACCAATTGACACGCGCGCCCACGTGGAAGATGACGCTGGCCCAGTTTGCGAGCCAATCGAACTGTCTCTCTCCAAGACCCAAGTTTGGATCCGTCAGCTCGCCCTCCAGGACCATAATCTTCTCTGTCTTTTCCAGCCGACTGTCCCATAGATTGTATTTCTCAAGGGTTCGCTGGATTCGAGCGCTGGCACTGGCCCCAGATTGACCACGTGCCAGACAAGCCACCTGCTTCACCTCGGGCATGCATACAAGTTGTTGCAATATATGCGCACCCAAAAATCCAGTGGCCCCAGTGAGGAATACTCGGCCTTCGTCGGCGTCCCGCCAATCTGAAAGCAAGTTAAAATTGCCCAAATCCTTTAGATCGTGCTTCCACCGCTCGATTCCGGACTCTGGATTGTCTTCGGCAGAAGGACCAGCTAAGAATTCTGCGAGGGTCTTGATCGTTGGGTGACTGTGAAGCTGTGCGAGTGAGATCGGCTTGCCTTGGTCACGTCGAATACGACCGATGAATTGGGCTGCCTGAAGGGAGCCTAGTCCGAGGGAGAAAAAGTCGTCCGAGGGGTTTCCACTCCATGAAGGGAGCATTGGCTCGAGGACAGAAGCCAGCCATGTAGACAAGTCCCCGGTATCGCCATCGCTCTCATCTGGCGTCCCTTCATGAGGGGTGGCTGTCTCGTCTTCACTGTTTCCCGATACCAGAGCTTCGCGATCAACTTTCCCATTCGAGGTGAGAGGGAATGATTGCTTCTTGAAGACCTTGCTTGGTACCATGTAGGGAGGGAGCTTCTTCTTTGTCCAGTCAATCAGCTCCTCTGTGTCGAGATCCAGCTCCTGGTCACCGAGCACGACGTATGCTTCCAGATATTCCGCTCCACTCTCCTTCTGGTAATTCACCACACATGAGTGGACACGCGGATGTTCCTCAATCACACGAGACACCTCCCCAAGCTCAACGCGGTAGCCCGAAATCTTGATCTGGTCATCGGCCCGGCCGATGCACTCCAAAGAACCCCCTGCCTTGTCCCGCCACTGTGCCAGGTCTCCACTACGGTACATTCGTGTGCACGTACCGTCGACGTCCACCGAAACAAAGCTTTTCTCGTTCTCATCTTCTCGGTTCAGATATCCAGGCGACACTTGAGGCCCAGCAATGCAGAGTTCCCCGGTGACACTCGGCTCGTTGATAAATTGCAGATCATGATCAAGGAGGAAAATCTTCATGTCGCCGAAAGAGTGCCCGATAGTGATGCGCGAGCGTTGCGCCTCCTGGTGATCTACCCGGGCCATGGTGACATAGATAGTCGTTTCGGCAGGGCCATATACATTCCACAGGTTCTCTGGTGGACCTGCCTCAAGGACAGTACGCATAGCACTGCTGCTGACAGCCTCTCCGCCGACGATGACATGCCGCACTCCATGGAAAGCCTCCGGTGCAGTGAGCGCAATCACCTCGAAAAGGGCGGTGGGTACGATTGTGAACTTGATCTTCTGTTCCTTCACAAAATTCTGTAGCGCAAAAGGGTCGTTCCGTATGATGTGCGGTACGTGCGCCACTGTCGCCCCGTCCAATAAGGGTTTCCATATCTCAAGGAGAGAGAGGTCGAATCCGGGATTCAGCATAGCAGTGCTCTTATCAGAGGAACCGAGTGGCCCTGTAGGTATGTTTCTCAATGCGTGAATGATACTACTGGCCAAGACCTGAATTGGTTTTGGTCGACCGGTAGAACCTGATGTGAACACAATGTGGCTTCGGTGGGTCTCTGGACGACCGGCACGCACAGGTATGTCCTGGTCATTGTTGCTGTCGACCTGTGCGTCCAGAGCTGCTTCAATGGGGATGACAGTCACATTGGGGGCCGACAGCTCAGAGTCACCGCTGGTAATTAGGAGCGTCGTATCGAGATCTTCAAGCATCCCTTTGATTCGATTCGGAGGTGCGGCTGGATCAACAGGAACACAGGTCCCTCCCGCACGTAAGACGGCGATGTGGGCCAGGACCTGTGGAAGCCCCGTCTGAACGAGGGTAAGGACAGGCTTTTCTGGTTGAAGAGAACGTTTCTCCAGAAGATCAACTAGGACATCCGCTCTCATGATGAGTTCTCGGTAACTGATGATATGGGTATCATCCACCACCGCAGTTGCGTTGGGTGCTGAGTTGGCTTGCTGAATGAGAATTGACTCCATAGTGTAGGGTTTTTAAGATATTTGGATCGCTTGGATGTAATTCAGATGATAGACTTGTTGAGAATGGAGAGACATTTCAGCGCATGGAAACATCCGTTATTTATACACTACGTCCATATGTCTGCGTCTACGACTGCAAGTCTTTCGGCCTAGTGATTGAACAAAGGCTCTCGTCATCAACTGCCTCAAACGGCTTGATGCGTACCTACTTCAGGTTTTAGAGGACTATCGAGAGGTTAACAACTTTGGAGCCTCGCAGCCACCCGATACGAATCATACATGATTGGTTTACTACCTGTGACACACTGCAGCAAACTCCGCATAGAGTAAGGAGTAGATGATCATCCACCATGTAGATATTCTAGCATCAACTTTGACCCCATACCTCGCGAGAACGTTGTTGTATGTTGCTTGCCACCTTCGCTGAAGTGACGTTGGACGACTCTCCAAACAGGTATGAGGTCTTTGATGACGCATAGAGAGGTCTTTCAACTATCCATGTCAGTATCGTTCGTGCTGATCAGTAATGCTATAGTTAGTTCGGTACGAGTTCTTTCCCACGGTTGGCTAGTGGGGTGGGAAGGTGTATACACCATTCCATGCTGTGGGGTTGATAACTTGATATCATGCATGGACTAAGTATCTGATCCCTCGTCCTGTCCAATCAATCATCCAGGATACATTTTCCGAATTCTTCAACTTCTTCACGGGAGTGACTAGCTAGATTGGCGGCATGAACGACCTTGCACCAAAGCTTTCCCTTTGCATATCTGACAGACTGACGATGTACATCGCCGCCTGCAGTAATGCGACCAGCAAGGTCCGAAGGCCGTCCTGAAGATATACCAGAGGGTCTAGGTCCCTGACGGGCCTCCTGTGATAAGCCTGTGGCTTGAACATCTATATCGTGCATCTTGGCATCAATATTAAATTGAATATGTCAGATAGGGAACATAGTTCCACGGCTTCTCATAGGTCACTTGAGGTAACACAAGACAGAAACCAGACAGGGATTGAATCAGGTTTGGTTCTAGACACTCTTTGAGAATATCCGGGGTAGCCAGTTACTACGCGCTGTCCTTCCACGGAGTCAGCCGCAAAATCTTCTACGCGATGCGCTGTGACACTGGATGTCAAGTCGTGCTGCGCGCTGGCTCAGGTCATGAAATTGGCAACAATTGACGAGTTCTTGGCATCGCAAGCGGTGCCAATAAGCATCCTTTAGCATGTGAACAGCCAGTCAGAGCCTAGGGACAAGTGAATAAAAACGGGTTGGGTTGTCATATGTAGTCTCATGCTTCAATTCTGTCGGAACAACAGCAGCAGTGGAGATCGGAGAACGGAGATACCATATCCCACTTAGATTAGTCATTGTTATGCCCATACAAATTGCCAGCCAGGGGCTTCATAGAAATTCAGACCTGTTGATATCCGATTGGTACGCGCTATGATTTACTAAGCAGTTTCCGACTGTTATGAGCCCGGTTCGCAATTAAGAGGGTTAAATTCGTCAATTGAAGACATACGCAGGTTTACCGCGATAGCCAAACAGGACAGACGTCGACCCCGATCAGCTCCCCATCGAACGAAATTGCAAGAGAACGTGACAAATATGGACTCAACCGTTGTCTCCGCCATGAAGGGCGAAAAACTGAAGGAACCAAGTCAATGGAGGAATTGGTTCGCACGAATCAAGATCTATGCACGACAGAAGAGGGTATGGGAACTGATCGACCCTCACACCGCAGAAGAAGATCTGGAAAAGCCAATTCGCAAACCTCGAAGACCGCAATACCCGGAGGGTGGCAACGAACTTGCGAAGAGAGAGTGGAGAGATCGTATGGATATCTACAAGCTGGACCTTGCCGAATGGGAACAGCAAAACAAGAGCCTAGATGCCATCAATGAATGGATCATCTCAAATCTGGATCCAGTCCATCACACCTCGATGCTTAACTACGAAACCCCATACGGACGGCTTGTATATCTTCAAACCCGATTTGGCCGATCATCTGCGGCAGAAGAAGATATCCGTGCACAGTGGAAGCGAGTGTCAGCCTCACCACCAAAGAGGGGTTCTGATATCGATCAGTGGATCAATGAATGGGATGCACTAAGAGAGCAAGGTGTAAGCCTAGACCTGCCAGAAATGAAGAGTGCCAATAAGGACTTCCTCCGCGCTGTTAAAGATCTACTCCCTGTTTGGTGGCAGCTGAAATTTGAGGCGATCGTGCTGAACCAGGAAGAATGGGATACTCGCGATTTGATTGAAAACTTCAGAGGAAGTTATCGTGAGCTGCACCCACAGAGCGCGAGCACTGTCAGCACTATTTCCAAAGCATCGTTTTCGACACTGCAAGGTTTCGATGAAGCTAGACCAGAGCCACCGCAGGGAAAGCCGCAAGGCCAGCAAGCGCAGGAATCGCCACGTGAACGAACTTTACCACCGATCCCGAAGCGATATTGCCCCTGTGGTAACCGTCACCATAAGCCGTGGAAGTGCTGGGCGGTCAACCGGGATGCATTCCCTGACAAAGAAGTTTTTGAGAAGACCGCGAGGCGAGTGGAAGATCGTCTTTCGAAAGACCCGGCGTGGAAAGCCTGGATAGAGAAATCTGTCAGGGATCACAACGAGAAGAATGGAGTGAGGCCTGCCACGAATACGGCCAATAGCACACAACTGTATGGCTCCTTCCTCACCACAGGTTTTCCCGAACAGGTGTTCCAAAGCGTAAAGAACACGGGAGGCGCCGATGATGACATTCGACAACGTTGGTTCCTCGACAGTTGCTCGTCAGTACATGTATGCAACGACAAAGACCTCTTCATAACCTTTAAACCGATGAAATCAGGCCTGAAGACAGGTGATTCGATCACTGCGGTAGAAGGTATTGGAAACGTTGTCATGACTGGAGCGGGCCCTGACGGATCAACTCGACGAATTAAACTGAGCAATGTGTTATATTCGCCTCATTTCCATGCCAATTTGATGTCTTATGGAGCCCTGAAAAAGAAGGGTGTTCGCTGGGACGAGGATAACGAGTGCATCAGGGACTCGAGTGGCGAATCAGTCATTAGTGTACGCCTCATGGAGTCGTTAGGAATATGGGCATTTAATCAACCGAGAGAGCCTCGTTCCTCACCAGAAACCCTTGCCCACGCACATGCAGTACGAAGATCGGTGAAACCTCTCGTCTCGGAAGCCTCAGCAGATCGTTGGCATCGTCGATTAGCCCACGTATCCACGCGTGTGATGAAGAAAACTGCCGAAATGGTAGATGGTGTTAAAATCAACGAAGATCTGCCAGAAACACCATCCGAAGAAGGAGAGCTTTGTCAGGTGTGCAATCTCTCAAACGCACCGAGACAGATATCACGACGACCAATTGGCCAGACCTTTGGAAGATATGGCCGAATTCACTTCGATCTGGTCCAATTTTCACCCGCATACAACCGACATCGGTGGATGACACATTTTTACGTTGAAGGCATCAGATTTCACTGGCTATACACACACGAATTGAAGTCGCAGTGCAGAGATGGAATCAGGAAATTCATCGCTCTGATCAAAAACTGGTGGAACATACCAATCAAATCGTTTCATTATGACAATGAAACAGCTGCAGGCGCAGAGATTGAAGGCTTCTTGAACAATATGGGCATTGTGGTATCACATGGCATCCCCTACCATCCCGAGCAAAACGGACCTGCTGAACGTTCGGGAGGAGTGATTTTGACCATGACGAGACACCTTCAAATCGAGAGCAAGCTACCGAGTCAACTGTGGCCCGAGATGGTTAGCGCTGCTGTGTGGATCCTGAACCGTATCCCTACCCATCTAAAGGAGGAGAATCGTTGGATCGTGCCTTGGGATGAAGCACGAAGGGATTTTGGCGGCGAACGGATGAAGAAGGCTAATTTAGCCAACCTGCGCGTATATGGCTCGTTATCGTACTGCCGTATTCGCAATATCCCACGCACCAAGAAGACCTCTCCCCGTGCAGAGATTGGGTTCCTCGTTGGCTATGTCGCATCGAACGTGTGGAAGATCTGGTTTCCTGCCAGGAATACGATAGAATTCGTGAGAGATGCACGTTTCGATGAATCGAGGAAGTGGAAGTCTGATATGCGGTACTGGGAAGATATCGAAAGTGTACCTGAACCTGAAGCAACCATTTTGACTGAGGAGGAGCAACTTGAAGTCCTCCGTGAAGACATTGGAATACCGGAAGGATCAGTCAACCGGAACACGCAGGAAGATCGCCAACAAGAACTCCACGAGAGTAATCATGAAGGCACAGAGAATGAACACCAGGAAGAACTTGATCATGAGGACCGTACACCTGAGGGGGTGTATGCACCGATCACCCCGGAACCTGAGGAAGATCCCCCTAACAGCACACTCCCTGGTTCGTTTCCTCCAGAAGTGATACCGGAACTACCACCAAGTCCACCAGAGGAGAATACCGCTGAATTTGGCCCTGCCGCTGCTCAGGGGGTGGACCAGTGTGAAGAACAGAACGAGGAGGAAGACCAGCCGCCAGAACCAAATCCTCCGCTTGAAAGCCTAGAAAATCAACCTGATCCAGACGCGCTCTCCGAGAGCGAACAGCAGTTACATGCTGAGCTCCACACTCAAAGGAGAGACGGGATTGTCACGGCGAACATCATGAATGGACGCAGAGAAAGAAGACCGAGGGTAGATCCGGATTACCAAACATACGCAACGATCTTGCCAGAGACTGAAGAAGATCCACCGGAGCTACTGCGTACGTTTGCCGCCGCGCTGTACACAGAGAAGCCGTTGCAACGCCACCGAGACGACCTACCCCCTGCGCCTGATGGATGGAAGAACATGTTGAAGCACCCAATGGCTGAAGGTTTTCTGGCTGCCTGCGCGAAGGAGATACGATCCTTGCAGCAAAAGTCATCATTCACCGTCATTAAACGACCAAAAGACGTGTCGAAACAGATCCTGCCACTCCGATGGGTATTCGCATACAAGTTCGACCAAGACGGTTATCTGCTGAAGCTAAAAGCACGCATCTGTGTAAGAGGAGACCTTGAGACAATATCGCCTGAGGAAAAAAGAGCGGCGACACTAGCAGCGCGCACAGCACGGGTAATGTTTGCCCTGGTCGCAGCGTTTAATCTCGATCTACGTCAGCGAGATGCAGTCACCGCATTCCTAAACAGCATACTGCCCACAGAAACCTACACGAAGATGCCTGAAGGATTTGAACAGCTAGGGATGTGTTGGAAGCTTAATCGTGCGCTTTATGGTCTGCGCATCTCACCGAAGCTTTGGCAACAGGAAGCATCAAGGGTTCTCTTGAAACTTGGACTCACACAGGTCCCTGAAGACCCCTGCGTCTTCGTAACACAAGGCATAATCGTGTTCTTCTACGTTGATGACATGCTTATTGCGAACCACCCGTCAGAACGAGACAGAGCTCGCCAACTTGAGAAGGATCTGGAGGCACACTGGGAGCTTACGGATCATGGAGAAGCAGAATGGTTTTTGAATATTCGAATTGTACGCGATCGGAAGCAACAGAAACTTTGGCTTTGCCAAGACGCATATATCAGCAGTATGGCTGCTAGATATCATTTGACCGATCGACCACCTGTCTACACCCCTCTCCCGGTGGAAGAAATGAAGGCATTCGAAGGAACAGCAACACCGGCTGAGATCAAGTTATACCAAGGAAAGGTTGGTTCATTGCAGTATCCAACATCGATCACTAGACCGGATGCATCAAAAGCAGCCGCGAAGCTCTCACAGTTCCTTCAAAACCCCGGACCACAGCACCAACGAGCTGTTGATAGAGTGATCTGCTACTTATATACCACACGATATTTGGCACTGCAATATGGAAATAAAGGAGACATGGAGTCAGTTGAACTGGCAAGTGATGCATCCTTCGCTGATAATCACGATCGTCGAAGCTCTGCAGGATATGTCTGCCAAGTTTATGGAGGCCCCGTCGATTGGAAGGCCTCGAAACAGCCCACTGTCACCACATCTACCACTGAAGCTGAACTCCTGGGGTTGTCAGATGCTGCGCGCTCGTTACAGTGGTGGACGCGATTCCTCGAACGAATCTCGTTCAAACCGGACCATACAATCACCCTGCGATGTGATAACAAACAGACTGTCATATTGTTAACCTCCGAACATGCTAAAATTGATACGAAGCTTCGTCACGTCGATATCCATGGACATTGGCTGAGGCAAGAGGTCAGAGAAGGCAGAATCAACATCAAATGGGTTCCAACGGCCAAGATGGCAGCAGATGGTCTCACGAAGCTCCTACCACGTCTGAAACACGACGAGTTTGTTCGGTTAATGCGCATGGAGGACATACACGACCTGATTGAGGTGTAGGCGAGAGGAAAGAGAGACCTGCTGCGGGAAATCAGCGCTCAGCTCGATTGAATATAACATTGGCGAAGATATTCAACACTCGCTAACCGCTGAGGGGGTGTGTCGGAACAACAGCAGCAGTGGAGATCGGAGAACGGAGATACCATATCCCACTTAGATTAGTCATTGTTATGCCCATACAAATTGCCAGCCAGGGGCTTCATAGAAATTCAGACCTGTTGATATCCGATTGGTACGCGCTATGATTTACTAAGCAGTTTCCGACTAATTCCAACCTATCCTGCACCTTTTAACCTCTTTTTACTCGATTCTCACCATTCTTGTGTTACGGGGCCGTCATTCTTGGATCCCTAACACCATGTATGAGTAGAAGAACCATTGAATCAGCAAAAAGGCAGTTCTTTATAGTAATCACTAATCAGAACGGTGCATAATGAATCCGTAAGGAAGGGGTGATTTTATTGGTCGAGTCAGACTGAGGCCTGAGACATCAGGTTCGTTGAGGGAATTTAACTTCTCGCAAAATAAGGCATTAAGGCATATCAGGCAGAAGCAGGCAGGGGTGTCGATATCACAAACCTGTGCCGGTCTCTCCTGCTTTCAACAAGAGTCAATTCCATAGGCCCATAGCGCGCCACAGCGAGTCATTACTCATTTACTCATCTCTTTGTGGCCACGAACCTTAGAAGAGTCGTTCAGTCGGTTCCCTGTAAACCATCCTCCCTCTCGGCAAAGCTACTCCCTACGGCCGATCTGGTCGAGGAAGAGCACACGCCCCATTATAAGCCTCAGCACTTTTATCCTGTACGTCTTTATGAGATACTCAACAACCGATACCAAATCGCTGCGAAGATAGGGTGGGGAACAAGTTCGACAGTATGGCTAGCACGCGATCTCCACCAGTACGTGACTGATAATACCTTATTCAAACCTTCTCTCACGATATCATAGATGGCGATGGCTTCCGCCCAGATATGTGGCCATCAAAATTAACGCAAACAATTATGCATCTCAAGAGTCTGCGGAGAAGGAGCTGAGCCGGGTGATCCAAGGGAATCAATCATTCAGACAGTAGATAGTCTATAGAGAAGAATTTACGAAGGTATCTTTCGTCCGCGGGTTTCATTATTTCCAGCCGCTGCATAGGTACCTTGGCGTGGGTGCGGAGTTCTAGTCGCGTCGGGTGTTTAGCTAGTTTCCCGTCAACTGGCAAGCCTCCAGCCAACTGGCGAGTTGGGTATCCGCCAACTGGCAAGCCTATATTCCTTCGAATTGCCCCAATAATCCCACAGTCGCGTCTGGCCTGACGTTTAATTATATGGGAAAAGATATCATTTTTGAATAACTGCTGAATCTCGGCTCATCGACCTCGAATTCAGGTGGCTATCACAGGACAGGCCTGTCACACAAACTTCTATGTTGAAGTTGCTTTGTCGAGGCACAACCTATGCTCCACACATTATAGGGACAAGGTTGTATCTGGACGGGGTAAGTTACTGATATTCAAGAGCCCTCATTGCCGTTGGAAGGCCCCCCTTGAAAATCCAAGCCCTGTCCGTTTCGATATTAGCCGCATGATGTGACGAAGCAACAATCTGACCGCCAGACGCCGTAGCCTCGCAACCCCGCAAAGTGAAGGGGAAGACCGAAAATATTTTTATTACCCATCTTTATACATGCACTTGAATTCAATCAGACTCAAATCCAGCGAGACCTCTAGCTGTTCTCTCATATGGCGCTTCCACTTTACATCCCGCCGTGCATCCACACTCCCCCTGGCCAGTATCACCTTCCACCACCTGATCAGCCGATCAGAATCCAGATTGAAGGCCCTCTGATTGCCATAGAAAGGCTCCTGCCTCATCTGTCGTGGCAACTGGATCATCCGGATCGACCGTTCCCGCAGCCAGCAGGCCCGGAGCTAGCACGATTGACTTATCGAAAGATCTACGGCGAAGCATGTCTGGAAGCAGCCGGTGAACTAGCGGTGCGAGACGAGTATTTGGGTTGGATGGCAGAAAAGTATCCGGATGAGTAAGTGTATACCATTTTGTACCAGTGGAGGCAATATTCTGTGTGGCTAACAGCATTCCCATGAATTTACTAGCATGATTGATTATTATGGTGTAACATTTGACCACCTTGTTCCAGCTGATGATCCCAACCCCGAGGTGATGCAGATTAACATCATTGAGATCGAAGATGACAGCGGTGTTTATGCAAATACATGGCTTTCATTTGCTGTAGATCCAGCTGAATTTATCGGGAAGAAGGTATTGGCAGTACCGAGATGTTGCCAGAAGAGGAAGGGAACACAGGATCGCTGGCGAGTGAACGCACTCGTGGACAAGAGGGTTCATGGGCGGGTGCACTTGAAAGGAGCTGAAGAGTTCCGCGAGTTCGTTAGACAACATGAGTGCTCTTAGCATGGGGGTATTTTTCTACTACACGAAATGTGCTCCGTACAGTGGTGTTCCAAGAGTACTTGACCTCGGCCGAACAACTATCGGCTCGGATTGCACCTCGAATGGACCGAATATCTCCGCAATGGGCCGAATTGGGGCCAACTTTCCGGCCCAAAGCCGAACCTCTACCCTCTAGCCTCGAATCGGAGGGCCACAGACTTAAATACTAAGTACTGAGCGCAGCATCAATCCCGAGTCCCATTAACCATACCACCCCATTAATCATCCATCATCTCACCAACCACAATGACCGACAAAGTCACCCTCACTCCCCGAGAAGCCGTGGTCGATGCATTCCACCGCTGCCTCCAGGGCATTGACAACAACGACCATGCTCTCTTCGAATCAGCATGCTTGACAAACGAGACCATGGCCATCGTCGCCGGCTCTACGACTCTCGACGGCTGGACCGCGATCAACGAGTTCTTCGAGAGGCTCTTTGCCCTGGTTACCTCGCACATGACGAGCAATATCCGTGTTCAGATGGAGGACGGCGCAGATACGGCGTCTTTGACTGCTCATGCCCTTGCGCATCATATCAGGCCGGAGGATGCGTTCAAGGCGGAGGATACGTCTTACACAGCTTCGTCGTTGTATTTCCTCAACCTTGTTAGGGATGGACGGGATGGGTTGTGGAAGATTAAAAAGTGGGAGATAAAGGCACAATGGACTACGGGGGACATCAATATTCTTCATGGGTGAACCTGAAGCTATTTCTCAAGTTGTTTGAATGGTAACTAGATGTTGATAGGTGTGGCGTGCGGCCGAACTCGATTCAACCCTATCAGGGATATTGAGGGAAGTGGATAAGTGGGTTTGCTTGAGATGTACGAATTGCAAAGTATGGTGTCGTCGTCGAAATGGTAAAACTGCTTGCTGATAATAGAGAGAGAGATAGTGACATTGGAAACCAATTCAATTGCAGTCATGGTAGTCATGTGGTCCGCGGAATTGGAGAAACAAATCGCCAAGCCGAATGCGGGTGAGATATTAGCGCAATTTCCCCGCAACGTTCTTTTTCTTTTCTCATCCCGTTTCTCTAATCCATAGAGCTTGCCAATGACGCCCTGAAATGGAATCCCCAGGCGACCAGCCATCTCCAGCTCCCGACCCCGACGTCGAGCTACCAAACGGCAAACGACGATGGCGCCGGAATAGAGTGGCCTGCGACTCATGCCACGTTCGCCGCGTACGATGCGACCGCGCCTTTCCCTGCTCGCGATGTCTGCGCGGCAACGTAAATTGCGAATTTACCCGCGAGCGCCGAAAACGAGGGCGCATCGCGAGGGATAAGCCTACAACCACAACTCCGAGTGCTGGGGAAAGGCCACCGCGGGGCCGCACCGAACCTACACAAGCGAGCGGGGAACACCAACGGGCGTCGCAGTTGCAGCAGGCCCTGTCGCCGGGTGAAAATAGTTCCCCTGCCTCGACCTTCCAACGTAGGTCGCCAACGACAAATGAGATCAGCGCTCTGTCGGCGCCTAGCGTCGACGACCGTCGGTCGGTGGTTGGCGGTTCACAGCAGCAGGCAGGACCGAGCGCGAACGTTACGGAGGAATGGCTTTCAGCGGCGCATCTGTCGCCAGTCTCGTATGAATTACTAGGAGGAATAGGCGGCGGTGATAGACCTCTGCCCCGGTTGTTGGATCCTTGGAATCCGCTCGACGCGGCCAGTCCCCGACCGTCTACGCATCCTCCACCAATGCCGCCTAAAACGGGGCCGAATCCCCCAAGACAGGGACAGCCGTCAGCACCATCGGCGCCATTGAAATATCCGGTTCTGGAACCTGTTATGCCTTTTCTGGAGTCGAACCTCCCGCGTCGATTGGTGTGCGACCTGTTGGAACTTTACTTTACCAGTGCTTTCTCGACTCATATGCACCCTGTGTGCCACCATATCCATTGCTACGTTCTGCGAAAGAGTTCCTTTCTCAGCACCGACCATCCCAGACCCACTAGTCCAGCTTTGTTGGCGAGTATGCTCTGGGTTGCTGCTGTCGATGATCGGGCGTTCTCTCTGTCAATCTCACCTTTACAGCGGCGGAAGATATGCCAATTTCTCTGTGCGTTGATTATTCGGTTGCTGCGGCCTTTGATACACGTTTCATTCAAAGACCAGGATCCATCGTCTGTTGAGCATGGGGCGACAGCTCAAGACTTTTCTGGCGCTGCTGCTCAGCACCCATTCGAAGGGGGTGGGGATGATAAAGGTCTCGTCGGCCCTGCTGGCTCTTTGGATGATGTTATAACATACATTCATGTGGCCTCCATCATCTCGTCCAGCGAACAGAAAGCTGCAAGTATGAGATGGTTCGCTATACACCCACAGCCTCTATAACCTGTCTACCTACTGACTTATCCTAGGTGGCATGCAGCCTTTACACTAGCCAGAGAGCTTAAACTAAACCAAGAAATGGAGATCACGCCAAACATCGACAGTCTGACCGATGGTTCAAGTCCATCATTCGGCTACGGTCTAGGCGGATGGCCTAGTTCCCCTGGCGGATTGAGCTTCGACTCGGACCTGTCGCGGCCGAGCATGAACTGCGTCTGTGAGAAGAAGCATGACATACAAAATGGGGCTATTACAGAAGAGCATCGTGAAGAGCGACGCAGGACTTGGTGGTTGTTGTACATCATGGACCGCCATCTGGCATTGTGCTATAATCGTCCTCTGGCTTTACTAGACGCCGAGAGCGAAGACTTGTTACTTCCTCTCGATGAAAGCTCATGGCAAGCAGGTGTCATTCACAGTAATAGTCCTCGCCCGGACGGACCTCAGTGCCCTCGCTCCGGCGACCAGAACAAACGTCGTATTTTCCCTAACTTCATTTGCCATGACCATTCAATCCTCGGCTTCTTCCTCCCACTCATGACGATTACCGGCGAGTTGATCGACCTAAATCAGGCGCGAAACCACCCTACTCTGGGCGTCCGCCTTCAAGGGAAGGAGGCATGGGACATCCACGTGTCAGAAGTGATGCGGCAACTCGAGATCTACAAAGCCAGTCTCACGACCTTTGTGGCGGCCACAGCGGCCGACCCAGAGGCCTCCTTATCAACTACCTACAATAACGACTCCGCCCAACCCGTCGACCCGCACTTATCCCAGGCCTATTCTTGGCACACCCAAACCGTGATCGCCTACTCATCATATCTAACCCACGTCCTGCACATCCTCCTCGTCGGTAAATGGGATCCCGTTTCCCTAATCGAAGACAAAGATTTCTGGACATCGTCTCCCGCCTTTGCATCGACCATCTCGCACGCTCTCGAAGCCGCTGATTCCGTGCAACAAATCCTCCGCTTTGATCCCGACATCAGCTTCATGCCATACTTCTTCGGCATCCAGCTCTTACAAGGCAGTTTTCTGCTTCTACTTATTGTCGAACGCCTTCAAAAGGAGGCGGGTGAGGGCATTCTCAATGCCTGCGAGACTATGATCCGAGCGACGGAATCGTGTGTCGTCACCTTGAATACGGAATACCAGCGCAGTTTCCGACAAGTGATGCGTTCGGCGGTTGCCCAGGCCCGTGGCCGCCCGGTAAACCCGAGCGAGATCCGGCATCGTCGGAAAGCTGTACTTGCCCTTTATCGGTGGACGCGAAAGGGGACTGGTTTGGCTCTCTAAAGGCTTCGATGAGCAGATCCAGTTGGATCTTCGCTGGTACCTGTCGATCCCCCTGCGCTAGTTGGACAACGGATGCTTCTGCGCGTCAGGAGTGGGAAGATCGGATGGAAGCTTCTCCACAGGCAGATCTCTCGTGGAAAATTCAATGCTGGAGTACATATTTTTGTTATGATTTTCTTGTTTATAGACTTGGGACGGCGTTTCGCGTTGGGCGGCATATGGTTGAGAAGGTCGGAATGTCTTTCTTCTAAGTAGATCTCGGGACGCGGCGCCGGGTAATTTTGCAAATAAGACTCCCTTCTCAGGGTTCTCGGTCCATTCATCTACAACATTTCTCGGAATTTAAACAGTTCCCGCGACGCGTGTACTTTTACCAGCATTGTGATGCCGTGACATCCTTTAATCCCCGATGAAACGAATTGCGATGTCACTCCCCGTTCTCCATTTGGACGAAGCCGAAATCCGTGCAGACCTCAAACGGCTCGAATTTACCCGAACTCTCCTTGGTGGGTCCAAGGTCGGCTAGAAGCAAGGCAGAGAATGGACCGATTGGTCTGGTCGGGCCGAGATCGAGTGTAAAATCTGGGGAAATCGTCGGTTAATTCGCCAAATGCATGGTCATGCGATCGAGTCCTGCGTCCCTTGATATTACCGACCCTGCAGACTGTTGGGGTTCCAGTCCAAGCTCCCCTGGTCTTGCCCCAGGTTCTCCGCAATTTGGAGCTGCGAATGAATCGAACTTGATTTTTTTGACTTTTCTTTCGTTTAAATAAATGCAACATGGCCCTGGTTTTGCGGGGAAGCGTTTTTTTTCTTTTTCTTTGCGCCGGTAGCAAGATCATATCAAGGAGACATCATAGTTCAATCTTCACAGAAACCTGCTCTTCTCCAGTCGTGCTTTAATTGCTATACCTCCCTGCATATCATGAGCATCTGAATTGCATTGCAACAACAACCCTATACCCATATTCACCATGACCGAAACTCACTTCCGATACGACATGGCCTCATGGCCAGGCATGGACGGTCTCATTGATTTCCAAATGGGACCAGGATCGAGCGATGATTTCGACTTTCACCCATTCATCGCTGGCGATTTCCCCTTGACCGCAGACGAGGAATTAGATCCCTCGTGGACGGAGCATTCACGCTGGCTGAACGATTACCCGGCCAAAGTGAGCGCCGCTCAACCATACCCTCAATCATGGTATGATGCCGGTCTAGTGAAACAGGACTGTGCAATGAATGCGCCTACAAGGTAAATAGCAACCCCGAAATCATAAAAGCAGAAACAAGGACGCCAAAATCAAGTATCTAACACCTGCAATTAGTCTCTTACACAACAAACCACTCCCCCAAATAACCGAAACGCCACAAATCCACACACGCGCAGATCAACTCACAACACAAAGAGCCCTCTTCATGACACCATCCCCAAATCCCCTACCCTACCCCTTCCCAGGAACGCCCGCTTCAGATCCCCGGGCCTCCCCAGGACCAAGCCACGCTTCATCCAGCAGATGGGAAGGGGAATTCGAGTGCGATGATGCATACACTTTCCATTTCGACGCTACACCTACACTAGACAGCCAATACCAGGCTCAGAATTCCCGTCCCACCCCATCGCATCATTATTCCCCCAACGATGACGAGGAGTGCTTCACCCCGCTAGAGATGCCGGATGGAAGTACGCGCTTGACGTCTAATTGGCTGCCTGTTGATCAAGACTGTGGATTCACGATTGGTTCGACATTGGCGAACGATGATCGCGACGCTGCGTTCCGTTCTGTTATGGCGGTTGATGAAAATGTTGTTGATTTTGGGAGGATGAAGGGTGCTTTCTTTACTTCAGATCCTGCGGCTTGGGGGTTTGAGAGATGAGTGAGATTGGGGGTGTTTTTTCGTTTAGCGAAGAAGCAACCATACGAATTTTCCCTTCCCGACACCTGGTGACAAGGCGTCGGGGACCCGTCCTCATCCCGTGCTCGCTATACACGAGGATGTCTCTTGGACTCGCACACCTGCTATCTCAACTTTGGTATATGGCCTAGTTTGGGCATAGACGACACCGCGCAGATGCGTGTTGAATCTCATTTTGGACCACTGGGTCTTGGTGGAAATGTCTCATCAGCAACCTTACTGTCACACTGAGGGCAGGAAGTCGCAAAATCTGCGGGCGTTGAATCAAGCCCTATGACAGGGCCAAAAATTGATCGGGAGCAGGGCAATCCTCATCCTGCAAGTGAAAAAGATCGTCCTCAGGAGGTGGCATTCGATGGATTCACAAAAGCATGTATATCATCCGCGCAATGGAAGGTCCGTGGTGCTACACAATAGTGGACAAACACGTCCCATGCTCGGGCAGAATTGCCCTACATCATATTCCCTTTCAGAATAGGTATAGCCAGCTCAAGGCAGCAAAATATCAGATATCAAATATAATCCACCATTCTCTATCTACGAAACCAACCCTACATGAAATCCCACTCCACCTTGACAAGGACATCATCCAACTCCTCCCGATGAGCCAAATAGTACTCCTGCCCAAGCAAATGCAACTTCCTCCGATCAATCTTCTTACTCCTCGTCCTCGGCACCCGATCAACAACCAAATACAAACTCGGCTCATAATACTTCGGCAGCGTCTCCTCACCGCCTCACTAAGCTTACTCGTAAGCTTCCTCACCGCATGTCTCTCCCAAACAGGCCAAAAGCTCATCTCCTCAACATTACCCCCCTCAACGTTCAGCGGATTCCCCGCTAAATACAGATAAACCGCCAGAATCGGATCTCCACCCCCATCGATCGCACCCAGAATATCAACAACGGCCACATCACCCGTCGACAAATTCGACCGCAATACATACTCGACTTGTCCCGCTTCAACCCGCGCTCCGTCAAGCTTCAACATGCTATCTTTCCGCCCCATCAGCTCGATCGTGCCGTCGTGGTTGTATCGACCCAGATCACCGGAGCGGTAGAGACGGTGCTTGGGTCTGTCTGTGTGGATCTGTGCCATCCAGACTGGCGGGTCGGAGAGGAAATTCTCCGATTTGCCTGAGATGTGGTCCAGATACCCGCGTGAAAGATGCGGTCCTTCGATAAGGAGTTCGCCAACCGCACCGACGGGCATCAGTTGGTCGGTATTATCACGGTTGACAATCCAGATAGCGCCTGAGGCGGCGCGGCCGACGATGGATCCCCGGCCGAGGTCCAGGTCACGGTTGTACGCGCACAGCGAGGCGACCTCGCCCATGCCGTATTGGTTAATGACCTCGACGCGGTGCAGCCATTTAGCCAAGACAGCGTCGGAGACGGGCTCGCCGCCGATGCAGATTGTTTTCAATGTGGGAACACGGTCTGGATCCATATCGATTGCGACGGAGGGCGTGATGAACATGATGTTACCCTCGAGGGTGTTCACATCTTCCATGAGGGAGTTCATTGTCAAGGAGACTGTTGGCACGCAGCAGCAGCCGCCCGCGATAAGGGGGGCGAGGAAGTCGTTGTTGCTTATGTCGAAGGCGTAGGCGTCGAATTGGAACATGCGGCTGTGCGGTCCCATTCGCATCACGCGGATGTAGTCTGTTAGGGCGGAGGCGTAGCTGCGGTGCTCTTGGACGATGCCTTTGGGTTTGCCTGTGCTGCCGGAGGTGAAGAGGACGACGCATGGGTCTGTTGGTTTGACGGTTGTGCATGGGGGCGAGGGAAGGTAGGGGAGGGTTGAGACTGAGGCTTCGCTGACTTCGAAGATTGTTTCGACGAGGTCGGCGAACCTGGAGTGGTAGCCTGATGAGGTGAGCATTATTTTCATCTTTGAGCGTTCGAGGACTGAGCCGAGATAGGGGGGCGGGTCGTTGCCGTCGACGCAGATGTAGGCGCCGCCGGCCATGAGGATGGCGAGACGGGCGACGATCGCCCAGGTGGATTTGTAGAAGGCGCAGGCGACGAAGACGTTTGGGCCGACGCCTTGGTTCACTAGCCAGTGTGCGAGACGGGTTGTCAGGTCTTCGAGTTGGCGATATGTTAGATCGCCATCCCAGGAGCGCACGGCTGGGGCGTCGGGGGTTGTCTGCACGTGTTGCAGGCACAGCTCGTGGAGAAGGGCATCCTGTGCTGGTGCGATGGATGCGGTGAATTGGGCGATCTGCTCACGGTCTTGGGCTGAGCATAGATCGAGGCTGCCGATTGTTTGTGTGTGCGAGCCATTGATGGAGGTTAGGGCTTCGTTGAAGCTGTGGAGGAGGCTTGTAGCCACTGGCAGTTCAAGTCCCGTGTCACCGACATCAAGTCGGGCACGGAGTCTCTCGTTCAGAGTATGTTGTATAGAAAGGCGGAGGCCCGTGAATACAGAGTCCGGCTCCGAGGGCTGGCTAGCTAGGACACCACAGCAAGTCTGGCATAGCCCTTCGCAGGGACTTTCACCCGACAAAATTCGTTGCTTTTGGTAGACAATGGTCACATTGAATCTGGACGTTTCGTTCTTCTTACCGGCATACCCATTTGCAACCAGTTTGACGTCGCCCAAGGACCCCAATGCCTCAATGCTTTGACTGAACAGATCTTTGACAGTATCATGAGGATCTGTATGGAGTTGGGCGGTCGGCATCGAACTGTCGTGAGCCGCTTCGCCGACATAGCACCGACCCTTCGCATAGTCCTGGCCAATGTATAGTGTGGTCGACGTGGAAAAAGCCCTCACTGTTGCGACCCAAGCCAACTGGAGTAAACGTTGGATTTGTATATCCGGGTGTTCGCACCGGTCTGCAGAAGAAGGGTCCAAAGCATCAACGAGGTGCAGCAGCTTCCATGGACGTTCCCTCAGGACAAGATCGACGCCATTTGCTAAAGGAGTAGCATCTGCTGTCGCCTTTAATGATATAATATCCGTTTGAGGGTCTTCAATCGCAGGTTCTAACAAAACAGGAGCCATGATGGAGATGAGGTGTCACAATTTGGGAATGCGGCAGTGGTATTTGACCAAATGATTGAATCAGTACCGGCGAGTATCGGGGACTCAATGGGTTAATGTATGTCTTGATGATGAGTCTCACAGCCATTATGGACACGCCACTTGGCACGAGAATTTCGCTTTGTTCAACCAGGGCAATCAATAAACCTCGCTATTGACGCCACTTCCGCGACTGGACAAATCACCACCACAGCCTTCTCTCTCATGTTGCAGTTCGTAATATGTACAGCACCATCACCCAAGTCCTATTCGATCGAATCGGGGGTTTGTGCTGCTGTAAGAGGTGACCACATTGGAAAACGGACTGGCTGAGGACAGAGCAGGCAATTGATGCCGGGGTACATGTACGAATAAGAGGGATTGGCAGGGATTGGCAAGGATTAGGTGCGTCGATCAATTGAACTTAAATAAGCCCACACAAGAATACATATACGATGACAAGAGGGAAAAAGGGTTCTGGATCCGGGGATCCGACCAATGTGAGAGACGAGATCAGTGCTTACTTACAGTGCTGATTGTTCTGACGAACGCAATTATAAGTCAGCCCAGTAAGATCAGTCAGGCAGGTGCAGAGAATGTGATATCGATAAAATATGTGCATATTAATAATACCTGTCTAGTCCGCTCATTCGTCCACAGGGAGATTTTCTTAGAATAACAAGATCAAACAATCTGCATAACCCCCGGACGAACGCCCTCCAGGATCACCTCCAGCTCAGCCCACAGTTTCTCACGAGCCTGGCCCCCCTCCTCACTGCGCACAAAAGGCGAGAAAGCTGAATTCTCCACGTGTCCGTCAGTCATGTATGAGCCATGACTTTCAAGTCCCGCCGTAGCACCGGCCACCAGCGTCCGAGAACCGACCTCAGTAGTCCGCGCAAGCAATAACTTCATCAGCTTGAGCTCCCAGCCAGCCTCACGTCCTAGCTGCGAGTGACAGAGGCCTGGGTTGATCATATTGATGATCACCTCTGATCCCCGCACCCGACCCGCTAGTTCCTGCACAAGTAATACTTCCAGCAGCTTGGACAGCGGATAGCGTTGGCGCATGTTGGCGGTGGATTTATCACTCAGAACTTTCATTGGCTGCTTTTCCTTCCATTCTGGGAAGCGTGCAAATGCGTGCACCTCGCTAACGACGAAGCTGAGGCGGGGTGTATGCGAGGGGTTCTTTTGACGGGTGGCCTTCAGCGTTGGCAGGAGCAGGATGCCGAGGAGCAGGGAGTTGATGACATTGACGGTGATGCTTTGTTCATAACCTTCTGCAGTGCTGAACTCTGCTTTCGCGACGGCTGCGTTTAGGATTGCGGCGTCGAGCCTGGGCAGCGTTGACATGCGCTCGCCGAATGCAAGGACAGAGGAATGCGAGGCTAGATCGACTTCCCAGACTTCACAGATGCCTTCGCGGCTTGTGGACTTTTCGATGTCCTCTTTTGCCTCCTTACCTGCAGCTACATTGCGCACGCCGAGGATCACACGTGCTGCACCTAGTCGCGTGATGTGACGTGCAGCTTCCAGCCCCAGGCCGGAATTGGCGCCGGTGATGAGCACTGTCTGGCCGGTGAAGGGTTGGGTTGGGTATTGCGGAGTGACGAATAGTTGGGAGTAGAGGAAGCCCATGGTGAATAGTGGTTATCAATTGGTCGGTTGAGTGGCTTAGGCTATGAATATGAATATATGATGTATGAAGATCCAAGTTGATGAAGATCTGGACCTCAATTGCTAAACGACTGGCTCTTTATACCCTGCGAGCAGCTACAGAGCGATGAAGTTGGTCTCGGGAACATGAGTTATCGGCTTCTGTATGGCGTTAAGGAGAATTAATTCCTTGTGGAATGAAGCAGAACTTGATGGGAATGCTCCGGAGATTGGCCGGAGATAACTCTATTGTGCCTTACCGGTCGCGGAAAACTTGGAATTCCACATCTTCCCCGACCCCAGCACTTCAATGCTACATTAAAGTGCTGACCATGGAGGGGATCCATTTCGCTCGACTGAGATGTCTTCCGTCGATCGGACCTAACTATCAAGGGGTTGAGCTTTCTACCGATGCGGTCTTGTTGGGGTCTTGTTGGACTCTTCCCTTCACCCATTCTGATTCACCCACCGCTTCATCCCACCGCAACATACCGTAGTTCGACGTTCACCGCTTCGCAACGTTGGAATAAAAACAGCAATTGTTAGGCTGTCGGGCTGCATTATTGGCAGTTCGTGGAAGCCAGAAGCCAGATTTTTTATTATATACTAAATAACGTCCTAACTTCTGACATAGGTCGACACGCCCAAAGTTGCTGTTTCCGTTATCACCGAGAACGCCACAACCTAACCCCGAACAACTACCTCGCCACACAAGGAACCGGAGCTTACCAGACACCGGCAACTGGTCTCAGAGCAGGCTAGTAGTAGCAGGGTCGGCATACTCGGGGGTCTCGTTCCCCGACTCTCCGTGGCGGATCTGAAGATAAACTGAATGTTTCTAGCAATTGGCCTTAGGCCGGAAAGTTAATTATTAGGAAGCTCTGCCTCAGGCCCTCAAACACCAAATCCCTGCGACGGATGTTCGTCTGGTGTGTATCTGCTTCTCGCCATCGCTTTACTCTAGCGGCCAGTCGCACTGTCGCATACGACTCGGAGTCTCGGACGGCGCAATCTCAGAGACCCGCGCCAATGTTTTGAAATTTCAATATGAACTGCGGGCCTCATAATAAGCATTTATTTGGCCCTGTCCTCATGGGTTATCGTCTGGGACTCGTCCATATTGCCCAACTGTCGGCGACTCGTCGCCATGCGTAGCTCTCGATATTCATGCATCTTTCCTGTCCCGTCGCAGAAGATCTGCACAGGTTCGCAGACTCAGAGGAAGCGATCAGGAACGAGACCATTTTATTCGACACGGACTGGTTGACGCCGACTGAAGCGCTAGGACGCTTATGCTCCGTGATGCAGGTCAGAATCCACACATTCGTGCTACTTTGTGTAGCCAAGCGAGTCCGAGCCGTTTGCACTGCATTATTATCGAAACTCACCAACGTATATATGCCAATGCAGCCACCTATGACATAAGGCTAACCAATACGTTCCCTTGGAACTGGCCTTTTGTTCACAGAAGGTAGGCCCCGGTGTGAGCTCCAACAAGGTGGGTACCTGACACCTAGGCTGATGTGACGTGCCCCTCCAAGGGTTTCCTCATCGAACTCAGGCTAAACCCACTTCAAGGCTGAAAGACCACGGGCGGGGAACCTGGTAAGCATTTGGTGACTTCTGAGAAGTCCAGGTGAAAATTTCTTCTTCAGAGTTCACGATGACTTCAAAATCATTTGCGGTTGTGCTAAGCCATGGTTCCTGGCATACACCGGAACCTTACCAAGCTCTTCTCAACGCCTTGACAGAAAAAGGCATCGAAGTGCATTGTCCCCAACGGGCAACCTGCGACCTAAGTCAGCTCAATGTGGGCAACGTCGACAATCCGGATTTCAATCGCAAGGCACCACCCGGAGGCTACCCACTTGCTTCAGATGATGCCGCAGAGCTTGGAGTGCTGCTAGACAAGTTGATCGCGCAGGGCAAGTCGATACTCCTCGCCGGTCACTCTTCCGGCGGCTGGGTCGCCGCCGAGGCTGCACAGCCTGCGCGACAATATCCTGTCCGCGCAAGGGAGGGAAGGCCAGGTGGAATAATTGGACTCTTTCTCATCGGCGCATTCGTTCTTCCCGAGGGACAGTCAGTTCACTCATTTTCGCAGCGTCCGGACGGGACGGTCGCTGAAAGCCCATTTAAGCGATACCACGTGAGTCGGCTTGTAGTCGGGCATAGCATAATACTAACCTAAATGATAGAAGCATGGCAGTGATGGCCTCGAAACAGTGGTTGACGCCGAGAAATATCTTTTCAACGAACTTGACCAGGCCAGCGCGAAGAAATGGGCATCCAAGTTGACGGCAGCTCCTCTTATGAAGAGTCCTCTGACCCATAACCCTTATGATGTCCTTCCGTGCGCCTATGTGATCCTGGAGAAGGATTGTGCTATACCCCCGGATCTTCAGGAACAGATGGCAACGAGTCAAAGCAAGCCTTTCACGACATATCGTGCGCCCTGTGATCACTCGCCGCACTTGAGTTGGACAAATGAGCTTGCGCAGAAGATCGAGGAATTTGGGGACAAAGTTGTGACTGAAAGCGGCATTCGTGCGGATTGAACGGTCCGGATACAAATCAATGTCATTACTGCTTCAGACAGGTAGCGCAATTGCAAAGTTACTCCTGAGCCACTGAAGATTAGGTTGGGATGGCGAAAGATCATTGGAACCTCGTGCGACTCTCAGCTGTCATTCATTCGACTGTAAGGTGCTTTTTTCCGTCCTCTTCCCGTCTGCCTAGCTCGGTAGGCTTCGGAGAGTCGGGGACAAAGGAAAGTACCAACCGCCTTATGAGCAGCCTGGAGGAGGCTGAGATCAACCACTTCGATACGGCTGCAGACCTGCTTTTCGTGCAACTGCATAGACAACACTTCCCCGATCCGAACACCATCGGACCATTTTAAAATCAACCCAAATACATGTTAGCATTTAAGTGGCCTTGGAGTTGAGCATTGGGTGCTATGGTATTCATTACTCACCTCACCCGTGTTAGGCACCGTTCAGCATGTGGAAAATGTTCCTTTCCAGTAGCCTGCCACGTTTGAATTCGATATAAGACTCGCCAGTTGGCTTGATTTGCATGAGCGCCTTCAGAAGCACTTGAAACCCCCTAATGGAAGCCACCAGCCTCATTCCCCGATTTTCATTCTGGATTCGACTGTGCAATATGTTCAGGAATCAGGGCAGAAAATGATACGAGATGAAGATAATTCACAGACTGTGAAATTGCGATCCCTCGGATGTTCAACCTCCGTAAGGCCCCGGGGCCCCGTCCAGCCTCCGCGAGTTCCCCACAAAAATGGACCCGGGTCCCGGGGTATAAGTCGGCTACCTGTCGGCATCGCCGCCCCCTGATTCATTGATCTATTGACGTCACACCATGTCTAAAGAGCAAACAGAAACAAAAAAGCCGCAGGTAGTTCAATCAAGTCTCTGTCGATATCTCTGCTAACATAGCACAGGTGAAGACGCCCCAGTGGGTCTCCCTTGTAGCCGGAGGAGTAGCCGGCGGAGTGGAAGCAGCCATCACGGTCAGTGTGCTAATGTCGGCGAGGCAACTATACAAGAACAGCAGTAATTGACTGCCGCAGTATCCTTTTGAGTACTCGAAAACACGCGTTCAACTGTTAAATGACAGTGCTATTCGAACATCGAATCCATTGAGTCTCATTGCCCAAGTTGCAAGGCAGGAAGGTGTCGGCGCTTTGTACACAGGATGCACAACCCTTATTGTTGTATGTTTGATTTTCTGAGATCGAAACCTGACGTCGTCCTGACCAATCTCGCAGGGAACGACAGCGAAAGCTGCCGTCCGCTTCGTATCCTACGATACCATCCGCAATGCCTTGGCAGATGAACGTGGCGTTCTCTCCGCGGGTCGGGGCATGCTAGCTGGAATGACGGCAGGCGCTGTGGAAAGTGTACTAGCAGTAACACCGACCGAGAGAATCAAGACTGCATTGTAGGCGGCCCCCTACAAATGACGGCAAATGCAACCACTAACCATCCACCCTACAGAATCGACGACGCAAAAGGCGCCCGCCAGTTCAAGTCCAGTCTGCATGCAACTAAAGTGCTCGTTCAGAGACACGGCATCACAGAGCTTTACCGCGGTCTTGTCTCCACGATGATGAAGCAATCTGCTACTTCTGCTGTTCGAATGGGCTCATACAACATCCTCAGGGAAGCCGCTAAAGCCAGAGAAGTCAAGATGAACGTGTTCACGACATTCGGTATCGGTGCCGTTGCAGGCGTTGTTACTGTCTACGCGACTCAACCGTTTGATACCATCAAGACGCGCGCACAGGGTGTCAATGGTGCTGGTATTGCTGAGGCTTCCCGAAGCGTGATTCGCGACTACGGAATTAGTGGATTCTGGAAAGGTAGCTCCATGCGACTCGGTCGGCTTCTGCTGAGTGGTGGAATTGTATTTTCGGTTTATGAGGAGGTAGCTGCTATTCTGTCTCCGGGATCGCGGCGATAGGAACCAGGAAAAGGCCAACGGACTTGCGTCTCAGATAGAACGTCCGATTTCCACTTTGATCTGGCTATGTGTGATCTAGAACCTTGGAACTTCGAATGATTCGTACAACCTACAACCTCTGTAGATTCATGGTACATACTCTGTACTAACTTCGCAGCAACTTTCATTCGATTCTATGGCACATGAAAAGAACCCAGTAACTACCCCCGGGATTTCCCTAACCAACTAACTAATGCACACACCAGACAAGACCATGGCACCGACGATCACCTGGAGAGATCGCTGTGATTGGGCCGATCGAAGCGATTGCCGATAAGACGACGCTTCAAAGGTTGCATTAGTTAACTGTTCTCTTATGGGCTATTGATTCCTTGTTGTGACTGCCGATCGTCTGTCTGGTCTTTGTACTGTGCATGTGCAACGGTTTCAGACCGAGGACTTGGACATGGTTCAGTCTTGTCGTACTCGACTCTTGCTACATCCATATACTACTGTACTCCGTATGACTACGGAACGAAGTTGCAGAGAAGGTTAATCTTCCCCTTTCCCACTGAAGGTTATTGAATTTGGTAACCTGACCCATCCAATAACAGACATTCCCGCTCATCGCCTCAGCCACTCTGAGCTCACTCGCCCGGTGGAGTCCGCTCCACTCGGTAGATGAGGGAAACGTACGGAGTACACAGTCCAACGATCGATACAATAATGCCACACCCCGATCGATCTTGAATCGCTAGCTGCTACTTTTACTGCGTATATTCCGATGAAATCAAGAGTTCTGTCCAGAATATCCCAAGTCTACCGAATGCAGTTAAAGATAAACAGAGATAACAATTGAGTTCCTAAGCGAAAAGGTACCAAAACCACGGAATACGTGGCTGAAGTCCCTCCGCAGCACCACCTATCGATTATTACTGCATCAATAACTCCATTCCATATTTCAATAGTGACATCAGCTGAAATTTGATACCCACTCCGCTCCTCAAAGACGGCGCCAAGACAAAGTCATGATGTCGTCGCCGTTAATCTGGCTGAGACAAATCCACTCCAATCAGCGGGTGGCGACAAGATAGGTACGCTGCTCAGGCGTAATCTTCCGCGCCAAGTCTATGGCTTTCTGTGTGCTCCGTATGTAGGGCCACCAGCTGCCAGGTTTCTTTCTGTCGGGGATGCGGTCGGAGCCGACTCGGAGGAGCGGAGTGGACTCGAGGTGAGGGCAAGTGCCTTGCAGATGGCGTAGTGGCTCTGAAACAAAGCCACATCGATGATTGTTGTTGCGACGCGAAGCATCGCCTTACGGATACTTACAGTTACGGTCAAAACGACCCCGGAGAAAACGGGCAGAATTATTTTCCCTCTGATTGGTTGTTCGTAGTTTCGTTTGCCTTTTTCGGAGTTGCAATCTTTCCGCCTGCTTATTACGGATAGGTTGCCCGCTCCCACCCTTCCCCTACCGCTTTCCCCCTATGGAAGTAAGCAGTTCGAGTTTACGCCTGCCTTTTACGGGATCGGCGAAGCTGAGCGTCGCAGTTAAATCCCAAGAGTCAAGACCTTTGGGCGCTGGGAGAGTGAGACCTCGTCACTCACTTGTCACTCACTTGAAACTGGCTTGTGATGGTGGGAGAAGGAGACCAAAGACGGCCCATCGAATCGGGTTACCGATTCAAGATGGCGACCCATAACCCCGAGACCCACCCGCTTCCGAGCTGGGACCTTCTTGATATGCGATGGCATCTGACTCGCATCGTTGCCATGTGCTCCGCGGCCCGTTACAAGAATAACGAGTGTGACTCCGATGACTCGGACGAGAGCGACCCCGAAATAGCTGTTGCGTCGCCTCGCGGAAATGCCTCGCCTCGCGCAAATGCACCGACTCGCGCATATAGATCGACTCATCGCCTCGGGACGTCCCATCGATCCTGGCTACCGATTCAAAGATGACGACCCATACAGTTACGGGCATCCACAATACGTCGAGGAAGGTATACATTGGTGCCGCATCGCGGTGTTTCTACTGTACAGTCTACAGATTACAGGATATGTGACAGGTCCTTATGATATGGATCAAGCTGAGAATTCCGTGCTATCTGTGAACTAGAAACACTGTCATGCTGGATGTGCACGATTCGATCCCACCGAGCTCTCAAGTTGCAACCTTGGAATCACCAGTGCTGCTGCCCAGGTGCATCAAAGTTTCCAGAGCCGTCGTCGTGGACTTGCCTAATGATTGAACCGACCAGTGCTGGGCTCATCGGCCACATTTACCGTATCCTCTGTGCCGACTGAATCCTCCGAACTCGAATTAACCACTGCGTGGCTGATCGCTCTCGGGCCCTGGCAACGGACCGGTTGAATCTCTGCCTAAATCGAGATCCTCGACATATTCTTCCTCTTCCTCCACAGGAGAAAGGGGCCTTCCAAACACATACGAAGACGTGCGCGGGAGGGAAGGGGACACACTTCCGCGAGGCGATCTATATGCACGGGGCGGTGCATTTGCGCGAGGTGAGGCATTTCCGCGACGCGACGCGACAGCTATTTCGGGGTCGCTGTCGTCCGAGTCATCAGAGTCACACTCGTTATTCTTGTAACGGGCCGCGGAGCACATGGCAACGATGCGGGTCAGATGCCATTGCATATCAAGAAGCTCCCAGCTCGGAAGCGGGTGAGTCTCGGGGTTATGGGTCGCCATCTTGAATCGGTAACCCGATTCGATGGGCCGTCTTTGGTCCCCCTCTCCCACCATCACAACCATCCCGTTCATGCCAATGAGACGTTCGGACGACAGAGCTCGTGTGGTAGTCGGAATGTTCTCAAACGATTTGTGTGCGTACTGGGGCTGCCAATAAAATTCGATGATCATCTCGGTCTTGTCGGTGGAAAGGGAAACCGGGCGCAGCACGAACAGCGCATCCAACCAAGCCGCACGAAGGTCCTTTCGAAGACAGATCATGTTTGTGCAATCATTGACAGGGGCGTGGGGATCATTTGGGTTTTCAAAGGCCGCCTTTTCCCATCGTTCGGCGGTGGCATGTCCCCAAAATACATCGACGTATTTCCAAAAATCGGGGATCGACTGATCATACGAAAGGCGCGACTTTCCAGTAAAGCTGGGGAAAATCGGAACCGCGTCATAGCTCTTGCTGTTGCCTGTCAGGACGCAGTGCGAACCATCTCTTTGTTTGGCATCCCAGATTGCCCTCCGGGAATAGCCTGCGCGCCAGCTGCTGAGAGCGTCTGCCGGCGGCGGAATCTCTGAAAACGTTGTCTTGTCGAGAGGTGGCAGGAAAGTCCAATTGAAGGGAAAACCAGTTGAAATGTTACGGAATGCCTCCGAAAAGATCGCCGAAAGGTTCGCAAGTTGGACAATCCATTCGAGCTTCCGGATGTCACAAATGTGAAGCACCGCCCATAGCTGGGTAGGCAGTCCCTGTCGCCCAATAATTGACGCGAGCGTGATGAAAAAGCTCTGTCGCTCGACTGATGGAACATTGAACCGTTCTTCGTTTGTGAGGGCAACAGTGCTGATCCGGTCTGGGAGGGCAGGCAGCGCCCTTCCGGTGAGAGGCAGGCCAGTCGGGTTTGACATTGTATCACGTGTGGTGCAGGAGCGAAAGAGATGAGCACCAGGGAAACAGGATTTATAACTTTCGCATCGTTTTTGATCACATTGTCAAGATCGTATGCGTTTTGTCGCATCCTCAAGATCGTGAACCGTTGCATACAGTCAAGATCGTCTCGTTTTGTCGCATCCTCAAGGCCGTGAACCGTTGCATACAGTCAAGATCGTATGCGTTTTGCCGCATCCTCAAGACCGTGAACCGTTGCATACAGTCAAGATCGTCTCGTTTTGTCGCATCAAAAAACCTCCTCGAGGAAGGCGCACGTCTTCAGTATCCGCATTTCACCCCCGCCTGAGGAATGCACACTATCTTGATTCCACTGTCTAGGGAAGGAGCCGGCGCCAAATGCGCGCCAGCCAAATACATTGAGATCTCGAGTATGCAGAAAAATCCGACCGTCGTTCGTCTTTAAATGGGTCATACATAACAAATGCATTGAGCTTCCTTATAGTCGTTTCAACAACAACCGATCCCGGACTCCCTGCATACGCTTCTCGGTGCTCGCCATTCCCGCCGGAGGAGGTCTGATATGAGATGTGGAGGGTAGAGATAGAGGCACGCTCACGCTGGATAGCCTGAATGCGTCTGCGCCGGGCACTCCTAATCTCATCCGATAACTCCACAAGATCATCTATATCATCCTATTTCCGAACAGTCAGAATCCGAAATAGCGGTTAGTTCGGGGGAAGGCATCATACAGGGCTGAGAGATGAGAAGATATAATAGAATCCCTTTGTCTCCTCGTACTCGTAATCCATCTGTTCAATCGCTTCTCGTACCACCAATTTCTTTGCAATTTCAGTCCATCGATCGTTTCGAGTCTCCTTCGTTTCTGTGACTTGCTGCGCAATTCGTCCCAAGTTGACTTCCTCCACCGAAGCACGTCGAGGCTTGACCTCGATCACATCCAGGTCACCCAGGGCTCCACTCATTTCAATGGCTTCTTCTTTGGATGGGGCATGTACTACAGACCAATCGTCCGCGCTTCTGGGTGCGTTGTCCGCTGCTCGGGCGCTTTCAAGAAGAATTTCCTTCTCTATCTCAGCCATGGAAGGTAGGTCTTTCTCTTTGTCCAGTAAGTTAGAACGACTGCGGGATGCGGATGTTGCTTCGCGTTCCCATGGATCGGTAAAGATGGCTTGGCTCGTTGGTGAGATCGAATCTTCCGGGCCGAGAGTGTCTGTGCTGTCACGGTGTCTGAGTGCTACCTTCTCCTCGGAGATTCGTCCTCCTCGCATTTTCCTACGACTGTTAGCATACGACATGATGAAGACTAAAGGCTCGATGTGCTTACCGATGCTTGATATCGATCTCATCAAACTACCAACTGGAGACGGCAGTTCCGGGCTGGGCGCACGAGGCGGCGGACCCTCCTCGAAGCCTGGCTGGAGTTAGTTCATGATTCCTGTCAGGCTACCAATGTGACTTACCATGATCAATGTGCCTATGGTGGGTAAACACATCCTGATGGATCGGGGGTACATGTATAGACGCCATAGAAGGTGAAGGTGGACGAGACGCCAGCTTCTCCTTTGATTTCCGGATACTGAACCCCTCTCCGACATCATCAAGGTCTCGAGCGGATGATTTCGCGTCAAACTGCGAGCGAGTGCTGACGTCCGCATCTAGCGGGCTCTCTTCCCTAACTCCTCGGCGACTACCTCGCAATTCACGCTCGAGGTCTTCCGAGGGTATACTCCGTCGCTTTTCCCGCCGTTCACGTATTACAAGCCGCAACTACCCCCTTCAAGATCCATGGACCGTTGGAATATGCTGAGTTTAGAGAACATCCATAGAGGGCGCAAGCGCACAATCGTAGAGAAAGGGATGTATAAATCACAATAGAGACCCCCAAAACGAAAATCTTCCATCCATAAGGAAGCATCTGCGTGATAATCGAAATCCGATCGCCGGGTTCAAGCTGTTCGAACCAGCGGAGACCCTGATCTCGCTGATAAACAACCTGATGGACCCTATCCTATTCCTGTTCATCATGAACATTCTCCTTAAGGTACCTATATCTCGCTTTCCGGAGTATCATCTCGACCGGATGGCCTCTCAATACCGAGCTCAAACCAAGTCGTTGGCGATGTGTAGATCCCGTCGGGCTCATAAGAGAGGGTGCGTGCCGCTTGTTCATGACTTCCAATACACTGATCCGGTTCTCTCGGACGGGAGATCGTCCACCTTCGATCGGATCAGATCTCAGATATGGAGTGTCGTGGCGAGTTCGGTAATCATCCCAGCTCTCATAGTCATCTTTTTCGATCCGAGAATGCAGCCAGTACTGCGCGAATTCTCGTATCTCCAGGACGAGTTCGGGTGGGAGCCTTTGTCGGAGAATATTGAAAGTCTCAATGGCATATCATCATATGTCGAGTGAGTAGTGACTTCAGTGGTAGAAGACTCAGGACTCTGTCTTCATCCTGGGGCATTGTAAACAGCGATGATCCCATAGTTTCAGGAGGTTATGATGTGCGGCTGAGGCTCCGGACGATTCCCCGAGGTGTTTACTTTCAACCACTCCAGGTGTGGCTTGGCACCTTTGCAAATATTGTGGCTGTGATCGGTTGAAATGACTTGCTCTGCCAGTCAGGTGACCGCAGTAAATGCCACTACTACTGTACTTTGATAGATCCTGGCTATCAACCAGGAAAATCTGTCCTTTTTGTGCTCTTCAGCCTGTGATATTGAGCAACGATGATCGTGACCATGTGATGGCTGATGAGAAGATTCTAAATGAGCATATCACCATTTTTTCCTTAAAAACTTGAAACACTGATGGTTTATTTGGCTAACTATCGTGGAGTGTACCTGCAACTAGCTACTACTAGCTCAGTCATGACTCATGAGCCTGCACCACCTGTGCCCAATCGCCATATCCATAAGCACCCGGGACGCTCTCGCCATCAAACAAACTGGCCATAACAACCCGATCCAGCTGATCCCCTTCCCACGGCTCTCTGCCATGCTGCGCGATGGTATTATCGTAAACTAACACATCACCCTGCTGCCAGCGATGCAGAACCCGAATCTCATCGGTAATCTTCGCCAAGTGCTCCAGATACTTATCAGGGATAGGTGTTCCATCCCCGAATAGCTGATGGGTGACATTCTTACGCGCCTCTGTATCGAACTGGGTACGTTTCCAGTATGCTGCCAGTCCAGTGAAGAGGGTCGGTAGGTTCGTACCCGGCTGGGTACGAATGACAGGCAGACGGTGCGTCAAGACAAGACCATCGTCGGTCCACTCCCAAGTGGTATGCTTGCCTCTGCCATAGCGGGCAATCTGAGCCTCGATCTTTCGACGCTTGGTCTCTTCGTCATCACCATCTTGGATATCCTTGCCAAATGCCTGGCGCAGTGTAGACCCGCCTTTGTATTGCTGCTCCAAGCGGTATGTCACTTTGCTCAGAATCCCCTTCTCTGCGAGCTCGGCGATGAACTCTGGAATCTCCTGCTGTGCTCGATTGAACAGCTCCAATGAAGACGATATTGGTGACTCGCCACCCTTGGATGGGGCACGATGTCCATAGAAGAAGATATACTCGGGCGCATGTGGGACCTGAGGAGACTCATTGTGATTGTAGATCAAGACCTCCTTGGGCGCTTCATTTGCGGGGGCGACGTTTGGCGCAAGAAGAGGTCTATCGACTACAATGCCTATAATCTCGTGAGGCTTATACCCGAAAGCATGTGCGAATTTGCTGAAGTCTTCCGCGTTGTGGATGGGCAGGCCCCGGAACAGCAGCGTGCCATGCCTTGCGAGCTTCTTGGTCAAAATGCCGTCTTTCTCTTGGAGGGACTTGATTGTGTCGACCACAGCCTCGAGAGTTGGCTTGGCATCGGCGTTTGTGGGCCGAAGCGCAAGCGGGATAACGGTGTTCTTAGGATGAGGCTGTCCGAGAATACGTTGGTTTGAGGGTGGGAGATCGAATGACTCGAATGCGACGAGTGAGGAGGAAGAAGGAGCCTCCAGCACAAGCTTCTCGATTTGCAGTTGTTCGATTGTAGTTGCCATTGTTCTTGTTGTGGGTGGTATGATGGATCGCGGGGAAAGAGTCAGTCAAGAGCGCCTGAATTTGTAGTTGCGAGCACGACCCCTCACGTGTACCACTATAAGCGAGTTTTATTCCGAGGATGTTGCTTCAGAGTCACTGATTCGCGTTACAAGTCATCTTTCAAGCCCATAATGGTCTCATCGGAGTGATCGCTTATCTGCCGAGCATTGTTGGGCCGTTGGCGATTATGCCATGCGCCTATATGTTACGTGCTTTTCTAGGCATAGATCGCGATCAAGAGGTGAGATAACGAAAAACTCCCTCTGTCCTCTGCTCATCAAGGTATATAACACAGTCATTTCGTCTATGAGATGGAAGTACACTTGTGTGAGAAAGTCTCTCGGTTACTACAATCATGTCTTCCTCTTCAGATACAAACTCGGACGACAAGGCGAATGCGACTACAGTCGTTGAAAGCCAAGATCAACACCAGTTACCACCACCCCGGCCGAAATTCTTCTACACTACCCTGTTCCAGATCCTTGTCGTCGGGTTCTGTGCATTCTGCGCCCCAGGAATATGGAGTGCAATGAATGGTCTAGGCGTGGGCGGATCCCAGAGCCCGGCCCTGGTGAACGCAGCCAACGCCCTGCTCTACGCCTTCATGACACTTACCTGTTTTGCAGGCCCATTCCTCACCAATGTGATTGGCTTCCGCTGGACCCTGACGCTTGGTTCCCTCGGCTACCCGCTCTATGCTGCAGGCCTGTATCTGAACAACCGTACTGGCGCGACGTGGCTGGTATATTTTGGGAGTGTCACTTGCGGAATCAGCGCCGGCTTCTTTTGGAGCGTTGAGGGTGCTATTGCCACAGGATACCCCGAGAACCACAAGCGCGGTCGCTACATCGCAACCTGGTTCACTTTCCGTAACTTCGGCAACATCATCGGTGGTGCTGTGTCTTTGGGCATAAACCACAAAGTGAACCAGCGTGGCCAGGTCGGATATGAGACCTATCTTGCTTTCATCGCCATTCAATGTCTCGGTCTCTTCATCGGACCCTTGTTGTCAAACCCGGAAAAAGTCCAACGAGACGATGGTACCCGCATCGAGGCCCCCCGCGGCATTCATTGGCGTGAAGAGATCACCGCCATGTGGCGGCTGGCGCGGAGCAAATCTATCCTGCTTCTTGTCCCACTGTTCTGGTACTTTGGATGGATCCAGGCATATCCTGGCACATACCTCGCGACCTACTTCACCGTTCGCTCACGTGCCTTGGGAAGCTTCATGTCAGCAGTTGTGGGAACACTCGCAACCTGGTTGGGCGGGTCACTTGTGGATCTACCATGGCTGAATAACCGCAAGCATCGAGCCGTCGTCACATTCATCGTGATTGCGCTCATGAACAGCGCTACCTGGATTTGGGCTGTTATCATTCAGTACGAGTATAGCCATACCCGCCCCGTGTTGGACTGGGGTGACCAGCGCTCCTTTGGCCGTGGGTTTGGCTTGTATCTATTTGAACGAATCAGTCTTGGTCTTGTGGAGAATTACATCTACTGGTGCATTGGCAATCTGTCGGACTCACCTGGTGATCAAATCCGATACAGTTCCTTGCTTCGGGGGATTGAGACTGCTGCGGTTGCTGTTGGATTTGGTGTCCAGGCTGTGCCGACTGTCCTCATTGCCACCGCTAGTATTAATTTTGGCCTCTGGTTCTTTGCCTTGCCATTCAGCTACTATGCCACAGTGCAAGTTGTCCGCAAGTTTGAGCAATTAGAGAGAGAGCAGCAGGGTGCTCGTGGGGTAACCCACCGGGTTGAGGAGAAATGAGTGCTGCGCTTGAATATGTGTCTGTTCAAGATGGTCTTCTTGGAATCTTGTCATTTACACATCACAATATAGGTAGTTACAGGTAGAATGTTAACCAAGTTCTTGGTATATTCCCGCGCTTACCTAGTGCTAGGTTACAACAGAATAATTTGGAGACTCGTAGCTCAGGATCCCTTGCCATAATCCAGTTTCTTGACTTCTTCATTGCGCAATGCGCACCGTTCGCCGTGATTCTATCCATGGATGTTATTCGGACAGGAAACGCGGTTATCGGACCCACGTGGGCTCGCACGCCATTACCCCAGGAAAGTGCGGAGATCGAACCTCCGATGTGGTCTTGCGGAGAAGCCGACGGCAAGTACTCTGCTTCTACTGTAGCTCAAAGAAAGGAAATAGGACCCGATGATTTGAACGGAGAACAAAATCAAGGGAATAATTTGCCAACCTGGACATCATCAAGGCTGTAGCTCTGAGAGCTTTGTGCTCGTGTCTTTCTACCGGATTGAGGATCTGGCTGATCGCATCAGAACGGCTACGCATATTCGATGACCTGACTCCTCGCGCCTCGCGACTGGGATGCCTTAACTTATTTCAATTTTGCGGAGTTTATACAGTGGAAATAAGTGCTGGGCTTCATCAAGTTCTCGCTGTGTTCTGATTCACCATACATAGTAGTACCCGTAACGAAGGCATTGTTCGGCTACTTGGGTTCCCCAGTCTCAACTCTTAACACACCGAGCTTGCAGCCGAGGCCCAAACCCCCGAAGATCGACAACGCTAAGACTGCGAGTCGGCTATATGCGAAAGATCCAGATGGGGTATATATTGTCAATTGATGAACGAACAAGCTTTTAAATTATTAAACACAATCACAATAATGTATAGGTCACAATTCCAACGTGTCTTGCGGTCGCAAAGGTCTGCACTCGTACGCGGTCCATGTCGGACAGGCGTTTCCCCTCAAGCTCGCGTGGCATTCTCCACAACAGGGCGGCGCGACATCATGGGGATGACCGGCTTCACAGAAGAACAGCTCACAGTCCGTGAAGCTATCTCGCACATTTGCTCCAAGTTCCCAAACACATACTGGCAAGAGCGCGATCAACAGGAAAAAGATCCCAAGGAATTCCACGCTGCGCTGGCTAAAGATGGATGGCTTGGCATTGCTTTGCCCGAATCTCTAGGAGGCGCGGGTTTAGGTACAGTCGTGCGAGTTAATATGTTCACTTGTCAGAAATGACGCTAATTTCGTATCAGGCATTTCTGAGGCCACAATGATGATGCAGACTATCACACAATCTGGCGCTGGTATGGCCGGTGCGCAGGCCATCCACGCCAACGTGTATGCGACACAGCCATTGGCCAAGTTTGGCACCAAGGAGCAGCTGGAGACTACGATTCCAAATATTATCAACGGCACATGGCGCACCTGTTTTGGCGTGACCGAGCCAAACACCGGTCTCGAGACGCTTAAGCTCAAGACCTTGGCCAGCAAAACCGACGATGGCTATTCCGTCACCGGCCAGAAGATCTGGATTACATGTGCACAAGTGGCATCAAAGATGATCCTCCTCGCCCGGACCACTCCTCTCGAAGAAGTCAAGAAAAATAGCGAAGGTCTCTCCATTTTCTGTATCGACATTGACCGCGAAAACCCTGGTCTAGATCTGCGTAAGATCAAGAAGATGGGTGGACGCGCCGTGGATGCCAACGAGGTCTTCTTCGACAACTATAAAATTCCCGCAAACACGTTGATCGGTGCCGAGAACCAAGGCTTCAAGATCATCCTCCACGGCATGAACGCAGAGCGATGCCTTCTAGCCGGCGAAGCGCTAGGGTTGGGTTATGCTGCGCTGGAAAAGGCCGCGCAGTACGCCAAGGACCGAGTGGTGTTTGGGCGACCGATCGGTCAGAACCAGGGTGTGGCGCATCCGTTGGCTGACGCGTACATGAAGCTGGAGGCGGCGAAGCTGGCTACGTACCATGCGGCCCGACTTTATGATAGCAACGATGCCTCGATTCCGTTCCAGGACATCGGTGTCGCGTGTAACAGTGCCAAGTACTTGGCTGCTGAGGCTGCTTTCACGGCTTGTGAGCGGGCGGTGCTGGCGCATGGCGGCATGGGTTATGCGGTTGAGTATGATGTGGAGCGGTACATGCGTGAATGCTTCGTGCCTCGCATTGCGCCTGTCAGTCGGGAGATGATCCTGAATTATGTTAGCGAGAAGGTGCTTGAGTTACCTCGCAGCTATTAGACATATGTATATTCAGCTACCCAACATAAACCGAATGGTATTATGCTGTTCAGCATCAGTCAGTATCCAGTGCAATGTGCCCACGCACAGTGTTACTTATGTCCGAGATATGCCCGTTAGCCTCTGATTCGCCATCAAGAGTAGGTGGGTAGGACACCTCAGGTGGAACAATACCTGAAGGACTAGGTCAGTGATTGGATCAATTAGGTAGGTACGCTACTGGCGCTACATATGAGGTGGATAGAATGCGGAGTCTTCTATCTCACTCGAGTTTCTGCCTCAGGCAGACGTCTGTCCTCGTCGGCCACCTTGACGTCAACCAGCGGGCTTCCGACCTGATAGTAGTAGCTGATACATCTTGCCAAGCAAGCATATCCCCCAAGAGGCATCCCTCTGCCATGATGTTCAGTTGTGGTGATACTCCAGAGTCAGGCCGATTTCGGCGAGTGGAGATGTGCAGCGGAAAGTGATCCCCGGGCAAATTTGACATTGAAACAACCATTCGTGATATCCTTATATTGTCTAAATGTGTATTCTCGAGTCTATCGATCCATTGCAAGCTAGTCAAAAAGCATGACTCGCATACAATGGAAGCTTCAAGCTTAACCTCTGTCCTGGGATGACAACGAGCGGCATGTCATTGGTGCGGGTGGAGTCCCGCGCCCGCGGCCGGGGAGAAGCATTCTTTCTCCGACGTTGCCAAAAAGTGACGACCGGCACCTTTTATTTCTTGGTCCCCCTCCCTTCTCCAGACTTTCCATCAGTTGCTCTTTCTGGTCGTGGTTCTTGGATCAATTCCTCATAACCCGTCTCATAATGCTTCCCCAGACTCGGGCGCGCGTGCCCGCCGCTCTCCGGAGCTTGGCTAGGTCCAACGTCACTGTGTGAGTCGACGCATTGCCAGCTTCTTCAATTGGCCCAATTGCCTCTTCGATCACTAACGTCTATTCTCAATACAGTCGGAGCCTCTCTACCACTCTCCCTCGCTTCCAGAATGACGACAAGGTCCTCAACAAGGTCTCCCGCCACATCACCCAGCCCAAGGCACAGGGTGCTTCCCAGGCCATGCTGTACGCCGTGGGTTTGAACGAGGCGGACATGAACAAGGCTCAGGTCGGTATCTCATCCGTCTGGTTCAACGGCAACCCTTGCAACATGCACTTGCTCGACCTCAGCAACAAGGTCCGTCAGGGTGTGCAGGACCAGGACTTGATTGGCTTCCAGTTCAACACCGTCGGTGTCAGTGATGCCATCAGTATGGGTACTACCGGCATGCGCTACTCTCTGCAAAGCCGAGACCTGATTGCCGATTCCGTTGAGACCGTTATGGGTGGACAATGGTACGACGCCAACATCAGTATTCCCGGTTGTGACAAGAACATGCCCGGTGTCCTGATGGCTATGGGCCGTGTCAACCGCCCCAGTTTGATGGTTTACGGTGGTTCCATCAAGCCCGGCTGTGCTGCTACCCAGAACAATGCCGATATCGATATCGTTTCTGCTTTCCAGGCCTACGGTCAGTTCCTTACCAAGGAGATCACCGAGCCCCAGCGCTTCGACGTCATCCGCCACGCCTGCCCCGGCGAGGGTGCCTGTGGTGGTATGTACACTGCCAACACCATGGCTTCTGCCATCGAGACCATGGGTATGACCCTTCCCGGTTCCTCTTCCAACCCGGCCAATTCCCAGGCCAAGTACTTGGAGTGTCTCGCAGCTGGTGGTGCCATCAAGAAGCTGCTTGCTGAGGATATCCGCCCTCGTGACATTCTCACTCGTCAGGCCTTCGAGAACGCTATGGTTGTTGTCAACATTACCGGTGGTTCCACCAACGCTGTGCTGCACTTGATCGCCATTGCCGACTCGGTCGGCATCAAGCTCACCATCGATGACTTCCAGTCTGTGTCCGACCGCATTCCCTTCCTGGCTGATCTCAAGCCCTCTGGTAAGTATGTCATGGCCGATCTCTTCGCTATTGGCGGCACACCCGCTCTCCTGAAGCTGCTGCTCAAGGAGGGTCTTATTGACGGCTCTGGTATGACCGTTACTGGCGAGACCATGGCTCAGAACTTGGCCAAGGTGCCCGACTTCCCCGATGACCAGAAGATCATCCGCCCCTTCTCCAACCCCATCAAAGAGACTGGTCACATTCAGATCCTCCGTGGCTCTCTCGCCCCTGGTGGCAGTGTCGGAAAGATCACTGGTAAGGAGGGCACGCTCTTCACCGGAAAGGCCCGCGTCTTCGACAGCGAGGACGACTTTATTGCTGCTCTTGAGCGCAATGAGATCAAGAAGGAAGATAAGACCGTTGTGGTCATTCGCTACTGCGGCCCTAAAGGTGGCCCTGGCATGCCTGGTATGTGCTACATCTCTATATGGCAGTTGATCATAATGCTAACAATCTCTCAGAAATGCTCAAGCCCTCTGGTGCTCTCATGGGTGCCGGTCTCGGTAACTCCTGTGCCCTTATCACCGACGGCCGTTTCTCCGGCGGTTCTCACGGTTTCCTGATCGGCCATATCGTCCCCGAGGCTGCCGTTGGCGGACCTATCGGTCTTGTCAACGACGGCGATATCATCACCATCGATGCTGAGAAGCGTATCCTCGATGTTGACCTCTCTGACGCTGAGTTCGCCGAGCGTAAGCAGAAGTGGGAGGCTCGCAAGGCTGCTGGTGACCTCCCGGCCACTGGTCTCACCATGCGTGGTACTTTGGGCAAATATGCCCGCCAAGTCCGCGATGCCAGCCAGGGCTGCATCACTGATGCTTTAGATTAAATGTTTTCTTGACTTCACTTTTCATTTTTGGTCTCGGGCCCTGTCTGGAACATAAAAGCGATTCCCCGGTTCTGGAACCTAACTTATATGATATCATTTTGAATAATATTTCCTTCTTGTTCAGCTCGGTTCTCTTTGGTGTGGTATTTTCTGTTGGATAGTGGTATATACTGATTCCCATTGTTTTCACTTCCCAATATTGTTGTCATGCTAAACCTGTCACCCCACCCACAGAGCCTATTGACTGTCATATGCAGCCGCGCGCTAATCTGGTTGTGATTAAAATCAACCAATCACAACATTCATGCACCAGCCTCCGGCTTTTGAGTGGCCCTGATCGTCCGACCTAGCACATAAGCTCAGAAGGACTGGTTAAAGTAGAGTTTGATATCATCACGGCCCCGAAAGATCCCATCCATGGATCCAACCCTGTCATCCAGATGTTTATTTTGACCAACACCACAACCTCACCACGAGCTAAGGTACTGAAGCCAGCACGGGTTGGGTGACATGTTTCAGCCATCACCTGGACACCCGAATATATGGAGAAGAATCGATGGAGAAACCAAAAGTACCGTGGGATATCATATAGGTCACTCGTGAACAAGCTTGAACTAACCAATCCTTCACAGCCATTAACGCAAAAAACCCGAAGTATCCAATGCACAAAACCTAACTGAATGCTGCTGCAGTATACCCCCTAACATATCAAAGCAAATGATGTGCCGGGGCGTCCTGCGTCCCTCTGTACCTGCTTCTGGTCCAGCATCAGACCAGCCAGGCCAATCCCGCTGCCAAACCCCGGACCAACAGCGTGACAACAAGATGTCAGAACTCTTCCATCGTCGACCCAGGTGCTCTGAACTCACGAGCCAAGGCAGAGGGCTTCCTGATATGGTGTGATGGGGGCCATTCGAAAATGTCACAATTGCTGTTGATACCATTTGACCGAATGTGCCGCTCTGGTATCCAAACCCACTTTGGTATTCGCCCCATGCCACCTGAATTCCAATTCCTACTCGTTGCTCGCCCAACGACCCTCTCCATTCTCATGAATTGTACCACGTGTTCGACGGCAGAATATGACTGAATTCTTAAATTGGTCATATGTAGCAGGAGGCATGTGACTGATCAGCACACTGGCCTTCCTCCCCTTTATCCTTGTTCTGGGCTCTAGCATTGTGAACCCGTCGGTGTCAACGCGCTTGCCGTGTTTGATGGATGACTGTGAGGCATTAGCAACCGCCCTGGTTGAGTGATATCCTCTTGACGACCTACCAGGAAATTCTTCATTCCCTTGATGCTGTTTCTGATGAGGAATTTGAAATCGCCGAAAGAGAGTGCGAGTGGGCGTTCGTCTGTTGATCCGTACATCTTCTAGGTCCGAGGGACTGTATTCACAACCGTGGGCTGGGGCGGATGCCAGGAAAGGCAGATAAGCCAGATCAAGGACACAAGAAGACTGATACTTGACTCCTTGAGCTACAAAGTCAACAGGAGAAAGTCGGACGCTTGTAGGTTTAAATATGGAAAGCATTGGATACCGTAATCATTAATGGGGGTGGATAACCGATAAAATAGCCCTTCTGTGGCTTCAGGAAGCGTTTATTCCACCAACAAATCTCCTTACACTCGGTCAATATCGACTACTCATCGTACCAAGCGTCCAACACATCTTTCAAGGAGGAAGATAGGTAAGACCGTTGTGGCCATTCGCTACTGCGGCCCTAAGGGTGGCCCGCATAAGCTGTGTTGGACACTTGGTATGATTAGTCCTCGACGGCTATGGTAGTCACTTGACACCACAATTCGATCAGAATTGCTCCAAAAATAAGATTATACCGGTCTGTATGCCAGCTCATAGCTCGCATCCTTTGCAGTCGCTCGATATCGGGTGTGTTGCTGCCATTAAACGCTCATACCGAAGCTTAGTCGACCAGAAAGTGCGGCTTAATATCAATCATATCGTCAAGCTTCATTTCCTTGCAGCATCCCACTTCTCTTTTGCTTCACCCGCTTCCCTTGCCTTACGTTACCGACCATGGCGACGTATTCGTGCGTTAAAGAGCATCTCCGACTGCCTTCTCACATTATCCAAGCTTGAGGTCATGGCCACGCCAGGTCTGACGAGCAAACGACAGCTACGACTATATGGTTAACCCAAACCTAAAGCATATGCAGAAACCTTAAGGGTCTTCATGCTCACAGAGTGTGAGATATGTCTAGTGAAATCGACCATGTTATCCGCGTACATATAGAAATGTTCAGGCAGTGACATAACATGTTTGATGAGGGGAAGAAGTTTGCCCAGTAGTTCCTGCTTAAACGGGAAGGGGGGCTTGGCGGGGTAGGTGGGACCCGGGCAAAAAGGGGCCAGTGCCTGCCCCACCGGCGACACCTATGTATTTCACTTCCGGCTCAAACGAATCTCTCTCGCTCTTCCACACCCCAATTTCATCACAACACACTGCCTCAATCGCTTACATTTCCCCAATCCCCAATAGAGGGGGTTGCAGCGCACGAAGAAGCCACCGCGAGCTGGGCAGAAACGGAAGAGCTCACATCCGCCAAGGGCAATGGCCGCGGAGCCGATACGCCGCTGGGAGTGGCCTTGATTCACGCGTGAGTCAATCCTTCGATGAGCCACCTCGGGCCGACCGTGGGATAGCCGGAATTTTCAAGCCGGATGTGCGGGAACGTTGGCACGAATCATCAACAACAACATTCGCTTTGGTGGTAAAACACCGGCATCGACGGGTGGGCTCCCTTGCGCTGACGCAGGTCCTGTTCAACGCGCAAAGGAAGCGGCGATGATTGGGTGATAAGCTGGCAGAAGCTCATCGTGTCTGTGATATGGAGCGCGGGACGCGCGAGAACTGACAGATACCGACCATCTTCGACTCGGCGTGAAGCCCGTATAATCCAACAGATTGCGGTACCCGCTCTGGAAGCTGGCCCCCAAAAGGCGATGTCGAGTGTGGCATGGTGGAAGTGTGGGACAGATCCTGCGTGCAAAGACTTTCCACCTGGCAGATGCCGCCCACTCTTATTTCAGAATTTCCGACTAGGAATCACGGTCTGGCCAGATGGAGAATGCCAGCGGAACTCGGTGTGGACAGCGGGTTATCGCGGCCGACATGGGTAGCGATCCGGTTTATGACAAGGTTGACCCTGGGCTGGAGACCTTTGCGAAGCTTCCACCACGAACGCGAGCAGTGCAACGGCGCCGTAAGGCAAAGTATCCTAAGCGCCAAACATTCATCTCCGGGATGGACGACTCCAACGACGACACCGAAGAAGTCGACCCCGAGGACGATGTTCTACCGGAAGACGAGGTACCCGAGGAAGGGGAGGAACTGGAAGTCTTGGATAGCTAGCTGTCCCTTCTCCGATGATGATGCTCCACGCAAGAGGAAATACCGTAAGAGAAATCTCGCCCCAAACACCGAGGTCGTCCGGGGTGAAGTTCTCCCAGCTCGTGCACGACTCAAAGAGGTGGTCCGGTAGCACTTCTTCAGATGGTACACTGCCACAGATAAGTCTCACCAACTCAGTCTCAAAGTTTTCATTTCTCTTCCTTACTCTTAGGGCTTTTAGACACAAATGCATCTACCTACCTCCGCTTCAAGTACATTTCCATAGGAAGTCATGCCTGGGCCTGATGGAGTGCGTAGTGCAGCCTAGGTCGGATCTATTTCTGCCTACCAGCACATGAAGGTGCTTCCACTCCTGGATAGAATTCTGTTTGACCTATGTCAATAAAGTCCACGCCCGGATTGTGTGTGTTCCTGCGGCCATGACGTGACCGGGCAGGTGACGGGCAGGCACCAGGTTCTAGTTGGAGCCCTGGTCTAGTGGCGGGATGGACCTCTCCATCCACCTCAGCCCCACAGCTGGCGTGGTAGTGATCCATCTGAAATAGGCTAAATCATCTGCGACGCTAGTGTGTGATATCGGATTCACAGAGTTCATCCACGGCATCATCCACTAGCCTCTCTAGAGCTAGTGACTATGAAGAAGTTAAAGAATTCGGAAAATGCATCCTGGCTGATTGATTGGACAGGGTAGGGGATCAGATACCTACCCAGTCCATTCATTCTATCAACCCCACTGCGATGGTGTATACACCCTCGCCCCCCACGAGCGAACCGCGGCAGATGTAGTAGTACAGGATCCATCATACCATCATTGATCAGCACGAACGATACTAACTCGGATTGTTGAGAAATATCTCCATGCGTCATCAAAGACCTCATTCCTGTTTAGAAGAGTCGGCCAATGTCACTTCAGATATGGTGGCAAGCAATATACCACTACGTTCTCGCAAGGTAGGTATGTGGTCGTTGTTGTTGTTGTTGTTATATTTAACGTCCTGAGGATGCGGGAGCGGAGCTCCCGTCTCCGTGGCCTCCCATGGGGTATGGGGACGTGCTAAGCTATGGTATTATGTACAGATAAGTGCGTCCATAGAGAGCAACTCGTTCTTAAGAAAGATGTGGGGAGAGTCCCCGTCAGCTGCCTGTCCTTCCCCGACCTGTGGGATGGATGCAGGGTTTTTGCGCACGTTAGGTGCTGTGTCGTCGCCGTTAGGTACCGGCCTGTAGCTGATTACGGGGTGTCGCCCGTTGGATCGCGGCCCGTGGGCCAGTAGGTATGTGGTCAAAGTTGACACTAGAATATCTACATGGTGGATGATCATCTACTCCTTACTCTATGCGGAGTTTGCTGCAGTGTGTCACAGGTAGTAAACCAATCATGTATGATTCGATTCGTTTCGGGTGGCTGCGAGGCTCCGAATTTGTTAACCTCTCGATAGTCATCTAAAACCTGAAGTAGGTACGCATCAAGCCGTTTGAGGCAGTTGATGACGAGAGCCTTTGTTTGAACCTATCAGTGGGCCAAAACACTTGCAATCGAAGAAGCAGGCATATGGACGTAGTGTATAAATAACGGATGTTTCCATGCGCTGAAATGTCTCTCCATTCCCAACAAGTCTATCATCTGAATTACATTGCAATCCAAACATCTTTGAAAAACCTGCACTATGGAGTCAATTCTCATCCAACAAGCGAACTCAGCGCCCAGCGCAACTGCAGTCGTGCACGATACCCATACCATCAGTTACCGGGAACTCATCATGAGAGCCGATATCCTGGTTGATCTTCTGGAGAAGCATTCTCTAGAACCAGAAACGCCTGTCTTTACCCTCGTTCAGACGGGTCTTCCACAGGTCCTGGCCCAAATCGCCGTCTTGCGTGCGGGAGGGACCTGTGTTCCTGTTGATCCAACCGCACCTCCGAATCGAATCAAAGGGATGCTTGAAGATCTCGATACGACGCTCATAATTGCCAACAGTGACTCTGACCTGTTGGCCCCCGATATGAACGTCGTCCCCATTGAAGCAGCCCTGGACGCACAGGTCGACATCAACAATGACCAGGAGATATCTGTGCGCGCCGGTCGTCCAGAGACCCATCGAAGCCATATTCTGTTCACGTCAGGTTCTACCGGTCGACCTAAACCAGTTCAGGTCTTGACCAGTAGTATCCTTCACGTGCTGAGAAGTATACGTACAGGACCACTCGGTTCTTCTGATAGGTCGACTGCTATGCTGAATCCTGGATTTGACTTCTCTATCCTAGAGATGTGGAAAGCCTTGTTGGAAGGGGCAACAGTCGTCCACGTACCGCACATCATACGAAACGACACTTTGGCGTTACAGAACTTCCTGAAGGAGCAACAGATCACGTTCACATGCGTACCCACTGCCCTTTTCGAGGTGATCGCGCTTACTGCACCGGAAGCCTTTCACGGAGTGCGGCATGTCATCGTCGGCGGAGAGGCTGTCAGCAGCAGTGCGATGCGTACTGTCCTTGAGGCAAGTCCACCAGAGAACCTGTGGAATATATATGGCCCTGCCGAAGCAACGATCTGTGTCACCATGGCCCGGGTAGATCACCAGGAGGCCCAACGCTCGCGCATCACTATCGGGCACACTTTCGGCGACACGAAGATTTTCCTCCTTGATGGCGACCTGAAGCCCATCAACGAGCCCAAGGTCACCGGGGAACTTTACATTGCCGGGCCTCAAGTGAGGCCTGGATACCTGAACCGAGAAGAAGAAAACGAGAAAAGCTTTGTTTCGGTGGATGTCGCCGGTACGCTCATTCATATGTACCGTAGTGGAGACCTGGCACAGTGGCGTGACAAGGCGGGGGGTTCTTTGGACCACATCGGGCGGGCCGATGACCAGATCAAGATTTCGGGCTACCGCGTTGAGCTTGGGGAGGTGTCTCGTGTGATTGAGGAACATCCGCGCGTCCACTCGTCTGTGGTGAATTACCAGAAGGAGAATGGAGCGGAATATCTGGAAGCATACGTCGTACTCGGCGACCAGGAGCTGGATCTCAACACAGAGGAGCTGATTGACTGGACAAACAAGAAGCTCCCTCCCTACATGGTACCAAGCAAGGTCGTCAAGAAGGAAACATTTCCCCTCACCTTGAATGGAAAGGTTGATCGCGAAGCTCTGGTTTCGGGCAACAGTGACGATGAGACAGCCACACCTCATGAATGGACGCCAGAGGAGAGCGATGGGGATACCGGGGACTTGCCTAAGTGGCTGGCTTCAGTCCTCCAACCAATGCTCCCTTCCTGGAGTGGAAACCCGTCAGACAACTTTTTCTCCCTCGGGCTAGGCTCCCTTCAGGCAGCCCAATTCCTCGGTCGTATTCGACGTGAGCAAGGCAAGACGATCTCGCTCGCACAGCTTCATAGTCACCCAACAATCAAGACCCTCGCACAATTTTTAGCTGATCCCTCTCCGGAAGACAATCCAGAGTCCGGTATCGAGCGGTGGAAGCGTGATCTAAAGGACTTAGAAAATACTATCTTGCTTCCGGAGTGGCGGGACGCCGACGAAGGCCGGGTATTCCTGACTGGAGCCACTGGATTTTTGGGTGCGCATATATTGCAGCAGCTTCTGTGCATGCCCGAGGTGAAGCAAGTGGCTTGTCTGGCACGTGGTCAATCTGGGGTCAGTGCCAGTGCCCGAATCCAGCGAAATCTCGAGAAATACAAGTTATGGGACAGTTGCTCGGAAAAGACAGAGAAGATCATCGTCCTGGAGGGCGACCTGGCAGATCCGACCTTGGGGCTTGGGGAGAGACAGTTCAATTGGCTCGCAAACTGGGCCAGCGTCATCTTCCACGTGGGCGCGCGAGTCAATTGGTGTGAACCTTACGAGGCACATTATGGATCCAATATCCTTGGTATGAGCCACATCATCCGCGCTGCAACCCTGGGTCGCCGAAAGCCATTACACTACGTCTCATCGATCGATGTGTGGACCGCCACTGGATTCATCAACAATGCGGAACGTGTGGATGCAGATGAGCCACTCATGCCGCATATCAATGCCGCCCCTTATGACACCGGATACTCCATCAGCCAGGTTGTCGCCGAGGAACTGCTCCAGCGGGCGCGAGGCCGCGGCTTGCCCACAGCGATCTATCGGCCGGGATTCATCGTTGGTCACAGCGAACACGCCATTGCCAACGCGAACGACTATTTTTCCCGCTTGGTCATGGGTTGCATTCAGATAGGGTACTTCCCAGATCTTCCTACTCAGTACCTGGAGTATATCACTGTTGACTATGTCACTTCGGCCATTTTGCACATCTCATCTGATCTGAACAATCTGGGCCGAGCGTATCACGTTGTGCCCCCTGACAGGCGTGAGTCGATCAGTTACGGGCAACTTCATCAGATGCTTCAAGATCTGGGTTATCAGGTTGAGAAGATCGACTATTTCGACTGGGTGGATAAGGTTCGTGAGTCACCAGGGAATCCACTCGAAGCGATGATGCCATTACTTGAGGAAGAAGTCTGTGAAGGCATGACTCGGTTGCAGACCAGCCTGAACACGCCTGTATTCGACCCGCGAAACACAAGGATCGCCCTGAAAGACAGTCAGTGTATGGAATATGTGGCTCTCAATTCAGGTTTGTTGCAGCGGTTTATTCAGAACTGGGTGGATAGAGGAGAGTTCACTCTCGATTATGGTCGCGCTGAGAGAGGCTGAGAGCAGAGCGTGGAAGAAGACGAGTTGTAGTAGATTAGCTTATGTCTGGTGCGAGAGATCGAATAGGGATTGAGCTGAAGTTCTAGGTACCTAGGGGAACAGGAGAGCAGTAGTTAGTCTGACATATTTGTTGAGAATGCTCGGAATACTACATTATTGTTTTGATTCATGCTTTACACTTTGCCTTATCGGATAACCTCATTGTGGCATTTCGTAGGCGGGATAGTCTTGCCAGTTGACGGGAGGCTTGCCAGTTGGCCTGGGGCTGGCCAGTTGGCAGAAAGCTCGCTAAGTACTCGTCAGAAACTCGGCACCGCGGGCGCCGCCGACCATCCCCCACACAGTCCGCTCTCCAGAGTCTCATTGACACTCCTCCGCCACGAAAGCCCCAGCGACTTGACCTTTGTTGGTCGTGATTGGCGCGAGATATCCCTCGGAGAACTGGTGATTCTAGGCGATTTAAAATTTGTGGAACTCGATCCTGGCATTGAAGAACACAAATGCAGGTATGCCACGAGCCGCACTCGTTGTATTCGGTCCAGCATCCCAAAAGGCTATGCCAGGGAACAGATGCCTTTCGCAAGGCCTTGGTCAATATAAGCCATGAATGTGACTACACGGTGAATATGAACGTGTCGAAGATGGGCTTTAGGAAGCAGGTACGGATTCATTACAAGCATAGGCTCAGCCTGGGCTCAGCCGACTGATGATAAAATAGATAGGGAAGACGTATTCCGAGTCTGCAAGTATGAACTTCACTTGGCAAACCAACCGGAACACATATGGAACGTCACGCATCCTTTTACTTGACAGGATACTGTTGATTCCAACCAAATAAAAAGACCGTTGTGATAGTTTTCCCAGTGAATACCCCAGTCCTTCCCTTCCCATTATTCGCCCCCGAACGCCAAGCAGCACCGAAAAGCTAACAATCTTTCTAGGTCTGGGGCTTCAGCTGCTCTTTCAGTGTCCATGTCTCACATCTGTGGCCCGGGAGGCCTTTCCGCTCATCCTGTATATCCTCGCAGCGCCTGACCAGCAGGTCAAATAGGCGTTCGATCTCATCCAACTCTCTTGTTTCCCGCGCCCTCCACTCAGTTGACTCCAAATGGCGCGGGTCAGGACAATATTCAGCATCCATCCAGCCACCTAAATACACCCTCCAGCGGCCTGACGTTGTCCGCGCGGGAAAGACGAAGTTATGCTTGATGCGGTATGCCACGCCGTGGCTGTACAATAACTCGACGTAGGAGCGGAGCGTCTGTTTCAGTTCGAGCAATTTGTCAAGACCAAACCACTCGGCTTCCAGAGATTGCAAAAATGGGTACCAGTAGAGCTTTGGGCTGCTGAGAACAATGACGCCAGAGCTAGGATCCGCTTTAACAATCCGCGGAGCATGGTTGACGAGGGCGGGGATTCTGGAGACAGCGGTCATGACGGAAAATTCGCGCTCATAAGAAGCAGGATCATCTGGGGGATGCTAGATGTAGAATTGAAGGTAAGGATATATCCCTAGTAGATAGGGGCGAGAGAGGACAGACCGTGTGAATCAGCAGATGCTCAGGACTTCCCTTCCTAGCTCGTACCACTGTTCGGCCAACCTTAGACTCATGGGTAGGGCCTTTACGACGGCTCCCGTCAGTACAGCACGACGCCCCATGGTTGATTTGTGGCCATGGTGATCCGACTTCTTTCGCTGTGACAGGTCCTCCTTTTGTTCAGACAGCCGCAACTGCTGGAGCATCTGCGACGGAGGGCTTGGCATTGTCAACTTGTTGATAGAATAGTTAAGAGGCGGGCGATGTGGGTCGCACGGGAGGAACCTTCGATAGTTAGTACATGGATGGGGAAGAACTGGTTAGAATCTTGAACATGATTGGATACCAGAGCCAGAGTCTCCGCTCTTTCCTCAGTTGCCGACCCTTCAAAAGGCGGTGGACATCGCTACCCACCGCCCGAGATTCTTCGCTATTTCACCAACCAACGCCTATCAAAAATCCACCTAACGCGAGCGACTAGTCTTGCCAACCCACCATCCTACAGCTTATCTTGCAGTTTCCTGGACCTTATCATGCTGATACTGATTCTGAACTTTGGTTTAGTGGAAATTGGACAACTACGCTCGATCATTGAGCTCACTGGCTCGTCGAAGAGCCCGAATTGCCCTGTCCCCTCAAACGCGTCCCCGTCGCGCGACCGGTCCCAGCTCTGCAGGACTAGGCCCGGAGGAGACAATTCTGGACAAACACCCAAATTCAAGCAATGGGAACACTCATAGGCGCCAATCATCAAGGCACAGACAGTCATACAAGAAGCCCAAGGGATGGGGGAGAAGGAACATAACGCTGCCATTATTGAAGCCATCGAAGGAATCTGTACCTCTCCCCCTGGGAACGGCCAGCAAGAGGAACTTCAACACCTTGTTTTTCTCCGAAAAGACATGATTATTTATAGCGAAGACGTCATTTTGGAAGAGCATGCGTATACTTAGCTGCCTTGACTTCTTCAAGAAGGCCTTGAAGTGCTTCTCGCTGACCGTTACATGGAGGGAAGATAGATTCCTTCAATGGCTGCAATAATGGCAGTGTTCTGTTCCTGCTCCCTCGATGCTGATACCATTTCCGCACTGCCACCAAGGTTTCTGCTATACTCAGTTTGCTCAATACCAATCTGTCTTGTGATCTGATTGGCCTCTCTATTGACACTGACTCCTATTGTTCTTTCGAGGGTGCCTAAGGTCCCCGTTCATTGTGCCTGTTGTTCCTGTTGCTCCAAGTGTCACCTACTTAGACACCTAATGATCCGTGAATCCCCTTACAGGACCACTTCTGGTTTGAGATATGCATAAGTAATGCTGTAGGCACAAGCCTTCAAAGGCTGGAACCTTGGAAACTCCGATTAATGATGCCTGGTGACTCGTGATCAATATTGCCAGCCTCCGATGCCATAAATAGCAAGTGCAACTACCTAATAGCCTAATAGGTATTCCCTGGTGGTGACCTCATATTGAGCCCACTTGCACGAGACAAGTGTCATTTGACATATCCACATTCAAATTAGCAATTCACCCCTTAAGCACACGCTTAAACCTTTCCAACACCCGCTCCCGACTCTGCGCATGATCAACGATAGGCCTAGGATACCCATTCTTCTGCGCAATAGCCCCCGCCCCACGCGCATAAGGCTCATGAATAGCCTTGTCCGAAACATCACGCAGCTCCGGCACCCAATGGCGAATATACTCACCATCAGGATCAAAACGCTCACTCTGGCGTAGAGGATTGAAGATGCGGAAATATGGTTGCGGATCTACACCAGTACTGGACCCGAAGCCCCAGCCACCGTGGTTGGAAGCGAAGTCGCCGTCGATCAGATTCTCCATAAAGTGTCGCTCGCCACGACGCCAATCTAGCATCAGGTCTTTCGACAGAAATGAGGAGACTACCATGCGCGTGCGGTTATGCATCCAGGCGCAGTGTTGCATCTGGCGCATTGCGGCATCGACGATTGGGAAGCCGGTTTTGCCGTCGCACCAGGCTTGGAAGTGGTCTGTGTTGTACTCCCATTCGATGTCCGTGTGTTCGGGTTTGAAACATTTGTTCATGCTGTTGAAGAACTTGGGTTAAAATGGATGGAGTCGGTCCGGAGCGATGTTTGCTTACCAGATGAACGGCCAGTTGACTAGGACATGCTTGTAAAAGTCGCGCCAGGCTACTTCGCTGATCCAGGCCATGTATCCGGGATCGTAACGGTCGAGATGGCCCTTGTTCATATTTTTGGCTGTCACAATGGCGGTTCTTGCACTGAGAGCCCCAGACGCGAAATAAGGGCTCAGCACTGAAGTGTGTTCACCAGGTAGTAAACTCCGGTTACTCTCGTAGTCTTTAACTTTATCCTCCAGGAAGCTTTCCAGTCGCTGGAGAGCTTCGTGCTCGCCTGCCGGGTAGAGTTTCTCAAGTCGTTTCTTCTTTTCGTCTGACAATTGGTGAGATGCCGGCGCAGTCGGAACCTCGCATTTAAAGAGGCTCTTGAACTTCTCACGCGCATCCCCCGGATTTGACCCAGGTTCCTCTGACAACTCCAGATAGTCCGGATTGTCTTTCAAAAACGCTAACCACGCACGATACCAAGGGCTGTAAACAGCATACTGTTTCCCTTGCTGGCTGTGCAGCATCCCCGGAGTGACAACGCAAGTATCATGAGTAGGGGCGAAATTAATCCCACTATCTGCACAGAGCCGCACGAGCTTAGCATCCCGCCGCAGCTCATCGACCTCATACTCCATATTCGCATAGAGTGTCTTAGCGCCCCATTCCTGGCACAATGCAACAACGCGATCTGGAATTTCCTTTCTTTTCGCCTGCGTTTCCATGTACAAAGGGATATCCAGCTCACCTAAGTCCCGTTGCAACTGGCCGAGGATGCGCAAGGTGAAGTCCACTCGGGCTGGGCTTGTCAAATGGGCAGCCCAGTCCTCGGGAGAGACAATGTATAGACAGATTAGTGGAACCCCGTTGTCTTTGGCACATTGATAAGCTGCGTGCAGGGCCCTGTTGTCATGGAGTCTTAGGTCGCTCTTGAACCAATGGACGACCGCATCACACATCGGGATCTCCCGCCGCTTGTCTGCGGTATCCCGGCAAGCGTTTTGCAATGTTTCAATGGGGCGTTCCAGATCGCCATTGGTATATGCATCGCATCGCGCGTTGCTCATCTCTGGAGGATAGAATTGGCGTAGAACGATGCCGAAATCCTCAGTTTGTTTCGCGTTGGGATGAGGCTGGTGCATGTCAGAGCGCCCCTTTTTACTGGCGTGTGAGCCATTGGGCTCCTCATTGACAGGTCCAGAAGCTTTTCTTTTCGGTGGCATAATTGATAGATTGCGAAGAGGCTGGGATCCTCGTCTGAATAGATATACGTGCGAAATTGATCGAACAGAGTATATAGAAAACCTATTTTTCATTACCCAGAAATAAATACTGAGAGAGAAGCAAGGGATAGAAAAGAGCAGAGTAAAGAATTGCAGGGGACACCATCGATTCCCGTGATCCGGTCCTAGTACATAGATCGCGATTGAGTTTAGATCGAGTGACGTCACCGATCTGGTTGCGATCGAGCCTCATCGAGGACTACTCGAGGCCTCAGGCCACCAACTGGCAAGTCCCCACACAATACTCCACCGAATTCCCCATAACCCCCGAAGCAGCGGGTCGCAGACAGTCGCAGCTGTCATGGATTGGCGTCGGGTTGCATGTCAGGGCTTGGCTGAGCCTTGGCACTTGGCAGTCATGTAACTAAATGAACAGTTACTCTCAAGCCTTATTTGAAGTTATGCCTATTACCTTCCCCACACGCGACTCGTAAAGGACCAGGAAAATGCTCGACGCCAGAAATGGTACAATTTTGTCTGTTTTCACTCAATAAATCTTGAATCATCTCAACTCATTTCCCAACATCCACCCTGCCAACTCGGTCTCTCCCCCCTAAACTGAAAATCCAGGAGGGGGTTCGGAGTCCCCAGGACAGGGAAGCAACCAGCAATGGCCCCCAGACACCAATGGCCGTCTCAACCCCACCCTCCACCGACAATAACATCGTCCATATTTTATCGCACCGCTACGGCCCCTCAACACTCACCCGAATAGCCATCTTTGCCTCCCTCGCCGCCCTAGCCTGGTACAACGCCATCGAGCTAATAGCCCTCTGCTTCATCTCCTTCCAGCGCTACCGCGGCACCTACTTCTGGAGCCTCCTAATCGCCTCGTCCTGCATAATCCCACACTGTCTCGGCTACGTCCTCCTCTTCTTCCCAATCAACATAACGCCCTGGCTATGCATCTCCCTCATCACCGTCGCCTGGTGCGGCATGGTAACCGGGCAATCTGTGGTCCTCTGGTCGCGCCTGCATCTGGTGCTTCACAACAGGCGCGTGTTGCGCGGGGTGTTGTGGATGATTTGCGTCGATGCGGTGCTGTTTCATGTACCGACTATCGTGACCTTGTATGGGTTTGTGGGGGAGCCGGAGAGTGCGTGGGCGCGTGGATATGAAGTTACGGAGAGGGTACAGCTGGTGGGGTTTTGTGTTCAGGAGTTGGTTATTTCGGGCATTTATGTTTTTGAGACGGTTAGGCTTCTTAGGCTCAGACCTGAGGGACGACCAAAGGGGGTTTTGGAACAGCTTTTGGTTATTACTGTTATTATTTTGGTGCTTGATGTTGCGGTGGTCGTTATTGAGTATGTTGGTTACTATGATTTGCAGGTTATGTTTAAACCTGTGGCTTATAGTATCAAGCTGAAGCTGGAATTTGCGATTCTGGGTAAGCTGGTTGCTATTGTGCGGGCTCCTTATAATCATTCCGCGCTGCGGTATAACGGGCGCGATTTTGATGAGACTACGCCGGCGCGCGCGGATGGGTATCCGGCTGTGTCTTCGGACTCGTCGACGCCGACTCAACTGGTGTACACTCCACCGTGGCAGGGAGGTCAAGAGGGAACAAGCTATTCAACGTCTACTTCATGTGGCATTTTGCGCGGTGCACGACAGTCTGTTTGTGTATAGTGCTTGTGAGGCTTTGTTTTCGGCTGGTGTTGGTAAATGGCGGCGTTCATTTTGGCACAGATACATCATTCTCGCATATCTTCATGTATTATAGCTAGCGTTTGAAAACTAGGTTTCGTTATGATGAGCAAAGTCAATGTGCTCATAGCTGGACATCAGCAAAATTCAGCGGTAGTAGTCTGCTAATCCAACATCTGTACCAGCCTGTAGTACTAAAACACTGCCGAAGATCCTATTCTCTGGGAGCACCATGGCGGTACCGACAGGCCCCAGAGTCCGGCGCGTGTCATTGCCAATACCGTCCTCCGAAAGGCTCAGCTCTAGCTCTGTGGAGACACTGCGGCGACCAACAAGGATAATGTTGCTCGCTTTGTTAGAGGTGTGGCTTAGTTCTTCCCGCACCGCAAGCACGGCCATATGGACTGAGTCAGTGATGGCTTCATCAAGAGCTGGCTGATGGAAGACGACGCGATCTTGCAGTTCCTCGGGTACTGAGTCGCGGATGGTCTCGAAGAATACTACATCAGACTGAGAGCTGACCGCAGGCTTTGCACTTGAACTTGAAGGAGAGAATATGGCTGAGATGCCAGTGCTCTGAACATCACTGCTCGTACCAGTAATCTGAAGAACGGTGGCAGTGACCTGGTCATTCTTGGCAAGCTGCATGATAAGGCGAAGAGCGAAGCGGTCATCCTCGCCACCAAAGAATGGAAGGACGACGTGGTGAGAACGACTGCCAGTGGGCTGGCGGGCAAAGATGGAGCCCTGGAGGCTCATGCCACTCGGTGTGCGCGACATGACGGGTCTCTTGGAGGATGCTGAAATAGGGCTATATTCAATCAGGATGCCGACATGACCTGGGACGCGTTCTAGGATGTCCGAAACAAAGCTTGTGTATTCACCATTGGAGAAACGATTTGCATCGTCAAACTCTAGGCCATTATGGTGGTCAGCCAAGGTCCCGGTCTCGCTCCAAGGAAGCAACAGGAGATCCGCCGTGTCCTGCTGTGCCATGCCGATGACAGTGTCTGCGTAGGAATATTCAGGGACCACAGATACTCCAGCCATCAGTGATAGATCGTGCCAGTCACCGAACGCACGGAAGGTGTTGACCACTGGATCCCACAACGCATGCTCCCCTGCAGCAGCAACTTTCATAACACTGGAATCACGGTCGGTCAACTCCATCAGCCTGACACCGTGAACCTTGAGTGTGGTATGCTCGTCCTCTTCTGGGGTGATAGGGTCTTCCACAGTTTGTTCGGTTTGCTTTGGTGTTTTTGTGGGATGAATGGGTGATGACACGGACGCGCGGCGCTTTGAACTCAGCAAAGCTGCCACAGTACAGACACCGGACAGACCGTCGAGACGAAGGTAGACGAGCAGTTTGCGGACCGGGACTGCCTTCAATTGGTTCTTGGCGATGGCGACGCTATCGTTGCGACCATCGCGCTGGACAGGGTTCTCATCCCAGTCAATTTCACCTCGTCTCCAGCGGTCAACCTTGACCTGATACCACCTTGGATACAGCAAGGTCGTCAAGGGAGTGGTAAGGAATGTCGTAACCAAGGCCATTACGACAAAAATGGTGAAAGTCCGAGTGCTCAGAATCTTGGCTTGGAGGCCGATGTTCTGTGCAATTCGTATTAGCCTATATTCTGAGGTGCCGGACTTGATCCAAAGGGGGTACTCACCAGCACAATGAGCTCCACCAAGCCCTTGCAGCTCATTAAAACGCCGATTGAAAAGCTTTCACGCCATAACAGCCCGCAGAGCCGCGAGGCAACAGCACCACCAGTAACCTTCGCAAGAAACGCGATGGCGATTACTCCAACCACGTAACCCCAAACGATGCCAGAGTCAAGAAGTCCTAGATTAGTACTCAGCCCAGACAAAGTGAAGTAAAGTGGCAGGAAAATAGCAGCCACCAGATCTTCAATCTTCTCCGTCAGCTTAATAGCGAAGCCACCTTCATGCGGGCAGATCAGGCCAATAACAAAGCCTCCAAAAATGGCGTGCACACCAATGATTTGTGTGAAGAAAGCTGAGGCCAGGGCAATAAGCAGGGTCAAGGCCACCACCGACTGACTCGGCCCTTTCTGCAAACTGCCCGTCTTCTCGAGGAAACGAAGGAACAGCGGGCGGAAAACAAACGTCAAAAAGAGCATATAGGCCACGCAGACCAACAGCACATACAGTGCCGTGATACCACTGCCCGCATTCACAAGAGCGACGCACAGCGCAAGTAGGATCCATCCTACGACGTCATTTCCAACACCGGCCGACAGTACAATGACACCAACACGGGTTGAGAGCAGCTTCAGCTCAGTGAGGATACGGCACAACACCGGGAAGGCCGTGATGGCCATAGCGATACCAATGAACAGAAGATAAGTGCCGAAGGAGATCGGCTTTGTGTTACCATCATTGTGGAACTCGTGGTAAAGACCGTATGAGATGGCAGAGCCCAGTCCAAAGGGCAAGATCATGCCAGCAGCAGATACGCTCAGGGCAACTCGCCAGTTGCTAATGAGGAAGCGGAGGTCGGTCTCGAGACCCACCAAGAAGAGGAACAGTACCAGTCCCAGATTGGCGACTACATTCAGACTTGGAATACTATCTGCTGGAAAGATGGCATCTGTAAATCCGGGGATGCGGCCCATCACGGACGGGCCCAGAACGATCCCGCCGATAACCTCTGCTATAACTCGTGGCTGGCGGATCTTTGAGAGGGGCCAGTGGATCAGGCGACATAACACTATAATGATAACCGCCTAATCTTGTCAGTATGTAATTCTCACATCCCAGCTGCCGATTCCATTACCTGGATAATGAACAACACAAGCGGGTTTTTGGGGTCATAATCAGTAGGATTGCCGCCTTCTAGGATGCCGCCCTGCGGGCTGACCCGTGCAGTGCTGGTTGGCGCAGCCGATGTTGTTATGCTGGTCGCCATGCTGGACAGACACCCAGTTTGAGCAACGGAGCTGCGAGCAGGCACACTTGGGAGGTTCTTGCAGTTGCAGAGTCAGAAGAGAGATAAAAGAAGGTGGGAGTCAGCCTAAGCCCCCGCAACGGCGGCAACGCTAAGACGCGTGGACCGCCACAATAAGATTTATCGGACCATGGATGCTTCAACGGCTTGGCGATGGCGTTTTTGGTGCACTTGTCACTTCGCTTGTGTTCCGCGATCATCGCTTCTTTGATTGCTTTGACCTTCTCTCCTGATTGCGGTGGGTTGGTTGCGAGCTGGGACAAAGAACCGAAGTCCGCATGCGGCTAGTACTGCAGGTGGAGAGCAACAAAGCGTCCAGTGCCTATTTTGTACGCAACATCATCGCCTAGTTAGGTTCACAGCTATAATAATTTCCGCTTTTATTTTGACTTCCCACGTGGTCTAATTGACGGGCAGCTCGGGCCTTTTTAAACGAGGAGGGTGATACCTTAGCCTCAGCATCGAAATATGACACACAGACGCAACACCGGGCCTGCGGCCCTGCGAGAGATGAATCACCCAAGTAACACTTTAAGTGTGATGTGTCGGTACAGTACCTTTCTAAATAAAATATCACCACAAGTCTTCTGTCCGGGAAGTTGTCAGTACCCACTTGTGGGGGCCGAGTTCCAGACGCGTGTTTAGCGAGCCTCCCGTCAACTGGCAAGCGCCCAGCCAACTGGTAAATCTTCCGCCAACTGGCCAGTCTATTCCTATCAATTGCCCAACAGTGTAGCGATAATATCCCAAGTGTTATCCGTGTGAGTACTACAAATACGTTCAGATAACTCGTAAAAACCAAGTCTATTGATCTAAAATACCATCTGCACTATATGAGAAGAACCCCGTGCACCAGACCTAAGGAGCTGGTAGCCTGTACACAGCCTCGTCCGTATAAGGACCCCCAATTCCTTCAGATCACCCGACATAACCTACGAAGCCTCCGATGGCTTCGGAGAAACCCAGTGCCCACCAACGCGCTCATTCTCAACAACCTTCTTCTCCTCAGGCTTCTTGCCTTTGTCTCCAGGAACCTTCTTATCCTTAGCAGGTATCCTCTCATACCGAATGACCTCGGTACCCAGTGTCTTCGGATCATTAGCAACACGATACCCGTAAGATTTATCTGAATCAATAAACGTCACATTCCAACACCTGCGAAAAGCACTTTTAGGAATGCGATGCAAAACCAGATACTCATAGTAAAGATCATTATGATCCAACCCTTCGGTGTTCATATCAAGTTGTCGAGCAAGTGATTTAGCACGGTAGATATACTTGTGGCCGATGGCGGTAGTGTCGATCTCGAACACCTTGGCGTTTACCTTGCACCGCCACCAGTGACGAGCCATCCAGTCTGTAGCTCTGGCTTTGTGGTCGAAGGCGGAGATGAAGATGCTGGGTTCATGCCAGTTGGATAGGTGGCAATCGGCGGCTTCTTCGAATTCATCGATCGTCCGGGTGCGCCAATGGTCGCCGGTGTCGCCGGCTAGCAGCCATTTTTTGGTCTCCTGGGTGTATGCGCTGTCGTAGTGGACTCTATAGAGGAATTCCGGGATCTTGTAGTCGGGGAGGCAGCACTCTTCCATCTTGGCTATTCTGTTATAGATCTGGATATATAGTAGTTGATGGGGTTGAACTGTCTAGATCTGGATTGTTGGATTGTTGGATACAGATAATGCTGAGGAAGAGGCGTATTTATAGAGATTGTTAATTATAGCTCAGTATCAGCCTGGATGGATTTGATACAATAGAAAATGATGTTTATTTGTTCCCTTGAACGAATGATAGTTGAGTCTGAGACTTCGAGTTTCAAGGACCTTTATACAGGACAAAGGGAACAATAAGCACTTTCTAGCGGATTGATACAAGACAAAGGAAGAAGTACTTTTGAGACACTTGATTATGTCGAAACTGGTAAGATAATGGCTATATTGGCTACAATGTCGAAGGATTCCTAGCAGAATATGCAAGTCTGAAAGACACAAAGGATGCCAAACACAGACCACACGCAACGATCTATAAGATTAATCAAAGACAATATTTGTCTTGGCCTTGAAACTCCTTGCCCGGGGAAGGGTTAATTAAGTATGTAGTGAAATAACACCAATGGATTGTACGAGATACTGATTTGCCAGGCAGGGCGGTGCTCACATCCAACGCAGCATCATTACTAGTGACCACGAGGAAACGAGAGCAAGTTTGACCAGCCCATGGAAGTGTATCAATTGCACCCAACAAGACCTGAAGCGCAGTACTGCCAATGCCGAATCTCAACCTGCATTCAACGCAGTTCGTACTTCCAACGTATACTTCGCCATAGTGAATAGCCTCAATACTGGAAAACAATACTAAACAGTGTATATTCATTCGTGGTCCAATCCAGTACGACGTTGAACGGTCCTAGGTAACAGGATGTGTGATCCAGCTTTCCAATGTGACAACACGTTTATAGTCACCGATCCTCCATCTATTCAAGGAGCATTGGCACAGGTTTTCTCAATCTCCTGCTCCTGCTCCACCTCAGCCCACCCCTTCGGCGGCGCCTGTACCTCATAATTCCACCCCAACGTATCCTCCACACTCCCAGACTGAACCCCCTTGAGCGTCTTCAACAACTTAACGCAAACCTCCCCACCCTCCATCTGCTCCCCACAAGTATACTCAAACTTGTCCCCCTTCGACCGCATCGTAATACTCCTAACAGGCACCAAAGCCGCCGCCGTCCCAGCAGCAATAACCTCATCAAACTCCGCCAGCTCCTCATACGCAACGCGTCTCCTCTCAACAGCAAAGCCCAACCCCTTTGCAATCTCCAAAACCGACGCCGCCGTAACCGAATCAATCGCATTCCGACTATCGGGCTGCACAACGGTCACCTTTCCCCCATCCCTTCTAACGCCAATAAAAGCCGAGGTAGAAAACTCATCAACCTCCTTCCGACTGGCACTATCCAAATGAAGCGTAATCCCAAACCCCTCCTTTCTCGCCCGATCACTATGCTTCAAAACAGGCGCATAATTCCCACCCACCTTCGCATCACCCGTTCCAAAGGGCGCACAGCGATCGAAATCCTCCAGAATCAAGGCATCAACAGCACTAGCACCGTGGTACACGCCCGTCGGCATCACAAATACTGCAAGCGTATACCCGTCGGGCGGACTGAGTCCCAGCTGCGCTGACGACCCGAATAGCAATGGCCGGATGTACATTGCTGCGCCGGAGCCGTGGGGCGGTACGTACTCGGCGTTGGCGGCGACGGCCAGCTGCACGCACTCGATGAAGAGGTCTTCTGGGACCGGCGGCATAGAGACTACCTCGGCAGAGTGCTGCATGCGCTTTGCGTTGCGGTCTGGGCGAAAGATTGTTATTTTGTTGGTGGGGTGGCGGAAGGCTTTGAGGCCTTCGTAGACTTGTTGGCCATAGTTTAGGCCCGGGGCCATCCCGTGGATGGAGAGGTACGGGGATGTTACGAATTGTGGGGATGACCATTTGTTGCCTGTGCTGTGGGAGAAGTGGATTTCGACATGGCCGTTTCCTGTGGTGGGGGGTAAGAGTCTACTTCTCCTTCAGGATGCGCATATGAGGGTTATTTGCTTACCATCTCGGACTTTGAAGCCAATGTTGTCCCAGTCGAGGGCAGCGGGAGGTGGAGGGAAGGTCATTAGGGCAGATTTGAGGAATTGTGGAGTTGAAGTCGATCCCGCGGGGGGTGGGTTATCTTATATTGTGGGGATGGATTGAGTTTATGCTGACTGTGTCTACGGAGTACGGAGTACCGGACGGATCCTGCGTCGGATGTAGTCGGACAGATGACTATGATGACCTCAGGACTTCGGTATCTTACTTCCCACGATGCCCGATGGCACCTGCAGGTCAGATCTGGCAGAATTGCTCCGACCATCCGGATCTCTCATTCCAACCGGAGTCTATTTTTAGAATGAAAAGTACTCTGTAGACTTCGCAATTAGTATGTACACTTATAACTATACACAGAGAAAACAATGTACAGGATCGATTCGCTGTTAACCAGACACACCATCGCAAGCATGCAAAAAAGGAGGAAGCTCAAATGCAAAAGGAGGCGCACAGAGGAACCCCCGAAATTCAACTAGACTGCTGTGACGAAGAAGGCCTGCGGAGTTTCTCCGAGTGGCCATCGGGCATAATATCACCCGACTGGCTATCGCTATCGCTATCGTTATCGGAACTATCGTCGCTAGACTCAGACTCAGACTCAGACTCTGACTCTGACTCCGATTCGCCGGAGCTAGGCACATCGTAGACATCACTGCGACGAGCTGGGGCGGTCTTTGGTTCAGCGCGCGGCTGCGAGCTCTTCGCAGCAAGCTCCTGCTTCTGGCTGCTCAGCATGTCCTTGAGAGTCGGACGGGCCTGCTTCGGGGCTGATACTTGAGGAGTCGCCTTTTGCGTCTCCAGGGTCTGTTCGCGGGCCTTTGCCTCCTTCCGCAGCTCGTCAAGCTTAGCTCGCAATGGTGTTCTTCTGCGAATTTCCAGCCTGGAATTGCCTAGTCTACCCAAAAGCGTGTTCATCTCAGTTAAGATGTTCATAAGGACGGGATCGTAGGTTTCCCGAAGCTTGCGCTCGATTTCGACTTTCTCTGCTTTTTCTTTCTCCTTTTGTTGAGCCTCTGCCTGCCTTGACTCCTTTGTGGACTGCCGCTCTTTGGCAACTTCCTGCTCAAGCTTGGCAACGTCGAAATTGGGCGGATACACCACATCGCTGACTTGCGATGGCGTGCGAGCAGCTTGTGAATTAGATTTGGGGGTCTGCTTCTTGGCACTAGTCTTAGGTGTGGCAACGGTACGAGTAGAGGCCGAAGGTGTTGCTTGGGTGTTTCTAGTAGCTGGTGTGGGCGTCTGCACCGTCGACTTTGGTGTGGCGTTGACCGCAGTATTGCGCTGGCTGGAGTGCGGAACAGGCTGAAGGGTTGAGGCAAGGTTCTCTCCCTCCGCAAAAGACACAGATCGTCTCTCGGATGCTGGGGAATCCTTGCCGCGGAGGGCAGACGAGAGCTTTTTCGTTCTCTCGATTGCGGGTGTTTGCTTATTCTGAGTAGTGGACGATGATTCGACGACTGTGGCATTGCTGCTTGGGAAAGGCGGTCCGCCGAGAGAGGTCGAGTTCTGGGTGGATGGCAGGTCTGCAGTCCTGAAAGATTCTTGAGACGCTTCCACCCTCACTTGCTGATTGCTGGGAGGACTGTCAGTTATACCCAATTCTAGGCCAGACTGGGGGGTTTTGTTGACGGAAGACTCTTCGAGACTTGCTCGGCGAGCCGGGCTAGAGGATGAAGGAACACGTTCACGTCGCTGTGGGCTCGTCACGCCAGCAACTGAAGACAACGATTTCGACTTGGACTGCTGGGGTTGTTGCGAAGGCACAACAACGGCAGGCACAGACCTTGGAGAGGTGGGGCTCGATTGTTGCCGGGTCGAAGGATGAGATTGTCTTTGGCGAGCTTCTTTGACCGAAGTGATATCTTCCAAGCTCTGTTTGCGTTTGCGAGACTGCGAACTCTCGGTAGCCGTGGGCGTTTCCATTTGTATATCCCCATCTGCGTCCACGAAATTTTTCTTACTACCGTTCGTTTCACTCGCATCAGATTCAGAGTCAGAGTCAGAACCGGTCTCAGAATCCTCCTCAGCAGACTCCTCCACAAGAGCCTTTCTCTGTTCATTTTCGTCATCCTCATCATCGCTTTCCTCCTCGCTAGACTCGTCACCAGACTCGCCGCTAGAGCTCTCGACAGCCTCTTCCGCTTGCTTCTTCTGCGAGGATTTAGAGATACTATCAGCCACCCTCGCCAGATGCCCTTGTCCACTGGCCACACGCGGTTTGGTCGGCAGCTCAGGTTCAGGCGAGCTCTCTTCGCTCGGGGTAGCCTCTTCAGTTGTTTGTGTCTCTCGGACGTGTATATCCCGTGGGGGAGATTCAGCGTCGCTAGGCATCTGTGTGATTGTCCGCGTGGCCGTCGTCTTCGCAATGGGCGCTTTAACAAGTTTTGGCGACTTAGTCGGGGATTTCGGGGGTATAGCTTTCGCAGAGCCGGGTGTAGACCGAGAACGGGTAGTAGAACCACGTCGCTCAGCAGGTGACGGCGAGTCGCCTAGCTCCTCGCTTTCGCTCCTTACAGGCGGCGTGCCGGCAATTATACGATCAGGAGATTTCGCCGGTGGGGGAGGACTGGCGACAGGACTGCCTACCTCCACAGATGAAACGGGTAAATCACGATGGCGGTGCTTAACCGGCGACTTTCGGTTGAAAAGACCGTTGGTTTTGGGTTGGCGCAAATCGGGCGAACCCGTCCATTGCACATGAGACTGAGACAGCGATCGAGTAGCACTGGGCTGTGATGAACCCTTGGCGCTCTCTTCGTCCTCTTCCTGGATAGCAGGGAACTCGCGCTCCATATCTTGCTTTTTCTTCTTCGTCGCACGCTTATGCTCATACGCAGCGACAGCAGCATCCCAATCCTGCTCGACAGACGGGAAGCGCTCCGGGGCAGCCGTCGTAGGCTTTTGAATAACGCGAACACATCCGAACTGGTCAAGGCCGTCGGCGCGGGCTTTGCCATGGTCGACCCAGACATCGGCGACTGTCAATTGGGGGTAGAGGTCGAGCTCTTCCTTCGTATCGTCCAATATCTTCTTGATCGAGAGTGGTCTAGCAGGTAATGGAGTTAGTCAATGAAGTTCGTTAGGGTGAGAGATTTCAATTTCTCCAAAGACTTACTCCAACTCCGGATGAAGCTTCGCCCAGTGCTCCTGTATCATGCCCGCAAGTCCCCCAAGCGAGACTTCCTCTGGATTCTGAAGAACAAGCAAGAAGACACCGGGTTTCTTGGAGGCAGTTGAAGGTCCAGATCCCTGGCTAGACTCATCGGAGGTAACCCTTCTCCCGAGTCTCTCCCAGATGTAGCTTACGTTGGTGCTCAGCTGCTCCCGCGGGAAGACCTTGATCGAAAGCCGGAGGAATACCATTATGTCAGAATTGTAGATTGCGCATGCGCATAAAAGTAGTAGGATGAAGTTTTATATGTATGGCGCGCGGTGGAAGGGCCGTGGTGAGGTGCGGAGACTCCTGGTGAAGACTGGAGAACTGGATTCGGCGGATGGGCGCGAACGAAGGAGGACAAATCAATTAATTACGCGCACATGACTTCGTTCAGATATATGAGGCCAGACACTGGAAGGAAGCGTGCGAGGGCAAAGAATTGGGACAACAAAGCGGAACTTCAGAACGCGGAAGAAATTATCGCGAAGCGCGAAGCAGTCCCGCTGGCGATCCACTTATCTGCCGTATCGGTGAAGTCGCGTCAACACCCTCAACCCTCATTCCTTAAGGATTTATCATGATGAAAGCGAGTGTATCATATAATAATAAACTAATATTTTGTTTTGTATGATGATTGGACTAGAAGCTCACATGCTCACACGTGCCCCTAATCCGGCACCAGGTACATTATCCCTTTGACCAAACCTGGGCTGTATGATCTCTTGTTAGTAGTCGAGCCATAGCAACATTTCTCTGGAGATTATAGGCATGATTAAAGGAATAGATTGAACATAGGACGCCACCTGCTGACTAGTTCGAGGGTATTGGACCTTTTGAGGCTGAGTATCGCGCTGTTCTATCAATCAATCCATCGCCCTTTCCCCAGAATGGACGTGGGAATAGCCTCGTTTTCCATTGCTATGGAAGGGTGGTGACCCAACGTGACCCAACGTGATCAAAAGCTCGTCCGCTCGTGACCGATCGACCCGTCTCTTTCAGAGCTACTTAACTCTCTGTCCTGGTGCCTCTTCTCCTTTCATTCTTGACCTTTCCAACCATGGTTGTCCATCTCTTTGGCCATCCGTCCTCGTGTTTTATCGTTCGTTTTATCTTTCTTGACACTATCCACCTTGTGCTTCCCTTTTATTAGAAGGTTGGAAGCACGTGTCAGTCAACCAAACCCACCCCCACTCTTCCCATCTCCACGCCTCTTCACTTGGGAGTCCTATGATTCGGAGCCTGACGGAGAAGAGTTCTTCGATGCTATTGATGCCGGCGAGATCGAAGTAGAGGACTTCAGCAAGGTTGATCAGAGTAAGATGCAAAGTCCTCAAGATGAAAGTGCTGAGCTTCGGGAAGACTGACATATCCAGACCAGCCCCGGAATATAAGTATCACATCGGTGCTCGCACGATCTTCCAGCTCCGCGCTGAGTTCAAGCCCTTCTGCCGCCTACCTGCTGAGCTGCACGTCATGATATCCGTGCCCATCAGCGGTGCGGCACCGGCGCAGAATGCCTACCTTCGGCAAGGAAGCACAAATGACTTGCGCTGGGGGTTGCCATGGCCAAGCATAAGAAGCAGCGGCTTTTTCAGACATGGTGGTCCTGGAAAGAGTTCCGCAAAAAGGAGACTTCTTTGCCTGGCCCATAGTCGTCCCACCAGCAATGACGCCTTACAGACCTGGCTGCTGGCAACCCAGTCGACCGGAGAGCGTCCTGGGGACAGATCAGACCCGAGGGTCGTTGGCTTTCCACCACGAACCGCTCGACCGTGGGTAACGCGGACCGTCAGTATGATAGCGCATATTCTGGATCGACGCGAATGCTGATGGGCGTGTGACGACGTGTGATGAGGTTCGAACCACGGCCTATCCATGGCGCCAGAAAATGAATGTCTGTTTTGGAGATCCAGAATGGTGACAAGATCCTTGTCGGACCGTTCTCATACTGGGTAACAGGAGGACCGTCGGTATTGCGGCCACGCTCTCTGTGGTAATTGCCTGCCATCTGCGAAGATGACCTTCAAGCCAGTCAATCGGATTTCGCAGAGCTATTCAGCCCTGATCAGAGTGTATCAGTTCATTCTCCTAGCGGACGCACACAAGAACCCTTCAGCGGAAGTAAGTTTGTCACTCACCCCGATACATATGTCCATCCTTCGTGATATATATTGACTGACTCCATTAGGATCTCGAAGCCGCGTGGGCAGAGATGGGCGAAGCCGATCCGGTTCATGAATATGTCTCATCTTTCATGGATCGCTTTTTCCAGAGCCGGTTTCCTATCCTCTCGGCGATATCCGTGCCCTTAGGAAGTACGCCTTTGCTGTCATTCGACAGTCTAGCTCCGATGGTCCTACCGTCACTAAACACGGGCTCCATTACCTCAGGTACGAAGGTATCAGACTGAGCTCTGCCGAGCTAGGCGGATTCCTCAGGCGCTATACCATCGAGACGAGCAATGCGCTGATAGACCTCGTCTTCGGCTTTGCGAATTGGGAACGCATCACTCGTGATCTCAACATTGCTGAAGTTGGAAGGCGCGAGGATTGGTCCCGTCCTGCTGCGGATTTCGGCATGTCAGACGCTTCAAGTCCATTCTTTGACTTTTTAGCCCTTCATGCCTTTGGCCCTGCCGGCAACGAATGGCTACTCGAGTCCAACGCGGCCACAACCCCTGACGCTACGACCCCTGAGATCAACCGGGGGACTGCTGCGACCGAGCGATGCCCTGTTGAGGGATGCCAAGCCAAGTTTGCACCGCACTCTCACCAGCAGCATCGAGGCCAGCTGCGGCCTATCCATGCCTTCAGAAATGAAGATCGGGCTCGGAAATCCAGAATGGTGACAAGGTCCTTCTCAGACCTTGTTGACTTTCTCATGCGGTGCCAACGTTGCCGTATCCCTTGACCCTTCAGGGTTGCCGCCGTTGTCGCTGGAGTCTAGGGAAACACCAGGGATAAACCAGTGCTGTTGTACATTGTACGCACATTGTATATCGTTCTCACTGAAGCTGAAAAGTGGAAGTGCCAGATTAACGAACCTTTCCGTCGGCGCCCCAGCTCTGTCTCGATCCGCTAGTGAAAGCTCAGAGAATACGCCATTGAAACTTGCGCTACTGGAAGCCGTTCTTGTATTTCTCGATATCGATAAGAAAGGAGTTTGCTGGTACCGAAGGCGCCACAGCACCACGGGCATCACCGGATGCATGTATTGGTATCAGATGGAAGGCTCGCCCGGACTAAGTGAGGGTCAGTCGGATATTTCAACTCTCTGCTCTGATGGATTCGCGGTTCCAAAAGGGAACCAGCGTAAAACGGGAAAAAATGGTCAGCAACATACCACCAGATGCCCACATTACTTGGAAGAGGTGTTCAAGCAGTCTGTTGCGGCAATCAATCTTGTGAGGAAGAAGAGAAAGAGGAACCGTGGTAATGAAGCCCGACAGAAGAAGTGGGAAGAGTCCATGGGCCGCCTACCGTACTCGGGCATGTGGGAGAGGTTCTTGCTTCAGGAAAGAATACTGAATGCTTTCCTGACTCATGTCAACAAACGTGATGCGCCGTACTATCATAGGAGCTAGGCCAACAAGTTAATAGAACTTTGATTGATCATGTATGCATTATATCATAACTGGGTAGTGGTAGATCTATGCGCACAATCATGCAGAAGAACAACGAATGAAGCGTAAAATCAGACGAATTACGAGATGAAGACTTAAAAGGAAGTCCACTGTATGGCCGTTCCTGTTGATAACGAAGAGCCGTCCAAAGTATCCGGAAAGACATTCAAGTACGCTGCCCAGACGTAATGCGAATACTTCGCTGAAACAGCGATTGACCCCAAGTTATGGCTGCGTTACCTAGATATATGGGAAATTGGTTCAACTTTGTCTTCGTTTGTCGTTTCCAGGTTGCATTTCGCTTGAATTACTGTCGTATTTTGAGGACACCGTTAGGTTTGACTGCCCATAACCACGTCGGTACCTACCTCGGCGGGAATACCTACAGAATACCTATACCTTCTTTTAGTAAAACGTCCACCAGGGAGCTAATATGAACGAATTGCGTACCTATATGTATCAGTTGTCGAGGAACAAAGGAGTACCTACTTGTACGAGCCATTGGCTCCTGCAGAGTGTAGAATGTCGTTTGATGCATTCCAGTGTAACTCCCAACGCAGCCTCACGAAAGCACAATGTGACACAACCCTCCAATGCGCTCGCCTTAAATGATCTGTGCATGTCCAAGATAGCAAGCGCTTATGTCGTTCCAAGGCTGTCATACTCAGTGCTCCCCATGGTTGCTCTTGCGGCTTGCTGGTCTCGTGATTTGTCGCGTGAGGCGTCGTGCCCTCCCTCCCTCTCACTTTATCTTCCCCTTTCTCAATCGACACCCCTATCAACCTCCATCCCTAGACTAACCAATATACCTGTCACAACGGGCTTCTTGATTGATCTGATGTGCGGAATCGGTCAATGAGGAGCCTCATGACGTCCGCGTAGGTAGAAGATCAAGGGCCCCAAGTGTGTCCTTCCCTCGGCGGCCTCGATGCCTTGCGGCCTGGTCTCTCTTGGTAAGTATCCCGCCATCTCTTTCCTCTCCTTTCATCCACCTTCCTCCCCTTTCCTCCATTTCACCATTTTCATCTCTCAAATACATCACCCGGACTCTGCGGGCCATCTCCATGACGGAAGTTGATACTGATAACTGCAGACGACACGGAGACTGATGAGGCATCGTTTCCTCCCTTTCCTCTCCTTCCTCTCCGACCATCTACGAGGAACGGAGCTTCAGTTGCTCGCAGCCTCGAAGATAGGGAACCTAAATACATCCCTGTAGAGGTCGAGTGCCTTTGAGATCCTTGAGAAACGGCAGAAGGCTCTGTACAGTAAGTAGGACCTCAGTCCATCTGTGAGGTCTCGATACTCACTCCTTCTTCCCGACAGTGTCGAAGGTTGCTTATGAGCACCCAATGTTCAGGGTCCCATTGTGGAACTGTCTCCGAAATGGCCGTCACATTCATATCGGTCGTGACTTCGCCACGCGAGTCAATTTCCCCAGCACGCAAAGTCTATCGAGACACAATGCATCTGGTCCCGATGAACAGCTGGAGATTGACGCTTCCAAATTCCCTTCCGATACCGACATTCAAGGAATAGCGGATACGAAAGTCGGAAACGAGTACGTTCGTGGAGTGATTGGCGGTCCTGCCCAGGTGACGGAAGCGAAGCTAGCTGGCGGTTCTTGAAATGTTGCTGGACTCGAGACACCTCGATCTAAACGAGGCGAAGCTTCCCAAAGCGTCGAACTTCAAGTTGCTACAGGCTTTCTTGCAAGATCTGGCGTTCCCGCAACAGGATTGCCTCCTGATCACCGACCTTTATCGATGGCGTGCCCACAATCTTGCACCTAATGTCGAGCCCCCCTCCGATGACTACCATTGGTCCGCCGTCGAGCGGATGAGCCGAGTTCAATCTCCATCCTCTCTCATGGAGAACAGTCTGAGGGCTGACGAATGCTTGTGGGAGAGTATTGCAGCCTCTGGTAAATAACCAAAACGTGATGATTTCCAGAGGCGGCTCGCTCCATGGAACAACAACTCGAGAAGCTCATCAAATTCATAAACTGATCGGAGCCATCTTCGGAGAGTGTCTCGGGCTTCGTAAAGCCCTCTGCGTGGCTGAACATTCATGCCGCTCGTCTTTACAAAAAGCATGTGCCTGTCTCGATCAGACTCTATCAGAGATGTGCTTGAATAGATGGCAAGTCTCCATTCTCAACAAAGTCGACCCTCCGCCCAAAATCGCTCGCCCGCCCCGCATTCCGCGGGTGGCAAAAGAGTCAAAGACAAAGAAACCTCAGACGGCGAGGAGACTCTAAGTTCCGACTTCGACTCTGACCGTGATTCGGATTTCATCGATCCAAGTGAGGACGGCTTGGAAGACGAAGAAGATGTAGTCATGGCGATGTATAGCGAGTCCGAGCAATCAGACGGCAACCGTCTTGAGGGTATGCATGAAATCCCCAAAGATCCAACATTGCAATCGTCAAATCCTTGGTTCGACGAGGTTCCTTGGGGAACAAAACTGTGGATATGCTCGCCGTGATGATGTGCCGAGTTTCCATCGACCGCGCGGGTACCATCGGTGGCACTGATGGTCGCCCATACTGATGACACGACGTGCGAGGAGTCAGTGGCGGTGAACGCAAGCGAGTATCCATCATAGAATGTATGGCCACGTGGGGCTGACCTACGTCTTGATACCTTGATTCTCGTTCTTCCCAACCTCAACAGAAAAGCCATTCATCCACCTGGGAGCAGCCGTTGCACTATTGACGAAGTCAGCTTTGCAGCTCACGTTGATGGTGTTGAAAACCGCACTTTCATTGAGGAGGTAGCTGCGCCAGTTGTGGTAAGTGTGACATCTACTCTATACTTGAAGTTTTACTGATTCTCCCAAGATCCTGGTTCACGGCGAAAAACACCAAATGATGGTTGAACAACCCGAGACTGTGTGGAGTGGGACGACGACTGGTGGGGGAGTTTTGACTTGACCGTAGCGAGGGGAAGTTGGAAATGGCTGTTTGTGACGGAAAGGTCATTGTTTTCTCCGTGGCTCGTGGCAGGGTATGGCTGCGCCGCTGCGGCTCGTGCAGATAGCTCCGGCTCAGATGCCTGAGGTTGGGCATTATGCTCGGTTTTATGATATTTTTCATGGGAACCTACCTTATTGGTACCGAGTACATCTCCGAGTCCAACCTCTTCCTGCAATCTTGCCTGTTGGCGGGTGGTGAAATCCAAAGAAAGGCTCAACTGGATCTGAATATTCGTCGATGGTTGACGACGATCAAACAGTATGACGAGGTCCCTTCTCGGGTTCCTGCATTTCTCTTCAGTGTCTTAATCCATTTCACCACCGCCCAGAAGGCGGAGGACATAGGAGGTTTTGCTCTTCCGCGGATTAGCCCCCAAGAAGACCGGCACCTCCGATGATGTCGAACATATGTTCTGGATTCCTAGGGACAATTATCGTTGAGTTGAATTCACAATTCCATATTCAAATCTCCACTTCGCATATCACACTAGACAAAAGACTCTCAGCCTAGATTATGATGAGATATGCTCCAGCGTGGAAAACGAAGCCATGAATTCTTCACCGGCGATGGTAAGTGTACACAGAAATTCCAGCAGGGGTCAGTTTGGAGCTTTTAGAAGTGGTTCTCGAGGGGAAAAACAAGGAGATGTTCATTGCTTTCATGAAGGGGATGCTTCAGTGGCGACCTGAAGACAGGAAGACAGCGAAGGATCTACTTCAGGATCCGGGGCTGAATGATTAATTGGAGTAGCTGAAAGTTCATTGCTTTATCGCCATTCCAAAACCAAATATGTAGCCATTGTTGTTTGCAGTAGATGACCAGATGGTTTGACAGAGTGTTGTTGCTATTTGACAGCAAAGAACCAGTGCTCCTGGAAGATGGCACGGAGAGGAGAAGAAGAAGGGTTGCTGAAATGGAGGAGGAAGGATTGCTATTTAGACAGCGCCAGTTTGATAGGCCGCTTTTGCGTGGTTGGATCGTAGTTCTATTCTTTAAGTGCGTACATAAGCAACGATGGGATTGCAGCAGCATACAGTCGCTTAGGTTAGAATGCTCTACCTCTACCTGACTACCCATACATAGACCGTGGCAGGTCAGCCTAAGAACTGTCCCCTAGCCAGTGCGACCCAAGGCAGCTTTTCATCCCAGCATTGCTGCATTAGCTGGCGTGCATTTTGAATCTACCCACACAGTGTCAGTAACGTCTTATAAAACGCCAGTTCATGTTCTCCGACGAAAACATACCTGCTTCAAGCCCGAGCTCTCTAGGACAAAGAATCTTTCCAAAAGTTTGGCTCTTTGGGCTGAATCTCTGGATTCACAGCCAGCGGTGAATAGCGGGAACAATGAGCAAACCTCAGTAGCTGCACCTGGGCGCATACGCCCAAGCGCATCTATGAGTTTGCGCAACGCCTCTTTCACGGGGAAGGTGTCAGGTGGTGATCCAAGCACCCGCCTGTGGAGGTGAATGAGACCCGCAAAACGGAAGGCCTCCTCGATGGCCATCATGTCCAAGGATTCAACACCATCATTGTGTCCGAGGCTTGTATGAGCACGGTCACCCATCTCATCGATATCACCAAGTATGGATTGCGCCTCCAAAACGATGTCCGCGGAAGGGTGCCAGTCGCTCCGGAAGTTACCCGCCTCATCAAAACGTTGATTGTCACATTGCTGCACCAGTTGTCCAAGGCGGACCAAAAATACGCCTGTGCGAGGAGTGAACCCCGAGAAACAGTCAACGCAAAATTCATCATAGCTATCGGGCGAGCAGCAGGTTGTCAAGATGGAGTGGTATATCGTCAATGGGGGGCCGGCTTCCCGGCATGACAAAGATCCAATCGTGTCAAGGTAACCTAGCCAACGACAGAAGAAGGCGCCAATCCTGTTGCTGGGTCGTGCCATGGTCTCACTTCGTGCAATGAAAAGATCACGAGCGAGTTTCAGGTGAGTCTTCCAAGTGATTGGTACTTCGAATGTCCCCGGAGAGACAATCTTCAATGACAACAACATGATGGCTGTTGCTAAGTGGTTGTCGGTAATGTCTTGAGTGGAAGATTCCAATGCTACACGAAGGGTGGGGAACACACGACTGACCCAATGAGCAATTCGGTTGGCTGGCTCGGGATGACCTAAATATCGAGCACGATGACTCGCAGAGTATGCAAGTAGCAAGTTGAGAAGATTCGAATCACCGAGTGCCACTGTTTTGGTTAGACTCAGGAATAGCATATGGAGGGGCCGGTATAGCTTACTTGAAGGTAGAACTGAGATGAACAAATTGTTGTCGCAGTTGTGGGGCACAAGCATTCGGGCAGTGTGGTTCATAAAATGATGGAAGTACATCAGGTTGATTGGGTTCTCCAGCAGCGACGAAGGAAGCGGAGACAAGTATCTTGGCACATTGATAGGCACCGGAGAAGCGTAATAACCAGTACAGAATTGTGCCTGTGGTTCGGGGACAGGCGGGGATGCCATCGACCCCGGGCTCTCGATCAGATTCAATGCGCGGTTGATGTCAATGGCGGCGTGGTCGTTGTTGAAATTCAGATCTTGATCCGGACGCCCGGAGTCTAATCCATAGTTATCGGTCACGTTATTCAAGTATTTCTGCCATCTGTCTCGGGCCATTGCAGACTCGTGGGATGCTTGCTCAGATTCATGCTTGGTGTCTGTCAAGACCTGATGACTTGGACTCGGCTCATTGTGATAGTCATGTGTGGAGTTGCTGGCTGCCCCGTGGGGCTTTGGAGAAGACGCAGCGTTACTTCCGGCGATTGAGACATTGCGTGTGTCGAAAAGCACGTTGGAGAGACCACTCTCGTTCTGGGGACTGTTGACAAATTCGTCTCGTCCTGTCCCGGAGTCCACATCGAGGTGCATTATGCGTCCATTTTGCGAAGACCCTCTGCTGAATAGGTGTCTGTTATCATTCGAGTGGAAGATTGGCGACTCCGAGTGACGATTGGATACATCCACAGAGTGGCGTAGATATGAGACTGGCTGTGACACCGGCGTGTGGAACGCGAATGCAGAAAGTCCTCCGAGATCAGATGTCTGATCCGTCGAACCATGGTAAGACGGACTATCGTAACTCTGACTTCCAAAATGATTCCGTGGTGAGGGCTCCGGAGGCACTGGTGATGTCAATGCAGACGACTGTTCCACCCACGTAGAATTGAACATCGGCTCTGGTTGACCCGGCGCCATCACCTCTTCGTTATTTGAACCAAGCCTCGGGGATTCGAACAGCCCCCCTGGTGCTGCTGTGCTTGGCGATGTTGCCCCGGGTGAGGTCAGATCTGCGGGATGAGCGTTCACAAATCCGTCTGCGGGATTGCTGTCTGTTGGTGTAGGAAATGATATCGGACTCATGTTGTTAATTGAGAACGAATCCGCAAAGCCGATCACAGTACCCCCGAACCGTCCGGACTGCGAACTTGGCGAGTCAATCGACAAGCGCTTTGTCCTTCCTCCCCAATTCAGTCGAACGCTATAATCGCAATGCTCGCCTTGCCGTTGACAATTGAGACATCCTGGTTTCTCCTCACCGCTGCAGACGAAATCATTAGTCTTGCCAATGTGTGGTGAGAGTGTTTTTCCTACCATTTCACTTTGCGTGATTTGCATGGCCTAGTATGATGGTTAGCCTTCAGAAACCCCAAGATCAAGAGCTAGATAACGCACCAACATCCTTTACGGCTTCGACGCTTTGGTGCTGGCGCGCCGGGTCTTCGCGGACGCGGCATTGCACGTCAAATGGTGTCTAGTCGAGTATCGATGTCTAGTGACACGACACAGCCAACAGAAGAAAAGAAGGCTTATAATCGCCTAGATTCACTGTCTATATCCCCCCTCATACAGATCGAATGTACAATTGTCTCTGTCCGATCAAGACGTCTCACGGGAACACACGTCGAAATGGTCACGCTTTCTCCGTTTGGATCCCGGTTGACCCCAAGTAGCGATGAAGCGATAATCGACCAGACACCCACACCTAGTAAACAAGCACATCGAGGTATGGGAGGGAGATGTGCCAGGAACAGTTTGAATCCCACCGCCGACAGCAATGGGAAGGCAAGAATAGCCGATAGCGATTAGGCAGTATTGGTCTTGACGTGACGAAGTGTAGATGTCGAATCGAGGTCGATTCTGTTGAATATGCGTCGATTGGCCCAATAAGACAGTCAGCTAGTCTCTGAGCAGCAACTAGTGATAGAGCCAGAGCAGAAATCACGATAATTGGGCAAAGAAGATTGTCCAGGGAAGCGCCAACCAAAGTGTGGGGAAAGCACATGGCCAGGCGAGATAAGGAACGATGATTCAGCCGGGTTATCTTGAATCCGATACCCCGGACCGGGGTTCGCCGATAAGAAATAGTAGTCACGTGCACGGAGTAGTTTCCCCCTAAATGACGTCATCATTTCCGTCGCTTTCCCAAGGTTGGTTGTACGGCGCGGTTCCTGAGCGCTTTGATTACAGGCTCGGGGATTTTTTTACCTTTCCACTTTTCAGCGTGCAACATACATAAAAGGCCTGAGAGCGATCGTGAAGCATCCTGTCCAACCTTGTTTTCCGCCATGGCCGCCGAGCTCCTCAACAAGCATCCACTTCAGCGGCTGCCCAGCCCTTCACGGGGCTTGTCAGCTTTGGTTCATGTAAGTACCATGGGCGTTACACTTATCAAATTTCCGAATCATCCGGGGTTTAGATCTAACGGATTGTTTTCCAGTTGGTCGGGCTTGCTAGTTTTCTGTGGTCATTCAAATAGTATGGCTCTCTTTTCCAGCAGTAATTTGGGGTTGCTGACATTCTTGAAGTATGCATGAAAATCCCAACCAAGCGTAAGGGTCCCTTGCGTCCTAAGGCTCGGAACTACACTAAAACACTAGAACCGGACAGTAATCAAGCATATGGTTGGCACTTTCAATATCTGACCGTGATTGGCCTATCGTTGTCAACGTTCACTTTTGCGATTGCACTGCTGGCGGATATCACCTCGTCGCGACGACTATTCTTAGTGAAAAATATCCTCTCGACATGCAGTGCCCCTCTGGAGGTTGTGATCAGTGTCTTGTACTGGGGTCTCCGCTTGGTATGTCACTTGCTCCTCAGCTGGAATTGGAAACCCATCTAACTCAATATAGATCGATGAACGTTTGGTCGTTCCCCCGAATATCTTCATCCCTGTCCATGCCGGTAAGTCAGCAATGGAGCATTTATTTGTAATGTCCCTAACACGACAATGTAGACATCAGCTTCCATGCTACCCCGTCGGTGGTGATGCTCATCGACCTGCTGTTCCTATCTCCACCTTGGACAATTACTGTTCTACCCGCGCTGGCGCTGTCTAGCACTATTGCCTTCGGCTATTGGTTCTGGATTGAGCAGTGCTTTTCGCACAACGGATGGTTCGTACACTAGTCAGCTTTTCGGGATGTCGCTATCGCTAACGAGGTTAGGTACCCGTATCCAATCTTCGAAGCACTGCCTACCTCTGGTCGCATTGCTCTTTTCACTCTTAGTGCCGTTGTCATGGCCATAAGCACCATTACTCTCAAGTGGCTCCATGCACGCATCAACGGATTTGGAACCCCGATCACGCCGGTATCTCGTCCCGGTGATATCAATCGAAAGGGCGGTCTGTGAACGGGCATCCTTAAACGGACAAAGGATGGTATTTTGCAATATTACTGCTAGCTGGCATCAACTGCCCCTCCGTCCGTCTCGCTACGAGATGGGCTCTGAATTTATGGTCGAAAGAAACGGAAAGACGAGTGCATCTTCATTGCATCAAGAGCGTTCTCCGCTTCTAGTTAGTGCTCATTTCGAAGAGTACAAGGCTTTGCATTTAGTTAGCGCTCATCTCGCACATTCATGCGATTCTGTCTGTGGGATATCACTTTCCAAGCAACCTAAAGCGGCCTAGAACCTACATGGTAGGTATGCATCGGCTAGAACTCCGTACCTACCTTGATAAAGTTCCATGGAATCTGGGGCAGATGGAAACCTTGGAATAGGATCGACATATAACCTAATTAGACTACTACTAGCAGAGCGCGGTCCGACGGGACATTTTAGCACATGCAGTGGGGCCAACTGGCCATGCTGTTGGGCATGTCTCCGGATGGAAGATGTTATTCGGTCTGAAACGACATCGGACAGCTCGGAACATCTCCGGGCTAGAGCTCGTCTAGATCGCAAAGCTCTTGAGCCACTCATTCTTCTGACTCTCCTCGCATTCAGAGGTGCAAAACATTCCCCCCGCGAGAGCCGATGATAACCATTGTGATCCACTTCCGATTCCAATCAGCATTATTCATTGAACTTCGCATAAGCCATAAGCAGAATAAGCCAAGCGATGTGGCATCGCGTGATTCTCGTAATCCTTCACTAAACCAATCTGCACACGGGTTTCATGTCCGAGTACGAGCCACCGAATCCTTCTGCGAACAAGACTACCACAGATAATTTGAGCAATGCCGAGGACAAGATTGCCGCAAATAATCTGAAAACAATGCCGAGGTCACGATACTAACAATGATATGCCGATCTCCAGACTCCAAGCAGACGGGCCGTTAAAGGTTCGGCAATGTGTGGATTGTGTGCATTGATGTTCCCATTGACCGGATTTTAAATTTAGCTCGCTTTTCAAAGTTTACGAGCACGGCGGCACGCTGGCGACGCTGCTATCAATTGCGGGGATGTGTAAGACAAGCCTTCGTACAAGCCTACCAAGCCTATTGTGGAGTACGCGGGGGTTGCGTGCCCTAAGTTCCGTTTCCCCGCAAGGTCTCGCCTTCCAATCCTGCGTACCTTCTACACAGTACACCAAGATAGATAATATCACAACAATTGAAAAAACAACCAACCTGCGCTTGGGAAACTGCCTCCGACCATTTCAGCCTGCTTATCCTTGCCACTGGAAACTCAATCAAGCACTGCAGCATGGAATACCTGCACCCCCACGCCGATCATAACCCCAGCTGCCCAAATCTATGCCGATCTCACCCCCGGCGATCAGATCCAAACTACCGACTAAACCACAGCAACCCCTGTCCACGGGCTCACGGAATGTAACCATCGCGTATTTAGCTGCACGCTAAAATCTGGAGATGCAGGAAACGACTGGGAATAAGAGCTGCTTCCTTGCCCCCTCTTTTGCAAGTTCTTAGTGGCTTTCTGTTCATCTGTTCGACAGACCGCGCAACTTAGGGAACGACTGCCACACAACCCAAGCATTTTCCACTGGTATCGTCTCGATTTGCGCGATGGCTGTCGACGAAGAAATGAAACCGACTGTCTCCAGGTCGTCGGATCCTGAGGCAATTCTCGACGCTAAGGATCCGCTTGCTGCAGCTGGATTTGAGGATCCAGATGCAGGGCTGAGTGACGAGGAAAGGGCGGCGATTGTGCGTTGTTAATTACTTTCTTTGTTTATCGTGTTGTTGCGACCGAAACTAACAGAAACACACAGGACCGCAAGCTCCTTTGGAAGCTCGATCTTCGTCTTGTGCCATGGCTCAGTCTGCTATATCTCGTTTCGTTCCTTGACCGGTAAGAGAATCAGTCGATGTTTACCCACAAGCAGATACTAATCCCATCTAAATCAGAACAAATATCGGCAATGCAAAGATCGTCGGTCTCCAAAAAGACTTGGGCATGACAAACAGCCAATACAATGCAACCCTCACCATCTTCTTCGTCTCGTACTCCATCTTCGAGCCGTTGACCAATGTCCTACTCAAGCGTCTACGACCAAGTGTGTTCATTCCAATCATCATGATGGCCTGGGTATGTACTCCCCCAATCCCCCTTCAAACCACTCCCCTACGAATCAGCCTCTAACCCAGAACAGGGAATCTGCATGACCTGCATGGGCCTTGTAAAGAACTTCTCCGGCCTGATGGCTGTCCGCTGGTTCCTCGGCCTCGCCGAAGCAGGCCTCTTCCCCGGCGTCGGCTACTTCCTCTCATGCTGGTACAAGCGCTCCGAGTTCGGTGTGCGAATGGCCATCTTCTTCTCCGCCGCGGCGCTAGCCGGCTCCTTCGGTGGCCTGCTAGCTGCGGCCATCGCGAAAATGGATGGCATTGGCGGGAAGCGGGGTTGGGCGTGGATTTTCATTCTGGAGGGACTTTTGACGTTCATTATTGGCGTTGCGTCGTTCTGGTGTGTCTACGACTTCCCCGATCAGGCGAAATTCTTGTCCGATATCGATCGGAAGAGAGTGCTTAGACGGCTTGCGGAGGATCAGCAGTCCAGTGCTGAGCATGAGGAATTCAAGATGGACTATTTCTGGGCCAGTTTGAAGGATTGGAAGACTTATACTGGGGCGGTTATCTATATGGGAGCGGATGGGTCGCTTTATGCGTTTTCGCTTTTCGTGCCGACTATCATCAATGAATTGGTGAGTTTTCGTGTTGGCTTGAAGACTTGGGGACTGTTGGACTGACCTTTTCTTTCTTCGATAGGGCTACAGCTCTATTCGTGCTCAGTTGCTGAGCGTCCCACCTTATGCCGCTGCCGCTATCGTGACCGTGGCTGTTGGCTTCATTTCGGACCGTACGAGACAGCGTGGTCTCTGCAACATCGCCGTCTGTTTGGTCGGTATAGTCGGATTTTGTATGCTGATCGGCTGTGAGACTGCCGGCGCTCGCTATGCGGCAACCTTCCTCGGGGCTTCGGGCATCTACCCAGTTATCGCGAACACGATTTCATGGGCTAGTAACAACACCGAGGGTAAGTCGATGTTCGGGGATTGTCTTTTTGGACTAAACTAATCCCATGATGTATAGGTGTGTACAAACGAGGCGTGTCCCTCGGATTTATCATCGGCTGGGGCAATCTGAACGGCATCGTCTCATCCAACATCTACCGCGACGATGACAAGCCAAGATACTACCCCGGCCATGGAGTGGTACTCGCATACCTAGTCCTCTTCCTCTTGGGTGGCACTGTGACGCAATACCTGCTGCTGCGCCGCGAGAACGCCAAGCGCAGACGTGGCGAGCGCGATCACTGGGTTGCGGGATTGGATCAAAGCCAGATGGCAATGTTGGGTGACCGGCGACCGGACTTCATCTACACTCTGTGAGCCGGGAGACCTTGACCTTGGGAATTTAACTAGGATAGGAGCGGCAGCTCAATGAGATACGAAGTGCATACGTCTTTCCCCGATCGATTTATGCCTCCAGGTATCATGTGTATCCAGCCGTAGAAGCCACCTAGTCCAAAAGCATTGCAGCTCCAATTCCCTCTTATACCACTACCCTCTCATACCGATTCACAATATCCTGTCCCTTCTTCGGTCCCCGCACAACATGTCGACTAGCCCAACTAAGCACCTCGCCCGTCTCCTCCCTGATACGAAACGCATACGCAGTGCGATACATATCATTAATGCAAAGATGGTTCCCCCTCGCGTTCAGCACGGTCGTGCCATTGTCCCCAGATAGCACAGACGGCGGAACGGGCGGCGCGACGAACTCGCCCGGATCTGTTTTCCCCTTTTCCGTCTGTTCCGACTCCGCAAAATCAAAATCATGGAACAGATAGTCCGCTTCCTCTGGGCCTGGCGCAACCTTCACAAACCAAACGCTCACCCGCTCGCTGTTACTGTCGCTGTCGCCGTCGCTACCGCTGGCCAGACGCCATATGTACTTTTTCGTCCAGCGGAGACCGGGCTGGGCGGCGCCGAGGCTTGCGCTTACACTGCTGGGGATTTCGCCTTCTTCACAGTAGAGCCAGTCGCGGTCTTTGGTTTGGTGTGGTTGTGGGGTGAACGTTGCTGTGCCGTGTAGCTCGCCAGTTAGGTCGAGGGGGTTTTCGCTTCGGAGGGTGCGGGTTAGGGTCCAGCGGGATGTTGTGAGGGAGGTTATTAAGGTTGAGAGGAGTTGGCGAGGTGGCATTTTGAGGTGGATAGATGAGGAGACGAGGGAGTGGACCGAGTGAGAAGTGGACAAATTATTTAGACTTGTAAGTTGAATCTACTCTGTACTCATCTGTCTTCATTGTGGAGAGTCCCTGAGAAAAGTGGGCTCGGATCATTCAGCGCTAAAATGCCAAGACTGTTTACAAATTACGACAACTTGCACTTCATCTCTTTACTCTGTAGTTTCACACTCCCCCTGAACAGCTTAGTTCAGAAGATGAATTTCTGAAAGACGCAAGGAAACGTGGGCGCCTAATGCGATATTCTTCCGGACTCTTCGCCCGCAGGTCTGCCAGCTAAGCTGTGGTTCGTAATGAGGTCGCATAGGTGGCAAGCCACCATGTCGTAGGCTTATGATTTTAATTACCCGTCATTTTAACACATCCTCTTTCAGTTGTTGACCAACTCAGATCGCCATGGATACCATGTGAACCACAGGGGGTTCCAGAAGGTGTTTCCGTATGTGTTCGAGGTTAGTCTGCGCCGGGATAATGGATACAACCAAGGTGTCAATTCAGTATTCGGTAGGCAAAGAAGAGGTATTGGACGGATTCAATGTTGTTCCAATGGCGGGTGCTACAGATCCCAGTTGTGCTGATACCCCTAGCAGGATGACATTGACTGCCCAAAACCGCAGAATCAAAGCTGATCATCCAAACATCCTCGTTCGTTGCCTTATTCTAGTCTTTAGACGTCAGAAAGAAAATTTTACAACCCGTCCATAGACAAAAGAAATAGGCCCCTTTTGCATCCGTTGATATCTCGGCTAGACCGTCTTGACTTCGTGCTCGGACACTGCCACGTTCGCACCGGGCTTATGTGTAAACGGAGGAATGCGGGAATGGAGTTAAATCAAGCGAAGCCGGTGTCCTTAGCGAGACATTCTGGAGACCAAATCAGCCCTGGGAAACAGCCTGTCTTTGTAGGAATGTCCAAAGAACAGCCTACAAGCGGCGAATTGCGCCACTGGAAGCTCGAATTCTATGCCGACGTGAACTAGTCCATTTAGGAGAATGCATCCATTCCAGAGTGCAAACTGCCAATGTTCGTGACTTCGTTCTATCTGACATCTGTGAAGGACTGAACTCTGAAGCCAAACTTGATTCAGTCCGGCTAGACCAGCCGCCAGATGCAATCTATCAGAAGTCTGAAGGAACATGAGGGTGCAGGGAGTGGTGCAAAGTGTGCAAACAAGTATTGGGTCACATGTTCACGTGACCCTAATCCGGCTCCGAGCCTCCGGCACCCGTTACACTATCCCTTTGACCAAACCTGGGCTGTATGATCTCTTGTTAGTAGTCGAGCCATAGCAACATTCTTCTGGAGGTTATAGACAATTAGACATGATTAAGGGAATAAGTTGAAGGTAGGACGTCACCTAGTAATGAGTTCGAGGGTATTCGAGGCGGTATCGCGCTGTTCTATCAATCAATCCCACAGCAGTCTGAGTCGCCCTTTCCCCAAAATGGATGTGGGAATAGCCTCGTTTTCCATTGCTATGGAAAACCCGTGATCGAAGCCCGTGACGTCACCGAAGTCGCGTGATCGTCCCATCTCTTTCAGAGCTACTTAAGTCTCTGTCCTGCTGCCTCTTCTCCTTTCATTCTTGACCTTTCCAACCATCGTTCTTCATCTCTTTGGTCATCCTTTCTCGCGTTTTATCATTTGTTATATCTTCTTTGACACTATCCATCTTGTGCTTCCCCTTACCAGAAGGTTGGAAGCACGCGTCAGTCAAGGGGATCGTCCACGCAAAAGAAACATACCTATTTCCCCACCAACAAACCCACCGCGTCCGTTCGACATACCTGCCTCCAGTGTGAAATGTAAGACAGCGAATTACATGGAATCCACTCTTCCCCTCTCCACGCCTCTTCACTTGGGAGTTAAGACTGACATATCCAGGCCAACCCCGGAATATGAGTACCACAGTACGTGCCGACAAGAAGATTGACTGGGGATTCGACCGTGAGGTCAAATGGAAACACCCATTCATCTGGAAAGATGAAGTGGTTGTGAAAACTCAGTAAGCTCTACAAGAGTGAGGTGGGCTGTGAAGATCGGGAGCCGGTGCTCGCATGTTCTTCCTGCTCCGCGCTGCGGCAGTTCAAGCCCTTCTGCCGCCTTCTTGCTGAACTGCTACGCTTCGGCTGTATGAGCCAAGGAGTGGCAATGCGCAGAGTGGTTCCTTTTACCTTGTTGCCCAGGATATTGATATTGATGGCGTCATGATATGGGAAAGTGCCTTGCCCATAGTCGACCCACCAGCAATGACGCCTTACAGACCTGGCTGCTGGCAACCGAGTCCACCAGAGAGCAGTCAACAGACCAGAACATACCCGAGCGTCCTTGGCTTTCCATCACGAACGGCTCGACAACCACAACGCGACGTGATCTGGGGTCGGCAAGAAAGAGGACAATGCTGGCAAGATCCTACTCACACCTTCCTCATACTAGTCTGGCAGTAATCAAGACATTCGATCCAGATACTGAGGGCAGACGGAGAAATGAACTTCCATCGGTTCGAGACCGTTCAGGATCCCAGACCTGGGATACCGTGGACATCATAGTGAACGGTGGCGAGGACGTGTTAGGCTGCTGGGTTTATCCAATCCGGCGCACATTCACCAGAGCGATGGAGTTGTACGGTTCCCGCGAAGCTATCAAGACTGCTGCACAGCAGATTCGCACAGGTATCGAGGACCCGAAGTTTGCTGTTGTGCAAAATTCTACTTTCGTGTCCGAGTTCGATTGCGATACCTTCCGCGCTGCGGCGCTGCTCATCTGAGGCCTTAAACCCCGGCTCAATTGTACAGTGGCGAGTTCAGAGACGCCTGGACTCTTTCTTCAATCGCAAATGGCGGCTCTATCTGCGCTCCCATCGTCCCTCGTGCGCAGACGCAACTGTTCGTTTACAAATACCGCGGTTGCAATGCTCTTCTCGACCATCCCCATCCTCTGTCGTTTGACGACGAAGAAAAACGATGGCAGAACATCGACCATTCCCGTACTGCGAGCGAGACATACTTTGAAGTCTGCTGGCGCCCACACCGTATGAGGTCTATAGATGAGATGGCTGAGCATATTCGAACAGAATGCTTGGGCGGCTTGTCGATGATCTACAAAAGGCGTCGCCGCGTCGGGGCCGGATGCCACTGGGCCTCCCCTAGGTGCCAGTCCACAGATTCTTGCTTCCGGAAAGATGCTCCTGAGCCATTACAATACGAGAAATGCTTTCCTGACTCGTGTCTATGTACGTGTCAACAACCATGATGAAGACAATGATACGAGTTAGGTTCCAACAGGTTAATGGAAATTTGATTGATGTTTAGAGGATTTTGCTTCACTTGAATCAACTCAGCATTGCGTAGGATCTCAATTAGAATAGTCGACTGGAGTGGTGGTAGGATGATACGTGTATGCGTATGTTGAGTTATCCTCACCTCCTTTCTTCCTTGTCCTCTGTTTAGCTTAGTTACCTATGGTTATGAATCATTAGGAATCAAAGCAAGATACTCGTAACCAGACGCAGTCAACCTACCTAGGTATAGAGCGGTGATAGGTATCGAAGATTGCCCGCGATAAGACCTTGTTGTTGGTAGGTATAGGTAGAGAATATACCTATACCTACCTACAGCATGTATGTAAAGCGAGCTAAATCGGGCTAATGAAATCATCATCATCATCATCATCATCATACCTAGGTACTCTGCCATCGTTAGCTTCGATTGTGTCGTGTCAAACCTACCTATACCTGCCCGAAGCTCGAGACTGAGTATCACCTGAGCATAGGTATATGTCTTTGCTCATATTTGGCGTGTGCACTTCCTATGCTAGAATTCCTTCCAATGAGACTATGGTACCGATATTCGGATATTCCATGGAATGATACACCGAGGTCCTTATAGATTGTTTGACGCTATTTCCATGGTTAGCTGTACATACATGTCAACGGGCAAGGCTTGGCTCTCGTTCTCAACCTTGGCGGGAAGGGGACAGCCTGACAGGTACGCGAAGCCGCAATAAAGTTCCGTTCCGTAACTATCCGTCCTCATCTCTTTCGATCCCATGTCGTACTCAGAATCTTAGATGAAATCTCAAATCCGGGCTGATCAGCTGATCTGAACAGTGAACACCTGCCATGTTGTTGGATCTAAGTTCTGTCCATTGCGAAAAGGTCCTCCCTTGCATCGAGATTCGATCATGTGATCGTCTCCAACGTGAAACGTGGGATCTGGTCAATCTTTACTCCATCGAGTTGGCACATGCCGTGATTTGACAGTTGAGCTTAAATCTTGGGAAATATGTGATCCATGGATGATCATCTCATTAGATCTATGATCATCTCTAACAATATGATCGTCTCTCAATAAATCAATAAAAATATTTCATCAGAAACCCCACGTTGCCCTGTTTGCGGAAATCAGGCCGGAAGCGAACCGTGACACCGAGTCAGGTACAGTACGACAAAGTAAATGCGACATTGAATACAAATAGGGTACATCAGGTAACTACTGTGTAATTAAACTGATCCAAGTAACAGTTTGAACACATTTAATTAATTAAATCCCAACACTACACCAGGAACAGAAACAAAGAAATTGAAAATTAATTAAATTAACACCCGATCCGGCATCGTTCGGGCCCCGACTAGACCCAAAATCCTCTGGCCTCTTTTCTAGTCTGCGACTCCTCTTTCTCACCTCCAATTCCTCCAGGCAGCATGGACTGAGAATCCCCTCAAGCCTCCCATCAGAACGAGCCTCAGGGACCAGGGCCCTCACCACCCGACCATTCGCTACCCATCAACCCAGAACAAAAATAAACCCAAAAAACCACAGCCGAAAACCATAGAATCTACCACACACAATGTCATTCACTACGCGCATCCCGCTTTTCCTACTCGCCCTCCTCGCCCTCACATTCTCAGTCCAAGCCCAAGGAGCAACAAGCATCCTCCCCTCCGCCGCAACAGACAAATTCCCCCAGTGCGGTCTATCCTGTGCACCACTCACAAACGCCCAGTCCTCCTGCGAAGCCGGCACACCCGCATCCTGGACATCATGTTTCTGCGAGTCCGCTCTCCTCACCGGCCTCAAGTCCTCCGGTAGCATCTGCGCTTCTTGCAGCGCAGCCGACCAATCCAAGCTGTCAACTTGGTACAACGAGTACTGCGTCTCCGGCGGGAAACAGCCGGAATCACCCCAACCCGCGACAACAACCATCAGCGCAGCCAGCGCAACCGCTACAGATGCGAGCTCTACTTCGAGCGCAAGTCAGCCTTTTGCGACTGAGGAGAAGAAATCTTGGTATGCTATACCCCCGAAACACGATATAAATACCTTGTCCCCTCTACTCCCCGCTACACCCATAATCAAAGAAAATCAAAAGACCAAACAACTAATTTAAAAAATCAGGTGGTCCGGGCACTATCAGTGGGTTATAATGCTCATCGTCATAGTAATCGGCTTCAGCATCATCGCCGTCGCAGGCGTCTACTTCAAGCGTCGCTACGACGCAAAGCGTCCAAACCTCTACCACGCCGGCAGCACCAGCGCCCTGAGCGCATCCTCCCCGCCCGCTCCTCGTGACTCAACATGGGGTCCGGCGCCTGTGCCCGGACAGCCTGGGTTTGGACCTGGGTCTGTGGCTAGTAGTTCGTCGAATGTGGGGAAGAGTAGTACGCCTGTTGCGGGGACGCGGACGCGGTTGACGAAGATTGAGCAGGGGTCTGGGGAGTTGGAGGTTCGACAGGTATAGGAATGTTTTTGGGAGTTGGGATTATCTGTTTCTTTCTTTTGATTTGTTTGTGCTTATCTTTTCAGATACTAACCTAGACATGGATTGCATTTTTCCTCCGGGCGTTGGTGGTTTGGGGTAATGCTCCTCGGATTTACGCGATCTGATTGTCTCTCTTTTCGATTTTTCTTTACTTTGTTCGGGCTTGGCTTGGGGTTGGCGTTGAAACTCTGACGACTGCCGACTCTTTTACGGTTCATACCTCTCTCACTCTCTATCGATCTCTTTCCTGTTTCAACTGTCCCCGGTGGCAGGGTACATAGTGACCAAAACGTGCTTGCGCATTTCATGCTTCACCATACACAATACACATGGTAATAGTCTATCACGAAACACTAATACTAACAATCTTAATATCAACCTCCGGCTTCTCCTTATGCGTCCGGGCATTTTCAATCTTATGCACGATATCCAATCCCTGCACCGCCCTCCCAAACACAGTATGCTTATTATCCAACCACGGCGTCTTCTCCGTCGTGATGAAAAACTGACTCCCATTCGTATTCGGTCCCGCATTAGCCATAGACAACGTATACGGCTTATCATGCTTGAGAACCGAGAACTCATCCTCGAACTCCCCACCCCAAATCGACTCGCCCCCCGTCCCGTCGCCCTGGGGATCTCCGCCCTGAATCATGAACTTGCGGATAACACGGTGGAATATGGTGTTATTGTAATAGCCGCGACGAGCATGCGTAACGAAGTTCTCCACGGCGCGCGGCGCAGCAGACGGGTACAGCCGCAGATGGATGTCGCCGTAGGTCGTGTGTAGAATGGCAGCGGTGCCGGTTTCGGCCTGTTTGGTCGCTGTCGCGCCGCCGGCAGCTGCGGCTTGCGTGGGCTTCTCGTTTTGGATGTCGCGGGAGGATTTGGAGATATCGGTTTCGTTGGTGAACATGTAGAAGCGGACTTTGGCGAAGCCGGTGCTGAGCAGGATTGGGTCGCGTTCTTCGGCTTCTTGGAGGAGGGGGTTGCTGCTTGCCGCCATTGAGACAGTTACTACGCCCTTGCGTTGCGGTTGGCCTTGATAGAGGGCGAGGTTGAGGGGTCGGAAGGGTTCTTCGCGGCCGTAGAGGCGGACGACGCGGTTGGTGTATGTGTTAATGCATTTTACGCCGTAGAGGGAGCCGTATAGGAGGAAGTGGCCTGATTCGTCGAAGATGGCGGTTACTTTGCTGCGGGTTGCTTCGCTTTCGAGTTCGCGTTCGACGGCTAGGCGGCGGCCGAACTCGACCTCGTCGAGGGAATAAGGGGCTGTTCCGGCTTGCTGCATCTCGGTGATTGTGTTTATTGATTCGTCGTATGTGCGGTAGAGCTTCCCTGTTGCGAAGTCGAAGACGCGGATTTGACGGTCTGGGAAGGAGACTGTGGCGAAGTGCTCGCCGGATGGGGAGATTGTGATGGATGTTGGGATTGATTTGGCTTTCTTGAAGGCAAAGAGGTTTGTGGAGGATTTGAGGTCGAAGACGTTATCGGGTTTCTCGAAGGAGCCGTCTCCAGCGCGCCAGTATTCGATCATACCTGATTCGTCGCCGGAGACGACGCAGTTGAAGGCATTGTTGAATGCGATCGATACCACTGGACTGCGGTGGATGGACTTCAGAGTGTGCAGCGGTTGGGGGTTTTCACCTCGTCCGTCGAATAATTGGATTGCATTGCTTGATTCGTCTGTTACGGCCAGTAACGGTAGCGAGGCCCCGCGGGGGTGTACCCAGCAGACACATCGAGGGACAAAGTCGAGCGAATACATTGCCAAGAGATCTAGTGACGTTAGTCGAAGCAACAAAGAACAGTCTCCCATACTTGAACCCACCGAATGTGATCACATCGAATATCTTCACAGTCTTGTCAATTCCCGCTGTCGCGAAGCTGCGGCCGTCGGCGCTGCAGGTTACGCTCCGGATCTCGCCTGGGTGGGCAAGGAACTCCTTGACGAACTCAATGCCCTGCGCCATCTTCTTCCAGAACTTGACAAATCCATCCACGGAGCTAGTGATTACAAAGTCTGTGTATGGCGTAACAGTCACAAACGATAGTTGCTCCTTGTGCATAAGAGACTTGGAGTAGCGCGCGGACGCAGGTAGCGCAGTGATGTAGACTTTCTCGAAAGGAAGCTTGCGGCGCTTCTTCTTGGGTGCAGCCTCTGAAGGCAGCGCAGGGCCGAAATCATCGTCGGAGGAATCATCACCTAATAATCGCAAAAGATCAGTACTCATTACATTCAACGAGGAGCGGTCTGGACTAAGTCCAGGAGGTCGCCGACTCACTGTTCTCGGCGTCGACGTCGGAGTGAGGCCGCTTGGTCACGGGAGGCTGAGCGGCTTCTGTAGAATCGGCCATTGTCGATATTCAGAGCAAAAAATGGCAATTGCAGCTCAAACGATCGTCAGGTCAGAAAGGAAACGTCTAGAGACATCGCGGGCGGTGATGGGCTACATCCAATCAGAAGCTCGGGGCAACTTTTCTCCTTTCCCACCCCACTGTTGACAGGAGAAGTTGATTCAACCTCTCCAGCAAGACATTTGATCTTTGGTCGATTGCCTTATATTAGCTGGTAATCATGGTAAGCTATTCCCCAGGTGACCCCGTGAGAACGTGGAAAATATGTGTGTGCGTTGGCTCACCTCAACCCCTCCTAGGCGTCTTTCGGCAATCCCACACAGATCTTTGGCGACGATGTCATTGAGGAGAAGGGCGAGAATGCCCGTTTGTCGGCCTTCGTCGGTGCTATCGCCGTCGGAGACCTTGTGAAGAGTACCCTTGGCCCCAAGGGAATGGACAAGATCCTACAGTCTGCGTACGTGGGGAAGCTTTGATCAAGCAGATATGCTGATATCGATTGGGAAATACTGACATTATTATCTACACAGGTCTACAGGTGATATCCTCGTGACGAACGACGGTGCTACGATTCTCAAGTCTATCGCTTTGGATAACGCCGCGGCTAAGGTTTTGGTCAACATCTCGAAGGTTCAGGACGATGAGGTTGGTGACGGAACTACATCAGTTACCGTTCTGGCCGCAGAATTGCTGCGCGAGGCCGAACAGCTTGTTGCCAAGAAGATTCACCCCCAGACCATTATCGAAGGTTACCGGATAGCCAGCAAGGCTGCCCTCGCCGCTCTGGAGGCCACAGCCGTCGACCGCAGCCAGGACCCCGAGGCTTTCCGCAAGGATTTACACGCCATTGCCCGCACCACACTCAGCTCCAAGGTTCTGTCACAAGACCGGGACCACTTCGCCCGTTTGGCCTGTGACGCCGTTCTGCGTCTTCAGGGATCCACCGATCTTTCCCACATCCAGATTATCAAGAAGGCCGGTGGCAAGTTGAACGATTCGTACCTCGATGAGGGTTTCATCATGGACAAGAAGATCGGTGTCAACCAGCCTAAGCGGTTGGAGAACGCCAAGATCCTGGTTGCCAACACAGCAATGGACACAGACAAGGTCAAGATCTTCGGCGCACGAGTCAAGGTCGAGTCGACCGGCAAGCTTGCCGAGTTGGAGAAGGCAGAGCGTGAGAAGATGCGCCAAAAGGTCGAGCGCATCAAGGCCCACGGTATCAACTGTTTCGTTAACCGTCAGCTGATCTACAACTGGCCCGAGCAGCTGTTCACCGAGGCCGGTATCATGTCCATTGAGCACGCTGATTTCGACGGCATTGAGCGTCTGGCCCTTGTTACCGGCGGTGAGATTGCCTCTACCTTCGACCACCCCGACCAGGTCAAGCTCGGTGGCTGTGATCTGATCGAGGAAGTGATCATTGGCGAGGATACCCTGATTAAGTTCTCCGGTGTGGCCGCTGGTCAGGCTTGCACCATTGTCCTGCGCGGTGCCACCGAGCAGCTTCTCGACGAGGCCGAGCGTTCGCTCCACGACGCCCTCGCCGTTCTCTCACAGACTGTTAAGGACCCCCGTGTCACACTTGGCGGTGGCTGCGCCGAGATGGTCATGTCCAAGGCCGTGGAACAGGCCGCCCAGAACACTACTGGCAAGAAGCAGCTTGCCGTCGACTCCTTCTCCCACGCCCTCAAGCAGCTCCCTACCATCCTGGCCGACAATGCCGGTTTGGATTCTAGTGATCTGGTGACCCGTCTCCGCTCGGCCATTAACAACGGCATGACCAGCTCCGGTCTTGATTTGTTGACGCCCGGTGGTGGTATTGCGGATATGCGTGAGCTCGGTGTGGTGGAGGCTTATAAGTTGAAGAAGGCTGTTGTCTCGTCTGCTTCAGAGGCAGCTGAGGTATGTACCAGCTAAGAGTTCTTTGCGTCTTACATATAATGTGGAAATGTCTGCTAACTTCGTTTCTAGCTTCTTCTGCGGGTGGACAACATCATCCGTGCGGCTCCTCGTCAACGTACCCGGCAGTAATGGACATGATTGTGATGACATGGGACGGATCCATCTCTGTACTCTTTCTACGAAGGAACTAAAAAATGTGCAATAGAAGTTCAACTCAGTACATGATCTATCCATTGTTTATCTCGTAGTGTTTGTTCACAGGCTATTGTATATTCGGGTATCCTTTTATGGGGCCTTGGTCAATTTTCCCATGGATCAAGTACACCTGTGTCTTTCTCGTCAGAATGCGGTCAATCGAGGCAGTGTATGAGAGACATTGTGTCTGTTTCGGGTGTCGGCTAAAATGGCTGCCTCGATAGATGATAGCGCCCACTCCGCTATTTATATCGCTTACTAGTACGTAGTAGTTAGTACTTCCAATTTCTGATAAACAATACCAGCGCTAGGTCTGCTTCGGATGTACGGCTGTATGAGGTCCGCGAGAAGCCGAGCGTATGCGATGTAGGAGGGGGAGGGCTTAGGAACGTCGAAATGTAGTTTGTTTACATTTTTGTATATGTGTGGACCTTGCAGGAGACACCAGCAGTTCTATGTGCAACAGCCAACAATACATAGTCCAGGTAGGACAGAGTGCCAGCAATCAGGCACCAATATGTTGCCTTAGAGATCTGGCATCAGTCCCTTAAAGCGGCGAACCCAAAGCAGATGCCAATTGCTTGGCACCAGAAGGCAGCAGGATACAAGCAATCTAAGCGTTCTTGGGTGTTTGTGCTAAGCAAATTGCATCCAGATAAATTCCAAGTCCATATTCATTCGGCATTTCGCATTTCTGGCAAGACTGGCATTTCTGACAGGACGATCATCGTGGGTCGGTGGACAGCGGACCAGATCGGCAATCAGTTGACTCTGCTGATCGGACCCAGTAGTTGTGTATATACACAATAAGGAGATGTGTTTCTATCCGTTTGTCGTTTGTCCATAGAATAAGCAGATTAAATGCAAAATTCAAGGGATGTCTCAGTTCTCCCCCCGATGTTTCATTTCCCAACTGCAGGTGCCGCCCGGCGCCAGGGACTGAGTCTAACCGTCATCGCTGTACACAGTATTAGGGGCCGGAATTACTGTAATTCAGGGAAAATCAAGGAGAACCACAAATTTGATATCTAGATCTACAGAGAAGTTGAATAGCAATTGTAAACATACATATAGGTAAGTATAGGTACGTAGTAAGAAAGAATAATGAAAGTCTTAGAGAAGTGAACAGACGAACATTCTTAGATGCAGGCGGCCCAGGAACTGCAACCCCGGTACTGTTACCGGCTGAGATCCTCCGTCATCTTTTCTGACTCGCTCACCTTTAGGCTTTCACCTTCTCTCTACCCTCCTCTTCTTCTCCTCTATGCCGTTGGCTTCTACGCTCGTTTGAATATTCAATGATTCTGTCCAAGTGGCTGGCCACTCTCCTGGGCGGCACCCTGGCCGTCCAGGGCGCCCTCGCCATCGACGTGAATGTCGATGACGAGAGTACGTTTTCCCCCCCTCCTGATCGCAGCGCTTGGCTAATACTGTCCGTGTCTGAAGGCTCCCTCAAAAGCGCCGCCAAAAAAGTCGCTACCCGAATGATGCAATACTACGACGATCGCGAGTCTAAGAACATTCCTGGTAAACTCGATGGCACCTGGTGGGAAGGCGGTTCCATGTTCATGACCCTCATTCTGTACTGGTTTGTGACCGGCGACTCTCAGTTCAATGCGGCTATTCAGGAGGGAATGTACTTTCAAAAAGGCGACGACAATTTCTTCCCTTCCAATTACAGTCAGTATCTCGGTAACGACGACCAAGTCTTCTGGGGACTGGCCGCCATTACCGCCGCTGAATTCAACTACCCGGAACGAGACGGCGAACCATCATGGGTTTCCCTGGCGCAGGGTGTTTTCAATACTCAAATCCCCCGCTGGGATACGAGCAGTTGTCACGGTGGTATGCGCTGGCAAATTTGGCCATACCAGGACGGTTACCTGACAAAGAACGCTATCTCGAACGGAGGATTGTTCCAACTGTCGGCCCGCCTCGCTCTCTACACCGGAAATAAGACCTATGCCGACTGGGCCGAGCGCATCTGGGATTGGAGTGCTACCACCCCGTTGCTCAATACAAAGAGATGGAACATCGCCGATACCACCACCGTTGGCACACAGTGTACGGATCATGGCGACTTCCAATGGACTTACAACTACGCCACTTACATTAGTGGTGCTGCCTACATGCACAACTACGTATGTCTTTTTTGTTGAGCGACCAACGGGCATTGATACTAATCTCTCGTTAGACTAATGGTACCGAAACGAAATGGAAAGAGGGTGTCCTCGGTCTCGTCAAGACCTCTCAACAGTTTTACCCTACGAAAGGATTTAACGACGCTAACGGTCAAATTCTATCGGACACTACCTGCGAACCCCTTGGCAACTGCGATCGCAACCAGATCACCTTCAAGGCCTATTTCACCAACTGGCTTGGAATGTTGACAACCATTGTTCCCGGTACTTACGATCTGATCTTCCCCCAGTTGAGGACCTCCGCCCAGGCCGCTGCCAAGCAGTGCTCGGGTGGTGATGACGGTGAACACTGTGGCATTCGCTGGTACAAGCAAGCCGAATGGGACAAAACCAAGGGTCTTGAACAACAGATGGCTGTGTTGGGTGTCCTGTCTGCCAATTTGATTCCTTTCAAGAACAAGGCACCTTTGACTTTGGCCTCGGGTGGTACTTCCAAGAGTAACCCGAATGCCGGCACGAATTCCTCGGACAACGATATTCCCGTGTTAAATAACATTGGGACCGGGGACCGGGCAGGTGCGGGCATCTTGACCGTCATTTTTGTGACTGGATGGGCCGTTGCTGTTACTTGGATGATCCGGGGTGGTTAAGCCTCTCTTTTTCTTTCTTCTTTTCCCTATGCTCTCCTCTTGGGGTCATACGTGATCCCTATTCTGTCTTATAGTTCCTTTCTCCCGGGCATTTTTTATGGACCAAGCTTCTAACTACTCCCGCTGTATCTATCCGGATCTTTCTTGTGTTTTCAAATTTTCTCTTTCAATTCTTCCGGCACGTCGTGTTTTGCTCGACGGGGTTGCGGCGTTGGAACTGCACTGATCTACATAGTCTTTTTCTTTCTTTCTGAGATGCTGAGTGAAAATGGACTTGAATTTCCTCCACGATCGGAGTACTTCGTATCACATGGAATGCTTTGGTTCGCCCTTGATTGGTCTTAGCCCCTGACTCTAGACAGGGTGCTCCACCGTCGGTGTGCAGGCTGGGGATCAATTGAGGATCAACAAACAAATGAAAGGTCCGATGAAATAGTCAAAATGATCAGTCGGTAATATCATGGATGTATTACCGGGGAAGAGAAAATAGAAAGAACTCTTAAGTACTCTTAAGTACTAAGTACTGCGTATAGAGAAGGGTGAAACTGTCAGCGGAAATCTCGAATGTTCCGTTGTTTTAGGCTACACTGAATTGAGAGTAGAGCCCAGACTAAACGCACTGTGAAAGACGGAAAATCCCCTGCACACGTGTATTACCAGCCCTTCAATCTCTCCCCTTTTCATCTCTTCCCCATCTTTCATCTATCTCATCTACTTTCATATTCATTCATATTTGGCCCTACTTGTTACTACTTTCCCGCATACATATTGAATTACTCCGTACTCTGTACTCTCGTGAGTGGGGGAATGAGCCGCTACCCGGATTCTCGACTCGCTCCACACTCTGACTTGCTCCATTAATTCCACATTCAACCTTCCTCTCACCGGTCCATGACACACCCACTACCTTCGTTGTCTTCATCGTCCTTCCCCTCGATTCCCGTGCTGACAGCTGCACAATGCGGTGGCGGCTGCCGGGCGCCCGTTCGACACTCCCCGCCAGTGTCGCACTCCTCCTTCTCCCAGCTCTGGTGGCTCCGCAGCAGCATCCAGATGCCTCTGACTTCCCCTCCCGTGTCTCGGTGCCAGTAGCACACGAGTCATCAACACAACGTGCAGCCCATGTGGCCGCACCACACATCGTGAAACCCAACGATGCGAGCGCCCTTGCGACTCTGGCTCTGGCAGGCTCCGGCCGCGCCGTTCGAGCCCCTCCTGTCCAGGCCAGCAGTACCTCTGCCGGTCTGGCTTCGCAGCTTCACGCGCGGTCCCTCGAGGACTGGGAGGTTGAGGATTTTGTGCTGCTGGCGACCGTCGACGGAACTATTCACGCCCGTGATCGCAAGACCGGAGCTGCCCGATGGGCCCTTGAGGTCCCGAGTAGCCCTGTGGTCGAGAGCATCTATCATCGAGCGAACCGTTCCAGCTTTGATGATACAGAGCCCGAAGACGACTTTTTGTGGATCGTCGAACCGAGCCAGGATGGCAGCCTTTACATCTACAGCCCCGCCCCCGACGCCGGATTGCAAAAACTCGGCTTGACTGTCAAGCAGCTTGTTGACGAAACACCCTATTCCGGCACCGATCCCGCCGTGACATACACTGCTCGGAAGGAGACCACATTGTACACGATTGATGCCCGGACCGGTAGTATTCTGCGGGTGTTTAGTTCGCGAGGCCCGGTCACTGCCGGTTCTGAATGTCGCAAGGTGAACGGGGAGGATTCGGATTCTGAGGAGTGCGAGTCGACCTCTGGCACATTGGTCCTCGGGCGTATTGAATATGCTGTCGCAATACAGAATACGGAGACTGGTGATCCAATTTGCACATTGAAATACTCGGAGTGGGCACCCAATAACCGTGATATGGATCTCCAGAGCCAGTACTACCGCACAATGGACCAGAGCCACATCTACAGTATGCACGACGGAGTCGTGCTAGGGTTTGACCATTCGCGCATGGATAGACCCAGGTACACTCAACGCTTTTCGTCTCCCGTGGCACGCGTTTTCGATGTGGTGCGTCCTGCCAACAAGGATGGCCCAAACACCTCGACCCCGCTGGTGCTATTGTCACAACCTCTCCAGCCACCGGACCCAGATTACGGACCAATGGGTGATGAACGTGACATGCGTGTCTTTATAGATTGTACCGATGCAGGAGGGTGGTATGCGTTTTCGGAGGAAACTTATCCCTTGGCCACGGGTCGCGCCCCCATGGCCCAATGTTATGATAAAGATTTCCTCCGCCGCGGACAAGCGCTGATGAGCCTGAACGCGCATCAGCAGCGAAATGCGCTGGCGGGTGTTCACTCCCTCACAGGCCCTCGGATCATTCGATCACCTATTCCCAGAATCGCCGGGCCGTCTAGTTCCGGACTCTCCAACGACACTCCCCGCGACATTCTTCGAAGTCCATCTGAGCTGGCTCTACCCCCGGCTCTTCGGAATAGCGCCATCATCCGCAAAAGCTGGGATAATGCATTGGATATCGTGGTGACTCTGATATTGTTGTTCATCGGCACCTTCATCTACTTCAACTCGCACCATCTTCGCGATTTGGCCAAGCAGAAATTGGACATCAAGAATATCATCAACACCAATGATAAGCATTCACTGTCAACTCCTTCCACTCCTCTCGTCGGCGGTGCCCCGGATATCAAGCGTTCTTCCACGCCAACCCAACAAGTCCCCAATGTGACTGTCGATCTGGACTTGGATGAACCGGACACTCCTCGTCCCTCTCGGGGCCACGAAGTAGAGTCCACCGCGCGGGTGCAGATTCGCGAGCCATCGCGGAGTCCCGATGACCTGGACGCAGATGAGGCTGATAAGCCGAAGAAAAAGCGCGCTCGTGGAACCCGAGGAGGGAAGGCCCATCGCCGCCGCAAGAAGCCCGAAGGTGATAGCCCTGAGATGGCAGATCAGGTCGTGGAGCAGGTCAACCATCTATCTCCCCAACCTCGACTTGAGCCTGATGTCCAAATGACCCGCACGGTGTCGAATGAGATCATGGAGATGGATGGCGTCATTCGTATTGGTCGGCTCCAGGTGTTCACTGATGTGGTTTTGGGACATGGTAGCCATGGAACCGTTGTCTACCGCGGCTCGTTCGATGGGCGAGACGTAGCGGTCAAGCGCATGCTGATGGAATTCTATGACATTGCATCCCATGAGGTGGGCTTACTGCAGGAGAGTGATGATCACCATAATGTCATCCGATACTTCTGCCGTGAGCAAGCAACTGGATTCCTGTACATTGGTCTCGAGCTTTGTCCAGCATCTCTGCAGGATGTGATCGAGCGTCCCGTTAGCTATCCGGAACTGATCCAAAATGGATTGGACTTGCCTGATATGCTGCGCCAGATCACACAAGGTGTTCGTTACTTGCACTCCCTGAAGATTGTTCATCGTGACCTCAAGCCGCAGAACATTCTCGTGGCTATGCCACGTGCCCGCGCTGTTTCACGATCACTGCGGCTCCTGATCTCCGATTTTGGTTTGTGCAAGAAACTGGAAGACAATCAAAGCTCCTTCCGTGCTACTACAGCCCATGCCGCTGGAACTTCTGGCTGGCGTGCCCCAGAACTCCTAGTGGATGACGATGGTCCGCTATCGCTCGCATCGCAACACACCGAATCCTCGGAACCTGCCGTGGTGGACCCACAGACAAACCGTCGCGCCACCAGGGCCATCGACATCTTCTCTCTTGGTTGTGTGTTCTACTACGTCTTGACCCGCGGTAGCCACCCATTCGACAAGAATGGCAAGTTCATGCGCGAAGCAAACATCGTCAAGGGACACTTCGACCTGGAAGAACTGAACCAGCTAGGCGATTACGCTTTCGAAGCGGACGATCTCATCCGGTCAATGTTGGCTTTGGACCCCCGACAACGGTAACTATTCCTTTCTCCCCAGCAGCACATCACACTTTACTAACGTTACCCCTAGCCCCGACGCAAGCGCTGTCCTGATGCACCCATTCTTCTGGCCCCCATCAGACCGCCTCAGTTTCCTTTGTGACGTCTCCGACCACTTCGAATTCGAGCCCCGTGACCCTCCATCAGACGCCCTACTTTGTCTGGAATCAACGGCCAGGCGTGTAATGGGCCCTGAAATGGATTTCTTGCGCGCACTGCCGCGAGACTTCAAAGATAACCTCGGTAAGCAGCGCAAGTACACGGGATCACGGATGTTGGATCTCCTCCGGGCTCTCCGCAACAAGCGCAATCACTACAATGATATGCCTGATCATCTCAAGGAGAATATTGGTGGCTTGCCTGAGGGATATCTCAATTTCTGGACCTACCGCTTCCCCAGCTTGTTGATGAGCTGCCATGGTGTTATTGTTGAGCTTGACTTGACTCGCATTGATCGGTTTAGGAGGTACTTTGTGCCACCGGAGTAGATATGGGTTTAGAATGTTGGAATAGTTAAAAATTCATCTGATGTTTATACCTAAGTCTATCGAAGATCATATTGCATCTTTCCTTAGAGCTGTGCATTTAGAATGTCAGAGACAATTCTACCTCTGAACCTGCTCTCCTCTACCAAGCTGTAGTTATAAACGCCAGCTGCCAAAATTGAGCCGTTCTCTTCTTCGCTTGCTCTTGAACAGACCAGGAATCTAGTAGATTTGTATGGTGGAGATAGGCGTTTGCGTCATCATAATCTCGGCTGAGAGTCTTTTTTCTAGTGTGGTGGGCGAAGTGGAGATTTGAATATGAAATTGTAAATTCAACTCAACAATGATTGTCCCTAGGAATCCAGAACTTATGCTCGACATCATCGGAGGTGCCGGTCTTCTTGGGGACTAATCCGCGGAAGAGCAGAACCTCCTATGTCCTCCGCCTTCTGGGCGGTGGTGAAATGGATTAAGACACTGAAGAGAAATGCAGGAACCCGAGAAGGGACCTCGTCATACTGTTTGATCGTCGTCAACCATCGACGAATATTCAGATCCAGTTGAGCCTTCCTCTGGATTTCACCACCCGCCAAGGTCCAACAGGCAAGATTGCAGAAAGAGGTTGGACTCGGAGATGTACTCGGTACCAATAAGGTAGGTTCCCATGAAAAATATCATAAAACCGAGCATAATGCCCAACCTCAGGCATCTGAGCCGAAGCTATCTGCACGAGCCGCAGCGGCGCAGCCATACCCTGCCACGAGCCACGGAGAAAACAATGACCTTTCCGCCACAAACAGCCATTTCCAACTTCCCCTCGTTAAGGTCAAGTCGAACCTCCCCCAGCAATCGCCGTTTTCCCACTCCACACACGCTCTTGAGCTGTTCAACCATGCTCCAAGATGGATGAATGGTTTGAGGTTGGGAAGAACGAGAACCAAGGTATCAAGACGTAGGTCAGCCCCACGTGGCCATACATTCTATTATGGATACTCGCTTGCGTTCACCGCCACTGACTCCTCGCACGTCGTCTCATCAGTATGGGCGACCATCACTGCCACCGATGATAACCGCGCGATCGATGGAAACTCAGCACATCATCACGGCGAGCATATTCACGCTTTTACCGTTTTGTTCCCCAAGGAACCCTGTCGAAGCACGGATTTGACGATTGCAATGTTGGTTGCTTGGGGAATCTCGAAGTTCAATTCCTGGAAGATTATGACCGCAGGGCGGATGGATAGCTGAATGTGGCGAACCGAAATGGTATCCGTGCATGGGAGAGTACGATTAATCCTTCCGGGACACTGGCCCCTCTATATCTTCATCATCCTCTTCGTCTAGATCAGATCCGGTCGATGATCACCTTCCGCCGAGCGTAAGTTCGATTCCTCTTCAGGGACCCCATCTTTGGGGATTTCATGCATACCCTGAAGACGATTGCCGTCTGATTGCTCGGACTCGCTATCCATCGCCATGACTACATCTTCTTCGTCTTCCAAGCCGTCCTCACTTGGATCGATGAAATCCGAATCACGGTCAGAGTCGAAGTCGGAACTTAGAGTCTCCTCGCCGTCTGAGGTTTCTTTGTCTTTTGCCACCCGCGGAATGCGGGGCGTGCCAGCGATTTTGGGCGGAGGGTCGACTTTCTTGAGAATGGAGACTTGCCATCTATTCAAGCCCATCTCTGATAGAGTCTGATCGAGACAGGCACATGCTTTTTGTAAAGACGAGCGGCATGAATGTTCAGCCACGCAGAGGGCTTTACGAAGCCCGAGACACTCTCCGAAGATGGCTCCGATCAGTTTATGAACTCGATGAGCTTCTCGAGTTGTTGTTCCATGGAGCGGGCCGCCTCTGGAAACCATCACGTTTTGGTTATTTACCAGAGGCTGCAATACTCTCCCACAACATTCGTCAGCCCTCAGAGTGTTCTCCATGAGAGAGGATGGAAATTGAACTCGGCTCATCCACTCGACGGCGGACCAATGGTAGTCATCGGAGGGGGGCCGACATTAGGTGCGAGATTGTGGGCACGCCATCGATAAAGGTCGGTGATCAGGAAGCAATCCTGTTGCGGGAACGCCAGGTCTTGCAAGAAAGCCTGTAGCAACTTGAAGCTCGCCGCTTTGGGCAGCTTCGCCTCGTTTAGATCGAGGTGTCTCGAGTCCAGCAACATTTCAAGAACCGCCAGCTAGCTTCGCTTCCGTCACCTGGGCAGGACCGCCAATCACTCCACGAACGTACTCGTTTCCGACTTTCGTATCCGCTATTCCTTGGATGTCGGTATCGGAAGGGAATTTGGAAGCGTCAATCTCCAGCTGTTCATCGGGACCAGATGCATTGTGTCTCGATAGACTTTGCGTGCTGGAGAAATTGACTCGCGTGGCGAAGTCAGGACCGATATGAATGTGACGGCCATTTCGGAGACAGTTCCTCAATGGGACCCTGAACATTGGGTGCTCATAAGCAACCTTCGACACTATCGGGAAGAAGGAGTGAGTATCGAGACCTCACAGATGGACTGAGGTCCTACTTACTGTACAGAGCCTTTTGCCGTTTCTCAAGGATCTCAAAGGCACTCGACCTCTACAGGGATGTATTTAGGTTCCCTATCTTCGAGGCTGCGAGCAACTGAAGCTCCGTTCCTCGTAGATGGTCGGAGAGGAAGGAGAGGAAAGGGAGGAAACGATGCCTCATCAGTCTCCGTGTCGTCTGCAGTTATCAGTATCAACTTCCGTCATGGAGATGGCCCGCAGAGTCCGGGTGATGTATTTGAGAGATGAAAATGGTGAAATGGAGGAAAGGGGAGGAAGGTGGATGAAAGGAGAGGAAAGAGATGGCGGGATACTTACCAAGAGAGACCAGGCCGCAAGGCATCGAGGCCGCCGAGGCCCCGTCGAGGCAGCGAGGCCGCCGAGGGAAGGACACACTTGGGGCCCTTGATCTTCTACCTACGCGGACGTCATGAGGCTCCTCATTGACCGATTCCGCACATCAGATCAATCAAGAAGTTCGTTGTGACACGTATATCGGTTGGTCTGGGGATGGAGGTTGATGGGGGTGTCGATTGAGAAAGGGGAAGATAAAGTGAGAGGGAGGGAGGGCACGACGCCTCACGCGACAAATCACGAGACCAGCAAGCCGCAAGAGCAACCATGGGGAGCACTGAGTATGACAGCCTTGGAACGACATAAACGCTTGCTATCTTGGACATGAACAGATCGTTTAAGGCGAGCGCATTGGAGGGTCATGTCACATTGTGGTTTCGTGAGGCTGCGTTGCTAGCCACACTTGACGACGATATTATGCCCATTGGTCTTCGTGTCTGAACAAGGACCTAAGGTAGGTGGAGAACTCATCAGCTTCCTTTTCTCAAACGGTTGGTCTTCACCCATTTTCAATCCGGCATCTATCTACACGACACATGGGGTTTTGGAGTGTCCCGGGTTGACTGGTGGGTTTGCTAATCGATTGAGACCAACGACAAGAGCCATGGAATGGTTTTCGTCAACCCCCAGTTATGACAAGGTGACATGTGTACCGATGAGTCCTGGAGTGCACTTCTCGTACTCACATCTATCTCAAACTGAAGTAGAAGCTGACAGATTGCTCAGCAGAGCAATGAGAGCAGCCGCAGACCGGAGGGTGAAATGGGGCGTTTGATCGATGGCGAACGCATCAAACGACATTCTACACTCTGCAGGAGCCAATGGCTCGTACAAGTACTCCTTGGCTCCTCGACAACTGATACATATACATAGTTCGTCCGTACTATTAGATAGCCGCGTGGTGGACGCTTTACTAAAACCTAGTAAGGTATATTCTGTATTCCATCCCGCCGAGCTATTAGTGCTTATAGGCAGTCAAACCTAGCGGAGTCCTCAAAATACGACAGTACCAATTCAAGCGAAATGCAAACGACAAACGAAGCCAAAAGTTCAACCAATTTCCCATACATCTAGGCAACGCAGCCATAACTTGAGGTCAATCGCTGTTTCAGCGAAATATTCGCATTACGTCTGGGCAGCATACTTGAATGTCTTTCTGGATACTTTGGACGGCTCTTCGTTATCAACAGAAACGGCCGTACAGTGGACTTCCTTTCAAGTCTTCATCTCGTAATTCGTCTGATTTTACGCTTCATTCGTTGTTCTTCTGCATGATTGTGCGCATAGATCTACCACTACCCAGTTATGATATAATGCATACATGATCAATCAAAGTTCTATTCCATCTTGCTGCATATTTCCAGGCGCACGATAATCCCGATGAACACCTTAACCCTCTCGACGTTTATGAAAGGAACGTGATCACATACATAACCTGTTGGAGCCTAACTCGTACCTATGATAGTCCGGCACATCAGGGTTGTTGACACGAGTCAGGAAAGCATTCAGTATTCTTTCCTGAAGCAAGAACCTCTCCCACATGCCCGAGTACGGTAGGCGGCCCATGGATTCTTCCCACTTCTTCCGTCGGGCTTCATAGGCAAGGTTCTTCTTTCTCTTCTTTCTCACAAGATTTATGGCCGCGACAGACTGCTTGATTACCTCTCACAGGCATTCGTCAGCCCTCACACTGAAGCATGAGAAGCCCCAATCGAGAACTCTTGGCGAGGCCAATCGCAAGAATGAGTCCGGGCCCTGTGTCGCTCGTCCGAGGTGATTGGGAAGTATCATCGCCGATAAGCACACTAGTATTCTCACTGAAAATCACCGTCTGGTGTTGTGCTGGCTAATGGCATAAAAGGAGCGATGTCCTCTCACAAGCATTCGTCAACCCTCACACTGCATGGTGTGTGGAAGTAGCATGGGTGGAGGCAGCCGCTGCGTCTGGGCTCATCCCCGGAGCTGTTTGCAACGGACGCAAGCGGTGCATGGATAGGCCGTAGCGCCAGCAAGTTAGATACCAAATCACCTAGTTCGGGCGAGCCTTCCATCTGACACGAATACCTGCATCCAGGGCTGCCTGTCGTGCTGTCACACTTTCGCATGATTGAATATCAGGATTCGCACCAGCTCGGGCAAGCAACTTTACGGCTTCCCTATTGCCAATATGAATTGCTCCAAGTGCACGGCACGCTCATCAGCATTGGCTTGAAGGAGATCCGCCATCATACTGATGGTGCCCGTTACCCACGGTCGAGTCGTTCGTGGTGGAAAGCCAAGCACGCTTGGGTCTGATCTGTTCCAGAGCCTGCGCTCTGGTGGGCTGGGTTGCCAGCAGCTAGGTCTGTAAGGCGTCATTGCTGGTGGGTCGACTATGTGCCAGGCACATTCCATCGCATATCATGATGCGCAGTTCAGGAGGAAGGCGGCAGAAGGGCTTGAACTCAGCGCGGAGCTGGAAGATCGTGCGAGCACCGACGTGATACTCATATTCCGGGGTTGGCCTGGATATGTCAGTCTCAGCTCCCAAGTGACGAGGCGTGGAGATGGGAAGAGTGGATTCCATGGAATTCGCTGTCTTACCTTTCACACTGGAGGCAGGTATGTTCAATGGATCCATGAGGTGGGTTTGGTTGACTGACACGTGCTTCCAGCCTTCTAATAAGAGGGAAGCACAAGATGGATAGTGTCAAGGAATATGAAACAAACGATAAAACGCGAGAAAGGATGGCGAAAGAGATGAAGAACGATGGTTGGAAAGGTCAAGAACGAAAGGAGAAGAGGCACCAGGACAGAGAGTTAAGTAGCTTCGAAAGAGATGAGACGATCACGCGCCTTCGGTGACGTCACGGGCTTCGATCGCGGGTTTTCCATAGCAATGGAAAACGAGGCTATTCCCACATCCATTTTGGGGAAAGGGCGACCGCTGTGGGATTGTTTGATAGAACAGCGCTATACCGCCTCGAATACCCTCGAACTAATCGCCAGGTGGCGTCTTACCTAAGTTACCTTCAACCTATTCCCTTAGTCATGTCTATAACCTCCAGACAAATGTTGCTATGGCTCGACTACTAACAAGAGATCATACAGCCCAGGTTTGGTCAAAGGGATAATGTAAACAGCGGACCTGTGAATTACTCTATCCGGTTAGCTCTTCCCTTTTAGGTTTAGTGCCCCAATACGCCGTCACGTAACCTCCCTTCAAATAAAAGACGTCTTCGCTACTCCTCCCTTAAATGATTGTCGACATTCTAATCTCCTTGGGCAACAGGAAGCCTCCCTTGAATGTAGGCAATTCCTCGTCCGGACCAATTTGAATGTCTTCGCTTTCTCTGAGGGGGCCCTGGAAGTTTTGAAAAAGAAGAGCAGACGCCGTTTCGTGGTGGGTCTCGCCTAGACATAAGATGCTACCCGAGGCCTTCTCAACTCCATCAGTGTCACGGAGTGTCCGCCACAGCAGAGCAGTGCTTATTCCGCGTGCCCTTTCCTCCCAGGTGTAATGTGTGCCGTGTATAATAGACTTTTGCGCCTGCGTGGTCACTCCATACCCTTCATGAATCCTGTGTCTGTTGGTCGCAACGTTGAGACTGTGGACGAACACTGGTTTGCCCTGAAGGGCCTCTTCATACGGCCCCCATACGTTTACACGGGGGCTGTTACGGGGGTTGGTGAGCTGAGGAAGATTGGGCCCGGTGATCAGACTCAGATCGTGTTGAAAACCATGAGGATATGGGATTAAGTGGTCGCGTGAACAACGATCGCAGGTGAGAGTGATGGCACCGATCTGATAATTGATATAAGTTTAGTGCTATTCTTTTGTTGTCATGATTTTGTCAGCGACTATTGGTACATACCTTGGTTCTCGTTCCGCTTAGCCATACATCCTTTCCAATTGGCGAGTTTGAGTGATCACATGTAAATACCATACCTTCATACTGGGCATCCTTTGGTGGTGGTCTTAATCTCTGGAGATATTTTTTCGCGACCAGAATCTGTTCCGTAATAGCCCTTCTGAAACTCGACATCTGAGGTATCGCTAGCCGCACAAATGCATGCGTCACTGTGGTAATTGCTTCCAATCCACCTGGAAGTCGTAATCTTAAGCCCAGTGCCGCCTGGCTGTCAATAGAATCTGGCGCGTCAGTCACAGCTTGGCCGGCTTCGATGATGGTAGTGCTGGTAGCGGTACTATAGCACTTCATAAGGCTATATCCAACCCGTAGATTGCTTATCTCATCAGGTGCACCATGATCCCAACATTTCTGCAGTGTTTTTTGGTCCGGAAACAAGACCAAGATCCATCCAATGACAAGGACCTGAGCCCCTACGGACCCGGGAAAGGCTAGACGAATACATTCGATGGTTTCCACCGAAAGAAAGCTCCGAGGATTGATATTTGGAACAATAGCATCGCGGATTGGCACAAATTGGTAGTCCACAGGTTTGGTCAAAAAGCTCGGCTTGACGTGAATCTCTCTGCCGGCCGCGTGCGTGCTGACAATGAATTTTGCGTTCTGAGGAGTGATTAGCCAGACAGGCCGATCCAGAGGGGCACCCTCGATGACTGCAACATGGAGGCAGTCCCTCAATGAAGGATGTACTGAGCGAACGAGGATCTCTTCGTCCGAGTTTTCTATTTGAGTCATCAGTGACACCTTGGCCTCAAGACCAGCTGCATCGGGGTAAGCTGCCTTGTTGACCGCCCGAATTGTCGGAAAGGTCACGGCGGACATTTCAAACGGGCCGCTGGCAGATGGACATGCGGTTTCCTGGGGATCTCGAACAGAAGGGGTCAGGCCTGGACAGCTGGCAGCGCTACCGTCTGGTGAGAATGTTTCGGGAGTGAGAGGCTGTCGGGTCTCGAACCAATGTGTCTGTCAGATAGGTCAGATGATCATGATTTCTAGATTGATTTGGAATGGTAGTAGTGAGTGAGTCCCGTAATACCATGATGAGTATGTCCGAGCAACTTTGGCGGTGGCAAGTACCGCAAAGCTTTTGGTATATGATCCTGGAATATGTGGTGCCGCCAGCAGCTGGCGGCAAACAAGGCAGGAGGGATAATGCTTGGCAATGGTAATGAATCCTTTGGGAAACTATGAGGCTGAGGCAAGATGTGGGGGACCGGGTGGATCAGGACGGTAGCAAGGTTCACACCCGGACGCACGAATAGAGAAGAAGAGAACCCTATGTGGGGCAGTGATCGACAGACAGAACTCAGAAGTACGAAAAGTGGGACGAAGCGAAGTAAGTACATGTAGCACTAGTAGTGGATTGGCTAACAGACTAAGATTGTGGGTCGAGGAGGTTGGACTTGGACATGGTCACATGACACATGAGCTTTCTCTTAGACTCTTAGTCTTCCGAGTTCCGACTTCCGAGTCTTGGGAAGCGAGATCACGTGCCCTGGAGCCCTTCCCCTCTGGATTATGTATGTATGTATGCGAATATATGCAAAATCGAGATTTGAATATGGAATTGTGAATTCAACGAGAATTGTAGGTAATTGGAGAATTGTCCAAGAATGGAGCAGGAGTAGGGCTATGTATATTCATTCGTACACCAGGCAGCAAAAAGGAATGTTCAGATCGGTGGAATCCGAACATGCCGCAATTCAGAAGCACAGTTTCCATTTCATTTGAATGTTCACTGGCCGAGCGATTTCGTCCTTGGGTCATTTTGATGACATCCCATCCCATAACCGTGTAGATGTTGGCTTCCAACCTCAGGCATCTGAGCCGCAGATATCTGCACGAGCCGTAGCGGCGCAGCCATACCCTGCCACGAGCCGCGGAGGAAACAATGACCCTTTCGTCACTGCCCGTGTTGACCGAGAACCATTTCCAACTTCCCCTCCTTAGGGTCAAGTCAAAACTCCCCCACCAATCGTCGTTTTCCCACTCCACACGCTCCACTATCTCTTCATGGCAGACACTCCCATAATCCATTGCAGCCTCTCATCAACAACAAGAATGTGAAGCTGGGAGGGCTGATTATTTACAAAGGCGGCCTGCTCCAAGCCTCCAACCAACATGAGCACCTGATCGAGTTCATCCTTTGGGTCTCACGAGTACGAGAAGAACCCACTCATGCTTCAACCAGCTTCGGATTTCAGCCGGAACACAGGGAAGAATGAGAACCATGCAATCACAGCGTAGGTCAGCCCCACACGCGTCGTCTCATCACTAGGTTTGTAATGCGTCGCACGCCCTCAAAAGCTTTGCGACTCAATGAATTGTCCGTTTCGACACCGCGCAGTGGAGCATCTCCCCAAAGGCCGTGCGCATGATTGTTGAAGGCCCAATAGATGAGAACTGGGTGCGGGCGCTAAACGAGATCGATTCTCGAAGCACCAATATCGAAGCCAAGGCCGTCGCTTCCGCCAATGGCTACAAAGCAATCGAGGATGTACGGCCACTTCTAGTCGATGTAAAGGACAAAGTGAGTGTGCACTTTCCGAGATATCTAGGACAACTCTGACGTTTCGGCAGGCAATCGAAAGAATCAGAGACTACCATTCGAAGATCTTGACTTCGACGCCGAAGACGACACCGCCTTGCAACAGGCTGCTTCGCAAATACTGTGGTAGATCTGGGAATTTCATGAATGGAGTCTCAATCCGCCATAAATACAGTATGCTTGATGTTTGTGGTGTGCGCGGGAAGTATCACCGTTGCGCAAGCTGCTAGTGAAGGCAGTTGTGCTCACCCCACTGGATTCGGATACCACGGTGATTTCATACAGGGCTGGGACGAGGGTGTCTTGCAGCAGGCGGTCGACACTTGCACATCTGAGTCTGGCGTGCACGTCATTGCTGGAGGGTCGACTATGTGCCAGGCACATTCCATCGCATATCATGATGCGCAGTTCAGGAGGAAGGCGGCAGAAGGGCTTGAACTCAGCGCGGAGCTGGAAGATCGTGCGAGCACCGTCGTGGCACTCATATTTTCGGGGTTCGTCTGGATATGTCAGTCTTAACTCCGAAGTGAAGAGGGCGTGGAGATGGGAAGAGTGGATTCCATGGAATTCGCTGTCTTACCTTTCACACCGGAGGCAGGTATGTTGAACAGATGCGGGAGGCTTGCCGTAAATAAGGCTTTGGCGTATTCATGGGCAAAGCCGTCAAATGTATCCGCCAGGTTGCATGTCCTCGACACCTCTTCACAATCACGCTTGTGATCTTCACCGCGACGGGCATTTGTGGCGGTGGGTTTGGTTGACTGACACGTGCTTCCAACCTTCTAATCAAAAGGAAGCACAAGGTGGATAGTGTCAAGACGACAAAACAAACGATAAAACGCGAGAAAGGATGGCCAAAGAGATGAAGAACAATGGTTGGAAAGGTCAAGAATGAAAGGAGAAGAGGCACCAGGATAGAGAATTAAGTAGCTTCGAAAGAGCTGAGAAGATCACGCGCCTTCGGTGACGTCACGGGCTTCGATCACGGGTTTTCCATAGCAATGGAAAACGAGGCTATTCCCACATCCATTTCGGGGAAAGGACGACGGCTGTGGGATTGATTGATAGAACAGCGCGATACCGCCTCGAATACCCTCGAACTCATTACTAGGTGACGTCCTACCTTCAACTTACTCCCTTAATCATGTCTATAACCTCCAGAAGAATGTTGCTATGGCTCGACTACTAACAAGAGATCATACAGCCCAGGTTTGGTCGAAGGGATAGTGTAACTGCCAACTGGTGCCGGATTAGGGTCACGTGAGCATGTGACCAATACTTGTTTGCACACTTTGCACCGCTCCCTGCACCCTCATGTTTCTTCAGGCTTCTGAAGTTCTGATAGATTGCATCTGGCCTAGCCGGATTGAATCAAGTTTGGCTTCAGTCTTTCACAGACAAAACATTGGCAGTTTGCACTCTGGCATGACTCTGGAATGAATGCATTCTCCTAACCTGTGGACTAGTCCACGTCGGCATATATTCGAGCTTCCAGTGGCGCAATTCGCCGCTTGTAGGCTGTTCTTTGTACATCCATACAAAGACAGGCTGTTTCCCAAGGCTGGTTTGGTTTCCAGAATGCCCCGCTAAAGGCACCGGCTTCGCTTGATGTAACTCCATCCCGCATTCCTCCGTTTATACATAAGCCCGGGGGCCGGGGCAAACGTGGCAGGGACCGAGCACGAAGTGAAGACAGCCTAGCCGAGATATCAACCTACGGGTGCAAAATGAGCTTATTTCTTTCCTCTATGGACAGATCGGAAAGTCTTCTTTTTAATGTGTAAGGAGTAGAATAAGGCAATAAGAGGATGTTTGGATGATCAGCTTCGATTCTGCAGTTTCGGACAGTCATCCTGCTAGGGCTATCATCGTGTCCTCAAATCTCAAATCTACTACTCCATGCAACTTGCCATCACTTTACTAACGGCATATCCTGATTCTCAGTCTTGTCACTAAGTAAAACAATATTTCGTATCATCCACGATCATGATTCATGTCACTTTCATCGACTGATCGACCCAGACCCAACTCAATGTCTGTGCCCGCACATCATTGACTCGGCCTAACGTTGCGCATAAACGAACCAATCCTCGCCATGCGAGTTGATATGGTGCGTACTGCGTACTGCATGGTGCATTGGTGGGGGCCGTGGGGAATGCCCTCAATGTATTCTGAGATTCTCAAAGGATAACACAACAATCAATTTCGCAGCTCCGACTTTTGATATGCTCATATGCTCACATGCTCACGATCGCGTGCCCGGAATTGCACAATGACGGGTGTTTTCGTATCGAAAAAGAAGACTTGGGAAAAATCGTATATGCGCATTGATCAATCGTACTTCCTCCTTTGCTTCAGCCACGGGAACTTCTCTAAGAAATACAGTTATCCAAACATGTGACTGAGGTTGTCGGTGTCAGTGACCTCGTCTACCCTCGTCGCCCACGTCGACGTCGATCTAGCCCGTCAGCCGGCCGGCTCCAATCCGCTTACATAAACACCTCCACCTGGAATTCTCACTTCACCTCTCCAAGACCTTGAAACCTGCACTTGACACCAACCTCCAATCCCACCAAAATGTCCGCCAATCCCATCAACATGTCCATCCGCACAGTCATGTCTCTCACCCGCCTGAACCCCGTCGCACCCACTCTCGCCAGCACCCTCCGTCCCCTCCAAAGAACCCAATTCACACGCCTCAGCTCGACAACAGCTCGCCCAGCCGCAGCACTAACCTCCGACTCCCGACCAAATGCCAGAACCGCATTCCCATCACCCATCGCCCTGCGCGCGAACTCGACTGCGGCCCCGCAGACAAACCAGGAAGTCAAGCTCGACTGGGACTCCTTCTTCAAGCTCCGCGCTTCCCGCCGCCGATACTCGCTCGTCTCCTCGGTTGCCAGCTCGCTCGCTAGCACCAGTATCGGTGTGCAGGTGCTGTCCAGTCAGGATCTTGAGCACCTAGGTGCATCGGTTATGGGTTTGGACCCGTTTATCGTGCTTGGGCTTGCGACTGCTGCTTGCGGTGCTGTTGGGTGGTTGCTTGGACCGGCTGTTGGGAATGGGATTTGGGGGCTTGTGTACAGGAAGTACAAGCCTTCTGTTAACACGGTATGTTGCTGCAATGACTACGCGGGTTGGCCGTATGGTTGTGTTTGGTGGATGATTTTGCTAATGTGGAATTGTTTCTATGCGCAGAAAGAAAAAGAGTTCTTTGATCGTATCCGTCGGTTCCGTGTTGATCCTTCGACCAACTCGATCTCCAACCCGGTTCCTGACTACTATGGAGAGAAGATTGGTAGTGTTCAGGGATACCGCAATTGGTTGAAGGACCAGCGGGCTTACAACCGCAAGCGCCGTAACTTCATTGTTTAATCTTCTTTTCTCTCATTCACCATGGAGCTTTTTTTTTTTTTTTTCTTGTTCGTGTCGATATGGTGGATCTTTTTGACATTCAGTCCGCACCAAGCTGGTGATTTCCCGGACCGGTGTTAATCTTTGTTACAATCTCATTAGCGGTCTTGGTAGCTGGGGCATTGCAATACATCGGGAATAACCTCGGATCAAATTTTTCTTGAGGAATTGGGTAGAGTCCGTCTTAGGACTAATTGGTATTCTCTAGGTAAAGCTTGAGATTTCTATTGATCATCAGATTCCTGACATTGTCTACCTAGACACATCAATGATGAACCCCCTAAATCTACAACTTCGAAACAACCTTCGCCTTAGGATTCCGCCCAGTATCAACCTCAGTCCACCACGGCACATTGGGCGGTGGGTTATCATCCAAATTAGCCTTAAAGTTCGGTTTCCTCTTCTCAAAGAACGCAGTAACACCCTCCTTCTGATCCCTACACAAAAAGTTAGCATCGCCAATCCAACAACTTCCTTTCAAATCCAAACTTACGGAGCTCCAAACATATGAAGGATAGTGTGCGACTCAACAAGATGAGCAGCCTCCGCAGAACCAGTATCACGCCACATAAGCGCGCGATTCAGGTACGAGGCACTCGGGCTGACGTTCTGCGCAATCTCGGTCGCCAACTCCAGAGCACGTGGCAGGACCTGCGATGACTCGGGGAGCGTCTCGTTAAAGAGATCACCGAAGTGCTTGGAGGTTGGCGGGAAGACGCCGCCGGTGCTGACAAGGTAGCTGGAGTTGGAGTGACCGATGAGTCGGGGGAGGAAAAAGGAAGAGCATGATTCCATGGTGATTCCGCGGCGGGCGAAGACGAAGCCGTATTTGCCTTTTTCGTAGGCGATGCTGTTGGATTGGGTATTAACATGCTAGTTCCTGAGACAGGGAATTCGTTGCTTTACGTACCGGATGATTGCTGGAAGAGTCATTGTCATACCAACACCGACGGCCGAGCCTTGCATGGCAGCAATTGTCGGCTTGCGACATCTGTGGATGGCGAGTGCGACTCGGCCGCCGCTGTTTTCTTTTTAGCGAATTGTTCCATCTTTGTTATACCGATCTACTTACCCATCACGGTGATCAGAATTACGCTCCTTCTGTTTCCCAGAGTTGAATCCGATGTCAAGATCGGCGCCGGCGCAGAAAGTCTTTCCGGCACCGGTTAACACGATAACCTTGACTCGCTCGTCGACGTCGAACATCGGGAAGAGCTTCTCGAAGTCAATGACCATTTGGCCGGTGAAGGCATTCTGGTTGGCGGGACGGTTTAGAGTCACGACTACGACGGGGGTCACGGTTGGTGTGCCGGGGGGATAGTGGGAGACGACGACATGTCCGGTTGTTGGGACGGTCTCGTAGGAGGCGGGGAGCTCGATGGGGGCGGGATCGAAGATCATTGTTGCGGTGGGTTCGATTCCTAGGAGACTAAGGAGAGAATTGTTGTATATGGACACTATATACTATGGGGGGTCTCGGTTATGCGCTCGAGACGATTACTGCATACTGCATAGATGCCGCGGCTTCGGCTTACTTGGCTTAGCGTGGAGAAGCCGGGGTGATCAGCGACCCCGCTGCGGAGTAAGGCTTGGAGGGTAAGGTACCAAGGTAAGGAGTGAATAACTATTGTGTACACAGCATACAGGAATAATGGAATTGGGTGAAAGATACTATAATTTGTGTTTTATGTTGGTTTGGTGGTACACACCTGTTGATGCCATACGCAGCTATAGTATCTTGAGCGAAACGGAGATGTCGACGATGACCAGCTTTGCTTTCCCTGTAAGTTTCTGACTCTTTGATCAGATCCAAGCTGCAACGTGTTACCTGTACTTGCAGTATTTGCGTAGACTTTGCTGACTCGTTGGAGTGGAGTAAGTATCTCGCGGCTCTTTGGTGGTTCGTGGTTCGACCCCGGATTCCATCGGCGCTTATCGAGGCAAAGACCCTGGCCGGGCAGCACTAGCGCCAAAGATCAGATACAGGACCTATGGGGTATATGTACGCAGTAATCTCGAAACTATTAGCAAAAGAGCGATTATTCAATAAAGATCAAGTATTTAGACCTTAAATATACTGTCTTACCCTGTGAGTCCCATGACCTACTGCGTAAAGCCAATGGCTGAAATTCCCCAACAGCCAAGAGAAAGAAAAAAAAATGTCAGTCATCTGATCCGGCAGACAACTTTCCCCCACCATCTCCCTTCCACTACTCAACCTCCCACTACCCTACCTCCTTCTTCATAATATTTACCCCAGACATACACAAACCAAAATGTTAAACCGAAACGTCTCCTACGGCCGCGGTGGCGCAGGTGAGAACCTCAAACCAAAACCCCACCACACATTCAATCTCCACCGAACTAACCGCAACCCGCACAACAGGAAACATCAGCCGCCAACAGACCCCCGCAACACCAAATGACCTCGTCACGCCCACAATCAAACAAGAAGTCTACACAACCGGTCGCGGCGGCTCAGGGAACATGGTCGTCAATGACCCCCACCGGCCCGAACTAGCGCGCGAAAGCCAGGACGTCGAGTCACCGCCTCTGCGCGCAGAGCAGCTGCCACACCACACGGGCCGAGGTATGTGTCGCCCACGGAGCTTGTGCCGGGAAGCGCACGCGCAAAGGAAAAAGGGGGAATGCAGGCTAATAGGTTCGCAGGCGGCGCGGCAAATGCGTACATCCCCACGCCGGAAGAGGAAGAGCGCGGAAAGAAGATCCAGGAGCAGGAGGCGGAGCTTATGCGCGTGCGCACTCAGTCGAAGGATCGGGTAAAGGAGATTGAGCATGAGAGACAGGATTTGAGGAAGGAGTCACCGTCTGCTTAGGCGTGTCTGTTTTTTGGGACGAGTGGCTGAAATCCAAGGCTGGGATCAAGGTTCTGGTCGGGTTGTGCGGGTCGTTAGCGTTTGGCGATGCACGGTGTCTCTGTTCCCGGAGAAGTTTCTCGAGATGAAATGATATCACTGCTGGCAGTGCTGCTTTAATGCGGGTTTTCTTTTCTTTTTCTTCGGTTTTTGGTTTCACCATTCGATTGGGGACGGCGCTCGGTGTCGGTTGGATCTGCGGGTCGGGATTTCGTTTCTTCCTTTTTCTCTTCCTATCTTTGTTGATGTCCATGGATACTCCCTGATAAGCGATCCTTGTCTCAATTGAAAGAACTATGTTATGTACAATCCGATGTCTATGCTAATTACATGCATGTCATATCTCATTTAGGTGCAGGGTTCACCACCGGCCTCTACAGGGGCCTCTTAACACAAAGTGTCGAATATCAAGCTTCAAGAGGGGGTACCGTCGGTATCCCCCGCACTCGCATCTCAACCCTCGGCAGAAAACACCCAGTGGCATCTATCGGCCAACTAATCAGCTCCTGCCACCGCGGCTCAAGCAGATCCCCAATCTCCTTGAGTATCTGCGCCCCCCAATCGCCCATCCACCACGAATCCCGCAAACGATGCAAGACAACCGCATAATGCGCAAGAACAACAAGGGCAAACGGCCGCCGCGCCTCAAGCAGCTCGAGAAACTCCTCTGGAATCCGGAAACACCAATAAAAAGCAAAAGCCTGCGGCTCGCCGCCCTTCATCAGCTGCTTCAGCGCATTACTGAGATGTTTAATGGCCGAATCATAGATATCCTTCTCATGGGCCGCGTCCCGCATAGCCTCCATTCCATTCTGACGCAGCAGCGAGAAAACCACCAGCCGCGACATGTCCGGCATCGTCGCCGGCGGATCCTCGCGCTCGACGAGTGGGTTGAGCTCGCTGCCCGTGATACGGTCTGCTGAGTGCATCATGATACTCACCAGCCACCGGGTCAGCTGGAAGACCTCGAAGAACTCGTCCAGCATGTCCGGCTGCTCGGTGTCGGAGTCTGGGTCGTTCTCGCTGTCGATGTGCCGGTAGCCGAAGGGGAAGACGATCATTATGCAGCATAGGGCGAAGGTTGCTTGGCTTTGACATTCTGGGGCGTCTTCGCTGTCGATGCGGATGCCGGAGAGGGCGTTTGCTTGGTGAGCACGGGCTATTTCGAGGTAACGCCAGCGGAGGGAAGAGGTGCTTGTTGAGGCGAGGTGAAGGGCTGAGAGGGCTAGTAGGCCTTGGCGGAGGGATGGGTAACGGAGGGAGAGTTGGGGGATGGTGATTTGCCAGATTCTTTCGGCGGAGGGGTCGCATGCCATCGTTTTGTAGGTTGTTGTGCACCAGTGCATCATCAGTTCAAGGTCTTCTAGGTAGAGGGTTTCTTCGGGCGTTGAGAGACATGTAGGTGGGTATTGGTGGTGTATTTGGGAAGCTATCTGTGAAGAGTCTGTGCTGCTTCTTGGTGATGATGGCGACACCATGGCTGGTGACTCTGGAGAAGGACTGGCTGATATGAATGACCCTCGTTTGTTGTCTAACCGAGTCAATCGTGGTCGAGGCAGATACTGGCTAAGCATGTTGCGATCCGCGCAATGCGCGCAGGATGAACTTTGCTCCTTATACTGCGTGAATGGCGTCAGCGTTTGTGGAAGAAGGTGTGATGCAAAGTCACCGTGAGCTGGGCAACTCATTATTGCGCCGATTTGGACCAAGCTCTAAAACAGTCGGGTCTAGAAGCCTTTGACAGGGGCGGGGGGAGGTTTCATACTCTCAATCGTCGACCACTTGGAATAGTTGTATGGCGTCGCTTACTTGACCAGGGAGATATCGTTGAGTCGTGAGATTGCATTGTAGTAGGGTAGAGCTCGCAGCACGAGACCCTGGATGTTTTAATTCGCTATTTTTCGGCGTCGGGGGTTGCAGTCAATTTGAATCATAATGCGGTGGATCTGACAAGGATCGCCAACCCCCAGTTATCTCCCGAAGGAGTAGTAGAAAGAATGAAGGATGGATCCTTGATATCATAGGAAGGTTCAGGGTGTAAAGCTCGGATTAGATGCCGCAGTTGGTCATGATTGTCCGGCAGATTTGTTTTTCTTTCTACATAGGCGCAGTGGCTTCTGATTTGCGAAGACCTTGATATATCATTCCGGAGGATCGACCATTCCTATCCACCAAAGCCAAGGGAGGCTCTGAAGACTCTGACTCGTGTTTGTTAGAGTAGAAGGGCCGATTTGTCCCAATTTGGTAAATGCAGTTCGGAACCACAAGTGGCCCGTGCTTCAAAATGACATAACCCTTTCTCGATGTCCGCGATACCTTAACTCCGTTGCACTTTGGCGGAGAACGGAGTACTCCGTTTCTAGAATGTAGTTACAGATTACAGCGCTTGTTATGATTCTCTATGTTTGATCGCATAGCAAAACCGGGTCTATCTACATATTCAAAGCAAACAAAGGAAACAAGCAGTCAGCAAAGCCAAACACTCGGAACTCCCCCCAAAGTGCGTATAAGGCTATAAGCACAAAGCTACTCCGTACATGATCACACCCAGCTGTTCCTAACAGCGATGAGGCCCCACCGGTCCCCACCAAGCGGGGCCCAAACAAGCCCACCCTAGACCATATACAGTCTAGCCCAGTGGGGCAAGGCAAGTCTATCCGAAATAAGTTTGAAATGACGAGCCCTTCTTTTCCCCAATTTGGAAAGACGCCTGCGCTTGAACCCTTGTCCTATGCACTTTCCCGTTGGCGGCCACGATGGCCTTTTACTGCATACCCCATCTCGGAGACATCTCGGATACTTTATTCTTTCCCTTTCTGGGAAAGTTCCTTGTCTGATTCCCTGTCCCGCACTACTGTGTAATGTATGCAGTGCTCGTGACCATATCTTGCCCTAAAATGCATTCCGGCGGGCGCCAGGCTAGACAAGGATGTTTATTTTTTTTTGTCTTTCTTTTCGCTGGGATTGGATCATGCTTTCCGCATGTTATATCCTTGCGCTCGTGTGGATCTTTATCCGGTTGGAGATCGGAGTTGCTCGGTACTTGGCACTCAACGTCTAACCCGCTCCTATAGAATTGTGGTTGATCTGTCAGATTCATGCACACTTGACTACTTTCAGTCAATGTAGGGAGTATGTACACCGTTTCGCGGGAGGGTATTAGCTGCGTAGATCCTTTTGAGGTAACTCTTAGAGACTTTGTTACTGTTGGAACTTGGCGGTGGCCGCGGCAATCTATTCCTGCGTCATCCTTCGACTGACTCGTGTTATCTCTGAGGCCCGAGGCTCTAGATCGCAGGGTCTTTCTTTGTTTGGATGTTGGGGCCAAACCTTGTTTGGTCATTCCTCTCTCTCTCCAGAGCATGGCTCGTTGCGGTCAATAGCGTGTAATGGCGTGCTTGCAGGTGGACATATGCAGTAGTTAGTGTACGGAGTAACTACTACGGAGTGTACGGAGTACTGTGGACATGATTGTAGATCAGTCTGGAGCCACGTGATGCAGTGGATAATCTCTGCTTTTCTAGTATGGAGCTTGGATTCGAAATGGAAGGTATGGAGCCCGTGGATACGAGAAATTAGCGGCCTCGCACGAAGATTCCGGATTGAGACTAAGCAGAGTGGATCTACCTAGAAACCCAAATCATTAAGAAGAGATTGATTGCCCAACTCCACTTCGAATCGTCAAGGAAGTTATCGCCTTTATCGATGTTATCATGTTGATTCTTCGATTGCGATGAATTTCCACCGCTGTGGTAGAGACCCTTGCTTCCAACCGTTTTGTCATGCATAAGGCTGGCACGTGATTACGTGAAACAGCACCTGTTACCTAAAATCGAGCGGTTGGGCGGTCCGTCGAGAATAGGTTAAAGCCCTGGCCCATCTAAGTCTCCGCGAGCCTCCGAATTTAGGCAACTCCGAGGTCCACCCGGCTCCGAGCGCCGCTGAATATCCCGGGGATAGCTCCGGGGGATTTCCGCGCAGGTGTTAGTCCGACGACCTCATAGCCGGTGTTTTAATTTACTCACCGCACCAGGGGTCAGGGGAATGGCGTTTCTGGTGCTGAACTGCTGATACTACCAATGCGACTTCATGCGTCGGCCTTGCAAAGGACAGGGGAGTGGCCGGGGGTGCTCGGTGCATCATCTTTCCGTGGAGTGGTACGCTAAGGCGTATGGGGTTGGAAGTGCCCGTCGACCTGAATTTGGGCTTTGGGATTGAAAGAATGGGGGTTTGGTGGTGAGCTGACAGGTGAGACCCGTGTGGAAATGGGGGTTTGGGGTATATTCGGTGCAGATTCGTTTGGCTTTCGTCCCTAATGAGTTGGAATCTACCTACTGAATTTCATCAGATGAAGCATACAAGTTCATATTCATGGCTGACGCCTCGTGGTCGACGGCATTCTCATGCAGGAACCCCAGCTAGCCAAGTCACACTACCTGTTCAATGCCACCGTACCTGATATCTCATTCAGATTCATTGAGCGCTTCAGGATTTACGCCTCCCTGCTAACTTCTTTTATGGCCTGATCTGAAAAGCCCAACCGTCCCACACAGATATCTGGCCCATACAAACCAACTATACCCTGTCTCTTGTGGCTGAAGCCACCCTAGAGCAGATTATCATTTCGATATACTCTCGCGCGCCATTTCCTCAAACTTCTCCGCTAGCAATATTGGTTGCATCTCTGAAAAACAGACCAATAGAAAAGGGAGCAGCTTTATGGACCATGAAGAGAATCATCATTGAGAGAGAAGGGCTCTTCGTTGCACGAGAACAGCCGCCTAGCGACCGCCTTGATGTACGGTAGAAAGTTCGCTATAGTCGCGAGCATTGATTCCGCTTGCATCGGATTACCGCTATCAGCCCAGTGGACGGAAGGACGGACGTCTTGAAGAAGGAGGTTGCTCTGTCGAACTGACCGCTCATACGTGGCAAAGGTCTTCACATGTATCCACGGTGGCCTCTTGATTCGCGGCGTAGCACAGTCAGCCTGAACTACGGTATCAGAGGAGTGACTGGGCACCGAAACGAGCCCAGATGGGAGAAGGGATTAACATGGAACGGTAGAATCATAGAATGTTATGACCACGCGGTAGCCGCTTTCCATCTTCGCGTTAATTCGCTTGGTGCTTGAAGGCATAGCAAAGGATGTAGCTCGTAGCCTTGGGATATGATTTCTGTGGCCCGTTAGGAGCTCAAGCCACCGTGCATGAATAATTAGAAGCTTAAGTTGCATTAGCGCAAGATTGGTGGGTAGGTCAGGTTCGTTGTTTGTATGCAAAGGGACCCCTTCCTTATAACCGTTGGAGCTTATATTTTGGCTTGTCTCCTTCCCCTTGCCCGGGTACTTGCCATTCACGCCAAATTTCTAGCTTTGCGGAATCGAGCGGCAGTTATTTACCTAGAGATTAGACACAAGCAGAGATCTCGCGTCTATGACATCATGATCACAGATCCATGCGGCCCAAATAGGAAAGACCCCTCTAGCAGACATGACCTTGGTCCTTGATATAGGCCATATGCACTTCCAAGCTGATGTCCCAGAAATTGAACGTCAGTAGTAATTGCCAAGATCTCTATCATTTACAATCTGAACGCGGAAAGCGCGGGAGCGAGATGGGCAAGCAAGGGATATCACTGACAGTCTGACACACACCTCCCTCTACAGTCTACGTACTTCTCGATGAACGAACCCCACTAAAAATAACACGCCTTGTACAAGGCAAGATGTGAGATCGAAATGTTCTCTGGATTCAGCAGACATAGACAATTGTCAATGTGGACTTCGACTCGGGTACTTAGACCCTGCCAAGACGTTGGCAGACCCTTGGTGATCAACCACCAAGACCCCTTAACCGGTCAGAAGTTACCACGCGTTCGGGACCTGTCATCCCCCGTCGCCATCCCGCATGGAGGCCCATGGACTGGAATGCTCGTAGGCTGGTTGACTTTGGGATTTATGATTGGTTTATAGTCTTCGGGACTAGGATATAGTTCCGTGCAGAATAAGAGACAGGAAATTGCCAGCATCCCAATATTCAACGCATACTCATACTGTACAACACAGACCCCGAGATTCATACCCCGACGAATTCAATGACATTCTCGACTAGTCCAAGTAAGGGAACTAGACTCTAGTTGAAATCTCTTTTCCAAGTTGCAGCAAGTTGTGAAGATGGCCGTTTGCGGCGAGTCCGACCTGGATGCGGACTTTTCAGAGCCTCCAGTTACATTCTCCGCTCATTCGTCGACAAAAGATGGCTTGAACCCGACGGGTTGGGTCCAGGTTCCTGCGGGTGCTTTAGTTGGGACTGAAATGGAGAAGTTCGAACAAGTTGAAGCAGTTAAAGCAGTTAAAGCAGTTAAATCGGTTAAATTAGTTAAATTACTTCTGTAACTCTTCTGTCTGCCGTTCGAGAACGTCACTTTCCTTTCCGCCTTCTCCTTTCTCTCTTCCCCTCCAACTCTCTGATCTCTTTCTCTGTATCCATGAAAGTTCTCTCATGAGATTGACTCTGATCCAGGTATGTGAATAATTGGTGGATCGTCTTGTAGACTTTGGGCCTGAAGACGATCCGTGGAATTCCAGCGAATCTCCCGCACTTTGACAGCGTCATCGTGCGGTTCACCCAGAAGACTCTAAAAACCCTCTTGAATATCGCTTCTAATGCACTTTTAGGCCTGACAGATACAGTCTGCTTTCTATCCTCTTCTTCCTTCGCGGAAACACCCCATAACGAATATCGCCACTCCCGGCCCGAGCTCATTCTACGGTTCCGGCGCAAAACTCTCCGCCGCAAACGTGCCCGAGTCAACCGATCTTCACTTTCACTTTTCCGCTCGAAACCTGCGATCGCATCATATTTCTCTGCTAATAGCATACACTGGATAACCCAACAATTTCAATTTGATCAGCTTCGGTCCGTGATCAAAGCTCCGGGGACGATTGCTCTTCGCAAGCGCAGACACTGTTCTTCCACCAGAGAGTCGATGCTCCAACTGTGACGTCTGAACACCCGCGGGGTCGCATGTCGCATTTCTACCCCCCGGTCCCTTCGCAAACCACCAGATAGTCCAAGATCTATCGAAGAGAGCTATTCAAGCTAGCACCCGTCGTTCCTATTTCGAGAAGCCATCCTCGGTTCCTGACAATCCGGTACCATGTACGCCGTCGAGGATAGACATCATCCCGTTCCGCCTCCCCTCTCAATGGATCGCATCTCTGCTCCGTCCACCCAGTACCAGCCGGGTCCCAGCCCGCTACATGCAACCGATCATCTGGCACCCGTCGAGAATATCGGAGATGGGCGCCGCTGGTCATTACAAGTGGTTCAGCAGCCGATTCGGGCTCGGATGTGCGGTTTCGGCGATAAGGTGGGTGATTTTTCCGCAGTACCTGTTGTCCGCGTCTAACGAACCTTAGGATCGGAGACCGATCACTCCCCCGCCATGCATTCGTCTGATTGTGCGGGATATGCACACCGATAAGGAAATTGATATCAAGTATGTACAGCCGCGATCTCGTTATCTGACGGAGCTAACAATTTCCTAGTGAAATTGATACCTCATTCTACGTGCTCACCGTCGACCTGTGGAATGCCGACGGCACCAATGAAGTTAATCTCGTCAAGCATTCCGCCACCTCCCCCTCCATCTCTACCGCCATGTCCTCCTCATATCCTCCCCCGCCTCAGAGCGTGTCGCCGACGTACCCCGGGTACAATCAAAGTCAATACGGATATCCGCAGATGAACAACAGCTACTACGGTGGCCAGCAGGTGACATACCAAAATCAATACGGGCAGCCAATGGCCTACCCGCAATATTATCCCGGAACCAATAGCCAGATGCCACCCTCAATGTCGCCCGCCGCGCAACCCGTCTCTGGCGGTCCTGGTGGCATGTTCACACGCAATCTGATTGGCAGCCTCAGCGCCAGTGCTTTTCGCTTGACCGATCCAGACAACAAAATTGGCGTGTGGTTCATTCTACAAGATCTAAGTGTGCGCACCGAGGGCACTTTCCGGTAAGTCATCATGCGGTTTCACGAAAAGCATACTGAATCGTCGCTGACAATCTTGCAGTCTGAAAATGAGCTTCGTCGATGTTGGCACGCATTCAACCGAAGCCGTTAATGGGGCCCCGGTAATCAACCATGGAACCGCACCCGTGCTAGCCTCGGTATTCTCCGAACCCTTCCAAGTCTTCTCAGCCAAGAAGTTCCCCGGTGTCATCGAGAGCACCCAGCTCAGTAAATGCTTCGCGCTGCAGGGTATCAAGATCCCCATCCGCAAAGACGGAGTGAAGGGACCTCGTCGAGGCGGAGACGGCGACGACGACGATGAAGGTGACTATTAGAGCGCTTTTCCGATCCAATCATCCACTCTACGGATAGACGGATCAGCGTCTCGTCTTATGTTTTCTTAATTATCCTTATTCCGTACTCCAAACGACTCAAGACACGGGAGAAAAAACGGCGGCTACGGTGTTATGGGCGTAAGCCTCGGGTTTATTGGTTTCTATATTGCTACACGGACCGGTGCTGGGGGTTTTCTGCTTTGCTTTTTTTTTCTGTTTTCTCTTCTGTATCTTTCCCTTTCCCGCCTTTATTCTTATATTGGCCTCTGGCTGTGTCTATTCATATCCCCGCGGCTTCTTTTTCCGCGCGTACATACATTGTCTTTTTTCTTTTCTTTTCTTCTTTCTTTCCGGCCAATCGAACGTTATGTCCGGCTTGGCCTGCTGGGCGGTTAGTGTGGGGTCTGTTTGTACCCCCGGCATAGAGAAAAGTTGCTTGATATCCAAGGCTATTATGATTGTCGTTCACTTCTGGTGTAGCCTGTCTGTGGAGACTGTAGAAAGTATTGGCTCGTAGTCGCTTGATACTCTACTGTCAAGGTTAGGATAGCTCTTCCCCATGAGACAATAGATCATTTCTTGTCCTATCTACGGAGTCACCAGGGTCCAGGTGGGCCCAGTTGCGGACCGTGGCTTTGTCTCAGATGGCTTGATATTAAGCGGAGAGGACTGTGTATCGGCTTGTCTCATTCTATGAAGTGCCCGTGTATGGGTTCTGCATCCTTTAGTCTCTAGGTCAATGCTCGAGTCTCGGTCAATTCGACCATGGCCTTTTTGGGTCAGGAGATGATTCCTGTGATGATACGATACCATTTACCTACCCATGGCAGACCAGATAAAGCGAGTCTCAAGCATCACCCCTTCGTCTTCTCGAGATATCAGCGAAAGAAAGGCGAACTCTATATCTAGTCCTGATAATTCACATGATATCACATGACATACATCCGCCCTTTCCATCCCATTAGCCTCTATGAATAACCTGTACCAAACATATGTACCACCAGAACTACAATGTCTCACCTATTACCATCCCGAGACCGCATCTACCATCGCTACATCAGAGTGGAAAAGGGCAGACCAGCCGCAATACCCAAACTCCTTGCCCAACATATGACAGATACGTAAACATAGTACAAATCGTAACACAGCACATACCAACAACTAAGGCCATAGCCAAGGGTTCTCACCAAGGACGTCACACCGTCCCTGAATAGACAGCCGGAATGCCGATTCCCCGACATCTTGCTTCGGCATCGATAGGCGATGTCGAGAACAAAGTTTTCATGTTGGACCTGTGTGACTGGGATGGTCCGTTCCTCTCTTCTTCCATCACTGGCCTGTGCTAAGGATAGCATGATCGATACAAATGATTGAATGGAATGAAGGTTGCAGGACTGTCGGTGCAAGGTAAAAGTGGCGAGTGTGTATGAAGGGAGATATTTCTGGAACTGCAGGACTGTCAAAAAGTACTGTGGTACAGGGGTTGCCACGCGAGAGCCGGTGATGCTGTGCAGCAATGTAAGGGCTGAGGCTTTAGGTTGCGGCTTCGCCTTCAAACACATCGAGGACGAAACGATCGGTGGCGCCGCACTTGTTTCGTTGTATGCGCTGTCTTTACTCTAACCATCATGCGTCATGCATCGGGCCGTTGAACGGAGTGACTCTGATTTGTACAGCCAAGAGAAGCCTATGAGGTATACAAGATCAAGGTTCTGTGCACCTGCATGACGAATTGACGATGGGATGATCAAGCATATCCTTTTGTACAACACTGCAACGGTTTTGAAGAAACTTCGATCTTGTTCTGGAAAAGAAAAAGGAAAAGAATCAAGATCGGGTTAAGCCGACATCCCCCGAGACAAACTGGAAGTGGTGAGGTGTATATGGTTCACCCCAAATGGCCCCCAATTATAGGCAACTGAGACAAAGACCTGCAGATCGTTCCCACTTCTTGTTCGGCACAAACCTCGATCCACTTCCCTTCTCACCAATTAGACTTGTCTTTTGCTGTTTAGTCTCGTCTTGGGCCCTTGGCAGACGAACTATGCACCTACGATGTCTCACCTCGTCTCTCAACGAGGGAAGGAAACGGCTTTCCTCGGTAGTAACCTACCGTCCAGCGTAGCAATGGACAAGGCGACGAGGTTTCTGTATTCAAATTCTACGCTTAACAGAAGCATGTCTCATGAGTTTTGAAATCGCTCCAATGAGAGACTTGCCACATTCTTCGGCCCAACCCGATCGATGACGGAGACACTTGATGCTCAGGGTGTTTCCCCGGACTTGTTCCAGAGAATGACAGCGATCTGCAGGCTATATTTACATCTACGGGCTCTTCCCGATCTGTGAGCACCGAGGTCTATATAAAGGCCCGTCATCCCCTAGCAGCATCCTTCTCACCAGACATCCAAATCAAAGAAACCACCATTCTATCAAACCAATCGCAATCTCCAAAATGAAACTCACAATCACCGCCCTCGCCCTCCCTCTCCTGGCCGCCGCCGCACCAACAGCACCCGCCAACCCCCCTTCAGCGTAATGGCCACCCGCTCCGGCTCCCCAATCCATTTCCTCGGACTCAACGCCGCAGGCCAGAAATTCTGGCTCGGCGGCGAAACGGCCTCCTACTGCCCGGAAAACATCGTCAAGAACTGCCCACCAGGAAACCAGACCGTCCTTGCACCCGGTGGTAGTGCCTTGGTAAGTCCAGTCCCCCAAGTCATTCATTCATTCCCTTTTCCCCTTTTCCTCCCTCTATATTTCCCTTGCAAGAAAAATCTAACAATCTACCAGGATACCTCAGTCCCAGGCGGCCAACGGGTCTACGTCGACCCCAACGGCGCTCTAAGCTTCACTCAAGCCCACTCAGCTAGTATCCCGGAGGGCTCCTCGCTCGGTCCATTCGAGTATAACGCCGCGGAGCCATGGTCGCACTATTCTTTCAACGGATGGGGCTCCAGTGGGTTCATGGCTTGTCCCGCTGATGGAGGCCGCTGGCAGGTGTTTGCTGCGCTGGGTAATGCTACCGTCCCACAGGGCAATGTTGATGACTGTCTTGGGTTCTCGGCTATTGCGCTTCCTTATTCTGGGGAGACACCTGCTTGGCAGTATATTTAGACTGTTTCTGCCAGGTTTGCATGAGATATTGTTTTTGTACTAGGTAGGTTTGCAACTACGAAAAATCCTATGAAGTGCGGGAGCACGTTATGTTAAAAAAATGGTATTCATCAATTGCAACTATGTAGATAAAAGGCATCGTTATGTATCCTCTGCCCCAGGCAGAGTAGGTAGAACAGGTTCATCAATAAATCCACTCTCTCATCACCCATTTCATATATTCCCCATTGGTAATGGACAGGCTCGACGCTCCTGTGAATGGACTATTTCCCACGTGGTGGTTGCCGTGGCAGAAGCCCGGCCACTGTGCAGACCAGTATACAGGCTTGCAGCAGAAACGAACCCAAGGAGGGTTGATCTGGGTCAAAGCATCCTCCTATTAGGAGAGTGCACAAGGTGCTGGTGCCGGAATCCGCACGCTGCACGTAGTAAAAACGTGATTGCAGGCCTAGACTGAACAATTTCTAGGCATAATGGCAAGGGAAGCTGACCTAGTTGCGCCAGATCTTAATAGCCTTGTCTTTGCCGCCACTGCCGATCTTTTGTCCATCGGGACTCCAATCCACGGCAAACACCTCGTCTTTGTGTCCCGGGAGATCCATCTTGAGCTTACCGGTGCGCAAATCCCAGATCTTCAGAGTGGTATCCTTGGACGACGACACCAGCATACGAGAGTCTGCGGAGAAACAGCATTGGTAGACTGCACCCACGTGGCCACGGAAGGTGGTAATGAACCTGGTTATCATGTTAGCAATAGATACAGTAATCGAAGAGTGACTAATCGAGGAATGACAGTAACTCACTTTCCGTCACGACCGTTCCACAGCTTAACGTGGTTGTCGAATCCAGCCGAGGCGATATAGGCCATGTCCGGTGAGAAGGTGACATGGTTCACCTCCTTCTGGTGACCCAGCATACGTTGAACGGGCTTGCTAGAAGTAGACGGCTCCCACAGGTACATCGTGAAATCATCACTAGCCGAGACTAAGCGCTCGACAATGGTGTTGTTCACCGTCGCCGCCTCCTCGAACTTCTTCCGGGCCGCCGCAACCTTCTCAGCCTCCGTCACAGGGACCTTACCAGTGTGGTCATGGTACGCAGTGCGAAGCGCAAAGTCCGTCGACAGCGCAAGGTGATTAACCCGGTGGGCATGGGCCGCCAGGGTCTGCAGCAGGGTACCATCCTTCGGGTTCCAAATCTTGATCGTTTTGTCGTGAGACGCAGTATAGATCTTGCCAGTACCACCCCATTTCACACACGTGACCGACGACTTGTGGCCGGTGAGCACATGGTCAGTTACCCTCGAGACAACGTCCCACACGCGCACTGTTGAGTCCTTTGACGCAGAGGCCAGACGCGGCCGCCCAGACTCCTGCACGTGGTAAGGCTCCCACGCCAGGTTCGTGATCCACTTCGAGTGGCCCTTAAGGCCCCCGCCTAGTGCCGCGCCCTTCTTGGCATCCCAGAACCGCACGGTGTTGTCCATGCTGCCGGTCGCGATCATGGCGCCGTTCGGCGAGTATGCGACGGCCAGCACCCAGCTGGTGTGGCCCTTGAGCGTATGTGCTGGGGTTCCAGTGTCGCAGTCCCAGATGCGAGCTGTTCCGTCTCCGCTTCCGGAGACCATGGTGGAGGATGAGATTGGAGAGAAGGATGTTGCTAGGATTGCTTCGCCGTGGCCCGCGATGGAAGCCGCGCATCGCGAAACGGCTTTCACGCGGAAAACCGCCTGCGGTGTGTAAAAGAGAGAGACTGTATCTTCTGTGGTCTTAATTCCGGGTTGGAGTAGCGAGTGGTACACATCGCGGAGAATGTCGATCGTTTGTTCTTCTTTTTCGGAATGATAGGCGAAGCGGTACGGTACTCGTCCATCGTCCTCCTAGAGATAACATTGTGGTTAGAACAATCAATTAAGAATTGCGCATATATCGCCGATCTTACATTTCCTTGTAACGTGTTAAGCAAAGTCTCAAGGTTCTTCACGTTCGCATCGGCGACTGGAACTGACACGGCAGGGCCGGTGGGCTGGCCGGTTGCTTGGTCGAAGAATTGAACTCGGATGCTGCCCAAATCGGTCGGAATACTTTCAATCTCCTGCTGCTCACGAGCCTTATCGGCCTGGACGAGCTTTTGGCGCTTGCTGGGGGGAGGATAGAGAGTCGCCATGGTTATTTATTTTTGAGGTTGAGGGGAGGAAGAGAAATTTTGTGACGGCAAAAATTATCTCTCCTTATCTTATCGGCTATCGATTTCTCCAACTACAACCATCTCAGCCAGGTACATCAGGTACATCCGGTCGAGCTCCATCATGTCGGTTTATTCGACGCTGGACTCTTTTGATCCTCCATCTTCCAGAGGTACTACTAGAGGTACTAGTAGACTTCGTACTGCAGGACCGACCACAACAGCCGCCAGTGTCGCCGCACAGGATATCATATGTGCTATCAGTGAATCGCGGGGAGTCTCATCCACCGTTGGCCTTGCGTTTGTCAATCTCGCGACTGCTGAAGCCGTTCTCTGTCAGATATGTGATAGCCAGACCTACGTCAAGACAATCATCAAAATCGGCGTTTTCGAGCCCAGCGAGATCCTGTTCATGAACACTGCCAAGGAGTCGAAGCTCCGTTATATTATCCAGGAGAACCTGCCAGATCCCATTTTCACCTTCCTAGACCGGAGATGGTGGTCTGAGAAGACAGGCCATGAGTATGTGGACCGACTGGGCTTCCCTGAGGAGATCGATTCGCTTAAGGTGACGCTGGGCGGGAACTATTTCGCAGCATGCTGCTTTGCGGCTGTATGAACACCGTGTATATTCTCAAAAGGATCCACTTACATGGCAACTAGGTTCTCAAGTATGTCGAAGTTGAACTCCAGCGGTCTTTCACCTCGCATTCGCTGCGGATTCGGTTCGAACCATCCCAGGGGTCGATGACAATTGACTTGGCGACGATTGTGTCCCTCGAACTCATTCAGAATCTGCAGAATGCGAAATCCAAGGAAAGTCTGTTTGGACTTCTCAACGAGACGTTGACTCCCATGGGAGCCAGACTGCTCCGAGCTAGTATCCTACAGCCTTCTACAGAACGAACCAAGTTGACCGCCAGATACAATGCCGTGGAAGATTTGACCACCAAAGAGGATATGTTCGTGTCTGTGAGGCAGGCGCTAAAGGGCTTCGTTGATGCGGATAAAGTGTTGACTGCGGTAGAGTATCCGAAATCAGCATTGAATACTTCTACTGACGAACTGGCAAGATCATCTTGGTTCCCACGAAACAGACCATGCAATATGTTGAACAATCGGTTAACAATGTTATCATGCTCAAGACCTATGTGTCTTCCATCAAGAAGATATTCCAAGCGCTTGGAACAGCACAGAGCGATTTGCTGCTTACCATACGCGAAGTAGAAGATACACTCCTCAGATATTTCTCACAACTAATAGTCTTTAGTTGTGCGCGCCCGAAGGCCATCGTTCGATCGAGGAGCTGATTAACGCAACCTTGAATGAACATGTGGCTTACCAGTCGAAGCCGCTTGACTTGAGGAATCAGCGCATCTATTGTGTCAAGGTCTGCATTATCAGGTACCGAGGTTATAGACCACTGACCTGGAGTAGGCCGGTGTCAATAGTCTTCTCGATGTCGCCAGACAGACCTACAAGGAGGCGAATGCGGATGCCACAGAGCTGATCGAGAAGTTATCAGGCAAGACAATCCTCGTGATCTTCCACAGACCATTCTGACATATTTCAGAGAACTGTGACATGACTTTAGACCTGAAATTCGACACAGCCAGACAATACTACATCTGTATATCAGCCACGGAGCCACGTCGACTGCCAGACGTCTTCATCAACGTGTACCGCAAGCGAAACCGCATCGAATGCCAGACCCTGGATCTAGTCAAACTCAACCAAAAGATCACCGACGCCCACAACGAGGTGATCAACATGAGCAACCGAACAATCCAAGACCTCATCAGCGACGTGTGCGCCGAAGTATCCTCCCTCTTCCGCGTCAGCGAAGCAATCGCCATGCTCGACATGCTCGCATCCTTCGCCCAGCTAGCAACAAACCATGAGTACATCCGGCCCGAACTAACCTCCACCCTAGCCATCAAAGCCGGCCGGCACCCAATCCGCGAGCAAATCCATTCCAGCAAATTCATCCCGAACGACGCCTGCGCAACGCCCCAAACAAGATTCCAAATAATCACAGGCTGCAACATGAGTGGCAAATCAACCTACATCCGCTCCCTAGCGCTGATAACAATAATGGCCCAAATCGGCTCCTTCGTCCCAGCCCAATACGCCACCTTCCCAATCTCCCACCAACTCTTCGCCCGCGTCGCCACTTCCGACGACCTAGACGCCAACGTCTCAACCTTCGCTGCAGAAATGCGCGAAATGGCTTTCATCCTACGCAACATCCAACCCCGCAGCATGGTCATCATCGACGAGCTCGGCCGCGGGACCAGCACTACAGACGGTCTCGCCATTGCCGTCGCTCTGGCCGAAGCCCTAATCGCCAGTAAAGCGCTAGTGTGGTTCGTCACGCACTTCCACGACCTGGCAAAGATCCTCGCCGAGCGCAGCGGTGTAATCAACCTCCATCTTGCGGCAGATATTTCCCCCGACGCTTCGAAGATGACGATGCAGTATCGTCTCGCCGAAGGCCCGGTTCCAGTCCGGCGGTATGGGCTCGTCCTGGCCAAGCTGGTGGATCTACCGAAAGAGGTCTTGGAAAAGGCGAATGCCGTATCGGGGGAAATGGACGAGCTGGTTAAGCGCAGGAACAGCCCGTCAAGGGCTGTCGCTATTGCTCAGAAGAGGAAGTTGTTGCTGGCGCTACGGGAACAGCTGATGCTTGCCCGGGACCGGACTATGGATGGTGCTGATCTTCGGGATTTGTTGGTTAAATTGCAGGATGATTTTGTCTTGCGCATGACTTCTATCAATACGGAGATGGAGACGTATCTTAGTGGCAGTGAGAGAGAAGAGCATACTGAAGATGGTCTGGACTCGTTGGTTCGGGCATCAGAGGACCGAGCTTTGTCTTCGCCGGCTCTAAGTGAGGATAACTTGGAAGACGATGGCATGTGTGTGTCTGAGCTCGTTGGGATTGAGTCTGGTCTGGTGTCTGAGTCTGATGGGTTCATTGACGATGATAGTGTGGTGCTGGTTTAAGAGAGAGACCAAGTGAGTACGGATGGTGAGTGAGGTGGACCTGTCATGTTATCCCTGGTTTTGTAGACCCTAGTGTTGTGCAGTTCTTATGTGACTCAGTGGACGGTACGACGGTTAGTGGGGGCTATATCGTACCCTTTTATACTAATGCTACTCCATATGGAAGCCTGGGGGGGGGGGGAATAAAACATGTTACAATGTACTATTTTGTCTACAGACGCTAGATACAACAGAACAATGCAACCAGATCTACCCAAACGTACGACACGTACAAGCGCTCGCTCCCCGTCATGCGTCAATCAAACAAAGGGCCAAAAGGCCCATTCAATGTAACAATTTTAACCGAAGTGGAACAGGGTCTGCTTTCCCTTATTCTTCTTCCCCTTCTTGCCACTTGACTCAGCGTCATTGCTAGGCTCGGCAGGAGTAGAGGTACCAGAGCTCGGGTTCGAGCCCCACGCATTGGGGGCAGAGCCACGGTTATCGTTCCAGCGGACAGTACCGCGGGTCAAACCAGCCATGAGAACATTGGGCTTCGGTGCTGCGGGAAGAGCAGGGAAAGCACTCGCTCCTTGGGCAGCAGGTGGAGGCGGCGCACGACTGGAAGATGGTGCTGCAGATGACGGGCGGCTGACGGGGCTTGGGATGGACGGGCGAGAGAAGGATGGTGGCGGGGCTGTTGATGCCCAGGGGGTAGAAGCGGCAGCTTGGCCACGACGGGATGAGGAGCCTACTGCGGCGGAGAGGGGAGGGAAGGGGTTGGAGGGGGCGGTTGGGAGGGCGCCGCTTCTGCCAACGGCGGAACGGGAGGATCGGGCGGTGGATGACTTTAGGCGGAGGACGCGCTGGCCGCCGGTGTTGGCGGTGCCGGGTGACATTCCCGGTAGGAGGCCGCCGGGTCCTGGGAGGGCTGGATAATCCTCGTTGATGGCACGCCAGTCGTTCCAGGATTGGAGGAGACCGGAGCGTTTGCTTTCGTCTTCGTAGATTTCGGCAAGCTCTTTGATGAGTTTGCCCAGCTCGGCGCTGGATGTGTCGAACAATGAGAAGAAGGCATCGATTAGCTCGGTTGCGGTGATTGTTGAGCTGCGGTAGCTCGATACCCTGCTGCGGAATTCGGCGAGTTTGGTGGTTTCATTGTGGAGAAGGTTCGAGGCGCGCTCAACAACTGCCTGGTGGCGCAATCGACGGGTCTGGTCTTGTGGGGTGGAGGCTGAATTGGCGGAAATGCTGAGGCCTTCGAATGCCGCGGAAGGGAGAGGTTGAGTGCGCGCGGACTGCGCTGGAGTGGCAGCGGCAGATCGCTCTGGGGCACGCACGGGTTGGACATCGTCTCGAGTGAGTTGGCCGCCGAAGTTGCGGGTTGAGACGGATTGAGAACTCTGGATAGCCATCTGCCGCTGGTATGCAACTTCAGCACGGGTCATTGGCTGTGCACTGGACATTGGAATTGGCTCAGAATTCGGATCACGTCCTCGGCCGGCACCGCGACGTTGGCGTTGCTGTTGGTAAGGAGTGCGCATATTATCGAACTCAGCCAGATCAACCATTCTCGCGTCTCGTCGAACGTCCTTAGAAAGCCCTTCGGGATGTGCCTCGAGCTGATGTGCCTTCAAGTCCATTTGTGTCTCAAAGACCACAAACTTTTTCTCCAAGCATTCCTTATCCAGGCAGAAGAAATGATCCTTTTGGAAGTGCTTTTCAAGTGCGTTGTAGTCGATGTAGTATTGCTGTTGACGGTGAGAAGAGCGGCGGTCACAGATATGGCAACGTTCGTGTCTATCGCGACAGTGGGCGTACAGCTCGTCGTCGCCATAGAACCTCTGACGACAGAACCCACATTCGGGGTGTCCCTTGAAACCACTCTGATCTATGGCTCCAGGCTTGTCATCGCCAGACTTCTCATGTTTCCGTAGCTCCGCCATTGTGAACAGTTCATGCTCGTGGGTGAAGACCTTCTTGTTGCGAGTACAAAGATCACTGTTTGCAGAACACCGTCAGCTGCTACTTCAATATGGGGGCAGCTCATGCTTTCAACATACCACATAACCTTGCCATGCTTGCTTTTTACATGACGGTGCAAGTCTGGCCATCCCAAACAGGCAACATCGCAGTCCTGGTCGGGACAGTTGTATCGCAATAACAACACTGTATCTCCAAAGATCTCGTCATTCTCATATTCAATTCCAAGATTTTCATCCGTCCGAGCGAAGTCCTTCTTCTGGAAATCCTCATATCGCCGCACTGGGTCATCTGTGAAGACCACGAAATTCGATTCGGTCTGATATAGAAGTTAGCATGTGAACCATATTTCCAAAATAGAGCAACTTGGCTTGTAACCAAATGAACCCCAAGATATCCCATACCCTGCAATGCGCGCAAGCCTTATTTTTGTACAATGCCCGCAATCGAAGCGCACAAATGTGACACGTCCGATGATTGCAAGGCGAGACGGAGGTATGTTCGACCCGAGAAGCGCAAATAAAGCAGACTTCTCCATCATCCGCATCATCGGTGGCCACCTCTACCTGTTTTTTTATCGTGGGCGTCGCCGCAGGTTCCGAAGGTTGTGTATCCTTAGTGCTGGTCTGATCGGTGCGAGTTTGTCGGCCGGCATCGCCAGCGCCACGACCTCCGCCGCGGGTGCGAGGCTTAGCACGTCGTTCGCCATCGCCGGTATTTCGTTGAGAGTCTCCACGACCGGCGGGAGCTGCCCCTCCGCGGCCGCGGCGACGCCCGCCACGACCCTGGCTGGCTGAATCTTGGGGAGGGGCCTGGTTGTCGGCCATTGCGGGGAGGGCGAGGGATGACACGGTAGGAGGGAGGTTCGGATCTGCGTCACTTGCAGGTAGGCTGGAGCTGTGCTCTGGGGTTGGTGGATTGTAGTAGGGGGGAAGAAAGCCAGAGTAGAGAAAAAAGGTGAGCGGCTGACTGATCCCGCATGCCGCATTCCAAGGATGAGAGATGAGGGTCACTGACCATTTCCTTTTGACTCTTCACTAAATATGCGAGTTTGCTTATTTCTATGCTCTTTGACAATGGTATTGGCCTATACTAAGGTTATTGGACACAATCACCTGACACACATAATTTCTGATGGGCTGCAGCTTCGAGGCACGTCGCACTTCGCTCTTATTGACTTTGCACTACAGTTTACAGCGCTATTGAGGGTCATTGACTTCCAGACTCCAGTAATAGCCGCCATGGGGAGGTGATATAGTTGTTGATATGCCTCAACATTACGGCTAGATGCAGATATCAAAAGGGGGAGCATAGGGGAGTTCAGAAGTTACTGCCTCAGATCTCTTATAGAGGCCGATGACATGCTTTCCAACAAGTCTCGATCGGCGCAAAAAACGCTTTTAATTACCAACTACCCATATTATATCACATTTCAATTGCGCAATTTCGTTCCATCAAGTTATAGGAGTTCAAAAGGCGACACTGGCGAAAAGCAGAGCTCCGGAGACGAGCATCGCACCGAACGCAGGGACCACAGAGCTGGCGCCACCATCTTTGTCGTCTGCAACTACAAGTTGACAATTAGCCGGCTGTCTTCACGCAAGACTAGACTGGAGCAAGAGGCACGACAAATGCTTACCTTCCTCGGTGCACTGGCTGGCAAGATCAGTAAATCGTTCCGAGAACGCCATGACCTTGTCGAAAGCGTCCGTCAGTTCCTCGGCGCTGCAGTTATCTGTAACACATGAAGACAGGCTGTCGGCCGCGGCACTGAGGTCACTTGTCGATTTGCTGACACCACAGAGACATTTCACGGAGGCTTGGTCTGAGCTTCCGCACTGGTCATCGAGACCCACGTCGTTGTAGAAGTCGTTCGTGCATTTCTTCAGGCATTGGGGGGCGTCGCCCACTACGTCGTTCCAGCTACTGAAGTCGGCGACGGCGACGGAGGCGAGGCCCAAGACGGCAAGAGGGAAGAAGCGCATGATGAAGTCTGGGGGGATACAGAAAGAGTGTCAAAATGGTGGAGTTTGGAGAAAACCTATACGGAGCTAGGTGGACATGGCTGCGGTCCAGTCCTGGCTTATATACTTCTTCAATTTCCCAATTTCCGTCTTCCTGTGTAGAAAAGTCTCCTTTGGGTGGAGTAACGCTTACGCCCGCCTCAACTTGTCCACGAGAGGAAGTGCCAAGGGACGATAATCGCCTGGCGGGAATTATGATCCAGTCAAAGAAGCGCTGAGGTAGGGTATATACGAGGCTGAATGCTCCTTGACAACGAGTCTCATTTCAGACGCGGGTGGTCGGATGTTGGGCAAAACTATCAGAGACGATCGACAGACTGCGAAGCTTCAACGTCCTTTGTATGGATGGTGAGACGATAGCTACTTCCCTAATTTCCTGGTGCGCTGTAATTTTCGGCCACCAAACCCTTTTCCAGTCCCACTCAGCGAGTTACAGCCACCCAAATACGAACCCCTTATTGGCATACTCTTGGCAAGGCATTTGTGGTGAATTGGTGTGGATAAAACCTCGTATTTGACACAGGCAGATCATACAGGCTCTGCTTAACCTTGCCTTTCGTGATCATTGGCCGAGAGCCTCAACACGTAGACCTGGGGTCTGGACTCTGGGGATAACTCGGAGACGAATACGAAGAGGCCGCTTAGGACGACAAAGTACTAAGAATGCACAGTGTACGGAGTACTTCGGTCCCTTAAGATCCTCTACCTAATATACAGGGCTTGGCTCCAGAGTTCAGGGCATGGCATGGCCACATTGCTATGAGAGCAAAGTCCTCCAGCCGTATACTCATAGGTCTGCAGGGATAGCATGGCAGCAGAGCCCAGAGAGCTATCAATACTCATGCTGTTGTATGATATACATGACTTGGCCTATGCACATACATCGAGGGCTGTTACCATCTAAAGAGATCACCTTGTAGGTATTCAATTCAAGGACATCGAGAATGTAAAAAATATGTGGGAGGCTAACCAATCCCCGTTGGAGAGCAAAAGCAAGTCAAGAACAAAAGGATATGGTGGAAGGAAAAATGAAAAATGCTCAAAACCCACGCTAGCATCCCCATGCATCGCAAAAGAAAGTACCATGAAAGACCAAGGAGAATCGTTACAAACAGGACTTACGTAGGAGCCTGTTCCTCCATAATGATCGAAGCCCATCTGTCACCAGATCCACTATTCATCGACGTTGTACAGATTCTGGTTGAGGATCTTCGTCATAGTAAACATCTGGACTCGGTCCTGCTTGAAGACGGCGCGCATGGCATCGTCGCATCGGATTTGTCGGCGGTCACTAGGATCCTGAAGCTCATGCTCGCGAATGTACGCCCACACCCTTTTGACGGCTTGGGGTCGCGAAAGCTGGGCGAAAATCAGCAGGGTACAATCACCAATACAAGCAGGGCAAGTAACTCACCGTGGTTTCACCCAGGAGCGCGGCCAAAGGTTCAGAGAGATTGTAAGGTTTCTGTAGAGAAATTAGCATGGCTCAAGAGCTTGCGAAGAAAGACATCGGAGACATACGTGGAATCCAGTATTTCGGTTGACCACTCTCTTTGTCTCTTCGCCTGATCCGATATCTGAATCGTCTTCTGCCTTGACCCTCTTCGAAGTCTTGGGCTTGCTCTTCTTAATGACAGTTCCACGTCGCGAAACACCACCCCCTCGAGTGGGTCGCGCGCGCGAATTTTCCTCGGCTTGCAGCTTGGCTGCGAACGCCGCATCCGCGTCGGTATCTGTCTCGACCTTCGGTTTCTTGGCAGGCGGCAACGCGGTTCGGGGCTCGGGACTGGGGTCGCTTGAAGCCTGGCGCTTCACGGGAGATGACGAGTGAGGTGGAGACGGCGCTGCAGCTGAATCGCCGTCTTGCTGACCGTTGTTCGAGCCAGTGTCCTCGGGCGACTCGCCCACACCCTTCTCTGCGGCGTAACGATCGAATCGTTCCATAATCAGCTGCTTGAGGAGAGGCTTTACAAGAGTCAGAAACGGGTTTTTTTTGCCAGTGATGATACCAAATAGCTTTGAGCTATTCTTGCGCGACAAAGAGTGTTTGGCTGACCTTCTGTGGAGTGAGGTCATAGCCGACGGCATCCTGGAGGCCTTTGCGAATCCGCTTCTCTGAGATGGTAGTGAGGTCGCTTTTGGATAGAATGTCGTCTATAATACCAATATACTTGTCGCGAACACCAGGGGCCACTATTGCGCAAGGTCAACAACAAGTTTGAGGCCATTTGGAGAACCGGCAGTTAGCGCCGGGGCAACGCCGAGGTAGCTTACACGACATCTTGTAGGTAGTAGATAACGGAGATAGGGTGCTTATAGTTGCAAGTGCGAGCTGAACTGAGACCTGAGGTATCCAATTGAGGAAGTCGTGTAGTGTGTAGATAGTGTGGTGGCCGAGGGAGAGCTCGGAGTTGTCAGGTGGGCTATACTGAAGTCGCACTGGCGCTTAAGACTGGCGGGGCATTGAAGAAGAAGGCCAAGTGAGATGAAGGGGAGGGAGGGATATAAGTATGAATAGAATATCAGACAAAGTTTTAATGAGATAAAGAGCTCACAGCAAGGTATTTGATATGAAAGAAAAAGTGAATCCAATTGAGAGCGTCTACAACTGTTCATCATGATTGACGAAGCTGGGGAAGCTGTGACTAAGCATCCCAGTCACATGATATTAAACGCCTTGACACCTGAGGCCTCAACCAAAATCGTGAAGCTGACTCAGTGCTGAGTCAGTCCGCACAAAGAACCCGCTTGGCCGCCGCGATTTGTTTCTGCCCGAAAATCCATCAGCGGACTGCACCGATCTAATTTTGCTCCGAAACCTTTAGACGCCTTCGATATACCCATCATGGCGCCCAGTTTCGATACCCTGTCCGAGCAGGACCTCCACGAGGAAGAGGAGGAGGAGATTGATTTCTCCGGTGAGTACAAAGATTTCTCGTGGTCTGTGTGCCCCTCTCTCTGACATTCGAGCCCACAGATCTCAAGGAGCAATATGAAGTGAAGGTCGAGGAGGGACTGGATACATTCATCGTCATCGATGGCCTCCCCGTTGTGCCCGAAGATAGCCGACAAAAGCTCGTCAAGTTCTTATTGAGAAAACTCAACTCCGTCGGCAGCACCTCCGAAGATGCGGTTTTCATGCCCGTTAATGACAAGAAGATGACCGAAGGGTGCGTACCGGCATACTTTACAGAGCGACGGGGGAATTGTGGATGGTCTCTAACTTTTGTTGGGAGGATATAGGTTCGCCTTTGTGGAATACGAAACCCCGGAGCAGGCAGTCGCGGCCGTCAAGCAGCTGCACGGTGTCCCCCTTGATAAGAAGCACATTATGGCCGTGAACAAGTTGATGGATATCGAACGTTATGGTCGCGAAGGTCGCATCGATGAAGAATACAAGCCACCCGCCCTGGAACCGTTCAAGGAGAAGCCGCACCTGCGCTCGTGGATGGGAGATGCCAACGCCCGCGACCAATTCGCCCTCTACCGCGGTGACAATGTCGGTGTTTTCTGGAATAACAAGTCGAACCCGCCTGAGAATGTTGTGGAACGCCCTCACTGGACACAACTTTTTGTCCAATGGTCCCCCAAGGGTACCTTCCTTGCCTCCGTCCACCCCCAGGGTGTCCAACTTTGGGGTGGCGAGACATTCACGAAGCAAAAGCAGTTCCCCCACCCCTTTGTGCAGTTGATTGAGTTCTCTCCTCTGGAGGGCTATTTGACAACGTGGTCCGCACGCCCTATCCAGGTTGAAGAAGGTCAGCCGGTCTTGACCTACGAGGAGGACGGAAAGAACATCATTGTCTGGGATATCGAGACTGGAAAGCCCCTCCGTTCATTCGTCTCCCACGATTTGGCTGCGCCTGTCGAGATCGACGGCGAGGTTGCGCCCAAGAAGAAGGTCCAATGGCCCGCTTTCAAGTGGTCCGCGGATGAGAAATACGTTGCTCGTATGCTCCAGGGCCAGTCTCTCTCTATTTACGAACTCCCCAACATGAACCTTCTTGGACGTACCTCGGTGAAAATTGAGGGCGCTATGGACTTTGAGTGGTCACCTGCCACCGTCACCCGCGAGGGTATCAAACAGTACGAGCAATTGCTCTGCTTCTGGACTCCTGAGATTGGCAGCAACCCCGCCCGTGTCGGTATGATGAGCGTGCCCTCAAAGGAGGTTGTTCGTACCCGCAATCTGTTCAACGTCTCTGACGTCAAGCTGCACTGGCAATCACAGGGTGCCTATGTCTGCGTCAAGGTCGACCGTCACTCTAAGTCAAAGAAGTCCCTGGCCACCAACTTGGAGATCTTCCGCGTTCGCGAGAAGGGTGTGCCTGTCGAGGTTGTTGACAGCCTTAAGGAGACCGTGATTAACTTCGCTTGGGAGCCCAATGGATCACGATTCGTCGTTATCGCCAACGGTGAAGCACCAACTGGTGCCGCCGTCCTCCCTAAGACCTCCGTCTCCTTCTTCGCACCTGAGAAGAAGGGCCACACCACCGGTAACTTCAAGCTGGTGCGCACTATTGAGAAGAAGACCAGCAACGGCATCTACTGGTCGCCGAAGGGCCGTTTCGTCGTTGTTGCCACGGTTCACTCCCAGACCAACTTCGACCTCGACTTCTGGGACATGGACTTCGAGGGTGAGAAGAATGAGGCTGAGAAGGATCTCGCTGCCAATCTTCAGCTCATGAAGACCGTCGAGCACTACGGTGTTACCGATGTTGACTGGGATTCCACTGGTCGTTACGTTGTCTCCAGCGCCAGTGTATGGACTCACTCAGTAAGTTTTGATCTAGTTTTATTTTCAATATTGAACCATATGCTAATACCCACGATAGATGGAGAACGGCTGGAACATGCACACCTTCTCCGGCCAGACCCTCTCCGAGAACCCCACCGAAAAGTTCAAGCAGTTCCTCTGGCGCCCGCGCCCTGCCACTCTCCTCAGCAAGGAGGAGCAGAAGCAAGTGCGCAAGAACCTCCGCGAGTACTCAAAGGAATTCGACGAGGAAGACAAGTACGCTGTCGACATCGCCAACACCGCCGTTGTCGAGACCCGCAAGCGCGTGCTCAGCGAGTGGGTTGCCTGGATCCGTCGGGAGAAGGAGCTCCTGGTCGAAGAGAAGGAAGCCTTCAGCCTCCCCGAGGACGCAGATACACCCAAGGCCGCCCGCGACGCCCGCCCAGATATCGAAGGCCAGGGCGACTCCGTGGTGGAAGAGATGGTCGAGGAAATTATCGAGGAGACCGAGGAGGTCATTGGCTGATGAATCTATCTTTTCTTTTTTTCGCAAATAATGTGTTTCCCTTTGTTCCTCTTTTTCCCCCTGTTTCTCTGCTGGCGTTTCGCGCTTCTGCCTGAACCCAGCCTTCTGTCCCCCTTGTGTTTCTTATAGGTCCCTGGGCGAGCCCAGTAAGGATCGGGACATTCCAAAAATCAATAGATCGAGCGGTGCGCCTCCCGATGAAATGTGCAATGTGGATAAGCATGAGAGATGGCTACGAAACCAGTTCCTAGCATTCAACCTTGTATGGCTGTATTATTTCATTAAAAAGAGCATTAACTATAGAACCAACACAAAAGCCACAAGACTCATAACTCAAGCGTAAAGCACCGTCCCAATACACACAGCACCCAACGCTACCAGCATCATCCCAAACGGCGAGTCCAGCCCAAACCGCTTAGCACCTCCAGTAGACTCACTCAGACTCCCCATAGCACTAGACGTCGCAGCACTCGTCGCAGGCGACATCTGCGACAAGGACGTAATAGAAGCCGCCTCGGCAGACGACAACGACAACGTCGTCGTCAACGCAGCCCCCAACACCTCAGAACCAATCGACGGCAAGACATTCCTCCTGAAATAGAGATTATTCTGCCCAACCACATTCCCAGGAGGCGAATACTCGCAAACGACATACCACCCCTGAGCCCGAAGCTCAGCCCGCTTAACCAAGCCCCCATCTCCGCCATCTTCGTCGTCGGCAAAGCGAGGCGTAGTCACCGTCCCTTCCGGGACATGATCATCTACTGGCACATCTCGTTTGCCATTCGAATTTGAATACCCACAGTTAACAGCAGCACAACCAACCTGCGTCGTCGCCCTCCACACCAGCTGCGTGAAATGACCTGTTTCCTCGCTGAACCCAGTCGGCAAGGAAAAGTCGTACTTGGTGCGTTCTTCGCCCCAGGCTATGACGGCTGCTGAGGCGTTTGCGAATCCGTATGCGAGATTCTCGCCGTAGGGCCCGTGCTGGACTGATATTAGCATGCTTTCTTGGGGGTATTGCCTTTCCTTTTGGGGTTTCATTTTCTTGTTCGGGGTATGTGATACATACCGAGTGTTGCCAGACACAGCTCTCTGCCCAGTTACGCGAGTAATCGGCCAAAGTATTGTTCCATGTTAGCGGACTGGCTTGGTGCCAGGCGCGGTACTGATTCGTCACTCGCAGTACGCTGTCTTGGAACTCGCTGGCGGAAGTGTAGGATGGCGAGAGTGGAACTGTCTGTGTTGGTGCGGGTAGTGTTACCGTGATCCAGACGGTTTCGACGGCGGTCGTGGGTAGGGTTTGTGTAGCGAGGAGGAGGATGGCTACCTGTAGCCATCTTTTGGTTGGGTTGTTGGTTTGGGGCATTTTGAGTGTGGTCTGGGGGTTGTTGGTTTTGGTTTTGAAGGTGTAGACAAGGTGGTTATAGTAGGATGAAACTTGTTATTGCATGGTGAGGGAAGATTGGGATTGTGCTGCTGGATGATGGATCATTCCCCAGGAGCAGAAGGCTCCGATTCCCAATTAGGAGGGTGTTGCAAGGTGTGACGATTGTCCTTTGAAAAGTCTGGTGATGCAATAGTCTCCGGTATTGTTCGGATGGTTATTGTCTTGGCTTAGGCAGTCACTGATACTTATTGTTGTGTATAGACTTTTGTACCTGATATAGGATCAATGGCACAATGGGGGTATCTAGGCAAGCAACCGTCAGACTGACTATTCTTCACACTTATCGAGGGACTTACTCAACGCCGGAATGATCGGCCATGAAGAAGGTTCCTGAGGAACCAGAGACAAACAAAGTCAAAGTCATCTTGACCATGTTTGAGAGTGCAACTTGGCTGGGAAGCTGTTGAGTCGGAAAGTCAGGATGTCCGTTTCAGGTACAAGGTTCGCGTTCCAGCAACCGCCGGCGTTGACGTCAGGCGGTTAGGGCTACGGATTTCGGTAACAAATAGAACGACAAGCCAACAATAACTCTTATTCTAGAACCTCTGGGTAAATAATGGAGTCGAATGTATGGAACCTCGAGTTTCGTCTCGTCTAGGTATCTTTGTCGTTTCAGTAGCTCTAGGCCTGAATCAGACAATGGGACTCTTCATTGTTCATACTTGATGCTACTGATGTGATTCCACGAGACAATACGCATGTTGTACTGTATTTATACATCACTCGCTATGCAAGTCATGGGGGTATCCGTATCCAAAGTTTACATCACATTGCAGCCAATGCCATACATAGCTCGTTCCACATCTCGCCTGACCTGGTACCAATCAGCCCGACGTTCCGCGAATTCAATGACCTCCTCCACACGCCAGATCCCATGGAACCGATCCGCATCGGCGATGACATTCGCCAGCTCCTTGGCGTGGCTAGGATCGATCAGGTATATCTGCACAAGCTCGCGGAACGCCGTAAAGTAAAGGAGGAGCTCGTTGTTCCGCAGTGTCTGGATATACTTGAAGTAGTGATTCATATCGCTGAGTCGAATTTAGTACAGTAAAAAGGACTGGAGGAGCTGAGAACATCAGTACGTACCTGATCAGCTTGAGAGATCCCTCCACGCTGACACGTTGACGCTTGAGGTGTTTACATAAAGCCGTGAAGAGGCGCAGTCCAACTTCTTGGTTGAAGACATCTAGTGTACTCTTGTCGGTGCTGCCGACTAGCATCTGGGTGTGTGATGAAACCACGTCGACGACAGCGATGGCCACTTCGCTGACACCTACGTCCATGGTATGTCGGTGAGGATCCGAGGAGACACCAGGGTTGAAGTCGGTGGCTAGTTGTCGGGTTGCAAGGATGTAGTCCACCTCTTCCATGAGGACATCGATGCCCTTGTTCAGTCCGGCAGCGACACGTTCATCGAGCATCTGTTCGAACTTTTTCTTCTCTTTATTGGCAGGATCCAAGAAATCATTCCTATCAGTCAATCTCATGCCGATCAACTCCTGCTCGTAGAACACATCCATCATCTGCAGAATCAGATCGCCGACATTGACTAGTTCGAGGAAAGTGACCAGGGGCTCAACCCCAGATTGGTCACGTTCTCCTTGTTCGCGAGGTCGGTAATCCGATAGATGGCTAACGGCCTTGTCGAATCCGACGATGACATGCTGGTGTCCCAATATTCGCAGCAAGGTCACGAAAATTGCCTCGCATTGTCGCTTCGCAGCAAGCCCGAATTCGCCCCCGAGTCGGACAAATTGAGCAGCTCTTTCCAAGCTGGACTTGGCGGAATGGACTAGACCAAGTGCAATTTCGATACTAAACAGTGAGCGGATGCCCTCCATCTTGGACTTCATGATAGCCGCTTTTGCTGCCAGCTCTGTCGTTGGGACTTCTTCGACTGGCACTGGGGCTGGTGCTATTGTCGAGAATCTATTGGGGCTCTTGGGTGGGTGAAACGGGTTACCACTGTCGGCTTCCGTCTCAACTTTGGCCTCTCCGTTTGATTTGGCACTGGAAAAGCTTGGTAAAATGTTTACCGGCATCATGATCACTTTCTTGAAGGAAGTGAGGAAGTCGCGTTTGTCGGCTTGGCGGTTGACATTTGACATCAAGAAGGACTCTGTCGAGGCCGCTTGTTCGGAGAGGTGGCGGTCCCACTCACTCACTGTAGTTTCACAGGCCTTCTTGAAGAAGTCAAGCTCTTCTGCCAGATATAGATCAATGTGTGGCTCATAAATCTTGATCACAACATTATCCAGATATTCATCGTACTTGGCATCGGAGCTTCGTACGGGCAGCAAAGCCTCCGAGAGATTCATGCATTGAACGAATGTTCCCGAGATTGCGGTGAGATACGACTCGGTGCTGACGCGGTGCAGCTCGTCGAAAATCGCGGTGAGGAAAGGGTACAGCACATCCTGGCCGACTTTTGACATGAAGCTTGATGTAACGTCCAAGGCTGAGGGGAAAACGCGGTTCATAATAGAGATCTCATCATTAAAGGCGACACTGAGGCGTGTGAAAAAGGCCTGTGTCTGCTCCATCTTGAGCTGGCCTGTCGATCCATCAATACAGGCCGCAACGCTTCCTAGCTCGGACTTGCGAGTCACCAGGTGATTGTGATGGATAAAGAGGTCCACGGCAGCTTGTCCGCCATTGAGTGTCCACAAAATATGGCCGTATCTGCGCATGGTCCCGTCGATGTCGTCTGTTTCGTAGCCTTGACGGAACTCTTTCAACGCTGCTGTCTCAAACATCGAAACGGTGCGCTCTAAGCGATCCACTCGCTCATCCCACCCTGGTGTCATGTCAGATTTAGAAAATGCCAGCAACTGAGCCAGTAACTGTGCTTGAGCCTGTGGATGCTTGTATTTCGTGAACACAAGGTTTTCCAGTGATGGTCCAGAGCGCGCGATGTCTTCGTAAAATGGCATTAATGCCGCATGTATCTTGCCATACTCCTGACGCGCCTCGCCGCGAATTGACCTGGCCTGTTTCAAAATAACCAGGACAGGGTCGTCCACGATATCTTGAATGGTATCAGGTTGCGATACCGTGCCCAATAATTCAATTTTGTCGAATCCATCAGATAACTCTTTCAATCCATTCGAGGTCTCGTCGTTCACGGTGACCGCAGGTACTGTTCCATCGCCCGTCTCAGCCTCCTCTTGTTGCTCGACCGCCTCCATATTGGCCACAGTTCCAAACATCAACTCAGCATGCTTTCTCGCGTCCGCTTCGTCCCAGCACCCAATTCGTTTTAATTTGTGTACCCATCGTGTGTCGTCATAAGCCATCTCATGCATGAGCTTGCAGGATCGTGCTGCTCGGATCAGATCAACGGGGCCAACGTGGTCGAGGATGGAGGATACAATCTCTATTTGCTCTCTTGTCAGTATATGGGTCTCCCATCACAGGTCTTCATCTCACGCACCTGCTGGAAGGGCAGCTCTCGAGATGTCTTCCATTGATGCCATGCGCAGCGAAGCCAGCACATCTCTGCGCGGCTGCACTGTGGCCGTAGGCCCTTTTTTTTGCTGACATCTTATATTCTTGAACTCTTCATCGAAAATAAGAGTACTCGTGGGTCGCCTATAGTTTTGAGGCAACCCCGGACGCGCTTCAAGCTGTCCTGTGGGGTTCTGGAGAGTGGTGCGGTCTCAGTATCGAGCAGACACAAGGTCTTCGGGGTCAATCTGATTTCGAAATCTCATGTAAACATCTTCATCCAATCACTTCTGAGCTTTTCAACTGCAACACGAGAACCACACTCCCATCCACGATCCCCGCGCACGGACAGGGTCCAGGGCCGCCCACAAGCCGGCAGAATGTACACCGCTCTCCCACATGCATCTGTCTTAATCCGTACCTCTCAAGCTATGGATCTGCTCAATTGGGAAGAAAATAGTGAATCTGAATATGTTTTACCCTCATAAGTCCTTGAATGTGATGCTTGGATATCTCGGTAGAGAGTGGGAATAGTTTGAGCGGGAAGAACCCTAGGTAGTGCTCGTTTGATCCATACTTGTAGTAGTCAAATATATACCTCTGCATGCGGAATTCCACACTCAACATTGACGGATTTCTCAATTGCACTTAAATGGAGCCAATGGAGTTCTACAGATAACTTGCACACATTTGAACTTCTTTTCACAATACAATTTCACGTCGTAGATCATCGCCGTAGTGATAGGCAGCTACCAAGATGTAGGTTCAACAAGTATAAACGAGAGAGGAGAAGCCGAGGCCCTCACCAGCAGTCCTCCATATGGAATGTATTAGACTTGGAAGAACAGATTGGTGTATGGATATAGTCAGTACCTAAGTAGTATCTATCAATATAGTTCGTAGTTTACCAGCTAACTTGTTATATCGCCGTTCAGTGTTAAGAATACTGTTGTTCCGGTGATGCGTGGTTTTCTCGGTGAATCCCGGGATGCGCACAACCGAAGCAAAAACCATGAACAAAGGACGTGAAGAAAGAGGGAAGCTATAGATATAATAGCTGGTCTATTGAAATATAATAAAAACACACAATTTATATAGATCGCCCATTGCCTGTCAGTAGAATTGGTGGTGTCTCCGAGAGTCGGGTTGCTAGCGTGGCCGGGAGCCAATCAGAGCAAGGGGGTAATCATCAATGTCAAGTTTCTTCGACTTCGACCTCAACTTCCAGCACCTCTCTCCTGTACCATCCCACCTCTTCTCTCCCCCCCCCACCCACCCCCTCTCGCTTTGGCGATACAGCATAAGGTCCCGTCCATTTTCAATTGCTTGGAGGGTTAAAATTCGTCATGCTGGGACGTTCGATTTTGCGCGCGTCCAACAGGGCCACTGCCAGCCAGACCCTCGGGAAGTCCACGGTACGCCTTCACCCCCATTGGCCTATACGGAAAAGGACAATCGACTCTCTGAGCCTCCGTTGGGTTACCGAAGGGCTTCTTTGCTAATATTCACCAGCGTGCCTCTTCCACCTTCCCCGGAGCCGGGGCCGCTAGCTCCCCCTTCTACCTCACACTCACTGCTACGCTCGCAACCGCCGCCGCTGCCGGTTCCACCGCATGGTACTACCACCTTTACGGCCAGGAGGCCTTCGCCATGACACCCGCTGAGGAGGGGTGAGTGAACCACCCCAGGAGGATCGCCGAACTTGTGGCTTCGGCGCACCGAGCCGAGGATTGTGCGATCAAATTGAGAACAATGGTTGAAGCTAACGATCAATCTTATTTAGACTTCACGCCACTCACTACCCCTGGGTTCACGAGCGCTTCAACAAGACTTTCGATCACGCCGCGTGAGTGACTCCTCCTAGAGTCACATTTTTGCTCTCACCACACATCATACTAATTTAATCGCAGTCTCCGCCGTGGTTTCCAGGTCTACCGTGAAGTTTGCGCTTCCTGCCACTCCCTCACCCGTGTCCCATGGCGCTCATTCGTCGGTGTTATGCACACCGTCGATGAGATGAAGGCTTTCGCCGAGGAGAATGAATACGACACCGAGCCCAACAACGAGGGCAACATCGAGAAGCGCCCCGGCAAGCTTTCCGATTACATCCCCGCTCCCTACCCCAACGAGGAGGCTGCCCGTGCTGCCAACGGTGGTGCTCTTCCTCCCGATCTCAGCTTGATCGTCAAGGGCCGTCACGGTGGCTGCAACTACATCTTCAACCTGCTCACCGGTTACCCCGATGAGCCCCCTGCTGGTGCCGCCGTCGCCGAGGGCATGAACTTCAACCCCTACTTCCCCGGTACCGGTATGTAACGACTGACTGGCATTGTCGATGTTAAGCACCTCTAACTGTGCGATAGGTATTGCTATGGGCCGTGTCCTGTTCGACGGTGTCGTCGAGTACGAGGACGGCACCCCCGCCACCACTTCCCAGATGGCCAAGGACGTTGTCGAGTTCCTGAACTGGGCCGCTGAGCCCGAGATGGATGAGCGCAAGAAGATGGGTACCAAGGCTGTTGTTCTCCTGACCGGTCTGTTCGCCATCTCCGTCTGGGTCAAGCGCTACAAGTGGGCCCCTCTCAAGACCCGGAAGATCGTGTACAGCCCCCCTATCGGCCCCCGCCGTTAAATGTTACAGCACCTTTGTTTTGAGTGGGAAAATGTGAGAGGCCATTGAGGCCGGTAGGACTCGGGGAACCAATACCACATCCCCGGTCTCGATGCTGGTACCTCATGAGAAGCCTCTCTTTTTCGTCATTTTCATGTGTCTATCTATTGGTCGCTGTTTCTCTGTTTTGTTAGAACGCTCCCCGAACACCTGTATCTGTATCCTAGATATACTCTTTTTTTCATTTCCTTTCGAAAACTGTGTGCTCGAGGAGTCCTCTGAATTTAATTTCTTTTGTGATTATGAGACGAGATCTTCCGGCCACTCTTGGGAAGACTGCATGCGGGCTATGTCATTGGCATAGGATATGGATCATATGGTTCTCGGCAACGAGACAACGAGACGAGTAGTACACAGCGACCGTATATTGATCTAGTCTATGTGCAAATAACTACAATGTATATAGCACAAACCGGTTATCACTGTACACACTGTACATAGCAGCCTGGAAACAAACCTCAGGCCGGGGTATCATCCAGAGTCCGCTCGCCATCCCCAAAGACCCTAGCGAAAAAGCCATCATAGCTTTTCCACAGCCCCGAGAACATAACATTAGCCAAAACCACCACCCACGGCGGACTACGACCATCAGGACCAGCGAAGATCCTCCCTAAAGCCATCGTCGTAAGAATTCCCGGAGCCCACATAACCAAGAAAATCACCTTCCCAATCTTCTGCCGCGTAGTCGTAATATGGAAAGTCCCAATCTGCGCCAGATATTCCTGATAAGAGATCGGCAGATTATGTTCCGCAGCACCAGTCTTAATCAACCCAAGATACCTGGCAGACGGCTGCGCATACTCAGGATCCGGCCGGAAATGCAAGCAAATAGTATGCCACCACTTCAGCTTGGGACCAGTCGATGGCAGCACAATACCCTTCTTTGATTGCGATCTCAGTCGCGCATCATCCGCAGCCGGCGAGAGTAACGTGTGTGCTTTGAAGGCGGGTGTATCGGGGTAATCGGGGACGGGCGCGGAGGGGTCGTAATTTTCAGGAAAGGGGTGACAGTCGATGACGCCGTCGCGGTAGCCACGGCCACCGCCTTCTGTCGCGATGATCTTCGCGTAGTCGGCTAATGTTACCTCGTAGACGACGCCGACGAGAGGTTTATGCCATCGGCGCTTGTCGCTCTCGAGTGGTGCTTCTGTCTTGCTGATCAGCGTCGCTTTTTCTGATAGGTATTCGGTGTCTGAGGTGTCCGTTTCATCTTCGATATCGGTATTGGATGTGGATGCGGCAGTGGAAGGGACGTCTTTGTATTGCGTGCCGGCGAAACAGGGCTCTGCATAGGGTATCCCTGGCAGATCGAAGGTGAGTCTGAGTTCGGGGACGAAGACGCAGATCTGCGAGATGGGTCTGATGCCGCGGACTCCGCGGAAGGTCTTGGATGCTAGATTCGAGCCGTAGGCTAGGTATAGAACTGTTTCCTCTTTGGCGCCTGTGTCTGACACTGCTATCCCGTGTTCTTGTTGTGTAGAGATCTTCTCTTGGAGGGTTTCATCTTGATCGAGGGAAGCGGCGAAGCTGGATGCGCGACGGCGGCGGACATTCGTTGTGGGGATTGGAGTGGTATCGATTTCGGCTGGCTTGGCTAGAGGGCCCAGGAGAAGGTTTTTAAGCCGGTCTAGAGATTGGGTTGCGCTGAACCAGAATCTAGTGGGCGCTTGTTCCTCAGGCGCGGATTGTATCATGTTGGAGAGTGATCGCGCAATATTGGAGGTGGTTGATGCAAGCTCTGGCTAACTACTGCCTATGGAATTAGGCGCGGACCTGCATGGCTTATAAAAGGCTTATCTCCGCGGTTCGGACGAATCAATTCGGCGAACCAGATCGAATCTTGGAATGGTGGAGATTACCAAGATTATTAATCACGGAGTCCGGGTCAATTGCACGGCCGGCGAGCTTGAAATGAGGCTGTAGTTCTTCAATCAACAAACATGAGTGCCCTACCAGTCCCGCAAGACATTGGGTACCCCCTTGATCCAGACTCCAGAGACGTTCTGGGAATCCGTCGACCTATTCGAAGCGGAGAACCAGACAGAGAGGAGGATAAACGCCCGCATAACCCTTGTACGGCTGTCATGGACAAAGCTGAGGGCGATTGACGAGGCCCTATGGGAAGATTTTTGTGATGAGTTTGATGGATGGACCGAGGGCACTCATGTTTGTTGATTGAGATGGAAACGGTGAGGTTGAATTAGGAAAAAAATTTGAGCAGTATGGGGGAGACCTATATGATGACCTCAAAACGAAGCTGCTCGATTTTTAGGGGTCGTCATACAGGTCTCCCCCATACTGCTCGTTAGCCTTGGTGTAATGCCTTGCGATTGAGTCGAGCATCTTGGGCGAGAATGACCAGATACTAGGGACCTAGGTAGGATATCTGCATAGACAACAACTTACAAGACCTGTCTCGGATTCATCTATAAACCAATTATACAAAAGGAGCGATTGATATGTACTGGGCCATAGCAGAACACCGTTCGACTCCGTAGATAAGGTATCATGTGATTCTAAGTTCAGCACTAATTCAGCGAGCCATGGACGGATTCCGTCAAGGCACAACCTCAGAGACTCCCTTCGAGTCTGATCCAGCTTCATGTTCTGATTCAGCTGTATGGTTGCAACCATGAATCCAGCACGGGTATCATCTGCATCAGTCAATGCAGAGACGGGGAGGAAGACCACCGTAAAAGATGGAGGGACATTGGAACACGGTCTCGAGGACTCCAGTCGCCAAAAGCCACAACCCGCTCCATCACAGCCTGTGGAGTCGAAGATCGTCCGATTGAAGCTCACCATGCCAAGGCCACCAAAGTCTAAGACCCAAGAAGTGGATTGGGACGAAGATCTTCGGCCCACACCCAATGAGTTACTTGAGAGCAAACAAGCTCAGGGAAGAACATCGGCTGCCGATACGGCTTCGAAACACCCAAAGACCGTTGACAAGAACAAGGGAAGCAAGCGAGCCATGCCACCCAAGGCACGAACAACCTCAGCCAAACGAAGGAAGTCAAATAACACGAGGAAGAGCAACACTGCCAAGACAAGGAGAACAAAAGGGCTGCAGTTGCCATTGGTCACACTTGCTGCAAGCACTGTGCCTACGGCTCCTCTGGCCGATGATGGGTCCTCTCGTGTGGAAAACTTGGATGAGCGCAGCAAAGATAATGCCACGAAAGGGAATAAGCGCGCGTGTGATGTCTCTAAGCAACCTTTGTCACCAACAGATGGGAATGGTCGGAAGGTAAAAGACACTGGGAACCATGCGATAGTAAAGAAGAGTAGCTGCACATCGGTGACAACTGGTTCATCTTCGGATCTCGAGACTGATGGCAAAGTCAGTATCCTGCAGCACCGGGCTCAATCCAACAGACAACCGAACATGGGCACATCTGCTAGTGTGATGCCTGACGTATCCTCGAGTTCCGACGGCATTTTCACGGAAACAAGTCGAACAGCGGCGACTTCAAAGCTCACAATCAGGGAGTCAAGGGCACTAACCAAGAGAGGACGCAAAGAGGCCAAGGCCATTCATAGAAACAGACATCCCGGGAAACGCGGTAGAGCAGAGAGTGTTGGCGGCAAATTGATGCTTGCGCTACATGGAGCAGAAATTGCTTCTCAGCAAAAGCCGGACAATAAACAAGCTGAGCTTTTCATCATCTCGTCTGATCCAGTACCGCCCGAGGATTCTCCCAAGAAGCAAGAGCCTGACCAGGCGCCGAACAGCATGAGGCAGTCAAAGATTGAACGAGAACTAGACCGAACAATGCCAGTTGAAACACATCAACACCGTGCTGAGCCTGAAACAGTCAATCCAGCACTACTTCACAAGGCGCTCTCACCCAAGATGCAGGACATGAACCGGACACATGAAACCAATCTCTTGGATTCGGATCAGACCAAGAGATCCCCTACACATTGTTCTTCAGACTATGAGATCGGCAGAAGCCTGATAGACACCGGCCCTTCGATCCTCGACTACCACTTGGAAATGGAAAACATCTCCGGATTTGCAGCCCTGCAACCCCTCAGATCTGAGCCGACTACGCCTTCACACGTCAGTAACATCTGCGAAAGCCCGGCAAATAGCTCGTCCGGAAGCCCGAATGTAGAAAATTTGGCTGATTTCGCAACATCACGGATCGAGGAACGTGAATGTAGCCACACTTCGGAGTCTCAAAAGCCTCTTCTTCGTAACGACGCCCTGATAGAACTCATTTTAGAGTCTCCTCAGCCTCCAAAATCAGGCTTGAAGACCAGCATCGTCGATAGCAACGGCAGTCCTCGACTCATGACTCAGTCAGCTAAGAGTATGACAGCGCCTCGACTTGGCCTGAAGGGCGAACGGTGTGACGAAGACGAAGCCAGTCTCGTCAACGCCAGTACCAGCGAGTACGATCGTGACCTGTCTGAGGTTTCTGTTGAGAGTCGATATGAGAGGCGCCTGTGGACCAAGTTTCAGAGAGACATGTTCATGCAATATGGGATCAAAACGACCAGATTGGAGAAGTCTCCATGGCCACCGCATCCAATGCAGCCGCCATCGTATTCTCAGCGTGATACTGCTAGAAAGGAGGCCAGCCGCGAGACATCCTTAACGAATGGGGGAAGCTCTTCGCAACGAACGATGGACGAAAGAGCCCTAGGAGGAGTTCCTGCAAGGGAGCATGGGCATCTCGACCAATCATTTCGCACTGAGATGTCGGCTACCACTGAGAATTTGCAGCGCTCCACGACGGACGATCCGGACCCATCGGAGTGGATATCGTCCCTACAAGTGGCGCAGAAGGATGCACACAATTTACTCAGACAGACCAATTTGGTAAGTAGACCCTCATTAAGCAAAATAAAACTGTATTCACCGAGATGCAGCATCTTTCAACTCAGCTGGCGGCGGAAAAGGCTACTATCAGCCGAGTACTCGAAATCTACCGGGAAGGGTGCAGTCGCATTCTGGACGACCTATTCCAAGCACAAGAAGCTCGAATGCAGCTGTATCAACAGCAAATGCAGGCTGTCAAAGAGCAGCACGCCGATATCTGTCAAGAAATGGTTCGAGGATTGCAAGACCTCGACCGTCGGGTGCAACAAGGGCCCATTTGAAAAGGCAGGGAAGGTCGGAAGGAGAATATCAGAGACGACGATGTCGGCCTTATAGTATCCATATTCCATACACAATAGGCGGGTTCTTGGAACAGATGTGTATTTTAGCCCACATTTTAAAAATGGGGATCGCCGTGATTGGAACTGCACCTCCGGTCACCGAGGATCACGTGGAAATGGCTATAGTTTGAATGCGTTTGACTCATTCGATTACTTCGGACAACTTGAAGACTTCGCTTTTTTTCATTTCACTGTCTTCATTTCTCCCAATCCCTTCAATTGCTCCGATTCCCCTGAACACGACCCTCCATCGTATCCCACCTCTCTCCCCCTCTACTTTCCCCCGCCATGTCGGTGAGTCAGCCCCTCATCGACTTCAAGTTTACTATTCTCTGACGTCGCCAATTCCATAGTTCTTCATCAAGAACCCTAATGTGGGCAACCACGACCACCTAGAAGACTCTCGCAGTAAGCTTAACCCCTTCCAATGCCCTAATTCCAACACCCAATCTAACAATCACCAGTTGTCGGCTACAACCCCCTCACCCCACCCAACCTCCTCCAGCACGAGATCGCATTGACCGAGAAGGCCCGCCAAACCGTCCTCACCGGCCGCAATGAAGCTGTCGAAATTGTCCATGGCACAGACACCCAGCGCCAACGGCTAATGGTCGTCATCGGCCCGTGCTCAATCCACGACCCTGAAATGGCCCTCGAATACTGCGACCGCCTAATGAAGATGAAGGAAAAGTACGCCGACGACCTCCTCATCGTCATGCGCTCCTACCTCGAGAAGCCCCGCACAACCGTCGGCTGGAAGGGCCTAATCAACGACCCCGACATCGACAACAGCTTCAAGATCAACAAGGGCCTACGCGTCTCCCGCCAGCTCTTCGTCGACCTCACGAACAAGGGCATGCCCATTGCCTCCGAAATGTTGGACACCATCTCCCCCCAGTTCCTGGCAGACTGTTTGTCCGTCGGTGCTGTTGGTGCCCGGACCACTGAGTCGCAGGTCCACCGAGAACTGTCGTCTGGTCTTTCTTTCCCTGTCGGATTCAAGAACGGCACTGATGGATCGCTTGATGTCGCTGTTGATGCTATTGGTTCCGTGAAGCACCCTCATCACTTCTTGTCTGTTACGAAGCCCGGTGTTGTTTCTATCGTCGGTACTGTGGGCAACCCGGATTGCTTCGTTATTCTGCGGGGTGGAAAGAAGGGTCCCAATTACGATGCTGCTAGCATTGCGGAGGCGAAGACTAAGCTTGAGGCTAAGGGGTTGCGGCCTCGTTTGATGGTTGATTGTAGCCATGGAAACTCGGAGAAGAATCACAAGAATCAGCCCAAGGTTGCTGCCGTGCTTGCCGAGCAGCTTGCTGCTGGTGAGGATGCTATCATGGGTGTTATGATTGAGAGTAATATCAATGAGGGTGAGTTGGAGCATTCTGGCTATGGGTAACATTTGTTATATTTGGACTTATACTGATCTCCCTTTGCTACAGGTAACCAGAAGGTCCCCGCGGAGGGCAAGGCCGGTCTCAAGTACGGTGTCAGTATCACGGATGCTTGTATCAGCTGGGAGGATACCGAGTCAGTATTGGAGACTTTGGCTCAAGGTGTTCGCGCACGTCGCGAGAAGTCGCAAACGAAATAAAATCTGAGATAGTGTAGCTAAACCCCTAGAGGGCATTTGGTACGAATCTCGTAATGAATGAAAAGTTTGATTATTCTTCATGATTCTTTCCTTGGTCTATAGACTCAAGGCAGTATGAGGCCCTATGAGGCCTTAACTCGGTAATCTGGCAAGGCGCTAGTCTCATGAGCGCCATTTTTCTGCCGCTTGCTTGCCCTAATACCACGCGCCGGGCTAAGACGTCAGTGCTGTCACTTCCGTATCGTGCAACTAATTATGTAAAGTAAACCGAAGATGCATGCATCCTATGTACAATTCTGAATTCATAGGTATCTCACTCTTTAGGTGGAGACCCTAAACGATGGAATTCTTTCCAACATGACCTCAGATCGTGCCTGCATATGGGAACATTGCAAGCCAGGCAAGCCCAGGCGGTTTGATATATCTTTGGGATAGGCTGGTTTAGAGCCTTTGCCTTGTCACTTCGGGCTTTGCACGCGTAACAGACTCTTCGAAGCTGCATTCGAACGACCAGATGGTTACCTCCGCTTGCTGGTAGGACAACACCGTCCGGATCTCGGCTTCTTCCATCTGATTCTGCAGCCGGTCGGTTTCTTCCATTTGATTCTGCAGCCGGTCGTCTCCTTTCAATTAATTCTGCTGCCGCCCGTTGGGCTTCCTCCTTCCCCTGTTCGAAGAGCTCTGTATAGAGAGCCTCACGAAATTCAAAATGGCTTATCTCCTTTATGCCTTGCTGTTTGCGTGCCGCTTTTGCAATGCAATAGGCATTTATAATAGCTACATCGAGTGCCCAAAGGAATATAGGCCACCAGGAGCGTTGAGATCTTTGAGGATTTTCGTTGCTTACGCGAAGATGATGCGAACCAATCCCTCCCACATGATAGTTGTGGCGTAAAATGGGCCGAGGAATAGGAAGCTTAAAGCCATGAGACATTGCCTCATCTGTGGAGATTGGATTTGAGGGTTTCCAGTATTGCAAACAAGCTGCACGAAGCCTAGATGCAAAAGGTTCGAGCTTATGCCACATTTGATTTTGGTTTAGATTAAGCCTCGTAGCCTCTGACACAGCAGACTCAGGGTCAGGGTCCGCAACGTGGAAAAATCGCTTGATTTGCTGGTATCTTTTCAACGGCATATATGTTGGAGGCAAATGGAGTGGCCTTCTGTCAGGCCGCCAGTAAACCTCATCAGAAGGAGATCAATGAACTCCCATATAGATAAGGATTGCAAGGAAGGTCTTAATCTCCCAAACTGAAGTGTCATCCCATCTTCGCCCAGACGGGCCCGTTGGATTCGCTACTGCATGTTTGTTGGTGTTGGTTGATAACAATGCCATCAAGTCTGGAGAGACAAGCAGGGAGAATATGCTGGATGGGCTTTCGACATTCACTCCAGATGGCAATTGGACTGTGGAGGGAAAAGGTTCGGTCATCTCAAGAGGCCCGATAACAACATCTTCGGAATGATTAGCTTTCTTCGAACCTGCTTTCTTGGAACCAGCTTTCTTAGCTTTCTTCGGAACAGGAGAATGAGGAGGAGAACGACGAGAACGACGAGAACGACGAGAACGAGATCCCGGAGAATGAGAACCCGGAGAAGATGCAGAGGCACTAGATGGGGCCGCAGAGGAGCTATGCGATCGAGGCTCTTCGGCCTCATCCCAGGAATCCATGATATGAGACGCGTATGAATATGTGTACACGGTCAAAGGATAGTGTTCTTGTTTACTGCGATGTGGAACGCGACGCGTGGAAATTCAGGGGTATGACATCATATCATACTACTACTACTACTATTACAAATTGGGAAGAAAGCGGTGGAAGCTAGCTAACTAACCAATGAAAATACTTAGTCCAAAATGATTGATGGCGCTAAGTTCTAACGAGACTTAGCGCCTCGGCAGTCGGCACTACTGTACACAGAATTCATCACATGATCCAAAACTTCTGCCAGATTTTTGGCGCGCTAAAGCTAATTGGTAGCTTCCTGGCATATCACAGTTGTGATGGTAGTTGTGATGATAGTTGTGATGATAGTTGTGATGATAGTTGTGATGATAGTTGTGATGATAGTTGTGATGATAGTTGTGATGATAGTTGTGATGATAGTTGTGTTGATAGTCCCCTAGTACTAGCAGGATGACTGCCAATGCAATCTATCAGAGCTTGAAGAAACATGAAAGCTTAAGCGGACACAGGGAGTGGTGCAAAGTGTGCAAACAACTATTGGGTCACACGCTCACGTGGCCCTAATCCGGCACGGGCCGCACGGGAGTTACATTATCCCTTTGACCAAACCTGGGCTGTATGATCTCTTGTTAGTAGGCGAGCCATAGCAACATTTGTCTGGAGGTTATAGACATGATTAAGGGAATAGGTTGAAGATAAGACGCCACCTGGCGATCAGTTCGAGGGTATTCGAGGCGGTATCGCGCTGTTCTATCAAACAATCCCACAGCCGTCACCCTTTCCCTAAAATGGATGTGGGAATAGCCTCGTTTTCCATTGCTATGGAAAACCCGTTATCGAAGCCCGTGACGTCACCGAAGGCGCGTGATCGTCTCATCTCTTTCGAAGCTACTTAACTCTCTGTCCTGGTGCCTCTTCTCCTTTCATTCTTGACCTTTCCAACCATCGTTCTTCTCAACTTCTTCATCTCTTTGGCCATCCTTTCTCGCGTTTTACCGTTTGTTTTATCTTCCTTGACACTATCCACCTTGTGCTTCCTTTTTATTAGAAGGTTGGAAGCACGTGTCAGTCAACCAAACCCACCGCCACAAATGCCCGTCTCGGTGAAGATCACAAGCGTGATTGTGAAGAGGTGTCGAGGACATGCAACCTGGCGGATAGATTTGACGGCTTTGCCCATGAATACGCCAAAGCCTTATTTACGGCAAGCATCCCGCATCCGTTCAACATACCTGCCTCCAGTGTGAAAGGTAAGACAGCGAATTCCATGGAATCCACTCTTCCCATCTCCACGCCCTCTTCACTTCGGAGTTAAGACTGACATATCCAGACGAACCCCGAAAATATGAGTATCATGTTGGTGCTCGCACGATCTTCCAGCTCCGCACTGAGTTCAAGCCCTTCTGCCGCCTTCCTCCTGAACTGCGCATCATGATATGCGATGGAATGTGCCTGGCACATAGTCGACCCACCAGCAATGACGCCTTACAGACCTGGCTGTAAGGCGTCATTGCGGCAACCCAGCCCACCAGAGCGCAGGCTCTGGAACAGATCAGACCCAAGCGTGCTTGGCTTTCCACCACGAACGACTCGACCGTGGGTAACGGGCACCATCAGTATGATGGCGGATCTCCTTCAAGCCAATGCTGATGAGCGTGCCGTGCACTTGGAGCGCTACGGCCTATCCATGCACCGCTTGCGTCCCTTACAAACAGCTCCGGGGATGAGCCCAGACGCAGCGGTTGCCTCCACCCATGCTTCTTCCACACACCATGCATTGTGGGGGTTGACGGATGCTTGTGAGAGGACATCGCTCCTTTTATGCCATTAGCCAGCACAACACCAGACAGTGATTTTCAGTGAGAATACTAGTGTGCTTATCGGCGATGATACTTCCCAATCACCTCGGACAAGCGACACAGGGCCCGGACTCATTCTTGCGATTGGCCTCGCCAAGAGTTCTCGATTGGGGCTTCTCATGCTTCAGTGTGAGGGCTGACGAATGCTTGTGAGAGGTAATCAAGCAGTCTGTGGCGGCCATGGGTCAGATGAAGGACATGTGGGAGAGGTTCGGCTACATATGTGTGCAAACCAACCTAAACACCAAACACTACTACATCCCACAGACACGCGAGCGGACGTATATGGTTTGTTTCTCTCGTCAGCAACATCCGATCGAGTGGCAGGCCTTGCAGTGACAGAGCCTCCATGCCCGATACGGGGCCGCCCCTGGTGGTTGAGAAGGGTATTCCCTTCGGTGTTATGCAACCCGCGACTCCAACACCTGCAATTCCCTCGTTGCTTCGGTCGACGCCCTGAGACAGGTCGATCCAACGGCTGTCAAGTGAAGTGTTAGTCAACGATCTCTGAAGTGAAGTGAGGGTAGAGTAAAACTTACTCCTTGTGGTTCATATCATATCCTTGAAGCATGCGCTTCAGGAAATTGATATCGACCGTGTCCCACACTCGCTCTGGCTGCGTCTGCCAGAAACGATGCCAGTAGAAATCTGGCACCTGCAGGTCATTGACTCCAGGCAGGGACCGAGTGATGGGTCTCCCGGTGCCCAAAGCAAGCTGTTTCCGCTGCTGGTCGTGCCGAATTTTGTACTGTTCCCAACTGACCTCGCTCCGGGAATCGAGGCAGGCTTTCATCTCGATGAGCTCGAGTCGGCGGTCTTCATCGTCGAGCATGAAGTGTCCGATAGGCGCACTTGCTGGGCGTTTGAACTTCTCGATAAGGTCGCTAACGCGTTCAGTGAGTGTCATTCCCCGCGTGTCCAGAGGGGTAATCAGGTGGATTGCTTCCAAGCGGTGCTTGTCGATGATGACCATATACGTCCGCTCGCGTGTCTGTGGGATGTAGTAGTGTTTGGTGTTTAGGTTGGTTTGCACACATATGTAGCCGAACCTCTCCCACATGTCCTTCATCTGACCCCATGGCGCGCCTCGGCCATTCTCCTGGATGATCATCCGGGGTCGATATTTAGCTGCGTACTGCAACAGGCCGCCAAAGGTGGCCGTTGATGATCCACCTTGCTGGAGGGTCTTCTGCAGGCTATTCAGCGATGAAATGTCGACACAGGCGGTGCCAGCAATCAAAATGTCCAGGCCACCTGGAATTGCTTTGAAGGACCCATAGGCAGTCCGGCTTCGGGCCCTGATGAACGAAAAAGCAGATGAGCTCTCGCAATTCCTCGCCTCTAGATTCTCCTTTCTCGATGTCCTTTCTTGGCTTGACATGTGCAATGCGGAAGAAAAGCGAGCTGAAGTGGGCCAGATTTCTTCTGCGTCGAAGCGGGAGTCGAAGCGCAAGCCCTTCTGCCGCCTACCTGCTGAACTGCACGTCATGATGTCCATGCCCATCAGCGGTGCGGCACCGGCCCAGAATGCCTACCTTCGGCAAGGAAGCACAAATGACTTGCGCTGGGGGTTGCCATGGCCAAGCATAAGAAGCAGCGGCTTTCTCAGACATGGTGGTCCTGGAAAGAGTCCGCAGAAAAGAGACTTCTTTTCCTGGCCCATAGTCGACCCACCAGCAATGACGCCTTACAGACACGGGAGGCAGAGAAGCGCAAGTCCACCGAAGAGCAGCTCGCCCGCGTGCAGCAGGAAGCAAACCAACTGCGCGCACAGGTCGAACGCCTCGGGTCATGCCAGTGGCCTCGCGAATTCGCACTCTTCCCCCCAGACACTCTCCCACTGCAAGCCTGAGGACAATCTGCGACGAGAGCGTGCAATCGAACCGAATCACTATCTCGCGGTGGAGTACGCCTTTGGATTGGGCATTTAGTACTGTCGCGCAGCCCAATGCGGGAGACCGGGAGAGTTATTGGCCTGCACTCAGAGCACGGAGTTCGATCAAAGTGCTGTTGTACATTCGATCAAAGTGCTGTTGTACATTGTACGCACATTGTATATCGTTCTCACTGATTGGAAGCTGAAAAGTGGAAGTGCCAGATTAACGAACCTTCCGTCGGCGCCCCAGCTCTATCCCGATCCGCTAGTGAAAGCTCAGAGAATACGCCATTGAAACTTGCGCTCCATTTCCGTACAGCGCCTTCCCTAAAAGCCCCCCGCAAGTTCGTCCGGGTAGCTCCGTAATCAGGAGACAGGGCACACACGACAATTCAAAGAGCGCTCCACCCGTATATCCACACCTCGATTCTATCGGCAAAGGTCTCCGCGTATCTTCCCGCATCCGTCGGTCCAGTCTTTTACTGCCGGGAGAAAGCCTAAATTGAAGCGTAGGTCAGCCTTGAAGCGCTGTGCTCGAGGCCTTAAACACCTGCTTGGTCGAGCCCGCTGGAAGCCGTTCTTGTGTTTCTCGATATCGATAAGAAAGGAGTTTGCTGGTGCCGAAGGCGCTACAGCACAACGGGCATCACCGGATGCATGTATTGGTATCAGATGGAAGGCTCGCCCGGACTAAGTGAGGGTCTCGGATATTTCAACTCTCTGCTCTGATGGATTCGCGGTTCCAAAAGAGACCCAGTGTAAAACATGGTAATTAACTGCCCGAGAATGCAAGTCCGAACTTGCCGAAAACCTCAGGCCAGATGGGGTCGAGCCCGTCCTCGAGAATATCGGCATCCCTCTCATCGGATACTAGTACACGATGGTCAGCAACATACCACCAGATGCCCACATTACTTGGAAGAGGTAATCAAGCAGTCTGTCGCGGCAATAAATCTTGTGAGAAAGAAGAGAAAGAGGAACCGTGCCTATGAAGCCCGACGGAAGAAGTGGGAAGAGTCCATGGGCCGCCTACCGTATTCGGGCATGTGGGAGAGGTTCTTGCTTCAGGGAAGAATACTGAATGCTTTCCTGACTCGTGTCAACAAACGTGATGCGCCGTACTATCATACGAGTTAGGCCAACAGGTTAATTGAACTTTGATTGATCATCTATGCAGTATATCATAACTGGGTAGTGGTAGATCTATGCGCACAATCATGCAGAAGAACAACCTGAATGAAGCGTAAAATCAGACGAATTACGAGATGAAGACTTAAAAGGAAGTCCACTGTACGGCCGTTTCTGTTGATAACGAAGAGCCGCCCAAAGTATCCAGAAAGATAATCAAGTATGCTGCCCAGACGTAATGCGAATACTTCGCTGAAACAGCGATTGACCGCAAGTTAGGTATGGCTGCGTTACCTAGATGTATGGGAAATTGGTTGAACTTTTGGCTTCGTTTGTCGTTTCCAGGTTGTATTTCGCTTGAATTACTGTCGTATTTTGAGGACACCGTTGGGTTTGACTGCCCATAACCACCTCGGTACCTACCTCGGCGGGAATACCTACAGAATATACCTTCTTTTAGTAAAACGTCCATCAGGCAGCTAATATGAACAAACTGCGTACCTAGTACGAGCCATTGGCTCCTGCAGAGTGTAGAATGTCGTTTGATGCATTCCAGTGTAACTCCCAACGCAGCCTCACGAAAGCACAATGTGACACAACCCTCCAATGCGCTCACCTTAAATGATCTGTGCATGTCCAAGATAGCAAGCGCTTATGTCGTTCCAGTGCTGTCCCGTCATACTCAGTGCTCCCCATGGTTGCTCTTGCGGCTTGCTGGTCTCATGATTTGTCGCGTGAGGCGTCGTGCCCTCCCTCCCTCTCACTTGATCTTCCCCTTTCTCAATCGACACCCCCATCAACCTCCATCCTCAGACCAACCGATCTACCTGTCACAACGAGCTTCTTGATTGATATGATGTGCGGAATCGGTCAATGAGGAGCCTCATGACGTCCGCGTAGAAAATCAGGGGCCCCAAGCGCGTCCTTCCCTCGGCGGCCTCGCTGCCTGGACTGGGACTCGGCGGCCTCGATGCCTCGCGGCCTGGTCTCTCTTGGTAAGTATCCCGCCATCTCTTTCCTCTCCTTTCATCCGCCTTCCTCCCCTTTCATCCATTTCACCATTTTCATCTCTCAAATACATCACCCGGACTCTGCGGGCCATCTCCATGACGGAAGTTGATACTGATGACTGCAGACGACACGGAGACCGATCAGGCATCGTTTCCTCTCTTTCCTCTCCGATCATCTACGAGGAACGGAGCTTCAGTTGCTCGCAGCCTCGAAGATAGGGAACCTAAATACATCTCTGTAGAGGTCGAGTGCCTTTGAGATCCTTGAGAAACGGCAGAAGGCTCTGTACAGTAAGTAGGACCTCAGTCCATCTGTGAGGTCTCGATACTCACTCCTTCTTCCCGACAGTGTCGAAGGTTGCTTATGAGCACCCAATGTTCACGGTCCAATTGTGGAACTGTCTCCGAAATGGCCGTCACATTCATATCGATCCTGACTTCGCCACACGAGTCAATTTCCCCAGCACGCAAAGTCTATCGATAGACACAATGCATCTGGTCCCGATGAACAGCTGGAGGCTGACGCTTCCAAATTCCCTTCCGATACCGACATTCAAGGAATAGCGGATACGAAAGTCGGAAACGAGTACGTTCGTGGAGTGATTGGCGGTCCTGCCCAGGTGACGGAAGCGAAGCTAGCTGGCGGTTCTTGAAATGTTGCTGGACTCGAGACACCTCGATCTAAACGAGGCGAAGCTTCCCAAAGCGTCGACCTTCAAGTTGCTACAGGCTTTCTTGCAAGACGTGGCGTTCCCGCAACAGGATTGCTTCCTCATCACCGACCTTTATCGATGGCGTGCCCACAATCTCGCACCTAATGTCGAGGCCCCCCTCCGATGACTACCATTGGTCCGCCGTCGAGTGGATGAGCCGAGTTCAACCTCCATCCTCTCTCATGGAGAACAGTCTGAGGGCTGACGAATGCCTGTGGGAGAGTATTGCAGCCTCTGATAAATAACAAAAGAAGGATTAATCGTACTCTCCCATGTACGGATACCATTTCGGTTCGCCACATTCAGCTATCCATCCGTCCTGCGGTCATAATCTTCCATGGATTGAACTGCGAGATTCCCCAAGGAACCAACATTGCAATCGTCAAATCGGTGCTTCGACAGGGTTCCTTGGGGAACAAAACCGTGAATATGCTCGCCGTGATGATGTGCTGAGTTTCCATCGACCGCGCGGTTATCATCGGTGGCAGTGATGGTCGCCCATACTGATGAGACGACGTGCGTGGGGCTGGCCTGCGCCGTGATCGCACGGGTCTCCTTTTTCCCGGTAATCAATCTGTTTCGGGAGTTGTTGTTGGAGCAGGCCGCCTTTGGAAACCATGGGCCCCACCAGCTTCACATTCTTGTTGTTTGTGAGAGGCTGCAATGGATTGTGGGAGTGTCTGCCATGAAGAGATAGTGGAGAGGGTGGAGCGGGAAAATGAGGATGGGTGGGTTGACCCTAACGAGGGGAAGTTGGAAATGGCTGTTGGTCAACACGGGCAGTGTCGGCAAAGTCATTGTTACCTCCGTGGCTCGTGGCAGGGTATGGCTGCGCCGCTGCGGCTCGTGCAGAAAGCTCCGGCTCAGATGCCTGAGGTTGGGCATTACCTATGCTCGGCTTCATGATCTTCTTCATGGCAACCTACCTGATAGGTACCGAGTATATCTCCGAGTCCAAGGAGGTCCTGCTCTTCCGCGGACTAGCCCCCACAAAGACCGGCACCTCCGAGGATGATGTCGAACATCTGTTCTGGATTCCTAGGGACAATTATCGTTGAGTTGAATTCACAATTTCATATTCAAATCTCCACTTCGCATACCACACTAGAGAAAAGACTCTCAGTCGAGATTATGATGGCGCAAATGCCTATCTCCGCCATACAAATATACTAGATTCCTGGTCTGTTCAAGAGCAAGCGAAGAAGAGAACGGCTTCTTACCCATGCCAGTGGCTTAATCGGATAGCAAGGGCGCAAAGGCTAACTTGTTGCTCCGACAAGTGAGAGATCTGCGCTAAGCATCAGGTGACGAAGAGGAGGGCTCTAGAATTGCCTGGGCAATGAGTCTCGAGTACGATGGGTCTTGCCCCATACCTCCACTGTCTCCACCCACATCTATACGAGTGAATAACCTCCTGGGCCCCGGGGGGGGGCAGGAGCTATCAACAGAAAAAGGATGGTCAATGTTAGGTGGATTTTTAGTTGCTGGCGCTAGCATTACAGATAGATGGCTAACAAGGTCTCCCGGCGCCCGATGGTCTTGGGATTTAACTGCGACGCCCAGCTTCGCCTATCCCTATCGAGTATGATTTAGTAAGCATGGCTGGTGAACCGATCAATGATTAATGCAGACGGGAGACCCGGCGAACCTCCCTTGGAGCCTAACCGCAGGGTGAACCTAAATGAGGTAGGATGGAAATATTGAGACATTGGTACCTACATATAGGTATCTAGGCATACTATATACATCGTACAAGGCCTGAATATCACAAACACGCTTCAATTTCCCAATTCGGGAATCTTGAAGTCTATAATGCAAGCCGCAAAAGACGAACGCCGAACAGAAGGATCCTGATGTACACCATGAACGCCAGCAGCACAAGGCTTTAGCCCATCTACCCCATCAGCAGAATAGCGACCAGCACCATACCGTCCTGCAAACCCACTCTTCTCCTCCTCGAACTTCCGCTTCCTCGAAACCTGCAGCCCAAGGTTCATCCCAGACTTGTGGATATTACCAAGGTCCTCCAGCTTCCCATCAGAGCCAACACCGACAGACCGCGTAGGAACATCACCGGTATCGACATCCAAGACAGACGCTTTCCCATCCTCCCCAAAAGCCCAAACTCGCAGTCCACCCTCAGAAGACTGCAAAGAAAGCTCGACAACCCCCTTGACACTCCCAATCTCCTTACCATAGATCTTGAATGGCCACATCATAGAAGTAGGCCGGTAAGAGACAGATAACAGGAACTCCCAGTCCCCGTTATTGTTCTGCACTAGACTCTCCTGGCGCTTGCTGGACCGCTCTGGGTCAGTGTACCAGTCACGCACAAGGTCTCCATCGCCCATGATTCCGTCCCGTTGGCACTCGCGCTCTTTGCGTATTACATTGAACACGTCCAAGGGAACTGAGTATAGCACGAGGCGGTTGCCGTAGGCTGCTACGACGCGCAGACCCCAGCGGACATCGGAGCCAGCGGCAAAGACTGTTGGGACTGGAGTATCTGCCGGAGTAGGGGCTTTGGCTGAGAGAGAGGGCGATGGAGGTGGGGTCCTGATGTGTCTGTGACGAGGGCTCGCGGATGGTGGAGGGATGCAGACGAATGCGCGTGTGAGGCTTGTCGGCCCACCGATTGGAGCGTTGGTGCCAATACATAGGAGATTCGTGCGTGGCTCAATGAACATGATGTGGAAGCCGTCGTTTATTGGGACGGCGCGGTAGTGGTGGCAGTGTGTTGCGCGGACGAAAGAGCGAGATGGGGCGTGGGGGATACGTCGGCGGCTGAAGGATTGGACATCGGCTAGAAAATGGAATTGGCCGTTCTTTGGGTCGAGTTTTGGTGAAGAGGTGGATGGGGTTGGAGATGAGAGTGAGGGTGAAGGGGGACATTTGCATTCGTGGAAGCCTGGCCCAGATAGCGAGGATATGAGACGGAGCTCGCTGGGTGTTTCTGGGCTGCTGGGGAGGAAGTGAAGAATTTCCGAGGGTTGAGGGAGAGTGAAGTGCTTGCGATGGTCGTTGCGTTTTGTTTCACTGACGCTGTGGATTTCAATGCCTGCGGCGCAGCCAAAGGCAACGAGGGAGCGGCCGGGACAGATGGCTACTGTCCGCGGTGGATTTTCTGGTGTGCAGATATTGTAGAAGAAGTGGCGGGACGTCGGTTTCAGTGTTAGCAAAGAACCCTTTGGTGTTGGGTCTTTGGGCGTGGTCATATCCAAGTTGCATATCATGCCCATTCGGTTGCAAAGCAATGCAGCAATGGTGAACTGATGCTTGCTGGTGTCGATGGTGGCCGAAAGAACATTAAATGGACATGAGATACTTGAGATTGGCGCCAAATCAAGATCATTGACATCTGATGCAGTCGTTGGCCTGGTCTTTCGACCCAGAAGGCGATATAGATCGATCATGCAGCCAGTCGTCACGAGAAGGTAGTTGCTGCAGCCACTGACGGTGAAAGTCGATAACTCCCGTGATTTGCCCTCATCCATTTCGGAGACAGGATAAAATCGGGTACCACGAGATTTCTTCTTTGCGACTTCAGAGAGGCCGGAAAAGTCCACCACGGTGGTAGTCGAGAATCCCGTCTTCCCGGAAGCCAACTTCCGCCCGGAGAGGAGACATTCTGTTGCGAACCGTCGGCTCATTCTCCAAACCTCGCTTTCATCCAGCCGACTGGTGATTAAGGGTGTTCTGCAATCTTGTAACCATGCGTCCCACCACCCTGCTCGTTTCAACATGGTCTCGAGTAGCCTGCGGTCCAAGCTGGCTCGCATCCACTGTGAGCATGTCCGTCGGGCATTGTCGAAGTCCCGCGGTGCCAGCACGGAGAAGATGTCCAGCAGGATCTCTGCTGGCGCAATATTTGCAGCGGGAGTCCTCGGGGAATTGCGCTTCGATGGGGGTCCAGATTGTGACATACGCCTGCAATCAGCCTTCTTCGTTGGAGGCATTGATAAACTTTGTTTGATTTGCATGACGGAGCCATCGTTGGACGAATGACCAGCATAGTCTTGACTCGAAGACCGGAGAGCGGGCATATTGATACCCAATTTCAACAGCACAATCTCTTTTGAGCTAGAGCATTGCTTCGATAGTGGGATTGTGCAAGTTGATGATCATACAATCGTTGGCAGTCAATTGAATGGCGTTCTCTTAGTACATGAAATGCCTTGTGCAGTTGGATGGATGTACACAAAGCAACAAGATCCACGTTGTAAACAAGAATCAACAACCCGAGAGAAAGGGATGCTCCCCTTGAGTTTATACAACACAACGTTATCCTGCGGGAGGTCTTGTCTAGAACACCAGTAAGTCCAACGATCTGCAACTTCTTCTCAAGCCCGAACAGGCCGGAATGATTCTGACTCTCCAAGAAAGGCCCACTTACTTCTTATTAAAGATCCGTTCTACCACACGACGTCGGGATTTGAAGGAAGTATGTGCTAAGTGCAAGGTTGTATTGGCAACCTCACGTCTGAAAGCGGTACAGCGATTGGAACTTGATATGATAAAATGGAGCCCGACAGTCTCGAGGGTGAGGCAAGGGCTGACTTGTTTAATTAAATACTGCACCTCACCATTTCCAGAGGCAATACTAAGTTTTTGCCATCTCGTTAAAATTCAATTCCATACAATTCTGACGTCGACACTTCTAAGTAAAAGTGATGGTTAATAGGGCACAGCCGCACAGGTGTACCACGCGGAAGTCCAAAGTGGAGCACGTCAAAAGACAGGAAAAATGTAAGCGAGGTACGCAGTAAGCCCTATTCAGGTAGGTGGTTAATACATGCAACAGATGCATGAGGCATTGAGGCCCAGTAGTTACTGTCATTCCATGGGGATGGGACTGTAGGCAACGGAGGCAGATAGTTTGGATCCATGGGTCTCTCAACTTCCTTAACTTTATGCATCACAAAGCGTTTCCATTTCCAAGGTTCATGAGGGTCCTTAATCCACCGACAAGGATACCGTAGCAGCTCTCTAGTCTCTAATAGAGTGAAGTCCCCATTGCAAGCAAAGAAAAAAAAAAAAAAAAAAAAAAAAGGAGACGATATCAAGATGCTAACATTCCGGAGGATCTCGATGGGCGAGGAATGCGCCCCGGATGCGTGTGGCTTGGCATCCGGCTGAACCTCGCTTACTTCACCGCTTAGTATATTATGCATGTCTCTGATCGTGTGACGATTGCCATAACAATAAGACAAGAGTAAGAATCCTTGTACGATGACTATTTAGTTCGAGATATCCCACATTCCTCAACGCCCAAGGATGGGTTGTTTTGTCTTTGTTCTCACTTCTGATTGTTTCAGCTCCTCACCGCAAGAGAGAGTCTGAGAGACAACCGTGCCATCCCCCGCTGCTCAGGAATGTGCCCCGACCATGTGGACCACAGGGGGTTCCAGAAGGTGTTTCCGTATGTGTTCGAGGTTTGTCTGCGCTGGGATAATGGATACAACCGAGGTGTCAATTCACTATTCGGTAGGCAAAGAAAAAACATTGGACGGATCCAATGTTGTTCCAATGGCGATTGCTACAGATCACAGTTGTGATGATACCCCTAGCAGGATGACTGCCCGAAACCGCAGAATCAAAGCTGATCATCCAAACATCCTCTTTCGTTGCCTTATTCTACTCTTTACACGTCAGAAAGAAAACTTTACGACCTGTCCATAGACAAAAGAAATAGGCCTGTTTTGCATCCGTTGATATCTCGGCTAGACCGTCTTCACTTCGTGCTCGGACACTGCCACGTTTGCCCCGGGCTTATGTGTGAACGGAGGAATGCGGGAATGGAGTTAAATCAAGCGAAGCCGGTGTCTTTAGCGAGACATTCTGGACCAAATCAGCCTTGGGAAACAGCCTGTCTTTGTATGAATGTCCAAAAAACAGCCTACAAGCGACGAATTGCACCACTGGAAGCTCGAATTCTATGCCGACGTGAACTAGTCCATTTAGGAGAATGCATCCATTCCAGAGTGCAAACTGCCAATGTTCGTGACTTCGTTCTATCTGACATCTGTGAAGGACTGAAGCCAAACTTGATTCAATTTGGCTAGGCCAGATGCAATCTATCAGAAGCCCAAAGAAACATGAGGGTGTTCGCAAGGGCGCAGGGAGGAGTGCAAAGTGTGCAAACAAGTAGTGGGTCACATGCTCACGTGACCCTAATCCGGCACCAGTTAACTACGTCTACACTAGTCATCCCTTTGACCAAACCTGGGCTGTATCATCTCTTGTTAGTAGTCGAGCCATAGCAACATTCTTCTGGAGGTTATAGACAATTAGACATGATTAAGGGAATAAGTTGAAGATAGGACGTCACCTAGTAATTAGTTCGAGGGTATTCGAGGCGGTATCGCGCTGGTCTATCAATCAATCCCACAGCCGTCGCCCTTTCCCCAAAATGGATGTGGGACTAGCCTCGTTTTCCATTGCTATGGAAAACCCGTGATCGAAGCCCATGACGTCACCGAAGGCGCATGATCGTCTCATCTCTTTCGAAGCTACTTAACTCTCTGTCCTGGTGCCTCTTCTCCTTTCCTTCTTGACCTCTCCAACAATCGTTCTTCATCTCTTTCGCCATCCTTTCTCGCGTTTTATCGTTTGGTATATCTTCTTTGACACTATCCATCTTGTGCTTCCCCTTACCAGAAGGTTGGAAGCACGCGTCAGTCAAGGGGTTCATCCACGCCTCATAAACCTACTTATAGGTTCCCCACCAACAAACCCACCGCGTCCATTCAACATACCTGCCTCCAGTGTGAAATGTAAGACAGCGAATTACATGGAATCCACTCTTCCCATCTCCACGCCTCTAACTTGGGAGCTAAGACTGACATATCCAGACCGACCCCGGAATATGAATACCACAGTACGTGCCGACAAGAAGATTGACTGGGGATTCGACCGTGAGGTCAAATGGAAACACCCATTCATCTGGAGAGATGAAGTGGTTGTGAAAACTCAGTAAGCTCTACAAGAGCGAGGGGGGCTGTGAAGATCGGGAGCCGGTGCTCGCATGACCTTCCTGCTCCGCGCTGAGTTCAAGCCCTTCTGCCGCCTTCCTGCTGAACTGCGCGTCATGGTATGCGATGGACTGCCTGTTACATAGTCGACCCACCAGAAATAACGCCTTACAGACCTGGCGGCTGGCAACCGAGTCCACCAGAGAGCTGTCAACAGACCAGAACATACCCGAGCGTCCTTGGCTTTCCACCACGAACGGCTCGACAACCACAATGCGACGTGATCTGGGTCGCCAAGAGAGAGGACAATGGTGGCAAGATCCTACTCACACCTTCCTCATACTAGTCTGGCAGTAATCAAGACATTCGATCCAGATACTGAAGGCAGAGTCGGAGAGATGAATTTCCATCGGTTCGAGACCGTTCAGGATCCCAGACTTGGGATACCGTGGACATCAACTTCTTGAAGGGTATGGTTCAAGAATACGACATGTCCTTCAAGGAGCAAGTTTGGGCCTTGCCTTGCAAGCGTTCAAAATGTTCTGGTCGTACTCTCTGGCTGCTTAGAGCAAGGTCTTTCCGATGTTGAGCATGGCGAATCTTGGATGACAAGGTCCTTCTCGACCCACCAATCTTCCTGTTCCTGGACCAGACGAAGATTGGACCAGTGGACGAAGATTCTTATGTGTTTGCCTTTGCACATTCTGGCCTTTCTCATGCGCTTCCAACGCTAGCCCCATCCTTCACGTACGTGGGCGACCTGCAGGCACCAGATTTCTACTGGCATCGATTCTGGCGGACACAGCCGGAGAAAAAATGGGCATGATCCAGTCAGCTTTGTCCCGGCCCCAAATGATGGTCGGTGGTGAAGGATTGCGAATCTCGCAATTCTCATGAAGGTCATGGCTGTGGTCCGAGGAGCCTGGGCAGACGATTTCGCTCCAGTTTTCGAAGTCAGACCATGCAGAGATCTTTGGGAACAACCAAGCGAGGCACCCTGTCCAGTACTACAGCTGTATGGCTTCCACCGGTAGCTCTCCGTCACCCACATGATGTTGAGGCTCTCCGTAACCCACATGATGTTGAGGTCTTGAGGAGAAAAGCGAATTCTTGGCCAAAGTCGTCAAACTGATGTCCGATGACAATCCATACTCGGACTTCGATGTGGGCTTCCTCTGCGTTGTAAAAGACATGATGGCGGCGCGAGAATTGCGCGTACCAGGATACCATTACCTTCGAGGACTCCAGGTTCCGCACCTACCTCGAGGCCAATGGCTACGACACCACGACAATGGGAAACCACAACTGCCAGACCGAGGTTCGCCCGGAGTAATTCCATCACGCCCGATCAGCCCTATCGCGACTGACCACGCACATGCCCGCCCATCTGAGCTGTGTCCCCCGGAGGATGCACACCCGCCCATTTTGTGGGTGCCTTACGGCCATGGCTTCTCGTGGGTTTTATGTTTGGCTCATGATTGGCTCCCACTCTTTGAGAACCTCTTTATACTGCACAAGTGCCCTACTGCCACGCCCTTGGAGATACTGGGGGCCCAGCTTCTTCTATATTGAGTTGGGTGCGTCAATTCCTGACGTCAATGGTTACTACCATCTGCAATGGTAGTGGCGGAACTGGAGGGCTGCGGGCTATGCCTGGCCGTTCAATGTCTGAACCGGCACACCTCCAATGAGGACCAAGTTTATCAACAATTCCACTCTTAGTTTCCAGTTTTCACTTGCGCTCTTCTTCTTTAACAGTGTAGACCTTTGAGGATGAACAGATATCCGATAGTTCGTACCATCATCCGCGTCCCGGGCGATCAAAGAGAACCCTCCATGTCTGAACCGAGTCAGTACAGCCCCGTTGACTTTGTCCGTAGTATGGTAGTGCCAAAGGTATGATGACCTGGTGACCTTAGAAACGGTGGTTTTCGATCCCTGCTGTCGGGCAAAGAGTGCCAGCCTGCCAGGCCCGATACAGGAACTGAGCAATCTGCCTGCATGGGAAACTATGGCGGACCGCGATGGCTCTATCCACGACATCTTATGAGCACTGTCCTGGGCTCTTGATTATGGATCACCATAGTATTGATTAGAAAAGATGGGAACCCGTCCGCGTCGTGTCCGCGTCACGCAATCCGATCTATGACATGAAACACCCGGAACTGTCGTTCATTACACAGTATTATAGAATTCTGTTACTCAGGTACTGTGTGTACCCTATCGTTTTGCACATTCTATTGCTCAAGTAAATTATAACTATGGCCCAAGTTAGCCTCAGGTTAGGTTCAGCTGAGATGTTTGGTCTGAGGGATACGTCCTATTCAACGCTACTTGTCGGAAACACTGGCTCAAAACAACGACACGAGCTTCTCTCTTTGAATCATAAGAATTCGCGTTCTTCAAGACGCGTGGTAATTCCAGAATATTATGAATAAAATATTCTATTTTGTATCTATAACCGGTGAAAGTCTGGGGATGTTAACTAACTAAAGAACTGCGGTGGTGTTAGTGAGCTCGCCAGTTGACCCGAAGGTATGTCATGTTCGGTTCCGCCGTTGAGTCATTTGCCTTCGCAGTATATTAGCAGCAGGCTATCTTTATCGCCTGCAATTGTCACCAACACTCCTCAGTCGAGCCAGTACGCGAGTAAGTGAGCAGCAAGTAGGACCTCCCTTCATGTATGCATTTCCCGTGAGAATAATTATGATAAAATACCTATATCAAGAAAGACTAATAGTTGCGCAAACCAAAGACCGCTCCATGGTATCCTCAACGAACATGAAAACAAACGCAATCATAAAAGCGACATCTAAAACATTACGGCATAGCAGAAACACACAAAAGATCAAGCAATTTGTCGCTCGATATTGCGCGGACCAGTCAGGAGAGAAGGCGGAATCGGAGGCACAGGACCACGATACACGGATCCACGGGCCTGCGAGCCAGGAGGAGGTGGAGGCGGAGGCGGGGGACGTCCGTAACCAGGATGGTGAGCTTGAGGATGAGGATGGGGATGAGGATAATGATGCGGGTGTGGCGGAACAGGTGGACCGGGAGATGGGCCAAGAGCCAGAGCTCCGAAGTCGCCCGGAAGACGCTGTGTTTGGTAGCGATATTGAACAGGTTGGGAGTTGGGGTTGATGTAGCCCATTGAGCGGGTGGGGTCGCCGGGGAGGGAGACGAGGGAGGCGCCGAGGGTGCGGGCGATGTCTTCGAAGGTCACCTCCATTGGGGAGATGTATGTGGTGTTGCTTTTTGCGGACCAGGCGAGGACGTGACCGCAGACGCGGCCGGTTGGGCGGTCGAAGACCCATGCGCCGGAGTCGCCGGGGGCTGTTGGATGGGGATAGATTAGCTTCTTGAAACTTTTACTCGATACGAGTTGATGTTTTAAGAGGTGGTGCTGTTGTTTACCAGCTAAGGGTGACAAATGATGCATGTGAAAAACGAAAAAAGGGTATCTAATTAAGGATCGTATGGACGTAAACAAGGATCTGAGGTGCGCCTCTTACCTCCGAAGTTCCCATTGACGCAAAAGCTGGTTGAAAAAGAGTGCCGTCCATGAAGTTTGACCAATGTCATGGCCTTGGATATCTGCCCCGTTTGTAGTCCGCTTGTTCGGCCGCAGCAATGAACCTGCATCCCACCTAGCTCCTCCATACGGGCTACCTGATTCAGGTAGATGGGCTGAGGCGGAATAGGGCGTCCCGCACGAGCCATACTAGATCTGGTGGTATCGAGGATAATGTTGCGAGGATCCATGCGGGCTTCGTCGACTTTGATGAGTGCCCAGTCTATCTCATGTTTCAGACCCTTGCGTGTCCAGCGTCGAACACCAGACGATGCGTGAACGTAACCCAGGGAGTGTGAGGCTAGATGTTCATCGTCGCGATCTTCTGGGGATGGAAAAAAGTCGTCGTGTACGTCGTCAATAGCTGGTTGAGTGACAAGCAGCCGGGGCTCTTCACCTGGTTCGATGCCAGCAGTATCGCCAATAGATGCAGCGTCATCGTCATCGTCATCCGGACCGAGAGAGTCATCATCCGAGGAATCGTCATCTGAGAGCCAGACTTCATCATACCCGGACTCGGGGCCTTGGGATGCATCGTCTCCGTCCTCCCAGTCGGAAATCTCGAAATCCTGGTTCACCTCGGGAGACTCATCCTCGGAATAGTCATACATGAATCCAGGATGTGGGGTATGCGATGTGTCACGAGGCCAGTTGCCAGCCGATCTTGAAGGAGCGTCTTGAGTGGAGTCTTCAGGGCCATCGCCTGGGCCCTCATCCTCGCTGGGAGCTTCCAACATATGGTGAACTGTCAGACCATAGGGCAAGCCGTCAACGAAGACCGCACCACCGTATGAGACGGGGGGTAGGTGCTCCTCGTTCTGAAAGGCACCGATAGATGCTCCACACAGCGGCCGCTGTTGGTGACATGGGTTGAGTTCCCGCTGACGAAAAGGTATATCATTTGATACAGGAGGTCGGGCCTTGGCTGGTTTCCGGCGCCTGTTTCGAGGAAGCTTAGAGCGCTCGATCTCGCCACGGAGGACTATCAAATCCCAATCGTCCCGGCCAAGGGAAAAATGCTTCTTGAGCGCCATTCTGACTTTCTTCACGCTGGTACAGGTGACACAGACTGTCGTTTTGGCGCTTTCAGATGACTCTCCAGTCATAATGAGATTTACACCGCATGACTCAGATGACTCTTTCAAGATCTTCTGAAGAAGACGACTCACTCTGGGCATTATCTGGCAATTCCACTCTTGCAAGTGTTCGTCGGGAATCTCCAAGTTAGGCAGTCTCTTAACAGTACGCTTCTTTTGTGGCTTCACAAGAGGCTTGTCTTCCTGAACGACACCCCATGAATCAGCAGGAGTTGTGGGTAGCTGCTTGTCAGCTTGAGACCTTTCGAGCTTCGCTGATTTGTATGCATTGACTTTGTCCTGGATGGTGACAGGTTCAGGAGTGGGCACAAGAGCAAGTGGAAGGCAATCATCCAACTCTTCTGCTGAAGGTGCCGAGAAGATATCAATCCGGCAACATGACCAGAGGATTTTGCAGATTGTGTACATGAAGTTCATGGAGAAGGAAAAGGTGCCATCAGGGTCTGACAAGTCAAGCACTGGGTAGTGGTAAATCTGCGGAACACGAAGGCCAAGGTCGGTCATCGGTTGTGTGGATAAATGGAAGTTGGGAGCATCAAGACACAATTGAACGGCTTGGAGATAAGCACCTCCACACTTTGGTCCAAGTTTCTTGACATAGAGATCTTCGACGCGATGTTTGAACCATGAGCGGTCGTACTTCATCTTCCAAAGCCGGCCAACGGGTGCCCACAGCCCTATCTCCAGTAAGATGAGGCCAAGCGAGTAAAGGTCGTAGGCCCACGCGCCATCATCTTCGACAGATCGCTTATCATCTGGATGGCGATACATGGCTGAAGACAAAGGCTCGGGGTAGGCCCATCCTGAGAGAATCGTGCCGGGGAAGTAAGATAAGGACGGCGAAGATCAGGTGCAAGACCGCTTTCATCACCACTGGCATCACTTCTACCAGGGAAGAAAATCACATTGCTACTGTTGATGTTTCCATGAACGGCGTTCTGACTTCTTAAGTGCAGAGCCGACATCAAGAGATCGTAAGCAAGCCGAAAGCGAGTGTCGAGGTTCGGAACCCGATTCTCCCGGTACTCCTCTGCTGAAGGAAGGAGAGCCACCAGTGGCTTAGGCTTCAATTCCTTCAACAAATCACTGGGATTCTGAAGAAAGGGGAAGTAGTCAACTGGCATCTGGTAAAGAAACGCATAGCGAGCATTCGAGTTATCAATGCAGTAGCCCAAAAATCGCATCAGGCCTAAGTGGGAGATTCTGGCGTTCTGTAGCAGTTGCTCGAGAGATTGCTGAAGCTTCTCCAGTCGGGCACTCTTGTTTTCCATATTCGAGTCCGCTAGTATGGGCATAAACTCGACGAGCACAGAGACATGAGACTCTCTAAGGGACGCAAGAAGAGGCGAGGCCGAAGACTTCAGGCGTCCAATGGCACGAGAATTCGAAGACGCCGCAACAGGCTCATATGGTGGTGGACTGTTATCGTGGGCCGCTCCATATAGTTGTAGAGCCGACCGATCAATGAGGAGGTTGTTGGATGGGAGAAAAGGATTTAGGGAATCTTGGTGTGGTGTTGTAGGGGAGTAGGTATAGGAATCAAACATTTGAGTTGGGCTCTGAACTTTTTCTTTCGACTCAGAAAACGAGCCATGTGAGGAATCGTAGGGTGAGGTTGTATTGGGTCGCGGGCGACGCGCGCTGTTCTTATTAAATGACATGCTGGAAGCCATCGTTCGTCGAGAGCGCGAGAGGTCGTAGAGAGTATCGATGCAGCCGGTGAGTTCACTCAGGATTGACTTCGAGCGGGCGATGTCTTCCTCTGTCCATTGTGTTTTGAGTGGTTTGCTGCTCAGTGTATCCTTCGAAGGTATATCGACTTTTCGTTCCTTGGAAGGCAGCATAGGCGCGTCCAAATGTTGGATTTGTTCGGCATCATTGAGTAGTTCTTGGATCGAGGACATAACACTCTCAACAACGTCGCTGAAGCCTGCAGCGGTCAACGATTCATCGATATCGTTGGGCTGCGCGGCGCTTGCATCGCTCCAATCTAGACCCCATGCCAGCAAACGATCTCTCTGTTTCTGGAAACTGCCGTGGAGAGCGACCAGCTCTGGGTCATCCAGAGCTTTCGATGCCGTTGTGACACTCTCGCAGGAGGTTTTTGTGTCTGTATATAGCTTTGTGAGGCGTCGCTGGAGGAAGCCGCCTCCTCCTCCATGTCGGAGGACTGACATCTTGGCGATTGCGGAGGGGTTTGATAAGGATCACAGATACAGTTCGAACATTAGAGGTATAAGCACTGCAGATGGAAGAATCAAAAGCCCATACTGAGAGTCGCTGAGGAGTAATAGTCCATTGGAAGAGAAAAGGGAGATCGACAAGTCTCGCAGAGCAAATTCAATGGATGCCTTGAGGATGGCGATGAAGGCCGCCGATAACCACACGATGGGCCCGGCGCATCCAGCGCTGAAGGGAATCCTGTTGCCTAACCAATGAGCGACCACCAAGAGACCCGCAGTGGGTCACGTGGCAGGCAGCAGGCAATGGAGATATTCGAAGTACGGTATTACCATTACAATCTTCTGCATGAACATATGCCTCAGGCGAACGAATATGTAACAGGACGGCCCATTATTGGAGGATCGCTGTTGGAACTCCATGGAATAGATTACGCGGTACCAAGATATGAAAATTCTCCACATCTTCTATACCACATGGTAGCCTTAGACGAAAGTACTTGAATTATATGTTCTATTCATTTAAGTTGGGTTTTACACATGTGATAAGGCTAAAGCGTAAGGGGGTGGCCACAATAGCAATGATGCCAGTGAAATCAAGAGAAAAAGATGTCCAAAACTCGTTCAGTCGGTCAGCCTGTCATCACGCGAGACACACCAACGTCCCGGGCTCGTTTCTCGCTGAAGTTATGTAGTCGTTCCCCGATGAGGTAGACTTCATCGCGGATATTGGTCCGCCAGGCTGCGACTCGTTTCAGCAATAAATGTCCCATCCATACAGACAACACAATCAGAAGTGTGGTGGGATAGGCATAGCGGTAGATCTTGGGCTGCAATCCGACATGAGAGCAGAAGATCGTCCAGCGCACGATGAACGCAAACGACAGGGGCAAAGCAACTGCAAGTGCCGTGAAAATCATGATTGGAAGAACAAGGGCGCGTGTAGCAAGGCTGGCATTCGGTTTGAACCAACCATCCTGGAACACACTGTTGACTGCAGCTGCCACCCAGGAATGGGGCTGCCAGAAAGTCAACTTAATGGCCATCTGGACATACAACACCCCGAGCGCCCAGTCCTGAACAACATGCACAACGTGTGATTCTCCATCACCAATGAGGGTGTGTACTGGAATGAGAACAAATAGTTCTGTGAGAAGTGCGAAGAGTGATGGAAGAATGATGATGGCAACAACGACGATGTAAAAAAGTCGGGCTGCATGCATCATAAGACCAAGACTGGTCTGGCCAGCCCGGCGGGGGAGCGAAGGTAGAGGCCTGAATGCTCTCGCACAAACCCAAGTGCAGTGCGGGTATGGTAACCCAGGTAAGCAAGCGCACCCACTACACAAAGACCACTTGAAAAGGCATAAACGTCATTCACCGGAGCCGGTGTGGACGAATATGACATGATGATCTTCCGACCAATGACCAGGGGGATAATAGTGATGCCTACTCCGGTGGTGGCGGCAAATAACCAAATGAGGAAGATGAATGTAGCGATTCGAGTCCGGAAGGAGGGAGGGATGTAAACCTTGGTGAACATGTCGTTAGAGTGGCCATGGAGCCCATCGGCAAGGTCAGGCTTCTGATCAACACGTTCGTTGTTCTCAGTGACCTCGAGGAAAACATTGTTGCCTTTGGGAATGCGGACCTGATCAGAGCCAGGGGCGCGCACATATCGGCCATCCCGCAGGAAGTAAACGTCGCGATTTTCCTGTTCTGCTGCCGCTTGTTGATCTTCTCCAATTATCGGGTGTTCCCAATCACCTTGGCTTCTAGAGAGGACGCCCCACCAAGTCTTCCGAACGTGGTGGCCTTCCTCTTCTAGGTGTCTTTCGGGGAAGAAGAAGTTGCTGAGACGCAAGAAATGAGCGCACTTGTGGAACCACCAGTCGTATAGATCATGCAAGCCATCTGATGGTTTGAATGATTGAATGACTACCGGCAACACAAAGTTGTAGAATAGAAGATCAACTGGGAATTCGAGCATCGGGGCACTGGCTGACCAGTGTATTGGGAGAACACCATCTAGGGTGAAGTGCAAGCCCCAGACGACGCCACCTAGGCAGACGATAACCAATGCACCGTATACAAGGGCACTGAACCCAATTTTACGGAGCTGTGTGGTGATACTGCGTTCGAGGACATCCCGAATTGGGTGGAATGTCGGATCATCGGGGTCACGAATGAAATCTGTGAAGAAACATTAGCAAAAGAGGTGGTTTCTGGTAGAAAAGCATGACACTCACAAAGGACGCCACTTCTCAGAATCTTCCGGCACATGGAAACAAAGAGGGCAAAATGGAACATGTAACAAGTACCAATGAACCAGTGCACGAATAGCGAGGTCAGCGGGGACGAGGCCGTGAAAGCGATACGAGAGGCCACTGTAGCTCCCGAGAATAGAGGAAGTAAAGCAAGATCAAGTAGACTCCCACAGTACAAAGGGAAGACAATCATTTCAATCCCAATAATGAGGATGACCTTCATCACCCCTCCGGCTTGGACCAACACCTCGGCAAGCAGGCCCTCGATCCTCTGTCCCCGAGTCGCACCAGAGAGCAACCTTGTAATACGAAGGTAGAGAAGCCCTGTCAGAGAGGCAAGTAGATAGCCCATGAAAATGGCAATGACGCGGTCCTTGGAATCCCAGACGGCTAAGTCATAATCGACCGGCGCTGCGGCAGACGCTGCCTTTGCTGCGCTTGCGTTCATGAACCTTGTTCCAGGCATGGAGAACAGCGTCGACTTCGCGAAGGTGCTGAGTTGTTGCTGAATTTGGCTGACGAAACTCTTGAGATAAGAGAGGTCTAAGTCGAAAGACAAAGCACCTGGTACACCGAGGGTCAAGATGCGAAGCGGGAAGTCATGCAAAATGAACTTGGCAGTGGCATATAGTGACTGGAAAACAACAGCGAGCCGATCCTGATGCAACTTGAGCGCCTGGTGCGAGAGCACGGAGAACATGGGAATATCAGACTCATGGAACACAAGGAAGGCTTTAAGCACTTTGTTCAAGCGGTGGCTGCTTGCGTCGATAAGGGAGAGGGATGCACTTGTGACAGACTTGTCTTGAGGTAGCCATTCTCCAAAAGGAACAAAAGCGCCAAAAGGACTTAGTATGATCTTGAAAGCAAGGGTGAACCAATACATAAGATATCCCACAACACCAATAAGCGTATCAAGCGCAATGTCTGCGACCACTTCGACCGCCGTTATAGGAACACCAATCACAAGTTCGAGAGGATTGGCTAACAAGACAAGAGCAATTTTGCCCCATAAGTATGGGAGCCAGATACCAATGGCTACTGTGAAGGCAATCAAAAGTGCACAGAAGACACCGTTCTGGAAGAGACCAAATATTGGACCCTGCATACCAATGAGGTCCATAATTCCTTCGAAGTCGTCCCCCTCGACTCCTTCCATGTCGTTTGGGTCTAAGCCAGCGCCTGCTGCAGCTGCAGCATCGGCCGCAGCATCTGCTGGGTTATCTTCCATTCGATTAGGAACGGGCACAAATGGGTCTTCTAAAGCAGGATCCTGGACAATATGCTCTTCATCCGCGAGAACCGCTTCTGCTACAACGCCCTCTGCAGGTGTGATATCTCCCCAGAACCAGTCGAACATCCGTTCCATGATATTCTGCGGGGGGCGATGGTCCACCTGCACGTCAGCGGCAGAGATGGTATTGTCGTGAGTCGGTGGCTCCTGATCCGCATTCTGAGCGGAAGGTCCGGCGGCCGCATTAAGCGGATGGTCAATTCTACCTCCATTTTCGGAAGCTGACGCTTCAGAGCCATCGCGGAGTTCCGCATCGTCCGCGACATGGGGTCGAGTAGAAGGTCCTGCCGGTGTATCCCGGTTGATATTGGGCCCGGTGATTGCATTCACGATCCAATCCAAATCATCGGAGTGTGCCTCTTCTCGAAGAATGCGCAACATTTCCTCATGATTACCATGAGTCCGAGCTACTAAGTCTCGAAAGGCTAGAGCACGAGCTGTAGGAGGAAGGCCTTCTGTTTCATAATCTGGGTCGTTTGCAACATAGTCTCCTAGCTCTGCTTCGAGCTCGGGGAAATCGAACTCAGAACCACTGGAGGGGGCTGGGGAGTGAGGAGCAAAACGAGGAAGCTCATCTCCCAATTGATGGGCATCAGCACGTTCTTCGTTTACTTCATTTTCTGGCTGAACAGGAACGGCGTCTGGTTGTTGAAGGCCCCCCTCCGCATTGAACCGATCATTGATTCGGTTATTCGCATTGGCGATTAGCTCAAGAGCAGCTTCACGTTCCCCTTCAGCAATATTGGCCATAGGCTGCTGTTGAACAACCCATTCTCTAATCAGGAAGAGTAGAATGAATGAAACGACCACAAGAAGGGTGATGAGCTGTCCCTCCAATGTGTCCATGATCATATTATTGATTGTTGGGTAGGGTGTTAAGGAGTTCAGGAACTTCACGTCCGAAAGCCATGAGGGGTGCCGAGGTTTGATTGAGCTGGCTGTGGAGTTGATTTGTGTGTTGCCTTGTCCGACACTCGAGGTAAATGCGGGCATGAATAGAGTAGGTATGATCTTTTTGATGAGGGTGAGCATGAGCGGCTCGCCTGGTGCGAAATTAAGAAGTGATGATTGTACAGATGGCGCCGCAGTGGCAGATGAGAAAGCGGCATTCGAGACCGTGGAGGAAACCGAGTCGGCTAAAGCAGCATTTGCAGCACTGTCATTTGAAACAAGTTGTCCTAGGCTTTCCTGGGCAGATTGTGCGAGCTGAGCCCGGACCGTCTCATTGGGAGACCACCGGCCATCAGCAAGCCAAAATAGTGCCCTCCAAATCGCGCGCATTGACCACGGTAGCCATCCCAGCCAGACGAAGGCAACAAGCACAAATCGTAGCCATGTCACTAGTGTTCGGAAGCATTGAATCAAGGCTTGCTTCACAAAGAGAGGCGCGGGGAGGCTCTGAGGCATGTTCGGGTCGTATAGTTTGGTAAAGCGGAACGGCGTTTTGCAGAGTTCGCAGTGCTTCTTCTGCGAATGCGACAGCCATTCTACCAAACATATTTGATGGACGAATTTGATACTTCCACTGCATTTGCAGGGGTAAAACAGTGGTTCCTCTTCCGTTGCCTCGCCATGACATATCCGACAAGTATCCAGGTCTTCAAATCCCTTTTCCCTTTCGTCATAAGCTGGGTCGTTCATTAGATCGGGGGTTGCGGTGCCACCCGCAGCGTCGCGGAAGTGATGGTTCGTGGGCTCCATGGTTCGTGATTCTCGCCGAGTCGACGGTAATGGTTGATCAGATGTTCACCATATTCCTAGTAAAGCGGGCTCGAGAGGAAGGTCCAAGTATAAACATACGAAAGGCTCGTGTTTGCAGGAAATGCGAGTGGAGGTTGAGCTAGATGAAATAATCAATAGGCTGATCCTGTCACGAGCTCTGTATATGATAGGACACTCTTACCTCACAAGCGTGGACTGTAGATCATCGATGCTTGATAGTAACAAAGTAATTCAGCCCAGATGCTTCGCTACCCCCGGCGACCAATTTGCTGACTCAGCTATGTGCGTTGGCGGTACGTCAAATACGGCATTTCATGCGGGCCACGGTGCCGTTACGGGCGTAATTTCGTATCTGCAGTACGGGTAGCCACCGATGACCTCACTGAGGTCCGACCAAAAACAATTCTTGCTTGTGTCATATGCGGAGGGGTTCTCCTTGTTCCCTTGATGATAATAAAAAATACAAAACCACATTCTGCGCTTTCTACCAGACTCGATTCCGTTGAACACTGTCTTCCTCGGCATCAACCCACCTGGAATTTGCCTTGGTATCTGACCGCGGCCCGTGAAAGTTGCTACTAGCGCCAAGACCGACGCGAGCATTCCGCCTACAGTAGCTAATCTGCTCGATTCATTGAAGCTCCAAAGATCGAAGCCACCTGTTCCAACAGGCTGTGACCGTTTCTCCGATGCAGCGGTAATCTCTCACTGAGTCGACTCGATCCAAGTGTGTGAAAGGGAAACCTCCATACGGCGGCCTACCTCACATTTCAGCAAGTCGCGCGGCCTTGACACGGTCAACCACAGTCGCAATGGCAGTGAAAGAGAATGGCCAAGTGGCAGAGGCCACGGTCAAGACAAGTGGGCGAACGGATTTTGAGAAGCCTCGGAAGAGGGGCTTTGTGCGATGGACGGTTGGACTTATTGTGAGGTTAGTGGTAATCGCCGTGCTTGTACAGCGTCAGAGCTCCCATTAACATTATCCCCTTCAGGCTTTGCATCTGGTATGCGCTTGTGACACCATTCCTGAGATGCCCGACCAACCTCGCAGACCTTACGGAGACATCGCCTCGAGTCTGCAAGCCCTACCTGATTGCCCGTTCGCACGTGGAACCTTATATCACGCCATATTATGATACCTATGCGGCACCTTATGTCGATCAAGCCCGTCCATACGTGGAGGTTTTGAACCAACGAGTTTATACCCCGGCGGCCAAGGTTGTCACATCAGGATATGAAAAGTATGGAGCACCGGCTTTGGTAAAAGCTCAGGCCTATGGGCTCGAGCAATGGCAACTGCAAGTCAACCCAAGAGTCAAGATTGCTCAGGATAAGGTGCACCAGCTTTATCTGGCCGAGATCAACCCCTATGTCCAGCAGGCTATCGGTGTTGTCTCACCTTACTATCAGAAGGCTAGCAACGCTGTGGTCACCGTCTGTCAGGGCCATCTGGTGCCTCTTTACGCACGTTCCATGCCTTTCATCGGAAAGGCGTACTCTACTACGCAGGGTGTCATGGTGACTCATGTCATGCCGAGGGTACAGTATACTTGGTCGTCAGCCGTTTACTTTGCCAACAGCTCGCTATGGCCCCACATCACTGGTCTTTACTCGGAGCAAGTGGAGCCCCAGCTGGTCAAAATTGGCCAGCGTTTGGCCAGTTACAGGGAGGGCAAACGTCTTCGCGCTGTCGTAGAGGAAGTGGATAGGTACTTGAAGCCCCTTGTTACTCGAACCATGCCTGTGCTAACTCCTTTCTCTAGTACTGCAACCGTGCAACCCGTTATTTCTTCAATCACCAAGTCGCGCGAACCGACCCACACCACGAGTACTGTGATTCCTACGTCCACAACCCAGCCTCCTAGCCAACCCACCCTGTCTCCTACCGAGCAAGCACAGCAATCTCGCGAGCAGATTGACTCCGACCTTGAGAGGTGGCAAAGCAAATTCTCTCTCGCGGCTGACAAAGCCATTGAAGACCTTGAGGAACGTATTGGCGAAATCGTGTCTGCTCTGGTTACCAGCAGTGCGGAGAGCCATGGTCAGAGCCTTTCTCTGGCGCTTCAATCCGTCTCTGCCGAACAGCTTTCTTCGGTTAAGCGAAGAATTAATGAGCTCGCCGAATTGATGCCAGAGGAGGACGCCCCAGAGATTGAGAAGTCCACCAGCGACTTGCTGGTAAAGGAAATTCGAACTTCTGCTATCTCCGTCAGAGATCGTGCCCATGCTCTCCGCGAGTGGTCTATTTCGTTTGAGGACGAACTCGTTCGCCGAGTCACTGCTGCGGTCAATTCGACACTAGATGTCCTCGACAATATTCGCGATCTGGGCTTACAGGAAATTGGCATGCGCTGGGCGTGGATGGATAGCGTCACATACAAAGACTGGGCCAAATACCATGCTCTCAAAGCTCAACTTGAAGAATGGCGTAACGAGATTCGAGATGTCGGCATGAACCACAAGTCGGTGTCTGATGCCAGAACCGTCGCAAGCGAGATCTTGGACCAGGGCATGCATGAAGCCGAAGAAGCTGCCAGAGAACTTGTCCGGTTGAAGGAGGTTGGGATTTGGAAGATCGCTGCTCGTGAAGTAAGCGATAACTTCGACACTCGCACCGAGGCCCCGCCAGCGAGACCCAAGCCTCAAGTCGAGACCGAAGCTTTGGGCGAAGAGACCGCAAGCCAGAGTTCCTCCCACGATGACTATTCCGAGACGGTGTCAGAGTCAGTCTCAGTGGATCATGCTTCAGAACACACCACCACCGTTGATGCGTCTTCCACGACAGCTGACTTCGAGGCGGAGTTTGACGGCGATGCCGAGTCTTACATGACCGATGATATTGTGGTAGAGGAACAGCCCTCCGCAAGACCGGCTTTCGGTGTTGCTGCTGCCGACGCAAACTCTCGACAAGCGCCCATCATCGATGAGGATCAGGATACCCTGCACAATCTGGCGAAAAAGGCTGGTGACGCTTATGCTGAGGCGAGCAGTGCTGTCAGCGAAGCGATCTACGGCGCATCCGCCACGCCCGGAGTTGGCGAGAAGGCAGCATCGTTGGCCAGTGATCAGTACGCCCATGCTTGGTCCGCTGCCTCGGCCGTACTATATGGTACCCCTTTGAGTCCCGGAGAGAAGGTTTCCAGTGTTGCCTCTGGGAAATATAATGAGGCTATAGCCGCGTAAGTAGTATAGATCATCCAGCGTGTTTCAAGTATTGAGTATCACATGAAAAATCGAGTCCTCGCTAATGCGAATTTCTGTTACAGTGCATCCTCCGTCATCTACGGCACACCGACACCGGTCGTCCAGTCTGTGATTGGTGGAGCCAGCTCAGCATTTGCTGATTCCACAGAGCAGGCTAAGATCCTCTATGAGATTGCGAAATCTCAAGTACTAGGTCAAATGGCTCAATCCAGCGTTCCTGCTCACGCCCAGCTCCTGGCCTCCATTGAGTCGGCTTATTCCGGGTCTCTCAAGTATGCCACAGAGGAGCTGGAGGCGAAGCTCCATGCAGTTCGGGCTACCCCCACGCCATCCAGCGCCGGGCCCTTGGCCCAAATCTCGTCAATTGCATCATCTCGGTTGGACCAAGGACTCAGCTTAGCCTCCGAACAACTAGCTCAGCTCCAGCCAACAAAAGCTAGCCCGTCTGGTCTCGAACCATTCGTCCTCGATGCGCAGCGCCGCTATTATGAAGCAGTCGGATTGGCCCACGAGCACTATACTGCATTTATCTCTACGGCATCTGGTGCAGTCTATGGCAGCCCCGCTCCCACCCCGGCTCCCGGAAGTTTCAAGGGAATCATTGAGGAGGCAGGATCTCAATACGAGCGCGCTTCTTCGTTGGCTTCTGCCAGCCTGGCCGCTGTCGTCGCATCGGCAAGCTCAATTATCTCTTCTGCAGACGACGGCAAAGCACAAAGCATCATCGATGATGCCTCATCCAGATACAATAACGCTCTTTCTGCAGCTTCTGCCTCCCTCTCTATGGCTTCCGTTTCAGCTAGCTCAGTGGTCTATGGAACCTCCACAGGTCCTGTGGAGTCTCTTTCGAGTCAGGTTTCTGAGAATTGGGAACAACTCGTATCCAAGGCCAGTGAGCAGATCTACGGTGCACCCACACCGTATCTACAGCAAGTGGTGAACAACGGGCGTCCGCAGTTTGAGGCAGTACAAGAACTCGTCTCCGAGTTGATTGTGGGCAAGCAGCCTTCATTCACCGAAAGCGTATTGAGTAAGCTGCGTTCTGCATATGAGACCCCATACCCTGTCACCGCCGTCTCCTCTGCCTCTAGCTATATCAGCGAGGCTTATGGATCTGCGTCATCTGCCGCCGCTTCTATCGTTTCAGATGCCCCCAGTGTAGAAGAGATTGTGCAGCGCGCGAATGATCAACTCCATGCTGCTGTCGACGCTGCCAGTGTTGGTATCTACGGAACTCCCAAGGGTTCTTATGAGCAGGCCACCGATGCCGCCGCTGACGCCTACGCAACGGCTTCAGCTCAAATCAGCAGTGCCGTCTACGGCAAGGAGTCTGGCTATATCGATGTCGCGAAGGACGCCATTGAGGATATCCAGTCTAAAGCCAGCGCTGCTATGTACGGCGATGAGCCCAATGCAATCGAGAGCGCCACAGTCCGTCTCGCCGGAGCTGTTGAGAGTGCCAAGTCTCAGCTGGCCGATCTTGCTGCCAGCGCTAGCAGTCTCGCATCTGAGGCAGTCGAGACTGCCGCATCCCATGCTGACGATGCGACGAGCAGCATCAAGAGTGCTGCAGCTTCAGTCAAAGATGAGCTGTAATCGTTGATCACAGCATGTATCATGTTTATCTATGTTTTTATTTTCTTATCCCCCTTGCTTCTTTTATCTCTTCCCCTATCCATTTGGGCTCGAACACTTTGGCCCAGAGTGGAACACATGCTTCGCGAATGTGTGGCCTCCGACGCATTATCCCCCGTATAGTTTGTCCCGTCGGCCATATGTGATGATCTGCGACATGCACAGTCTTCTATTTCCTCATCTTGCGCTCCTTTCTCGTTGTTTTTTGGTTGAAATATGAGCCTTGTTTTGAAGTATGATATCTCAGTACATGATGAATACATGGATTTTCGGGCATTGCACTAGGTTGTCTACCTACCTACCTACTTGGTCTACCGTGGCTGGTGTCGCAGCCATCCGTACCTAGATATTAAGGTACGCAGTACCTATAACTGTAGGTGTAGCGATTAGGTTCCTTTTGTAGAACCTCCCGTCCCAGTGGAAGGAGACGGGCCGACCTACATGTATGCCAACCTAGGTGGTGCTGGTGAGTAATTTCCACTCGGGCATGGATAATTCCATCCATGGAACACCCCAACCTATCAGGTCCTGCCCGGGCAGGGTGAAGATGCGGTTGGTATCATCGAGAATTTGAGGTAGATTTCCCTCTAAAACCTCGAGATACAAGCGCGCAGAGTAGCCGCTTCGGGCGGATGCCTCATCTCGAACCGGGTGGTGTATTTTCGAGTGACCACCATCCCAGATCGCGCCCCAAATGATGATGGAGAGACCTTTCGACTTCCGCGTATGTGGTCACATGTTCCCTTTTGTACTTTTCGTTGACGTAGTTCAAGTGGAAGACCCAACGGTGGCGCTTCCACTTGAACCACATCAACGAAAAATACAAAAAGGAACATGTGACCACATACCGGAAGTCGAAAGGTGTATGTCGAGGCCGGGCACGATTTATATACCTATGGTCAGTAGACACCTCATGAATTGGAACCAAGATCCTGGAGAATATATTCCGGACTGTAGGTCCCAATGAGATGAGGAATGGATAAGTTATGAGACAATAAGTGCGCATAGAGTGTGTCGCCAGTAACGCCGACGACGACATAGCATTTGTATCAACTTTCTGTACGCATATCCCCCAGGCTACAATGCAATCACCTATATTTCACCGATGAACCTCTCTTTTCTTTCTTCAACTGCGTCTTGCTCTTCGGGGCATCGGCCTCTTGGCCGGCGTCGCCGCCGCCCATCCCAGAAAATCCCTTCTTGACACCCATGACGGTGGTGTACGCAGCATAGACGGAGTATATTGGGATCACCGCCCACAGCCACCAGGCTCTGTCGTTAAAGAGGCAGGCAGCAACCATACAACCTTGGGTCCAATAAAGCACATCCCACATATACTCCGTCAGACCAGTCGCATTGAGGTCCTCGCCGGCGGAACGCAAAGAGCCATCCTCGTTATAAGTGGGCCGGCCCATCCGGTCCAAGTAGTATTGAATGGCAAGAGTTGGCATAGCCAAGAAGAAGTATGGCTTCAGTGATCGTGGCCGCTGGAAGACGAAGTGCAGCATCCAGAAGTTGAAGTGCAATGCAGCAGAGATGAGATGAGTGCGGCGGAGAACAGCACCATTGCGGACCGCCAGAACCTTGGCAGCTTTCTGTGATATTGTCAGAGGACTATTACACCAAGCTCAAAGCTGACTCTTCTTGTTCCACAGCACCAAGAAAGCGCCATCACTACATACCTGAGCCATGACTGAATACGATCACCAGGTGATCTGCAATCTGATGTTGAATAGAGCTCCTCGCAGTATCCAGCACAGATACTTTGTGTTCAATGCTGCAAAGCGACAACGAGAAAGAGCCGGATTAGCAAATTCCAGGGCTGGGCGGAGACGGAAGAATATCCAAGAGGACACGCATGACAGCTGCAGCACATCCGGTCACCGGTGATTGTTGCCCTCCACGACCCTGACCGCCCTCCTAAACCGGCAGATTCAACTAAGGCCGCCTCGGACCAAAATAACAGAAAGAACGAACGAAAGCCATCAACCCATCAAACCATCAAACCATCAAACCATCAAACCATCTGCGCTTGTCTCGCACTTCTTTGTTTCTTTTTTGGAAATGTCCCTGACATTCTAACGGACTGATCCTGCGTCCGCAGATGACGTAATTTGAGGGATATCTTTTTCGCTTCTTTCTATCGTTCATATCTCTTACATTTCCGGCTTCGGTTAACATTCTTCATTATTCCACTGCTACCGACCTAGCGAGAGTAATAGACAGTTCCTGCATCCAGACAAGTTCCAACCACGGCATTGGTACTGCCGGGGTCCATGTCTTGCGGGTGTTGGTGGACCATTCGCTCGCGCTGCAACTCTCCACTTCATCGCGTCGTTGTTTCCTCCCCGCGTCTTGGAGGACACCACAAAGGCGCTAGACATTGATGTTACAGCCACGTCGAACGGAGTGGCTCTGATAAACATAACACCGCTTCGATCTTCGATTTATACCCCTCCGCCCCCACGATCCCCGCCGTGTGCTGCGCTGTCGCATAACGTCCCCGACCCCTCATTATGGCTTTGTCTACCGGGCACATTGCCAGCCAGTTACGACACCTCATCTACTACCAACTCGACAATAACCTAATCCGTAATGCGCTCTTCCTCGCTGCGCGCCTCCATGCCTACGAACCGCGCTCCTTCGAAGCGCAATACCTCCTCGCCCTTTGCCATCTACACAACGGAGAAGTGAAGGCAGCATTTGAATGCAGCCAACAGACGGGCTCACGCGGACTACATGCCGGCTGTGCCTATGTATTTGCTCAGACATGCTTGGACTTGGGTAAATTCCTCGATGGTGTTACGGCTCTAGAGCGTAGCAAGAACCTCTGGGCCACCAAGAACCATTGGAGTAAGCATCAGCGAGCTTTCTCTGGGTTCGAACTGAAGCGCTAACAGCATTACAGATAAACATAGTGAAACCCAGCGACAGCACTTGCCTGATGCTGCAGCTGTTTACACTCTGCAGGCGAAACTTTGGCATGCTCATAAAGATTTAACCAAGGCGGTTGACTGCTATGTGGAGGCGTTGAAATTGAATCCCTTCATGTGGGACGCTTTCCTTGGTCTTTGCGATACGGGTATGAGCTGCATCTTTGTTCAAAGTGGGGACTTTCTAATGCAGTAGCAGGTGTCAACATTCGAGTGCCGAATATCTACCAACTCAGCCCAGAACTACTTGCAATAATATCTTCATCGCCGGAGGAAATGCCTACTATGCCGGAGACATCAGCTTACGGGGAAAGTAGTTTTCCTATGCAACCTCCTGTTGATACCGAGTCCGACCCTTTCATGGTCTCTGCCTCCCGTGGCGAGACCGATGCCCCATTCGGGAGCTCTGCTCTTTGGGGGAAGTTAAACGGGAGCTCTGCCAACTTTACCGCGACAGCCCAGCCGCTATTCCACGAGGGACTGGAGACACCAGGTGGCCAAAGCAGTGGTTCTGATGACTTCCGTATCGCGAATGGAGTAACCGACCCGGAAGGAGGATGGGAAGCACCTTTGGCGCCGGCCCGGAAGACACGGACGATCCAGAGCATGAGCCTCGATAATACTGGACAACCTCCGCCGCGAATGCGCCCAACCGGCATTAGACCTCGACACAAAACACGAACCGAACCAGAGGCCCCGGCAACCGCCCAGGGAGAAAGAGATAATTCTCTTGCATCAAGATTCGGCGACCGCAAGCGCACAGTCTCTGGACAAGTCGCTCATCCCCCACCCCCTTCACAACCAACTGAACCAGGTGCTCCACAACGCCGGAGCGTTCGCCTGTTCAATCAAATCAAACCCACTACCAGCAAGCTTTCAAGCAGCACACTCACTGGTAGAGATGGCCGAGAAATGAAGAGATTGAGAGGAGGGCAAGCGAAAGGACGAGCTGGAAGCGCGCCTACTGTTGGCCGCGTAGTGAGTGGTAATCGAAAACCTGCGGAAACACCCGACAATGATGGCAAAGACAATCGTTCCGGGTTTTCGCAACCGATTTCCAACGTTCCACCCTTACCAAGGAATGGTGAAAAGACGAAAGAGCTCGAAGCCTTGGATTGGCTTTTAGGGCTTTTCAATAAACTTGCATCTGGATATTTCGCTTTGAGCCGTTACAAGTGCGCTGATGCCATTAGCGCTTTCAATTCTCTTTCTCAAGGACAGCGTGAGACCCCTTGGGTTCTTGCTCAGCTGGGGCGTTCGCACTTCGAACAAGCAAGCTACACAGAGGCCGCGAAATACTTTTCCAGGGTCCAAAAATTGGCACCCACTCGCCTAGAGGACATGGAGATCTACTCAACTGTCTTATGGCATTTGAAAAGTGATGTTGAGCTGGCTTACCTGGCCCACCAGATGCTTGAGGCCGACCGCCTCTCCCCCAGGCGTGGTGTGCCATTGGCAACTCTTTCTCTCACCAAAGAGATCATGACCAAGCACTCAAGTGCTTCAAGCGCGCAACCATGCTCGCTCCTGAATTTGCCTATGCCTTCACGCTACAAGGTCATGAATATGTGGCTAACGAAGAGTACGACAAGGCATTGGAAGCCTATCGCCAGGCTATCAACGCGGACAATCGACATTACAATGCATGGTACGGACTGGGAACAGTGTACGACAAGATGGGCAAGCTTGACTTTGCTGAGCAGCATTTCCGCAATGCAGCTAGCATTAACCCAACCAACGCAGTTCTTATCTGCTGCATTGGTCTGGTTCTTGAAAAAATGAATAACCCCCAGGATGCTCTGGTTCACTACGGCCGGGCCTCCTCACTGGCCCCCAACTCCGTGCTGGCCAAGTTCCGCAAGGCGCGCGTGCTGATGAAGTTGCATGAATACAAGTTCGCTTTGGCCGAACTGAAGGTGCTGAAAGATATGGCGCCAGACGAGGCAAATGTGCACTACCTTCTGGGCAAATTGTACAAAATGCTCCACGATAAAGCCAGTGCTATCAAGCACTTCACCGCGGCGTTGAACTTGGATCCTAAGGTATGTCTCATAGTCAGCTTGGTCCCCCATCGAACGTCTTGCTAACTCAAGTTCAACAGGCGGCACAATACATCAAAGATGCAATGGAGTCGCTGGATGACGACGATATGGAAGATGAGGACATGGCCTAGACTTGTGATGTCTAAGGCCTTTCTTCTGGGCTCTCACGTGGCCCTATCTCATGGACTCGGCGTTTGCGGGCTTCTTTGCACAGCATCACTGGAGTTTTCTTTTTCCAGGTTAAGACATCTGGCATAACTGAGGTGTACTGTACATTAGCTGAATTTTCCCTGACATGCATCATGAGGACGGTGTATGCACAATTCTATTATTCTTATGCTCAAGAGCCAAGCCTCATGCCATTTTCCTCATAGATGGAATACTAAACCTATCTGATTCTACAATGTAGCATATTCCCCGCAAGTGGCCCGGTGACGCCGTCATATGCACCTGCGAAGGCGGTGAATCGGCATAGGGGCAGAAAAACGATTCAACGTTTCTACTCCGAGTTGCCTTCCCCACAAGCCATGGCTCAGTTGTGGATTTGATCTGTTCCTTTTTTCTTTGCTATTCACCTATCTCTTCGTCGCATTATAACCGTGGGCTGGGTGTGTTCGCCCACCAGTGAACCAAGTCCGTCCTCTCTAAGAGTTATCTCCGGGTACTTCGCCGCTGACCGCATGCTTTACTAGATCAATAGCCGCCATCATGTCTTTTAGCTCTTACATTATCTCGGGCATTAGCTCTTTCGTCGTGGTGACCCTTTCCCTCTTTGCACTTGGCCAGAAAGTGCCCCGAGCCGCATTCTTTGCCCGGTGCCTCGCCTCATATGGCTCCCTCCTGGTCGTCGCCGCGTACGGCGTGGTCGCCTCGATCTTCCTGCGGCTAGTTGGATATGGTCGTGTCTCGCAGTGGGCGGCTGGCCGTGGATTTAAGTGGGTGATGCGATTGACGACCGGCGTTACGTTCAAGGTTGTCGAAGGCGAAGAATACCTCACCACCCGCCCGGCTGTCTTCATCGGTAACCACCAGACCGAACTGGATGTGCTGATGCTGGGCTGTGTCTTCCCACCATACTGCAGTGTCACTGCGAAGAAGTCTCTGCGCAATATTCCCTTCTTGGGTTGGTTTATGTCTTTGTCACGGACCGTATTCATTGATCGTGCCAACCGTGAGACAGCCCTCAAGGCTTTCGACGGTGCCGCCAATGAGATGCGTGATCACCGACAGAGCGTTTTCATCTTTGCCGAGGGTACCCGGAGCTACTCCGATGAGCCTACTCTTCTGCCTTTCAAGAAGGGTGCTTTCCATCTTGCTATCAAGGCCGGTGTGCCGATCGTGCCTATTGTGACGGAGAACTACTCTCACGTGCTGTCGCCTCGTGCTTGGAGATTCAACTCTGGTACTATCAATATCAAAGGTTGGTCATCAAACCAATTGCCTTATGAAATACGGCTAATAACACTGAAACAGTCTTGCCTCCTATTCAGACTCAGGATCTGACATCTGCCGATGTTGACAAGTTGACCCAGACGGCGCGAGAATCGATGCTCAAGACGCTCGCGGAAATGTCTCACGCTCAGAAGATTGAGGTTGACGCCTCTCGCGCCAACGGTGTCTCTAGCGCCATCGAAATTTAAGCGCACAATCGGAAATTGTGATTCGTCACAATCTCTCCATGATGATCAGAAGTTACCTGTTGGGACTCGCCACTGCTGGCATGAGTACTATCGGGCATTCGAGCTGCAAAGAACAGCGAGAGATCAAACACAGACGCCACAACCGAAGCAGAGAGCATTCGGTCCCTTGCTTCTATTCTACTGCAGGATATCCTGATTCGATTCTTCAGTACATAAATTCCCACATTGTGTATCAATGACTAGAATCTGGGAACCTCAGTCGCTCAGCCTATCCCATACCACCTCTGATGGCTCAAGAGATCAGCAATGCATTAGACTGGCATTGTTTATTTGCCACTTCCACTCTTGCTTCGCCTCTTTCCCCTTTCCCTGTATATACCTATCTTTAGCGCAAACGCATGACATGACCTGGCTACATTTGGATACTCGCTTTTCAAGTCACCCATACCTGTAGGTATAAAGAAAAAGTACGGTAGAGACGTAATTCCCGCTACCATCAATCTTAGGTACACGAGTCGTTAGGCTCACAGGGTAGGTAGAAATCAATGCATGGAGATATACTCAGGGGATCATCACGCAGAAACAAGTGCTCAGAAATGCCGAAAGGATGCAGAGATGCAACATGCATAAAGGTAGGTACAACGCTAACTAGGTTGTCCATGCATCAGAGAGGCTCAGAAACTAAAAAAGGTCTAGATCTGGAAGAGGGGCAGTCAAGAAGTTATATTGACTGGCGAGGATTAGCCATTTGATCCGGGTCGTGTGTGACGTGCGTATGATATCCATAGGGACGAACATACCCGGAGACTGGGACATGATCACGAGAGTGCAGACAGCGACCTTCAGCACAAGGCCGGATATCAATATCAACATCAACTTCCTGCATGGGCAACCAAGGATCGCTGATTCCGGCGTCCACGCGCCAAGGGTCCCGGTCACCGATATCGCGGAGCGCATCAGGAGTAATGCGGACTTTCTGGGTTCCATTTTGAGGGTGGAGAGCGGTAATGTACCCAGGAAGGTGATGATCACTGTCATTCACTATCTGCCGGGAAACCGTACCGATATTAGGGCCGGAGGCGGCAGTGGCCACAATATAGTAGTGCTCGAAGGCAACGAGTTGGACGCGCACGGAGTGATCGGGGATGCCATCTAAGGTGATGGTGATATCGCTGTAGGGTGGCCCCCAGTTCTGGACTGATGGCACAGACTCAGATGAGTCACCAGTGAGCCTGGAGACAGGCTCCGGGGGGATGACGTTAGTAAATTCTAGATCCTTTATCCAAGAGGCTAGAAGGCCATCGCCGGTCATTTTCAGGTAGGCTTCTTTCAGAGCCCAGGTCGAATAGAACAAACGGACACCGTAGGTAGCAAGGGATTCCTCGGTATCTTGTTTCGGGTCGCTTTTATTGATACCGCGCTTACGAGCCAAGTCAAGAGTAGCTGCAGGATTCTTGATGGTTGCCAGCTCACTGGGGGAGAGAACATCAGTGAAGACATCAACGAAAGTTGCTAGATTGGCGAGTGACTTCGGGGGACGATTGGCACGACGACGGGCGGGCTCGTCAACACAGGCGACGTCGATTCCCACACGAGGCAATGCGGGTTTAGCGGTGGGTGGGTTGGCCCTTGCGACACGCGTGCCTGTGAACACCGTGATACCAGCCTGGTGACTGACATTGAACTCCAGACTCGCGTCATAGAACGGACGGTTCTTAGGCATGGGAGTACGCTGGATTTTGATCTCATTCCAAGGAGCGCCAGTGGCTTGGTGGATATAGTAATATTTTAGCAGTTGAGAGGCCAGTGACATGTGCTTGTCCGAAGTTTGATAGTACTTCTTGACAGCTTCTTGGTCAGACTGAGTCAGGGTTTCGATCAGAGGCAGATTGGTAGATTTTGCATCCCAACTTCGGACGTCGATATACCATCGGACCAATGTGGGCTGGCTGATCATTGACTTGTCGACCTTCCCCAAGTCTGGTTCCTTGGAGATGTTGTCCTCTTTGATCTCATTGACACCCATCTTGACCTGGAATTGGTAGCGCTAGTCGTTAGTGACTATTTTCTAGAGGCATTCGAGAGGCCATGCGGGCTCTTACCAGTTTGGAACACCCACTTCTGTGATCATTGATAGTATCGTCGCATTCGTTCGTGACTCCGCATATTGGCTGCTTATCGGGTCCTTATCGGCACGGGGTGATAAGACAACCCATGGATCACTTCGTTGCCTCAAGATCGCATCGATAGACGTATATTCCCAAAGGTATGTCTAGGACCATCATAGACCTCAGGTGGACGTCCAACCTGTGTCCTGCCCTGGAATGTCTACCGTAAAACTTGATGTTAGTGTCTTCTGCCGAGTGAATATAGTTCGAGATAAGGGTGCTACACGTGAAGATAAGTTCCCCGCCGCCGTCGGGAATCGGGAAGTTTAAATCACGTGCACCCAAGCGAGTCATCAATATCCAGTAACTTGGCAACCCAAGCTCGAAGATTGCTCAGTTCCTTTCTTCGGAGACAATGTCTATAACTGTTGGGGTTTTGGCCCTGCAGGGCGCTTTCTTTGAGCATCTGCAGCTATTGAAAAAGGCCGCCGAACAAGCACCATCGTCCGATTGGCGTTTCATCGAAGTACGAACACCACAAGAACTGGCAACATGCGATGCGCTGGTCTTGCCCGGGGGCGAGAGTACTACCATGTCTTTGGTCGCGGAAAGATCTAATCTTCTTGAGCCACTGAGAGAATTCGTGAAGTAAGTAAGTTCAGTCAAATCATGCCGATCCGCGCTAATTGCTTGGGTGCTCGCAGAGTCGATCGCAAACCAACGTGGGGTACATGCGCTGGTCTCATTCTGCTCGCCGAGTCTGCGAACAAAACAAAGAAGGGCGGGCAAGAGCTGATTGGCGGTCTTGACGTACGGGTGAATCGAAACCACTTTGGTAGACAGACGGACAGCTTCCAAGGCCCGTTGACTCTGCCCTTTTTGGGTCAAGATGCGCCTTCCTTCCCAGCAGTATTTATTCGAGCCCCAGTTGTGGAACGGATCTTGCCGCACCATGCAGGCATTCAGACAGAGGAAGCCCGGCATGATGATGTTGTCGTAGCACCTTCCAAACAAGCACGGGACTCGGTGGCAGAAGCAGCCACAGCAGAACACGTTGAGGTACTCGCGACACTAGAAGGACCGGCAGCCCAAAACGCTTCGCACAGCGACCCAGACAAGGAAGTTGGCGACATCGTCGCAGTGCGGCAGGGAAATGTATTTGGCACCAGCTTCCATCCGGAGTTGACAGGCGACTCAAGAATCCACGCCTGGTGGCTGAGCCAGGTCCAAGCAGCCGTGCTGAAACGAAACAAGCTGAAGCAATGAATGCGCAGCATCATAAGACGAATCAAAGATGAAAGGGAAAATAGACACTTGTAAATAGGGTATTTTGTGAATAGACATTTCCTGATTCTGCTAATTGGATTCACCCTCGCACGAAGTAACGCCATTGCTTTGCCAAGCCAGTACTTTCCCATTGTGACCTGACCTACCTTCCGGCGCCGTATTCGTCTTCCTCGCGCTGGCGCTGCTCATCATAAGCACGACCATATCCACCACGACCCGGGTCATATTCTTCGCGGTATTCGTCACGCACTTGGCCACCGGATTTGCCTCGTCTGAAAAAACAAAGTCAATAATTGCTTGTCTGTAACACACAGCCGAAGACCACATACCCGAATTGCCGCCCTTCTTCGAATCCAGGGTCAAGATCCGTACGGATGATACGCTCATCCAGCTTAGTTCCTCCAATATACTTCAAGCAATCCAGCGCATCTTGATGGGTATAATACTCGACGAAGCAGAATCCGCAAGGTGTTTTGTTGAATCGATCAAGACCCATGACTAGTCGTTTGATCTCGCCGCACCTGCAATTGGAGGTTAATTATAGGTTGTAGTGGACTTAAGGGAGACAGTCTCACTTGGAGAAGAGTTCGTGAATTTGTTCCTCAGTAGTATAGAAGGAACTTGGGACTAGTCAGTAACTGCGATTGGTTTAGATCGTAGCGTGCTTGCATACAGATTTCCCACGTAGAGAGTCGTCGCGTTCTTCAACTTATCATCGGGCGATTCCTGCTGCTGTTCTTCCTCCTCGCGATCGTTGAATCTGCGGCGCTTGTTCTTTGGCCAGTTTAGTCTCAATATCGCCTTCGGTCGGGGTTTGACGCAGCTTGCTATAGCGGAGTCAAAGGCGAGTACTGACCTTGCTCACATAGTATGCGCTCGGGCGATCCAGTCGATCGACTGTGTTCACAGACAACAAGCTCATGGTTAAAGGGTGGAACAACTGTTGAACGCGAGTGGTGTGGTGACGGGTGGTCAGGGAAGCAAAGCAGCTCGGAGCTGGAAGATCTTGGCGCCCATGAATTCCACTCCGCCATCAACAACTTCCTCTGCTTTATTTTCCCGCGCCAGCTTGTTTGCTATATTTGACCGCCCTAGGATGGTCTGAAATCCTCAATTTACACATTACAATTCTACTTACAAGCCGCTCTCAATGCCGAAGGTCAACACTTATGCGCCTGCCTGGCTGTGCCGGCCATCGCCTGGCGCAAAGTTCCTGTCCAGCTCATCCCAACGACCAGCCGAGGACCTGCAAACAGGACCCAAGCCTATGAGCAATGGCACTACACGAACAATCGCCAGGAGGGGAAACGAGGTCTTCGCTGTGGTGGACAACGAAATCCGGTGGTCTAATCTTGCTCGACTCAAAGATCAATGGCAACAGCAGGTCAAGCAAAAGAAGGGATCCGCTGCTCAAGCTGAAGAGCCGACCGACAACACCCAGCCTCCGCCATATCGGGTATGAATAACTACCGGTGGATATCTTCCTGGGCTAAATTGAATTCCACTAACGCGTCTTGCGCAGGTTCTAGCAGTTCCCGTGTACGGACTGATCAAACAGGTCATTCCCTCCCCGAACGGCGCCTTCCTCGCGATAGTCACCGAACACACCGTTCATATCTCCGTCCTGCCCGATTCTTCTCACCTTTCATCCTCTGACTCCGACTCTATCCGGTTGAAGACCTACCAGTTAGGCCCGACGACCCATGTTATTCCCGAGGCCCCAGTGGTCTCCGCAGTATGGCACCCGTTGGGGTTGCACAGCAACCTAGGCGGATGCATTGTCACTGTAACAGCCGATGCTGCGGTGCGCGTGTGGGAGTTGGATCGAAACAACCACTGGTCCTTCGACCAGCCGAGCTTGGCCATAGATCTGAAAAAGCTTGTCGATGGAACCTCTTGCGACCAGGACTTTACTCCTTCAGGATTTGGCAAAAACAAGGGCTTTTCTGCTGATGTCATCGACATGGAGGTTGCCTCAGCTTGTTTCGCGGGCACTGGGGATGAGAGAGAAGATGCATGGGCACCTATGACTCTGTGGGTGGCCATGAGACCTGGCGATCTCTATGCGCTATGCCCTCTTCTGCCCTCCAAGTGGCAAGCTCCTTCGACCACCATCCCATCTCTTTCTGCAGCGATCATTCCAAAACTTGGTGCTTTGGAAAATGAACCCGAGGAATCGGAGGAGGAACTGATTGCCTGCCGGCAACAGTATGACTGGCTCTCCGAGCTGGATGAACAAGAGACTTTGGATGCGCCTTCTGGTTCCGAGACAATACGAGGTGCAGATGTTTTTACTCGCCCGTCCAACCCCAGCGCTATTCCAAGATTGCAAGGGCCTTTCCGCTTCGATACAGGTGACGAGCTTGATGATATGGACCTCTGCGATCTTCTTGTTATTGCCGCCAGACTGAATGTCGAGGATCTTATGATGGGAGAGGATGAAGAATTATCCGCGGACGCCGGAGACCAAGATAAGCTTTCGGCGACGGTTGTTTCTCTGACTAGTGGGAATGGCCGAGTCCATGTTTGTCTGGAACTCGATGGCGTCGAAGGGCAGTGGTTACCGAAGGCTAGAAAGAACGCATTCCGAACTCCTCTTTCGGAGCCTTCTGATTTGGTCTTAGTTGAATCTCTGGATACTGTGAAGAACGGCGAGCCATCAACCACATGGCCTACATTCACTAGAGATCTCCATTCTGCATACTCTTTCTTTGTCACTACTGCCACGAAAGTGGTATTCCTATCTCTGTCTGGTTGGGTTCAGAGACTTGAGGCTGAGTTGCAAGCCGAGGACACGGCTGGTTCTCCTTTCCGTCTTCAGGTTCTTTGCGATGGGAATGTGGCCAAGCGAGAGAAAATCTTGCAGGTTTCTGATGCCGATATCACAACACAGAACGATCATCTTGCCGCGTCTCTCGTCTTCTATGACTTTGATATTGGCTACTTGCTTCTGACTCTTCACCCCTCCAACCCTTACGCGGTCATCATGGACACACCCGAAGATCCTCTCTCCGTGGCATTGGACAAATCACTATATGAGCCCAAGGCAGTAGCGCCCAGCTTGCCTATCTTGCCCCCGGCCCGAGCACCGTATCAAATCCCCGCCATTTTCTATGCCAACTCTCCACTGGACTCTTTCGTTGAGAATCACGTCCCGCACCGCCAACGCCACACACTCAAGGAGCAAGTGCGCATGTCTCCGGCGACATTGGACCTTGTGGCCAATGCTCATCGTGTATTGTCTGCCCATACTAACGCTCTCGAGCGAGCAGCCTCGGATCTCTTCCGCCGCTGTGAGCGGCTCCAGGGGGAAATGCAAGATCAATTGAGGCAGCTCGCTGATGTTGCCGAGCGTATCAAGGGTGTCACAAGTGAGGTTGGGGCAGATGGAAGTCACAAGGAGGGAGTTCGAAGCGGAGAAGCCCTCGATAAGAGATTGAAGGCCGCTCAAGATAAGCAGAGTGAACTCAACCAACGATATGAGGCACTACGCACCAAGGTCTTGAACTCTGGAGGTCGTCCATTAAGTGAAAGAGAAAGGGCTTGGATAGCCGAGGTGCAGAAATTGTCTGCATTCTTACGGCAAGACAAGGCCCAAGAGGAGGAGCAACCACTGATCTCGCGTTTGGACACTGTAAGCTCATTATTATCACTTTTTCGTCGACTGGCTATACTTACATTATCTCTAGGTCAAACGCCTCGCTTCGGACCTTTTGGCCCAAACCAGGTCCATTGCAAGCAAAATGCCTTCTTCAGAAGTTGAAGCTCCGTCTTCTCCCGGGGGTCAACCTAAGGTGCCACAACGACTCCAACGTGCCAAAATTGCAGACGCAATGAGAATGGTTGAACGAGAGTGAGTTTATTGTCTTATTTATTTACATTGCTGAGTTGGTGGCTAACTCCCACAGGTCTGCTGTTATCGATGCGATTACCTCGCGCTTAGAACGACTGAACACAAGTCTGTAGACTAACTCATTTTGCATACTGTCGCAAAGTCTAGTTTCTGCATGTATGGTTCTACGCATCAGTTTGCGGCTTCGGAGAAACGAGCCATTGTTTAGTTATGAACTTCAGCCTTGAGGCCACCAATTGCTGTTGAAACAAATCATTTCGGTCTATACCAATGTCCCCTTACTTCGTTCACGTTGATATTCATAGCCTTAGACATTCGGTCTCTTCGTGGATTCACATTCGTCCACGTTCCGTTTCCATGTGAAATTTCGTAATCCTTTCTTGCGACCAGGGTGCAGTCTGCCGGCATATGGGTCTCCTATATCTATCCTACTCTTCTGATGGGTAGTACTCCTGCCTTAAGCCATAAAACCGCAGTGACTGATCCTCCAACATCTCGATCGGGCTTTTAGGCCTAACATGGGGAGCCACCATACTGTAATACCGCTCACCATCTTCGTCCCCAGACACGACGTCTACCTCATCCGGCGTTTCGTCGTCGAGATATCCCTCACAAGAACCAGACGATATCGCATCGTCTGACTCATCGCTGGGCAAGAACTGCACCGGAGTACTTTTGCCACGCCTCGCACGATAGTCCGCCCAAACCGACCCAAGATCCACCGGCTCACAAGTCCTGGTCATCTCAAAATCATTATCCTCAGCGACAGGACACCAAGGCGGATGTTTCTCATAGTATAGTTGTGGAGTCGCGGGTCGCGAGGGTGGAGATGGAATTAAGAAGTATCCTCCCACGTTGCAAAGCACAGGGTCCCCTTCGCAGTCTATCGTCGGCATGTTGGATGAACGGTCTCCGTTTTTATCAACGCTGTCAGGTTCGGTTTCCTCCGCGATGCGCTTGTCTCCCATCATCCAACAGTCTCTGCATGTAGCGGTGCGAGATTGGAGATATACCATGCGGTGGCCGCAGCAGAGTCGACTATCGCGGTGGCATTTCGATAAACCTTTATCCCAGATACAGCCACAGAGTGTGTAATTGCATGTCCAGAATATGCACATTGAAATACCATAGGGTTTTTAGGTATTTTGCTGCTGATGGGGTTTGATCTGGGAAGTGGAGAATAGAGACGATATGTTTGGACGGTGGCCTTTATATTCTATAGTTTCAGTTGCAAGATACCCAACTACCTGGTTGGGAGCTGGGATCTAATGACAATTGACGAGGCCATAGGTACAGGTCAATTATGGAAATACTTCCGACTCAGACAAAGGATAGGTAGTTGTGTGGCTGTTTGGTTTGTCCTGTGTTTCATTTTTATGGCCTTCTTTGATGGCATCGTTTGTGTATCAGGTTGTGGCTGTGTTTGTCTAGGATTTTTCAACCAATTATCCAATCCCAATGCCCTCTCCTTAAATCAAGCATGTTATGAGACAATATCAGGATTAGCTAGATAGTAGCTGCAATTCAATGGAAGGCAAGTATCTTGGTACTTCCTGGCTACTGCCCTGAGGTAGGGTTTAGACACGCACGTGACCATGTATGTGCACACAAGTTCGGAAGTATGTCTTTTCAATGCGAGTTCATGAGGTCGGTGATAAGAGTGACTAAATGGTCTTTGTGACTTGAATACACAACTCAAGTGGGTAAGTCCATGGGATAAGGGTCCTATGACAAAGTAGTCATGTCCAATGCAAGTAATAAGTCCCAAGTCAGCTAACTTAGTAGACAAACAACAATCATCCTGGATTGAAGGATTCTCTTATGACTTGGATAAGCCCTGCTTCTGCGTTCCATTGCATACATATGTGGAGGATGTGGACGATGCCGAGATGGCTCAGTCGGGTTACTGAAGCCTGCGGATCTGGATGGTTCGGAACATGAAAGGTAACCTACTTGCCTTGAATGTCGATGAATTTTTCCTATTTATAGGTAATCTGTTCATAAATCCCCTTAGTTCATCCCAGCTAGTATATTGAAACACCGTGTTCTTCATCTCATCTATTGACTAGGGTCTGCAAGATCTTCTTCCGTCAATTGATACAGTTCCTTCCCTAATTCTGCACTGGCTCGATACTTTTCCCCAACAGTAGAGCCCAGTGGAGAGCAGGGCTGATATGGTGAGGAATCCGCAAATTAATAAAGGAATGATGGTTGGGTTTATCTAACCCATTTTAGGCCATCATATGATTTTCCACGCCCTCAAAGCGGCGCCACCATCGGGAAATAAATTCGAATCCGCGGCACAAAATCTGGTACATACAGACATATGTGGTCACTTGCTTCAAAGGCTTGTGGACGTGGGAAAGGTACCCGATTTAGTGCATGATAACCTCCGGACTCTAGTTCTTCTATCTATCATTGGGGGCCGACTTTAGGTCGGGCAAGTACTACAGTGATCTCTATGAATCCTGTTTTACTTGAACAATTCCATAATAACTAGTTTGTTCATTGAAAACTAACTTGAATCAGAAACCTCGAAAAGTCAGAATAAAGCCCCCATTGACCATCGCCTGCCATCATGTTTGTGATTTCACATTGTCGTCGTAAGTCGTTATTCCGTAGATGTTCAGGCCTCAAAGTGAGGTATGACCGCATTTGAGATTGGCTGAGCCGGGCGGCCGAAGTGGAACGAGTTGGCCAACTCTTGAGCATCCTCGACTCGATCAATAATCATAAGGTAGACGTCGTCGATAATCTCCTCCCAGGTAGGCAGGACCAAGCCGTCAAGGCAAGTCTCCCACTTGAACATATCGTCAGCAAATTGGCCATTCCACCAAGCACGCCACTCAGCATAGTTATGTTTGTTGTTGCTCATAAGACGGAAGGCGATATGCTCGACCTCGCTTCGATACTGGCGCCAATCCTGGAAGGGACCGGCCATGTAGGCGGCAAGCCGGTTGGTATATTCCATGGCGAACCTGCCATAGGCGATATGGTCAACGCTGAAATGAAGAGAGGTACGGGGAATCTTGTGAGCGGGTGCGAAGGTCGGATCGAGGGGGTCCCGGTCTTCCTGCCAATCGAGAAGACGGCGAATGGAGGATTGGTGCATCTGGTAGGCAACGGATTCGGGGGGATCGGGACACAGATTGAAGTAGCAGTTATTGCGGGTGGTCATGAGGGATTTCATCGAGAAGACGGCCGTTATGGCTTTGTAGCGAAGTTCGGCCATTGCAGCGTGAACCTCGGGAGGCAGGATGGTCCAGCTAGGGACGGTGAAAGCAGAGGCGTCGAATGTGTAGTCGAGAATCGAGTGGGTGTCGTAGAGAAGACGTACCATGGAACGCCTCCGTCGAAGCTGCTGCGTGACGCTAGCCATTTCGAGTAACTTTTAAAGAGGTGAATGGATTGGAATTTGTAAAGCGATGATGTAGGACAGAGATAGAGAGTGAAAGTGAAAGTGAAAGCGAGAGTGAAAGTTGAGAGACGAGGTGAGAGACGAGGTGGGAGAGGAAGTATAGAGGGAGGTGTCTCGTTTGTGAGAGGACCTCAATGTCCTTTGGCATCCCAACTTGAGTTGATCTAACCTCTGAATCTCGTTGCTAGCCTCCGATCACCTTTTGGGTCTACTTATGCACTGATGATCCAACTGAGCCTAAAGCCTAAATCATGCTCCGCTGTCCAGGTGGGCATAACCTATCTTTGAGTTCATGGTAACTTCCGGACTTCCCAAGGCTCCAACCATGGATCGGTATCAGGCACATCCCGGATTTCATTCTCTCAGAACGACTCGTTAGAGGTAGAAGATCATTTGTCGAATCGTTCTTGATTGTTTCAAATTTACTCGTGATGATGTTTCATGTGGGTCTAGAGCAATGATAAGTCGCACTTCCTGGTGTTTTCTGATCAAGTCTCTTTCACTGACATCTGAAATGCGAATTCAGCCGAAGGAGACATTCTGACAGTTCCTGGGAATTGTCTCTGTACGTTTTCTAGAAGCCGTGGCGGGTTTCATTTTTCGATTATTGCCGCCGAGACAATATTTGGCAAGGTTGGAGAGAACAAAGATAAGAATTTGATTGATTGTGCGTTATTGCTTTTGAAAATCATTTCAAGACATAAGACCAGAATGTCCAAAGCATTTATGTGATTAAAATATCAGCCAGGCCACGGGTTGGTCAAGACATACGCAGGAGCATGCATTTATTGGACGCTGTACGGTGACATTAGTGACGGGCTACTTGGCTTCAGAGATGGAAATTACCGTTCAATGAGGTGAACCCCGGATGCTGTCTCCACGATGCTGCTCACTTGGCCGGGCTGTAGGGCAAAGGCGGCAGTTTCGAACTCCTTCTGCATCTCTCCACGACCGAAGAAGCCCCTTCGAGTAGTCAGTACTGTATCTGGCCTGAGTAACACGGATAGACTCACAAATCTCCCTTCTTCCGGGCACTGCTGCAGTCGGACTCGGAAACTGCGAGATCACCAAGGGTGGTCTCTCCAGATTGAATGCGCTGTTCATGACCTTTAAGAATCTCAATTGCCTCCTCCTTTGTCCGAGTAATATCTGCTTCCCTCCAGCTACTGGGACGACGGCTGTCACGGTGTTTGACTAGCAAGTGGCTGCAGCGAATCTTGCCTTCTCCTTCGCCAGAAGCCTCAGGGCGAGCAGCGGGGGTGTGGTTTTGCGCCATGTAGACCTTGAGCTTCTCGGTATCTGTTTCCGCAGGTGGCTCCCAGCGAGATTCCTTTGTGGAAGGGTTGAAGTAATAAGGGAGGTTCTTAGAGTTGGAATGACGAACTTCCCAGCCAGTGGGGAGACCTGTATCAGCCTAAACCATGTCAGCTAGGCAGGCGTTGAGAAGGGAAATCGTGCCCTACCATTTTTCCAAAAATTTACCAAATTGATCACGGGTTTTTTTGAGTAGGTAGTAATGTACAAGGCAGGATTCCACGAATTGGGTTGAAGTGAATGACAGATCGATCTAGTCTTGCGGAAACTGCGGGGAGGGGAGTTGGATAACCTTGCAAACGATACAAACACCAATCTCTAGCTAGGTCTCCGCCTTCCAACCTTGGCACCGCCGCACCATCTGAGGATCAAGACGAAGACTTGGATGTGAATAGTATCAAAGTCGCCATAATGTTGGAAATTTGAGACTTAGATGCGCGGGCACACTTCATTAAGCATGCTGCGGCTTAATCGGATGAGCTGTAACATTACATCCCTTACACTGTACAGTACTCAATCAAGCTATGCGTTTCGATCTGAATACAATCGAGGGATTGCCTCGATGGTATTGAATTATGAATATACGTAGATTGTAGCCTTGTAGGCATATCAGGTGTAGTTACCTACTACTACCACTTCCGTAGGAATGCCAACTGCGTACACGTAGGCAACCCACTCCTACAGTCCTACTTCATTGTTCATTTGTTCTTCTGTTGGCTGCCGGCCCGCCGTACAGTGTCCCCTCGGGGGACTTCGGAGTTCGGACTTTCAATTTTCCGTCTCTAACTTATGTGCACGTGACTTGCGGTGGCCCGCAAAGATCGAGTATGTTATCAGTCGTCGTTCTCGTGTATACTTCTACCCTCTCATCACCCACAACTCGCTCGGAGCGCCACCGTTTTCTCCCATCGCTTCCTCGTCGAATACCCCACATTTATCCGTTACAATGGCCGATAGCCCTGCCCACTCCTCTGACGGCGACGTCAAGCCGTCAGCCCAAATTCATTTCAAGTTTTGTCGCGAATGGTATGCTGTCCCATGAAGTCACCGCCGAATATTATTGTTCGAGTATCCGAAGAGAATACATCGCTAACGTATCGCCAGTTCTAACCTCCTCTACCCCAAGGAGGACCGCGTGAATAACCAGCTGCTTTACACCTGTCGAACCTGTCACGTTAGCGAGCCGGCATCCTCCCACTGCGTCTACCAGAATAACCTGCACAGTCAGGTTGGAGATACCGCGGGTGTGACGCAGGATGTAACTTCTGACCCTACGGTTTGTGTCCCCGGCTTTTGCATTCTTTGCGGCGACATCACCACTTGCTACATTTGTGACCCCGCCCTCTCAGATGACGACTCCGATGATGGCTCAGAGGAGGTGTCAGAGGAGAGGACAGGATACCATCGCGGGGATGCGCTTGAGGATGATCCAGAGGATGCGCTGCCTGCGAGTGCCATTCCGGAGACTCAGGCCGAGTGCGAGGACAGCGCCATATCTCACAAGTATTCTTAAGCTTTCACAGGCTAACTCCCTGTTAATTGCAGCTTCCGCGAGCCAACAAGCTTTGCCCGAGTTGCGGTGAAAACGAAGCCGTTTTTTTCCAATCGCAGCAACGATCAGCAGAAACTGGAATGGTGAGAGTCACTTCCTCGGCTCCGAGATCCTAAGCTTCTTGTGCTAATTTCTGGCTTTTTCGTCCTAGAAACTCTACTACGTCTGCTGCGCCTGTGGACATGTCTACATGTGAACTCTTGACTTCTCTTGCATTTTCCGGCCCTTCTGCAATGCGGTCTCCATTTTCCGATACCCCTGGGTCTTGTCTTCTGTCTTTTAGTGATTTAGATGGCGTTATATTCGAGGTCGGCAAAAATGCATGATGTTTTCGTAATGGGGGAATGAAATGTGCTTATTTTATATGAATCGAATTCTCCAAACCAAAACCAAGGCGCTTTCTAATGTACAAAGTCGGGGAATATCAAACGTTGATCGGGGCCAAGGACAAGATTTTTGACCATTTCTTGTTCCGGAGCTCTTGCCCAACCACACCTACAGCAATATTAGTATCCAACATGTATGGTATAAGAGCGCATCCTATCGCGGATTTCCGGAGGACTAACCGTTCATTCTCGTCCCAATGGGATCTCCAGACTTGTTGACCAGAACACAAGCATTGTCACCAAACCGAACGAGGGAACCATCAGGCCGCTGTAACTCCTTCTTCACGCGAACAACGACAGCATGACGGATATCACCACGGCGGACCTTGTTCGCGAGCGAAGCCGCGGTGGTGGCTTCGGAACCTGCAGATCGCTGCTTCTGGACGACGACGACGATGCGGTCACCTAGATAGCCAATCTCGATTGTCAGCTTCAGATTTCTCTTTTTGTCACGCTGTTCGAGCCAGGTCTGGTGGAGGACGAACCGATGGTCGCAGGGCGCTTCTTCTTCAGGACGTTGACGCACTCGACTATCGAGGCGCCGGAGTTGTCGATGCAATTTAATAGTGTCTGGTGGAGAGGAGTCAGTATTTGTGAAATCAGCGATATAAACGCGCTGCCTCACCTTTAATTGAATCATTGTGTTGTGGTGCTTAATCTGGAATCTGTGCTTGTCCGCAATTTGTTCTCGGAGTCGGACGATTTCCCGGAGACAATGTTTATCCGGGCCGATTTGCGACTACTTTGTACGAAGTACGAAAATTGTAGTTATTGAGAGTACAAGTTGTTAACTATTCAACATAAAGATAAAATCTGTATTCGAGACAAATTATGGACTCATGAAGAAAAGGATTAGGTAGCGAACAGCAGTATATCATTAGGGTACAGTACAGAATCACAAGAAGATCGTTGCCATGAAGTCTTGACTCGTACGGGTGCCATAATTGTCGTCCCCACTGCATTCGCAACTCATGAGAAAAAATAAATTGACAGAGAAGGTAGAAAAGAGAACTGAACGGCATAATGCACCAACACCTAAAGAACAGGCTTGCAAAAATCACAAGAAGGGAGGAAAGGACCAAGTGACTCGCATCGCAAAACGGAAAATCAAACTGGAAGATATGGGGAAGACCCCAAGGAACAAATAAGAGATGTTATTGTGACAACTTGAAAAAATGGGCAGAGGAATGGAATGATAGTCTTATGTTGAGCCATTCATGTTCAAGGAATCACTCAAAACATGAGAGAGCGTGTCTTTTGCCGACGGGCGTCAGCACTGCCCATCTCGGGTTGGGATTGCGTGTGCTTGTGTCGAGGACGAGCGGACTGAGGCGCCGGCGCCCCAGATCCCGCCGACGATGGAGCTCCCATCACAGCACTGTTTCGGTTTCGAGCGGGGGACGGGGGCGCTGCTGAGGCTGTGGGGATCGCACTAGCTAGACGGCGGGGGCCAGCGTCTCTGCCTGCCATCATGCTGCGCTCGCGTTTAAGAACGAGATCAGCCCAAGGCTTGATTGCACCACCGCCTGAGGTGGACCCTTTTCCGACAGCTTCAGACATGACACGGAGCCATCCTTCCTTGTCTGCAGGGCTGTCCGCGTAGAAGTCAATCACCTCACCATTACCAAAGCGGATGCGGAATCCCTCTTCAACAAACATGTAGCCATCTTCTTCCTCGGCAAATGCGGACTTGCGGCGAGAACCACCTCTTCCACTAGTCTCCTTCTGTAGAAGAGAAGATCGATCGTCGATGAGCTTGGAGGCCTTGGCAAGGTTGATTGTGGCGCGGGGTTGCCGCGTTGTTTCGTGATAAGCCGTTAGCTTCGACCCCTGAAGCTTGAAGAAGCGGCGGCGCCAGTACTAATGCAATTGGTTAGTGCTGGCTCGTTGATCGAATGCTTTGGTAGGCACTTACCGGACAATCTCCTCCCTGCTGAGAAAGGAAGCCTTCCCAGGAGCGAGCTGCAACACTCTCTGCATCACGCATCTCCCGAATACAGGCATTCATGCTCTTTGGCATGTCTTCATCTTTGCTACCCTTGGGCTTAGGGACAAAGAGCAGTTGCACCTCCAATTTTCCGATCTTGTATGGTGGCCGACGCTGCGTGTTGATGCTAGTTGCACTCTTTTTGCTCTTGATACTGCTGATTTGTTCCTCAACAGCCCATTCGTTGAAGCAAGCAACATCAACAACATGGGGACGACCAAAGGCAAGTTGCTCGTGGTCGCTCAAAGCCACATATGCACGCCCAAAGCTACCATCACGCGCGACCAGGTTTCGGAGACGTTCGTACACAGGGGCATTGACGTCCTTGGCTTTCTGCTGCTGTGACTGCATCTGTTGCTTCATGTCCAATTCCTTGCGCCGACGCGGGGATGCAAATACACGGCTGAGGGCCGAGGTCTTTTGGCGCGATGGCGATGCCGCAGGTTCCTGTGTTTGGAACTTACTCTCATCAATCTTCATCTGCAGCGTCAACTGGAACTCGAGGTCATTCTGGACGATGAGCTCAAACTCTTGACCAATGGGAGCGGACTTGCCCATCTCCAACCAGGAGGTGGTGACACAATGAAGTCCATTATCTAGGGTCAGAGCAAAGTAGGACCGTTCACCTGGAATGAAATCAGTAACAGTGACAGGCAATCGGTTATTTGATGTTTTCTTACCACGTGGGAGAGGGAGGTCACAATATTTCAGACCTATCACCTTGACAAACAGACGACCTCGCTCTTCGCCATCATCAAACGACTCGGATATAGCAGGCTCGGTCTCCTCGATTGTTGCAGGGGCTTCATGGACGTTGCTGGGCTGTCCAGGAAGAGGTGGTACTCCGCCTGCGCCGGGAACTGGCTTCTTCTTAGGGATGCCTGTTGCAGGCTTGATACTTGAGCGTCGCGGAGACCCATTCCAGGGGACAGTAGTCCAAGTCTGCTGGCTAGGCTTGCGTGGAGAAGATCCAGCAGAACGTGTACCACGTGAGGTTTCGGCACTTTCATGGAGGGAGGGCAGGGGCTCGTCTTCGGTACGGCTGCTAGCAATGATAACCTTGGTGTTCTGTCTCATAAGGTATCCTCTCTGTTTGGAAATATGAAAGTTAGCGGGGCATGCACTATTGCCTGTGTTCAGGCGATCCTTGGGTATTGTGTCCTGCGACGGTGGCATGGAACCAGGGCTTTGGGAAAGAGCGAGACGGAACGCAACCTTTTGGGATTCAATGACACGATCAAACTCCTTGTCGAGTCCAAAGCCGAGGCTTTCTTCCTGGATGCTGAAAGGAATATCGAGCTTCAGACAACTGCTTTGTCTTTGTGGAATATCCGAGGAAAGGTCCAGCTTCGGCGGCAAATCGGCCTGCTTATCTTCATGATCGGAAGGACTCGACTCATTGGAAATCTGCTTGGTCAATGAGGGTACTGGTGGAACATACTGTCCACTAATTTGACGGCGGGTAGCAGCCATTGACTTCAAATCCGCAGGGGTTAGTGATGGTCGTGTCTTGAGACCCGCTCCAGGAGCTCGGATTGTGGCAATGGGCTCTGGAATAGACTCGTCGGACGAGCTTTCATCTTGCTCCGGCTCTAGGTCACGCAGCTCCTCTTCCTCTTTCTCTTCTTCTTCTTTTCCTTCATGGTCTTCGACGGGATGACGAATCACGGAGTCTGGAGTAGAAGGCTCAAAGGCACCGTCTTGCTGCATCTCTGGCGTAGCAGGGCGTGCAAGAGACTGGCGGATGGACGCCATATCAAGAGGCTGGTTTGGCAGGGCGCTTGGCTCCTGTGTATCCTGTGGCTGCCTTGTTGGCTGTGTAGTCTCCTCGGCGTCGGGTTGGCCCTCAGGGACAGGGGTAGTCTGCTCGGAACCCTGGTTTTGAGTTTGCTGTCCATCGTAAAGCCGCTCAGCAGCTTCGGCAGCAGAACGTAGCGAGTAACTGCTATCGTCGTCGTACTTGGCTCGCTGGTCGCGGGAAGACAAGCTGTTGTCTGACATGTTCTGGTAATATTCCGTAATGGAGTAAAGATCATCATCGTGCTCTTCCTGCTTAACAATTACACTGGAAGAGTCATCATCGTCACTTTCCAGTGATGGAATAGGAACGTCGGGGTCGTAATGGTCATAATGTTTGGGGCTGGAATCGAGTTGGGAATGTCCATCAAAGCTGTCATCTTCATAATTGTCGCCCTTGCGGATTCCTCGAAGTATTGAGTCGCGGGAAATGCGAGGCGGGGAGAAGAAATCGTGTTTTCTCTCGTCATCCTCCTCTGCATCATCTTTTGGCTCTGGGCTTTCTTCGGCTCTGGGGAGCTCCAAAGGCTCTTCGATTATCTCCTCATGCTCATCGTGAGGGTTGTCGTTCTCTTTTCCTTGAAGACTCATTAAACGAAGTCTATCTTCCAAGGACCCAGCGCCGGTGATATCAGACTTGCTATATGCAGCGGGAGCTGGCGGTGCAGGAAGAACGCGCTGGCCGAGACTACCGAGCTCAAAGGCCGCAGCAAGCTTACCAGCCGACGAAGGACGTGTTCCCGACATACGGTTGACTGATGGCAAAGGAGGCAGAGGACGTCGCTCGCCGTTTGAATCTAGCGATTCCACTCGCGTGTGCTGTGAGGCTCCATCTTCACGAGAGGTAGGTCGGTCTTCGGTGTTGTCTTCCTCCATATGTTCGGTGAAAGGATTGCCATCGGTATTTCCGCTGGGGCTCATGAAGCGCCAGTCCTCGGGCAACACAACGGGGGTCTTCTCAATATCTTCGAGCGAAGCATCGAAGCTATCATCACGCTCAATGGGGGACTCCGCCTCAAAGCTCATCTCCTCTTCGTCGGACTCGTAGCTGTTCTCTCTGGATCCAGATGCTACCGAGGAGAGATCTGGGGTCGTCATTTCATATTCGTTGATCTGGGGAGGAGCGTGGTCGAATGTGACACTCTTGGCATGTCGGTGACCTGCACTGCCATACTCGGACCAAATATCTTTTTGAGGGTCAAACCCCTTGCCATATCGACTACCCTTGGATAGCGAGGACTTGCTCGGCGACGCCTGCTCTTTGCTTGGGGATGATGGTCGAGAAATACGGGTTCCATCGTCATCGAATTGGGACTTGGCGACATTCATTTGACTGTCGCGTTGGGGGGCTCTCTCTGATGCCAAAGGTCTGTGAAGAAAGGCTACTGAAGCAGGGTCGTATTCTTGGCTACCCTCGAGGAAGCTGTTATTCTTGACCTTAGAGACGCGTTTCAAATTCTCGAGAGACGCCCGCTTTGCGGGGAAATAGCAGCCTTCTGGGTCGTACGGCGATAGATTCTCGGTTCCTTTCGAGAATGGCGACGGTGAGTCACAGCCTTTCCAGAAAAGGCGCGGGGAGCTATTGTTGTTTAGGGAGGAGACATCGTATGCAGGCGATTCGCCATTCGGCAACTGCTGGTGTTGTTAGCATGGCCTAGCCAACGCGTCATGAATAATTCAAAGTACCTTTGTGGCTTGGTTCCAGCTTGGTGAGTTGCGCCTCTGAGCCATAGGGCTCACTTCGGACAGTGGCCGTTGACCAGATCCGTTGCCCATAGTGCGGTTGGGTGTCCTAGTGATCCCAGATACAGAGGATGAAATCGTGGTTAAGTATCGAGAGAACAGATCTCTAGTATATGTCAGCCTTTGCTCCTTGCGGCCTGGTCGGTCGGTGAATTTCGCAACTGGTAAGAAAGGGAACAAGGCTCAGTCGCGCCGACATTAGGTACCATACCCTTTTTTTAACAGGAATCGCGTGGGAGATGTTTTCCAGCGAAATCTGTTACATCCACTTGGAAAGCGTAAAGGTCGTGTCGATCGTGGCAGGAATGCTGCGTCACAGGGCGAAGGCACCAAAACAAACACAAAATGTTTGTCTTTTCGTCGAACCAAGGCAGGAAATCAATCAAGGGCGGGCGATAACGAAAGAATACGAATGCCAACTCTCAATGGAGTCTAGGAAGGAAGGGCAAGTGAAACAAAGAAAGTGGTGGTGAAGAAGAGGAGAACAACGAGACTTGATATGTCTCTCCCATGGATTCAAGTGGATTGTTACCCCAAGCAAGAAAGTGTTGTCGCGGGAGTTGTCATGGCAACGTCCACTTTCCGATGTTTCAGCATCCCGTGACATTGCGTCAGGTGTCTACGATCGGAGCTAGCCTGAAAGTGGCATAACGCCGTGGACCTATTTCGACACTAAGACGCACCTACCAACTCTTCAATTGGCATCAACCTTGGTACGATTGCATATAGTAGAGCTTAAATGGGCATATCCGCTACGTCCACCTTGGGTCGGAACTTTCCCGGGAGTCGGACCTTAAAGAAAGGAGTTGAGGATAACTCAACATACCTTACGCAAACACTGGACGTATCATCCTATACCACCACTCCAGTCGACTATTCTGATTGAGATCCATCCTACGCAATGCTGAGTTGATTCCAGTGAAGCAAAATCCTATTCCTCTAAACATCAATCAAATTTCCATTAACCTGCTGGAACCTAACTTGTATCATAGTCTTCGTCAAGGTTGTTGACACGTACATAGACACGAGTCAGGAAAGCATTACTAGTATTGCAGGGGCATCTTTATGGAAGAATGGAAGTAACCTAGAACCCATGTCCCACATGCTCCAGTATGTACAAAGAGCTTCTCAAAGAGTGGAAGCCAATCATGAGCCAAACATAAAACCCAAATACAAGAAGCCATGGTCGTAAGGCACCCACAAAATGGGCGAGTGTGCATCCTCCACCTCCTTAAGGACACACAGATTCCACGTTAGCTCCTCCACGTCAATCTCCCAGCCACTTTCAGGGATCAATGCACACATTTCCAATGTGGTGTCCATCGGCGAGGTAATTGTATGCCTCGAGCCCTCGACCACCCTTGTTCGGTCTGGACATTCGCGTCATCACGAGAAGCGCAATTCTCGCACCGCCATCGTGTCTTTTACAACGCAGAGGAAGCCCACATCCGAGTCCGAGTATGGATTGTCATCGGACATCAATTTGACGACTTCGGCCAAGAACTCGCTTTTCTCCTCAACGCAATGTGAGCTACGGATGGTGCTACCGGGTAGGGCGCCATACAGCTGTAGTACTGGACACGGTGCCTCGCGTGGTTGTTCTCAAAGATCTCTGCATGGTCTGAATTCGAAAACTGGAGCGAAAGCCTCTGTCCAGGCTCCTGCAGGCACCAGATTTCTACCGGCATCGATTCTGGCGGACACAGCCGGAGAGAATATGGGCATGATCCGGTCAGCTTTGTCCCGGCCCCAAATAATGGTAGGTCCTGAAGGATTGCAAATATCACAAGTATCACCAAGGTCATGGCTGTGGTCGCCCACGTAAGTGAAGGATGGGGCTAGCGTTGGAAGCGCATGAGAAAGGCCAGAATGTGCAAAGGCAAACACATAGGCATCTTCGTGCACTGGTCCAGGAACAGGAAGATTGGTACGTCGAGAAGAACCTTGTCACCCAAGGTTCGCCATGCTCAACATCGGAAAGACCTTGCTCTAAGCAGCCAGAGAGTGCGACCAGAACATTTTGAACGCTTGCAAGGCAAGGCCCAAACTTGGTCCTTCAGGGACATGTCGTATTCTTGAACCATACCCTTCAAGAAATTGATGTCCACGGTATCCCAGGTCTGGGATCCTGAATGGTCTCGAACCGATGGAAATTCATCTCTCCGAGTCTGCCCTCAGTATCTGGATCGAATGTCTTGATTACTGCCAGACTAGTATGAGGAAGGTGTGAGTAGGATCATGCCACCATTGTCCTCTTTCTTGCCGACCCAGATCACGTCGCGTTGTGGTTGTCGAGCCGTTCGTGGTGGAAGGCCAAGGACGCTCGGGTATGTTCTGGTCTGTTGACTGCTCTCTGGTGGACTCGGTTGCCAGCAGCCAGGTCTGTAAGGCGTCATTGCTGGTGGGTCGACTATGGGCAAGGCACTTTCCCATATCATGACGCCATCAATATCAATATCCTGGGCAACAAGGTAAAATGAACCACTCCGCGCATTGCCACTCTTTGGCTTATACAGCCGAAGCGTAGCAGTTCAGTAGGAAGGCGACAGAAGGGCTTGAACTGCCGCAGCGCGGAGCAGGAAGAACATGCGAGCACCGGCTCCCGATCTTCACAGCCCCCCTCGCTCTTGTAGAGCTTACTGAGTTTTCACGACCACTTCATCTTTCCAGATAAATTGGTGTTTCCATTTGACCTCACGGTCGAATCCCCAGTCAATCTTCTTGTTGGCACGTACTGTGGTACTCATATTCCGGGGTTGGCCTGGATATGTCAGTCTTAACTCCCAAGTGAAGAGGCATGGGGATGGGAAAGAGTGGATTGCATGTAATTCGCTGTCTTACATTTCACACTGGAGGCAGGTATGTTGAGTGGACGCGGTGGGTTTGTCGGTGGGGAACTAGGTAGGTTTGTTTTGCGTGGACGATCCCCTTGACTGACGCGTGCTTCCAACCTTCTGGTAAGGGGAAGCACAAGATGGATAGTGTCAAAGAAGATATACCAAACGATAAAACGCGAGAAAGGATGGCGAAAGAGATGAAGAACGATGGTTGGAAAGGTCAAGAATGAAAGGAGAAGAGGCACCAGGACAGAGAGTTAAGTAGCTTCGAAAGAGATGAGACGATCACGCGCCTTCGGTGACATCACGGGCTTCGATCACGGGTTTTCCATAGCAATGGAAAACGAGGCTATTCCCACATCCATTTTGGGGAAAGGGCGACTCAGACTGCTGTGGGATTGATTGATAGAACAGCGCGATACCGCCTCGAATACCCTCGAACTAATTACTAGGTGACGTCATATCTTCAGCCTATTCCCTTAATCATGTCTATAACCCCCAGAAGAATGTTGGCTTATGTACAGTTGCTACATGGCTCGACTACTAAAAAGAGATCATACAGCCCAGGTTTGGTCAAAGGGATAACTAGTGTAGACGCAGGGATTAGGGTCACGTGAGCATGAGACCCAATACTTGTTTGCACACTTTGCACTACTCCCTACGCTCTTGCGAACACCCTCATGTTTCTTTGGGCTTCTGATAGATTGCATCTGCCCTAGCCGAATTGAATCAAGTTTGGCTTCAGTCCTTTACATATGTCAGATAGAACGAAGTCACCGGCCACGAACATTGGCAGTTTGCACTCTGGAATGGATGCATTCTCCTAAATGGACTAGTTCACGTCGGCATAGAATTTGAGCTTCCAGTGGTGCAATTCGCCGCTTGTAGGCTGTTTTTTGGACATTCATACAAAGACAGGCTGTTTCCTAAGGCTGATCCGGGACCTACATGGTCAATACCCAAGGAATCTGTACCAAGGTAGCATCAAGTATACTGATGGATGTGCTTATTTGAATGGATAGATAGGTCGCGAATAGGATGACAATCCGAAGACAGAGCAGGATGTACAACAAGGCCTCCGCCCGAGGTAAGACTAGAGCTCAAGGTATACGGATTATCGCTTCGGTGCCTACCTCTGTCGCCGGAGCCCACCTATGACGGGACCAATGGACAATGACTTGAGCCTTTCGAAGACCACATGGCGTAAATACTTAACCCCGTAAAGGTCAAGTTCCAAAGAGGCCGCTAGGATGTGGAATAGTTGCATCCCGCCATCACTGGTTCCTATTTCAATCAATGCTTACTCTCGAGTCTCGGGAATCCATGTATATGCGTATCTCAACCTTAGAGACCCCGGGATTGTTTCAGAATAGATCCTACTGGGCAGATCACTTTGGGAATTTGTCACCTTGTGTTTTGGCACCAGCCCAGAAATAGCCTGTCTTTGTATGGATGTCCAAAGAACAGCCTGCAACCGGCGAATCGCACTACTGGAAGCCCGAATTCTATGCCGACGTGCCAAGGTGATCGGAAAGACACTAAAGTACGCTGCCCAGGCGTAATGCAAATACGTCATTGAAACAGCGACTGACCGCAACTTACGCCAGATGGATGGGAAATAGGTTGATGTGACGGATGGTTTGACTTCGTTTGCCGTTTGCATTTCGCTTGAATTGCTGTCGTATTTCGAGGACTTCGTTTTGACAATACCTATAGCCAATACGGTGGGAATGCAGGATATGACTTAGGTACTTCAAGTAAAGCGTCCACCGGGCGACTAATATGGCCGAAGTGTGTATATAAACCTGTTGTCGAGGTACCAACAAGTAATTATACGAGCCATTGGCCCCTGCAGCATGTAAAATGTCGTTTGATGCATTCACCATGCATATGATGTCGTCGTCAAGTGTGACCTGCAACGGAGCCTCACAGAACAATGTGCCACAACCCTCCAATGCGCTCGCCTTAAGCGGTCCGTTCATGTCCAAGATAGGAAGCGCGTATGTTGTTCCAAGGCTGTCATATTCAGTGCTCCACATGATTGCTCTGGCGATTTGCTGGTCTCGTATTTTTCACGTGGTTAAGTCGTGCCCTCCATCCCTCTCACTATATCTTCCCCTTTCTCGATCTATCCCCCCATCAACCTTCATCCTCAGACGGGACCAATCAATATACCTGCCACCACGAGGTTCCTAATTGATCTGATGAGCGGAGTCGATTGATGAGGCGCCTCGTGACGGCCGAGTACCAAATCAAGGGCCCCAAGCGGGTACTTCCCTCGGCTGCCTCGAGGGGGCCTTAACCCCTCGTCTCTCTGGTAAGGATCCCGCCTTCTTTTTCCATACCATCTCTCTTCCTCTCATTTCATCTCTTTTCAGATGACCAAAGCTGATACTGACGACTGCAGACGACGCGGGCACTTAGGAGCCATCGTTCCCTTTCGAGGAACGGAGCTCCCCCTTCGAGGTCCAACGTCTTGCCCATGAGCACCCTTGGTTCAAGGTCGCATCGATGGCAACATGTCAGATAGTCACCATGTCGGACGTCCTCTGGAGCAGCCCCGAGCCCTCCAACCGGGATACGAAGCGGATTGAGATCCTTGTGGGACGAGTGCCCATCATTTACTGCTCAAATGCTTGCTTAGAGCAGACACACTAGCGCCGCTCATTGCCGTCGACGAGCTTCCCACTCACTCCCGAGGTCTCTGTGCGAGGTATCCATCGCACCCTGACGGCTCGTGATACCCAGGGAATGCTTATCTGTGGAATGGCGTCCCCACATCAAGAACGTTGGGTCGTCCACATGGCTCCCCAGCCACCTCATGAGCAAACCGCCGAAACCCAGCAGCTTCTGTTGAGGGTAGTGACAGGTCCGAAGGATGCGACAGTGGCTCATGGCAGGACTCGACACTATCGGCCTCGCTCCATCCGAGTACTCCGAACGGCAATTGGAGTTCTCGGAATGGCCAACCGCGCTCCCGCGCAAAATCACGTCGGAGAACTTCATCAACTACACTCATCTGATGTAGGTACGTCTGCCCCCATTCAACCCAGATGCAAAGCAAAATGTGTGATCAGCCGACTGACCCCTTCGCCCTTCATAGAAATGCATCCAGTCGCAGTTTCTCGGTCTGTAATTCGGACCGAGTGGTGTTCTGTCCATGTCCTGCGGCGAAGTTGCGCAGAACCTAACAGTTTCAACGCGATCCTGCTATAAATACGGCAAGGTCGTATACTCCGAAGAGGTGGTAAGTACCATATCCTCGTCTGAACCAGAGGGAAGTGCCCGAGCTGATCAATCACTCATAGTGCTCCCAGGACAGTCTCCCGTAGGCTTTTCTCGCACCGATAGCGCTTGGGAGAGCAACGCATCAAAATCGTCGCCGATTGTGCCACCTTCCCCTCCCCTAAGAAACGACTCCACGGAAGATTCATCCAGTGCCGCCCCATCAGCCCCTGTTGCCGTCGAACGTCCCTACGATCCCAGCGACCCAGACCCCAACGATAACGGCCCCGGCAGTGTCGGCTCCCGACCCGAGTCCCCGCCTATCAGAGATAGATGAGATAGAATGCTCATCTCTGCCACGCCGACGCAACTTATCCATTCCTTAGTCGCGGCCGAAGATGGAGAGGGAGAGGCACCGAAGAAGAAGGCTCACTCCATTCCGGGACCGATGCCGGTGATGGGAGTGGTCGCTGCCCTACCCTTGACTGCTCAGGCATCCCCACATACTGAGCAACTCTGATCATACGAAACTCGATGGAGAGCCTCGATCACCGCCCTATGACACAAACGGATGTGGACAATCCGGGCGTGAGATACGTAGTCTCGGATAGTCTCCGCGGGCTTGGCAGATTGTGCAGCGCAAGGCGGCGAGAAACAGAGACCCGCCCCATCCTGCCGGACGGTGTCCCGCACGCATACGTCGTCTCCGATGGACCGATCCCGTAGAAGCGTATATGTCCCCTCTGCCTGAAGGTAAGAAGGGCGACGACCCATGCTTCGAGAGTTCTTCGGGAACCAAGGCGATCACCTCTTCCTAATCTGGTACGCGGTCCCTCCCTGGTTGGGCGACAACCCGGATACTGGTGCGAAGCTGCACACTCGGCCTCAACCCACGTCGGTGATGGGAGCTGTCGCCACCGCACCTATTGACTGCCCAGTCGTCTTCCGATAATGTCTCGGGCTCGGCAGAATGGTGGAGGTCTGCAATCTGGATTCGTCAAACCATGCGTCGACATCGCCGTGATGACGTGACTCCTTTCGACCCGGTCTCATCGCTCTGTACCCAGTGCATCATGGCTGAGGAGGCCGACATGGCTGAGAAGGCCGTCATGGCTGAGAAGGCCGTCGAGTCCACGATACCTCGCCTATCCGAGGATGGCACAGCTAACACCAAGGCTGCGCTCAATTAGCACATTCGTCTATGGTTGACGATTGCCAAAGAGCATGACAAGGTCCCGTCTCACGTTGCGGAATTTGCCTTCCGTATCCTCGTCCACTTGGTGGCATGCCAATGCCAGGTCGTTAACGACGAAGAAAAGGCATGGTTGAATATTGGAGACATTCATTGAGGTCTACCGGCGCGCATACCGCATTAGGTCTGTAGACAAGATGGTTGAGCATGTTCGAACCGAATGCTTGGGCGGCCGGTCGCTGATCTGCAAATCAATCCCACAGCTGTCGCCCTCTCCTCAAAATGGACGTGGGAATAGCCTCGTTTTCCATTACTATCATGCTATGGAAGGCCCGTGACCAAACGTGACCAAAAGCCCGTGACAGATCGTCCCATCTCTCTCGAAGTCGAAGCTACTTGGCTCTCTGTCCTGGTGCCTCTTCTCCTTTCACTCTTGACCTTTCCAAATCCAACCATCGTTGTTCGTCTCTTCGGTCATCGTTTCTCACTTTTTATCGTTTGCTTTATCTTTCTTGTCGCTTGACACTGTCCACCTTGTGCTTCCAACCTTCCAATATTCCATTCAACATATCTGCATGCAGTGTGAGATGTAAGATCCCTTACCCATCTCCACGCCTCTGTCACTTGGAAGTTAAGGCTGACATATCCAGACCACCTAGCCCTGCAAATATGAATACCTCATCTGGGGTCGCACGACCTTCCAGCTCCGCTGAGTTCAGGCACTTCGGCCGCCTTCCTGCTGAACTGCGGTTCATGATATGGGAGTCTGCGTTGCCCACAGTTGACCCAGCAGTAATGGTGCCGTACAGACGTGGCTGCTGGCAGCCCAATCCACCAGAGAGCGGGCATGACAACCAGACCCAAGCGGCCTTGGGCTTCCACCACGAACGGCTCGACCGTATCCGAGTGAAGATCCCATTTGCCTCAGTAAACCAAGAGGCCCGTAAGATTGGCTTGAAATGGGCAGAAAGGAAGGGCTTTGAGATCCGTCATGATGCAGATAATAACCAAGTTTGCCACCGCCCATTCGACCCAAAACGCGACGTGATCTGGATCGGCAACAAAGAAGCCATTAACTTCAATGTGGAAACTTGGACTGCGATAAATACGAATCATCCGAGAGGGATCCCCTTTATCCCAGCTGGCATCAACCGGTTTGCTATCCCCGAAGCAATGTGGCATGAATGTATGTCTTTCACCCTGTTTCGTGACACGGTTTGCTGCTTGTTCCGTGATACGACTTTCTATGTTGTCACGAACAGACTACCTTTGTTTGACGAGAAGAATTCTGGTTCTATCGACACAATCCAGCCACGATGGGAACTCAAAGGCATCCATGGAGCTCACAGCTTTAACTGTGATAGTCAGGATGGGCGATCGGAGATCCAGAATGGCGACAAGGTTTCTGTGGGACCTTTCAGATACCAGGTAGCGCGCACCATCGCCATGATAGCGGATCTCCATGATACCAATACTGATGGGCGTGTGATGAGGTTTGAGCTACGGCCTGTCCATGCCGTCAGAACATGAATGTCGGTTTCGGAGATCTGATCTTTCGGCTTAGCTGCCGGCATCAATAAATTTTGTCTTCTACTTCCCTGTTTACTCTTCTCTTCTATTTGCCGAGCACCTGGATAAAACTTTAGGCTGATTGTCGGGTCTCGGAGGATGACAAGTTCCTGCCGATTGGCCCATGTATCCATGCTCTGGTGTTTAGAGGATTTTGCTTCACTAGCTTCGTTAATCAAAGTACTCATTTTATTCATATCCTGTCGGTCTCCTAAATCACCTAGACACAGCCAAAGTCCATTCCTTTATGGCGTCATGATCGGTTCCGTCGGGTCGTTGACTCGTTCCTTGCCTTCGATGTATACAGTTAGCAGCAGCCCGTGATATTTAGTGTATTTGACAAGCATATCGCAGCATCACGTTCTCGAATTTGAGGTATGGAACCCCGGACCTCCGAATTGGAAAGTGATGTATTCCAATTCAACCTATGCTACATGAATGATGGATCTGCTACCTAGGTCTTTAGGTAGTCTTAGTAGGTACCTAGGTCTGTACTCTGTTCTATGGAAGACGGTCCAGAATATATGGAACCTAGGTTCCTAGGTGCCCGCCCGGCATGATTCAAGATGATTTACATGCATGGCTGCAAAAGCTTCGTCTTTACTGCACCCTAAATTGAATGAGAATAATCCCGCAGTTAGATGAAAAGTAATATTGGAATCTGCGAGGTCCAAGCCGAAGATTTGGAACAACATCTTTATAGAGACAGCGTGATCGATCAGATAAATGCCTGAGGCAAACAGTAAAGCAGCGAGCCCACTGAGTCAGCAATTCAGGTCAGGTGATATTACGTCAGGACCATAATCTGCGCTAATCCGAGATAGGAATAGCGTCTTGGATAATCGCGAAAAAAACATCTGAAGTGGCTCTGGCCTCTTCCCAGCGATCATTTCAACCGTCACTCTTTTTGCAATTTACTGCATTAATCTCGGCAGAATGCCTCTGCCATTTCGCTCCTCGATCTGCCTACTATGCAAAATTAGGCCGACCCTGGTGGCCCCGCCGATTATTTCGGCCTCATGGGAGACCACGCGAGGCATGGCCTCCGTCCGAATGCGCCGCAAGGCCGCTCGAATGGCGCTATCACCCACTGTCTCCAAACAATCTTTGCCTACCACCAAGCCACGAAGAGAACGGGCCGGTCCCTTCGCCTCGATGAACCAGACCCAGGCACGAATTCGAGACGTACCGCGTGCCCGATCGCAGGCGGCCCTCAAGCGTTCAGGGCAGGAAGGCGGCAAGACGGAGAAGAAGGACAGCCCGTTGTACAAAGCGTTGAAGATGCAGACAACGTTGACGCCTGTGCCCTATGGTCGCCGTTCCGCTATTAAGGCTCGACTTGCCGATATCACCAGCTTCGACCACTTCCCTCTCCTTCCTGCAGTTCGCCAGTCAATTTTCGTCCAGGCTCTAGCGGGTCTCAGCGATGTTACCCCGACACCGATTCAGCGACTTGCAATTCCGGAATTGTTGCTGGATGGGTCTAAGAAGAAGAACAAAGTGAAGAAGGCGGGCGAGGAAGAAATAGAGCACAGTTTCGACCAGTACCTCCTGGCAGCAGAGACCGGATCAGGCAAAACACTCGCATACTTGCTACCTATCGTTGATGCAGTCAAGCGTGCTGAAACCCGCGAGAAGGAGGAAGAGAAAGTTCTTGCGGAACAAAGGGAACGAGAGCGGGAGGAGAGAATGAAGAACAAGGCCTTCAGCTTGGAGCCTGAAGAAGCGCCAATGACGAACGCGTGTCGTCCTCGGGCCATTATTCTCGTTCCAACCTCCGAATTGGTCTCCCAGGTCGCAGCAAAGCTTAAGGAGTTGGCCCACACCGTCAAGTTCCGCTCAGGCGCGATCTCCTCAACCTTCACTCCCCGTCGGATCAAAAACGCGCTTTTCCACCCCGACGGCATCGACATCCTAGTTTCGACACCTCACCTTCTGGGTTCAGTTGCGAAGACAAACCCCAATATCCTCAGCCGAGTCTCTCACCTTGTCCTTGACGAGGCTGATTCCCTCATGGATCGCTCATTCATAGACACAACGTCAGAAATCATCGCCAAAGTCACTCCATCACTCAAGAAGTTGGTCCTCTGCTCAGCCACGATCCCCCGCAGTCTCGACAACCAGCTACGCAAGCGCTTCCCCGATATCCAGCGATTGACGACTCCGAACCTGCACGCCATCCCCCGTCGCGTGCAGCTGGGCGTTGTGGACATCGAGAAAGAACCATACCGTGGGAACCGCAACCTCGCATGCGCCGACGTTATCTGGTCAATTGGCAAGGCAGGAGACAGACACGAGCACACCGAGACATGGGGACCCCTCAATGCCTACATGGAGCCGAAGGTCAAGAAGATCATCGTGTTCGTCAACGAACGCGAGGAAGCCGACGAGATCGCCGCTTTCCTGCGATCAAAAGGCATCGATGCTACCTCGCTGTCCCGTGACACCGATTCCCGCAAAAAAGAAGAGACCCTTTCGGAGTTCACTGAGGTTAAGCTGCCTCCGACTGCAGAGGAAATCGTGCTTAATAAGAAGAAGAACCGGGCCGCGGACAGCATTCCATTCGAGCTTCCTGAACGTCAAGAATCCATCCGTCGTCTTGCTGACACCAAGGTTCTTGTCACTACCGATATCGCCTCCCGTGGTATCGACACCCTGGCCGTGAAGACAGTCATCCTCTACCACGTGCCGCATACAACAATTGACTTTATCCACAGACTGGGCCGTCTCGGTCGTATGGGTAAGCGTGGTCGTGGCGTTGTCTTGGTTGGCAAGAAGGACCGCAAGGATGTCGTCCGTGAGGTGCGCGAGGGCATGTTCCGTGGTCAGGCTCTGATCTAGACGATGCACACATGCGTCCACTGCATTTTTATCTGTATAAATCATGTAACATACATGGCGTTGAGTTGATCTTTCGGGAACTGGAAAATACCCATTGTCATTGCAATAGTCATTGGATTGGGAGTATGTACGATATGCAATATATGAACTTAATTCTCCTCTTGTATAACAACTGATGTATTCTGCATTGCAATAAGAACTTCTAGGTAGTAGCCTCAACAGCTAAACACTCTGTGGGCCAACAGTTTGCGGTGATACGGGGGGGGGATTGGATTGAGGCACGCGTAACTGTTGTATGCTACGCGTAATAGAAAGGTAAGATATCCGCCATCGCCTCTTATTCGATAGGGTTTCCCCAGTTGGCTGGAGGACCACAGGTTGTTACGGGCAAAGCGGGACAAAGTCCGGAGTACACAGTAGAAAGATGGGTCTCAGACTCTCAGCCTTGGAAGCGCCCTCCTGAGTGATTGCTCCACCCCTAAAAACATCGAAGGAGTCTTCTCCCTCCTTGGGCCTCAGTGTTGAATTGCGATGTTGTGTTGATCGTCAGTCACTCCTTTTAATTGTTTTGCTTACTTCGCGATCCCCCCTTCGGATTTTCGGGTTCCATCTGTTCCAACTATTCCAACCACCTTCGTCCATGAGACCACCTCTTCTCTGCCGCTCCAATCTTTAGCGGTCTTTCGAAATTATTCCAGGCCCGTCATGCCTCCAAAGAGAACGCGAAAGAGCTCGCCCGCAGCCGAACGTCGCGAGCGCCTCACCCTGGCCAAACTGGCCAGCTATGACGATGTCGCAACCGATGCGCTGGTGGATCACGTATGGCTTTGTGCCCGCAAATTGGCAAGGACATTTGATCACTGACACTCAATACCTATAGGCCTATTTTTGGACCACCACCCGCAAGAACCGCACGAAATACAGCCCTGCCCGAGGGATTCACGACGACGATGTTGGGCGCATTCTCCTCCATGACGTGATTGTCGCCAAGGACATCCCAACCGCCGAACGCAAACTGCTTGATATACCAGGCCTGAAGAAATACATGGGAAACCTCCCCAGCCCCCGAGAGAAGGAATGGTTCCGCCGACATCTTCGCAAATACATTCAGATGTATCTCCCCGACTGTCCTTTTGAGGTCACTACCACCAACCGATACATAATCACGCAGCACGAGGCTGCAATCTGCGCCCGCCGGTTTATCAAAAAGGGCGAGGAGATCAAACACCTGAGTGGAACGCTCGTATCGATGACTCGCGAAGAAGAGTTGGATCTCGGCTTGACGCGCAAGGACTTTAGTATCGTGATGTCGAGTCGCCGCAAGTCCCCGTCATTTTTTCTGGGTCCTGCTCGCTTCGCAAACCATGACTGCGATGCCAATGGCAGCTTGACAACTCGGGGCAACGAGGGCATGTCTGTTGTGGCCATGCGCGACATCCATGAAGGAGAGGAAATAACGGTTTCCTACGGAGAAGATTATTTTGGCATCGACAATTGCGAATGTCTGTGTCACACTTGCGAAAGAGCTGTGCGCAATGGCTGGTCTCCAAATGGCGATTCGGAGTCCGATAGCAAGGAGTCCAGCCCTGCGTCTGAGGCTACACCTATGGAAGAGAACATTCGGACTAGGAAGCGCAGACGCAGCTCGGAAGTGGACGAGTCTGATAGCTCTTCTACTTTGACATCTTCGACTCCCCGCAAACGGACTAAATTCCAACGACAAGTTTCTAAGCTACGAGAAGAGATAACGGCTTCTGAACTAGCCGGCGAATCAGCCACAGCTGATGGTCCTATTTCGGACACCTTACTCATACCAACTGCTATCCTGAAGGAATCTGTACCCCAGGCATCAAGACTGAGGGAAGAGATTACAAAACTAACCGCCGAAGCATCGCCAAGTGATTCCCCAACACCTCTGCCTATTGCTGCAGAGGCAGCAAGCGATGCAAATGAGGCGAATAACACACAATCTGCCATTCCTGCGGACTGGGAATCTTCTGGTTCCACCACCGATGACTCCCACGGGTCGTCGACGTCAACTACCCCGACAACCCTGGATGACATTGGAACAAAGATCAAAACAGAAGACACTACACTAGAATCGACGGAGCCAGAACCCCACGGCGAGGCCAAAGCCAATGTCTCAATTGAAGGTCAGCCCATCATTGCCGAAACCCATGGATATTTGACCCCAATGTCAGACTCATCATATTCCCACGGACCAGACGATACTCAAGACACCAATTCAGAACCCCCCAAGAAGCGAAAGCCGCGTACAAAGCGTCGATACATAGTAGATTCAGTCGAGACCGAGTCAAGCATTGCCCGAGTGCCCGGTGACTACACCAAAACACCCCGATTGCTCGCCCAGAAGTACGACCGGTGGGTGGAGTGCCAGACCTGTGATACATGGTTCCTCCAGTCCAACTCGTACCTCACGCGACGTGAATGTCCTCGCTGCGAGCGGCATTCCAAATTGTACGGTTATCAATGGCCATACACGGACAAGAGCCCCGACGGCGAAAACCGAGTCATGGATCACCGTACCATTCACCGGTTCTTGTCCCCTGACGCACAATCACGCGTCTCGAGACGAGACCGCGGTATCAGTTCTGCTGTTACCCTTACGCCGGAACTGTCTGATACACATACCCCGGAAACGGATGCCAGTGATGTGAAGGAGTCTCTGAGTGCTGCGAGAGCGACTCGGCGTCGTACTAGGGAACTTCGTATGACTATGTAAAGATTACTGGATATTTGAGATGACATGCGGAGTTTTGGATATGGGAATGAGCATCTGACGTTAGTTTTGGCATTCTGTTGCATGGAATTTGGATCTGGAGTTTTGATTTCTTGCGATGCATTTTCAGGGGATGTTGGATTGGAGAGTCATTAATTGGGGGTTTTCTTTGGCAGCTACTTTGGACATGACTCGGATATAATTGTGCAGTTGTAATAAAAAGAGCGTCTCAGATTGTTCGCAATGAAGTTCAAAACATTGAGAGGACCATCACCGATCACAGCTCAGAGTGTTCGCAATGAAGCTCAAAACATTGAGAGGACTATCATCCGATATAGCTGTCTCTGAGCTGTGATCGGTGATGGTCCTCTCAATGCTTTGAGCTTCATTGCGAACACGGATCGACCTAGACAGGCTCTCCGGATCTCATGACATAACAAACAGCAGATAGGTCACCTGATATAACCAATGTACGCACTGCCAGTCTGCCACTGCGTATTCGCAGTAGATCACACGGCATGACGATCAGAGCGCACACCCGCGCCGAGACACTTTGAAGGGTATGAGAACCAGCCCGCCGGGCGACACCACACCATGAGAAGCCACAGCCTACAGGTCGGGGCGAGGAACGTAGGCAGACAACCACCGTACAGACGTCAGACTACAGGTCCTAGACAGGATAAAACAAGCTGCCTTCTGAGGAACACTGGAACAGGGCCGTGCATAATAGCCCGGTTTAGGCCTAGTCTCAGCTTAGCAAGTCTGCATGCCCCATGGGAGGCCTAAGGCGGCCAGGTCAGAGCCCGGCTGACGCCGGACGTTAAATAATGCAACAATAACAACACGGCATGACGAATCACATGGAGCAGTTTGGTCAAAGAGCAGCAAGAGATGAGCACCAGAATCAAAGGGGAAAGGTTTCGAGTGCCAGCGTTATCCCGTACGCAACCTTGGAAGACATCGACCACTAATAATGCGATGCCATCACATGTCTGGCTGCTTACCAGTCTGATTACTGTATTACATTGCTTGGAAGGTCGACTTCATTGATCCAGGGCAGCAGGGCCTGAGGTCATTTATCAGCATTCTCCATCTTACGCGTATATTGCGTGCTGTGTTCTGACAAATGGATATCCTCCCGCAACAGAGCTACTCAGCCTCAGCTGTACAGCCTGTACTATAAAGGCAGGGTCTTCTATTGTCGATAGTTCAAATAATCACTCGAGCATTCATTCCAACTTAGACTAAATAAGACAACAACCAACTCAACATGACATCAGCCGCAGTCCAACTCCCCGGCCAAGGCTCTCTGCTCGCAGAAAAGCCTCAAGTCCCGGTCTCCGAAAAGCCTCACCATGTCCAAACTACCCTCAACTTCCTCAAAGAAAACGAGGATGGCTCGCCCCCAAACCCCACAATCATAGGAAAGCCAGAGACATATAACCAACCCGTCACCACCATCCCAGCCACAGTCCACGACATCAGCGGCCACGAGCTAGACTACACTCTAGACGGCAACGGCTTCCAGCTCTACTACCACGTAAGCCAGGAGAAAGACTTCCTAGACGATGAGAAGATCAAGAAGGAATATTACGCCGAAACCGAACAACTACTGAAAGACGCGTACGTACCCCCAACAGCACATAACTCTCACAAAAAAAGCCCTAACAAGAAACCCGCCACAGCACCGGCGCCTCCCGAATCTTCATCTTCGACCACACCGTCCGTCGCACGCCACTAGACGGTACAATGATCGCAGCAATCCGCGGTCCCGTGCAGCGCGTGCACATCGACCAATCCTACGAAGCATCCAGGAAAAGAGTCACCTACCATCTCCCCGACGAAGCACCCGAGCTCTTGAAAGGTCGCTACCAGATCATCAACGTCTGGCGTCCGATCAAGACCATCCTGAAGGACCCGTTGGCTGTGGCTGATGCGCACTCGGTCCCGGAGAGTGATCTTGTGCCCATCAAGCTCATCTACCCGGACCGTGAGGGCGAGACGTACGGCGTAAAACCGGATCCGAATATCAAGTGGTACTACCGGTATGGGCAGACGCCGGACTTGGTGATGCTTATCAAGTGTTTTGATTCGAAGGTTGATGGGAGGGCGAGACGCGTGCCGCATACTGCTTTTGTTAATCCTGAGACGGAACATGAGGCTGGGAGGGAAAGTATTGAGGTGAGGGCGTTGGTTTTCCATCCTGAGGACCGGGATTAGGGTTATGATGATCCATACTAGGTTGATATGTTGGAGTCTCGAGAATGTTTTACTGTGGATTGTTCGGAAGGACCAAATTGACACAGCTGAGTCATTGAATTATGAAATGCCCTTCTTTTAACTAATGACCAACGAGAACCCAACGGTATATGCCTCTATAGATATTAAACATGGTCTAAGCTAGAAATACAAAATGCAACATAACCTATGCAACACCAGTCCATCCACCCTATTTCTCCGCAATAGCCAACTTCCAAGTACTGGAAATCTTATTCCAATACTGCTCAGGATGCAGCCTCATATGCCCGACATGCGCAGAACCCTCAAACATCTCCAAATCAGCAGTATACCCCAAGCTCCTGACATGAGCCGCATTCTCCTCCAAATCCTCATATCCAATAATCTCATCCTCCTTAGAATACAAATACAGCCTGCGCGACTCAGTCGTGATCCGCGACTTATCAGTCATAACCCGATTCGCCCACTTCCCAGACGGCTCCAAGCCGCGCAGAACACCCCACAAATAAGTCCCCCACAAGAAAACATACCACAATCCCTTCGTGACGACAAACGGCCAGGGGAAGAACTTCGCCGTCCCAACCGCCATCGCACGCGCCCACCGACCAGCCTGAGAAGCAAAGTGCAGACTGCCAGGGGTGGAATCCAGCACCAGAAGCTCGTGCGGGAACGGCTTATCGTCGCCGTGGCGACGCTGGTAGGCCATGACTACGGCGGCGGCGAAGATGGCGCCGGTGTTCGACATGGCGTGCACGAGGAGACGCTCTTTGTCGTCGCCGCCGTCGCCTGTTGGCGTTGGGAAGATGGTGTCGACGACGGGCATCATGGCTTGGATTCTGTCTTCTTCGGGCTGGTTGGTTGCCTGGAAGGTTTTTGAGAGGATGACGATGATCCGTGCTGAGGGGAAGAGCTCATGGTAGCCGTCTGAGTATTTGGCGACGTGCTTTGGTGTGCCGTCGCCCCAGCCGGAGATGAGGATTGTTGTTGGCTCGTTGGCTGGGGCTGGTTTGGCCTTTTCGTGGCCGTTGCGAAGGTAGACTCGATCAGTTATCGGGGTGAAGCCTGGGAATGGGACTGGTTGTGGAGCCATTTTTTTTATTTATGGATGTGGAGTTTTGGAGATTTGCGTAAGGGGACCTTGGTCTAGTCTCGATTAATGATATATGGCAGGGTTGTTGAAGTATTTCTGTTGACCAGGGCTTTGGTATCTGGGGACCCGGGAGGCGTTTTTAGATAGAAAAATTATATCAGACATAGCCCCTAATGTGGACATATCTCCGGGGTGAAGATAATCGTTGGGAAACGGTTCGATCCCCATCGGAGTCCAGTACCAATCTGTTCCATAGTGTGGGTCGTTGGGATTGATAGAAAGGAGTTGGCAAATGAAAGATTCGAATTGCGAATCGATATACTTTATGCATCTTTGGACCTCGGCATTTCCCCTACTTGGCCATTCATATGACACTTGGCGCCTGAGGCATATATGTATAAGTTTTATGAAGACAATGGAGACTCGGTCAGGGCGTGCCTGGATTCTTTCAAATCAATGGGAATACTAGAATCAGCAGAGGCGATATTCTGACTGAAATAACCCTCAAACTACATACTCCCCTTATCACTCCCCATTGTTCTAACTTCTACGTAGGAAGATATCGATCTAAGCATAACTTCGGTCTCCACCTGCGAGAAAAGCCGAGATCGACCCGAACTCCGAACTCCGAAGCCGAGTGACATTCCACGCTTGTTCTAGAAGGCGGTTCATGGAGGTGCTTGATCCGGGGAAGAATCAAAAGTTGACTGGCCTCGCTAATCACTCTTTGTAGAGAACTCCATGTGTTCTAAGAGTGGACGCTTGATTAATCATGGTTTCACAATGTCCATTCTCTGTTGGCTCGGCGGGTGCGTATATTACCATACGCCGACACCTAGCTTGCCCGAGGGCATATGTATAGAGGTAACGTTTCTATTCGTTCTTATGGCCCAGAAAAGAACCAAAGTCATCTTCCTTCCCGCCACGTGCTCGTTCTTCCGTGCCCACACTGAGCTTCTCATACTCCCCAATCATTTCCTTCAACCCAGGAGGTGGAATGGCCTGAGGGTTATCATCCAAGTGCTTCATGTAACGCGAATCTTCTTCCGAAGCAGTAGCTTGATGCCACTGGTCTAGTGGAGACCCTACGCCTTCGATCAACAGCTCCCTGATCTCTGGGGGAAGCTCAACGGGTGGGGTTTTGCCCCGGTATCGAGACCGCATAGACAGCTTGAAGAAATGATAGATATTTCTCCCCACTGGCGATCTGTTCGCAATAACGGAAAAGGCGCTTGCCAAGTGAAAGAAGTCTGGGTCGAGGATATCAAAGGTTGGCTGCTCGAGCAGGATATACAGGGCGACGTTTATCGCATACATGGCGAATTGGTGCATATAGCTTATGCCATACTCCGTTCGCAAATATTGAGCGATGGCAGCGATCTTCCGCCCGGATGCGACGGCCAGTTCGGTCGAAGTATATCCTTCGTCCGCGTCCAACTCAATGGGTGAGGTTCGTCCGGACCCCGAGAATGACGAATAGTAACCGAAGTTGTCGCAGCAGAGGTTGATGACAAGTGCATGGTACCGCATCCTTTGATAGAGTCCTGAGATTAGTTATGAGTCCTGAATAGTGATTCCGCGATGACACGAACATGAGTAGTAAAATATGGGGCGCAGGCCGTTCGCATAGTCTGAAGCTTATAGGGAGATTCATTTCCCACTGACGGAGCCGATCATACATGTCTTGCTTGGCCTTCTGCGTGTCGATTCCTTCTTGCTGTGCAGTCGATAGACTCTTTGAGATGTCGCGAGCGATGTAGGCTAGATTGCAGGCTTCATCAAAATAAAGTGCCATCCAAGATGGCTTGGCGTAACTGGAGATTGGATAAGGGGTCCACTCATCCCTAGGGTCACCTGTCTGGATACGATCCACGCTCACTGCATGCACACGGGTGGGTTTAAGGAAGTTTGTGTGGACGATTCTAGTGAATATCGACATTAGTTTGGTCACTGGGATAGAGAGGGAACCCTCCAGTGCGAACGTACGTGTCGATTTGGAAAAGCCCCCAAGCTGTTCGTTTGACTGATACTAACATGTCCTCAGACATCTGTGAGCTGTTCAGGGTCCGTTTGGGGCGGTTGACAATTCCAAGCTCTTCTGCCATCTCTATAGCCCGGTTGAGCATAGCATAGCCAAAGTTTTCATTGCCCAATACGGAATATCTGATTCCCAGAGGAAAAGCGTTAGAGCTGTTTATACCAGCTGCGAAACCCAGAAGAACTGCAGTCATACCTTTCATATAACAGCAGAGTTGCTTGCAAGCTCGCAAGACGGGTGCCGCTTCCCCTTTCAAATGAGTATGCACTCATATAGCTCTCTGCCTCTGCCAAGAAGGCAGCGCCTTTCGTTCTAACGTCTCCCGGTATAGCGTAGGTCTCTGAATATTGAGAATAATCCTGATTGGCTCTGGCTTAGCGTTTGGTCATTCCAGTGAGATTTTGCACTCACGCATGCGTTCGCAAGCAGGGCATTGACAAGAAATGGACTGCAAAAGTCCGAGTTCAAGATACCCTTTGACATATGCTCAAGAAAGATCTCACGATCGAAGAAGGCAAAGAAAGGATAGTCCCAAGTCATGTATAGGGAGACCAAATGTGAAACCAGATCATCGTCGTCAGTGACTTTGGTCCATGGTTTCGCTGGGACTTTGAAAGGAGCGTTGCCACACAAGTAGTGAATGTCCATTATCTGAGGCCGATGCTGTGCTGCATCATCCTCGGTGTCCATTTCGTGTTTGATCTTCTTGTTGCTGCTCGGGGCTTCCCTGTGGTGTGTACTCGGCAGAATTCGGTCTAAATAACCACGTATCCGGTGCAGCGGGGTACGCTGTCGAATCATTTGAAGCAGTTCCTCCTGATGGTCTGGGCTCGCCGATCGTATTACCTCGAAGCAGTCGAACAACATGCTGTGGTAATAGTCATTGGGCGCAACATGTGCGGAGGCGCGCATCCCGGCTTCAGTTGGTGCTTGAGACATTGCGAGTCTGATATTTGACACGGCAAAGACTCAAAGCTGTAGCTAAGCTTCCAGCATAGTATAAGCAGGCCTCATAGTGTCTTTGAATCCTGCCTGTACCTCTGTGTGGAGCAGACGGACAATCATATACCTGCATTCCACAGAGTCTTGGGCGGGACCTGTTGGGTGACGAATCATGACATCAAGTTGCGACGATTCCTGAAAAACTTGGCTGAAACTTCATTTTTCCGTCTGTAAACAGAAAGTTGACCATCTTGGCCACACATCTTGGACAGGCTCACGTGTGCTCTTGTTTTCTCTCGCTCGCCACCTTGTCTAGACTGTTCAGACCCGGAGAAGTCCTTTGTTTGTCTTATGAATTAAACCAGGCTTTTCAAGTAGTTGGTTGCAAAGGATCGAGACCAAAACATTTCAGTACGACCGAGTTGTTGGGGCATTTTCAATCCCGTGATGTCATCGAGAAAAGAGCTGGAAGGCCAGGCAACGTGACATCATCCCATCATCTTACTCCTTTCTACCAAACAACTCTTGTTTTCATGTCCAATATTTTCATATCCCCCGACTCATCCAATGTACTCTCACTATGAAAGTTGCAATTCCACGGCAACGTACCGTCGCCGCAACATCTAATAGACGAGTCCCACGGGCGTGTGAAGCTTGTCATCAGCGAAAAACAAAGTGCACTGGCAATACTCCAACATGTAGGCAATGTGAGGAAACCAATACTCAATGCGTCTATCCCATGAAATGGAGAGAGAGGGAGAAAAGGTAACTACAACCCATCACAGCTGCATTGTCCGCAATGTAGGGAATACATATTTCCGTTGTTCCTGGGTGAACTTGGAATAAAATTGGAAACCTCTAACTAAAATTTTAGGCACATTGGGAACCTCCATGAAAAAGCGCAGGATTATGAGGCAATGCTGAAGGAACTGGAAGGTCTCATTCACGGCAAATCTGCTGACCGAGTTAGGGAACTCCTGGAGAAGGTGAGGCGCCTTGAATGCCGAAGGCATAGGAGAATATTTGCCTGACCGATTCTTCCGCAGTATGATTCTAAATCAGGTGATTCCTCTAACGGAAGGTCACACAACGGGTTCCAAGGACAGGCTGAGTCGGAGCGATCTAGTTCCCCGAGTGGATCTCTGGAGGGGATAGATCAAGTCGAGGACGACCTCAATTCATCAGCGAATTTGCGGGCTACTGGCTTCATGGGCAAGAGCTCAGATATTACATGGATGCGTCGGCTTCGGGAAGAGACTGAGCAGCGCGGGAAAGGTCAACCGCCGGAGTCCAAGTTCGAAGACCAAAGTCGCAATGACCGCATCCCTCCACATCTGACAAACTATCATATTGATGACCTAGGCATTGATGCACCTGGACCGGTGCAGATGTACTGGGTGCCTCCTCGAGCCGTCGCAGATAATCTGTTCGAGATCTATCTGCATTGGATCCACCCGCATTTCCCAATCATTGACCGTAGTCTGTTTGTTATTCAATACGGGGACTTTTACAACGATGTCCTCTATCCCGGTGATAAATGGATGGCAATATTGAACATGATCTTCGCCATTGCGACAAACTACTTATGCAACAGTGATGGTACGAGCCAGTTGACGCACAGCGAACACCTGTTCTTTCTCGCACGAGCTAGGATGCTCAGTATGGGCGGTGATAGTATATTCCAACATCCGGATCTTCAACAAGTCCAAATAGAAGGACTGATTGCATTTCACATGCTATCAACAAATCAAATCAACAGGTCAGTTCAATCGAGCCTCTTATCTTTTTCAATCTGACCAGCTTCAGAGCGTGGAGAATTTCTGCATTGGCTGTTCGGTCCGCAATATCGCTTGGACTCAACAAGAAAATCAATGCATCCAATATCAATGCTCATTCCCTAGAGATACGTTGTCGTGTTTGGTGGTGTCTATTCGCAGTCGAACACAGGCTAGGCTCGATGACCGGACGGCCGGCATCTATCTCAATTCATATGTATTCCACTCAGCTACCCCTTCCTCTTGAAGAAGAGCAGTTCTCAGAGCCCTCAGCCATGTCGATCTTCAACAATTCAGAAGCCAGAAACATGCGTTTAGACATGGCTATGACCAGCCCGCATCTGCGACAATCCGACAGACAGCGCACTCAAGATACCTTAGTTGGACGCTCATGGCTTCAAAGCCTGCCAGTCACCCCCAGTCTCTTTTTCCTATACCACTCTGATCTGACCGTTGTGAACCAAGAGATCCTCAACCGTGTTTACACCCCCGAGAATGCTATGGCGTCTTGGGAAGATATCAAGAGTCGAATAAGACAACTGAAAGACGTGGTTGAGACATGGTTCTCAACCCTCCCATCGGGACTGAACTTTACTTCCATGAAAAACGAAGATGGCCAAACCTACTGGGCAAAGACGAACCTGGCGTTCCTCTATCACAGCACGCGAATCCTGCTGGGACGACCGGCCCTCTGTCGACGTACAACACACGGGAAAAGCTCTGATTTGGATGAGTTCAGCAACGACATGTCGGTTATTACCCTGGAGTCTGCCATGCACATGCTGGATCTGTTGCCAGATGAGCCAAACACTCTTCATGCATATCGATTTTGCCCATGGTGGTGCCTTCTGCACTATATCATGCAGACTGCGACAGTAATCATTTTGGAACTTTCATTTGACTGTTTTCATATGCCAGGGCGAAGAAACGATCTCCTCCAGTGTGCGGGGAAGTCCGTCCGGTGGCTTCAGACCTTGTCCGAGCATTGTATCGCGTCGCGCCGCGCATGGCAGCTATGTGAGACTGCACTTGGCCAGATCTTGTCTAACACGGGTTCGGACGCCCAGGATGTTCCGCCACCTGATCAGCAGCGGCACGACATCTCTGTTGATCCCAGTACCTTTGTGTCGCCTGCTTATCTCAATACGACCAATGTGCAGAATCCGCCACATGAAGCCCAGATGGTGAACCAGCGCAGCAATAGTTTGGATATCACGAATTCTTTGGCATCTGCATCTCTATCTGTGCCGGGTATGCAGGGGAACTCTGTAGATGATGCATATTTCCCCCAGGATCCAATCAGTGGGGATTTCATCCGTTATATCTTCCCTGAATTGAATGTCGAAGACCGCCTGCCCAGTGGAGGCCAGTCTTCATAACAAGCCAAACAATACACCGTATGTATCCGAGATCAAATATATGCTCAACTCCAGAGTCCACATTGTGCAATGATGCAAGCTTTTATAACCCTCAGCTTATTCACATGCTAAATATCCAAGACAAGATGTAAATGTACAAAGACCGACCCAACCCACGGCCCAATTCGAATCTCCCAGAACAAATAGACGATCAGTATTCCTGCTGATCATTCCAATAAGCAGTTCCAGACTGGACCTCGCCAGTGGGCTCAAGGTTCCACCTGAGCACCAACTTGACCCACTGCAACAAGTGACTAGCGATCTTAACGTGTCCCACGTCCGTCAAGTGGTTCTTGGGGTTGATATCGTTGTGCTGCAGCAGACCCTCGGTGGGGAAGTAGTAGACGAAGCCACGATCCTTGAAGTGCTCGTGGACCTGCTTGGTTTCTTCGAGGTAGTAAGTGCTACCGACGAATTTCTTGTTTTGCTTGGTGAAACCGCCCCATTGAGACTATGGAAGTTAGTTAACGAGTCGGGTAGAGGTGATTAGCCGATACATACCATGAGCAGGACAATGGCGTTCGGCCAGTTTGAGTGCACATCCTCGACCAAGTCAACGTAGGCGTGGTAGTAATCCCGACCGGGAATTTCGTTGGGGTGGCGGTGGTCATTACCGCCCATCTGGATGATGACCAGATCGGCCGGCTGCTCTTTCTTGACGTCCCAGTGCTCGGGCTCGTGGCCGTAGATGGAACGTGCGCGAGAGCCTGGGTCAGAGGCCCGGTGCCAATACCATCCCTGGGGATGTTAGTGAATTTAGGAATGAAGTGCATTTGTTAGAAGACATACCACGCCCCGAGATTGCCCGCCATAGCATTTCTGATCGGCAAGACACACTCCGGGATAGGCCTAGGAATAGTGTCAGTGAATTTGAGAGTCATGGGATGCATATTAGAGCGGACTGACCGTGATGCCATATTCGACGTTACCCAAGCCGTTGGCGAACATGAAGGACCACGAGGAGATTGTCTCGTAGGTTGCAAATTGGCCAGATGCAAGGCTGGGAGATGGTCAGGTACATTGTCTTCAGTTGGAGGTGGTGAAGACTCACGATCCACCGATGATTTCGACTCTCTTGTCGAAGGTCGGAGCTTTGGTGATGACGGCGTCCTTCGCGACAGCTACGCCAGCGATTTGGACTCCAATGCCCCAGTTCGTTACTAGAGTACAGTTAGTGAAAGGATTATCACAAGGTTGTGACAAGATGCGTACCTCTCATCTCGAAGATATTCTTGCCGATGGGTTCATCGCCATCCTTGAGCTCTGACCAAGGACCAACAAATTGATACGTTGAGTCGGCGGTGACATTAGAGAATTGCCAGTCAAGAGAGCCAATGCTATGAAGTGTTAAAAAGACGAAAGACAATACGCCGACAGCGACATGCAGACGATTTACATACCGATAAGCAACGAGCACACCTGGGATAGTGCTTGGGCCGAAGTTGACAGCAAGCTAGGATGGCATTAGCATGTGGACCCAATTAAAGTTGACCGGAATGGAAAAGATGTACCTTCTCCCCAGAGAATTCGACCTTGATTCCAGGAGCCCTAAGTCAATTAGTATAGAAACAGAACAAAAACAGCAAAAGAGGAAACAAGACATACGACCACCCTAAGCATTCGTTAGCATCAAAGTTAAAAGAAAGAATCCGGGGAAGAGCAGTCCGGGTACAACTCACATGAAATGTGCTGGCTATCCCATCGACCTTTGTAAGAGATCTCCGGGGCATCTGCGGGATAGCTTCTCCAGGAATCATCCAGGGTTACGGTCTGCACCTGGCCAGGGTAGGCGTTCTCTCTAACCTGACCATTCTCCAGAATAGTGGCGGAGGCAGCCACTGCCCATGATAATAAGGCTGTCAGTCGAAATCCAACCCGCATTGTGAATAGTTGGGTTCGCTACGGAGTCTACGCTGTACGACGGCCCACGAGGTAGTTTCTGAGGCCCCTAACCTCCTGACTAAGGGGTAAGTTGTCTCGGGTGGGAATTACTGAAATTGCGTGATCTTGGCGCGGGATGGTTTAAGGCGTTTTGCCAAGCCTCTTAGCTCCCCACAATGGAACTCTGAGAGACTGAAACGGTATCGTATGTGTAATATTAATTACCGCTGACAGCCCTTAAGCTGGGGAGAGCATCTGTATCTGATCCAATTTCCCGGGACCGTTCTTTTCTCTTCCTCAACACGTATGCTGTATGGATGCGTAGCGAGATAAGTGGGCCTTGAAAACGGTCCTCCACTTTCATTTCCAGAGCTCACAGCGGAGTACGGCCTTTCTACGGAGAAACAGCTGACGCTTTGGCTAAATCGAACGTGAGTTAAGCCAAAACCCGAATAAACAACGGTATGGCCAAACAGAAATTACACTATCTCCGAACCAAGTCGGTGTAGATGTCAGGAGTCGGGACAGTGCCTGCACTTCAGGGTGCTAGCGTTGACAAAGTCCCTTTCCTGTCATAAAATGCAGGGGATCCCCCCACCCATTTGAACATAAGGATGATCATCTTGCTCTCCCCCAATCACTGGAAAAGACTCGTCGAACCCATATTGTTCCATGCTGATCAGTCCAAGGCAACAGATTTTAATTTGCTCTGAGATCTCGGACCCTTTCCCCAAAGTTTCAACCTCGTAGGGCTTAGGTCTGGTCGATTATTCAGCACGTTGATGATACAACGTACAACATAACCTCGTTGGTGGCCCCAACCCCGGAGTCGCTTTTTGCTAGCGTTGAAAGACATATAAGAATATTACTGTGGGAATAACGTTAAACAGCCTAAATTCAAAAGGCCTAGAGTGTTCCTTCATCAAGACACCGAGGTGGCAGCAGCCGAGGCAAAACACCTTTCCTACTTAGGGTCTTGGGGCTGGATGATCGGTCCGATTGGGTGTGTCACAGGACACGCAAAAAAAATACATTAAAAAAGATCTGCCGTATCTCCGTGTGTTTTACAGTATGCAACGGCAGATTCTAATTTCACAAGTTAGTTCTAGAAGGACCCATTTCCAATAGTGGGAGAGCTAGCATGGCAATTCAATCAATCTACGACTAAGGATGAGGTGCCAAGACAATCGTCTGTCCGATTGGCTGGTCAGCATGTTATTGTGCTGAGTGCAAAATATTTTCGAGATACATAAAGAACTCGAATGCCGATGCTTTCCCGGATTTGAGGAATGCCGTCCCCTCGTTGCAAAGATGATGTCTCGTTCCTATTCACCATTCCATGTGAAAGTCTGTTCGCAGACTGGGTGATATTCGGTTGACGTTCGGGAAGTTCGGGAGAGACGATCTTCGCGTGGGTCTTGATTGACAAACATCCGAGTGATTGAACGAACGCGTATCTCCTTGTCCTCGCACGTTGCACCACTTTATTTTGTAAGCATTCATAGCTCCCATCGAGCATTGACTACGGAGTAGACCACTTTCTTTTCTGGCGCTTGAGTGGAAAATAGGGGAATTCTTCTCTAAATTCCATCCCCTGACATGGCGTTACGAATGTTACCAATGGACGCAGGTCCCTGGATTTTAAAAAAAGTATCAATGGGAAACCCAGATTCCCATTTTGCCGCTGGCACTGGATGGGCCAATGAGAGTGGACTAGAGGCTCCGTGCGATGAGCGCCAAGATCTGGCGTATTTTCAAGCGGTTAGTCCATGGTTCCAATGGACTGGGTGCCGGTCTTTTATTGGTTTATCAAATACGTGGTTTCAGTTGCGCGTCGTCAGCTTCCTTCTGTAGATACGCAGTAGCTTAATTTGTGCAGACGATAGCTTCATGTGCTGGACTACTCCGGACGGTGGCGGTACTCCATTTCCCTTAGCGAAGTGCTTGGTAACAGTGAGGGATCGGATAGCTGCGCCGTACAACATAGTTATGCTGTGTTTTCAAGTTCATTGTCCTTCATTCTTTCAGAGTTGATTCAAGATTTGCGCCACAGTCACAACACAGACAACATTGGCGCAGCGCATACGGTAAACGAGGGACAGCGGACTGACCTCAATACCAATCCAACGTGTTATTCATACAAGGGTTGGGGGCTTGTATGCAAGAGGCCCCGCCCGCTCCACGCTATGATGGACCCCAGTTCATTCGGCCTCCTCGTACCGTTTCCGCTTAGCCAAGGCCTTTTCCCTCCCCGATCGACTCGTGGGTATTGAACTGATTCGGATTCTCTTACATATACCCCATTCTGCTTTCCTTAGCCTTTTTTCTCATCTCTGTCCCGTTCTCCATCCACGCTCGTTGATCTTATGGGGAGTGAGGTTTTGCATTGTTGTGCTTCTCTAATCTAGGTATAGACCTTCAACTGTCTCTTCCTCTCCTTTTGCATCCTCTGTTATTCGACATTTTTGAGTGAACTGCGACCTTTCCAACATTTATGGTCGCTTGCGCCCTTTCATTGTACACCAACTAGACACCTCGAGTCTCCTTTCCGACTCGTTTGGTTTCAAATCCATTCATTACGCCCATCATGGAGTACATTCAGAACAACCACCTCTACTCGCGCATACTGGACAACATTCCCTGGAAGTCCGCAGATCCATCGGTGAAAGGGGATCCGCGGAAAAGTGTCAAGTGGATTGATGTGCGTTACCAACTCAGCCCTATGAGGATGAAGTGGAAGATGTGCGCAGTGAACTGACTGGATAATAGGGTCTTCGCGGAATTGCTTCGTTCCTAGTCATCCTAACTCACCTTGCCCGCGGATGGGATTACGACCTTTTCGCCCCTCGTGACGATGTTGACACTCCTCCCCGAATCCTGCAGTGGCCCGTGTTCCGTATTCCTTGGCAAGGCCGTCTGGGTGTCACCATCTTCGCCTTCCTGACTGGCTATGTTTGTGCCCTGAAGCCGCTCAAGCAGTCTCGCAATGGCGATATCCTGGGCGCATTCACATCGGTGGCCAAGAGTGCCTTCCGTCGCCCGCCTCGTCTTATCTTCCCAGCTACAATCGCCTTGATCATATCATGGGTGATGGCACAATGCGGCGCTTTCATTGCTGCTAACCGCTCCGACTGTTGGTGGTGTCGGTACGCCGCTCCCGATTTGATGCCCACTTTCTGGCAGGAGGTCGTTCGCCTGTTTTCGACCTTCCTCGAGGTTTGGACTACCGGTTACATGGCATACGATGACCACCAGTGGGCTTTGCTTCCGTTGCTTCAGGCATCTATGTTGATTTACATCCTTGTCTGCGCCACCATGTTCTGCAAGTTCCGATTCCGCGTGGCCATTTACGTGGGAATGTACCTTTACTTCCACCAAAATGCAGCCAAGAACACTGGTAAGCTTTTGGATGACTCCACATGCTACGTCCTGATACTAACCATGGTCTAGAAACATTCCAGATGCAAGCTGTCTACGGCATGTTCCTGAGCGATCTCTCCTACGAGAAGGGCTTCAAGGAGTTCGTCGAGCGCCACAGCTGGGGCCGCAAGATCGTGGCATTCACCCTCCTGGCCATTGGACTCTTCGTCTGCTCCTACCCCGGAGAGCACCCCGAATGGGCCACATGGTCGTCCTACATGCAGCAAGCCGCGCACTACATCTTCCCCCCGAAAGTCAACGTCGGCAGACGCTACTCCGCCCTCGGTGTTGACCTAATCATCTTCGCCATCTACATCTCCCCCAGCACCAAGGAGTTCCTCTCCAGCCGCCTACTCCTCTGGCTCGGCAAGCAGAGTTTCGCCGTCTACCTCGTGCATGGCACTCTCCTCCGCACAGTTCTGTGCTGGATGCTGTACGGCATCACCGGCCAGCCCTGGTCCGGTGACATCGTCGACGAAAAGGGTAACCCGATCTACGGCGAGGACGGCGAGCCCCTCCACCCGCACTGGATCCCCATCCGCCCTCCCTGGGTCGTGGCCATCAGTATCCCGGCCTGGATCGTGCTGGTGTACTTCTGCGCCACTCTGTGGACCGGATACGTTGATCCCTTCTGTGCGCGCATGGCTCAGAAGTTGGAGAAGTGGATGTTCGAAGAGACTGATCAGTCTCCGCCGCCACTGCCTATGACCAGCATCCCGATGCCGACGGCTTGATTTTGACTACCTATCGGGAACAAATGTTGGAATGATTTTCACGAAGCAACGCCCTGGCGGCCTTCGCTTTCTGTCAAAGTGTCTTTATGTCACTCTCTGTTATATTTACATCTTCTGAGCTTTGCATTACTCTTTCTCTTCAATGGCCCGCATTTGGACACCTTCCTTTCCCCATTACCTTTATTCATATTTGTGCAGATCATGATTGGTGTTTTTCTTTTATCTGACTTAGCTTTCAACGAAATGGAGACGATTGAGTCGAGGATGGTCATTTCGGATGTACATATATCCTCAAGAACCGATACCCGAGACCTGACTCTGACATCCTTTGACAACATTAGAACGTCGTACTGTGTAAATATGGCCACAATACCGGCAATGGCTCCGCGACATGGGTGTTAAACCCAAAATACGATGCCGAAGCCACCAATTTTTGCACTCACATGCGTCAAAAAAGGGGCAACTCTATTCCAAGCCACCTACATCGACCTGCATCAATGCAACAAAACACCCCAGCCAAAGCACAAAAACACCGCAAGTCCAAAACCGACAATTGCAGCCCCTGAGAGCCAAGACCTCCGAGTTCCGTAAATAGGGCTGGATCGACGCCGCCTTATGCCAAGCGCCCCACGAGGAGTAAATTTCCCAGACACCCGAGCGGTTCAAGGCGCATCGCCAAGAAGAAAATTACACGTACGGAATTACGAAGTGAACAGCCGGTGTGGTAGTGGGACCAGTATTTCCGGGTCTTGTTTACGCGACAGCTGATACGGGATACAGTTCTAGAACAGGACAGCATCGTCGTGAAGAGAAATTGAATCCACACCTCCTACGTAGTACTATTCCCCAGCCTTTGCGTAATCCTCTTGGCCCTGTGTCTACTGTGGCAATCTGATACAATGTATTGTTTCTCTTGTATTGTTCTTACCTCCATGCCGAGACTATCGTCGGTTCGTACCGCGATTGCGATAGACACGTTGCAGTTTGCACCGTTCAGAAACGGGGGAACAGATATCCGACAAGATCTCCGTTTCACTAGCTCATCTCATCCCGCGGGATGCAGCTGTTTGGATGATCCTGATTCCTGTGGACCTAGCATTACAGCATACACTGCTACGGAGTTCCGCAGACACCACGACAATGTCGTGTAGTAGTAGTGCCCACGTGCGTCGAGCAGGGGACAGTGTTGCACGGCGCGGCCCGCTGATCTCACTGTGTTTACGCAAAACGGAAACCGGAACGGCTTGGATGCGGCTCGTGCGAGGGTTTTCGTCCCCCCGGGACGGGAGGTCGTGGGGTCGTTCTTGCGGGTCTGGTGGGTACATGTCTGGTCGGCATTCGGGGCCCGAATGGAAGGGATCTTCGTGTCTAAGTCTTGGGAGGTCGGGATGTCACATGGGATTTTCTTCTTATCTTGATAGAGGATTAGTTGATTCATATTGGACCAACGTACGTCGTACATGAGAACTGTAATGGTGGAAGGGGAGTTGTGTACAACCTACTTTACTTGGAGCTTAGGGCTTGGGCTTTAGGGATTCAACTGTACTCGGTCTCATGAGCGTGAGCGGCTGCTATTTCCATTCTTCTGAGTATTCCCATCTCTCGCATCCACAGATACTCGTGTCTAAGGCTTCACCAGACTATCCGTTGAGAAGAATTGCTAGAACCGAGAGCGTACTCGCAATGAGACCTCTGCATGGCTGTACAAGCAATGTGCTGACAAGCAGAAGAAGGAAGAAGGCAAGTGGGAGATGAGGAATTGACATAGACCTCCCACCTCATGATCATCCAACAATGTACGGAGTACACGTCCCTGAGATCCACCCGGACTCTTCTAATCTCATGGATCTGACATGTAAACCTATGTCAGAACTCTATCTCGTAGAGAACCCTGGACCAGACGGCGCCAAGCTTTTGTCGGCGCACCTGGGGTTGAGTTCGCTATTCAGGTAACCATGGGCATGGGGCCAGAAACGCACCACCCTTGTCATTATTATGCATGTTGACGCCCGCGCCAGATCCATTGGGCCTGGGGGCTCGGCGGCCGTTACCTAATACACTCACTGGGCAACGATAGAAACACAAACGCCGAGTTGGAAGACCGAGCTCCTATCGAATTTTCATCCTTCAGCTGGTTCTCACCTCCACCCCGTTGGACGTCAACCGAAGAAATGTCAGACAACCAAGGGAACGAGGGAGCCGCCGGCTCTGCCCCACTCCCTCTTCCACCTCCACCTCCACCTCCTCCACCCGAAGATCTAAGCTTGAAAGTCTCCCCGTTCGTCAAGAAGCTGAGGTCTGCTCCTCCAGGCTATTTCTTCCAACCTAAAAGGACACCACCTCATAGAGACCCATTTGCTGCGCGCACCGGCCCTTATTCCTTCTACGGCACCCTGTCTGACCCCGCTATGCTCCGCGATGTCCTTGGCTTGGAAACCGAGCCACAACTTCGACCCGCCACCATTGTAGGGTACGAATGCAAGCTATGGGGCCAGTATCCAGCTCTCCTAGATGCCCCGGGAAAGGTTGTTCATGGGGCTGTGTATCATGTCGAGACAGAAGAGCATGGCGAGAGGCTTGCCAGCTATGAAACCGACAATTATCGGGCCGATCCTTGTCGCATCAACTATACTGACGGAAATGAGCCCGTGGATGACTTTGGTTATGTTTTCGCATTTGTCGGCAATGTGAGAGACTTGAGCGACGGTACCTTTGATCTGGGGACTTGGCTAAGGAGGGTGAAGAGCGTAGCTGAGGAGTAGGTATGTCCTGGTCAAAATAGTGGCCGGGAGCCGAAAGGTGATTCGTGGAATGAAAATGTTGTAGGTCAATTCAGCAAGCTTACTGGTAGTAAATCAGGGGTATTCAAAGCCCTGCTTTATATGATAACAACGTTTGATAGCAGTTTGAACTTCATAGATTAGGGGATGAGAGGCTGGTTGAGGGCGAAGGTTGGCAGCGCTTCTAGATTTCTGTAGAAATAAGATTGTTTACGCTCATGAACCGACCCAGGGGAATGCCATCATTTTCTCTACGAGCTGTATCCTCCCCTCTTCGTCAAAGTGGTGGAGTGTATAGTTCAACCAGTTCCGCGTCTTGCCCTCCTCGCCCAGAACTGATGACACACTGAAATCACATATCCGGTATTGGGCTGGTGGGACATGTCCCGGCTTGGCCAGCAGATCATATACTTGAGAGGCTTGTCCTGGCAGGACGCCGGGATTCTCTTCTAGCGCAATAAGAACGGCCAAAATATGAGCGGTCGGAGCGCACATGAACAGTCCTTGTACCGGGGGTGCCTCGCCCATGTACCGTAATGCTTGACGGCGCAGCTCGGGGAACGGACATTTGAGACCTGTGATGAATAGTGGGAGAAACACGCCCATCTCAAACATGAATCCCGGTTGCTTCCCTTCCGAGCCGCGTGTCCATGTCACCGCGGCGGGGGCCAAGTCAATGATCTGGGCAAATTCAGATTCGTAGGCGTCATATGCACCTGGGTGCGGATTCAGCATGACTTCTGCTTCGATGAAGACGCTGGTGTATATCATCAGAAGAAGAGCGGTCGCGCCGTCAACGTTCGAGCCATGCATAGACTTCAGGTATGTAAAGAGGCGGTACCATTGAGCGAGACGGTTTTTGAGGCGCTGTTGTCTAGCCACCAGCTCTGATATCTCGAGAAGTCGCCCATCTGCTGTTCGGCGTAGATAGGCCTTGGAATCAATGTTGAGGGCCTTCATGTCGACTACGATGCTACACAGGATGTTTCTTGCCTCTGCAATCGATGTAAAGCGCTCGTCTGGAACGGCCAAATAAAGATCCCAGGTCTCTTCTGACAGTCCATTGGCGATGAAGACCCATGTTCCCAAACGGCGGAAGATAGGCTCGAGGGTGGCGATGGTAGATGCTGCTGTTGGTGCAGCACCAACAATCAGTTGGGCGCCTTGTTTGTACAGGATAAGAGCAGCTTTAACATTTCCCTGCAGGAGCTCGATAGCAATGAAGAGGATGCAGCTGGTCAAGGCTACCATCAGATCTGCCGTTCTCTGATTAATACGTTGCTGTAGGAGAGCCAGCGCGCGCGAGTACCAAACCAACGCTTCACGATGGTGCCGATCTCGCACCGCAGCTGGGCCATTCATAAGCACCCACGGCGGCGTCTCGTGAATGGGAGGTCGTTCGTAAAGCACGCTGAGCGAGATGATCGCGTCCCAAATTACTGGCTGTGTCCGGCAGACTTGAAGGACCCAACCACTCCAAAAAGCCTGGTCGAGGTCTCCTGAGAGCGATGGGCCAGCATTGTAGAAGTAATATTCAAATGCACGACGCTCTCGCGATCCATGGTATGTAACGGACGTGATGGCCAGCTGGGGCCGCCCAATAGTCTTTTGGAGGAAACCAGTGCTATAGCCGCACCGCCGTCCTGTACCCGTACATCTCAGGCAGCATGGCTTCTCCTCGCCACACTTCACACGGCGAATTCTGCGAGCCAATGTTAAATTCAGTGACTGATCGGGTCCGTGGGGAGCTAACTGACTTGCATGTGTCGCACCCGTTCTTGGATTTGGTGCCTCCGAGGCGACTAGGGCGCCTGGCGGACAGGCTCATGGCATAAATCAGGAGTGGGCGCTGGCAGTCTCTTCGGAAATCCCGGTATCGTCACTTGATCTTTTCATGTCCTCAACCGGAGTGCCTAACTTGTAAGTAGGGAGTAAAGGTGGTACCAAAGTCGTAAGGTACACTATTAACGGATTTGTGTGAGATACAAAATCGTACGTGATGCGGTGGTTCTGTACTGAAGGGGAGTCTTTTGAGACAACAATCTACGCCCTGGTACCGGTCAAGAAATAAAATACATCAACAAAAGATGGTGGGGCACAATATCGCACGTGATCGATGTCGGGCTTGGCTTGGCCCGTGACACTACACAGTAACTTCACCAATAACTATCACCTTGCACACATAACCCCCAAGTCCCTCAAACCAAAGCTTCACGTCCCTGAATAGACTCACATAGGACGTTAGGTCCACCGTCGGCGGGCGGGACCAGAGTTATGGCAGAGTGCAAACTGCAAATGTTTTATCTGTGAAGGACTGAAGCCAAACTTGATTCAATTCGGCTAGGCCAGATGCAATCTATCAGAAGCTTGAAGAAACATGAAAGTACTGTGTAGACTGTAGGCACAGCCGCACAGGGAGCGGTGCAAACAAAGTGTGCAAACAAATATTGGGTCACATGCTCACGTGACCCTAATCCGGCACGGGCCGCGGCCCGCACAGGCGGCACGGCAGTTACACACTTACACTATCCCTTTGAGCCAACCCGTATGGATAGAAAAACTCAAAGACCATGATCTCTTGTTAGTAGTTGAGCCATAGCCCATAGCAACATTCTTCCGGAGGTTATAGGCATGATTAAGGGACTAGATTGAAGATAAGACGTCGCCTGGTAATTAGTTCGAGGGTATTCGACCTTTTGAGGCAGCGCCGTCGCCCTTTCCCCAAAATGGATGTGGGAATAGCCTCGTTTTCTATTGCTATGGAAAGCCCGTGATCGAAGCCCGTGACGTCACCGAAGGCGCATGATCGTCCCATCTCTTCCAGAGCTAGTACTTAACTCTCTGTCCTGGTGCCTCTTCTCCTTTCATTCTTGACCTTTCCAACCATCGTCGTCCATCTCTTTGGCCATCCTCCCTCGCGTTTTATCGTTCGTTTTATCTTTCTTGACACTATCCACCTTGTGCTTCCCTTTTATTAGAAGGTTGGAAGCACGTGTCAGTCAACCAAACCCACCGCCACTCTTCCCGTCTCCACGCCTCTTCACTTGGGAGTTCTATGATTCAGAGCCTGACGGAGAAGAGTTCTTCGATGCTATTGTTGCCGGCGAGATCGAAGTAGAGGACTTCAGCAAGGTTGATCAGAGTAAGATGCAAAGTCCTCAAGATGAAAGTGCTGAGCTTCGGGAAGACTGACATATCCAGACCAGCCCCGGAATACCTATGAGTATCACATCGGTGCTCGCACGATCATCCAGCTCCGCGCTGAGTTCCATACTTTCACCGCTTCTGAGAAATGGCTGGTCAGGCTTCGGGCCCTGATCGACGACAAAGCACATGAGCTCTCGCAATTCCTCGCCTCTAGATTCTCCTTTCTCGATGTCCTTTCTTGGTTTGACATGTGCAATGCGGAAGAAAAGCGAACTGAAGTGGGCCAGATCTCTTCTGCGTCGAAGCGGGAGTCGAAGCGGGGGTCGAAGCGCAAGCCCTTCTGCCGCCTACCTGCTGAACTGCACGTCATGATGTCCGTGCCCATCAGCGGTGCGGCACCGGCCCAGAATGCCTACCTTCGGCAAGGAAGCACAAACAAGGAAGCACAACTGACTTGCGCTGGGGGTTGTCATGGCCAAGCATAAGAAGCAGCGGCTTTCTCAGACATGGTGGCCCTGATAAGAGTCCGCAGAAAGGAGACTTCTTTTCCTGGGCCCATAGTCGACCCACCAGCAATGACGCCTTACAGACACGGGAGGCAGAGAAGCGCAAGTCAACCGAAGAACAGCTCGCCCGCGTGCAGCAGGAAGCAAGCCGACTGCGCGCACAGGTCGAACGCCTCGGATCATGCCAGTGGCCTCGCGAATTCGCACTCTTCCCCCCAGACACTCTCCCACTGCAAGCCTGAGGACAATCTGCGACGAGAGCGTGCAATCGAACCGAATCACTATCTCGCGGTGGAGTACGCCTTTGGATTGGGCATTTAGTACTGTCGCGCAGCCCAATGCGGGAGACCGGGAGAGTTATTGGCCTGCACTCGGAGCACGGAGTTCGATCAAAGTGCTGTTGTACATTGTACGCACATTGTATATCGTTCTCACTGAAGCTGAAAAGTGGAAGTGCCAGATTAACGAAGCCGTTCTTGTATTTCTCGATATCGATAAGAAAGGAGTCGGAACTTGCCGACAACCTCAGGCCAGATGGGGTCGAGCCCGTCCTCGAGAATATCGGCATCCCTCTCATCGGATACCAGTACACGATGGTCAGCAACATACCACCAGATGCCCACATTACTTGGAAGAGGTAATCAAGCAGTCTGTCGCGGCAATAAATCTTGTGAGAAAGAAGAGAAAGAGGAACCGTGCCTATGAAGCCCGACGGAAGAAGTGGGAAGAGTCCATGGGCCGCCTACCGTACTCGGGCATGTGGGAGAGGTTCTTGCTTCAGGAAAGAATACTGAATGCTTTCCTGACTCGTGTCAACAAACGTGATGCGCCGTACTATCATAGGAGTTAGGCCAATAGGTTAATAGAACTTTGATTGATCATGTATGCAGTATATCATAACTGGGTAGTGGTAGATCTAATCGCACAATCATGCAGAAGAACAACGAATGAAGCGTAAAATCAGACGAATTACGAGATGAAGTCTTAAAAGGAAGTCCACTGTACGGCCGTTTCTGTTGATAACAAAGAGCCGTCCAAAGTATCCAGAAAGACATTCAAGTACGCTGCCCAGACGTAATGCGAATACTTCGCTGAAACAGCGATTGACCGCAAGTTATGGCTGCGTTACCTAGATGTATGGGAAATTGGTTGAACTTTTGGCTTCGTTTGTCGTTTTCAGGTTGCATTTCGCTTCAATTACTGTCGTATTTTGAAGACTCCGTTTAGGTTTGACTGCCCATAACCACCTCAGTACTTCGGCGGAAACCTATACCAACCTACAGAATATACCTTACTTTAGTAAAACGTCTACCAGGCAGCTAATATGAACGAACTGCGTACCTATATGTATCAGTTGTCGACCTAGGAACCACCTATGGAAGGAGTACCTACTTGTACGAGCCATTGGCTCCTGCAGAGTGTAGAATGTCGTTTGATGCATTCACCATCGATCAAACGCCTCATTTCCCCCTCCGGTCTGCGGCTGCTCTCAGTGCTCTGCCGAGCCATCTGTCAGCTTCTACTTCAGTTTGAGATGGATGTCAGTACGGAAAGTGCGCCTCAGGACTCATCGATAAACATTTCACTTTGTCATCACTGAGGGTTGACGAAAACCATTCCATGGCTCTTGTAGTTAGTCTCAATAGATTAGCAAACCCACCAGCCAACCCGGGACATTCCATAACCCAATGTGTCGTGTAGATAGATGCCGGAATGAAACCGGGAGAAGACGAACCGTTTGAGGAAAGGAAACGGGTGGGTTGTCCAGGCATGAAGACCAATGGCCCATGGGCATAATATCGTCGTGAAGTGTAACTCTCAACGCAGCCTCACGAAAGCACAATGTGACACGACCCTCCAATGCGCTCGCCGTAAATAATCTGTGCATGTCCAAGATAGCAAGCGTTTATGTCGTTCCAAGGCTGTCATACTCAGTGCTCCCCATGGTTGCTCTTGCGGCTTGCTGGTCTCGTGATTTGTCGCGTGAGGCGTCGTGCCCTCCCTCCCTCTCACTTTATCTTCCCCTTTCTCAATCAACACCCCCATCAACCTCCATCCTCAGACCAACCGATATATGTGTCACAACGAGCTTCTTGATTGATCTGATGTGCGGAATCAGTCAATGAGGAGCCTCATGACGTCCGCATAGAAAATCAGGGGCCCCAAGCGCGTCCTTCCCTCGGCAGCCTCGCTGCCTGGACTAGGACTCGGCGGCCTCGATGCCTCGCGGCCTGGTCTCTCTTGGTAAGTATCCCGCCATCTCTTTCCTCTCCTTTCATCCACCTTCCTCCCCTTCCATCCAATTCACCATTTTCATCTCTCAAATACCTCACCCGGACTCTGCGGGCCATCTCCATGACGGACTTTGATACTGACGACTGCAGACGACACGGAGACTGATGAAGCATCGTTTCCTCTCTTTCCTCTCCGGTCATCTACCAGGAACGGAACTCCAGTTGCTCGTAGCCACGAAGACAGGGAACTCCAATACCTCACACACTGACGGTTTCCGGTCACATCAATGTCCAATCAACTGCCGAGACATCGTGCGCAATTCCTTATCGGACAAGATTCCCAGGAAGAAATCCCGCCGCTTACCCCAAGAGACTCATTCGTTCGTGCCTCACAAAGATTCAAACATCTGCGGCCTCTGCCCTGACATTGGACGAGATCGGTAAGGTTCGATCTTCGCCGTAGGCATGCGTGACGATGATGTGGAAGGTCGAGTGCCTTTGAGATACTTGAGAAGCGGCAGAAGGCTCTATCTTCCCTGTGATCAATCTGTTTTGGGAGTTGTTGTTGGAGCAGGCCGCCTTTGGAAACCATGGGCCCCACCAGCTTCACATTCTTGTTGTTTGAGAGAGGCTGCAATGGATTGTGGGAGTGTCTGCCATGAAGAGATAGTGGAGAGGAGTGGGAAAATGACGATGGTTGGGTTGACCCTAACGAGGGGAAGTTGGAAATTGCTGTTGCTGAACACGGCCTAGGAATCCAGAAAATATGTTCGACATCATCCTCGGAGGTGCCGGTCTTCTTGGGGGCTAATCCGCGGAAGAGCAGAACCTCCTATGTCCTCCGCCTTCTGGGCGGTGGTGAAATGGATTAAGACACGGAAGAGAAATGCAGGAACCCGAGAAGGGACCTCGTCATGCTGTTTGATTGTTGTGAACCATCGACGAATATTCAGATCTAGTTGAGCCTTCCTTTGGATTTCACCACCCGTGAGCTCCGGCTCAGATGCCTGAGGTTGGGCATTATGCTCGGTTTTATGATATTTTTCATGGGAACCTACCTTATTGGTACCGGGTACATCTCCGAGTCCAACCTCTTCCTGCAATCTTGCCTGTTGGCGGGTGGTGAAATCCAAAGGAAGGCTCAACTATCTGAATATTCGTCGACGGTTGACGACGATCAAACAGTATGACGAGGTCCCTTCTCGGGTTCCTGCATTTCTCTTCAGTGTCTTACCATTTCACCACCGCCCAGAAGGCGGAGGACATAGGAGGTTCTGCTCTTCCGCGGATTAGCCCCCAAGAAGACCTGCACCTCCGAGGGTGATGTCGAACATATGTTCTGGATTCCTAGGGACAATTATCGTTGAGTTGAATTCACAATTTCATATTCAAATCTCCACTTCGCATACCACACTAGAGAAAAGACTCTCAGCCGAGATTATGATGACGCAAATGCCTATCTCCGCCATACAATGATACAAATATACTAGATTCCTGGTCTGTTCAAGGGCAAGCGAAGAAGCGAACGGCTTCTTACCCATGTCAGTGGCTTTATCGGATAGCAAGGGCGCAAAGGCTAACTTGTTGCTCTGACAAGTGAGAGATCTGCGCTAAGCATCAGGTCAGTGACCGTCCTGCGGTAGGATTGGTTGGAACTGACAGTTCAACCTCTATATGAGACCGAAGCTCAAAGGTTCTGAAAATTACAACATCTGGGCCGATATGTGAAGAAATTTGCTCTCATACTCCATGACCAGTCCTGGTTCACGCACGTTTGGACTGTCAAGGTAGGTAATGAATGTGCTAGGCTACATTGACGACGTAGGGGAGTCTTGGGTTGTAACCCTCGGACTTGCCCGTCGCCATTATACGGATGTGCTCAGCTGGTGCAACCTTGCCGCTGAGTTGCCATCGCGTAAATTGCTGATTGAACCAGGTGGGGAGCCTCGTGGGTACAGTTTGGAAAATGCCTTGACGGCACAAAAATCTTCGTGGACACGCGGATATTTCTCGTGAAACAGATTTGGCAGGTCGAATCCGACTTCTGTATCAATCACTGTCAACACAAGAAACGAACGCAGAGACTTGGCTTTGTATTTGTGTGAATTCATCCGATGGATTGTCAATCAAAGTACATGTGATGTTAGGGGGGTTCGTATCTTCCCTGGAATGTCATATTAGGTCCAGTAAAAGCACCTCACCGTGCCAACCAAAAGCAAAAGGTATTTCTGCCACTCGGGGGGGAAAGAGAGGACAAGAAGCGAGGAACGGGCAGAAAGTACATGCATAACACTCCCGCAATTTCTGTCAACCGAGACAATCTCCAGAACAGGACGGCTACGTTCTAATCTGCTCCATAGTTGTAGTCCATATGTTCATTGGTGTAAATTCCAGCGTCACCGAAGTCAAATTCGCTTGCATACGCTACTCGAATGTCAGGATTTGCTTCAGGGATGTAAGTTCTAACCGCGTTCTGCTCACCTGTATCAACCGAGGAACTGACGCTGGGGATCTGCTGGATCTGATCTTCTTCGCCAGTGGTTCCATCTATACATAGATCAATCAGCATCTTCCCTAGAGGCTAGTGGCAAGAGGGTGAAGAGGGATAACCTACTAGTATGGACACCTCCGCAGATCTCAGTAGTGTTGCCGGCGCCGTTGACGGTTATTTCGATTCTAGCTGTTGGCGCGGGCTGCGAGCCCTGTATTATGGTAGGTTAGTTCGAAGATGTGATCATCGATGCCTGTGGTGCTGTGTGCACCTTGGCCGGGGACCTTGATCCCTAGAGGGTGATAGTCGAGGAGCATGTACTCACCTCTTCTGTATCGGTCATGTTGTTTCCGATGGCCGTTATCTTATCGGATCGATAAATGTTTGCCTGATGACGTATGAGAGGTGAAGTTTGTGATGACGTAAAGATGACGTGTCATTTAGTTATAGATGGAAGGGGAAGGAGATAACTGATAAGTAAATAAGGCAAACGCAACAAAGGCAGTCACGGCCACGGAACTAAGTACATCATATCAATAGAACTTCCATTGATAGAGCAACGGAAAACAAGGTTCATAACCTTTTCAGACTACTAGTTGTAGATTAAGTAGTTATATCAAAGAGAGAGTCTGAGAGTGTTGTAGATTGTAAAATTGATGTACAAGGAAGAACAATCTGGGTTGGAAATATCTTCGTTGTGCTAGCAAGCATTGAAGCATCTTAAGATCACGCTGATCACCTGACATAGTTAACAACCTAATTCCAATTAGTTAGGTCACAGGACCAAACAGACGCGAGCTCAAACTAGCGAACTGGCGAATTGTCATTCTGCACATGCAGAGAGACTAGAATTAGAGGACAGAGACATCCCAGGTACTCAGGTAGTACCGTAGACGTAGTGTCACGGGCGATAGGGAAATCAAAAAGTAATTTTCAAAATCACCATGTCAGATGGTGAGTAGTCCAATGAGGTCTAGGTATGGGACCGATTTGCGTATTCGCTTGTATTCCGCTCCCTGGAGCGCGGATCCAGCAGTGCGCCTTGACACCGGGCGCCTCGATGCCCACGCCTTAAATATCACCCTCGTTGATCCTCCCTCCTTCTGAGTTTGAATTCAGCTCAAAAGTTGAACCATCATTGAACTTGATTACCATCCGAGCATTTTCAAGTTCGGCTTAAATTCCTCTCAAATCCTCAATATCTGGTGCACCGTGCACCCCCGGTTGAACGTTCACTCAGTAACCATGTCGCCAATCAAAGACATATGGGCCCAATGGGACCAGGCCTGGGATATTGGTTTATCCACTGAGAAACGATTGTCTATCCTGAAAAACGCCACTGCTCCCGGCTTTGTCTACAGCAATATGAACAACATCATTTCCGACGACCTGGAGTCACTTGTTCAACTTATACACGACGTCCTTACCCAACAAGGCAACAAGTTGACGGTCAACCATATTAAGTGGTTCGAACAGCATAGCCAGAGTGCCCTACAATGGGATATGATCCATATTGACTCAGGGAAAGCTGCCTTGAGTGGTTGGAGTTACGGAAAATACGCGGAGGACGGCAAGCTTCTGTCGGTGTCCGATTTCTGGTAGACCGCACAAGGTATCATTGCTGTCCACCACCAGGAATTGCTTTTCTAATATCATTCCACAGGTTTCTGTGAGATGAATTGGTTGGAAGAGGGTCATCAGCATGGATTGGCAGCGAGTTTACCTCAGATTGTTCGGATCATCCCATTAATGAGACATATGCCTGCTAGTTTAGTCCATCGCCTTCAATCATACATCGTTCCTTTGTGGCCATTGACTTGGTCGTAAGTCAACAACCACTACAGGTACTCCAGAGTCCAATATTTGGGTACAGATCTATCCGTAATGATCAAAGCAGAGCTATGTACCCTTCAAACATTCTGCATTTTGGTGTGATATGCCCCATCGCTGGGGGTATATGAGTCTCGCCAGAATGGCGGCATAATATACTAAGGCTCATGAGGTCAATATTCGGTCGAGAACCGCACTGGGACTCATGTTGGTTTGTATTAAGATGACAACTGTCAGAACCAAAGTCACCACCACGACCTGAGCGGGGGATGTCAGTTCACATGCAAATGGCGAGCATGTTATTCGAAACACTTACCATGAAGAGTAGGATTCCCACAAGATTCAGCTCCCATCCCCCCGCATGCACCTTTCCCCGAGAAATCGCGCTCTGCTGCCTCCAGAATCGGGAAGCCCCAACCAGAGCGACAACGACAGCCACGCAGTGACACGCCACCGAGAGCGGAACGCCAACCTCATTGAAGGACAAGTGGTTGACTTTATTCTTTGGTGCTTGCAGACGGAAGAGTTGGGCGACGAGGACCCCTTGCATGGCAATCATCGTTGAAGTGCGAATGTATGCAAGAAAGGTTCTTTCCAGAGCTTTGAGCGAGTCAATTAGTTTTCCCTTGCTCGCGCATCTCGAATTTGAAGACCGGCTTACCAAAGTGATCGCGATTGCTCTTCTGGGGAACGGTCAGGATGATATGTCGGTTCCAGAATCGACAAACCCGGCTCCAGATGCCTCGTTGCCCTTCGTGATCGTGCAGGGGACCAGGGCGAGGTCCAGGGTGTGGCGTGGGTACTTCGTACTCATCGCCAGACGAAGCAGAAGGGGCCGAGTAGTCTGCGTCGTTGTCCTCGCATGTTTGTACTTGCTGGAGCTCAAATGCTTCAGGCTCGGCCCCGTTGTCGTGGGCGGGTGTGGGGCGGCGATCGGTCAAAATCGCGTTGGGCGCCTCCTCGGTAACCGGACGTTTACCGGGTTCACCGGTCATGATGAAGATCCGTCAGATATTGTAGAGAAAATCATTGGTGTCGTTGAGAAGGGAACCTGTCGTTGGGAGAGTGAAAGTCTCGAGGAGGACAGGGATTATCGCCTGGTGGTTCCACACGGATCGGCTCCAGTCGGACCTTGATCGGCCTTTTGCCCCGCATAATAATCATATTCCGGGGTGAGCTTGCTCTGTACCTCGAAGATGGAATTGAATGTCCTCCGGACCTTGGGAAATAAACAATCTCAGCAGTTGTATACAGGGCTAAGCCCATAATTTAAACTATCCGCAGCTTATTCATTTGCTGCACGCCCCAGTGAACGCACCCCTGCGATGAATTCTGATTCTGACCAATCAGAGGCCATCAACCGTTGATTGCATCATTTTGGTCCCGAATGGGAGAATCTGCTGCCAATGAAACTGTGTCCTTACAACTCATAAACATTACCAGAAGCAGTTAGCCCCGATCTTAGCATGCGAGGATAGAGTTGGGTGTTGATCTCAAGGCCTGGATCTTGGACCTACAGTAGTAGTTACTGTACGTATTGGCATTGCTCGAACCAAATGTGCTATGAGCTGCGCTGCGTTGGACAAGTGATCATTTCCAACCCGTTCAAACTTAATGAGCTTATTTCCCTGGATTTCGCATCAGAGGTCTATTTATGATTGCTAAACATCGTCACAGTCTGTGCTGGTTCTCCCACGTGTTAACTATGTCCCCACTCGGTCCAAACCTTTGACAGCATCGTTGGAGACTGGACAGGCAAAGGTAGACTGCACCATGCTATTGCTGGGGACTAGGGTAGGTAGGATACCCGTGTAGGTAGAGGGTAGAGACAAGGTTCTTCTCCTGTTTATTAGAGTGGAGAGTTCGAGTGGTCTATGAGGCTGAGAATGATGCGCCGGATGTATAATCCTCCGTTCCGAGGGTTAGTGTCATTGACCGCCGTCTCCATCTGAAGACAACAACTTGGCAAGGCCTGGACAACTGCATGGAGTAAGCCTTGATCCTTTTCCAAGCCCATATCCTGCCATTCATTCATATTCTTATAATGGGTCCGGTCAGACTACATCAAGGAATATATGACGCTCCCCTCATCCTCAAATTGAACCGGGTCTGAGTCCCCGCCGTTTCCATCGCTCAAACAGGAATTGTTATCCGTTATCACCGAAGGAACGCCGATGCCGCTGCCTGGCCGATAGGGTATGGACTTATGGTGGACCTAATGAGCCTGATAGCCGTTACCAACGTGGGGAAGTCAAGAATAGCTCCTCTTTATGTAGAGCCTGCCAGAGCACAATCGGTGTTCGTTACCGACGGACTCGGCTGTACAGCGCCGGAACCCGTGCGGGGTGTAACGTTTTTGTCTTGCGCTCCATATCGCACCTTATCATGGCCCCATCGATCTGCGGGGTGCGGAGATATCTGTACTATCTGGTTACCCATTGTAAGAATTGTCAATGATGTCTTGCTACAAATATATCGCGTGTTCGGTGCGTAATGGGCGCTTCATCTTACCTGTCATATTATAATGTCTCTTTCACAACACGTTGTCATCATCGGAGCAGGCATCGTGGGAACCAACCTCGCCGACGAGCTGGTCTCTCGAGGATGGAACAATATCACAGTCATCGAGCAGGGCCCGCTGCACATGCCGGGCGGTTCGACATCACACGCCCCGGGCCTGGTATTCCAAACGAATCCGTCGAAGACAATGACACTTCTCGCTCGATACACGGTTGAGAAGTTGCTATCGATAGAGAAGGATGGATACAATTGTTTCAATCAAGTTGGAGGCCTCGAAATCGCAACCACGCCCGCCCGGTTGGAGGAGTTGAAGCGCAGACATGGATACGCCTTGTCATGGGGCATCGAGGCACGGCTTGTGAGTGGCGAGGAGTGCTGCAAGATGTACCCTCATCTGAATAGCGACATGGTCTTGGGCGGCTTGCACGTCCCCACCGATGGTCTGGCACTAGCTGCACGAGCGACGCAGCTACTCATTGAACGGACAAGCGCAGCTGGTGTTCGCTATCTGGGTCACACTCCTGTCACCGGAATTCAGCGAGAGGGTCGTCGTGTCACCGGAGTGCACACTCCGGGTGGCACCATCTCGGCGGACATTGTTGTCTCATGTGCTGGTTTCTGGGGTGTCGAATTGGGAGCTATGGTCGGCGTGCGGATTCCACTTCTTCCTTTGGCGCACCAATACGCAAAGACCACGACGGTACCCGCGCTTGCTGGACGAGAGATCAATCAGCTGCCAAATGGAATGAATGCCACACTCCCAATCCTTAGACACCAGGACGAGCGTCTTTACTACCGTGAGCATGGCGGGCAGTTTGGTATCGGCTCCTACGGACATCGCCCGATGCCCGTAGTTGCTTCAACATTGGGTTTAACCCCAAGGGAAGTAGATGACAAGAACATGCCCTCTCGCCTAGAATTCACATCCGAGGATTTCGACCCAGCTTGGAAGGCGAGCCAGCAGCTACTGCCCGCTCTCCAGGAGACAGAGATTGCAGATGGATTCAATGGGATCTTCTCCTTTACACCGGACGGCGGATCAATTCTAGGACAACCATCCCATCTCGACGGCTTCTACGTAGCCGAGGCCGTGTGGGTTACGCATTCAGCAGGTATCGCCCGGGCTCTCGCGCAAATCCTCACAACCGGCCAATCAGACATCGATGTCTCCGAGTGCGAGCTCTCTCGCTTCGAGGAAGTTCAACTCAGTCAAGAATACGTTAACGAGACATCGGCGCAAAACTTCAAAGAGATCTACGACATCATACACCCCCTCCAGCAGCGCCAATCACCCCGCAAGCTGCGTGTCAGCCCATTCCACGCCCGCCAAATGGAGCTAGGAGCCTTTTTCCTCGAAGCAGCGGGCTGGGAGCGGCCATATTGGTACGAAGCAAACAAAGACCTAGTGCCCGCCCTTCCAGCATCATGGCAACCTGTCAAGCGAGATGCTTGGTCTTCCCAATTTTATTCGCCTATCTCGGCAGCCGAGGCCTGGAAGACGCGCAAGGGCGTTGCCATGTTTGATATGACTGCATTCCATCGTTTCGAGGTATCCGGTCCTGGAGCACTGGGTTTGCTTCAGCGTCTGACAACGAGCGACATTTCCACGAAACCGGGCACCGTCACCTATACTCTCCTCCTGACAGACCACGGTGGCATTCGTGGAGATATCTTTGTCCTTCGTCTCGAAGACGACGTGTTCCAAATCGGAGCAAACTCAGCAACCGACCTCGCCTACCTCCACAGAGAATCTCGCATCCAGCAACAGACCTCTCCCATGCAATGGATGCAGGTCCGCGACATCACTGGCAGCACATGCTGCATCGGCCTATGGGGCCCTCGAGCTCGACAAGTCATGGCCGGATTGTGCACCGACGATCTCTCCAACCGTGGACTCCCCTACTCCACACTCAAGAAGACTTCTCTCGCAGGCATCCCGGTGACACTGATCCGGAAGTCCTACGTCGGCGAACTGGGCTGGGAAATCCAATCAAGCGCCGAATACGGCCAGTATCTCTGGGACGCAATCTGGCAAGCCGGAAAGCCCCACGGACTCATTGCCGCAGGCCGCAGCGCTTTCAACTCCCTGCGTCTCGAGAAGGGATACAGAACTTACGGCGTGGACATGACAATTGAGCACAATCCATTCCAAGCCGGTGTTGCGCATGCTGTCGACTTGAACAAGAAAGATGACTTCGTTGGCAAGGCTGCCCTTCAGCGCCTTGCTGCCCAAGTGCCTTCCCGCCGCTTGCGGACTTTGACTGTTAACGATGGGCGCTCAATGGTTTTGGGCAAGGAACCTGTTTTCTACGATGGCAAGCCGGTTGGGTATGTCACCACCGCTGCATTTGGGTACACGATTGGTAAACCAGTTGCCTGTGCGTGGCTACCTGGTGGAGTGAAGGATGGCGAGACCGTGGAGATTGGGTACTTTGGGAAGCGGATCAGGGCGACTGTTGAGGCGGAGTCGCTTTATGACCCTGAGATGACCCGTCTCAACCAGGATAGCTTTGTATCCCAGGATAATTCCCGGAATACCCTCAAGGCGCGACTCTGATTCGCGTTTGTTTATTTTCAAGCCAGCACGGAATAGCCTGCTTTATTGCCTTCGCATATCAACGAGAAATTAGAATGTGCTATATTTTTATCACCCACCTCTAGGAGGAATTTTACCAGTCATCATCACCAGCTATATAGTAATTTCCATAATATCGTATCAATCACTTAGTATGTCCGTACAACAAGACTGGAGAGAAAAGAAAAGTGAAAAGGAGAGCGAAAAGAATTAAAGAACCCTACGGCTAAATTACTAGGTCCCATTGACAAGCCCTAGGTTCCCTTCTCGTCCTTCGCAGTCCTAGGTAGTTCCCTGTGCTCCCGTCAGACGCTAATGGCGTAAGAGACGAGCTAGGAGTAGGAAGGACATGCCTATGTATTCTTTCTCGAACCGGGGTGGAAGAATACGTGACAGATATTCCGGCCAGTCGGGCATTGGCTTCAGTTGCCGAAGCGCCTGGATGTATTCCCAGTATGCCGGATACCAGCCAGCATATTCCCAGTCCAGGATGGCTGTGACCCGGCCTCCTTCGACAAGGATATTACGCGGGGCAAAATCAGAGTGAGTAAAAACAATCTCGTGGCCATCCATAAGCGCAAACTTGGCATGATGTCGTAGTATCTCTGGAGCTGACTTGACAATATCTCCCAGAATAAACTCGTTGAACTGCTGCTCGGTATCAAACGGACCGCCTTCAATTGATGCAATTTGTCCAATTATAGCCGGACCACGATCAACGGCTCCGATATAGTCACCCTTCAAGTCGCGAAGTTGATTTATGTAGGAGTGAAGCTCGGAGGCGATGGAGAATTTCTGATCGGAATCTAGAGTATCCCATGCTTCATCGAGTCGCTTGCCAGGCATGTAGTCCATCACGATAGCCACGACTTTACCATCTTTCCATTGGATATCATGGACTTTGGGCACAGGTATTGTTGTGTTTGTCGCAATGAAACGAAGATTTTGGGCTTCGTGGGACTGGAGATTGCCCGATTTCACGACGAGATCGTTGCCGATTCGAATGACCGTGCGGTTGCCCAACGAATGAAGGGTCGTTTTTTCTTGATCATTCATTGCATTCATTTGTAATGATAGAATATCAGCGTCTTTGCATTATTGCATATCAGTAGGTCAAAAGTAGAATGAACGGCCAGGCGGAGAATAACACGGAGTACATATGCTGCGTTGGGTTGCCGGGCCAAATTGTAGCGGGGTAGTGGGAAGGAAAATAACTATCTGTAGGGAGTAACCGGCCCTTGCATTTTTTTACCAAAATTTCAGACCCTCGCACAAAATGTAAGGGCCGGTTACGTACCTTAAGGATACAGTGCAAGCTACATAATCCACGTGGCCAAGTAACTGGCAGAGTAATGTTGTACCATTTAGTATTTGAGCAAACCAGTTGAATGTCCCAGAAATCTTATCTGAACATCAAACGTTGAAAGCAAAAAAAAAAGAACGAAAAAGAAAAGAAAACAAGCGGGTTAGGAAGAGGCATGCGCTCCAGTCTATATACACCACGAGTCGGTTCCATTCCTTCTCAACCTCAAGATCCTACAACCTCCATTGAAATTACTCCTTAACCTTGATGTAGCGGTAAGGCTTAGAGGTATGAGAGCCAACCTTCCAACCAACTTCACGCCTATCCGCAACACAACCATAGGTACCCTGACACTCCAGCGTATTGTATTCCTTCTTGGAACTGTCGACCCACGACTTAAACAGAGTGACATGACCATCAGCACCACCAGTCCCAGCGCCAAGGGTACCAACGAAATCACCAGGCTGGATATCCTCCCAAGCGATCGACTCCGCAATATCCGGAAGACTGACAGTGTTGAGACCGGGGGCAGACGCATGGAGAGCCATGCTAACGAAGCCCGAGCAGTCAGTGCGGTAATCGCGCCCATCTGGGTCCGGGTAGTAGGCGCTCATAGAGTACGGGACGTGACGTGAGACCCAGTACTCGCCGCGGGAGAGGATCTCGTCGCGGCTGATCTCGCCCTGGTAGGATGAGTCGCCGTCGCCGGAACTGCCACCGTCGCAGTTGTCGGTTACCATGCTGTCTGAGCCGGTTTTCACATAATAGTCGGATACGTAGCAGCCGTCGGAGGTCTTGTCCCAGATGTTGTTGCCTTGGATGTTTTCACCGTATGTCTGGCAGCTGATCGTGACATCGACGCCGTTGTCGTACGTTGTGACAACTGCATCACTGGTTGAGGCGCCTTTGCGACAGTTGACTGCGCCGTCACTGGTGGAGATCTTGTATGCATTGGCGATGGAGAAGGCCGCAGTCAGGGTCAGAGCCAAGTTGGTGAGCTGCATGATGGCTTTGGTGTTGTTGGGTCGTTGTCTTTCCGGGGAGTGTGGTTCTTTTGAATTGCACGACAGATGGTAGAGACTTTGAATGGGAAACTTGTGATCAGAATGTCTTTCAACGGGCAAGACTTGGATACTTATATCTTGACTGGTGTGTCGATCTTTACCGGGGAAGCATATTTATGGAAGCTCGTATGTAGTTTCACGCTAAATGGTGTATTCCAGACGATGGCGAAGTATGCGTTCGAGTAGATCTGCCCCATAACATCGATACTCATCCACAACGAGCTCGTGATTAGGCTTTTATGATCTCATTTTCTCGTGATACGAGGAGATTCTCCGAAGATGGTCGTGAGTCCTACCCCATGGCCAAAACATCTATGGAATATCCCAAGTGAATACGATGCGTGAGGCCCACAGGCTTTAAATACCTTGCCAAAAATAGTCCCGTGTATACGAGATTGCTTGGCAGGATGGGGCACCAACGATCGACAAGCCACTTGAATCTTGGCAAATGCAACAATAATAATTCCGAAGCCGCTAAAAGAAAGGTGTTTCTTCACCTGTAGGCTGTGCCTGGTTGCATCTGCGATCGACGGCCGGGATACCATTGAAGGAGGCAAACTGCGAAGACAACACGAGATTGCTTGGCAGGGCGGGCTTTAGCGAGCTACGTATACCACGTGTATCTGATACGTAATACGTTTGAAGAACATAATAGGTAGTTATACAACATTGTACCTAGTCCGGGGATCTGCTCTTGGGAATAGACTCAGGTACCTACAAAGTGAAAGAGCTCCAAGGTTCTGTCCTTGACCGTTGGTAATGAACGGGTTGGACTTGTACCCTATCTATCGTCCTATTGAGTGGACCTATTCCCATACCTCGCGTGGATATTCAAGGCTCCTGGCTCACAACAACCTAAAGGTAGGTATCACGTGTGTCGCTCAATCAAAGCTCTTGAATAGTTGATATTTATGTTGACAGATACCTATGTTGTAAGGTTATTGATCTCCCTACCAAGGTACCATGTACTGCTGCCAGTAAGCGGAAGGCTTGCCAGTTAGCTGGAAGTCCACCAGTTAGCTGGAAGTCCACCAGTTGGCTGAAAGTTCACCAGTTGACTGGAGGTTCACCAGTTGACTGGAGGTTCACCAGTTGGCCGAAACTTCACCAGTTGGCTAGGAGCTTGCCAGTTGGCGGATAGCTCGCTAAACGCGTGTGGAACTCGGCACCCCACAAGTGGATATTGACAATTGGACAGAAGATTTTTGTTGATTCTCGCTGGCCCGGCGAGAGTCTTTTTGCCGATATCTTGCATAAAAAGAGCCGTACAAAGACCCTGGAAGCAAGGAGAGGGGAATCCAAATCTGTCCTTGCCTCTGAATTGAAATTGATGCACGTTGTTTGAATGAGCCTCGGCACTATTTTCAGCGTTCAGCGCGGCTTCTTTTCGCACTTTTAGGTAGGGTTCCCTTGAGACTATCTTTCACCGGAGCTACTTGACTGATTAGCCAGCTATACTTAGTCTCGAACCCGTCTTTCTCTAGATCGTGACGACACCCCTTGCTGTACTTTTCAGCCTTCCCTCTGCGCCGGGCTATACTGGACAGTGCCCGTCGTCGCCTTACTCATGCCTTACTCATGATTGTCTAAAGGCAAAGGATCACCGCTTCTGCGACGCTTTCACGCTGATGAATGATCAGTAATCGCTAAATGATAACAGATCACAAGGCTGTGATGCGGCGATCGGTCTAAAACCTCGATCTCGCCCTTCATGAATGACCGCGCCGAGCATCGACCATCTCTGCAGCCCAATAATGACCGTTCATTCCATGTTTCACCGCTCCACTCTCGGGCTTTACAGACAGCGACAAGACCGATTGGTGCTGAATATAGCTCATCAGTATGCATTCCAACCCCATTCGCAGATTTGTAACTGTTAAACCTGACCCACTGACAGACTACTGCGTAAAAGCCCCGAGAGCGAGTCCCGAAAGAGAATGATCTGCAAAAGTGTCAAGATTATTTAAGTCGGATCACGCCATTCGACTCCAGTACATTGCCATCTTCTCTCACGCTCATTGCACAGATCACATAAGCTTGATTAACGTTCCGCTGCCAGGTGTATAAAAAGGCATCATGACCGTCAATGCCCCCAAAACCAATGGCCAACAACCACGCCGACTTCTTCTTGTCAGTGTGCCCCGCACCGCCTCAAATCTCCTCCTGAAGGTCCTCAACATCTCCAACCAACCAAATCTCATCACCAGCCCAAAGTGCGGCTATTTCTTCTACGATGCCTTCATGACAGCCGCCAAAGACGGTCGTCTGAGTAGACCACTAGACCAATGGACAGCCGACGAGAAGAACGAGACCAAATCTACCTTCCAGCGCTGCTTCAATGAGCTTGAAGAGTATACCACCCGGGCGACAGCGGAGAACAAAACCATGTTCGCCAAAGAACATGCCTTTTGGTTCGTCAACCCTGGAGCCTTCACGAGGTCCCTGGGCGATACAGATACCCCCGACGACCTGAAAGAGTTCCACATTTCCCTCCCAGGATCCTACGGGCCTACGCAGACATTCTCGGCAAACAACCAGACAGTTCTGTCAGATGAATACCTGCGCACGTGGCAGATATCCTTCATCATTCGCCACCCAGCACTGGCATGGCCGTCGCTGTACCGCGCGATGCAGAAACTCTTGAAAGAGGGCTTCATTGACGATGATGGTGTCAAGGGCGTGTCGATCGTGAATATGACTCTGACTTACTCGCGCAACTTGTTCGATTGGTGTATTGAACAGCCGGATGAGTCTGTTACGCCTTTGGTTATTGATGCCCATGATGTGATACATAACCGGGCTGTCGTGACTAAGTTCTGTGAGATGGCTGGGCTGGACCCTACAGCTATGCAGTATGAGTGGAGTGGTGCGAAGCCTCAGTCTGATCATGCGAGCTTGGGTGATGCGGAGGAGCAGAAGCGCATTGCGATCTTCCTGTCGACTTTGCAGGAGTCGACGGGTATTGTAAAGGAGAAGGCTCCGGCATCTGTTGATATTGATGCTGAGGTCGCTAAATGGCGGGTTGAATTTGGGGATGATGTTGCTCAGTTGCTTGAGAAGGCGACGCGCGATTCTATGCCTGATTATGAGTATTTGAAGGCACACAAAGTCGTTGTCTAGTTAGTGGTATGTTGTTCCTCAAATTGACTTCTCTTCTCATTCATCGTCATCATCCAGTTCTTGCTGGATGATCATCAAAATAAATGTGGTGTTAACTCTGAGGTCTATTACTGGGCGTCAACGTCCTCATTTGTACACTGCATCATCCGTATGAATGCTGTTTTCTTTGACTCCTGTTTGCCATTCAAACACCCACCATGTTCATAGGTATAAATAAGCATGCCAATGGCTGTCCTCTACCTCTTCTGCTCTCTCTCTCGTTCGAAATAAGTAAGGTCACGAGGTCTCCCTTCCACACTTCACGTTGAATATTGTCGCATCATAGTGACCCGTCTATCCCCTCTCACCACCTTCCAGCAACAAGAACAAAACGTCCTGTGTTCTTCATCACTTCATCCTACTTCCCATCATCTCTGTAGAGCTTTCTATCCAGAGCTTATAGCCAGCAGGTACCTTGACTTTGCTATTCAGATCCCAGGGCAGGGTTTGACTAATATCAATACGCAGGGACACATCCAAAACATGACCGAACATCTTCGCAACACCGACACGAAGGAAATGTCTAAGTCATCCCCTGTTCATTTTGCAACGGGAGATGCGATGTCGACCACCACCGGCAATGAGGCACTCGATACACCCACAGGAACGAGTGTCTCTGATGAGTCCACGGACACCAGTGTCTGCTCTGAGTCAATTCGCCGCATGATCTTGAGCCAGTATCGTGAACGCCGCTCCTGGAACTGCCCGTGGCCCGGTCGAACTTTCATTATTCGTGATCCTGTCACGAAGCTTGTCCTCGGGCTAGAAAAAGGTATTCTACGCCTTGTGCCGGAAGATGATGGGCAGGGTCGCAGCATTCACTGGTGCTGCGTTAGACACCCTAGAGGACTATGGGGTTTGCAGAACAATGTCTCGGGCACTTATGTAGGCACATGGGACATGCATCAGCAAAAAGAATTTGTCGCGAGGAGCACGACGCACAATAGCACCGAATCGTTATTCGTGCAAGGACATCCAGATGGTGGCTATATTATCTCCGTGGTTACCGACAAGACGCGTGTCCTATCGATGGAATCGCGACAGGAAGAGCTACTGGCCGTTACTTCTAATACTGCCACCGCGTGGAAATTCGTCCGTGTCGACCTTTCAGATTGAAGATAGATTGCCTTTCTGTTCCACCCCCATTGTCGTCCAAGCCATAAGAATTATCATCATTATGATCTAACTATAGAATCCATCATAACTCTGGAAAAATAGACGTGAGCCCTACACATCTTGGCCCTCGACCCACGTGGCTGAGGCTCGTGCCGACCCGAGCCGCATATGATATCCGATAATTAAACTTCGGTCGGGTGTAGTATGTAGTAGTTATGTACTTCGTAGTATGCCCATACATACCTTACTAGTGTGATCAATGATCCAGATCGGGGATGACCGGAAACCTCGGACCTTGGCAGGCTTGGTGTTAGCAATAATGCAGTTCTGGACACTGGAGCATTCGTGCGAGTCATGTACCATAGAAGGAATACGGAGGCCGGAAGGGGCCACACCCCAAGCTCCTCTCTCACATTGAATCTTGCTTCCTGATCGCCTATCCCCCATCGCCGTATACTAATGAAGCCTGAAATTCCGCTTGATCCCTATCGCCAGCAAATTACTGATCTTGCCCTCCTCGGCAAGTCAGGCAAAGACATCTCAACCGTGCTTTTGATGTTCACGGACTTGAGGTCACAGGACGCAATCTCCTCGCCCAGCAGGGTACAAATGGAGGTTACTAAACCCATATCGTCTGGCGGGAGATGTGGCACGTCAAGGCAAAGGCCACAGGTTATGGATCTTCAGCATCGAAGGTGATAACCTGTGGCACATTGATAACCTGTGGCCCTTTCCCGCAACGTGTAACATCTCCCGCAAGACGAGATTGATCCAGTAATCTCCATTTGTGCCTTGCTTGTACGAGGATATTGCAGTCGTGGCATTCCACTATTTCTGAGCCGAGCGCACCTATACTCGTGATGGAACAATTCATCTGAAGGGAGGTCTCCTAGATATACGTGTAACGTGCCTGTTCTGCTTCTGAGCTGGCTGGCACTATAGCTCCTGCGACTGCTCCTGTAGACCCTGGTGTTATTGGCTGACGCACCTGATGCAAGAATTGAGGCAATTACATCGATTCTTGCATCAGGTGCATCGGTGACGATAATATCATGGTGAATAGGATGCGAAGAGTATGCTCTCTGTGGAGGGCTGAAGTCGAATTGATTCAATTACAAAATTCTTAGAGAAAAAAAGGGGGGAGGACTCTTAAGCAAGAGTCGTGACTCTAACTAAAAGTACTAAGTACACTCATCACCAATAGCCTGGGGTAAGTTGTGACTTGACAGGGATTACCCACTAAATACATTTACCGTGGAGTCCCCTGTGCCTCGGGATCATTAGGAATCCGTGAATAGGCGCCATGCAGCTTGGCACATATGCCCAACTCAGGCTGTTGAGCTGATTCGACGTGCTGTATTGCATTCACCCGAAGGGCCTCGTGTGGGTTCATTTCCCGATCTCCATTAGGCCTACAGTGTGACATCAGTACAATGACCAAACTATCTTCATCGCCGGCGGAACTGGCTTCCTAGGGACAGCTAGGTAGACAGCGCGAGACAACATGCAGTATTCTGGGCAATGCCAATAACAGACTGTCTCAAACGCTGTCTAGACAGAAGGGTCAACCCGATGTGAGTAATCCCCAAATTGGGTCGTTACAAAAGGCCAATTGAATGAGACATTCTCAGGTTCCATCCATTGGAGGTCTGAGATTTCTAAAATACACTTCCACAATCTATGCAAAGCTCCATATGACGAGCTACTATCTATCTGCCAAGATGAATCGGCGCCTGCGCCCCCATTGACAAATTGTATACTTTTCGTTAAACGTCCTCGAATTCCTCATCATCCTCATCAGACTCCTCAGCCTCCTTCTTTACCTCAGCCTCAACCGCAACCGCAACATCAGGATCAGGTTTGATACCAGGCTCAACCTTGACCTTCTTAGCCGCGGGTCCGTCATCCGCAGGCGTAGACGGCGTGCCAACAGAAGATTGAGGGGCACTGGAAGTCGATTCAAGTTCACGCTTGACACCGGCGCTACCAGAAGACGTGGCAGGCACACTCGTGGGACCACCAGCCACGGCAGGTGTACTCGGACCACTGGGACCAGAGATACCCTCAACATCCTCGAAGTCCTCCTCGTCTGAGTCATCTTCCGCGCTGCTGGCATCTGCTTCGGCTTGTAGGGCCTTCTCACGTTCCATTTCCGCGTAGTAAGCGGCGACCTTGTCGTCCAGGGCATCCACACTGGGTTTCTGGTCCACGTCCGCAAGCTCGGCCTTCACCGCGGTGCCCGTTTCTGTCTTCACCTGGGAGGTTCCGATCTGGGCTGCGTTGACCGTGGAATGTGTGTGCCATACGGGCAGAGCATTCTGCTTCTCGACTGCTGCTTTACGAGCGGCCTCGTCGGCCACCTCGGCGGCGCTCTTCTCCTCACTGGATGTGAGAGAGATCTCCAGCGCGGCTGCGTCGGTCTTGGCATTTGGTCGTGTGATGTCTTGGGCTTTAGGTGGAACAGCGATCGCGGCACGGACGGGGTGAGTGTTCTGGTTCCGGATAACTTCCACCTTATGATCCCATGCGGTTTCGAAGTCGTTCGGCGGGATTTCCACAGAGTCGATTTGCTTCAGCAGCTTGAGCATGTTGTCAAGCTGGGACATGAGTTTACTATTTTTCTCGTGACCTGTCCGATCAATCCCCTCCACGCCCTTCACGTCTTCCGTCCGTTCCAGGATGGCGCCGCAATTTTGACATTCGAACCCTTCTTCGCTGACTAGACTCAGTACGTCCAGTTCTGTCCATTCTGATTTGCATCGCACACATATGTATTCCTTCCGCTCCTCGCTCGGTGTGTATTGTGCCATAATAGCTGCCGTCAACTTCGAGACTTTGTATTTGATCGCGTCAACAACCGGATGTAAAGGGATGTAATAGTATTCGCGGTTGACTGGGCGAGTGGCGCCATCTCGAATCTCAGCACGTGTGCTCCTAGAGGAAATATCAGGTCAGCTTTGCTCATTTACTCGCTGTTGCGCGAGTCCCCTCAAATAGTGGTGCCATACACTCCGATCAAGCGATCCTCGCGAAGTCTGGCACAAAGCTTGCGCATATCCTTCAGTTGCATGCCCATCAAAAAGGCAAGGTCTTCAGCATGAAGACTGTAGCTGGTCAGCTCAGTTCCCACTCAGAAGAATCAGGATTCTCATCATACACTGAATGTAAGAACAGCGCATCGACTACTAAGATGTGACGGGTCTCGTAGAAGGCTCGGGCGACAGTCCGAATCAGTGTTTTCGAGAGATCCATGTTTTTGAGGATGTTGGATCCGACGAAGGAATCCGAGGAGGAAGAGAAGTTTCCAGAGGCGATGGCGTGAAGACGTCTAATTCAGATATGGGTTAAGAAAAGGACGCGAGGTGATCACAGAGGCAGCGAAGAGAGTGACAGAGCCCAATAGAAAAGAATGCGCTTGAGCAACTGGCAATGCCAAGCTGGTTGATTGAATGAACGAGTTGTCGCGATTCAGATTCAAAGGCGCCGGAGCTTCAAGTCACATGCAATCTTTATCTGTTGCCTGAGGCATCGAGTATCTCCGGCTAGCCAATTCATGCGGACGCTAAACCAGTTCTAGACTAGCACCGATATCATTGAAAAGATGGACCGCGGGCAAAAGACGAGAGGGCAAATTTCCCGCAACCATTTAATTTCATGCGTACCTCCATCATTTCCCAGAGGAACCTATCTGGGATCCTGACTGCAACCAAAAGTTCACCTATACTCTGCTTATTGCCTCGGAACCCCCGGAACCCTGTCTATAACCGTCACCTTTACCGGTCTTTCTGGCGCGGCTCGTTTGCACCTCGCGCAGAGCTATCAGAGATCCTTGAGCGGATAACATGGCCGACAACAAAGGAGCAGGAGGCGGAGGTGGTGGAAGGCGTAAGAACCGCGATATGGGGCGATCGGAATGGAGGTATGTTGTCACTCAATTGAGGATTTACCCCCGTTCTTCGCATTGTCAGCTAACTAATTAAGTCGCCAAGCGGTAGACAAGCGCAAGCGCAATGAGGAAAAGGCTGAGATCAAGCGCCGCAAGATTGAGAATGGCGAAGAGGTTAACCTGCCGATCTACGCGACACAGTTCTCCAAGGAGGAGATCGATAGCGAAGAGCGTCGCCCTAAGAAGAAGGTCGCGCTTCTGATGGGATACTCCGGGACTGGATACTCAGGAATGCAGTTGTAAGTTTTCATCTGCTGCAAGCGATGTCTTTGCCATATGCTGACAAGGGGATGCTATAGGAACGAGTCACAACGCACCATCGAAGGCGATCTGTTTACAGCTCTTGTAAACGTCGGCGCAATCTCGAAAGCAAATGCATCGGATCCGAAGAAGTCGTCATTCGTCCGCTGTGCCCGCACCGATAAGGGCGTTCACGCCGCCGGCAATGTCGTGTCCCTCAAGATGATCGTTGAAGACGAGGATATCGTCGAAAAGATCAATGCCCAGCTCAGCCCCCAGATTCGTGTCTGGGGCTACGAAGTGACCAGCAAAAGTTTCAGCTGCTACCAGATGTGTGATTCCCGTGTTTACGAATATTTGATGCCGAGCCACTGTCTCCTGCCACCCCACCCGAGCACTTACCTTGGACGGAAGATCGTCGAGCTTGCCGAGCAGGCAGGCGAGTTGGATGATGTCAAAGCCCGCCAGGAAGAGGTCACTGGCTACTGGCAAGACGTTGACGAGAAATATATCAAGCCAATCCTAAATACCCTGCCGGAAGATATCCGCAGCATCGTTGAGAAATCCATCTTCATGGACGACTCACGCGATGCCCTCCAGCCATCAGAAGAGAACAAGGAGTCCTCAGAGGATAAAACGGAATCCGTGGCCCCAGCTGAGAAGATTGTGTCAGAGGAGACCAGCGCACAGCCTACGACTGAAGACCCAGCAGCCGCAGAGAAAGAAACAGCCGCAGAAGACAAACCCTTCATCATGGACCCACGCCAAAAGACCATCACCGACGCCGTCAAAGCCATCAAAGCGGCCTATCTGACCGCCAAACGCGCCTACCGCGCCCCAGCCACCCGCATCGCGCGTCTCCAAGACTGTCTCTCACGTTACGAAGGCACGAAGAACTTCCACAACTACACAATCCAAAAGACGCACAACGACCCCTCCGCCAAGCGACACATCAAATCCTTCAAAGTGAACACAACGCCCATCATAATCGACGGCACAGAATGGCTCAGTCTAAAAGTCCACGGCCAAAGCTTCATGATGCACCAAATCCGCAAGATGGTCGCCATGGCCACGATGGTTGTTCGGTCAGGCTGCCATCCGGACCGGATCAACGATACGTATGGTCCGGAGCGTATTGCTATTCCCAAGGCGCCGGGTCTGGGACTTTTGCTTGAGAGGCCTATTTTTGATTCTTATAATGCTAAGGCTGCTTCGTTGCTTGAGAGGTCGCCGATCAATTTTAAGAAGTTTGAGAAGGAGATGGATGAGTTTAAGCAGAGGGAGATTTATGATCGGATTTTTAGGGAGGAGGAGCAAAGTGCTGGCTTTGGTTCTTTCTTTAATCATATCGATCACTTCCCTGCTGATCACTTCTTGTATGTTACTTCTGGTGGTATCGCGGCGGCTAAACTTGCTACTGCGCCTGCTGCTGCGGATCCCAAGGCTGGGAACAGGGCGCGTGGTGCCCAGGCTGGACAGCAGGATGCACTTGCTGCCGTGGAAGTTGGATCGGATGACGAGGCTAATGTCCCAGCTGGTGGAGAAGAAGAAGGTTGAGCATACCAAAATACTGAATTCTTACTTTCATAATAAAATGAACACCACTACACATACTAGTAAAATGAAACAGAACAGGCAGAAGTATCGACAGTGAGTACAGTAGAATGTCTCTGAGATAAACTTGAAATGTATGTAGATGTTTCCTTGTCACCATTCAAAGCAAATAGAACCATAACTCCATTCCCTGATGCCCGGCCGTATCAACGCCAGAAAGAGACCATCACAATCGTAGCAAGGAAATGAAGGGAAATAAAACGCAGCTTTCGTAAGACCCGTGGCGTGCGAGAGAATCGGGCGCACGAGCGCATGGAAAAGAAAAACACATAATGAGCACATCGCAGTGGGAAAGTCCGAAGTTAAGGAGACCCAGCGACTCTTATGTCGGAATCAGAATCTCCACCCCATTCCTCAAGGGAGGCCACGTCCGAGTCTAGGAACTCCGGGTTAGATGATGTTCCACGGCCATTCAGAAGGGTAAGGGATTGGAGCCTACCGGAAGGCACCTCGTCCGGGTTCTCTTCGCAGTACATCGAACCAAGGAGTGAGAAGAGTGCTGGGAGTGTCAGCGGCTTTGCAAGGAAAGTCGTTCATCGAGTTGCTCGAAAATACCTTCGACCTGCCGAACCTGGTCCTGATCTGCATCGCTCTCATCGTAAAAGGCTCCAAGGCAATTGTTCATCACTGGAATGATATGCTCAAGCTGCCTACGGTCGATATGTCGAATCTGATCGTCAAGGAACGACTTCTTCAGCCGTCCAAGGCAATAATCCAGTAAAGCACGTCCAACGTTGCGGCGCAGTTCGTTGCCGGTCTCCGATTCGCCAGCTTCCCCTTCATCACGTTCAGCGCGTGCAGTGCCGTCTTCCGAATTCTCGGGGAAGAGCATCGCGTTGATAAGATCGTGCACCTCCCCACGGACAGCACTGTCTTTATCAATGAGCAAGGTCGGGGCCCAAAGGAAAAGCGTCTTCAATACAATCTCGGCGAAAAACGCCGATTCCACGCCCAGGCGCTCGTTGGTTTCGTGACAAAGACGAGTGAAGAATGCAAGGTGCACCTTACCACCGCTGTTATTGATTGTTTCAACGCCCTTGGCAATAAACTCGATGAGAGAAACGACTCGCTGCTGGTCTGGAGAATGCTGGCAGAACACTATAGCTGCGTCCAAGAAGGGTGCGCAGTGGGCAGCAGGATCAACTCTCAACCCATTTTCCAGTGTCAATTGAACAGTATCCAGTAAGCCCGCGTCGGGTTCTCTCTGTAGAAGGATTTCCATGATCGCGCCAACGATCTGAGTGTGAGGAAAACCGTCGTGCTTCATCATTTTCAACACGATAGACAAAGACCCGTCGTCATCAAGCGGTCTGATGAGGTTCATCTCATTCACTTTGGTAGAAAATTTCCCATTCACGATTTGCCGTCGTTCGCCAATGGGGGTTGGGCGGAGCGAAAGGTCAATGCATTTGAAGAATACCAGGCACAGTGAGAGCAAAGGCCGGTAGTTGAACTGACGCCCCTTGCTCCTGAGACGTGCGTAACCGGGATGCCGGTTGCGCAAGAACTTCCTATCCTCCTCGTCATTCCAGAGGATCTCCAGACAGACAGCGAAATAACCCTGGTCGAGTAAGATCTGGATAACGCTCGTGCCATAGTTGCAAAGCGCGAGGATGAATTTGAAGTAGTCTTCCCAGACTCGGGGGAGGGACTGGACGTCGGACCACAGAGATGACAACATGGGTACCAATCTCCGTATAGCTTCATCGAAGCGATCGCCCCATGAGGCACGGTCCTCGTCGCTGAGATCTGGGTCTGTCGACGACGAATGGAGGTGGTCCAGGGCAGTGCTGATCAACGTAAGCTCCTTGCCCCGAATCATTCCGTCGAACGTCCTGAGCATGATGTTGTACATCGAGGTTTGTCGGTTGGTTAGCCATTCGAGAGTAGATAGAGCAGCGTTGGGGCTTTTCTTGATCATGTCAACAAGTTCGCTGTAGATTTCGTGTAACCCTTGGCTCTCCTTGATGCGCGGAACCAATTGCTCAATCGTTTCCATTCCGATGTGGACAGCCAATGTCTCCGCTCTGGTCCTGTTGGCATTCTCATGAGCCATGCTAGGACACCGCTGAAGTAATTTGGCCACGAATGATGAGTATTGTGGGTCCAGGAGACAGTATGTCCGAACGAGCAGTTCATTATCCATGGCAATGTAATTCTGAGTCACCGGCGATACCGGGAGATGTACCGGGACCCCTGGCTTCGTTGGCTTGAACACTTCCTTGGAGTTCTCAATTGTGGACACACGTTGGTAAAACAACATGTACGCATTCCACGTTTTGATTTTGTGGTTCCCCTTGGTGTAATGCATGGTCTCGCGTGAACCACCAAAACATTGATCTGCCATAGCAGCAGGGTCAAATTCGGTAACATCCGAATCGTTGAACTCGACCCACGAGGGCTCCTCACCAGATGATGGACGCTCAAGGGTATATGAGTAATAATGACCTGACTCTGCTGTACCTGTATGCACAAGAACTCCAACCAGTTCGAAAATATCCGGCGCAATGGGTTCCTCTGGATTGGAAAGATGCTCGACAGTATATGGAGCCATGTCAATGTGATGCGGGAATTGGAACTCGTCGTTGATTTTGCTTCTCAGCATATTGACCATATCAAAGTCAAACCTTTTCAGGTGAAAAATCACATTGTCGGGGACGTCTTTCAGACAGGCACTGGATCGAAGTCAGAAAGCCATTCCGTATCAGCACGCGCTCGGAACTTACCGTTTGACAGCATTGACATGTCGCCCGCAAGAAGTGCAGGAGTATTTATTATCTGAAAGCACGTTAGACAGCAATCCCGTTGAGGCCGCCGATGTTAACTCACCTCCCTGCATGACTTCGCCTGCCACGTAAGCCCGCAGACTATCTTCGAGAGTCGCCTTTCCCTTGATCTCACACTGAATCGCAGAGAATGGCTCAAGTCTTTCGGAGATATGATCACATTCCATCGACTTGATTTGCTGGACAAGCTGCCCACCGTAGAAAGATCGGAACTTCTTCTTCAGTTCCGCATCGAGAACCTGAGCCTCCCAACGATCAAACAGCAGGTTGTAAAATTCATCGACATCCATCTGAACATTCACGTCGATACCCTTGTTCTCGTACGTAAGGATGCTGTTGACGAAATCAGAGGGCTCAATGCACTTGTTCCATGTTTCCTGCATCCAAGTAAACAATCGTTGGGTTTCATATAGAAGTCTCTGTGAAACCCTATCAGCAATGGGAAGATTCAGGATGAAGTGCCTGAAATCAACGTTCATGAAGAGTTGTGTCATAAGGGAATTGAGATAACACGTGTTTGAAAGGTTCCTCAATCCTGCATATCCTTGGGCAGACCGGAGCATATCTCCTCGAGTTCCATTGCCGCAATTCTCGAGATGGGTAGAATCTAGTATAGAGGTTAGCTTGCGTCAAAGATCAACGGGGTAGACATTGGCGTTGCGAACCTCGGGGAACATTGGTGTTGACCATCTCCAAGACCTGGCAATAAGTATCGTCGCTCTGCTTGCACAACAAGCCAACAACACTGTAAAGGCTAGAGCGAGTGTTGCTATGCATCACCGGTATTTTGGGATCTGCATGTTCGGCCGTCTCAGGAGAGAGATCTGGGAACAAATACTGGTTGAAGATTTCCACGGCGATATTCCTGGAGTTTAATTAGACGTGCCCACAGTATGACCAGATGAAGAAGTGAGACTGACCGTGTGTCCAAAGTGACGCCAGCGGCGTTTGCCAGCTCCAGGCAATACTCTAACAAAGCAGAAATCCCAATCAGCAGATTATCTGCTGGCTCTCTACCGACAAACTAAGAGGCTGTTAGCAATGCCTCGTCTGTCAACGATAATTGAACGTACCTCTTCTGTCCGGTGACTGAGCATGACTGTGCTCCATTGTTGGAGGTACTCATTGAAAACCAAGTCTCGCGGGGACCTATGTGCAATTGTCCTCAACATCCACAAAGCAGCACTGAAGAACTCTTCCGATTGGGAAGCATATTCAACAGTCTTGGGTATCACCTGTAAAAACGAAGCCCAGATAGTTGCAAGCATGTCAATGCGATTTGGCTCTTCCGCAGTGGGAGATCCCGCCTCGTTTTCCTTCATGGACAGCTTGACGGGCTTAAGGGGCCCGCAGATTATTTTCAGACGCTCCACAATCTCAGTCCGAATTGATTCTCTGGTTTCTTCTAAAAGAAGAGTGGTAATCAAGTCATCGAACTGAGCATGTTGTTTGACAACGTTCCAGACGTTGTTGTCGCGTAACGAGCTCTCGACCAAGACTGCAAAGGAATTACAAATCAGGCTTTGCGCACATGTACCAGCCGGTGCATCAGTGGAAACGTTGCGACCGATTTTAAGCAGATCAAGAATTCGTGGAACAAGAGAGCTTGGATCAGCGACCAGGACCTCGTCACCGCCAGTCGCGCGAGATACTAGAGCACGATTAGTTGGCGCTTTCAATCAACAAATTCAGGGCAATCAACATACTGGATAGAGCCAGGAGAAGACATTCAATGGCTCTGGTGGCGAGCACAGTGGCTATCGAGTTGGCTGAGAGGACGTTAAACAGTTCCTCTGATTTCAGGAACGCAGCCAGAACTTGAATGCTGTGAGACACCAAGTCTTGGTCCGGAGACATCTAAAGCGACCGTTAGTTAATACGGATATAATCTAAGAAGACAGGGATCAGTCTCACTTCGACGGCCTCCTCACGAAGACACAAGGACAGCGTATGCAAGGAGTACAGAGCTTTATAAGGTCTCTGTAATGGGAACAAGTCCACTTCGGATATGTCTTTTGATCGTACCGACTCAAGCGCTTGCACTTGGGGCGGGAAGACGACCAGGAAATCAAAGATCTGAAATGGCTTCAGCGTTAATGTTCAGCTTACAGAAAACGGGCAAGGGAGCCATACCTGTCGAGCCAAGTCATCTGCCAGAGTGAGCAGATCATAGAGCTCGTCAAAGTGCTTCAGCACTTCGTTGTCCACGGCCGTAGGAGACTGGCGGATACCGGCCAACGTGATCTCATGGGCGTCGGGCGCCTTCCGAAGCATGAGCAAGCCTGAAGGGAAGTCGAAACTTTCCACAGTGGCGTCTGGATCCTGGAGTAAGTCGAGTTTCTTGCCACGGAAGATGGCCGTGAACTTGGAAAATCGGGTTAGCTGAACAAGCATTTTCGCAAGCTCTGGAGCAGTGGAAAGACCACCAATGCGCGTTGTGAAGATGTCGGACCGCGAAGTGCCATTGAAATATTGGTACCTGATTTCAACCGGCTCTCCTTTCAGAGGACGTTGCGGCAATGTGGGCGGAGAGCTACGTGGAGAGCTGTATTGGGGCCTCGTGCGCAGTCCATGCAGTAGTTCACGAAGAAACTGCAGTGAACGGCTGAACCTCAGCTCATGGATCCCAGCATCACCATTGCGGTTGTCAATTTCCAACGAAGCGCCAGTGTCGGCTGTTCCATTGCAAGACGACTTTAGCACGGAAGCGGCAGACTTCAGTTGGTCCACGCAACGATTGACAAGGGCGATATGAGTAGCGTCTTTAGCTGATCGGGGGGCCCTGTGGACGATATTGTGATCCAAATAAGTACCAATGGCAAACTTGATGGCCTCATCCTCAATCGACCGTGGCGGTGCCGTCAGAATGAACTTCCAGATTCGGTCCATTCCCGGAATATCTATAATCTCGTTCTCCTCCGCAATGGGCGGTGGCTTGATTCGAATCTCATAGTTGACAGACTGCTGAGTGAACCATAACACCTCATGCGAGTAGTCCTTGGGAAGCACGTTCGGTAGGTACTCGTGGATGCAACGCTCAAGGAACAGGTTCACTTGGTTAGTACAGTTGGTGAGGTCGACCAACATCTTCCACATGGTCTGGCGCTCCTCTGCGGCTAGGTTCGGAGACAGAAGAACATCCTTCCAGAGGATGCTCCCCAGATCAGGAGTAATTGTTTCAGGGGCGAGATCAATTAGGCGCTGCAGGAATTCGACTCGCGAGGAGAGACCGTGCTTTGAGGACAGGTGCTGCAGCTTGGTGTGGTCTTCACTGACGAGATGATGAAGTTCGATTATCACCAAACGTGTCAAGTCAAAATCAGTGGCAAGCTTCCAAAGCTCCCGTGCATCACCATAGGGTACCAGTGCGTTCAATACCTGAATACTGCCGGCAGTCCATTCATTCTTTTCTCCGATGTCTTGAACGCAGCGCTCATATGTCTCTGCTTTGTCGCTTTCGTCCAGCCCAGCTTCGATGAGCTGTCCCAGTTGTACAGTTCCACACTCCTGCATCAATGTCCTTTGTTCAATGGTCAAGTCCTTGTCGCCCGAGCTCTCACGAATGAGGCGAACACAGAGCTTCAGTGGGATCGAGCCGAGGTGCTCCCCGTTAGACATGTTCTCATGATCCCGGTTTGACTGTAGTTCGCGCACGCGCGGTATTAACTCCTCACAGAAGACGATTATGCGATTGTCAACCCGACTAAGGGGGAGATCAAGCAATTTCGAACAAAGATATAGCAACCGCTCTGGTTTGAGATGCATCCCAGCAGTTCGTTCAAGCATGCTAATCACCTCGCTGACAGTGCGATCATCCTGGCTCTCGGTAACAGTTTTCCAGATGGCATCTGTGTCGTGATCGGTGTACTGACCCATCACCATTAAGAACCCAAAGATATTGCTGCTTCGGCGGATCAACTGTGGGTGAGAGTCAATGCCAAGAAGATAATCAAAGATCTTGGCCTTTCGCAGATATTGAACCATGTGTGTCAGGAGTGGTATCTCGTTGACATCCTGGTTCAGGGGACGGTGGTCAGACCAGATGCTGATCAGGTCCGACTGCATCTTCTCCACGCCGTGAACCCGAAGCTGCATTCGACCTTCCATCATTTCCTTTCTCAGAGCATCGAACTTCCATGTCCATACAACGCACAATGCGGCTTGCTCCGCACCAGCATCCTCGGGAACTTGGATCGACAACTCCTGCGCAAGCTGGAGTAGAAATTCCGGGTATCGGCGACAAAGGAAATGGTAACTGCGAAAGAGTGCGCCCAAAAGTGCATCGCTTACATCGGGTGCGACAAACTGCAACTTCTTCGCGACCCATCCTTGGAACGTTTTGTCGATTGCTCGAATCGTCTCGTAAAATCTCTGCAATGAAAACGAATCTGTCACCGATTCACCGAGAGAATCCGAATCACTCGTCTGCGCATCCTCAGTGTCGCATTCGAGAAAGGCGTTCAAGGCACTCAACGGCGTTATCATCGCGACAATGAGTAGTGGACACTTGGGGAGCGAGGCAAGATTATCGGAGATGTATTCAAGTAGTGTACCAGCTGCATCGAATGGAGGCGCGGAAAGCTGCGCTTTGAGTCGAGCAGAAAGATCACGCCCTTTGGAAGGAGATTTCCCCTCTGCATGCTGCAAGACGGGTATCGGAGCACCCTGGAACAACCAAGGGAAGCTGAAAAGATATCGTCGCGATGTGGTCGGCGGAGCGTCGAACTGTTCTCCGTCTTTATTGGCGGAGTCCAAGAGCCTGATGTCCAGCTGCACCATACGAATGACAATGCGGGCATAGTCAAGAAGATATTGTTCGAGGAAATCAGGAATATCTTCCTCATCCATATCCAGTTGCCATTTGCTTATCTTTCTGCGCAACAAGCGATCCAGGACGAAGGACAACTCCTCCCAGAACTCTAGGTCTGAAGCGTATTCGTCGACTGTGAGCCGATCAATGTTTTGCACACACATCTTCAGCCACTGTCGTATGCTTACGAGCGCCGTCCCGTCGTGCACGTGTCCTGTACGCTGTATCAGTTTCTGGCCAGGTTCTGTTGTCTGGGATTCATTCATACCGTATTCGAGCATGTCGCCAAGCTGACTGAAGTTCTCTGCGACTGTCATGTCACTGTGTACCTTTGGAAAGGATTCACTCAGAGGAAGCACATCTGGGATCTCGATGATCTCCGGCTCTTCTTGGTCTCGCATAGCTTGACCGAGGGGCATCCAGTTCGAGTTGTTTGGGTCTTGATCGATGTCTTCGGGTTCGGCGACTTCGATCTCGGGACTTTCAGGAGTTGAGGGTGAAGAGGGAAGTGAGATAACGTTATGAGCAGTGATGGGGTTTTGTTGGAGCTCTGGAGATGTGTCTGAGGGTTGATGATCGGAGGGAGAAAGACCAGGGGCCATGGTGGGTGGAAGAGATTTGGTGTTGATGGTAATATCGCTTGGATTGCCAGAATCTGGAGCTTCATCGATCTCAGAGGCGAGATCGATAGGGGAAACAGCCGTGGGGGAAGCCGTCGAGGCAGGCGTGATCGAGGCCGTACGCGTTCCTTCCATTGAAAGACTCGGGCTAACGCGACTTCCACTGTCGAGACGCGGACGCTTCCGGGTCGCCGAGGGGTCGTGATCCTCCATGGAGTCGTCAATTAACGGAGATTCTGCGTTTAAGGGAGTGTGAGGCGGGGTGCGAGGGCTATCTGGCGGGGGTACAGCCATGTCATTTTCCGCGCGTAATAGGTCTAGGGTGGTTTAGATACGCGCAAATGCGAGCAATGGCAGGGAGGGGCAGTCGTAGAAAGGAGGGTGAGAGAGGTATGAGAGAAAGAACGAGTGAGAGAAGTGTGAAAAGCTCAGAGATAAAGCGGTCGACAGCTTTTTGGGGACGCGCCAGAATTCTGAATCAGTGACGTTGTGCTGTGGAGAGCGGACATCAAACAATCAAGCTTCTGAAATCTACTCCTTCTACATTTATGTATTTGCTCATTCTATTCACTTAAGAAGAAACAAAGATATCATCAATCATACATTCCATTGCAAACGCTACCGCCTATTTGTTTCAACACTACAGTTATAAAGCGCTGGAGCGCTGGAGCGAACGGCAAATCGCACCGTCCCTAATGCAACCAATTGCATCGAGTCTGGGCACTTGGCATTCATTGTTTACCACATAGCGAGCGGTTGCAACTAACAAATCTCGATGATATCAATCGTTAGTATTCATATCTCTGTCTGGGCCGGTCGTGCATAGCGCCTATTTGAACATAGACGCCACTAAGACGCGGTCGCTTTGACCTGCCATTTCTCATAGATGCGACTCTCCGGCGATCGCGATGCTGCTTAATATCTATCGCCTAACCATTGCAGTATCAATCACTCAGTCATTGTCGTTTCAATGCGGCGAATAATCCGAGCTGGGTTACCGGCAGCGACATGGAAAGCGGGCACATCCTGAAGCTAGCGTCAGAACAGCTTCACCATTTCCTATACAATGAAAGATTGCATACCTTTGTGACCACACTCCCAGCTCCTATGGTCGCACCCTTCCCGATAGTAACACCGGGAAGGACAATCACATTCCCACCCAGCCAGCAATCTTCTCCGATGACAATTGGTTTCCCTGTTTCCGGGCCCTTAGTACCATTGCGAAGGGCAGGATCAAGCGGGTGGGTCCCGGAGAATAAGTTGACATTGGGACCAAACATAGTGCGAGCTCCAACGGTGATAGGACATGTGTCAATAAAGACGCAGTTGAAGTTGACGAAGACGCCAGCTCCCAGCTTGACATTAAACCCGTAGTCTATCTTGACGGGAGCTTCAACCCACGGCTCATCTTCAAAGAGAGCATCATCGGCAGCAGGGTCGTCCAGTTTTGGTGGTAGAGGTGTCTTGTCTTCAGTGATACTGTCCACTATAAGTAGTTGGCCAGACATGTAGCTCCAAACGGTTCATGGATGGTCGTAGCTAAAGACAAGACTTCCTTACTCACTCTCTCCACATCTCAACAAGTCGCCGACGAGACACCTCATCCGAATTATTAAATCGATTACAAGCCCATTTGCAACGTGCCCGAGCAGCGATCAAGTCCGGCGTGAAAGCGTGATATAGCTCCCCGCGAAGCATCTTCTCTCTCTCTGTGGGCTGTGACATGCTGGAGGAATTGTCTTTAGAAAATCAGGGAAAAGAAACTTAGGAAAGAAGAGAAGTCAGAAGTAACTAAAATCACTCTGAGCACAGAACAACTACCACCACCTCAGTCCTCATGACTTCCACGTGATAATATTGTCCCCAAAGCCCAAATCTAGAGCCAAGACATGTCACATGTGGGGAAAGACCCGCAAAAACAATACAACCGCTTGAGATTGTTCTCTCAAACAATGAAACCGAACCCCAACACCCACCCACACCCCCTATTTAAAGCCCGCCAAATCCCTCGAAATGACCCTTCTGCCCTCATGAACCCAGTCTCATCTCTCTAAAAACCACCATCCACAATGACCTCCAACTCGGCCACAACCTCCGGCGCAGCGCCAAACCAATTCACACACACATTGAACAGAACGGCAAACCACTCCCGCGCCATCAGCGACACATCCTCCTCCTCAGAAACCTCTACCGACACCCTCAATGCCAACATCGCAATCTATCCCAACGGCACGATGTCGTTGGCCGGGATCTCGCTGCGCGCAATGCTCCTAGGAACCTCTCTAGGCCTGACAGCAAGTCTAGCACTGTTCCTCAGCACCGCCACGGAGTATGCAACCCCCCTCTGGCGCGTTCCTTTCTTCATCGCCTCACTGAGCTTGTTCCATTTCCTGGAGTTCTATGTGACGGCGCGGTACAACACGCGGCACGCGACGACCACAGCGTTCCTGTTGTCGTCGAATGGGTGGGCTTATAATATTGCGCATGGCTCAGCTGTCGTCGAGTGCATTGTGACGCATGTCTTCTGGCCGGGACAGAGTACTGCTGGGAGGATGCTTACTGTGACGGAGCCGTTCTATGGAAGTCAGGTCTCGGTGCTGCTTGTCGGTGGATTTGTGCTTCTGGTGGTTGGGCAGATTATTCGGACTATTGCTATGGCGCAGGCGGCTAGTAATTTCAATCACCATGTTCAGAGTCGGCATCAGCAGGGACATGTGCTGGTTAATACTGGGTTGTATCGGTATCTGCGACATCCGAGCTACTTTGGGTTCTTCTGGTGGGGGTTGGGAACGCAGCTTATTCTGGGTAATGTGGTCTGCTTTGTGGGATATTCTGTGGTGCTTTGGCGGTTCTTCTCTAACCGGATCCAACGTATGTTTCTGTCTACTTCGTCGATTGCATCTCTTGCTAACTGCTTTATGTGCTTGCAGGCGAGGAAGCTTACTTGATCTCATTCTTCGGCGACGAGTATGTTCAGTACCGAAAGGTTACTTCGGTGGGTATCCCGGGAATTTAGTTGCAAAACATCAAGGTGTAGCATGTGTGAGTTCGAGTAGAAACAAAAGAAAATCGTGATAATATTATCGAACTGGCTTCAATGACTAGAAATCTGGTATGTGGTACAAGGCATAATCACCGCCGTAGGCATGGTATCTTCAAATCGGCAAGCTGATTGCCTTAGCATCGTTATAGCTTACTCTCAGGCGCGACCCCCCCGACAGCACCACTCATATAAGGCCCATTTTCGTCCGATCCACCTTCCCCGGTCTCGGCACCGAATAAAACAAGCTCACGCCCGCCTTCAGTGCTCCACCAGGTAACACAGCAGTGGGCACGATCAACATCCATCTCGCCGCCCGCCAAAGCTTCCCAGAAGCGGTCGATGCAGACATGTCGCATGTTGCGGTCAGAGATCTTGTTGATCAACTGCGCTGCCAAGGGAAGCCATTCTTTGAGGTCTTCGACTCGGAGGAATGAAAGCGAGTCGAGCAGAGCAAGAGTCAGGACGGCCTGTGCGGAAAGAGGTGGACTTTGGCTCATGTCTGGATTTGGACCCTGTGGAGGCATTGGCGTAGATGAGGCGTTTAAGGCGCGGTCATGAACGACTTCGAGCAAGGTCGAGGGTAGAAGTGGCTGGCTATTTGCCAAGGGTGAAGGAGGTGCTGTGATTTGTATGACTGTCTTGAAAGCAAGACGGAATTGGCGTGCTGAAAGGTTATGAGGGAAGACCTGTATATCATTAATAGCCATTCCAGTGAATGCGATTGGGATGAAACTCACGGCAAAGAGGTTATCAATATAGAAAGGCAGATGTTTGGCCGCTAATTCCGCGTTGTGGGGAATGGCGAAGACGACAAGCACCAAGCTGTGAGCAGCTTCGAAGATCTCCAATAGTTGGCTGTTGGCACCGGCTGCAAGATATGGGAAAGCAGCGGCCAAGAGTAGTTCTTCGTTAGTCGCGGGCGACAGAACAAGCGGGAAGTGCTCTGCCACGTTCAAGAAGAAGAGGTCGAGACACCGTTCGACGGGATGTGTGGGAATTTGTCCAATCTCGCTGGGCTTGATGCTTCGCAGGAAGTTCTCTGCAAGATCCGGGTATTGTGAAAGGATGTCTATGGCTGCCAGCAGCACGAATGTATGCTGCGATGAGGCATTCTGGCCAAGGCGCGAAGATATGAAATACATGTTGCGAAGGATGTGTAGACATTGCATCGATAGGTATGGGGCGCCTAGAGGAAGCAGAGTTAGCATCAATCCAAATGCAACCACTTCGCTGTCACTTACTGCTGTTGGCACCAAGGCCCGGGTCATTGATAGTTCTCCCGAGCACAGCTCGGAGGGCGATCACGACCGAGTACAAGCAATTTCGCAGCATCGCCCAAAGGGCAGGAAGTGTTATATCTCGGGATTCAGCATCTAGATATTGTGCTTCCTCCACAGCGTCAATCTCAGATAGCTTATTTTGACGCCACTGAACCATCAGCGTCCGAACAAATCCGGCGAGATAATCAACAGTCTGCGCGACGATTCTCGGATCTCGAGCATTATCTATAGAATGCGCAATGAGACGAGACAAAGGTCCCAAAGTCGACACAAGCGGACGAGCAGCGACCGCCGAGACAATTGCAAATGTCGGAGATTTGGCCGACCATCGAAACTGCTTCCCTGAGGCCTCAATAACATCCCGGTCAATAGACCCCAAGAAATACCCGCCTTCGAGACCCTCCGAAGACAAATATGCTGAATGGATCATCGCCGGGAGTAGTCGATCATAGTCCAGCTTGCTCCTCTCGAGATCTGACAAAAGCTCAAAGCTATAGTTCAACACCATCGTGATGCACTGGCCCTCAATTCCAGTCTCAGGGCCCACCAGCTCCTCGAGCGCCATTTGCGTTGCTCTCGCAAGCGCGGCCTCGAGTTTTGCCCGAATGTTTCGTGGTAAGCCTTGTCGGTTTTGTCCTTCGAATCCCATCAGGATTCCACCCAGCAACAGCATGTGCCTCCATCGCGGGGACTTATCGTCAGCGCCCCCAGCGACGGCCTTGACCCATGCAACACAATCAATCTTTCTATTCCTTCCGTACGGTATCCGGGGTTCATCGGTATTGTCATCCTGCAAGACTGCGATGGCCGCCGTGTTGAAGACACTGAGGATCTTGCGGCATTGTTGGAGATCGACGGGTTGACTCCAAAGCGAAGGCGCGGAGAGGAGTTGAGAAGATAAAAGTGTCAAATTCAAGGGATTTCCCAGCATAGACAGGAAGCTGGTAGCTGTGGGAAGCAGGCTGAATTGGTCTGCTGTTAGCCTTCGTTCACAACCCGACCGGAATGGGGTGTAATCGGAACGGGGTCGCGCCACTTACTTAGCAGCATCTTGGAAGCTGGAAGTCGCTTGCAGCGACCGCAGCAGCGTCGCCAAAGAGCGTTCTGTGGCCATTGGAGTTCAAATGAGGGAATAGGGGTGGCTCCCAGACAAGAGGCTCTACATCGCTCAGGGAGTGATGATCAACGGCGGAGAACCCCAGACCAGCCGAGGTCCGGGTGCGGAGACCAACAGTGCAAACAGATCAAACAAGCATCGTCATTCTCATCGTCGGACTTGCCTTTTCTGTTGATACGCGTTGTATTTGTCGACTACCCACGTCTGTTAGATATGTTCCAATGATTAATATCCGTTGCAGCTGAAATAGCGCAGTGACTTCTCCATGGCTAACAACCGTGTTCCGATCAACTACGAAGTACCGGCTTTTCCATCGTTATACGATCCCCTGCCGTCGCATCACAAGCAAGCATACTACCTATACTACACGAAGGATATTTGGCGCTTTACACTCTTCTGGACACTGGTATTCTATGCGGCAACACATCTCACCGTCGCTGGCTGTGCGGTGTTGACCCATTTTCGTAGCTGGAATGTGATATGGGTGGTTCCGTTGGTCTACAGCTTCGTCGCGGGTGTGGAAGGACTTCTAGCCGGGAGTATTGTTGGACTTGTGTAAGTTGATCGACTCTCGGCACTCTCAAAATCATCCATAGCTGACAGTTCTGTGAAGTCTCGGCGCGATATATGAAGCAGGCAATTTCAGGATGTCAACTTGGCTGCCGATGATATGGGCCGGCGTCAACGTTATGGTCCTTATTGTCACCAGCTTTCCGATGCGCGGTGGTCTCTGAATCAGGTTCTAGCTACTACGACCTACGACCTACGACCTACGACCTACGACCATACTACACAATACGAATTGTTCAGCCAACGTGTCTGGCCGGGATTACGATACATCCGACAAGGCTACAAAGGGGCTTGCTGCAAGTCTTATAGAGCCATGAAATTTCCCAAGAATTTACTATGATACAAGTGCTTCGGTCTTTCAAAACGCCGTCCGCCCGCGTCAAAATAGGCATGCTATGTATGTCCGTTACGCCAATGCCAAGCCGATAACACGCATTTCAATCAGTTCACTTGAATCAATGTCTTCGATTGCCATCGGGCGTACCGCCGCCTTGCAGACCAGGTAGACCGCCAAAGCCACCGGGGAAACCTGGGTTGTTTGCCAAGGCTTGGAAATTGAGATTCTGAGGCATGGGGAAGTTCTGGAGTTGCTTCTGCAACTGCGCCAGATCCATGTTCATCGGCGGGGCTCCACCCATACCCTGCGCCATAGGGAATCCAGGCATCCCAGGTGTAGGGGTATTGGACTGTGGGGGAGCGTGGGTGGAGATGAGCGCAGCCAAACGCTCTGGATTCATCCCACCCATAGCGCCATCCAGTACTGGCTGCTGGGGCTGATGCTGGGGCTGAGCGCTGCCGATTCCAGGCAGTAAGCCTGGGACGTTGGGCTGAGCGCCGGCCTGAATTCCGGGCAGGACAGGACCGCCGGGTCGTCGTTGGTCGACCAGGCTGTCGGCTTCGTCCTGCATTTCTTGTTCCTCTTCCTCCCGCATCTGTTTCCGGCCAAAGCCACGATTCCACGTTCCCTGGGCTTCTGCGGCCTCTTCACCGATATGGAATCGGTCTTTCATGTAACTAGTCTCGCCAGGTCGACAACGTGACCAGAATCGAGTAAAGTTGTCCTTAGATCCGGAAGCCAAGATATGGCCCAGTGGGTGCCAGTCTAGTGACCAAATTGTAGCACCGTGCGCGTATTGCACCCGATGTGCCGGGTAGATTACCTGTGGCGGCGTGTTCGCCGGGTCTGGGCTGTCGTACGGCGCCACAGTGGGAATTTGACCGGCGGGCAAGTGCGGCTCATCGAGTAGATAATGATAGAGCGAACCGTCTTCTGCACCCGTTGAGATCAAGTTACTATGGATTGGGTGCCATGTCAAAGAAGAAACTGGCTTCTCATGGCCCCGCAATATGCAGATATCGCGCATCATGCGCAAATCGAAGACTCTCGCAGTTTGATCACGCGAAGAAGTAGCAAGAAGGTTGCTGTTCACTCGCGAGAACCTCGTGGACGTGACTGTGTTTTTATGACTGTGCAACGTCGTTAAGCAGCGGCCAGTACGCGGGTCCCAGAACTTGACCTGGTGATCCTTTGATCCAGAAACGATCAATCCCTTGGTCGGGTGCCAGTCACAGGACTTGACATCCCAGTTGTGTCCGGTCAGTGTGGCGTCGGCTGTTCGGGTTGCGAAATCGAAGATTTTGAGCGTGGTATCATCGGACGCGGAAAGGAATTTGGTATCGCTGGGTGCCCAGGATAGATCGCGGACGGCATCGTGGTGGGCGTCATCGATTGTCTCGACGTTGTTGAAGTTGGGTCGCCAGTACTTGATGTCACCTCTTTGTCCACCAGAGACCAGCCAGTCCTGGCTATGAGCCCATGCTAAGGATGTGACACCAGCTTGTATTTGATCGTAGTGTGCCTGCACCATGAATTAGCGCGATTAACAAAGGCGCAGTCTGCAAAAGTCGCAGATACGCACATCCATGACTGTCTCGAAATTAAAGGCCGTTCCATTCCAAAGCATAAATTCTCCTGTATGGCCGCCGGTCAACAGTCGCCTTCCCTCGGGAGTCCATCGCACCACGACAATGGGCTTCTTTGATTTTCCGATCGACTGGTGTAGGTGTCGCACGGGAATTGTATCAACCGCGGAATGAGGATGCGCCATTGGAGGTAGAACCTATTGCGAGTCAGTCTCTTCTGCCAGACCAGTATATCATCAATGAGACATACATCGACCGCGAAGCTGGCACTAGGCCGCTCAGTCTCTAATCGATGTGATCCTTTGTATCGCGGTTGCCGTGTTCGCATCCATTGCACCATTGAAGAGCCATAATCCGTGACGAGACCTGGAAGGAACTGCTGTTAGTTGGGCTCATGGCGGAGTGAAGTTGAATCAACCAAGAGCTAGAGGTCAACAAACATACGTGGTCTGCGAGGTCCAACTGGACCTTCGAAACTCTTTCCGAACCGTCCTTGGCCTTCTCCCCCATGATCGTCATAATAGGCCATCGCGACCCGTTCAAAAGCTGTGCGAGATCAAAGCCGTCGGTTCACGGGCATGAAGATCAAACGCAATCAGGATACGATAGAAATGTCTGAAACCGACCGTGGGGGGTCTAACGTAAAATGAAGAGGTGCGGAGAGCGTCGAAGCTCGCAGGATCCGTCCCTTGAGCATCAATGACGCTGATTGGCCCTGCAGTTTTATCTGCAAGCTTGCGCTATGATGTTGCCCCCCGCCTATGTCTAGCATTAAAGTGTTAGATTGTTCTGGCCGGTTTCTTCCTTGTCTTTTTTCTTCTTCTTCTCTTCTTCCTTTATCTAACGTGATTGTGTTGCTGCCTTTCCATTGCATTCCGTCGGGGCTCCGGTTTGTTCCATCGGAGCTTGACTTATAACTCTCCAACTCCCACATTGCTGAGGTCGCAGGGCTGTCAAGATGGCTTCTGATACAGCTGTGGCGAGCGCTCGAGAAGAATCGCAGGTTAATTCAGCAAATGATGCGGTTCACAATGAGACTGCGATCTCTTCGCCATCCAAATCAAGGTTGAAGAAACGCAGTAAATATCGCCATGTAGCTGCATATCATTCAGAGACACGACACTCCAGCCTCAGTCGAGAATCCGATGTGTTGCCCAATTTCTTGGGATTTCGGAATCTGATGGTGTTGGTACTTGGTAGGGATCAATCGGGACGCGTGGTATAAGGCAGAGGGCTAATATTGGACAGTGGCGATGAACCTGCGATTGATCATTGAGAACTTCATGAAAGTGAGTATTTGGACAGTCCTCTGCTTGCATCGAGCTGCCAGCTAATGTGAATCACAGTACGGCGTACTAATATGTATCAAATGCCATGACTACCGCAGGCAAGACGTTGTTCTCGGGTCTATACTGTTTGCCTCGGTGCCTTGTCACTTGCTGGTGGCATACTTCATTGAGCTATCAGCTGCCACATCCGCCAAGAAGACAGTGGGTCGTCAGAAAAAGACAGAGGAACAGAAACAACACGACCAGAATGTCTTCCAGTCAACCTGGCCGTACACTGCTTTCCTGCACACATTGAATGCCACATTGTGTCTCGCAGTAACCAGTTTCGTGACCTACTTCTATATCCACCATCCAGGCATTGGGACAATCTGTGAGATGCACGCCATTATCGTGTGGCTGAAGAACTGCTCCTACGCATTCACAAATCGGGATCTCCGTCTGGCGCTGCTCAATCCATCCGCGGACCCGGGCTTGCCTGAGATCTACGCCTCATGCCCCTACCCGAGGAACATCACTATCAACAACCTGGCATATTTCTGGCTCGCACCGACGCTGGTCTACCAACCTGTTTATCCGCGCACCCCATCCATCCGGTGGTCCTTCGTTGCAAAGCGCCTTGCAGAGTTTTTGGGTCTGGCCATGTTCATCTGGCTTCTGTCGGCGCAGTATGCCACACCTGTATTGCGGAACTCGATTGATAAGATTGCAGTCATGGACATCGCCTCGATCTTGGAGCGGGTCATGAAGCTGTCCACCATCTCACTGATTATTTGGCTTGCTGGTTTCTTCGCTTTGTTCCAGGCGCTTTTGAATGCCCTGGCCGAAGTCATGCGGTTTGGTGACCGTGAATTCTATACCGACTGGTGGAACAGCCCCAGTTTGGGTGAATATTGGCGATCTTGGAATCGGCCTGTATATCTGTTCATGAAGAGACATGTGTACTCGCCCCTGGTGGGCCGTGGATGGAGTCCTCTCGCTGCGAGTGGGATGGTTTTCACGCTCTCTGCGATTCTTCACGAAATGCTCGTGGGCATTCCCACACATAACTTGATTGGTACTTTCCCTTCTCTCCAAATACAGCTCACCTGCTAACTTAGTTCAGGCGTGGCATTCTTCGGAATGATGTTCCAGCTGCCTTTGATCAGCCTCACTGCGCCGTTGGATAATGTGCGCGGTCCTCATGGCAGGGTGATTGGAAACTGCATTTTCTGGGTCAGCTTCTGCCTGGTTGGACAGCCGCTTGGAGCACTTCTGTACTTCTTTGCCTGGCAGGCCAAGTATGGGAGTGTGAGTAGGATGGCGCCAAACCCAGCTGCGTGAGCCCCTATATCGAATACGTAACGACCATTCTATTTATTGCAGTACCTATCAGCATATTTTGGGTCTAGAAACTTCCGGCGACATCTCATGTGAGGATCGGTGCTAGACAACATCTAAAACATCCCTTGCGCAACATGTTTGACTATTTATTCATTTTACTTGTCCCATCAACTCCAATGATATTATCTAATAGTGACAAAAAGAATCGGAGAGTCTAGGATTTGAAGATATCGTTGTTGAATTACACGTAGCAATCTAAAAGGCCAACTAGGTACTACTGTTTATGCCCCCGGGCCCGGGCTCCGGACGGAAGCAACGGCTGAATTGATTGCACCGACGGGAGCTCGGAGCCCGTTTCCCCTTAACCCCGGAGATAGCTAACAAACCCCGAAATACCTCACACATATATAGAGCTTCCCCATAACAATCACAATCCTGACTACAACAATCTAAACAATCCCACATCTTCATCATGGTCGCATTCATCATCCCCAACAACTATGGGTATGTACAATTTTATCAGCCACCGCATCCAGACCACCACATATCAAAACAAAGCTAACACCTATTACCAGACCCGTCATTGGCGTCGCTCTCGGCGCCATCCCCGTCCTCGGTTTCATCCACGGCAACATCACCGGCAGCCTGCGCAAGAAGGCCAAGGTCCCCTACCCTCACAGCTATGCCTCAATGGAACTGTGCAAGGAAAACGTGCGTCCCATCACCCCCTACTTTCCCGACCTTTGCAAACCACCACATTCAATCCATGCGTATGCGTGTGTAACTTAAGGCATCTACTAACCCAATTACTCCGTATAGGCCCATGCCGAGCAGTTCAACTGCGCTCAGCGCGCCCACGCCAACTTCCTCGAGAACTCCTCCCAAACCATGCTTTTCACCCTGGTCGCCGGTCTGAAGTACCCCGAGTACGCCGCTGGCCTGGGCGCTCTGTGGGTCTTCTTCCGCGCTCTCTTCTTGTACGGATATGTGTACTCTGGCAAGCCCCAGGGTAAGGGCCGTATGATTGGCGGGTTCTTCTGGCTGGTGCAGGGTGCTCTTTGGGGGATGAGTGTTTTCGGTGTTGGGCGGGATTTGCTCAAGTTGTAAGGGCTCCAGCTTGATACTATAATATACAATGACTTCAGAATGGTGCAATAAGCCCTGCAATTGGAGACGTGTCTGTAAAATCCATAATAATGTCCTTTGCTATGAAGGTGCGCCACAATTGAATTCGTGCGGGTCCACTGTGGCAGAAAAAGTTCCCCGGTCTGTGACTTGACCACCTTCAAGTTGTTTCTGCCGATCACTTGCTCTTGGACTTTTAGAGTAGCTGATTGCACGAGTTATTCGGTTGTCAATTGACTTCATTCCGCTTCTGCAATCCATCTTACGGTACATACCACCTACCAACATATACCAGCCACCTCCACCACCGCCAACCCCGCCATGTCGTCCAAATCCCAATTGACCTACGGCGCTCGCGCCCAGTCCCACCCCAATCCCCTTGCGCGCAAGCTCTTCCAAGTCGCGGAAGAGAAGAAGAGCAACGTGACAGTCTCTGCGGACGTCACCACTACCCAAGAACTTCTGGATCTCGCCGACCGTACGTTACCCCACCACACCTTCCAACAAGACCACCACTAACGCATCCACAGGCCTCGGTCCCTACATCGCAGTGATCAAAACCCACATCGACATCCTCCCCGACTTCAGCCAGGCGACAATCGACGGGCTGAACGCCCTAGCCAAGAAACACAACTTCCTTATCTTCGAAGACCGCAAATTCATCGACATCGGCAACACAGTCCAAAAACAATACCACAACGGCACCCTCCGCATCTCCGAATGGGCCCACATAATCAACTGCTCCGTGCTGCCCGGTGAGGGCATCGTTGAGGCTCTGGCGCAAACCGCGCAGGCCTCCGACTTCCCCTACGGCTCCGAGCGCGGCCTCCTCATCCTCGCCGAGATGACCTCAAAGGGCTCCCTCGCGACAGGCGCCTACACCTCCGCCTCCGTCGACATCGCCCGTCGCTACCCCAGTTTTGTCCTGGGCTTTGTCTCCACCCGCTCGCTGGGGGAGGTTGAGGCTACGGAGGCGCCTGCGGAAGGCGAGGACTTCGTCGTCTTCACTACTGGTGTCAATCTCTCGTCCAAGGGTGATAAGCTCGGTCAGCAGTATCAGACACCGCAGTCAGCTGTGGGGCGCGGCGCGGACTTCATTATCTCGGGTCGTGGTATCTATGCCGCGGCGGATCCGGTTGAGGCTGCCAAGCAGTACCAGCAGCAGGGGTGGGAGGCGTACTTGGCTCGCGTGGGCGCACAATAGAGCATGCATTTGCACGGTCCGCTCTTGGCCCTGCGTGGTGAAGCGTGGTGATGTATAATGAAGACTATTTGATGACGTGCTATATCAACTTTTTCAAGCTCTGACTGCTCTGTGCTTTTATATCGCGTGTGTTGAGTGCAGAAATCCACGAGTTTCTGTAAGGGCTTTGCCACATGTCTATCCGAAGCAAGGGGATAGAAAGAGCTCCATCGGGGGATGTCCGTGGGCTAGCCGGGATGGCTTTAGGGTTCAGCCAATAGGCGGGAATCCGCAAAACAGCATGTTTCTTCCCGGTCGACGTCGAACATTGGCGATAAACAAGCTCGTATTTAGGAATGAGATATTTACCAAATCTTCATTCACAGCGGTGATAAGAAGTCTTCTTCTATCTTGGCACTATCTGGGCAGCATTGGCACCTAAAGATAAGAAAACAGCCCCATATACTGTGGGTAAAGATCCTCCAACGTCGTAAGCCACTGATCTAATCTCGACCTCCAATATCCATCGTACATACATCCATGTACATTTCTCCGATCTACCACATGTGCATATACCTATGCAATCCACAGAGCTACACAGTACACACCGACAAGTTGTAGCTCATTCCAAGCTCTGTTACATCATACCAATTTCAAATCCATAACCTCCCGGGCCAAAACGACCAGGGTAGTTCCCTCTACGCTCGCCGATCATTCCCCTCCCCTCCCCCTCTCTCTTTACCCAATCACAGTGCCAATCCCACTCCAACCCCAGATACTCCTCAACTTCTTATCATGGAGAGACCCACCCCGTCCCGCCGTGTGCTGCCCGTGCTATCTGGCTCGATAGCTTTGATAGGGGGGATTATCCAGTTCCCCACGCGTAGATAACATGTGCATGCCAGCTTTTGCTCGGAAAAGGATGCGGAATCTCCAAGTTTAGCCTTATATAGTTACTCCGTAGCGGACGTGCGGAGTCCTCACCGTTATTCCTTTGGAGAAGGACTTATTTAGCTGGGGTTTCCGCCCGTCTTGTTTCCTTGTTCTTTCTATTTTCTAGTTCTTGTGCTGTATGCCGAGGTTTTGAGATTCCTCTTTGCGATATTGACTGAGGTTTTGGTTCTTATCTTGTTTTACTTCATCGAGCTTCGATCACTTTTTGACACCTTCCCTACACCTCTGCCAGAAACACCGAGATCATGGCCGAAGAGAAGAATGATGTCGGCATTTCCTCTGGCGTGGATACGGGCGCCGACGTGGAGAAGCTCAAATATATTGACCCGACTATTGAGAAGCATGCACATGATGCCGACGAGGCTATGAAGGCTTTAGGGGGGTTGCAGGGTGAAACTCTCGAGCTGGACGAAGCTACGAATCGCCGCTTGCTGAAAATTATTGATTGGCATATGATGCCTATTATGTGTTTTGTCTATGGCATGAATTATCTCGATAGTATGTGCTAGGCATATTCACTTTCAGCCTCTGTCCGGCATTTCATCCGACTCACATGCTAATTTGGATTTGCGTTACAGAAACTACTCTGTCCTATGCTAGTGTGATGGGCATCAAGGACGATCTGGAGCTTGAGGGAGATGAATATCAGTGGCTTGGAAGTTTGTTCTACTTTGGTATGTTCAACTTTCTATGCTTGATTGCTTTAGTTTATTCCCCATCTTCTTCCAAAAGCATTGGACCTAATGGGCTTTCTATGTAGGTTACCTCGCCTGGGAGTACCCAACCAACCGCCTCCTTCAGCGCCTCCCGTTAGGCAAATACTCCGCAGCCTGCATCGTGATCTGGGGGTTGATTCTCAGCTGCTTCGCCGCTGTCAGCAACTACCCTGGTGCAATTGCCATCCGGTTCATGCTCGGTGTTTTTGAAGCAGCCGTGACACCAGGATTCGCTCTGTTGACCTCGCAGGTAAGAAGCCCCCTTTGTGTCTCGCCCCCAATCTACTCCCACGATCCACGAGCTGTAAAGCACAGTTGACTAACAATGATACCTGATACAGTGGTACACCAAGACCGAACAAGGCAGTCGCGTCAACATCTGGTTCAGCTTCAACGGTGTCGGCCAGATCCTCGGCGGAGTAGTCGCCTACGGCATCGCCGTCGGCACCGAGAAGCACGGTTCCTCCATCGAACCCTGGAAGATCGTCTTCCTCTTCACCGGCCTGCTCACTATCTTACTGGGCCTGATTTTCCTCTGGATCGTGCCAGACAACCAGCTGAATGCGCGCTGGTTGAACGAAGAAGACCGGGTCCTGGCCGTTGCCCGTGTGCGCGTTAACCAGCAGGGTATTGGAAACAAGCACTTCAAGCTGTATCAGGTCAAGGAGGCGCTGTTGGATCCTATGACCTGGGCTTTCTTTTTCTATGCTTTGATTGCTGATATCCCCAATGGTGGTATTACCAATTTCTTCAACCAATTGGTATGTATCATGCTTCCTACCGGAGAGTCCCTTGGGTCTCTGCGGCAAATAGGAGCCAGATGCTAATTCGGTTACCAGATCACCAGCTTTGGATACGATGAGAAAGACAGTTTGATTCTCGGTGTCCCCGGCGGCGCAGTGGAGATCGTTGCACTGTTGCTCAATGGCTATATCGGACATATCACTGGACAGCGCATCCTGACCAGTTTGGGTGGTCTTGTGGCTGCCATCGTGGGAATGCTGCTGATTGTCGCCCTCCCGCTGTCAAATAACGTCGGTCGCTTGATTGGTTACTACCTCACCCAAGGCAGTCCCACACCTTTTGTGGCGTTGCTGTCGCTGATTTCCTCCAATGTTGCGGGGTATACCAAGAAGACGACAGTAGCAGCGTTGTACCTGATTGGATACTGCGTTGGAAATATCCTTGGTGAGTCCACAAAGAGTCTAAGTCTTAACTCTTAAGAGAAAAACAAAGAACTCGTCTAACAGTCCCCAGGCCCACAAACCTTCCGCCCCGAACATGCCCCCCGCTATGTCCCCGCTGAGGTGACTATTATCGTCTGTTGGGGTGTGTGTCTTTTCTTGCTGGTTGGGGTCTGGATGTGGTATCGTCGTGAGAATCAGAAGAAGAAGCTTTTCACCGCCCGACCGGAATATGTGCGACTGGAGAATCAAGAGTGAGTGAATTTTTCTATCTTTCTTTCTCTCTCTCTCTCTCTCTCTCTCTCTGTACTTTTTACTTTACTAACTTCCACAGGTGGCTGGATTTGACAGATCGGGAGAATCCCGAATTCATTTATTCTCTATAGACGATCTAACGATGACTATCATGACTTTTTCCTACAAAAGTACCGGTCTTCACTCCGAAGTGTAGATCAGACGAAAATTCGGTGTCCCCAACACGCTTAAACATGTTTTAGTTGCAGGAGACTCCCAACTCTGCAGTTAACTATGCCCAGCGCATACTTAGTAGGCCCCGTTTTTATTATTTGATCGAATCATATACAAGTCTAAGCGGAGTTTGGCATGATGTGGCCATGTGGACTGATTCTAGTCTCTAACAGGTTCTTTCTTCCACCTCTATCTTCACTCACTACTCCTCACCTATCATCGCATACATGCAGCTTATTCCCTTAATAGTCTTCGATATTAACGTATTAACGTAGCGCTAGCGCTATTAATGACCAAAACTGACACTCTCCTCTGTCCAATATAACCCCTGCATTTGTCACTGCAGGGGTGAAGTTCTTCGTCGATCAAGTCCAGACAACTTTAGACGCCTACCCCCCCACCTTTGGCACTCCGCTAAAATAGATGAGGAGCGGTGTGCGCCAGAATGAAAATAAAAAGGAAATGAGACTGCTGAGTTTCAGTTCGTTTCATTTCTGTCTTCTCTTCTTAACTCTTAAGTTCTTTAACCATCTTCATACTGTCAAGATGGAGCCTCCTCGTTTTAATGAAAATTAACCCTAATCTGATCTCTCCCTCTATACATACAACACCAGTCTCACTCTCATACCGTGTACATACAAAAGTCAAGTCTGCAGGGTCGATCATCAGGCACCTGCTTTCTCTTTATGATCAAAGTTTCCCGGCATGGCCACCGTCACATGCCTGGCCCATGAGCCCTCCCCTACAAAGACCTACGAGCCCGTCATCACCGAGCTCCAAACATGCGACTCCAATCCTATATCTGCGATATCTGAGATGCCCAAGGTGAAAAGGATCGATCCCCCGGCCAAAGAGCCATCACCACAACCAAGCCGCCGCCAGTCCCACACATCCACTTCGACCTCTATCCACTCTCGCTCCGCATCCCGCAGCACAGCCCGCTCACGACCAGACAGTCGACGAAGCTCCTTCCAATCTGCACGCAGAGCGCCCAACCCGGCTATTGTCCCTGTCGCTTCAGCACGCATTTCACCACAGGATAAGCGCGAGTCGCTCATAGCACTACACAGGGAATCATGTCGGCTCTTCCAAGGCGATGCACCTACCGCTGAGATCCGTCCATCGTTGCAGTCCGCAGCATCTGTATCATACAGATCTCGAGAGAGTCGGACTTCATCAGATAATCGCAGCTCGGCACCCTCGTCACCAGTTGCATCTTCTCATTCCAGATTTCGCTTCGAAGCACATACACCCTCTCCTCCCAGCTTCCGCTCCGAGATCGAGGCTACCACAAGCGCACCACACTGGCTCACACCAAGAGATAGAGCCAATACCATGCCCAGTGGCAACAGCAACCACCACCACAGTCCCTCGTCTTCATCCATGCACGTCCCGGCGACGGTAATGGAATGGACATCGCCGGACACCCGACGACGCGAATACGAGAAAATCGATCGGGCCAGTAGTGGTGTCCGTGGACTCTGGCGTCGTGTTGCTCCGCGCTGTTTCCAGACTCGAGACTCGCGCGTTCCTTTCTTCGAGGAGGGAAAGACCCAGCGTGAAGGTAGTGTGCGTCGGTTCAGGATGGATTTGCCTGAAGATGATGAGCCGGTACAAACATCGCAGATTCAGCCCTCGGAGTTCCTGCGCAAGAATACTGTCTCGGATTCGACGGATGGTTCGAGACGACGCTGGGCGTGTCTTCGCTCTAAGACTTCTCCTGCTTGAAACATTGGCTCGGACCGGGGTTTGATGTTGTCGAGGTTGATACATTTATATCTATTGCATCGCCTAAACCTACAGAGTCTAGTACAGGTGTGACTGGCTCACTTCGCTTTCTGCTGCTTTCCTATGATACCATGATCGATGATTGCATTTGCATCCAGTGGTTGTATCCTGCCGAATTTCGACGGGGACGGCCTTTCTGGCTTTTTTTATCTTTGCTCTGCTTTCTGTTCTCTCGAGACTGAGATACCCTACATCATTCTACCGCTGTACATAGCATGATAGCCCTGACGGCACATAGTTCCGCTTTGGTAATTTCTTTGGCACAATCCACTGATGGATCATACCTTTCTTTCATAACGAAGTGGCTGAGCGGGGTTACAGATTATACGGTGAATACTGCAAGAAGCAGCAAGATATTCGGGATATACAGCCAAGATGCTGGATGCGTTCTAGCTTGGTCTTTGAGAGGGGTAGTCCTTCATGCATTGTTGATTCCGATGGACATATCTCCATCATCTATGGATACACGTAGCAGTGGCCCAGTGGGTGGTATAGATGGGAACTCATTCGATATGAGAGAGCCGGCCGGTAGACCCAGATGCCAATACTCAAAGTCTCTTGAAGATGTTCTCATCTCGAATACCGAGATTCGAGAATCGAGGTACATACTTCGTATTCGTGCTTCGTATAACTACCGATCATCCGCCAGGGCCAGGAACACATGACCAGTCAGCTATCCGTGCGCTATTAAAGTTTCGAATGCTCGTGACGTCCGTAAATTGAGTGTAGATCGAATATTCCAGATTCTACACTTCATAGCCAGGTAGTAAGTATATCCATTGCAGTCAATATATCATGTTGAGAACCGACGCCAAACCAAAAAAAAAAACAAGCCATAATGCACAAGCGCCGGGTATATCAGATCAAAACCCAAAATGCTTTTTCCGCTTCAACATGCAGACACAAATCACAGCAGATCAAAGTCATCCAGCTTCTCGCGGTACCGCAAGATATTGCGCTTAATCTTACTCGAGTCCACCCAAGTAACGAAATCCTCCATGTTCCGAGTAACCAAGAACGCAGGATCACTAACAACTTCCGTACCAACACGGACATGACCCTGTTCAATGAAAGTAGTAGCCTAAGTTGATTATCAGTATTTAAGTCGCAAACAACGCAAGAATCCACAGAACCACAGAACTTACAGCCTTGATAGTCTCAACCATACCAGAGCGCACCATGAAAACCGCCAATCGACGGCGACACAGAGCGGAAACTGTAACCTCGCGCTCGACCTTGGATAAACCGGCGCCCTGCTCGCGGGATTGCTTTAGGATTCCCATGCGCCATAGCTTCTCCATGAGCTCGGATTCGAGTTTCTTGCGCAGCGGGTCGGTCTCCGGGTCTAGTTGGGAGAGCTTGTGGGCGAGCTGGCGGAGGGAGCCGCAGAGGGCGTTGTATTTGCGGTAGTCCATTGGGTCTTGGAGGAGGTAGCGTTGCCGGATTGCATGTTCGCGGTGGCTGCCGTCGGATTTGTAGTTGTGGAAGTCGACTTTTCGGAGAAGTCTGCAAGATTTGGTTAGTTATTTGTCTCTTTTAAGATTTGAAGATTGGGCTTGTTGGGTCGGTCGGTTGAAGACTTTGCGGAGGATAGGTGCGGACATACTTCTTCTCGTGGTGCTTGAGTTCGCGGACCATGCTGGCGGTTGAATCAGGCTGATATCAGATTATTTGGGGATTGAACAGTGACTTGAGCAGACCAAGACGTTGATCCGTGGAGAAAATCGCGATAACATAAAAAAAATGTCGATGCGGTCGGCGGTCGGGTTCTGCCGGTGGGTACGGACTCACCGCCCTGATTTCCCCAGTCGCTCCCTTCTCCTACGGCTGTTTCTTATCAGCCTGAGTTTAGATCATCATTTGCATGATGGAGAACGCCGTGAATTTAGTCGACACGCCAAGTAGAACCTCAGGCCGTCCACGGGTGGACCTTGAGCCTTACAAAGATGAAATCATTGCATTGATTGAAAAGAAAACGAAGGGCACCGATGTCTGCAAGCATCTGAAGGAGCAGCATGGTATCCAACTCTCGGCGCGTACTCTCAACAAACGCCTTCAAGCATGGGGCATCAAGGAGAAAAAGGAGCAATATAACTCCAACAACCCAGAACTGCACGCCCGAGTTAAAAACCTCTTCTTCGACGTCGGTCTAAGCGACCAGGAAATCATCACCGTTCTACACGACGAGGGTTACGCGGTCTCTCTCCGTACCCTTCGCCGACTCCGCAGCCGCCTCGGCATCCGCCTTCGTCTTGACACCCCTGCCCAACAACAGGCACAGGTGCAGGAGATTCTCAATGCGCTGACTGAGGAATTAGACAAGGGGACCATTGAAGGGTATGGAAAGGAATTGCTGCACAACCATTTCCGCAGCAAGGGGCATGTCTTCGCCCGCGATCGTCTCTATAGTGTCTACCGCATGCTGCGTCCGGATACGACAGAGCGCCGCACGAGTGATGTGCCCCGGCGCCCTCCCCCGCCGAAGGTTCTCGTCGGTCCGAATCTGACCTGGCATGTGAATTACTACAACAAGCTGGCCAATTTTGGCTTCCGCATTCATGCCGAGATCGATGCCTATTCTCGATACGTACTATGGATTCATATCGGTGTTGAGGCGCACACGGCCGTGGGCGTTCTGAAGAATCACCTCGAAACTGTTTCATCGAAAAAACGCCAACCACGCACTCTTCGATCTGATCTCGAGTCGGAGGTTCCTCTTCTGGCTGATGTACACTTTGCTCTTCGCCGTACTACCGAGCCAGATGTTCAGCGTGATACGTGCTGTGCGCCGGGACGGGCTGCAGATACCCACCGGATTGAATCTTGGTGGGCTCAGCTTGCTAAGTCTGTAGTAACATTATGGCATGTGAGTACCTCTACCTTTTTCCGTCTTCTTTTTTTGCCTCGGGATTACATCCTAACATCAACCAGAACTACTTCCGCCAACTCAACAGCGAAGGGCTCTTCACGTCAGCAAACATCCCCGAACAAGTCGCCCTCTACGCAATCTACATGCCCATCCTCCGCTCCCACATACAATCCTACGTCCAGACCTGGAACATGCACAACATCCGCAAACAAGCCGACCACCCGGAACGCGCCCCAGGAAAACCCTACATGAACTACCACCACCCGCCCAAGGGCGTAGAAAACTTCGGCCTGCCAGCCGATGGCCCAACACTGCAAGCCATGCAGCAAGACTACGCCGACTACGACACAGAAGAATATCTACCCCCCGACACATTACGCTGGTGTCAGGGGCAGCTGCAGCAGCTGAGCTTCGACCCTCATAAACCCCCTGCGAGGCTGCCGGGCGATCTGCAGCCGTTCCGCTCTGTTTACTTGGCTTTGCGGGAGCGGGCGTGGCATCATCAGAGATCGGGGGCGGAGCCTAGGTTGGCGGTTTGTGGGATTTCTCAGGGGTTACGGGGGTATTTTCCCTCGTCGTGAACGTCGATGATTAATGAATAATGAAGGTTGGTTTGGGAATGGATTGTTAGTAACTCTTGCTACTGTTCTGTTAGTTTGTGAGGATTATTCTACTGGCAAAGACTCAAATCCAATATCTTATCCAAGTATCTTCTCACCTCTCTGATCAATATCTTCAAGGTTCTATCTGAATCACACATGATCATCAACACCCCCGAACCCTAACCAACCGACTCCTCCCAACAACCTTCCCACTCAAACCCCTAATACTCTCCGCCCCCATAATATCAAGCACCGAAACCTCAGCCCTCAACTCTCTAACAATCCACCCCCTCAACTCCATCGCAACAAGCGAATCAATGCCCCCAAACCCAAACCTTGCCCCATCAAACTCACTCACAGGAACAGCCAGTAAAGAAGCAATCCTCTCCACAATCGCGCTACAAACAACGTCAACAGCTTCCTCGACGCTCTCAGCGGCACCCAGTAGCACAGAAATGGAAATAGCAGCATTCTCCTCAACTGTGCCATCCCCATCGCCCTTCACATCAGCGGTACGGAAATGCGTAAACATAGAGTAATCCAAATACCCCGGTATAGGGATACCGTTAGCCCGACAAATTTCCGCACTCGGCAACCCCAGAACCAGCTGAGCTTGCTGTTCTTTCTTTCCACCTGTATGTGAAAGTAAGAAGTCAACAGCAGCATGAACCTCCCCCTCACGCAACAACTGAAAAAGCGTGGCCGTATGCGTATGCATCGAAGCACGGTTCTCAGCTACCCAGCCTACATTCGAGACACTGCCCAGATTCAGTGACGAAGCATTTTGCCCCTGTGAGCGACGGTATGCGGCTAGAGCGTCTTGGAAGGTGTTGCCGGATGCGTAGTTGGATTGGCCGCGGTTGCCGAATATGCCGGCGACGGAGGAGAGCATTATGAAGAAGTCCATGTTTGGTGGGAGGGTTTTGTGCAGGTTCCAGCTTCCGTGGACTTTGGGGGTTGTGGATGCGAGCCAGTCTTGGTATGTGAGGTTGGGGAAGGTGGAGTCCTGTTTTTGTTAGTTTTGGTTTTGGATGACTGTGATGGGATGGGAGATATAGATGGGAGAATATAGAGGGGTTTGGGAATTGAACTTACGCGAAGAACCATGGAGCCCTGGATACACCCTTTTATAGGTGGTAACTCTGAAAAGGTTGTGTCGGCTAGGGCCTTCAGACTCTCGGCGTCGGCGACATCGCAGACAAAGGAGTGGATTTTGCATCCCATTTTCCCGAGATCAATGGCTAGTTCTGCTTTCTCCGGTGTTGATGCTGATGAACGAGACAGGATGATCAGGTTCTTGGCTCCGCGGGAGGCCATCCAGCGTGCTAGACTGCGACCTAGACCGCCATAACCTCCGGCGAGAACGTATGATGCATCTGGGGAGAATTGGTAGGGGGGATTTGGTCGCGGAATAACGGGAATCATGTTCGAGGGACTCGGTGCGACGACTACCTTTGATTCTCCGCTTCGCGCTGCATAGAGGGCTTCTTTGACCTGGGTGAAGTCCATGACTGTCGTCCCGAGTTGACCGATCTTGCCCTCGGAGTATAGTCTCAACGCCTCGATAATCAGAGAACGGACGGCTGTAGGTCGATGTTCGGCCAGTAGGGGGATGTTCACGGTGTGGACGCTTGCATTTCGAGGTAGAGCAGCTAGCTCGACGGTGGTATCTGCTCGAAGATCTGGAGTAAACACATTGACGAATACACCGAATGGAGCAAGACATTCCAATGAATCACGGAGTACCTCGCCGCTCATCGTGTTGAATACGATATCAACACCTGCTCCGCCAGTGCACCGTATGATCCCTTTCGCGAAGCTGGAGTCCACTCTGGAGAAAATGCGGTCCTGGGGAATTCCATAGCTAGAGACGAGCAGGTCGCGCCCCTCCACCGTAGCAACAGTGGCGTATATTGTAGCCCCGATCATCTGCGCATATTGAATAGCCGCATGGCTGATCTCTGTTTCGGCGTGAATCAGGAGTGTATTGTCGGGCGTCAGCTTGGCTATCTCGGCCAGTCCGTGAATTGCAGTCGCATACCCCCAAGCCAATCCAGCTGCGGTCTCGAAGGAAATCTCATCGGGGATTCTCGCGAGGAGCAGATGATCCGCTCGACCACGGGTTCGAATGCAGCTGTCCTTGTTGTCACCCGGGATGTAAATGACCCTGTCACCGGGAGCTAAGCCTTCGACGTTAGACGCAGACGCAGCATTGGTAACGGTTCCAGTAATCTCATTCACAAGACGGCCGGAAGTACCTGAAGAGAGGCCAATCGCACGGATCTCGATCTCGACCTCTCTGTCTCCGGACGGGTCTTCATGCGAGTTTGTGATCCATTGGTATACACCGGTGCCAGAGGCAGCCTCCTGCAACTCGATGGGACCGAAATCTCCGAGACGCTGAAGCTGAGGCGCTAGATGGGAAGACTGCGCAGCGAGGAACTGATCCGCAGTGTCATGCTGGGTTAAGCGGCCAATGTGAATGAGACCGTCGCGTAGAATGTACTCAGCGTGGCGGTCGTTTTCCGGCTTATCGATGAATTGTCGCTTGACGATTTTCTTGACTGCTCTGGCAAGAATCTCTGGCTGGGTCTTCTCCCCTTCTGTCAAGGTGATGATGTTCGAGCCACCGTCGTCTCGCTCCCAGCGCACTGTTCGAAGAAGGCCGAGGCTCATACTTGCGCGTGGCTGTGTGAGTGGATCACAAGTAACCCACAGCAGGTTTTGGCAATTGCCGAGTATCTTCTTGAGTATTTCGTATTCCGGTTCACCCATGTGGAATAGGTAAGGTAATTCCAGATCAAGCAAGGAGATGTAAAGCGCATCAGGCAATATGGCCGCTGAAGGCTGCTCGACGACAATACTGCTGTACCCCAGCTCCGGTAGAAGGTCCAACAGATACTCAATGGGCTTCATGGCCCGCGTTGATCCCGTCGTCAAGATGACCGCAGTTTTTGCTGACACTTCCAACGGAGCAACAGCGGAAGAAACCAGAATACTCTGCCATGTCAAATCTGGATAATTCGAGCTGGGATACTCAATATCAATACCCGAGAATCCCGCTTCTAGTAGGAAATGTTGCCACTCTTCAGCCGGGATATACGGACACAATTGTCGACACGGCTCATCACCCAACCACCATCCAGCAAGCTGGCCGAAGACAAGCGGATACCAAAGGAAATCCTGTCGGATGCCCTCCTGCATAACCAGCTGGCCACCAGGCTTCAGTAAAGCCCGCAGGTTCCGTAATGCATTCTGCAGGCTCGCAGTAGCGTGGATAACGTTCCCAGCGATGATCAGGTCATATTTCCCCAGCTCAAGCCCCTGGTCAACGGGGCTGCACTCGATGTCGAATGCTTGGAAGCTCATGATATCGGACCATGACTGGAACCGCTGTTTTGCTTTCTCGAAGAATCCAGATGAGATATCGGTGAATGTGTAACTTGTGATATTTCCTTTGCTCTTCGCTGGGTCTGGCGAGAGAACAGCCAAGACTTCAGCCGTGAAGCTACCAGTTCCACCGCCAATTTCCAGAATGTTCAGCTCGGAGTGCTGGTGGTGGAGGAGGGACAAGTGGCTTTGTAGATGTTGTGGCAGGTTGTATAGATGCAGACCTTCGCTGTAGACCTGTTCCATCACGGCGTCTTGACCGAACATGAGATGCAGAGGATCGGTCTCTTGTCGCACAACCTGGACGATGTTGCGGCCCATTCGGGCTGTAATGGCGCCTTCGGCACTGTGCGTCTCGATTTCTTTGCCGATGGCTTCCTTTAGAGCCGGGTTCTGAGCGACTTCCTGGAACTCGCTGTAGCGCAGGTGAGTGAGTTCATTCCGCTCGAGCATCGCTTGAACGTGTTCCATCCAGTTGAAGAATCTTTGCATGTGCAGATCGAGTTTCGTAACATCGACATCTCCAAGCTCGGCCAGTGCATCCGTTACGTAGAGCATAGTTGCAAGCTGGAGCCGCTTGACCCAGTACCGTGCCTCGGCCTCGTCCGTACCCTCGAGAGAAGTCAATGCACACGCTGCCTCTGAGTCCAAGAAGTGAACGTCAGGCTTGTATTCTATCGTGCTGCATAGTTTCCGCTCGCTTCTTTCAGCAAGTCCAGACTCCAGCGGTGTGAGCTCGATGCCATCCATGCGAATGCGGTGCATGTTTGTCCCTTCATCCAAGACTCGGATCTGGCCCTCGAATCTGTCAAAGGTTGTCATAGAGACTGTTGCATGTCCCATGAATCTGTGAGAGGGAGCTGGATTCAGATCTGCTGAAATCCAGACTTCGCGTATGAACGTTGGCAGTCTGATCTGATCGAGAGTCGACTTTCCGGTATGGTCAAGAACAGCCGCGATCATCAGATGAATCATGCTATCCATTGTGGCTGGGTGGATTAGATGAGAATGCAAGAACTGCTTTGGCATGCATTGTGCGATGTCCGGGACAGTCACTGATCCGACGACCATTCCAAGTCCTCGACCACTTGCGCTAACATCGGCGAGATTCCGGAACAGAGGGCCGAAGTTCAGTCCGGATGTTTGGAGGTTGTTGTATGTGGATTTGAAGTTCATGGATGATTTGCATGTCTCGTTTACGCGAGAAAGCTCGGTTTTCCACGCTTTGCTTTCCTCGTCCGCCGCGCGGCCATCGTCGACGGGGTCGGCTGTCTCGTGCTCGATGGTGATATGCCCAGTACAGTGCTCTGTCCACTCGTCGCTCGATGCATTGTAGGAGGTGATCTGGAACCGTCGCCACATTCGCGAGGGTTGGGAGTCTTCCACGGTCGCCATTGCCAGGGAGACTTCGATACCCTCTTTCGTATCTGGTACGATCAATGCTCTTTGAATATTGACTTTGCGTAGTTGGAAGCCCGTTATCTTTGTTTCGCCGGCCAGCTGTCGTAACGCTTCGATCGCCATGATCAGATAACCGACACCGGGATAGACATAGTTGCCAGTGACCTGAAGTATGTTAGAACAACGATCGACCTTGTGATTTGCTCGACACATACCATATGATCTCGTAGCCAAGGATTCTCGTTCAAACGAACAATCTGCCTCCATCTAGGAGCAGTAGGGTTCCAATCTGTGATCGGTGCACCAAAGAGGTCATGTCGAGGGAATTTTCGAGTCCGAAGGCTTTTGCTCAATCGGCTCTCGAACAGAATTTTCTCGGTATGCTTGAAGCTGTATGGAGGCAAGTCCACTAAGAGTCTTGGTCGCCTTTTCGTCTTAGACTGAACAGCTTGGTTTACTGCATGAAAGTCCACCGCACAGCCACTTGCAGCTAGGCAGCCAACCGTCGTCAGTAGAATGTTAAGACTATGATCAGTCCGTTTGAGAGCGGGCAGGTACTTGACTTCCAGCTTGGGGCTGTTGGACGCCAGGGTCTCCTTGATGGCACTTTGAAGCGTTGAATGAGGCCCTATTTCCACAATAAGGCGCAAAGAATCAGTGGCATCTGTCGGACCATTACTGGAACTTGATACCGAGGTCATGGCCATCAAACCGCTGGTGAAAAGAACCGGGGAGACCATATTGTCCACCCAGTATTGAGCCGGCAAGTGGTCCTCCTTGACTTGCTGACCTGTGACAGTAGAGAACATATGCACTGGGCGTGGAGCTGCCAGTCGCTTCCCAAAAGGAAGTGCACCCATCAAGCGAAGGTAATCCTGGGCGATGGCCTGCATATGAGCGGAGTGATAAGCATTCTTGACATTCAACTTGCGGGCAAAGATGCCGTCAGCATCAAGAAGATCCTTGAGACAATCAACCAATACCTCATCTCCAGAGACAGTGTTGTTCTCAGGACTGTTGTGGCAGGCGATGATGAGCTCGCCAGTATTGTCCCTCCGAACAGAGTCCAAGTACGGTTGCTATTCGGTGGCACCCAACCCCACAGCCATCATTGCTCCATTTGCTGAGAGCTGCTTGGATGATACATAGCCACGGTAGTAGGCTACCCTCCAGGCTGCTTCACGGGACAGCTTGCCAGAGCAGTAGGCGGCAGCTATTTCGCCAGACGAGTGTCCTGTCACATGTGTTGGGAAGATATCCCAGCTGGCCAGGAGATCCACCAGCGCAACTTGTAGGACTGTACATATCGGATGAGCGATCTCGGGCAAGTTGACGCGTGACTCTCTTTCAGTGAGGAGTTCATCTACACATGTTAGTCGAGATCATTGATGAAATGGAATGTTTTTGGTGGGCTCATCGGGAGCCGGGGCGAGGTCGCCCGGCGGGTAAGGGGGGGCGTGGGGCGCCACTCGCCAGTTGGCGCGGTGGGGAGAGTTCTTACCGAGTAATGACCATGGACTACCGAGGCGTCGGATGTAGTCTGATGCTTCCTCGACAGACTCTTTGAAGACTTGATAGACCATCAGCTCTCGACCCATGGCCTGGTATTGAGCTCCTTGACCAGTGAAGACAAATTCAACTTCTGGCACTTTCGTGGCTCTGGTTGGTTTGACAAAATTCGACTCAGACAAAGTCCACGCGAGTTCTTCGACCGAGGATGCCATCACAAAACTCTTCCAGGCGAAATGGGATCTCTTTTTGGACAATGTGAAAGAAAGATCATTCAGAAGATGGTCATAGTGAACCGACTGTGCCGCTCTTTCTAGATACTTAGCGATCTCAGCTGCGTTTCTCTTGACGCCATCTTCATCAAAAGCTGATAACAAGAACAATCTTGGTTGTTTGTCCATGTTGCTAAATGTCAAGGACGTGCCCAGTGTGGGTGACGCGCAGGATCCATCGCTGTTTACCGAGGAGTTCTCGTACCCCGAGTCGTCATTGTCGGCTGAGTCTGAGAAGGCTCTATCTGACTCAGTTTCTGGTTGAGGTAGGGCCGTCAGCTGGCTGTTGATGGTCTGGATTGTAGGGACAGTCGACAAAGTGCGATGAGAACCTGTGAGACGACAGTCCTTGAGATAGTGGTAAGCATCATCAAGAATGCAGTGGGCATTGGTACCACCAATTCCAAATGAGTTGACTGACACTCGTCGCAGTCCTGAGGATGGCCATGGTATGTTTTTCGTAGGAAAAGCAATGTTCCAATCTGCCACTGGTATGGAGGGATTGACTTGTTTCATATCAAAGTTGGCGGGTATGATTCCAGACTCCAGCACGAGAATCGACTTGATGATACTCGCCACTCCAGAGCCACCTTCCAGGTGTCCGATCGATGATTTGATAGCACCAATGTACAGGGGAGTCTTTCGACGACATTTGAAAGCCCGTGCAAGAGCACCAGCTTCGATGGGATCACCGGTACTCGTTCCCGTGCCATGAGCCTCCACAAATCTTGTCTGTTCGAGATCAAGACCAGCTCTCCAGTAGACCTCGCGGATCAGTCTTTCCTGGGCATCGGCGCTGGGAACCGTGATGCCTGGGGTGCGGCCATCCTGGTTGATTCCAGCCTCGCGGATGATAGCACGAATGGTGTCGCCATCACGAATAGCAGCACTCAAAGGTTTGACTATCACAGTACCTACGCCTTCGCCTCTTGCATAACCTTCGGCACGGGCGTCAAAGCTAAAGGACCGGCCTTGAGGTCCCAGCAAGCCATGGTGGCTCATACCGATCGTTTCCACGGGGTTTTCAAGGATGCTCACCCCACTGACGACGGCCTGGAAATATCAATGTCAGCGTGGACTTCTCAGTACCAGCATGGATATCTTACCATATTCGTCTCTCGGGCCCTGAGACTTTGTACAGCGAGATGCAATGCCACCAAGCTGCTGGAACAAGCCGTGTCAATGGTCATACTGGGTCCCTTGAAGTCAAAGAACCAGCTGACACGATTTGACAGAATGGCATTGGTGACACCCGTGGGCTTGTATTTCAAGGTAGTCTCTGGGTCTGAGTTGAGGATTCCCAGGTAGTCATGGTTGAAACCACTGACAAACACGGAGGTATTGGAGCCAACGGCACTTGTCAATGGAATACCTGCATTTTCCAAGGCGTGGTGGACATTTTCTAACACCAACCGCTGCTGTGGATCCAATGTGAGGAGTTCGGTTTTCGTGATGTTGAAGAAAGTGCCATCGAAGTAGGCTGGGTCTTCTGAGAGGTAATGTCCGCCTTGCACATGGAACTAGGAAGCATCATACGTTAACGCCAGTCTCAATGTTGATAGGGTTTTCTTTGAGGTGCCTTACAGTGCCACCGTGCTCGGGATCCGGATGATAGAAGGCATCCGCATTGAACCTCTCTTTAGGGATTGACGACCATGTCGAACGAGCTTGCAAGAGCAGCTCCCACAGACCCTCAGTGGTGCTTGCTTGCTGGGGAAACCGAGTGGCGAGTCCAACAATAGCGATGGGCTCTAGGGTATCGGGGGGTACAGCTCTTTCACCAGTAGAGCCACTTTTCAACGACAGGGGAGGCATCATATGGAAGTTGGGAGGAATAATAGACTTGAGACCGAAGACAAAGATAGAGTAAGAATATGGACAAGACGATCAGATGAGACGATTATGATGATGACACATATACAGGCTCATATCGCAGTCCTCGATGCGAGATCCTCTCTCTTAAAGTACCTAGTTCAGGCCAAGGGCAATGGGAGTAACCCTAAGAGCACTAGAAACCCGATGGTGGCGAGTCTGGCTGAATCTGAGGATCGTCATCATCACCCTCTTTCTTTGACTTCTCGAAATGGGAGAAAAGAGAAAGAAAAGTGGATGCTGTCGGTGTCTAGTTCGACTCTCCACGGCTTGTTGTCCACGTGCAAAAGTACTTCGAACTGTTCATCCCAAGTCTGTACGGCATATGCCGCCGTCTACTGTCTTTGATTGGAGGAATTCATTTGAAATTCTCAAGTCTTGATGGGCTAGTCTTCCCCGTGAAAGCCGTTGTATGAAAATCACAGGAATATTTATCTTAGGCGTGGCGTGTTGGCCCTGAATTTCAGTTCCCTTAAATAGGTATAGATCCAACATCCTACTGGATTCTGGTGGCTACATACTCCAACGTATATCAGCGGAGAAAAAGATACACCACCAGGTCGGATGTACCTAGACGAGTAGTTCCGAGACGGAGATATGCAGCTCATGAAAGCCGTTAAACGTGCCGTCAAACGTTTGTCGACCTCCTGTCAATCTCGGCTCTTTGGCCGTTTACTCGAGTCAAGTACTTCTCTGAGGATTGCTGATTGGCTTGATATCAAAAACAAGAAATCCCAGCAGGACCACTATGCCGGATCTCTCATCTGCCGTGTTGGCATGAAAATTATGTGGAATACCTTACCTATGTTGGAAGGCTAGCTGATATCTACGGCCTAGTACCTTACCCAACCTCCATATGTTAACAATATCAATATAACATAAGAACCTACGACCATACTAACAGAGAAGCATTAGATCTGTTTTTCTCTATGAGCTACGGTATAAGCCAGTAGCACATGCACATCCTAGAATACCCAGAATACTTCCCTTTCAAACAGCCCAAAGTACTAGGTAATCAAACCATAAGACTACCTTAGCTCCCAGCTAACACCCAGCTAACACCCAGCTAACATCAATCCACGACAGCCGCACCCCACTCCCTAACCCACCATAGCCCGCCCTTCGTTCGAATTCCTATCGGGGGAATTCCCGAAGGTCCTAATACAGAGTACAGCAAAGTACCCCGCTAGCAGTCAAAGAGATCTCCGCATCCTTCGATGTATGCACCTCGAATACAGTTCGTTGACGCAGCGGACCAGGAGATCCTCCCCACACGGCGCCTATTCGTGCCCTTATTGTCTGACTTCATGTTTGATACTAGTATTATCTTGGCATCACCCCGGAAGCCCGACAACCCGCAGCCGCGTCCAGTCCAGGCGTCCATCAATGGCCGCACCTAGGCGCTTTCTCAACGTGGGCAGTGCACATTGGCTGCCATGTTCCTTCGGACTTGCCACAGTTCCTTTCAATGTCCCTCTGCCGCAGTGCGTAGTGGGTTCGCCTCAAATTGTAGATCGTGCATGGCGCATGCACGTACAGTAGTGGACGAACATGTGGACCCAGGACGACACGACTGTGGAGGAGGCTTAGGTATCCTTGTTTTAACTTTGTGCTGTCAATTATGTAGGCTGTTCGCTGAGACATTAGGTTTGCCGCTGAGCTTCGGCATTACTTCCGTCTTCCAATGCTTCGTATACCTATACGTAGAATAGGATCTGCGGAGTAGGTTTCCCATTGCCGGGCACTTACCATATATTTCCATACTCGGCTTGTACGGAGTAAGATGTGAGGCGCTTTGGACCTAGGGACTAGAGCTTGCGCTAGACAGGGATACCTACCAGGTATCGTGGATATTATATCCATCCACTGAGAATGTGTACATTCTATTATGTGCTAGGTTATAGAGAAGATGCTATTCCTGTAGACTATGACTATGATCAAAAGATACAGGGACCAGGGTATAAAGGAATGAAGGAATGAATACAATCGACCAGATACTACCCGTAACGAACACCAGGCAAAAGTCCCAACTCACCAGTTCGCATCTTTGACCCAGATTCCCAGGCTAGAGACAGCTCCACCCCCACACCCCCAATGCCTAATTCCCCCTCTCCAACCGTTCGCATGACATCTCCAACTCAAATCAGGATCCAGTTACGCTAATGCCAGATACTGATGTTCAGCAGGAACGGAAATACAGTTCTTACCTAGACGCAATGCAATGCAAAATTCCCGATCCACCTATCACCCGTTCGGTCGTGATGCATGGACATAGGGTTATGTGGCGCAGGAGGTAAACAAAGAAAATATTGGTAGAGTTTGAACCTAATACTGCGCATCGATCTACTGCGATCAACTAGACCGAAAGTAGGGCTTCGAGGACAGGGGGTTAGACGCTGTTAATATGTTTTATCGACTACACTCGGACTTTCCAATTCTTGACCGGTATTTCGATTTCGATCGGCAGTTCGTTGGGAGTGTCTGTTAGAGTACAACCTAACAGTCTAGAAGGTCTCACGTCGGGATTTTCTATGTTGGAACCTAACTACTTGGAGGTTTGGGTTTTGGGTCGCAATTGGGATTTGGCTTGGGTGGCTGGGCATTACAACAAGCCCTAAATGGTTGTGTTGTTTTCGTACAATGTGTGCATCCTCTACTCACAGAAAGAAGACGTTGGGAGTGTCCCGGCAGTGTCTATTATGTCGTATCTACAACCAACGTCAGAGTCTATCCAATGCCCGTAGCGGGAAGAAAAAGCACGCCGGTAGCAAATCAACAAATGCAATCAATATAACATGTGGGGAACAGAAGAGGGAATCTAAAGACAAAGTATGGAAGAGCGTCACAGTTCATCCTTCCCCTCCGCCGGCGGAGGCGCAACTGGTCGCCCAGAATCCTTCGCCAGATCAACTCCAATCTTCTTGCGCCATTTCTCCCAAAGCGCATGGAAGTCCTTCTCCATACCACTCTCCATCTGATCCGGCAAGACAACAGTATACTCAATATACAGATTGCCCGCTGAACCATCATCCTCATGATGATCATGTAAATGGCCCTCTGAGTAATGTGGCATACCCTCCCCAGAAACAGTCTCAACAGCCAAAGGCTGAACAACCTCCCCACGCCTCCGCCCAAGATGAACAACATGCCCATCAAGATGCGTAAGATTGCGCGTCCAATCGCCCATCCACGCCTCGCGCAGCGAAAGAGTCTCCTTCCAGAACAAATCCTTGCCCTTCCGTCGGAAGAAAGTCCCATCCGTCCTCTCCTCCGCCGACCTCCCAAGCTCAGCCTCCTTCTCATCCAAAATAACAATCAAATCACCCGCAATCCAGTCAGGGCTCTCATCGGCCTCATTCTCAAAGACCAGCCTCGTCCCCTTCCCCATCCCAGGCTCAATCACCGCACTTGTCTCAACTTGATTCTTAACCACCCGACTCCCAGCACAGACAGGACAAGGATTCTTAATCTTCTTCCCCTGTCCATGACACCGATCACACTGCATCTGCACCTGCTGGAACATGCCCGGCGCAAGCATGTGTTTCTGGAGAACCACGCCGCGCCCCGCACAGCGATCACACGTCTCGACATGGCGATCCTTCGATCCCGTCCCCTCGCACGAATCACAGATCTGCTGCTTCTCGACGAGGAAGTTGATCTCGCGGCCTGTGTAGAAATCGCGCAGAGGTAGTGAGGCCCGCACTTCCATGTCTGGGCCGCGTCGGTGGCCAGGTGCGTGGCCGGAGTGTCCGCCGCCGCCGAAGAAGCGGGAGAAGAGGTCGAAGGGGTCGTGGCTGCCGCCGGCTGCTTGGCCTTTGCGGTGCTGTTCTACGCCGTCATGGCCGTATTGGTCGTAGATTTTGCGGAGGGTGCTGGTTGAGAGGACGTCGTAGGCGTCGGCTATTTCGACGAACTTTTCACGAGCTGTGTCATCACCGCTGGTGGGTATTAGCAATTGCGCTTGGAAGGCGATTGTGTAGGACGGAGCCAATGAGTTGGAGTAGATATCTGAGTGAAGGCTGCACTCACGGGTTCTTGTCCGGGTGGTATTTCTTGCTTAGCGTCCTGTATGCGCGCTTGATATCCTTCTCCGAAGCGGACTTGGCGAGTCCAAGCACTTTGTAATAATCCTCGGCGGCGATCACAACAACGGAGAATAGCACTACGGCTAGCGCAACTAGGAGTCGTAATAGTTGCATTGTAGCGGCGAGAGCTGCGCGAGCCGCTGCTCATGCGCTCGGAGGAGGGGCGCTTTTGTGTATGTGTATGCGGAGATCAAGATAAGTAGGTCGGCCCGGAGCCTCAATGAGCTGAATTAGCTGGGTTCGTAGTGTCTAATTGGTCGACATAAAGTATCAGCAGCTGGTAGAAAAAGTGGTCTTTTCAACCAAGCTGTATGTCAGAGAATCAAAGTGAAATTGGAGGTTTGAAAGTAGTGTTGACTCTCTATCCTCATAGTGTTTGGCCAGGTGGATCTACATTAGGTGGCCTAAAAGGAACAATGTTTAGCCGGGTCACGTGTGAAGTATGGCCCTCGTAGTCGTAGATAAGGCATTCGTTGCTGAATTGGGAAACGAAATGAGGGAAAATCGGAAAATTAGGATCAGATTTGGTATTGCTACGTTAGACTGTGAAGTATTCATATGCGTGCAGTCTTGTGTTATTAGCTCGTGCCAAATCATCGAATCTCATAGCCGTAGAGACGCTTCGCATCCATCATTAAATCATAAAAAACACCACCCAAGTAAAGATTCATGTCCCCTCCAAAGCAAATAAAAGAAACCGATCAGTTGCGCCCAGCAACATTAAAGATATCATTGTGCCAACTGAGGCCAAGTCCACGGGACTCATCTCCCTCCTCAATAGCCTCCTGCGCACGTGTAGCCTCCTGATGCCACGTCTTGACAATGCTACCGGGAGCGTAGACACCCTTGAAGACACCCTCATCCTGTGGCTCAAACCCGACTCTCGCCTCGACATCCGAGGGACCAGGTTTGAGGCGGGCGAGGACAGCCCTCACGAATGTCGCCAGATCCTGCGGGTTAGCGATGCGAGCTGCACGCAGCCGTTCACGGGCAAAAACAAGCTCGCGATTCGCTGCAAAGGCCGCCGCCACTATCTGTTCCGCAATTTTCTTCTCCAGTACGCGTCGAACGAGATGTTTCAGGAAGGGCTTTGTCAGCCAGAGAAGAAACCACCACTTGCTGCGCTTGATGGTGTAATCAAGTTTGTGAATGACGACGCGCACGCCGCGCAATGAGAAGATCTGCTCCAGCCGGCCGCGGCCGACCTCGATATCGAGGGATATGTCGATGCCGCGGCGGTCCAGGAAGAAGCTTGCGATACCCTGATCTTTGAGGCGGAACAGCCCTGCATGGGTGCGGAACCAGTAGCCAAAGTCTTCGGCGCTGATGTTCAGGCCTTGGACGGTGAGTGTAAACGCTGTTTTGATAAGTGTTTCTGTGCGCTTCGAGTGGGTTTTTACCACGTCGATGTCATTGCGCGTGAGCAGGTGCATGCGGTAGGGGAGGAAGGAGGAGAAATGCACTGTGTGGCCGGGTTCGAGGATTAGGTTCTCGAGAAGCAGATCCATCTCCGGGGCGGAAATTTCCAGACGCGGAATAGGAATGTATTGGAGCGTCCGGAGAAGCACCGGGAGAAAGACGTTAACTAAGTCTGCGGGGAGATCGGCCTTCTTATCGTTGTAGGCTGTCCAGGCATGCTGGTAGACTTTCTTAGTGGCATTGGTCAACTTGACCACAGCTTTGTCCTCGGGCACAGTCCGAAGTGTGCGTCTAGTCTGAGCTAGGAACTCGTCCACATCCTTTCGCAGGCCCGTCTCCGATCCTACCTTCTCAGTTTGTTGCTTAAGTTCGTCGAGCTTTTGTGGGGCCGAGTCGAAGAAGTCCGGGTTGGTGAGCATGTCCTGTAGCGAAGTTCCGACCTCTCCTAGTAGATTATCGAACTCGGGATCCTTGTTTGCATGGCGCAGGACGTTGTGGAATTTCTCCTGAAGGCGATCCCACTCTTCGGCATTACCGAAGGACCGTAAGAGAATCCAGAATTGATCGACCGCTTGTTTGAGGTCAGAATTGACTTCCATGTCTTCTTGAGCGACCGATGCAGCATTCTCTGCTACATCCGCATAGATCTTAGCATAACGCCCAATCAACTGAGCGAGTGTCGACACCGAGTCAGAATAGTCCGTTCTCTCACGGAGCTTCATAACAGCCTTCTTCAGCCGGTGCAGCAGAGTATCCCTCTCTTGGCCGGAGAGGTGCTCCTTGGCACTTTGCAGAGCATCGTGACTCGTTTGCGCGACAGCATCGCCAGCAGCATCCGTCACCTGCGCAACTTCCTTCCTCACCTCATCCTTCGACAGATCATGGCCTTCATCGGCTCCAGCACCCTGTAAAGCCTGCGCCTCTGCCTCGGACGGTTTGACTTGTTCCGCGACATGCTTGGAAGTTTCAGCGAGGGATTCAGCCGTGTCGGCGAAGATCTGTCGGCCGACAGTGACGATGTCATCGACGAAAAGACGGAAATCGGCATTGGTCAACAGGAGACCACCAACAGTACGGAAGCTATCGTATGCTATACCCAGTGATTAGCGTAAGATCCTCGGCCGAGATTTACATATGCCAAGCCATAAGTTGGGGAAATGCAGAAGTGGAAATTGGAGACCCACCAGCTTTGGTATCAGCCCGGGCCTTCACGTGGGCAGCCTGCCTCGAAACCCTCTCACTATCCACCTCGACTCGCGAACGGGCCAGGTGCCACAGGAACTCCTGGAGCTGGTCTTGGCTATTTTTCTCCTGCAGGAATTCGATGAAGACCTGGATCCACAGTCGACTGTCCCGCACTAGCTGGCGACCGACGCTGCCGATGTCCTGGTTCTGGAGGTTGAGCACATCAGAAGCCAAAAGGGTGCGGAGATTTGCAATCGTCTGTTCGGTTGTTGGCATATACCCCTCAGAGATGGCGCGGATCATCTGGTAGCTATGGAGCTTCTGGTGGAGACGGCGTTGGCGCGAGGTGTCATCTTCGTAGCGAGGGAGGAGAGGCTCTGTTTCAGAGGGCATCTTGGCTAGGCCCTGATAGACCGTGGGGAATTAGCGGGATAGTATTAGCGATTTGTATGTGTTGCTTGGATGGGGGAGCAGAATGGAAGGTTGATGTTTCTATGTGGGAAGAGTTTAAACTCGGGGTTGGTGAACCTGTTTTGAGCACATGACGACATCTCTTAAGTGTAACCAATTACCTGGGCAATAACTAGTTATGTTTGGTCGAATTATTCTAATTATGTCACAATACTTTATGTAGTTAGCTTGACTTTCACGACTCACGAGGAATAATTATAACCTTAAGACATGAATCTTGGAAACCTTGGGGGAGAGTCAATCATTAGGTAAAATCACAGTCGCGGCCTCGCGGGTGATCCGCGATCTGGGGAAAGCTGCAGATTTAACCGGCCATCTCGGACCATGATACGCGCAAGTATGGCAACTGCCAATGGGGTTTCAAGTAGATCGGGCTTGCTTCAATGAAAACTCTCAATTGAAGTATCCATCTAATTATCCATTTTGTAACTAAATCTGGGTTGACCGAGTACCCTTGATCTGCGGCAGAAACATAGAGAGGAAGACACCTAAAATATATATATCGATAAAAATAGAATGACGCGAATCTACTAGGTACGAGGTACATATATGACTCGTTTGTTCAGACAAGAATGACATATTCGATCCCGAACCATCTAATATGAGCTCATTTTGCATTCCATGCGCGAAATAAAGAAGCGCAAGGCTCAACGTTGGGAACTGCAGGAAAGGGTTGGGTAGTTCGGGGATATTATTCTACGCGGTAGAGAAGAGCATAGGAATGATCTTAATAATAGAAGCTTTGTGCCTTACACAGGCGGACAAGGGGCCCAATCGGTGCCGATGAATCCCTGGATTCCGAATTGCAGTGGATGTAGTTCCAGACCTATGGAGTCGACATTCAAAGAATGATTGCGCAGAAATAAAAATGACGCATCCGTGCTGGAAGGAATATTCGATGGTAAACAACGCCCCCTGTGTCGGCGGCCGAGAGCCATTCACAACGCCGAACTTCATTGCTAACACGGCTGACTACAAGAGTCAGAAACCAAAAGACTCACCGGCTTTTCCGATCGGAAAAGTGTTTCTCCAATGTGTGGGGATATTTTGTTGTTATGAACTGCAGAGTCCAGACTACTCACTACTACTAGTTATCCTAAGTTTATTTTCACTGTAGTATACATCTGTTTGGCTGTAAAACGGCAGTCTGTCTCCATACAAGGACTACCCTTGTTTCCACATGTATTGCTTTTCTCGAGCTGATCTTTCCAGAAGCCTTGAAAAGGTCGAATACCGATCCGACGAGGAAAAAGCAAAAAAAAAAAGAAAGAATTTCTATAGAAAAAGGGAAACGCCGAATGGACCTGGATTAGGGTGGAGTGCCCCCACTTCGGCACTGTCTGCGGCTCTTGAAGCTGGTAGCTGTGGATCCAAGATGGTGACTTATACAAAAAAGGTCTAGTGTAAACAATATGGGGCCATCATCCCCGGCTTTATAGACCAATTAGACTTGAGGATTTGGTTTATTCACAGTTCTACTTAGTACTTGTGAGTACCAGGGCAAATTTTGGCCACAGTTCGAGGTCTACCGTGTAAATTGGAGGGTGAACTCCGAATTCTCCAATTCTTGCATCCCCTCACGTCAAATAGTTATCGTCAACCTACTTGTAAACACATGTCTAAGCGCCCTGCACATTGTCGCATAAATCCCGCATAGATAATCAACAATTACGCTGCGTATGTGTCTCAATCGGCAATCCCCGACTATGTACGGAGTACGGAGCACACCCTTCCAATTCCATATTCAACACTGATTTGACTGCATCTCCGCATTTGTCGGAGTCGGCGCCTTCCGTCCCCACACGGTGATGGGTGCTCCTCCTTGCTGGATCTACTCTACTTTCCGAACAAAAAGAAAAGAAATTGTAAAACAATAAAAAAATAAAAGAAAAGTAGAGGGATCCAGATTCCAAAAGGGCTTTCAAGCACAACGGTTCGCTGTCAACACCGAAATCAAACCCACATGGGTCGTGACCCTCTCCTATGTCCGACTCTTCCCGACCTCAAACCATGACTCCCTTTTTTTGCTATACTGTGTTGCCTCGACACGCGGTCCCGGTTAATTATCTGGTCATCAGCTCCTCCCGGAATGCCCTGGATGATGTGCGCACGAATATCCCAGGGGAAATTTAATATGCGGTCGTGTGTCCATAAAAACAGACTCGTATCTGCTCCTCGATCTTTTTCCTCTTCACTCTATTCCACCTTTCCCTCATACTCGAAGCAGAAGTCTTCTCAGTCTATCACAATGGCTCGATACCCTTCACTGCCTACTCAACAGACCCGGTCGGTGCATGCCATCGCATCGCCGTTTGTGAATCACACCTCGCCTGCGTAAGTTACTCGAAGCAGTCCAGCCATTGAGGCTTTGCGGCGGAGCAACACCTCCGGACAAGACATGAGTCACTAACATCATTGCAGTGAGGCCAACTACGATACCGCCAACCCTTCATACATTCGCAAGTACCTCCGCACATATGGCCTCACTCCTCCTCGCGCCGAGGGCTACGAAACACAAAAGACCCGATGCCTGGCGCAGCTGGGTCTGAAGAGCACACCCATCGAAAAATTCCTATACCTGAGCACTCTGCGCAAGAACAATGTGCATCTGTTTTATCGCCTGGTGACAGACCATCTGAGGGTACGTTGAGAACCGAGACATGTGATTGGGCCGGGGAATATTGGAGAATATTGGGGAAACGAGAATTAACCATAATTATCGCTGCAGGAGATGACGCCCCTCATCTACACCCCAGTGGTCGGCGAGGCCTGCCAAAGGTGGTCCGAGATCTACCAACAGCCTGAAGGTAGGTGCTAAAAATGACGGAGACGCCACTTCTCCGCAGACGAATTAGAACCGGAGACGCTAACGCTCGTTTTAGGCATGTACCTCAGCTGGGAAGATCGCGGGAATCTAGCTTCTGTCATCGCCAATTGGCCCCAGCCTAATGTCGAGATCACATGTATCACCGATGGCTCCCGAATCCTCGGGCTGGGTGACCTGGGCATTAACGGCATGGGTATCCCAATTGGAAAATTAGCGCTTTACACTGCATGTGCGGGTATTCGTCCCGAGGCCACCCTGCCTCTGACTCTGGATCTGGGTACTAGCAACAAGACCCTCCGGGAAGACCCGCTCTACATGGGTAGCCGTCGCGACAAGGTCTCTCCCGAAGAGGAGCGGGAGTTTTTGGACGAGCTGATGGGAGCTCTTACCGAGCGCTGGCCTGGGTAAGTGACTCATTCTCACATGTCATCTTCGGGTGATCTCCCTCTAGCAACCGGGACTAACAAAGCTTCTCCAGTATCGTCATCCAATTCGAGGATTTCAAGAATCCCTTCCCCGCACTGGAGCGCTACCGTGACCGGTTCACCTGCTTCAATGATGACATCCAGGGTACTGGCGCTGTCATCCTTGGCGGTGTCATCAACGCTGTCAAGCGCTCCGGGCTGCCCTGCAAGGATCACCGCGCTGTGTTCTTCGGAGCCGGCAGCGCCGGTGTCGGCGTCGCCCGCCAGATCGTCGAGTTCTTCATGCGCGAAGGCATGACCGAGGACGAAGCCCGCAACTGCTTCTACCTCGTCGACACCAAGGGTCTCGTCACCGCTGACCGCGGTGACAACCTCGCCGACCACAAGGTCTACTTCGCCCGCCGCGACAATGCCGGCAACCAGTTCAAGACCCTCGAGGAGGTCGTCGACTACGTCAAGCCCTCCATCCTGATGGGTCTCTCCACCATGGGTGGCGTCTTCACCCCAGAGATCCTGCGCAAGATGGCCGACTGGAACACCGCCCCTCTCATTTTCCCCCTCTCCAACCCCTCCTCCAAGTCCGAGTGTGACTTCGAAGCTGCCGTCACCCACACCGACGGCCGCTGTCTCTTCGCCTCCGGTTCTCCCTTCCCCAACTTCACCTTCACCAACGCCGCCGGTGAGACCCGCACCTACTACCCCGGCCAGGGCAACAACATGTACGTGTTCCCCGGTATCGGCCTGGGCAGCATCCTGTCCAAGGCCGTCCGTGTCACCGACAGCATGATCTATGCCTCCGGTGAGGCTCTTTCCGCCGCTCTGACCGGCGAGGAGCTCGAGCGCGGTCTTCTCTACCCTGACATCACTCGCATCCGCGAGGTCAGCATCGTCGTCACCCGCAAGGTGATGCGCGCCGCACAGGAAGACAAGGTCGATCGCGAGATCGCTCTGCGAGCCTTGAGCGACGTTGAGCTGGACAACTGGATCAAGGCCCGCATGTACGATCCTCACACCGAGGTTCGCGAGCTGGAGCGTGAGGTCGGTCACCTCCTGTCCAGTCTGGGCACAATCTCGCCGCCTCTCACGGCGAGTGGCTCCCCGACTGAGGAGAAGAATGCCGCGAAATTGTAAGATTTGCTCATTTTCCTTTTATGCGTCTTATCTCATGGTTCTGCACTGCCTTCTTGCCAAATCACCTGTTCTAATCTTTCAGTGCTTAGGGTCTCTGCGTGATGTACTCGCATGTCGCTTTTGGATTTTGCCCCTTTTTGTTGGTTTCGAGCGCACTTCATCTTCCTGTCTATTTTCGGGTTTTACGGCCCTTTTTTTTCTTCCTGTCCTGATAGAATACCCATCACTTGCTCGCGTTTTCAGGGCCTTTGGGCCTTTGCATCTCGGGCGTGGGCTTTAGCTGCCATTGCCTTATGAATGAACAAAATATTATTCACTTTCATACTTCACCAATCTATGGCTGGATATCGATCAGGGAAGTAGACTTCTGCGGCATAATGGGTAAATTAGTCTTGCCCTCAGCAATGGGCAAGACGATCCACGAAGACATAGGCGCCAAGCTGCCAAAATCCGCTGCCAAACCTCATTTCCTGCCTAATTCCGTATTGATGCCTTGATAGACGATCGTCCCGACTTTTCCCCGGAATTCACATGACAACCGGATGGACTAAATTCCCCGACTCGCTCAATTCGCATTTCTTCCTCAAGGGGGAACTTCATGCTCCACAAAATAATTGCGCCACAGGACATGAAGCAAAAATCATGCAGGTACAATCGGACCCCCACTTAGTTGAGCCCTCTGGCTGGTTAACTCGGGGATATCAATCTCTCCGCGCCCCTGTGGGCATCCATGCCCGGTGAGGGATCGACATGACTAAGGAGCCGAGGTCTATCAGAGGTTCAGGGTCCTCTTCAAGCTTCAAATATTTGAATAGGTTTGTAGCTAACCCATCTGTCAATTCATTTCTGGTCTGGCATTGATGTAGAGGTATGTTCATGCGCTGAATTGTGAAAAAAAATCCGATACTCACATCTGACAGAGTAAAACATATCCATTGCATTAGACTGCATACTGCACTGTACATATCAATCGCATACGAAACCGCATATACACCATGCCTTCTCCCCTCGCAGATCCCGTCAAGCTACCATGTGGACTGGTCTTGCCGAACCGACTCAGCAAGGTACAAGACATGGGCAGCCATATTCTCCGCATGTATACCACGCTAACAAGCCCTCCAGGCCGCAATGGCCGAGTTGATTGCGAAAACCAACAGACCAACCAGCACCCTGCTCGATGCCTATGAGAAATGGTCCGACGGTGGATGGGGCAGCATTCTCACAGGCAACATCCAAGTCGACGTAAACCACATGGGCAGCCCCTATGACCCGGCCCTGCACAGCGAGTACAAAGACCGCGAAACGAACAGCGCACTAGTCGCAGAATGGAAGAAATACGCCGACGCCTGCCAGAAACATGGCACACCGGCCATCGCCCAGGTCTGCCACCCGGGCCGTCAATCGTTCCGTGTTGCCGGTCGTCGCGGTTTGTTCGCCCCGACACTCGCGCCTAGCGCTGTGCCTATGGATGTTGGTGATAGCTATCTGGAGCGTCTTATCGGGTGTCTGGCGTGGACTGCGCCGAAGGAGATGACTACCCAAGAGGTTGAGAGGGTTATTCAGCAGTTCGTTGATACTGCGAGGCTTATGGCGGATGCTGGGTTTTCCGGGATTGAATTACATGCTGCGCATGGATATCTGCTCGGTACGTATTCCATTTAAAATGCCAGACTTCAGTAACATCCACGCTAACGCTTTATCCAGATCAATTCCTCAACAGCAAGGTATGAAGACCTGTCTATCCCAGACTATCCCAGACTATAATCCTATACATCCCAACTCCACAAACCCAACCCTAACCAAACCAGACAAACCTCCGCACCGACGCCTACGGCGGCACCCCGAAAAGCGCGCGCGCTTCGTCCTCGAAATCCTCACCCAAACCCGCAAAGTAGTACCCTCAACCTTCGCAATCGGCATCAAGCTCAACTCCGCCGACCACAGCTCCGCCACTTTTGAAGAAACAATGACGCAAATCAAGCTCCTCGCTGATGCCGGCATCGACTTCATGGAAATCTCCGGCGGCAGCTACGAAGACCCCCGCATGATGGGCTACGCCAAAGCCGACGCTGCTCCCGTGTCTGCGCGTACCGCCGCGCGCGAGGCCTTCTTCCTCGAGTTCGCGAAGGAGGTCCGGACGCGGCATCCGGGGTTGATCCTTATGTTGACGGGTGGGTTCCGCACGAGGGCGGGTGCTGAGGCTGCTATCAGGGATAATGCTTGTGATCTTGTGGGGATTGGAAGGCCGGCGGCTATTGATCCTAAGTTTGCGTTGAGGTTGCTTGATGAGGGTGTTGAGGAGATGCACGCGGGGATGCCGTTGAATAAGGTGCCTGTTCCGTGGTTTGCGCGCTTTTTGCCGGTGCATCTTATTGGGGCTGGGGCTGAGACTGTGAGTTGTTTCTTTTCTAATGGTCGTTGTTGGGTTGGTTGCTGACTTGTGTTAGACGTACTATTCGATGCAGATTCAGCGGTTGGCGAAGGGGATTGCTACTATTGCGCCTTCTTTGTAGGGTTTCTTTTGGTGTTGACACCCAAGTATATAGACTTTATGGGGGTTCTTCTTTTCGTTCGTTGCTATTTGGGCATAATCCGCTCTGGAATATTAGAATGTTGGATTCTGTCGCATTGAGGAAACTACAGTATTGCTGTAGAGGCTTGATTACTGGCCTGGATGTTTATACGATGTAGTCAAGTGGAATACTACTGAACGATAGACCGAAGAGAGAAACCAGATCAGGTACCCTGGTACTCTAGAGCCGCTTTGTAGGGCTCATAACATCATGGCATTAATACAGAACAAGCAATCCTGACCCTGGCAGCCTGGTCCCGGGCTGGGCCCCTCCTCCAATCCCCTCCCCTCGGGGCGCTCAGACCCCGGCCAACTGGCCCCCTGGCGGGGCTGATACACATTTCATCTTCAACCGGAGAAAACCGCACTTTCTTTAGGGGAGTCAAATTGTAAAAGTTAAGTGACAAAGTCCATTAAAAGAGCTATCTGATATATGCAGGAATAATTATATAAGTGAGAAGTTTGTATCTTAATGCAAGTGCGAAGGCAGCATCTCGAGGTCACATGACCAAACATTATCCACCTGCTGTGGGCCCTGCCCCTCTAAGTCCGCAAGTTGTTTCCGCAGCTCATCATTCCCCTTCAGCAAAGACTGAATCCACAATGCGGCCTCCTCAAGCACATATTTCCTCGTATAAGAATGCTCCTGTAGCCCCGGCACAATACTACAGAGCTCCTTATACCTCTCCCCAATAATCTCCCTCCTCCTCTTCTCAGACCGACAATGACACAACTTCTGACCAGCCTTCTGCACACACTTCCTCTTCCTGACTCCAACCTTATTCGCAGCCCTGGCACAGCTGGCCCGTCGCGTGCACTCGCCAATATCTGACGGGAATGAAGAAGCCGATGAAGATCTTTGGCCTTGGCTTGATGAGGAGGAGGAGAGTGGGGACGAAGGTGTCTCTGATAGTCTTTCATCCCGTGGGACTGGAACCAGTGAAGGCTGGAACATTGGGAGTGTGAACCCGTTTAGTTGCATGGGATCCAGGCAGGGTTTTGTGAATTCCGAGTCGGTTGTCTCGGGGATGTCGAAGCCGATGTTGACGCTTGTGCAGATGCTGGCCATGTTGCGCATTAGGTTTTGGACGAGTCGGTCTTCTGTCCAGGTGCCGATTGGACATGAGAAGCCGTGGTAGCAGAAGCTGGGGTCGGAGCCCCATTGGAGCCCTTCTTCGAGGGGAAGGCGGGGCATTTGTTGTTTGGGTTGCTGCGGGCAGCAATGTGTGAGGTTGTTGAGGTCCGTTTGGAATGTTTGGTTCAATGTCGCCATCTTGGATGTGTGGTAGGTGGAAGATTGTGCTTGAGCTGTGGTGTTTGGATTGTGATTTGGATCCAATGCCCTGCAGGTGTCTAGCTAGGCTAGTACGTGGGGTTGGGAAGACGGTAGGTTTGGTGTTGATATCTCTGATGTTGTGGTTGACTCTCTGCACAGGAACAGCTGGTTTTGGAAGAACACACTTTTGGGTTTAGATGAAAGTGGAAATAAGAGGAATTTGATTTGCTTTGCTTCAGTGAGGTCCTTGGATGAAGTATATAGCAGGAGTTATTTGCGACAATCCCGGAATGCACCCGGAGCAAAAAAACACAGACATACCCCGGGTGCATCCCGGGCTCCACAGATGATGTCGTTCCCAAAGATCAGACCCCGGCGAAAAGAACCTTAATAGAAACTTTTTAAGGTTTAATTGGCCTTGGCCCTTGACAATAACCTTGGAAGATCCACGGCTCACATGCTTCCGAGCAGCTTCCCCAGTTCTTTACCGAATTTTGGGTGATCCTGCGGGGTATATAGTTCATGAGGCATCTGGCCCCCTCCGGGTGTGTCCCGGAATAGTCTGACCCTCATTCCCCTTTCCCCAGACCCCGGACGGCCAGACCCCAGACTTCAGCGGATGCCCCTTTTTTTCGGTCCTCATCCGGTTCACCAATTAAACAGTTCGGAATCAGCGTCGATCATCTAATCCTTGCAATCTTTAATCGTGGCACGTGGGACCAAGCACCATCCGAGACATGCCTCCTAAAGGAGGGGTCACCAAACGCGAGCCAGCGCGCCGTCGCAAAGTTGCCTTGGCCTGCGAGTCGTGCCGAGACAAAAAAGTGCGATGTGATGGCACAAAGCCCATTTGCGGACCATGTGCTCGGCGCGGGTATACCGTCGACAGATGTGTATACAAGCTGGATAATGCGAGGTCTGCCAGCGGCGATGAATATCTGAAGATCCTGCATAATCGTATTCGGGAACTCGAAGAGACTTGCGCTAAAGGCGGGGTCACTGCGCCGCCGGGACCTGGACAGCATGAAGTCTACAGAGCGTCATCGAGTCAACTGGGGGAAGATACGGACCTGGATATCCTGGACCCGGAATCAAGGACGTCTGTAGCTGCAGAAGGATTATTAGGGCTGGGCTCCACCCCGGTGTTATCCGCACCAAATTCGCTAGCTTCAACGCCTACTTTTCATCCTCCGAAATTCCTCGTGCAGAGGAATCAGTCCGAGACAGGGGAGAGCTATAGAACTCCACACACGGCCCAGTTCTCTCCTGATTCTGCTCATCAGCGCGCAACCAGTATCTATCCCTCACCATCTGTCAACAGCCATGGAAACGTGAATGGAATGGGGGCGATCTCGGTGGCGGACGATGACCCAGGCATAGACTCCCCGCAGGAGCAGGTGTACTACGGAAACTCATCGGTGGCTTCTTTCATGCGTCTTGCGGGAGAATCAATGCCTTTGCGGTCATACATGTCGGCTTTACGAGCGAGTAAGAACGAGTCGTCCAGGCCGCAGCATCCTGGTGGAGGTCTCTGGAGAGATCTAGGCCATCCATCCGTGGATTTTAGGTTCGATGATTTCTCCCTGCCACCCCGATCTCTTGCAGATCATCTACTTGAATGCTACTGGGACAGGGTGCATTGTCTATTTCCCTTCTTTCATCGGCCTAGCTTCGAGCAAGCTTATGAGAACCTCTGGGGATCGGAGAAGGAGACGAAGCCACCGTTGCCGCAACTCAATATTGGACTTGGGAGTGCGCTTGATTCTGCACCTAATTCGGTTGTGTTTCATTGCGCGCTGAATGGCATTTTTGCTCTGGGAAGTCATTTCTCGGATATTCCGGCTGAGGATCGGGAGCCTGCGGTTTATTCCTTCTTCCTGCGTGCCAAGAAGTTCATCAATCTTGATCTGATTGATATAGGCACGATTGGCGTTGTGCAAACGCTTCTTATTGTTTCACTTCTTCTGCAGAGTACGCCGTATCCAATGCGGTGTTGGAATGCAATTGGACTGGCTTGTCGAGCTGGCCAAGGTATTGGTCTACACGAGACAACCACGCATGCGTCGAATAAACCTCTGGAGACGGAGATACGCCGGCGAACCTGGCATGGCTGTGTTATTATGGATCTGTTGGTACACCCATTTACGATTCTTTTACCTGGAGCATACCAGCTAACATTAATGAAGGATTGTGAGCATGACATATGGAAGACCGAGCATGATATCTCACATCTCACCGGTGCCTCTGCCTGCCATGGGCGCCGACATTGAAGACGCCGATCCCTGCGGGCTCAGTGGATTGCCGTGCGATCACAAACTCGGCTACACGACATTTTACGTCTCGTCGATTGAACTATACAAAATCCTTGAGTCCATTCTCGCTGAGGTCTACAATGCCTGGCAGAGTCGGTCGAATAGCTTTCGCACAACTTCACCGCGAGGCTCCAAGCTCTGCAGTCTGGACGTATTAATGGAGCTCGACGATAAACTCGCTGCCTATGAAGCTAATGTACCCCAGCCACTGAACTGGACGAATACAGCCTCACCCTCACTGCATTCTTCGGACAGTGCACACGAGGCGACATTCAAACGCCAGCAGAACGTGCTGCGTGCAAGGTAGCCACCCTCTTCTGTATTCTGATTGTAGCATACCTCTAACAGGGAGAAATAGATTCATCTATCTCCGCCTCCTGTTATATCGCCCTATGTTCACCCAACTCTGCTCCGCCGAGCGAGCTGGATCATCCCGTCGCTGTGATGCGCAATCCGGCGCGAAGAACTTGATATACTCCTCAGTCTTCTCAGGATGCGCCGCCTCCTGCGTTACTGCAGCCATAGACCTCATTTCGCTTGTCCACGAGACATATCGAACAAGCGTAACGGATGCATGGTGGTATAATGGATTCTGTTTGTCCCCCGCCTTCTTGCTATTTCTTATTTTCTTTTCATTCACCTCATCTGACACGTACTAGACACATCGACTGCAGGATTCATCCTGATAATGTCCCATCCCTGCCACTCCATCTGCGAGCAAGTCGATCCGCAGCTCGTGGATGAAAGCTGGCGTAAGTGCGAAGAGATACTAGCCTTCATGGCTACATTCAGTCTATCAGCACGCAACTCCTTGCAGTTCTTGCAAGTGACGCATCAGCACATTGTACAAAGTCATTCAGGTTTGTGACGCATTGATATTTCTTAAGAGATGGGCCGTGCTAATTCCTGCGCAGGCACTTCTCGGCTCCTAGATGCTACATCGGTAGCTCCTGCTCAGCCGCATCAGAGAGCAAATCAGCAATCGGGTCAGCCGGAGTTGCTGGCACAGCCTGCTGAGCTGGTGTCGGATGAACAGATTATGAGGAATGAGCCCAGTAATATGGATACCAATCCTTTCGCGACGTGGGATGAGTTGGGGCTCGGACAGGAGGAGTTTGGGTTCCTTGGGAGGTTTGATCTGCCGGATCTTGCGAGCTGGTTTCCTGCAGGTGATATGTCTCCTTGAGCATCTTAGAGTACGATATGTTGTACCATGTCAGAAATAAAAGGGGCATCGCATTGCATCCATCACTCGCATCTATACACTCAAGGCAAGACAAGCATCACACAGGATCAAAAAGCCTCGTATCAGGATGACTCCAAAACGTCCCCGACAAATCCTCCAACGTCTCAAAATCCGGCATCCATAACGGATCACTCTCATCCTGATCAATCCACGGCGCCAACTGCAACGCCATCCTAACCGCATGCTCCGAGTCAACAGCCGGCCACCCCTGCGGCTGTGGCATGGCACCCGTGTTATCCGGCACTCCAGCCGGATCAACAGCCGTAAACTTCTCATCCCCACCCGTAGGCGCAGCGGTATTCCAATTAACCCCATACTGCGCGGTCATCAGCTCCGCCATACCTGCATTACGAGCCCTCTCGTTCCCCTGCAATTTCTCCATAGCCGCGTTGACCAACAACTCGAATGCATCTCGGTATTTCTTGACCCAAGCTGCGCGCTCGCCCATCACGAAGAGGACGGTCGAGCAGGCGCCGATGTCGTTGCTCATGCGGACGGACCAGACTTGGTCTGTGTGTGTCCAGAGGGCGTAGAGGAGGGTGATGCCGGCCATGAAGACGGTTTGCACGGCTAGGAAGGAGTGGCCGTATTCGAGGGTTTGGTGGAGGCGTTTGTGGGTTTGGCAGATGTTGCCGGCGGCCAGGATGCAGATTTGGTAGTAGGGATCTGTTATTGGGAGGAGAGGGAGGAAGGGTTGGATTAGAAGTCTGACGGCGCGATGGTAGTGGAGCATTGGGTAGTCGAGGTCGGGACCGGTGAATCTTCGGAGGGCGGATTCTTTCCATTGTTCGAGTTCGAGGTAGAGAGGGTCCATTTTTGGGCGGAGGGTGGAGAGGGTGCGGTCGGCGCGGTAGATTTTGTGTTGGATGCGGGAGTCGATGCGGCGGAGTTTGAAGAGATAGATTGCGAATGTTAGGGTTGTTGTTTTTGTTGGGTCTTGGGGGGCGGCGAGGAGGGCCGGATCTTGGATGTCGTCGTCTACTTCTAGTGGAAGGTCGAGATCGATGTGACGATCGGAGATGCTGAAGGGGCGGCCGAGGGACATTGACACGACGCGCTCTAAGTAGTATACGGTCCAGAATAGTCTTCGGCGCATTTGAGTGGTGAATGGGTCCAGCTTGCTCTCGTTTGCTTTTCGGTGAAGACCTAGGTCGACGGCAGTGCGCATGGCAAGACCAATCATGTACCACATGCCATGGTTAGATGCAGTCCGGAGATGGTACACGACGAGGAGGACCATGGCCTCGATGTTGTCGATGGATCGGGCTTCGCACATTGTGGGAACATGCTGTAAGGCGGCAGTGTAAAAGCGCTAAGCACCTGTAAGCATTGGCCGATGACACCTGGGAAAGACACTTACCTCAGGAGCAGTGTATGCGTATTTCTCGCTCAATTGGAGCATTGTTGCTCCTATGGCATAAACCAAATTGAGCTTGAAGATAGCAAATCGATCAGAGCGAGTGAGATCCTCACGCTTGGTCCTCGCCAAGCGCCATCGGTCCTCGTGGATCTTCCATACTTGTTTTCTATCAAGAAATGGGTATCGGGCATGAAGTCTGTTAAAGTAATTCTCGAGTATTTTCGTTCCCATTTCATCAGTTGGAGGTTCCACTGTGGCCGGCAAGAGATCTTCCACTCTTGATCGATCTCGGGCTTGGGAGGTAGTAGGCTGCTCTGAAGGTCCCGGTACTTCCGCTGCTGTAGGAGGTCTATTGGTGGAGCTGTTTTCCTGCTGCATTCTTGAGATGAACTGATTCCATACACTCGTCTGGACCATTTCCCCCAAGTCGGTAGCAAGCGAAAGACCAGAGCTGGATCCTACATATGCAGGGGCCTCGGAGGAGCTCAGGGCAAGAAGACCGACAATCTCCCCGACAGGATTGTGGTCGAGTCCAGAGGTAGTCGTGTGTGGCGTCGCATGGCCTCCTTGTGGGGAGAACGGAGGCGCAGCATTTGTGGCTGCATTCTGATCCGATGGTCGATCGGATTCAACAAGTTTGCGCTCAAGAAATGCCACGCGCTCCTCTAGACGCCTTGTATAACTGACACTGAAGTTAGTCTTCTCTGGCTTGATTTGCTCCGGGGCTGTAGTTATTCAACTTACTCATTCTGGCGGTCGCTCCCCTCCCGGACACTGGACTTGTCGCACGTAACACCCGCTTTCAAGCAATTGGAACATGTCGGATATTCATCATCACACTGAGAGGAATGAGTACATGTATGTTTCCGATCAATTGCAACTTACCTTTTGCTTCCGTCTATTGCAACGAGTGCACGCGGTCCTGCCGCGTTTTCGCGGGTTGTGAATTCGCGAAGCGGGACTCGTCTGCCTCGAAGAATCCGGGGAATGCCCAGGTGCATACATGTCGACTTTAGAGTCAATTCAAGACCTTGAAGCCCATGGTGGCGGAGTTCTACCATAAGGTGCTGTTGAATGAGGTTGGAGATGCGGTTGGGAATGCCAAGACGCTACTGCTAAGATGGCCTCCGCTCTTCAGCATCTTTGAACTGAACTATCTTCCACCTGTGCATTCTATACATTTACTACGAAGTGGATATATACTGTATAGCAGTGTATACAATGGTCTAATGGACTAGGCGGTTCCAGAGCTCTAAGATCAATGGCCAGCATAACATTGGAATGCAGGTTGAATAGGTGGTAGAAAAAGGATAATGATATCAACTATTAGTTCATGTCTAAATGGTATCATGCGACGCTCATGCAATAATATAAACACACAGAACTCAATGCAACTGAAATATGTCTTCCGTCTCGATGTCTCAGCTGTTCTTCTCCTCGACTGCCTGGGGATTGGGCTCCGCCCGAGAAGGTGGCATCGAGGATTCGGCAATTGTCGACGTAGACTGACGCTTCTCTATTGGAGCGTGTGTTTGGTGGTCGACCTCCTCCTCGGGGTGATCAGAGACAGCCGCCTCAGCATCCTTCTCCTCTTGAGCCTTCCGCTTCTCCTCCTCAATCTCTTCAGGCTCCTTTGGTCGCTCCAACCCTCTATCGCGGATAAATGAGCATGCCAGGAAACAAAGACCGATGAGAGGAACCTGCAGGATGAACACTGCATGTGAAGCCTTGGTGTAAGAAAGCAGAATTGAAGCCCACTCAGAGGAGCTGATATTCCCCCTTGCAGGCAGCGAAAATGAGGACTCTGCCAAGTATGCAAATTTGGGTGGAAGATTGGAGCGCAGAGTAGCTTGCAAGATTGCCGCAGAAATCGCGAGGCCACATGCACCACCCATGCAGCGGAAAAAGTTGCGATCTGCGATCACAACTGCTCTTTGTGATTTGGTGCAGTGGGCTTGAATGGCGACAAGAGTGGGCTGGAATGAGAAACCAATGCCGGAGCCCATGACGGCTACGATGACCGCAAGAATAGCTGGATGGGTGTGAGCACCGAATAACAGCAGCAAACCCTGGCCCCTATGAAAGCGGTACTGTTAGCATGGAACTATGGTAAGAGGACCCCATGCATCAATGAACTTACAAGGTCCATAATCCAAATCCAGTCCAGATGATTTCGCCATAGCGCTTGAATCGTGATATATACTGGCCAGATAGCACCGACATAGTTGCCTGCGCTATAACCATAGGACATGTCATAGCGGCAGAGGCAATTGGCGACCAGCCACGAGCGTTCTGGTAGTATAATGGCAGGTAATAGAGATTTGCCTGATAGACTGCACCATACAGTATGTGCTGCAAGAAAATCGCACAGATGACCTTGTTCTTGAAGAAGACGACTATTTTATGTCAGTTGAATGTCCCTTTATCTCCATCGTCGGGAGAATACATACCTGGCAACATCGGCAACGGAGCCACTTTCCACTCAATGAAGAAGAATACGACGAAGGCACAACCTCCGATAACGAGCATGGTTATGACCAGTGCTGAATCCCAGGGAAAATAGGACCCACCTCCCGAAATGGGAATCAAGAGGAAGATGATACCAATGGAAGATGCAAGCAATCCGTACCAGTCGATACGGGCAATGTTGTGCCGGAAGCTGTCTTTGTTTGCGGTATTTGGAATGAGGAAGTGCCCGGCGACTGCAGAGCAAGCAGCCAGCGGAGAGATCAACCAGAAGAAACCACGCCATGTTGACCGCATGACGAATCCAGCTCCCAGAAATGGTCCGACGATATTACCGAGTCCTAAAGCGGCACCCAGAATACCCTGGTACTTGCCTCGCTTTTCTAGGGTGACAATGTCCGAGACAATAATCATCGTCAAAGAGGTAACACCACCACCGGCAACACCAGCCAAGCCTCGAAAGACATAGAACATAGCCGGATTCTGGGACAAACCACAGAGCAGATCCGCAATACAGAGTAGAATCAATGCATAGATGTACACGATCTTTCGACCAAAGATATCTGAGAGCCGACCATACAGCACAGTGAACATGGTATTCGCAATCAGAGATGAGGTTCCGGCCCAAGAGATGGTATTCTGGGCCCCGAGATCGCGGGCTATCGTTGGCAATGTGACACTGATACCGTTCTGATCCACCATGCAGATCAGCAAGGAAATCGCGAGACCCGTGAAGACAATCATCAATTGTGCAAAGGGAAGAATGTTGGTTTGATCATGAAGGGCCTTTTCGGCCTCTCTTTGCCGATTCATGGCTGTTTGTGTGGGCAGCACGAAGCTCGCTCGATGATTATGAAGCTTGTTTTTCTAGATTGTTCGAGATGCTGGATAGAGGGCCATGTATGCTTGTGGCACAGAAGACGTCAGAAGAATGAAGTATACAAAAGTCCGAAGATAAGGCTTGGCGTGGTATCAAGAGCACAATTGCATGAATGAGGAAGGCCTTGAGGTTTTAAAGGAACAGTTAAACACGGAACTGTTCACATAAGAAAAATTTTCAATATCTTGTGCCGTTCGTTCCATCGGGGACCAGGCGCTGATGTCAATCATTGGAAGTTGCAGGGATCTCACGTCGGATACAGGTCCGACGGCTTTACTGCGTAAAGGATCCATTGACAGGTTTTTTCCATTCGAGACGGACAAGCCAACAACTGTCGGCTCACACCGCGCTTCCCATTGCGGTTGGTGAATGAACCTGATGTGGATCTGTATCGGACCCCCGATCGGATGTCCGATATGTGACTAATCACAATCCGGATATTTCTCCGAAGTATCTTATCGCAGTGTGTTGCAGATCTGTGACTTATCAGGGAATCCGTCAAATGGCCGTCTTCAACATAACTACTAGCAGATGCATATTGATAACTATGCATCTATCAGTGCTAGTTAACACACCGCCGTTATGTCTTATGAAGAAAAGCGAAAACTATCACAACACGATAAGCAGGATAGGGCACGTTATCGCTTCCAGCTAAAAGTCAAGCAAAGGGCAAGCTGCCTGACGATGGGGGCGTAATGCGCTAGTGCAAATACAATAATCACGTGATGCAATTGTTCCTCATTTCTGTTTACGTTAACTAGTTACAGTATGTAGTTAGTTACGCGAACTCCTTGACCGCATCTCATATTCTCAACCTTCACTCTCACCCTCACTCACGTTCATTTGCTCAACGTCTTTAAGAATGGATGTGCCGGTTTGCGATTTGTGCCGGAGAGACATTGATATGATGGACTCTTAAGTTCTGCAAGCGTCATTCGAAAATGGTGGATGAAGACTTGGAGAGCTTCATTCAGGTCCTTCGCCATTGGAATAAGCCAGTGAGTAATCTAAGCTGACTACGCGAGCAACTTAGTACTAACTGCACCTTTCTCATAGGACCAACATGAAATACTGAACGGTGATTACACACTTGATTTGGATGTTCTGGGGGTCAAATCTGGGTGTTCAGACAAGGAATGGTATTTGGATCCTGAATCGCAGCAAAGTGCAGCAATGTGGTGTCTTCAGGACATTATTCCGAAGGAAGGAGTGTTTCGCTTTGGCTACACCCATCGCGAAAGCGATGCGTCTATATACCACTGTTCCCAAGATGCTACGGTGGAGCGACGATACGGTCGATGCGGGGATCAATTCCCATGCGAGAGCAAGCTCAGCATACGCCCCTGTTTGCAAAGTCGAACCCTTACCGTTTCAATCCACCACAAATGGCATATGCCCGCAGAATATGACATCTCCGACATTGAATCAGAGTCTTCCGAATCTGATTCCGAATTTGAGTCCCGGTTTCAAGAGTTTTCTGGATTTGAATCAGAGTCTGACTCTGACTCCCGTGAAAGCAAAGGCGAATCTGACCCGGAGGCTAAACCACTTGACGTCCGCATAAAAGAACACATGAAGATGTTAAATGAACTCATAGATAGTATGAGAGCCGAACATGCAAAGGGGAATTTCAAGTATGTGAAAAGAGTTCTGAATTCATCGCCAATACAGTCAATGATGCTCGTGGCGAAGGAAGCTATGCAGCTCGAAAATAATCCGGATATGCCACGGACTGGGTTTCGGCACCCGGCTACACAGTACTACGTACCAGGGCTCCTCGGAAAATGGAACGATAGGAGGGGATAACGTTGGGGCCAGACGACGGGGATCGAAGGCGATGCAGCTACTATGGGACTGGGGGGCGAGAGTGATTGGGGACATATGGGATGTGGAGCTGGGCGAGCCGATCATACTGTCTCATATTACGGGCAGTGATACGTGTACAACGAAGAAGGAGTCTTTGGCCCCCATTGCGGCACTCCCGCAAGACTGGCTGGATACCTGAGTGCTGACGGCGAGCTGTCATGATGGCGCCGTTCCGCCTAACCAAGAGTGGGCTTCCACGCGGAAGGACTCGACCCCAGCTCGATAGGCTTTTCCTCTGTCTACCAATTGCTCATGAAACAAAAGCTGGCCTCGATTGACTTTGGGAATGTAGCGGCGAAGGCCGTTGAACACTAGAAAGGTGCGACTGGGAAAAAGATCCCGGCATCACAACTTTGGCGCGGTTTCAAAACTGCTAAGGCCGGTGATCTATGCTGGAGGTTTTTACATGGGCGCATCCTTGCCGGTTCCAACTCCATTGGACGGACCCAGGCCGACATCACTGAACCCTTACCTCAGTTACCTCAGAATTGAGGGTATTCTGCACAAGATCGCCGGCTTAATATGAAAAGACAATTCGTTATCTAGAGGGACTTGCTTGATCAGATGCAAGAGTATTGAAGTATTGTGTAGGGTTCATTTCCAATCATAAAAGGAAAGTGGGATCATCGTAGATCCAGTGTGGCTCGTATCTTCGTAACTATACTGGCCTTGATTTTACCCCAAGTCCCAAGTCCTAGGTTATGTCGCATGTTATCCCCCCACCCCTTAAGCTGAACCTATACAGATATCTCATGGTCAAGATCAGAACAGAAACAGAATTCCAGGATAGCCTCTTCCGACCTGGTTTAAACGTTGCCATCGCGGCCAGGATCGAGCATTCCAATTTGCAGGCAGGGGATCCCATCGAGTAGGCTGAAAGTGATAGGCCGAATCATTTCAGACGTCGAGTGCCATGCAGTCTCGTGCATGATGAAGCGTAGAGTCAGCGAGTCATCGTGTCCGTTCGGGTTGAATGTGCAAGACTTGAATATCGACAACCGCTTTTCCCGTCTCGGGTCATCATCAGCATCTCACTATTAGCATGCTGTGCTAAGTATGGGCTGGTCCGATTGAGACTCCTAGACCACTACCAGGCCAGGTGTTCTGGATGTTTGGTGTGTTGGAGGCATTAATATTGTAAGCAGAGCTTTCGCCGACTGCATGGCTAGTGCCATCCCCATCCTGAGCAGGTCCGGTGTGTCTCGGGGCATTGCTAGAATTAGGTACAGTATGATGAGTCATGTAGCTGGCCCCAGTAACGTTGCCCTGGTTTGGGAAGAAGCTTTGATTCAGTGACCCACAGGTTGTGCAGGTAAATTCAATCTTGAAATTGGTGAGAACCATTTGGGGAACGGCGTTGTGATCAGTGCGCTGGGCATATTCTTTCGGGGTACCCGCCACTCCTACCGGTAAAGAAGCAGCGGTCTGATATCCGACTTCAGGTTGTGGGATGCCCATTGAATGTGGATCGTGATTGAAGGAAGGTGGGTTTGGCGTGGGAATGGGTGGTGGCAGAGCTTGAGGATTGGGTGCTGGCGCAGGTACGTGGTTGCTTGAGGTTTCATTTGGAGAGATGTTATCATCATCGACCAGCGATGGTGGGAGATGCTCTGAAAGCCAGCGATTCTCGGATATCTCTCTGAAGGCCTGGGCTCCGCCTGTTTGTGACCCCGGGGATCGCTCAGGCGATTGCTGTTCCCCTGCGCTCATGTCGAGATCCAGTGTATTTTCATGTTCGCCTTCTGCGTGTCTCGGCTGGAGTCTGGTGAGCGCTCGCTGTGCCTGGCGCATAGAGATGTCATATCCATGGTAGCGTTTCACGGCATCCACGACCTCCTGTGCTCGTATCTTCGACTTGATGTCGAAAAGCTTGGGGATCTCGCTCAGCAAAAACCGCACGTGGGAGGCTTCAGAGCGAGCAGGCGTGGCTGCCGAAGATTCTGCACTCCGACGGCAACTATGACTGTCTTGCAGACTAGTGATATAGGTCGCGTTCTTGTTTGAGCGACAGACCACACGAAAGAGGCAGTTTGCCGATGATCGGCAACCGATGACCACGCTCTTCTTGTTGCTTCGGGCCACACGCAGCTCCCAGTGTTGCCTTACTGATATACTGCGTACCGATGTCTTGAAGTCCTCCAGAGACGAAAACCGCTGGCCCACATGGAGGCCAGAGTACATCTCCGTCATTGTGATTCGACCGCAAGGAGGGTCCAAACAAAGTAGCAACTAGGGCAACAGTCTAGACACTTGAGTAGCAAAGTCCATCGGGTCGCTGGCTTTGGCTTCACCAAGGCCGTGCAGTGTGCCTGCAAACAACTTTGAATTGCGGAGCACGGGGTGATCTTCAAGCAAGGACCCGATCAATCTGCGAGCTTGGGAATTGACATTAAGCCAGAAGCTTCAAAAGCCTTAAGGGTGACCAAGGCTTCAACAAAATACGTAAACGCAAACTGAATCAAGTTAGGCAACGCAGCTGGTTATTGAAGAATCGCCATTGAAAGTCGATTGAAGTAAAAGCGGAGTTCTGCCAGACCGCTCGCCTTCACTTTTCGTGATCCTCCCACCTCCAACAATTTGAGATCGCATTTATAGACATCCTGCGCTTCCAGTATTTTCAGCTTTTTGTGATCGAGATCTATTGCCTAGATACACTAGACACACAAAATGGCTTCTTACGGGCTGCTGGGCCAGCCTGAGGAAGGTCAGCTCCCCCTCCAGCTCTGTCCTCCATATCGGATGCTAACGTCCCAGCTCTACAGATACGCTCCACAAGTCGCGTCTCCTTAACGTCGAAGAAAAGCCATTCAAGCGAATCTCAAAGCGCCTTCTAAACCCAGCATCCATTGTTATCTCGCCATCCTCCCTCCCTCTCACACCTCCCCCCGAACAAGCCGATGCCGAGTCAGATGCGACCGCTATCGACGCCGAGAAACAAAAAAGGCTCGAAGAATGGCGCCACTTCCGCGACGATGTCTCACTCGACTTTGCTGCCTTCGAGAGCAGTATTGCGCGCATTCAATTCCTTCTCACCAGCAACGAGCAAGAACGCCAGCGCTATGCATCCGAGCGCGTACAAATTCTGTCGACAATGCAGTCCGTCCGGGAGAGCACTTCCGACCTACGCAGTCAGCTCGAAGAGGCGCAGCGACTCCTCGCTTTGCGGAAAACCTATGATGAATTGACGGACAAAATCACGAGTAACCGCCTACTCAAGCCGCGCGAAGATCAATCAGCGAACCTCCAAAAACTACGGCTAGAGATCGCGGAGCTCGAAAATGAAAGCAAAGTTTACGCCAGTACCTGGGCTGAGCGACGTGAGCAATTCGGCCGCATTGTGGATGAGGGTATGCAGCTCCGTCGCTTGATCCGTGATGAGAAAGAGGAAGTCGAGCGTCGTGAGGGTATGCAGAAGGGCGAAGATGGTGACGATGCGGAGGTCGCGTCCAAGGGCAAGAACAGCAGCGGGACCACTCCTGGCCCTGATAGCGATGTTGCGTCTCCGTCTCATCAGAGCGAGAATGAGGGTCGGCCATCTGCTTTGCAGGTTGAGAAGCCTGAAACTGGTCGCAGCGCGTCGCCTTTGAGGCAAGTCACGGCTGCCCGGGGCGACGAGACAGACTCTGCTCCCAGGGATAGCGACATGATCGATGAGGGTGAAATCTCTGCGGTCAGTGATGGTGAATTGTCTGAACTCGAGGAAGGAGAGGAACTCCCGGATGGCTTCAAAATGGACACTACCTGATCATGCATTTTGGCACCTACATTACTAGCACTAGCAAGGCGTCCTGGGTTATGTCTGGCGTTGGGCAAGGTTTTACTTCAATTCAATGAATGATATTATGGAAATAGGTCCATCTTGTGGGTATTTATTTTGTCCTTCATGTAATCATCATCTCGTTCACGAGATTTCACGCTCTGCGGTCTTGGCCTGGGCGATGGCGTCTTTGGCAGCTGTGATGTGCTCGACATTGCTTTCAGATCCCTTCTTGCCCTCCTCGATCTATCCAAGTGGTTAATATAATTTTCAATCCGAATGGCCAGCTAAAAAGGGGTCTCCACTCACGATCAGAGCTTCCAGGTTGGCAACGGCCTCTGCAATCTTCTGTTTCATAGTAGGCAGAACCTTCTTGGTCTCTTCAAGAGACATGTGCTATCACTCATGTCAGTATCATTGATCTAAAAGCCATGCAGGATATCTGGATGAAGGAAAGCTTCAATCCAAGGAATGTGACATACCTCTTGCTTCAAGGTGTACTCGCGGTTCTCATCATCATTAGCCTCAGCCTCCAACTTCTTGATACGCTCAGTCTGCTGCTGAAGCTCCTTGTGGTAGGAAGCTTCCTCCTTGACCAGGCGGATCACAGAGGAAGTGGCGATCTCTAGCTGCGAGCGGGGTGCCATTGTGATTTTCTACGTTGGCGTCAGTACTTTCCAAGCATGGAGTCGAATCCCGGACATAGCCCCCAGGGAAGGGGTGCAACGGGATAGCAGAATGTCTGTTAGCGGAAGGTATCAAAGCTACCCCCAACAGTCGCGCAACCAGGATGCCGGGATACTACCCGTTATGACCTGGTTGGGCAAAAATTCTCCAGATATTCTGTATGTGGGAGGACATCGTAGAGAGATATTGTACTCAAAAAGAACATACCTGTAGATCTTGTACTTGACGATGAAAGCAAGTGACAGGGTGTGTTGATTTCTGATTGCTTCGAGTTGATATGCCCCTCGGATGATGCTATCAAGACGTTTGTTTTGTTTGCTGTGGCTCAAAGTGGGGTCACATGGTTCGAAGTATCCCTCGAACTAACTACACGGCCTCGTTCAACATGAGACCTTTCCTTTCATTTTATTTTAGGAAAGAGAATTCGGATCCTCATCCTCCGACCTGAGACCTCCAATGATGTCACTCACTTGTTAATGAGTCTCCAATGCCCTATCTTTGCAGAAATCCAGAAGCATGGTCACTATCAACAAAGCAAGATGGCGTCCCCTTGAAACAGGATAACCTCGGAGTTCCGAAATTGAAATCGAACAAGTGTTCAGGTTGAAAGAATCTTTTAGCCCATCCTGTACTCGCGGTGACTATGAACTCTATCGTTTTCTCTCAATTCATTGTTCTCGGGATAGTAGGTATCAATATGAATAGGGCCCAGAGGATGACACCTGTCCCATTTTCCTGACAAACTGAAAGAAGTCGATATCCTATGACTCTCTGCTCATGAGTGATGCGACCCAACTTGTGATAGTAATAGGCTGCCAAGATAACTATTATTTGCCTATTCTACTGTGTCAGGTGACGTCACAATAGAGAGTAAGACCGCCCACGCTGAAGCCTTGATCCAATCAGCGCTCGACAACGTGAATGATCATCCGGCCTTTTATTTGAAGCCGAAAAGACTCCTCCGGGTCCTCCCTAACCTAACCTAATTTGCATGGAATATACCAGTTGCATCCCATTTACCTGGCTTTTTTTATTTGCTTGCTGTCATCTTATACCCACTGCATGATACTCAGTTTGGTCTAAACGAGTGCCATCATAAGCGCCATGCCGGCACCCTCGCTTCTCAGTATGGCTTCGGCCATGGCTGTCCGCTTCGTGAAACGTATGTTTAAAGGACTTCGTTATATACCGTTTAGCGATTATCGATGGATATAGTTATTTACTGATATTCTCTTTGTAATTCTAGACATGGATGACCTAGGGGCCCTGCCATACACACTGGCCCGTCCCATACTGATGAATGTTCACAATCCCGAGAAACTGGTAGGTTCTACTTTACTCCTACAATTCATCTTTCTGTTGGCGCTTTGTTGGCTTTACATACCCCAATTTGTAAACCAATGGCTAATACTGTCCTGTCTGATCCACAGCACACCTTCGAAATCGCATCCCCTCATCTCGCCAAAGAAGATGGAGAAATATGGCTGGAACTTATCAAGCGCGACATACCCAATTGGCATGAATACCAAATGCCAGAAGAGACTGACAATTGGTATGGGGTGTACTGTGATCTCCGCGACCAGGTTCAAAAAGATCTCGAGGCCGATGCGGAAAAGATGAAGACGGCGATCGACGGCATCAGCGCCAAACGTGCACTTCTCACTCCTAAGATCATCCCCGAGAATACGAGCAAGCGCATGGCCGGTGCTCGACCTACCGCGAAACAACGCAGAGTTGCCTTTCTCCGCAGACAGGACGCTACCAAAACCTCATATGGCCCTCCAAGACCAGATACTTCAAAGAAGAGGTCTATTTTCCAGTCGGCGAAGATCAGTTCCGCACTCACAATGCCGACCAAAGCCCTGCACAACCGTGCATCGCAGATCAAGCGTGCGCCTATTGCCCTAGTTGAGGAGCATCGACGCCCCGTCCCGCCTTCGACACCAGCGCCACCCTCAAAGGCTCCAGCTCCATCGACGTCGCAAGCTCCCCCTCAACGCATCATCAGGCGCCCCGGTATGCTGCCACCTTCACTCCAGCACCCTATGCTGGCGCAGACCGGGGCTACCCCCCGCCCCATCCATAAGGTCACCATCGACGCACGTCGCGCCTCATCTAGTCCCGGCAGCTCGAGCAACGTATCCGCTACCAAGAAGCCGGTCACTGCATCCACCAATCCGGGATTTAAGGACGGCGCTGACTCCCATCTACTTCCTCCCGCGCCTACCGCAAAGCCCTCACCTTCTACTCACCCCGCCCCTACTGCAAAGTCCTCACCTTCTACTCACCTCCCCCATTCCCCTTCCCCACATCCGCCGACCCCCGGATCATCTGCGTCACCCGTTCAACGCGTCATTCGTCGACGCGCGCCACCGAGCATCTTCATGCCGTCGAAGCGCCGTCGTGTTTGACCAAAGCGTCACTATATCATTCTCCTGGCAGCGTACATTTGTTTATAATTTCGGGGCGTTACATTTTGCCAAGATACCCGATTACGTTTTTCTCAATTCGGTAATGAATTTTTCGGGTAGCGCATATACGATCTGGCTTCTAGAGCCTGCCGCTGAATTCCATTCGGCCATGAATTCCATTCAATCGCGATACCTCTTTCTGAGCTATCGGACAGTAGTATGAACATAGGCGAATATGCAAGACGTGTGGGAGTAATAGTATAGGTAAGCCAGGCAGTACAGGGCAACACATTTAAGCACACTAACAGGGAAAGCCTCGGATCAGCCCCGGGGTCAGACATGCCATGGCACACTCGAGCCATGTAAGGGAAGTGAACTGAATGTCCTTGGTATGACCCCAGAAAAGTAATATTGACTAGACCCAGGACGCCCGGTATGCATGTCCGCCTCGCCCAAGATCAAACCCGCTACTCCACGTAAAAGCCGCCCTAACGGCTCTGACTCATGACCCGGAAAATGTAAAAGTGCGTGTTCCTCAACCGAATCACATTGCTGCTGAAAATATGGTATCTAGAAATGACAAAGAGCGCGTTACATGGACCCAGCAGCGCATCCTCCACGCAGGGCAAGCACGAGATGCAGTGTGGCTCCGCCTTCGAGGTTGTATTCTGATGCCGTCTTGTCGTCCGCCCTATTAAAAAAGGTATTAGTCTGGGCCGTCTAAAACGAGGTCGTAGGGTTGGGGTATGGGGTCTTACATCTGCTTTCCGCCGAAAATGAGACGCTGCTGGACAGGGGGATACCCTCCTTCTCTTCGACGCGCTCCTTTATCCGAGCAACCTATACAGAACCATATGTATCAATGTAAGTCCATTCAAAATGCATACATACATTGTCCCTGGGTTGCTTCACACGTCGCCAAGTGATTCGCGCGGGGAGAAGCGGGAAAACATCGGGGTTTGCGAGTAGCTTACCTTGTAGTCAGGCTCGATATCGAGCTCGATCTCCTTGCCAGTGAGTGTTCGGACCCTATTTGAACGTGTAATGTCAGCTTGCAGCTCTGTCGGGTTTCGGAGTTTCGGTTCAGGGTCATGCGATGATGCAATGGGGGGCGGAGTCGTGTTGGGGCTGCGGAACGCACTTGATCAACATCTTGAGGTTGCGGATATGGCTTCGGAGGCTCGGGTGGTGGATTTTTGGGCGAGGGAATATGTGGCTTGCGATGTTCTTGGAAGCACTGGTGGTCAACGAGTCTTTGGAGAGAAGATGTGAGCCTGGCGGGGTTTTGGTGGGGCCACGGCGGCCTTATTGCCTGATCGTGTCGGAGCCTCATGTTGAATGATTATTTGTGAAGAGCAATTTTTGTTAATGACTTTTAAGAAGAAAGCAGATAGCAGGTATATCACTGACTATAGGCTGGTATTGTCTTAGTAGCACCCACTCGGATGGGCGAGATTCAAAATTTTATACCAATCGCTCACCTCAGTGATATATACAAACTGTATGGACTATTCTTTGATGTGTGGAGTTACAGGGCAGGTGCACGACATAGGTAGAGATGGGTTCCAAGAACCTAGGTAGGTAGATGCCCGAATGGAATCTACTGTGTTTGGATTTAGCAATCAACTAAAGCTCTAACTTTCTCTCCAACGTCAACCCCACGACCAGAACTCATCTCATACAACCCCCTCATCTGACCTGCTCACGGCTGTACTCCTACCCCGCTACGAGAATCACCAGGGGTGTCCCAACTCGAAATGGCCAATATACCAACACAATATTTGCCGACAGGAAATCAGTTTCAAGAATTGATCGCTAGTTCCGAGAATGACCCGGTAAGATCGAGCTATCAATCGTCTAAAGGCAATCGCTGAGAATGACCCAGAAACGATTGCAACTTGCCTATGAGATCCATAGAACCAATCGGAACAGCTTTTTCGGTAACCAAATCTGCCAGCGTGGATTCCATGAATGGAAAGAAGATACCATTCTTTCCAAAGTCCTCGAGGCAGAGAAGGGGTTGACAGACTTCGTTGATCCAAGACACAACCTTGCCTTTTGGGCGCGGCCCCCACAGCATATTCGTGAATTGGTCCACAAGATCCAGAAAATAATCGGTCCATTGATTGGACCAGGTGAGTACATATACAAAAACCGGCGTATGCAGAGAGAATACGCTGACCATGTCTCCAGGTCTCTGGATCGTCCCTCCGGATCATCTACACATGACCACGCTCGAGATCAGATCAGAACTGACAGGACCCGAGATCGACGAGGTTGCCTCTTCACTCGGACAGAGCGGGCTGGTGGAAGAATTGGCGAACTACACTCTCACTCATCGTGCCCGATTGGTGAAGCCGGTGATTAGCTATGATACTTCTGCTATTGCCCTGAGCTTTGTTCCTGCGGCCGGCGAGGAGGATCTCAATGAGTATAGTGGGAAAGATGACCAGTTCACGTATCACCATCTGCGGAGTGATCTCTATGACATCGTGACTGGATCTGGTTGCGATATTGCGGCAAGGTATACTGTTCCCTCCGCGCATATCACCATTGCTCGATTCGTTACGCCTAGTGGGCTTGAAGATGGCAAGGACTCCCCGAAAGAAGCTAGGAAGAAGGCCTTACAGCTCATTGATGAGATTGAGGAACTAAACCAAGAGCTCCGCTCTAATGTGTGGAGAAGATTGGGTGATCCGTCGCAAGGGGAATGGGTAGTTGGCCATGAGAAGGGGTTGGAATTGATGAAAGGTCGAACATGGTATGGAAAGGGCGATAGTATTGTACTTGGAGAAGGATTTGTCTAGCAGACTATCAAATATGCCATGATGATCGATAACGAACATTTCCATTGTCAAAATGCCAAGTATGCCTCAGGCATCAATATTGCGGCAATGACTCAGCACCATGCTCGGTGACTTCTCAAAGTGGTTAGCGTCCACCCGATAGGGCCTAAGCGAGTTCAATCCCACAACCCAACAACCGCACTTGCTCTCTCCGACAAGCGACAATCCAACGACCACCACCCAGCTATCCGGCCAAGTCAGTCAAAATGGTAAGGATATCATCCCCACGAGATATGTCAAAGTGTTCTGCAAGCCCCGACCATTCGAAATGCCCGAGTCGTGAAGAGATCGTGTGATTTTCTTTTCATTGTGCGGCCGACCTCGAAATCATCAAATCCGCCGCTCGTCGCAAACCACCACATCACGCACCACGCGAACGTCTGTTTTTTTCCCACCGGATTCCCGCATCTTGCAACTGGAAAGCCAACATTGAAAAGAGCTTGGATGGCGAAACATGCAATATCGACACTTGGGGACAGAATGGAGGTTTTATGATGCAGACTAGCAGGGTGCACACGACGACCCTCATGAACCTCAGGTCTTCAACCACGCACTGTCCCCATCCATGGATTTCATTATCGGATCAAAATGGCCGATCTCTTTGCGGCGGCAACAATCTCGAACTGGACACTGGGGCTTGGAACACATTTGACACTCATCTCATTGGCACAATCAGCCCACAGACAAATGCTCATGACATTTTTCCGTACAGGTCAACATTCCCAAAACCCGCCGGACGTACTGCAAGTCCAAGGACTGCCACAAGCACCAGCAGCACAAGGTCACCCAGTACAAGGCTGGCAAGGTTAGTGCCCTCGACATCGGAAGAAGCAAATCATGAGCCATTGCTGATATGATCTTTGTGATATAGGCCTCCCTCTTCGCCCAGGGTAAGCGTCGTTACGACCGGAAGCAGAGTGGTTACGGTGGTCAGACCAAGCCCGTCTTCCACAAGAAGGCCAAGACCACCAAGAAGGTCGTCCTGCGTCTCGAGTGCACTGCTTGCAAGGCCAAGAAGCAGCTCGCCCTGAAGCGCTGCAAGCACTTCGAGTTGGGGTATGTTGCACCTGCATTCTCTTTGGGTCTGCTCAGTACTAACCTATCTCTTCTTACAGTGGTGACAAGAAGACCAAGGGTGCTGCCCTCGTTTTCTAGATTGTTCAATTTCCTTGTTCGGCTTCTGGGTTTCCTGCATTGCACAAAGTGCTTCGCTGTTTGTGCGGAGCATATATGACATTGGCAATGGAAAATTGAAATAGGAATTCGTCTATTCAAAAACACCTTTCATGACCACCGGATATGAGTCGTTGAATGATCTTTCTTGTTTCACTGTAGAGCAGCTACGCTGTCACAACGTATGAGTACGCCGGTGTCTTCACCTAATTCTTTGTCGCCTTTTGCGCCACGACCTTTTGCAAAGGTTTCTTATAGTGCAGTGATGTAGAGTGGAGCACGAGGGATGTTGAACAAGCCACCGCAGTCGCACGAGCTATTCCCAGGGTCGGCGATATTCGGTAACAGCTCATGTGCCAGGAACGCACTGACATGACCAATGGATGGGAACCAAAGAGGCAGGTTGATGGTGGAGATGAACAAATGAGGGGTAAAGTGTAGGGTGGACTCACATTTCTGAACCCTTCAAGGTTGTTCTGCCTCATGTCTTCAGTCCATAGCTTCTTGGCTTTGAGAGATTGATAGGGCTGAGTCCACATGCCATTCCGTATGCCATTGAGCCCTGTTCCTTGTCCAGCAGTCTCGATTGACATTGGCATACCAAGTACAAATCTTGCAACTCGGGTCCAAAGAAGTGCCGGCAGAGTAATAGCGGAACAATCTCATTATCTCAATTACAACAGCTCCATTGAACTATGATAGATTCCAGCCTTGCCTGTGATGGATTCAGCTACCCCGGTCCTTGCCCGCCAAGGCTCCACTACTCCGCGTGGAGTTCTGGAGCACTTTCAAGAGGCTCGCAATCTCGCTGTTTCTAAACACCGAGGCTGTCTTAATCATTGGCCATTTAAGACGTTTCAAAGCCACCAGCAGCCACAGACGAACTATAAATCTTTCTGGTTCAATCTTGCGCGCTCATCGGAGTCTCACCGAGCATGCCCGCTTGTCGCGTGCAGCACGTGTTTCATCTACAGGACGTCTGCCACATTCCAACCCCCATGTCGCCACCGGGCGAACCAGACTAATCATAAGATCACAAGCCGAAGCCGTGCAAATACCCCAGAGTGCCCAGACGACTAAGCGTGGGGGTCAAGCGGCCTTGGAAACCTTAGCATGCCAAGCCGTCAGCTCGACCGGCGGTTTTCGCTTCATAGCAAACTTGATTGGATGATTAGGTATGGCAGGATGCTGAAAAGAGCAATCCCGAACTTGGGAGGGCATGAAATTGGCAGGAAGCGGGCCCTCTTGTCCCGACTGTCCATTTCTGGGGACCCCAGACCCCCGCAAATCTCTTAGATCCCGGGACTCATCCGCGTTTCGTTGGAACTGGAATGTCTTGCAAGGCTAAAAGGCCCACAAATCCTATATGGCCTCATAGCATTCTTGACTTGATTGTGGGTACCTCTCGTATCCAGGGTCTACCCCAGTCCCCCGCTTCCCCAGGAAACGTTCTCCTCTCGGTCGATCTCCGAAACAAGGGCGTCTGTGTCGTCTATTTCTTGTTCCTTGCTGTGTTACCCATCCTCGGCTCATCGGATCAACACCGGCTTGATCTGCTGCTTGAGAGCTGATTAGTATTTATACCGGGGTAGCTCCTGTTTGTACTTCCTAGTGATCGACATCATCCTTCTTCACTTTGGATTTCATAATTCACTTGATACCTCTACCGGTCATCTGATTCCTCGGAGAGGAAAGCATCTTTCAAGATGGCAATCTGGTATGCGCTAGGTATTGCGTTCTTCGCTGCCATCGGCACGTTCTTGTTTGTGAGTTGATTAGGAGCTTGCGTCGCAGGAAACATGTTCTGATGATTGACTAGGGCTTCGATACTGGCATTGCCACAACGAGTGCGTTATGTCCAAGATACCCTCCATTCGCGTTCGGACTAACAATGACTAGCGATCGCCCATCAAAGTTGGATTGATTATATGGAACATCCATCCAATGGCCTCACAGGAGCTGTACGTCCAGTCCACTCCTTCACCTCCAACTTGAGTGAACAAATCCAGAATCTGACCGTCATAGGTTGTAGCCGTGTATATTGCCGGTGAGGCAGTTGGCGCCCTAGTACAAACGTTCGTCGGCGACCGACTCGGCCGTATCCGATTCATGCAAATGATGTGTGTGATTGTAACAATCGGCACCACAATCCAAACCGCCTCCGTCAACATAGGCATGTTCCTCGCCGGCCGTGCCCTAGCCGGTCTTGCAGTAGGGTGAGCCATACATCCCAGACACCCAGCAATCCGCTTATTACCGGACCTAACATCTCATCTCATCCCAGTGGTATGGTCGGCACAGTTCCAATTTATCTCAGCGAAATCTCCGACCCTCGATACCGTGGTCTGATCGGTGGTATATCTGGCTGCGGTATCTCCTTCGGAACCATGATGTCCAACTGGGTCGGCTTTGCATGCAGCTACGCCCCCTACGGTGCTGTCCAATGGCGACTGCCGCTTGCCATTCAGATCCCCTGGGGTATTATCATGTTTATCGGTCTTGCTACTTTCATGCCCAACTCGCCGCGTCAACTAATTCGCGTTGGCAAGCCGGACCTTGCGCGCAATGAGTTTGCACGCATTCGTCGTGGAATGGTTCTTCACGAGATGGAGGAGGAGTTTGGTCTCATGAAGGCGCAGATTGAGTATGAGATGGAGCGAGAGATTACTTCTTACCGTGCCATCTTCAAGCTGTTCAGACACCGTGTTCTTGTGTGAGTTTTCTTCTTATCTGAGGAAGTGAAGGGTTTCGGGACTGACTTGGGATGTATAGGTCTATTGCTGTGCAGACTATGACCAGTTTGACCGGTGTCAACGTCATTCAATACTATCAGAGTGAGTTCTAGATGGAAGTATGTGAGTTCTGGCTAAGATGCTAATTTACATCCCAGCTATTCTATACAAGAGTCTCGGAATCGGATCTCACACGATCCTCGCTCTGGCTGCGGTCTACGGCACTTTCGCCTTCCTGTCCAACTCCATCACCACCAAGTACCTGACTGACCAGTGGGGCCGTCGCAAGTAAGTGAACACCACTATTATCTGATCCTCCATCACTGACCACCTGCAGGATGATTCTGACTGGATTGGCTGGCATTGTGCTGATTGAGATCTACGCCGCGGTGATGCAAAGATGTTTCCAGAACACCGACAACCGCGTCGGCAAGGGCTTCGCTATTCTTGGAATCTACCTATTCGTTGTCTGCTACTGTAAGGAACCTGGATTCACGGCTGTATGATTCCATCGCTAACTCGAGGTTTTTCTAGATGGTATGCTCAACAGTACCACCTGGCTTTACGGTGCCGAGGTCCTTCCAATGGCCCTCCGCAGTAAAGTGATGGGTCTTGCAGCCTCGTCTCACTTCATCGTCAACGTCGCAAGTATGTTCTGTCCTTTTATACTGGGAGAATCCATGCACGCGGTTACTAACTGTTAAACAGTCACCGAGGCTGGCCCAAGCGCTTTTGCCAAAATTCGCGAGAACTACTACTACGTCTTCGTAGGATGCTCTTTGTTCTTCCTGGTGATCGCTTACTTCTACTTCCCGTAAGTTGCTGTCGCATATTCCAATGACAAAGACAGAAAAGAGCACAGAGGCTAACGTCACTTCACAGTGAAACCAAACAAAAGACCCTTGAAGAAGTGGCTGCTGCATTCGGCGACCAGCTTGTCGACACAGACGCCAACTTCAAGCGTGCGGCCAGCGTTGTTGGAGACACACAGCACGTCGAGGAGAGTGTTGAGGTTACCAAGGCGGTCTAGGCCTATTTTGACATAACGTTTTATAATGAAGGACTGAATCTTATACTACATAGTAATGAAACGCTCTGTGGGGGATTAGCTAGACGTTCAGGTCGGCTGCAATTCCAAACTCAATTATCGACCCACGTGTTTCTCCACCTTCCCAATTGAGTTCTGTTGCATAAGTTGCATTGTAGCCACATTGTGTCGCGTCTGGTCCCCTTCTTATTGTGTTCTTGGCTTTTTGTGGCCCTAAAAGTTCTTTCTACACCTGCGACAATAGTCCTCACCGTAGCCGCTTAGCGCGGCTTCTATGTGCTTGGCATTGCGTAGTTAGATGATAGATCTACAGAAGCCTCAGAGAGAATGCACCTAGAAGAATTTGGAATGACTGAATATCAGGGGTATTTCTTTCTAGGCTGTTTTGAGTCTGTTTCCAAGACCAAATAGTTGGGAAAGTCCGATGCACAAAATAGGCAGCTGCTCGTGTATCGACCCAATTTCTGCCCATGGTTCTCCACTAGATAAGCTTGTCCTTGTCAACCGATTGCCGCGATCGGGTCCAACCGTCCAAGATGTAAAAATCTAATCTGTTCCCTTAACTTCACATCCATGGTTGCAATACTCATTATGTACTCTTCAACGGTTATCCACAACGGTCACTCCGATTCTTAGAATGGATGTTAGGTGCAATACACATTCACTGTAGGTCTACTGTGTACATCATTATATGCACTGAATGAATTTACCCAGAAAGTAGGAGTAATTAAGGCAAAGCCATCTTCGCCGCGATTGGAGGTCAAAGCGCAACCCGGATACCGATGTCGGGAGTTGAGAGTCTTGGTACGTATAACTACTTACAGGTTACTCTAAACAGTATGGTGGAGACAACTCGTAAACGATCGAGGACACAGCGTATGGGAGGAGATCATTTGCCACGTACTTATGTTCTGCATGTTTTCTTTTCTTTCTCTTTCATTTTAAATAGTGTTTCGGTTATGTCGGAAATCGGAATCCGCCAGTTGAACATCAACGTCAAAGATTCCCGAGAACCAGGAACCAGAATTAGGTCCAAAGCGAGCTAAGGAAAATTCAAGGGTCCGCACAAACAAATTGTATTCTTCAGTAGACAGATCTACATTTGACTTTTACATTGATGTACATCGAAAGGCAAAATAAAAGGTTCGTTGCATATACATAATGCTTGTAAATGGTGGAAAAACCTTGAAGCTGATCCAATTCTCCGGGTGATCGTTTACGAAGTATGGAGTATATGAATGACAATAAACAATTCCAACCGAGTTCTACACGATCCACTCCGTGCCAGTGACGTCTCCAGGCCCTGGAGCTGAAAAAGTCAATCAGAATTTTCACCTTTGAACACGTTTTTACTTGTTCTAACTACATTAGTTCTGCCACATCCAGATAGGGGAAATTGCTGTCATTGCGCATATTGTGGCTCAAGAAAATATCACTGACCGGTCACACCCAATCAAGCGCCTGTACTATTGCTGAGCTGAAGCAAGGGGGCAATGATCGACAATTTGTGTGGCTTAGAACTATGTACGAAGTTATGGAGTTAGTCTGATCGCAACCGGGAATTCGGCTCTGAGGCTCGGAGATTCTTATCGAGTCATCTCCTACCAGAGACTTCGTAGGCACAGAGTAGCCCTGACTCTATGGCACACATCTGCACTACTTCCAACACCCATGTCAAAGCTAGCAGTCCAGACATAGCGAATAAGAAACGGAGATATATGCATAGCTCCCAAACGGCAAGTCTTGGGTGATCTCAGAAAAGCTCGAAAGATTGACAGGGCCCAAGCCACAAGGATAAAGCCAACCATGGGTTGAGGACAAATACATCCCAGCAGCCATCCATGGGCTTACTGTATTCAGTTAGCCTCGAAATATACATTCTTCTAGAAGCCCAAGCCTGCATGCATCGGGCTCCCCGGGGTTCTCTGACAACGTTGTCACCTATCAGCCCTAACCATTTTTTGCTATGCATTGAACCCCCTTACCCATTTGGATCCGCATCTTGAAGACGGGGGCGAAAAAAAAACACGATGGCGCTAAGATCCTCACTCGGAGTCGGATGAACCATAGCGTGGCTGCTGGGATATGAGAAAAAGGGTTGCCTTCTCTACGCAATGGTTCAAACCTGAAACTGGAGGTGAGTATACAAAAGGAGACTCCAGTCCGCAACTTTGACCTCAATCCCAAATTGAAAACGTCACCAATCCCCCCTCGATCCAGTGGATTCACAGCTCCGCTATTTCTTCTTCATCCATGGGCCCATGACCAAAACACAGGCCACCGGTTCTTACCCACACCGTGTATCGCGGAGTCTGCCCCTGCCGAATTAGAAACTGTCCACTCAACTTGCCACTGTGCCCTTGACAATCCCTTTTCTCCATCAGTTCCTCCAACGTGGAGATCACGGTCCAGTTCTACCCCAGTGCACCTCGATCTGTCTTCCCCCATCGATGGCCTCGTCCCGGTCAACAGGCAAGCGCCTTCCCATCAGCTGCCAGGCCTGTCGATTACGAAAGATACGCTGCTCGCGCGATGGTCGACCCTGCCAGACATGTGTGCGACGGGGTCTCGGCGCCAAAGACTGCGTCTACCTCGGCCAGCCGCGACTGTCAGCCGAGCAAGGGACGTCGGGGGATAGCACCGGGCAGAACGAGTTGCTGGCGCGCATTCGTAATTTGGAAGCCATGCTCCAGAAACAGACAAACGCGCAGGCGGGCACACCGACAGGTGGTGGGGTCTCGCCATTGGGTGAGCCCAGCATAGCTGGAAGCTTCTCCGATCCTGACGTTGGGACTGGACGCGAGGCCTGGGATTCCCTCGGGCCGATGATGGATAATGTTGGAACCCTGCACACTTCGTCCTCTGGTCATGTCCGTTATGTGCCACTCGCTTCGCAGTGGGAGTCGTTGGTGGCGAAGAGCCCTGCTGCGGAGTGTTTGCGGACTGCGGATTTGGATATCGGGGAGGATGACGATGATATGCAGATTCCATTGGCGAAAAATGGGAGTATCTCCCGCGCGGAGTTGTTGACTGTCTTACCGCCTGGTCGATACTGCGATACTCTCAAGGATGTTTATTTTCAAGCCTTCTCTACAGTAAGCTACTTGGACAAGGATTGGGTGGTTGGAAGTTAGCAGTTGGCTGATGTCATATCAGGTTTTCCATATTCTCCACGACTTGACGTTCGAAGCCGAGTATCAGCATTTTCGCCATGATCCCAGCAGCGTGTCTACATCATGGCTGGCTTTGCTATTTGCGATTCTGGCTATCGCTGTAACCGCACTCGACGACGATCATCCTCTGCTATCCGACCTCGGACGAGAACGAACGGTCAGCCGAAACATCAAAGCGCTCTCAGCACGATATCGCTCGGCCGCGTTGCGGTGTCTAGCAGCCGATGGAGTGGTGTCACGACAATCGATCAATTCAATACAAGCACTTGTGCTGATAAACTACGCTCGACTCCACCGCGGTCTACCGATTTGGACGTTACTCGGATTCACACATCACGCTGCAGTATCAATGGGCTGCCATCTCGATCCAGAACGGTTCACCCTTGGACCAATTGAGCGAGAGGAGCGGCGAAGAGTCTGGGCCGGACTAATGATGCTTTACACCATACAAAACACAGCATTCGGAAGCCTCGGGCAGCAGAATTTAATGCAGGACGTGAAAATGCCCGCAGATATCGACGACGTCGACCTCCTCACCAGCCCGAGCGTCAAGAGATCAGCACCCTCGCCATCCTCCTCCCGCCCAACACAAATGACCTACCTGCTCCTGAGTTCCCGCCTGTACAGAATCTCCTCGCATATTTGCGAAACAATCTTCAGCTATTCCACTACCTCCCACCTCGAAGCGGAAATAATCTACATCCGTGAAATGGTCGACGCCCGCTACACACCCGATACAGCCGAAGCCCTACCTATTCACCACCAAGCCAACCACCACATCATCTACAGTCAGATTCATCAGCTTCTCCTCCTTCTCCTACGCCCGGTTCTCTGTCGCTACCTCCAAGGCGAGATCACGCCTGAAACTTGCAGTTCAAGAGCAAAGTGCATCACTTCCGCCAAAGCTTCACTCGGTATATTTAAAACCATGCTCGAGACACCTTCTTTCAAGCCCTACAGATGGTATACTAGCGGTCTGGGCAGTTTCCATGCATTCCACGCCGCCGTCACATTGGCCGTGATCCTGCTCATTCCAGAGGGTCAAGCCGAGTACGAAGAAATCAAAGATATCCTCGACCGGGCACTAGACATGTTCGCCTCGCTCTCAGTCCGCAGTATATTCTGCAGCAAGGCTGTTCCCGTCATTCGACAGATGATGTATGTAAAAAAGTCCCGCTCTCCCCTCCTATCCCTGCTTCAAAATCTAACAGCTCAAACCAGCGACGTCGCCTCAGCAAAGTACAACCCAGAAGCCCTCACACACTCGCAAACCCACCTCCAAGCCCAAGCACAAGCTCAAGCCCAGGTCCAGGCACAGCTCCAACAAAACCAAGCCAATATCCAGTCCCAATCTCTCTCCCACAACCACCTCCAACCAACCATTCAAACCCCGATGTCTTCAATGCCAAACATATCCCCCGTGGGCACCATGCAGGATGGCTATGTCCTTTCACAATCAGGCTCGCCTGTGCCAACCATCGCGTCGACCTCCAGCGAGCCAAGTCTGCACTCAGGCTACGGACAGGTGCATCCGCAGAGTTGGATTAGCGCTACTTCTGCGCCGTGGGATGCATACGGGCATGGCGCGGGAGGAGGGTATGGTGTTTGATCAGGGGTCCTGTCTTGTATAATTGCGGCACGATGAATGAATCTCTATCAAATTCGGCTTTGAAACCTCAGATCTCTGTGGCTGTGTTCTTGTAATGTTGCTCATGAGTCATATGAGCCACGCATACCCCTGGTCCCCTATATCACATCTGCATCAATAGAATCTGAACTATCCGATCCCAGCCCAGTCCAACCTATTTCGACACTCTTAACCCCCGGCGCCCCCGCAAACCTCCTCTGCATAACCGCCAACCCAGTCCCCTCCCGCCCATCAACCGGCGCTGCCCCCTCCATAACATGCATCCCCATAATCTTCTCATAAAACGGCACAGACCGCCTCCAATCACCGGTAAAAAGCAACGACCGCCGCAAATAAGGCATGGTCTCAATGACCTCCTTCACACAGGCTACAAGCCACGAGCCCAGGCCTAAGCCCTGGTATGAGGGGTGAACGAAGACGTCTGTTAGGTATATGAATGTGGTTGTGTCTGTGATGCAGCGGGCGAAGCCGATGAAATCAAGTCCGGCATTAGAGTCTGGCGCGCCCTTTTGGTAGAGGCCGAAACAGAGGGAGTTCTGGAGTGTTTGGTGCATTGCTTCTTCGGGCATTGGGTTTGCCCAGTAGACTTCTTCGCTGGCGAACCAGGTGTTTAAGGTGGTGGCTGGGATTATTGTCCGGTCGGTGGAGATTAGGTGTGGGCCCTTTGTCCATGTTTTGCGGAGGTTTAGGACTGTAGAGGACATCTCGGGCATTGGGCTTGATGCAATGGCTTGAATATTGTTTGCGTACGGTTTGTTGATATGCTAGTTTGTAGAGAAGAGTAGGAGGAAGATGTCGCGATCTTGGATGAAGGGGCATTCATATACGAGGTACGATACCCTGGTCAATGACTCACAGAAGAATACGAGAATTCCACCAAAGACTGGCGCCATTTGTCTGCGAGTCAAAAGGAAATATGTAAGGTCCCGTTCAATGACATGTAAATTGGTCTTTATGAGCTTCTAGCGGAGGATGTAGAGGTAAGTTCTTCATACCGAGATCGATTTGTTGATATAGCAGATGAGAATGCAAGATACACTATATACTCAGCTAAGACAAATAATGCCACTATTCATAAAAAACCAAACATCTGACCTCAATACTCTGCCTCCCCGGCGCATCAACAGGAGTCTGCGGATCCACAAAAGCAGTATGCCCAGTCCCATGAGCAATATCCGTCTTCCCCCCAGTCATAGCATGACTCCTCGAATCAAAGCACTTAAGCAACAACACCTCCTCCGGCGTCATATCCTTGACATAGTAGAACCGATGTCCTTCATTCGGAGCAATCATATAAGTCTCCCCCTTAACCTCATAGCCCTCCGTCGAAGAAATGGAAGCAGGATCAGGCGCAACCTCCCCGTTCTCCCGCCACTCCTTCGGATAAAGCAGATCAACAGCAACGAAGTCCTCGGGAACCGTACTCCGCCAATCAATCAGCGCCAACGGGAAATCCGAAGCCGGATTCTGAATCGGTCGCCACACATTGATAATCTGATACCGACCCTTCAATAATTCCTCCGCCTCGTCTTCCGGGAGATGTCGCCGGACTCGCGCCTCCGCAGCTTTCGGCGTCTGGTCGACGTGAACTAGCTGCACGGGACTGCGTGCCGAACCTGGGGTGCGGCGGCGGATGGTGTGGTCGAAGATAGTGACCTTTTTCACGCCGGGCAGCTTGGCGCGGAGAAGAGCTTCTACTTCTGCGTAGTAGGCTGATTTTACTGTTGCATCCTCGGTGAAGGTTTTCTCTGTTGCGGGGAAGTTGTATAAGGCGAAGCCGGAGGTGTCGGTTGTGAAGTCTGACTCTTGGCCGCGTAGGTTTGTGACTTTGCGTTCTCGCTCGGTGAGCTTGTAGGAGATGCCTGGGCCGTCGACTTTACCCCAGGCCTTTTTGAAAGGCTCTGTTTCTGTGGGGTCGTACGAGGCTGGATCGATGTATTTGAAGATTCCTGTTGTCATTTTGCTTTGACGGTGGATTGTGTTGATGGATGTTGAAGGGAATCCTGTATATGTTGTTGAGAGACGATGGACTTGCGGAAAGACGATGTTCAATAATCACAGCTTCACTACAAGAGGCGATTTCTGAACTAGTTATATGGACGTGGAGGATGATGTGATGTTCTAGCGAGATCCACCGATTATTAATTCGCGATTGCGAAGTGGGGTCTTATCGGAGACATTCGATCTCGGGGATTTCAAGGCCGACATATACACAGTGTTGGGTTATGATATTGCTAATCTTGCAGAATTGAGCAGCTTCCGGTGGATAAATCTAGAAAGAGTCTTGTAGAAATGATGCGAGACAAGTCGTCGTTGGACCCTTTGAAGGGGTTGGTGCCATGTCTTTCAGGCATCAATAGGGAAATCATGTGCCCACGTGACGCAGAGATCTCCACCTTCCTGTTTGGGAAGTATACAACATCTCTTGGAGTCTTGATTGTAGCCCAACATCATACTTTGGGATTGAGAAAGATAGCGCCATATTCCTTGTCTCTGTAGTATTAGCGGTTTAGCAGTTTTGGAGGCCCTTGTTTGAGAGCATTCCAGTCTAGCTCGAGTGGACACGGAGATCGAAAGAGTCAACATTGAGCCACCATGGATGCCATGCAGATAAAACGTGAATATGAGGGGAAATAGGTCTCATGACCGCCCTAAAAATGAGAAGGGTGTACCTGTGCCGTCTATGCATATCAAGGTGACAATGAACAGGCTACTACATCGCTGGACTTACCACTTCCATCCACGCTTCATAGGCCGTGTCTCAGAACTGGTTATCACCGTCTGGATCTACGCTTTATACTACCACTTTTGCCATGGCATAACTTTAGCAGTAACTTAGAGTCGTTGATCCATCGCACAAGTGACAATGCTAAAGCCAGGATGGAATCATTGACGGCGACCAAAGCCTGCAGGCTAAATAGACATAGTACAGCTTTGCTTTGATCTGATTCACGTAGGAAGACTATGTACTGTGTAGGTTTCTGGATTCTGCCAGATACTCAGGTACCTGCATATCTCAATTCTACAGCCCGGAATGTGGATACAGATAAAGATGAACATATCCATACCAGAATGTAAGTCATGTCGTTCGGAGATACCCAATCCCAAAGGCCGAGGTTCAACCTTCCCTACTAGATTTGATATCTCGATCGAGCCAACTTCACAGATGCCTGTCTCACATGTATATTCTCCAAATACCACGTCGGGGTCTAAAACACCGCAATCCAAACCACCTGAGGTCGTCGTGATGGAAGTCGTCGTGAGGTAAACACCCAATCACCACCCGCCCAGGTCGCACGGTCTCAGGAACACAGCGGATCATCTTCAAGCGAGGTCAAGCCCTGACATACAAGGTCACAATCAGATGCTACCTACAAAGTGATCGACATTGCTTGATAGCGCCGGCGCTCTATCCCGACAGTTGAAGCGCGAAAATGGAGTGGCAGCTGTCTTGTTTTGGTCCGCGATCCCGGGGAATTCCACACCGCACGGAGTGGACCGAATGAGGAGACTCCGTTGCAGACCGACATACCTCGTGCAATTAACGGATGACCTGATTTGAGCGGGGCTGTTTTTCAGTCTAGGGCCCATTCTTGATGGTCCTTCCAGCATTTGGGCTGTCTGTGCAAATGCTTGGCGTAGAAGGAGACGGTCAATGGTCAGCCACTCACCTTGATGCTTAGTGATCATTGAACCCTATTTACCAGCAGGTACATGTACCTTTCTTTGTGCATTATGCTGCTAGTGTCCGCTTGTCTCATAAACAGGTACTATGAGGTAGTCACTGTGGATACCATGCCGAGCCATGCCAATCGGGTGCTCTTCACATCTACATCGTCTCCTCCGCACAAGCGACCTCGTGATACATTTCGATTTATGAACCCCGCAACTGAATCAGGGTCGCTTCATGTACCCATGCTTCTAGATGCAACTTCATCAAACCGACATGCTCTAGAGCAACACGTGGAAGGGTATGTTGGGAAATGGATTGTCCTTCGGAATGTCGGGGTCGTTTATTTTGGCTGATTTCGAAATGTCGGGACGGCAGGATATAAAGAGACGCATCGCCCAGCAGCTGAGCGAAAGAAATATCGAGAAATCAAGCATTCTGCCCAAGATCTCAACCGGGCTCTCCCCTTGATTCACCATGAATCTGAGCGCCCTTCTTGGTCTTCTAACCCTCGCGGCGGCAGTGTCCGCTGCCCCCCAGGGGTGCACCAACCTCGGGCTCATTCATCTGATTCCATCACCAACTTGAAGGACAAGATCAAGAATGTTGTTCTTCTAGTGATGGAGAACCGTTCTGTCGACAACATTCTCGGTGGCCAGACTATCAAAGGACTAGACAATCCGATCAACAATGGTCCCTTCTGTAACCCTTACAATCTGACCGATTCTTCGGCGGGCAAGGTGTGCAGCTCCGCTAAAGACTTTGACTCCATTCTGAATGACCCTGATCATTCGGTGACGGGAAACAACATCGAGTTCTTCGGCACTTTCGCCCCCAGCAATGCCCACATTGCCCAGGGCAAGCTCACCCCCACGCAGCAGGGCTTCGTGCATGAGCAGTTGAGCCGCTATGGTGCCGATGTTGATAAGGCCTCCCTGGCCAAGCAGGTCATAAACTACTATACGGAGGATGAGGTTCCAGTCTTCACCTCGTTGGTTCAAAATTATCTGACCTTTAACCACTGGCACTCAGACCATCCTGGCGTAAGTCGAAGCTAAATTCTCTACACCGTATCTACTGCTGGCCATACTAACCTGCCACAACAGCCAACCAACCCTAACAGGGCTTACATTGTTTCTGGCACATCTGCCGGCCATGGTACCAACGATGAGGCTTTCAACCCTGACACCCACGGTCTGCAGCATCGTTCGATCTTCCAGCAGCTCTCAGAAACCAACCACACCTGGAAGAATTACTATACCAGTCCTGACATGGTCGATGCCTTCTTCTTCGACTGGACTTTCACGAGCGGCAATGACGACAAAGCCGTTCCCCTTAACGACTTCTATGCCGATGCTGCGGCCGGAACGCTCCCAGAATTCTCTTTCGTGGACCCATCCTGCTGTGGTGTGGGCACGAACTCAATGCACCCTACAGGTCTCGTCTCCGACGGCGAGACCCTTATCAAGAATGTCTATGACGCTGTGCGCTCCAGCCCACAGTGGGAAGAAACGCTCTTTATTCTCACCTTCGACGAGACAGGCGGATTCCACGACCACGTCCCGCCTCCACTGGCTACCCGACCTGACGACCTAACTTACACCGAGACCGCGCCCAACGGTGAGGAGTATACGTTCTCCTTCGACCGTCTCGGTGGTCGTCTTCCGACACTCTTGATCTCGCCGTGGATTGCAAAAGGTCAGGTTGAGCAGAAGGGAACGAACTCTGATGGTAAGGTGGTGTCTTACTCTGGTTCGTCGACTCTGCGCACGCTCGGTTACCTCTGGGACTTTGAGCCTTTCACGCCGCGGGTTGCATCGTCGCCTTCATTTGAGCATTTGCTTCAGAAGAAAGCGCGGAAGGATACCCCTGTCACTTTGCCTGAGCCTGTGGCCTTTAGAAAGGTGAATCTTCAGGATTATGTCGGGTGATTCTGACGAGGTCGTTTAGGTACATAGTGGGATTGTACAGAGGGAGTTTGACAACGAAACATGATAGTCACATGGAAGTTTGTGCCACAGAATGATTTGATTTTCTCGAATATACTACGATTGCCCTTCCACAACATAACACTTGATTCCCAATATCACTACGACTAGAGCTGAAACGGAAGCCCACTCACCTTTTAGGCTTTTCGCTGGCTACACAGAATATGCAATATGACCTCAAAGTCTGACGAGACCAATCAAGTCTAGCAAATAGACGCCACGTAGTTATTGCTTGTAGGGATACAAATCATCCTGGCGTCATCTGTAGCCTTGAAACAGAACCCCAACAGCGCTGCTTGAGGTTTAAAAGCAGCGCGTTGGGACTGCCAACTCGATACCTACGAGAATCCTACTGTGTAGTGACAAAGTCCTTGGCTCTACTCTATGGACCCTGGTCGTCTTTTCAAAAACAGAGCATGGAAGGTATCCTGATTCCTGGCGCCTACAGCAGACCAGCGAAGTCGACATCGTTTATTCTCTGTCCACACTTGATGATTCCTCTCTCAGCTCGAATAAACCACTATATAGAAGGCTATGCTGGAAGTCCTTCTCATGTAAATTTTCTATCTGGTGAGCAAAAATCTTCACCGTACCTTCGCTCTTTGTTCAAAACTCGAGCGGGGCGAAGTACTCAGCCCTCTCAAATGATCGTCGAGAGCGCCCCGCGACTAGAACACTGACGTCATCCGCGGGGCTCCTACAAAGAAACACAGACCGGGGCGCTCAAAATCTCAGTCTTTGATTGCCCGGGTGGATGAGTGATGTGATACACCGCAGGGAGTCAATAACCCCCGGTAATAGGAGGGAATAAAGTGTCTACACAGTATGATGTCAATCTCAGGCGCGTATTGGGATCCTTCGCCAAGATACTTTATCTTGCCGCCTTGCGGGCGAGATGGCAATTTTGAATGCCAACCTGGGACGACATCTTACCCGGGTAAAACTCACCAAGAGGCTCTAACTACTGTATGGCATAGGTGTGGGTCCGGATTTCACGCCCTGTGAATTGAAACTGCAGAGACTGCAGTTTTACATAGCGCTGATCTATTCATCTAGACTACTCCGTACTTACTGCGTAATATACCTGTCAACAATGCATGGTACTTGTGCGCAATACTGACTTCTGCAGTCTGTACGACATACCTTCGATGCACGGTGTACGTGTACAAATCTTGGGTTAGAGGTGCGAACCATGGGTCAGGCTGAGCCAGTCGGTCGGGACCCGTGGGTTGATACGGGAAGAACCAAACAGCTTAAGTGAACGAGCATGGAGTAAGATGGCTATGCAGCATACCATAAGAGATGTGTTCTAGGTAGTACACAGGTTCTTCTCTCAGACTCTCATTCTCTCTTGAGACACACAATACCTAATACAGTTACTCTAGGGCTGACACTTTTCTTGGCAATATTCTGATACAGCTATAGATTACATGATGAAATAAATTTCTGTATTGAGTCTGTATGGGTTGTTTCGTAACTAGAAGCTACAGATATTTTCATCTAGTTACCGTGATTTGTTTGATGTTTCATCATCTAGTGATAAAGACCATTCACCATGCAAATGTCGCAGCTCGATGGAACTTTTTGCCTTGAAACATCTCATGTGTGACCTTGTGGGGTCAACTCGAACTTCTAGAATGAAAATTCCAGCTCGTTTGCATAGCGCCCGAATCTCTTGGTCGTCTCTCGGCGCAGTGCCAAGAGACAGTGCCACTATCTTGGCTGCTTGTTCCATGCTCGTACGGTCGTACCGGAAGGTTGAGCTTCCCTCGGAAAGGGCCCACTTGATTCAAGTTGACAAAAGTTCGTATCAACTGCTCTTCGTCGGCGTAATACTACCTTCTTTTCCTTGGATAGCAATAGAGATATCAGTGTCAAGACCAGTGTGATGTGTCAGTAGATTAAGAATTGTTGTCATGTTGGTAGTTTATGGGACCTCCCGGGCCTTTGTGCTTCAAATCCCAATAGGATCGGGTCTCTGGCTGGCGTCTCCTAGGATAAGACCCTCATCGACTATACTACCATTTGCAAATGCAATCACGGATGCTCCTTGCAATACAGGGGCGCAAAGATTGGGTTGTTGTCGTTTAGGTTGGATGTGCGCAATGATTATTGGCTTGCGTGTAGAAGTTCAGTCACGTTGTCTTCGGTCGTGGTTATTGTTGGGGAAGTTTGGAGACTGCCCGTACTACCTGCCCGGAGCCGGGGTTGGCATGTTCGCATGAACCTTCACATATCGGTATCTTGACATCAGAAATCACATAATGTCAGCTTCCATCTGTATGAGAGTGAGACTGAGCAAGTAAGAGGATCGAGTCTCAACACGAGTTGTTGTACGTATTATTAGTTCATGTAAATTACAGAAAGCGCATCCATGTGATAAGGATTACAATACATTTCGATCATTGAAAACACCTAGTTACGGAGTAGATGAGACAGTGGGCAACCTTGGTTCGGGAAGGGAAGTACCACGGTAAGTCTACATCCAGGTACATCCAGTACATGCAGTAGTACCTCCTTCCAATGTCAACACGAGACAAACAATCTGAGAATCTAAGCCACGGCACTCTTGACCGTTTTGCCACAGCCCCCGGGGCAAAACAAAAGGCCAAAAGAACACAAGAGCCTCACGTGGTTGCCTTATCTTCTGTGTCTTCGCCTTTCTTGATTTGCAATCCCTTCTGCCTTTCACAATCATCTCTCAGTTCATCGCTCTCTTCGCTAGGATTGTGATCGAGTCCCTACTACAACACTGTATTCTCCACTCTGATCTCCCGAGCCCAATACAATATTGCAGATCATATTTGCGGCTGAGTGCCGACTTGCCGCACTCTGCCCTACGGCCTACCGGCTTCTTTCATCATTCTGAATCATTATTCAGCCCACTGATTTATTGGCCGGCTTGGCTTTGATTTGTTTGGCCGAGGCAGCGTTACCAATCAGGCTGGTATCATCCCCGACCAACAGTCGATCACGGCCTCTCTGCACGACCCCACTTCCCTGCCGCCCCCCTCGATTCTGTGCATTGTGCATCTTACTTTTTCTTGCCCCTCTACTTCTTACATCGTACACTATTGCATTTTTCAAGTGACTCAACACTAGTCTATCAATTCTCAACACCCTCATTGCGTCCCATGTCGTACAGTTACAGAGACCGTGAGAGAGACTGGGACGACACCCGTTCCGTCTCAATCAAGCGCTACGTCATTCCTGCTGAGGATGACCGTCGAGACTTCGTGTCGAGACATGAAGACCCATACAGCGGCGAGCGCGAGCTGGTAATCCGTCGCAAAGCCGATCGCGATGAGCCTGTGACCGTCTCGCGCTATGAGCGAGAGGTAGAGTACGATCCTCCCGTGCGCTACGAGCGAGATTATTACGATCGTGAGTACCTACACCCCTATACCAACAGTCGGCACTCCCGGTCGATGGATTTCCTGGAACGAGTGCAGCAGCGCCCTGCTGCTGCCAGCACTGCCAGTCGAGAGCAATCCATACTTATTCGTGAACGTGAAGCCCGCAATGCGTACAGTCCCCGTGATTCCGATTATGACGTCGTGCGCCGTTCCGAGGCCGACGAGGACCCATACTACTACCACCGTCGCCGTAGAGTCCACGAGTACGATGACCATCGCTCTCGGCGTGAGCCGAGCCCCGGTGATTCCGCATCCCAGGCTAGTCGCCGCCGCAGTGATCGCGACTATGACTACAGCAGCGATGACAGCACAGTCTACATTCGAAAAGAGACCCGCGAATATGATGACCACCCCCACCACCGCCGCCACCTAGCAGAAGGTGCACTGGTGGGCGCTGGTGCTGCCGAGTTATTGCGCAGACGCAGTAAGAAAGACGGCGAGCCCAGCCATGGCATCAACCGCCTTGGTAAGACCGTTGGCGCTGGTGCGCTCGGTGCAGTGGCTGTCAATGCTGCATCGCATGCTCGTGACTATTACCGCCGTAGCAAGAGCCGTCACCGTTCGCATTCCTTTGATGATGATCGTTCTTCCCACCGCCATAGCAGACATGGTCGTGGTCGCCACAGCCATAGCCGGAGCCGTAGCCGCTCTCACTCGCACTCCCGCGCAAAGACTCTGCTTGAGCTGGGTGTTGGTGCTGCCGCTGTTGCTGCCGGTGTGGCTGCATTGCGCAGCAAATCGAACAACGGAGACCGTAAAGGTCGGTCTCGCACCCGCTCCCGTTCCCGCGCTGCCAGCCGGGGTCGTTCGGAGAAAGGAGAAGATGACGAGATGGCTGAGCGCCGCAAGCATATGGCTGGGGCTGGATTGGCCGGTGCCGCCGTGGCTGGCCTTGTTGAAAAGGCCCGTAGCCGCTCCCGCGCTCGAAAGGGTGAACGCTCACGCTCTCGCAGCCGTCTCAGACAGGCTCTTCCCATAGTGAGTGCCGGCCTGGCTACTGCCGCTGCGACCGGCCTCTACGAGAAAAAGAAGGGCGAGAAAGAGGAAAAGGACGGTTCGCGAGGCCGCCTTCGCTCAAGGTCTCGCAGCCGCGCCCCATCAGCCTCCTACCCTGACCCATCTCGCGACTCAACCGGCCTAATTGAATATGGCAATGATCCCGTGACAGGCAGTATTCCCGCTGAGCACTATTACGGCCAACAGCCCGGCGCTCCCTACTACGACGGACAAGAAGCCTACGGTCCCAGACGCCACTCACGCAGCCGCAGTCGCAGCCGAGCCCGATACAGCAGCTCATCGGATTCCGGTCGTGAGGGCCACCGTCGACGAAGCAGGAAGCACCGCAGCCGCTCACGCGACCTCGCAAGTGCCGCACTAGGCGCAACAGGCCTCGGCTACGCCGCACACAAGTACAAGGAGCGCCGAAAGTCCAGAGAACGTGAACGCTCCAGTAAGTCCAGACCTTCCTAGCTTTTTATCGAGAAATATTCACCCTGACTAGTGTCGTAACCAGAGCATGACGATGACCACCACCGCGATCCGTATGAAGAATCCTATGATCCCGAGCCCTACCCGCCTTCGCCACAGGTCGCCCCGGGGCCCCCGCCCATGGCCGACCCCCACTACTACCCCAACAACCACTATTACCCCCCGCCCCCGGGCGACTCAACCACCAATCTTAACGGCCCCCCTGCACCCTACAACCCAGCCGACTACCCCCTCTCCACCTGGCGCTGCCCCGCCGCAGCCGTACGCCTACGGCGCTGCACCCCCAGGACCCGAACAGTACGCACCTCGGCCACGTGGACCCGAAGACAATGTGAGCAGCTCCACCCTACCCATTGATACAGAGCACGCGCGCAAGGGTGGGTTCGAAAAAGCACAAAACTGTGGCTCGATGATGACAAAAATAAAAGGCTAACAGCTCAATTGCTAGGTCTAAATATCCATCCTTTTCCAACATCCGTACCATCCGTACCCCGGGCAACTAGCCAGCCACCGCATAGTTCAAAATCCGTCGCTTTCGACTTGACGGATCCAGCGAAGGATCCGGGCTACGAGACTGATGATAGTGACTCGACCGTTGAGCCGCATTCGCCTTATCGCAGAGGCAAAGACCATCGCCACGGTCGAGATCGCCATCATCATCGTCGCCGTTCTTCATCTGTCCCTTATCCGCCAACGCCCCGTCCTGGTTCTGCTTTCTCGGACCGTCACCCTGCCCATGCTTCTTCTAGTCATCAGAACCACCGGCCCGAACACAGACCTCAGCAAAGAAGAGACCAGGATGGATCCCCGGAAGCAGAGTCGGATTCGACCATCGAGTTACCCAATCGTTTCGATGCTCGAGGCCGACTTCTTCCACAGCCGGATCCTGCAGTGGAGAAATTCGAGGAGTTAATCAATAGATTTACCAAGGTTTTGTTCTAGTGGTGGTTGCTGTACGATGTTGATGCCGTCCATCCCCGGTTATTTTGTTTTGTCCCGCTCATCTTGTCGAGCTGCTTCTTTTTGAGACGGATGATCCCCTTCAGTTTTTGGACTTTTCCGTTTGCCTGATTTATTGGTCTTATTTTGCCTGTTTATTTCCTTGGTATCTTATCTTTGCTGTCTTATGCTTGTTCTTCAGTTTATGACTTATGCCTGTTGCCAATGATAACGATTTTATGACCGTGAACCTATGTGTTCAGATAGCACAATTTTCATTGCCTTTACTCTTGGGACTTCAAACAAGTTTGCTTAGGCGTACTCGGCAAAGTTACCTAGAAGATAGGATTCACCAAGGGAATGTGTCTACCGGCCTTGTGCTATCCATAATTCACCCGCAGGAGGATGCACCTTATCTACAAGTATCCTAGTTAAGACATGAGCTAACTTAACTAACTAGTTATAGTTAAATGTTGGAAGACCGAGAGCTAATGACCGAACGAGCTTCGGCAGGCATGCCATACAATAGATATGTTACAAGGTCGATTCGGAGACCACGAGAAGATAGTATGAATACATTGTGCTAGTAAAAGCACACTGGAAAAAAGAAGAAACAACATTGAGCCAAACATTGTAGGAAAATGTGGCGGACTGCCGTGTCAAGATTGGATGTAACGCAGTAACAGAATAGCCACTCCCAATCCAAGGGAAAATATTGAACAATAGAAGGTCGTATCGAAGATCACATTTTTGAGAATACAAGTGAGAAGATGACAAAGAAAAGATTGAAGGGCGAAACGGAGTTGATCCGTGATAGGACTTGCTGAGAGAGCTTGAAAAAAAGACATTGCAAATGGGTATACCGCGGTAAGAAGTCTCAAGGCAGAAGAAAATAGGGTCCATCCTGCACATCCGTAGTGTGCAGGATTCGACACCGATTCGTGGGATCTTTGCTTTTCCTCTCATTGCAAGGTTGATAAGAGTGTAAATGGAAGGAAGATAAAGAAACAGGGGCTGTCGTAAGTCAATAATGTCTAGATTTGTTAGGCCGTAAAGGGTCGTCTCGAAGCCTCCGAGCTAGGCCCGGTGGAACGAGTGTCAAGGAGTGGAAGGCGATCAGAAGGCCGCCTCAGATCAATTCGCACTGTCTCGTTGCTTGGAGGTGTTGAAGGTGTTTGTTCCGGACCATTCTCCTCCCCCGGAACTATCTTTATGGTGGAGATGACAGAGGCAGAGAGATAGCGAGAGCTGAGTGGAAGTTGGTATTTGATGATGCCGCGGACAGTCAATTCAAATGGGTGTTCAAGAACGCGCTCCCAGCGCTCGGTCCCCCCTGCCTCAGTCTTGTTGCCTGGCCGGGACAGACGAATCTGTCCCTTGGAGCTTGATGTGAGATGGTTCCAAGGGGAGGATTCGAAAGAAAGTGGAGAATCAAAGTGGAATACGCGGCCAAGTAACATCGATCGCGGATCGCCTTCTGGGTCGGTTGGAGGATCGGTGCCCTCGTCAACTCCATCAGTGGCGTGCAGGTCAGACTCGCTTGGAGCCGAGTTCTCCATACAGTCAGCATTTCCCAGGCACCGCACGGCCCGCGACAACTGCCAGCGACGTCGACTCTGCTCGATGCGTGGGAAATGATCCAGGTCACCATGCTCGCGCCAAAACTTGTCGCTTCCGACAAATCGGCTTTTCGCGAAGATGTTGAGATCAGTCTCATCAATGGTCACGGGAAAAAGGTTCGGATTGACGGCTTGCACGTTCAGGTCCAGCATGATTTCCTGTTCCGACGCAAGTACGTTCTGGATCGCAATGGCCTGCACGTCGAGAAGGGGCTGAGTTGCAGCAATGATGAATGTGGTAGCACCAGCTGCGACAACCGACACGAGTAGGACGATCACAGCGCATGAGCCAAATCGGGAGAAGAGCCCACGGTGCCGTTGTGCCATGTACTCCATCTGTCGTAAGCTTGCACTGTTGGGTCGGCGGCCATGGCGACTGTACATTGAACGTGGCGTGCCGACCAACGGGGTACGTTCGTCATCTGCACCCTCCGCTTCGAAATCATAGGGATGCTCGCCGCCCTTCCTAACACCGCTGATGGTCCTATAGTCGGGAGATGAACGAGAATTTATGTAACGCGAATGCCGATACGTATTGTTGAGGAATTGGCGTGGAGACTTCTGGAATTGGGGGTGTGTGAACGTGGAGTCGCTATCAAGATGGCTCGACGTACGTCCGTGACGACCAACATGGTGATGCCGGGGGGTGATAGTTCCGTTGCCATCAGTCCTGGTAGATCGCGAAGCTCCCTCGGATTCAAAAGTCTCGCTATCTGGGCCGTTGTTGTTGGTGAACTTCATGCTGCGTTTGACTGACAAAGCATGGGAAGCATCCCGTGCTTTGCGGGTGCGGCCAGCCAGCTGGTCCACTTGACTCGCCATCGATGTCGCACTGGGGGTCCGAGAATGATACCGTTGGTGTCGGGCAGGATATGGATCAGGCGGATTCGAATCATAGACGAAAGTCTCGTCGGAATCCGAAACATCAGCCTCGTCCACTGCGTTGGCCACCCTAGCCTCGAAGATGTCTGCCTTGCTTGTTACGGGGCCAGATGCAATGGTACTCGGTCGATGAGGCTTTTTCTTTGTCTTGCGCGGACGTATAGTCTCGTTGGAAGCTTTGCCGCGAAGTGTCCCCTGTTCGGAGCGGGCTACGCTGCCTCGATCCCCATTTCCCACTCCCATGGAGACCTGCGGTATCGAACTGACGGTCTCTGTTTCCACAATCATGTTGCGAACCGAGCCGTCGGCAGGCTTTCCACGAGCGCCAGCACTAAGGGATGTTGTTGATCGTTGTGGCATGAGGGCTTTGGGGGTCTTGGATCCAGACGCTTGTGGACGAGCCTCTTCCTTTGGCTCCGCGCTTCGATTCTCGCCACTGTCACTGCCGCTGCCTGTGTTTGGGTGAGTAGTGGCAGCACGTGGAGTCTGATCTTCCTCTATCCGCTGTAGTCGTGACTCCACTGGAGTCATCGGCTTGGCAGGGCTCTCACTACACGGTGTGGTGGGATTGCTCGCCAACTCTTCAACCGTCTCCAAGGAGAACCCCTGCCCACTGACACCCCTACCGGCCGTTCGAGTTGTACTTCGGTCTGACTTTGGTGTAATGTCCTCCAACGGTAATGAAGATCTCTTCTGTGAAGTATTGGGGAGTGTTGAATCCAGATCTGTGCGACGGTCCGTAGCCCATGGTACCATGTTGGATGTTTCTGGACCGGAAACATTGGCTTGCGAGTCGACAGGGGCGGAGAGGACGAGAGGTTTGACGGGAGATGAGGAGGAGCGTTGGTGGTTCGGAGTTGATGAGTTTGAAATTGGGTCAGATGTAATGCCGTTGGAATGTCTGGTTGGAACGGATCGGTCTTGACTAGCCTTCCGGGATTGTGAAGATACTCGGCTCGTGGAGGAGGAATTGAGAGCACGCGAGGATAATCGGACCGGAGAGGGTTCGCGTGAGGAAACGGCAGAATTCGTGGCAGACGCAGGTGTTGAAGCGGCGGTACGAATATTGGGGGAAAGATTAGGAATCTGTGACATAGGCTGAGTTTGGGACTTAATGATGGACTGTTCGGTTATGCCATTTTCGCTGGCCGACCGTGACACTGGGTCTGACGCTGCCTCTGCATCCTTGGGCCCTCTGGATCGAACAGAGGCACCGTTGATGTGAGGCGGCCTCTCTGACTCTGCAGCCATGGCCCTGTCGAGTCAAAATTGACTGACACGACGTAGACCAGTCAGGAGACCCCAGAGATAGTCAGGTAGTTGGGCAGACACAGGCCCCAAGGGTAAGCAGAACAAGCAAGGCACGAGGCCCAGACAGGGAAAGCTCGTCGGCGAAGAAGTGTGTTGTCGATTGGTAAGAGCGAATGAGAAGAGACGAACAAGTGTCGATAATGTAACGAGATGTTGCGCAGAATAGTTACGAGTCGTTACACACGTGAGGATACGGCAGGACGAATAGCCGAAGACCACATGCTGTTTTCCGGAAAATGGGGTTTTCTGAACGGAGTAGAGAAATGCACGACGGAGGAGGCCGCAGCAGGTGCAGGGGTGGTTGTGGAAACTGGGGAGATATGGAGACGTCGTTTAGAACAAGTGGACCGGTCAGGGAAGTGTAAAGAACAGACACATCACGGTGCCGTTGTGCTTTGTTCCCGAAGATTGAAAACAGGGCCTAGAACGAAGGAAAGAATATGAGAGGATGTGGTTGGCGGAGTTAGGGATGGGGATCGCCGATCCGGCTCAACGTTTTGGCTTGACTTGTTTTAAGTCGTTAACCTGGGCTGCCAAATGGCGCACAGAAGGTCGGTGACCGAAACCTCGGTGAGAAAAGTGGCTGAGAGGGTCAGGTTTCGTGGCAGAGGCCAATGATTGCGGCCCACGTCAAGAAGGGGGAGGCCCTCGCACTGCAGGGAACGCCGTTCTAGAATCTGTAAATGTGGGGTGGGATTGTAAACAATCCGTAGAATAATGAATGTAGACAACAGAGAGATGATGAAAGAGCAGAAACTTGGAAGACTCTCAAGAAGCGCAGAAGGACAGGATAAGATGAAGTCACTGGGAGGTTTAAATTTCTGGGGTTGAATGACAGGGTGGTGACGCGGGTAACAGTAATTATTGGTAATAAAACGTGCAGACTGCAGGGAATAATTAATTACCGATGTAAGGGAAATACAATGATCTCTTCCACTCTGTTTACACTTCATCCATTATCAAAGATATTCACACTAGAAGTAGACTATTCTTTTCTCATTGAGCCCAGCGTCCGTGTTCCTGGCAGAATGACATTATGACAATGAATCTATTAGAACGCCACCAGTCTTAGCCTACATGTCATCAGCAAGGTATGTTCAAGTAGCAGAAAGTGATTGGTTCAATAGGTCAAATAAACAAGTAAAGTGAATGAATACGCTTCAGGGAGCAGCCAATACTAATATACAATTCTATCGGAGCCAATATGTGTACCTAAATAACCTCCCAAATGCAACAAGCCAGACATGATTGATATGTTTGATGGAGGTAGGATCGAGAGATTCACCAGGAATAGAGGTCAAAAGCAATAAAACTCCGACTCGATTTAACCAAGGAGAGCACCGAACCCCAGGGTATCTATTCATCTAGTGAAGAAGTATCACACAAGATTGGGAACACATGATTTCCATCTATACAATCTTGTAGACGCGCTTGGCAATCAAAACCGAGACAGCGGCAAATACAAACAGTCCGGCGGTGACTAGAATGATGTATTAGCAATAAATCCAGGAAGGAGGGAAAAGGGGAAAGAAACAAGGAAAACATACTGCACCAGAACCAGGTCAGGCTATCGACCTCTTGACCAGGTACTTTGACGTTCATCCCCCACATGCCGCATATAATGTTCATCGGTAGTACGATTGTACCAAGAACAGTCAGCTTACCCAGGACATCGGCAGTATGTTCCTGGCGCTCATTCATGAGAATGTTGATCTGTGCGAGGTAGTTGGAATGGGCACGCGACAGGATTCTAAAAGATACCGTCAGCGATCTGCGCTCGTAAGCAAGCCTTGGGATTCTGTGTAGAACTCACGTTTCATAGTGCGTCAAGTTGCCCGTCATCGTCATAATGTGGTCTTGAATGTCACCCAGATACAGACCAATCTCTGACTTGGGTGCGACCTCCCACTGCTCATTACAACGCTTGGCAAAACCCTTGACTACGTCGGCCTTGTTGCTGAGCAGTCGGTAGAGTCCCATGACCTTTTTGCGGCATTCTCCCACTCGCCGCAGCATCTCTCCCGGGCCAAATGTGGGAGGCACATCGCCATTAGGCGCCCCCTCCTTGCTGGAGTGCATCTGCATGATCATCTCATCAATCTCGTCGACCTCGTCTTCAATCGCTTGAATCAGCGGGCCGAAGACGTCGGTAATGTCATCAATCAAGGCGTACGAGATCCAGTCCGAGCTCAAGATCAGGTAATCCATCAGTTGGCGGATACGCCGTCGTACGTTAGCTGGGTGAGGGGTTTGCGAGAAGTGGAAGGATATGACGCCTTCGCGGAAAACTACCACATACATGTTTACTGGCTCGAGGTAGTTTTCGCTATTGATGTCCTGCTCGAAAGTGCGGTAGTTGACAAAATAGTAGCTGCGGAACAACTCGACCTTTTCTCGAGCTTCTTGCATCATGATGTCCTCTGCCGTGAGCGCATGAATTCCGAACGTTTTGGAAATGGCACGCATTTCTGCATCTGTCGGAGAAAGGACGTCAAGCCAGAAGGTGGGCCGCGGACCGTACCTTTTAGGCTTGGATCGTGGGGTTTGGTTTGGAGGTGTGTTTGAATGTGAAGGCGAGGGTTCCCGATGAGAATCTGGACGTCCTTCACTGATGGCAGATAGACGCGACGCGCCTTTGATAGGAGGAATGGTGTGCGAGATAAGGTCGTTCGTAGTCATTCCATGAGGAATAACGGGTTGTGTAGCGATATTGGGATTGGCCTGCATGCCTTGGCTGTCGGGGTGATATACTGATTTGCTTGCGGGATGGGTTGAGGCGTTGAAAGGTGGATTATCCATGAACGCCTCCTCCTCACCATCCTCATCGTCTGAGGAATCCTCCAATTCGGGAGGGTCCGGTATGAACAAATCGCGGAAGCTTCCTCCTGGCTGTACCAGCTCAGAAATACTCTGGGCATGGATTGTGCTGGGGAACTCCTCGTTGAAATAGGTGAATCGATAAGGTGCCTCTTCTTCTTCGCGCCGCCAAGTTTTGTATTGAGGACGTAATCGACCTTCAATGAGCACAGGTTCACTGATCTTTTTGACGCGGTAATCTCCGTTGCGCTCCTCTTTTTCCTCCCGGCTCCATTCTTCCAGAGCTGACAGATCAGGCCATCGCCGATGTCTACGTCGGCGACGTTCACCGGCTTCATCTCGCATCTGCCTCGGTCCCTCGTCTCCCATTTCGGATGGGGTTTCATTAGGGAAGCACACGTCGCCTTCTGCCGGTATTGCCACGGTGCGACGTCGCCGCAGTTCTTGTTGCGGGGAGAGCAAAGGCGATCCAGGAGTAGTAGATGGGGCAGAATGGGGATGCGCCCCAGTTCCGTCCACGTCAATCAGCGCATCATTGACAGCGTTCAGGGAGTCCTTGCGAGTATCCATTGACCGGGATAGCGGGAAGTCCCAACCGGCACCAGTCACCATAGCGTCCTCATATTTCTCCGGGCCCAATTTTGGCGACCCGGGCACAGAGGGCGGGTTGTTGACATCGTGACCTCGGTCTGTAGTAGGAGAATAAAGCGGACTGCGATTATCCTTTGGTGAGTACCCAGAGGAACCAGTTTGAACCGAGGGCCGTCGAGGCCGAGATGAGAAGAGATTAGAGCGAGCGTCTGTCCCATACCGAGTATGACTGGGTGTATGGCCCAATGTCGGCCGCATCAGCGGTGTGCGATCATTGGCCTCCTCTTCCTCGCTATCGCCATTGTGATGCTGCTGGTCTCGTCCTCCTCTAGGAGTACCGCCATTCTGTCCGTCGTTCGACCGGTAAGCGTTGGAGATGAGAGAGGTCGGGCGGAATGACGAGGCGAGGCGACTGTCACGGCGAGGTCGCATGAGAGGTTGGTCTCTGTTCGACGAAGCAAAATTAGCACGTATTGCGAGATCTTAATCGACTTCAAACTAAGAGATCTTACCGATGATCCAGTAACGCATCGCTCTCAAAGCTTGTATTACTTAGATTGCGCCCCAGTGTGAAGTACGACGGGTTGTCCCTTGAGGGTGGCCGATCGGCCTCCATTGAATCTCTGACACCTCCAGCACCCGTGTTATCTTCAGAGAGATCATGAGGGTCCTCCGGATCAGGCGTAAGAAAAGACTGATGTCGATTGCGACGTTTGCGGTTACGGTTCTTCTTCTTTTTAGAGGATTTTGAGGGTTTGCCAGCTGCGTTATCGGCGGGGGAATGGAAGCGGGTCTCGCTGGCTGTAGGCTCGGAGGCGGAGGCCGGGCCAGTCTCTGTGGCCCGACCACCACTCATTGGGCCATAGCTAGCGTTATTATCGGTAGAAAGTGGGTAACCGCTGTGTGGGGGACGTTTTCTTGAGCTGGACGACTGCGCGGAACGAGGCGGTCGAGGAGTCGCCATGCTAGATGTCGGTGTCAAAGACGGATCAATTGTGACAGCCTCGATGCTTGGGTCACGATGAATTGGGGTCTTTCGGTGCGGAGCAACCGTAGTGAGGTGAGAACGAGATTTCAGCAGCTCATCGGCCAATGGAGTCAGGCCAACGCGAACAAGGTCCTGGATCACAGGATAACACTCGCGGCATGTATGATTCTCGGCTTTCCACGCGATCTGACTAGCGCTGTTGGTCACGGGAGAAGGTTGGCATGGTTAACAGCGCATTCACTACCCAGGTACCACGAGGGGAGCTGCAGGTTAGGTCGGGGTCCGATTCGGGGCTCGGGAATGACGCGGGTGGCAAATCACAGTGGAAGATTAAGCCAGGCGCGTCACGAAACTAGGTGTCTGTGACTGTTCAATGTTCGACTAAAGAAGAGGGAAATATTTGCGTAGAAGGAAGAACTTAAGAAGATATATGCTATCTTTACAAAGACAGCGCTGGGAGATTCTGACTGCTGCGCCCATGGGAAAAGGCCTCGGTCGGTTTCCTCGGAATGGATGAGGTCAGCATCACTATGAATTCCGTCCACTGTGAGCTACCCTACGGCCTACACGTACCTACAGCAGGGAAAGGCTTGGAGTACACTGGATGTAAGTATCATGTAAGTCTCGAGGACTACAACGTAGACGAAAGAGTAGAAATAATATAAAATGAATTATTATACTGCCATGTCAAAATACAGGTCATCACTCATAAGACATCAAAGGCATGCTAAGCACATTGTCTTAAGGAAACACATAAAGAAATCAGATAACAAAATGAAAAAAAAGCAGATAACTCCACATGTTCACGGCCATCGATTTTGCAATGACCGCTACTTTTCATTACCCGGACGCCATCTCACCAAGTGGCGAGAGAAGAAAGCAAGAAGCTCAGATAGGAGCAAGGATGCAAGGAACTAGCATGTATAGATGGGAACAATCATGATCGGAGTGTGACGCCTCAGATAACATTGCTCATGTCCATCATAGATGACGGTGCCACGCTGTGAGCCACACTGTGGACAGACTTGCTGGCATCGATGGACATGCGGTCGCCGCTCAACATCCTTGATATCTTCTTGTCTTTGTTGGGGCGAGCAATAAGAACTTGAGCGGGGCAGACGACCTCTTCGTCGTCGCCCTCGCCCACGTCATTGCCCTTTTTGACGACGAGGGGGAAGAGCACAATGCGCACAATGGATTGTTGGGCTTCGAGCTCGGTATTGTCGGTGGTCAAGCCACTGCGCTCGTTCATCAGGGCTGCATTGAAGTACACCTGGCGTGCGAGGTCGCCGTTGGTATCGTATTCGGGTTGCAGCGGCGGAAGCATGATGAATTCGGCCAATTGTGTGCGCATCTCCAGGGAAAGGTTGACTGCCACCCGCATGATCTTGCGGAGGTTATCCAGGAGCTGGGATTCAACGTGAGATGGAGGGGGAGGACGCGCGATAGGGTCTGGAAGATCTCCAGACTGACAGCCTCCGTGTCGCTCTCCCGTTGCGCAGCAAAGGCTGGTCGCCGGGACAGCAGTGTGAGAGTAGTGGCTCGCCAGCGATGCACAGCACGGGGCGGGCCCACCTCGCTCAATTGTTTTTCGAGGGATTTGAGCTTTTGGCGCTGCTCCCGGTCCATGCCGAAAAGATAGCGAGTGAAGATATATTCCCAGACCATCGTCATGACCACCGACATGAAGACATCGCGGCGACCGACTCGATCAGAGAGATAGGCATCGGGATCGGAACCATCGAGAAGAGCGTTGTCGAAACGGTCCGCGATCTTCTCGTCTTGTAGGTCACTGAGTGGGCGGCAGCGACGTTTATCACTGTGCTTGGAGAAGCGCACCACCCATGATTGAACATGGCCACACAGCTTCTGGCAGGCAGCATGGAAGTACTCTTCATCGCGGAAGACAAGCGCATTGTCGTGTACGGAGGCAGCAATTTGTTGTTGCAGCTCCTTTACCTTGTCCCGAGCCTCCTCAAGCTCAGTGCGCAGGCGGCGCAATTCGATATCTTTTTGCTCAAGAGCTGACCCGATCTCTTGTCGAACTCGATCCTCCAGTTGTGAGGTGAGTTCGAATTGTTGTGATTGTATATCGGCAAGTTTGCGTGTGGATGACTCCATTTCGGCTGCGTGGGCGGCGGCCAGGGAGGCATTGGACGCCGTAATCGCTTCGTTCTCTTGAGTGAGACGAGACGTTTCCTTCTGCAGCCATTCAATCGAGCTCTTCAGTTGTTCCACCTCTGATTCTCTATCGCGCAAATCGACGTCGCGGGTGTTTAGGGCGCGGTCACTCTTGCGACGAGCGACGCTGGTACTCCGAAGTTTTTCTTCGGCTTCATCGCGAGCGGCGATAAGTAGGCGGTTCTCGGAAATGAGCTGGTCGAGGCGGGTCTCGATCTCTTGCAAGTGTTGCATGCTGCGACGGCGGCGGACACTAGGCGGTCGGCTGGGCGACCGTGGGGAGCTGGGCGTCTCACCCCATCCCTCCTGCAGAAGTTAGTAAACAAAACAACAACAATCGCAATTAGAAACAAAATTAGGAATCAATAACTTACATAGACATCCGACATGTTACGCACCGGACGTTTGCCCTTGTCGGTGACGGGGTCGTAAGAGGAAGAAGACGAGAGCTGATCGAGATCGAGATTCGAAGGCTGGGGAGAGTCTAGCGCTCGACTAGCCGCCCGCAGATCGCCACTAACACTGCGGTTCGTGCGACGTAATTTTCCGCTGCTGGTGCTGGGTTTCAAGATGGGCATCCCTTGCTCGGGAGTTTTTAAAATACCATGTTGAGATCCGCTGGAGCTTTTTGATCGCTCAGTGGGCCAGGCTTCTCGATCAAACGCATTGTCCGTGAATTTCCGAACAGGTGTCTGAGGTCGAGGTAGAACATGCTCAGGCTTCATCTCCAGGCGGGGCGTCCCGCGCCGAGCCACGGTCGCTCCTTGGTCATCCCGTGGATCCTGCTCCGCAATTGTATCAAGCGGAGTCCGGGGTCGAACATAATCATCTCCAGCTGGTCCTCCGAAGAGCGACCGAGGGGGAGACGGAGCATGGAGAGCTTGTAGAGATGGTTCGTCTAAGCTCCATGTTCTGGGTGTCTGCTGGTGCCGGCCGTGGATTGACGGTGACCGACGTAGTTCGCACAACTCTTGTCCAGCTTCCGCCTGGGGTAGAAATCGTGTAGGAGAAGAAGGTTCCTCAGAGCGGCTAGACGGTGAGGGATTGGAAATCTGTAGTGTGTTCTCTTTGGGAGTTTTCATTTGCAATGAGAACGGGGAGTCCAGAGATCTTTCGCCATGCGCCGGACGCTCTGGCTCTCGGGTTGATTCATCCTCTGCAGCAGGAGTTCCTGAGTGAGCTTCCAGCTCCGAGATTGTAGACTCAATCTGTCTCTCAAGACCACTGGGCAGCTCATGTGTAGAAATATCGGCAACCTCATTGGGTTGGGTGGTCGCTAGAGGTGCTTCCAAGACAGGGATCGCGATATCGCGATTTGCTTCCAGGTCCGCTGTTGTCTCTTCCTCAGCACTATCTTTTAGCGACGGTGTTTTCTTTTCCAAAGCCGATCGCCGGAATCCTCCACGCTCAAGGCCGGGAAACAGATTGGCAATTTTAGTTCCACCGGGTGTAGTTGTCCGAGCGGGCGGCTCGATTTCCTTGTCGTCGAAAGCCTCCTGTGATGACTCTGCAACCTCCAGAGCTGTTTGCTGTGCTGCCTTCTTGTTCTTCCGGGCTTTCTTGTCTTTCTTGCTCGCTGGCAAGGCCCAGATGTCTTTCTCGGAAGCTTCCTTCGGCTCCTGCCAGCTATCTTGCAAGGCTTCAGGAATTGAAGATTCATCAAACTCTCCAATAATCTCCGGATCTGGTGCTGCAATTGCCGGCTCAGGCTCCGGATCAATCTCTCTCAACCGCTGGGACTCTTCAAATTTTGCTTGCTCCCAGTCAATTGCAGGCCAGTCCTCTTCACCAGGAACTGCCTTATCGATTGGGACCTCCGCATCTGGCGCCTTGGATTGGTCTTCCTCGAAGGGCGCGATAATAGCTTGGTGATCATGATCGAGCGTAGTCTGAGCTGGTGGTTCGGTCTCCAGAGATTGGGCTGTCTTTTTGGCTTTCTTTCCCTTCTTCTTTGAAGCTTTACGAGAAAGAGAAGGCTCGTCGTCGGCGACAGGTTCATCGATTTGGATAGGCTTAGTTTCAGTCTCTGCCTCGAGTGTAGATTGGTCCGCAACTGGGTTGGGAGCTTCAGTTGTCAGCTCTCGCTCCGTAGTTGGTTGAGCCGCTGCGGCATGTTCGAAGTCGCTGGGAGCTTCAGATTCAGTGGGAACCTCATCCAGGGCAACTTTGGGCTCTGCCTCTTGCTGAATTAGATCCTCCTCGGTGGTGCCGGCAATCTTCTTGGCCTTGCGCTTTTCCTTCTTTGACATTTTCTTGGACAAAGCCGGCATCAACACAGGTTCACCAGGTTGTTCCCCACATAGCTCTTTAGCAACACTAGCTTGGGCTTCGTGTTGCTCATCTTTGGGCCCATGAGTTGATTCCTCTGTTTCGGGCGTGTTGAAAGAAGCCAGAGCTTCATCTTTCTGGCTCTCCAAACGTTGATTGTCTTCCGAAACGATGTTGGAATCCTCGAAGACTGGTGTCTTAGTGATTTCTTGCTCCAACTGAGGAGCCTCGTCTGAAATAGACACGGGCCCAGGGATAATCTCATCAGGAGTTGCCTTTGGCTCTTGAGCGAGTTCATCAATGCTCCTTTCCGCCTCTGACAGACGAACATCGTTCAGTTCTGAAGTCTGCAGCTCTTCAACAATGGGTGGTTCGACCACTCCCTCTGGCGCGCGAGGAATGATATCAGACAGGTTTGGCATTGGTTGTGACTCGGCCAGCTTTTCTTCTTCGAGGACAGCGGCAGCAGCGGCGGCCGCAGCCTTCTTTTTCTCTTTCTTGCTCAACTTCTTGGGGGCTGGTGGCACTTCCTCGTGGGCAACGGGGGCCTCAGATGAAGCTTGCTCGGTTGGCTTCTCGTCTTCTGTCTCCACCGGCTTCTCATCTGTAGATAGAAGCTCAGGCAAAGGCCGTTCGCTTTCAGGCTCCTGACTTGGTATGGGGTCTTTAATGGACTCCTGCGGAATATCAGCTGGTTGCTCTACAGACGTCTCTGCGATGGTACTCACATCATCTTGTAGCTTCTCCTCGACCGGCGCAGCCTTTGGGGAAGCATCGGCGACAGATACATCTGCAGCCTCGGGTACTGGCTGTTCCTCTGGTCGTGACTTCACTTCGGGCTCTTCAGCAGGAGGACCAGGCTGGGCTTGAACGTCAACTGCATCTCTCTCTTGTGTGTCCTCGGTCGTCTGGACGGTAGCAGTCTCGATATCTTTTGACTGATCTGCTGGCTGCTCCTCGAGCACTGCCGCAGGCTCGGCCTCAATGGTAGGCTCAGCTGCTGTTTCCTTCTCTTGTTTTTCTGTCTTTTTCTTGTTTTTCTTCTTCTGTTTCTTCGAGACAGCCGTCTCAGAAGCCTCCTCCACTTGAGACTCTGGTGTCTGTACCTCAGGGACAACATCACCCGGCACATCCACAGGCTTCTCCTCAATCTCATGCTCCACGGAGGGATCACCTGCTTCCGGCACAGATGACTCCTCCACACCAATCCCCCCTCACCAACAGCCTTCACCTCGTCAAGAGGCGCAGACTCAACCAACTCATTCTCTGGCTCTTGTGCAGCGGGAATGACATCATCCTGCTGCTGAGCATTTACCTCCTCCAACTCGCCGGAATTGACTGAACGCTCAAGCACGGGCTGGGGAGGATAATCTAAAAAAGGACTCTGACTCTCTATCGGGGTCTGCTCTACCTGGGAAGACATCAAATCATCAGTCGAGGCCGGATCTTGCGCCGCCGGGGCGTCGTAGCTTTGTGTGTCGTGGGACTGATGTTCTTTACCGTCATGTTCAGCAGGCGAGATGGCCGTTGTGGCTGGGAGTCCGGGGATGTCTGTCTCCTTAGTGAGAACCTTTTCGACACTGTCGGCCGCATCAGTGGGTGTGGCGGCATCGTTATCGGCGTCGACGTTCTTGGACTGGCGTTTCTTCGCTTTTTTGGCGGCTTTGCGTCGCTCCTTTGCTGACATGCCAGGCTCTTCGGTCGGTTCGGCGGGCTCTGAGGCAGCTTCTGCTTCCTTCGAAGGGCCCTGCTCAGATTGGACAGTCGTCTCGGTGGCTGGAGCTCCGCTATCGATCTCTTTGCTTTCCGCAGCTTCTTCCTTCAGATCATTGTCCAACACAGCTTCTGTTGATTCAGCCTCCTCGACCTTGACGGTGTCAGCATCGAGGACGGGTTTCTCCTCGGGGGCATCTGGTGCGCTCATGGGTTCAGAAGTAGGGGTTTCTTGCACCTCGGAGACTTCAATTGGAACATCGGCAGGTGCTGGGGCAGAAGGCTCGGACTCTTGCGGAGACTCGGTAGCGACAGGAGCGTCAGCGGCCAAGTCCACAGACTTGCCCTTCTTCTTGTTCTTCTTTGCTTTGCGACGCTCCTTAGCTGTCATGCCCGCCTCGGCCTGAGTTTCATCTTGTGACTGGGATTCTGAGGGAATATGGGTGTCTTGCTCAGGCTGTGCTGGAGGGTCCACTGCAGAGGTGGGTTCCTCGACTTGAGTGGTTTGGAGGGCATCTGATAGAGCCGCTGCGTCTGGCTCCTGCTCCATAATGGCTGCTGGTTGTTCGGAGGGCGCGGTCTGTTCTACTATCTCGGAAACCTCCTTTTCGGCGGCAGGCTCGACAAATTCCTCGGTCACGGGCAGCTCCTTGGTGGATTCTTCAGTTGCAACTAAGTCAGCCGGAGCATCAATCTGAGGGGCAGGTGAATCTTGCTCCGGCTTTGGCTCTTCAGCTGAAGGAGTGGCATCGTCCTCAAAAGCGACCGATTTGCGCTGCTTTTTCTTGTCTTTCTTGGCTTTTCGTTTCTGAGCAGGAGTCATTGCCTCCTCCACGGCAGCCTCGGTGGCAGCAGCATCAGCAGGGGCATCAGCATTGACAGTCTCCTGGATGGGCTCCTCTGTCACAGCAGCATCGGCAGGGGCATCCTGCTGAGTTACCTCCTCTAGGGAAGGTTCTTCTGCCTTTGGTGGTTCTTCTGTCACAGCAGAAGCCTCCACTTCTTTGTTGACAGTGGACTGCTCGGCTGACGGAGGCTCAGTGGATGCCTTCTCGGCGAGTACAACTGTAGAATCTTCTTCCGTAGGTATAAGCTTCGACTCCTCGGCAGGCACGGGCGGTTCTTCAATCGCAAGTGATTGTCGCTTCTTCTTATCTTTCTTGGCCTTGCGTTTCTGTGCAGGAGTCATTGCCGCCTCTTCGGTAGCTGCCGCCTCTTCCGTAGCCTCGGCGGCAGCTGCATCCGCAAGGGCATCAGTGTGAGCAGCCTCCTGAATGGGCTCCTCTGGGGCGGACTCCTCTTCCCTTGGGAGTTTCTCTGTCATGGCAGGAACTTCCATGTCTTTGTCGAGGGCAGGCTGCTCAGCTTGCTCAGCGGACGAGGGGACAGTAGACTCAATGCCCTCCCGTTCGTCGAGCACAGGTGTAGGCGCTTCTTCAGCAGATGTCGGCTTTGGCTCCTCAGCCGATTCAGGCTGGTCTCCTTGGAGAGCAAGCGACTGGCGCTTCTTCTTGTCTTTCTTGGCCTTTCGCTTCTGAGCAGGAGTCATTAACGCCTCTTCGGTGGCCTCGGCGGCCTCGGCGGCAGCTGCGTCGACAGGGGCATCAGGCTCATTGGTCTCTTCCAGAGGGAGCTCTTCGGTCTTGGGCGCCTCTTTCTCGTCTTCGACCACAAGGGTTGTTTCCACATCTTTGTCGGCAGAAAACTGTTCAATTTCTTCAGCTGGCGTAGGCTCGGGCACCGGAGTCTCCTCGGAAGGCACAAGAGTAGACTCCTCTGTGGTAGAGGTTGGCTTTGGCTCCTCAGCTGGTGCAGGCTGGTCCTCCTGAGCAACAAGCGACTGGCGCTTCTTCTTGTCTTTCTTGGCCTTTCGCTTTTGAGCAGGAGTCATCAACGCCTCTTCGGCGGCCTCGGCAGCTGCTGCATCGACAGGGGCATCAGACTCAGCGATTTCTTCGAGAGGGCGCTCTTCGGCCTTGGGCGCTTCTTTCTCTTCTTCTGCCACCAGAGGTGCTTCCACGTCTTTGTTGACAGGAGACTGTTCAATCTCCTGGGATGGCATGGGCTCTGTGGATGTTTCCTCGGCGGGTGTAGCCTGCTCCTCTTCAGTGATGACTGATTGACGCTTTTTCTTCTTGTTCTTCTTCTTTGACTTGGAAGAAGTTGCGTCCTGTTCAGCCTCGGCTGGCTCTGTCACTGGAGACTCCACGGCTAATTCAGGGGTAGAGTCCGTGAGCTTGTCTTCAACAGAATTGTCTAGAGCAGGCTCTGCACCAACAATGGCATGAACCTTTTGCTCTTCGGCTAGGGCTTCTGTGGGAGCAGGGGCATCGACTGTAATCTCCGAGATGGTCTCCTGGTGTTCATGTTGGACATCGGCAGCCTGCTCAGGAAGTTCAGTGGCGGAAACAGGCTCTGCGGCGGGTGCCGCAATAGCTGCTTGTTCCTCCTCGACATCGGGGATGGCTTCGAGGTCACGTGTTGCCTCAGGGTTTGTGGACTCCTCAACACCCGCAACAACTTCTGGAGTAGATGGGGCCTGAGATTCCGGCAAAACATCGGCAGATTGTTCGACAATCTGTTCCTCTGTAGCAGTAGGCGTGGCCTGCTCATCAGTGTCCACAGACTGTTGCTTCTGCTGCTTCTTCTTGTTTTTCTTCGCCTTCTTTTTCTCGGCAGCAGTCATGGGCACCTCCGGTTCGGGGGCAATTTCTTGTTCTTTGGCGGCTTCAGTTCCTGCAACAGGGACGGGAGGTTCTTCAACAGAGACTGGAGGTTCTTCGGTAGGCACTGAGATCACATCCTTGCTTTCCGGCCTCTCTGACTGGTCAAGCTGGATTTCTTGGTCGAGCCCTTGAGGGCCATCTGAAGTAGCAGGGTCTTCACGAGCAATCTCGGCGGTGGACTCGATGGCCTCAAGAGCAAGATCCGTGGTAGCATCTACCGATGGCTCAGCCTCAGTTATCGGCTCGATGTCTTTGGTAGAGTCCGTAGTCTGGGTATCTGCTGGCAGAGAGACATCTTCTGTGATGGGAGCCGCTTCGGGATCGTCTGTGGAGGTAGGCAGAGCATCATGTTCGGCCTCACCGGTCTCGGTATTCTCCGGTACGGAGACGTCTGCAGAAGAAACAGGGTCAGCTTTAGCAACATCAGCAGCAGGCAGAGTGCACTCACTCGCTTCGGTGGATTGAGCATCGAGTACAGGCTCAGCTTCGGCAGGCTTGTCATCATCCTTGGCGTTCTCTGTCTTTTCTTTCTGCTGCTTCTTTTTCATTTTCTTGGCCTTTTTCCTCTCCGCAGCCGTCATAGGAACCTCCGGCTCGGTGGGGTTTTCTTCGGCTTTGCGTTGCTCGTCTGGTATGGGGGATTCTTCTTTAGCAGCCTCTTCCACGGTAACACCTGCTACTGGCTCCAGAAGAGAGATTGGTGCAGCTTCCTCCTGTGCCGGCGCCACCTCAGTGGGCGCGGGCCCCTCTAACTCAGAGGGTTGCTCAGACTCAAGAGATTGTGTGGCTTCAACAGGGAGCTCCATTGGGCTTTCTTGGGGAGGAACATCAGCCGATACGTCTTCAGTAAGAGGAGCTTCCTTGGAGTTGCCTTCAGCGGTAGTGTCGGGCTCGGGTGCCGGCGTAGCACTCTCGGGGGGTTTGTCCTCGTCAGGAACAGATGATTGACTCTGCTTGCCCTTCTTCTTGTTCTTCTTTGCCTTCTTCTTCTGCGACGCAGTCAGGAAAGCTTCAGGGTTGGCTTCGGCTTCACCTTCAGGTTGAGGTTCAGGCTGAGCTTCAGTTTCAACTGGAGTCTCGAGAGTAGAAGCTTCTGGGATTTCGCGAGAAGACTCATCAGCGGGATGTTGTAGTTCGACATTGGGCAGTGTCTCAAGCACAGCCGGCTCTGCCACTTCAGTCGACGAGTTCTGTAACTGTGCTAGCTCGGCCACAACAGGTGTCGCATCCACAGCGGGCTCCAATGGCATCTGCTCTTGCCCTGGGGTTGCCGCGGAGTCTTCCGCTGTGATTTCAGAAGGTGGCTCGACATCATTGGCGGCTTTTTCAAGATGATCGGCATCAGAAGGTAAGGCTTCGCCGCCAATTGAAGAAGGTTGGGTATCCGCAGATTCTGCTGCAGCTGGTTGCTCAGGTCCGAAATCTTGGCTTTCTGGCTGCGTTTCGGTCTCGGGAGCAGGCGTTTCGGTAACCTGGGCGCCTTCAACGGCAGCGGATTTGCGATTCTTCTTTTTCTTATTCTTCCGCTTCTCTGATTTGGATTCTGTCGCTTCTGGTGGGACTTCTTCAGCCGCTTCGACAAGAGGTTCCGATGCTGCCGCCTTTTCTTCGACAGGCTGCGGTGTCTGTTGTTCAACGGCCTCTTCGAAGTTGTCTTCCTCCTCCGTGTCTTCTTTAGGTGTCGCAGGAATTGCTGTGGTAGTATCATCCATAGTAAGCTCTGGAGAAGGATCTTCAGCTCGCTTCTCTGTGTCTTCCAAGTTGCGGGATGCTTCCTCCGCTTCAGGTTGCGCGGCCTCTGCAAGTTGGTTCTCATTGGCATCGGTGAAAACAGCCTCTTGGGCTTCCTGTTCCTCGGCGGGTAGAGTCGACTCTGCGGGAATAGGCAAGCCAGATTCTTCAGTAGATAGCTGCTCCACGGGATCGACAACCAGCTCTCGTGATTCCTGCTGGCTTTGAGGTTTTTCCAACTCGTCGGTGATAGAAGCAATCTCATTAGAATGAGCAGTGCCATCCGCAGGCTCCTCGACAGAAGAAGCATTCTTGGCCTTTTTCTTCTTCTCCTTTTTCTTGTCGCGCTTAGACTTCTTAGTCTCATCGACCTGTTCAGTCTCCGCAGAGGTGGCTTGAGCATTCTCAATCTCGGAAGGAATGACAACCTCTGGCTCCTGGGTGGCCGGAAGAGAGGGCTCGAGCTCACGCGATGCCTCGACAGGCTGGGATTCAACAGGAGCAGCCTCAGCAGAAGGAGCTCCAGCCACAGGCTCTTCAATCTTGGCCTCAGGCCCAAGCTCCCGCGATGCCTCAGGCTCAGCTTTGGTTTGCACTGGAGCAACAGCCTCGGGCTCAACAGAGTCTGGCTCGCCCAGCGGCTCTTCAAGAGCATTGTCCTGAGTTGCTGGCTCCTCAGTAGCAGCCTGGCCCTTCTTCCCCTTCTTCTTCTTCTTTTTCTTGGAAGGCTGTGTAGCAGCGCCCTCATCAACAACGACTTCTGTCTCAAGCTGAGATTGAGGGTCAAAAGGTTCAATGGGCTGTGTAGATTCAGATGCGCCAAATGAAGCAGGACTATTCTCTTCAATAGCAGTAACAGGCTCATCAAGCTCTTCCTCGGCGGATGTCTTCTCGGGGGAGCGTTCCGCAGCAACAGCTGCATCGACGATATCGCCGAATCCACGAATATCTTCCCGGCCAGTATCTAGCTGTGGATCAGCGAAAGAGCGATGCTCATCTCTCTCCTTGACAGCAGCGATAGCAGCCGCATCAACAACACCGGCAAAGCCGACGCCCTTTGCGAGATCAGGCGCATCGCCGAAGAAAGTGTTCTTTTCCTGTGTCGGGGTTTCCCCATGCGACTGAGACACACCTTCAAGAGCATCGAGGGCGCGTTGTGTTTCCTGCTCTCTGGAGCCTACGCCAATAGCCGAGCCCTCGGCAGATGGAAGGGGGTCTAGAGTCGGCGACGAAGGTAATTGGTCCAGAGCAGCTGGATCATGCAGGAGCTCAGAGGGAGAATGGAACTCGTATCTGGGTCTCTCTTTTCTGGACTCTGCGAAGTGCTCGGCGGTAGGAGTGGCTTGCTGTGAGTTGAGGAGATCTTCGTCCTGGGCCGTATCATTGCTTGCAGTTGGGTAGTCTGTTGAGAGTGTCAGCCCGGTTGGCCGGCGATTGCCAGTGATAGAGTGGCTTAGGTCGACGTGTTCCCAGCTCTTCATGCCGTCGTCATCACCGAGGGATTTGAGGTCCTCGATTGATGGGACGCGGGAGGAACTCTTGCTGGATGGGAGTGATGGCAGGGGCTCCTCGGTCTCGGGCTCGCCTTTGGTCAAGCCGTGACGCTCGACGAGCCATAATGGGCGGATCTCGCGGGAGTTCCGGAATTCCAGTGAGTTGGGCCGGCGGGTGCGCCGCTGGCTTGGGGAGCCGGGAGATGCAACGGGGGCCGGTTGCTCGGCTGGCGCTGCTCGGGAGAGACGTGGGGATGTTGGCGGCCGCCGGAAGTGGATCGGCACTGCTGTAGGGGACTCGTTGGTGGTCTTGGCTACCGAGTGGCGGCGTTGGTGAGGGGATTGGGACCCGTGGGGGCGGGTTGTTTCAGGTGAGACAGGTCGGCTTCGGGATTTCGGGGTCAAGTCGAGAGTCTTCTCCGCCACTGGGGGAGATGTAGAGCGGCTCCGGGGTCTGTGCTGCAAGGCCTCGTTTGCGGATGCTGCAGCGATACCGACCGCAATACTTGGGAGCCCTGAAGCACGATGATCCTCACGCTCGGTCTCGGCTAGTATTTCGGAGCGCTCTCTTAAGGATTGATCGTCGAAGTCGTCATTAAATCCGTCCTGCACATGGGATAATACCAGAAAAGCTTAGTACATTTCTTTTTTTGTAGGGATTTTGTGGTTTGTGCAAACTGGTTGGGTCATCCAGCAAAAAGGGAAACTATATGGCACATTGAACTGTACAATAAAGATCACAACATAAGTAAAAGAGAAATCAGATGCTATACCTTCTTAGATTCGCGTTCCCTCCCCGAGTCCATGACTTCCTCGTACCGATGACGACGTCGCTCGTCCTTTTGACGCCTACTGGTCCTAACATCCTCCTCCGTGTCACGGGTTCGATCGAAGTCATCGCCGCTGCGCCGAGACTTGCGGGACTTGGACTTGGAAGTCTCGTCCTTGGAAACAGGAGCAGAGATCACTGAGTAAGAATCATCATGCGACTCATTGGTCACTGAGTCGGGGTAGTCAAGAATGCCGAAGTCATCACCGCTCCGTCTGGACTTCCTGGACTTCGACTTGGACTTGGAAGTCTCGTCCTTGGATACAGGAGCAGAGATAACAGAGTAAGCATCATCCCGAGCTGGGGATGCCTCGCGCGACTCGTAGATTTCGAAATCATCGCCACTTCGCCTCGACTTCTTCGATTTAGACTTAGAAGACCTGGACTTCGTCGGGGTCTCTGGATCCATGGCAGCAGGTGCCGGCGCCGAGAAGACAGATCTGTTGTCAACCAAATCTCGAGAATCGCCTGTGTCAAAGCCACCAGGCATTGAGAAGGCATCAACATCCTGTTCGGAGAAGGCTGTGCGCTCATGCTTGCCATGTTTGCCGTTCAGCTGCTCAAGGACGTCCTCGGAGGTTGGAGACTTCTTGCGGCGCTCCGAAAAATCTCGGTCTCTTGGCAAGGAACTTGGCAAGGAACTTGGCTCATCAAAAAAGAGCTCATCCTTGTCGCGGCCGATACGCTCAGATGCTGAGGTCGTCTTCGTAGACTTGGGATCAATTTCTTCGAGCTCGCCCTCAACGAAGCCACGGCGTTCCTTGCGAGCAGACTTTGACCACGGCGAGGTGAAGCGTTCTTCATCCTCCGACCCGGGAGGTGAGGTGCGGGTGTGGTAGGATGCGTCATCGGTAATCAAAGCGGGATCAAATCCAGCCGCAGCAGTGGCAGCAGCAACCGTGGCTGCAAATTCAATGTCATCACCGTAGCCAGATTTGCCGGTGGTATCCTTAGTCTGTGAGACTTCGGATGCCGGGAGAGGAACATTTTGAGCTGAGACCTCGGTAGGGGAGACGTCATAGTCGAGAGGACCCTGTTCGGGGGAAGATGGGACGTCATATTCGTGGGTTTCATGCTCGCCCCAGGAGATGCGGGAGCCGGTCGTTGGTCGTTCGCGTGGCTTGGTATCAGAAGATGTATGTACAGGGGCTGGAGAGGTAACGTCACGGACGGAACCACCGTTCACGCTATGGGGAGGAGTTGGCTCAATGAAGTTGAGTGAGGGGACTGGCCACGGGAGATGGTCAACATGTTGGTAGGGTTCGTATGAATAGTCCGGCTCGGCAGGTTCGGGCTCTTCACGTGCTTTTCGTTCACTGGCAGGCTCGATCTCCACAATGGTGGGCATGGTAGTGGAGTCGGGGCTGCGGGCATGCTCATTTGGGCTGTGTCGTAGCTCTTCGGGGGCATAAAATTCTGCGTAATCATCATGAACGAGCGCTGGTGAGCGAGAAGGCCGTCTTTTCCGATCTTCGCGAGGTTCCTCCGAATGTACTTCTTCCTCGATAGGCTCAGCAGGCTCAGAACGCGACACAGTGGAAGGAACCGCTGTGGGATCCATATCGCGCTTCCGCTCAGCGCGGCGTTTCTCTCGGCGTTCATTGTATCGCTGACTGGCCTGAGAGGCTTCATCATCATCTCCCTTGAGAGACAGAACTGCGCTGGTAGCAGCAGCACCAATAGCTCCAGCAGCCGCAGCGCCAGCCCAGGATGAGGACTCGCTTGCCTTGCTGTCGGCATACCGCCGCTCCTCGTCATCGCGCTCCTTCCGGCGACGGTCACGGCGTTCACTTTCCAGACGAGCCAGCTCTTCCTCGCGGTCAATGAGTTGAACAGGTTCATCAACATATTCATCCCGATAATTCTTGTCAAGGCGAGTGAGGTGGCGTTCTCTCTCAACTTGCTCTTCTGTCAGGCTGAATTGCACGGAGGCTTGATCTCTGCCGGTGGATCGACGCTTGAGGCTTGAAGAAGATTTTTGGGTGGAGAACACCGGCGAGGAGTCGCTGCGCCGATGAGGTCTCCACTGCTGGTCAGCGTAGGTCGAATCCTCTTGAGCCCATGCTGCATCGCGATGACCTTGGAATCGTGGATCATACTGCTCAGGCCCACGGGAGAAAGCCAAGGGAACTACCGGGTCGCTGTACACGGGAATTGACCCCGGAAGGCCTCCCTGGGTAGTGTACACTGATTGAGAGACGGGAGTAAAAGGCTGCGGCTGCTGAAGGGGAATAGGTCCCGGGCGGATGAGAGCTGGCTCACCGGCAGACACAGCTGGGGCGATTCTAGCAGCGTCGAAGCGAGAAGGATCGGAAGTAGGCACTGGGTAAACCTGTTGGAGGCTTCCGGAACTGCTCGGTGGTTGACTGTCACGGTGTCGAGCAGAAGACACTGCAGCAGCTGCAACAGCGCCGGCGCCAGCTGCCATGGCGGCATTCGTTGCGCTCGACCTCTTGTCCTTCTTCTTGTTCTTGTCCTTCTTGCTTCCCCATCTCCAGCCCCATGTGCTTTTGCCAGAGTCGGAGGAAGACTCAGCACTGCTTCCTCCAAAGGCAAGTGCAGAGCTGACACTCGAAGAAGATTGGTCTTCCGACTCAGCATCAATCCAATCGTCATCTTCTTTGGCAGAAACGTGTTGAGAATGACGGGACCTGCTGGTGTACATCTGACCTGCGCTCCGGATAGGGCCATGAGGCGAAGATCCAGCCAGACGGCTTGCCGTATCGCTAAGTTCGAGCAACGCAGTATCGACATCTTTAGTTTTCTTGCCTCTCTTATCCTTCTTCTTGAGCTTGGAGGTTTTCTTTGGGAAGCCATCTCCGAAGGCGAGGTCATGGTCCAAGGACGAGGATGAAGATCCACTCTTGAAGGAGAAGAAGCCGCTCCGCTTCTTGCTTTGGCGTTTCTTCCTGTTCTCGGAAGAGGCAGTGAAGAATGATCCAATACCACCAGCCACGGTCTTTTTGGCAGGCCGACGGAAGCTGTCAGAGGACGACGACGAGGAAGACTCCTTTCGGTGCTGGCCTCTGCCGGGAGAGCGGCTGCGGGAGCGGTTGCGCGATTTCGCCACAGCCAGCGCAGCACCACCCACTGCGGCACCGATTGCGGCTTCCTTCAGGTACGAGTGCCGGCCAGACCGAGAGGAAGACCGTGATCGGGAGCGTGTGTTCCGGGAGTCGGTATGACGAGATGTATGCTGGGAGTCTGCGTGGTGGTCTCTGTGGGGACTGCGGCCGGAGCGACGAGTCACACCACGAGAGGTATGACTTTTGCGATCATCTTCTTCGCCATGAGAAGAAGTCACTCGGCCGGAGCGGACGCTGTATGATTCATCAAATTCCTTATTCGATAAAAGGGACTTGGTCGCATAACCCGCTAGCATGCCAGGCAGCCACGAGGAGGATTTCTTGGACTTGGACCGTCGGCGACTCTCGTCATCAGAGGAATTGTACCGGCTGTTTTTGCTAACTCTGGAACTGCCACTGATGCTGTGTCGATCGCCGGAGTATCGGCGGCGGCGGTGATAGTGATGTTTGCGAGGGGCGTCGACGGAGGTGGTGCCAGGCTGGAAACAATACTTGCACACACCAATAGTTTCAGTGTAGTCCTCGAACCTTCCAACACCCTCAGGATCTCGCCAAAAATCGACAAATCTATCCATAGGACTGCGCTGGCGCTCTTGGAAAGCTAGAGCGCTGGGCGGATGTGGATAGAAGCCGGGATTATGGGCGGCATAAGAAGCGTAGCCTCCCGGACCTGCAACATGCAAGGCATCACTATGACCAGAAGCGTACGGTGGCATGCCGGCTTGAGAATAGTGGCCATAGTTCTGCAAAGGGTGTTGAGGTGCATGGTGTGGGCTTGAGGAATGATGGTGATGGCTCATCATGTATCCCGCAGCCGCACCCGCAGCTGCTAGACCGGCGCCTTCACTGAAGCTGTGAGAATAGGACGGCTTGGGGGGAAGGTTGTGACTACCGCTTGCCATTGGCTGGTTGTATGGCATTGACTGTGAGTGTGCCAATGGCTGTATCTGCTGAGTGTGTTGTGCAGGCGAGTCCGACTCAGAGTGTGACATCATACCACTAATGCCATAAGCGGCAGCTCCAACAGCGGCAGCAGGAAGAATTCCAGACGAAGAGGGCTTTGAAGGCTTTGAAGGCTTCGATGGCTTCGGGGGTCTAGATAGAGCGATATCTGCCGGTGGGGCTGGTTGTTCCGGGCCATGGAAGCTGTCATCGAAATAAGCGGCGGCCGCCCCAGTCTGACCCATGCTACTGGGCTCTGGAGGCGGATTGGCGGAAGGAGACGCCGCCATCAAGTGCGCTTGAGTATTGGGAAGCACACTGGGGGGTTTGGGCGAACACCAGGCTGGTGCTCAACAGACTGGCCCTGGTCACCATAGTAGTCTGCCGCTGCGCCAGCAGGATTAGGCGGCCGATACGGAGCGGCAGTTTGCTCCGGGAACTGGCCAGGGAATTGCTGCGGCACATGCGGATCATAGGGTACTGCATGCGCCGGTGAAGCGGCTGCGAATGGCATGGTATTGTCGTATTGCATGGGGAATTGCGAGAATCCGGGTGCGCCAATCTCAGCGGCAAACTGCGCGCCCGGGGCGCTGGATGGCAAGTTGGTGGTAATTGGAGGCACATACGGGTCCCCGGAGTGGGTGCGACGACGGTCATGGCGCTCGCGCTCCCGATCCAACTCATCATCCTGTGTATCTTGTGTTCCGCGCCGGTTTGATCTTCTCGTGGGTTCTGGACTTTCAGATCGGTCACGCTCGCGGCGGCGAGAACTCTTGCTTTCCCGGTCGCTGTCTCTGCGCTTGGGTGTACGTTCAATGTAGCGATTGGAGTAATCAATGGTTTCCGGCTCGGCAGTCACATATGTCGATGCGATTGATTCGCCGGCGAGGCTGGGTGGGCCACGCCTACTGCGGGATTCTGATGGTGAGTACGACGACAGATCGCCCAGGCCGCGGTCACGGTCGTCACCCCGTGAAGACTTGCGACTTGAGATCGATTTTGTGTCGGACTTGTCGGATTTTTCGGACTTGCGTCGGCTGCTCTTGCTGCGCACGTCAGAAGCGGACGACGAGCGGCCCCCGCCCATCAGGGCTTTGAACATGGTGGGCGATTTAATTCGAGTATCGGTAGAAAACCATGTGGGATGCGACTAGTTAGGAATGCAGTCAGGAATGGGGAGGGGAGGTTGTAAGTTAGTAGAGAGAATGTAAAGGACGAGGTTGTTATGGGTTTGTTTGGAGTAAACAACGGGGAGCTGAGCCGTGGATCTCACACCCGCCCCACTGGAACCGCTGGACTTGACGGGGCGCTTATTCTGCTTGTCGCCTTTCTCTTCCTCTGAGGAATTGATATTTTGTCGAGTAATCAGAGAGAATCTGCTTTTCTTTCAAATTAGATGCAGAAGATCAGCCCAAAACGTGCAAAATGACAATTTCTGCGTTGATGAACTGTCAGTGCAACCGAGTGGAGCGAATCAAAAGCGCGGTGAAGCATCGCGCACGGACCATGGGGCTGGGAGAGTTCCCAAGGTTCGTCACTCACTGGTCTTTGTAACTATAACGACTCGATTATGGGACTATGCGTTCGATGGATAACTACACAGTACATAAACAAAGGCTATGTTGAGACCTATTATATAGGAATATTCGCCATTCTACCTATACTCTGTCTACTATGATCTCTAACTATTCCAGTGTTCCCTCAAAACCAAGTCTTAATAGGTATCACATCTGCTACTGACAAGTGTACTATATCCATCGGAAACCAGCAGTCCAGCACAAACACACAACATTAAACACAGTCCCCAAACCAAATCAGAGAGGAGCGAAAAAGCACCCTATCTACTCTGGAGCCCTCATCAACTTCTCCAACTTACACCGCAACGTATGCTGAACCCAATCAGGCAAACCCCTAAACCTCTTCGCAAGCCACCCAGCCGAACCGGGCACAAGAACATGACCACTCTCCCCCTTGAGCACCTGATTAACTGCCTTCTCAGCAACAGTCTCAGGATCCAGCAGCGGGTTATACCAAGTATCCTCAGGAGTCAAATCCTTAATCAGATTCGTCTTGGTGAAACCCTGCGTAACAAGCACAGTGCGCACCTTCGGCGCCGCATACCTGGTAACCAACTCCGCAGCAAGACCCTCGTGGAAGCAAATAGCCGCCGCCTTGGTAGCAGAGTAATCGACCATATTGGGTGTAACCGTATAACCCGCCTGCGAAGCAACGGTGACAACCATGCCATGGTTGGCCTTGACCATATCCGGCAGGAACTCCTGTGCAAGCCAGTAGTGGGCGAAGGTGTTGACCTCAAACATGCGGCGGGTCATGGCAGGCGTTGTCTTGAGGATTGTCTTGCCGGTACAGATGCCGGCGTTGTTGATCAGGATGGTGGGGTTGCCGAAGGAGGCGCGGATCTTGACGGCGACTTCGGTGATGTTCTCCGAAGACGTGATGTCGCATTGGTAGTAGCGGACGCTGGGGGGCAGGATGTCGCCTGAGGCTGGAGGGGCGATGTCCAGGATGGCGACTTTGATACCGCGCGAGCCGAGTCTTTCGGCGATGCGTCGGCCGATGCCGTTGCTGCCGCCGGTTAGGACGACGACTTCGCGATTCCAGTCGTATTTGTCGCTGACTTTGTTGTTGAGGGTGCGGCGGTTCAGCCAGTTGCCGAAACCGTTGAGGACGCCCAGGGCGGTTAGAGCTTTTAGGGCTTTGTCGAGGTTGGGGCGGGCCTCGACCACCTCGCGGCCATGCGCAGTGTACTGGGCCAGGGCGAGGAGGGGGATGAGCTTCCAGGGGTCTAGCAGAGTGCGGGAAATGAGACTGCCAAGTACATCAGCAGTGACGCCTGGGGTTGTTCGTCAGCATGAGTAGAGCTCCACGGTGGAATAGGGTACAATACCTTCTCTTGAGGGCCATGATCGCGCCATCTTTGATTTAAACTGACAGTTATTACTTTAGATATTAAAGGGGATACTTGTGCTTCAACATGAGAAGAGCTGTCTTATGTATAGAGCCCCATGAACCCTGTGCTAGACTGACTCGTGCAATTAACCTCCTGATCTGCATGCGGGGAAGCCGAGGTCCGCGTGTATTCGATGCCCTGTGCTAGCCATCATTCTGACCAGCCTCATGCATATAGCTGCACACATATAGCCTGCGGTTAATCGGTCTATTCACAGTACGCCGGTGAAAATGTGTTATCTCAAGCACCTCGCAATGTCCGAGGGTCGCATGCCAAAACACTCTTGTGGTTTGCCAAATAGCACCCCCTAAAGCTCCAGCCACATATTTCTTCCCCGAATTTGAGGTCAATTAATATCTGGCTTTATCTTTGATATTCACATTCTGTTCAGTGTTACAGTCCGAATACAAAATCCAATTTACAGTGATCAAACCCAGATGCTGCCCATACCGGGGCCATGACATAGCCAAAGTTGAAGAATATAACCCTTCGCCTTGACTAAAACTGGAATCCACATGGCACAGCCAATATAAGTGTTCACAGATTGAAAGATTGTCCAAAAGGAGAAAATCAGAAGGCACCAGACTATATGACTCGAACATGCATGCAATAGACATCGAAACTCCACTGGGACGTATCCACGTCCACCAACCCATTGACACGAAATGCATTCAACACCAAAAGAAAAGCACCAAGAAGAAAAAAAAGAAACAGCAATCCCTATCCAATTTTCAGTCTCGCGTTTCCAGCACAAGCAGAGGATAGGTAAACTTGCTCCACGTATACAGAAGGCCACACCAATCGACCAGCGCAAAAGCCCATGGGATTCGATATTCCAAATGGCCAAGTGCCGGTGGGATCAGATGTGGTGGCAACAAAAAGGAATTATAGTTAATGCACAAGTTATAGATGACAAACGTATAACAGATGTAGGGCTTCCTGGTCAAAGGAGTAGGAAATGCATGATGTATTCATGAGGGTATTGGACATCATATATTGGGTGGTGAAGCCCAAGGTATAGAAAGAAGGAACTGAAAAATCTGACGCTAAATGCAATTTAAGGGAAGCTCATGCTGATAGATTGGCCGTTCAATCCCGGAGTGTGATCCATGGGTGGAATGTGATTGCTCATGTTTGGAGTATGGCCGGTTGGAGTATGGCCGCTGATTGATGAAGGGTGGCCGGTTACGTCAGGTTCGCGGTGGAAGATCTTTTGATAGATCTCGGTGAGAATACGAGCATCCGCCCGAAGAGTAGGGGAGATATTCTCGCTCTGAATGAGGAAGCAAATTGTGCGTCGGAGGAGACGCTCAAGTAGCTTTTCGTCGACAAGCTCCCTCAGAGGTGACATGTATGTTGCAGACAGAACGAGCATGTTGCCAAATTGCCTACAAGTAGGAGAAAATGTCAGTATTGCCTGCATCGCCAAGAGTTTATCTCGACAGTCACGGGGGTTCTTACGCATGGGCAGTGCCGAAGATGTTGGTAACGACCAACCGATGTCCGCCTACACCGTCAAACGCCTCAGTGCTTTTGATGGCGGATCTGATGCAGATTTCACAGGCAGCTTGCAGTTTCTTGGGGAGATCCTTGAAGCGGACCTTGGGAGGAGTCCAGCCAGTCGAGCTCGCGGCCGGTGTAGAACCCATGTCGCTCGACATACGTGCCATATTTGGAGCTCGGGCAGGGTTGTGCAGCATAGACGGTGACATGTGCTGCGACGTGGGCGAGTCCACCGACGCTTGGCCAACTGGACCGATGCGGGCGCCTGCGTGGCCGTAGTGGAGGGCATGGTAGAGGAGAGGTCGGTGGATGATATACCGAGCACCATAGTACTTGGCACGCATACGAGCGGCGTTGATTTCGTTGGCTGGCGGATCCGTTTCTTCCCACTGCATGCTTCGTGGCAGGCTGCTGCGCCAGAGGTCGAGGTTCAAGCTCAGAGCCGATTGTACGGTCGAAGACCATCGGGTTTGGCCTTGTTTTTCGACTTTGTACAAGTCGGTGTGCACCCGATTGAGGACTTTGCGTAGGTGGATTTGAGCCGAATAGAATAACATCATCATAGTCTGAGGGGCGCTGAGATCGTTTGGGAGAGTGATGGTGAATTTTCCTTTCGGAAGTTCCATTCGACCCTCAGAACGCGAGATACCACTCGCGGGAATGTCAAGTTCCGCAAGTAGATCACTCTCCAACTGCAGGCAAGTCCAGTAAGCAAAGTTATACAAGTCCTGAATAGGCCCCTCCACGAGTCGCTCGTATCGCTTGGTTCTCACAAGCACCTGGCAAGCCCTCGACGCCTGCGAAATCCAGTTGTGGCTCTGGAAAGGATGGGCCAGTTGACCGGCATAAAGACCAGCAAGCAGGGCGGACTGGACATGTTCCAGCTCGTTTCCACCTTGCAAGAGGCCCAATATCTCGGTCGCATATCCATAGAGTGTCAGACCAGGGATGACCTGGTAGTTCTTCGTGTTTCCCCGAGCATCACGCGTCTTTGTCACAACTCGCGTTGACAGACTCTTTCGGTTCTCACCTAGATTTTCGCCGATCGTGGCAGATGTGAAAGTTGGGGTAGTGTTCTGCATTGGCACCACGTATATAGAATGCGAAAGCGACATTGGCATGGCCGAGTCGGAATTCGCTGGGGAGAGTACGCCATTGGGGGGGTATCCCACGTTTTGAGGATTTGGTGGAGGAGGTGGAGGAGGTGGAGGAGGTAGCGGATGAGGTATAAACTGGTTGCGATAATCAATATGATGGTCCATGATTGGCCCAGGAAGAGGAGCGGGTGTTTCGCAGATAGCACCCAAGGCCAGACACAGCAATACCAAGGCATTATCGATGTTTTTTCCCACTCGAGGTCGCACCGGGTTCGAGATAGACTCCACGAAATCCCCACGCCCACCTAGATTCTCGTTGGACCGCCTCCGTTTGGCAGGCGGCGGACCATCGCGAGCCGGCCTTGGGTAGTTTGAAGCTGAGGTCGGGGACAAGTCCGGACGGCAGTAGAGTCGGATAAAATTTTTGACCTTCATGTCGAGTTCACTCTGCATAAGGAATGGGTGGAGCTTGAACATGTGGTCGAGGTAGCTGTGGTAGTAGCGTCGAGCAGTCGCCGCGTCGAGGTTCAGGTTACCAAACTTATCGATATCAACGTCGGAATTCAGCCCTGCGCCATCGCCATCTGGTCGAGCACCATCCAGGTTGGGTTCTACCGGTAATTCACTGTCATCTGCTGTAAATGAGATCTCGCCTTGGCCGTAAATGCTGATAAGACCGCGCTCTTCTTCCAACCGCATCACATAATCCTCATCATATTCCTCCGGATACAGTAGCTTCTTGATCGAGGGCCACATCAACAGCTTGTGAGCTGCAGTGGTGTGCTCCACCGGAATTGATAGCTCTCCTTCGGCTTCACTCTTCGGGTCCTCAACGTACAACTCCTCCGGTGCTGGTCCAAGTTTGGGGTTGTATTTGGGAGCACTGATTTCAGATCCGGTGTCCACATTGTTTGCAGGCGAGGTTTGGGCGCTGAGGAGCTCCGTTTTTAGAGGCCGATCCTGCTTGAGAGCCGTTGGTTGTGGGGGTGGTAGGTCAGGAGGTACTTGAAGTGTGCCCATCTTCAGCTGCTTGAACATTCGGTCTTCCATTTCTTGAAAGTTTCTGGCAATGCGTTCCTCCATCATAGTAAACCGGTCCAATACCAGCTGGGTGGTTTTCTCTTGCTTGTGCAGCGGCACTTCTTTATAGACACATCCGAGGTTGTTCTCCTTGCAGTGGCTGCAATGCGGTCTCCCCTCATCACACTTTGCTTTCCTCGCTCGGCATTGGTCACAGGCCTATAAGGCTCGGACGTCAGTTAGAAATTTCCTCCCGACAAGCAATCACATGCTCTGCTCTACAAGCTCAACTCACCTGTGTGGCTCGGTTCGCCCTGCGCTGCTGTTGCCGCCCCAGCGTTTGGTTTTGGTAATAGGCAGGATCATACCCGCCAGGCGGCGTGGAAATCGCCATCTGGGGAGGCCCAGGCGCCATGAACTGTGAAGCGGGGGGCAATCCCCCGGAAACAGGTGTAGAGTCCCCATTATTAACTTGATCTGGAGGTTGGAAGGGCATGCGAGCGCGATAATCGGGGGAGGCCTCGTGCGGCACACCGTTCATCTGCTGGTGGAAGGATGGGTGAGGGGGCGTGGGATCTTGCGGGGAATGCACGGTCGGGTGCGGGGGCATTCCATTGCCCATCGGACGAGCATACGGGCCTTCTGGTGTAATCTGTGGCAGCTCACGATTGGGCATGACTGGGTATCCTGAAGGCTGTGGTGGTAGAGGCGGCTGAGAAACGGCAGAGGCCCGGCGGCCGTCGGCGGGGTGGCTATCGAATGGTGGAGGGTATGAAGGACGCCATGAGTCGTATGCGGCGTGCGGACCGGGGTGTGGGTGGTGCCCTTCTGGCGGAGGAGGTATGCGATTCATTGTAACTCGAGAAATCTGGGTGCGCAGAGAGCTCTGGAGCTGCCAGGCGTAGTCGTCTTGTGGCACTTAGTCCCGGCGGTTGGCACTGGTGTTTCCTGGGCGTCCAATCTCCCGTTCAGAAGTGATTTTGGCTTGGTATATCTAAGGTCAAACCAACATGGCGCAGGAATCGAGGATGTAGGGTATAATAAGGAAATCAAGCAATGGCGAATGGACTATATGGCCTGAAGGAGCGCAAGTTGGAACAATGAAGTTTGCGCCGTTAGAACTTGTGGTCGTGCGAATCAAGTGGCGCGAGTAAAGCTCCGAATTTCCAGTCGCAAAAATGCGGTGTTATCGCAGCTTGTTTTTGGAGTGGGCAAAACCGAGTAGTGGAGCTGGAACAAAGAAATAGTCAGATTACGGTGGATGATCCGACCAGGGGCCTGCCGTTGGACCGAGATATGATGTTATGAAATATAAAGGAAAGGAAGAGATCAAAGGATCAAGAGGAATCAAAAGAGAGGCTTGTATCCACCGCATATACGATAGATCGCAAAGAAGGTTGGGCACAAGGAGGGGAAAAGATGAATGGTCCTTGAACCTTGGGACCATTCGATGTACCCAATACGAACCAGGAACACAAAGGTACCCTTGTCACGTATTGTAATGGAATAAGATACTCACGTACCTGATCCTGGTGGTGTGGGTAGTCAATACCGAGGGGGTAATTGGTCAGGTGTACTCCGTCCGTGTGCAACAACCGAGGTCACCAACTTCTGAAGACTTAGTAGCTTATACTGTGTATATCGAAGAAATAAGGAAAATAACAAGACGAGAAAAGGGAGGAAATTTTATAAACTGGGAGGAGAGGGGAAAACGAAGTTATAACATAATACATAATAACATAATAAATCCTAGTTATAATTACGCCTGTAGGGATCGACAGATGTGTTTGCCCCTCCCTGGATTGAATACTTCAGACTCTTTACATCGTAAACTGCCTATAGACTTTGTTGCGGAGAAAGGAGAAAGGGATCATATGCTTCATGGCTGATTGATTTTTCTACTTTTTATCACATTTTACTGTACTCCGTACATCTATCTCTCTAGAAACCCGAGGGAAAAACACAAAGATATTCGCGTACTTACTACACTGTCAAGTTGACAGGTCTGCTTTATTTTTCTTTTCTTTTTTTTTTTCCTCTTGCCGAATCCAAGCGACAGTGGGTCCGGCGGCTGGGGAAATACATATGAGATGGTCTGCAGGAGAGGATATTACGACAATATCAATTGAGACTTATGTCTGGAATTTATTGTAGTATTTACCTCCGATGTACAAACTACATTGTGTCATGAGTGTAGTAAAGACCCAACAACATAGTTCTATGTAGATTACATGTAAGTGCTATGAGCCTATGATCGAAGCTAGGATCCTCCGCGTGGAACGGGGACCGAACTTGCCGCCCGAAGGTCAACCGCTTCGCCGGGAAATGCGCCATGCAATTCACCCGTGTTGATATTGATCGGGACTGGGGGATCGATACCTGGTCCTTCAGGTCCAGAGTGCTGGTACAAGGTTAAATGTGATAAGAATAGAGCACATCTTTCACATCACATTTCAGATATACAGCGTACAATATGACCCGTGTCGAATGGGGATCCTTGCCCAGTATCTAGGACTCGTACATCGAAACCAAGATATCTCGATCAGCCACCCAATCGACCGGTGAATCTCAAGATGTAGCAAGCTGGGGACAAAGTCTAACAAGAAACAACAAAAAGTCAAGGAAAACAACACGGATCTGTACGTCAAATGAGATGTCCTTGAAGAGCCCCAAGCACCCAATGACACACGCCGCCGCACTGGCCGACGATTCGGTCCCCGATAGACTTGCAAGGGGCGCTTCTAAACATTACAAGACAAACTCTGTTGCAATTCGATTCTCAAATCAGTGGATGCGACGCTGCCAGATCGGCGATGTTCGAGAAAAAAATTGTCCAACCCCCCACCTCGCCGCACTGTCATTTGAAGGGATACTTTATCCATCCCGTGGCTCCCAGGGAGATGGTTGTCGGGGCTGATCAACAACCCAGGGCTTTGGGCACATTTCGCTTCCCCCGTGTGCCTTGGTTGTCTAATCCAGATATACTTTGGAGATATCCAGAGAGGTGGGTTCAAGCACTTTGCGAAAAGAAGAATGTGATTGTAGAATCCAGAAGGCTCAGGGTTGATCCCATTGAAGATGAATACACTTCGATACATACACGTATCGGAAATAACTTACCACCATCCCGTATGGAGTAAACATGGTACAAACTCGGGGTTACCCGTTCTCACCCATGGATGACGATGGAGTATCCAGCCACACCCCCAGGGGTTTCTTCCAGAAGGGGATGAAAGGTAAATAGAACATTGAGACATCGATGAAATCCACCATTCTCCATTTCCCCCACCAGGTGATATCACGCTGGGGCCTGGCATCAAACGAATCCCATACCGCTAATCACGTTCATCGCAACTCCATCTCTTTCCTAACCAAGGCAGTAGCACAGTTTACCCCTGGCTTGATCAGGATGCAGCGCAAGGTCTTTCTGTGCCACAGGAAAGCTCAACGGTGTTCCCCAGTCGGAGGTCTTGTGGGCAAGTCAAACGCGCGACTTGAAGTAACACGGAGTTGCCTCGGCATTCCTCAGTTTTTGGATTTGCTTTTTTTAGCCGTTGATTTGTGGCCTGTGTGCGGTCACCCGCTTCAAATCCACCGTTACTTGGAAGCTGGAAGGATTGTAGTGGAGTATGAGGTCGTCGCCCTTTGTTGTAGTGGGTAGAGTATGAATCCTTTGAGTGGTTACAGTACAATAGTTCTCAGGTACTGTAGAGAGCTAAGACTGCGCTAAGCAATGAACTTCCTTTGTTTGATCAGATATTCTTTCACTAGTAAATTCAAATCATGAAGTTACATCAGTCAATTTGACCTTATTTTGATAATATGAGCAAAATATGGCCCTAGGAGGATTTCCAATATGGAGCCCATGATTTCCGACGTGCATCAACGGGGTTTAGGCCAGAATCGAAAAACAATCCGAGCTTAGTCGTGGAATCCTCTCTGACGGTATGAGGCAGAAACTTTATTATCTATCAAGAATTCCCCATCCCACTCTGGTTGACAGCTGAATCACGAGCCCTTGCCACCGTGAAAGGGAGAGGGTTACATGAATTGCAATCACGAGTCTTCAACTTCTGTCGTCTCCAAGATATGTACTGTAGGTCCCACTTTTAATTTGCCATGTCGAGCTGAAGTTTTCTACTTCTCTGTTCCCTATGGTCGGGGCGATACATTGGATACCGTCCATCAATCTACTTCGTAGATCCTCAGCTTCCAGTTTGTCTGCGGCTACGCGTCGCTGCTCGAGAGTCGTGATACTAGTTATCAGTGGGTATTGTGGCGGGCAGGGATTGATGCGTGGTATCTATCAGCAAACATAAAAGGGGCAAGAGAGAATTTCTAGGCAACATCTTGCCACTCGAATCCTTCGTATCAATCCTTTTTCCTTCGTATCAACTCTACCAGGTTCTCTAGGTAGCTGAGAAACAGACCTCAATCCCAGAACCTGACGGACTTACATGCTGCGTAGGTAGACTGTACGCCATGCATGGTGCAGTATGTATGTTGTAGATATCTGAAAGCTCTCAGAGTCATAAGATATGCAATGACGAACGCAAGGGGCCACCATCATGACAAGATCCCAGCAATCAGAGACCAGCATCTCGGTAAAAAAAAAGGATCAGTCGTTAACAACGACCTCATAGCTTTACTCTGGAGTATCTAACTCGGAGCCTCAATATCTACTCCCATATAGCCGATTTACAACTCGGGGATTCGTTCGCTTTGCTCCCGTCTGGATGCAGATACATGTACCTGCTAGCTCCTCAGGTGAGTGATTACTACAAAGTGATGTGTCCGCAGTAGTTACTGCAAAAGCCTCATACCCTAGAATCTGAATGAGTATGCAGCAGATCTAGCTGGCATCCAATCAGCTATGTGCACCAACTTCACGAGGCTCTTGGAATGACGCCATAGGGGGAACAAAATGCAGGTGATTTCGCCCCTTGACAGCAAAGCATCTGTAGGAAGGAGGCAATACGGGAGGTTGCATGGTGAATAGGTCGATTTCCTCTCATATTATGGTACCTCAAGTAGGTATCGACACTGTAGACCGGCATGGAACCAGAACGGCTATGTATACTCAGCTGATATCACATTCTTCGGTAGTATGATATTGATATGCCCGTGTCACTTCAATATAAGGCTGCTGGAGGTATACACATGTATAATAGCTTCTACAAGAGACTGACCTAACATGTGCCAATTATAAAACCAAACCCGAAGTCCAAAATCAAATTGCAACCGCAACCCTAGCCTGCCATTTTCACTACACAGTATATCACCAAGGCCTCCTATGTACGCAGTACGGGGATTCATGACAAGACTGCCTTGACTCAAATGTGATCGCCTCCATTCCACTACACATATGACTCTCACGAAAGATACACCATTAGATCTTGACGCACTTCACAGAAAACACCATAGATCGAGTCACAAACAAACTATCTGCACCTCGCGGGACACAACATACTTCTTCACGATCGGGGCAGGCTTCTGCAGCAAACGCCGACTCCCCGAATTTGCAAACTCAAGCTGCCAGGCCCTTATTTAAAGCGGGTTGATTCAGGCCAGCCGCCAATCGAGTTTCAAATGCACCCTCCGCTTCTCCCGCTTATCCCCGCATGCACGATTTGGTTTCATCTCCGGGAATGTGATGCATACAGGAAGGTTGTATTGATATGGATTATTTTTTTCCACTGTCAAGTACACAGCAGACCATTCTTGCCACAGTGATCCGTGCAACTGATGTGTCGAGATCGAATTTTCTTCGTCTTCCTGGATCTGATCCTATGGTTGGATATGCGTCCACGTGGATTCGATTTCCATGTGGTTATTGTGGGCTGTTGATAGATCTAAGGAAAGATCGGATCTGCTCGGTCGGAGGGAAGTTAATCTCGTTTCTTGATGACTTGCCGTCAATGCTATTTCCAAATCCCGGTCATTCGCCGACATTTCGCTAGCTCGTTGGAAACTGTCGCTCTCCGCAACGGCGCAAGGACTTCAACAAAAGCTTAACCAGACCGGTTGCATAGATAACAACAGAGATAGGGGACAAGATCAAGAGTCAAGTACGGGGCTTAACCACCGGCTCAATCTCACATGAACCACTGGTCCGTTCGCCAGATGCAAGGGCAGAGAAAGGAAGAACAAGGCCAGTGCCCTCAACCCGCGGTATACTTGCAGAGGCCCTGATTCGGGAAAGGTGAGAAAAGCCAAGATTCCAACCCAGATCCTACCGACCTGGTCCATTATCGAATGTTCATTTGCTCATTTCGGCAAGAGAGTCAAGTCTGATTCAAAACCAGCCGGCGTTGAGGATTCTTTGTTGCATTGCCATCCAGCCTAACAAGGTTTTTCTGCTGCTTTTAAGGGTAGACTTTATAACCTGAGGAGGAGATGTCAGTCTGGGCTCGGACTCACTGCTCGTCCTAACGGGGAAATCAGCCCTATCCAGCTATGAGTTTGGGAACGACTTTTGATTGCCCTATACTCTTGCGTCCAAAGCGGGATAGATGAGTTGGAACGTCAAGGTGAGGTCGACGTGGTCTTCTGATTAACCTTCGCTTTTTCGACCCAGTTATGGTGGCCAAGGTGTCAGGACCTTGACCCTTGGCAATATCTTCTGTACAATTCCCCTCAAATTCCTTGCTTATAGGTACTCAAGGTAGCAATGGTGTTCTTATGATATCTGTGAGACTGTGACTCTGTTGTAGGCCAGTAGGACTCAAGGAGATGAGGTCACGATCGACGCGGACATCTATCTCGTACTGCGGTGCATGCACAGTAAGCTACCTGCGAGTCACAAGGGATTTTGGAGATTCAATCTGCACATCCCCCTGCAGACCTAGGCAGAACAGTCCTTACATACTAAAACTTTCTGTCAGAAGCTCACCTGATCTCATTGTCACTCCATTTCTCCTACAGATAACTAGATTTTCCTTTCTCCTTTTCCTTTTCCCTCCTCAGCGCATTTTAGGCTACTTGAAATAACTACTACCTTCCAGTACCTTCTCACACCTTCAATTCAGCTACCTCCAAATATTTTCAGATATCTGAAGCCAAAGGCAACGTCTAGAGCCCAGACACTGAAAACGATCTCCCTTGAAAGCGCATTTATCATCATTTCCTCGCATGTTGCAATCGCACACATGAGAATAACACTCCGTACTTTCATCAAAGCCAACTGGGGAAAGAGACCTCTCTAATATGAATTATCAGGAAGACAATCATGAATCCGACAAAGAGAAACATACCTGGCTATCTAGAAAGCAACCCACCCTCGTCAATAATGATGGGTTGCTTTCCAGATCACCAGGTATGTTTCTCTTTGTCGGATTCATGATTGTCTTCCTGATAATTCATATTAGAGAGGTCTCTTTCCCCAGTAGGCTTCGATGGAAGTGCTGAGTGTTATTCTCATCACTAAGCAACGTGCCTAGGTTGCGATACCCGAAGGGCAGAGACATCGCAGGTATTCAACATGAGCTTCATCGCAATCCAACTTTGCAGGTAGGAAAACCTGAACTAGGTCCCTGCAAAGTTGGATCGCGATGAGGCTCGTGTTGAATACCCGCGACATCGTCACATCTCTGCCCTGTGGGTATCGCAAGGCACGTTGTTTCGTCAGAACGGCTCGAAAACGATCCAAGATTAACGAAGTTATGATGGATCTGAGAGAGCGTCATACGCCTTCTCCCCTAGTTACTCTACGCCGTATGAATCTTATGGCAGCTTGACATCTGACTGCACGCTGGCCGTTGCTTTTCTGCGTGTTGCAGCCTGAAACCAATGAACCCTGGCCGTGATTACTTGTGTATTTTATTCGAGCAATTGATACGCAGTAACTAATTAGTGATTATCCTTCAGTCTGACACCGGGCTACAATAATCCCTAGCCTGGTCTGTTCGTCATGGTCCCCGAGAACCCCGAGCTCTTCACCTTTAGGCTCTTCAGAGTTCACACTCGTCTCCACATGACTTTCCAGTCTGGCGGGTACAGAAACACACCGTACTTTTATCCCCATTGGGTCTCCGAACCGAGGTTTGTTTGTCTCTGCATGCACGGCGTACAGAGTCAGTGCCTGGATCAATTGTGGTGGTTGTTTCGTGTGTGATTGTGATTTGATTGCAGCTTGTGGCTGTCGATCTCCGAGTGTGATTGGGTTGTTCCTCTGACATGGTGTGAGACCACCTATGGAGGAAAGACCCGAATAACGCCACTATGTAACCCCGATCCGATCTCAATGGGGAATTGCATCGGATCTAAAGACTTCCTGCATCCCTGACGAAAGATGGAGACTACGTAGTATCAAGTCCCCGTAAGGAGACTAACTATGTTGTAACTAACTATGGCAAAGGTTACTGCGGAGTCCGGAGTACATATTCATCAGTCGGCGCAGAGAACGGAGTTGATCTCCACACGTATTCCGGCACGAGTAAATCCACGCCATTGTGTTGGACTCGAGAATCCACAAAGTGCCAAGAAGTTAACCGACAGAATGTTATGTCGGTGAGACCTTTGTTCTCCGTTGTCTCTTCATCTAGCTAGATGACTTAGAGCGTACAGTAGGTAACAAGAGAAGGCAAAAGACCTGTCCCCGCTTTCCCAATCTCCACCGAGGCGCCCATGACGACCGGGCGCGCGGGATTTGCGGCGGACTCGATATATCACATTGAATTCCCTGTTTAATGGTCTGGAACCCGGTCACATGTGCTTTTGGTTGTGATGGAGGTTACCGAGTTGGGTTCAAGAGTGTGCGAGATAGGGATGGGATACCGAGGATGTCCGGTGTGTAGGTTGTTGTGTAGGTTGTGGTGTTTTGATGAGAGAGGGTCTGGGTGAAATGGGGAAATGAGAGGGCTCTCGCTCTGACAAAAAGTACGAGGATCTGCCGGTGGTAACTAGAGAAGGGAGTGGGATTGGATTACCAGGTCAAGAGGCATGGTATTGAACGTTCAACGTAATCTGATGGTATTGGAGATGGGTATGGGTAAAGGAACGAGATACAGAATGGCACAGCAAGACAGCGGAATATTGCTATGCCCTATGTACAAGGTGCATCGCTTGAAAAAGAAAAACCCAGGCCAGAGCATGTCCCCATGGACACCATGCAATGCTCCTCTATAATGGATGTTCTATGGGTAATTCTATCGGAGTCGGGACCTCGCCATCAGGTCGGGTCGGTCTCAGCTGGTGATGGAATAGTCGCCACACACCCTGCAGCGCTTCTTTGCGATCGTTGACGTCGAGCAGGTCGAACCACCGGGTCCTCTGCAACTTCAGCACATGCCACGGCTGGCCGTCAGTTGGTGGGACGGTACTGTCGCCGAAGGTGAGGATATCAAGGTATCGCCTGTGTACTCGGAGGTGGAGAATTGAGATGTGATGGTTGATAGATGAGATCATGTAAATCTGCAAAGAAAGGATTAGAGAGTTAGTTCTGATTGTGCTGTAACGAGCCGGGGTTCCATACATCGTCAAAGGGACTCTCTTGGACCTTGCCTAGCTGCATGTAGCTCATCCGCTTATCCCAGAGACTAGGCCCAGGCTGCAGGATCTTCCACTTCTCGCTGCTAGTCAATCTTCGCATCGCACTGGGCCTCCGCGATAGGGAGGCAACAAACGGATGCTCGAACTTGCGCTTGGAAGCGTTCGCCGCCTCCGGGGCAGCTGCCTTCATTTCTTCCATCATTGAATCCGGAAGGGACATCCCGTGTCCGTTGCTGACGAGATCATCCAGGATCCCGTCGTTGGGTGCGCCTCCGAAGCGAGGCGACATGGTCCACCACTTGCCCTCGCCGGGTCGCTGCTCGACTGCGCCTTCGCGGGCACGCTCTTGTGCGGCGAGAAGCATGCCACCCACCTCGCGGAACAGATCGCTTACCTCGCCGATTCCAGTCCCGGGGGCCTCGCCCGCGTTGCGGAAGGACGTCTCTGACCGGCATTGCGAGATGAGAACCGGCCCTTCAAGCATGCCGCTCCGGGCAACCTGGCGGTCTCGCGGAGACCGTGAAGATTGGAACGTTTGTCGGACAGGGAAGAGAAGGTTCTTGGTGGTCAATCGGGGTGGGAGCGTGGGAACAGTGACCTGGCATCCGAACGGCCATGCTGCCATCTCCACGAAAGATCGAATGGTCTCGTCACGAATTTCATCGGGCATCTCGGCCCCGTTGCCGATTCGACGCCCCGTGTACATGGTGACGGTCGGTCCCTGTTTCTCGTCCACTGTGTCGTTGCTCGTAGGCACGGGTGTCTTTGCTCCGTCTAGATCCATTGCGTTGTCCGTCAGGGCGTATCCGCGCTTGGGCTCCACGCCATCCATCTGCATTTCATCGTCGTCGTCGTGCTCCGTCTCGGACGGAGGTGTAGGCTTGGGGGTGGCCGGACGCTCAAAGTAATTGTCCAAACTGGTATCCCAGTATTGGGCCATGCGCTCTAATCCGGTCCAAAACTTCCTCGACTGCGTGATACGAACTCGGCTTCGGCCCTCTCGCGGAGGCAATCGCGCGACCTCACGGAAAGCATCGTCGTTGTCCAGCGCCAGCTCTTTCTCCAATACTTCATATCGTTCCTTGGCGGGATACGGGGCTCCGTTGCCCATCAGCGGTCGGGGGCTGTCTTCCGTCGAATCGGTGGTGTCCTCCCAGGGCAAGGGCGCGATCGGGTGCGAAAGGTCTTCGGGGATCATGTCGGCGACTGACACGTCTGTTTCCAATTGGACGTTGAATGGCGCAAAGCGCTCGTGGCAGATGTCTTGTGGGCGCTTGATGTCCGCCAAAAGGTTGGACATCTCCGTGAGTCTGGACTGAGATTCATCGCTAATGATCTCCGGGAGGTTATACGCAGGGAAATCGAGGGGTGTCGGGTCTGCTGGTGGTCTTCGCTCTTTTTCCGGCTCTGAAGTGGCGGAGGGCAAGGCTAAAGCAGCACTGCGTTAGCTGATTGTCTGGTACTGTGGGATGATTGTGTCCATGAAAGTCGGCTCAGAGGCATTGTGATCTGTGAGGGCCAAATAGAGGGTCGACAGCCTTTGGCCAGGTGGCAGATCTCATGGCTTGAGGTTCGTAGACGCTCGACTTGGCAGGGGTCAAAATAGCGGGGGAAGGGGGAAAATAACGAGGGGTAACAGCAATAGACCAGAAGGGATCGCTTACCCAGCCCAGATCCCCAGCCAAACATTGTTTCCAATCACCGATCTCGAATGCAGCAGATGCACGATTATCGCAAGTTCCAGCCAGTTTCACCCCGGGGTGACATGGGAGCCCAGGAACGAAAGGCGGGAAAGCGGGAAAGCGGAAAAGCAGAGAAGCAGAGAGGCAGAAATGGGAATGATCAAGGAAGTGAATGTAAAAAATAAAGAAATCCGAATTGAAGTTGACTCCCTGAGGTGGGGAGATGAAGAAAGAAAGCACTAAGGACTTTTGTAGGTGGGGAACGGGTGTCCGACTGTGTTGTTGTCTTCCGTTGTTCCTGTTCAGGTAACATGATATGATGACATTCAATTGAGTTATGCCATTACATACAGGTCAGCTGATACAATCATATGACATATCATCGCCGTTCCTCGAATCCTCGTGGTCATCTCTACTCCGTACAGTATGAGACTATTCCTTACGGGACTCGGAGATGGAGGGCAATCGACGGCTTTTTGTCATTGTCCGTGGGAGAGCGCCCCCTTTTCTTTATCTCCCATGTTCATGCTCTTGATCTTTATTGGTTCTATTTGTCTTCTGAGAATCATCCTGGAACTCGTCAGGCTCATCAGGCAGGCTCTTCTTATACTACTTCCTCTTCGTGAGGCCATGTGCGGTCACGTGACTATATACCAAAAGAGGCATTGCTACTTTCTAGTACTTTTCCATGTCTACTAGTCGACTCTGCAGGGCCTCTGCAGGCCTCTGCAGGGTAGAAATGATCCGAGTGGTCTGCAAGACACAGATGAGGAATATTGTGGAACCCAAGGGAGGTTCGCCCAGTCCTAGACAAATCTCACGCCAAACACGAACCCGCCGTGTTTCGTGAGACAGTCAGACTCCCCTGCTCGACAATGGACATTACCTATCTCGGTGCAATGACGAGATTGCGCGCATGCAGAAAGTCAATCAGTGTCACATTATTGATTCTTACATTATCTGGGGTCGATCGTCCACTGCCAATAGTTCTTATTGGGCCGGGGGCTAAGCGCCGTTCATCTGTCACAGCACGGGGTTACTGAGTCTGCCACCCAGACACCGGGAGAAGCGCCATGTTCCAAACAGATAAAGACAGAAAACCCCTGAAGATTTTGTCGGACTAAACGAACATTTGTAAAAGGAAGAAAGAATGTCCTTGATATAACCCTCCGACTTCCTTATCTGACGTGATACCCTTTCGGCGTCCTTCAGACGTGGATCGTGGATCGTGAACTGTATGGAATCCCGATCTTCCCACTATGTTCGTGGCTTGCTCGAGGCTTCAAGGAACAAAGCAAGAACCAGAGCGTGGAGCTTGGACGAACTTCCGGAGTCAATTTGAGAACCCTACTGCTTTGTCGCTGCTTTGTCTTCGCTTTCTACTTTGTCGGCCCGGGAGACAAAGGGATCCATCTTTCGACATCGCCCCCATGTTCCATTCAGCGAATACGGCCTCGACAAGCATCGCCAGATCTGTCTTTTAAGGACTGGTGCTGCCTGCGGGCTTGGCGACATGTCAAGTGCCTTTCCCGTCATCAATACTTCCTTTGCAGGACCAGACTCCACTCGGACCTGGACCACATCCCTCTCCTCGGGACCAGTTCCTCTGGTGACGTTAACTTCGATTCAAACAGAGACCATATACCCCACCTGGGTCTTTACAATATCTGATCAAGGGCCTGGTTCCAGCAGCACTACGACTACGGTGTTGGTCATTTCGTGGCCAACACTAAGCCCAAATCCGGCAACTACGGCTCTGACAACGGCCCAGCAGTCGATAACTGAGCAGGACACTGTAATATCGAGTCTCGCATCTACAATACCAACAGTCTCGGAGCCCCCGACTCCGACATTGAGCCCACCAACCACGGCTCTATCAAGTCCAATGGAAGAACAACCCATTTCAGCCACTTCAGAGACAAGACTCCCGCCATGGCATCCCGATGCTTCCAACAGCATGTGGATTCTACCTTTTCCACCGACTAGCTCGAGTATATCTCTATCATCGCCACTGTCTACCTTACCAGAGACAACCGCAAGCTCCACTAGTACCTCGACCAGCTCGAGCACAGCATCCACAAACGAGTCCTCGATCTACCCCTCCACCGGAGTCGTCACAGATAAAAGCACATCATCCAACTTAGCCAAAACCGAGTCCTCAAGTCCCACATCCTCCAAAATCGGAACGATCGTTGGGAGCATCCTCGGAGGCTCAGCCCTCACCATCTTTACCCTTCTAGCCTGCGCTCTCTTCCTCCGTCGCAGACGACGCAAAAAGACAACAGAGCGTCTAGGCATTCGCCAAAAACTACTACGCGGCGACTCAATGACCTCCTCAATCGGCTACCACCGTTACAGCCCCTCCCCCTCAATCCCAGACAACATCAGCTCCAAATCCCAACGGATCCCGGTCATCCCCCTGCAACAGCAGCCCTCCAATCCAGACCTCTCTCTGGACGGGATGTATCTACGCGGCGAGCGCACAGCGCAGGACCCATTCGCCGACCCGTCTGTCCTTGCCATCGCCGCTCCGTCTCGCGCGGCCTCGTTCTACTCTTCGTCTACCCGGGACTGTGAGCGCGAGAGCGCGGATGTCCTCGCTGGACCCCGTGCGAGCATGGGGTATCTACATACGTCCGTGATGCGCGATAGTATGCGCAGTGATCCGTTTGATCTTGACCTGGAGCCTCCGCCGAGCGCGCACCACCGCCCTCCTGTTCCTCCGCTTTCGACGCCGTGGGGTGTCAGGTTCTAGAGATTGCTTATGTTCTTCCTCCTCGCACTTTGGGTCTCTCTGGTTTGGTTCTGATTCGGCAGGTTTGCATAGATTATACGGGTCTTCTGATATACTTCCCGGAGTTGGCTGTTGAACTCACGACGACAAGATTTACGATACGCTATGTTCTTCAATTCTTCACACTTCTGGTTCCTTGTTAGCATCTCTTTCTTTCATTCGGTTCGGTTCAACGGATGGGCTAATTCTTTGGTTATATTGCACGTGTGTACGATGAAAATGAGAGCAGTTTTCTAGGTTGGCTTTGGAAAGGTTCGATTTTGCGTGGGTGTTGGGGTATCAAGGATGGGTTTTTATATATCCACCCGCTGTGGTGATCTGATGCAAAACTGTCTCCGTCCTGTGTAGAGTTCTTCGACATGGAAGTATGCCATAGGTACGTACCTACCTGGTAGATAATGGAGAGCAGCTTTGATATCTGATAGGTATTACATCTATGACGATATTGTGGTGAGTACGTAGTGGGTTTCTCAGACCAGAACCTAGTGGATAGGCCTCTTCTAGAGCAGATGCCAATACTACTCGTGGAGAGCCATAAGACCCATAATTATTCTGGAGCTCTTTAATCCACGAGACTGGGGTCGTCAAGATAGAATCGAGAGCCTCGTCCAATGTTGACTTCCATATGATCTACGAGGCCATTGATAGTAACACTAGAAGTAGACCAAGTACGATCTGCTTCACCACACATCGAGTCCGATACCAGAAGCACTAGACATGAACGGAACGAGGTACAGTCTTGTCTGGCCTTTTGAAGTAAAAAAAAGATTTCCTTTTGCTTTCTCGTTACATTTTTGACCAAGAATAGCTTTGAGTATCACATCATCATCGCATCTTCCTATTTCCCATACCCCAGATTTCCTGAAAAGATCCACGAACCCTGTGCTAATCAGAGAACCCAAGGCAAGGAGAGAAAGTCGTAACAGAATCTAGACTAACTAGGAAGACGCCGAAGGCCGACCTGGGTTCGATGTCGGGGACAGCCTCGAATCCCGCATCCCGAATCCAACCCAGAAGTTTAACCGTTTCCAACCTCCGCACCGCCGAATTGCGAAAAAAAGTGTCAAACAACGGAAGGGTAATTGAATTTTTGTATCAGATTTACTCCTCGTTGACCAGAGCATCGCGCTTGGCCTCCTTGCGCTCCAACCGACGCTCACGCAGAGCCTTGTTCTTGGCACGCTTGGCGTCCATCTCCTCCTTGAGGGCACGGTCGCGTTGACGCTCAGCCTTAGCCTTCTGGATCTGTAGCGGGAAAAAGAGAACGAGTCAGCCTGTGTCCTTTGTTGCGTGTCTTATGGTTCATAGGTTCATATTTTCATGTTCCATATTCGATCGTCATCCGTGGGGTTGATCCGGGTTGTAACTTACGTGCTCAACGAGGGCACGCTTGTGCTTGAAGGTGTTACCCTTGCTCAGGTGGTAGAGCTCGTGGTAAAGGTGCTTGTCGATCTTGCCGGCGGCGCGGTAGCGGACGAGCAGACGACGGAGGACACGCATGCGGCGCATCCAGAGGACTTGGCTAAAAAAAGGAAATGGGATCAGTAACTGTGCTCCGGTTCGTAGTTCCGCACGACCGATAATAGGTCGACAGAACTTGAGAGGAGATGCTGTGCATACCTGGGCATACGGGCATCCTTGGTACCCTTGCGCTTACCGAGACCACGGTGACGACCGTTGCGGCGGGCCTCAGTGAGCTCACGGGCGCGGGCACGGGAGTGCATGGTGACGGGCTTGCGGATGATGAGGCCATCGCTGACGAGCTTGCGGATGGTCTGGCGAGAGTTGGCGTTGGAGATCTCGCTCATCTCATTGGGGTCGAGCCAGATCTTGCGCTTGCCGCAGCCGACCACGGAGGCGGCGAGGCGCTTCTGGGTGGTAAGGTTGACCCTGTGGTGAAAGACCCGGTCAGCATCATGGCACACACATCACGAAGTTGTTCCTCCACGATAGCGAAAAATGTCGGGTCCACGAGATGGATATTTGACATGAATTTCCACAGCACACGGGAGTGCATTCGAGTATTTCAATAGCAGTTTGGAGATGAACTCACATCTTGATGTCGGCGTATCGACGGTCGTTGGCGGATGATGTTCGTGGCACTGAGAAATCCCGACAGTGAGAGTTTGAGAGGGCACTGCGGGCCAGATTAGGTCAGCCGAGGGCTAAGCGAGTACTCTTTCACAGTGGGTGGAGAAGTCCAGGGTGCTTGCCCTAGCGCTAGTCCGAATCAGGAAGGGAAACTTGGAGATCTTGCTGTCCGGGGAAGTCCAAGAGTACTTACACTGGGGGATAGAGATGGAACTGAGATGAGAATAATGGAAGGTGAGGACTGCGCTCTATCTTCCTTTCTCTGTTTGGTTTGCCGTGGCTTTTGTTGTAAAAAGAGCGAAGAAGAATGCCAACACGTGACGTCGAAGACTAGCAGCGTCACATGACCTCATCTCCCCGTTTAGAAGTTTAGGGCTAAGTGATCTACAGTACGGAGTAGTACTATGCAGACATCTTACAACAGAAGTCCAGCACATAAGGGGCATCATCAATCACAGAACAATGCAACATAACCTATACACCAACACACATATACACATAACTTTTGTACGATTAAAGCAAATAAGACCCAAGGGTATATCTCTATAAATGTAGATGCTCCTTGGATGCGTGCAAGCAAATCATCACTCATCGCCAAAGGCCTCTCCAAGATCAACCTTGCCAATGCTCCACACCTCCTTCTCATCATCCACTTCGTCATTGGAAAGTCCCAAGCCACCCTCGCCACCTTCAGCCTCGCGACGCTCACGGGCTTGGTTAGCCAAACGAATAGCAATGCGCTTGAAGTAATCAGACATGCTACGCTTGGGCCCAGGTGGCAGGGATGCACCCGGACCAGCCATGTACTTGTCAAACACTTCGCTTTCGGACTCAACCACCGAGAAGATGGCCAAGAATGCGGCTTCAGCGGCCAGCTTGACGGGAATCACCAGATCGCGGACACTGGCGAAAATGGGCGGTGCGAGCAGAGCCAGATGAGGACGGGTCAGCTCGGGGTGAAGACGGCTGACAGTTCGGATGACAACCAAGCTCAATCGGCGGGTATCGCTCGGCCGACCAACCTGGACCGCAGGCGCCAGCGCTTCGAAGATCGCCTTACTTGACTCGAAAGCGTGGTTGCCGTCATTGGACAATAGGTACTTGCCTGCAGCAAGCGCGCTGTTGTCGGAGACGAAGGGCTGTTCCTGGATTAGCGTTCATCCAAAACACTTGATTTGGCATTGTACTTACATCGCTGTGTGCAAGGCCTTCACAAATGACAGTGGGCAGCTCCTCAGAGAAGTGTTCCGTCAGAACCTCGGGACATTCAGCCAGCAGAGCATTGAGTCCTAGGACTCCCGCGTGGGAAAGGGAGCCAGTGAGGATGCGGTTCCTATTGGGACATATATTAGTATCTAGTCAATTTCAATCATGAGATGAATGTGCATACTTGATAAGGGGAACCGAGCTCGTGGCAGGGAGAACCTTCACGAGCGCACCGAGGAGACGAGCGTTGGTGATAGAAACGGAATCTAGGTATATTAGTAAAGCACCAAGCAAAGGAATTCTGCATAGTGATCTTACCTGTCTGGTCGCTGGTGTCATCATCAATCAAACCAAGGATTGCCTGTCGGGATGCCTCGCTCATGTTGGCGCCGGCCTTGCCAACCACCTCCTGGAGAGCCTTCATCATGGCGTTCTTCACGCCAATGTCGGTGGTCTTTGATCCCGCGATAAGTTCTAGATAGAAGAAATTGTCAGAAAGAAACCACATCGCCGAGATAAACTGCCCTGAACTTACCAGCAATAAGAGGATCAACCCTGGGGGTCAGAGTAATCAAGATACCAAGACCCTTCGCAGCCCTGTTGCGCAGGGTCTCGCTCGTGGTGTCAGCCAGACCACGGGCGAATGTGCGCTGAAGCTGGGGCAAGAACGGCTTAACGGCCATCGGAATCTTCTCCAACAGCTTGTTAAGGGTATAGAAAATGGCGCCTGACGAATATTGTTAGGAATGAGATCCACATAAAAGGCTTACTATGACTTACACTTGATGTCCACAGAGCGTTCTGATACCACACGAATAAGAGGACCAGTGATCTGGGTCACGAAAGGCTTCAATGACTCGGCGCGAGTACGGTCAATGATGTCAGACATCGCAAGAGCGGATTGAGTACGCTGGTCGGCAGTACCGTTGAGAAGACCCTGCAAGAAGATTGGCAAAATAGCCATGATTCCCTTGGGTAGACTGAAGCCAGGCAAATCTGCACCAGGAACGCCCACTTGTCGCAGAATCTGGCGAGTGGGAATGACCAAACTCTCCATCTCCTCCTTGCGCATGTGGGACATGAGACCCGTGAGAGCGGTCCACGCCGATTTGACGACATCCTTGTCCGGGTCGTCAAATGAGATCAGCAAAGCACGGATCAAGTCCTGATAGTATCGCGAGAAGTCGTGCTCGGCTTCGGCGAAGAACTTGGTCAGATGAAGCGCCGCAGCAGAGCGACGACGGTGATCATCGTGCTTGACAAGCGTGACCATCACATTCATACCAACGCTCAAGCCATCGTACTCATCCACGGAAACCAAGACCGTGTCAAAGGCAGTGCTGAGCTCTTCCCGAAGCTCCTCATCGGTAGTCTCAATAATACCGTCCATGAGAGAGTTGAGGATAGTTGGCAACCTCCTTGTCATAGCAGAGCTAGCAACCTCGGCCAGAGATGCCAGGGCCCTTGCGTTGAAAGCAGTGATTGGCGGCGTGAGCAACGTGGGAATAAGGTTGGGGAGGATAATGTTGGCACGAGTCTGCTCAGTGAGCAGAGTCAACAGAGCCGACAACGCCTGCTCTGCCTCGTCGTCGGTTCTCAACAAGTGGAGAAGGTGGGGTAGAACTTGGTCCACGACCCGCTTGCCCATGATCTGCTGCAGTGAGTCGAAAGCCTCGGCAGCAGCTTCTCGAACATCATCATCGCTGTCGACCAAAGCAACACGGATGGTGGCGATGAGGATGGCCTCATAGTCCTCCAGTGCATCGGGGGAAGCGGCTGTGATAAGCTCCCGGAGAGCGATACAGATACCTTGCTTGACATCGACATCGGGCGAAGCCTGAAGACCATCTTGAAGCAAAGGCAGCAAGGTGCTGAGAACAGATTCTCCAGCCTTCTTGATAAGATCTCCAAGAGCGTTGCTGGCAATGACCTTCTGTTCCATGTTGGTAGACCCAAGGCGACGAATAATGAGCTGAGACAGCGTAGGAACCATCTCCTTGAGTGTCCTGGGGGAGGCGACAAGCGCCTTCCAGACACCCAGGGCTGCGCTCTTGACCTGTCCTGAGGTATCGCAGCGACAGATGTACAGAGCCGAAAGAACCTTGTCCCTGCGCTCGGCTCCGAGAACCTCCAGCAAGGACTGGCCAGCCTGAGTGGCTTCCTCTTCTTCTTCTTCGCCCTCTTGTTTGCCAGAGATACCAGTAAGACTGAAGAGAAGATCACCAACAAGCTCGACGGAGCTGAGACGAATGCGGTAGCTGTCGTCCGCAAGGCCACGCTCCAATTCGGGAAGCAAGAGATCGATGGCCTTGTGGGCGAAGTTCTTGACAAGCAGGCGACCGGCGCGGAGAGCGGTCTCGCGAATAGACTCAATGTCGTCGGCCAGACCAGCAAGGATGGGGGGAATAATCTTGCTAAGGTAGTTGGCAAAGCTGTTACCGAAGCAAGCAGGCAAGAAGATGAAGAGTGTCATGAAGCCTTCACGAACAGAAGGCTTGGCGCTTGAAACGTTCTGGAGAATAGTCGGCAGCGTCTCCTCGAGTCTGGTGGTACCGAGGCCTGCGAGGACCTCCGAAAGGGCTTGAGCAGATCCGAGTCGGTCACCAGCACCAGTATCGGATTTGAGGGTAGACATAAGGTTGGGAATGAGCTCTGGCAGAGCATCCTCACCAAGCTTCTCGATGAGTGAACCAAGGGCCTTAGAAGCAGTAGCACGAGTTGTGGGCACTGGATCAACGATAGCCAGATTGAGACCGGCCACAAGGATAGGCAAGTGGGCGATAAGATCCTTGCGCTCGGTAAGGTGGGCCAAACTGCCAATAATTTGTGCTGACTTCCGCTTGGTGTTGGATCGGTCACTAAGACCACGCTCGAGAATACGCACAACAAGGGCCAAGGAGGGAGCATCCAGGTAGTGAGCGAAGGAAACCTTGATCAAGGAGTCCAAAGCCTCATCCGTGTGCTTCGTAGGATCGCTCAGAGCCTTCAGGAGGACGCTAACTAAGCTCTTCACTTCGGGGTTGCTAATGACCTCACCGAAGCGCTGAAGACTGCGGTTTGCTGCACTACGGACCTCCTTGTGGGTATCATTGAGAACAACTGTCAGAGGGGGGATAATGTCGGGCAGACTGGCCGCAAGCTGCTGCGGGTCCAAGTACGCCATGGCTCCAAGAAGATCGCAAGCACCCTTTTGACTGCGCCATTGTGTATCATCCAAGCCGTCAAGCAGAGTAGGAAGAATTTCCTTCACGCCGAAAGAGCTGAGGTTCTGGAAGCAAGCTCTTGAGGCCTCCAGACAAGCTTCACGAACACTGATGCTGGTGTCACCGAAGCCCCCGAGAAGCTGGGGTACAAGCTGGATCACGAAAGGTTCAAAGGTCCGTCCCAAAACAAGGGCGAAAAGCTCGTAGGCCATCAAGGCGCCGCGGCGGTAATCCTTTTCCCTCTTGTTCTCAACGGCCTCCTTGAGCTGGCTCATGATGCGGAATTCTCGCAAGGTAGCAATACCCCTGCCGCACACAACTGCTGCAAGACCATACGCGGCGCCGCGTTGACGAGGGTAGTCAGGGGCGTGCAAAAGTCGGTGGAGTAGGTTTTCAACGTATTCTTGCGTCTTCGAACCAGACGATCTAATCAACGGAGGCAAACACTCGGACACAGCGTGCTGCACGGACTCTGAGGGTGTATCAAGGGCCACGAGCAGCTCACTGATAACAGTTTGCAGACGAGGATCATCTGCTTCGAGATGTGTTGCCACAGAGCCGTAGAGGACGATCACAGCCTCGTTGAGGAGATCAGAGGATTCGGTGTCTTTGTCGGAGGTTTCCAAAGTCGTTTGAAGCAGGTTCATCATCTCCTCAACCTTGGACTTGCCTCGCAAAATAATGATTGACTTACCACTCTCTGTCATTTGGCTGCGGACCCGAGAGTTTCCATCGAGCAAGGGGCCCTTTTCAATGAGGAAGCGCAAAAAGGCAACAGCCTCGTCACCATCGAACAGCTTGGTCATGGCATCGAAAGCCAGCGCAATACCACTGCGAGTCTCCCAGCGGTCAGAGACTTCTACTTTCATGGGCATTCCGTAGGCGTCCTTTTCGGGTGCCTTGGGTTTCATCTCATCGATATATTTGGCTTGCAGTTCGGATAAAATGCCCGCAAACTTGCTCTTATCAAATTCGATGGCATGTGCCAAAGCGCGAGCAGCAGCACCCCTGAGTTGGTGGTCCTTGGAGTCCAAATACTTCATGATCTTGCTGAATGAGCTGTCATCCACTTCTAGGGCATTGTCCTCCCAGATTGTGTCTGCAATCTCGGCATTCTCCTCCACCATGTCGTGGCAGCATAGCCAGATGTGCTCCGAGAAATCGAGGTCAGTCAAATCGATCTCCGCTTCAATGACCTGTAGCACGGTTGTTCGGACGGAAGCATCGGCGACGATGGCTCCTTGCAAGAGCGTCTCCAACTCCTCGCTGCTGATGTTAGGTGAGATGCATCGGCTGAAGTCGAACAATGTGTCCTTGACCAGCTTGTAGTGCTGGGTATATCTTTGCATGGCGGACAAGAGCTGGCCGAGAATTTCGACCCGAGGAAGACGGGGGTCGGTGACTTCATAGGCGTGTTAGCAAGTCGCTGTTTAAGTAAAACTATCAAGGGAAAGAGCGAGAAACTCACAAGAGGCGGAGTGGAACGACAAGAACTCAAGAGCAAGAAGAACTTGGGTGCCTTCCTCCTCTCCCTTCGCTTCTTGAATGCCGTTCTGGGTCAAAACCAGAGAGATGAGGGGAAGAACGTAAGCGAGTGACGTGGGATCGAAAGGACGTTGCTCGGAAGCAAAGCGCAATCGGTAGAGAATTCTCGTTACGAGTTCTCCGAGGGGCTCCAATTCCATGTCAGAGGGGAGATTGGTGTTACCAATGGCTCGCAGTGTCGCAATACCCACGAAAGATCGCAGAGGGCCTAGGCGGCTAGAGACCTTGTCGGCGCAAGTGATGAATGCCCGGGAGACAATATCACCGACGAACAGGCCCGCACCAGCGTGAGCAAGTGATAGCAAAGAAGTGACAGCAGCGTTGATCCATCCTTCGACGTCATTGGCAGGACCTGTTGCAAGGCCCTGGATAAGACCTGCTCCTCTTTCAATCCGCTTGACTTCTTCCAAGACCTCTTCACGGATCTTGGCCTCCTTGGCAAGCTGTGCCTTGACCTTGGCATGCTCCTCGGGAGTAAGTTTCTTCTGGCTCTGGCCCTTCTTCTCGGCCAATTGCGCACGAAGCTCCTCTTCCCATTTCAAGGTATCATAGTCTTTAGTGTTCTTATCGAAGGCAGGCTGCTTCGACTTACTGCTGAGCACATCAATGAAGGCAGTACCTTCAGGAGTGCGTGCAATGGCGGCATCTGTGGCAGTGAACTTAGCGAGGCGGCTGCCGTCGAGATCATATTTGATTTGATCGACCAAACGGGGAACCATTGCATCAGGGGCAACGAACGCTAGTTCAGCCCCAGCACTGAAGACGGCGAGGTTGATATTTGGCACCGCTGACTGCACGGGATCTGCGTTCACGCGGACTAACTGCTCGATACAATTGGCAGGATGTGCGCGAACAAGATTTCCAGGGTCAGTGCCGGTCCTCAAACACAACTCGATCCAAGATGTGTTCGGGATTAGCTCGGGCCGACTCAAAACCAAGATTTCAATAAGCAGAACTTCGACATGAGAGGAAGTTGTTTCGGAAGCTTCCAAGCGAGCTTTGGTTGGGCAAAGGGCCTTTAACACCATGTGGAGTAGACGTTCGCTTTCTGGCCCAGCAGAGACTGCTGCTGATTCCTTCTCCGCGGTCCTGAAAGAGAGCATCCAGGTCCATAGTGCATTGACGATGACACGTCCGAAAGTAGCCACATCCGTCAGATAAACTCGGGTCAACAATTCCGCAAAGCTCTCACGAATGTTTGAGGGAACGGCAGGCGCGGTGATCGCGTATATGAAGGACTGAGCCCAGGCTGTCTGAGACGCATTTTCAGAGCTAGTGAACTTAGACCCCGAGGTGACAGCAGCCAGCGATCTGACAAGCCACTGGATCTCCCTACTGGAAGTCAACTTTGAGTAGACTCTGGGATTGAGAAGGAAGGAAGGCTTGGGGCTTAATGTCATTGACTGGGAGACCAATTCCTCCCAAGCAGACTTGGCGGATCCTTGAATATCGGAAGTTCGGTGGAATAGGGCCAGGAAAACATAGGCCGAAGATAGAGCACCGCTCTGGGCAGAAGGAAGCGGATTGGAAGCGACCTCGCCAAAAAGATCCTTCATCTTAGCAAGGACCTTGGTGACAAGTGGCTCGATTTCAGCACTATTCAAAGCCTCAAGCTCAGACTTCCAGAGCACTTCTCCGACGCTCGTTTGCCAGATCTTCCGGAACGGGATACGCTTATCAGATACACCTTTGACAATAGTGTTGATAACATCATCGCTGATTCCCACTTTAGATTGAATGAGGTGGTCAAGATGATTGCTGAAGGACTTGATCTCCTCTTCCATAGCAGCTTCATTGGGCTCTTTTGAAAGGACGGGGCAGAACCCTTGAACAATATCTTTGGAGACATCCACCGAAGGTGAGATAGCCGCAATGGCCTGAGCGTAAGCAAGTCGGTGCTCAGCAGTGGTAATCTTTTGGGTTTTGAGAGGACCAACGATATCACTGGTGATTTTCAACACCAAGGCATCAGCTCTGCATCGAGAGAGCAAGGATCCAAAAGAATCAGCGGCTCCTTGGCGGATCAATGGGTTATTTGACTTCATGCTAGTGAGAAGATGTTTGGAGAGGCGCGTGTGCACTATTTCTGACAGATCAATTTCTTCTGGCAAAGAGGCACACAGAGGTGGGATCACGCCGCCGAGAACCACCTCTGGTGCTCGGAGGATAGACTTCTCAATGGGAGGTACTAATTCCGTGGCAACATCTTCAAGCGTTATAAAGGAAGCGAAGAAGTCGGACATGCCATTGGCGACATGTGCAGGCACGGCAGATTTTGAGCTCACGATCTCCTTGACGTAGAATGCCGTAATCTCTTTCTTAGACTCTTCGAGGACCGATCGTTTGTCTGCTAGGCGCGCACAGACTCCGCATACAACACCAAGGAGAGGCGCATTCTTGTATGCTGCGGTAGAGTCCTTGGTCAGTCGGCTGACAGATTGCCGCACTGCATCCGAACCCCATGCCTCAGCCGAGAACACGGCGCGCAAAGCACGTCTTGTTACTCGGAGGGCCGACTGCTTTACTGCAGGCCTGGGGTTGTGGGCAAGGCAATTTTCTAGAGCCTTGGCATCGACTGCGATCAGGTCCAGCACGATGGCCAGCGGTGTGTTCTGGTCCTCGCTAGCCTGTTGCAACAGGATAGAGCACCATTCCAACAGCACAAAGGCAAACGAGGAAGCCAGGCCTGGCCTAGAGGCCTCGGCTTGCAATTTTGATGTAAGCAATTTTATATCTTCGATCGCATTGGGGGTGCGGAGGAGCGAGCGGAGGCATTGCTGGACAGCCTGTCGGGAGGATCGATCGACATAGAGACGATAAGTTCGGAACAACAACTCTAGTATATCTCGATGGGTTTCGGGGGATACTTCAGACCCTACAGAGTACATAGTCAGAAAAGATGCTCCTCACAAGGCCACAACTCATCACTTTACCATTCTTGTCGCGGAGTTCTTGCAGGGCCCGGAGCCTGCGCGAGGTCGAACTGGAGAGGAGAACGACCTGCAAGGCATCCAGATCCCCGGCCTTGACCTGGTCCCATGGAATTCCATCCATGATCGGCGGTCAATACGGGGGAATGGAGAGAGAAGGGGGTGGTTCAGAGAGTGTGAGGTTGGTGAAGTGGGCTAGGAATGCTGTCATAAGAGTTTTGTGTGGGGAGCTGGATTTCATCCCGCCATTGAACAGCCATGGCCCGACTCTTCGTTCCTTACACCTTTCAAGACCACTTTTGGGAATTTATTACACGAAGACTTGCAGTATATCTCAGTTCACATTCATTGATCTTTGACCGCTGACTTGCAGCGTGTCTTTAGACATTTCCGCTGGCTCCGCTGCTAGTCAAGCCATAATGCCGCCGAGCAGCAAGAAAAAGAAGAAGCCAGCCTCCAACCCGGCTCGAGGCTTTGCGACAGTCTCTACTCCCTCGAAGGCTAAGCCAGAGGCAACAGCAACACCTTCTCCGGTCACCGAAGAGTCAAAACCCACGCCGCAAACCGAATCCCAACCTGATCCCACCGCACCACCCACTGCAGATGCCGCCGCGCCCCAGGCGACTTCGTCGTTACAAGACTATACGCCGGAAGAACTAGGGAGACATTTGGAAGAAGCAGAGCTCCAGATCTTGGTGGACAAATATGCGACCAAATGTAAAACGGACGCAGCGCGGCAGGCCACCAAGCTGGACACCGAACGCCGCGTGTTTCGACAACAATCGACACCATTGAGCCTGTTGGAGTGGTTACCGAATGAGATCCAAGACAGTATTCTTGAATTGGCCGGTACCGAAGAGGTGGAATACCTTATAGCGAATGGGCGGAGCACAAGTCCAAAGCAGGCTAGCTCTGAAGAGGAGTTATACTCTAAGCTCTGGATTTTGAAAGAGACTCTGCTCAAGCTTGAGTTCCCCGAGCATCGCGTTGAGGATGCATTGAAGCATGTTCTGCATTATTTCGCTGGTAACTCCACCAGTGCCGGACGGGATGTGGTGTGGAATCTCGATGAAGCGCTGGAATGGCTGGCTATGCACAGTGACAAGAAGGAATTGCCCTCTTACACACAAACAACTCGTCAATTAAAAGATACAGATGCTGTCACGTCATGGATGTCCGGTAAAGTATTTCGGTCGCTGAGAATCTCTTCTAGGGTACAAAGCTAACTTCTATCAGACTCAAATCCTTCGGGCTCTTCGACTCCCCTTTCGTCCCGGAATCGCGGCAAACAAGTGAACAAAAAAGCCGACTGGAAGGCAGCAAAGGTTGCTCCACCTATCTCATACGACTCAGACAGCTCAGTCGACCCAGATGTCATGGTTCCCGAATGGCTGGAGCTGCAGACTCAGCTTTACAGGCTGGAGCCAGATCTCTTTGATCGCCCTGGAAAGGGCAAGAAAGGCCGTGGAGGTGCTGCGCAGCTGTCGGACGATCCTGAGGTCTCAAAACTACAGCGCAAAATTGCCAAAATTGAGCGCGACGTACTTTTCGAACGCAGAGAAGCAGAGTATATTTGGGATCAAAAGCTTGACGAGCTCAGAAAAGACGCTACATTCATTCGGCGCCCGGTGGATAGAAAGAAAAAGTCTCCGACCGAGGCAGAGGACCAACCTAAGCCCGAAAATGGCGAAGAGATAGACCCCGGTCTACTGGAGATCGAGGGAATGGAGGATGCCTTGGGTGACATGTTCCAAACCGAGCCTGAAGAATCCGAGTCCCTCCTGGGTCTTCCTCCACCAGAGACTAAGATTGCGTTCACGATCCGAGACTTTGGCAAGGCGACCGGTCTGAGTCCACGCCGGGTCTTGGAGGAGACTTGCAAATCGAGAGACTCATCTTGCGTGGTAGTCTACCGAGACTTTTCTACTTCAAGCCATTCGAACCGAAAAGCGCTGGAGGTGCGATGGTCGAAACCCCAAGAGGCACCATTCCCGCTCGCGGTGGAATCAATTACACACAAGTCGAATGCCTTGGCTACTTTTGTGTCAATGGATGCACTCACAACACCGAATCCCCAGCAAGCTGAGGGATACGTGTCGACTCTGGCCCTATTCATCCTGTTCCCCCAGAATTCCAAAGAAGGCAAGGCCTACCTACGTCTACCAGCTGTTTGGAGGGACCTGTGGACTGAGTTTGCAACATTGCAAAAGGCTCAACAAGACGAAGTTGACAAATCCACCGTCAAAGCGTTGAAGCGTTTGGTCCAGGAGAATCAAGGCACCTTTGAAGACGATGTTGTCCTTTCTGACAACTTCCGGAAGAGGAACGGAGTTGGGAGCAAGCCCGGGACCCCGATGAAGGGCTCTACGCGTGACAATTACTCCGGCATCGACGAGCGTCTGAAGGATGTTTGGATGGCGAAGTCGTCCACACCCTCGTATCACCGCATGATGGAGGGTAGAATGAACCTCCCAATCTGGGGATTCAAAAATGAGATTCTGAGCACGCTCGATGATCACCGAGTCCTCATCATTTGCAGTGAAACAGGCAGTGGAAAGAGTACTCAGATTCCATCCTTTATTCTCGAGCATGAGATGCTTCAAGGCCGTCCCTGCAAGATATATGTGACTGAGCCCCGTCGTATCTCCGCAATCTCCCTTGCTCGGCGTGTCAGCGAAGAGCTTGGGGAGCACAAGAACGAGGTTGGCACGAATAGGTCTCTCATTGGATTTGCAGTGCGATTGGAAAGCAAGTTCACTCAATCCACGCCATTGATTTATGCGACCACGGGAGTGGTTGTCCGAATGCTCGAGCGCCCGGACGACTTCCAAGACATCACACATGTGGTCCTTGATGAAGTTCACGAGCGCACAATTGACAGTGACTTCCTTCTGATCGTACTACGACGGCTAATGCAGAAGCGTCCTGATCTGAAGCTCATTCTTATGTCAGCTACCTTGGAAGCGCAACGGTTCTCCAATTATCTCGGTGGGGTGCCAGTCTTGAACATTCCGGGACGAACCTTCCCCGTGGAGATGAAGTACTTGGAGGATGCAGTCGAGATGACCAACTATCGCTTGTCAGAGGACGCCCAGCACACTGTCCTTGACGACGATATGGACGATCCACCCACCGATGCTGACACGACCGGGGGGCTTCAAGCCAGTCTTGATGGATACTCCAGACAGACCAAGGAGACTGTCATCAACATCGACGAGTACAGAATGGACTACGAGCTGATCAAACGGCTGCTCATGAAGATCGCCACAGCACCAGAGATGGCTCACTACAGCAAGGCAATTTTGGTCTTCATGCCTGGACTGGCAGAGATTCGTCGCCTGAACGACGAGATTTTGTCTGAGCGGATGTTCCAGAGAGATTGGATCGTGCACACGCTTCACTCCTCAATTGCCAGTGAAGACCAAGAAAAGGCTTTCGACGTACCTCCGGAAGGCACAAGGAAGATTGTTATCGCAACAAATATTGCGGAAACAGGTATCACCATCCCAGATATCACAGCTGTGGTTGATGCCGGAAAGGAGAAGATAATGCGCTTCGACGAGCGACGTCAATTGTCCCGCCTCGTTGAGTCGTTCATCTCCCGTGCAAACGCCAAACAGCGTCGTGGTCGTGCTGGCCGTGTCCAGAATGGTATCTGCTTCCACCTGTTCACTAAGCACCGTCACGATAAGTTGCTTTCTGAACAGCAGACACCGGAGCTGCTGCGTCTTTCCTTGCAGGATCTAGTGCTTCGAGTGAAAATCTGCAAACTGGGTGAAGTTGAGCAGACACTTCTTGAAGCTCTTGACCCCCCATCTTCTAAAAATATTCGCCGTGCCATTGACTCACTGAAAGAAGTCAAGGCTCTGACGAGTAACGAGAGCTTGACATCCCTCGGAACACAGCTGGCCAAGTTGCCGCTAGATGTTTTCCTTGGCAAAATGATCATTCATGGAGCCTTTTTCCGGTGTTTGGACGCGACTGTCAGCATCGCTGCTATCCTTTCTTCGAAGTCGCCCTTTGTGAACACGATGGGTTCTAACACGCAGCGTGATAGCGCGCGGGCGTCTTTCCGAAGAGGTATGTACCAACACCTTGTCTTCAACTGTCAATGACTAACAAATCATAGGTGACTCGGATCTGTTGACCGTGTATAATGCCTACTGCAGTTGGCGACGCACGAGGAGCACATCAGGGTCGAACGAGTTTGCATTCTGCCGAAAGAACTGCCTTAGCCCGCAGACCTTGCTGGCGATCGAGGATGTGAAGATGCAACTGGTTGTGTCAATTGTCGACGCCGGCCTTCTCAATCTAGATGCATCCCAGAAAGCGGCTCTTAACCGGTAGGCAATCCTTCAAAAGTAAACCCGATCTGAAAAAAGTGCTTACCAATTCTCCAGTGCGCGCTCCAACAGCCGAAGCCGTCAGTTCTTCATCATCCCTGAAGATTTCGATATCAACAGCAACAATGACGTTGTGATCAACTCAGTCATCGCTTGGAGCTTCTACCCAAAGCTTCTGACACGCGAGGGCAAGGGCTGGCGTAATGTCGGCAACAACCAGACAGTCACACTGCCTGGTGTGTCTGTCAACAAAAGAGCGGACTCGTCGGTCAAGTGGTTGTCGTACTATAGCATCATGGCGCGTGCTCGTAACCTCAACGCGCACGATACCAGTGCTGTGGATGAATTCGCTATAGCTTTGCTATGTGGTGATGCTGAATTCAAGGTAAGGCTACAGTCACTCTTCACCCTCCGCTCCTCCCTTTTTCTCTTGGCAATGGGCTAACCGCTATCGATGCAGCTGTATTCGGGTGTCATCTCCATCGATACAAACCGTATTCGCTTCTCTGTGCGGGATTGGAAGTCTATGCTCGCACTGAAGATACTCAGCAGCCGTCTGCGCGAAATCCTTTCGAATACTTTCCGCAATCCGCACCGTCCACTGTCATATAAGCACCAGCAGTGGATTGACATATGGCAACAGATCTTCGCTCAGGCTGGTAAGCGATGAATATGCCACGTCTTAAAATGTGATTATGCCATGTGCCTTTGATGAGATATGCCTGTAAAAAATTCATGATGAGCATGGTTGGGTTGACTGTAGAGTTCTTTGGAATACTTTGGGCTGAGACACTTTGATGGACAAACATTCTCTTTTGTTCGATTGGAGAATCGTTCTTGGTTGGTATGTGTATCCTCTCATTTGTAGCTACTGTCGACGTCCAGGAAACGCAGACCATACTAGACATATACTACCACCTAAGTCTCCGCTTCCGCTCAAAGACCAGACATAGGTATATTGATGGACACAACCCTATAACTCTACGATTCTACCTATCAGATACCTATTCCTGAACACCACACCCTCAAACATTCAAGATTCTTCGAACACACTTTCTGATATCACCCCGAGGCAACACAAATTCCATGCCCTGGCGATCCATCAGCAGGAACCGTCCACGGGTAGCATCCCTACATGAACGACGGGAGACAGCATACTGCATCGACCACGCCTTCTAGAAGTACGTTCATCTCTACATAGTACAAAAGCACAAAGCACTGCAGCCATGCCCGTCGAGTCAATGCACCGACGCCATCAGCACTGATCCGCCCTGCGTGAACCATACTCTCCGTACCAGAGATCGAGATCAAGATCAAGATCCAGGCATAACTCCTGCATAAGCAAGGCCAAAGCATAGAAGATCAAAGACAAGTCTCTATCAAATCCCCAGCCAAAGCCGAGACCGACGTTCTCACCCTTCTCACCCCGCCATTCCGCACGGGAAACAATCGGTCTACGAAAAACAGCTCGCAGTCCCCAATGATCAATCAAGGGATATACCAACCTCCCACCGCTCTCTGCCACACCCAGCAAACACGGATCATCCCTTGATAGACACGAGACCAGTGTGTATACGGGGGTAGCGGTGAAGACAATCATATGTACATCGGTACTTCGGGAAGAAATTCTGAAGCCTGCACAGCAGGAAATGGAATCTTGGACGTCTGCGCCAACCGCATGCCACATATCCACATTCCCCAGCATCGAACACCCGAGCCAACCAGAGGTGGTAGAAACAATGTCTCTTATTCTTTTCTTTTATCTTTTGCTTCTATGAAACTAAACTAAAATAAAACCTCAAACAATCCCCAAACCCAAGACACCACACACCGCCCCCCCCCCACCTCTGCACAATCCGAATGGCAGACATGCTTCGAGAATGCAGATAGCATCGCCCTAACCGTAAAAGGCTATCATGCCTACATTCTGCATCGAGGTACATCCTACATACAGGCACTTAGCTAGAGATCCCAGCCTAAAGAAACTAAACTACCGTACCCTGTGCATGTACATGTACATGGGACCTGTACTTATTCATGCACGATAACCCCATACGGCACTCGGCTCTTGGACCATCTTCTCTTTCTGCGCTGGCAGCTAGCTGTTGGTTTGGTTCGGTCTGGGTCTGCATTTCTTATCGTAGCCGGTACATGGTACTTTGCAGCTTGGGCTGGGGGTGCATGGGTATATGTACGTACCATGTACATGTACATTCTTCGATCGACGACGGGTGACACCCTTCTCCGGGGAGTGAGAAGCGTGGAGGGCGCGTGTCGGGTGTATGGGGTTCAGTTTACTTGGGTTATCTGAGACAGAAGAGACGGTGTGGGATTTCTACTGTGTACTTGTGGTTTGTGTTCTTTTGGGTCTTGCTGGGCTTTGACTGGGGTTCCTTGTTTAGAAATGTAGGATTAAGATGGTTGTTTTCTTGCATTATTGTTCTCGTGGTTGGGGATGGCATGGAGATGCTGTTTTTATATAGAGCTAAAAGTACATCCATGGCTTTGCATATTTGCTTATTTAGGTTGCTCCAGGGTTGTCAACACTGTAAAGATGGCCATTAGTTACCAGTCCTAGTAGACTTAGTACGAAATCCATGGATAAAGAGTCAAAGTAAGTTCGATCAAGGCGTTTCGACTTATGTCGTACATAAAGATCGAATCTTCTCAGCCTTAACCCATCCAAGTCCAAGTTTATCTTCCGATCGGGTTAAAGCCGACATCGGGAGAGGATACACCTGTCAAGATCAGATCGAAATATATTCTACACATAGCTGTAACAGTTAACGATCAAGTAAATGCGTTAAATCCTTGATGGCAATCCATAAACGAAATGACCAAACGGTCATAGCTGCCACGTCTTCCGCAAGGGCAACTGGCGGTGAATCCACACGATCTAGCCCTTCCTACGTGGTTGGGGCCACAGCCAGTCATTTGTTGCGTTGGATCATTGATCGGCGGGCTGTAAACGAATCATCGTTCGGCTGGAGATTTAGTCTCGTTACACCTTTGGTCCGAGCCATTTCGGAGATATGGGAATTACACCCTAGGCTATCATTGGTATTATGACTCGTGCCCAGGTGTGGGCGTGTGGCGATTGCTGACGGTTAGGGCGCTTGACTTGTAACTACTGTTCTTCTCAAACTGATATCATTCATTGATTTTGATTTATGGTATTTGAGCAAAGTCCATTTTAGTCACTATGTTGTACTGTACAAGTACGGAGTACACAAGCAACACCCCATCAATTCTCCTATTCCCCCTCTCAACGCTAGAGTGCGTAAAGGCAAGATGAACGTGCAGTCGATCTCTTGGCTCCACGGGACAATGCAATGCGAGGTTAAATCCCTGGTTGCACGGCCCCAGCATAGTTCCATCACGCCAGATCCTGGTGTCGTGGTGCGCTGTTATTCGCGAAATGAGAAGGTGGCGTCTCGAGGAGATTATCCCCTCTCAAGTCATCAAGTCACATGGGATAATAAAACAAGTCACCATTCATATCCGGTCGCTCTTAGTGGTGTAAGACCTCAATCTGTCGTATTTCCATTCGAAACACCTCGACCGAACAGCAGTTTCGGGGTTATATCGGGAGTTACCGCGGTCGATTCGCCCTTTAATTTGCCCATGTACAACACATCATTAGTCTGCAGGGAACATCCCTGTCAACGGTTCTCGGTCAAATTCTCCTCGTGTTTCGAGGCTGTAATTATGCTGTACGATGGACGGTGTAAAGTGTACTGCATATCCCCCTCAAAGGCCTTGTGTCCATTGTGTATCCCCGCAAGTCGGCCTTATCTGACAACGTCTGCCCAGACGGGTTCGGGCATATTCTGCTTGTAAAGTGAGGTACAGCATGGGGAAACATGGCTAGTGAAACATTGTATCTGGTATGTCGTTGACCGCTAGGGTTAGAGACTAAGGTATCTTGGAAAGAGAATGGACATAGACCGGGTGGACGGGAGTATTTCAATAATAGTGCAACTCGAAGACATCAAACCACTCCAAAAAGAGAGAAAGCCCCAAAGAAAGCCCGAATCTGCACGGACAGTGTGTGCTGCAGGGTAAGTCGCTGCAAGGTACGGGCGAACCCGTCGATCGACGCGAGATTGGCGTGCAAAGAATGAAAGTGGAGGCTTGAGCTATGCCTTGTCAGTGACAAACACTAAGATTCTCTAGCTTCTGTAACCTCAACCTCTTAACGAGTTATCCACCTTTGAGAGTAGTCACACGGAAACCCCCGGAGGGACGATCAGGGAAAGGATTGGCGCATTATCGTCTGGATACTTACTCCATAGTTTGCTTCCAAATACTCGATTGCCATGAATTATGGATGGATGAAGTCAAAGATAGTTATTGCTGTTATGGCTATCATTGGACTATTTCAACGCCTCCTAGATTTACCTATCATATAGAAGCCATGGAAAATCCCGTTTCTCCTTGCATCTTCGGCTCAACGGTTCCTGGGAGATGCATCACAGCCGAAGTGTGGAGTGGTGAGGACGAGACTTGTGTGGTGGACCCAGTCGCTAACTAGTTCGTCTCTTGTCCTCATATTCGTTTCATCAACTTGATTTGATCTAGTTGTCCCCTTTCTTGCACGGGGGAGCCCATGTAACATGCTCACCGAAAGGAAAAAAAAGAAGTGAAGAAAAATAATAGGAAAAAAAAAGCCACAACCGAGTTTGGTACACCCCACTCCTTTTATCAAATGCTCCGACTATTTCCTGTTCGAGTAACGATATCTGTCCGCAGTCTGTCGATTTGGCGGATCCCTCTCCATCTTCCCCCCTAAACTACTGTATGCTGTATGTGCAGCGGGTATCGGCCCGTCGATAGCGAGCTGCGATGCAGGGATCTGTCGGTGGTCCTTTCTGCCCCGGAGCTCTCTGGGCCTAGCATCGTTATGTAGTACCTGCTTCATAGCCCTAACGGACCCCAATATCTGCATTCTTACCGTTGCAGCTCAATTTTTACCAATACTATGTTGTATGTACATACTAAAATAAAAAGAATGCCATTGAATCTGGAGTCAGGCCCGTATCTTCCCGGGCCCCCATGTTCACCGACCTCTCAAGGGTCTGTGTGGTGGGCGCGACACTGGCGCCACTTGGAATCCACTTGCTAATTCAAATACTTGTACGGAGTACGGACTAGTTAGTAGTATCGATATCAGTCATTATTATCTCTTTAATGCTAGACTCGTATTCTGACCCCTTCAATAATTGGATCTCGATGCACAGTGGTCCACTTGAGGACTGAAATAGAGGTTGAATTATCCCCGGTCAGAGAGAAATGCAATTGACATCTGTCAACCTGCTGGAAATCAAGTCCGTGAATAGTTTAGTTTCCTTAGTGGAGAATGAGGAAAAAATGATAAAGAAGGTAATGCAAGGGGGGGCCCGTCACCTATGGGGGAATAAGCGGTGAACTGCGAGCTGGTCGCTTTCTACTCTTCTCCTCCCTTGCTGGGATCTGGGCTTCTGGGCCTTTGGATTTTGTTGGGCACTTTTGTTTGAAAGATAAAAATATGAAAAATCAGTGAAGAAATTCGGAAATACTATCACTGACGTGGAGGATCATTATCCCGGCTCCAACTATTGAGGAAGTCTATGACAGATAGAGATATCGATCCAATTTAGACCGAAAAAGAAAGAAAGAGGAATTTCTGGACGCATCATCACGGGGTCTCCCAGTCGAGATTACGATGCTACTTGTGAACTCTCATTTCGATTCGGGCTGAAGGGTGGTTGGACAAATTCTGGGCCAAATGTTCTGTTTAGTAGTTTCTTTTTGCTTTTTCCCTCTTTATTTCTTTTCACTAATAATCTTCAACAGACTCTTCTGGTAAGCGCCCTATGACTGGTGATACTGGACAGGGATCGAAAAAGAGAAGAACAGACCCTTGATCGTCTTCAAGCCACCCGTGTTTCGTGGTTTCTTCTGAGCCACTGATTCTCCCCTCTACATCCCTGGGGGGCAGTGACGTGCTTCTTTCCTCTTTCCCTCCCCACTGTTACTCACGGCCCGTCTTAACGCCCAGATCGTCCCGAACCATGAGAAAAAAAAATCAAAAAAGAGAAAAAAGAGAAAAAAGGCAGACAACAAAAGCCTTGGGGTTGTAATTCTTGCCTTATATTGTAGCAAAATCAATAGGGTACAGCTAACACTGCAATGGTCTACTTAGGTCGGCTTCAGCTGTATACAAGGTTGGCTCCGACGCGATGGAGTCTGGGGGCTTGGGGTTTGGAGCTAGGGCGATCGACCAGTGGTAGTCACCTCTAACGGTAAGATACCCGAGGGACGACCAAAGCTCGGGTGATGTCCGGTGAATGATTTCCCGCTGGGACTATGATTTTAGCCGTTTCTTGAAGACGGACCTTGCAGCTCTGTAGTTCTTGTCCCCCCAAATAGAGGGGGAAAGGTGGTGCAAGCGCTGGCTCCAGAAGCGGGAGAGAGCAATCCGCAATCGACGGTGCAGCCGCCGCGCATTACCGGGCCTTTCCTTCTGAGGGTTTCTATTTTCTTGGTTTTATTTTTATTTTATTTCTAATTCCTTTTTAGCTTTTCCCCTCTCTGCAGCCGCTGACAGATGTCTTGCACGAAAGAGATGGTGATCGGGGCGAGACGATAATTCCCCTACTGCTGTCGTGTACAATGGTCCTTGGGGCGTATTTTAATCTATCTCAACCGTGGATGTCAAATCTTTAACCTCAGGCTCAACCGTGGATATCCTTTCCCCGTCTTTCTCCCCGGCTCACCGTCCATGGTTCAGTCAGTGGGTGGGACCCGTGCTCGTGGAGAACCATCCATCTGAGCTGTGCTTTGTTTACATCTTGGTATTGACTGACCTACATGATGCTTTGCGAGATGAGTGTGTAAATATGAACCTACAAGTAGTTACAATACTACTCACCCGGTCACCCCCAAGTATGTATTGAATCTTGTAGTCTCGCCCAGCCAGAAATAGCCTAGAGTCCAGAGTAACCCCTCTCAAGAGGAAAATAAATTAATTGAATCTGATCGGGGCTCCACTAGAAATCACCTCCCAGATACAGCGGGCCTATCCCGGCCGATCAGCGTGTTGCTTTTCTGCCTGTCACACAGACCAGGATCTTCAGCTGGGAACTTTCTCTTTGACTTCAATTCTGATCAATGCTGGGTGAACAAATCTAGGCAATCCGGTTCATCGGTTGAACGATCTTGGCTGTTACTAATGGGAATGATTTACCTCGCTACCTCAACGCTTAAGTGTGTTGATCTGGTCCTTGCTTGGTGGCGTAATAATGTAATGTTCTATTTTTTTCTAAATATTTCCCAATGGGAAATGATAAGTAGAATATCTTTTATGTAGAGGAATAAAAAAACGAATAATTAATCCGTAAGATAAAATAAAAACACATCGAGTCTAGAGGATGATCTGAACGCACGGTTCTGGTAGTCTCTCTCTCTTCGCTCTTCTGCTCTCCACCAGGGGGGGTCCACTGTGATTGATTCGATAATCTCGTTCTTTCCTTTCTCTTCCTCTGCCCTCAAAAGACGGGGCAAGCCGGGATTTCTGCAGACAACATTCTTCTCTTTCTTCTAAATTGACTCTTTAGTCATCTTCTTCTTCCTCCACTGATCGACTTTCCCGCTGCGGCTCAGCGTCATCTGTTCGCTTCACTTCGTTTCTTTCCCCTCTCTTAACCGCCTAACTTCTGGGTCTAAGTTTCACTGTACGATTCTCTTTTTTTTTGTTTTTTTATTTCTTTTATTTTTCCTTCTCTGCTTTTATTATTCATATACCTGCTATATCTTTTCTTTTCTCAAACGCCATCTCTCCAGCCTGTGCATAGGGATGCGTTTGCTGCACCACCCCAGCCTCCACCATTCCTGTACGTCTTAACGCACTTCCTCTCTCAACCACCCCCCATCCCTCGACTGTCTGAGACTTTGAACCTCCACCTCCCCCTACCTTCCGGCTTCGGCCTTATTTTATCGTTCAATGCGCTCCATTTGATCTTCTTTTCTATGACATGACCTCTTGCATGATTTGAAACGACTAAAAACTTACCCTATTCTCTGTTAGGTCGAAGCTTGTCACCTACTTCGATGTGCTGGGTTCACGATTGTTAATGATTCTGATGACCATTGTCCACTGAATTCTCCCCCGCTATACAAGAAAAGTCCTTATTGCGCTTCTTAAGACTTCCGAGTCTACAAAAGGTTTACGATACTACGAAGCTCACTACGATATAACCTGCATCGCCTGCATCTTGCATCGCGTTCTATTTTGCGAACTTTTGAACGTTTGACCAGAAAACCTTGGAATCCTTGTTTCCATTTTTCGTTTGCACTTCTTTCTTTCCCTTTTTTTCCGTGCAACGTACCCCAAGTTCCTGTGGTTTCCCAACGATTCTGCAGCTTCTTCTCCCCCACTCGTCAAACTGATACCACGACGGACGCCCTTTACAACGTCCGACGTCCGCTTCATATCTCCTCTATTTCAAGCCGTTTTCCCGTGCAACCGAAAAGCTGGAGCTGCCGTCGATCTCGCAGGTCCACACCCGCGGTCCTGCTGACGCCCCCTGGTACAACCATCACGCGGCGGAACGACCATTATTGCCCGGCGATAAACTCCCCGCTCTCAGCCTGCCGACAGCAACCCAGGGTCTTTCCCGAACCGCGTATCACGATTCACCTGTGACCAATTCCACCAATTCTAGCGCTCGCACAAGTCTATCTGGTGCCTCCCTCCCAGGTAACGAGCCCAGGAGCCCCCCATCATCTACGGATCTGTCAGGGACCCAGGGACGGCTTTCTTTGGATTCCTCCGCCCCGACGGAATACAGTATCGCACCTTCGGTTAACGACGGTTACTATCCCAGCCCGACCTCTCTCGGCAGCATGAACCAGAACCAGCCGTACATGGATGTCCACTCGCACATGTCCACTGCTCAGCCATACGCTCCTCAAGGCGCTACCGCAGGCACAATGACCCAGTATTCGTACCACGGGCAGCCGCCCGTAATGCAGCCCGCACCTTCTTACCCACCGGCTGGTTACCCTCAATATGGATACTCAAATGGCGTCACATCCCCTCCAGGACACCCGCCGAGCTCCATGGGTGGCCAGATGGCAACTCAGCTGCTGCCGCTTCCAGGTAAGCTTCAGAGCATGAACATGCACGACGATTATTCTGATCGGTATCATCATCAAGTGAGCAATCACTCAAACGTGGCCGCCCCGCCTGGATATGGGAACACCACCGGTGCTCCGCTACAAGGATACGTCTATGACCCAACCGGTCAGATGTCACCGCCTGGGGCTAAGCCGCGAGTGACAGCTACTTTGTGGGAAGACGAGGGGAGTCTCTGCTATCAGGTGGAAGCAAAGGGAGTTTGCGTTGCTCGACGAGAGGGTAAGTGGCAATCCTCCAGTTTTAACGGGTATCGTTGGCTAACGAGACTCCGCAGACAACCACATGATTAATGGTACAAAGCTACTGAATGTGGCTGGCATGACCCGTGGTCGTCGTGATGGAATCCTGAAGAGCGAAAAGCTGCGTCATGTAGTGAAAATTGGACCCATGCATCTCAAGGGTGTCTGGTAAGTTGTTCGATAACACATATTGATACGTCAAATTGAGTGCTGACCGCAATCAGGATCCCATTCGAGCGTGCTCTGGAATTTGCCAATAAGGAGAAAATCACCGATCTGTTGTACCCGCTCTTCGTGCACACCATCAGTACTCTCCTCTACCACCCCGCCAATCAGTCAGGGACCAACCGGGTGGTGCAAGAGTCCCAACAACGACGCCTGGAAGGGCCTCCTCCGGCTCCTCAGCGTACGCCGTCCGGCTCTCAACCCTCACTCCATCATCACCACGCCTTGCAGACGCCCATGTCCTCTCACATGTCTCAAGGCCCAATGAGTGGCCATGGCTCTAGACCCGGCCTTGACCGTGCCAACACCTTCCCCACACCGCCAGCCAGCGCATCCAGCCTGATGGGCGCCAATCAAGGCGGTTCATACGAATGGGGCGGACCAGTCCCACACACACAGCCCTTGTCTATTGACACCACGTTGAGCCACCAACGCTCAATGCCCACCACCCCCGCAACTACCCCTCCGGGCAACAACATGAACGTCTTGCCTTCCTACCAGGGGCAGGGCTACGACAGTTCGAAGCCATACTACTCCGCGGCACCACAAACGCATGCCCAATACGCACCGCACACACCACTGACCCAATCAGGCATGTCCAGTTACGGCCACTCTCTTTCCGGCGGGTACATGAAGAGCGAAATGGCGCCGCCCAACCCGCGCCCCGGCGCCTCGGAGCCAGAATCCTCCGAGCGTGACACCAACCGCTACAGCCAGAGCAACGGGTCAGGGGAACCAGCCCAGGAGCACGAACAAGAGTACCTGCAAGACCACAATTCCGGTTACAACTCCAACCGCGGCTCCTATACATACACCACCAACCCTTCCGTTAACTCGCTGAGCGGCGATCACTCCCAGCTCACGCCTGAGATGACCAGCTCGCCGAGCCAGCAGAACGGTTCCGGTCGCATGACCCCGCGTACAAGCGGCGGCAACGCTCCACACTGGGCTTCGGGGTATAACACCCCTCCTCGTCCCGCCGCCACTACCCTGTACAACGCTGCTGTCAGTGACACCCGCGGCACGCCCGCCAATGGGAGCACCGACCCATACTCCATGGCGTCGACCTCGACTCCGGTCTATGGGGTTGGAAATGGCTCGCTGAGCGCAGGCAACAAGCGTATGCGCGAGGATGACGAAGTCCGTCCTGAGAGTACCACCGAGTATGACACCTCAAAGCGTCGCAAGACGATCACCGAAGCTCCCCTTGGTGGTCCAGTCGGCGGGCCGCCTATTCTCCAACCCATGAAGCCCAGCGCGGCTATCGGTCGGCATCGGTGAGTGTGATAGCACTGGCTGTTAGGCTTGTGGATTTATTATCACATTTGAGTTCTTGCCTGATTACTATTTTTATGTTTGGTCTATTTACTTGGTCGGTGTTTGTTTTTATGATAGACTGCGCATGCACCACCCCGCATGGCACCGCGGATTCGCCTACGTCTTATACGACGACACGTGTGCACGACATGCAGACAGGCAGCCCGGGCGGTATCGAAACGAAACGAAGTTCATTTGTTTTATGTCTGCGTTTATTTATGTTTCATGTGGTGAACCAGTATGGAGGGTGAACGAGGTGCGAGAACCTGTCTACAACGAACATTTCAACATGGTCATGATATATGGTTTATCTGGAATATGTGTTGGTTCGTGTGGAAGGATACCGACCTTGACGACTACGATGTGACGAATCTCTTATGAACGAATTTTCTTTGTGTGATGACTTGACCCACGAGCCATCATCCTGATGAACGAGTTTTTTGCTTTTTATTTCTTACTCTCTGCTTAGTCCTTGCGTGTTTGGGAGAAAAGGAGATCTTTTATTTTTCTGCTGTGGCATGGCCTTGGCTTTGGTTTCACTTCTACTTTGCGATGTCGCTTCTGCCTTTTGCTACTGCCACTCTACTAGAGAGATGATTATCATGGTAATGAACGGTTATGAAATCTGGGTCTGCATGCCTTTAGCGACATACAATGTTGGTCTTGGTCCGGAATTGATTGTTCTTTTCTAGTCGCTTTTGTAACACAGTAGATTGCCATGTGCATCTGAGACTAATGAACTACACTTTGAATCCTTATTCAAGCTACAGGAGAACCTACTCATAGTGCCTAGTTACTCCTAAATAACACAAATCTCACATGTGACAACGACATACTCCAACCATGTGCACGTGACAGCTCCGACCCTATCCCAAAACAGCAAAACAAAAACACTCCGAACCACGGTTCCTTCCGCCTCACAACCCACGGCGACCTCGCCAACTCAATCCCAACCACATCCCGCAAAGCCAGAGCAAGCAAGCGATCCTTCCTTTACCATCCCGACCGAACCCGACCGAAAACAAAACAAATAGAGAATCGCAAGACCAAGAAACAAGAAACAAGAAACTAAAACCATGTCCACAACCAACCGCCCATGCGCAAAACGGGAACACCCAGAACCAAAAAACCACCTCACCTACGACATCTGGCAATCATCCTCAACAGGCCACCAGCGCGCCGGAGAAGGCGGATCTTTCATCGGCTCGACATCATGGCGACAAGCCCGCTCGGATAAATTGTCTAGACAGTATCGGAGCGGGGATTGTCTGTCGGGACGGGAACCGGGCTCAAGATCGGGATCAGGACAGGGAAAGGGGCAGGGGCAGGGACAGGGACGGAATCAATCGGAAAGCAGACTCGTCCCTGGCGCCTTTGATGGGAAATGCGCTTCGCAGTCGCCGCCCCCTGTGGTGTCCGGGGAATGGGCTATGGTTCCCGGGGATGTGGCGAGGCGGAATGAGCTCGGTGTTAGGGATATAAGGTCTTTTATGGGGGTTAATAAGAGGAAGGCTGGTGGTGATATTGATGGGGTGGGGAGGGAGAAGGTGGGGAAGAAGGGGAGGGTTGGTATTTTTCTGGAGGGAGATGGAGATTCTAGGGGTTGGAAAGAGGGAATGAAAGAAGAAAAAAAAGAGAAAAAGAAAGAAGAAGACTCAGAATATCAACCCGACGACTCGTCCACTGCATCCCATTCTGCAAGTCTCGACTTAAAATCAACGTCTAATCTCTTCGCTGGAGTTACAGTCTTCATCAACGGCTCCACGCTCCCACAGATCTCGGAGTATAAGTTGAAACATCTACTTGTTTCGAGCGGAGCGAAGACATCTATCTACATGGCTCGGAAGACGGTGACGCATGTTATCATCGGACGGCCGAATACTGGCATCAGCGATGGTGGTGCTGCTTCCGGTGCCGGGGGTGGTCTTGCTGCTGGGAAACTTCAGCAGGAGATTGCTCGTGGGGGGTGGAAGGGTGTGAGGGTTGTTAGTGTTGATTGGTAAGTGGGATTCGTTATTTAATGGGCTATAGCCTATAGGTGGATGGGTTGCTGACGGTGGTTTCTTTTGTTAGGGCTCTTGAGAGTCTCAAGGTTGGGCGTCGTCTTGCTGAGTCGAGGTTTCCTGGTATGCATGTTGCTGATAAGGGGCAGAGGAGTGTTGCTGGGATGTTTGGACAGGGGGTGAAGAAGTGAATTCTTTCTGGATTTGGGCATGGATATGGCGTTTTGTATTGCATGGATGGCGTTCGATATGGCTCTCTGGTTGGGACGGTGTTCTGCATAAACTTTGATACCCAGTGACATTCAATCGATTTGATATTCCGATCACGATGTCTACTTTAGCTATGAATTCCCGCCTAAAGACTTGCTCGTTACGCCCAAGGATAAAGGCAGAGGTAGAGCCACTCCACATCGTATCTGAGATTCTCATTTCATTATTCAATCATATAGCACCATTATCATGCCATCCATGGATGTTATATACGAAATCACACGTGCGTTTGTACATGCCGCTCGATCACAGAGAACAAATCAAGCGAAAAGATAAGAAAAAGCCAGTAGAGCACGAGATCAACGCCAAAGCCATGCAAATGCAAAATGCAACAGGGATAACGGGATATAGGCATCATTAACCAATCTCCAGATGAACTATACAAGTCATAAAGATTGTGAAAAAAAGCACATTCACCTGTAAGAACTGTCCCTGCCACCACGCGCGGCATATGTTTCGCCGTCATAGCTGCTGTTATCTGACATGTGTCGACGCCAGCCGCCTTGTTGACGGTTCGGGTATGCGGGCGGAGGATCACTGTGATCTCCCGCTTCGGGGGAGGTAGATATAGTCACATCGGTTTCTGAAGAGACTGCTCTCAGCGCCGAGGGATTGGTTGCGATGGGCATGGGATCGAGTGTGGGAGTAGGTGTGATGTCCGGGAGAGGTGGGAGCGGGTTTGGATGACGGTGGGTAGAGAAGGAGGATTGGGAGGGAGGCGGAGCAGGATGGGCAGATGAGTTTGTCCGAGTACGACTTTTGCGGCCGCTGTCTCTTGATGGAGGGGTGTTTCCAGCCCTCATCTCCTTGGGAGATGTGGTCTGAGGATGAGACAGCTTGTCTGTTGGGAAGGTAATACGGGTTGTGGGACTCGGCATAGTGGTGGTGATTGTCCTCGTAAGCAGGGAACGCGGCGGTTGACATGCTAGACACAGAGTTACCGTGTGGTCGACCTTGGAACATGGGGCGAGGCTCGCCAAGTTCTGACTCCCCGCTGGACCAGCGGTCCAATTTCTCGCTCAGCGGCTCTTGTTCTTGTTGCGAATGACGGGAGTCACCGTGGACTAGGCCGAGATATTCTTCTTCGGTGGTGGAGTTGCGAGGGTCGCCTCCCAGGTGCGTCCGGCGTAGGATACCACGAGGTGAGCCGGGTGGAGGTTTGGCGGAGGATTCACTGCTAGCCTTCATACGACCCATCATGTTGTTGAATGAGAACTGACGGCGGGCAGTGCTGAGAGGCTCAGGTGCTAGGGATTCTTGCTTTTCGTCTGCCCACGAGATGGACCGCGGCGTATCGCTGCGTGGGCGGTTCAGGTGGAGCGGAGCCTCCAACCCTCCAGACATAGTTTCCTCATGGTATTTGGAATCAGCGTTAACGCCTTTAAGCCGCATATCCGCCATTCCCGGGGGCTGCGTGCTGATCTTCTCGTCTTCTGTGCTCACAGCCCTCCATTGGGAAGGATGGAGCATGCTGGTAGCCCGTGACCGAATACCGTCCATGAAAGAATGGCCACTTTGTTTCGTAGCAGGTCGAAGATTGTCCTCATCTTCGACAACAGGGATCCGTGACATGCCCCATGGAGGGTGTTGTCTGACCGACGGTGTACGTGGAGTGATTGGTCGTGATATGCTTGGACCCTCGCCAATAACAGTCTTGCGCCGGCGCAGGCCATCCCATTCGATGATTTCATTCTCACTCGGTGGTTTCAGAGTATCCTCGTGCCTGTCATGGAAGAAGCGACGGGCTTCATCGGCTTCCATAGTGCGTCGAGCAGTTGAAATGCGGCGGATGATGGATGCCGCACCGCGAATGGAGTCAGCCTTGGGCTCGAACTCGGGCTCTTCTACCTCGGCAACTTCGCGAATCTGATCCAAATCACCCTTGAACACGGCAGCATCGGGAACATCCTTGGCGGACTTGGATAACTGTAGCAAGACCACCCCGGCACAAATTTGCAAGAATCCGATGATCACGGTTGTGATCTGCACTGCTGTGCCCTTGAAGCCCTGGAACAGAATGGCAGAGGTGATGATCGTAGCGGTGGTGAACATCACATAATATGTCGGCGTGACCAGAGCAGCATTGAAAATGTTCAGCGCTTTCTGTACAGCAAAGTTAGCACGGCCATCACAGGGGAGAAGAATTGCCACATACATTGAGATAGATAATCTCAGTCAGCAGTGTTCCAATGACGAACACGAACAAGACATAAAGGAACCAATGCTTGAACTGCTCTTCGCCATTGATCTGCGCAAGAATTGCAGATCCCAAACCCTGAGTAGCGACGACACTCAATCCACCAACCATACTGCAAATACTGATATAAACGAACATGCTCGTCTTTCCATATCGCGGACCAGCCCAAAGAGCTGTAAAAACAGCCCCGATGATAATCAGTCCAGCATAAACCAGAAACCCAGGCTGAAGCACAAAATGCTGCATGCCCTGAATGTCTGCAACAGACGACTGCTCAGGAGCATTCATGGCAATAGTCACTGATCCAATAATACAACAGAAACAGCCAACTTTCCCCACGAAACTCAGCCTTTCCTTGAGGAAGATCGCCGATAGAATCGTCGTAATCACCACCGAGAGCGCTCCGAGCGGCGTAACCAAGATCGCATCGACGAATGCATACGCGACAAAATTGCAGATCTCCCCAATTATCATCAGCGTCATGCCAGTCCACCACCAGAAGTTCTTCAGATATCCATATCCCTCCCCGGCTTCCTCATTGTATTTGACGTTCGCCTTCAACAGTCCGATTTTTTTGATCACGAATGAGATACCGATAAAAATACCCGAAGCGACAGCAAGCGAAATGCCAACGGCTTTGTATATTGGCGGGCGGCCTGTTCCCTCCGCGCGGGCGAGGAGGGTGTTTGCGTGCGATAAGGCAATATTGGGATCCATATTTGCGGTAGTCGAGGGAAATAGTAAAACCACACTGACCAGCAGTGGGAAGATGAGAGGAACTGTCGAACAGAGCCGTCCGAAGACGAGACTCAGCGACGGTGTGAAACAGTTGCTGGTGCCACGATAGTTATCAATCGAGCCTGGGCGTATCGCCGGGGTGATTATCGGGCGTCAACAACACCACGGAGTCGAAGTCGCAACGACTGTGGGATAAATGTAATTTGAGGTATTGAAGTATTGACGATCTGGGAATGCTTCTGGAAAATGACCACGAGGAAATAAAAATAAAAGTGGGATTCCGCAAGGGGGTCAGCCGTTGGACGCTATGACAGGGTTTAGGCACAAGAATGAGGTTTAGGTGGTCAAGTAGATTTCATGAGGGTCGAGAGATTCGAGTGTCAGTTGAAAAGAAAAGAAGTCAGGATCACAAGTGAAAGCAGGAAAAGGGGAAGGAGAATCAAGATTGTACACAGTAAAAAAGAGGCTGGGGCTGGAGTCCAGTGTGGGGAAAGGAGGCAAAAAAGGTACTTTCTAGACTGCGATCGCCAGGTACCTGTACCTTCAGGTACCTGAAAGTAGTTACCTGAAAGTACCCTGGTTATTGCTTAGTTTCAGTTAATTGAGAGGGCAATTCTACTTGTGATCTACTTTGGAGTATCAGGAACTATGACGGTAGTTTCTCATATTATTACTATACAATACTCCGTACAGACCATCAAATGCCAGATTCGATTTTCGAAGTCTTTTCATATCTCGTCATTCATTAAGCTCGATCAGCCCTGGCTCCCATAACAGGTCGGACTGAAAGAGAAATAGGAGGTAAAACATGAGGATCGTACGCACCAAAGACGCCGCCCTATCAGCCAGCCCTAATCAACCATCTCAACAGAGGGGTATTCAGCAGAGAAAGACACAAAGCGATGCAGATGTAAAAGATGAAAAGGAAATATTCAGACGAAAACAGGCCATAAACAATCACCGCACATGGTAGCTGGGCTTCCGTTGCCGGTTAACCATTGGCGGTGGCTCATCAACTGGGTACGGAGGTCGCGCCGTGCCGTGCGAAGAGATAGACGAAGGCTGAGAAAATAGTGGTGCGGGCATAGCGACACCACTCTCTTCCTGAGCTGGGTAGGGGATCGGTGTCTTGGGCGGCACTGGTGGCGGCATGCCGTTGAATGTTGTAGGGTACTCATGCGTGGGCGATGCCTGCTGTTGCGAGCTCGGTCGGGAATGCTCATGACTTCGACGGTAGTCGTTGGATACCCGATGCGGAGAAGTAGGAATGCTCTCCTGCGGTGTTGGATGCGCCGGAAGCGAGTCTTCTGGTGGTGAAACAGTCACCGCGGTTGGCATGGGCACCGATGCGTGGGAAGGTGCAGGATGAGGTGCGAAGTTAACAGGCTCTGCGGGCAACTCTGCAGGTAGTTCGACGGCGTGGTGTGCAGGAGGTGGAACATATGACGATCGAGCGGGGGAGGCGAAATAGAAAGCTCTTCAGTTGCAAGATCGAAGGACAGGTCGTCGCGATCACCGCCAGCTGCGGCATGGCTCGCCAGACGGCGGTTCATCCGATCAATCTTAGCGAATCGAACACCCGCGTCCAAAATCATCTTCTTGACTTCGGGCTTGGCCAGATACTGGCGTGTGTTGGTGCTGATATCAGCCAGCCGGTTCCATTCATTCATACCAAACTCGCCAACTCCAACTTCGACGTTCAGGCGGAAATAGTTGTCCTTGCTGACATTACGTTTGGCCAGATGATCTCGGAGCATCTCTTGGTGGATATCCTCGCAACCCTCAATTTTGGCAATCAATCGCCGCCGCGCTTCAGCGAATGTGCCCAAAGCGTCGCCGAAGAAATCCTCCCACCATTCATGTTGTCGGTTGTTGGTACCAGCTGGGCGCTTTCCAGTTCCCACACTGACGAACACCCCGACTTCCCGACCGGGCCACTCATTTACAACAGCCTCGTCAAGGATAAGGGGCGCGGGGTTGAATTTGCCGTGGCCTTCATCAATAAAGTAGTGTTGACCTATCAATATCGGCTTAAACGCAAGCCCCGTCGCAGATGTGGCACGCCCTGCTTGCCAAATTGTGCAATCGAATTCCGGTGGAGGTTCCCGTCGGGAATCGTATGACCGTAAGAGGACGGCTGTTCCTTTGCGGGGGGTGCCCTTGTACATAGCAGTGACCGCACTGAGTGGAAGGTTAGTACCAGCAACCTAGATTCTGGCAACGTCCAACTTACGTCTTGGTGCGGTTTTCGCGGTTATCGTAAAGTAGTGCATTCGGATTACCCCATCGTAACCCATTAATAAAAGCCGAGCCTCTTTGGCTTGCCGGACTCATCGGATGCGAAGCAGCCGCGGTGCTGAAACTGCCTCGACTGATCGAGCGTTGAGGGAGGGATACTGGACTATATGGCAAGCTAGCCATAGAGTCGCGGGGATTGGGAGTCGCATTTCCGGTATCGTTCCCCTCCGCCTCGAACACTGTGTGTTCCCGCACACATTCCCGAATTGCCTCCTCGAGCTTCGATGCCTTGAATAAAGTCGAGCGGTAGGGAATACCAGCGATGGTCTTATCGGTCTCGAAGACCCGGCGGGTCATGCGCACATAGACCTCTTTGCAGGTCTCGAGATCCAGGCGAAGCCGACCGAGCATGATGGCAATCAAGCCGCCCGTACCGGTACCCGCGATCAAGTCGAAGTGGTCGCATGGCTTAGGGATCTGATCGCGACGGGGAGGTTTTCCTTCGCATTCAACGTAGGTACGGTACATAAGTTCCTGGAGGAGAATAAGCATAGAGTAGCCACGAACACCACCGCCATCTGTTGGAGTCAGCTTTAGTCTAGTAGAGGCCGGGAAGAGAGATGGGTAACACTAACCTAACGACAGGATCCGTAGCGGGGGACCCTTGGTGGTATCCTTGCGACGCAAGTTGGCAGATTCCATGGCGACTGTAGTAGATGCTTTCTTTTTTGGAAACGCTGGCGCTTTGGATTTTTCGCTCTGCGGCAGCTTACCCGCGGCGGGGCTCAGCGATGCCTTATGCACCGAATCGCGGGATGATTGGCGCCTGACCGATCAGGTCTTGGACAGAAGCGGAAGCGTCACACTCGTGTAACAGAGTTCAATGCAGTTCTGGTTGGATACGTGACAGGTCAACGTGAGAGGGTCGCAGTGTAGGTGGACTTCCAAGTAGGCAGCGGCGTATGGCTGATTGGAGGAACTTGAGCCACAGTCCCTGAATAGTTCGGTAAGGCTGAGTGGGCGCAACCACAACGAAAATGTACGATTTGAGCTGCACAAGTCACTTTAGAAAAGAATATTGTGAAGAAAGAACGAGGTCTGACCTTCAAAAGTTATCCAAGTTAGTCCTTGGAACGGGAGCCGTCATCCATATCCAGTCTCTTTCTCGCAGATCAACATAGTCAGGTGACTCGGTGTCAGTAAGATGTGGCGATGCAGGGCAATGATGTAATAATGGCTGTGCAGTCATCCACCAATGAGGATGCTTTCCTTGGCTTCTCAGCTCGGGTTTCACCTACTCCGCATAAAAGTATACCCATTGCTTGCCGCAAACTGTCTATCGCGTACTGTGTAAGGTCTGATATTGGGGTTGGAGAAATTGTCCCTGGGCCATAACTACAGTTTACGGAGTTTTAGATTGCATAACGTTCCTGACAGTCATAATCTCAATGCCAATGACGTCAACTCCATCTGGAAATCTGCATGTACGGAGTAGACCATAGATCATACACCTGACCTTTGTATGCAACAAAATGTACCATTGATGTCCTTATACAGCCAGAAGGAAGTTCTATATACTCTCAATTGGTCAAGCCGGGCCAATCTAGAACACTCGAGTTAGCCATCGATCCCTCAATATCCCAACCAAGAAGAAACTCACCAAATGTAGTCCTGTCCTTCCCTCGCTCAGAGACCGTAACCTCATCCCCGACTCTGAGAGTAACTCCATCACTCTTCGGCTCCAAAAACGAATACCTACCGAAGACAGGACTAAACTTTGCCCCGGCATCTACCCTGCGATCCTTCATCAACTTCTTCAGCACAGTTCCAGCCTCACCAGTCCCCATCTTGCCAGTCTCGAAATCAACATTGAGACTCGCACAGCGCACACAATTACCCGTGAGCAACAGTTTAGCCGACTCACGCCCCGATTCAGCGCGTACAGTAAGCGCACTCCAAAAGTCCTCTTCGAATGCCTCCTCGGCACCCGTGATAACAATGTTCGGTCGGAACTTGGTGCGGTCCATTTCTTCGCCGTCAGGCAGCCGCGCCGAGACATTCTCTACGGACTTCTCGGAGATGACGAGGTAAGGCGCGCAGTCGGCAAACGTAATGCGGTCTTCATGCGGTGCCTGCAGACTGGCATAGTAGTATAGCAGCGCCACGAAGGTGCCAGTGGTGAGAAGAAGCGCGGGCGCGAGACTGCGAGCTGCTTCGGATGCTATCCCGTGGCGGAAAAGAGTGCTTCCTTGAGAGGCCATGCTGATCGCGGTGGCTACGATGAGAACCGGGAAGATCGCTCCCCATTTCTTCTCTGAGCTCAAGGTTTCCCGCTCTGTGCCGAGCGCGGCCTTTTTGCCCTTCTTTGCCGGCGCGAGTGTGCCTAGGACTTCTCTTGAACTTGGTCCGAGGTAGGCAAGAACTACGGGGAATCCGAAGTGGGCGCTGAACCAGTCGTTGATCTCGGCGCCCATGTTGTAACCAGTCGTCGGGCTCTTGTGCATCGTGATCTGGAACGGGGTGAGGCTCTTTACGTCAGGCTGAAGCGGAATTTCCAGTCGCTTGATTTCCTCGGACCCGGAAGCTGACTCCGAGAATGGTGCAGGACGGTACGTGACGATCAATTTCCCCTTGTCCTCTTCTGACTTCGGATATTGAATGTCGGTGTGGAAGAGTGTCATCTCTGGGAAGTACGTGACATGCATATTCTTCAAGGTCGTAGTCCCCGAGCCATCCTCAGCCATGATGACTTTGAGGAGCATGAAATGGCGGTCATATTGAAAACCTCGGGTGGTTAGGATTCCCTCGGTGATTGTTGTTGGCCGGAGGGATTTGACCGGGTAGACATAGAGCTGATTCTGGGTCAGCGTTTTGTCCTCTGGGGCATTTGTCTAGAATTCGGGTTCATACCTGGCCGACTTTCATAATGACGACTAGAAATTCCCTTCGGCACTGTTGAAAGAGAGCAGCAGATCGTTAGAGCAAAGTGAGGATCCGATCTGAGCCGATCTCGGGGGAAAATGATGACATCGCGTTCCTGGGCAAAATTAACTTTTGCGGAGTAACTAAACGGTGGAGTCTGGACCTGTTACTACTGTAACCGGCCCTTACATTTTTTACCAAAATTACAGCTGTGCGAGGGTCTGTAATTTTGATAAAAAATGTAAGGGCCGGTTAGTATTTAAGTCTGGGAAAGAAAGAGAAAGAGAAGAACAGGAGGTAAACAATCCACACCCTTCCTCGCGTCCCTGCTCCTTCCCTTCTTGACGCTCCTTCCTGTTTCTACTTCTGCACATCTGTTTCTGTTGGATGCCGTAATGCCTGAGGTATCCCACTTAGATAGAACCCAGCTAGTTCGCCTGCTGTCTCTCTCTTTCTTTCTTCCTTCTCTTCAGCCATATGATTACATACAGATTTTCTCCATCATTTTCCCATCTGTATTGCATTCATATCAGTTTCTCACTCGTTAATTGTCACACTATTTGTCTTTCTCGGCATACGCTCTCCATCCCACAAGTGACATAAACCTTGAACATGCCTGTATCAACAAACCTTCCCAGAGATCGCCAAGAGTGGCGCTGGCTGCGAGGAGGTATCAGCTCCTCACCAAGAGTCTAAGCACGCTTTCAACCCTCCCCTCCACCTCAGAGATGACTGTGAGGGAGTATTTAGCCATGAGGGTGCTCCGAACAGACGTAATACCGATCGATCGGTTCATCATCGAAGACCCCATTGCAGAAAGACTTCGTCAGATGCAGCTTGGTTTCAACGAGCTCAGGCTATATGAGACACATGTCGGAACCCGGGAGGACCCTAGTCATCACGAGGCCCTCGGTGCATTCCAATTGGTGAGGGATTCTCAGTTGGAGGTGCTTGATATTACTCCAGAGACATCCCACCAGTCCACTAAGACCCTTAGCTAGCTTGAGTAGCTTCTTTCTTTCAACGACTAAGCGATGCACTTCAACGTTGACCTCCGGGCAGTTCCCTTCTCTCATTTATATCGAGCAGAGAGACAATAAATCCTGGAGTATATAAATATATCATTCACAATCACTCACAGTCATTTGGTACTGCCTATAGTGTGCGAGAGAGTTGAGAGACACGTGCAGTTGTCCCACGCTGTGACGATCATATGACGAGCAAATGACACCTAAAGAGAAGGAGCAAACAGCAAACAACAGCTAGGGAAGGAGCGAGCACGGAGGAAGAACTTTAAAAGGGAGTTCTTCTGCGCAGCTCTTCTTCTTTCCTCTTCCTTTCTCCAGTTCTGCTACTTTAGTTCTCAGCACAGGAAACAATTATCTCTTTCCCTCCTTTTCCTTCTGGTCGTGAGCCGCTGCCTACAAGTCAAAGCGATGCCAACACGTGCCCATAACTGTGTTTCCGAGTGGATTGGAACCTCAATGAGCAGAGCCGGCGTCATCTTTTCGTTCCTTTCCCTTCTGGCTCGTCACACCCAGCCCAATGGGACCATCATTTTTGACACCAAAGCCAGCATCCACGAGCAGCATAAGATCAAATCTGGCTCCGAGATGAAGGAAGAAGACTTCCTACACCTCAAAGCTGTTTGACCGAACGCAGAGTTGACCGACAAAGAGCAGGCGCATACTCACCTCAGGCTAGGCGCCTGATTCAACAAAGCTGGCCAGGATTTGGACAATTCTCCGGATTTCAACCGGTACTGGCTCTGGTATCGGTATGCTCTGGGCTATGTACGGGCAGCAGTGTCTGGTCCCGCAAATGCTTCACGGGAGGAGCCAGGTGAAGAGAGCATATGGCATGAATGAAGAGCTTGTCAATATGTCTCTTGTCAACTTCATTCAGGCAGTATGTGCCTGCCATCCTGACCTTCGACTTCAGGCAGGTCAAGGAGAAAAAGAAGGCCAAGGAAATTGACTCGAGGGTGTATAGCCTGTCGGGTGAAACTGACGGGCTGCTTGAGTCAAGGGCTACTGGTCGGATGCATGCGATTCTCGAAGCCAAAGCCAGATGGCCGTAAGTCTATGAGCCCTGTTTACTTCAACGACACCATGTACTAAGACGATTATTAGTGTCATCCTTTTCTCACAGGACGGTGAGGAGCTATGTGCCCGAGTCTACTACCAGGGTAGGATACATCAGACACATGAAGGATGAGCGAAAGGCTCCCACCAGAGCGATCATATTCCTATGGGCCAGTATCCCTGAGGGGCGCGTCGGTCATGCTCTCTGCAAAGCCGGACTATGAAGTTTGGTATGGGAAGAACGAAGCGGTGGCAATGAATGTGGTGATCGTCGAGGCTAAGACGACTGACCTCGAGTCTGGGGTAGCGCAAACTTTAGGGCATGGGTGAGTGGTTAAAAACAACCAAGGTCATGAGCCGGGGCGCTGACAGATTCAACAGGCTGCATACACCGGGATCGCAAGAGCTTTCCTAAGAGGGACTGTACGGTATATAGTCTTGCCACTAACGGGGTGGCTTTCCACTTCCTGAAGATCTCGAATGCCTCCCGAGTACGTCGTTCTAACTCCTTGATGGCTAGTATTCTATCTAACTTATACTAGTGGTCGGAGCACATCATGACTCTCCGGTCAAGCGAAATTGGGAAGCCACTTGGCATTCTCGTTCACATGTTTTGCCGCGCCGCTCTCATGTCCCCTACTCACTCTAAGGAGTGCTCGCACGAATCCCACTGCTAGGAGGGATCAGGAGACTCTGCACTGCTTAAGATGTTACACGAGGACGAGGAGATGGATGACCTGTCTAATTAGCTTGTGTCTCAAATTGGGCTTTGATTCTGATTTTCAACTCCTCTTCTTTCCAATCAATTGTAAGATCTCGTCCTGAACCTTAGGTATCAAGAAATTTGTCTTTCAATATATCGAACAGGCACTGCATTAGGATATCTAAGGCACCTAGGTATGCACTTGATGCCGATTGGTCTGAGGCTTTCATACTGGAAGCCCATTGATCTATGGTTCCAACACTACAGATGTAAAATTGGAATAAAGCGACTGACCCTTTAACCCTGGAGGGTGAGCCAAATGGGATTTGGATAGGCAATAAATCAACAGCCCGGTATTCCTGCCCGGGTATAGGTGGCGCCACATTCATCAATATACGCCAGAGTGAATGGGATCACATTATAACCTCCATATATGTACTTGAAATGCGATAACGGGGAGATGGAATATATCTGGTGGTAATGGAAATTTATTCAATCATATTCGTTTCAAAATCATGCAAGGAAATGTACACGTAAGGGAATCAAAAAAGAAAAGTAAACATCTACTGCTCCTCGGCCCACGGCAAGCTGAACGTACCAACCCAGTCCTCAACCTCTTGGCGGAGCAGAACAATGTCGGAGATCTCCTCACCCTCACCCAGGTACTCCAGGAAAGCCTTGACAGTGCCCGGGTTCTTGACACCACGGGACTCGGCCGACTCACGGGCAGCCTTATCCAGTTTCTGGGTGATGATAACCGCGCGATCGACAATTTCGGCGACGCGGCTGAAGTCCTCGGGCTGGAAGCCACGAGAGGTCATGGCGGGGGTTCCCAGACGCAGACCGCCGGGCTTGAGGGCGGACTTGTCACCAGGCACGGTGTTCTTGTTGCTAGCAACACCACAGAGCTCGAGAACGCGCTCAACGCGAGCACCATCCACGCCGCGGTTCTTCAGGTCCACAAGCACAAGGTGGTTATCAGTGCCGCCAGACACAATGTTGTATCCAAGTCCACCGTTGTTGGTGGAAGCACCCAGACGCTCGGCCAGAGCAGAGGCATTGAGAAGAACTGTCTTCTGGTAGGCCTCGAAGTCGGGTGACTGAGCCTGCTTCAGGGCCACAGAGAGAGCGGTGATGGTATGGTTGTGAGGACCACCCTGGTGGCCCGGGAAAACGGATGCATTGATGGGGTTTTCCAGATCGTACATGATGGGGTTGCCCTTCTTGTCGGTGCTACGCACACCTTTGCGGTAGAAGATCATAGCGCCACGGGGGCCGCGTAGAGACTTGTGGGTGGTGGTGGTCACGACATCAGAGTAAGGGAAGGGAGATGGAAGGACGTTGGCAGCCACGAGACCCGAGATGTGGGCCATATCGGTCAGCAAGTAGGCACCCACGGAGTCGGCGATCGCGCGCATACGCGGGTAGTCAATCAGACGGCTGTAGGCCGAGGTACCGGCAACAATCAACTTAGGACGGTACAGGGCGGCCGACTTCTCCAAAGCATCGTAGTCAATCAGACCAGTCGACTCGTCGAGGCGGTAGGGCAAGGTCTCGAAGTATTTAGAGATGGCTGAGATCTTTTTGGTAGGAGTCTGATAACCGTGGGACAGGTGGCCACCGTGGGGAAGGTCCAAGCCCATGAGGCGATCGTGGGTGTTGAGGAGGGCGGAGTAGGCCATAAGGTTGGCAGGTGAGCCAGACAAAGCTGGAGCAAGCAAGTTAGAATCCACAGAGATCATTGCACCACATCAGTTATACGTACGCTGTACGTTCACTCCCCATTCCTCGGGGTTCAGACGGAAGGTCTCCAAAGCACGCTGCTGACACAACCGCTCAGAAGCATCGATGTGTTCATTTCCACCATAGTAGCGAGCACCGGGGTATCCCTCGGAGTATTTATCTGACTTGCGGTTAGAATGGCCTATCGCGGTTGAGCAGAAGCGATAGCCTGAGGTACATACTTTGCATAACACTGCCGAGGGCATCGAGAACAGCTTGGGAAGTGAAGTTCTCAGAAGGAATCAAGTTGATGAAGTGCTTTTGGCGTTGTTTCTCCTATATCATGGTATAAGCAACGAAGCCGTCAATCAATGAGCTCTTTATGGGCGATGACGCACCTTCTGCAGAATCTGGTAAACGGCGGGATCGGAATCCTTCAGGGAGGCTGAGAGAAGCTGTAAAAAAGTCAGTTTTTCATGATGCATTTGCCATTGACCCCGTTTTAATCACCAACCTTTTGCTGTGTATCGCGAGTGGATGATGCGACTCCCCGCGATTGAGGGACCAATCTGGGCACGATAGAGGTGCGAGCGGAGACAATGGCTGCCCGGGAGCTCCCAAGGGGGAGCAAGCGAGCAGCAGATCTACCACAGCGAGTCATATACATGATGAAGCTGTAGAAGGTCAATACTCAAGCACAGAATATTTGTACTTGGCCGATAGGAAAGCGACGGGTTTTGTAACGGCTGATGCTCGTCGGACGGAGCACTGACGGCTTCCCGTTGCCCGCGGAAAGCGGGAAAACTGAACTATTCCAGTTTGGGCTCTCCGCCTGGTCCGTGCGCCCACTGGAGGGTTTATCTTCGCGCGGCAAAATTGTTTCCCCTTTCTTCTTCACACAACTAAATCCAAGATGAAGAAACGGTGTTTTAATCTGTGTCAGCACTCGTCGGTGACGGCCAGACTTCGGTCTGGCTGGCGCTGGACGGGCGCTGCTGAAAGGTCCCACGCCTCATAACCATCCTTTGAGGGGCCAGTACCATCGGATTGGACTTGTTGTGTATTTGGTTCGCCAAGGGTCGACTTTACGGTCGGGAGGCCATCCACTTCCTGGAACATGATCTTCGACCCTCTTTATGGCGCCCAGCATTTCCATTGTCGCCACGTCGACACTCGGGTATAACAAGGACATACTATCTATGTATGCGCCGAGTGATTCTCGAGTACAGCTAGCTTTGCACTACATGTAATAACCTAGAATTCGCAATCGTCCTATCATCTTTATAACTAATGGAGACATGATTTTCCATTGATCTCATTCAATTATGGTTATGTCGCATTGTATTCTTCAGGCGTTACCGCTAGACTTAGGTCCCCCTTTCCGAGCATGGGCGCCCTACTCCTCGCCCACAAGCCTGCTACCACCGCAAATTGAAGGCGGAACTGCCTGGACCTTTCTCCAGGACTTCGCGAACGCTGTTGGAGAGCTCAGTGATTGATCGGATCGCTGATTTCTCTGCCTTTAGCAAGGCAAGGATCTCCACAGCATCATCAAGATGCTTCTTCACCGCTGTGTCCGGATTGCGGAAGTTCCTGGCACAAATCTCCGTGCCTAGCTTCCGCCAGGCAGCCAGAACAAGACTCGACGCAGCAGCGGTGGGCCCAAAGCTTCCATACACCTTGCTGAAATTATCAAAAACCAGCTGGTACTGTGCAAGCTGGCCGTAGCGGAAGCCACTGAGGGCAGGCAACCTCCTCGGATGACAGCCTCTCGAATCCTCTTGATCGAGTGATCTGTGAGATGGTCATTGTCGTGCACATCCATCAGGATAGGTAAAATCGGAAGGAAAGATCGGGGAGTCGTCTGGATATTTGGCAAAAACGCCCGCCGCAGTCCGTATTGAGGCTCCCATAACTCACAAGGGCGATCAACAAACTCGGCCATGCCGGTCATCCATCTCCTCGTTCTCGTGTAACATCTTAAGCAGTGCAGAGTCTCCTGATCCCTCCTAGCAGTGGGATTCGTGCGAGCACTCCTTAGAGTGAGTAGGGGACATGAGAGCGGCGCGGCAAAACATGTGAACGAGAATGCCAAGTGGCTTCCCAATTTCGCTTGACCGGAGAGTCATGATGTGCTCCGACCACTAGTATAAGTTAGATAGAATACTAGCCATCAAGGAGTTAGAACGACGTACTCGGGAGGCATTCGAGATCTTCAGGAAGTGGAAAGCCACCCCGTTAGTGGCAAGACTATATACCGTACAGTCCCTCTTAGGAAAGCTCTTGCGATCCCGGTGTATGCAGCCTGTTGAATCTGTCAGCGCCCCGGCTCATGACCTTGGTTGTTTTTAACCACTCACCCATGCCCTAAAGTTTGCGCTACCCCAGACTCGAGGTCAGTCGTCTTAGCCTCGACGATCACCACATTCATTGCCACCGCTTCGTTCTTCCCATACCAAACTTCATAGTCCGGCTTTGCAGAGAGCATGACCGACGCGCCCCTCAGGGATACTGGCCCATAGGAATATGATCGCTCTGGTGGGAGCCTTTCGCTCATCCTTCATGTGTCTGATGTATCCTACCCTGGTAGTAGACTCGGGCACATAGCTCCTCACCGTCCTGTGAGAAAAGGATGACACTAATAATCGTCTTAGTACATGGTGTCGTTGAAGTAAACAGGGCTCATAGACTTACGGCCATCTGGCTTTGGCTTCGAGAATCGCATGCATCCGACCAGTAGCCCTTGACTCAAGCAGCCCGTCAGTTTCACCCGACAGGCTATACACCCTCGAGTCAATTTCCTTGGCCTTCTTTTTCTCCTTGACCTGCCTGAAGTCGAAGGTCAGGATGGCAGGCACATACTGCCTGAATGAAGTTGACAAGAGACATATTGACAAGCTCTTCATTCATGCCATATGCTCTCTTCACCTGGCTCCTCCCGTGAAGCATTTGCGGGACCAGACACTGCTGCCCGTACATAGCCCAGAGCATACCGATACCAGAGCCAGTACCGGTTGAAATCCGGAGAATTGTCCAAATCCTGGCCAGCTTTGTTGAATCAGGCGCCTAGCCTGAGGTGAGTATGCGCCTGCTCTTTGTCGGTCAACTCTGCGTTCGGTCAAACAGCTTTGAGGTGTAGGAAGTCTTCTTCCTTCATCTCGGAGCCAGATTTGATCTTATGCTGCTCGTGGATGCTGGCTTTGGTGTCAAAAATGATGGTCCCATTGGGCTGGGTGTGACGAGCCAGAAGGGAAAGGAACGAAAAGATGACGCCGGCTCTGCTCATTGAGGTTCCAATCCACTCGGAAACACAGTTATGGGCACGTGTTGGCATCGCTTTGACTTGTAGGCAGCGGCTCACGACCAGAAGGAAAAGGAGGGAAAGAGATAATTGTTTCCTGTGCTGAGAACTAAAGTAGCAGAACTGGAGAAAGGAAGAGGAAAGAAGAAGAGCTGCGCAGAAGAACTCCCTTTTAAAGTTCTTCCTCCGTGCTCGCTCCTTCCCTAGCTGTTGTTTGCTGTTTGCTCCTTCTCTTTAGGTGTCATTTGCTCGTCATATGATCGTCACAGCGTGGGACAACTGCACGTGTCTCTCAACTCTCTCGCACACTATAGGCAGTACCAAATGACTGTGAGTGATTGTGAATGATATATTTATATACTCCAGGATTTATTGTCTCTCTGCTCGATATAAATGAGAGAAGGGAACTGCCCGGAGGTCAACGTTGAAGTGCATCGCTTAGTCGTTGAAAGAAAGAAGCTACTCAAGCTAGCTAAGGGTCTTGGAAATAGGACTGAGCAGAGAGGGCAGATAGAGAGAGGAGACTGTCAACATGTCAACGCTTTGCTTGGCCTCGCTGTGAAGGCGCCATTCATAGTCGCATATTGGTGTAGACAAACCGGCAATGCTTCACGCATAATGCAATCCGTAATTATTCAAACACTCAATGATTTTAACGCCGTTATGTTGTCGTCCTTACCCCTCAGAGGAAGCACAAACACAAACCTGGAGGAGCTATGATAGCCTATGAAGAGTTTGTCGAAGGTATGTCTGACGTTGGGCGGTCATTTCTGTCTGGGCTTATGTCCCCAGCCTGGTGCTAGGGCTTACCATTGTTGTGTCCTCGGAAAGACATAGTAACCCCAACAAAGGGGAGTGAATGTATCGGTCGAGGTCCGTTTCTATAGTTAGTTGTATTCAGAACGATCTCAATATTTGCATGGCGATCATGTTCCTCAGGTTAAATAATTGCAGCCGATCCATGAACCTAGACTCTGCAATGGCCAGTGCCCAGACAAATTTTCAACCCTCGCAGCCACAGGCGCCTAACTGGGAAATGATCCCCGGGTCTGCGACAGTCTGGTTCCCAAGGGCGTGCGCTTAATGAGAGATGACGCTAGGGGAAACAGTGACTTAGGTATGCATATTAACTTTGGTGTGCTAACAAGTACTCCTGAGTGTCTTATCATAGGTCCGTGGGTTTAGTGACTATCTATTTTTCCCCTTCCTTATTACCACTCACTTGCACCCCCTTTTTCCCGTGTTCTCTCCTGCAGTTCCACGGTCGACCAGGGCCTTAGTGCACGGGTACCTGAATCTCATTAAACTAAATTAGTCCTCGTTATAAGCACATCTTCCCCCCCCCTTCTTCTCTTTCTCTTCATCCATACATTCGTTCAAAAACAAATCCCCGGTTTTCAACCGATTACATTCTTTTAACCCTATCATTCTTTCGCCTTAACTTTGAAACGAACATTCTTGGAACCCTTCCATTCAACTTTATATATTCACAATGCGTTTCTCCGTTGCTGCTGTCGCTGCCTGCGCCGCTGGTGCCATGGCCGGTGTTGTCACTGAGACTGTCACTGCCTTCACCACCTACTGCCCTGAGGCCACCTCCGTGGTCCACGGTAGCCACACCTACAGCATCTCCACCGTATGTTTACATTTTGTCAGCAAACCCGACCGTGACGCATACTAACAGAATCGCAGCCTGGCCACATCACCATGAGCCACGGTCCCTACACCGTCACTCGCCCTCTCCTGAGCTCTACCGTCACTGAGTGCCACAGCTGGTAAGCATCCCATGCTCCCTAAATTTCGATATAGACAATCTAACATATCGCCCAGCTCTTCCTCCACCCCCGTCATCCCCGTTGTGCCCAGCGGCGCTACTTCCACCCCTCTGGCCCCCAACCCTGTCCCCACCGGTGCTTCTTCCGCCGCTCCTACCCCCTCCCAGCCCGCCTTCAACGCTGGTGCCGTCAACGCCGCTACCGGTGCTGGTGCCGGTCTGGCCGCCGTCTTCGGTGTCGTTGCCCTCCTGCTGTAAAGCAGTTGAGTGTGTCAATGGTATCATGACGAGGTAGCATTGTGTTGAGTGTCGTTTTGATGATATCCATGCAATGCTATCGGGTGTTAATGGCTTGGGTTCTTCTCTGGGTGTATATGTCTTGTCTATGTATTAGATAATACATAATAAGCCCTCTTGGGTCTTCTTTTACGTCCGCCTTCTTTAAGGCTTGTTGGTTTTTGCGCAACATTTCCTGGACATAATGTTTTTATTATACCACATCTGACCTCAATCGAGAATGGTTTCTTACTTTCTACGCATTATGCTTAGCCCAATAACACTGTTGGATCTAGCCAATGACGACCTCCTTGGTAAAGAATCATCCAAGATTCTTTCTCGGGAATTCTGCTGCCCCTTTAAGCCCTAAGTCCTGAATTGGTGAAATGGGTCAGTCATAGTACTAGTAGTCATTTCTTGTCCTACATCCATGTAGTTAGTTAAAGTTTCGAATGTGCAACCTATGAGAGTCCTCTAATTGAACGGTTCGTCTCCGGGTAGATCTAAGCTTAGTGAACCCTGCTGATCTAGGGCCGTGGTCCTTGTGAGATTGAGTTTCTCGGAGCCATAGCCAAGACTTGGTCCTCGTGCATGAACTCATAGACTATCACTCGACTCTTACCAGGCATCTAGTTCATCGTTGGTAGGTATGGGGTAAGTCGCCCTCATTCGAACACAGAAGATGAGATGCACTCTTTGCCCTGATATTCGGATTTTACTAACCCTCTACCAGCTATTAGTTCGCTCGCTTGTCGTGTCTATTGCGCAGACATTACTTAGACAATGCAGTTGGGTTAGTATCTACATGTGCGGCTCCTGATAATGTATGCCTCATAAGCTTAATTGGTCATCTATTTGTCGTTCCTAATACCACTGCCTTCATATACTGATGCCACCATTATCTGTCCTTCTTTATCTTCCCTTTGGCATCCTCCATTGTCACCTTCACCTCACAGTGTATCTTGACAGCTTTCTATCACCAGAAGGACTACCTAGATCATGTCAAATATTCCAAAGGAGAAGGCTCAGGCTACGGAAGCCGACAGGCGGGCACCGGACAGCCTCAAAAATTATACTGTCATCAAGGTACCGAACATCAGATCCCCTGCCTGATTTTACCACGACCTATAAGCTGGATGGCTCCTGTCTTGTTTACCTCCATCTCACTACTAACCAATAAAACAATGATCAATCGAAGGCATTCTGACCTCAAGTGTCTACTGCAGAAACACAAGAATGGCATCACTCCCAACCAGCCCATTGCAAACATCTCGAAGAAGCGTAAGAGGAGTACCGAGCCCTCTGGTCCCAAGCGTCTGAAGGTGCGCTTCGCAGATCTAGCTGAGGCTATTCCACCAGAGCCCCTACCCAAAGCCTCAGCCAACTCGGCAAACGAGAGCGACGGGAGCAACGAGAGCGACGGGAGCAACGGGAGCGACGGGAGCAACGAGAGCGACAAGAGCGACGAGAGCGACAAGAGTGACGAGAGCGACGAGAGCGACAAGAGCGACAAGAGCGACAAGAGTGACAAGAGCGACAAGAGTGACAAGAGCGACAAGAGTGACAAGAGCGACGAGAGTGACAAGAGCGACGAGAGTGACAAGAGCGACGAGAGTGACGAGAGCGACAAGAGTGACGAGAGCGACAAGAGTGACGAGAGCGACAAGAGTGACGAGAGCGACGAGGACGAGTCTGAGTCCTCCACCTCAAAAGACACGCAACGGTCTGTGTCACCCGATGATGCTCAGGACGAGGCTTCGTCCGGTCCATCACCAGCCCTAGAGATCAACAAGCATGATGCTACCCCGGAGGGTCTTGACCTCGTATCGGCATCCCTCAGCACCTGCCCAAAAGATACCTTCGACGGCTCCTCCGAGGAGAATATCACATCTCAGTCCTACCCCACTGATCTGCATCAATGTCATAACATAGACTTGATGTACCAGTATACCCATCGTCTCTGGACTCCGTGTGACACTGCACTGATGCGCAGGGTATACAATGAGCTGGGCGATATTTCGATGCGCTTGCAGGCTGTCATGCGCGGCATGAGTGGGTTGATGGATGAGGCGGATTTTGATACTCTTGAGTGCTCTTGGTCTAATTGGGAGGGTCCCTGCACGTTCGCAGAGGCGGATGATGATGCTGGGGCTTTGGAGAGTACTTTCACAGTACGGGGTGAAGAGGATCTGGGGTTAAGCTCTGTTGAGCAAGTCTTTGCGGATGAGTCGAGCAATGAGTATGGGGATGAGTAGTGGTTGGGATTTCTTTATGGGTTAGGGTTGTCTCTGCATACCTTAACGTCTACCTTCTCTTGGATTTTCACTGATCTGTGAATCTGGTGTTTCTCGCGCACGTCTTATTGGCTGGTTCTTTGCGTTCGACTGAATGATGATTTTGACTTCTTTTCTCTTCTTTGACGGCTGCAGACCTAGACTGTGGTTCACTGGTAGTCGATATCATCAAGGATAGACTGCAGAGCATGCATATGACGAACAAGGATCGCTTGTAGTTTGGAGGAAAAGGTTCTTTTTCATATTCTAACGAATAATATACCAACCCCTTCATACCTGGTCATAATCACATAGCAACATCCATCTCCATCCCAGCTCAAAATAGAGGCATCGTAACACGATTTGAAGGATCAATATTCGCATCCACACTCTCAATCCGATCAAGACAAGTCCCGAAAATCCTATCCCAAAGCCTCGTCTGCTTCCCATAATTATGACTCTTCCTCCAACCATACCGATGATGCAGATCATGATCCTCAATCACCAACTCAGCACCAACCATCTCCAACAACCAATTAAACGTGGACGGCGCACCCCCATGCAACCTCAACCCACTATGTCCAATGAACTCCGAAAAAGCAATATACTGGAAACAAATCCACCACCCATAGAACCCCATCGGCAGCCCCATCACCTTCAGCGTAGCATACGAAAGCAGCGGAATACCCGTCATATCCATAAACTCCTGCTCATGGTCCGCATACGCCGACAGCAACGGGTTCGGATGTTTCGTCAGATGGTGTCGACGGTGGTACTGCCACAATGGGCCTACCGAGTGCATCAGGCGATGGTACCAGTAGAACCAGAAATCGACGGTGAGGCTGTATAGTCCGATTTCCAGCGGTAGCCACTTCCATTCGAGGGAGGAAGGGGTCAAGCTGGGGTTGTAGGTGAGGTAGATGGACATGACCATTCGTAGCGTCGGGACGGATATTAGTTCGTGTATGACCTTGTCGACGCCAACGTCGGGGACCTCGTCGCGGGCGTGCTTGTCGCCGTCGAAGAAGCCGTGGACTTGACCTAGTCGGCGCATGATGTGTAATTCGTGTATGCCGTTGAGCTTGAAGGCCATGGCGTAGAGGGTGAAGACGGCGATGGGATGGAGGTTGTGCCCTGTGTAGACTGTGTAGGCGTGGTGTAGGGCTAGTGGGATTGCGGCGTGCAGGAGGATCCAGAGGTGGACGGTCCATTCTCTCATTACGGGGACTTTGTCTGTTTTTGAGAAGATGGGCACTTTCTCGTTGGAGTCGACGAGGTGCAGGCCGAGGAAATCGATCAGGTGGTGGGACATGTTCCATTTGGACCGGTCATGGCGCCAGGTGGAGGCCATAGAGTCTGGATTGCGCTTGGTTGGGGGTGTCTGGGTAGACATTTTGGAATCATTCCAATGTTTGAAATTGGTTGTCTAGTTATGAGCAGGTCCAGCAATCATTATATACCTGAACACCGAAATATTGGCTAATACAGAAGTGGTTTCATGTGAAGTCATGATCAGCGCCGAAAAAGGAAATATAGAGGGAATATTACAAGGTTGGGAACAAATCAGACAAGACAGAGGGAGAATAATGGAGCACACTAAGAAATGTTGAGGCGACAGAGACGATGATCATCGAAAATATTCTCACGAGCATCACATCTCAGATGTGCGCTCAGATGCCTCGGCAACCCCACGATTTCAAGAATATCAAGGCGGGGGAGTTCCGCTCGTTTAGGAAACCAGTTCGTCTTTTATTTTCAAGCCAAAATCTTATGACCACTGTCATTATCCCCATACGCATCAGTGCGTTCCTCATCAACATTAAACGTTGTGAGGACGGAAATATCTTTGACTCCGGCAACGTGTTCAGTGCTCCCATCCTGCACACTGTACAGCTGATACGACTGCCTTCCCCGGCTACTTGTAGGCTGGAACTGGTCCACAGACACATCCCCGGTCATCTTCCCCTTCGGGTGTGTCCGGTTGTGTGATGAGAATAGCGAGAGTCGCGGCAGATAGACTGCGATCAGACGCTTGAAGCGCATTGCGCAGGCACAGATAATGCCGAGGTTGACTTCGACGATGGACCATACGCCTAAGATGGCTTCTGTGTAGGTCAAGTCTTTGGTTTGGCCGAGGAGTAGTACGTATGGGAGGCGGGCGATTGAGCAGACGATGACGCTGGAGGTGGGATTAGTGATTTTGTTTGGTTGTTTGATAGGTTTCAGGGAATGTACCCAGATCCTAAGGCCAGAAGACCGCCGACCGTGAGTTTTTGTTTCGTGGAGAAGTGGAGACCGTAGATCGTGGGGATCGGGAGGATGATCACGGCGAGATCGGAGGCGATGTTTAGGACTGCTTGGGATAGTGCCACGTTCTCGAGACACTTGGTGGTTCCGGCATGGAGAGGGTTGCAGGGTGCTCCGGTGATGATGCATAGGGCTAGAGTGTATGCAAAGGTGGCGATTGCGACAGTCACGACGATGATGCGGTACCCTGTCGAGGGATTGATACGATATAGGACAGAAAGGATCGCCATCTTGGTAATGGCGGGAGTAATCAAATATGTCACGGTGTTAATAAGTAGTCCCTGTTTCTGGTTAGCCGTTTGTTGTCCACGTCTTGTGAAGTCTTACCTTGTTGAACTCTGCCAGAGTAGCCAGACTGACATCCCACTGGTGTTTTCCCCAGCCATTGTTCATCACTGTGTCCAGTCAGTTGGATGCTTCTATGGAAACTTCGATCAGACTCACAATTGACCATAGTGACGAAGTAGAGCAGAGCCATTCCATAGGAGATTGTGATAATGACTATCGAGGTATAAGTGTCTGGCACAGTCCCAATACGGAATATTGTATTGTACCTAGATCTACCTCAAGCTTCTTTGTCAGTTTGAAGGCCTGGAAATATCGAAGACCCAGGAAAGCAGTCGCAATGAAGTAGGTGATGCCAAATGCAATGACCGTCCCATTCTGTAGGGAATTGTAAGGCGCGTTGAAATCCGATACCTGGCCGGCCGGCGGCGGCATTCCTGGAGTCGTCGCTGGATCCATCATTGCGTCTGCCATTTTGTCTGAAGAAATAAACTGAGTCTCCAGGGCCTTCAAGGGGTCTTGTCTATATAGCGACCCCTTCAACGTACGCCACACAAAACTAGACCCTTGACGACGTTATCCCAGAAAACTCAGGATTGGGTCTGAATAATATCCGTAGCCAGTAAAGAAGAGCCATTAGAAGACTATGGTGGATACTGCTGGCGCAGGATTGTAGGAGATTTTCTCGGCACAATCTAAATGTCTTGGAAGGAGTCCGACTGGTCTTGGACACCTCAATTGGGCCTATCACAAAGATATTGTCTGCCCCGGTATCTTGACACCTCCACTCCCGGTACTTTTTCACTCGGCTTTTCACACAAGCGCACGTTAAGTGGCGTCTGGCGCTAATTATTGTAGTCTGTCGCCTGTATGGAACGAAATCTAGATCGAGCAGTAAATACGAAAAGTCCCCCACCCCCCCGGGGCCCCTTAGACAATTCCGAGATTCTCTTGTAAATAGAGGCCCCTGCAGCATATGATTTATGTTTCTCTCGAAGCCAGACTATTGATTTCCTGTACACATTCTACAACTTCGCATCATGTTGTTCGGGCGCAAACCTGCCATGGAGCCGATCCCAGGCGACCGAGTGCAGCCGCTGCATTTCTTTGAGAATAGCTTGCTAGTGCAGGGAAACAATATGGCTGTGTCGCTGGTGTTTGATGCGGTGCTAGACCCGGAGATATTGCGCCAGTCTCTGGAGGGCCTGGTGAAACGAGATGGGTGGCAAAGATTGGGAGGAAGACTTAGGAAGAACGTAAGAACGAACCCATCTCAAAAGAAAAAAGAAGGGGAAAAAATATTTGGCGCCGCATAGATGCATAGAGATTATTATCTGCGGGTGTTTACTGACGCCAATTGCTTCCAAATAGGCGTCCGGCAAGATCGAATGGCACATCCCAGCGGAATTTACAGCCGACAGACCTGCAATCTCTTTCGCGCATGTCGACCATGGTATCGCTGCCGCTGCACACCCGGCAGCCGCCAAGATACCCACGCCACAGGATCGACCCTGCGTCACCGGTGACCCGGATGCCCTGGAAGGTCTGGCTTGGGAGCCCGGTTACAAGCCCAATGGAATCAATGACTATCTCACCTCCGATATTCCCGTCTTGGGACTGCGCGTCAACTCTTTTACCGACAAAACTATCGTGGTCCTACAATGGCAGCACGTCGCTTTTGACGCACTGGGCATGCAGTATGTCGTCGAGGCCTGGAGCTTGATGCTTTGGGGAAAGGCGGATGAGGTGTTGACCCCATGTGGTCTTGATTCAGATCCATTCGACTGTCTCGCGACGGGTTCACGTCCCGTGTCGGAGAAACACATCCTCGCTGAGAGAAAGGTCGGACTGGGGGGCTTGTTGCGGTGGGGACTTGGTTACGGAGTCGATATGGTTGTCCGCTCGAAGGAGAACCGCATGGTTTGTATTCCGGAGAGCTACTGGCGACCGCAGTTGGACAAAGCTCTGGAGGAGCTTCGCGCCGAAGCGCTTGCAAATGGCGAAGATGTATCGAAAGTGTTCTTGACCGAGAACGACGTTCTGACGGCCTGGATCTTACGTTGTACCGTTGCCGAGATGGGAATGAGCCCTGGGCGAACGGTAAGTTGTAGCCTCGATCGAGGTGCGATCACCTGCTGACAGTACTTCTTTCTCAGGTAGCTGCATCGATTGCCATGTCGCTTCGCAAGCATTTCGAGGGCGACCTCTTGCCGGCCGCGACTGAACATCCTTACGTTGGAAATGCCTTCGGTTGGGCCAACGTCCTCGTCACTGCGGGCGAGGTGACTTCCCAGCCGCTGAGCTGGCTCGCACGGCAGGTCCGGCGCGCCATCAACGAGCAGGGGACGCGGGCTCAGCACGAAGCTTATTATGCTATGGTTCGCACGTCCGGCACTGGCCTGCCCATCGTCATATTTGGAGATGGAGGCATGGCCCAAGTCGGGTTCTCCAATTGGTCCAATGCCGGTCTGTTTAACTTGGACTTCTCTCCTGCCCGCCGAGGGGGCCAGGATGACAGTGCGCCGTGTAGGCCCTCGTATGTCCAGGAAAATCACGGCCCTGTCAAGCCTGCAGATGGATTCTTCATTCTGGGAAAGGATGACAAGGGTAACTATTGGACGTCCGCATGCAAGGTTAAGGGTCAGTGGGCGAAGTTCGAGGAGCAGCTGAAGAAATTCGACACATCTGACACGAGGTGAGAGTTGAGGCGAAAAGTGACTGGGAAATATGAGGCACCCACTCTCCGGAGTGATGGACCCCCTGCTGGATGGACCAATAGCGCACAGACGTTGCATATTCAGACATATCGCATTTTTGATATCTTCAGTGCTTTTGTTTTGTTTATTTTGTCTCGGCCTTCCATGGTCCAGAGTGTTTCATTCTGAAGCCCCGGACCTCGAATGTCAAAATGGTCATAATTCGTGCTCATCCATAGTAGTAAGGAGATATATATCTTGCAGTACATGGATTGAACGTTATACCTACTTATTCCTGGCATGTCTTCGTATATCCATCTAAACGAGCAGGATCGTAGGTTCTTGCTGTGGAGTATTCCAAGGGTAATCATTGAGTATCCTACCTCTGACTCGGTACCTAGTCAAGGTGGTGGGTGCACTTTGTGCTAATAGCCCGACCACCATAGCAGAATTGTAAAGCGTTCGAATTTGAAGTATGTCATAGGCTTATGTAGTCAAATTCCCCAGATCTTCCATCAATAAGGCGGTTTGGCCGAGTGGTCTAAGGCGATTGACTAGAAATCAATTCTCTTCGGAGGCGCATGTTCGAATCATGCAGCCGTCGTTTCATTTTTTTATTTCCTCTTCACCCGTTCGAGCGACGATATGCAGCAGACAATGATTCCATGATCCTGTAGTGTGCCTTGTCTGTAAGACTTTGGTTTCATTAATATCAGTTCTCATCCCACCTAACTCATTATTCGTCCTCTCATCTTCTCATCCAAGATGGCAAGTCCAGTCAAAGTCGGAGCCGGAAACAAGGCGATTCTCAAGTGCAAGCGCTAAAGCTGCTGGAAGATCAATTTCTGACATTCGGTAATATCTTGCGCCATGGCCAATGTGAAGCGCGGTCGCATCCAAGTGTATCTAGCCCGGCTGAGGAATCTAGATGATACAGCGACTAGCAAACAACACTCCATGTTATCCTCGCAGCACTAGGACTGATTCACCCACAGTAAACCCCCTCAAATGGAAAACCATCAATGGAGTCAAATAACTGCCTCATCTCATCACCATCTCCCATCATCGTCCAGAGATCCCACAGCGCCGATGTCCAACATCTCATCCACCCCGGAAATGTGTCAAGTTCATCCATAATCGGAAATGCTTCAAGAACCTTTACACATCGTAGCTCATTATCGAGATCCTCTGGCCTTTCATTTTCAAGGGTCTCGACTGATGTGCCTTTCAGCGTTTGTAGGGATTCGTCATCGATGATCATGCACATTCGAAATTTGGTCCAGTTGTCACGTCTGCCTTGAGCGTTCACCCACGCCTCAAAATGAGCGCGAATTGCCTCGAGAGAAGTCCCGTTAAATTGCTCGGGATCCTGCATGATGGTCGACCGGTGTTTGGCCCAGATTTCGTTTGCTTCATCTGTAGGATCGTTTTCGTTTTCCGAGAAAAAGTCTCGTTTAATACAGGCCTCAATGTACCTAATAGCGTCTGGGAATAGAGTATCTGATTCAGCAGAGTAGGTAGTGCGATATATGACATATCCCCAGCCTGGGAAGCTGTGAATTCTATTTCGGAGCTCGTTCATGTTTGTGAACTGATCGTCAAGTTGTTTATCGCGATTATGTGAAATTTGACTTGGTGGTTTGGCGAGGGGAGAAGAGATGGATGAAGGAAATGTCTTGACTCTTGAGTCTCCGAGATGGAAAACACGTGTTCCAACAGGCATGTCCAACTCATGTACGTACTGTGTTAATATGTCCCCCTTCATCGTGGCGTTCCATGAATACCTAGGCGTCCTACAAACCAGTTCAAATTTAGCCTGTTTTATCCTCTCTTCTCTCACTTTACCAAACTTCATTACTACTCACAGCTGTCTTATACCTCGGCATGATCCTAAGCATAGGTAGGCAAAAACAAAAACAAAACATACAACAGTGAGGATTCGCTGGTGGTCACCCACCCAACTACTAACTCACCGGCGTGTGGCTTAAGTACGGCTGAGCGGACGGGAAGCCCTGTTCTCCACACCCTATGGTCGTATGTGCTAAATATAATCCTATAGAGTATGGTATGGAGAGTGAAACCATTGTAGAAATGAGGGCTAAAGGAAAACGGAGTTGAGTGATACCAAAGTCTAACGCAGGTAGTGCCAGGTACCATCCAACTGACAACGTATCCAGCATACTTCTCTACTTCCTGGAGCCTAAAGAAAAATATTCAATTAATGCCGAAAGAGCAGCATCGCCATGCTCGAACACCTAGATTGCGTGAGGCTAGTAATTCTTTTTACCATGACGCTTTCCCTTGCAGGTCTTTTACCAACACAATATGTTGGGGATGTATGCGGATAAGGTAACTATTTTGCCTAGGGGAATGTTAACGAGTCAATGGAAGCGCTTTTCTCGGCATCCAATCAACTTCTTGGGAAGGCTCTCAGATACAGAAGAGACGGCTACCGTCTTTCTTTTGCAATCGATGTATCATCGATGGTGTTGAAAGCCACACAAATATTCATCTGTATCAATATACTATCGATTGGTCATATGGATGTTCAAAATTGGGCTCCAATGCATCCCTCACCACACCAACTCCAAATCGGACGTTAAGGCGATGACGCTCTCTAAAGGGGTTTCCTCCTTCACCGTAGATGAAATCCCCTACCTGCTTTTCAATCCATATACCGTGTCCATATGTAGCATATGCAAGGTTCGTGTCCTCGATTGGCACGCCGATCGTAATTTTGGGTCTTGTTTCCGCATCCCGGTCTCCCCACAGCGTGCTCTCCGATACCATTTGCTTGATTTCTTCCAGCATACTACACCAGGTTCCAGGGCCAGGAAATCGCAGCATACTGAGTTCAACGGAGCGAACGGATTTTGGTAACGTCTTGAGGAAAGAGACACAGTCATCCTGCGATATAACAAAGCCGGAGAGTTCGAAATGGCGCAGTTTCGACCATTGTTCCAGAGGCACAATGCTCTGTAATGGGATCCGTGGATATGCGTGGCCACGGTAGGGATATTCAGAAAATCTTATATGCAGCCTGAATTCCTCCATTTCTTTTGCTTCACCGAGTGCCCGGCGCAGACGCCCATTAACCAGAGGTCGCCAGCATGCTTCGAGGTCTTCCTCACCCTCACCACCAACAAGCAAGGCAATATCCAGACGGCGGAAGCCCGGCTTCTTAAGCACGGTAGCGAAATGACTGTACTCTTCGCAGGGCTCGTCGAAGATCGTGCAGTTGATCCCGGTGGGGATAAAGTTAAAAGTCATCACCAGCTCAGAAACAGAGTTGGGTTCGTTGGCGAGGACACGTATCGCCGTGCGGAACCCGCGGTACCGATCTCTAAGTTCTGGGTATTGACTCCACGTATACGCAGTAGCGGGCTCAGGGGTGGCTCTAGGGTACAGCCAACCACGAGGAATGGGGTAATTGAAGCCTTCCGGGAAAGCACGAATCATAGGGGTCGGGTAAAGCGGGGTGATGAGATTGCTGCCGTGGGCTGCAGGTGTAATGGTAACTCTCTTTAGGGCAGGGAATTGCTTGACGCCAAACGCGAACGCTTCCAAATCACTCCGACCGGCAAGAACATCCTTCTGTTGGCGCAGCAACTGCAGATAATGTTGCCAGGCCTCCTTCAGGGAAGGCTGAGCGAACACCTGTTCTCTGCGCGCGATACAGTCGGGTCTATCCACATCACGACGTTCCCGGCATTTTAGAATGTAAATGTTTTCCTCGCAAGCGTTTTTGAACCATTTAGGACACTCATCTCCCTCTTCATACTCATGGCGCTCAATGATGGCCTCTATGTATCCCGGGTGGTATTCCGCAGCCCATTCTCTGTTATTATCGGGTTCATCCTCGTCCGAGAGCAACTCATGTCCCTCGCCAGTTGGTGCAAATGATTAGGCGGTAAGAAGGTACCCGCTGCGGGTGGTAGCTCGCCAGTTGACCCGAAGATCTCTTGGCTTCCCTACGGTGAGTGGTATTAGGTGAAGGAAGTCCCAGATCCTACCTAGAGAGGGCTACGTACTCCGTACAGTTCACGGTTCTAATGGTACGTAGAAGACTACAAAGAAAAGGAAAGTACGGAGGAAAAGAATTTCTACTCAAGTGGAATCGAACAGACGACCAAGAAATTTATCTAGCAATCGTCGTCTTCGACGTTGGAAAAGAAGAAAAAAATAAAAACGCAAAGAGCAGATTCCGAGCCTGGGAAACGCCGCGTCATAAAAATTGCGCAAGCAACTACACAGCCTCATACCACATCGCAAACTCCCGTGACGTGAACGGGAAGACCTCAACGGTGCTGGCGCCCTCGAGTAAAGCGTCCCCATCATCCCCCTTGAAAACGTACTGGACGGCGTTGCGTCCATCCCTTGTTTTCAGAACCATTCCCTCCGTGATCTCATCTGCAGATCCCAGATTGGTTATAACGACGTTGGGCTTCCGACAAATGGTTCCAATGACGAGCTTTGCACGTTGAAATTTGCGAAGGTCGGCCGGGAGCTTCTTGGCCCCTTGACAATGGAACACAAGGGACTTCCATTCCGTGCTAGGCCAATAGACACGTGGGAGGTCTGGTTCCAAGAGGGACTCAACGACGGAGTGCGGGATTGTCATTTGAACGATAACGGTCGCGCTGCAGACACTACGCCGTTTGGCGTAGAAGGCATAATACTCTGCGACTTCGCAATGCACAGAGTGTCTTGCTGAGAAATCGGAAGGTCTCCTTGAGATAAAGCACCGAAAGTCGACTCTTCCATCAGCATCGAACAGACTACTAAGCAGTGCTTGATCAGTGCCTTTGTAGAGCGTCAGGTTACCCGGGGCATTGGCAGTGCTTGTTCGCAGCTTGCGACAAGCCAGTCTCCCGCGATAACCAGGGCAGCATCCTAGAGGTACGCTGCTAGTCCAGCAGATCCGCGATCCAGCGGAAGACGTGTAAAAAGTCATCGATCGCAAAGTTTTATAAGAGTTGGTGAAAGAGAGCCCTGGGTTCGACAATGTATTTGAGGTTGACCTTACTGGTCTCGACAGCTCGAACTATGTGCTTCTGCGAGGATAATGATGATTAGTGGACGAGGCAATAGTATTCTTAGGTATGGAAGGCTCTTACATGCAGGCGCTCAAGTGTGCGCGATTTCCAGTTGCGAGACCAACTGCCAATATCCTGACACCAGAGAGTGCCCGTGTGCATGGCAATTTGGATCTGGATCCGGCCGGACCTTGCAAATTAGCTGGTGAGATTTATCCGTTGCAGTGAACCGTCTAAAAAATTGCCACCGGACCAGCTCTTCAAGCCGCGCACGAGCTGGGAGGACTTCACCCCAGACAACCTCGGTATTTGGCGCAGGATTTCTTCTACAGTATTTCCTTCTGGGAGGAGCATCAACATCGGCGGGCTGCACGTTAGGCTGCATATCTGACTGCACGTTGGGCTGCATATCGGAGAGCGCATCGGAGCGACGCTTTCGCTGGTTATCCCCAGTCCATGAGTGTTCTGTCCCTGACTCCCTAGGATTGCGGTTGAACAGGCTCTGAGTGAGACCTGCGCACAGTGGTCTGAGAGGGCTCTATGATCAGCGACCGGGTGTCATGACAGTACATCAGGCGTGCAGACTTCGACAAGAACTTTCCTGTAACCTAGGTAGTTCCGGCAGGTATATCGTTGAAAGGGCGTAGGGGGCCAGAATCATACTCCACTCGATGAGGGGTTGCAGTTGCCCTGGTCCGGGGCGGCGATTCGACATCATTATCTTCATCATCAGAAATCATGGCCGGACCATCCCGACGATCTGTTGAAGCTCCTGTGGGCCTGACGGGCGTGGCGGTGCTAGATCTGACAAACTCCCTGCGTGCTGGACCCTCGGGCGGGCACTTGGCATAGGTGGCAGTGTGGACTCGCTGTCACCTCCTGTATCGCGGGCAGGCGCGGCGCGGCGTGGACGTGCAGATGTGGGGGGCAACTCTTTCGCTTGCTGTTGGGATTTGCGTCTGGGGGCCATCCTGTATGACAAGTCTAGGCCAAATCAGCAGTCGGACGAATCAGGATATTGGTCCCGTTCAAGGTTGAAAGGTTGGATTAGAGCACGAAGGGGTTGATCAGATTTGTTCAAGATCGTGGTCGAGAAGGAGGTAGAAGAGATCAGGGAGGGTCAAGGTGAAGTGGAAGATCCTCTTAGAGTAGTGAGAAACTACAACTCTTGTCACGCCTCGCCGAGTCATCCCCGAGTGCGCGTATGACTCTATAATATCTGGGATCGTCTTGCAGCTTTCGGTGAGCCGGTATTGGCGAAATTTTGGATCCATTATGGCTTGTTGTAGCTCGCTGTTAACCCCATACAGATCCATGCAATGAGTCCATTGAGCGTCATCGAGGTCGCAAGTGTCCATAAGGTGGTCGATGTGACCTTGCGCGACTTCAATGAAGGGTACGTCTTTGTATACCTCTTCCCATGTTGACCCTGGTTCCCCAGAAGGAAGTTTGCACCAATGCTGCCATATGCGCCTCGCGGTTTCAGTGTTGTATCCCAAGTGCTCGAGGGTCGCCAGGGAGATCAGATGCTCCGGAATGCTGACGAAAGAATCGGCACTCGAGGCGAGAGAAATGGGCCTCAGCGGGAGATGTTGCTCCTCTTCGTCGCTGGAACGATTCAAACGCCGTTTGTGAAGTCAGCGAGTGCCATCGGACATAGGAGGGCTGGCCAGTCCCGATTCTTGTAAGGTATAGCGGCGTCGTCTGGTGTCAGAATAGTTTCCCAGGCATCGCCGTTGCCGGACCACATAATAGTTGGTTGAAGACTGAAGTTGTTTTTGCTTCTCTTTTGTTGTTTTGGGCGGTTGAATTTGCCCATTAGTTGGAATGGTGAAGGTTGAGTCGAAGGTGTCGAGTGATCGTGTGCAGTGGACTAATGATGATGCTGAGTAACAGGTACAGCATGTGCGGATGGCCCCTACCTATTTCGGAATCGGAACTAGGAAAGCGCGTTCCCCAGTAATCGTGAGATCATAATCATGTACGACCGTACCGTGTACGAATGTACGATGAACGAACTTGATGAAAACCTCGATTACGGGCCAGGTCTTTTGGAAAAAGAGTGCATTCAACGAGAACAACAACTATGGAGGAAGAAGAGAGAAGAACAAGAAGGGAATCGGCGAAGAAGCTATTTATCCCACTTGTTGTCACATGACTTCAAGACAACAACCACATGACTAGTCCATGCTCTCGACCTACTCTGAGCTGCCTGATCGTCACAGATGGACCTGAAATGAAATTATTAGGCAGGGTGAGAAATGGGTGAGTGCACTATACGGGGTGAGACTTAGGGTGAGAATCACCCAAGTCGCGCGACCATTGCATTGACCCTTTCAGCTGAACCAATGGCAGAAGAGTTCCAACGCGAGGAACGAATCTTCAAATAGAGGCGCACTGTGATGAGCCAAGTCTGGATAGAAAAAAGAGTGCTAATATTCAAAGAATAAACGTGAGGAAGGATGGAGAAAGAAGGAAAACAACTATCTGAGTTGAGCCTTTTTAAAAGTCCACTCTATTGTTACTTTCCCGATATTCCAGAGATATCATGCAGCACCTTCAATTTCCCGCCGAGGAAAGATTGGCCCGTTCCCTCCACTGTCGCTCTAGATCTCGCCCAGTCCATGAGGTGCGCCATCCAAGGCTTCTCTCTACACGACCAAGGAAACGCAGTGCCCCTTGTTGCTCAGCCGGCTTCTGCAAGCAATACCCAACTGATATATTGTCAGAGATTCTAGAGGTTCTATCCATCAGATCACGAACTTACAGCGTTGCAGCAAGTGCGAAGCGATGTAGTAACTATTTTGCACGGTGTCATTCGACAAACACAGTCCGATGGCCATCACGAGATGACTCGCCACCGTTTTCTACCTCGGAGATCAGCGATGAAGGATACCAGGGAGTATGTCTGGAGCAGACCTCTGCGATGAGTCGCGCTTGCGACATTTCATAATCCGTCATCCGCTGTGATGGTGCATCCGACAGGGTGAGAAATATTTTGGAAGCGTGATAATACTGCAAACCGACCACTGGTAAAGAACTCGTGAGCTGTGCATGGCATCAGATGGAGTACGAGCAAGACCAACCGGCAGGGGGTGACAGGATCCACAGTTCAGGAAACGGTTGATCATCGGACAAAACGTGCGCCTGATATCGAAGTGGTTGCCAGCTCCTCGGCTTATTGCAGTGCCACTCCTCCACACAGTCTGCCAGGCGCCGCCAGCTTTTCCTGTCAACGGCGTACCCTGGCACAGTGCAGCATAGCTGAAGTATGCATGCACAGAAAAAGATGATGACATTCGCGCGGGCGGCATCGTCATCGCGGTGGAAGACCGAGGAACGCTCGTAATTTCGTAGATCCAACTGTATTGGCTCATATTGGGCTATTGACGAGTAAATAGCTTGCCGTAAGAATTGCCAGCTTACTGCTTCGGCTAATCCTCCAGACGACGCAGACCGAGACATTAGGTTTAGTAGGCGGTTGGACCCAAGAAGGTGGCATTTCGTGTCGGCTGTCCTTTCCAACTCTTCGTAGAAGCGAAGTACAACCACGGTGGCGAGAAGATTGTCGTCATAGTTCTCCTCCGGTTGGTTTAGGGCAACAATAAGCAGCTGTAGACACTCCCCGTGGAATATTGATGCTTCAGATTCATTTCCATCTGTTAATATGGCATCATGCCGAGCAGCAAGTGCTAGGAGGGCTTTCAGCAGCATTGGTTCTTCGAGTGCTCGGCGTGGAAGCTCAGTACTGAAGTAAGCCCGGGGTTCGCATATATCTGCCTGCAGCCATTAGCCTTCTTTTTTTATCAGACTTTCAATTTGCTGATAGAAGCTTTACCACTGCCGCGATCTTCTGGATGTAGGAGCGGATCAAGTATGCCTCCCGCGGGCTTGGCGAGGAGACATCATTTGTTCCAGAAACTGGAGAGTGATTTGATGAGTCGTCGGTGGGATTGAATTCAGTTGGATCTGGAGGCGTGGTATGGTTTTGGCCCGGCGGGGAATATGACTGCTCGAGATTCTGGTTAAATTCAGGTGGATCTGGAGGCGTGGTATGGTTTTGACCCGGCGGGGAATATGACTGCTCGAGATCCTGGTTCCTGTCCTCTAGCTCGAATTGTTTACGTGTGAAATTGTCAGTCGAATTGAATTCAATTGGGTCTGGAGGCGTAGGCTGGTTTTGACTCGGCGGGGAATATTGCTGCTCGACGTCCTGGTCCCTGTCATCCGACTCAAATCGTTCGCCCGTGAAGTCGTCGGTCTCGCATACAAAGGTCACTAAAGCACTTCTTGTTACTGGGCAAACCATTGAACAGCACCGAGGACAGGATTTACCTGGCCTTGAAGCTCCTACCCAAACCTGCTGCTCATCCCAGACGAGATCGAAGCGTGTTGGAGCATTATTACACTGCTGGTATATATGGCGCACAGGCTTGAAGTGGAACCGCGGCTCGAGGTGACATGGCCGGCCCAGACGCGCACAGCCCGAGCAGGACGAGGCACCGACCGGTACCACGCAGCGGGCGTGACGATGCCGGCAGCGAGCACAGCCCTTAGTCACTCGCATATTGTAGTGGTTGATGATCACTTGGAGGGGGAATAAGGGGATTATTTCCCGATTCATGCACAGCAGTGAAAGTGCGGAGAAGGTTTGGTCGATGCAATCAACTGCTCTTGATAGGCTTCAGGGATATCTGCCTAAGGCGTCCATGCTCGCTCTAGTCAATGTACAAAAGCTGTAGTTTAGACCCGTAGCTTCCCTCTTTGCTATTCGCTCCTCTTGGCGATTGCTTATCGCTTATCCTCATTTCCGTGCAAGGCTATGAGATATAACCATTCATGGTGATAGGCTGATACTTATCGTAGCTATCTCATTACGTATCCCGAGCCGGTCCAACACTAACCTGAAAGGAGTTAAGATCGAATGCGGGGTAACGTACCCCGCATTCGGATCCATGGGTTCTGCCACGTGGATGACGCAGTGATTGGGGCTTCAGCGTACATAGATGTTAATACGTACTGCGAACAGGCTAAGCACAGATTGAGCACGTCCAAGGTTTGTCTGATTGCATTTGTTTGTTTGATACCTTCGTTTGCCAATCACTTGTCTTTTCAGGGTGCACAACTTGCTTTTCATAGACCCGGGATCAATATTCTTCATCCTTCTTGGCTTGTAGTGTCAACAACAATTCTAAAAGTTCGCTTCCGCCCAAGCAGTCGGCCAAACGAGTATGGTACTGATCAGCATGGCGGTAGCCACCCCCGTGGTGCTTACGGGAATCCATCCCAGCAAAGAGCCGGGAATCGTCAAGTCCAAGGTGTCAATCACAAGTCGATTTAAGAGAACACCAGTCGACGGGGTCAGATTTGGTGGTGAATGACTTGCTGCCCCTGGCTTTTCTTTGTCACCAACGGAGCCGTTTTGAGTACTAGGCTCTGACGGACCAAGAAAAAGATCGGAGACGGTTCCAACAATTGCTATGCAAATAGCGTAGAACCAGAACTTGTACGCTTCAAGCAGAATGGGCGTATACCACGAAACCAAGAGAACATCCATGTCATGGAGCTGGGACTGATTATTAACAAATGTACTATAGTCGCGGATGAGTTGAAGTTGTGGAGCTCACCATGGTCGTGCCCTCCAGAGCAAGGTAAATTCCCAAACAGCTAGATTTGGCCAGCTCCATTACCGATTTCCTCGTCATGGGGTGCCCTGCGAGAGTGTCTTGAACATTGTGGAAACAATCAAGGAAACAGAAGAAGCGAAGATAACGTCTTCCTATAGGCGTTTCAGTTCTGGAAGTTCAAGGACGAAACCATAAAAAACCTACCTAGGCCTATCTGTGAAGCTGCAACGGAGCATTTCAGAACTGTCGCATTGCTGAACTTAAGTTGCGTCCCAAGAAGGGCCAGGCTATGGAAGAAACGGAGCGTCAAATCCAGGCCAGCCGTGGAGTTCGTGAAATTGGCCAGTTGTCTTGAGAGCGAGATCCTTGGAAGGGCGAGGGATGATTGAGCCATTGAATTGGGTTTCCACGCAATGAGAAATGAAGAACAAAAGGTATCTTGATGTAATATAATATATTTGATCGGACTGATCATTGCATTGGGCTCGCAATAGAAAAATTATGGCAGTTCTAGCCTACCATGTGCGCCATAACCTTGGACGGCCAAAATGGAGCCCCGACCGTGGGAGGCACTGGAACGCAACCTCGGAAGATTTCCCCGCTAAGATCAAGGCTTACCACAAAGATAACGGGTTAACTTTAAACTTATGGCCCCCATACGTCCCACCAATAACCATGGGCAAACTAGGTATCTTCCTACTATCTGATACCCCCGCATTCTTCGTATTGTGGTGGCGGCAGGATCATCCGAGATGCCGGGAGACGCACTAGGAAACTTGCTCCTACGCCCTTTCTTGGAAGTTAACTTAGTCCTCAGTTTCCACCTATATCGTCAGTGGCAGTCATTAGTACCATATCATCTCCTCTCTGCTCTCACTTCTTTTCCCAATAAACACCTCTCCTTACTATCGAGTACTCTAGACTTATTCAATCCTGAACACCATACACCCCATCAATTATGGACGCTGCCAAAACCCCCCAGAGGGGCCAGAATACAAGCATTCTCCCGAAGCAAAGAAGAGCTCTGATGGGAGTATACATGAAAAGCACGACAGCGAGGAGGCATTGACCTCTGAGCTCATCTCCGCTGGCTCGGAGAGTCTCCAGCGGAAGTTAGGTGGAAAGGAAATCCAACTCTTGGCAGTGGGTGGTGCTATTGGAACATGTTAGTGAGCCTTGTATAAAGCACAATTAACGGAGTGAGCTAAATCCCCTCGCTAGCCTTGTTCGTTCAGATGGGCGCAAGTCTGCCAAAGGGTGGCCCTGCCAGCCTCTTTCTGGCCTTTGTGGTCTATGGATCTGTCATCTGGTGTGTGAATCAATGTTTTGGTAAGACTCACAAACTTCTATCATCCGGCACATTGCATATTGATGAGTCTGCTCTATGTAGCTGAAATGGTAACTTATCTTCCAATCGCCTCGCCCTTTATTCGTCTGGGTGGATTTTGGGTGGACGATGCATGGGGCTTCGCGATGGGCTGGAACTACTTCTTTCTCATGGGTGAGTGCCGGTCCTTCATTAGATTGCATTTATTTCCGCTGAACGAGATCATTACATCAAGCCTTCGCAATCCCATACGAAATAACGGCAATCAATGTCCTTCTTACGTACTGGACCGATAAGGTTCCAGTGGTCGCGGTTGTGATGGCATGCTTGGTGATATATGCGTATGTCTTCTTACATCGGTCGTGGCATACTGTCAAATGGCTTACCTCCGACTTATAGTATTCTCAATGGATTGGCAGTTCAGTACTTTGGAACGGCCGAGTTCTACTTGGCCATCTTCAAAGTCTTCCTCATGATAGGACTCATTTGCTACACATTCGTCACCATGGTTGGTGGCAATCCATGGAATTGGGCCTATGGATTTACTTATTGGAAAAATCCAGTACGTTGATAGACCCCTTTAATGCTACCTTGCTAATTACTACGCTCCAAGGGGTCATTTGTTGAGTACCTCGTTCCTGGAGACACAGGACGCTTTCTCGGGTTCCTTGCCTGCATTATTCAGGCCTCGTTCACGTCAGTAACCGTTACATATCCCACTTGCATTGCAGTATGGCTGATTATATTACGCAGCATGGTCGGCCCCGAATTCATCTCCATGGCAGCTGGCGAAGCCAAGAATCCTCGTAGACTAATGCATAGGGCCTTCTCTTCTTTCATTTGGCGTCTCTTTATCTTCTTCCTTGGCGGCGCTCTCTGCGTCGGTATTGTCATCCCTTATGACGACGAACTCTTGTTGAAATACATCGATGGAACCGAGGGTGGTACGGGAGCTGCGTAAGTTGCACTCATCCCATTCCAAACCCAGAAACCACAGCTTACGCATACTTCAGCTCCCCATATGTCATTTCAATGGTCAAATTTGGGATCAAAGGCCTTCCCTCCCTAGTCAACGCTCTGATAATGACATCTGTTCTCTCTTGTGGGAACAACGTGGTCTATTCATCTATTCGCACACTTCATGGCCTCGCTGCGGACGGAAAGGCGCCCGCATTCTTTGCGAAGTGCAACAAATTCGGTATTCCGGTATATTCAGTTATTGCAGTGTTGTCTTTCTGCCTACTTTCCTTGCTGCAACTTGGGAATACATCTGCCACCATTCTCAACTGGTTGGTCGGAATCTGCACTGCATCTTACATGATCAACTACTTCGCCACGGTAGTGACGTACCTTCACTTTTACGCCGCCCTGAAACGCCAGGGAATTGACAGAAGATCCCTTCCATATCGCGGACACTTCCAGCCCTATGCAGCGTACTACGCTGCGGTAATGACACTTATAGTGACCTTGATTCTCGGGTACACTGTGTTCATTGATGGCCAATGGGATGTTACAACGTTCTGCACATCTTACCTTATGATCGGCTTTTTCATCGTGGCCTGTGTGTTTTGGAAGCTTTTTAAGCGGACACACTATGTTCGACCAGGAGACGCTGATCTTCAGCTTGGAGATATCAAGGCTCAGATAGACCTTTATGAAGCGTTATATGAGCCGCCGAAGAGAGGCAAGATTTCAGGTTGGTTCAATAGCTGGTTCGAGTAGTTTGGATGTTTTTCCATCTTTTGTGATATAGTTAGATTGAGCTGAGGTGGCTATCTACAGGCGTCTGTTCGTTAAAGTGTCATATTGATATTTTTAGATCTTACATTGACGGTTTCTATACCTATCCTCTTTTGGTACTTTACATGAATATAGGTAACGAGTCTGTGTTTTACAGAAAGCAGTGCAGCGAGACCTAAGATTGCATCTAGTTTTATTAGTTAGGTATGTTGTGAAGTTGTTCCATTGAGATGCTCTTGATATATCCATATCTATGTTGTCCTTGGACTAGCCCACAAGATCATCGGCGTTCAAAATCAGACTCGCGAAAAACAGAGGCTCTCGTACAAATTCATCAGCCCGAATAAATTCATCAGTTGTATGCGCCCGGTTGAGGTTCTCTACAAGATTCACAGGCGTAAATCTATAGATGTTCTTTGTCAAAGCCCAAAAGAACTTGGTATCGGTGTTAGCTGGCATCAGATATGGGGTGACAATAAGACTGTCCCCGTCAGCCAGTGGCTTGAGAACATTTCTGATGGTACCAGACAGGACGCGGTAGGGCTCAGCTTCCACAGGAGAGACAGGAGCAGGCTCTAAGGCGTCGACTCCAAACATGCAGATCTTCCGTTTTCCTGTGAGGGTACAGGGCGAATCAAAACCCCCGAATGCCATTCCGTGCTTTTCGGCAATTGGACTAACAAGAGACTCGTAGTGCACCATAACCTGAGCAATGGAGGTTTCGACGGCTAGACGCAGGTTGATCATTGTGGATGCTGTTTCAGGAATGGCGTTGATCTTGACTCCTCCATTGATTTTTCCGACAGATTGGGTTGTTTGGAAGAAATGTCTCGTATCATCCAGTGTTTGGGCCAATCTTTCCTGGCTAGAGCTGTCATTCTGGGCAGCCGGTCCCAGCAGGCGCCGAACTGCCATGGGGAAGCTAGCCGGGGGAGCATGGACAGCGCCACACTCCAGGAAACGAAACATTGGATTCTTCGGAGTGACTATCCCAGGGAATGGGTTACTTTCAATTGCGACCACAATTTCTGATAGGATACCAATGACATTGTGATCCGGCGGGTTACTGGCATGCCCGCCTGTCGAGGAGACACTGATCCCAACGTCCAAGTAACCTTTTTCCGCGACGCTGACCACAGCAAAAGACTGATCAAATTCTCTCTGGATACCCGTGGAACCTTCATCCATGATCAGGTAAATCCCGTCGTCGCCATATTTCTCATGTAAGAAATCCGAGATGGGCTTTCCGCAATTCAAGCCACTGATCTCTTCATCACAGCCAAAGGCCAGAATAACAGTTCGTTTCGGTGCAAATCCGCTCTTTATCAAAAGATCCAGACTTTCAATGATGGATATCAAATAGCCTTTGTCATCAGTGGCACCTCGGCCCCAGATAATCTCGCCATCGTAGTGACCATCATAGGGCGGATGCGTCCAATCCTTGATGTTCTCTGCAAGCACCGGTACGACGTCTTGATGCGCGAGCATGAGAATTGGCTTGGCCTCTGATGGTGGGGAGCTGCCTTCCCACGTCAGGATCAATCCGTGTGTGTTGGCGTGATCCAGCTTCACATTTTGAAACACTGTGGGATAGTGGACTTTGATATAGCCCTCCATTTCGAAAAATATATTCCACCTGTCGTCTTTGCCAATGGAGCCCATGTCATCGTAGCTCTCTGATGGTATGCGAATGATCCCAGAGAGCTTGTTGATGATTTCCCGTTGGTATTCCTCGGAGTCGACATTCTCACGAATGTACTGTTCGACTTGCTTGTTCCTTGGAGATAACTCTGGCACTTGTTGGCATATTTCAGAACCTGCTCCTGGGATGTACTTGTCCAGCCCCGGGGAGCTGAGCGATTGGAACGGATTGATGAAGACTGCGATAAACGAAAGGAGGCCAATCACGAATGTTCCGTGCATAAACCAAGAGCTGATTCCAGAACCTTTGTCTTGCCGCGGAATGATGGGATTTGCCATTTTCAAGGAGCTCTGATGAGTTCAAAGTACACGATTGGCCAGTTGACTGTGTTAAGAAGTGTTATTCGCTCGCCGGTGAGAGCTTGATTTTGTCCACGAGTTGAGGCGCTCCTCTGTTGAACTATTAATGGGTCAATATCCTGTCCGCTACATGTTCCCTATCCCGTATCTACGTTGCCTTTCGCTGATTACAGGCCCGTAGGACAAAATCGCCCCAAACTACCTGTAAGGATGCAACCTCCACAGTCTCCACACAGAGCGTACACAGAGTGGGTCGTAGTGGGTCCACACGAGAAATAGAGTTGAGTGGGAAGCTTCATTACTATTCGGGTATCTTACAGCGCAAAATCATCTTCCAGGTCGGGTACCTTAGTCCGCCTGTCAAAGCCCGTAGCGCCAAACTACCCAATTCGGCAATATCTTTCCCCTCATTACCCCTCATAGATAAGGCTTAGATAAGGGTATCAAGGATGGTGGACTCCGCACGGGAAGCCTATCTGGCTTTCCGTGGTAGGTAGTAAATGTCCTCTGAGTGGGCATTTTCTCATGTGTTGGCCTTTTTACAGCCTATTGTGTTCTCCTGATAATGAGACGCGGAACCGGGCTCGAAGCATCTGTCAGTAATTCTCACGCCCGCTAGAGATCACCCGATCGCCTTGAACAACTCTTCCAAAATCAAACGCAGCAGCGCATACTGACCTGATTACGGGAGTATACTGCTCTCAACTGTCACGATGTTGAACAAGCCATTATCATCGCCAGCCGCAAATGAATTCCGCAGTGACACCTTCACCACACCGACCCCGTCCATGTTGGCCGCCATGACCAATGCATCATTCGGCGACGACGTGTATCAAGAAGACCCCACCACAATCGAATTCCAGAACGAAATCGCACGATTGACTGGAATGGAAGATGCCCTCTTTATGCTCTCTGGAACAATGGGAAACCAAATCGCAATCCGTGTCCTCCTCAGCCAACCTCCACACTCTGTGCTGTGCGACTACCGCGCTCACGTCTATGCCGAAGAAGGGTCTGGATTGGCGGTGCTTGCCCAAGCCATGGTAACCCCCGTTCATCCGGCGAACGGTACGTACTTGACTTTAGACGATGTCAAGAAATGGACCGTTCTGGGAGACGATATCCATACAGCACCGACGAAAGTCATCAGCCTCGAGGTGACCATAGGTGGAGTTGTGACTCCCATGGAAGAGATCAAAGCGATATCGGAGTTTGCGCGTGCCCATGATATCAAGGTTCATTGCGACGGTGCTCGCTTGTGGAATGCCTCTGCAGCGACTGGTTATTCTTTGGACGAGTACTGCCAGTACTTTGATACCGTGTCGATGTGTGTCTCAAAAGGGCTGGGGGCACCAGTTGGTGGAGTCCTTGCCAGTACCAGTTACAACATAAAGCGTGCTAGATGGTTGAGGAAGCAGCAGGGGGGCGGCATTCGGCAAGCTGGTGTTCTTACGGCTCCTGCACTGGTGGCTCTAGAGGAGGTCTGGCCAACCATGAAAGAGACGCACGAGAAGACCAAGAAACTGGAGAGAGACTTGGCGGCGATTGGTGTTGTTCCTCAGATTCCGGTTCATACCAATTTCTTTTTCATCGACGCCAAGAAGTCGAACGTCGATATGGAGATTCTGTTGGAGCAATGTGTCAGCTATAATGTGAAGCTCATGGATGAGCGGATTGCTCTGCACCATCAAATCAGCGATGAGGCAATTGAAGACCTTAAGGCTGCCATTGCTGAAACAGTGAGATTGACCAAGAACTTGCCACGAGGTCATGCCACCAAGGTCCCGGCGGGTGGGTATGGGAGTACCTCGAAGATGAATGAGTACAGCTAGTTGGTGGTTTCGTGCGGACTTTTTGCTCAAATTGATGTTTTTCTGTGATATAGTTGATGCTTTGTTGGCGTGGCGGGAGTTGTGTCAACTGGCGAGTACCGAATTGTATGCCCACCAACGCGCGGGCCCCACAGTTGCGGCAGGCAAACATGTGTGCCGGATAAGGGGCTCGTCAGGTTGTCAGGTTGTCAGGTTTACGCGGATTACTAGTCGCGACTAGTCAAAAATTTACCAGTCATTAATAGCTATAACCATGCGGTATTAGTATTTTATTCCTGTTGCCAGTCGCGCCTAGCGAGACTTACGTAATTTCAAAAATACCGGCCGCTTTGTCAGGTCGCATTTGCTACGCGCGATGAGTCGCGCGTAGCCATTACTAGTAAATACGACCAGGTTTTTTCTGTCGTAATCTATTGCGAACCTGACAACCGATTACTCACCGGTATGGCAGAATAAATTTTTGCTACCAGCCTATGGCAGTTACTAGTAAATTTGGTATCTCCGATTGGTAATTTATGTACTGGTTATCACTAGCAGTGGCTATACATCAGACTACTAGTAATCACTAGCGGGTAGTGCTCCTAGTCATCTATATGAATTACTAGTAAAATGGTATCATGCAGTTGTATCGCATGTGTATGACCCGTTGTACTTTATAGAACAGTAACCACCAGTTCGCGATTACTACTTTAGTAGTCACCATTTGTGAGATGACTAGTTAGTAGCAGCTAGTATAATAGCTAATAGCTTAGGAAGAGTAGTTAGAAAAAAGGACATTTCGAAGACTGACATCCCTTCTGCTACTCTTTTTACAAACTATTGATTAGTGGTTACTACTAACTAGTAATAGCTACCCATAACTAGCTCAGCTTACTAGTGCTTAGTAGCCTTGGTTCAAGTTCAAAGAATCATTGTCTTCCAAGGCTGTATGTAGGTAGTATGCCTCAATGAACTCATGAGTCATAGATCGATTCCGAGGCCGAACTAGTCCTAGTAATTTGAATGACTAGTGACTGCCATAGTTACCTACCTAGTTTTGTCTAAAAGATGTGACGATCCAGTGTGTAACGATCAGGCAGCTTTAGAGTAGGTCGAGAGCAGGTATGGACTCGTCATGTGGTTTGAAAACCTGTTGATGCCTGGTAATCGTTGTCTTGAGTCCTGTGACAGAAGTGGGATAAAGAGCTTCTTGGACGATTCCCTTCTTGTTCTCTCTTCTTCCTTCATAGTTGTTGTTCTAGTTCAATGCACTCTGTTCACGAAAGACCTGGACGGTGGCAGGGTTAACTAGACATGCTCAGTAACCACTAGTGGCTACTAGTTATAAATGGACGGCCATAAGTGACTGTTCCCTTGCTTTCAGGTGTATCTCTTCCATTATCTATATAGGAGGTGGTTATAACTGGCTACTACTAGTAGCAACGAGAGAGGAGTACCTATTCCTAGGTGATTACTACCTGCCTAGGTATGTTGAAGATATATATAACCTTATCCCACACCTTACTACCTCATGGGACGATACATATTTCTCCAGACTTCTTTTCGGAAAATTGGCACGTAGCCCTAGGTAGTAGCCCAGCCATTAACTACTATCTTCGTAGCCCTAAGTAGTAACCAGTGCTAGGAAGAGTAGAAGAAAGGACACTTCGAAGAATGGCATTCCTTCTTCTACTCTTCCTAAACTATCAGCTATTACTAGCTGTCACTAGGTAGTCATCTCACCAATGGTGACTCACTGACTACTTAACGCAGTGCCTATTCGATAAATTACAACGGGTCATACACAGGCAAGACGTACGCCCTTTACTAGTCGCGACGAGCGATGACTATCGTCACGTTTACTAGTAATATCTAACTAGTCGCGACCAGTAAACGGGTCTCTAGTCACCCTTAGCTACTACTAGTAAGCCAAGCTATAGCTACTACTAGTCGTGAGTAGTACCAAAAGGCAGTGAGTGATTGTTAAATTACCACTAGTATTACGATTACATACAATAATACCCCGTTATTTACAAGTAATTTGCGTCTTTACCTAGTAGAATTTATTCTGCCATACCGGTGAGTAATCGGTTGTCAGGTTTGCAATAGATTACGACCGAAAAAACCTGGTCGTATTTACTAGTAATGGCTACGCGCGATGAGTCGCGCGTAGCAAATGCGACCTGACAAAGCGGCCGGTATTTTTGAAATACGTAATCCTCGCTAGGCGCGACTGGTAACAGGAGTAAAATACTAATACCGCATGGTTATAGCTATTAATGACTGGTAAATTTTTGACTAGTCGCGACTAGTAATCCGCGTAAACCTGACAACCTGACAACCTGACGAGCCGTGTGCCTATGTGTGCCATGTTTGTCACAAGTATCAAGGACAGAATCCAAGTAGATAAGTCATATCGTCTCTGTCTCTCTCTCACACTCTCTCTCACACACTCTCTCTCTCTCTCCGTCCTTATTTCATCATTATGAATAGCATACATTGTTCCTCCGTCCTGGTCTACACTGTATTGATCTTCTATGAGGTTATCAGCCCAGCGATGGCGATAGTATAGGACCTATACCGGTAAAACCAGCACCTGGTCCTAAGGGCCTGACTGATGACGAATTGACGATGATGTCGACTGAGATAGAGATTAATCTGACTCCAGCAGAGACATCGTCGTCGTCAGTCAGGTTCCAAGGATCAGATGCTGATTGAGCAGGCATAATTTCCACGTTACATATTACATTGGACAGTGTGCTACGTCGACTAAATTGTGAAGACGATGCTATCGTGCGGCCAAACGACGTGATGGGAATTTACGAACCTACAGCGTGTGAAACTCACATAGGAACAAGAAATTATCAGAAAGCAAAATGATAGCAAGGATAGAACGGAATAACGACAACTATCTAACACGGTGAATGGGAAAGTGAAGGGCACAATTTGTTGACACTGCTGGGAAAGGACCGATGGAAGAAGGGTGCCTCAGACAACGCCCATAGTTAAGCACTCTGCGTCGGGTCGCCCAGCTCAGCTGCCGGCTTGTACTCGCTGAAATCGTATTCAACATCATAATCCTCCTCGTCGACGTCACCATCGCTAAGATCAACATCCTGGAGATTCTCCCCGTCATCAATCTCATCAGCAGTGAACCCATAATCCTCTTTCCGAACTTTCTTCCACGCCGCGATGGTTTGTCTTCGGGTAAGACAGAAAGGCAGCTTGGAAAGCGCAACACATCCGTCCTCCGTCACCTCTACGGTCTGACCGACAGAGCTGGCAGTATCGGTGGCCTTGTCCATGAGGATGATGTGGATAAAGAACACCATCCCCGGCTTTGCCACCACGTTCTGACCACGCACGAACATGGGGAAATCCATCCATGTAGGCGAGAATGTTGCACCCAAGCTATAGCCGCAACTGTTGAAACGTTGGTCTCGGAAGCCGTTTTCGTCCGCGACACGGGCATAAGCCTCGAACACATCTCCGATTTCTCGGCCTGGCTTGAGCGCGTCCATGGCTGCCTCCATCTGGAGAATGTTGACACGGTGCATCTCTCGCGCCAGCTTGGTAATTCCGCCAATGGGAATCGTGCGCATAAGACAAGCATGATAGTGCTTGTAGGCTGCGGCATGCTCGAGCGTGAGCTGTCGATCGATCTTATCCTTGCCAGTGGAATAACGAGTGAGAACGGCTTTGTTACCGGATACGAGAATATTCTCATTGGCAGGATCATCACCGCCGCCCTCGTAGACCGTGCCGACAATCTCCCTCCACAGGTCACCTTCATATGCACCGGGCTTGGCTAGCTTGAGGGTGCGTACGAGGGCGAAGTCGGCGAGATAAGCTGCCTTTCGAACTTTCCGCATCTCGGCTTCCGACTTGATTATGCGAAGCTCCCGGGTGAACAAATCGCTGTGGTCCACAAGCGTGCAGAGACCATCCACGGCTTCCTCCAGTGCCTTTCCTAGTCGGTGTGTCAAGGAACAGGAGTCCGGTTCATAGCCAATTCGTTTTGATGTCGAGTTGATTCCAAAGTCCTTCAGGACCTTCGGAACCAGAGACACGGGGTTGCTTCCAACATCGTCGGATCGGATGAGGATATCTTTCTGCTCCAGAATCGAAGTGTATAGCGCCTGGCGGAGATCCGGGATTCGAGTTATCAATTGCATCGAGCCATCTTTGTGGAAATACATGGCCTGAAAGAAAACATAACCGAAGGTATCGAAGCCGGTCAAATAGTAGAGAGACTCTTGCTTTGTCATGAGGAAGCCATCGAGGTTCTCTCGCTTCATGAGGTCCAGAGCTCGCTGTTGACGCTCTTTGAGCTCAGCTTCTGAGAAATGTAGGGTCTTTTGAAAGGGTTGGGCTTTCTTGATTGGCGCCATGGTGGTGGTGGGTAGTGTGAGAAGGATTGAGCTGTGTGGTTGTCCCAGAGGATAGAAGCAGTACGCTCTTATAATCTTATAGCCGCCAAGGTCTTCTATACTTGTCCGGCTGCCCATCATGTTGACTGCTGTCCCAGACCCCAGTACGGGAAGATATTGCGCTCGTCTGTATTAGGGAACTTGTGCCGCACCTCCCATGATAAGCGTACATAACAGCAGCCCTGGTGTTTCAGAGATTCCTACAATGCCCCGCAGCGGGGTGAAAGTTTAAACAAAACGGCTTTCACGACTGATTGAGACATAGCTTTCTTCGAGGCTAACTAAGACATGTTATGTTTCTGAATGCAGAAAGTTAGTCCACGTCGGTAAATCGCCAAGGATCTTGGCACGGCTATCGAAATGGATGGACCCACATCTAACGGATGTCTGCACTCTGCAACCTTGATAAGCCAGGGCCAGGCCTGGCTAAGGGAATTACGTTTTGAGGACACTGATAATTAACATACAGTAGAAATTCTAAGGCGTTTTGTAAATTGTATCTTTTTCAATCTAGATATTCATTTGAGCATCATTTTGATCAAGCTCCCACCAAGTTTCGATGATTTTTCTATTAAGCAACGCATCGTCGACATCTGTCGTGCCGAAAAGAGCCCCAATTCGATAACCAGGCGGTACATCCGGCGGATAGTGCGTCAGGAGCTCGCGGCCGCGAGATCCTGTTCAGTGCCAAACCTAGTCATGGAAGATATCCGGTCGTATGGTGGCCATGGTGGAGAACGTGAGAGTGGAGAATGCAGATCAAATCCTTGGCGAATGCTTCTAATGAAGTTATTGAAGTGATTAGATAGAAATCCGTGGATAGTTACAGCAAGATTTTACCTCAGTATCCTCAAGGCTCAGACTATGTATCACATGATCCAACAGTTCTGCCGGATTTTTGGCGCGCTAAACCTAATCGGTAGCCTCTTCGCATATAGTTCTTCTCGGCACTCTTCGCGATAACCCAATTTCCTTCTCACCTCATCCATACGTTCAAAAGAATACCAAACTTCCCAAGATTCTCATTTCAGGTTTATTGATTTTCGGTGATTGAATGATGGCACCCCCACTACAGGAGCTGATCTCACCGCCGCAGGAAAAGGTACCACCACTACAGGAAGTAATATCAACACCGCAGAAAATGACATCACCGCCCCAGGAAGAGACCTCCCCGTCGCAGGACGAGACATCGCAAGTGCCACGGGAAGAGATATCATTACCGCCGCGGGAGACATTACTACCGCAGGACGAGATATCACTACCTATCCGGGAAGAAACATCACTAAGCAAAAAAGAAACATCGCCACCAGAGAAAAAGAGATTGTCGAGAGACAGCCACCTTGGGGCGCCCATTTTAGGCGTAGCTGCGAAAGGTCTGGCAGAGAAGAATATCCCCATCGTGGAGTATGGGGAGCAGATACAGTGGCGCTACGGAGACCCTGTGGTCCTTCTGGTAAGCATCAAAAAGTCTTTGTGGCATTCACTAGTCGACTCGTTGGTCATTTCTAACGTCTTGAATTCAAGCGTGTGGAGTGGGCAGTCCCCGATGAACTGCTCTCGCTTGCGTCAGAAATTTTGTCAGACCTGGGTTTCCCTCGTGTGCCGCCCCTGTCCACAGGACACGAAGCTGCTTACTACGGAGAATGGGAACGAGCTGGCATTATCCACAGGTTGGGTGGGAGGTCGGCATATCTCTACCCGCTGTCATTTATCGGCCTTGACCTTCAGGACACCCACGAAGTCACATCCACCTTTGACGGCACGCTCAAGATCTTGACGCCCAAACCCAGCAGATATATGGTGTCGTTGCTTCGTCATCTCCTCAGCCACCCGTCCGACGATAGTTTCAGACGTCGCGTAAAAGTTGATCTACTGTCTTTTATATCCTTCTACATTTTGTGTGAAGAGCCGCTGAATACGAAGGATGCCGATGGGGATTGGGTCGACGAGGAGAGCGAAGAGGATTACCAAAACAGAGTCGGAGAAGCACTGAAGGAAATGGAGACTTGGGATTGGGGCGCTGGCGGAGAGGACTATCTGAGAATTTCTGAATCTGTGCTCCGAAACTGCCGGGTCATTGATCAGTTAACTTGCTGATGTGAAAAGACCATGCCCGCATTTCTCCGAGACTGTCGTTCTATTGACCGGCTGTGAGGAACCAGGTACGCGCTTAAAGAATATTAATAAACGTAATATGTTAATGGGACATTGGTTTTTATTTGACCAGGTCAATTTCTTCTGGCTAGAGCTAAATCAAAGGGAGACCCCCCTCGGTTCCCTGAAGCATAGGAGGATGCAGAAATGAGAAGAACTGGATGAACGCGAATGCCTGATGCTCAAGGTATCAAGGAAACCAGGCGATACCAGTGACTCGTCACACCAGCTTTCTAATTGCTGATGAGCGCCAAATCCTCCGCGCTCAAGGTGGCCGCAAGCAAAGGGCGAATTGTTGTATGCATATGATACAACTTGCGAACCAAGGGGAGCATCTCGGGCTTGGGCTTCTCCGCATATCCTTCAAAATCGATAAGACTGCCATGGTTACTCAGCCAGATCAGAATTACTTCAATATCCTCAATGTCCCGATTTGCCTTTCTGATACTTGCGGGACGGGTGGAGTCGGCGAAGAATGTCCATCTCTTGAGTTTGGCGAGCGCATCCAGGGTTCCGAGACTGACTGGCTCTTGCTGTTGGGGATGAAGCTCATCTTAGAACCAACCGTAACACTGCCGATAGCTCTGTATCTGCTAAATTTGATATGTTTTGGTCTTCAAATTGGTCCAGGGCATCAAGAATCCATTGCCAAGTCACCCCTGAATTACCAGAGTTGGTGGCGTTCTTTGTAGCGGAGAGACTTACTGACAAGGCATCACATGCAATATCTAACTTCTCGCTTGTCTATACACGTGTAGTGGAACCTTGTCCTGAAAGCGAACTCAGGGCGGCCCCACTCTATAGATCCTGGAACAGATCTAGATCTACTACCCGTGGACCTTACCAGAAAATGATCTATTGTCAACCCAGCACAGATAGAGGGTCGACGGTGGAGGTCTCTCGTAAGGACAGAGCAGCCTTTAGTGGTACTTTCGTAGACGGTCGTTCTCTCTGGCGCAGAGGACGCTACAATCGTGCAACGGCCACATTAATTGTAAAGTCTGCGTGAGTCGGGAGAGGCTGTTGGTCTGATATACTACATATGTTTGCACTATTTATACTCTTCACTTTTTGTCTTTTAACATCCTCCCGCTCCTCATAATCTCCCATAGTTTACTTCCTAAGAAGGGACGTACAAGATTCACTTCCAAGATACCTAGCCAAAAAGCTATCAACTTCGTCGGATCAACCATCCACTTCGATTTGCTAATTATGTCTTCATCTTCCATTACGGACTTTATAAACTTCATCAACGAGTACGAGATCCCAACTCACGCAGTCGTTGCCCTCATCATATACAATAATACTGACTTCGTCATATCTAGGATGGAGGAAGCCTACGGGGTGCACCGCACCCGTCGCCAGCAGACCAATGCCGAGAACGACGTCGCATCGCAGCTGAAGGCCGAGATTGATGAGCAGCGTCGGCGTGTGGAAGCAGCTAGTGTTCACCTAAACTCTGCTGCATCCGCCTACGACGAGCAGATGAGGGCTCTAATCAATAAGGTGGAGAGACTGGACGAGTTGGATCCGGCTTTCGCCTTGAACGTGGACTCAGTCAATGAAACCATTGTTAGAGACCGGAACACCATGAAGGACATGTTCTGGAAGCTGGCCGGCTTTGCTGGCCTGAAGAGAATCAATCGAAGGTCCCACGGGAAGGATAATGGGGAGGGCGAGGGATTCGTTATGATACCCAACAACATCCCTAAGTGATAATGCTATGTCTATGAGGCTGGCAGCGGGGGACTGGATAATCTTTATGGTGTCACTGGGGTTTTTGGGTGTCCTATCTATTTCAAATGTCTATCATCTGGGTTGCGATGCTTTGGCAAACTTGGAGTTTGTGGATCTTCCTTTCTCCGGCATGGTGAGCTGGGTGTACTTGATTTGAGCTCAATGAGGCGTTTTTGTATTTGAAATATGAAGTATACATTTGATCTCTCATTTACTCGATGTGGTTGTCTTTTACTTACCCAATCGCAGTCTTAGAGTACACCTCTTGATAATCTCAGAAGAACCGTCTTTCCTCTTCCTCTCTTCATCATCCCCCATAGTCTTCTCATTAAGACAACGTCCAACCTTTATTTGGCAATCATTCAGTCTTAGTACCATTTTCTTATCATCATCATAATCCTCTTTCTTCAACTATTCTATCCACTTCCATCATCAGAACCAACTCTGTCAGGTACGAGGTGTCCATTCACTGATCTACACCCACGTCGTCGTCGCCCTCATGGATACAAGAATACTGACTTCATATCTAGAATGAAAGAGTCTAATGGAGAGCGCCGTATTGTTCCTCTCCAAACTGAGGCCGAGAGGTACAACGCCTCGAGATTGAAATCCGAGATCAATGTACAGCGTTGCCACCTTGAAGCCGTGCATGATCGTCTCGATACTGCCGCCTCCAATTACGCCGAAGAAATCGACATTCTCATTCGCAAGTTGAAGAAGGTGGATGAGGGGGATTCTACGTTGGAGTTGCACGTTGACGCCATCAATGACACCCTTGAAAAGAACAGAAACTCCATGAGAGCGCTGATCGCAAATCTTGCCAGCCTCGCTGGCCTAACAAAGGCCAACAGAAAGCGTGATATTGAGGAAGATGGGTTTCTTTTTGTCGACCGTGAGTCTAACTAGATGGCTATATGTCGACGAGATTCTGTCCATCTATTTTGGACTCGGTCTTACACGGTTGCTACGGATGTTATCAAGGCTTTGTCCTTTCATTCTTTCGTTCTATTCTCGACTCGACCTTTGTGCTTAGTTTCTATTCAAGCGCCGGTTTAACAAGGTCCTTGGATCTTTAATTATCAAGTCTTTGTTCTTCCATCTTACATGTGGTGCGTTGAGTCTGAAAGGACACAATAGCTCGATAATCGCAAAGACAAAGCATTGAAACCAGGAGAAACGGAGATACAATAACGACAATGCATGGAAGAGATCCTAGAGGTTTCCGAGTATTTAAGTCTCCCAAAGTCCATCTCAGTCCTCTCATACCATCCAACATTCACACTACTCAACAACACAGACTCCGCACATCATTCAACTTACACAGACCAATTCGCCACACAGACATCGCATATCACTTGATTTACAACGAAATCCGTTAACACATATCCCAACATGGACTTCTTCAGAATTAAGGCGTTCAGCACAAATTTGACGCGAACCCCTAGGAGTATGGACCGTATCTGGGCTCCGCTTGGTCTTCCCGCTGGATCTTTCCCAGAACCACAACTCTCCCAGTACCGCCAGGAGGTTATTCAAGTCCTCCGCCATGTCTGGGATCCTGAGTACAATAACTGGCTACCGCGCCCATGGCAGAAATTCTTTGTGCCAAGGGGTACCATTCAACGCTTCGAATGGGAAATCATGCGATTCCAAAATTTCCTACCAGCACCAGTCCTAGCAATGCAAGGTAGAGTAGATCTTGGCCAAAGGCTCGTTGACCTTCTTAGATACGAAATCCGACTTAACCCAGACTTCAGGACTCTTGGTACTGCTGTCCCGGTCATGCCGTGGGTGCTTCCTGCTGCCTGGGCCGGCAATGCTCCCGACGTTTACCCGCCGCCTGCCGCGCTCCGAGGGGGCGCTCCACCAAATATCATGCCACCAGAGGTTCAAACCTCCCCTGGTCCTTTAAGTTCCTTTAACCCTGTGGTCGCTCCTTTGCAGGTCGTACCCAATCTCCCGGACATGATTGAAACTGCCCGGGCCACAGTGCCCGGTGTCTGGCTTGGTCCTCCCCGACGTCGCCGGTCTACTGCACCCACCCCGCCTACTGCATTTCCCGCGTCTACTGCAAATCTCCTGTCTACTGTCGATGGTGCTGCTGATAGTGCCGGAGATGGTGCCGAAGAGGGTGCCGAAGAGGGCGTCGAAGATGATGCCGAAAATGATGCCGAAAATGATGCCGAAAATGATGCCGATGATGAGTTACAAGATGAATCCGAAGACGAGTCCGAAGATGATTCCGACGATGATAATACAGATCCCCCGCCCCGTGGACAAAAGCGTGATCGAGATGAAGACGACGACGAGGATGAAGCTGAGCACCCAGCTACTAAGCGAATCACTTCACGAACAGCTTCACTTTTGGTTGGTTTTTAGATCGTTCATTTTTGTTAACACCGTACAGTTCTATAGATAATAAAATTTGACTTTTCTTGTATTTACAATTGTCCTCTTGTGGGAGGCAAGTTTGATACAGATCTAAACCTCATGTGAATAGAGGATAGAGAACATAGAAGGATGTAAGGGTCGGAGTGAAAAACTGTATTGAATGAATCAATCTTGATCTAACGTTAGTCAATTTAGTATAGACAGACTGTTCACAAGTCCTACCTCGTATCATTCCGCATATTGCAACTTGTGGGTAAACATCCCGGCTGAAGCGTTGGTTAGGTAAATGAGCCCTCTGGCGTACGTTATAGCCGCTTGCTTCTTCCAGTTGGTGGATGTCCTTGTCATACAAGCTGGCCGAATATTTTCCAAACTGACCAGTTGGTGTGGTTTGTTCCGCTGTACTAGTCGTCCCAGAACGTCCCGGATTGAAATGGGGTTTAGGTAGTAGTTGTAAGCTGTATTGCGTATCGTCTTCGCTGCCTGTTTCCCTGCCAAAGTCGCTGTCTCTGGTGGTTGCTTCATAGTATTCTCGTAGTACAGATCTGCACAGAAGGACCTGAGTCACCTGACCTAGATGAATGCCCAATGGTGAGAACCTTAAAAAGCGGGCCGATATTCATCTGGGGAGCACTAGTCCTAATCGGGACTCTATAGATTGCCCACTCATATTTTAGTTTTAGATTTTAGAAGAAGAGCAACCCTAAGACAAAAGTCTCACCCAGTAGCATAGTGTTCAGTCAATGAATGAAGAGAGTCTGCTCTCTTGGAAGGAGAGATTGGAGGAGTTGGCTGCGACTATGGAGAACTTGCTGCTTTCGTGACAGAACTGGCTGCTCTCAACTAGTCTTGTTAATTCACAGATGGCGCATCTTGAATGTATCTATAGTGTATTTTGTTTTTGCTTTTCCATTCACCAGATATAAAGTACGGTTAGAAGTGACAAGAAGTCCCTTAGGAACTCTCCAGGACTCAGTATCGAAGTTAATCATGCGATGATGCGATACAACCAATACACGTGATGCATATTTAAGCCCTAACCTTTGCCATGATACCGCCTTCACACAGCCGCTCTTGGAATGATCTGAAGCAATACGAAACACGTGCAGTGATGCTGTGAGTGTTGGGTAGGTATTCCGACCAATTTGATAGGGGCAAGTGTTGAGGGTTCGCCGAAGAGATCTTCAACCATCCTGTAAGCGCCATTCGATTTCAACAAGGTTTTGCGGCCGCGCAGCGCACGCTATCATCCAGGGAAGGCAAGCTGCCTTTCATCCTTCATCGATTACAGTTCCCGATCGACTAGCCTTCGCGATGACCATCAACAAGGCACAAGGTCGGAGATGTCGTGCAAGAGAATGCCACGTACAGTTGACCGTGGGCACATGGTGAGGTACGGAGATTGACCTTGTGCCTTGTTAATGGTCATGGCAAAGGCTAGTCGATCGGGAACTGTAATGGATGGAGGATGAATGGCAACTGGCCTTTCTTGGATGATAGCGTGACAGGAAAAATTAATCTTGTTTCACCCGCATAGGAGCCAGTCATGGTAGACACTTGGACGCACCTCTGGCGAATGCTGGTAACGATCATACGGGTTCCATTACAAAGACCGTTCGTTACCGGCATTCGCCAGAAGTGCATACAAGTATCAATCATGAATTCATGACTGGTTCCTGTGCGCCAAGCCCCAGGCGAATATCACCAGAGGAAAGACCATATACCAAAAGAGATCGGAGATACTGGGGAGTGAAATCCTCACTGAGGTCAACGACGCCGTCTGCACTTCTTCTGTTTGCATCAGAAGTATCGAAGGCCGTTAAGCGGTACTCATCGGCGTGCCGCGTCACCCATCGTATGTAGGCTTGTAGCACTTGAATGTTCAGTTCATCAACTTCATTCTTCAAGATTTTTTGAGCACGGTAGGGAGTAGGCTGAAGTAGCAAGTGTACATGGGAGGTGGGGAGGTAGAGATACTGTAGGCGGATGGAAGTGATGACGGTGGAATACGGAGTAGTGAGAGGTACTCCGTACAGCGAGGGACTTAGCTAGCATGTTGATTGGTGGAGGGTAGAGAGAGGAACGATGGACGGAAGGGTGATTGGTTGACTTAGAGCAGAAAGACAGCATAGGGAAGCGGTGAAGCGCACCACTTAGTAGAACATGGACGTGATTGGTGTAAACGGGGCAGACGGGACGGTGATTGGCGCAGAAGCGGGACCCACGAAAATTATTTATTAGAGCCGTCGACTGTGTAGATCTCGATCACTGTTATCAACATCGCCGTAGCCAGAATTCAACATCAATGTCCCTTAGGTAGCCCATCATACCCCAGTCTAACTATATCTAAAGCTTCGCCTTACCAACACCCTTCGCCTTAGCCTTCTCCTCAAAGTACTCTCGCACCCTCTCTCTGGCAACAGCAACGACCTCAGCATCCTCAACAGTAGGCGGCACATTGACTTGCGTCTCATAATCCCCCTGAGCACCCAACTCAACAAGCTCCCGTAGAACGCGTCTGAGCGTCTTACCACTTCGAGTCTTAGGAATCATTCCCCGACCCTGAATAATTCCACCCAGAGATGCGATAGCTCCGATCTGTTCGCGGACGAGCGCGTTGACCTCCTTGAACAACTCAGGACTCGGCGTTGCAGGAAGAGTCCCGGATTCCCCAGATATCGCGCCGGCTTTGGGCTGGATGAACGCGAAGGGAAGGTGACCCTTGAGCGAATCGGGAATACCGACGACGCTTACTTCGCTGATGGCTGGATGCGAGAGAATCACCTGTTCGATAGATCCTGTAGAGATTGGTCAGGTACTGTGTTTAGAGAATAATTGCACTGGAAAGCGCAGCAGAAAGTTCCTTACCTGTACTGAATCGATGCGCCGCAACATTGATGATATCGTCGCTGCGCGACATGATGTGCACATAGCCATCCTCATCCACAAGTCCCGCATCGCCGGTATCAACCCAGCGGCCATTAAAGCGCTTGAGGTATCCACGGTAGAAGCGTTCCTCATCGGCGAAGAGAGTCGTGAATGCCGTCGGCGCGAGAGGCGCGGCCATGACGATATTGCCCATTGTGCCGCGCGGGACTTCGTTCCCTTCATCGTCGACGATGCGGACGTCGAATCCGGGCATTGGGAAGCCTGCTGAGCCCGGACGGGGAGTAAGAGGGGAGATAGCTGAGCCCAGTGCTGCACCAGCGATAGCTGCATTGCTATCCAATGCGACTCCTGAAATCGGAGACCCGGACTCAGATGACCACCAATTGTCGACGACAAGCGCACCGTCCGCCGCATACTTTCCAAGCAGTTCCTGGTAGGCGCGGACAATGCTCGGCTCGCTGCGCTCACCGGCGAGGAACAGTCCACGAAGGGACTTTAGACCTCCGCGTTTTCCAATTTCGCTGATAAGCTGATCTTCGGGGTCATCTTTGCGAATAGCACGCATGGCAGTCGGTGCCGTAGAGAGCACATTTACGTTGTGTTTCTCGACGATGCGCCAGAATGTCCCAGCGTCCGGAGTGCCGACGGGCTTACCTTCAAACAAGACGGTTGTGGCGCCGATCAGCAGCGGTGCGTACAAAATGTACGAGTGTCCCACAACCCAGCCAATATCCGAGGCACAGAATATCGTATCGCCAGGGCCTCTGAGTCCAAAGAGTGATTTGGCGGATAGTTCCAGGCCCACGGCATGGCCGCCTGCTTCGCGTAGCACGCCTTTAGGAAGCCCGGTTGTGCCTATTCATATGGGTTAGCATACGACACTGTCAAAGCCCATACAGCAGACCATAAGGTCTCGCAATTGCTTCACGCACCACTAGTGTAGATAATATAGAGCCCATCCGTGCTTTTCACAGGGACAGGACCAGCCGCAACCCCACGGAATCGTGCGCTCTTAACGAGTCTCTGCCAGTTCCGCTGTCCGCCGCGCTTGTCAGGATGATTCCAGCGCAATTGATCGCGTTGCCAGATAATAACGCGACTCGGCTTGAAGCTGCTTGCCTTGACCGCACCCTCGACAAGGGGTCGGTAGGCAATGGGGCCCTTAGACCCCTCGATTCCACACGACGCCGTCATGATTGCCTTGGGGCGCGCGGCTTCAATTCGCTGTGCCAGAGCTTGCGGGGCGAAACCGCCGAAAACGGCGGCGTGAATTGCGCCCAGACGGGTTATGGCTAGCGCGGCGATTAGAGCTGCGGGGATCATTGGCACTGGATGTGTCATATGGGTCAATTCAGAGTCCTCATGCGTCTACCGACTACCCACTACGGGGTTTGGTCTGTGGTATGATTGATGGGGCCATACTGTAAATGATAACGATATCTCCCTTTCGCACACCTTCCTCTCTGAGTACACCGGCGAGCACCTCTACCTCGTCGAGCAGGCGGGCATAAGTGTATTTCTCCGTTACACCAGTGACCGGTGACTCCCAGATAATAGCGAGATCGTCGCCATGACCTGCCAGCACATGTCGGTCAACGCAATTGTAGGTTGTGGAGATCTCGCCGTCAGCGAACCACGACCAATGCTCATGTTCGGTGCCACTTGGTAATTTCTTCGTCTGTCGCGTTAGAGCACGTGAAGGCTTGCGGTGCCAGTGGAGCCTGTCCGCGTGATGAGACCAGAATGTTTCTGGGTCGTTGAGGGAGTGCGAGTGGGCTGTTGACTGGGGATGCGGGGCCATAGTTGCGGGGAAGGGGTTCCGACTGGAGCTGAGGATATGATGAGAGAAGTGGCGAATGCTAAGGCGTATTTTGCAAGTTTTCATGTATGACTGCCTATACAAGCTTGAGCCAGATGATAGGAAGCAATTTGAGACGAGTGAGACGTAAAATCATGAGCTGGCCGGCTTCAGAAGTACTCTGGAACAAGCTCTTGAGACTAATGCTTTTTTTACCCGAGGTCTCGCGGATCCGATGGTGCGATTGGCACGGGGGCATGGAACTTTAGAGACCTGCAGGACTGGTTGCTGATCCTCGAGAGACAAAGGTTCATTTTTGGGGTTAGACTGTGTTAATTGCGGGGTGGGGGGAAACAGGTGAAGACGAAGTTGAGATGGCTCCGGATGCAGCCGAGGCGAGTCCGTGCTTTTATCTTCCCCGCACTTTGGGTACTCCGTGGGTACCCCTTGCATAGTGTCGGGTGCAACGTGAAGGAGGGTACTTCCCAAGTATCTTTATTTGTAGATGATTTGTGTATTCATGTTGTCTTATTATTTTATGTAGCAAATAAGAGGACGACCTTTATCAATTGTCTATATCGCAGAAAATGGCTGGGAAGAGAGAAAAAAAAAGGATCAAATAAAACAAGCTCAGTCGTAGGGTATCATATCGAAATGCCTGCTAATGTGCGACTGCGATCTTCTGGCTTTGTCGCCTAGGATATGTTTTTTTTGGCTTTGTTTCGAGGGTTTCTTTCGCGGTGCTCCATTGTGTTTCATCCGATGAAGATTGCTCCGGTCGCAATTTCATCAGTTCAACGTAGATGGAGGGAGGCGACCACCGAAGAGAAAAAGGATAAATGGAAGGTTGTGGAAAGGTAGACAACCGGCCTGCAGGCCTTGACGCATGTCGAAAGAGCAAAAGCCAAAGCCAAAACTTGTGTTCAAGACTTGCTCACACTGGTTGGACTCAATCCACATGCCAGTTCTCACAGAGCTCTTCAGAATGCGAGTGTAAAAGATGTCGCATGACGAAGACCACCGACGCCGAAGAGGGAAACCAAATGACAGAACCCACCCTCCAGATGCACCCAGGACCAGAAAGAAAAAGAAGATGAGGAAGAGACAAACGGAAACAGCCGTTATTTCGGCGAGCAACAACGTCCGATGCCTCGTGGACGGACCCGGCCGATCACAAAAGAGTACACTGGAATCGACTGCGGTGTCGCGACCGGTCAGGTCGGAAGGACTTGGGATATTCGGGGCCTGCGTCGCGGTCACGGTGACCGGATCCAAACCCTGCTTGACGACGGTCTCCACCACGGCCACCCGCCGCTTGTTGTCGCTGCTGGCGCAGCATGCGTACAACATCGTAGAAGGCCTTCTCGACATTAATGCAGTTCTTCGCAGATGCCTCGACAAATTCGCATCCCAACTCCTTGGCCAGTGCTTGACCTTCTTGTGCTGAGACTGCGCGTTCCACCGCCTTATCGCTCTTGTTGCCGACTAGCATGACGGGCACGGGCACTGCAGGCCCCACAGAGGTGTTCATGGGTGAATTCAGATAACTGGGACCGGAGGGGGAGCCGGAGCTCGATGATTCCTTAACCATCTTGATTTGATTGTAAAATTTGGTGATGCGGGAGAAGGAGGCGCGCGACGTGATGCTGTACACCAATACAAATCCCTCGCCATCTCGGATCCACTGGTCTCGTAGTGCGGTATATTCTTCCTGGCCCGCTGTGTCCAGCACCTCGAGCATACATGATTGTTGGTCGATGACGACTTGTTTGCGATATGAATCTTCGATCGTTGGATCGTATGTTTCGACGAAGTGGTTTAAGCACAGCTAGAGGTAATCACGAGCTTTAGAGTCATGGGACTTTGACGAGTGATCTGAGTCGCAAGGGCAACCAACCTGAATGGTAAGGGCGGTCTTTCCGACACCTCCATCTCCCAACACCACCAGCTTGTACAACGTCATTTTCCCGGCCATGGCGGTCAACGTAAGAACAGATCAAGAGACAAAAAACGAGAACAATCGACCTGAAGAAAATCAGCCCCGAACAGGAGTCTAGCTTGCAGAAGACATACCTAATTATTTCAGGGGGAAAGAGGGGACGATGAGCGCAAGGAGGGGGTGAAGTGGCCCACGTTCCAGGCGGGGGCGAAAAAGAAAAGCGGGAGCTTCCACGCGATTCACGGCGACCCCCAATTGTTCCCAGAAGAATGACGCAGGGAATAAGATATGAAGTGGGAGATAATAAGAGGGAAGAAAGAGTTAAGGGAAGAGGAGAGAAGGAGGAGGGGAGGGGGTCGAGGACTTGGCTCAGTGTGCGAAGTTTGGTCCAGTGGCTGGAACGAAGTGGAGAGGGAGAGAAGGAGAGGGGTGAGGGAAAAATGTAGAGCACAAGAGAAATGTCAAATGTGTATAAAAAAGAAAAAGGAATATAAAATGAAAAAAAATAAAAAGAGAAGAGCAGATGAATTTTGCAGGGTACTTTTCAATATCCCTGTAACTCTCTTTTACTTTACGATGGACTACTCGATTTCCCTCTCTCTCACACACACAACTAAGACGGTCTCGGATATGAATTTCAATATCGAAGAGCAAAGAAGGCATTCTCTCCGTATTCCGATGAATTTCCACACTAATTTAGGGGAAAAAGCCAAAAGACGCCTTTCACAAAGTGACAGCTCCATGAAGTCATACATTTTCCCATTGGTCTATCCACTTGATTTATCTCTGGAAGTTTCAAAGGTACCATGTATTTGATTAGCTTCCTGTGATAGGTTTCCATAAGGTTCATCTAGATAGATCACGATCTTAATATTGTTCGTTATGTTGTACTCCGTATACTGCGCATACTCACACTCTTTCGTACATATATCCGGGCTTCTCCACGAGAAACATGAATTCACCAAACCCTACTCCGTACTCGGACGAGAGACCCTTCTAACCAGACGATCTCCGAGTCAGAGAAAAGGGAAAAAAAGGAAAAATAGAGCAAAACTAAAGCAAAACCGAAGGGAAAAAGAAACAGAAAACAAAAAGAGCCCAGGCCCCGAGAAGCTCCACAGTTAAAAAGGAGAACGCACAGGGCACAGTGGATAATCCCGGACTTGGCTGAAGCTCATTTCCTTAATAGAGCTTATGCCATTTAAATTACTTCGATCTTAAGCGAGATATCTTGCTTTTTGTTTTGTTTTACATGCAGTTAGACATCTTTATTCTTTATTCGAGTATGTACCCCAGTTTAGTACACGTGGGAGACACGAACCATAGGTACCCTGTCAGGTACATTCGAATATGAATGATGTAGCTATAGCATATTCTCGTGAGATTTTTTCTGTCTCCAATGTCTCGAGTCATAACTACTTATGTGTAATTTTGTGTATAACTGATAGTTATACGAAGTATAGACACCTAAAACCCTAACAGTTATAGGCAGGTACCTCGCTTTAATCCATGGCCCTGGGAAATTGTGGATATGGACTCCCGGAGTTTGCGTTTTTAAAACTTCAACGCCAAACTGCAATAGGTTTAGGAGCCCTTTCTGACCTACTTGAATGGGTTTGGGTTATCTGTCCACGTTGTAATACCCCTGTCCTTTCCATTATTTTATTTCCCAGATCCTAATAACTACCTAGAGAGGTAGTAGGTACGTATGCCCTATGTATGTAGGTCATGGAAGTCTATCCGGTAGATATTAGAATCCATGCCCACGGCACATTCCGACCATGTCCACCCGCGGAACGGCGCGTCAAAGACCCCCGTGGATAGATCGTCCATCCTGCGGCCTGCCTAGTCAGGCACACTTTTTGATTTTTGAATTCTTAAGTTTCAGTTTCTACTGTATCTCGATTTCTTTCTTTTACCTGCGTCCCTGTCAAAAGAGCATACAATATGACAAATCTTGGTTGTAGAGTCACATTTCCCATGTCGTAGGTAACTGGGAGTAGGTTCCCTGTCCCAGTTCTGTGGCCACCAGGGAGACACTGCTGGAGTCTCTTTATGTGGATGGCGCCTGGAACGGCCCCGAACGGAGAGTCGGAGACATTTCTTTCTCTTTTGGGATTTCTCTTTTACGTTGGTTTTTTTCCTCTTTTCACCCAAGAGTCGAGACCCATCCTCCCGGCTCCAGCCAATTTGTAAACAGGCTCGACTCGATGGTGATTATACTTCCGTACGGTGTAAAAGCGTAATTTAAACTCATCCCAAGGTTCGAACGGAGTACAGAATCCAGAGCCGTGGAGTCGACAGTTTCCCCTGTTCGCACGGAAAGGCCCGGTCTAACGGCTCAATTACTTGCTCCACCAGGATGAGAAAGGGGGCAAGGCTGCAAGCTCTTGAAGAAGGATTGCTTGACGGCTCCTCCCGCCAGGGCCGTTATAGATGAAATTTCCGTGCCGTTGAACGGTCCGCTTTGGTGTTGTGGGATTCCAATCTTGCTTTAAATCTCTCAGTTGCATCCTTCCATTGACCAGATTCGGTATGCACCTGCCTTATATCGATTATGCAACGGAGCTTGGTCCTGCAGTCTATCTCGATACGGTAGTTGGGTGGATGTCGGTGTCCACCCTGAGTCCCTGACAACTTCCCACGATCGGCACGGCCGGTTCCCAGCAGGTTGGCCCCTGGGAGACTAAACAACTCCTGGGACTGGGCGGGCCGGAGGCGTCTTCGATTTGGAAGCTTTGTTTGTTTTCTCTCTCTTTTTCTCTTTTCTCTTCCTTTACTTCTCGCAGCCCGGTCTTGCCTTTGGGGTTAAGATCTTCATTCACCCGGGATCTTCTGATCACATGTCTGGTAAACTGCACACATGGCAGATGTTGATCTCAATGCGCCAAATCCCCAAAGAGATCCTCGGTGATATGGTTTCAACACTGGAAATCAATAATGCAATCTTGGATGATCTTCCTACTATGTCATTGGATCAGCGTGGAACTAATCGTCATGTAAGCTCAGAGCTCAATAATAGATCCTACGATCATTTGTGGGGACAAGGGAATAGAAGATGTCATGTGGTCAGATGCTTTAGGCTATAAGCATTGATATAGCATTATTGCAACTCTATTGCCTTCTTAGTCCATGATGGACCGGCTCATCATCCGGCTTGTCAATCATGCCTTGGGCCTCGGTACAGTCTGGCTCTTGCTTGAAGAATGATCGACCGTGTCATAAGTCGTCTTCGTCCGCGCTATGAATCATTGATCATTTCGCCTCTGGATCTAGTGGCCATGGACATGGCTTAGTGCAATGCAGAAGATCGGCGACCATCTGTGTTGGAAATACACTCACGCGGTCAACATACTGTGTAGACCTGATGACTTTGAACCTGCAAAAACCTAGGAGGTTCGGATATATCCAGTCTTCCAAGGTTGCGGGCATACTTACACCATGGAGCCATCTGTGAGACGGATCAGGTGGCACCTTGGTATCATCGAAAAAAGAAGCCATAAACAGGCGCACATTGTAAGATATTGCACTTTCAGACCCATCGCTGCCCTATACATATCTTAAAACTCCCAAACAAACCATATAACTATACAGCCTCCAGCAAACTCAGCCTCGCTGGATATCATTCAAAAAAGCCGTAACTCTCTCCACCAAAATCCGCCGCGGCTCCGCCTGATCACTATCACTCAGAGCATGCGATGCATTAGGAATAACCATACTCCTCGTATCCCAGATCTGCCGCCCACCCCCATCAGCAGCAGCCTGCCACCTTTTCAAAAGCGCCTCCTTATTCACCCAAGGCGGTACCGACTGGTCTCTCCCAGAATATAAAACAAGCATCTTCTGCATCAACAATCCCCTCTCCCCGATCATCCCAAACGTCCCCCGGAACTGCTCATCACTCAAATCGGAACTGAACAAATCATCCTCCGACGGATTCTCCGGACTATCCGGACTGACCAGACTCAAGAACCGCCGACTGCTCACCGGCGCAGAAGGCGGGTACCCAATCCGCGATGTAACAGACAACGGAACAACGGTATCAACCGAATCATGGTCCTCGTACGTCGCCCGTCGTGCATCCGCCACGGCTTTGTTGTAGATCGCGCGCATCTGCGCAGGGCTATCGCGCTCTGTACCGCACTTCACTACCCACAGGATTCCCTCGCGGTCTGACACGGGTGCTTGCATGATCGCTCCGTCGACGCATGCCCGTAGAATAGGCGGCGAGTCGCGGTCGAAGACTGGGTGTGCTGGGCGCGGGTTCGGACAGTTGATGTAGTGCATCACGTCCTGACTGCCGGTCGAATGGCCCATTATGACGACCTTCCCCGCGCCAAATTGCGGCTCCTTGTATTCGCGGATGTAGGAGACGCACTGCGAGAGCTCGTCGATGTCTTTGCCGAGTCGGCCCATGCCCCAGCCGCCTCCGGCGCAAGACAGCATTAGTGAGAAGACGCTCCATTGGGTTTGGTCTAGCGCGCGGGCGACGTCGTTGAGATAGTCGACTGAGCCGAGGCTGTCACCCAATCCGCCGACAAAGACGAGGGAGTGGGGTTTGGGTACATGGCTGCGGGTGTATTCGAAGGCGACGAGAGTTTCGGTCTGGGAGGTGGCGTTAGCGGTGTGGTGTGCATTGCTTAGCGACAGGGAGGGTGGTGTACGCAGTGGTGGAGCACACCCGGCTGGCCTCGAGCCGGCGGGGAGAGAAGCTTAATTTGCATTGTGAGTGGTGCTGACGCAGGGGGGTTGGGTTTGACAACCTTGAGATAATCTGCGTCAGATCAGATAAGAGGCCATCAGATAAGGAGCTGCGGCGTCCGAGAGCGGCGGTGTGAAGGCGGTACCATGGCAATTAGGGCATAAAGATGCGTCACGTGCCTTGACAGTATCGCATCACCGCATGATTTCACTTCGTTACTGAGCCCTGGAGAGTTCCTAAGGGACTTCTAACCGTACTTCAGTCTTCATATCTATTATCTGATTATACGGTGAATGGAAACCAGGAAAAGATGCGCCGTCTGTCACGAAAGCTCTCTATAGCCGCAGCCAACTCCTCCAATCCCTCTTCCCAAGAGATCTACATTCTAACTATGTTCTCTATTCTCTATTCACATGAGGTTTACATCTGCATCAAACTTGCCTCCCACAAGAGGAAGATGGTAAATGCAAGGAAAGACAAATTAAATAACTATAGAACTGTACAGTATTAACAAAAACAAACGATCTGAAAACAAACCAAAAGTGAAGCTGTTAGGTCGTGAGGTGAATCGCTTAGTAGCTAGGAGCTCAGCTTCATCCTCATCGTCGTCTTCATCTCGATCACGCTTTTGTCCACGGGGCGGAGGATCGTATGATCTTCGTTTACATTTTCGGCATCATTTTAGGCACCATCTTCGGCTCTACCAGAAGCACTATCGCCAGTATACGGGGGAAGTGCAGTAGACGGGCGACGTCGGGGAGGACCAAGCCAGGCACCGGGCATCTTGGCCCGGGCAGTTTCAATCATGTCCGGCAGATTGGGTACAATCCGCAAAGGAGCGATCACAGGGATAAAGGGGGGATTCCCGGGGGGAGTGGGGATCCCTGATGGCATGATATACGGTGCAGCATCCCCTCGGAGCGCGGCAGGCGGCGGGTAAATGTCGGGAGCATTGCCAACCCAGGCAGCAGGCAGAACCCACGGCATGACCGGGACAGCAGTACCAACAGTCCTGAAATCTGGGTTAGATCGAATTTCGTATCTAAGAAGGTCAACGAGTCTTTCGCCAAGATCTACTCTACCTTGCATTGCTAGGACTGGTGCTGGTAGGAAATTTTGGAATCGCATGATTTCTCTTTCGAAGCCTTGAGCGATACCGTGTCTCCTAAAGAAGCGTTGCAATGGGAGCGGCAGGTAGTCACTGTACGCAGGATCCCAGACATGGCGGAGGAGAACTTGAATAACTTCCTTGCGGTACTGGGAGATTTGTGGTTCTGGGAGAGATCCAGCGGAAAGACCAAGCGGAGCCCAGATACGGTCCATACTCCGGGGGGTTGGCCTCAAATTTTTTGTGCCGAAATCCGTGATTTTTTGGAAGTTCATGTTGAGATATAAGGTATGTTAATGGATATTCGTTATAAATCAAATGATATGCGAGATCTGCGCTGGCGAATTGGTCAGTGTAAGTTGAATGATGTGCGGAATCTGTGTAAGTTGGATGATATGAAAGGACTGAGATCGACTTGGTCGAGACATAAATACTCGGAGACCTCTAGGATCTCTTTGAAGCATTGCTATTATTGCACCTCCTTTATCCTGCCTTCAATGCTTTGTCTTCGCAATTATAGAGCCATTGTGTCCTTTCAGACTTAACGCACCGGCATCGTCTCGAGGTAACACGAAGATGAAAGAACAAAGACTTAATATCATCCGTAACAACTGTGTAAGGCCGAGTTCGGAAATCGATGGACCGAATATTCTCCAGATTCGACCAGTTGGCGAGGCTTGCTCTGCTGTAGTCGTTCCAGAACGTCGCGGTTTGAACTGGGATTTAGTGGTCCTATTGCGCAACGTCTTCGCCGCCTGTTCCCCTGCCAGATTTGCTGCATCTGGTGGTTGGTTGGTAGTCATCTGGTTCAGGCTCGATTTTCTGTTTGCCGGAATTGACCCAGGAGACCTGTCTGTAATATGAATTCGGCCACGTAACGGGTGGGCCGTGGTCAGGAGACGATCGCGTCGTAACTAGCGGTCGCTCCAACATCTATCCAGGCCCACATCCTTTCCAGCATCTCCCAGAGCTGGTCGCTGTACAATGGGCATTGCAAAAGAACGTGTCTCGGTGTTTGAGACCTTTCCTCGCAGTGACATTGGTCAGAATCGCAGGCGTCGAGTTTGAAAAGACAGTGGTTCAACGCGATTCTCATCGAGCGTAACTGGGTCAGCACCGATGCGTAGTGCTTCAGGAGAGACCTACGTAGGTCTGACGTTTTCTTGTCGGGTTTGGGGATTGGTTTCTTGGTAGCTTTCCCTGTCTTCTCCCGTTCCCATTCAGCAGCCCAGCGCTGCTTAATCTGCCGCTTCACGCGGCTGTCTCATTGCCAGGTACGCCTATATGCGCGCATGTCGGTCATAGCCCGGAGGGCTTCCAGGCTGTCGTTGGCCTTGGCGAGTAACTTCTGGCGATGTATGTTTGAATGGCAGGTGCTCGTCGATCCAGATGCCTAGATATTTTGCGTGTACAGTCGGTCGGATGACTTGGTTGTTAGTTTGTACTGCCATCTGGTCATGACCAGCAGGAAATTCGTGGCTGATGTGGCACACGTCAAAGTCAGAGTCATCTTGTTGGATGACTCGGTACCAAGAAGATGGCTCGGTACGGGCCGGTGCCGGGGTTGCCCTTGATCCCCGTTCGAGGCGGATGTGATCACATGTCGATGTTTGCGTGGAATTTCGAAATGTATCAGTTCGAAAGCATATGAAGACCAAGGTGACAGAGATACTATTTCTGCATTGTGGAAAATAAATGATTTGGATCGTCAATGCTCATTCAACTCATGCATATAGAGGTTGACTCGAGACTCGCGGGTCTCAAGCCATTTCCCTCAGAGGCTTAACTGCTACATCCTTGAAGACGGTAGCGATTCACTCAATCCCAAAACGCCTAGCAACTTCTAGGAAGCCAGGGGACTGGGAATCAATCCACATATTCACCCACCCCTCGGCTTTTGCCTTCTCAGTCTCCTCCTTCGACCAATGTTCCTCTAATTCACGCTCAACGTAGATAGTCTGAAACCCACAGTCCTTGGCAGCCTTCAGATCGCCCAAGTGCGCTGCAACCAGCCCGCACTGGTTCGGTTCCATACCGAACTTCTTAGCGGCACCCCCATAGACCAACGGAGAGGGCTTGTAAGCCCCGAAATTCTCCGCGCTGACAATGTGCTTGAAAGGCAGAGATCCAAATTTCTGGAGATCTTCCAACAGGGATACATTTCCATTGGACAGGGTAGCTGTCGTAAACTGGCGATTCAGCAGCTCCAGGCCTGGAGCACTATCTGGCCATGGGCTGAGCCGGTGCCAGGCAAAAGCGAGATCCCACCGCTTCTCGTCGGTGAACAGGCCATCCAGACCGCGCTGCCGAAGGAGGTCTTGGAGGGCCTTATAGTGGTGCTGGTCAACCGACATGAACTCGGTGGATGAATCGAATGTACGAGTAAATACAACGTATGACCACCGCCATTCGTTGGCAATCTCTAGCCAGTCCTGGGTAGTCATGGCTGTAGCGCGGTCACGTACGTCGGCTGGAAGTTCATTGCGGGGATCGTTCACGGCTTGCTGGGCAGCTGTACTCAACTCTTCCGAGATAGATGTACGCCATGGAGCAACTGTGCCGAATACATCGAAGAATAACACCTGAGGCACATTGACCGTCGACATTTTGTGGGGTTGGGATGTTGAAGGTGACAAATCTGACAAAATCTGAGAGACTGAGATGCTATTTCCCCGCACTTTTCAGATTATGCCGGTTGCCGAACTGCGTGGGTCCACAGTTGAGATCCTAGCTACATGTAGTCTGTAGATAGGCAGGTCAGAATTGAATCGGTCGGTTTATATATGCCCGGTGTCTATGGGCCTCAAATGACGAATTTGCTGAGTCAGCGAGCCGAGGTTAATCGGCCCGGGGGTTGGCCCGGGGGTGAATTCCATAGAGGGAAGAGAACAAGTTACAAGGGTAACTGGTAAGTCTTTTGACTTGTCTGAGCATCATTCCAAGTGATAAGTTGGGAAGAAGTTGAGGAATGTACGGAGTACACAATCAAACATGGATCAAGGGAGAATGAGGAATATTCTGCCTGTTTTTCCGCCTTTCCTCCATTTGACATCCTTGCCTCAATGTACGAGTACATCAATTTACAGTACTTCATAATATGAAGTACAGAGTTAAATAACTTAGCCATTGTCATTTGGACATTTGAATTGACCAGACGTCTTCTGTCTCCAACTCCAGCCCCTCACCCCCGTGCAGTGTCCTGCACCTCCAAGCTAGGCACGCCACTAGCGCTGTCAAGAACAAAGAAACTCAACTCTCGGCGTGATATCCTACAGGGATTGGAATCCGCAAATGGACCTGTCAACGGCCCGTGTCTCGAGTTAAAAGTACCTCGTGGTGATGGCCCCTGAGGCCAGTGGGGCACGGCAATCTGCTACTCCTCCGTGTCATCCCCGTCCCTAGTCCGATTTCTAATGATTTGGGGGGCAGAGTGAAGAGTCTAGACATGGAGTGGGAATCATCAATTGCCAATTATTCCACTTCTAACGTGCGCATTGCCGATACTTGCGACGCAAGGCAGGAGAAAACCCAACCGAGGTCATGGACGCGTACCAAACTTTTGCATCAAAACAATCGGAGTTTGGTTCTCCGGCTTTATGTGGGTTCCTGCTATGAATAATAATGAAGCTCTCTCTGTGGGGACCTCGGATGGATCTCAAGTTTTTACCCCTGATCCGCCATGTCCGCCATGTCCGCCCTGTGAGCTCTGGTCAAGTTATTCTGGTGGTCGCAGAAAGACGTTACCAACTTCCGATATGCATAGGGAATCTGAAACAAATCATATCTCAACCTTGCCCACCGCGATCGCCCAAAGCTTACGAGCGTGCCGCCAACGCCAGCCATTTAATATTCTTCTCAAACACGCTAGCAATATTAGCGTCTGTGGAACTGATCTGAATGGTCAATTCAAAGATTTTTCTTCGTCTTCTCATTTGCCTGGATGCCTTTTAGTTTGCGCTGCTGTTTGCCAAAAAAAAAAGAAATAGGGGGTGATCTTCCTAGCACAGCCGGTGAGCTTCGCGAGACCCCCCCGTCTGACGCGCAGTGGAGTCCTAAGCTGGACGCGTGTGGTCGCGAACGCCTACCCCATGCTGGACTCAACTGAATATTAGCTTCTTTCGAAGGACAATCTACCTTGCGGAACACGATGTGCACTCAATCATGATGCTCTTTTCCTCTTCTGGGCTGGCAGACTCAGGATCTGCCATCTCTGGAGATTGTGGTTCCATTTTAATTTTACCTTTCGTTCCTAATTTCCAGAACATGCCGACGATCTGACAGCTTCATTCTCGATATCCCCGACGAAGACGCTTTGCCGTTTGTGTCGTATCTTCTCTCGTTGGCCTTCATATCTCTCGGAACAGGCCATCCAACCGTTATATAGCATGTTACAGGATACGACACCAAGCGAATCATGCTTCAACTAGTGTCTTAGGTGGCAGCTGCAGTGGAGCATTTATCCTGCGGGCTAATCGGGTGGATTCTCTGCTTTCCCCATGCCCCCTAACGAACGCCCCTGGGACTTTTTTTTCCCTTAATGCGCCAGGCAGTCCCCTCGCATCCGGCGATGTTCCGATATGTGTGCCGCAAGGCCGATCTAAGTCCCCTAAGACTTCCTTTCAATCTCCCAAGCTTAAGGTAATCAATCTAGGTCTAAGCTCGAGTCTTCGTCTCAGATCGTTGCCTCGTTCGTAAATCTACTGGATCTCGAGTCTCCCTAGCGATCGCGATCGCCCTCGAAGACCGCATCCTTCAGATTGATCTGTTTCCTTCCGGGATCGACCACTTCCCTCGGGGCCGCTCTCTCGTGTCCTAGACGGTCGGATCTATGTTTGTGCTGTGAGTACAGTTAAGGGCGTCTTCCCGTGCATATTCAAATTTCGGTATTGGGCCCTTCCCCTCGAGCATGCATCTTCCATCTGCGTTGTAACTGTGGCTGACCTGTTCGTTCCACCAAGTCCCACAAGGTCCCAACGCTGATTATCCCCCTCATCTCGTGTCCAACCAGTCAATAACACAGGTGAGACCGGTGCCCAGATACCTCGCATACCGACACCAGTTTCGAATGGGTCATTAGTTGGATGGTTCAGTCACGATAAATTTTAATGGGATCCGCTGCGTGACGTGCTCTGGCTAGCCCAAGCAGCAGAGCCCGGGTGATGGTCTGAGGCCATTCATCCAGTGTACGAACAGATAATGGCCGACATGCAATCACCGTCCTCCATGGCCGACCCATCTCCAGCACCATCCTCAAGATCCAGGTCTCGAGGGCCAGCGAAAGCAAGATCGAGATCGAGACCGTCAATGCGCCGGCGAGATTCCTCCCCCGCACCTTCCTCCTCTCCGCCCGGCCTCCCAACGCCCTCATTCTCCCCCGACGGACAAACCGACGAAGATGATCTCATCGAAGATACCCTATCACCTTTCGATCCGCGGCGGATCACGCCGACCCTCCATGCGTCTCTTGTATCGGAGATCCTCTCCCTGCGCCGGGAAATAGAAAACAAAACCAAAGCAATCGATGGATTGGAAGATAGCTTGGACGAGTCGAGGAACGAAAATGAGGCTTTAACTGCGAATTTGTCCCAGGCGACGTGGGAAGGGCGCTCATTGAAACACCAGATCCAACTTTTGGAAGGTGGAAGTTCCTCTGCGATGACCGAGTTGGCTCGGGAGCGCGATGAAGCGATTCAAAACATTGGGGATGTTCGTAAGAAACTCGAGCAAGCGCAAAAGAAAATTAGAAGTCGGGAAGAGGAGGTCGAACGGACTCAGTTACTTTGGAGTCGCGATCAGGAGTCATGGGCGGATGAACGCCGAGCCCTGGAGCGCAAGGTCCACGTAGTTGAGGGCCGCTTGAAGACTGTCCTGAAAGAGGTCGCAGCCGCCCAGGAAGTGACGACTCTCCATTCACATTCACAGCCGAGTGAGAATGGTAAGCCTTTCCATGACAAGAATAAGGAAAGTGACACGGCCAGCGTGGCTTCTAGTAGCTTGGGTCGCCGACGCACGAGCGTGACCACCGTCAGCTCGGATGACGGCGAGGAGGCTGCTGGTTTCCACAATGTGCGCTACTCTGTTATGAGTCTTGCACCTGGAGTGAAGAACAGTTCGGGTCTGAACCTGGCCGAGGAACTCGACTTTGATGAAGAAGATGAGTTTGTTCCCTCTGATGATGAACTTCTCGGCTCCCCAGATACGCTTCCCGAAGAGCGACCAATGTCCGTTCACTCACAGGGGTCGCATAGTGTTTCCTTCAAGGCCAGAAAGATTCTGGGTCTTTCCATGCAGAGCTCCGATTCACCCACTGCCATAGAGTTCCGTGCCCGAGAGCTTGGGCTAGCTAGCCCAGTGAGTCTTGGACCTGACAGGGCCGCCGAATACCACGATATTGGAATCCAATATTCGCCTCCTCCGTCGCCTCCGGTAGAGGCAAAGACCGTAGATGACGATATTCCGGAGTTGGGCGGCACGACACCAGAATCTGACGGAGGAGCCAATGTGCAGATGGACTGTGTCACGCTACCCACTGCAACCGAGATGATTTCTAGCTCTTGTCAAACCGAGGACGAACTTCCAAGCCCTCCATGGACGCCTAAGGTGGCAGACACGCCGTCTCAATCCATTGAACCCGCCCCAGAGCTGGTGCAAATGGCATCGGCGGCTACCCAAACTGATGTTATCCCGGCGGCAGAAGTCGCTCAAAGCGAGGAACATACCCGCTTGTCACCGGATGATGTACCACAGCCGATGGGCATCCCAATGATCGCCATTCACCCGCCTGGTTCAGAACCCTCCTCGCCTCGGAACAGCGTTGTTCTTCCACCACAGACCAAGAACGTTGCCTGCCAGGCCAATTTCCGGGCAATTGTTGACTGTCGATCCGTCGCCATCCAGACCGAGGATATCCGTCTCGGCGAATTCCCTGTCAGAGTTCCTACAACTCTTCTTCCCTCTGCTATTCAAGACCCGCTACCTCGCGTTAAAACTCGAGAACCCAGTCTAGAGCCTTATACTGTGCCCCCTCTCCCGCCACGGTCTGAGAAGCGAACACAATACCAGAGACATTTCGCCACTGATCGTCCCGCTAAGTCTCCGAGAGTGCCTGGTCCAGACCACGTGCAGGCCTATCCAGGTAACAATGACAATGGTCCGCTCTCAGACGATACCACGTCCAATATTCGACGACCTTTGCGGTCTAGCAGTCTGTTCGCCGGATTTGAACACAACAGTGACGAAGAAGGCCCTCTTGGAGAGCGTGATATCTTCACTGATGATGAGCTCCTCAACCGTCCATTCGCTGCGTATACTGTCAGTCGTGGCAAACTCGTCAATGCGGCAGCGAGACCTAGCTTGGACGACATGGCTCTTCCCGAAGTGGACGAACAGATGTCTTCGCCAGAGTCCAGGCCACCTGACATCGGCCGTTCCCGGGCTCCTCCCAGATCTGGTACGGCCTCGAGTATTCGCCAGCCTCACATGCGCAAGATGGCTATGATTTCCAACGGAAGCGCCACACACCAGAGATCTCGTGCTCGGACTCCTAGCGAGCCAAGTATCGACAGTGGCAGTGCAGGCTCAAGCATTGCGCCGCCGTTCCCAGTTCCTATACGCCTAAGCTCCCGCAATCTCCCGCTCAACGGCAGCGATGGTCCCCCAAGTCCAACTCGCTCATCGGGCAGACAATTCTCGGATCGCGGTCGTCAGGCTGTCGTCCGTCGGCCAACCCTCCGCCGCGTTCGATCCGCTGCAGCAATGTCCCAGTCGGATCCCACGGACCGCCCAGAAACTCGCTCTTCTCCTTCACGATCGATCTCAACCTTCTCCCCCGAAAGCCCCACATACCTACCCTATCGACCTCCGCCAATGCCATTCGATGAAATTACGGCACCTCGCCAGCGGTACCCAGCTCCGAAGCGCCCGGCGCATCGTTCTACACCATCTTATAACTGGAGCCATGAACAACGTGAGCGCAAGGACTCTACTGGCGGCGTGCAGCCGACCAGTGTTGTTGATGCCATTGCGCAAACCATGGTTGGCGAGTGGATGTTCAAATATGTCCGTCGACGCAAGTCATTCGGGATGGGCGAGTCCAAGGATAATTGGGAGGGTAAAAACCCTGACGAAGTGTCTGCGCATATCACCAATAGTGGTGTGCGGCACAAGCGATGGGTCTGGCTTGCCCCATACGAAGGCTCCATAATGTGGAGTAGCAAACAACCTACAAGTGGACCCGCCCTACTCGGCAAGAGTGGTCGCAAGTGTAAGTCCCCAATGAAACCACTGGAATTGGTTGGGATAGCCAGCTAACGCAGAACCCTCCGAATTTAGTCACCATCCAATCTGTCCTGGACGTCAAAGATGACAACCCTCTACCCAAGGGCACCAACTCTTCAAGTCCCTTCAACCGCTCCATCTTGGTGTTAACACCACAGCGCGCTCTGAAATTCACAGCGCTGACCATCGAGCGCCATTACATCTGGCTAACGGCCCTATCCTTCCTCAGCCACTCATCAGTGGGCCTCCAAGAATTAGCAGCTCTCCCTCCAGTCCCCCAAGAAGAATCCCCTTCCCTGCCTCATGCTGGTCTCCGTCGAAACCCAATCCGCGATTCCATCCGTGTCGCAAAGGGCCGCCCCCGCCCACAGCCCATGGGGAAACGCTCCTTCAACAGCGCCGGCGCTCCAGCCCCAGTCCCCGAAATCCCAGGTGGTAGTATCGATCTAGCAGCCGACGCACCACACGTCCCACGTTTCTCCTCCCACAACCGTAAGCGCAGCAACACCGCCCCCCGCGCACCAGCCCTCAACACCCTCCGCAGCTTCTCCAGCCAGGGCACCATGCCTTCCTCACACAGCGCGGGATCCTCGGATCTCCACTACCCTGCCACGCAGCTCCCAAGTCTGCCTCCTGGCATCAGCAGTCGCCGCACCTCCGAAGCGAGTGGGCGCGCCCCCAGCGTGGCAGGCAGCAACGTGTTTGACATAGGCACTATGCGCATGGAGGCTTTCATCGATCACCATGCGGAGCAAATCAATCGTGCTCCACGTGTGCCTCCGCGCCAGCGCCATATCCGCAAGACTTCTTCTAGTCAGTGGAGTGAGAGGCGGTATGAATTTGATACGCCTTCGGTGAATGGCAGCGAGTTCTCCTATCGTCCTGATGATCCGTTCCGAGGGTTCTGATTCTTTACGAGTTTTATACTCTCTTCGACTCTGGTCTTTCTTTTTTCCTTATTTCACTCTTAACTTATCATATACCTATTCTTCAATGTTCTTTTCTTTCTTTTCCCTTCTCCCTCCTTCTTTTTCATTTGAACAAGTACCTCCTTGGCGCAGGCCCATCGCCACGTTATACTCTCCGTGGCTTTTCTGTGTACACCAAACATGAGCACCTTCACGACCTGTTCTGTCACTCCCCACATGCGCGAGTTCATTCTCCGATTTACTCACCTCTTACTTGTTACCACTTTGATTTGGATATCACGTGCAGCGGAGGGCGTTTCATATCCTTATATCAGACCAGCCAGCCCTGGAGCTCTGGATTGATTCTTCGTGTTTATATGTCTCTACGTGATGTATATGTGTTTCCCACGAGCAAAGGACCCAGGTCAGGCCTATGTAGTACCAGAAATCATATATCCAGCTCTATTCTCTATTTAATCCATCAAAGAGTCAACCTCGAATCGCGGGTATAACGTTCGCTAGCGTAAATACATCTGGAACCGTGATTTGTGGCGGGCTTCCGATGGGCTGATCGTCCGCCAACAAATCTATAAAAGAGATTTTTGTTCCAACAGATTTCGTTCACAGCTTCGCGGCATCCTTGACTTCGCCGATCTTCAACTTGGGCGCGTACTTCTTCAGCACGGACTCGTTGTGGTACTAAACCGGTGTTAGTTAGTGGTGTGCTTGTATTTGATAGCCGACTAGGCAAGATCGATCACGCAACAATGGCAGCATTCTGCGTCTTCTTGGCAAAATAGAGACAGAAGCTGTCAAAGCTGCAGAAGCAAGAGAGGATACACACCTTCCAGAATTGCTTGCTGGCATCCTTGCCGGCTACGCGCTTCAAGATCTTTGCGCCGCCGGGGTGCTCATCGATGAACTTGGTCACATCGTAGACGTTGCTGTCGACGATAATGTAGAGGCCTTTGTCGGCGGAGTTGTGGGCAGCCACGTCGGCGGGAGTGAAGGTTTGAGACATCTTGGAGGTGATATTTGTGAAGTACACTGTAACAACAAGAAGAGAAGAGAATGAGAGAAAGAGAGAGAGAGAGGTGTTGAGTGACGTATAAAATCTGGGGGAAAGCGGAGAAGCCGCCGGTCCCGAGGTTCAACAAGGATCACGTTGATTGCCGCGGTTTGAATTGGTCGCGTGGTGATTGGTTGGGATTTGATGCCTCAGGTGTTTATTTTATGCCACAGGAAGTATAATTATGGACAGGTAAACAATGTCGAATGAGAACATTGAAAGATGAAAACATAGAAAACATATGATACCGCTGAATTCTTATGGACAGTAAACAATGTCGAATGAGAACATTGAAAGATGAAAACATAGAAAACATATGATACCGCTGAATTCCATATGTGTCTATTCCTCTACTCACGGCTCTTCTCTCCAGCCGCCCCCTGCCCCTTTGACACTTTGCGATCCAATCCAAGACTCTCCAAGTCCTTCTTTTTATAGTAATGGGGTGCAACTTCAACAAGCCACTCCGCCTGCAACGGCATATTACTGCGCATGTACTCCTTGCTAGTCAATACCAGCTCAAAGTAAATGACCCAGCGCGGGTTGACCTCCATCAGCACACTAGACGGATGCAAGTAGACCGATTGTCCATTCTTGATTGTACGGTAACTGTCACCGCCGCGCTGGAGTCGCGCTGCATTCGGGAAGAATCCAGCCGTGATAGCCTTCTGGATCGGTTGGATATTTGCAGCCCCGCAGGTACTGACCTCGACCTCGACGCGGTCGCACAGCTTTGCGAGCTGGTCGCGCACATCACGTGCCCGCGTAAGACTGCGCTGCTGCAAGAAGTTCTCCTTGGCCCAGATGGTGCTGAAGTCTGAGTCGACCCATTGATTCCAGACATTCAGGAGCGTCAGGTGATCTCCGCCTTCTTTGATGGTGAAGCGATTGCGTGCACTGTCCGCGTGAATCTTCTTGTCTTTGGGACGGAAGAAGAGTGCGCTGCCTTCGCCTAGCATCGACACAATTGAAAGCACTTCTTCCACACATCCGTACTTGTCGGCGGCAAGGATCGCCTTGGCGAGCATGGGGTCCGTCGGGAACTCGGCCATCTGCCGGCCAACCTTGGTCAGCTCGCCTCGGTCGTTGAGTGCCCCGAGTGCGTATAGCTGCTCCAACGCGCGAATGATGGTCTCTGCTGGTGGCGGGTCCATGAAATCGAAATCGAGCAATTGGTCAATGCCCAGCGACTTCAGCATGAGGATTACTCCGTTCAGGTTAGTTCGTTGAATCTCCGGGGTTGTGTTCTCTTCCAGTTCGTTATAGTACGCCCACTTGGTGTACAGGCGGAAGCACTTGCCCGGTCCGACACGCCCAGCACGTCCGGCTCGCTGGTTGGCCGAGGCACGCGAACACGGCGTCACCACCAAACTCTCCATGCCCGTGCGAGGGTTGAACACGTTCTCTTTGACGAATCCAGGATCAATCACGTAGACGATACCGTCAATCGTCAAACTGGTCTCGGCAATATTGGTTGCAAGTACTACTTTTCGCGCCTTGGGCGGTGTTGGCTCGAAAATTTTGGTCTGTAGTTCGGATGGCAAGTTCGCGTAAATAGGAGCAATGATCATCTCTGGTATCTTGCTCCCAAGCTTTCGAGCCGTTTCCTGTAAACTTTGCTCGGCGGCCTCAATCTCTTCTTGACCAGTCAAGAACACCAAGATATCTCCAGGTCCTTGCGTGACATGGATCTGGAAAACCGTGGTGATTGCTGCAGCAAGGTAGTTGGCCTCGGGCTGCGAAGTGTAATGCACATCGACGGGATATCGGCGACCAGGAATGTTGAAGATGGGCGCATCGTCGAAGTACTTTTGGAACTTCTGTGCATCCATCGTCGCCGACGAAATGAGCAGCTTCAGATCCGGCCGTGCCTTGGCAATATCCTTGAGAAGACCACAGGCAATATCCGTTGGCACCGTCCGCTCATGTGCTTCATCAATCATCAAGGCCGAGTACTGACTCAAGTCCGGCTCGGTCAACAGTTCTCGCAGCAACATGCCGTCTGTCATATACTTGAGAATGGTCTTGTCGCTTGTGTTGTCCTCGAATCGGATGGCATAACCAACTTCATTTCCAATCTTGGTGCCCATTTCTTCTGCAACACGGGCGGCAACACTCATAGCAGCTACTCGTCGTGGCTGCGTGCAGCCAATCTTAAGACCATCCTTAGTGTAGCCAGCCTCATGCAAGTACTGCGGGATCTGTGTGGTCTTTCCAGAACCAGTCTCGCCGACGATAATCAGCACTTGGTGATCAGCCACAGCCTGGATGATCTGGTCACGGAATTGGTAGATGGGTAAACTCTTGCGGGTTTCTTCCATAGTGGTAGCCTTCTTCTCCGCTTCATCGACCTGCTGTTTGAACAGTAGCTGTTCCTTTGTCATTGGCTTTTGAGTGCCCTCGAGTTTCGCATCCATGACAAAGTTGATCTGCTGCGAATCGTCGAAGACATACTCGTAGTCTCCTTCATCCACAAATTCGGCCTTCTTGATCTGGGCCTTGGCCTTGGCAGCCTGTTCCAGCTCCCATTCCTCATGCTCAGTGACGAATCGCTCCTGGCCCATCTCATCGCGCTCAACGTACCTCTTGTAGAGAGCTTCTTCTTTCTTTTTCCGGTCGATCTTGCCCTTCTCCGTGATGTAGTCAGATGGCATCTCATACCCATCGCGATAGTCATCGATACGAAGGCGCTCTTCGGCGAGGCGCAGAACCTCTCTGTTGCGTGCAAATTCCTCTTTCTCTTTGCGAGTCAAATTCGGGTTCTCGCGCAACTCTGCGGCTTCCTCCATAACCTGTCGCCGCAGCAGCGCCAACCGTTCTGTCTCACGCTTCTTCAGGTATTCCTGTCGAGACCTTTCTCGTAGATCAGGCATCATTGCAGCCCGGGCGCGGGCATCATCAGCAAGCGCCCGTCGCCGGGCAGCCTCACTATCACGCGTTCGATCCTCCACGATTTTCTTAGACTTGCTGCTATCCTTATTGGCCAGTCGTTTGGCAAACTCGTCTCGTTCGCGAAGATCTCGTTGGCGATCGATCTCTTCCTGCGTCTGGGGATCGATGTTGGCGGCTGGGGATGCGGAACCGTCGTCGAGTCGGGTGCGCTTCGAGGGCGACTCTTCAAATTCCTCCGGATATATGTCTTCTTCGGGCATTTCTTCGTCACCCCATCGATCTTCAAATTCCTGTGAGTCCTTCCTTCGGATCTTCCTGGTCCGCGGCCGATCACGGCTTTCTGCATCGCGGCTTCGGTCGCGTTTTCGTGTGTCATCCTTTTCCCCGCGACTTCTAGGCTCGGCTTCGCGCTTGCTCCTGCTCCTGTCCTTAACGGTATCCCTGTCTTGTCTCTTCTGTCGCACCCGTTCTGCTTCGACATTTGTAGGCCCGAGTGATGTAGCAACGTCTTGTTGGTCTTCTCCCATATCCACTAAGCGGTACTTCTTCTTCGTAGATTCCTTGCTCGTCGCGGGTTTGGAGACAGACGCGCTGGGCTGTGCGCCCTTGCCCATGCGGCCATAGAGCTCTCGGGCGAAGGCATCAATGTCCGCTGAGCTGGTATCACCGCCATCAAGGAATGATGCTAGTGTATCTTGGAGGGAGGAGGCCGATTTGGATGAGCTGGCAGTCGCGAGCACGAAATCGACGACAGTGGGCTCGGACGCGCCCGTTAGACGGAGGAGATTGTCGGAAACGAAGGCTCTGTGATCCATGATGCGCGATGAAAACTTTCAGAAGGGATAAATTGAAATTGAACAATTGGGATCTGCTAGGGAGCTTCTTGGTGAGGTTGCGAGGTAAGGTGTGGGTATCGTGGAGTCCGTCTTAGGAGTGGCGCATGCTGCACAGATTGTGAGGGGTCTAGTATTTCAAGTTCAACGCTGGAGGGGGAGGGAATTGAACCCGGCGAGGGAAGATAAAAGCAAGAGTGCAAGATCAGTCGTATAAAGAAGAAGAAGAGCTGGAGAAGTCTGCGAGAAATGCCAAGAAATCCCGTGGCGTCGGGGACCGCGGAAATATATTCTGCAAGTGTACGGAGTAAGGCAGGTAGGCAACACTACAACATAGACCAACCTAGGTATAAGGTGTGAATTACATTCCAAGTCAATGCAACCTAGCAGTAAAATAATTATAAAAATCACCGAGAAACTCGTTGGCTACTTAGAACATCCAGGCTTATGACCTCACACGGTGAAAACACAGTGCATGGAACTCAACTACATGTCTACTGCTGCCTAGGTACTTCCAAGATCACATCAATGCATCAGACGTGTAGATAAAATATTGGTTTCATTCGTAATTCCACAATTGCTATACAGACATGGGACCCAGGTATTCAACCAAAGAGACCAAACTAGCAAAGATCGCGCTCAAAGAAAATGGATAGGGGGTCGTCACTGCCCAGAGGGCACACATTGATCATCAGAAGAAAGGCAGGAAAAACGAAGCAAAAGGCAAACATAGCAGTGATGTTCCTAAGCCAAACGAGGAGTGCTGTCAGTCCAGATATCAGCCTTGGAAAGAATCAAGCTGGAGTGACCCCAAAGACAAGAGAAAGGATAAAATGAAAACGGCAAATTGGCAGAACGGCATTGACCATTCCCAGAAGCAAGCATCCTGCAATGTTGGTACATCCTGGCATCTCGTAACGCGAGGTATTGAATCGTACAAAAGAAAAGAAAGAGACCGATGAGACAGGTGCTCAAGGTAACGCCGAGATCCAAGCCGCAAGGATCGAAACCGCCCCAAAGCGCCAGCTTCGACCATCGAAGATTGGGATAGAGAGGGAATAAAGTCGTGACGTAGAACATGGCATCAAAGATAGGATAGGACGAAAGGAATAGGAGAATGCTCCGAGGTTGAACGCCAAGAAGTCACAAAGGAAAAGAACGGAAGAAAGATCAGGAACACCCTCCATATGCACAATGTTGAAAGAGATATTAAATTACACGTCGATCATCTCGGCGTCTTCGGCCAAAATCTCGTCAGCGGGGCCCCAGTTACCCTCAAAGACGGTGGCGCCTGCGCGACGTCGCTGGTTGATGAATTGGACCCCATAAGTCTCCAAGACCTGGTCGGCCGTGGGTCGGTTCTGGGGTTCGGGTGAGATCATCCATCGAACAATGCCATCCAACGCGTGGGGGTGATTGGCATTGACCATAAAATCAGGCGGATCAATCAGTTCGCCGCTCCTTGCGAGTCGCTGTGGTTTGGGGTTATTCACTTGACGACTTGTCAAGAAGTCACCATTGAGTACGTTGCCACCAAGGTCGGAGGTACAAAGCTCCTCAAAAGACGTCTCTTCGGAGATAGGATTTCCAGATGCATCGCGGAAGATGCTGCTCTCCGAGCTCCAGGTAAGGCTGGGCACGTCGCTCATATCGCCATTGCGGAGTTTTTGCCAAGACGCTCCGTTGTCGGGAAGTTCCACGTTTCCGGCGATCTCAAAAATGATGAGTCCGAGTGAGAAGATATCAGCAGGTTTGTCGAACTGGCCCATAAGGATCTCGGGTCCAATGTACTCGCGATCACCTTCACCCTCAATGCCATCCTCTGCAGGCCAGCGGGTTGCCATGCCAAAATCACCAATCTTCAAGGTCCCGTCAAAGGTAACCAGGATGTTGGCAGGCTTCAGGTCAAGATGAATGAACCCTTCATCGTGGATCTGTTTCAGCCCCAAAGACATCTCGAGGAGAATCTTCCAAATGCGGAAATCATCAAGGCGGGCCTTCAGGCCGGCTTGGGTCAGGAAGCCATCCAAGCTACCCTCTTCGCAGAACTCTGTCTGAATGTACAAATGCCCATTGCTCTCCCAGCTATCCATGAATGAGACAACATGGTCACAGTTTGTCAAAGCTTTGAGGATATCAACCTCGCGAATTCGGCGCTCACGATCCTTCAATCCCATATAAGGCTGTTTGCTCTTCTTGATAGCCCACACCTGGTGTGGTAGTGAGGACGGCGATTTGGGTTCGCTGGATGGGAGAGAGAACACAGATGGGAAGGAGGCGTCATGAGGATTTGCAACACGGTAGACTTCAGAGAACTCGCCAGTCCCAATCAGCTCGACATTGTCAAAGCGGGAGGTCAAAGTTGGGTCCACGTCTGGAGCATGATAGCCACTGATTTGAAGACTGGGGCGTCTGAACGATGCCCAAGAGTCACGCGGGCCGGTTGGAGTTGCGGGAAGTTCGTGTTCCTGCACTGAATGGCGGTCATTCGGTACAGAGATCGATAGACCACTTGGGTCAGGAGGGAAGTATTTATCGCGGGGGGTATGAGGGGATGCCTGCAAAAACTTGTCGTGTAACGGGCTCGCCGTCTCAGACAGTCGTTCCATGGACAGATGAGAGGTAGAGGGAGGGAAGGTGCGGGACGGGAGGAAAGGTTGTTTAGTGGGGGTAGGAGGGAAATCGTCATTCAGAGGCTGGCTGTCATGTCGGGACGAGGGCGATTGGGCGAGGATGAGTTCGTCGCCATCGATGCTGGCGAAACTTCCACGGCGCGAGGCTTCAGGGCGATTGAAACTGCCGCCAAAGATCCCCATGCCTCGAGCGAAGGGACTTGGCTTGGGACGCGAGCTGGTGGGAGGAGCGTTGAATGGCGAGGCGAAACCGGCATCTGATTGCTGAGAGAGACGAGACTTATCGAACAGTCGATCCGCGGGATTTGGCCCAGCGGTGAAAATATTCACAGGTCGCTTGCACGGTGTGTCGGGCATGTTCTTGCTGAAACCAAGATTTTCCTCCGCATTGCGATTCTTCTTGGAAATGAGACCGGTGGACATGAATGCCGCCGGGAGGGGCTTCACTAGCTTGTAGTTGTCTGGGGTAGCGAATGTTTCCGATGAGTTCTCTTGAGTGATCTTGCGCACCGGAGCCGGACGAGTAGCCCCGGCAGGGAGAGATTTGGAGAAATTAAACATTGGTCGTCGGACTTCCGGCTTATGAACCGGTTCATGAGTCGGAGAATCATCGAGGCTGGATCCTGAAGAGGATTGAGTGATGGTGCGAGAGAGAGGATGAGCAGCGGGTCGGGGAGGTTGAGTAGTGTAGATGGTGGGGTTGGCCGGAAGGTCAGCAGGTGTGTTTGAAGAAAAGAGAGGGCTGGCTGGAGGTCTAGGAGAGAATATGTTCTCGCTGCCTGGCTGGAATAGGCTGCTATCAAATGACTTTCGCGGCCTGACAGATAATGGTGTACCAGGCGGCGATGCCTCTGCTGAATCCTCCATCGCCTTGGGTCGCCCAAATAGAGGCCGCTCTCCACGCTGCTGAAGAGTCGAGCGTCGCAGAGAAGACGAACGCTTGGGTATCGTCGCAAATGGACTATAGGGTTGAACTGGCGTGGGGAAAGAGGGAATCACGTTTGCAGATGGAGACCCCTCCGGAGTCGTATTCTCGACTTCGTTATCAAAAATGCTGAATTCGGTTGACATATTGGGCATATGCACGCTGCGTCGCTTTGCAGCAGGGCTACCTCGCGATGCTTGATCCAAGTTCATAATTCCGTCACTGCGCTTCAGGGGACTGCCAGTTGCAATTGTGCCAAAAGTGCCACTTCGTCGCTTTTCGATACGCGACAAGGTCGGTCGCGGGGAAAAAGTCGATTCAGTCAGAGGCGCAGAAGTGTTGATAAAACAAGGGCTGTCTGGAGTGGTACTCTGACCCGACGGGACAAGGTCATCGAGGGTCAAATCATTCTCCTCGCCTGGGGGGAACGAGACAGGTTGGGTTGGAGTCGCGTTGCCACCGTCCGTCGAAACGCTCAGGACGCGTTTGGCTGGACTGCGGGGTGACGTGCGTCGACGCATGGCCGGCCTACTTATTTTTGCGCTGGGCGGATAAGGCACAGCGAGCGGTGACTGATGAGGGAAAAGAACGAAGTTGTTCTGTGACGCGCGTCTTGAAGGTGACAAGGGAGAAGAGATGTAGGTGGATTTGGAGGGGGACTGAGTACGCGGGTTGAAAAAGAAGTTAGAGCTCTTCGATGGAGAGCGCGAAAGTGAGCGCCTCAGTTGGCGGATAGCAGAGCTGGCATCGACGTGATGGATGCCTGAGTGCGATGAGAGATGAAGGGTGCCACCGGAGTCCCGGTGCGGCGAAATAGTCGCGACCATGATCAGAGGAATGTGTCAATGTGCCGCGCAACGAGACCAGAATGAAGAGCGCGTCAGATTGGGAAATAGACACGGGAGTCTTGAAGGTTCACTTAAAGACGCGTTGGACGAGATGTAGATATCCCAAAAGATCTGAGAGTTAGAAATTCGAATAGATGGAAGTGCCGACGAAGTTGACGCGTTGTAAGATCAACAACGCGTCCACACCAAAGCCGGGATGAAAAGAGCGAGCAAGACTGCCCAGGGAAGGCGCACGCTCTGGAATGTCGAAAGTATTGGGGGAAGGTGTGAGTGGCAAGGCGAAATGTGACTTGGTCACACACTCATCGCGTATTCTATGGAATTCACTTGGACCCTCCCATACACACGGGGGAAGGCGCAGTGGACAATGTATATGACCGTTCCACTCGGATGTTGTTCCCGGTTTCTTGCGACAGGCGTGGAATGTTTCACACGCGATATGGAAATCAAACTTTCAGAAGAGAGAAAGAAAGAGATCGAGGCAGTGTTTAAGGATCGGAATTCTCAAATTGTTCCAAGGATAAAAGAGTGCTGGTTGCAAGGGGTAGATCCCCCGATACCAAACGGTGAGGTCAGCCCACGAGGGCAAAGGCCGAGTCGAGGAGGGGTTATGGTGTTTGGTATGTAGGTGATTGCAAGGACTCGTGTTCCAAGGAGAGGTTTTGAGGTGGATTTTGGATAGGTAGGATGTCGGATGGGGATATCCAAGAATGCTATTGAGTTGAATATTGAAACAAAAAGTGGAAAGGCTGGTCCTCGACTTCGTTGATTAACGCGCAGTCGCGTTGTTGATCGTCGAGGCCCGATGTGGATTAGGGTGACGCGTGATTGTGACATAAACAAATACTTAGGTAATCATCAACAGACTTTGATAACAACCTTCTGCACAAACGTTTATTGATTTTTGTATAGAAAAATACGGAGTAAAAGAGAAACAAATAAATAGGAAAAGTAAAAAGTTGATTAAACAGTCTGAAATTCTCAGTTTTCAACACATAAACACAAAAAAACGCGAATCCAATGAAGCGTGTCTTTTGAAAAGTACGGGTCCGTAAGATAAACGCCACCCGAATGAACACAAGAGAGGGGTACAATCTAGTACACAGCAGGTATTGCACTATTTCTCCGTACTATTGCCAGAATATACGCAGTACCGAGACATTTCTTCTCATTCTTTTGCTTTTTTTAGTTCAAGGTGTATCATCAATATTCAATGCCTTTATCCTAAGAAAAGATAGGAACAGTTCGCACTTAGGCCACGCGAAACATCCCTTGCCTCAAGTGCCGTGACCCCCACTTTTGTCGTTTCGCCTTTTGACATTCCACAATCTGATCCATCAGAGTCCAGTTAGTGACCTGTGAGAAAAAGAAAGCGAGAAAGACCAACAGCTACCTAGGCAACTATGTCAAGCCCATCGGGCCATCATACTGTTAAATGTAGACAGTTAGACTCGAAGCCAAACTGTGAAAGTATGAGATTCCGTACTCGTTCTCTTTAACTACTTCCCTCTCTTCGATTTCTATACTCCGTCTTTCCGTCTCTCTCTCTATGCCATCTCTCTATATTCAATACAAATAGTGTAATGTATATGCACCTATTGTACATATCTTTAATGAAGCTATTGGAGCAGAATAACTTCACAGTCCCACGGATCTGCCCGTCCCGTCCGTGGGTGGCGCCGTCACTGGTCAAATGAGGAAATGGCGATTCAATTGACAACATACAGTAAAAGGAAAAAGAAATGAAAAAAACCAAGCAGTGAAGTATACACATCCAACGCCCCATATGCAAGAAAGAAGCGCTATGATGGACCATACAGGATTTATACCGGATCTAAGAAAAAGAAAACATACACTCCCCCCACTTGTAGATTTACATACTCTTCCCCATTCCCCTCCTCCCATCCCTAGCATCGGACCTTCTACATCATTTCGAAGCCTGTCATTAATGCAGATATTTCCCGTTGCATGGCGTCGATCATAGTCTCCGCTGTAGCTCGATCAAGTCGGGATTTCGGAGCGAAGAATCCAAAGTCCAACCCATTGCGGATTGCGGCTTCCACGTCCATCGTAGGCTGTTGAGATGTAAGTAACTGCATGATGTCCATATTGAGAATGTGAGTGAAACGCATTCGACCACTGACCTTTAAGATGGTTTGAGTTGTCGTTGAGGCGCTTGGGTTCGGGTGGGTTTCGGCTGGCCCCGGTGGCTTGACACCATTGCCGGGAAGGAAAACTGGGGCTATGCCGCTAAGGTTTTCAAACTCCTCGCGTTGGAGCATTGTGAGTGAAAGTGTTGCCTGGTCACCGCTGGGTTCTCCCAATTCTAGCTCAGGCAGTCGCAGGAAATTGATGCAAGTGTCAATCTGGACACCGGTCCATTCGGCAATTTCCATCAGAGAAACACCCGAGTGTTCAGGTCGGCTGATCTCGTGAATTTCAGTTTGAATCCTACGGGCGGCATCAAGGAGAGAGTCGTTGGAGTCGCTGATTTTGTCATCCAATCGTAGTGGGACAATATTCACGGTGGGAAACACAGACTCGGCTAGACCCTCAATGGAATGAGATCGATTGGCGAGGTAAAGTCCCACGATTAGCCGCCCGTGAGACCCTGCATCGTCCCTGATTTCAGCTGCACCGAAGTTCTGCAAATGCACTCGCGCATAGATTGCTAGAAAGATGGTCTGAATGCTAAGGCCATGGCGCTTAGCAACTTGTTCGATACTGGCTATATTTGGTACCAGGCCCGGTCGGTAGTGGTGTTGCACAGAGCCGAAACCGTCACCTCGTTTTGCCGCCGTTGAGATCTGGCCTAGATATTGTTGCCAAAACCGTCGTCGGACTTCCACGGGAGAATGGGCATGTTGGAATGCCACGAGCTGTGAAAGGTCCAGGGCGGGATTTGACCTGTCGATCTCGTCTTGGCTACAGTATGTAATGAGCCGGTCCAGGATATGGGGTAGACTGACAGCGTCGTACAGTGCATGGTGGATCTGAAGAATAAACGCCGTTCCTTGGATCGTTTGGCAAGCATGCAGTGCGACCGGCACTGCCCCCGACCCTTGTGTGGGCCTTTTTGAAACGAGATGCCGATCAACGTTGGAATGCCAGATCACAGGAATCTGCACAGCCTCAAATTCAATTTGAATGTATGGCAAGAGGGGTGAGTCAGTGGTGGGAATGAATGCCGTTCGAAGCATTGGGGTGTGGTCCACAGTTCTAGCCCAAGCGCGGTCGAGTACCTCCGGGCTCAGCTTTTGTGATACCACATAGTAGAACTGAGGATAGAACACCTCGGGGTTCAGGGTGTGCATCAAGAGGAAGTAGCACTGGCCTGCAGTGGCTGGCAACACTTTCTGCACTCGTTGCGAATCAATACCATACGTCTGGAGCAGTCCAGCCACATCGATACCGTCAAGCAACTTTTGGACGATGCTTGATGTGTTTGTGGGTGAGAATTCTGTCTGGCTATTGTTCGCTGCTTTGGCCATGTTCTTGATGGTACCGGCCCGGAGCATGTCGCTGACTGTGAGCTTGATGGACTTTTTCTTGAGGAGCGCAGCGACTTTGATAGCGCTGATGCTGTCCAGACCAAGCTCAAAGATGGTGGAGTTCCTGTCAATGGAGGTCTCGGGTACGCCGGACGTGATTGAGAGAACCTGGCGAATTGTGGACTCAACAGGCGACCATTTCGCTTCGTCGAGTGCCCGGAGCACTGCATCAGTTTCAATATGTTGTCCAGAGTCATTTTGGAAAGCGGAACTTCCACAGACCCGAATTCCTTGATCGGTGAACACCACGGTTTGCTCATCGGGACCGTCGATGATAGACGAAAGCATGGTACTCATCTGCTCCAAAAGTGCGAGGGTATCTTGCTCTCCAACAACATTTCCGCGACACGCAACCCGGCCAATGAGGTTCTCCCCGACACCTTCGACTTCAGCGCAAACAGGATACTCAACATCAGCTGCCCCGCCGACAGATCTATAGAGATTCTGTCCATATTGGCTTGATGCCGTTGCAGCCGGTCTCTTTTGGTACATGAAGAGCGTATCGAATAACGCCCGCGACCCCGTGTCTGGTTTGGCACGCCGAAGCGGGAAGTGTTGATGCTCCGATGTTGCCAAAAGAGTCTCCTGTACATAGTTCACCAAGTCCACACGCGTTCCATGAAGGATGACTCGCATAGCGACGGTGTTCATGGTCGGGAACATCACATTCTCAGACTCGGCCAGATTCCTGCCAGATAGGACAAGACCGAACGCCACATCTAGCTTTCTGACATGCGTAGCGAGTACAAGGCCCCAGCAGCTGACAAGAAGCGCCTGGAGGGTAATGCTTTGGCGTTTGCAGAACGCTTCTGCCTTGGATAGGGGAACGGACAATGATTGTTCTGCTCGGTGAACAGCAGCCGACCCACGTTCAGCATGCTTCATAGGCAAGAATGACGCCGGTGTGAAATTGGATAGTGTTGCTCTCCAGAACTTAAGAGCTTCATGACCAGACGATGCAACGATATGTTCAAGGATGTCATCAACTGGTGGCCGCGTGCAGTCAGCACCGGCATAAGACTTGGCGACATCTTCATGGAGCAGATTGATTGACCAGCCATCATAGAGAGCGTGTGCGATTGACAAGACAATGTACCGCTTATCTCCATCCACCGCCATGGTGATAGAGATCAGGGGGCAGCTTGCTAGCGCGGTCCGGGCCTTTGACCGCTGGGTCTGTATGATGGATTCCACGGAGACGCCATGAAGATGGACAGTTTGGAAGTCAATATGTTCCTCACTGTGAATTATTTGGGCATATGCAACAGGAATCTCCGGATCCCATATCTCGACAAATGAAGTACGGAGAACAGGGTGAGCTCTGATAACAGACCTCCACGCTCGCTCCATCTTCTCAATGTTCACATCTGCCTCTAACTCGAGGATTTCGTGGTTGTAATAATGCTGGTACTGAGAGGCCATCATCTCTGCCACCATAGCCTCTTGGATTGGTGTAGCTGGTAGGACTCTAATTGCACTCCGGGGAAGAAGACCTTCATCCCCGAGGAATTTGAGCAAGGATTTCTCCAGCTTATGGAGCATTGGCAATGACCCGTTCATGCTATGGCCATTTGCTGTTGAGAGTTGCTTGCTCATGGCCTTCACTGTACGATGACGCATGATGGAACTCACGGGAAGTTTGATACCAGCTTTGCTCAAGCGCGAGGAGATTTTGATTGCATCAATGCTGTCAAGTCCGACTCCAAATATCGAAGTCTGCTCGCTGATGGATTGTGGTTCCAGTCCCGCAAGAGTCTCAATCACGCCGCGAATTGTGCAAGCCTCGGGAGTCCATTCAAACAAAGAGTCGGTGTCTCCAGCACCTGCGCCTACTGAGATGTTGGAAGGTCTGTGATGACCGTTCACCTCGCCATTCGTCACAGTTTCTGTGAGGGATACCTCGTTCTCCCTGGGCAACTTTTTGTTCGGATCTTGTGCAAAGTCAAAGAGGATTTGCTCGAAATTTGACAGCATCTGCTGCGCATCCTCCGAGGCTATCGCATGCCTCTTCGCAACAAGGGTGGCTGTTAGGGACTGCTTGCCATTGCGCACAATCTCAAAGGCCAGAGGATACTCGTGATCGGCTTCCGAGTCAATTGTACGCCATAGCCCTTTTGTCAGTGACTCCCTGTCATCGTCTTCCCTCTGGAAAACGAATAGAGAGTTGAAGAGCCGCTCGTCAGGATTCTTTCCAAGCCACTTCACAATATCTCGTAGAGCTGTGTATTGGAAGGGGATCGCCGACACGTGGTAGTCATGACAGCGACGAGCAACATCAGACCAAGTTTTCAAGCCATGAAGTTGAACATTGCTCGGAATGGTATTGAAGAGTGGCCCAATAACCTCGCTGATGCCTTCTACGTCGACTGTTCTGCCCGAAGCAATGATACCGATCGGTGGGACAAATGAGTACTGCTGCTGGAGAGTAAGAAGCCAGCAGGCATGGAGTACGGCTTGCTCGGTGATATTGAGGGACTGCCGGAGATGGTCGACTTGCTTTGTCGCATTCATCTGGGCTTTGAGCAGAATTGGCGTACTATCTCCCAGGCCGTTGTCGGAGAAAGGTCGAGCACGACATCCAGCAAGATGCTCCTTCCAGAACGTTTCTGCCGCAGGGTCTTTACAAAGAGGACCGAAGTGCAGTACATCAAGGAAGTTCGGGGTCACCTTAGGATCCCTACTTTGGCCAAGGTAGTTTCGGGCAACTGACTCCAGCAGCAGGACCAGACTGTTTCCATCATAGAGAGCATGGAACATATTCAGGCACATTATTGCTGTCCCGGGAGAAGAGATGACTCCCACTTCCCATAAATTTGATGAAAGGTCATCAAGCAGGTTAGTCCACTCCTCATATCGCTGTTTGCGCAAGTCCTCAATCTCCCCTTCGGTCTCAGTGGTATCGAAGAACCAAGGGAAGGCTTCATTTTTCAAGATAACTTGGGCGTAACCATCCGGAGATGGCAAAAACCTGGCGCGCAGCATTTGAATGTCTTTTTGTGCCTGGTACCAAGCTGCGCGCAAAGCCTCAAGATTGACGGAAGTGTCCAACTCAAAGGTGAACGAGGAGCAATACAACGGCGTACTACTCGACAGGTAGTGGTATATAATACCCTCCTGGAGTGGGGTACAAGGCGCAATCTTTTCAAGATCACCACCAGAGGATCCGACTTGCTCAATGACAATATGACAGTTCTTGTGAGCGAAAGCCTCAATTTCTTGCTTGGCAGTTTGTCGGATAATACCCAAAGACACTGAAGATGAAGATGAACTTTGCAGAGCTGTCGCCATGGCGGAAATAGTAGGGTCTGCAGCATGTTAGTTGGGCAACCTCTAAATCAACATACAAAACATGATACTTACACTTCATGATAATCGATGGCTGGGCCTGAGAAAACCCAGTCTCCCGAAGACTCCTTGAGAAAGCGATCACGGAAATGGAGTCCAGACCAAGTTCATAGATACTGGACCCCGACGAGATCTGCTCCTCAGGAGAACCGATGAATCCGGCCAGAACAGAAATGATCTTCCGTTCCTGGACACTGTCTGCAGGCTGGCCAACGCTCATCGAGCTCAATCTCTGGATATTCTCCAGCGAAAGGTCCTGATAAACACTCTTCAAGAATTTCATGTCAACCTTGTTATTGGCAGAAAGTGGGAATCGGGTCATCGGAATGATGTGTGTAGGCACCATATACCCGGGAAGGTGAGTGCGACAAGTGCTCTTGATCTTTGACAATAGGGTGCGATCATCTTCCGACGACCGGACTTCAACATTGACGGCGCGAGATTTCTGGTCTGCGACAGTGGTGAAGAACGAAACAAGTTGCTCCTTGGACTGTTTGGGATGTGTGATGACGAGAGTGGCAACCTCGTTCAGTTCAGGAATAGCTTGTTTGATGACCTCGTTGATTTCTCCGATTTCAAGTCGCTGTCCTCGGAGCTTGACCTGGTCGTCAATGCGACCAAGGAACTGGAAGCTTCCATCATATAGGATTCTGACAAGATCGCCTGTGCGATAAATGCGATCACCGAATTCGGGCAGTTCTTGGAATCGCTCTTTGGTGAGCTCTGCTCGATTGAGGTAGCCTTTCCCGACGAGTGGTCCTGAGACACAGAGCTCGCCTATGCTGCCGCGTAAGACGGGCACTGTCGTGCCAGGGCTAAAGACATATGACCCTACATTGTCGAACTGGGGGCCGATGTTCGAGGCTTTGTCATTGGCAGACATCCTTGGGAGCATTGTACATCCAATAGTCACTTCTGTAGGCCCATATCCATTGTAGATAACACCATGCTCACCCCAGGCATCGAGAATTTCTTGTTTCAATGCCTCTCCTCCGGTGATGAAGACTCCTCGGCACAGGGACGGGACATCATTGGGATGAACTAGTCTTGCCAAGCTGGGAGTCAGATCAATATGCGTAATCTGAAGCTGTTGTATTGTGCCAGGCAAGTCTTCAAACAACAGGTCTCGGGGACAAGAAGTGACACAAATTCCGACACTCCAGCTCCAGTACTGTTCGAGGACGCTGACATCGAAATGGAAGGAAGCGAATTGTAACCACCGGGAGTCTTCATCCCAGTGGCCTGCGAATAATCGTTGGAATGCCAACATTGCCTGCACAGAATTGTTGTGCGTGATCTCACAGCCCTTTGGTGTCCCGGTTGTACCGGACGTGTACAGGCAATAGCAAGTATCATCGGGCTGAATTGGACGAGCGAGGAGCACATCACTTGATGATAATCCATCGAGCAGACCAGGTTCATCAAGCGCCTGGACATCAATGCCGGAGAGATCATCCAATATCGCCTTCTGTGACTGGCTGCAAAGCAGGATTTTGGTGCCAGAATCCGCTAACATGAAATGCTTGCGAGAAATAGGAGCACCGGGGTCAATCGCCAGATAGGCGCATCCAGCTTTCAAAATACCCAGAATTGCCATGGAGGCTTCGGGACACTTGTCAAAGCATATGCCAACGATTCCACCGGTGGCAGCTCCTTTTGCCTGCAGGAAATGCGCAACCCGGTTTCCGCATGCATTGAACTCATGATAAGTCCAGCTTTTCTTCTGCAGACTTTCTGCCGTTTCTCCAAAAGCAAACTCAAACGCAATTTTCTCGGGAATCTTCAGCGCATTCGCTTCGACAAACTCATGAAGTAAAGACACTGTGGTTGGTATTGGCGCCTCTTTGGCAGGTGTAACAGACAGCAGGCTGCCACCTACTGAATGGTGATCTGTGGAATTGGCATCTGGACGGAAGACAGTGTCCTGCAGGATCATGTCAAATTGGTTCAAGAGGATCTTTGCTTGCTCTGTAGGAACGAGATCTCCTCGATAACTCAGCGAAATTCGGAGGTCTGTCGATTCCGGAATCAACTCTATGGAGACAGGATACTAGAAGATGTTAGTGTAGAAAACATCTAGTCTGCCCAATTCCACTTACATCAATTTTCGTCTGCTCTTCAGTAATTCTCCACCCTTCAGTGTCATTCGCACCCGAAGCAAATTTCTGATAAACAAAGAGTGTGTCGAAAAGCGGTTCATCGCTACCCACCCAACGCTGGATGTGCGACAGAGGTGTGAACTGATGCTTCACCAGCAAAGCGTTTCGCTTTAACGTACGATTCAAAAGTTCTTTGTTATAACCGTCGACACACAGGGGTGTCGGCACTGTGACCAAACACGGGAATACCGCGTGTTGAGCCGCCACAGATAGACTCCTACCTGATAGCACAGTGCCGAAAGTGACGTTGGATTCGCCGGTGTACGCAGAGAGTAAGCGAGCCCATGCGACTTGCCCCGCAGCTTGCAGGGTCACGCCAATATCTCTGCAAGCATCTTCAAGAGCCTTGCGTGGCTGCGAGGAGCAGATGTATGTGCTGAGTAAAGATCGCTCAGTGGTCCGCATGGGATGCAAGTCCGGGAATTTGGAAGGCTGGACATCTGGGGCCAGTTCTTTCCAGAAAGATTGAGCTGACTCGCTCTGCCTTTGGCCCTCAAGGAGAATGGGACCAAGCGCGGCCGTGAGCTTTGCGGGTGTAGCTAGGGGCTTCCCTTCATAAACTGTCCTGACATCTGCGAATATGGTTTCCAGTGATTGAGCATCATAGATGGCGTGAAGAGCAGAGAAATGCATGACACTGATTTTCTCGCTTGCCTCGACTTCAATTCTCCAAGGGGGCCTGTGGAGATTTTCCAGGATGTCTTTTTCTTGGACATCTGGGGTGCATGTCACGGAGAGTGGCGTCTCGAACCATGGTATTTGGCTCTCTTCATGATAAGTTATCATCGCAAAAGGTTGCTGTTGATCGCGCAAGTGGACAAAACCAGTCCGGAGCATTTCATGTTGTCTCATAACCTTAGACCACGCTTCTTTCAGACGGTTCTTGTCCAACGGTGTTGAGAAGCGTAAAGCCATACGATTAAAGTACGCTGCGCCCTGGGAACGTATGAATGTGGCCAGCATACCGTTTTGAACTGGCGTACAAGGGCGTAAAGACAGCACTCTTTCAGGTGAAATCCGAGTCTGTTCGCAAACTGATTGTAAATGTTGCTCCTCGAAAAGCGCAAAGTTATACTCGACTTCCTCCAGAGCTTCTGAGCTAGATGTGAGAAGAGCAGCTATCCGATCAATGGAAGCAGCCTGATATAAGTCAGAAAGTCGAGAACATAAGTATAAACCAACAAACAGCGGGGAGATGAGTTACCTCAAGAATATCACCGGATGGGATTTTGTATCCTAAACCACGCAACTTTGCGGATACCTGGACAGCATTGATACTATCCAAGCCAAGCTGGAAAATTGTCATTTCATGCGACATTTTGTTCGAGTCAATATCGGAAAATTCACAAAGAATGTCACGGACAATCTGCTCTTGACGAGACCATGTCCGCTTTTGACGAGATTTGGTCGGGGATTTGTGTGCGGCCTTTTGCGACACTTTCTGATCGAAGACATTGGGTATTTCTAGTCCCAATACTCGCTTGTCGGACGCCTGAGCAGAGGGATACTGCACAATGTGTTTCACCAGCGCCACGAAGTCCCGCGCAATCTTTTCGGCAACAGCGCGGGACAGATGTAGTACTTGGAAGTGAAGGCAAATTTGAATGCTGTCGGTAGCATCGTCGGGAATGATCTCGCAGATCAAGGGGAATCCCATATTTCCTTCGTCATGAATAATTTCCCAGATCTCGCGATCGAGGTCTGTCTTTCCGTTCTGGAAAATGACCAGGGTGTCAAAGAGACTAGAGCCATCGCCGAGAATACGTCGCTGGATGCGCCGTAGAGGACTGAGCTGGTGAGGTAATATGTCGCTATTGCTCTTCTGAGACAATTTCATGAGGTCATTGTTAGTTGCGCTGGAGGGCAAATTGATTCGAATGGGGAGTGTGTTGAAGCAAGGCCCGACTATTCGATCTACGCCGTGCAGGGGGATAGTTCGGCAGCTGAAGACATTACCAAAGCAGATGTCAGAGGAGTTGGTGTATAAGGACAAGAGTCTGGCCCATGCGGCATGAAAGATATTGAGAGGAGTCACGGAGAGGTCTTTGCATTGCTGTTTGAAAGACTTGAAAGAAACGTCCAGTGAAGTTTGGATTTGCTGAGATGCTGACCCATCTGTATTCGCCGTGGACGTGGGTATGCGAAGAAGGGTGGGTGAAACCCCAGACAAGTACTGGTCCCAATATTCGTCTGACGAGTCAGCTTTGGCAGGGGTCATGTAACTGATGAAGTTGCGGAATGGAATGATCTCTGGTAACTCTTCACCCGCAAGCGATAGTTGGAGCTCGTGCAACAACTGGCTAATAGCGCCTCCGTCATAGAGCGCATGGTGGATTGACAGTAGAAGATGTGTCTCTTGTGAAGTCGGGTCGTTGATCAGGGTCAATGAGTAGGGTAAATGGCCGTCTACTGGAGAACGCTCCTCAAAATTGGTCTTGATCTCCTTGACGACATTTTCAAATTCTGACCGGGACACCTCCACGTTGAACCACGGCAAGGTTGAAATTTCCAGTACGACTTGAGCATATGCAAATCTCTTGTGGTTTGTCTGCTTGAAACATGTTCTCAAAATATCATGTCTCTGCATCATGTTTGCCCATGCCGCTCTCATAGGCTCAGGATCAACCCGCACAAGGAGCAAGAGATGGTTGAAATAGGCTGCACGACCACCAGACTCAGCTGCAAGCATAGCCTCCTGCAATGGAGTGCAGGGGTAAATGCTTTGAACGGTTGATCCTGCAGCTTTGGAATCATCTTCTGCTTGACGAGCAAAATTGTCGCCGAATATCATTGTTGGCGACGCCTCAGCCTGTGCGGTCTGGTGCCCGTGAGGTGTAGCAGAGATAACAGCTGCAAGCTGAGCTATGGAGCTATGCCGCAGGATCGTTGACACGGCAAGTCTGCCACACCCATATTCCTGCAGGGTCCGTGAGAGAGAAATGGCGGAAAGGGAGTCCAGACCTAGCCTGTAGAAGGATGTATGTCTGCGGATGTTGCTGTGCTCGGTACCAGTCACCGTGGACAATGCAACAGCAATTGTCTTCTCCAGGTCGGTGAAAGTAACATCAGTGTTCTCGGTGTTGAGCCTCGGCGAAAACATCGCAAGCTCCCTCGCACTCAGCTGTTCAATCTTTCGTCTCAGAATAGGGTAGTTGGTCTTGTAAGACATGGTGAGTTCAATCTCGTCCACAAGAACAAGAAGATATGGAAGTCTAGAAGAAGGTACTTCCTTGATGAGCTCTTTGAACAGATCGTTCGTGGCTTGTTCGACTTGAACTGAACCTGATCGCTTTTCCGAGGGAACCCAAAACACAGCCAACCGCTGCTGACCCAGTTTTGCCTCATCTAAACTGATGCTCACAAACTCTCGAACCATCTCCAGAGATGCGAGAAGACGATCAATCTCATCAAGGTCAATGGAACAAGCGTGGGACCGTGTAGAGCCCCGGGAAAGAATGAGCGTTCCATCAGGAAGCAGTCTGCCAGAATCGCCTGTTTTGTAGATTCGACCGTGGTCAGGGTGATTAAAAAACCGCCCAGTCACCAGCAGATCTGAGTTGGAAAGACAACGACCAACTTGGTCTCCACCAAAGCACAACTCTCCAATGGCACCCCGTGGAAGAAGACCGAGTGATTCTCCATATTCCATGATCATGGCAGATGTGCCTTTCAGCGGTCTACCGATGTTCTGTATACGGGTTGACTCTTTCATGTTGCAACAGGTAGTACATGCGTGAGCCAAAGCACGATCGCTGTATGCCTGGTGTAGACCTCTGCCAGCCCATTTGCGATGAAGCTTGGGATTCATTTCTTCGCCCGAAGAGAGGAGATGCTGCACACGGGGTGTGGCCTGCGGATCTATACGGGAGGCTAGCCTTGGGGGCAAGTGAAGGTGTGTTATGTCCATATCTTGACAAACTTGCTCAATTCGAGTTCTCAAGATGACACCCGAAGCTGAGCACAATGTCAAGCCTGTGTGCCAAGCAAAGAACGTATCACAAATAGATGCTGTAGTCAGGTTAGAGAAACAACCCATCAAATGATTTATGGAAAGACTGACCACTTGACCCCGGGGGGCATACAAGGAGCTTCGATCCAGATGGCGTTGGGTACACGCCCAAAAGAGCACCGACGTTGCTCTGTAGACTCTGGCGTGAAATGGCAACGTATTCCGTCGAGGTATCGTCAAGAATCGTCACTTCAGCATAGGCAACGTCGGCCCCTTCATTGGAATAGAGAATGTTAAACTCATGATAGACATCCAGCGAGTCAGAGAGGTGGATCTGGTGGACAGACTTCAGAGAATCCCAGCCATCTGTCTTCGCGAGAATGGGATCAACAATGCAAAACTTTGATTTTGCGGCAGAGAGAATAGAATGAATCCTATCAGGTGAAGCCCTAGGCAGTAGAAGAAGACCAGCACCGGCTTTGGCAATGCCAAGGATAGCAACGTAAAGATCAAGAGACATTGGCAGTCGGCAGGCAACAAGATCACTTTTCGTCACTCCTGTATGAAGCAGCAGGTGTGCGAGACCATTGGCTCGGGAGTTCAGTTGGCTATATGTCATGCTTTCAATGATCGAAGCAGTGGTTTCTGGCTGCCAGAGCATCAACTCGACCGCTACCCGGCTCGGGTCTGTCGAAGCGATCTTCTCAACGCCAAATGCTAAGCTTTGTAAGTCAATTTTAGCTGCTGCATTGTGAATAGATAATGTCGACAACGGAAGATAAGATCTGATCTGCTCAATGGGGAGCTTGACCTTGTCAATCAATATGGAAGCCACGGTATCAATCTGCTCGAGAAGGATCATAGCCTGCTCATACGGCAGAATCGATTTCTGATAAGTCGCCCTGGCAAAAATGCCTTTCTCACTTGGCTCAAACTCCAGCAACAGCGCGAATTCCAAGAATTCCCCCGCTGCAACTTCCCGGAACACCGAGCCCTGGTGTTCATCCGACCAAATGCTCTCCTGCCACACGATGGCCGTGTCGAAAAGACTGCAATCCAAATCAATGCCAGAAGCCCTTTTGATCTGGTGGAGAGAAATACTACCATGCTCGAGCGATCTCCGGTTCATGTTCTGAATGGCCAAGAGCAGATCCGTCACATCCTGCATCTTGTCAAGGTCCATGCGGGTAGGCAAAGTTGTGATACAAGGTCCGAGAACAGTTTCGATGCCTCTGAGGGGCAGAGTCCGACCTGAAAACACAGTTCCAAAGGTAACATCGCCTGTTCCCAGATAGGAGGAGAGGATGTAGCAAAAGGCAGCTTGGAAGATGGTTTGCCGGCTCACACGAAGGCGCTGGGAGACTTCATTGAGTTTGGATACAGACATCTTCAACATGCGGGTAGCCTTCTCAGTTCCAGGCATGATTTTAGAATCTCCATGGAAAGTTGGGAAAACTGCAGGATTCAGTCCCTGTAGTTGCTCGCGCCAGTAGGATGAGGACTCTGTTGCCGATTTGTCCAATTTATTTTGGATGAAAGAATTGATGACAATATTGTAAGGAGCTTTGGAAGTGGGTTCCTCCATGGACAAAATACTTCGGAGATCCTTCATCATGAGCTGCCAGGACCATCCATCATAGATCGCATGGTGTATATGAACGAGCACACGAGTATGGCCCTCCTCTTGCACAATCTGAACCCGGAATGGGTTCAAAACATCATGGCCGGCACTCAAGCCTACATCGTAGTCGAATTTCTGACGCACACAGATATGCTCATCAATTGTATTCCAAGTGAAGCAACAGTACGAGTGATCTTTGAGTCCAATCTCCACAAATCCGGACCGCAAGATCTCGTTGAAATTCGCCAGTTGTCTAAATGCAGATTGCACCAAGTCCAGACTGACCGAGGGCTCGAAATCCAGCTCGATCCAATTGCAATATGCCTTATTGTCTCGAATGGTCTCCAACAGCATGGCTTGCTGGATATGGCTAGATGGGACAATTCCCGAGACCTGCTCACTCAACTCCAGTGAGTCCACACGTGCTGCACCTGCGTCCGAAACAAGCTGAAGAATGGATTGTAGGGCAGATTGGGAATAATCAGTTGGTCTCGCTGCTTCAAGGCTGGCAAGCTGCCAGATCGCATCCACCGAGTCAGCCTCCAGCAGGGCCGCAACGCCGAGACGGATCCCTGCGTCCAAGAGATGGGATGCAAGGCGGATCGCTGCTAACGAATCAAGGCCTGCTGCTGTCAGACTCTCTGTCGGCGAGAGCCGTCGGCCCAGCACGGCAGCCACGCATGAGGCAATGTAGTCCTCTTTCTCGTCTCGGCCAGGTTGATCGTCCAAAGGAAGAGCAGTGCTTCGGCGACGAACGAAATCGGCTTCCAATGTTTTCCGGTCGATCTTGCCCGAGGGAAGCTGGGGAAATTGATCGACGAGCACAAATTCTCCAGGGATCATGAATCGGGGCAAGAGCTGACGACAAACGTCACGGAGACTGCTATCTGTAGCTCCGCTGTCTGTGGCCAGTACAAATGCAACTAAGTTTCCATCGATGACTATGGTTACAGCACTGCGGACCCCAGAAGCTCTTGTGATAACATGCTCAATCTCGCCAAGTTCTATGCGCTGACCTCGCAATTTCACCTGGCCGCTGGCAATTCGACCGAAACACTCAATCTCCCCGGTCGGAAGCATGCGGGCTTTGTCTCCCGTCCGGTATAGTCGGCCATACAACGGGCTGTCTATAAAGGCTTTGGCATTTTCTTCGGGCCGGTTGATGTATCCGTCCGCTAACTGAGGACCACCAACCACAAGCTCTCCAATCTGGCCGAGTGACAGAACATGAAGCTCCTCGGAAGGTGAGTCGTGTCCGGTTGGGAGTGACATAATGTATGCAGAAACTGTTTTGAAAGGCTTCCCAATCATATTGACCCGATCCTTGGCCTGAAATTTGGTTGCAGCGGTGCAATGGATCGCTGCTTCTGTAGGCCCGTACATTCCATGAAGAATGCCATCTCGGCTCTCAGATTGGCCGAACTCATCCACTACATGCCTGGTGAGCATTTCACCGATTGTGAGGAGCACCTGCAAAGATGGAGCTGCAGCTCGTGTGCGCAACAGCTCTCCCGCCACCGTTGGGGTCAACTCAGCAGCATCGACCCCCATTGTGATCATCACATGAGAAATATCAAGAAGCATGTGCTCTCTCTCTGCGCCGATGAGGGTTGCCCCTCGCATCAGCGGGAAAAACACCTCGAACACAGAAACATCAAAAGTGGGAGATGCGAATTGCAAAAATCGCTTGAAGGGGGGTATCAAATCGTCGTGCGCAAGAAGGGATTGGGTGGCAGCAAGATGGGACACCCCGACACCTTTGGGGCGGCCCGTAGAGCCAGATGTGTACATGACATATGCTAAATCGGTAGAAGTGCAGTGGGTTGAACATGGTTCTGTAATATCGGTGCTGGTTTGGATATCGTCCACCCGAAGAATAGTAATATCCTCTGTCGGTGATATCCTAGCTGCAAGAGCGTCGCTTGTGACAACCACGGACGCAGCCACATCTTGCAGGATAAACTCGATGCGGTCTGTTGGTGCATCGGTATTCAATGGACAAAAGGCTGCACCGGCCTTGAGAATGGCCAGCCATGCGATGTACAATTCCAGAGACTGGGGTAGAAGTACCGGCACAACCCTCTGCACGCCATCTGGGGTAATCGAAGCACGAGCTATTGAGCTCGCAAGCTTTGAGGAAAGTCGGTCCAAGTCGTGATACGACAAGCAATGAATGGTCCCATCCGAGCCGAGAAATTCGATCGCGTGGTGTATATAGTCCAGGCCGCGGAGTGCCAAATTGTGTAAGAGCTGAGGCCCTGGCAATGTAGAGGGAGAGGCGTTCGAGATGGCTAAGTCGGGAATTTCCGTGGCAGACAATGATACCTGGATGCCTTCCTGAGCCGCCTGGTCTTGCACAATCTGCTTTAGCTGGTTGCCTATCTGGAGCAGGAAAGCGGCATTCATGCCTCCAGTAGCACGCAAAGCTCCTGATCGAGTGGCGGGGTCCAGGGCCCACCGTAACGCTGGGGGATGTCTGTCGTCGCTGAACAGCGCATCTCCCAACACCACAGCTGTATGTTTGACCGAGAGATCGGATACAGCCGCCAGTTCCGCTGGCTGGACCGTTCGGGCAGCTATATCTGCCTTTACTGGCGCCCCGCTCAATAGAAATACCGGGTTTTCCTCAGTCGTAAAAGCGCGCAGTAAGATTGCCCATGACAAGGCAATGACCTGTGAGGGCAGTTGGGCATCCACCTGCCAGGGAATGATGTGAACATCATCACCATCCTCATTCACGGCGGGAAATTGGGTGAATCGATCCATGACCGAGGTGGTTTCTTTCTTTTTCCCCTCTCAAGTCTTGGACATCGTCAAGGGAATAATATAGTAAGTCTGCTTATTCGGTCCAATTAGATGCAACGTGAGTGGCTGATCGGTTCAGAGGATCTTATGCAGGCAAACGCGCCAAATCAAAGAGGGCCCACATACAGGGTTTAGAATAGGGGGGCTTTTCTTACTCAAGCCAGCAAAGTGGGAGGGGCACACTCCAGGGAAGTTGGGAGTTGAACGATCTCCAACGAGCTAAGCGCAGTAAATCAAGTATGAGAGAGAGTGGATGAGAAAGTTGAAAGCTGTCTGCGAGGTTCCTTTCCCGGTGTAAATGTCATTGCCAGGTGACTTTATTACAATTAGTAAATTATAGATGGATCCTGGTTTATATTAGGTACATGTACGGAGTAACTAGAGGCTGCCTAACATTTTTAATACGGAGTGGTTAGTTACGGGCTGATGGTGAAAACCTTGGAAGGCCACGCTTGTGCGTGGCTTTTGCAAGGGATGCTTGTGGTCTTTTCACCTCGAACTTCGGAGCTCACTGGTTGTGTGTTTCAAAAGCGTTTCTATACCTAATCTGGACTAGCCCCTGTAAGTCAACCCACTTTATAAAGCTTGGCGTCCCGCTCGCATGAAATTGGTATACACAATAGGGAATGTAGTATATACTAGTCAGTTACAACGGAGGTATCATTCGTCGCTCCTTGGCTCAGGTTGGCTGGTTCTCATCGTAGCTTATCTTCTAGGAAATGCTCGTGAATCTACGGTACCTTGAGCTCCCTAACGATCTGTCATTCTTCAAGATCACATTAGACACACCGAAGAAAGTAGACTATACACATTTGAAGTCTACTAGCGCATTCCTATTGACTATGATGCGAAGATCGAGCTGAGCAGATCGCCGAAGTATTTACCGAACCGAACCGTCCGTAGATACCGAGTCATTTTCAACCTCGACGTTTCCTTTAATAGAGGTCTCGTATTTCAGGCCTAGGACCTTATTACGCCAGGTATGGCTCTGGTCTGTGGTCTTCATCTCACTCAAAATCCTCGGCCATGGTTGGAGAATTCCAATAAGTCGGAAGCCGTGCTCCCCTGGAGGTATTTGACATAGCCATTAGCCACTAGGAACAAGATCGGCTGCTGCAGGGGGTCGGTATACTCGACCTGCCAACCCTGTATATTCAGAAGCAAGGTTATGTGGATGGATTTCTCAGTAACTAGAACATATGAGGCTATCTTCCCAAGACAGTCCATGACCAAGGCATATATATAGGATTAGTATTCTCCGGTGGTCCAATCCTCTACCATGTACGACAGGCGCATGACAAGACCCCCTGTTGTCTCCAGCAGGCCGTTGATTTCCATGAAGGTGTGATACGTCGAGTCATGGACCAGTCAACGACACTACACGGCAATGGGTTGTCCGGAGATAGGGCGGACTCTCGAGTTTAGCCGCCAAGAAATGCCCCCTGACTGCATGAACCTATACTACACAGTACTGTGTATTAGCAGACTACTATACCAAACACGGCCCGGGAAAGTGCAACTTCTTCTGGCCAAAGCCAAGCAGCGGCGTTATGGAATGGGAGAACCGCTGAGCCATATTCCCATCATGTGAGGTCTTTTCTTGTCGGTTGAACAGTCGCTGCCATGCCGGGCGCGCAAGTGGGGGTAAAGAACTCCGGTTATTAATGACGTAGCCTGTATTGTACCTGTATTAGAATCATTCATAGGTCTGTTTGAATATTCAGATATTTGAACAGTAGATTCATATATTCAAAAGCTTCCAATATCTCGTAGACTCGTTTATTCTATGATGGAAACTGCATATCACGAATACCAAACAGCCTCTAAGCAAGCACAATCTCATTCTTCTTCCTACTTTAAACCATAAACATCCATCCAAACAAGCAAGTTACAGTCACGAGCCATTCATTCTCTGGAGGAACTTTCCTAGCTCCGTAGCTGGCAGACCAACCCCCACTTTATTAAACGAGTCCAACGCATCTGCCAAGAAACGTGTGCTCTTCTAAAATACGAGATAATTACCTCGATCTTTCAGACCCTATATTACCCAATATTTCCCGACATCGGCCGTAAGGTCTTTTCCGGGAAATTACCCTCAGGTATTACAAACAACTGCTCGGGTGAGGTGCATGACGCATGAAACCTTCCCTTTGTTCTTTTTTTCTATTTGTGTCTTCCTGCATAGTGGAGTATAACAATGCCTATTATGTAGATAAGATATTAGGGACAACATAGCCATTGTTTGTAGTCATGTACCTACTAAGTACATAGAACCAATACAGTAAATCGGGATCTCTGCCAAATAGAGATTAGAAAAGAGTAAATTACAAGCTTTATGTGGAGTGAAAGTTACTGATTGATAAAATTTGAGATCCCGAAAGCGCCTGATTCGGCCTGAACCAGGGAAAATGCGACGCCGAACCCTTGGCAGTTCAAGCGAGACCTTTCGAGGGGACCGTCGTGTACCCACTTGGTCAGGTCGCTCAACTTATCTGATCCGCTCCGGATCCTTTTGCGATCCGACAGGAAATATGAAAGTGGGCCGACATTGCGTGAGCATGTACGACGTAAAGCCCGCTTTATTTTCTCCGACGCGCTCTTTTTTTGGGAGAGATTCGGAAAAAAGTAAAAAGCTTGAAAGCTCCCCTTGAAGCTCTTCGTTCCTTCATCTTTCCCCTATCTCGTACATAATTCTACTTCTCTCTCACACCTTTCCAAACCTTGACTGGTCTTATTGCGCGGAATGGAACCCATTACCCGCAAATCGGAGCTCTCCTTCCTCAACGATATGGTGCCACACACCCAACCCCAGTCAGGTCGGTCGGTATTGCGACCAGCTGGCTCCGATGAGATGCATGATTTGCTTTGTGTCGGATTTGGTCCGGCCTCGCTCGCTATTGGCATTGCCTTGAACGATGCGATGGACCCCGCTCTCAACACCCTGAAGAACCCCGACTTCAAGCCTAAGGTCTGCTTCCTGGAGAAGCAGAGCCAATTCGCCTGGCACTCTGGTATGCTGGTTCCGGGCTCGCGCATGCAGATCTCTTTCATGAAGGACCTTGCGACTCTCCGCGAACCCCGCAGCAGCTTCACTTTCCTCAACTACCTGCACCACAAAAAACGTCTGGTTCACTTTACCAACTTGGGCACTTTCCTGCCTGCCCGCATGGAGTTTGAGGATTACATGCGCTGGTGCGCCATGCGCTTTGAGAAGGTCGTCAATTACGGCGAGGAGGTTATCGAGGTCATTCCCGGTCCCACCAATGCCCGTGGTGTCGTCGAGTTCTTCACGGTTGTCTCACGGAATACCGGTACTGGCGAGCTCTCGTCGCGCAACTCCCGCAAGGTCGTGATTGCTCTCGGTGGAAAGGCGAAGATGCCTCCTGGATTCCCCCAGGACCCCCGCATTCTGCACTCCTCCAAGTACTGCACTCAATTGCCTCAATTGTTGAACGATGATTTGGCTCCTTACAACATTGCCGTTGTTGGCAGTGGCCAGAGTGCCGCTGAGATTTACCATGATTTGCACCGCCGTTACCCCAACTCGCGGACCACACTCATCCTGCGCGATACGGCTCTACGTCCCAGTGATGACTCTCCCTTGTACGTCTACACCGACACAACTCCAAGTGGATAACGACATAGCTGACTTGTTTTTGTCTGTTTTCTAGTGTGAACGAAATTTTCAACCCAGAGCGCATAGACAAGTTCTACGGTCTGAGCGCCGAAGAGCGTCAGAAGCGTATCGCTACCGACAGAGCCACCAACTACGGCGTGGTCCGTCTGGAGCTCATTGAGGCCATCTATAACGACATGTACATGCAGCGGGTCGAGAACCCGGACGAGACGCAGTGGCAACAGCGCATTCTCGCGGAGACCAAGGTCGCACGGATCGAGCACCACAACGCATCGAAGCGGATGCGTATCCACGTCAAGTCGGTCAATAACCAGAGTGAACACAAGGAGGTGCTGGATGTGGACGCCCTCATGGTCGCAACGGGTTACCAGCGAGATGCGCACGAGGATTTGCTCCAGAGTGTGCGCGGCTTGCGGCCCGTCGGCGCCACGGGCTGGAACCCCGGGCGTGATTACCGCGTTTCGCTTGATGCTGCCAAGGTCAGTGACCAGGCCGGTATCTGGCTGCAGGGCTGCAACGAGAAGACCCACGGTTTGAGTGATTCCCTGCTCTCGGTGCTTGCCGTCCGAGGTGGCGAGATTGTCAGCTCCGTGTTTGCGGATCAATTGGCTGGCGCTCCTTTGGTGCAGGACACCCGGGTGCGCGCTATGCTGTGAGAGACCAACCTTTGAAATGTGTTCCTCATTTCGTGATTCCTCTCGGGCTTTACTGGGCGGTAGGCCGAGATGGGTCTTTTCAAAAAAATCATGTCCGGCGAGACAGCTCTTCTCCGTGATTCCCCCTCGCTGCGATCGCTGTTCTGGGTGAACATTTAGACATCCCCTGTTTAGTTAGATTGAATTTTTCCTGCTTCCTTTTTCCTGACTTTTTGCGTCAATAATCTGTTGTGCCAATATTTTTTTTTTCGCCTACAATACAACATAGCCGGTCGGCCTCACCACACCCTCACCACTCAGCCGATCTTCAGGTACTCGTGATTATCCCCGTACACCGAGGTAATTGAGTTCCACCGATGAAGTAAATTCGGCGAATCCCGTCTCTTCGGAAGTGCACGGCTTAGAAAATATCGACTAATAAAACTGTCTCAACAGACCAACCTTGGAAATCGATCCCGTGTGTGGCTTTTGGCACTGCGGGGCAAGTTTTTGATCAAAAATCGCGCGAACTCCGTCATGGTGGAATTGCCTGTGTCGATCCTAACTTGGCTGACAGCAGGTATGTCAGATGAACAATATGCACCGATTCACATCTTTGTATATGTTTTTACTATTCCCTCTCGGTTGAGCACTGCAGTCTTTGAATAATGTAGGGGATAGATGCATTTAATCCCATCAAATCAGATAATCTCAAGTGGGTCCTGCATGGATCAGATAACTTGAAAGTTTTTATCTAATCAGATGAGGACTCGGGACTTGGCTGGTTTTGGTTCTCTTTTTTTTTGCTTTTTTCTTACTGTTTAAATTACCTGCATTGTCTGGACTCTCGACTCTGAATTGGTTAAGCTTGGCTTGTCAATTCTTATATACTACGTTATAGACTTTCCTATTCTACCCTAAATTCTCCGGAGAAGTGACCCATTAAGTAGCGAGATGCACGAGAGCCTAGGTGATATCCGCATTGTAATGGCCGTACCGTCTGCTTCCTTGTCTTTACTTCAGAAAGAGCCTGTTCATCTAAGATTTTAGGTATGTGCTGTAGAACCTGCGTCTTCTCTGAACTAAATAAGCCTCAATCTCATCCATCATGCAATCTGAAATCATACCGAGAACTGTATTTTTCAACTCAAATGGCAGCCCCATAGACCCATAAACTCACCCGGTACTCCGTACACGTGGCCGAGAGATTAGATCTTCTCCGATTTGACATCGCTGGACAGGAGCCCATTGACTTTCCTGTTTTAGTCGGCGATATCGGATGTCTCATCCTAGAGAGGAAACTGCCATGGTTGTGCTACACCGTCAACCCCATACCGAGGTAGCTTTCAAAATGGAGCTCGTGTGGCTGATTCGGACGTGTTTCAGACTGTATCATTCGACATTCAAAAGCCGTTAGATGGGTCGGCTTCGGAACTTTGCCGTCCTAATAGAACACCATCGCCGATGCAGTCAGCCAAAAGCCACATGTCGCTAGTTACTGACCGCTACATTGGAAAAAAAAGAGACCACGATCGTGAGGCCACACTGGATTCACGGCAGCGGTTCATTCTGCACCTTGGGCAGGCTGCAGCCCTGCACAACTGTAACAGCTAACGCACCCGCCGGAGCCGCTGCGCTTGGCAAGGTCTCGATGAAGGTACCTTGCCACATACATTGCGCTGGTGTATGCACCTCGAGAGCTCCCACGCAGGTACCCTCGTATTGAAACGCAATACAGGGGTATGTATCTACATGTATCCTAAGTGACACAGCTCCAAATGGACGCACCAATCGGCCAGGGATACCCTTCGTAGGTATCTTTCCAGAAACACCGGTGGAAGGTCCGGTACTCGGCTGTTAATACAGTGCGCTTATGGGTGCCTGTTAGCGGCAGGGCCAGATCCAAGGGAAGATTGACCATCTTATCTGATGGAAGGTGGGGGTGGTCGAGATTGAGGGACCTTGGTGCTAATCTTAATGGGAAAGTTAGAGTCGCTCTGAGACAAATTGACCAGAACTGCGGCCAGTCAATTGACTAGTCCAGACATCACAAAGTTTAGTAGTAAAAGAAATCATTAACATAGAGCGTCAACTGTACAGGACCCTTTCTAAATGCAGACATTCGGTCGTGCCACGTGCCTCAATGATGCAACACCACGCTGATTTGCATAATAAAACACAGAGTATAAGGATATCAATGCAAAATCCGGAATGGAAAACAAAGGTATGTAAATAGCTTAGGTCTCTCAGACCATGTGTTCAGGATCCTCGCCAGCAACGCTACGGTAACCTGGACCCTCACCAGACTGGTTGCTGGTGCGCATGCGCATCGGAGTTTCATACATCTCGTGATAGTTGATCACTTGGCCGTCAAGCATCGCCGACCCAGTCTGGCGCTTGCCAAAGAGCGGAGCCGGGTCGCACCAGAAGTCGCGGCAGTTGGTGACAATGCCGCGGGAGAAAGGGTTACGGGGTCGAGCCGCCTGGGGTCCGTCCCGGAGACCGTCCTTTGCCGTCGTCCAAAAGGCATCGACGCCGAGAAGAGAAGACCACTGTTGGAGGCAGCCGTGCTTGCGTCGAGGGGGAGGAGGACCGCGGAGAGCCGGGTTCGGCCCTTGTCCAGAGGCCGAAAGACCAGCAGCTTCCATTGATGTGGTTCCGGCGGTCATGGCCGATGCAAAAGCTTGGGAACTCGGATAGGACCGGTCAATGTGGTGACCCCGCATGTTTTCGTAGGTGGTCTGGTTGCGGGAGATCTGGACAAGCTGGACGGCACACAGCATGGTGACCCAGACCAGCTGGAGAGTAATCCACACATTAAGAACCAAGGTGAAGGGATCGCGTGAGGCATAGTCACATAAGGTGTCATTGATGACATTGCACGTAGCGTTATTAGGGGCGGGTAGGGAAGTGATGTCTGTATCATGTTAGTTGACCCTTCAAGACACTATGTTCCTCCCCGAGTACTCACAAGCAACAGTCAACTGTACGAACAGAATGATGCCGACTTCGAGGGAGACAATATAAAGAACAAAGTGACGGAGATTGTTCGATCCCACACAGTTGTCGATCCACGGGCAATGGCTGTTCGAAAATCAGTGATCGGGTTAATAGAAAAGTTCTGAAACACATACTGATCATGCTTCGCAACGCAACGCCCACAGCGTCGACAGTGCTTGCTTCGGAGTGGCTTCCTGGCCATGCAGGGAATGCAGAAATTCTCTTCGTCGAACTTCCACTGCTCAAACAACTCCTTAACAACCTCCCTCTGTTGGTTCCTGCTGTTCAGTTTTGGAACATAACCCGGGTCTTGAACCATGGCAAAGGTGTAGAAATAAGTAGTCGAGCAGAAGAAGACAGCAAATAAGATGTTTAAGATCGGGGAGGATGAGTACGTTGCTGGCAGCACCTTGAAAGCATAACGGATTCCGACCCAGAATAACGTGCCAGCAAAGACACCAGCCAGATACGGTGTTTTATGCAAAATACGGTATTCTGAGGGTCCCTTGTTCGCAAGTTGCTGTGCAACGTACTGCATCCCGAAGACAGCCACTAACACGAGGGGTACAGCAACGAAGACCGCCAGGTTGCTGAGCATCCAGATGGCAACCAGGATGGTCAAAAAGGGCCAAAGGAAGAAGAACTTGGCCATGATGCTCTTGCTGCGCACAAAGCTTGAGAGGCCTAGAGGAACCACCTTCTGGGTGCCATCAGGTTCATAGCCGCGCTCATTGAGGGAGCGGTACCAGACCCGCAGGGTGTTCATTTCCTGCGCCACAGTCGCGGGTGATTTTCCATCGCGAGTCTTCGCGAAGCGGTCGGCGCCGTATTCGAGCAACTTCAGCACACAGGGCATGGAGCCTTTAACGAGCGCCCAATGAAGGGGCGTCAAGCCACCTTCGTCCACAGCGTTCGCGTTGGCGCCCCATCGCAAAAACAGATCTACACATGCAGGATATCCCTTGTATGCAGCCCACATCAACCCAGTATGCCCTTGTTGATCCATGACATCCACGGGGATCTCTTGGTGTAGAAGCAGAACGACCAGGAAAGCGTTGCCATCGATGGTCGCAAGATGTAGAATGTTATATCCCTGAACGTCGGTCAAGAGAGGATCCGCTCCATTCTGTAGCAAAAGATTCACAATATAGTAATGACACCGCTGGGCGGCCCACATGGCTGGTGTTGCCACCGACTCTCCTCCCTTGGCGTTGACATCGGCTCCAGAGTCGATTAGGAATTTGCACATTGCGTATTGGTTATTGATCGCCGCCCACTAGAAAGAGAGAATGCGGTCAGTAAAGATTTCTCTGTTATTCCCTGGCGTTGGGTTACGCAAGAGGCCTTGAGTAACGAACATGCAACGGTGTAATCCCCTCCTCGTCGCGGTAGTTTGCAGTGAACTTTTTGGCCGTAAACAAATTTTGCATGACACCAATCTCTCCCATCCGAGCCAACTGCATCACATCCTCTCCTAAGGGGATTGACCCTTTGGGTGGACCAGTTCGCAAGCTCTTCATCTCCATGTCGGTTGGAGGAGCGGGAGTCCCGTTGCCATTTGAAGGGGTCGAACCGGGTGTTTGGTCTAAGCTAAGACCTGTGGATTCGGGGGAGGTTTTGGCAGACATGTCTGTTGTTGATGTCTGGAGACTCGGGGTAGAAAGGAGACTCGATTCGGGGAGTGTATTGTTTAAGACGGGAATCTAAGCGGACATCGCGCATCCGTCGCCGGCGCATCCACAGATTTGAGGAGATATGAGTTTAGCAGTTCCGAGGGTATTGAAGAAGTGAGATGAAGTGAGATGTTGAAGGGTCTCGAAGGGTCGAAGCGTAAGGGACTTTTTGGAATTGCGGAGACGCTAACTGAGCGACACGTCTCTCTCTGTACTTGAGAGATGAATACTTCGAAGTATCACAACAAAAGGAAAGGAATAGAAGACACGAAGACTGAAGTGTTCGTAGTAGAATAGAAAAAACAACCCTACGCTGCTAACTCACCTCCTTCAGCTAGCTTATTCAGCCACAGACCACAGGCAGCCACATTTCCGACTTCCTCTTCTCCCCTGCTGATCACCGTCGATCTACATCACTTCTCAATATAAACTCATTTTAACCTGACATTCATTGAACTAACATTACGAAATATTGACCTAAACATCGATTAACTAGCATCCAATCAAGCTTTGGCCCGAGCATGCAGACACTCCGAGGTCACAGGTGCAACTGGGATCGGGCTCCGCGATCCGATTCAAACGAGTCCACAGACCGAAGAGGAGCGCAGCTCTACCGTCATCAGGTCCCTGGGATTTGATCTCCCACCTACGGTCTTCTTCTCTTGCCATGCGATCGAATCCCAGCGCGTACACGTCCTCCTCACGATGACCGTCTAATGTTAGTCGTCCCAGTTGAATAGCCAGCATATTGAACATTTTCATGGTCATGACCGGGATCTGCTCGTCCTGTATAGTGACCCGATCAGCGACTTCTATGACAACTTCTGCGAGCTTGGCGCACCGGTCAGCAAAGCAAGGGCAAGGGGCCTGATTGGGATCACCTTGATAGTCGGTCCACGTTGAAAGCGAGTGGGCTATACGTCGCAGCTGGTACTGGATTGCACCGACATCTTGACCCAAGGGGTCCCCCGTCGACAGTTCCTGGATATATACAACAAAGCTATCCCGTCTGTTAGCGAAGGCTTTGCGCGCGACATCCATGGTTGATGTATCTCCTGTGGTGGTCATGGTGTACACGAAGTATAGAGGGTGTTCTTACCGAGTTCAAGTTCCAAGCGTGGATGTGTGAAATATTTACCTGAACAAGATCGGCTCGAGTCCATACTTATATGTCGAGGTCCTGGGAGAAAGCCTTTGAGTACTCAACCTTTGTCGGTCGAAGAGAACAACCTTGTACACTCGTCTTTGTGGATAACAAAAGAGAAGCATAATGGGCCTTCGTAAACACTTACACAATAGGAATATCTTTAGAACGCTGGCATACAAATGGTTCTTTCAGACTATTCCAACCTACCTTGGCTTGCTTCCTGGCGCATTCGGGATGTGAAGCACACCAAGCCTCAGTCTTGACAGTCTATTTCTTCATTCCCCTCGGATTTGTCGTTGCTATATGTAATTAGGCCAAACAAGAGACTCACAATTATCAGAATTATCCTGACGAACATTTTCTAAATTTCTAATTCCACAACCTTGGAAGAATAATTCTGAAAGGCGTGTTGTCACAATACATTCATGAAAGGAACCGGGCTCAGGCTAGGATTCGGAGCTCCACCCCCAGAAGCTCTTCGTTTACCGTCTCCGCATCGCCTCCTCACAAAAACAATGAACGCCTTAACCGACAGGGTCAAGTCAGTTCTTAAGGACCGAGGTCTTCCCGCCAAGGATGTGATTGAGTCGACATTAGACGATCCTCGGAATGCGGCATGGGCGTCGAAATACCTCCACCCCGACACTTTGCTATCCAAGGAGGAGCTCGATCTGTATGCATACACATTGCTCAATTGGCGATAGCTCTCCAGAACCGAACTGATCAAGCGGACAGATACTCCAAAATCAACCACTCCGGCATCCTACAACCTATTCTCCGCAACCCTGACCTTGGCGCGACACGACCTATCCTTGAAGACGATCTCCGCAATGCGATCGAGTCCCTCGAAGCCTCGACGGCGACAATTCAAAAACAGACCGAGAGATTGAAGTTCCAATGCGCAAGTCTAAATAAACACCTCAGCCTGGAAAACAACGTGGAACAGCAGCAGGGTCGGGATGTTGCTCGCCTGCGAAAGAAACATGAAGCGGACAGGCAAAGCACCACAATGGCGGTAGGAGGTCTGTCACAACGACCCGTCACGTGTCGCTGATTCTGGTTCTATAGGCAATCGAACTCGCCGAGGAGCTGGAGGCCGACTTTAGAAATGCGACAGACAATTCGGGCGCGGAGGGCAAGAGGATCCTCGCCTCTCTGTCGGCTCGGTTGAAGCAGGACGACAAGGCCCTCGCGGGTCTGGAAACGCTCATGGCCAGTATCAAATATCGCGGCAACGATGCATCCACGGTGAAGCGCACCAGCCATCTTAGTGCGATGCTTTCGGACTACGCGGCGGAGGAGATACACTGCCGTCTTGATCGGCTATATTTGGAAACAATCCAGACAGGCGGCTCAAGATCCGACGCTATAGACGAGGCCACAAGTATGGCACTCGAGGAAGAACTCGAATCTCTGTATCCAGAGATTGAGATTTTAGCGGAGATGTCAATCCGACAGCAGTTCCTCGAGCCCATCCTTCGTGAACTCCAGAACGAGCATAGCCAGCTTCGAGTGGCATCACAAGAAAAACTAGAACAGGTATGAGACTCGGCCCGCACAGTTGTAGCGAATGATGGGCGATAAACTAACTCACCTCAGGCGCTCGACATATTGATCGAAATGACATTGTCGAAGCAAGATCTTGTAAAGCAACTCGAGGTCCGGGAGTCATCTTCTGAACTGTTGGAGCAATTAGCCGCGTTATATCAAGTTGAAGCCGGCACTGAACTTGTCACACAGCCCACATCTCGTCGAGAATCCCTGCGTCGACGGTCGCTACAGCCCGATCTCCTTGCTGCCACCCGGACGCCCACTGCGCCTCTGGCCCAACCAGCACTCGAACGGCTTTTACGGCGTGTTGGTATTCCACCAGAATCCATTTTGCACCCGCGCGATAATGAAGGGGTCAATGATCTTTATGAAAAGAGATATCACACATCCGAAACACTGCGCCACCTCAATAGATCGGTAGACGCTCCCCTGGTGACTTATTTAGCACCGTTGGACCACGCATCCCAACTTCTTGATTCTTCATTGCACGCCAACTCTCATTATGAAACTTCATTGCGCGACCCTTCAGAGGCAAAAGCGCTCTCAGGCCTCGAGAATGAACTGTTGGGGCTCCAGAATGGGGTCCAAAAGCTCAACTTGGATGTTCTCCATCGCCGCGATAGCCATCGGGATAAATTCATTCAGCGGTGGAGATGATTGTGGCTCAGCTTTGCCATTGTCATCTCGTCATTTATTTCGACACTGAATCTGAGATTGTTCTCATGCACGATTTGTATCTCGCAGTTGACGATATAAATGATTGGCTTGTAGTCGCCGTTGGTTGTTTAGCGCCAAGCTCTTTGATCGCTGATTTGACATGGAGAGAGGCTCATTCTTCAACCGGGAATGAATATTGTTGCGCAGGATGTACTTTAGGCAGTCATGTCAACAAGTGTGTAGGGCATTGGTAAAGAGATGTCTTTTTGGTTCTTGATGTTGAACTAAATCTATATCGACAACTCTTGACCTGGAATACAACTCCGCGATATGCGCAGGTAATGGACACAATTATCATATCATTCTATGAACTATTTTGGACTTGAAACCCCAACTGCGCATCGTAGATGTGATAGAGGGCTTGAACACAGGCGAATATTCTCCAGAGCTGCTGACTCGATGTTCCGGTGACCAAGACCTTGTACAAGCCCCCATGGCTCTTCGAGATCAGACAGCAATAACTTCGATAATATCTCCATGATATAGGTTATTTTGGAAGGTCTTCGTTGCCTGTGTCGGTTCAATGGGCCCCATCGTCGAATACATATAAGCCTTCTCGCGCAGTTCAATTCCTTCTCAGTCAATCTGCTTCGAACATTCCAAGCCAAAATTATACCAATTCTCCTCGTCTCCTGAAAGGAATCAGCTGCTTTCAACCTAGTGACTACCGCTATTCACATGTCTCTTCATCGGTTGCTTCGCCTCGCAGTTGGGGACAATGTAAGTTCTTTCATCTTTGTTTCTTTTTTGGTTCTTTATACAGCTCTCTTGTTCGAGTATGTCTTTGTGTCCCAATGCATTGTTTGGTCTTAGATACTTATTATCATCTCCTTGCCTTTGATATGTCGAGTACGGGTTGAGAAGAAGACTGACTCGAGGCAAAAGCTTCACCGTGGCATCTATAGGGAAGACCTTCGTCCCAGACGTACAGGGACTCCGTACCTGGGAAACCCATACTCCAAGGACACACCTACTTCCGACTCCTACAGCTACCCAATGCCATCATACAGCTATTACGTGCGAAAGGGATCTAAGCCCGCAGAGATGAGGTCTCCCTTGTACTCATCCTTCGATTCAAGTGCTTCGAGGAGACAGAGGTCAGGACCCGAGACATACAGTACACGGTACAACCCGTCAACCTATAAGCCACCGTTTGGTATCACTGTAGTTGAACCTCGGTGGGAAACGGCCGCAAGATATACCAGGGCACGTTATGATTCTCGTTCACGGTCACCCACCCCCCATATCGAAGTTCGAGAGCCACAATCTCGAGGTCGAGATCGGCAAAGATCTCAGTCCCCATCTCGGTCTTCTGAGTCGTTCCCAGTATATGAGTTGCGCGAACCACGCAGCCGAAGCACCTCAAGTGTTCGCTTTGAATCTCCAACGCCGTCCCGAAGCAGAACACGCCGACCCAGTTCTCCCATTAGGGAAGTTTTCCCTCTTCACTCGGGGATAAGGGTCAGACCAATTGATGTATTGAAGCGGAGTCCTCGAGGCGGCCGATATGAAGATGACACGCCAATTGGAATCCCGGAAAGAGAAAGACGTCGATATAACTTCACTTCAGGACGATCTAGCGGATATCCACCAGCTAGATACGGTGGTAGCTCCGTGGATTATGAGTACCGAGCCCCGAACCAGGCTTCCTCGCGACCATATGGGCGAACTAGAAGTTATCGAGCGGACCATATTTCTTACCAGACGAGAGAGCCCAGGATCATTCACAGTGGGCTCTCTGCCATGTCGAACACGGCTCGGCGCGTCTTCCGGGATGGAATTCGATAAGAGGAATGACTTTTCAATTGAGATGTATATAATCATCAGCATAGACTTGATTTGGTGGGAAGTTTTCTTTTGTATGAATATTTCGAGTATTTTAGGAGTATATGGATGTTTGGATATTGAATCTCAGTTGAGTAGCTTTGTGTTGTAGTGGAGTTGGAAATCAACAATGTGGCAACTTTTCTTCTCTCCCTTGCCCTGGGAGCTGAGTCGAGTCTCCGCGAACCCCAGCCCTTTGCTGAGCGGTACCTTGATTTCGGTGATCTCGCTTTAAATTGCTTAACTTGCTTTCTTAATTCCTTGATTCTGCGTGTTTTCGGTGAGTTGAAACGGGCAGCTATTATCAGGCAGATACAGGCTGTTCCAGACCTCTTACCCTCTATCACACCCCTCTTACAAGTTACAAGTCTAATACTCTACTTTGACGTCCAACAGTATCCAGGCACATGCCAATTTCAATACCCTCTCTACCTGTCAGACCGCGTGACCGAGCCCGATCTCCGCCACAAGAGAACCCAACCCCAAGTCCCGACAGAGGCAAGACACCACTCATTGGAAAATGAGAACTCCAGCCGAGGAGTCACCATTCACCTCAAGGTCCAGGTGTGCTCCTCCGCACACAACTGTCCACCCTGCGCACGATTGCGCGTGGCAGTGAACTCCACCTCTCACGCACCATGGCCGCCGTGACACAAACCGCGACCATGTCCATGCCCCAAGACACAAATTCCACCACAAACACAAATCCAGCACCAACGATGCTGAAACTCAGCTCGTCCCCGATAAACCTCCTCTGCGACCAGCCCGCAGACGATCCTGATTCGCCAACCCCCGCCGTGTTTGACATTTCGCCCGAGACTGCATTACAGTTGCTCTGTCTGAATATCGAGCGGCTAGGCGCTTACTTTGCCCAGAAGCCTGTCGGCGCGGATGAGCTGCATGCGCATGCTGCTTCACCTCGGGGTTGTGATAGTCCTAGTGCGGAAGGTCAGCTCGAGGTGAAAGCTGTCGGCTTGCATGTGAAGGATTCGGATGAACCAGCCAACCCGGCAAGGGCATCGGAGGAGGCAATCCAGATGGCTATCTTATCGAAGAAGTTCTTGTCGAAGAAAGTACCTCCGGTCTCGTTGATGGAGTATCTACTACGTCTACATAGATTTTGTCCCATGTCTACGGCGGTCTATCTCGCAGCAAGCGTGTATATATCCAAGATGACGTTGGTGGAGAATATCCTGAGGGTACTGCCGAAAAATATGCACAGGCTTGTACTTGCTGGTATTTGGGTTGCTTCGAAGGCTCTGGAGGACTTGTGCTATCCGCATAGCAGGGTTGCGAAGGTTGGTGGAGTCAGTACACAGGAACTGTCGAAACTCGAGATCAGCTTTTGCTTCCTTGCCGACTTTGAGCTACGTGTCGATGCGCAGATGTTGATGAATGAAGCGTTGCGCTATAAGTCTCCCTTGGAATAATGAGTCAGATACGTTTTTGTTCCATTCCGTCTCATATAGCAGGAGGGTTATGATATGGCAGGTCTCAGGTAGCTCTTCCATTATTTTATCGGCTTTTCTCCCTCAACTTCGAAGCTCTTCCCATACAATGTGCTATACCAGAACACCAGAACATTCAGGATTGATTTGACGACGCCACCTCCACGTGAGGATAATACCACGTGCAAACAGCCACGATGATATAAACCAACACGCAGAGAGCACCTTCAAGGTAATTAGACTTGCCATCACGCAAGAAGTTCCCAACAACCAGAATGGAAAGCACCAGGAGAACAATCATGAAGATCTCAAAGTTCAAGCTCATATCCTTGCCCATGCCCCAACCAACAATGACAGTGAGCGGTGCGTTCAACAACGCCGTTTGGATCGAAGGTGCCAAGCAGTGGAAGAGCGCAAAATTGATCTGATTGTCCCATGCTTCGTCGATGGCGGTGAGATGCTCGGCCGCTTTTTCCACAAGAGGAACAAGAATCAACCCGAGGAAGTTGTCTGAAACGCCGCGCTCCACAATGTGCTCGATCTCCTCGACCAGAAACACGGCGGACAAGCAAACGCAAGTCAGGGCAACCGTAACGGCCAGGAGGCATTCTAACATTGTGAGCTTCGCCCTCGCAATTTCCTCGTGTCGGTCTTCGTCGTGGTGTTCGTCCTTCTCTAGGATATCGTCGAAGATCGAGCTATGACTGTGCTGGTTGAAGAAAATGTATCTAAGGCCGGGGGTTAGCGAGGGCGCTTTAGCAAAAGGTCCAGGTCACTCACATCAAGAACGCTACCAGGAGAATCACCGCAGTGGCACGGCTAATCGTCAAGGAATATTCACCCAATTGCTCCAGGGTGAACTCTTGATTGACGCTTCCGCGCAGCGCGGAGTAGAACGCGCTTGGAATCAAAAGACCAAAGCCTGCGACAAGCAGCAGCCCGGTACCAACTTCACTGACGGCTTCGTGGAAGGTCTGCTCTGAACGCTTGATGCCGCCCACGAAGAAACACATGCCCAAGCAAAGTAGAAGATTGGCCAAAATGGAACCCAAGATAGCGGCTTGGATGACAGGGATCAGGTTCGCATGTTCAGTCCGGCCATGTTTATACAGCAAAACCATAAACAGTACGATCTCCACCACGGCGCCCAAGGTGGTTTCAACCAAAATACCTAACATCTTTGGCAATTTCCGGGCTAGCTCTCCTCCTGCAAAGCCGAGCAAGTTTGCCGAGGGCACCATGGCAATGTAATTGAGACTGAAGACCCAGACATGAAGATCGGGTCGCGCAAAGTGGACGACAATTGCGGCGGGAACAAATGGCCAGAGGATATTCACAACCATTGACAGCGTACAAACACTCCTAAAGCACACCTTGAGCATATTCCATGGATGTATGCCGGTACGACCGCTTTCCCCGGCTGTGTCCACCCGAAATAGAGTCCATCCTCGCTTGGACGAGGTGGAGTTTGTAGGCAAGATCGAATTCTGCGAAGGCTTCTCCTGGACCGTCCTCGACTGGTCACCGCTGCGGAGACGAACGGCGTTCTGCGAATGTGCCGACCTGACTGAGCCCATTTTTTGGCTGATCACCACAAGCAGACCAAATCGATCGGAGAGAAGGTTGGGCAGAGAATTGGGGCCAGCACACGTTGTGTACGCAGTTCGCAGACCTTGAAGAAACCGGTGAGACTCAAATCAAGCTTGAGCAAGTTCGACAAACGCTTGTCACAAGGGAGCAAGCAAAAAAAAGGCGCCAACGCTCTGCAGAAATCAACAAGAACGCAAATTCGAAAGACCTGTGGTAAAGCAGAAAGACGAAAATAACAGGGGGACTGCAGACACTATACGTTGTACTCCGTACATATGATGTCTAGCTCGTTACGGTGTACTCCGTACAAAAGGAGGCAAAGAGAAAACAGCCATGGGATGCGTTGGCACCTGACAGAGCCAATCAGGCGAGTTTTCAATCGCAAATGAATTGGGGATGGAGCATCTGCTGAGCCAGGAGGTCTTGGCATCCTCCAGCCACAATGCTTCGTGTTTTCATGATGCTTGTCCCGTGAAGATCGTCGTCTGCATCCCGTCGCGCCTTGATCCCCATAAAACAGGAAATCGTAGGAATGGTGCTGGCTCACATAAAATTGTATCTCTTGCTGGGCTTTGATCGCTGTTCTGTCCGTCCAGTACGGGGGAGTACTTCGATGCTTTGTCCCTCAGGGATGAAACACCAATCGTTGGTGGGGACGGGAATGCCCCTTTTCTGCATAGCCACAGCCTCGCTTTGTCGAAGATGTGTCTAGCGTAATCTGTCGGCCATAAAGTGTGCATATCCTGACTGGAGTATGCACATCAATGCGACTGGCCAATGCCATGGAGCTTGGAAGAGCTTAGCTTCATCTTGGTCAATATGGCGCTTGAGAGTGGACGGGCCAATTAAGTGATGGGGGTGGATATAGATCGTCCTATTTCCTCAGATCAGCAAATGTTAGCGAGTGTCAAGAGTCAGACCAGCAGATATCTACTGACTTCCTGTTGAGTTATACTGTGTAGGTGAAGATGAGAAAAGGTTGTACTGTGTAGACAGAGAAGTCCACCAAGCCCGAAAACGGCTGAAGATATCCCTTTTCTCGGCTTCCAGAAGTATGCATGTGATGTGCTCCAATCGTTTTCTCTCAGATTACATCCGGACTCTAATATGTAATCTTTTTAGATATTTGCTACAAGAACTGTACAACAGCGTCCAACATATCTATGGGGAATGCCTAGTTAATATGAGTAAAGTCCCGATATATAGTATTGTTGTACTGTGTAAACTGTAAACATCAGACGCCAAGTTCGTAGATCTTGGCCTAGATGCGGGCCGCGGTTATCGTCGGGCGGGGCGCAAAACCGGCGAAATCTTCCAAGCGTACTCCGTATGCATTTTCAACTTAACAACTTACGCATCTTCTCTTGAAACCATTAATCATGGCTTCAATCACTGCTCCCGGTATTCCACCGGTCACTTTAGATACCATCACTCAACAGATCGGAAACACACCCCTCGTTCGATTGAATCGTTTGCCACAGAGCCTTGGAATCGATGCCACCGTCTACGCCAAGTTGGAATATTTCAATGCCGGTGGTAGTGTCAAGGATCGCATTGCCTTGCGCATGATCGAGGAAGCCGAGCGATCTGGTCGCATCAAGCCTGGTGATACCCTCATTGAGCCCACGAGTGGCAACACGTAGGTTCTCTTCTTTGTCCCAGCTTTCCTAAAAGGTGGAAGTACATACTAACTGTCATTCATCAGTGGTATCGGTTTGGCCTTGGTCGGTGCTGTCAAGGGTATGTTCATACTGTTCAGTCTCTGCTTATCCGGTTCTAATGTTGTCTTTTTTGCTCAGGTTATAAAACTATCATCACGCTCCCGGAAAAGATGTCCGCCGAGAAAGTCGCAGTTCTGCGGGCCTTGAATGCGACTATCATTCGTACCCCCAACGAGGCCGCTTTTGACTCGCCCGAGTCGCACATCGGGGTGGCCAGACGTCTCCAGAAGGAATTGCCCAATGCCCACATCTTGGACCAGTACGAGAATGTAAATAACCCATTGGCACATGAGCTTGGTACTGCCGAGGAGATCTGGACCCAGACCAATGGCCAGATCAAGGCTATCGTGGCTGGCGCTGGCACTGGCGGTACCATCACCGGTCTTGCTCGTGGTCTCAGGAAGCACAACCCCGATATTAAAGTGATCGCCGCCGATCCATTTGGGTCGATTCTGGCTTTGCCTGCCTCCCTCAATGAAGCTCGTGCCAATGAGCCTTACAAGGTTGAGGGTATTGGGTATGATTTCATCCCCGAGGTGTTGGACCAAGAGGCCGTGGACCAATGGATCAAGACCGAAGATAGGGAATCTTTCAAATACTCCCGACGTCTAATTGCTGAAGAGGGTCTACTGGTTGGCGGTAGCAGTGGCAGTGCTGTTGCAGCCCTGGTCAAGGCCAACGAGGCCCAAAAGTTCTCTAAGGACGATGTTGTCGTTGTCATACTTCCCGACAGCATCAGAAGTTACCTTTCCAAGGTAAGATGATTCAAATGCCCTTCGCTCTACTGCATCCCAAGCTAACTGATCCCAAGTTCGCCGATGACGACTGGCTTGCCGCCAATGATCTGCTTCCGACCCTCCCCCCGGTTACATCGACAACTGAACCCAAACAGCCCGTGTCTGACCCTCTGGCCAATGCCAAGGTCAGCGCCCTGCGCTTGAAGCCGATTACCACGGTGACCGCCAATTCCCCCTGCGAAACTGCTATTGAGGTCATGCGCGACAGAGGCTTCGATCAACTCCCCGTGCTCGCTCCCTCTGGGCGCAGGCTCGTCGGTCTCGTTACGCTGGGCAACGTTCTCAGCCGATTGACACACGGCCGGGCCTCGGGTCAGAGCCCCGTTTCAGATGTTATGTTCGACTTCTCCAAGATCTCCGAGGTGGTTACCGATCCCCGTGATCTGTCCAAGGGCGTCGATTCCCTCCAGCCTCGGACCCGGAGTCGTGGCTTCATCGAAATCACCATGGATACCCCTCTCAGTGTCCTGAATCGCTTCTTCGAGTGGAACAGTGCTGCAGTCGTCACCGAGAAGGACGTAAATGGTGCGATGAAGCCATTGGCTGTCGTTACCAAGGTGGACCTGCTCACTTGGATGCTTCACCAATCCAAGACGAAGGCATGAATCATTCTCTTCTTTTTCCAAATGTATTGCGAGGCATTGTTTGTCGGATAGGGGTTCAACATTCCTGGACATTGATATCGTGGGACAGGCGTTTTCTCTTGTGGAGAGGCTCGGGATTCAACACGTGGGAAAGACCTAGATCAGCGCAATAGCTGTTAAATGTGATAGATAATTAATGCATAGAGAACAAACATCTCCAAATACTTCGATGACGTCGACTCGGATATATATTCCAGTAGGTAACGCGCCTCTGAACTTTTCCATCTTGCAACTTCTCACAAATCCAAAGATGACGGGAATATTTACACATCGACATTTCTCCCTTCAAGACACGCCGGCATTAAACGGACGGGTGGCTGTAGTGACAGTGAGTTATCTCTTCTCATTCTATCACGAGTATTTGACCAATTCCCGCAGGGTGGCCAAGCAGGCATTGGAAAAGGCAAGGAGAGCCTCTGATTCCCCAGCCCTCTCCGAGTATTCCGAGCGTTGTGCTAACGAATGCAGAGATCACTGCCCAGCTTCTGCTACATGGCATAGAAAAAGTGATCATCGTTGCCAGGAGTGAGGATAGATACATCACTGCTCTCGAGGAATGGAGACATCTCACAGGCAACTCACCGGAACTAGACACTCGGATGGAGTTTGTCAAATGTGATCTTGGAGATATTCAGGATGTCAAGATTGCAGCTGAAAAGATCAAGCAAGTCTCAGACCAAATCCATATACTGATTTGCAACGCAGGTGAGCTTTCTCTTCGCGGTCCCTAGCGAATCCTCCAGTCTTAATTCAAAGTTTCCAAATAAAGGCATTGGCGTTACAGACAAGTATAAGCGCTCGCCCCAGAACATTGAGCGTGTATTCGCAACGAATTGCGTCGGACATCAGGTCCTAGCCACATTACTCCTACCTCTCTTGAAGAACGGTGTGGTGACGCCAGACAACAGCGATGTACGCATTGTCGTGGTCAGCTCGTCTTTCCATTCACTGTGCCAACAGCTCGATCTGGAACTTCTATCCTCATCTTCACACGTCAAATGGCCTGCCTTCTACGATGGAGTGTGGCGGTATGGTCGGTCAAAGCTGGGGAACATCCTCTTTGCCAAAGAGCTTAGTCGCCGGCTGTTGAATGACGAAGATCCAGCGAGCAAGCATATCTATGTCAACTCGTTCTTCCCGGGGAACATTGTGACCGATCAATGGCATGGTTGGGATACCCTTTTTGGAGGATTCATAGGCGGGCTTATGAGAGCGACAGGGTCATGGTTAGGCCAGACTCTGGAGGACGGAGCTGCCACAGCTTTATATCTTGCCACTAGTCATGAGGTGCAAGTCCAGAATTTGCGAGGCCAATATTTCATCCCAGTTGCCACACTGTGTGAAACTAGCGCGCTAGCTGGAAACAGGAAACTCGCGCGGGACCTGTGGGTGAGTGTTCTCATTGCCTCCATATCGACATGCTTGCTAATCACCGCATAGGACTGGATCGAAGCTCAAGCTACAGATACACTGGGGCTGGATTGGCAATATCAGTAGATCCCCTTGTACCTAGTCACTTAGACTCTGCAATATGACATTCCTTCGGTTGTAACATGTACAAGCAAAGCATGGTTGATCCTGTTTATTTACTTTTACATCGGAATAACAATCAAGACAAGAGAGCAAACTCTCAAATCGCTCACAAACACATGCCAATCCACTCCTCCCAGCGGCGCACCCCAGATCCGAGTTCCTCCTGGGGGTCACCCTTGACAGAACCTCCAACAACCTCAACCTTGACGCCGACCTCGTGCTCCAGGAGCTTGAAGCTGAAGGCTTCCTGGTCATCGTTGCCCAAGATCTCCTCGTCATCCATCAAGCCAGAATCCGCGCTCGCATCCAGAAGACCCTTGGTCTTCGACTTGCGAATGCGATCAATTTCCGACTCCAACTTCTCTTTCACAGCGCCTGGTGGCAGTGCCGTGAAGAGATCCAGCTTGTTCGCTGCGACCAGGACGGGAATTTCAGTGGTCCGCTTGCTGGATGACCCGTTCTTGGCGCGCTTTTGGAGGATGAGAAGCACGTCATGCAGATAGGTCGCCGTGTCACGGAGCGTCGCTTCATCCAATAAAGCAGCAGTATCAACCATGAACACTACGCCTCGTAGCTTTGTCTTTATATCCTTTGACTGGGACATAGCCTGGAGCTCGGAGATCCCTTGCGAGGCACGGAGCTTGCCATGGCCAGGAGTATCCCTCACGCGGTATCTGATAGGGTTCCGGGTGGCCTCCTTCAAGGAGGGGTCATTGACAGATCGGTACCGGTTCGAGCCAGTCGGGACAGTTGGTGGTAAGGTAACGGTCACGAGGGTCGACTGTTGGGAAGTGTGGGTGCTGGGCGACGTGTTCGAGAGTGAAGACTTAGCCTCAAGCTGTAGATTGGTTAGTAACGGCATGTTAACTGTGTAGCTATGCAGAAGCCCTACCAAGGTCGTAAAGGCGGTTTTGCCAGCTCCACTGGGGCCCAGGAGTAGGAAATTGCTCGAGGGCGGAGATGCTACAGCCCGGAAGAAGAGGATGTGCAGCGTTATGGGCACACCGAATGTAAAGAGGATAGCTATGGCAATAGCAACCAGATTGCCATCGAACAGCAGCGTGGCAATGCCAGTCACTGAGTTCCAGTTTGCTTGCGAAGACATTGTTGGTCAAAAGAGGGTGGAGTGTGGGCTGACGGGGAAAGGAGATGGCCGAGCTGGCCCGATAGCACGGACCCATTTCTTATCTTAGTGCACATCAACGGTCTCGAGGGCTGAAGGGCTTCAAGGGTCACGGGTGTAAGGAATGATGGAATGATGCACATACCAGGTGATGAAGGGATGTTTTCCCTCTCTCCAGAGCCTCCCTCTTCTTCTGGGATGATTTTTTGTTTTCTTGTGTCTTCATCATATCAGCATGCGAGTCCAGTTGCTTCAGATCGCCTTATTGTTTACGGTCGTCTATGGCCAGTTCAATCCTCAGACCATAACACATGGCTTAAGTTTCGATGCGGCAGCTGCCGTAAGTCTGCTTTGGAACATGGAGACTGAGCCTGGTTCAACTTATAATTTCTATCTCTGTGCCGGCGACGAAGTAACAGGTTCATATGTATGATCTTCTCGGATATTGCTGCGGCATAGTACTGACCATATTCAGGATACTCTATCACAAGTGATAACGGATGGTGCTTATGCTCCTGGTGATATGGTGTCATTTAAAGTCGACCAAGGCATCGGCGGGAATGAGCCCAATGCATAGTGAGTTCATGGATCCTGGCCATGGCAAGCCGTTTCACTAACAAAGCTTCCCCGTTCTCAATCAGCTTTCTCAAGATTGTTCTATCAGGCCCACATGAGTATTGGTCAGGGTTAACCTCCCATTTTACCTTGACCAACATGAAAGGTACATTTTCGCCGAAAGTAACAGATGCAATCAAGACGATGCAGCAGCCAAAACTGCCCATTGCCATTCCTTGGCCTGCGGTCCCAGACAATGACCACCTCATCGAGGCTGCAGAGGTTGCTTCGACCCTTAATGTGCCGAGTGCCACCAGGGCTTCTTCACCTGAGAAGGTCTTGCATTTCCCAACTCCAACCGTCACAGGCGAAGCCGAACATAATGAGTTGCGGAAGCGACAGGTGGGCGCCGTTGGCGGCATTGATGTCGGAGTTGGCGCCGTTGCTACGATTGACCAGCATACCGTCCCATACGGCGAGCAGACTGGGTCGATAAAGTATGCTCCGATGCCCAAGAGCGCTGGGACCACCGTCGCAACCAGGTCGGCCACTCCCCAGTATCCGCCTTTCCCGTTCTCCATTGCCACTACCTACCTTGGTGCGCCAACCGTCCTGTATACAGAGTCGCTCTATGCCACATGGACGGCGAACACTATTGAGAACACGGTGAGTAGATGTTTGATTTTTACAGTTAGGTTGATCTCTGAAGCTGACCTCTTTATATTCAGGCTACTCCCGCTCCCGCACCCACATTAGACAAGAGAATGCAGAAGTGGCTAGACCGCTGGCAGGACTAAATTTGATTATTACATGGTTAGCATCTTGCTCTTCTTCTCTCTGAAGAGACACGTTTTCACGGCGCTTCGCTTTACTTGAAAGCCTTGGTTGTCCTAGTAATTTCATTCGTCAATGGATTCTCACATCTGTTGGAGGTTCGCTCTGTTACGGGAGGTTTCATGTGTTTCGTTTTCTTATTTGCATTGTTCTTTTCTATGTCCCAGGCCACTTTTATATTAGGACGATGATCGAGGTTTGAGTGAAAATTCACATCAGCCAAGGCACATGAACACATGCTATCATTTCTCTTCGTCATATGCTTATGTTGGAGGTTCCAACACAGTGTATCAAGGAGTCTTCCATTCCTCCAAAGCCGGTGTTAAGGACGGCGTCGTCGTATGTTTTGGTTCTCCGGGATGGAACGAAATGTTTTCTCGCATCGCCACATAGTCACTATCTGCGTAGCCAAGCAGCGCTTCGATCTGCGTGCTGCGGTGGCCCTTGATGTGCATAATTTCAATGCTTCCGTAATTCACAAGAGCTCGACCGACCTCCTTGGGTTCCTCTCCGTGGTGAATAAAGTCACCATTCAAGGCATCTAAGGATGGCCGGTCGACAACGACCAGCCTCACAGATTCTTGCTGTCCAAAGTGACCTTCCACACCGACCACTCCAGCTGGGAGCAGATTGGCATTATTCAAAAGTGCGTGGTAAGCTCCGCGGTCAATATATAATGTACCATGTGGGTACAGGCCATGAAGCAACCAGAAAGTCCGTGATTGAATGGGGGTATCCGAACGAAGGAATCGGGTGTGGAGAGGCGCAGTCGGTGTCCCAGCTTGATCATCAGCCGCGGAGTGAGCCTCAATATGTTGCAAGTATTTTACAATCTCGTGGACGTTTCCTGGTTTTGAGCTCTTGGTGATTACTGTTGTGACACCAGCACTGGTCCCAAGCTTTGCAGCCACAATCTTCGTGCTCATACCGCCAGTACCAAGGGAGGAACCCGCGGACGAAACATCAGCCTCGAGAGAGGATATATCGGACACCACCTCAATGGGTTTTGCATTTGGATTGGTCCGAGGATTTGCAGTATAGAGACAGTCGACATCGGTCATCAAGAACAGATAGTCAGCCTTGATCATGGCCGCAGTAATTGCAGAAAGGGTATCATTGTCGCCAAATTTAAGTTCCTTGGGACGAATATGAGGTTAGCTAGGGCAATGCTGATTTGGAGTGTCATTTCCTTACAGAGACGGCCACGGTATCATTTTCGTTGACAATAGGAATTACTCCCATATCAAACAACTGTTCAAAGGTATTTTGCGCGTTGACATATTGGGTTCTCTGTGACGAAATATGAACTGTCAGCAAAGTCATTAGGCTTGATGAGTACAGGTATACATGCATCGGCAATATCATTTCTTGTCAAAAGAATCTGGGCCACAGGGACACGAAGATGTGAGAATAAATTATCCCAAAGACTCATCAGTCGACATTGACCAACTGCAGCGAGAGCCTACAGATTTCAGTTAGCACGGTCCCACCCAATGATTCCAAATTCTGGCCATGCTGTAGAGTCAAGGACATACCTGTATGCGCGGGAGGTAAGTTGGTCGCTCGTCCACATTCATCCTTCGCAGGCCAACCCCGACGGCACCAGACGACACAAGGACAACCCGATGACCATCTCTATGTAGCTTGGTCACCGTCTCAACAATCAAGGTCAAAATCGAGAGGATCGGTTCATGGGTCTTTTCGTCAACAATTGAACTCGTTCCTGTTAGATAGAGTCAGTATATCGAGTCATCTTCACCGGCAGATATAGATCCCCGCACCTAGTTTGATCACGATTGTGAGACCCGACGAGGCCGTCATGATGCACAGCCCCAGAGCAATGGCTTTCTATTCAAAAGAATGTTATATGATAGAGCAGAGTCACATCTAAAAGGAAAGAACACAAGAGAGACCAGTTCCTGTTCACTGTCCGGGGGTTTAGACCGCGGAGATCCCTTTTGCCCCGACTCCGGACGCCGATTCTGCCAAATCCTACCGCTCTTTGCGGAGGATCTCGCTTTATCGCAGTGCTCTGACAACTAACATACAGTTCACAATCGAAGATGACAGACTCCCAGTCACCAGGTGCAAATGCGCCTTCGAATGAGAAGCCTGATACCAAGGGCTTCATTCCGGGTGATGACGTCTGGACCCAGTTCCGCAACATCTATTCCATCCTCACAGGCAAGATGTCCAACGAAGGAATTGAGCAGTTCCGTGTTGCGCGAGACACTCGTAACGAAGAAGCAGACTGCAAGCGCTGTGAGGATCAGCGGGATTATCTTCTTCAATTCAGTGAGTTCAATTGTGTACGAATTGCCTGGGCCGAACACTGACCCAAGCATTTTCTATCAAGGTCCTACGATCCGATTCCTCAGCGAAAGCATACAACAATTAGGAGGCGATCTCCACAGTCATAATATTTATTGTCGTCGCTGTACAGATCGTAAAGGCGGTGGCTTCGATCCTGAATATGGAATTTTGATATGCGCAAATGAAATGAAGGACCAGGGACACCTCGAAGATACCATAGCCCACGAAATGGTTCATGCCTTCGACCATCTCAGGTTCAAGGTGAATTGGTCAGACAATCTGCGTCACGCAGCTTGTACAGAGGTATGTCTGATTCATATGATCTTGGCACATCCAAGTCCACTAATTCCGTTCAGATTCGAGCTAGTTCACTCAGCGGGGAGTGCAGATGGGCGCGCGAGTTCTTCCGAAGAGGGCAGTGGAAGCTCACGCAGCAGCACCAAGAGTGCGTCAGGCGAAGAGCTATTCTGTCTGTTCGAGCACGTCCGACCTGCAAGGACGAAGCCCATGCCACAAGGGTCGTCAATGAAGTCTGGGATAGTTGTTTCAGGGACACCCGGCCATTTGATGAGATCTACCGATGATATAGTCATGCAGCGTTGTCCCGTCCTCTCTCCCCTTTTGTATGATAAGTATCGTTCGAATGTACCATATATCATTGACGGCGTTGGAAGCGAAATACTGTTAAAATTAAAGTCCAAATGTTCATCAGCCACTCCCAGCTTGACTCCAACACAGACCCGAACGCCTTCGAAAATGCTTAAAGACAACAAAACACCAGGAACGCAACGCCACATATGGGGAAATGCTTGGGAAAGAAAAAATGATTGCCAGAACATTCAGCAAGTCTCCAGGGCTATCATGTGAGGATCAAGCCGTGGTTCATGATTTGCCATCTTTGGAAGAAGCCGAACTGCGCTTCGTAGTTCGGTCATCCTTCGTACAGTGCTTCACAATCCAAGGATGACGCTGGATCTCGTCGAGTGGGATTCGCTTTGCCGGGTCAAGGACGAGAAGCTAGTTAATATATTAGCAAGTCGGAATTTGTATAATGAGACATGTGTGGACTTACCCTCTTGATAAGATCCTTCGCCTCTGGGCTCACAAATGAAGGAATCGACATATCTGCCCTGGTAATCCGCCGTTGCGTCATAGCAGGGGTGTCCTCGAACGGAGCCTCGCCAACCAAAAACTCGTAAGTCAAGACACCCAGACTCCACAAGTCCACCTTCTCACTGTAATAATTCTCCTGGGAGCCAGACTTGAGCATCTCTGGGGGCAAGTAGTCGAGAGTTCCACACATGGTCTGGCGTCTGTTGTTGGGAGCGTGAACACTCCAACCAAAATCACTGATTTTGATCTCTCCGTGAATGCCAACGAGGATATTCTCAGGCTTGATGTCGCGGTGCATGACGTGCTTTTTGTGCAGATACTTCAATGCTGCAGCCATTTGTGCGACATATTGTGCGGCCTTCCATTCTGGGAATCGATGCTCCTTGCGAAGGTGCTTGTACAGCTCACCACGGCCAGCAAACTCAAGAATCAGGAAGATTCGTTTACTGTCATGGAAATGACCGTAGAGCCTCAAAACATTGGGGTGACGCAGATTGCTCTGGATTTCAATTTCACGCCTGACTTGTTTCTGGACACCACCCTGCTGTAACTCAGACTTGTGCAACACCTTCAGGGCACAGACAAATCCAGAGGAACGTTCTTTGGCAAGGTAGACCCTTCCAAACTTGCCCTTGCCCAATGGCTTGCCAATCTCGAACATACCCAGGTGCAATTCCTTAGGGACGGCTGGCTGGTCGCAGAGTGAAGACGATGTGCGCTGATCGCCGTTTTCATCAGTGGTCCGGGTCACCAATGCGCCATGTGATCCCCTGCCTGGCGAGGCAGGTACATTCATGGCACTGGCCTTGTTCTCATTGTTGTTCTGGAGAGCTAGCTTCAATAATTGAGCCCGATTCGAATTACTGTTTGACTGGACCGAAGGTACCGGGGCCTTGGTGAACAGATCAGCACATTGAACCTCCAACCGTATGCATTATGCCATGTACCTTTTGCTTGCCATAGACCCTATCATTGCCCCCATTTTCTTTCTCATCTTTCATAGACAGGTGCTCGAAGCGAGCTTCAAGTGTTTTGGTTGTCGCCATGGTGAGAAACGTGACGATGAGACGATGGCGCGAAAGAAGCGTGAGAATAAAGATGGTAAGAGTGCGTTGGTATAATAAGAAGCCAATTCGGGGTTATGGTTCAATCCAGTGCAATCATGGTCAATGTGTACTGGGTTAGTCGTTAGTTGAAGGAGAATATCATAGGAGATGGAGAGAGAAACGAGCCCAGGTGTTTGGGCGGTTCCCCAGCGCGTCACCCCAGCAACGCCCTGCTGATGTAATACATGTGGCTCATCTACCACACCGCCTTATCCTCCCCTCACGGTTCCTTACATACACATGCACTATGTATCAGTCGAATAAGTAGGTGCACATCGTGGCAGAAGGGTTGATAGTAAGTCTTGTTCTAGTAGGGGATTCAGATGCGACTTTTGAAAATCGAGAATCAATCCTTGAGAACTCTGCAAATTGGACCCTGAATATTGATTCCTCTTGAAGATTCTGCCAAGTAAACCTTTCGACCGCCTCTCTCTCTTAACGTCCGCGGGGTTATCGCTATCAGACCCGTCCAGGAACATTTATAGATCACAAGCTTTGCTCACGTTTCTTGCGTTGACTCATTTCCTGCCAACATCGGTCATGGCGACAACATGTGCTACAGTCTCTCCGGAGGCAAAGAAGCCAAACTCGATTACCATTAACGGGTTTCGAATCTCAACACAGAAGCTGCCCATTCTCAAAGCCGACCCAATCGAGGAAATGACTCAAAAGCTCGGCATTGCACCCCCGGAGATGATTTTTGGTGATAACTATGTTGCTATCGAGCACGAGAAAGGCGACTGGGGCATTAATTTCAATGCATTTGACGCCTTAGACTTAGTAGACAAGACTGGTCAATCCATGCTGCAGGTCGCGTACTCGAGAGAATGGCAAAAGAGCAGGTATTTCTCCTGGCTTCGACGTGTTGCACCTTCACAACCCGATCCGTTCATTGCGGCTAATCATCTGGGGCTACAGAGAGAAAACCCATGAAGGGATCAAAGAAGTCGTCAAGCCATTTGATTGGTCATATAGCACCGACTACAAAGGCACACTTCATCCTAATGCGCGGCCCTTTGAGCCAACGACGAAGCCAATCCCTGTTGAATTATTGAAGCGCCCGGATCCTATCTTGTTCTTTGACGAGGTTGTTCTTTACGAAGACGAGTTGGCAGACAACGGGATTACAATGCTGTCTTGCAAGATTCGAGTCATGCCAGGCAGACTCCTCCTATTGACAAGGTTCTTCATGAGGCTTGATCACGTTCTGATCCGACTTCGAGACACTCGAGTTTATGTGGACTTTGAAACTGGTGAAGTCATTCGAGAATACCTCTCCAAGGAGTGTGAATATGAGAAAGTTCGCCAGGTACGTAGAGTTGATCAGGCAAAGTGCATGTTTGCTCGATCTGACCATTATCCACAGATGCTAGCAGCAACCAGGGATGATATTCCGGCCTTCCTGAGGGATCCAAACCGACTCTCTGAGATTCTCCCTGTTGTAGAAAAGTGCTCTGAGCGATTGGTGCTAGGCGACTAAGAGCCCCATCCCCGGTGTTTTGAGCATTCATGCCACGTAGAGAAGCTCGAACGTGGATATACATCTCAATGGGTGGACCGTTGAGTCATTCGACATTCGACTCTAGGACGAGTCACCTTCACAGGATAAAGCACAAGCAAAAAAACAAACTCGATAACGATCATCCACCTTCGCATCGGAAATGCAAAGCCCTATGTGGATTCAGCCCAAAGAGTCTTCTATCAGACTTGGTATGCGGATACCCCGCTACAATCTACATTAAATGAACGATTTCATGTGGCAAATTCAAATCATGCAGATGAATGAGAAAGGAAACTTGAATTTCACAGCACTGTGAAAAAAAGGATGTCGTAGCCTCGTAGGCCACATGGAAGTCCCAAGATACAAACAGTGCAAACATATTTTATCAGAAAAGCTCCAGATCACCAATCACGAAAGGTCAATTCACGCATATTCAACATCCTCAATAATGTCATCCAGGAGATTATCAACCCTATGGGTGCGCGACATTCGCGGGTCCCAGAGTCTTTGTCTTTCCACATCTTCCTGTCGCAGCCCAATCAAGCCGCTGGTGTCCGCCTCCTGCGCGTCTCCGGCACAGCCATTGAGCTCGACCGTCACCCGATCATATTCACAAGGAAAGGTCTCCGACTTGGCTAAGAATTTTTCCCGGAGACCTGGAAATGCTGCCGAGACGTATGTCGCATATGGCATGACGCAGAAGCTATTCGAAGCTTGTTCCAGCCAGGCGGATTATAATATTCCTCAAGCATCGCAAAAGGGAGTCGAGGTCCCAAAGACGGCAGCTGGAGAGGATCTCGGTGTAGGAGAGGGCTGGTGGTACAAAGGTAAGATAATCCGGGCAACTTCTGACAAGGGCTATGCTGATGCTAGGTATCGCTATAGAGCTCGGACTCTTGCCTACGTTTTCCACCTGGTCCCAGGTGACTTTCCTCCATATGTACCTCTTGACGGTTCGCCTGCGTGCCCTTCCCCATCGCGACAGCGTTACCACTTACTCTCGACACCTCATCGATCACTTTTCGCACGAGGCGGAACACCGCATGGACGTCTATCATGACTTGGGTAGTCGGACGATTCGTAACAAATACCTGAAGGATCTGTTCATTCAATGGAGAGGAATCATTGCTGCATATGATGAGGGGTTGGCCAAGGGTGATGCGGTGCTGGGCGCTGCTGTCTGGAGGAACCTCTGGAAGGGGAGTCAGACGGGACCGGATGGGAAAGAAGAGATTGACTGGGCTAAGGTTGCCCAGGTGGTAGCTTATATGCGTCGGGTCTTGTCGGAGCTATCGAAGAAGGATGAGGTTGATCTTGTCTTCGCTCTGGGACGTGATCAGAAGAATACCGGTATCTTCGATTACTCGGAGACGGACAGAAAGCTTGTTCAAGCAAGTAAATGAGGGATTCTTGCGCGAGTGATCATTCATGGCGTGGGTTCCCTCTACTATGTACACCATCTGGCAAGTTATAGAGACATGTACGATACTTGTTTTGCTTTATTTATTTCGCTTTGTGGGGTCCTTTATGAAAGAAAAATAATCTAAGATTCGAGATATCAATATATCACCTGCCCCGTTTAGAAGAGACCCCGGTAGCCATTCATTGTATACTCAAGAAGAGATCGTAGGGCAGGAAAGACTAGTTGGCTAGTCATCTTTCTTTCCAAAGAGGTCCTTCTCCACCATGCCTCGGCAGATAGGGTGGTAGAAGTCCTTATACTTCTCGAATGTTGCGAGTGCGACAGGGCGGTTGATTTTCTGAAGGTTGCGGAACCTGAGAGAAAAGAACGAGAGGCTGGGTCAGTGTCGAGAACATCATTTGCGAATAGATTGGGGGAAGGGGGATCTTACAAAGGTCGCACAAACTTCATCCGTCCAATGCGGCCCAGCAGCTCAGTTGTTGGCTCAATGACGCTGTCGTCTCCCGCTTTCATGCCAACCTGGAGATAAAGATTCGAAACCTCGATATTCTCGCTTTTGGTAAACCCGTAAACCTCGCCCATTAGCTTCGAGACCTCCGGGCGAAGAGGCTTCTCGAGCAAGAGCATCTGCTCCAGGAAGACTACCAACTGGTTGGCCGTCAAACCCTGGATATCGCCGATTTGAGGTTTGAAGGAAGAACTGGGCAGTGACTGCCATTTCTTGGAAAGTTCATAGACAACATCTACCAAAGATGTGTCAAAGCTTGGCTTGGGTGGCAGACCTGGTGCATAGAACCACTTGTCCCAATCCAGTTCCTCCAACAGCCGGGAAGCCTCGGCGTCCGACTTGAAGAAGTCTAGAATCAATGCTTTGAACTCATATGAGTCAAGGGATTTGCACTTGAAGGTGGTAAAGTACTGCAAAAGAAAGTCAACAGACGAAAATGAAGGAAAGAGAACGATCACCTACGTGAGGGATGAATTTGTCAAACTTTTCCTTTCCAACAAGGTTCTCAAGGTGGAATAAAAAGTTGAATCCTTTCTCATAGGGAATACTGGAGAAGGCATCGTCGGGGTCCTTGCCCTTCAGATCAACGATAAGCTTAGTGAACTCATGATCATCGCCAAAATGCTCGACAGCGTCGGTCAGAGCCTTCCAACCAATAATGGCCGAAAAGTGGCGATAGGCTTCTCCATGGATAGCAGCCAAGATCCTCCTCTCGAGGTAAACAGTCCAGCCCTCATTCAACCAGAAATGCTCCCATGAAGCATTGGTGACCAGGTTACCGCTCCAGCTGTGAGCCAACTCATGTGCAATTACATCAATATTCTCACGATCCTGGATGATATATCAGTCATAGGCCATTGAGTCTGTGTGATATAGAGCATACTACGTACCTTCGAGATGATGCTCGGGGTTGCAAAGGTGAAGATCGGGTTCTCCATGCCGCCATACGGGAAACTTGGCGGCAAGATCAAAACGTTGTACTCACCCCAGGCATAAGGGTAAACAATTTTCTGCATCTGAGTCAGTATATCGCCTTAAGTTCGCTAGAGAGCATAGGCTGTATACCTCGATGGTCGTGATGAAGGTCTCGGTATCAGACTCAAGCTCCCATTTGCACTCCTCCAACTTGTCGGGGCTGGTTGCAACAACACTGCGGGGTCCAATCGAAGCCTCCGCAACATCACTGTGAAGTGCCCCGTTAGTAGAAGACCTTCAAGGTGATGGAGCTAGACTTACCCGCTAGCGATCGCAAAGAGATAACTGGGGATTGGCACCGATTGATGGAATCGATACAGCTGGTGGTCCGCCTTCGACTCCATCGAAGCCTTGCGAATAGGCAGGCCGCTAGTCATGACCGGGAGCGGGGAAGTAATATTGAAGTCGAATGTACTCTTGACATCCGGCGTATCCTGGCAGGGGAAGATAGACCGCGCGTGGATTGCCTGGCATTGCGAGACTGGCAATTTGTCAGACTATAAAAGCCAGGTAAAGCAGGTTCAAGAATCTCACATACACATGTATGGGTGCTTCTTATTCGAAGTTTGCGCAGGCGTCAGCCACTGCAAGGCGGTGCATTTCTCGGTGGTTTTCACCGCAATCTGTCGTTGAGTGAGATGGTGCCAGTATGAGGCGGGACAATCCAATAACTCCGAATACCTACATCCACCTCCACAGTACCGTTTAACTTGATAGCTTTATCAAGGGTGATCTTCAATGGCACCCCATAGGGCTCCAGAGGCGGGAGAAGCTCCCACTTGGATGGCTGGCCATCCACCTTTACAGTGCCAATCTCCAGATGGCTAGTATCGAGGATGATCTCTCGGGACTCGCCATCGGTGATCGACTTGAACTGATGGATGACGTTTCCCACCAGCTTCTTCTGGTCGAACAAGATATCGAAATTGGCAGTGATATGGGTTGAACGCCAATTGTTGTAATTACTGACGGTATTCGGATCCCGCGGGGGATTGATTGTCGCCATAGTGCGAATTAAATTGAATCGTACAGTGATTGAAGGTAAGGAATTGAAACGTGTAAAAGACCGAGCCAAGGGATTCATGAGGTTTGTAAGAGAATGTCTTGAAATGTCTCGAAAATGTCTTTTTGATTTTGCCGTATCCGTTTCTTCCGTTTGCTCCGTCTGAGCTCCCGTCTCTAAGCGTTGACTTTGATAACTTGACAATGTAATTACGAAGTACTGATAGTGCGTATTTTCATTCTGTATTGACTTTTCTGTAAATAACCTTCTATCGTATTTTGTTATTTTCCGCAGTACACAGTAGGTTTTATCCCTGTGCGATGTATATCTCTAGGGAGAATCATCTTCTCCCCCCTTCTCTCCCTCTCCCTCCCTCTCTTTCTATCCTTCTATATACAAATCCAAAAGACAATCAGAAAAGAAGAGAATCAAAGAGAAGAAAAAAATTCCAACCTTCCTCGACCTCTTCGGCAGTGATAATCCTCCCCCCGCATTGTTTTCATTCGTCCACCGCCCGCACCATCCCCCCTGAAGTAGTTCAATTCAACTTCAACTTCAACCCCCCTGACGAACTTTCGACCTTCTTTTTAGTCTGCAGATTTAAATAGCTTCTTTCTATCAAGAGACGCATTGTGCGACCCATTGACGAGGTTGTACAAAATAAAAACAAAAAGCCGTGAGTTAGGTTACCTCTCTCCCCAATCAACATGATTCCTGACTTTTACCCTTTTCCTCTGGGATCCTAGGTCAATTGAAATAATGCATCTTTCGCAATAAGACCCCTTTAAGCCCTCCGATTACGAAGTGATGTATTGAGACGGATAGGGGGTTTCCCAAAGGATACTCCACGAGACTTGACTGTCAAAGAATGAGCGCAGACACACAGCATATCTCCCCTGTTGTGTTCGACCGGTCGCGCATACCTCGAGAGTATACAGACAAAACTCGATATTTTAGACTCTTTTCGACATCCGAAATCGGGATCGGTTTGCGAAAATGATTCATCACACAATGGATGACGATCCCAATTCATCCTATCTTCGACGACCCGGACCTTTTGCTTCGACACCGCCATCTGGATCTCATCCGAATCGCCCTTCTTCTCGCACATCACGACCTAATTCTCGCGCTCGGATGGTAAAACCGCCAGGTGCCATTACGCCTACTGGCCTCGGCGTGCTTACAGAGAATGTGACAAACTTGTCTCCAGACGGTCACGGAGCCACTAGCCCTATAAAAGAGGGGTTAGGTAGTTTAAATCGCTGGTCCCAATCTACCGCATCCAGTAAAAGCCCCTCGGAGTACACCGGTCATCATCGTCGAGGGAGTTCGAAGATGTCCATGTCAGGCTACCGTGGACGGGGCCACAGTCCCCAACGTGCGCCGGGGCCAAATGGAGTGCCGATGCTTGATTTGCCAGAACTGGACAAGTCTGCCATGTTCAACAGTGGCCCAACATCACAACAACTTGATCTTTCATTTACGGCCTCAACCCAGGTCTTCCAACCCTCTACACATAATCTCGAAACAGATATGGACCATTCATTTGCGCGGACCAGTGGGGGGTCCGTTTCTCTGAATGACGGGGAAACCGACCCGGCAATCATACAGCATGGACAAACCCAAAAGGCGATGCTGTCAAAAGCACTTCAAAAGGCGAACACGGCAGTTCTTCTTGACAATGCTGCCAATTTCGAGGGTGCTATGGAAGCTTACTCGGACGCTTGCAATCTATTGCAGCTTGTCATGCTTCGCAGCAACGGCGGAGACGAAGAAAAACACAAACTCCAGGAAATTCGGGATACCTACATGCTGCGGGTAACGGAGCTGCACCGTATGGACTTTCCTCTCGGGGAGAGCGACAACAAGGCTCTTCCAGATCGGCCTCTCAGCCAAGAGTCTTACGGAGAATATCTTCATTCGGCAAATGATAGGGTCCAACTTGACAGCCAGCAGAACTCGCCTCATCCAAGCTTTGGTTTCCATCAAATCCCGCTAGAAGAGACAAACGGGTTCTCTTTGGAAGCGGTCCCCCCTCGACGCCAATCCTTGAAGCCATCTGCTTTAGAAGATCAACCACGATCTATAACTTTGCCGGGTAGCCAGGAGGATTCCAACGAATCCACTTCGTGGCTGGACACCATTGACGAATCCGGTGCTTCATCGCCGTCGTCGGCGAACTCGAAGGCGTCGTCTGTCTATCTTCGGCGCCGAACTAGCCGTCGTCTCAGCAATGATACCGAGGCTGAATTCGATGCGGCCCTGGATGCGGCGGTTGAAGCTGCATATGACGAAGGTCTGGAGCCGGTGCTGGAGTACAAGGAAGAGGAAAGCGATGATATTGTCTCAAATGCTCGCAGAAATATCGAATTAGCGAAGCAAAGGGTGCGCGAGGCAGAACAAGAGGCAGAGGCAATGAACCGGGACCGTGAAATGCGTCGGCTCCAAGAACAGACAAGTCTGGAGAATGACCATACTGCCCGTACGTCGACATATCTGGACGATGAAGCAGAGGAAGAGGAGCGTCTATTGGAGGAGATGACTAAGGGATACGTGATGGATGACTTTGAATTCGGCATTCAGTCCAAGTCGGCACTTCCCCGAGAATCCGATTCTAGCAATATGTCTGGGAGAACCTGGGAAAGCTCTGCAACGTCTAATGCTGCGAGCACTGGGGGCGCACTGTCTACGCTTGCAGAAGATGATGTCTTGCCATCAGACGACCGAAGGCCCGAACCATATACCATGCCCTCTTCTCCCCCATCCTCAGCTTTACCGCCCTTACCAGCATCATCTGACTTTCCGGCTCCTTCAAAGCAGCGAGCTTCGGGATCGACCCGGGCTGATTCTGTTGGCTCACTCGCCTCTTCCACAGGCCCAGGGGTGCGAGCCCGGCGCCTATCCAGCCAGACCCGGGAGCTCAAGATTGAGACGAACGCACGCTCCTCTCGCGCCAATTCCAATGCATCATCAGCCTTGGAAAACTCCGCAGCCCCATTAGCCAACCGTCCGCCGCCGTTGCCGAAAGATGATCCATCTGGTCCCGGCGGGCGCTCCACTTTGCATCCAACACAGCGCAATCCCTCACTGAGCTCTTTCACGGATATTCCCAATCTCTCCAAAGCACGAACCCATGAAGATGATGAAAACGAATTGCCACCCCTGCCACTGTCAGCGCGCCCCATGGGCAAAGTACCCTCAGCTCCAGATGGATTGAATAGACTTCACTCTAATACAAAGCCCTTCCGAGCCCGGAACGCCTCTGTTCCGCTCCAGATACCCGACATGTGCCCAGAATCCCCAAGTACCCCATGGAGCGGGGCATTCCCTGACACCCAAAGAGGTGCGACTAGCGGTGTTCCAGTTCCACCCACCCCGACCCTGTCCAGCTCCACTTTGAGTCAGAATGGGCTGCCAAGTGGCGGGCCAAATCTGTTTGGTAGCAACATCCACTCTTCAACATCGCTAGGTCGTCCAAATTCGTTGATAGCCAACGCACCGGTTCCTCTGGAGCCCTGTCCGGAATCTTTCCTTCTCCGCCCATTCTGGCTGATGAGATGTCTTTACCAGACCCTGGCGCACCCGCATGGTGGCTATTTGTCAGAAAAGCTCTTCATCCCTCGAGATGTCTGGCGCGTGAAAAATGTGAAATTGAAGGGGCTCGAGGAGAAAATCTCCAACTGCGATCTCCTGACCGCTGCTTTGCTCAAGTTGGCCCAGGTCGATACGTACGATGCAGATGCGGTCTTAGAAGAGATGCAGTCATTCGAAGCTGTCCTTGACCAGGTTCAGGGGCTGCTGTCTAAGAAATTGGGCAGTGATGTTGGTGTCCAAGCATCAATGCCGTTGTTCAAGCCAGCTTCCACGCCGGATGAACCTGCTCAACCCGAGGTTGCACCAAATAAATCATATCTGACCTGGAAACGACTACGGGCCAAAACTTCCGGACTCGGGACCAGCAGCCCTGTCCACAGCGCCCGAGAAAGTAATAAAGACAACCTGATCCTCAACTCTGTTCCGATGACGTCTGGGCATGGAACGCCTGCGAAGCGGAATGTCACTCAGCTTGAATTCTCTGGGCCCCACGCAAACTACATGGGGGCATTGGCGCGGCTTTTTGACGCTGCACAGGTGCTAGGTAAGTTCTCTGCAAGTCGATATGGCTTTCGTTCATCCTAACCCATATACAGAGCAAATCGCCCAGCAAGTTGAGGACCCTGGTCTCAAACATTCATCTAAGACCCATGTTGGTCTGGAACTCAGCACCCGACATGCTGCTGAGTTCTTTGGCTTCTACATCTGCCGATTCGCCCTAGCCGATGTGGGCTTGATGCTCGACAAGTTCATCAAGCGAGGTAGCGAGTGGGTGTTGGTGTAGGAGGTATATGAAGCCATACGATAATTATTCCCTCTCCAAAGTCAAGTGAGGCTTGGAGTTTTCCCGCCCGTTCTTGATATTCCTAATGTCCATATTTGATCCTCCCACGTCTTTTGAGATACCATGATTTTTGCCAGTTATTTGATGATTCAGGAACATATTTGTCATGAGATGGGATTGTATTTAAGTGATGCTTGTTACTCGCTCATAGAAACCGTGTCCATTCTGTTCATTCAGGCGACCTTGCTTCGGCGTGAATCATCACACGTAGGTAGTAGCACCTACAGCATATGACACACATCCAATCTGATTCCAGCGGTACTTTCAATCATCATATCGTAGTCTTGTTTCACAAGCATACCGTGGTTGATCGAAGATACATTTGCCGCCGTCTCTCTGCGTCGCGAATAATCTCGGCTGACAGTTTCAGGCTAGGTGCTAAATTTGTATACCTCTCTACTTCGGTAACCACTCCCGCGATGATCGCGTCCATCCGGGAAGCGGGTGGGAGCAGGGTAGAGAGAGCAGGACACATGGTGGCACCCATGATCAACAACGTCTGCGATACCATTGAAAGAGCACCCTGCCACAGGTACGGAAGGTGGCCCTCGCGATGGCTGGTAATATGCTCCAGCTGACGGAGCGTAGCATCCAAACATCGCCGGCAGCACTCTTTTACCCCCGGGTCTAAGCCAGCCTGTTCGTTCTCAAAGACCGCCAGGATATACGGACGATATATGATAGTACGACATGCATTGTAGCGAAGTCGCAGTACCGTTTGGGCCGGATTGGAAAGAGGGGCCTGGGTCAAAGGAAATTGGACGGGTTCGGGAAGGCTGTCGTACCATTGGGACAGCTGAAAATCGAGCTCGGAGACAATTGGACCCAAGGATGCTAGAGTGTGGGTGCTGTCTTTCTGGTAGATAATATGGCTGACGCGATTGAGCAGTCGTCGCAGCGCAATCTCTGCCAGGAAATACCAGAGTTCGTCACGTCGAATGCCGGGATGAGAGTCCACAGGACGTAAGAAACCCGGATAGTTTCTAGCCATTTGGCGTTCTTCGCCTGGTGTATGATGGTCCATATCTTCTTGCTCCTCGTCATCCTCATCTTCCTCAAACCCTCCCGGCAATTCCACGAGCTCTTCAAAATTTACAATGCCGGAATGGGGAATATCCAGCTCTGCGAGAAGATCGCTCTCAAACAACAAGGCGTTCCAGTACACCCTCACACTTAATTCCCTCCATTGAGTAGGGATTCGATTCGGACTGCCGAACAACAGTTGCAACTTCATGCTCACATTGGATAGCAGAGTCCAGGCTTCCAGGGGTCGCACTAGATAGAATAAGTAGGCAGAGGCCATGACCATGCATTGAGTCGCAATGACGGTGTTCCGCATCATGATCGATGGTAGGAAACTCCATGCAGCGGCAAAGTAAGGAAGCCCCGGCGGTTCACGATCTGGTGCCACGAATGAGATACTGCCGCTGTGACTGGCGCTTCCCAGAGCCAAAACTAGAAGAACCAGGCAGCTCATGGGCCCTTTCTGAAACCCCTGTGCAAGAGCGGATTGATAGTATCGGTTCCAAGTGTAAGGGTTCACGCAGGCGTACCAAACATTCCCGTAGTTGAAGAAAGCCTGGGCGTAGGTAGATGCATTTGTCAAATCGAAGCCTGAGTTGGGCGTCAACCGCAACGGCTCGCGAGCCATTTCTAGTTGAAGAAGTTGCTGTGGATCATAGGTCCGAGAGACCAAGTCCCGAATCAGGGGCCATTGGAGAAGATGTAGCGCCGGAGTGGTATGCATCTTGGGCATCGTTGAAATACTGAGGCTGGCAGGTGGTTTGACCCAAGAACCAAGTCCAACAGCGGACAATCTTCCATGGACCGGTAATCCACTGGGTGATGTTCTCGTCGAGGGATCATCGTTACCGAGGTTTGTGTCATTGCTGGTGGCCGGGGAATTAACGGATAGGGCCAGACGAGGCCCCTGGTTGGGTAAATTCGAATGCAGAAAACTCTCAATTCTGGCCAGATGATCTAGGATGAGCTTGTCGCCAGCATCTAGCTTGATGCCGGGTTCCCTGTAAACACACTCCGCGTCCAAATCGGAACAAAGTTGACACTTGGGACGAGCTCCATTGCATCGAGTCTTGCGCAACCGACATATCTGACACTGTAACAAAGTCAAATTTGCCTTGGTTGTATGTGATAGGGACGCTTACCGCTATTGTTGCCCGTCTTCTGGGATATTCGGCGGCCTCTGTGCTCGAGCGCTTTTTCTTTCCCAAGGATGCGTTGCTGGCTGTATAATACCCCAAGGAATCCAACGTTTCCTGTTCCGTATGCATATCCATTCGTCAAGTCTTGAGGGCTCAATTGTATCTAACGTTGCAGTCCCAACTTGAGAGGGTGTTAGGCATGACGGGCATCAAAACATATCTGAATATGAGTTTAGAAGGGAAATGAGAGACAGAAACTCAGGAGACAGTCCGAAGGATTTCGGGCACAGGCATTACATGCATAATGCAAGGCTGACTTCTCAAAGAAGGAGTCTTGTCCATGTGTAGCTATATCGCTGACCAAACATAGTGCGGGAGTATATCCGTGACAGGTTGGGCATATAACCCTGGCAGTACAAATTACAAAATGCGAAAACAACAGACAAAAGTAATTTAGTATGGAGAATGTTCAAAATACTGCGTATGAATGTGTAATGTGAATGCAACTGTACTCGGAACATTAAACTAGGATGTCACATGTGGTCCACGTGCACGCGTTCCAAACAAACGCGTCGCGGCGTCGATCTTCGATCTTGCTCTTTACGGAGCATAGGTCCTAACATGCTCCCAACGACAGTTCCAACCCAATCCACCTCTTAATTCATCATGCCTCGTCCTGCCCCGAAAAGAAGTCGCACAGTGGGAAAGACACAGCCAAAGAAGGGTGCGACAGACGAATCGGCGCAACAAAATGACACCGGTCTCCCCAAATCGCCTGTGCAGCCTGATCATGGCTCAGCCTTGGATCCGAGACAGGCTCTACGTAACCAGACACCACTGGCCAAGAACCACGAACAAGCAATTGAATCGTCGCCCGTAGACGACCGGCTGGCCACGGGTAGTCGACCTGGAACTGGCAGTCGGCCCCCAACAAGATCGCGAGGTTATTCGTCTACGTTATCGTTCGCCGGACGCAAAGGCGACACAGGTTCCCGAATTCCAGGAACGCCCAGTTTCGATAGTTCGGTACTGAGTAACTTCAGGCGGCGTCCGCGCCAGCAGAGCATTCTACAGATGATGCAGGCCGACGATGTCGGCTCTTCCGATCTTGATGACGATGACTTCCTTGGTGGGCTCAGCCCAAATGATGAGTCGACACCACTCAGGCTCTCCCGAGGGAAGTCACTACTCGTGAGGCCTTCCGATAGGTCCTCCTCGCCGTCTGGATCACCACCCTCGTCTGGCGGGTCGCGAAAACGCCAATGCATGGCCCAAGAGATCCAAGTTCCCCAGTCTCCAATAGATATGGTTGAAGACACTCCAACTGCGACACAAATTCAAGGTCACGGTTCTCACTATCTCGCTGAAGCGGAAGTTTGCAATCAACACCCTGAACAGGAGGAGGTTGGACAGAATGATGGGCTTGGAGATGGGGAGACCGAAATTGATAGAGTCGAGGCTACGCAGCAGTCCCAACAATTCCCAGAAATGTTAAGCCAGACTATGCTACCGCCGGCCAGCAGTCCCGCTGGCACAGCTACACCTGGTGACCCCACGCCACGACCTGTGCAGAGGAGTAAGCCAAAGGTTCCCACTCATCTATCAACTGCAAGCCTACAAGACAAGCTCTTGCCACATCGCCGGCGCAGACGTGGTGCAGCCGATCATTCCAGTGACGATAGCGATCGCCAACATGACGCTGCGTCCAGTGACGAGGACGAATTGAATTACCCATCTCAAAGACCAACTAGGGGACGGGCCGGGAAAAGCAAACCCAAGCCATTATCCAAGGCCCACGGCCTGAAGCAAAAACGAGTTCCGGAAACGAAGCCCAAGGATAAAGCGGCTCCAAAGGAATCAGCTACTTATTCACGTTCTCAAACGACTGGCATTGACAAAGAGAATGAAGAGCTCCTGTCGTCCTCTCCATTATCATCCCCACCAGACACCGACTCTGAGTCCGAACCAATGGAAAAAACCACTCGTTATGTGAGTGATGAATTGAGGGCGGCAGTCAAGAAGTTTGCTGAGGTGGATCAATGGGAGATGGAGTTTGAAGATGTAACTTCAGAGAGCTAAACAAGTTTATCTAATTATTTTTTGCGATACGAATAATGCGATATATGTTACGACTTCCGTCTTTTAAATTGACCGACAGTAACCGCATGTTTTTTTTAAAGAGCCCCGCATGCAATGTAACGTAAGTAACCTCGTTATTCAATTAGCTTCTTAACACTTCCCGGCTATCTCTTTTTTGTCTCTTATTTACCCAATTCAATATGACTTCTATTGACGCAATTCTAGCAGCTAAGTATCCGGCCAAGGCCCATGCTCGTCGCGTTGCCGAGTCCCTCAAGGCTCAGGGAGGGGCTGGAGCTATCTATCTTGAGGCGCAAAAAACTCGATTGATCGAGGATAGCGATGAGGACATGCCATTTAGGTGGGTTTATCCATTAAAATATTGATCAGCGCTGACCCAACGTAGGCAACGTCGTCCATTCTTCTATCTGACTGGATGTCTGCTGCCCAATGCCGCAGTTGTATACGACGTCGTCGCAGATCAATTGACTCTGTTCATTCCACCGATCGACCCAGAGTCCGTGATTTGGTCTGGCCTTCCTTTGTCCCCCGAAGAAGCTGCGAAGCTTTACGATGTAGATCGCGTTCTGTTCACATCCGACATCAACTCGACTTTGGCGTCGATCGCCTCGGCTCACAACGGGCAAACTACCGCTTTCGCAATCGCCGAGCAGTTCTCAGATGGCACGAGCTTCCAGGGCTTTGCTAAAACAAACACTACCAGCCTGAAGACTGCCATCGAAGATACACGTGTTGTCAAGGATGCGTACGAGGTTGCGCTTTTGCGAAAGGCGAATGAGATCTCGACCAAAGCACACATTGCTGCTATCCAGGCCGCCAAGACCGCAACTAATGAGCGCGAGATCGAGGCCGCAATTATTGGCACTTGTATTGCCAATGGATGCCGCGAGCAGTCCTACCACCCTATCGTTGCTGGGGGTGAAGGCGGTGCGACTCTTCACTATGTCAGAAACGATGTTGATCTGGTTGATCCCGTCACTAAGCAGCGAAAGAACAATGTACTCATCGATGCCGGTGGTGAGTATCAGACCTACTGCGCAGATATCACGCGTGTCATTCCTCTGAATGGAAGGTTTGCGCCCGAGACCCGGCAGATCTACGAAATTGTTCTCCAGATGCAAACGGAATGTATTGCCATGTTGAAGGAAGGCGTGAACTGGGATGATGTGCACGCGCTGGCACATCGCATTGCTATCCGTGGCCTGCTGAAGCTGGGTATCCTGCGTGGATCCGAGGATGAGTTGTTCGAGAAACGCGTCAGCGTGGCTTTCTTCCCCCACGGCCTTGGGCACTACCTGGGAATGGACACTCACGATACTGGTGGTAATCCCAACTATAAGGATGGGGATATCATGTTCCGCTACCTGCGTGTTCGTGCAAAGCTGCCGGCCGGCTCTGTGGTTACCGTTGAGCCTGGTGTAAGTATCTTCCCCATTCTTGATGAGTATCATACCTAACGACTTATTGCCAGATCTATTTCTGTCGCTTCATCATCGATCCTGTACTGAAGGCTCCCGATACTGGGAAATACATCGATGCCGAGGTCCTGGAACGGTACTGGAGCGTTGGAGGAGTGCGCATCGAAGACAACATTCATATCACCAAGGATGGTTCTGAGAACTTGACCACGGCCCCTAAAGCCATTGAGGAAGTGGAGAGCCTAGCCTTATGAGCTATTCTAACGCTTTAATTGATCGCATGAAATAAGAATATATTGTTGATCCGGCTATGTGATAATGTGACTAGACGGCTCTTCTATATCTTCGCATAGACTTGAAGCTGTCTGTAGATTCCAAAATACTTCCGTATCAGATATTTCGAACGGTCCTTCAGATGAAGATGAGGTTATTATATAGCCCCACACATGTGTGTACCTTCGGGCTCTTCATACCCCGCATCAAAGCTCCATTCCCCTTTGTCTTCTGCATATTTTCTTCCCTTTTCTCGCTCCAACGTTCCCAATGACATCCAACGCACCCGCTGCCTGCTGTACCATTGGTGTTAAGCATGAAGGCGAAGCCAAGGGCCGATTCCAGCAAATCGCTGATGGTATATCTATATCCCTTTGGTACTCAAGTACGGATTGCTAACGTCCTCAGTCGAGGTCTATATTTCGAGCCCCCAGCGTGCAACTAAGCGTGCCATCCTATTGCTAACAGATGTCATCGGCCATCGATTCATCAATGCGCAACTCATTGCGGACCAGCTGGCGGCAAATGGCTATCTGGTTGTCATGCCCGACCTGTTCCACGGCGATCCTGTGCTGCTCAATCGCCCCGCCAGCTTCGACCTGATGAGCTGGCTGAAAGGTCCTCCGGGTCATCTCCCCAGCCGTGTGGAACCTGTCGTCCACGCAGTACTGAAGGAAATGAAGTCCAACATGGGTTGCGAGCGGGTCGGTGCTGTCGGATATTGCTTTGGGGTATGAACAATGCCCCGTAGGTAGATTTCTGCCCAGCTAACAAATATAGGCGAAATACGCCGTTCGACTGCTCCAGCCAGGTCTCTGCGATGTTGCCTACGTGGCGCACCCGAGTTTCGTCGATGCAGAGGAATTGGCAGCAATTAAAGGCCCCTTGTCCATTGCGGCAGCCGGTAAGTAAATTGTTGTCCGTTCTGATTGGCTACAGTCCCTTGACCAAATGTAGAAACCGACTCAATCTTCCCGGCTTCAAAGCGTCATGAATCCGAGGATATTCTCATCAAAGTCGGCCAGCCATATCAAATCAACCTGTTTGGTGGGGTTGAGCATGGCTTTGCCGTTCGCGCAGACATCACCAAGCCAACGATCCGATTTGCCAAAGAGTCTGCGTTTCTGCAGGCAGTCGCTTGGTTTGGGCAATACCTCTAATGAGAATGATATAGACCACAGTAACGATGGTACTTTGATTGGAATTCGCTCTTTGGTTCGCCATGAGACCAGGCAAAATTTAAATACATTTGGGAGGGACAAAAAAGGATACCTATGTAACGCTAGAAGGTGCCGTGGATTCTGGTAATCCTCACATCTTCTCGTGGGTAGCCATAAGCGAACCTGTATACGTGTTAGAAACTGCAAGATGTTGCCATATCGATGAACTTACCAATGAATGTGGTGACCAAACGAGATCGAACTTGACAAATATCCTCCGGTACCAACCAGATAGTGGCACCCATCTTTCTGGCAATACTGATAGAGAGCTTGGCGTTTGCATATGCCTCCTCATCGGTCCGGCCGGGGGTGACCAGATCATAATCCACATAGCTACTCTTCATGCCATTAAGCACATCAAGAAGGAAAATACCAGATCCGATAGAGCTGTCCTTGAAGCTGCGTATCGTAGAAGACCGACCACCACTGCTGGACATGTCATTGGCCCACCGAATCATCTCGGTATCGGTGATTTCGCGCTTGCCTAATCGTTGGGCAAGCGCAGAGAGGGTGTTGGTAATATCCCGGCGCATCAGCTGCCACACCAGCCCGAGAGTGAGCGTGCGCTGACCATCGGTGATATCAGCACCCTGAACACCGACAAGAGAAAACCCATTGAATTTCCCGAGCTCGATCGAATAATTCGTGTTCTCGACTGCCTTGAAGCGCATCAATTCGCCACCAGAGGCCGGTGGCTTGTTGACGTGCTTCCAATTGACGCTTCCAGGAATGACTTTGTCGTATGCTTGCAACAATACAAAACCGTCGCGTAGGTCATCAAAGAGCGAATTGACCGCCGGCTGCACGTCCAACGAATTCAACCACAAGGTGAACACTCTGGCCTCTCGCTCACCTTCAGCGTCAAAGTCTTCAACCTCGAGCTTCTCCTCCTCGGTGATCGGGTCCAATCCTGGGTGCGTATTGAACAAGTTGGCAACAAAAGCAAGATTCAGTTTGGGGTTCCCGGCAACCAAGGACGTTGGGGTCAGGAACTTGCGACAGTCAAGGGAATCAGCGTTCTGCAGGACCTGCTCAGCCCGCTGGAGCAGATCTCGAGTCTGAAGGGGGGCCCGCGAGCACACGTCCGGTGCCAATTGGTTGAGAAGAACGGTATAATTCTCACCATCCTTAACGTCAGTAGAGAAGTTTGTCACCCTATCACAGTCAGCCGAATGTCTCTCTCCTTCTCTAGGCTAGACCTACCGTTTGTCCCACTTGGCATTCTTGAGGTGGTAGTTGAACCAGCGAAGAAGAATCTGCTCTGGAGGCAAGCGCAAGAACTGCTCCAGTGTTTCGTCCTCATCCAAGAGTCTGTATAGCTCCGGGTGAAGCTTGATATCAATCTTTCCAAGAAGACCACGACGAATGATTTGCCAGATGAGTCCCAGAATGAGATGCTCGCGCACTTCGATGATATCTCCACTGCCAATGTTCACGACTGAGCACCCGATACCCTTGGCAGAGTTGATAACGATGTTATTGTTTTCGGTCATATGGAAGGCGTTCAGCTGCTTGATTTTCTTCCCAGCCTTATTCAGAACACGTTCGTCAATGGTGTCCGGTACACTGTCGTTAATCAATTTGGCGAGAACCAGGCCATCTTTGCACTTGTCAAACATCTCAAATGTATCGGTGGGGAAAGGCAGCAGATTTCCAACGTCCGCATCGCCCGCCAAAACCGCATTGATGTGTCGCGTGAACTCGGTTCGCTCGTCTTCGTTGATTGTATGGGTGACGTTGGAGGATGATCCCTGGACATGAATTCGTCCTCCGACACTACCCTTCGACACATGTCGAGATGCTCCAGTGCCAGCACCAGCCCCTTGAATTACAGCAGCAGGGGTAGATGCTGCACGAGCGTTTTCAGCGGGTGCCGCCCGGAGCTTCGAAATGAGCTGTCATGGCGTTAATATCAGAAGTCCGGGGAAGAACGAGGGGGGGTAGAGTTCTCACATCAACGTAATCTTCGAGTTCCACGCGCCGGGAGCTATCGAGCTCCACATCCTTCAAAGCTGCACGCACCACATCATATGGCTGGCGCTCTGACTGTTGGACAGCTTTGATCGTGGTAGACTCATCGACGTAGCCACGGTCCTCGACGTCCAGTCTGTTAAAGGCATCCTGGAGCGAAAAGATCTCGCCTTGATCAAGCTGCGGAAAACGCCTGTAGTAATCAGAGCCATTAGCATACTATGCAGCAGATGGTATCGAACTGCCATGGGATTTGTACTTTTGAAGCTTGAAAACGTTCATATTGTCAGGGAGAATCGCCTCTCGCAGGACAGGTGGGGGCGGTCACCCAGGGTAAGTCGGGTTTCGACAAGAACGGAGCGGTGTTGAATGCCCTTAGCAGAGCAATTGTTGAAGACAAGAAAGAAAATATTGACCAGAAGAAATCCGATCTGTGCCAAAGAAGGTGGGCAGTGCAGGGCAAAAGGCAGCCAGATACACGAACCGAGGAGGAGGGGGGGAGATGAGCCACCATGTAATGAAACTACTAGGCCGGTACGGAGTACGGAGTACTTTACACTAGAAGGCTGGAGTCATGGTCTAGTATGTATGACTGGTCAAGTATGTACACTGTACATTGTATTTATGTATTGTGTATGTAATGGTATTTGAGCAGGGCGGAAGGCGGATTGTCCTTCGAATGACGTCGAGACATCGACACCGAAGCCTTTTGATTTCTGCCTAAGTTCTCTGTAATTATCTCGTATTATTCATCTGCCTAATTATATCTCCTAGGACGCTTGTTTATTGCGAATAGTTAGGGTTTGCGTACATAACTACCTACTGTGTACATTAACACAGTAGTAACTTATCGAATTTACTAGTTGTGCTTATGCTCCTGTCTACTTTGCAAGCTATATCCCATATATAGGAGGTGAATAAGATCGTATCCTCTATTCAAGTCAGGTCTCTATCATACGGGTACACCTCCATACCTCCATACATCGTAGGTCCACGGTCTAGAGTTACGGCTCCGTTCCATTGTACTCGGATTACATCATTCCCGCCGGTCTAGGTTCCCCAGAAGAAAACAAACGGTATCGGAAACATTCCTTTTAGCAATTGCTTCCTCAGTCACTTTTCCTTCTTCTTGCCTTTCATTTTGTCTACTTGCGATAAAGTCCTCAACTACTGTGCCTTCACCATTCCTTATTCCGGCTGTTTCACGTTGGTTCCTTTCGCCTTGCGACGGGTGCGCCCCATACCCATGGCGGTTGCAGAGCAGAAATCATTTTTGGGGACACTCACACCGTGGAGTACGCCAAGGAGCGCAACGCCGCAGCCTGGCGATCAGCCAAAGCTAGATACGCTGCAGCGATCGCAAGGGGAGGACCATACAGTGCACCGACATCGATTGAGCGTCCGGCGCTACCCGCCTGATTGCCCCCCATTGAAAGTGAGATGGTTTTACGCCGTGGACTCGCCCAAGCGAAAACCACTCTTTCTAGAACAGAAGAAGGCGGATCAAAAGCCCATACCACCACCCAAAAAATTCATACCATTCCCAGGGAAAGACTCCCAGTCCATCGAATTAACGTTCCAGAAACTTTCAGACATTGAAGATGCTCGTCAACAAAATAGACCAACCGACAGTGAAACGGTCTTGGCTAAAGTCCCTGTGAATGAGGATTATCTTTTCAATGTTGATGTGGAACAACGAGAGCTGAGCCCTACCTATTGGATTGGCCCTGTCTACGAAGTCCGTCGTGGAACGTGGTTCATACAGGATGGATCTAGCCTAAAACCATGCGAAGAAAACCTTGCTACCCAGCTCGAAGAAGGCTATATCAAATTGTGCCCATGGAGATCCCAGTCACCAGGACAGACCTCGCAAACAAACGCACAAAATGGATCTGGTCAACCCAAAAATATCCCAACCAAGTCCCAAGCACCGGATTCAAAACTACCTCCTCATAGCACAGGAAACACCGGGAACGAGCCCGGCGGTGCTGCAATGGAGCCTCATCAGTATCGTTTATTCGGTGCTTATATGAATAGGATTGTTGACTACCAAGATTCCACCACGGCTTGGCTGATGAACGATGATTTCATGTCACGCTTCAGCACTTCGGTGTATCAGAAGCTAGGAGGTATTCCAGGGACAAAGTTGGTTCGTGGATTTGAACCCAGAAAGCCGAAAGAGACATCGGAGGCGAAGGGTACTAAACAAAAACCGCTGAGCGATCCATCACCCGCTACAGCTTCGAAGGCCACATTGAAAGAGAATCCAAAAGAGAAGCCAGAGGGTTGCGCCGAATCACCTTCAGTCGGCGAGTTCGAAAACTTCGACAATAGACCAAAGTCAACGTTAGAACGGCAAATGTCATCCCTTGCAGGCGAGCCACAAAACCCAGCCGATCTCGAAGAGCAGGCTCGTAGACAAGAGGAGCAGGAGATGGAAGAGTCGAGAGAAATTGAGGGTGAGGACAGAGAACGTGAGGTCGATCATTTGATTCTTGTCACTCATGGAATCGGTCAGCGGCTCGGGTTGCGACTGGAAAGCATCAATTTTATACATGATGTGAATGTGCTTCGCAAGACACTGAAGACTGTTTACAAAGCCTCGCCTGATCTTCAGGCGCTGAATTCTGCATTCCCGGACCACGAGAAGAATTGCCGTGTCCAAGTCCTTCCTGTGTAAGAAAAACCAATGCTATTGGTCACATTCCTGCTATTTGGCCAGCCTTGCTAATTCCATCAGTTGTTGGCGACATCTTCTTGATTTCCCTTATCGAGGAGTCAGACAGAATAGAAAGGAGCTCGATCTCGCCGACGCAGACACTCTTGAAGATGACACTTATCCCAGCCTGGCTGATATAACCCTCGAAAGTGTACCTGCTGTCCGAAATTTGATTTCGGATTTAGCGATGGACGTCCTTCTATACCAGAGCGGGTATTGCGAACACATCTCCAACATCGTTATTCAAGAATGCAATCGGATCCTTCGGTTGTACCGGAAGCAAAACCCTTCTTTCAAGGGGTCAGTCAGTCTCTGCGGTCATTCACTTGGAAGCGCGATTTTGTTTGACATCTTGTGTCACCAACCTGGAACTCATACAACGAAAAATGGGGTCCCCGGAATGGCCCAAGAGAGCAGCGACTCAGACCTCAGGGGTCCAAGTGCGTTTGAATTTGACTGTGAAGAGTTTTTCTGCTTGGGTTCCCCCATTGCGCTATTTCAGATGCTGAAGGGGAAGACCATCGGTGGATATTCGGGGTTGGCTCCGCGAAACCGCAAAAATGCGCTGGATGTTGAGATCGAATTGGACTCACATGGACCCGGACATGGGCTCAGCGATAACCCTGGTATCATCTCAACGCCCAAATGTCGGGATTTCTACAACATCTTTCATCCTTCCGACCCTGTAAGCTATAGGGTTGAACCGTTGATATCTCCAGCGATGTCATCGCTGAAACCACAGCCTCTACCGTCGGTGAAAAAAAGCCTTTGGACGACCTCTGGTCAAAGTTTGTCTATTCTTGGTAGCCGTATGGGCCAAAGTGTGGGATCTCTGTGGACAAATCTCACATCGGGTGTTGCAAGCAGCCTGTTGAATCGCAGCTTGGGCCTGAATGGTGATGGCGCCTCGTCCACTGCTCGTGCTTCTGGTGAGGATTATGGTGGCTCAGCCCATGAAGGGATACAATCAGGTTCGGCCCGGCATGGATCAGAATCCGACGCCGAGGGTCATTATCAGACATTGATCGACTCTGATTTGGAAACCCTTTATGATGGATTTCAAAGGAGCAGGGATGTCCGGCATGGCGAGAGTTCCGATCCCGATGTCGACACCGACCATGACCGGAAAATGAAATTCGAAGACGCCAAAGTGCGCGCGCTAAATTCCAATGGTCGTGTAGACTACAGCATCCAAGAGTAAGAGCGTATGTACTGCTTCAAGCTGACACTATCACTAACGGACATATATAGGGGAGCATTCGATATTTCACTAATAGCCAGCATTGCCAGTCATCTCACCTATTGGGGAGATGAGGACGTCAATCACTTTATGCTTTCCCAAATGCTCTCTAGGAATTTTCGGCATAGGAAGCAACGTCCAGGATGAGTATATCTCAATAATCCAGGTCATATAGATCCTACAGTCAATCCATTGAACTGCGTACCAAACGGGGACTAGCGTTGTCGGTTAATGATTATGTAATACAAAGCTTGAAGATAAAAAAAAACCCCGCTTTCGAAACTTTCCATCATTGTCATTCGAGTGTCTTCTTGGTGTCCCCCGTCAGTTTCGAGGGAATTGAATCCTAGCAGAGTTCAAATCTTTCAGTATTCACATACCATCTGTCAATCTCGTCTTAATGATGATGAGGTTCACAATGGTGCTGATCTCTAGTGGAAATCCTCTGTACACAGTATAGCATGTCCTTCTCTTTTGGATATCTACATTATCCCCCATATTCCCCCCAACAACCGCAATCTCTTTACATCTGGCATGGAACACATGCTCTTTGAATGCTCAGATTCACTCGGATAGCGGAGATTAATTTCCTCTCTGTTTGCTTTAGATCCTTTGCTAGCTTTCATGCTTGCAAGGTAATGATGGGTTGGATACATTTATATCTAGTTAGCTACGATCAATATAAATCTGTCACTTTCAATTATCTCCACGTATCTCTTGAACTGCCTGAACACGATTCACGAGTACATATCCGTCACTCCCGAGGTACGCACTGACCAACGGTTGGGTGCAAATGCCAAGCACTTCCCCGTTATCTTGCCCTCTGCTCTACCTACACCAATTGTCTACATACACAGATCGGTACAGGGTCTCACTTGATCTCGTTAGTCGCGGAATGGAGGGCTAAGTATCACCAACTTGGACCCTTCGCTATCCGGGATATCTATTCACAATGAGTCACCACAGCGATGAAGCGGTTTCCCAAGTTGTTTCAGCACAATCTCCACCTCGCGCCGAAGACCACGAGAATAGTCCCCCGACGCAAGAGCACGCCTCAAATTCAATGATTCCAAAGGAATTCATTGATGCTACTCTCAATTTCTTATCGACGTCTAGCAATGAAACTCTGCTCGGAGTCTTTGCGCTCCTTATACTCGTCACCTACATCATACTAGGGAGGGTCGGTCTGCTTCTGATTGGAGTGGCAGTCGGGGTCGTTCTTCATGCATCGTGGGAAGGTTTGGATACGGAACATGCGGGTGGAGCGTCGCACGCGCAAAAGTCCAACAGACGAAGAGAACTTGCGCTTGAAGTAGCCAACAGGCTTCTGGATTGGCCGAAACCGGCTGGTTCGTCAGACGCGCAGAATGGAGATGTTGTACCTATAAGCACACCAGAGGATATGTCCTCCGCAGATTTGGAATATGCCACCTTTCAACCGGCCACTGCTGGCGCCTTGAAACGGCTCACCGATGCAGTCATCGCAGACTATGTCAAGTAAGGATCTCTCCCAATCCACTGTCTCGCAGTGAAAATGAGTAACTTATCACAAATCAAGATACTGGTACGAACCGCTCTTACCGTCCGATTCGAAATTTCCAGGCTCCTGTCGGCGAATCCTGACGCATTTCATCACATCTATCTCTTGGCACCTGTCACGCAAACGAACGGAAGACACATTCTTGCAGTTTCTCACCAACTCCTCATCCATTGTTATCGTATTTCTGAATGAGCTTGCTGCTGCGTTCACCTCCGCAGGCACGTCCATGGAAGCCGAGAAGACAGTGAATCGGTACCTTGAACAGTTTCCGGACAGCAGCCTAGCGAATGTCTTGTCTGAGAAGCAACAGCAGAAGAAGCTCAACTTGATTGCAGATGATATACTGTCGAGCTTCCTGGACCGCAAGGCTTACGAGTGCTCGGTTGTACGGGACTTCCTCCGCGAGGTCTTTGCGGGTGTGATATTGGGATCCACAATTACCAGCCTTGCCCGTCCTGAATTCATCAACGAATGGATAATATATCTCTTGCGGGATGGAGAATCAGAAATTATGCACGCTATCGACGCAGGCGTTGAAGGCGCACGGAATCAAGGTGTTGATACCCCTAAGGCTTCGGAAGACACAACTCGAGAGTCTGTGAAAGCTACGCAGAGACTGTCTATGCAGGCGGCAAGAGCTTCGGAGGAAGCCGCAATCCTAGAGGCGAAACGTCTAAGCGCTATGATCGCATCCCAGCATACGCAGAGCGAAGAGCCGGAACGACCAGGCTTAACTGAACACGTTGACAACCTATACACTTCGAATGTCGATCCGGCTTCCAATTTGGCTCCTGAGCCTGAAGGCAGCCACGGCCAGGAGGAAGTGTCCTATGAAAAATCATCTGCAACTCTGAAATCACCCGAGGAACAGTCTGTGCAATCTGTGATCCTTCACGGGGCACAGGTGTTAGTAGACGATGATGGAGCTAGAGATGAAAAAGGCTTGATCAAATCACGGCCCACGTGGGATTATCTATTACAGGTTGAGCCATCGTCAATGCGCTCGACTGGATGGATGGTATTCCGCAAGTATTCAGACTTCCAGTCCCTCCATGAGATGCTGAGTACAGTCTCACGATTGAATCTGATCTCAAGCTTCTCAGAGCGTCATCCCATACTGCCCACTTGGAAAGGCAAAACACGACAAGCTCTCGCTCGGGACCTCGAATGGTATTTGCAAGATGCCATGAAGCACGAGACACTTGCCGACAACGATCGAATGCGGCGATTCTTGGAAAAGGATGCTAGTTCTTCCACTGATACGGCGAATTCTATAAAGCCGGTGTTCTCGTTCCCTAGCCAAGCTACATTTGGAAATGTGGGCAAAGGTATGCTGGATGCTCTGACCAATGCACCCAAAGGAGTAGCAGGAGGCGGCAAAGCTGTCTTTGGGGGAGTGACGGGAGTATTCGGAGGCGCTGCCAACAGCAAAAAGACGACCGCCAGTGCTGACCACAACCAATCTAAAGTCGATGACTCTTCTCGGTCCAGTTTGTCCAGTTTGTCGCAAGCAAGATCCAGTTTCGGTGATTATACTCGTCTATCTAACGAGAATGTTGATGGGATTGTGCCTTCTGGCGTTTCGTTGGAATCTGGAGACGAAACTTCCAAATCGCCCTCAGCCCACAGCGCCAAAGAGTCGTTGGGAAATGAGCGAGATACGCCGATCATTGAAAATTCGCTTTCTAAAGACTCGATCGATATGAGTGATCGTACTGCAGAACTCGATAGCAAGGACACTATGGATCGAACTTCGTCACATCGCCGTTCGGATACCGGGCAGAGTATCGATCACTCCCGCCAGCAGAAAAATCCCATCACAACTGATGAAACGCAAATTGCAGTAGAGCTGATCTTTGCGGTCATCAATGAGTTGTACACCTTGTCGTCTGCATGGAATATTCGCCGGACTCTCTTGAATGCCGCTAAATCCTACATATTACGGCCCGGGAGTCCGACATTGGAAACCATCCGTACTTTACTGCAAGAGTCAATGATCCAAGGTCACACTTCGGACGACGCCTTAGGAGGTTATCTTGCCAAGCTTCGTGAGAATGCACTTCCGACAGAGGACGAACTGAAAGCCTGGCCACCTCCACCCAGTGAGGAAGAGAAGATTCGCTTGCGAGAAACTGCACGCAAATTGTTTGTGCAGCGAGGCATTCCACAGGCATTGGCAAGTGTCATGGGTGCGGCTGCTAGTCGAGAAGCGCTGGAAAAGATATTTGACAGCCTTCAAGTTGAGAGTGTGGCTAGAGGATTCGTCTTCTCAGTTCTCCTACAGGGGTTAAGGGTCTTGACTCTCTGATATGATTATGCTGTTCCATAGAGTTACGTATAAAAGTGTGAGCAGACTATAGAAGCAATCATGTTCCCAATGGAATTCCAACCTCCCCTATGCACTACAGTCACTACCGTAAGTCTGTAACCGTACTCACGTGACCACGTGTTTGCTCGCGGGCCCGCGGCTCGCGTCTCGCGTGGCATCTTCAGTGCTTCACCTCCTGGCTTTCCCATACCTCGTTGCAGCAATAAGTCTACCGGCTCTCAAAATGGCATCCAGGAAACGTTCATCTGAATCAGGCTCTGGCCTCGATCACCTTCAGTCCAAGAAGACTAAGGTCAGCACTGCAGCGGAAGCCAAGACTGACTCTAATGGAGATCGCTACTGGGAGATATCCAAGATGCGCCGTATCACCATATCTTCTTTCCGTGGGAAGACCCTGGTGAATGTTAGGGAATACTATGAGAAGGATGGGCAGGAGTTGCCTGGTAAAAAGGTTAGTTGCCAGTGACTATACGCAGGACCGCTGCTCATATCATACCATCGCAGGGTATCTCCCTGCCCGTGGATCAATTTGCTGCCCTCATCTCCATTCTGCCCGATATTGAGCAGGTGTTGAAAGAAAGTGGAGAATCTGTGCCTCGACCTGTCTATTCGACCGAAGGAGATCAGTCCGACAAAGGGAAGGAAGAACAGGATATTGCGGACAACAAAAGTCCATCAAAGCAGAATATTGAGGCAACAAGTGATGAGGAGAGTGAAGCATAATCGCCAGCAAGCGTCTTCTACATTGCCATAGATGTCTCTCCCATGTCGCCATAATCAGACAGATCTTAATCATTGAATAGCTGCCTAATGATATGGAATTACTCCCCCAATGCTGATATAGATCACATACTCGCTTCTTGCATCGCCCTGTTATTGGCAATTGATCCACCGTGCCAAGTACGACGGTGATCTCCTTCCCGGAATAGTTGGCTGTTGTCTCCAATCTGGCCCCATCCTCCTCCTCCGGGTGTGCAAACAATGATTCGCTCCCCGGCCTCAATCTGCATCGAGTTTTTCGCGCCTAGGTTGATATACGTTTCTCCCCAGCTTCCATCTTGCCTTTTCACCCGGCGGACCCAAATATTCTGACCACACTGGGCATCCTCACCTCCCTGGAGCCCATAGGGACGATAAACCCTTCGCTCGGAAAGGATTGAGACTTGTACGGGAATTCGAAATTCAATGTCCCGTACGACTCCATCCCCACCCCGATGCTGACCGTTGCCTCCTGAGCTCGGCCTCAAACTGAATTGACGGAGTATCACAGGATACCGTCGCTCAAACACTTCGGCGTCGGTGATTCGGGTGTTGGTCATGTGCGTATGAACCCCCGAAGTGCCTTCCCATGTAGGGCCGGCCCCGCTACCGCCAGCGATGGTTTCATAGTAGCCAATCCCCTTTGTTTCCGTCTCACCAAACATATTTCCTCCAAATCCGAATGTGAGGTTGTTGGTATCACCTTGAGATGCCGCGCAAGCTTTGAAGCACCTCAGAATGACGTCGGTCACTCGTTGACTCTGAAGATAGAAAGACAAAGGAGACGATGAGCCACTTTCAGTGAGGGTCTGTCTGGGTCTTGTCTTACCGTTAGAACATTACCACCAACCACTGCAGCTGATTCTGATGGAGATAGGAGGCTTCCAGGAGGGATGCGAACATCTATGGGCTTCAGACAACCCTGGTTTAACGGGATATCCGCTGATATAAGACATCGCAGGCAATATATGATGGCAGAGTATGTGACAGCTTCCGGTGCATTGATATTACCTATCATATGGTCAGTCATATGTGGATATGTATGACCGAGTCCACTCTTGAGCAACTGATACCGTACCATATACTTCCAGGCCTGTCCCCTCGAAATCAAATATGGCCTCTCCCTTTTCTCCGTCTATCGAGATTCTCAGTTGAATAGGGCTCCCGTCATCCATATAATCGATGGCACTCAGGTCTCGGCCAAACTTCTTGCTGACATCTTTCAGGAGATTTCGGACGCTGAGCTCTGCGTTGTATTGGATATGGTGCATGTAGAACTGCACAGCATCCTCGCCGTACTCCTTGATTAGTGTGTTGATCAGACTGATTCCCTTCTTATTCGCAGCAATTTGAGCTTTGAGGTCATTCAGGTTATCTGCGAGACACCGAGTCCCACTACAGTTTGGATACTGGGCTGGCTCTTTGTAAAGTAGCTCGGTAATACGTGCTTCGTCAAATTTGCCTTCGGAAACCAACTTTTCGCTTTTGATCGCTGCCCCCTCCTGATAAAGCTCCTTTGAATGGGGTGGCATAGACCCCGGAAGAACTCCTCCAATGTCGGCTTTGCACGCATATTAGAATGACCATGCTTAACTCTGTATCTGACACCAGAAGGGGCCTTACCATGATGCGCCCTGGAAGCGACGTAAAATATTATCTTTCCTTGGCTGAACGCCGGTTGCAAGACTGTAATATCTGGGAGGTGAGTTCCTCCAAATTCTGGATGGTTTGACACGATCACATCGCCGGGCTTCAGATTGACCTGCCAGATCTGGGCTTGCATGCGTACACAGGTCGACATGCTCCCAAGGTGAACAGGCAGATGTGGCGCATTCGCAACAAGTCCACCCTCTGCGTCGAACAATGCGCAAGAGTAGTCGAGTCGCTCCTTCACATTGGTGCTTACACTTGTCTTCTGCAAGACACGTCCCATTTGCTCGGCAATAGCCATGAATCTGTGCGAGAAGACGCTCAGTAGGATAGGATCCACGTTGTCAGTGTTTATTCTCGGCTGGCTAGTATTGGATTCGCCAATATTGATGACGACGTGAGTCTTCATCAGCAGCGCCGAAGCTCCAGGAGGCACCAGGATTGTTTGGGTGTCGTCAGCCAGAATTGCCGGGCCTCTCACTTGGTCATCGACCTTCAAGTCGTCGAGCTTGTAGATTGGGGTCTCTTGCCGACCTCCCTCAAAGTACACGCGAGACCTGCGATATTCCTGGGCTATCGTCACATCATCTGGGCTGGAATCTTGGATTTGCTGGTCCACAGTCTTTTCAGATAATTTGTATCCTTTCCCAATTGCTCTCACTCGCACATCATCCACTATTATATCACGGTCTGGGAGGATAAAACCGAACTCTTGGTCGTGCTGCTTCACAAATGCCTTTCCAAAGGCCCATTCATCACCTTCAAAGAAAACATCGGCCTCCTCTTTGCTGGGTTTAAGCACCATCAAAGCAGATTCTGTACCGTGGTAACGCATATTGAGGTATTCTTCGAAGACGATTGAACCATTGTCAAAGCCTTGTTCTCGTAATGTTTCCGTGGAGCGTGTCTTTAGTTCTCCAATTCTCGTGGCCAGTGCGTGCTGAGCTGCTTTTGTGCCATCATCAGTCCAGGTCTTCGATTCAGGCTCTTGATTTTCATCAACGACATCTGCCAGGGCCATCCCGTATGCCGAGAGTACGGAGGAATAACGATGAATCAGGATTTGCCGAATGCCTAAGCTTTCAGCAATGGCAACGGCATGTTGGCCCCCGGCGCCTCCAAACGTCGCCAGCCTGTGATTTGAAGTGACATGCCCCTTGGCCTCTGTCAGAGATCGAATGGGCCGAGTCATCATCGCGTTGGCTACCTTGATAAAGCCATAGGCAACTTCATCAGGGGTCATATTACGGCCTTGCCCTCCTTTGGTCATCTCATCGTTGATTTCCCTGGTTAGATTTTCGAAAAGTAGTCGACTAGCTTGCTCATCAAGTCCTTGGGTTTCATCTGGACCGAAGATATTAGGAAAGAAGTCGGGAACCAATCGCCCAAGGAACAGATTGGCATCGGTCACTGTTAAGGGGCCGCCCTTTCGGTAACATGCGGGCCCTGGGTGAGCACCTGCTGATTCGGGCCCAACAACGAAGAGACCATTGCGATAGAACAGTCTTGAGCCACCGCCAGCAGCAACAGTGTTGATGTCTAGCTGGGGAGATTGTATCGTCACTCCAGCGGTGGTTGTCTCGAAGACATGTTCGTACCGACCGGAACCGTACCTACTGACATCCGTGCTCGTCCCTCCCATATCAAACCCGATTACAGGTATCTTCGACACGGGGTCGTAGGAAGTCAATGCATATCCAACAACACCACCAGCAGGCCCAGAGAGAATTGCTCGTAAGCCTGAGAACTGGTCCAAGTCCACGAGGCCGCCATCCGATTGCATAAATTCGCAGCGCGCGCCCTTGGAACCAGCCTGCCGTTTGACACTTTCGCTACCCAGGCCACCCTCGAATCCAGCTTGAAACTCGGAGATATACTTCTTGATAGCAGGAGTCAAATATGCATCGGCGCAGGCCGAAGTGGTCCGCGGCACGAGCTTGATCATAGGCATAAGCTGGTGACTTAAACTCACATGGTGAAAACCAATCTCACTGGCAATTTCTCCCACCAATGCCTCATGGTCGGGAAACGTGTACCCATGCATAAGACATACAGCTATACTTCTGATCCCGCGGCTGTATACCTGTTCGAGCTGTGATCTCACCAAGCTCTCACAGGGTCGCTTCAATATGCGAACTGCTTCAGAAGACAGGCCGCGAACAACATCAGCGTCCGCTTGGATCTGTTCCCGGGGACAGGTGGTTGTGAAGTTTCGTTGTGGATCTTCCGCGTAATCCTCTAAGGTGACACGTTCATCTAGTTCAATCACCTCCTCGTATAGGACATCAGGACGCTTGATGGCAAGGTCGAATATCCTAGGTCGAGATTGATTTCCGATCTTTAAGCAATCGTTGAAGCCCTTCGTTACCACCAGCGCAATCTTCTCCCCTTTTCGTTCGAGTAGCGCATTTGTCGCCACCGTCGTGCCCATCCGAATGCCCTGAATCAGAGAAGTATTGATAGGCTCCCCGCGAGGGATCTCACGGCCTGTAACCTTGGAAAGTATGCGTCGGATTCCCTCCAGGGGTGCGTCTTCGTAGTTGTTGGGATCTTCTGATAGAAGCTTGATCACAATGTCATCTTCTAAGCGGCCTGTCCCTGTATTGCCCACACAATCCGTGAAGGTGCCGCCTCTCTTGGCCACATTAGTGTTTGGGTTGATGAAATGAAGTATTGCTGGGGGAAGGGGGGCAGATACATCGATTGCAATGTTAATTCCTTGACTCTGCTTTGCTGTCATAGTAAGAAGCAAGGTAGCCATGTGTTGCATATAGCAATCAAGTATCGAAATTGAGAGTCAAATCCCAGTGTTGCTTTGGTTTCCTTCAAAAGTCAGGTCGGATTCAAAGGAACTTCCCCCGAACCAACTACACCCACCCTACGTCATCATGGTTCGCTAGGCACATGATGTAAAATGCGATTTTCGAAAAGTATTGAATTTCAGCTGGTTGGTGACGAAGAAATGGCCGCAGGAATGGATATCAATTGCATGTCCCTGGACTCCTAACCGACCTCATGTACAACTAAAGGACTACGGTAATTCAGCTCCGAGGAATGATCGGTCGAAAAGGGCGAGAAATTGAGATAACCGGTAATGAAATTGCGAGGCGGATGGGGGAACGGATTTCATCGTGGTAATTCGGCGCGGACTTGGAAGAATCGCTCGACGTTCGCTTCGCTAGGATCCGAGCTGCTGACCAGGAGAAATTACCAACCTCCTAAAAAATAAAATAATAAAACTTCAAACGCAAAGAGAGAAGGGAAAAGGAAAAGGTAAGGGGAAACTGGGGTTGCCACATTGTCATGTAGAGGCATTCACACTCTTTGACTTAATAATAGGTTATGTGCGAGACGTGTCTCGCACATATGTCAAGAGCAGGAGGTTGACGTTGAAACTCGATGGGCGATGACCTTGGCTTCCGTCCCCTTGGGCCACCCCACCTGATTGGCTTAACCGCAACGGCACTTTCATAAAACGGAAATAGACGAGGGGAAACAGGGACCGAGAGCGAAAGAACGTAATACCGAGTCGATCTACTCAGCAGTATCAAGCTCATCATGAGCAGAGGGCACTGGATCCAGGGGTACTGCTGCATATGAGCAAAAGAAAAGCTGTCTAGGTCGGGTTTCCACACAACTGACCTTTCCTGTCTTCTTCACCGTTGGGCCCATTCTCACGGTCCTCCTCACGAGGCTCCCGATCATCCTCACGTCTCTCCCGGTCATCCTTGACCTCGCGTTCACGGTCATCGGGGCTGCGAGAACGGTCGCGAGAACGATCGCGATCACGACGATCATGGTCACGGTCACGGCGGTCAGAATCACGGTCGCGTCGGTCGTAATCACGGTCAGCGTCCCGGTCGTAACGATCGTCTCGACGAGGAGAATAGTCGCCGCCACGGCTGCGACGAGGAGATGGGGAGCGACCACGGCGGGGAGGAGTCCGGTCACGACGACGGTCACGGCCAGCATCGCGACCAGCGTCTCGGCCAGACCCAGAATCAAAGCGCCAGGAAGCAGAGGGAGGGGTGCGTGCCCACTACGAATAGGTTAAGAGATATCCGACACAGCCCTGGGGGTTGGGTCTACACTTACCTCGATCTTTAGCAGATCGTCACGGCCAATGCGCTTATTGTGCATCTCATGATAGGCATCATCAGCGTCGCGGCGACTCTCATATTCAACGAAAGCGAAACTGGGTCATAAGTCAGACAGGGGAAAGAGTTTGGAGGTGTCGAGTGTAACTCACAGTCGGCTGGAGGGAGTGCGCGGGGCAGGGATGTCACAGCGAACGAGACGCCCATATCTAGTATGAAAATCAGCTAAGCTAGCTTTAAAGCCCGGCGTTGAGAGAAATTATTATGACAGATGACCAGGACTGTTGCCAAAGAGCGGATGGAGAACGTTGACCCGAGTTTCCACACCAATGTCACGCTAGTTGGAAGAAAGAAAAATAGCGTTGAGGCGTTCATTGCCCGTGGTTTTTCATCGATACGTCGTCGGAAGGATGGGTACCGAGGTTCGTAGGTGCGAAGGTAGAGGCGATACGTACCGTTCGAATTCGTAGGCAAGATCGCGAGCACGGGTGCCATGGCCGAACCCGGTAACATACAAAGTAGTTCCAGATCGAGAGGACATGGTGCCGTTAGCACAGTGGAATTTGAAGTGAGTAGGATGTCGTTGAAGAGGATAGTTGGAAGGGTTTGGAGGGGTGAGGTAAAGCTTCAGAAGCTTCAGAAGTAAAAGTGTATAAGAAGAGAGCTAAGAAGAGATTGGAGAACAAGTAGGTGATGAAGGGTCGGTACGGTGGCTGAAATGTGCCAGTGATGCAGATACTCAAAATGTCAAAGACATTCTACATATTTGCGTAATTTCTTTCGGTAAATTATTCATTTTTACTTGCACGTTGTATTTAATTCAGACTTATAGTAATTGACCAAAATAATATCTATTATGATATCTAATTTGCACAATTTTATGAGTATATTGCGTACAAGATACTAACAACCAATTCGTACCTTACATAAATCCGGTTGACAACTTGACGGTAACATCGCCGTTCGGGGTTGCGGTCGGCTCCCGGATCACGGGGTGAGTGGCTCGCCGTCCTAATCAATTACTCGTTGCCCGCTCCTTCTGGCCTCTCCAATTCCTGTTGTCTAACTTCTCAGTTCTCACTCTCCCCCGTTTCCTAGTGTTCTTAGTCTACATACCATTGAGATAGAGACTGACAAGCGTATGTCGGATATCAATGTGTACTGTAGTTATGCGCCTTAATGAACTGGTTACGTCGCCTCCAGAAGTGGACCTCAAGCATGGCGCTTAGATACCTAAGAGTTCAGCGCAGAACACCCTAGTTACTCATCTCTTGTTTCATAAACCGTTTTCCAGTATGCTTCCCATGGTTTCCTCTCAGGCGCCATTGTGATACCTGCTACTATCTGCGACGTCAGACCGCCATCCCACTCTTCCCACCTGCGACTTCACTAACTAGTCAGTTTATCAGTTACTTACCGCGTCACGTTTTGCCCGAGCGTGGTGGGTGACCTAGCTCCCAGGATACACCTATTGATTCCTATGCCAAGTGGAACCCTCTCCTGGGAAGTGCTGGATGGCTTCTGCAGGCTCTACTGTTCCCGGGAGAAGAACAATCTGCCGTTGGAGGCAAGGGTTGATGGGTCATGGGGAGCCTACGAGGATCTATTGAGCTATTGTGTCTGTACTGTGTAGTTCAATGGCACACTCGGTCACTCGCACAAGTGGGTCCGATACTCCACAGTGCACGTGATTGGATAAAATAGCTAATGTTTGGTGAAGGGGGATGTTGGAATTGGCGTCAAAGGTATTCATTTTCGGCAGCCAATTTACTGTCAATTGACGTTAAGGTGTACTCCGTAATAGGTTAGGTATTCGGGTACATAGGTGCTGTAGTTGGCATAGCTCCCGTGGTCATACTCCCGGGTACGGAATTAGTAAGTGCCAGACTGTCGGGAGGTACCGCGTGTCGGTAAGTCGGGAAGATGTGTTCTCTCTATCGCAACCTCTCTGAGCACCCGTGGACATTCAACTCAACCCCACCCTCGTTAGGTACACGAAACTCATACCTCGTCACTTGTTTGTCGCCTTTTTCATTTCTGCTTCACCTCTTTTCACAGCTGGAGAGAAGCGCATTCGACTCAATCTGATCACAGCAACTTCATCTCATCTCCGCATTGCTTCTCATCTCACAGAGCTAATACTACTCGCCTCCTTTATTTCTCCGTCATATTTCCCATACACCGACCGATACATCAGCGAACACGAGATCAATGATGAGCGTTTAGAACACTAAGCCTTTTGAAGACGGCTTACCTTCATGGCTAGCACAACACCGGTTTAAGACAGACCTCTAGTGCTTTCTCACAGTTGATTTGCAACCTTCTAAATTCTTTTTTCCCCGAAAGAACTGTGAAAAAGCATCACAGCTCAGATCGTCAGACGATCTCTAACACCTCATCTACAGAGCTCCATGTGCATTTCGTCAAGATGAGCTTGGATCGTCAAGATTCTGTCCAAAAAGAGGAGCTAGAGTGCGCACCAAAGCATGCTCTAAACAATCTGACCCAGTTTCCCCCTGGTTCAAACACGGTTCAGGTGAGAACTTCTCCCCATCCATCCGAGCTGCGAGGTTGACTGTTGATCCATTGGAGCAGGATGCGGATGCTGCGCAAAGTCAGTCACTTTGGATGCGCACCAGAAACAACCTCGCTGAACCAGTTGTGGCTGCGTTTATGGCTGGTGGAGTAGCTGGAGCAGTTTCTAGGACCATAGTCTCACCACTTGAACGATTGAAGATTCTCCTTCAAATCCAAAGCGCCGGTCGAACAGAATACAGATTGTCAATATGGAAAGCCTTGGTCAAGATGGGGCGAGAAGAAGGCTGGCGTGGCTTTATGCGAGGGAATGGAACAAATTGCATTCGCATCATCCCATACTCTGCGGTGCAGTTTGGGAGTTATAACTTCTACAAACAAGTGAGTGGTTATGCCCAGACTATAAATAATGGCCTGGTATTGACATTGCTTTGGTGTAGTTTGGAGAATCTCCGGAGGGCGAGATGACCCCAATGCGTCGTCTTATTTGTGGAGGTGCAGCAGGCATCACCTCGGTGACCATCACCTATCCTCTAGACATTGTCCGAACCCGGCTTTCCATTCAATCTGCTTCTTTTGCCGACCTGGGGGTAAGGGACCCAAGTCAAAAACTGCCAGGCATGTTCACTACAATGGTCTTGATACACAAGAACGAAGGTGGAATAAAGGCTCTATATCGTGGCATTGCTCCTACTGTAGCCGGAGTAGCCCCCTATGTGAGTTATCCGTTTCATTCAACCCTTGCAGAACTGACCAGTGATAGGTGGGCCTCAATTTCATGACATATGAATCTGTGCGCACGTATTTGACACCGGAGGGAGACGCGAACCCAAGCCCTTATCGAAAATTGCTCGCAGGTGCAATATCAGGAGCCGTGGCCCAGACCTGTACCTATCCTTTGTCAGTCCTTTCTTCTCTTTGTCACTTTTACCGGCTGAACCACGTCAATAAAGCTAATCCTTTTTTGACCCTAGTGATGTGCTGCGTCGCCGGTTCCAGATCAACACAATGTCCGGGATGGGGTACCAATACACCTCGATCTGGGATGCTGTGAGGGTTATTGTGGCCGAAGAAGGGCTACGGGGACTTTTCAAGGGGATAGGGCCAAATCTTCTCAAAGTTGCGCCTAGTATGGCCAGCAGCTGGTTGAGCTTTGAGATGACTCGTGATTTCTTTGTTGGCCTAAATGATAGAGAATAGGACAATACCTACATACACAGTAGATATTTCCGTTGCTTTGCATTCTTCATTATTCCCATGGACAATTAATTGGATAACCCGCAATGATGTGCGATTACAATTATTAATTACTTGGAGTGTTGAAGCCTGGAGGCAACTAACGCCGACTCAAACAAGCACCAAGTGGGGATTTGTACGCCTCATCTTACGCATCATTTGAAGAAAACTTTACAAGGTGGGTTCATTGTACAGGCCATAGTTAAACAGCCAATCTCAGTCACATCGATGGATATTGCGGCGTGCCTAGGCTCCATGCTACTCGCGACTCGCGAGCCAATGATGGCACGTGACCAAGTGGCAAGTCCCACTCCCGGAGACTGGAGTCCCGGGTCCGTTGGCTCAGTCACATGAGTAGTTTAGGTCATGTGCCTCGCCTTTCCTAGTCAAGCCTAGCGTAGGGCTAAACCCACACACCACCGTCCAGCCGAGAGTCAAGGATCAAAAACTTCCTGCACTTTCCATACGGGTGCGACAGCAAGCTATTTTCCCAGGTAGTCGATCAATACACAGCCATGGGTATGTTCAATTATCTACGTTCTCTGAGCTTTCCACCATCGCATTTTGCAGCATTCATTCGACCCTCCCACCTTTTCAATCGTCATTTGTCCAGTCCACTGACAGTTTACAAATCGCAGGTATCGACCTGGACCGCCACCATGTGCGGAGCAGCCACCGCAAGGCTCCCAAGAGCGACAACGTCTACTTGCAGGTTCTGGTGAAGCTCTACCGCTTCTTGGCTCGTATGACTCCCCCCGATTGCGATCTCGTTTGCACGCAATTTTTACAGGTGTATCGTTGTGAGGATACCATGAGGCTGATATGGGATGCATCATAGGCCGTACCGAGTCCAACTTCAACAAGGCCGTTCTCCGTCGTCTCTTCATGTCGAGAATCAACCGCCCCCCGGTTTCCCTGTCTCGTGTTGTCGCCAACATCAGCGAGGCGCAGAAGGGCAAGACCGTTGTCGTTATTGGCACTGTCACTGACGACAACCGCCTTCTGACCGTCCCCAAGGTGTCGATCGCTGCCCTCCGTTTCACTGCTACCGCTCGCGCTCGCATCGAGAAGGCTGGTGGTGAGACTTTGACTCTGGACCAGCTTGCTCTCCGCGCTCCCACCGGTGCCAACACGCTCCTTCTGCGCGGCCCCAAGAACGCCCGTGAGGCCGTGAAGCACTTCGGTTTCGGTCCCCACACTGACAAGGTTCGATACCTCAATTGGCAAACTATGGTCTGCAGTTTCTGTATGCTAACTCAAAACAGAAGCCCTACGTGGCCAGCAAGGGCCGCAAGTTCGAGCGCGCTCGTGGTCGCAGAAGATCCAAGGGTTTCAAGGTTTAAGGGTCTCAATGAGGATGATCTAGTGTTCATGTATCACGAAAGATGCATTAACCATGCTGGCTTTCTCGGTGCCTGGAATTGTTCCTTTACTAGCCAGAGACCTCAAGTCTTTGTACTTAAAAGTGGCAGGATGTCTCCGGTTTCGCTGGGAAATGAGAATTTACGAATGAAGGGGCAAAAGAAAATTGAAATCAGGCTTTGTCCTAAGTATTCCCAAGGGGATTTTTCATACAAAACAGAAAGAAAAAAATCTTCTAAAATCCTGATTTTATATTGATTTGTAGTACCCCGAAGTGATCACTGGCCTGTAGGTAGCTTTGTGTGGAGATATTTTCGCCCACCTACCCCATCATGGTAGTCGGCTGCCCCGTGGCCATTTCCCCGGATCAAATACTTGTAGATAGTCAGACCCTCAAGTCCAACTGGCCCTCTGGAATGTATCTTGTTCGTGCTGATGCCAACCTCCGTCCCAAAACCAAACCGCATCCCATCGGCAAATCTGGTCGATGCGTTCCAGAAAACGCCCGCACTGTCAATTCCGCTGGTGAACATGTTCGCGGCCTCCTGCGATTGAGTCAAAATAAGGTCTGTGTGCTTGGACGAATGCGCGTTTATGTGGGCAATGGCAGCCTCCACAGCTGAGGTCCGTGAGCCCGAGGACGGGATCGTTTTCACTGCCAATACGAGGTCCAAAAATTCGGTGTTGTAGTCGGTTTCGGTTGCCAATTGTATCTGTGCTACCTTCTCGGCTGGCAGAGTCTTCGCCAAGGCAGACCGCGAGGCAGCGTCACAACGAAGAGACACGCCTTTGTCTAGTAGAGCAGTCGCTACCGCCGGGAACACCGAATCGAGGGTGTCCTCGTGCACTAGTAAGCATTCCAAAGAGTTGCATGCTGCCGGATAGTCCGTCTTCGAGTCGACAATGACTTTCACGGCGGTATCGATATCAGCGTCGGCATGTATGTAGGCAGAACAGAGGCCATCTGCATGTCCAAGAACGGGGATCTTCGTATTGTCTTTCACAAAACGGACAAGCTCGTTGGAACCCCGAGGGATGACCAAGTCAATTAATGAATCCTGGGCCAAGAGAGAGGACACCGCATCGCGTGTCTTGACCAACTGGATCGATGATACCGGCACCTGAGAGCTGGCAATAGCTTCAGAGACAACTTTGGCAATTGCTGCGAAAGATTCCATGGATTCCTTCCCGCCTGAAGGTTTGCGACAATGAGCAGAAGATCATGAGAACCAGATAAAGAGAGAAATGTACCTTTTAGGATAGCAGCATTCCCTGACTTGATAGCCAACGCAGCAATGTTTGCTATAACCTCTGGGCGTGCCTCGAAGATAATAAGCAGGACACCAATAGGGCAACTGATTCTTTCCAGGGTCAGACCATCGTCTAGGAGAGTCCGCAGGGACACTTTCCCAACTAGCATTGTGTCCATGTTAAAATGTGCCTATCGTCCATTGCGGCTTGAGAATATGAAGAAGACACACTTACTAGGATCATCCAAGTCTCGAACACTCAAAATTCCATCCAACATGTCATCATATTTTCCGGGACGTGACAGGTCAAGTCTCTTGAGCACACTATGATTCAAGCTACCGCTCTCAGCCGCACGAGTAGCGATTTCTAAATCCTTAGCATTGGCGGCAAGGATGATCTCTCGGTTCGTATCCAGCGCATGATGAAGCGCCGTTAAAGCTTCGTTGCGGGCAGCGTTTGGTAGAATTGCGAGGCGACGAGAGGCAAGTGATGCGCTCCGGGCGACATCAACTGCCGCGGAATCAGTCAAGGACATGATGTAAGTGAGATATCTTGATCCCTATGGCTTGAGGATGGAAAAAGTGACCGAATAAGAGTAACAGGATTTGTCTCTGAAGGGTTTCAAACAGCTCCCGCTCGTAGAAGAGAGAAAAAAGATGAGTCAAAAGAGGACCGCGGGAGGGGCACGTTATCGATCCCGCTCGGCGTCGGAGCTTCAATATACCCACAGGGCCATCGTACTTTCCTTACTCCGCTACTCCGCTACTCCGTACCCTCACACTTCTTTCTTTTCTTCCCTTCATCAATCAGATTCTTGCTCTCTGAAATATTCTTGGTCAACAATCCGCCTCGCCTCTTACTGTTCCGCCCCCCCGCCTCGAGAACCCAAGATAGCGCCAACATCAACACCCCCCATACTGAGGATATCGCATCGGTTTGAAACAGGACACTTTTCTACCTGACCCCTAGTCATATCAGGCTCTTCTCTCATAGCCAATATGACAGTCCTCTCCGCCGATATCGTCGCTGCATCAGCACGCTTACACAACTCCACCACCCTACCCAATGATGAGTATGATCGCCGGATTCGCGAGTTAGTTGAATACTTCAGGCGGCTTTTATCCACTAAGGCCCTTGTCTCCTTGGCTGCTGATGACTCTCTCATCAATGTAAGCAGTCTCGTCCATATTGAATGGGACTCTATTGGTGTTGTGGCTAACATTGTTTTGTCTCTAGCATTTCGACCCAGCGGTAGAATCTATCCCTTACCTTTTCGTGCTTCAAGTGCAAATCCAAAGAGCACAGGATGTCAGTGGTGATGCATTCCCAGTGGATCTCCTTCCTATGGGAAAGCTTTGGGCACGCGCTGCACACTTCTTGGGATGCTTCGACAGGGTCCAAGTCAGATATTCTGGGCGGGAATGGCGCCAGCTTGTTGAGCTTGTAGGAAAGGCTTCTCAAGCGGCATCAATGGTAAGCCCGCTTTATGTTAAAATGTTTCTCTTTTTTGGATGCTAATTGTGGATCAGCCACTTCTAGGCGCTACTCTGGTTAGAGATGCTATGCTTCGTCTTGACCCGTCATGTGCTGTTTTTACATCGGTCCACCTTATGCTTCTCCAGCTCTGTCTACAGGCTAAATCATATGCTTGTGCGTTACCTATTCTGGATAAGAAGATTTGTCATTTTCCCACTTCGCTGGAACGTTCTCCCTCAGAACCCTCTGTACTTTGTGCAGATCATGAGTCAAGTGTGTCCTTCATGACCGATACTTCCGGGTTCTCGTCCATGCTATCATATCGGGACTACTTGCGATACTTCCTTTATCATGGCATGGTGAACATGGCACTGAAGCAGTGGCGCAGTGCATTTCATTCCCTCGGTATCGTCATATCTGCGCCTAGTGCCAGCTCTGTGAGCTTGGTCATGGTGGAAGCCTACAAAAAATGGGTGCTTGTGGGCTTACTTGAGAAAGGCAAGGTGAGTCTATTCGCTGAATACAAACCCCAGGAAATAAGGAACTGTAGTAGGAGCTGGCTGGGGGTGAGGGAGGGGCGCACAGAGAGGCCTTACTGGTATTGATCTCTTGGGCTAATGACCTTTGTTCTTAGTTCTGTTCGCCACCTAGCATCACGGCCCCTCATGTAGCAAAGGTGTATCAAGCCCTTGCGAGGCCTTACATCAGCTTTGCTCATGCATTTGAGCGTGGTGATTTGAAGAGACTGGAGGCTGAGTTCAATGCTGCTCATGGGGTCTGGTGCACAGTAAGTCACGGCTCCAATCGACGTTTCGTCGTTTGAGATATGCATATATGACTAATGCCGCACCCAAAGGACCGTAATTTAGGTCTTGTCTCCCAGGTAATGGACGCTTTCTTCAGCCAAACTGTGATCAAGCTCGGGAAGACCTTCGCCGCCCTGACTGTGGCCGACCTTGTAAAGCAGGTGTTTTCTTCCCATGTGAGTGAGGAAGCCGCCGAGTCTGCTATTTCTTCTCTCATAATGTCCCGCGCGTTGGATGCTACACTGGTGCAGACCTCGGATCGTGCGGAGCCCTCTATGCTTCGCTTTTCGGGCACTCGCTTATTACCTCAACTCCCTCATGAATTAGACCTACGGTCTCAACTAAAGCAAGAAAGAAGGTCGATGGAAACCCTGATGGGCAGTCTTGGGGAAACCAATAACAATCTAGGGTTGAGCGATGAATACATCGATAGCCTACAAAAGGGTCAGGGCTGGTCAGGTTCCGGCGATGCTAACCCTGATGCTGGGGAGGAAGCTAGTCATGACATAGATGAGGATCTCATGGGTGATGTGTCCTAGGTACACTCGCTTGATTGACCCTGCTTTTAATCTATGATCTATGCTCCCATCCACATCTGCATAGCTTACAGTCAGGCCACTTAGGGATGATAGCAAATGTTAAAGATTCCAAGCATCCTCTTCTACACTCTTACTCAAAGATCAGGGACAACTTGCTTCTTATTCTTTCTGTGATTGGATATAGCTGAACTGGTTGGATTGAGCTAGGCTCCTGGCTGATGTTGTTAGACCCTGGTTGGTATGATGATCGGATGATGCCTGGGTCCGGTTCAAGTCCGACAATAAACAAAGCGTCTTAGCGTGTGACGTTCTAACTTATGGGGGTTTGGGGCCTAACGACTTCTCGCGACTAGGGTTTGGTTTGGTTTAATGGGACTCAAACCTAGCTACCTAATAAAAGAAAACGGCTGAGTCAGCATTGCTGGAAGCAGCAGGCGGTGGGAATGGGCATCCACCGCCTTTTTCAAAGGAACTAATGGCCCTGTACCTTTGTTTATTTCTTAGTACACAGTACAGATCCCTACGTTACACGTTCATTTTTCTTCATCCCCTATCGCTGTCATGGCTAGAGTACTCCCTTCCGGCTGTGGGGTCTGTGGTCAACAGAATGATCTTCTTCAATGCGCTGGGTGTAAGGTGCTGCTATATTGCGGCCGTGATCACCAAGTTGCTCATCGCCCATCACACAAATCTGCTTGCAGCGCCCTCCGAAGGGCTCGCGTCGCTATGTAGAAAGAAGAGGAAGCCCTGCGTAACCATCCAGGAGATTTTGCGTTACCAGAAGACCCTTTCACCAATGGCGTCGGACATTTCTGGGGTTTATACGACACCCGTGATTATATGCGAGCTCGGTTTGCACTCGTCGACGCAATGACCAAAATCAACAGTACCGAGTCTGTTGAGGCGCAGCTTGGCCACCTCATGGATATGTTGCGTCTGTGCCGAAGCGATAACATGGGCGTGCGAGATCTCGTCCCCGCACTGATGCTGCGGCTCAACAAAGACCAAGAATGTTATGATTTTATCAAGTGGTGGTTCATCGTGGGTGACGACTCGCATTTCGATTGGGGAGACATGTCTCTTCCATACCTCGATATCAAAGACGCCGACGTTTTCGAGCCTGTTGATCGTTTCCGTGGCCAATTCCGTGATCTCAGCCACCTTTCTTCTCTCACCCTCTTGAAGATAAAGCTGCTCCTTGACCTCTCGAGGTTGGAACAGTCTTCTTCCAGTCTCGGTATAAGTGTTCCTCGCGAAATTCTTGATATGATTCACTCGTCAGTGCCCCACAGCCCCGCCGTGCGTGCCAGACACGATATCATGAATGACGGATGTGATCCCGGCCCACTATGATTCAGGACTTGAAGGCACAGATCGATGCCTTATATGGGGAAGTCCACAAAGCAAATAAGTTTTTTTGGCTCGCCCTCATCAATCCAAGCAAACATACGGGACGCCCAATGGCATATTCACGCGGGAGCATGGAGGAAACGCAGCTAAATGTATGCTACAACTACGATGCGTGGATTGAGACTCCCGGTGCCATGGATTTCATCAAGGCAAAGGTTCATGGTGATATTTAATCGGGTATACTGTACGAAACATCGGCAATGCCCCTGGACGCCCTCGCCGTGATGGCACGCGTGCCACCGTGACCAAATACCACGTCAGATGGAAAGGCCAGTCCACGAGAAGGGACTCCTGGGTGCGCAAGGAGGATTGCATTGGTTGCGACGACCCCGACCAGGCAATCGCCGATTTCGAGCAAAGGCGGATGGACTCCCAGCCGCGCATTGAGTATTTTTACTGGAAGCCCAATGGATCTGCAAGAGTTGGTACAGAGCATCCAAGCCCTACTTCGTAGGGAAGAAAGTGTGACAGGACCGATTCCAAAGAGGTGTATCATAATTGAACTCTCAAGCAGAACAAGCCGCCCAGTTACTACATAACATCTACATTGCAACCCCAGCTCCCAGAATGTTCACTACATTATCTTGTTCATCGCCAGAGCAGGCCCCGTCTGCCCCCCCCCCCGCCGGGAATCCTCTCACTGTGAAAGGCAGACGTCTCTAGCGTTTCCCACCTCTTGACGGTGGGATCAGCTTAGCTCTTCTAGTTATGCTTTAGCTAAGTCTTTAGGAACTAAGGTGAAGAGAAGAGAAGAGGAAAGAAGAAGAGCTGGGCAGAAGGACTCCTTATGTTCTTCTGCCATGCTTCTTCCCTTAGCTGTCATTTGCTCGTCATATGATTGTCCCGGAAATTCGGTACGCATTACGGCGTTGGTACATGTGTCTTTTCAATGCCCGATTCTACACGAGTATCAGAGAAAATGCCGTAATCGATCAGTGTTAAGGGGTAGCTAGAACAGAGAGTATTGGCTAGGTGAGAAGCAAGACCCTTAACATTCTGAATCTTCAAGGTCAGGAAGTGGCATGTACTCTTCAGTGTTAAGGGGTAGCTAAAACAGAGAGCTATTGGCGAGGTGAGAGGCAAGCAAGGCAACAGTCACAAAAACGCCACAACCACTTACTCGCCAAATGAAGTTTTGCATACGACCCATCCTTCCAAATGCGCGGGGCCGTCGCTCCCAGAAGGGAGATGCCAGCAGCTGAAGCACGAGTTGAAAAGCTCGAACTGAGGAAGAAGCTCACGCCACACTGGGAAAACACCAACGAATCCCACACAGCGAAGACATCATGTTAGGGCCAGCTTATGCCCTTTCCACTAGAAAACTACGGATGAAGAGTTGAAGACTACCTGGAAACTATCCCCAAAATGGGTCGGCCCTTTCAGAGTCCTAGGCCAATTGGATTTATTGGAAGCCAGGCCTATCAAAGCGCCTTCTCGGAGAGAACCCTCCACTTGAAGAGTGGCACAAGGAGAAAGGACGGGGTGATGCCGAGTACATGCCACTTCTCGACCTCGAAGATGAGTTATGACGAAGAATACGAAGTCGAAGAAGTCAAGGATGAACACAAATTCGATGGCGAAACGCACTTCCTGGTCAATGAAGAGATAGCCCTCCGAATACCCTGAACGGGGGTCCCTGATGCCTGAAGTACAACATGGCTAGCGCGAAGAAATCAATTTCGGACTACCGAAAAAAGACCACGAAGACCAAGAAAACTGGCGAAAACAACAGTCCCCCAATTCCTTGTCGTTCTCCAAACGTCCTTCAGTCGCATTTCACCGGACCCCATCAAAAAGATCTGTCTATTTGTCTCCTCGGCAGCCTGCCATTCCACACGTTCTTTGATGACTCTTCGCAAAACACTGTTGTTTTCAACTGGCTATTTGGAGTTGTCGCGCAAACCGTGGTCGGTGCCTCGTTTGATCTTTTGTTGTCCCAAAATTGTCCTTGCCCACATATCTTCCTCCTGAGTCCCGAGGGAAATCGGCACAAAGAGAGATGCCATGTTACGGGGTCCTCATCCCTGGACTCTGACATCACTGGGAGACATCGTCGGGGGCTTGGGTTCCGAATAGTCATCGAGCAGTTAATGAGAGATTGCCGTGCATGATGAGGGGCCCCTCACTTCGTTATGCCAATGGGCATCGAATCGGCATTGAGTCGTACTGTTCCCTTTTATGTTAAATACTTCGAGTTCGAGAAAGCCATGAGGACTCCCTAAGATTCAGTCTCGTTACAATTGGATGTAGAGAGTCCTGCTGAGTTGCCTCAAACAAGTGATAAGACACACACTTGGCGGCGTTGTCTTTGCGATGAATTGGGTGAATTCACCCCTATGCTTCATCTCAAATCGCTGTTCCAATTGGCTTCTTATCTAGATGGATTCAAATGCATGGAAAACAGCTTTATACGGAGTCCGTATAGTGCTCGGTGAAACTGGACTCGGGGTATTTGTACTCGAGGTATTTGTACTCGATGCATTTAATTGCGACCTCCGAGAGCCATCTGTCAGTACGGAAGCTGAATCTTGTGGTACCAACTAATGCGAAGAAAGATGTCGCATATCGGTCTATGTTCTCGGTGTTACGATGATGCCAGTTCCTCAAAGATAGAAGAGTGCATTTGAACTAGAATATTGAAGATAGAGAGGGAAGCCTGGAAGGAGAAGAAGGAAGAAGGGAAGTGAGAGATGGGCCTTGACATAGATCCTCGCGTCATGTGTTCCCTGGCACATCCCTCCGTCTAGTTCAATGCACCTTCAAAAGCAAACAACAAAAGTAATAATAAGCAAACCTGTCACACGTGACACTCGGTGGGGTTCGTGTCCATCCGGGGTGCTCTATATCGGTTGATCAATGCATCGTCAAAAGGATTGACCAACACCGCTAGCTCTTCGCCATTGCCAAAGAGTCCCCGCCGCCCGCGCACAGCGGAACAGGTTTGCTCGTTGATAGCCCAAATGAGAATGGCGCAAAGTGAAACGATACGTGACTCGAGTCGGGCGACATAATCAGACTATGCACCCCTTGAATCGAAACAGGACTCTGGGAGTAGAACAGCTTGTCGACTATCATCCAGACATGGAGCGTCTTTTCGTGATAAGACGTCTGCAATAATGTTCTTCTTTCCCGGGCGGTATTTGATCATGAAGTGAAACTGGGCGAGGAACTCGCTCCATCGCATTTGCCGTTGATTCAGCTGTCGGTTCTTCATGAAATACTCCAAAGATTGATGATCCGTCACTATGCCAAAACGCTCTGTCTGCGTTAAGCTAAGCAACTCTGGTCTCCATTCTTGCAAAGCACGGACTATTGCTAGGAGTTCTTTGTCTCGGATTTCGTAGTGCAACTCCGCTTGCTGCATGACCTTCGAATAAAAGGCGACAGGGTGCCAGAAATTGTCCTCTTCGTAGTACTGCGTTAGGACTGCACCCAGCACTCCGTCAGATGCGTCAGTTTCTACTCGGGTAAGTCGCTGATGATCATAATGTCGTAGAATTGGTGCTGAGAGGAGCGCATTCTTCAGTTCCTGGAACGCTCCTTCACACTTGTCATCCCAGTCCCACGGGGTGTTTTTCCGGGTTAGACGGTGCTGTGGTTTGGATATCTTTGCTGTAGTTCCGTATAAACCGCCGGTAAAAATTGCAAAAGCCAAGAAATGACTGGATGCCTCTTACTGTATCAGGAGACGTCCATTCTTCAATGTTAAGGGGTAGCTAGAAACAGAAGACTATTGGCTAGGTAAGAAGACAGCAAGATGTAGGGCTCATTGATATGAGCAGGCTCAGACATGAGCATAGTCCATTCGATAACGAGACTGAATCTTGCCTTTCCCAGGCCGGCTCGATCAGTAGATTTATAGATACATGATCTCTAACCCCATGATGCTCAGCCACACCAGAGATGATGAACAAAGAAAGAGATCATGAACCAACAAAGATATCAACACATGATTTCAAATCATCATACATCAGCTCACGTCAACACTTCAAAGGATCAGTGACATGTCCCCTTTGATTGATATAACACATGGAACATCAAAGGTCAACACTTCAAAGGATCAGTGACCTGTCACCCTCTGATTGGTATACCCCGTGACATTCAATAATGCGGATCTTCTCCGGGTCCACGGAAATGCCATCAGTGCTGACGATGAAGCTTAGAAACTTCGTCTGTTGGACTGAAACTTCGCACTTCTTGATACCCAATTGCAATCCAGCTGCCCGGGGTCGACGAAGAGCCTCCCTGACATGCCGACGACGGTCCTCTTCGTTCTCGCTGTAGATCAAGACATCGTCCACGAAGGCGATCGCGTATTCATCCATGCATTCTCTAAGAACGTCGTTCATAGATCGCTGGAACGTAGCGGGTGACCTGCGGGTCCATTGGTTAAACCGAAAGGCAGAACTTTGTACTTGAAGGATCCATATCGTGTCCGAAATGTCGTCAGATCTTCAGCATCACTGCATCAGGTGTCATGCGGATACGGTGGAACCCTTGTTGCATGTCCACTTTTGTGAAGAATTTAGCCTTGCGTGTTCGTTGCAGAACCTCATGAATCAGAGGTAATGGATAGCAATCCTTCTTAGTAAGCGCGTTCAGTGTCCGATAGTCGACGCAGAAACGTAGTCCACCTCCTGGCTTCCTAGCCATCAGAATCGGCGAGGCATATGGTGCTGAGCTGGGAACAATAAACCCTTTATCGAGGTTCGCTAGAATATATTTCTTAGCTTCCTGGGGCTCCTGTGTAGACAGTTTGTAGAGAGGGCAGTAACCAGGCTGAGCTTCTGCCTCCAAAACGATGTCATGATCGACTCCCTGTTACGCGGTGCCTGCTGGTCACTGTGAGTAGAGCTGCTTCCGGGTTGTACTCGCCTAGTTCCACTTCGAATCCCAAGAGTATCTCGCAACCGTACCGTTGCTGTGCTAAGCCTTACACGGACTCGGGTCCTGTTGAGTATCTTGCAGGATGTGCCAGTAGTGCGCGCCAAGTAAGTCAGTCACCAAGTGTTACCACAAGATGAGCTCCCCTACTTGTAGGTTGGGTTGTCTTAAGGGTGAACCGTAGAGTGCAAAGTCCAATAGGTAGTAACCAAGTAACAATGTATGATTGATCGCGAAGAACTAAATACATGTCGGTGAATGAGCGTCCTTATATATCAAGTTCTTCATA